CGCAACAGGAAGCTGTCAGACCTAGCCCCTCCTCGATGCCACGAGGCATTTTATGACTGTCCACGATACCTCACAGATTATTTTGGAGCCGAAAAGGTAAGGTCGGTTGATGGCCCGCCTGCCAGAGGCACGAGATCCGAGCTGGTGTGCGCCGCCATGTTGTCAGATCATGTCCCAAACGGAGACGTGGCAGGTCTGCCGAGCCCGAATTGGATTCTTGCATATAGTCACTCTTGTCTTTGGATGCAGCACTTGTCCATGAAGGTTCAAGGGCCTACATGGCACTCTGCCGTGTAACCTCGCCTGATCGTCGACACACGCAAGAGAGGATGTGCAACTTTTTCTACCCGCATCAAGCTCGTATTACACCACTCAGGGGGGGTCTCGACATCAACTTCAGTCCCCACCAAGGGAGTGCAGGCCGGGCTGTCGACCCATTAATTTTTTAGGTCTTTTTTTCTTTCTTGGTCTCTTTCATTCTCATCAGTGTTACCCCTCTCGATCAACCCTGCCTGGCTTGTGTGTGTGTGTGTGTGTGTGTGTATGTGTGTGTGTGTGTGTGTGCAGACGTTTTTGTCGGCTGTCGTCGATGACTGACCAGGATAGTGGCCCACTCCCACGCGGTAACTGGTACCCACCATGAGAAATGGGCTGAGGATCGTCACTGGAGGCTCCGTCTCAGTCAAGCAACCATGATCGTGACCTCTGTGGACTAGCAGGCTGGATGGCGCGGATGCGACAAGTTGGAATTCCGTCCGATTGCTTTACCGAGGAAGAGAGGATCTTTAAACAGCCTGCAAGCTTGTGATAGCAAGTCACGTACAGTACATGGTACCTGTACGGGTCACATTCCGCTGCCCGTAGAGGGATCTGCAAGCGCTACCGATTGCTCTGAATCTTACTCTCAATTGGGGAGCACACACAAGTATGGTAAGATTGTCCCTTGTGTACACAAGGAGAGAAGGTCGCTCACATGGACATTAGGAATGCAGAGCAACGGGACAGCCATAGTACCTGGCCCCATGGCCTAGATTTGCGAGGACGAGCCAGAAGACAACAACCTTTTTCTGAATCATGATCCTTCATGGCCTTCCACGAGACTAGGGGTGGGCAACTTTTGCCGGCCACGCCGCCTGTCAAAAAGTCTGCCTCCGCCGGGGGCAATTCGACCGAGGGTTTCCGTTTCGCCAGTGCGTAATGTCTCTGAACCCACGTCCCACCTTTCGGTGAATTAAATCTTATCATGTACGCTACTATCCCACACATAACTTTATGCTAAACCATGATGTATCAGAGGGATGCTGGAAGGGTTTGTCCTCCCCTGTGCTTGCCACCCCCCCCCCCGGGAGAAGGAGCACGAAAGGAGGAGGAAAGGAGAAAGTGGCTCGGTCCGCCAGGGCGGCTATCGCAGATCTCGGTGACACGTAGCATTGAGACCAGTGGTTTTATTTCTTGTTGTTCAAGTCTTGAATTCTTTTTAAGGTTTACGGGAGGGAAAATGCGATGCCTCATACAGATCGTCAAACCATATCCTTGACCCCGGCCACTGGGGACACGGCAGTCTCTGCACGCCGCAGTGCCTCATGACAGGCAAGCTGTGGAGGCCATCTTCACCGAGCTCGTGATGCAACGCCTGTCTTGATTCTTTTGCATCTGCGGGCGGGGGTCGAGCCTGAGTTTCCCCGGCGGCTGCGGCTGGGGAGGGGCGAGAGGAGAGGTTCATTTCAGTCCCCAGTCTTCTTTTTTCACCGAGATTGTATGGAGTTTCTCCATGAGGTTCTTGGAGGTGGGCCTTCGCTAAGACCGTCAAGACCACACGACGCGTTGCCTTGTCTACTTGCTATGGCATGTACCATAGTACAGCGGTAGAGAGGAGGAGGAGGGAGGAAGAGGGGGGGGGGAGGGTTGTTGGTGTGTGCCAGTGGCCGACTGCGACGAGACTAAGCAGATGCAACGCTGGTCCTGACGAACAAGGCCTCCTACTGCTCCACACTTGCTTGTGACGAAGGCCCCTGGGTGGGCGAATACTACTTGCTGGTAGTAGTACTTATGTACAACAGCGTACGGCAAGTTTTTGAGCAGAACCCGAGCCACGCGAGAAGCAGGCGAATCCTCGGTTGAATTACCGAACTCACGCCATCCCCCACATCTGGCTTCGATCCTTCCATCTCCATCGGTCCCCACGCCGGATGAGCTGGGAGAGCCCCCCCCCCCCCGACCCACCCACCGTACCGCAAAAAGCGAGGCGTTGCGAGCGCAAAGAAGCTCGACCTTGCCTGCCCCCCTTCCACCCCCTTCCTCTCTCTCTCTCTCTCTCTCTCTCTCTCTCTCTCTCTGTGTGTGTCTACCCACGACCAAACATCGGCCGACCACGGGGCCCAGGATCTCAAGCGAATGCGTCTAGCCTGCAGGAGGAAGCGCCGGTGTCGCTTTCTTGTTTCTCTTGCCCCTCTCTCCTGCGCCGAAGCGGCTCTGTGGCTTCAGAGCCTCTCTCTCTCTCTCTCTCTCTCTCTCTCTCTCACTCTCTCTTTCTTTCTCGCGCCCACCATAAAGAGACAAGAGAGAGAGGGGGGGAGGAAAAGGAGAAGAAAGAGAAACAGAGAGAGCGAGAGAGAGCGAAGAAGAGGGGGCGGGGGCCATCAGTGTCAGTACTATGTAGATGATGGGGACTTTTATTTTGGCCCTTCTTTTTTCTCTCCTGAAACCCTTTGATTCCAAATCCCCCATCGCCGTCAAGGCGTTTGAATTCATTCATGCAGGCCCGCTGCCGCCCGCCCGCTCCCCACCCTTCGTACTCAAGTGGAACTATTTAGATGCTCGGTTCCGGGTGAAAAAGTAGAGGTGGTGATGGGGGGGGGGGTGGAAGAGAAGGTAAGAAGGTAAGAAGTAACAAGAGGAAAAGAGCTAGAAGGAATTGAGAAAGAACAAGGGTCTTCCAAGCAACAAACCACACTCCGCAAAAGTGCTTTGAGACGAAAAACGCCTTTCCCGCGCCTCTTCGGGAAAAAGAGGTGGCCTCCGGCGCCGACATCATCGCCGGAACGATACACGGCTGGTTCCCCTAGTTTCCCAAGCAGAAGCAATCACGAAACCTTCTTTTTTTATTTATTTATTATGAATTGATTGTTATTTACCCCCCTTTTCCTTCTTCTTCTCCCGTCCCGTCGGCGTATGCGCCAGCACCAGCTGATCTAAACATTTGCTTTTCCCTTTCCCGCCCCCCGTCTTCCCCCCCCCTCCTTCTCCATCCCCTTCCCGTCTTCCCCCCCCCCCCTTCACTCAGCTCGCGTCCCGACCGGTGCGCGAAGATGCAAGCCACATTTTTTGCTGACCTTGCATTTCTTTCTTCTTTCCTTTTTTTTTTTTTTTTTTTTTTTTTTTCTTACTTTGGCCCAGGCCGGTTTCCTCTAACGAGGCCACCCTAGGCAACCCTAGACCAACCCATGAGAGACGAGAAGGAGGGGGGGAGAGGGCGGGGGATGGTCGCACAACGTCCGAGCGAGATCACTGGGGCAGATTACGTATTGACGGCAACACTTAACTAGAGACAAGGGCATGAGGCAAGGAAGAAGAAGAAGAAGAAAAAGGAAGGGAAAAAAAATAAGAAGAAACGAAAAGAGAGGAGAAGGAGAAGAGAAAAAGAGAGAGATGAGAGGAAGAAGAAAGAAGCAGAAGCAACATAATGAAGAAGCCAATATAAACAAAGTCAAGAATGAATATTGATAAATGTACAAATAAAAATACCAACGAATGATTGCTCGATGAAAGGTGAATCCGTCTAGTGGTGTTCCCATCAGTCTCTCTTCCCCCTCCCCCCTTCCCTTCTCTCCTCCCGGCCTGCAATCCATCGGGCCCCAAAGGGCCATTCGGGTTGTGTCGACGCGCAACCTTCCTTCACGAATACGCGGCAGAAAACTTAGATGTGGCTGGCTTCACCTCCTCTCTCTCTCTCTCTCTCTCATTCTCTCCCGCTCTTCTTGTTGTCTAATGTCTCTCGTCCCCTTGGCGTCACATGGCGCTGCCACACACCCACCACACCCCCCCCCCCCTTCTTTGCCCTTTCGGTGAATGGACAGAAAGGTGGTTGATTTTGGCTTTTTCTGTCTTCCTCCCCCCCCCCCCACCCTTCCTTTTTTTTTTTTTTTAAGGTAGGAAGGGGGGCGGAGAAGAGGTAGAACGCAAAAGAGGAAAGAATTGTCATCCTTTTCTTCTTCTTCTTCTTCTTCTTCCTCCTCCTCATGGTTTGTTGGTGGCGTGCCTTAGAACACAGGGTGAGACGGGGGCGTCAGCATTTTGTACAACGCATCAGTCTAAAAGGGGCGGCCGGGCTTGGGAGCATTATGAATGATGGTGGATGATCATTGACTACAATGGTAAATTCAATGATGTTCCTCTTGCCACCCCCCCCCCCCTTCCCTCTCCTCCCTCCCCCTTCCATCCACCCTCCACCACCCCCCTTCTTGGTCCAATCACTGTGCCATCACCGCCAAGGAGGAGGCTAGGCAGGCAGACAAGGCAGACAGCGCACCACAGGACAAAAGATAGACAGACACACAGACCATGATTGACAAAAGGAGACAAAACTACATAAATCGGTGTGAACCTTGTTCTGCCAGCCCTGCCTGTCCATCTGCCTGCCGCAACCTTGTCCGTCCCCTCGTCTATAGGCTTGTCTGCGTGTGTGAGGGGACTTTTACTGTTTGGAAAGATCATCAAATCAAACTAAGATTGAAATTTCCATCAGGGCACTGCTTTGGATGATCCGATGGAACAGACAGCCATAGGGCCTCACTGCTGCTGCTACTGCTACTGCTGCAACTGCTGCTCTTGCTGCTCGTTGGCGGCGCGGATCCGAGCTAGGCAGGATCGGCCATGACGTCTGAGATCATTTGTGAGATCATTTTGGAGGGGGGGGTACCATGGTTTTGTGTAGGTGTGTATAGGAGGTAAGATGTAAATGATGAAGGGTGTGTGTGTGTCTGTGTGTGATGCGTGATAGTATAGTACGTATGTATGTAAATGTTATTTTTTTTCTTCTATTTTTCTTTTCTTTGTTTTTTGTACGTAGATAGTTTGGACGGATTTTTGGCCTGCCCGCCCCCCTACGAATTTTGCTCTGAATCTTACACTACAATGCATTGACCCCATCCATCCATCCATCCCGTCTTCCCTGCTGTCTACCGTCCTGTCTGTCGGCCTGTTTGTCCATCGGCAACTCTGTGCCCACCCACCCTCTTCAAATCCTCTTTTGGTTTGGTCTGCAACGAAAGAATAGCCCCTGCAGACGTGACTGACTGACTGACTGACTTGACGGACTGGGTGGCTTGACTATACTACCCATCCACCCCATTCCCGCCGCTCACCACCACCTCCTTCTCTAGCCCCGCCTGCTTCACCAGCGAGTGGAAGATACCCCGCTGCGCAATCAGGTCCGCCGGCGTGCCAAACTCGGCAACCTCACCTTTATCAAGGACCACGACGCGGTCCGAGTCCAGGATAGTGTTGATGCGGTGGGCCACTGTGATGATGGTCCGGTGTGCAAATAGCGGGCTGCGTAGGGTCTGCTGTAGCATCGCGTCCGTCTCTACGTCCACGGCGGCCGTGGCCTCGTCCAGCACGAGGATGTTCGATGGCGTGAGCATGGCGCGCGCCAGGGACACAAGCTGCCTCTGGCCCTGTGAGAGGTTCGAGCCTGGTTCAACGAGGTTAGCTTTGACTGGTACCCAGAGCCGCAAAGGCAAAATTTGGGTGAATGAATGAAATTAAACAAGACAAATAAAGTTAAATAGGTAAACAAGGGGGGAGGCGGGAGAGGAAAAAAAATCATAACAGTCAGATAACTGTTCGCTGTCGTGCATTGAAGGAAAAGGACGGAGGAGGCATGTCGTCGGCAGTATTGGAGGGTGGTGAGACGCAGCAACATGATCGTGTGCGTGACATGACCACGAGCTCAACAAGCCTGATCCAGCAGGTCCAGCCGCCCTCCCCTCGCCTCCGCTCCCCTTTTTTTGGGCGACCTGCCACCCAGATATGGTGCGCCGCCGTACGTGCCAGCGTATCATGATAGATAAAGAAGGAACATGATGACGGCAGGCAAGCAAGCTAAGAGACGGAGACAGAGAGAGCTCCTAGCTCCGAAGCCTATTTCTCGACGACACCGCCGGGAGGATTTTGCTGAGAGGGAGACCGAGGTCTGGGGATTTAGCTGTTCACGGGAACAAACCTTGCTGCGAGTAATGATGACTGTGCAGGGGCCATGGCCATTTACGGCAGACGAGGGAAGGGAAAAGGAGGGAAGGGGGGTGCGGAGGGAAGCTGTAGGAGAGAGATGACAAGCGATCCTCTCTCACTCTCATTCCTCTATCCGGCCCAGGAAAGTGGATGGGGATCTCTTGTCCTCTCACCGCCCACCATCTTCTCGTATCTTTTGTGCTTATCACCTTGCCAGAGCAAGAGCCCTGACCGCTGTATCAAGATGATCATAATGATGATGATGATGACGACCGGAAAAAGGGGGGGGGGTGGATGCTGCCGTGCAAGGCGGGCTCTCAGTGCCGTGCGTAGCAAGACCAAAGAAAGGACCAAGAAAAAAACAAACGCAGAAGCCGACAAAAAGCGAGAAGAGCGGAAGCAAGGGAGATAGATAGTATGAGAAAGGAGAGTTAATTCGTGTGTGTACACGTGTGAAACATGACTTACCGCCTTCGTGTATCTTTGCCTCCAGCCCGCCGTCCATACTTGCGACATGGCTTTTCAACCGGGCGTGCTAAAAGAAGGGGTCACACAACCGTCAGTCTTTTATTTCCTCTTCTCTCTCACTGATCGACACTAGGGGAGAACGAGGGCAACACAACATCAACGTTCCATTGCCATGTGTCCGGGTTATTGGAGGGTGAATGCCCCTCCAGGTGTGGCAACTAACCTCGAGGACGCTCCACAGCTCGGTATCCTGCAGCATCTAAGTCAGCACTCGTCATTCCGGGACAAACACAAATATTGTTTTGTGAGAAAGGGCAACTCGGATCGAGGCCATGTAACAAAGTCAAAGGGCCCACAGGACCGATTCACCACAGACCCCCCCCCCCCCACCCCAAAGTACATTCGTGGTACCTTTCTCTCACAGACATACACTGGGCAGACCGACACAGAGGAACGCAAACACACAGAAGGAATGAGGAAGAGCAAAGGGTTCGGTGACAACTCACATCATGGACGTGACCCGGGTCTAGGTTGTCACGCACTGTTCCTTCAAAAAGAGCGGCATCCTGCGGTATAATGGCAAGGCGCCGCCGCAGATCCAGTAGACCTATGCTTGACGTGTTGAGATTGTCGATGGTGATGTTTCCAGTGGCCGGCTCGATCAGTCTAAACAGAGCAAGCGTCAGGCTTGATTTGCCCGCCCCTGTGCGGCCCACTACGCCGATCTTCTCGTGCGACTTGATGTCGAGCTTGATGTTCTTCAGCACCAGGTCCAGGCCCTCGCGGTACCGCGCGCTGTAGTTGTTGAAGTGGATCGCCCCATTCGCAGGCCAGCTCGCGGCCGGCCGGTTCCTCGGGTTGATCTCGGGCGCCTCGCTGGGGAGCCGGGCATACTCGAGCACCCGCTCCACCGAGACAATGTTCGTCTCGACCTCGACCGTCTGGCGCACGATCCAGTTGAGGGATGAGGTAATCTGCAGCGCGTAGGACATGGCGAGACCCACCATCCCCTCGCTGAGGCCGCTGTGGCTCGTGACCGATATGATGCTAAATCCTGCAGATGCAAGGATGACCACCGCGCCGATGAACTCGAGCCGGATGGCCAGCCACCTGTTGGCGCTGATGGACGGGAAGAAGGCCTTCAGGTTGGCGTCCACCCGCCACTCGTTCTCCAGCAGGAACCTCTGCTGCTGACGGTACGCCCGAATGGTTGAGATGCCGCCCAGCGATTCTTGGAAATGCGCGTAGATGGGGCTACGGCTGACGCTGTCCAGCCGCTTAAGCTCTCGGGAGCTCCGCAGGTAGTACCGCTGGATCCAGATGTACATGGCCCCCAGCGGGATGATCAGGCCGATGAAGGCAGGCGTCGTGAAGGACACGACCGCAAGCGTAAATCCTGACTTGGCCACGTTTACAAACAGCATGTTGAAGGTCCTGGCCAGAACCTCGTCCACGCGATAAATGTCAGACGAAAACCTGTTCAGGATCCGGCCCGCCGGGGTGGTGTCGAAAAAGGACATGGGGCTGCGGAAGATGGCCTTGGCCATGCGCTCATGCAGCTTCCGGCTGGCCTCGATGCTGCAGAAGATCCACAGGATGAGCGTCTGGCACACGGTCAGTGTCGAAGAGCCGATGCCAAAGGCAAAGTAGATGCCGATGTACTTGGCGACATCAGGGTTGCCGCCCGCCTTCGTGTTCGTCTCGGCCCAGTCCTTGAGCCACACGTTGCCGGCGATCTGAGCGCACTGGGCCGCCAACAACGCAACCAGGTAGACGCACACGGCCAGCGGGTCGTTCATCTTGGCATATTCACCGTAGACGGACCACTTGACCTTGCCTTGCTCCTGATGCTCCTTGGCCTGCCTCGTCTTGGAGGGTGCAGTCTCCTCGTCCGTGAGCTTGCCCCTGGGCCCTCGGAAACTCGCGGTGCTGGCTCTCCGTAGTGTGGCAAAGCTGTCTGTTCGGGGTTTGGGCGCGCCGGTGCGTGGCCCAGGTCGGATGGATTCCAGCGCAGGGAGGTTCTCTTGGGCCTCTTCCATCTCGTCATCCTTCTCCTGGGTCTCCTCGAGCGTCATGGCGCTGTCCGAAGAGGAGCTTCCAGGCCTCTCGGGAGCAGCCGGTCCCGAGGTCGAGGGTCCCGAGTCCTGACCAGCAGACTTGTAAAGGTCCGCGACGAGACCGCGCATGGCCAGCAGCTGCTCCAGAGTACCTTGCTCGACAATCCCGCCGTCTCGCAGCATGACGATGTGGTCAGACACGGCCAGCACGGGGATCGCATTCGTTGCCAGGATCCGTGTCTTGGAAGCCAGCAGACCCTTGGGGCCCAGCACCTCATCAGTAATGTGTTTCCCGACATGCGCATCGACGGCAGACAGCACGTCATCCAGCAGGAAGATGTCCGCCCTTGAGTAGACAGCTCGTGCCAGTGCGACACGCGCCTTCTGGCCACCCGACAGCGAGATGCCGCGCTCCCCTACGACCGTCTCATCTCCATCGGGTAGCACATTGAAGTCATCCAGCAGCGCGCACGCCTTGATAGTCTTCTCGTAGAAGGTGGAGTCGTACCTGTAGCCAAAGACGATGTTCTCTTTGACCGTGGCGTTCATAATCCAGGGCTGCTGAGCGACGTACGCGACGTTGCCGTGCACGGTAACGCTGCCCTTGATCTTGAACAGGTCGCCAAGGATGCTCTGAAGGAAGGATGACTTGCCGCTGCCCACCCTACCTACGACACAGGAGAGTTCTCCCTTGCTGGCAAAGAAGGTGATGTCGTGCAAGACGTTCTTCCCCTCCTCATGGCGGTTCCACGAAAACGTCCCGTCCCTGACCGAGATGGTCTCCTCACCGATCTCCTCGACAGGAGGCTTGATGACGATCGCATCGGACTGCAGCTCCTCGGAGGTCAGGTATTCGGTCAGGCGGCCCACGGCGACGGTAGCCTCGACGATGGAGGAGATAACCATGGGGAAGACGGCGAGCGGGAAAGACAACAAATTGAACAGTGTCAGGGCCGGGAAGATGATCTCAGTCGTGAGGGGTTCGTCGTGGGTGAGCACAAAGACGGTAAAGGTGATACACGAAACCAGGAAGGGCGTGGTGCTCCAGGTGAAGTTGGCGACGGCCTGGGCGGCGCCGATCTTGCGCAGTGTCTTGAGCTCCTGCTCATTACGCACGTAGTTGAGCTTGTTCATGAAAGCGGCGCCCCAGCTGTACAGCTTGATGGACTTCATCATGGCCACGATCTCGGCAATCAGGCGAGAGCGGGTGTCCTTGTTCTTCATCTGGGTCTTCTGCAGCTTCTTCATAAAGCGGGCAACGAGGCCGTTGAGCGGAACCATGGCGAGCATGACGCCCACGCCGGCCATCATGGACCAGCCAACCAGCTGGTGCAGCGAGACCATGCAGATGATGATCTGGAAGGGGGCGGACCACGTTTGCTGGGCGAACTGGGTGAGGTCCTGCAGACGCTGTGCGTCGACGGCCATGTAGTTGACGATGTCGCCCGTCGACTTGGATGAACGTCCCTCGTTAGACAACTTCAGCGCCTTCCGGTAGATGGCATTGGTGAGACCACCCTTGATGCGCATGCCTGTAACGAAGGCGCCCTGGAAGTATTGATGCAGCATGGCCGTCTGGAAGACGGCAACGGAAAACATGGCCAGTGCGATGGCGGCGCCCTTGATCACAGGCTCTGGCTCCCGACCCACGCTGTACGAGCCCACAAACGCGATGAGAAGCCGCAGCAGCTGCGGCTGCATGAATTGCGCCACGTCGTTGCCGGACTTGAATATGGCAGCCAAGGCGTAAGGCCCCCCGTAAGCACGGAACAGGGCGAGCCACATCGAGGGGTGCTCACGGGTCTCGATCTCGTGGCGCCAGGCGCTCTCGAAGGCCTCCCCCGTCGCCCTGCTCGTGTCCGTCTTCTGCAGTGCCCACAGGTCCTCCTCGGTCAGGTAGTTCTTATAGCCGAATTTCATGAGCGGTGTCATCCACGAGAAGGTCAGCCGCGAGAAGATGGTCGCGTACTCAGATGGGCACTCTTCTTCCTCCTCCTCGTCGACCAGGGCTTCGTACTGACCGCTCCGCCTTGGCCACCACCACTCGACGAGAAAGGCTGCGACCGCGACCCCGAATCCCACACAGTATGTGATGAAATAGCTGCGGTTCGAGATGAAGAGCTGCTGTGAAACGAGCGATCGCAGCTTGACGGCTAGGACGATCAACAGGAAGAGCCAGTAGAGGAGAACTACGCCGTTGGCGTTACGGAGGCGCGCGTGTTCGAGCCATTGGATCGTGAAGATGACGCCGAGGGATACGATCGTGAGGGCAGTGGTCCAGACCCGGAAGTCGCCAAACCATATCTGAGGGTAGTTGAGAATCTGTATGACCAGCTGCACAACGAAGTCGGCAATGACGAGGACAAGAAGGCTCTGCGAGGAAGCATAGTGTGTATACGTTAGCCACAGCCTGTAAAGGAAAAGAGCAAGACCGCCACATCATCATCCTCTCTGGCTGATAATCCAGGAACCGCACTGCTTCTTCTGTCTGACAAGACAACATACCTGCTTGGCCCAGAAATGCAGACCCTTGGCAACCTCCTTGGGCTTCCTTCTCTTGAGCAGCCACAACACAGCAATTAGGCCAAACAAGACTCCAAATGCCGCAACGGAGGCCACCCAGACATCAATGAAGCACGGCGTAAAGTCGTAGCGGATACGGCTCAGGGGGCCCCAGCCCTCCTCGTTTCCGCACAGGGGCTGTTTGAAGTCATCTGTGGCGGTCAGGTAGCCTGTTCGGAGGAGGCTCTCGGCGTGGGAAGGGGAGGAGGGTGTCCAGTAGCCCGTGAAGGAGCCCGAGTCGTAGGGAAGGAAGAAGGGTTGCTGCTGAGACGAATCGGTAGTGACGATGACGCCGCCGCCGTGGTCGCTGCTGCCGCCGCCGCCGGCGAGGTCGGAGATCATTGCCGCCGGACGAGACACGTAACCAGGCCAGGCCAGGGCAGGGTGGGTTTTGAGCCCCAGGTCGTGTGTGGTAGATGATTAAGAAGGTAGGTGAGAAGGTAGGTAAGGTTATGCGTGAGGAGAGTGTCTCAGTTCTGGCGGGGAGAGCATGCCTCTTCCTGTCTCGGGATGGGAAAAGGAATGGGAATGTCTTGTCTCTCTGATGAAGCGACGACGAGCAGAAGTGGAGCTGGAAGAGACGAGAGAAAAGATACGGAGTTTATGATCTCCTTCCCCTGATTTGCCCGAGAAATTGGTCCTCGGAGGTCGTCGGCGGAGTGAGGATGTACGCAGGACCTTGTCGCAAAGGTTGGGTCGCTGCTGCTGTTCGGAAGCGAAGCCGCAGAGAGAACGTGACGGCGACAGTACCCTGAACGCCCGCCCGCTATGCTCGGTTTTTAGGCGCGCAGCTAATCAATGACGTCCTTAGCCCTTTTTTTTTAATGGCCTGCTTTACCTTCTGTCTCTCTCTTTTTCTCTTTTCAAACTTTGAGGAACAGCTACGAACCCTCCTTTATTTATTTCCCCTGTCCTAACGATCAATTGGGTATTGTTTTCCTCGAAAGGAAACTGATTGGTGCAAAAGAAACAGGGAGCTGCAGATTTTCAACAGAGAAAAAAGCGAAGAAGAAAAAAAAGTGTTAGAAATAGAAATAGTAACATCCGTAGTAGGAAATGCAAGCACCCCTGGCGAACGGCTTTGTAATACACATGCTCAATTCGTCCACTTCTGCAAATCTCCGCAGCCTCACCCACGCCCACTGGTTGCCACGTTCTTGAACTAACGGCACAGCCGGCTCTCTCGGTGCTGCTGGCTGGAGGTGGGACTCTTCTCAGCATGCACACACACACACACACCGTCTAAAGATTGCTTTGTTGCTTCCTGTTTGTCATGTTTTGACAGGCAAAAAAGAGAGAGAGAGACAATGGTATGTGTGAGTAAACAAGCCTCATCACCCAACACAGCCCCAGCCCAGGCAACCTCAGCTCCGCCTCTTTCATTTCCTACGCCGCATGTCTGTCATATAAAGTCGTATTGCATCGGTGTGTGAAGGACGCAGGTGTTGTTCCAAGTCGTTATTGGGTATAGGCTGGTCGGTCAGTCCCGTGCAGTTGACAACACACACACGGGTCCTCCTCACTCACCGACACTGGTCCATGCCGTTTGCATACTTCTAGACACATGCATGCCCTAGTGGACGGTGAGCATGCACAGTAAACGAATAGATAGACGTATATGCCTTGTAATGACCTTGAAGCAGCGTGTGTGTGTTTTCACTCGTTTTTGCAAGCGGCAACCTTAGCTCTGTAAATATCTTGTTTAGGCCGATTTTGATCGGCATTAAAAATTGTAAATGCTCATTCGTAGCCACGGCTTGTTAGTCCATGCCGGCCATTGTTGGTCCATGCCGGCCATAGAAGTGAATTAGTAAGTTCATACATGATATCTCAAACGCCGTCGTAATGTCTTGTCCCTTTTCTGATAATGATGCAAAGCTTTGTGCCTCAAGCCTTGGCCCCTCTCCCTCTCTCCCTCTCTTCTCAACAACTCCGGTGAGATTTGAAAGCCGCCTAAACATATATAGCTATGTAATAGACATTACCCGTGTCCGCAGAAGCACTGTTTCCTGAACCTATCGCAGAGGCAGCTGGGTATCACGCACACCGCAGGCGAACACGTCCTCCAGCGACCACCTCGGTGGCTTGATGATAGAGCTGTCATTGCCGCCGGTCTTGCGCCACTCCCTCTCCATCTCGGGTGTCACGCCCGCCGGCAGGGGTTCGAGACCGCCCGCGATGCCCGACGAGAACTTGATCTGGAGAATGTCGCCAACCTCGTCGCATGCCTGCAGCAGGCGGTCCATGTCGTCCTTGTTGTGCGCCGCGGATATGCAGAACCGCGCCCGGGAGCTGATGAGGGGCGTGGCAGGGTAGCCGACCACCACCACCGAGATCTTGCGCTTGAGCATCTCGTGGCTGAACGCCAGCATCTTTCCAGGGTTGTAGAGCATGATCGGGATAATAGGAGAGTCATCGTGACCCGCAACGATGAACCCGAGCCGCTTGAGACCCAGCCTGAGATACCGCGAGTTGAAGGTGATACGTTGCAATCTCTCCTCGCCCTGCCCCGGCACCAGCTCGCCCTCGATGATCTTCAGAGACGAGAGAATCTGCATCAGGACAGCCGGAGTGGCACACTCGCCGTACTGAGATGCCGCGTTGATGCTCCTGAGCTTGGTGATGATGTGCTTCTCCGCAGCGATGTAGCCTCCATTCGCGCCAAAAGACTTGGTGAAGGTGCCCATCAAGATGTCTACCTCGTTGGGGTCCACCTTGAAGTAGTCACAGACACCCCGTCCATTGGGGCCAAGTGCTCCAATGCTGTGGGCCTCGTCGACGTACAGGAAGAACTTGTACTTCTGCTTGAGGGCCAGGACACCTGGCAGATCGACCATGGTACCCTCCATCGAGTATAGACCCTCGACTGCAACCAGAATCTTCTTCCAGGGGCGGTGGGTGCGGGGTTGTCCCTGGGCAATCGCCTCCCTCAGCTTCTTCTCCAGGTCGGCCATGTCGTTGTGCTTGAAAGACCTAATCATGGCACCGGTCAGACGGGCGCCGACGCGGATGGAGGCGTGGTTCAGCTCGTCGGAGACAATCAGACAGCCCTTGCCGACAAGTGCAGGGAAGGCGCCAGCGTTGGTGACGTATCCCATCGAGAAGACCATAGCGTCGGGCTTGCCGAGGAAACGGGCGACCTCGCGCTCGACTTCCTGGGTCAAGTCGGATGTTCCACAATCGGCCCTCGCACTGCAGGCGGCCAGGCCCCACTTGCGAACAGCCTCTTCAACAGCATCCGCGCATGCGCCTTCGGCTTGGGCAAAGCCGAGGTAGTTGTAGGAGCTGACGTTGAGGGTCTCCGTGGTGGTGCCAGTGTACTTGTATGTGTAATTGAAGTCGTTTGAGGTGCGGTCTAGCAGGGTGATGTAGCGGCCCGGTACGCCAGTGGTGGGGCGAGCGAAGGCATCGTCAATTCTCCTCTTCAGGCGACGGGTATAGAAGCTGTCAAAGTCGTCGGTCAGCGGGGCGTAGCCACTCGCGCCGCGAATGATGCTGTAGCGCTTCTGGTCGCCAAAATATTTGCCAAAGAAGTCGCGGGCGTGGCCGAAGACAATCAGGAACAGATAGCTGATGTAGGTGGTGAGGACGTAGTAGTAGGGCGGCTCGTCCTCGATGGGGGTCTCGAGCGAACCTCCGCGGTGTTTGCTGATATATCTATGGGTCGGGTGCAGCAGAGGTCCAAACTGGGTCTCGGAGCGCGTCTGCCGCTTGCTCTCGGCAGTGGAGGGAGGCTGGAAGAGCGTGGTCGAGGGCTCCTCATCGTTGACCTCGCCGGCGGTGGCGGTGGATAGAGAAATGGTCGGTAGCGATAAGGAGGGCGCAGTGATCTGCTGCGATGAGGTGTTCTGGTGGACAGCCAGCAGGGACTGCTGCGCAGAGAGGTTGTCCTTATTCTTGGGGGACGAAGAGAAGAGCTGGGTGAGACGGTTCGTCCGGGAGGTGGACGGCCTACGATCACCCATCTTCTCGGAGGGCGTCATGCTGGATGAACTCGAAAAAGGGTTCGTCAGTCTGCGTGGCATCTCTCCTCGCCGGACAGGTAGCAATGATGGTTAAGGTGGGTAAATGACTCGATTCAAATGGTCGAGGGGAGGGAATTATAGTGAAATGACGATAAAGGCGAAGCCTGTCGAGGTCGAGGGAGGGAGCTGTGATGGAGGAGACGTTGTCAATGAGTAACCCTCGAGCCAATTGACGCCGTCAACGTGCATGAGATCAGGTCGGTGGTCTGATAGGTACGGGAAGGAGGGGTGAGACGGGACCACGACGCTGGAAGAGAGGCAAGAGGTGAGGTGAGGTGAAGAGGAGAAGGAGAAGTGGCAGGTAGATTGCAGGAAGGGTGGAAGGAAGGGTGTATGCGAGCTCGCACGAGATGTTCTGGGTCAGTGATTGGTACGGGAAAAATTGGACGTCTGGGTAAGGATAGGACATGTACCAGAGTACCTAGTACTGCTATGGGACTGTACTGTACGGTAAGAGCGGTCGACCGGGAGCTCCGGAAATAGGCCGTCGCAGAACGTGTCTCCTCTACCACTTCCCTTCTCACCAACCAACCACACCCCTCCAACCGCCCCACCCTCTGCCAAAAACCCCCTCTCAGGCAGCCAGCTACCAGGAACCCAGGCACTTGGGCACCTGCGGCAATCTGGACCGCACCCGGACGTGCTGCTATGCCGCGCCCAGTAGACAGCACCTGGCAGCACGCATTCAGGCGCAACCACTGGCTGGCCAGCGCCCGGAAGGGGCCGTGCAGGGGCCAACTTTAAGGCCTCCCGACCAGTGGAGGAATAATCGCAAGGTACCATAGTAGACGGGGGGAAAAAGAGGATATGCATGCTGACCAACGAGGTTCCCATTCATTTGTGCAAAACAGCGTAAACCCCAAGGATTGCAGGCCGATTCGTAAGAAAACTTTTTTGTAACTTACAATTTCTTTTCTTTCTTTCTGCTCTCTGTTTCTTCTTCTTGTTTACTTTAACAAGAGACTCTTGCCAACCACACAGGTGATAAGATCAACAATGGGCACAGCAAGGCTCGACACGCTCTGTGGCAAACAAGAATCGCGTCGGACAATTTCTGCAAGGGGCAGCTATCGCCCACTTCCCCAGCAGTGGGACCCTCTCCCGGCAGCGGATAAGTCGCAGGCTGGAAAAGCCAAGGCAAGGACAGCGGGCTCTGAGTGACGATCCCCCTTATTGGATCTGTTGCTGCTTCGCCTGCCGTAAACCCTATTGAGATGAGGGGGAAAAGGTAAAGAGGAAGAAAAAAAAGAAAAAAACGGCGAGTGGCGCGAGATTTATTAGAGTAGGCTTAGGCTAGAGTACGGAGGTGACACATCAATCCTTCTCGAAGAAGATTGACTGGTTTGAGGGCTGGGGAGGGGAAAAGAAAAAAAAGAGATAAAAGGTGGAAATTTGAGATTTCCAAGCAATGATAATGCTTGGACAGATCGGCCTTTGCGCGACCACGCGAGGACGAGCCGAAGGCACCATGGCTACAGCGGTCGCTGACTCGATGCAGTTACCAGGCTGACAAGACGAACGGCTCCCAGGTCTGGGCCAGAACAATCGCCTGGGCAGCGGGGCTTAGGTTGGGCTGGACCAAGCGCGGATTTAATATCTTCGAAGGGGGAAAAAGAAAAAATCAATACAAAAACCCTTTTCCTCCCCTGGCGCTAAGCACAGAACAGGCCCAAGGGATCCGGCCGATCCGCAGTCCTGCTTTCAAACATTGGCTATGACGATGCCAGCAGATAGTATAGTAAGTCACCAAAGAAAAACAGCTTGATGCCTTTTTTTTGGGGGGGGGGGGGGGTGGTTTTGTCAGCCAGGTATGGGATTGCACAACCGTGTTATGCATGCACGCAGCGATCGTAGACGCAGAGTGATCCGGAAGGCAGATTGACGATGGCACCCATCCACAGCCACATCCCATCTGATATACCCACCATGAAATCCTCCCTAGTTGCCCAAGGTATTTATCCATTACCTGTTCTACAATGCTGTATGTATTGTGCAAGGCGCTATGGTTTGCGCCTAGGGCCACAATTCATCAGCCTCATCCAAGCTTCCTACACAAGGCTACGCGACCTTGTTTTGCCCCCCCCCCTTGCCGTAGCGCCCGTACCTCGGCATTCACGCATTAAACAAGACCCCGAAGACTTGATACATACTTCTATGCACATAATCTGTCCATAGTGAAGGAACAGCTCCGGTCCCTGCTACGCCATTGCAAAACGTCTTCCGGAGAGCCGGCCTCGCTTGAACCTCATCGCCTGCTGCTGAGCACTCAATTGACTGACGTGAACCCCATCATCACACCTCAGCCTGGTCCAACTAAAGTACAAGTAACTCCAAACGAGGCCCTCCTCCACTTGCACCGTGCTCCCGCATCTCCCCTCCCGCATTGTGCTCTTCAGGAACTTAATTTTCTTTTACTTTTACCCCGAGAGAGTCCGTGCCATGTGCAAGGACGTTTGCAAAGCCAGCCACAAATTGTCTCGTGGCGGCCGAGATTGGGGGCCTGCTCCACACCGGGCAGAGACACCTTGAGAGCAGGTCCTGAAGCTATCTGTACACTTGGCAATACAGCCAGACCGTTGGTCAAAGCCCATCACGAGGCAAGCAGTTTGATCTCCAACGAAGATATCGCGCGTCGTTGGTTGTGCATATTGTAGCTTGGTCCTGCCTGCTCATCATGTTGAGAAGTGGAGAGAACACTTCGACGTAGTTGATTTGACTACGTCAACCCCTATTATATTGCTTCTTATGCGATGTCTGAAGGCCCTCAGGTGCTTGTGCAACGTTTAGATGTATAGAGATCATTACCCAGCCCCATTGATCCGATTGCATCAAAATTCATGATTACTACTGGACCACATACAGATCAGTATATGTAAAGCTGCCCAAACGCAGGTAGACAGGCTTGGCCGACCTGTCAGTCGGGTATGAGCCTTGGCATATTTACGACGATCGACCTTAAAGCGCATGTGCACGACACATTAAGGCAATGCAAAGAGAGCAAAGCATTTTTTGGAAGAATCAATCATTGATTTTTCTGTCAACAATCCCCCATACCAAAGGGGAAAGGAAAAGGAAGAAGAAAAAAGAAAGCGGATGCTAATACGAGCCGCAATGTAAGCGAAACTTTCATCGCAGTGCACTCCCTGAACTCCAGATGCCCCCCCCAACAGATGCTTGCACACACAACCAACACATGAACCTTGATCCGAGATCCACAACTGCCTGCTTGCCTAAACGTTCCCACATCGTCACCCGCGGAGGTGAAGTATTGACGGGTAAAAAAAGAAAGAAAAAGAAAAGAGCATGTCACGCCATTATGACGACAGCTCAGTGTATGACTGGACTGACTTGTCTACCACGACGTAACGATCTTCTCCAGAGCCTCGAGCAGGATGTCCGCGTGCTTCTCCTCAAAGATCAGCATGGGCCTCAGGCGCACAGCGCTGGCGCCGGAGCCTCCGATGTTGATACCGAAGCTCTTGGCCTTCTTGAGGAACTCGTCGCGGCGAGGGTTATCGAAGGCGATGAAGGTGCCCTGGCCCTTGCCGCGGAGGTTGTCGAATTGGCCGGGGTACTTCTTGGCCAGCTCGGCCAGCTTGCCGTACAGGTAATCACCTACGCGCGCCGTCTGCGCGATCAGATCGTTCTTCTCAATCTCGTCGATGATGGCCCTGAACAGGATGGCGCGTGCTGGGTCACCCATCCAAGTGTTGAACTGGCGGTAGGGCTTGTTGGGCCGCAGCTCAGGGTTGCCAAAGTAGTAGCCGGCGGTCTGGGCCTTCTTGGAGAAGGTGACCATGTCGGGAGGCGAGGGAAGGTCCCAGTGGTCGTGCGCCCAGAACTTGCCGGTCGCGCCCACACCAGTCTGAACCTCGTCGACGATCATCAGCACGCCGTGCTTCTTGGTGACCTCGCGCAGGCCGCGGAAGAACTCGGGCGAGGCGTGGTTGTCACCACCCTCGGACTGAATGGGCTCGACGATCACTGCGCAGGGGGGCACGCGGTAGTTGAGGATCAGATCCTCGACCTCGGCGAGGGCCGCCTGCTCCGCCTTGCGGTTCTCCTCAACGTGCTCCTCCAGGGGGTACTTGAGCAGCGGGAAGGTGGCCTGGGGCCAGTCAAAGGCGGGGATGTCGAGCTTGTGGATGGGCTTGGAGCGGGTGGTGGACAGGGAACCAAACAGACGGCCGTGGAAGGCGGTCTTGAAGGACATGATGGAGAGCTCCGAGGCGCCGGGGGTCTGGTTGTTCATGGACGAATGCAGCTCCTCCTCAGTGAACTCGACGTGGGCACCACCACGCTGCTGCTGGCGCTTCCACATAAAGGCAGCCTTGTAGGCGGTCTCGTTGGCGTCGGAGCCGGCCATGGCCGTGAAGACCTGGTCCAGGCCCTTGGGTGCGACCTTGAGGATGCCAGAGCGTAGGACCTCGGCCCAGTCATTGGGAGGGAAGTTGCCGAGGGCAGGGCGGTTGACCAGGGAGTTGACAACGGCATCGCTCTTCATGACCTCAATCAGGTGGGGGTTGTTGTAGCCCACGGGAATGGACGCGATCTGGGCGTAGCTATATAGGAGACACACACATCAAGTAACACAGCATTAGCTTCCCATGTCTTGGCTATAAACGAATGGACAATACTAAGTATGCATGCAGGTTGCTGCAAAGGAAGGGGGGGGGGGAGGAGGTAGGTTGGGGCGTAAGCACTTACACATCCAGCAGCACATTTCCATCCGGATCAGCGATGTAGTTGCCAATCGAGGCCTTGTAGTCAGTGAGCATGTTCAAACTCCTGGTGTCAAAGACCTTGTCGAGGTCGGCAGTCTGCTCCTTGGCCTTGGGGCCAGGAATCTCCGTCTTGACCGAGGGAGCACTGGGCTCGATGCCGTCAAAGCGACCCATGTTGCTGGCAGAGACAGAGAAGGATCTGCTGGAAAGAGAGGAGGCGGGCGCAAGTCGCGAGGCGAGGAGTCTAGTAGCAGCAACACGCCGTGAGATAGTGCGAAGGGCAGACATCGTGGCGGAGGGAAGAGGGGAGGAGGAGCAAAGCTTTCCTTCCCTTCTTATAGAAAGAGCCTGGCGGCTTGAAAGAGCTTGTGGTTGGCACTGGGGCGAGAGGCAAGAAAAAAGGAGACCAACAAAAGGTTGGTGTCACAAAAACTAGGTAAAAATTAAGCAATTGGATCCGTAGTTTAGTAGTCCAAGTCGTGGGTACAAGAGACGAAGGGGCGGTTGATGTATTTACGTGGTTTTGGAAACTGCTGGCTGACGTCCCGCATTCGCAGTGCACTATCAGAGACCAGGCGGGAGGCTTATCAATGTGGGGTGGCGACCAGAATTGGGGCTCGAGACGGTGGGGTACAAGGCGTTTTGCTGACCGTGGCTAGGTGGTTACAGGGGTTTCCTCACAGATCTGCTGCTAGATTCGCTGTCTAGATCTTGCAAGATATTACTTTACATCGAGGCTCTTACACTCTTTGATAGAGTTCCCTGAGTTTGAGCGTCTTTGAGGCAAACGCGTCTCTACTCTCATAAGAAGGAGAAGGAGAGTATCTTCCCATACTCTCTCCAATTCCTGATGTTCATGTCAGAGCAAAACAGTTTCCTCCTCCACTGCCCTTACACCCCAGGTCAATATCTCAGGTCACGAGCTAGAAAGCCGGCAGCGTGGAGAATTCCCTGCCAGCCTTACTGTCTTTGGCATGTCCAGCCGGCGCAGCGATCCGGCCTCTCAATGCCCTTTTACGCTCTCTTTGTACCCGGTCCGGCTCCGATGGCCGGGATTCTTTGCCTTTCACTACAGAAAGAAAGAAAAAGCCCCCCCCCCCCCCCCAAAAAAAAAAGGGCATCTGGCTACTGCCGTCTGTACCCGGTTAGCAAATCGCGTCTTTTCATCCGCTTTTTGTGACAAGAACCGACTTCGGGTCGGTGTGATAACCTAGGGGGCGTTCTATATGTCCGAAAGAGGAATGTCTACGCGATTGCACCGTGTTTTCTTGTTCTTTCGACGCCCGCTGCATACTACATATCTGATACTACGAACATTAGTGAGCGACCGACACATACCCATACTAGTAATGAGGCCTCTTGGACATGCCTTGTTTGGTAACTTGTATCAGATGTAGGGGTGATGAGCATCCAAGCCCAAGTCTCAGGTACTTGCAGAGGGACACCCGTCTTGGTATCTTTCTTTCGACGAATGATTTCGAGTCAGAGATAGGTGAGAAAGCATGTCTTATCAAGCAACCAGTCGGGTCCTTTATTACCCAATGCTCGCGATCGGAAGTGCACACCCACAGAACGGTCTGTAAAGTATTTGTATTGCCACTATTGGGAATACGATCGCCACAAGACTCATGTGCCTAACAGACTCTCTCCGGCTAGCGACCTTCCACCAGCGCGGCTCTTGCTCTCCCCTGGCAGCTATTCGGCCTTCTATAAGAAGTTGTCCTCCCCAGAACCTCTTCGGTTCTCTAGAAATCCCTCTCTGCATTGAACAACAGCCTTGCACATGTACTAGATGCCATTGTTGCGGTCTCTTGACGCCCCGTTTCATGGGTTTCCCCTACTAATAGCTGGAGACCCTCCTGAGCCCCCGACTGCTCCATCCTCCAGAGAGGCTCCCACGTGTGGTTTCCAGAGAGGACCACTCAGCATCAAAAGAATCGCAATGGCCATGTATAATTCCATCAACCGTGTAACTCCTCAGAAAGCCTCCCAGAATCCATCGGCAGACCAGACTTACCTCCGGAACGCCTATGCCTTAGCAGTATGCCACATGGTGATCTCACCAGAAATCACTGCCTCCTTGATCGTCCCGAGCGAGAAAAAAAAAAGAAGAAAAGAAAAAAAAGACGAGATAAAAAAACAACAACAAGAATCAAGAAGGAATGGATCAAATCCTTCAACACGCGGCGCCAATCGCAAGCAGTCATTACCTCCCGACACCGAATCAGAAACGCCTGGGCAAACGATAACAAATTTCTCCTAGGTACAAAACTTGAGCGTCGCCTTCCTAGGGGGTATAGTCGAGCTGAACGCATAGACTCGATATTCGAAGACAGGTCGAGCCTTCCACCGTGAGCCAATTGCTGGCAAAGACGTTACTTGGCGTCGCCCATGTCGGGGCCGCCATTCATGTGGTGTCCCTCGTCGATGGAGAGGCCGTGCGACTCAGCGACTCGCTTCCACGCCTCGAGCTCGCGGTAGGTCCGATCACACTCAGCCTTGAGCTTATCGTTGGAAGTGCTAAGCTCGGAGATGGCCTGCTCGGTGAGGAGCTTCTCCAGTGTCCACTTTTCGATCGCCTGTTGCTCGTCCTCCTTTAACTTGGTGATGTAACGAACAGCATTCTGCAGAATGGAGCCCTTGTTCTTTTCGCATCCAGGCACGATCTTTGCCAGCTCGTTGATGCCCTCGTTGATGGTCTCACGACGGCGGCGTTCGACTATGTATCATTAGCAAAGAAATCTTTGGCAGACTGAGCGTAAACTTGGCGTGTCGCAGGAAGTTACGCCCCTCCCCTTCAGGTACTGGGAGAACGCTGTGCTTTGTGTGTGACACCTACCTTCCTTGTGGTTGTCCTTTCGCATTTTGTGCCACTCCTCAGAGCCAACAGCGGGCTTGGGGGTAGAGTAACGGTGGACTCCAGGAATGTCTTGCCGCATCACGCCATTATGCTGACCGCCTACAGCTGGTGCTAAGACCGGGTGGTCCAAGTGGAGGGTGTCTTGATCGTGACCGTAGTGCGGTATCTCGTGGTGTCGTTCCTCTACTGCCAGCTGAGCAGCAAAGTTCTCCTCCGAGGGCTGAGGTGCGTGAATCGTAGGGTAGACCAGGGCCGCAGCTGCAGTACTCGATGCGTTTGCTGGATCAGTCGCATCGCTGTGGTCTGCGCCAGCTGCGGCCTGCTGGAGGGCGTTGAAATCAGACACATTTACGCCAGCTGCGGCAGCTTGCGCAGTGTCGATGGCACTGCCATATTCATCTGTGGGGTCTGGACTTCCCATGGTGTTCCGTTTGGGATGGCGAAGATCTGAGGGAGAGGACTCTCCGAGTCGTTTTCTCTTCTGAGGCGGCGAATCTGTGAGGGCTGCTAGGTTGGGCTCAGAGTTCGCCACCGCCACTTGTGCCATAACAAGTGCAGCTAGATCGGTAGACATGTGTCCTCAAGCTGAACTGGTCAACAGCTTCTGCATGATTGTTCAGTTTGGGCACTCGACAGATGTGATGTAAGGTGTTTAGTGGGTGCTCAAGAGTAGAGGCATTTCTGCCCTTCTAACAATAAGAAGCATCTTTGGAAAGAGAAAAAATGACGGAAACACAGACTAGGAGGGGCAATGCATGATCATGGACTTGTTTGATTGAGCAAATAGAGACATGCAGAGAGGTTGATAATGCAGTGGAAAATTTTCCATGTCAGCAACTTCACTTGAAGGTGCGACAAGAGGCAAGCTTCGAGCCCAGGGGCATCTAGCTCATCAACAGAAAAGGAGAAACACGTGTCTGCGAGGAAGACAGGCAAACGAATCATGTCAAGCACAGTCAAACTTGGCTGAGCCTGGCTCTAGGTTGGTGGTGGCTCGATTAGAGCGAGTGAACGCGTTACGTGTTTGTGAAGAGGATGCGTGTTTTTTTTCTCTTCTTCTTTCCTTTTTTCACTCCCCTGGCTGCACCAAGCAAGAGAGCTGTCTGTTAGGTTGTAGAAAGAAAAAAAATTGATGACAACCATGATGAACCCTTGTGATGAAAATGTTGAGATGCCTCTTGGTTGAGAGAGCAGGTGGACTGAACGATGGACGATGGAAGAGGGTAGGAGGGCGGTTGGGAGATGAGAAGATGGCGGCGACTCACATAGTGAAGAGGAGCTCTTGCACATGACCAGTCAGGTGTTCTTGGCCAGAGGAGGATGTCAGTAGCAGTGGAAAATTGCCTCGGATTAAGGATCTGGGGGTTTTGAATGATTTCTGATGAGTTTGATGGGTAGTTCGTGGTCTGCAAAGTCAGTTTTCATCATGTCCGAGGTGAAAAAGGCAAGGCTGAATGGATGCATACCTGGTCGGCAGCAGACTCGAGGCTGCTGCTCTGGCTTCTCTTTGATATTGGTTACCGAGTGCACGTGAGTCCTCGAGGAAAGCAGAGAGGAGGGGCCTTTTCAAGGAAAAGCTCCTGGGCGGTGCTGGTCAAGGGTGCGCAGCAGACCTGGTCGTGCCTGTGACTAACAGGTGGTACCTGGAGAGGTGGAAGGGACACAGCGGCCTGCTATGCAAGAAGACACCTCGGTTGGGGTCACTCCTGATCATGGGCTGAGGAGAGATGCGGGAGGCACCAAACGCTCCCAGCACAAATGTCAAGTCAAATGGACTCATTTTAGCGCGGGCTTGGTGGGGCCTCCACTCCATTCCATCCTGTTCCACACCCCCCCTCCAACCCTTCACTCCTCCAACTCACGCCCACCACCAACACTCGCATCCCACAACAATTGGGACCTTGACCTGACTGGACTGAACCCTGCCCATCTCATCACACCAGAGGGTGGGAAACAATAAGGTGATTGTGAGTGACAGACTGAAGAAGGCTTGCCACCATCAACAAGGCCGGTCAAGGCCAGCAGCCGAGATGACTCCTTGATTGGCTGCATGGTCCCTACACACATATGATACACCACACAAGACTCTGGAGAGGCTAAAGGGAAGCTAACTATGCATCCTGCCTGGTCACAACTCGTTTCTCTTTTCCCTCTTCTCTCTCTTCCTGCCCTCTGGGCATCTGATACCAAGATCCCGTGATGGCGTGGATCGGCTGGACTGTGAAGACTATAGCCAACACTCATCTGGAACACCTGACCTAAGGCCTGATCAGTCCTACTGGTCATACCCCAGCGTTCCAGGCCGCAAATGCAGCGTTGAGATGCGGCTGTCTGTTGTGTCTCAGGCTGTTGCGTCAAGTTAATGCCCTGCAGGCGTCGCGGAGTTTTACTGTCTGGTTACAGTAACCGTTGGTGGGCGAGGAGAGGGGGTGTGTGGTTTGGGTCCAACACTCGTCATCTGATGCAGAGTCCAAGGGGAGATGGTGTGTAGACGCAACCATGGTGTAGCCCCTAATCATTTCGTGTCATGCCTGCGTAACCAGCAGCTTCACATCTCATTCGTGAAGTCCTGCTAAATGCGCCTCGCCGATCGCTCAACTAGACGGACTGACTGCCATTCACATAGTACGCGTCAATTCGTATTCGTCGGATACGCGATGAGACTCTGAATGATGATGAATGAATGGGACTCGCTCTTTTCCATGGTCTATAGAAGGACAACGAGGCCTGCAAGTGAAATCATACAGCCGTGCAGGCCATGACAACATTGACTCCAGGCTTCCAAAGCAGACATGGTCAACTTGATCTCGTTACAAAATAGATGCCATGATATCAATAGTATTTTGCTCTTCTTCCCAGTCCTGTCTTAGCAGAGTGTCCATGTCACCAAGCTGCATCTATACCTGATCTGCAGCTGACCGTCAATAACACGGGAATATCCTCCCCAGCATCTCGTCAGGCGCGCATCACGCCTTACAGACTCAGCCAGCGGTCCTCCGTTTCGAGCCACCTGCATCGGAGTCGTCTTTACCCCTTCCCCCTCTCCTCTGGACCCGCAAGGCCCTGGGTGGGTAATTTCCCTGGAGCAAATAGGATTCTTTCCTTCATTTCTTGGGTCCTTGTTTTGCCCAGGGTATTGAATAGAATGTTTTAACATCCATTCCGTGTCCCCCGCCCGAGCTCCACGCACGGACTCACACACCTAGGGGTCTCGATAGTGAGAAGCGCTTATCGCTTATCGCCGTCTGCTTAGGGACCCTCTGAGCGTCATTGTCTGTTGCTCTAAAGAGCCCAGTACCACCACCATTGCACCACCACTTGTGCGGGCAGACATCCCGCCGTCTTCGAGCAGCTTACATTGATAAAGAAAGACAAGGCCATCCTCGATATTGCCATCCCACTCGAGGGAGCGTATTCTCCAAACATGTGCGACCACCTAGTCACCAAGATTGACCACCCCAACCATCTCCTCCTTGTAAGTCCTTCTTCTTCTCAGCGTCCCTGGGAAAGGCACATCAAGCTGTTGTTCAGCTGCGAGATAGCCGCACACCCATGACCTCCAGAGCTTCATTGCCGCCACGCCAGTATAGGCTGACCAGAGGATACTCCCCAAACCCAACAGGACCAGCCGCTCGTGCGTCTCCCCTATGAGCTCCTCCACACCAACTTCCGAGCAGCCCGCTTCACTGTCGAGAAGGAAGGCTCCTCGATCAAGAAGACCCTCAAGGACTCGGCCAACACCGCTCTGAAGGGTGGCACAACTCCTGGCGATGTCCTCAAGAATCTCGACACCATGATCGCACGCATGCGTGGCATCAAGCGTAAGCTATCGGCGTGTGCCGACGAGGAGGCTCGCCTGTATCGGCAGGTGGACGCCAGGGCGAAGCACCTGAGCGAGCTGCACGACATTCGCGTCTTCGAGGATGTCAAGTACGAGCAGTGGAGCCGCGTCAGGCTCGATAGGCTGCTGGTGGACTACCTGATGAGGCAGGGTTACGAGGAGAGTGCCAAGGCGCTGGCCGAGAAGAAGGGGGTTGGTGACCTAGTGGACATTCAGACGTTCCAGCAGGTGAACCGCATACGCCAGAGCCTGCTAGACCACAGCGTGAAGGAGGCACTGGATTGGTGCACTGAGAACAAGAAGGAGCTGAGGAAAATGGATGTGAGTCTCTACCTTAACTATGCCTGCATACTGTCTTTGAAGTTTCTACCCCAACATCAACTGACAGCCCGTCTGCCCCATCTCACAGAGCAACCTCGAGTTCCAACTGCGCTTCCAACAGTACATTGAGTTAGTCCGCACTCAGAACGAGGAGAAGCTCCTCGAAGCCATCGCCTTCGCTCGCAAGTATCTGTTCCCCTTCGAGAAGACGTTCCCGGACGAGTACGCCCAAGCAGGAGTCCTGCTCGCCTGCCCACCGGATGCCATCGACATCGAGCACAAGTCGATGTACTCCCATGCCCGGTGGGATCAGCTCGCCGAGATCTTTGTCAACACGCACAACACCCTCCTGGGCCTGCCCTCGTTTCCTGTGCTGCACATTGCCCTGCAGTCGGGCCTGTCCGCGCTCAAGACACCCGCCTGCCACAGCCCCAACACCACCAACGGCATGCCCGCCGCCCGCTCGACGGGCCTGACAAGCTCTGTGTGTCCCATCTGCTCCAGAGAGCTGAACGAGCTGGCGCGCAGCGTGCCGTACGCGCACCACAGCCAGAGCCATGTCGAACATGACCTGCTCATGCTCCCCAGCGGCAGGGTCTATGCTCGAGCGCGGCTGGAAGAGTATGCACGCAAGGCAGGAGTGCCGGAGGGGAAGGTCAAGGATCTGTGGACTGGGGACGTTGTTGCTGAGGATGATCTGAAGAAGATTTATATCACTTAAAGGGTGGTGGTGATGGTCACCAGTTGTTTTGCTCTGCCGTGCATTGACACGTCAGTCTGTGGACATGGATGCTGGCTGGGGCTTTGGGGTGTTTTTCTGTCGCCCATAGCAATGCTTTATATGGTAGCGCTGTTGATGATTATCTGTACTTTTTTTTTTCAAAAAAAAAAGCATAGCGGGGCATGGATATGGATGGTAAAGAACCTGGCGTTTTGGAACACGTCATGACCATTGGCGTCTGCTCTTATTATTATCAAGAGAAGGCACATCGCCATAGTGCTCCTCTCAGCAATATCACTTTCTATGAATATCTTGACGACGAGTTGTAGTCGAAGTACCAACTAAGTCTTGTTTGCATAAGATAATTAAATGAGCATCACTTTGCGAAACCCCATACAGGCTGCCCCCTTGTTACCAAATCAAGATTTGAAGAACTCATGAACCAGGCAGATAAGCAGAGTCCGTAGAAGAAAGAGGCAAGCACTTGTGTGTCACAGAATGCATTTATCGCTATCCATGTCAGGTATCCATACCCTTAACAGTCATTGAGAAGCAGGAAAAAGGATGAAAGAAAAAGCACTACATTTACATTGGATTATAAGAGGAAAAAGAGAAGTACCACACTCAGGCCAGACCCAGACCCTTTCTTTACCGAATAAACCAACATTTCCGAGATTTCATTGTCTTTTATGTTTTTCTGCTGGAAGAAAGAACCGACCCTTCAACCCCTACAACTCCGTCCGGTGAGTCCCCCATCGTGAACCAGATAAGATACCTGCTGCCTGTGTCCTTTTCCCCCCTTCCCTTTCCTCAAAACAGCCCGGTTGAACAACATGACGGAAGATAGGGAAACTTGTTTGGTGCTTCGCAATTAGAACGGCGTGCTATTGGTGTGACCTCTCTCTCCCAGCGACGCCCGCCCGCCCGTGTATACTGGCTGCCTCCAACCCTGGTCGTCAAATTGCGGTAACGAGGGTATACGTTGATGATTTGCAAAATCAGGAGGTTGTCGTCGTCCAATAAGTCGGGAATTGCAGCCAGGTAAGGACATACATCGGAGCTTTCGAGTAATAGCAGCTGAGCCTCCTATAGGAATGAGCTCACAGTTGAAGCCCGTATTGGAAGGTCCTGAGAATACGCGTCGATGAAGTTCAAAGCCAGGTAATGGCGCCACAGACATAGGTTGGGAGTGAAGGGCCATAGCCTGTAGCCCTGAGGACTGGTATCGACGGTCTTGCACGTAAGGAAATGGTGGTGGTAGTTCTGCATAGGCGGGAGGCGAGGGGAAGCCGGTCTCCTCGCCCAAGCTGTGTCTCTTCGCCTCTGCGGCCATGTCATATTGATTGATCGGCATCTGAGCAGCTCCGGACCCTGTCGGCACAAAGTCATGGGCTTGTGGGTTCTACCTTGCACCCATCTGGAAGTTCCCAAAAACCCCGCCCGGCGTCATCGGCCCCATGACACCATTAGTGTTGTGCGATTGCGCCGCCGGTGTGTGGACCAGACCTGCATTTCCAGTATTTGGCGTGCTCGGTGTTCCTCCATTCTGTCCGCTCATGTTGCTCTGTGGCGGCGTATTATCCACAGTCGGGTTGCCCGCCTGGTATGCCGGGGGGATGGAGATATCAGGCACCCCGAGACCCCAGATCTTACCGACGTGGTCGTTCGCTATGTCACCGTGGAAGACCTTCTCACGCATGGAAAAGAAAACCTTGCCTGTCAACAAGGAGTCGGAGCCCGCCTGATGAGCTGACCCGACACGCTTGATCTTCAGGGCTTCTGCTATGCTCTCCAGGCCGGATTTCTGCTCGAATTTCTGCAGAAGCTCGGTGGTGCTGGCGTCGCTGGGCGTCAACATACCGCTGTTGTGCAGCTTGATGGCGTGCTTCATGAGGTGCTTGACGTCGTAGGTGCAAGGAAAGAACTTCTTCATGTAGTATTCAAATTCGTGCTCGTCCTTGGGAAGCGGTCTGCACATGAGCAGCTTCGTGAGGTAGCCAAAATCGTAACCGCCGTGGAAGGAAATCCATTTCACGTCCTCGAAGAATGTCAGACCAGACGGGATGAGCTCGGAAGCAAACTTCTTTGGGTCGATGCCGTCCCTCTTGAGCAGGTTGAAGTCGATACCAGCCTGCTGTAGGGACTCGATTGACGTCTGATTGAACATGTCCTCGTCGATATTGAAGTTGAAGTTGAACTGCCACGCGTGAGGAAGCTGATTCTGGCCCGCATTTCTCCGGCCCACACCGTCGCCATCGATCAGATCGCCACCGTTTGGCCTCGTGCCCGGTGTTTCTCCTTCTTCGTTGAACAGCGTTATGCCAATCTGGATAACCTTGAGAAGATCCACGTTCGCCCGCAGGCATTGATAGTGGTAGTCGCTCTTACCCCTAAACCCACCCATCGGCCGCGCAACAACGCCAGGGAATTCGGTATCCTGAACCGGAATTTTGTCATCAGTACTTGCATCACGCTGTGATCAGGGACGGCCCTGCTCGAACTCACCATGGCGATGTACGGATACCTCTGCACCAGCTTTCTCAGCACAGCCATCTCTTCCTCTAGGTTATGTCTCCACACCTCTCGTATTCGACCCTTGGCCTGGGTACGGGCGGGATGATCTCCCATCACAGCATGTCCCTGCTGCTGAGCATGCTGCTGCTGCTGCTGCTGCTGCTGCTGCTGTTGTTGTTGTTGCTGCATCGCAGCGCCGTGGAATCCCATCCTCGCGGCATGACTCCCGAGCCCCGTGTCAGGGCCGACACCGAATCCCGCGGCCGCTGAGCTCATGCCACCGCCTAGTGCTAACACATTTCCGTTCGTGGCGAAAGAAGGTATCTGTGCGTTCGGATTTAGGTGAGAAGGGTTGCCGCCCAGCTGTGGTGGGAAATTGGTGCTCTGACCAGGCGTTAGGCCGGCGAACTGGTGCTGGTAGGGAGGCACATTTGTCGGTCCACTCTGGAACCTCGAGAGATGGGGAGGCATGACTGGGTGGCGTGCCCAGTGCGATGGGGCTCAGTTTGCAGTTCCTGGATGCTATTTCGAGTTTTGTATCTGCTCCGTGACGCCGGGGTCGACGAGATAGTGCATCGGTCAATCAGGATAGGATTCTCGTCGTTGTGTGCGGGTAGCGTGGGGGGGTGTGTTGCGTGCGTGTATATGTCGATGCCACCGAGAGAATGTGTCCTATGGTCGTGAAGTATGTTGTCGCCTGGCTAGAGCGATTGCGATACTCGTCAGTCTCAATGTGTTTGCAAGGGAGTCGGGTGGTTTGGGTCGTTGTTGGGCATTGTCTTTTTGGGAGCGCTCATGGTCGACGGCAGCTCTCGTCCTGTCTCGAGGTTAGAGGTCAGACTGACGCTAAGAATAGTGGTCTGGTGGGGCGACGCGCTAAAGTCACCCGGGTCGTGCCTTTCTTCCAATTTCCACCACCCCCTCTCTCCCTCGCCTGCCCGCCAAACCCACCGTCGCTGCAGCAAGTCGAGGACGTCTATTGTGTGAGCTTCTCCAGTCAACCCGCTGCTCCAGCGTCAAGCTTCCACTTCCCACCTCCGCCACCTCCGCCACCACAACAACACCAGTGCATCTGTTGACGGACCAATCTGGTACAAGATGCTGCGACCTACTATGTGAGTCCCTCGAGTTCCTCCTTTTGCTTCAAGGTCAATCCAGTCCAGCCCAATTGACGAGAAGAGTACAGGATATTACGGGCGTCCAACGGCCGACATGCCAACATCACCGGCTTCGACATCAACAAGCTGAAGGAGGCGGCCACTAAGCCCGTCTACGACCCTTGGGATAGAGCGTCAGTCCCCTGCCAGCCGAGACAAACCCCAAATACCGACCTTTGATTACTGACTTGTTCCGGATCACAGTGAAAGGTGGCGGTACACAGGACTCTTCAGCAGATGGAACCGATTCAAGGGTGCGTTTCCCGGCCTAGGAATCGCGACGGTGGCGTTTGCGGCATACTGCGGGTATGAGTACGTCTTTTTGAAAGATGAGCACCATGGCGAGGGACACGGCGAGGGACACGGCGAGGGACACCACTGAGGTTGAGGGCCCAAGGAGTGGACTGGCTCATCAGGCCGGGGATTGGAGACCAGGGACTGTCTCCGCTGTACATAGTAGATGTCGGTGCTTCAATCTGAAAAGAAGAAAAAAGAAGAAAAAAAGACAAAAAGGACATATTCCAAGTCGTTCGGCCATCTGTCAAGAGTGCGATCCTCGCTCTCGTGATCTTGTCGAGCATGGCCACTGGAGAGAGATAACGAATGGCTTTCTTCGTCTTGATGAATCCGCTACCGGCCAGGCATACTAGCGGCTTTTAAGCCATCACTCCCAGAGGTCATGCCAGAAGGGTCCGTTCTACGAGAGACTGCTTTATTGATCAACGCCTCGTGGTACGAGGCTGGAGACCTGACGCCCATAGCATTTGCCTTGTTGCTACAACAACACAAGAGAATACATGGAAAGGCTTCGTTCCCGACAGTTTCGGGTGTAGAAGATCAACGCATGAGGCAGCGCTCAGAGGAAAAGTCGGGCATGCATTCCAGAGGTGGACGCCCATCATGTTCGCAAGAAACGAGCATGTTCTCTATTCCCGAGCAACACTATCCCACAACCCAAAGTGGCCAGCAACGAAACATCTAGAACCAGCTTCACGAACACCACGGTAGCAGCAGCGAGACGACATCCATTAGGGGGGTTGATTTTGTCATCTAGCATTCTTGTCGCAGCATCAAGCCACGGGGCGGTCTCTATAACACTATAGCCTCTCTTCTCTGCTCCCGAAAACATCCACATGATCCAATGTCCATCTATCTCTTCGCGCCTAATGGGGTATGCAATAATGTAAAAATAAAAATAAAAAAGGAGACATATAAGGCCACCCATCCGAGAAAGAAAAAAGTATGCTGAGAACCGTAGATAGACGACTTATGTAAAGGCCGTGATAGCCGCGCTCACAGTAAGAATTAAAAACCATGCTGCATATGACAGCACGAGGACAATACGCACGCCGGTCTCCATCATGAGCCAGATGGCGATGAGGAGGACACTCGAGCGTGAAGCAAAAGCCAGAATCAGAGCAAAGCTGCGGACCGCCGCCGTACGCAGGGCCGCAGGGATGTTGGTCAGGGCCAGAGCCCGGTGGTACTCGAGCGAGCCGATAGCAATGGTCGCCGTCGATGTGATTGTTGTTGTTGTAGAAATAGAAAAGAAATCCAGAAACTCCATCCCAATGTTGTTGGTGTCGGTCAATGGCGGCAGGGCGGAATGCCGGACGAGCAGTTGATCGCACATCTTTTTCGCGCTCTCAAGTCATAACCCGACGCCGTTGACCGCGTCCAGCGCGCCCTCGAGGCAGTCCTCCAGCTCGCCAACCCGCTGCTTGAGATTCTTGTTCTCGTCTCGAAGCAGGCTGACTGTGTCCCATGCTGAACTCGAGTCTTGGCCCTTGCAGTTGCGGCAGCCGTCCTCGCCCGAGATGCCCTTCATCAGCTTCTGGAATGTGCTCATCTGGCTGCGGGGCCGGTTGCTTTGGACAGAGGTGCGCTTCGTCGAGTTGGGACCCCTCATGGACGTGGGTGTGGGAATGGGCATATCTATCACGCTGCCGGTCTCCACACCGCGCGTCGTGGTGGTGGTGGACACGGACGGGCTTCGTGGTCGGGAGAAGACACTCTCACCCTCGAAGCTGATGCTGTCGTCATCCGTCTCAAAGCTCGTGTCGGTGCCGTTGCTCTTCCGCCATTTGCGCTTCTGCATCTCCTCCTCGTCCACCCCGAGGTCCTCGGATATGGTGCTGCCGGCCTCCGAGGCGAGGCCGCCGGGCGACAGCCGCTGCTTCGAAAAGGCACCCAGCCGCTCCAGCTCGGCCCGTGCGCGCCTTTCCGTAGCCAGCTCCTCCATGAGCTGCTTCATCCGCTGTTCCTGCTCGGCCGCCTTGTGTGCCATGTCCTCCAGCTGAAACTTGAGGTGCTTGCTGCGAGTCTCGGCCTCGTCCAGCTCGTCGCGGTCCGCCTCGCGCTCCTTCTCGAGTTCGGACAGCGCCTGTGCCTTCTGGCGGTATGCACTCTGCATCTTCGTGAGCAGACCTGTGGCCTGTGCCTGTAGATTCTTGAACGCCGCGGGCGAGAAGGTGTCTTTGCCTGTCGGCGCGCCCGCGGGAAACAGCGCCTCATCCACCTTCATGTTCAGCAACTCGTCGTGCATCTCAGGGGTGATCGAGGGCGGTGTGTTCCTCGCGAACATGGTGAGGAGTGACAGTCGAGACGGAGCGGTAGCTGGTCCTGCACTCTTGGGGACGTTGTCCGTAGGGCCTGGTGTCGAGCCTCGGACGAGCCTCTTCGGCGTTGTCTCGGGCGAAGGGATCCCTTCAGAGGCAGCTTGTTGTGGGTGGTTCGTGATTGAGTCGCCCAGTGTCTCTACTGTCAACTCCCTGCGAGTCTTCCTCCCTTCGCCTGTGAAGCCCATGTCGTCGTTGTCGTTGTCGTCGTCTTCGCCTGAGTCTTCTGCTGCTGTAACGGGTAGTGAGGACTGCCGCTGATGTGGTTGGGTCTGTAGTCTCGCCCTGATACTTGCAGGAAGGAAGCTGGCGAGGGAGGCTGATGGACCGGTTCGAGACGGTGAGGGAGCGAGCGCACGTTCCACCTGCCCCTGCCCGTGACTATTGTGGTATTCGTGCAGGGAGCTGAGGATGGTCTTGTTCCTGTCGTCGTAGCCAAGGGAGGAGGACGTGGGTGGTAGGTCCAAGGGGAAGAACGTGGAAGCGGATCCAGGCTGTTCTTGAGCCGTTGGGCTTCGTGCAGGGAGGTATCTTGGGGCTGTTGCTGCGGGCAGAGGCCGACGCGGTGTGACTGAGAGGGGAGAAGCACCTCGACATCGATCTTGACCCTGTCCCCCGAGAGATGATGTTCGCTCCTGGTCGGACGACATGGCAGCGGTGGCAGACGCGCAGGTGCTTAGCATAGCCGGCTAATGTTTCGTGGAGACGTTAGTGGACCCTTGGAAAGGAGACGCCCCGTACGGCCTATCTTGCTTCCCTGCTCCTCCGCGGGGCGGAATGGGAAGCGGGCGGCAGACGAGATTGGATTCCGTTAGATCCCACTGGGGGAAATTATCCCGGAGAAAAGAGAGGGATTTGGGAATCCTTTTTGGAAGGAATTCTGACCAGTCATCCGAAGGTCTTTGGAGGCCAAAACCTAACGCTGGTCCAATCTAGGACTTGTTGTTGTTTGGGCGGGGGCCGACAGAGGGAGGAGGAGGACGACAACAACAAGGAGGGGGGGGGGGAGGTTCCAGGGTCCGTCCCTCCTAGATGTTCGTCCAAGCCTAGAGTAGAGTAGATCGATCTCTTCGGGGCAGGATAGCAAAACCAGAGGCTCGGTGCGGTCTACACAATTGCTAGTGCTCCACAAGCCGAGGACCACCTTGCATGCACCGTCGAGACCCCTTGAGTGGCCCTACAGCCCTTGAACGCAGGATCACCCTTGCCTCGGTCCTCCTGTTGTCTCCCTTTTCCTTTCAAGTGCCGGCAGGTCCGATAATACTTGAAGACGTCACTCGTTCGCTGTCGATTGAGGATGATTTCGTTTCCTCCTCGAGCCCTCAGTCGTGTCTCGACTGGTTGAGGTGAACACGTCCTTGACAAGTGAAGTCCACCTGACCCGGCGGCTGTGGTAGGCGACGTGGAACTGTCTGAGGCAATCAAGAGGCGAGTGACAGGGCAGCAAGCGTAGGCGTGAAGTTGGTGGGGCGAGGCGCTGTTTAGGGTTCGCCGGCAGCGGTTTTTCTTTTGGTTTTTGCCACTGCAAGAATCATGATAGACGGTACGAAGAAAGACGGAAGAGACGCCGCGAGGTTCGCAAAAAAATTAAAAGGTGAGATGTTCAACGGGAAGGGTTCTCAAAAAACGTCGTCTTGTTTTCGAGGGCTTGAAAGGTAGCATGTATGTACCTTTTTTTTATTTATAAGTATGCGCCTTGAACTTGGTAAACCAAGGAATACGCTCTCAGCTTGTGATGCAATGCAAGGCAGCGTCATCTGGCGGGTGTCCATGTGGCTGGGCTGGAGTAGGCAGGGGTGCCAACCAAGCTGTTCCTGGCTCAGTGCAGCCACGCTGCAGCAAATCAACAAGTCACTCCCCAACGTTACTCAATTTTTCTTTGACTCAAAAATTGCAAAGCATGATAGGTTGGTTTTTTTTATCTAGACGATTTGTGGCTTGAGGTGGCCTCATAATACATAGTAGGTTTCGGAGACTCAACTTCATCCCACGACCGAGCTTGGCCTGCGATCCTCTCTAAGACGATGACCATAGCCCAGAGACAAAATTGTCGACGTGTGGATCGCGGACTGATCATGTTTTGGGAGGCGAGCATCATCTTTTTTTGTGAAGCTAAAGCCATCAAACACTGTTTCAGGCCTGCCTCTCGAAGCGAAATGTTCATGTATCCGCTGATAACTCCTGGCACTCATCAGCCAAGAACGAGAAAGAAGAAGTCGCCAGCCTGATCCCGTCGTCCCAGAGACGTTCATTAAACCTTCAGCCTCCTGTTCTAGGCTCAGTAGAACGACTCTACCATGGTCTCCTTCATGCTGGTGTTGATGTTGCCCGGCGCCGCGCCCTCGCCCAACCTGAAGACGCTCTCGATGACACTCAGCTCCGTCGCCGTGGTGTCCAAACCCGTAACCGCCATCCAGTCGTTCACCACCATCCCGCCACCAACCACTGAGCTGCCCCTGTTTACGGACCCGGCCACCAGCGGCACCTGCAGCAGGCTTGAAAGCTCATCCTGGTCGGATATGCTCGTCTTGGGGTGCACGAGGCCGCCCTGGTTTGACAGTGCCATGTAGCTGCCCACGAGCACGTTGTCCGCCACCGTCTGCCGGAACACCTCCACTCCGAGCACGTCCGCGATGATCTCCTCCGTCTCGCGCTCCAGGTCTGGATGTATCAGGGCAATGTGGTCGTTCGCCACGATCACGTTGCCCAGCGCCGACAAGCGCTCTTCTATCCGCTGAATCTTGACCGAGTCTGGGAGGGAGTTGCGCAGGTGCTGGAGTTCTTGGTCTGTTGTGCTTGTGGGGACAAGGAGGCCGTTGCGATTGCTGTTAGAATGTTCTCCTGTTAGCCAAATGCTTCTTGTCTTGGCTACTTTCCTCACGTAGCCTCGAGTCGAGTGTTAGTGTGGCCTGCTGCGTACCCAGTTGTTAACCGTCCCACGATGCGGGTGCCGGCGATTGTGGTTCTGACGATGGGTATGACGTCTTGCAGCTCGGCCTCGAAGATGCTGTAGAAGTTCTCACTCGCGCCAATGGCGACAAGTGCAAAACTGTTGGTAAGGGTCGAGAAGACGCCGACCCTGCGATCAGAAAGAATGATTGTCAGCATGTTGTTCTCATGATGCGCAGTCCGGGAAGCCTAGGAACAAGAAGAAGTAAACGCCAATGGGAGAGGGGGAGGGGCACAGCACTCACTCGTTCGAGTTCTCGAATTGTGCTCGTACAGCCATGATTGCGGTGCTATCTATGATGTTTCAACTTGACTTTAAAACAGTTGGATGGAGGTTAAAGATCTTTGCAAATTGTAAGAGAAGTGAGTTCTATCCTCTTTCGAAGGATTCGTTCGCTTTTGCGTGTGGTGCAAAGTTGGGTTGTGATTGTTGATAGAGATGAAATTTTTGGTATTCGGGGAAGGCTGGACTTTTATCTGCAATCGCGGGGCAGCAGCGGTGGGCGGCGGCCTTGAGATATTCGTCACGGCCTCGGGAGCCCTCTTGACTTTTCCTTGCAGAGATGACAAGGTGAGAGCCTTGGGTAATCTCGTTGTCGTGAGACTTTTTTTCTAGCCAGCCTGGCAGGAATACGAAAGAGAAGAGAAAAAGCTGATTCAAAATGATTCAGCAGAGGCAGCAACGGCAACAGCAGGCCCTCCAATTAGTCGTTCAGGTCTTGCGTTTGCAGCCGCATTGCCACAAGGCTAAGGATCGAACGCCCCAAAAACGGGAAGGCCCACTTGTAGTCATTCTGCATCATCGCACATACAAATCATGGTCTGGCCACGCGAAACAACGCCTATGTGAGTAATTATGCCTGCATAATCAAAGTCAGTGCTTGGTTTGATTTCCACGCCGTTCTAGTCATATGAGCCTCTTCATCTCTCCACACAGAAGCCCTCATACCCTTTCTACCAATCGGGAGATGCTTTCAGGCATGGACAAAGAATCAGCGCAATTTAATAAATAAAAACCCCCCATAATACTGTACATTTTCTTTTTCGAATCGAAAGAGATTATCGGCCACGTTGGGTGGTAACAGCGTTGCCAATTCCCATTTGGTTTCCTTCCTGTCTTATGAATCCTTTCCTCACTATGCAATCCCGTAATTTACCAAGTCCGCTTTGAACCAAGCCCTACGCCCTTTATCCTGTACATAACGCAGAGAGAACCAAGACACCTGACTACTGCGTGTTGTTTGGTCCCGTGTTTCCTGTTGTATTCCCTGTATTGCTTGCTGCGTTGCCTGTAGCAGCTGCAGTGCCCATAGCGCCGAGGTTGACCGCATGTCCCGTGGCACCACTCATGGCGCCCATGCCCATGTCCATTGGGGGCATCGCCATGTTCATCATTGAGGGATCAGTCATGCCAAACCCGTTCATGTCCCCGTTGCCCATGCCAGGCAGTCCGGGCAGCGAGCTCATCAGCTGCGCCGCGCCCAGAGGTCCTGGGGGGTGCAGAGGGTAGAGACTAGCCTCCATGTTGTTCCCATCGAAGATGACCATGTTCTGGATAGGCTGTTGCGTCTGGCCCAGCACGTTGATCACATCCTGCGCCAGCTGTCCGCCCAGGATTGCCGTCACCGGGGCAATCTCGCAGCCGATATTCTGCAGGAAGCTTCGCAGGAACTCCGCGGTCAGCGTCTCCGCCGGCAGGCTGAGGTCCTTATGCTTCTGTGTCGCGATCCTCGTAAATGTCACCAGGTCGTTCTTGTCGGCGGGATTGCGCCCACCATGCTGCGTCTGGAAATCCCAGAGGGCCCGCAGGCACGACAGCGCAGGGCTCACAGCCCTGAGCCGCCGCTTGCTCTTGGTGTAATCCTCTGGCAGGAACGCACCGTCGCTTGCCAGCAGCCAGGTGCTGTACAGCTCTTTCTTGGACACCATCTCGACCGTCTTGTCACCCTCCTTCCTGGTCTGCACGTCGAAGATCATGCGCGTCTTGGTCTCGGCCTTGGGCTGCGTGGTCACGTTGGGCTTCTCGCGCTCAATGACAAAGGTGTGCTCGATCAAGTCGGCAAAGATGAAACCGTAGAGGCCGTGGACGCCGGCGGCGTAGAATGGACGCATATTGAAGCGCGTCGCGGTGTTGATGATGTTGAGGGCGTCTGGGTCTAGGTCTGTGGCGATGACCATGTCGAATAGTGCAAAGTAGCTCGGCCCCTTCAGGCGCACGTCGCCCGTGTCCACGATGACGTGCACGCGAGGGTTGAGCTTCTGTATCTCCGTCAGCGACGCCTGCGCCCTGTTCATACCTATCTGCTCCTGAGAGATGAGGAACTGGGCGCCGAGGTCAGCCTCGGTGACGTTGTCGTGGTCGAGGACCGTTAAGGACCCTATGCCTGCGAGGACGAGGTTCTTGGCAATCTCGTTGCCGAGTCCCTTCATGGTGATGAGCAACACATTTGCGTTGCGGATCTTCTGCTGCGCCTGCATGCCCCATAATCTGATCTGGCGGTCGTAGAGGGCGATCTCGTCTGCACATACACGTGAGCGTGGGTTCAAAGTGGCGCGCCTGCGACTAAACATACCATTGGTAATGCCGTTCTGAGGCATGTTGAGAATGCCACTGCCGTCCATCATCATGGGGACCATCAGAGGCATATTCATTAGTTGCTCATCCGTCAATAGGCTGCCATCCTGTGGCATCATGGGCAGTAGATTCATGTCTGCTGGCATGCCCTGCAGAGGAAGATTCGCGAGGTTGCCTTGGGGAAGAGCACTCAAGTCGGGTGCTGGTATGTTGGCAGGCGCTTGTGTAGGGGCGGCGTTTGTAGTGCTTGCCGCCTGGGTCGATTCCGTGTCAGCCTGAGCAGAGAGGCTCTTATCGTCCTGAACCGGTGCTGCTGGTGCTGGCTGCTGGTCCATCTTGGGCTGAGATGAAGATGAGTGAGGAATGACGAAGCCGAGGCAGCTGAGGGGTGAAAGTGGGAGCGGCTCTCCGTCGCAAGCGAGAGCCGTGAGTAAAGGTAGGGACAAAACGACCGTGAAAGATGCAAATGGGATCCAATAGCAGCTATCTGACCATGAGACAATACTCTCGGTGTCCTTTTGCCTTTTTTTGGGGGGGGGGGCGGGATGTTGTTTCTGTAAGTTGCCGGTGTGGTGATGCCAGGCGTTTGCAGGGTTTGGTTTGTGCGCAGGACGTGTCTAAGGTGGCTGAACGCCAGCGAGCAGACAGAGCTCTGCGATAGGTCGTTGCTTGGGCTGAAAATGTGTGCGCGGGGGGCCGTGGCTTGTGTCAAATGCTCGTCTCGTATTGATTGCATTCACAGAAGCAGCTTGCGCTTGGTCCTTGAATCCCCCAGGTTCTGACGCCTCACTGAGATTCGAAGGTGAATGTGCAGTGGTCCAAGCCAGTGAGCGAGCAGGGTAGCTAGCAGCTGTTACAGGGGAGTAAGTACAGTGGAGTACAGCAGGGTGGGTGGTGCACGGTTGGTAGCGGTACCGTCCCGCCCGCTCGTCACACCTAGCGCGTGGTGTTGGATACTGATAGAGTATTTATTGCTTGTTCTCTAGATTGAACCTACAGCCTATTTGCAGTCAGCCTATGATTTCAGCTTGACCACCAACCTGCAGTAGGTCTCGCGTGCCACCCGTCTCTGTTAGAACATTGCATAGTAGCCCTGACGTCGCACTCCCCCTCCCCCCAAACTCTTGTCCTCTCTTCCTCTCTGTTTTCTCCTCTCACCCTCTCTACCTACTTTATTCATCCATTCACCGTCTATCCATCCATTTTGTGGCACATCAAATGCGCCAGCGCTAGGGCCCTTTGACTGCGCCGACCCAACCACGCCCCCATATTCCTCGTCTTCTCCCCGCCGCCCAACGACATCCCTCTGCCCAGCACTAGATCCTCCACCCTCACTCACCCAATTTCATCTCGTCACTCTTTAACTCACTACCCTTGTTCGCACCATCGTCTCTATATTTTCTCCCTATTCCTCTTTCTCATCTTTTGCAGGTTGACTGTCTGTGCCTGCAGACCTGACGTCTACCTGCCACATAGTGGCCGTTACAAACAAACATTCTTCTGCGGCGGCAAACCGTGCAAGACTTGAGCCGGCGGGGGCTTGTCAGCCTCGTCCTGCAAACTCACGTTGACCAGGCTCTTGCCTTCATCCTCCAACATGGTGTGTGATGCTTGCATCTAAGCTCTGACTACCCTACCCTTGACTCGCCAACCTTGATGGAATACGAGTTAACTTGTCCCTAACACGAGCAGCCTCGAGATCGACACCGAATTCTTGGACAAGGACAGTCTTCAAGGCCATCCAGCACCTTCTCGCCGATCGCACCAGGCCGAACAAGGCCATTCTCTCCCACGCGGGGAGCACAGCCCGAGTCCGGAGAAGGAGACACGCGCCGTGAACGGGAACAGACTGGAGACAGAGATACTTCCGAAGAGAGTCGGCGTCCCCGTTTGTTGTATGTCGCCGGAGAGCCACCGTTGACGGATAACATGCATGCCACCTCAATCTTCGACGATCGCAGCCCTGGCGGTATGGCTCGACGGGAAGTGATGGTGGCAGCGAGAAGACATGCAGCCAGATATCGCGAGCACACCAGGCTGTACAGAAACGCGATGGGTGTGCCTGACGACGGTGACGACGACGACAATGACTCGCGAGACACCTCTTCGGGTCAACCTTCCCGGGATCTGCAACGCAGATTCTCCCGAGAGCCGCCGCCTCGTCAGATGCCCACTTTCGTGCCAATGAACTTTCCCGGCACGACGATCGCGAACACGCTCCCGCCCCTGCGCCTGATGACCAACCCACGGGTATCGGACGATACGTCCAGTCCCAGCGGCACTGGTGGCCCGCCCCCCAGACAGCGACAGGACAGACCGGAGAGAACGACGCAGAGATATCGAGTCCCTGAACAGAGACAGCCAGCCTCCTCGACCTTGGATGGTCTGGAATACGGTTTGAACAACGCGAACACACAGCTGCGGGCGCTCCTGGAGTACACAAACACGAGCATCACATCGCCTCTTACCCCATCGTTACATATACACACGGCCCAGCACGACCAGGCAGAAGACAGCCGACGAGCCAAGCGCCGAAAGCTAGACTGCGACAGACCGGGCTCCACGTTCAAGGGATTCCGCTATGGCAGATTTGGGCAGGTTGAGCCCGGCCAGTTGAAGATGGAAATTCACAGCTGTGATGGCGGCGTATACGAAGATAATGCAAACAACCCGCCGGAGAACATCTTGATGAACAATGACGGGGTCTACTGCTCCAAGAAAGACAGCTGTAACATCGTGTTGAGACACCAGGGTGCGACCGTCTTCACTCTGACCGAGCTGATCATACGAGCACCGGGACCCAAGTTTTCTGCACCGTATGTGCCTCCATAGTTCAACCCCCGTCCAAAAATCTAGCTACTGACGATACACACAGCGTTCGAGAGGGGTTGGTCTTTGTGTCGATGGCAACAGACGAGCTCTTCACGCGAACGGCACAGTACAAGGTCAAATATGTCTTAGCACCGGAGCCGCGAAGCTCTAATGCGGAGCGGGATCCCGCTCCAATACTGTCAGTGCGGCACAACGAGGATGGAACAACAATTACGAGGCTGCATCAGCAGCCCACGCTCGCACGGTTTGAGCTCCATTATAAGACGGCAGTCTTTCCTGCCGAACCACTGGGGTTCCCGGTCACGATAGCCACGGATTGTAGCGACCCCGAGGATAACGTCCCGCACCCGAGGCTCCGAGGGCTCCCTCATGATGTGATTGGCATGATGCCGTTTGAGAGCGACAGCAGTGAAGATGAAGAGAACAATGTGAACGCCTGGGATGATATACGCTTTGACGACGAGGAAGACTTTCCACAGCAGCCTACACCTCCCCGTCGTTCACACGGACTGACCTTGGCAGAGGTAGCAGAGGCATCTCAGCTCGCAACACAAGAGGCCGTGCAGGCTGTGGGCGGCAAGCTTCTCCGGCCGCACGCAAAGTTCTTCATCGAGAAGGGCAAGAACCGGTGCACCATCAAGTTCGACCCTCCCGTCACTGGAAGATTCATACTTTTGAAGATGTATCATCCGTCTGACAACATTGACATCCAAGGAGTATACGCCAAGGGCTTCGCGGGGCCACGATATTTCCCTTCTCTTGAACTGCGTTGAAAGCCCGTTCCAATATTGCGCAGATGGTGAACCAACTAGTGATCATGATATATTTCTTTGCTCTAGGGGGCGTATGTCTTGTTGAACTTTTCTTGGAGAGGTGCAAGCACGGGCTCGGTGTTTACTTCTATGTACCCAAAGTCTGGCATGTCTCCTCTGGACAATCTGGTTACAAAGCATTTTGGAAAGGCTTCAGATACCACGGTGGTCTCTTGTAGTATCTTAACAGAAAAAAAGACAATACATTCCTTTTGGCAGTGCATATTCGTGTAGAGAAAGTACTCCGTATTTAGACTGCGCCACCATTGTCATGTTGCGGCGAGTTGTTATGACTTTTTTGAGTTCGTGCCTTCTCGTCACTCTCGAAGAGGAAGGTATGACCTAATGGGAGCGGTTGAGTGGTCCGTGCACCAACGCGTTTGTTGAGGAAACACTTTAACGGTAGCGCGTCGCCTCTTTCAGGGTCCAACTCGGGCATCTGGGAAGGCAGTCTCGGCAGCTTGCGGAATCACCGAGACTTCTTCCATCAACATCCACTCTCAAAACTGAGATTCTTGTTTCTGACTGATTCAGGCGGCCTGGCCTCTTGCCTGTGTGCGGTCTCTGGACTCTTCTACACGGCCCTGTGGCTGCCTTGGAAGTGTCTTTGAGAAGCGAAACGATCCCAACCTGCCTCTACCTTTTGCCATGACAATTCTGATCGTCTTGACAACAGAGAAGCAGCTTCATAAGCACATCCCTTCCTTCTGTATCTTTTCTTGAACAGCTCATAATCAAGAAGTAGGAGGGATTTTCTTTTTCCTTCCTTCCTATTGCGACTTTGCGCTCGGTACCGTCGATGGTTTTACTTTCCCTCCCCCCACTTTCAGCCTCTGACTAGAATCAATCACGCAGCCAACCGCTGCGACAAGTCTCAATCCCACCACCAACTGATCTAGACCTTGGGATGGCGTCCCGCAAACGAGGCCGCAAGGCGCAGCAGCAGCAGCAGCAGCAGCAGAAGCTCACCTTTGAGCCCGTCGCCGCATCTTCAGGTGCTACTGGCGCGAGCAGCTCGCCACTACCAGGCATCGGACTTTCTCCAGCCGGGGTTAGGTTCTCTTCGCCGAGCAAGATTCAGGAGGGCAGCCCCAGCAGAAATCTCTCTATTTGCTCGAGTAAAGTAGGGCGAAAGAAGAAGTCTGCCAGACAGCAGACTTTGGAGGCATCGATGGAGAACAGTACGAGCAAGAAATTGTTTGGACAGCAGAAAGCCATGGAAGATCACGATGAGCCAGTACCCAGTCCCACCAGTAAAACCGATTCAGGAGGCCGACAAGCTGCTCGCAATAGACCTTCGTCTCATTTCATGCTGAAATCTACAAATGGAAGTCGTCATGTTGTGCTCGTGAGCAGTGACTCAGAGACCCCAGTTGAGGAAGATGGAGGCGTTAGTGACAGCGACGGCGAAGGCCCGCTGAGGCCAGAGACTCCTCGACAAGCTCGAGCAAGCCAGGTGGTGGTGATCTCCAAAGACAGTGACGAGGACGAGTCTAGTGCAAGCGACGACGAGTGCGGCGAGGAGCCGGAGGCGAACGTCCGGTCGTCTCAGTCTCTGCCAAACCAAGCCGCGGTTGAGGACGATCCTGACGATGACCAGCCACTAGCCACACCGCGGTCAAGTATGCCTAGCCGGAGAGGTCGGCAGGTCATCGATATCGAGGATGAAGACGAGGATGAAGACGAGGATGAGGAGATCCAAACACCGGCCAAGAGACGGAGGCTTGCCAAGAATAGAGCTGCAGCTGTCAGTCCAGACTCCGATGACGTAGATTCTGCTGTGGTGCAGACCAAGTCAAGAGGCAAGTCATCTTCTAAGCAGCGAGTGTCCACGTCGCCTACTTCAACAGCCAGGGGCACGAGGTCGAGGGCGCGCAGGAGTCATCGCACTGAGAAGGACAAGAAGCTGGAGCTCCTTCGACGCCGAAGAGCAGGCGAAAAAGATCTCAAGATGGATGACCTCACCCCCAGCGAGGACGACGATGAGGAGGGCGCCCTCTACGACACCGATTCTGATCATCAGGTTCTCGAGGTGTTCGATGATGAGTCTGAGCCGGAGGTGGAGGCAGCCGCCAATAAGCATTCCAAGAAGGCAAAGAAGCGGCAGAAAGCTACAAAGTCGGTTCCTCTCGACGAAGACGCTAACAGCGATGATGAGGATTTCATCGATGATGATGACGACACGCTGGGTGTTCCCGACGAGGCGCTGCACCTGATCCCTCTGGAGTTCACCCGCGCGTCTCGAAAACCTCTAAAGGCACACTTCAGGGATGCCGTCGAGTGGCTGGTACACCGCAAGATCAACCCTGCCTTTGACAGGGACAATGAGGTATACGCAACGGCATGGCGACGTCTCAGTGACGAAGTCACGGGTCTAGCCAACTCAAAATTCGTCTCAAGTGTATGGAGGCCTGATTTCTACAAGGCGTTGAGGGCTCGCCCGTACATTGTGCAGACAAAGGTCGACGCCGGCCCCCTCGGCATTGAGTACGAAAACTGTCAGGCGTGTGGCCGGTCGGGTCATCCTGCTACATGGAGTATCAGTTTTCAGGGGAAGGCCTATGATATCAGGACATTGGACGAGGTTGAGAGTGATTCCGATGACGAGGATGATGACGTTGATCGCGGTAAGCTACCCTATCCTGCAATTTACACAGAGAAGAGCATCTCCAGAACGTGTTTTCGGGCATGCGTATGCGTTATGGAGTGCTGATACTGAACTATGTACTGTAGATGCCGATGGAAACCCCATTCCACCTGAAGAAGAAGAGTTCCTCGTCGGCACGACCTGCAACGCCAACGCCGAGACAGCCCACGGTCTCATCCACTGGAAGTCCGCGCTACGCGACTGGGTTGAGATGCGCCTGGACACCGAGGGCTGGCTGGAGGAGGAGAGGATTCTGGAACGAGACAGAATGAAGGCGAAGAAGCGTCAAAAGTTGGCCGATGAGCTCGTTGATGGTTGGGACGAGAACGACATCATCAAGAACCTTTTTATGGATTTTAAGACGACCATCGAGACGGCTCGGACCAAGGACACCACCAAGGTTGCTCGGAGGAGGTATTAGGGAGGTTGGGGTGAAAACGACCATATTACTGAATGGAGCCTGAGTATCACTTTTAATGTGTATGGCAACAACCTCGAGCAAGCCGAATCCATCACCAGCACATGAATTCTTCGAGCGAAAGGCGCTAGCACACCAAAGCCGCTTCATGTTACTCTGCCTTAGGTGCCCATGCGCGCCCTCCAAGGCCGAAGAACACCTGCAAAGCCGTCGTGCGCTACAGCAGCGGAGCCATGGATGGCTCTGCTGTCTTTTGTCACCTTTGTAATTCTGGTTTTTGCTTCTGGGGGTGCAATAGCGGGAAGGAATATCGGGACCATGAACCAGCCAAGTTCGGGACCAAGAAAAGTCTATTGAAAAGTCTCGGGAAAACGTTGAACGACATTTACCCATAACTAGGCGTTCTTCCCCGCCAGCCACATTCTTTCTCTCACTCTCCTTCATTTCACTTCGTCATTTGGTTTTACCTCTTCTCCTTTTTCTCTTCTTTACTTTTTCCTCGGAGGCGAGATCGTCTGATCGCTGGTGGGGCATCCTCTTTCAGTTCCTTGGGGCATGGCGGGAGGATGGGGCCGCATGGGGTAGGTCTCCTTTTCTTTTCCTTCATTAGAGGGAATGTTGTACGGACTACTACATCAGTAGACAGCACATTAGCATCAATTTTTTCAATCAACCTGCAGAAATAGATCTATTTCTGCAAGCCACACGCAACGCACACACGGCACGGCACGGCACGGCCGGACGCACACACGCACACTGTACACAAAATAGAAAATGAAGCAATGCCCTAACAATTTGTCCATTGTCACATGTGTGGCCTATCTTCTCCTCACCATGCCACTGAATATCTAAGCAATACAGACACATATATGCGATGCAAATGGATGAGCGGGGAAGCCTGTAGGAAGAAAACCAAGATTGCCGCTAAAACCACACAGGCCCTGATCGAGATTCTGAGACTTTCCTGTGAAGGTCTCCTGATCTCTGCACACACACACACCACCTGAGCTAAGGAAGAAGTAACAGTGCCTCGTCAGTTGAGACCAGGCCACAATAGAAATTGGGCCTTATCAAGCTAGACAGAAAGCCATAACCGGACTGTCCTGTGTGTGTCCCCCACCCCCCTCTTTCACATTCCGGACCCGAAGGAGTTTTTAGCAAACACAGCAGCCAAGTTTTTGGAGATATGCCAAAGGCGGGGTGAGGTGGTGCAAGTAGTATTTTGACCGGGAGTAAAAGCCCAAGAAGATGTGGATGAAGAAGAAATTCGAGAAAATGTACCCCTCTCTCCTTTCCAGCTCGTCGCCGCTGCAAGACAGAACGACATCAACAGCATTTCCCGTGTTCTCACATATCAAAGTCAACACAATACCTGAAGCAACAAGGAGAAATACAGATTCAAATGGAGAAGAAGAAAATAAAAAGTAAAACAACAAATGGCGGATCCCACACACGATCCAAACCGCTGGAGGTGATACCCAAGCTCCAGACAGACGAAAAAGAGCTGGCCTCCATATCGTACCAGCCTTAATTGAACATAACCCTTTTTGGTCCCCTTGTATACGGTGCCCAGAGGCGTCCGGCATGACATTCCACATTCTCGATCCAGTGCGACGGTGCTGTTCCGTACTTTCGCGAATCGACGGCCTGACGATGCGAGAAGCATCACATGGGTCAGAACGTCGTCGGTATTGCCCAGAGTAGCGTGCTTCTTCTCGTCTGTCGATCTCGAGCAGCTTTGTAGCGATCCAGGATCTGCCGTCCTGGCTCTCAGCCTGATATTCTCTTTCGGTCACGTCTCAACCCCCGACGCTCCTCATATGATGCCACCTGGGGGATCATAGCCTGTCGCTGCGCCCCTTGCGCTGGCAGATCCCAGTCCAGCGCTCCCCGGCGCCTCACCCGATATGTCCACATGCGCGTTGTTCGTTTTTCGCAGCATAAACATGGGCTTCTTGCCCTCCTTGTCCAGCTGTTTGAACAGTATCAACGGTTTCTCCTCAAGGCCTAGACAGCGCTCCTGGTCGCCATACACAATGTACAACGCATACTGGTCCCACGGTGCGTTGATCTGGTATTTCTTGAGGGCTGCTGGTAAGACCTTGTAACATGGGTCGTCGAGGCTCACGCGGAAGGACTTGAAAATCTCGACGGAGCTGCTGCTCGGCGTGTCAGGGGCGGGTGTCTGGCCTCGTCGTGGTGCCGGTGGCTTCTCGCGGGGGGGATCGTAATTGTGTTCGGACTGGGAAAAGGTCGAGCGGCTGGAAGGCGTGGGCTGGTCGGCACGGTAGGATCGTGAAGCTAAGGTGGTTCCACCGACACTTGGTGGAGAGGTTGGTGAGGGTATATTGGGTGATGGGTAGCCCGGCGAGACTGCACTCGGGCCGCCGGCTCCGTTCATGGCGGCCAGGTGTGATGAGGATAGCACTGCCCTCTCGGCAGCGCTGGACGGATCCAGGGTCTGCTCCACTAGGCCTCGGTCGTGGCTTGTCTGCTGGTGGGAGGGGGAGGTCGCCTTAGGCGTAGTCCCCAGGATGATCTTCTTGGTGGAGTACTGCCGCTTAAGTCCTCCGCCAGACTGACTACTTGTGGACGGTGTGGGCGCTGGTGGGGACACGGTCGTGTCGTAGCCATTGCTGACGTGTGGCAGAGGTTGTGCCGCATCTTTGGCAAGGCGCAGGGCTGGTAGCATGTCTTCTCGTAGCCTCCGGAAATCTTCGCTTAACCTCCTGAAGTCTTGCTCGAAAAGGTTCATTCGCTCATCTCGTAGTCTTAATTGTTCCACCAGGTGTCTGATGTCCTTCAGGGTCGCGGTAGCATATTGGGCCTCGGCGTCGGCAGCTGCAAAAGACAACATCAGTAGGGTGCTCACATGCGTCTCTCAGGTGCCTGAGAGCTGGTTCAGAACTCGATCTTGACCTACACAAGGGTACATAATGATCGCTCTCTAAAGGCACGTCCTGTGCCTTCTTTACATCGTAAACGCTCTTGAGGATGGTCAACCTGTGTCCAACACTGGAAATGCCCATGGACTTGAGGTCGTCGTGTAGCAAGGCCACCAGAGCTTCGCCAACAATCTCGTTCTCTGTTCAGGGTGCAACTCCCCATATCATCAGTATATTCCTGTGTTCAGCAATTATATGCATGTGGGGCCAGCTGGTCACGCACCTATGAATCGATCCGAGTACTGCTGTAGCCCGATGGTCGCAATGAAGTCGGCACACTCCTCGGCAGTCCATTCTGTTATAATTGTCTCGGGCAGGCGGTCTGCGCTCGACCGGTAACCGTAGGTCGTGGGTGTGTGTTCGTTTGATGGGGGGTCCGAGTCGGTCGGGGAGAAGGAGGCATCGGTAGCATCTACGGGAGAGCTCTCGTGGAGGTCACGTTCGTACTCATCGTCGGCGTCGGACTCGGCGTAGGCCGTCCCCTGGTTGAAGCTCATGGTCGAGGATTGGACGTGAGTGGGCGGATGTGTCTGTTCGTCCAAGATCGCGGGGGTGGCTCAGAGGGTGTGGGAGTGAAAGGGTGTGTGTGAGAGAGAGAGAGAGAGCGAGAGCAAGGCCAAGCAAGGTCTGTGAAGCTCGGCACGAGGCGGCCGGGTCTTCTTGGGAGGCAGCAATTCAAAGTCGGTGTTGTTGTCGGGGCGGCGAGTACCCGCAGTGGCCGGAGATTTCGAGGTGGTTCGTGTACTTTGGGCGGATGGAGGCGGGTGGGTTTTGTTAAAGGTTCGGCTGCTGTGCCATAAAAGAAGCGATCCGCACGCACACGACGCTTAGCCCGTCAAAGCCCAGAGCGCCGACAGCAATTTGGTGAGCAAGCACGGCCACCACGGGGGGCCAAGCGTGCACAGAGATCCACAGCCGGCTACAAGAGTGTCGCGTAGCACAGGGACGGTGATCTGGTCTGGGCTGGGCCCGTTTTGCAGGGTAGATCAGGCTGAGAGCGCAGTGTCACCGGAAAGCAAGACAGGTTGACAGTGGCGGTCCCGTCCCCCTGTGCCTTGCCTTGTGCTACTGGGGCGAATGTTCCAGAGGACCTTTCTTGTCGTCTCGTTGTCGACAGTGGAGATTCTTGCCCAGGCCCAGGGTCCGTTCAGGGAGAGAGGGAGGGGGAGAAAGAGCGCGAGTGGTGGAACCGAATGGGTGTCGAGCTGTGGCGAGGAGTAATGTAAGGACGAGAGGGAGCGAGGAGAGGAGAGGCAGCCAGACTGAGAGGGAGAAAGAAAGAGCCAGGAAGGCGTAATGGGCTCTTGTCTCTGATGGTGCTGTGTCTGGCCCTGGGATGATATTGTTGAAATGAGTTGGGATGAGAATGCCGTGTTGTGTCTGGGACAAAGCTAGGACGCAGCAGGACAATATCGCGAAGCAGGTGGAGCAGCCTTGAGTCGCGGGTCCGCAAAAGACAAGGCCGAATTGGCCTGGGTCAGGAGGGGAATTGGCCACAAGATCAAACAAGACAAGACAAAAGAAAAGGTGATTGATACAATAGGAGGTGACAAGTGGCCAGTGGAGGAGGTGGAGGTGGGAGGGGGAGGAAGGTTATTGCTGTCCTGTTGACTGAGGGCAATTGAAGGTGGCAGTGGTGGTGTTGTTGATGGTGGTGATGATGATGAGAAATGATGTGTTTGCTGTATGGGCATGTGTGCTGTGACGGCTTTGCAGAGGGTGAGTACAGCACCGTAGTACGGTCCAGCACCAGCGCAGTGGTAATGCGGTGTTGCAAGGATAGGGTCGGGCAGGGCAGGGCAGGGCAGTGCAAGTGCAATGCAGCGCAGTGGTGGTGGTGGATCCTAGAGGGTGAGTGGTTGTTGCCCCCGCCTCCTCCTCTCCTTGCCTCTCCGCAACTAGAAAATGCGCCTGGGACTGTACTATGATAGTACATGGTGGCTTGCCCCGGCCCCCTGAGCAGGATACCCCAACAGGGGTGAGAGGGCGGTTAGACCAGGTACTACCAAGCTTGGTTAGCGTTTTCTCAACCGTTATTTGAGCCTCCTTGCTCACTGCACCACTGAACCGCTGTCCGTAGTAATGTATATCCACAACAGTTACAGTGGCGCTATAGTGGCATGCATGCACAATGCTATAGTAGTGGCCCTGTCAGCCACTGTGCCAAGGCCTGTACCCGCTCCCTATTCTTGCGCTTAATTCTTCAATGCCATTCAGCCATTGTCTCCGTGACACTGACATGGACATTTGCCACAATCTTCCAAACCCATGTCTCTCTCATTCTCTCAGGACAAGGTAGTGCAGCGCTTGCTGCAGCCACACTATCATACACGCCTGTCTGCCATGAAGAAACATGACTGCTTTCCTCCTCTTGTTCCTTTTACTTGCCAGTTGCAATGCATCTCCAACCTCCGTACCTTATTAGCCTAAAAGTCACTTGAGGGCTCGATTGCATTTGAATTATGTACTTGCTCTTCAAGAAGCCAAGATGAGGCACCTTGTCAGGATGAATCAACGAGGATTTCTGCAGCCCGGAAACTCTTCAGGCATACAGGTAGAGATATTCACAATGAGGCTTGAAGAAAGCGCCACACAGCCCAGCATCTGCCTTGCCTTTCCAGAGACTCAATGAATCTAAGCCCCTCCCCCCTCTTTCCATGCTTCCCATGGCGACCTCAAAGCAGGCCTACTACCTGGGAAGAAGAAAAGGTGGGGAATGATGGGGGAAAAATTAATGGAGAGAGAAAGAAAAAAAAAAGGACGGGGAGAAAGAAAAAGGAAACTAGCCTATTCAGAGTGTACTATGGTAGGCTGCCGAAGCAAAGAACCAATGGAACAGATCGGCCATACCACAAACCACAGAGAATCAATCGATCGATCTTCCTGTCAGGTCTAGGTGCCTAATCCAACCTGTCGAACGTCGGTCGGAAGATCCCCCACCGCAAACGATCAATGGCTGGGGATGCTGGGGTGGGTGCTCAGCCTCTCAGCCTCGTTTGTTGACCCCCCCTCCCCCTTCTTCTTCTATCACCTGAGTTCGCTCTGTCGACTAGACGACATTAAGTGCCCTGGGCTCATACTGCGTAAATCTGTCTATGCTGCCCAAGCGACGTTTGGCCCAGTACACCTCTTTAAATTAACCCGTTGAGAGAAGATCAACATTATGTGATGTAACTTTTCTCTTCCTCTTCTCGTTCTTTTCCTCCGGTTCTCTGTAGTTAGGCGGTCTCGGTGTATGCATAATTACCAAGAGTGGGTACTCTGAGAAGAAAGAAAGAAGAAAAAGTTTACCGCCTGTCGTCCAATCCATTAAAGCCCCCCACCCACCCATACATATGTACAGACACACACAACATGCATGCTTACACACACACCACCACCCACGCTCACCAATGCCGAGCGGCAGGTTAAGTACGATTCAGGTAAATCCCTACCAAATAGGGTAATACGGCGCCTCGTCGCCAGCAGAAAGGATGACGAGGCCCCTCCCCCCTCCATCCCAATTCTTTACAGCTAGTGTATTTCTTCTACACTACCTCCACCACCACGACGGCGATATATCACATATTTCGACGGACCTTACGAGTCGGTCAAAGCTAAGACTGCCTCCTTTCCCCCTCCCCTTTTCGATAGACGATCGATCGACGTGTGCGCGTGACAACGAAGGGCGCAGCATAATGATTTGTCTACCTCTACGACCCTCGTTCGCCCTTGACTTGGTGGTATAGAAAAATCAGAAAGGACAAAAGGAAACCAAAATCAGCATTTGTGGTTAGCTGTTGGCTCGTTTTGGCTGCTTCCCGCGTTTCTTCCTCCAGACATCCACACGTTCGGCCTTTGCTTCGGGAATTGGGGCTGCTCAAGCACACAAGTACGTAGTCAAGAGGAGTTGACACAAACACTCCTACCGACAAGATTGTCTGTTAGACGGGACGATACAATATTTCGTCTGACATTGAGGATATTATTTCAACGACCCCCCCCCCCCCGGGCGTCGTGATGATGAGGAAATGCATTTACGCACTTATGTGTGTACCGGTGCAACCTCTAGAAATACAACACATGCAATTCTTTTTGTCTTCACACACTGTTGCAACATGCTTGCCAAATCCCCCCCCCCCCTCTCCTCATTCTGACCAATAGAGAGGCATTACGCCCGATGGAGGGGCCGGTTGAGAAAAAAAGAAGGGAAAAAAAAAAAAAAAAAAAAGAAAAGGAGAAGAGAAAAAGCACCCAGGATGTGCAGCTGCTCGGAAATATTCCTTTGTCCTCTTTGTGTCGCATCGGACTACCTTGTATGTCCAAAGTGTGAAAAAATCCAGTAAACAACAAAGAAACAAACTCGTCGCACCCTGCTCCTTGTCTTGCCCGACTCCTCCTCGGCCCTCACAAGCTGACAAGAGTGGTGTTATGTACAAGGGCCCGGCAAAACGCCCTCGATGAATGTCCACAAAGCTCAAGGAAGAAAAGAATAAGTAACCATCTCCCATTCGGATCTTGTATGTCCTATGTCATTGCGGATTCGTCAAAACCACTGCCGTATAATCTCGCACGTTCATCGTTTTCGTCCTGACTAGACGGACCAAAACCCTGTATGTCCTCGATGTCCGCAATGGTTTCGTTGAAGACCTGCATCAGCTGGTTGAGGACTTTCATACGGTTCCACTCGTGTTTAGAGGCCCATATGTGATCCATCATCTCCCGGTTGATCTGTTCTAGCTGCTCGATTGTGCAGCCGGACGTCCGATCTGTGAGCTCCTCCAGGAAGTTCTCGATCTCTCCCTGATGTATCACAGGCACTTGAGATGACGATGTCGTAGCTGTACCACCAGAGTTGCGTATGGACGAGTGTTCAGCATTGACGCCAGGGTCGTTAAGCAGGCTTATCACACCCATCCTAGAGGCACGCTGATCATTATCCGCCTGAGACGATGTAGGGCTCGTTAAGTTGTCTGCCCCGTAACCGGTGTTGCCCAGCCCGCCACGAGCTAGGGCAGCCGCCTGAGAGTGAACCCATGACGAGTGGCTAGAAGCCGTGTGCTGGCTGGGGTCACGGGACCTTTGCGAAGGCGGTGACTGTGTATCTTGCAGCTGCGAGGCAATCTCCAGACCTGGGTGGTATCCGTTGGTCGCGTTCGTGCTCCAATTGTCAGATGATCGATGAGTCGTACTCGGGTCATTGGTCGTCGAAGCCTCATTCAGGACTGCAGAAGGCGACACACCTGGTGGAAGTGATGTGAGTGCTGAGACTTGGGAAATGTGTTGCGTGCCCTGCTGGGTTGTCCCAGCGGTTGCTTGCGCAGACGTTGTCTGGGATTGAGAGGTCCCGGATCTAGGCAGCTGCGGCGGTCCCATTTGGGAGTGTGGTTGTGTAGGCTCATCACTTCCGCTCTGCACCTGTCGAGAAGGCACCGAGTCACCATTGGTGAGAGGAGGCTCAGGGGCGTGCTCGTTGCCCAATGGGCTCATTACCCGGAAGCGTGCCATGGTTGTCCCCGCCTCAGGAGGCACGGGCACGCCTATCGTGACCGGGCCTTGCTGCGATTCATCTTCGGTGCCATTCATAACAACATCCGTTTGTACCATACCAACGGCAGCCTCCATGGCAGCTCTGTTCTTCGCCTTCTCATTCTCCTGGGCATGGCGCTGCACCTGTCGCTGATACAAGGCCTCCCATTGCGCCGTACCGGTCGTCATCTCAATGTCGTTCATGTCGACGTCTACATTGCTTTCCATCTCGTTGGCCTTGATGATCCTGTCGCGATCACCAGTATTCCTGATATCGTGCACCAAGGTCTTGATGTCTCTGTAGAAATCTTTGGGTCGGGCATAGAAACCATTGGATATCCGCTCCTCGATGACAGTTGTATCGAGGTTGTAATAGTACTTGCCGGTTGCAACCTCCATGATCACCTGGTTGCCCTCTTTGTCCCTTGAGATGACAAACGGGCGTGCCTGCACGACGTCGGCGCTCACGTAATTGGGGTCGGCCTCTTCGAAGAGAAAATCAAGCCTGTCATGTGGTATGATAGGTTTGTGGAATGCTCTGTAACGCTTCTTTATCTGATCCATCACGGGCTGGAGCCTGAGCTTCAGCTGGTTCAGCATCGTTCTATCCCTCTTCAATTCTTGCTTGACCTCCTCCTTGGATTTTGGCTTAGGAGGCGGCGGCGGAGCGACAGGCAGATCCTCGAGCACTCTCTTCTTTCTCGTGTGAGGGTCCGGGAAGTCAGTCGGTGATTTTTTGATATGAGCTACGACGTTCCGGAAGTACTCGTTGCGTTTGTTCTGCGAATTGGCTGTAAGTACTAGTTCACATCTGAGTAGAGGCGCTGGGGGGGGGGGGGGGGTCAACGTACGGCATTAGGACGAGCGATCTCTGTCCGGTTCTTCTTCGAGTACCCGAACAAATCCCTCAGAATGTTTCTGTCGAGCTGGCCCGCTTCGCGTTCCGAAGTTCCCAACAGCAGAACCGGATCAGTGGGCGGGATGGTTCTCAGCATGGTAACAAGCGCGGTGATAGCTGCAGCTCCTAGAGTGGCACACCAGTCATCGACATTGGGGATGTAGATGACACTTGGCTTGTGACGCTTCACCTCAGTAAACATGCTGACAATGACTTGCTCGGCAGGCTGCAGACAAACGGATCAGTAAACGCACCATGAGAAGGACTGCAAGATTTGACTTACCCGACCGTCCCCAAGGATGCTCGCCAGGTCAAAATTCTGCACATGGACCCGTTCAAAGTAGTGCAGCACGGCAGCTGCGATATAAGCTTGCCCCATGCCAGGTACACCAGAGATCAGCAGGCGGGGTCTGAAGACACGGGATTTATCGAAATCCTGCTGCATGCTCTCTCGTCCAAAGCCATGGTCAGAGTCTTCATAGGGCTCGTACATAGCTTCCTCCAACGCAGTGATTTTTGGCTTGAGGGGGAGAATATTCTTCAGGAGCTCCTGGATAGCAGCGAATTGGTCTCGGAGGAGAGGCGCGACACTCTTCGGCAGGGGCGTCGCTCCTGATGATGCAGACCGCTCGGATGAGGGCACCATCTTCTTGATCGAGATCATAAAGTCGGTCGCGTGGATGCTGATCTTGGCCGGGTCCACAATGAGCTTCTGCTCAGACGAGTAGATCTGAGGGTATGTCCTTTGTATGGCGTTGAGCGCAGCTTCGGTGCAGAGTGCGCGTAGGTCGGCACCACCGTAGCCCTTGGTGTTCTCAGCCAGGCCTTTCTTGAATGCCTCTGACAAGCCCCAGTCCTTGGTGTGGATGTCAAGAATGGCCTTCCGCCCGTCGACGTCGGGAAGTGGAAAGTAGAATTCGCGATCGAATCGTCCAGGTCGCCGCAAGGCCGGATCAATATTGTCCGGCCGGTTGGTAGCGCCGATGACGATAACCTGACCGCGCCCATCCATACCATCCATCAATGCAAGCAGTGTCGACACGATCGACGCGTGGATCTGCTCTTGTTTGCTAGAACGAACAGGTGCCAAACCGTCTATCTCGTCAAAGAAGATAATGCTGGGTTGAGTTTTGCGGGCCTCCTCGAACAGCAGTCGTAGCTGTTTCTCAGCTTCACCCACCCACTTGCTGAGGGCATCGGCACCCTTGCGCATGTAGAAGGTGATCTTGCGACCCCCGCTACCAATCGAGTTCGCCAAGGCCCGCGCGAGGAGAGTTTTACCGGTGCCTGGAGGACCATGGAAGAGGACACCCCTCGGGGGCGTGAGCTTAAACCTGAGGAAGAGCTCAGGGTAGAGCAGAGGGAGCTGTACCATCTCCTTCAGCTGGTTGATGTGGTTTGCCAGGCCGCCAACCTTGCTAAAATCCACATTCATATCAACACCGAGCGGGTCTGCATCTGCAAGAGCTTTTCGGTCCTTGATCTTGCCAACGTTTGGCGATGCACCAAGACCAAGCTTCTCGAGATCCCCACCACCTCCCAGCAGCCCAGGACCGTTAGCAGCAGTCGGCGTCATGCCAATCGCGCCGCCGACAGTGCCCGTCCTTGCACCCAGCTCGTCGTCACTGCTGTCTGAATCCGCACCACCGATAGCTGCGGCAGCGCCGGTGCCCCATGGGCCTTCTAGCAAGGACCCTGCCCCGCCAGCCCCGCCGAATGGGCCAAACGTTGAGTTCAGTGTGCGCTGCCACTTGGCGGGGCCGCCGCCATTGCGCTTGCGCTGTGAGGCAGGTGGTGGTATATCCTCGTCATCCTCCTGTTCGATCTGTTCTGCAGGAATTCTAATCCTGTAGTCGACGACCGGACGTCTTCGGGTTGATCGCTCCTCGTATGCGATTGGCGTGGACTGACGGCGACGTTGCCTGGTTCGGCGTGACCGCGACCGCGAGCTGCGCTTGAGGTCTTCGGCCTCCTCGGCCATTTCATCCGGGTCGAACACCAACTCGTCGCCAGAATCATCTTCATGGCGCCGGTTTTTAGCACGCGCTGTGGTTCTGCGCCCACGAGCAGGTCGCTCGCTTGAATCGCCGTCGTCTTCATCCATGTTTCCGCCCTCGGAACCTTCGCCTTCGCCAGAGTCGTTGGGATTGAAATCGCTAACTTCGTCGTCACCGCCCTTGTTCATGCGATCACTACCCTTACGGATGAGTCGGCCTGTACGTCGAGGGCGCGAAGTTACTGACTCGTCGTCACCGCCTTCTTCAGCGGCAGGGCCAGAAACACTTTGGCGGAGTGAGCGGGTCATGCGACGTCCTACAATGGGTTTATCGTCCTCGTCCTCGTCGGGATCCTGCTTCTGCAATGCAAGGTCGTTGGGATCCTCCATGGGGACGTCGTCTTCCACCGGCGCTTGCTCTCCCACGCCCTTTTCTTGCTGAGCAGCGCCCTCGGAGTCCTCAACCACTTCTTCGTCAGCATGCGCATCAGCATCTTCGTTATGCTCTTCTTCGGGTTGGAATGAGGTCTCATGAGATGCCTCCTCAATCGTCGCAGTGGCTGGCTCCTTGAGAGCCTTTGATGCCCTGGAGTTCCGTGTTTGACGGGTCAAGGTCTCGGGGCTCTTGCTCCTCGATGCAGCTCGGGCGGGTTGCTGATGCTTGCCAGATGTTGTCAGCTCCACGAATTCTTCTTCATCCGCCTCTTCCGTCCTGGCCCTGGTGCGCCGGGTACCGACAGATGATCCGGGCACTGGTTCGGAAGACGACGCCCCACCCTTGTGGCCCGTCTTCAAAATCACAATCTTTGAGTGCTTCTGGGGTTTCGGTTCATCATCGTCATCTGATTCGTCCACGATCTCATCCTCGTCGCTTGCCTCGACGTAATTGACGGCCTTCACAGCAGCCTTTCTGGCTCGGCGACCGGCGGCATTGACGGGTGCTTCTTCCTCGTCTTCGTCATCATCGACGAAGGACCCCTCGTCCATACTATCCGAGAGAACATCATCTTCATCATCGTCGATATCCGAACCACGATATTTGTTTGCGCGCCGACTGGGGCGACCGCCCCTGGCATAGGAAACCCGGGGCGTCTTCTTGGAACGGCGTGGTCGATCTTCGCTGGGATCGAAATTCTCGTCGTCAGGATCGGACTGATTGGGGTCGAAGCCATCGAGGATATCCCTCTTTCGCTTATTCGGCGCCATTGTGGTGATAAGACAAAGAATCGCTTGCTTCGTGGGGGCTGGGAGGATACAGGCAGCTGTTGGATTGGATGTTTGCTCAAAAATTAATCAAGCATGGGTGGCAGAATCGATAACAAGAGATGGCCTTGCTTGAGTCTGTAGCAAGGTTGATCTGAATGAATGCGCAATGATGATGCAGGTCAGTGGGCTGTGCTGATAAGGCGTCAACTGGTTGGCTTAGTTGTAATTTCACTTTGAGCTGGAGGGGAGGCTTTCCGGAAGTCTTTGCTTTATGACTGGCCATGGACCTTGTATAGAGGGCAGACGGGTGTGACACAGTGCTGTGGACTTCTTGAAAGCTGATAAAGACTTACATTGTATAACGCAGCAGAGGGTCAGAGAGGGTTGGCTGGTGTGTAGGGGAGCTGACACCAGATAGGCAGTGCTTGCTTGTGAAGGAAGATGCGATCCGGGGATGATGCAGCAGCAGAGTGGCTGTGGTCACTGTTGTGTGGAGATCAGGAGCGAGAGGGTTCGAACTGACATGCCAGAGTGGAGTACATGCTGTATGTGTGATGAACAATGCAGGCAATGCAGACTGCTTGATGAACTCGATCGTCACAGTTGATGGGCAGTGATTTTGTCTTGTTCAGCAAAAGCGCTGCCTCAGACAGACAGGGTGAATGGCTGATGGCAGGAAAATGGCAGTCACTAGACGCGTTTCCTGGGAAGAACTGTGGGTCTCCCCCAATCTCTGGCCAATCGCACCCCGCATAAGCGGGTCAGCACGGATGCTCTCCCCCTGACAACCTCAGGACAATGGCAAAAACCCTCAAAGCCGCTTCAACTCGAAAAAGATTGTGAACCTTTATTGAACACCCAGAGCAAGTCAGGAGAGAGAGAAATGTTACCAGATGTGAATTCCTAAAAAGCGCAATTGATATACTCTAGCTCTCGGTTCTAGAAAGAAAGTCTTGCCTCAGGGCTACGAAGAATTTACAATAATATGAAGGTTGCTCACCATGGTCATCGACAGAAAAACAGTTTACTCAAATGGGAAATCTATTTTCGCGTGTCGTCATTGTCTTCGCAGATGTCTAGGGTACCGCGTGGTCGGGAGACTTATTTACTCCACATGGCGGGCGGGTAGGATGAGGCTCAACGGACTGACATGGCGTTTGCTAACGTGGGCTTATTGACGAGGGGGTTCGGGGCAACTGGGGCTTCAAGGCAGATCGGCAGGACCCGATAGCATCTCCCCTGCTGCAGGATGCAAAGGGACGGGTCGAGGTTGAACGAGGGAGGGAGGAGAAGAAAGAGAGGGGGAAGAGGAGGGGGGGGGGGGGATGAGCTTGGCTGTGCTGTGCTGGCTGCCAGCTAGAGGGGCAGTTTTTGCTGAGATTTGACCAAGTCAAATCTTGCAAACCCTTCCACTGGACGCACTGCTCTACCACCACGGACGTGCTAAAATTGTAGTTGGAAACTCCCAAGCGAACCGCTTCTATGTGGGTCGACCGGTTCTATACAAGAATGATGCTGAGTGACTTGGCTGGGTTGGATCCGAGTTGATGTCGACTGATGCTGCTTTAATATTTTTTGGGCTCTAACCTTGCCACCCGTAAGAGGCCAGAGGACCCCGGAATCTTAGAGAAAAGTGAGAAAAGTGTGACCTGTAGTTCTGCCTGTTCTCTATACTAACTGCTCAACATAGACGCAAATCAGGCGAATATGGACGAGGGTATGTAAGAGAAATTATAGATTGGCATGCACTGAATGTGCTACCTTGTGAACAAATAGTGATTGGATTTTATGTTGCGCTGTGCTGTAGCTAGTGGTTTAATCGGGTGGGTTAAACATCGGTGAGCCGGTTGACGGATGGTTTCCCGTGGTGGTGAGTTTCGAGCGAGGTCCATGCATGGGTCTCGGCCTCCTAATGCAATGTTCAGCCCCACCCCCAAGACAGCCCTTGTACAGCGTTGGTCTATAATTTTGATGATGGCATGTTCATATACCTTCTCATCGTCATTCTCACCGTCTTCCCCGCCTCATCTTCGGGAACACGAGCGGCAACTTCAGCACACCAAAGCAATCCGTCCTGCCCTCCTCGACCTTCCTCTTGTTGATCCTCGCACCAATCTCCATGAAGAATTGGTTCATTTCCTTCTGCTCCAGCTTGAGATCCTCCTTCAGATCCCAGGTGTTCGTGTCGTAGTTATCAAGTATGCACGCGAATGCGCACAGGTGTGTCGTGAGCAGATCCACATGCGGCTTACGCATAACACCCCCCTCTGTGAACTTACGGCGGATGCTCTCGATCACGGGCGGCTGCGCAGGCGCCAATTCTTCTTGAAGCTTATCCTTCTTAAGGATCTCCCTGGCGCCCTTGTCCCTACCCTTGCGAGAGGTCATCAACACCACTAGCAAGAAATAAGTGTACCTTAACAACCGCAGTCGGGCCACCGCATTCTCCCCCGACCCGATCCGCCTCAGCCGGTTTGCCACAAACCGCGACCGCAGCTTGACATCCTCGTTCTTCTTGACAGCCTGCATCCAGTCGTTGACCTGGATCAGCTCCAGTACGTCCCTGCCGATGAGCTCCTCTGGTTTGTACACGTCTTGTATCTCGTCGGCTTCGAGGTTGCCCCTGGGCACCGGCTTGCCGGCATCGATAGCGCTCTGCAGGTCCTCGTGTGTCGGCACGCTCATGGCCACATCCTTCATAGAAGCCATGAGGGCCTTCTCGGATGCGTCAAGTATTTGCGCGCCGTCGCTAATCTTCGACTTATGCGGGTTGATGGCATTCTCGACCACGGCGGCGAGCGCTTTCTTCGCTTTCTTGGTGCCGAAAGCTTGGCCGAGTTCGGTGCGTTGATCGTACATAGACTGAAAAGACATTAGCTGGGTGTTTGGAGTACAAGTGATTTGGGTGATGTGTACCTGAGATGACAGTTGTGGCTGCATCTCCTCCTCGGAGGCCTGTTGTGCCCGTACAGCGCCCCTCACGATCATCTTCTTGGCTTCTGCGAGCTGTAGTTGGCCTGTGGTTGGATCGAGGAGCCCTATGTAGTGTTTGAGAAGCGGTTGGCCATCTTTCGGCTTGTCCTCTCGTGCCGTGTAGTCCAGTGTCCTGTGGCTCGCGGAGTGCAGGAGGAGGTCATCAGAACGGTACCGAGGGCGTTTTGCAGGTCGTCGTGAATATGAGTTGAAGACGGCATCTTGGGACACCGAAATGCCAGGCGCGGTAGCTAGAAAAGGAGAAGATGGAGTGTCAGAGCCATGTCAACGTCTGGGGTCGAATGAAACACATACCGACTACTGGCGGAGAGATTCGTGGTTGCACAACGGAGGAGACTTTGATCGACCGACCCTGGAGAGATGCGGTTGAGTCTGTTGCAACTTTATTTTTCTTCGACTTCTTCTTTTCGGACCCGTGGTCGTCGTTGTGTTTTCTCTTCTTGCTACTCACGCCCGCCATCTTTGAACCGATCGAGAATTGCAATCAATCACCCAAAGATGGAGAGCTGTCGTTGCGGACAAATCGCTGCACAGGGCTGCTGTGCCAAAAATTTCAGGAAGTTGGCGGGCCAGGCGCAGGCCAAACCGGCAGGGGCCTCTGAACTTTTTGTTTTTGCCGACCACACCGCTTGCCAGTCTCAACACCCGCAGGCAGCCCCACTTTCACGACATCATACGGAAGAAGCTGTCGCACAGCTTGAAATCTCGAAATGCCTTAAAAGTCATTGGATTAGACAATAGCTGACAGAGAAGTATTCTTCAGCTCACGATGGCAACGGAGAACCATGTCTGGCCGCTCAACGCTACCAGACTGGGTAGTATAGCACTTTGAAGCCGAGGAAGGAAATTTTTTCCCTGCGATTCTCTGCAGCTCAGATCTCTTCTACAAGCCCGGTAGCCTTTTTACGCTCGTGTAGGCAGGTGTACAGTGATCTGGCAACAAATGCCCAAGATGTGGAGAAAATTCATATACCAAACATCGTTTTGTCTATTTCTCACTCGTCAAGTGTGGGTTTGAAGTCCGTACGACGTGGAACCACAATGTGAAGTAGCAACACTGACAATTGACATGGATTTGCTGTGGTCCAGAGACAGGTCACGCGAGGTCACGCACAGATGTGGAATGGATGGAAGCGAACTGCTTTTTCTTTGCTTTGTACTTGTCTCAAGACCCCCTTCAAGTTTTCGTGAGTGTCCTTCATAGCATCGCAGTTGGCTCCAGTAGTGGCGTGTCATGCAAACACGTGTGCCCGTATCGACCTCCGGGTTAAATGTAATAGGTAGTTCTCTACAAAGAAGCCGTCACAATTGCCAGCCTTCATGCGTCGTCATGAACCCGCCCAGCTCCAATCCACCCCAAAACTTGGGTCCAGGAATCTCAGGAGATCCGATCCTCCCCAACACAGGCAGATGGTAGACCAGAGATGACGATGGTGCTTAACGCGAGTGATTGCTTCAGGCCGGTGACAATGACATGGTGTGTATCATTACTTGATGGTTGTCATGATGGCTCTGTTGTTTAAGGCTCGAGCTACCGTGAGGTCGCTTGGTGCGAGGTGTTTACTTGCTGTAGATGAAGTCAGTGTACTTATTCAGGAATGGGTGAGGACGCAGAAAAGCTTGGAGAGACGAACCTTCTCGCTCTCATCTTTCTTCTCTTGCGCTTGAGGCGGCGAACGCGCTTCTTCCTCCACTTGGCTCTCATCGTGAACGATTGGTACTGTTGGTGGTGGGGTTAGCTGCGTATGTTCAAGCTCCGAGCGACGTGTGACGTAGTTCGCATCAGCAGCAGAGCAGCGCGGTCGCGGATGGACAGATCAATTGAATGGAAATGATCAATTGGCCATTGCGAGGATGCAGCTGCAGCTGCTGATGATATTGGTACACAGGATGGGGGAGAGGAGCTTACATTGTTCTGCGGTGAGAGAAGTCGTTGGTGGTGTTAGGAAGAAAGACGAATGCGGGAGCTGCTCAGCGGCTGGTTTTTGTAACGTTCCAAGGTTTGGTGGGGAACAAACGCTAGTTAGGTAAGCCAGAATGGTCACGTGCTCTTGTCCCTCCAGGGTTAGGGTCCTTGTAGCCCCTTGTGCTGCAAAGGAGGATAGAAGACGAGCCCATTTCAAGTAAATTTCTCCTGAAAGCTTGATCTAAAGTTGAGAAAGTATTCGGTTCCACCTCTGTAGTTCTATTTTGCAATCAAACGTCATTTATTGAGGTGCTCTGGACGCAAAGGGGATGCTGTGTACGACAGGCTCACCTCCTGGTTTAGGGCGGCCGTCTAACGATTGGAAATTTAAGACGAAAGGCAGGTGCGATGATCTATTCTAGTCTGTATAATGAATCTGGTTTGTCTTTTGGAACCGGCGATAATTTGTTTTCAATATCATGGGCAGTGAAACCTCTCCGTCTACAATGAGGCCATTAGAGCTCACCCTCGTACTTGCAGCCACCCGTGACATGGGCATTGGCCTGCGAGGGACTCTTCCCTGGACGGGTCTGAAAAAGGAGATGGCCTACTTTGCAAGAATCACGAAGAGGCTTCCGCCCGCAGTAAGTATCATCTCAGACAGGTCTTCAAGTATGCTGAAAAGTAGGTCGTCCTGTGGCTGACATTGGTCAGGTCGAACCCACAACTGTCAATACAGTGATCATGGGACGCAAAACCTGGGATAGCATCCCGCCAAAGTTTCGCCCTCTCAAAGGACGTCTCAATATCGTCATCAGCCGATCCTTCAGCACACCGCCCGAGGAGCCAAGCAGTATCGAGGCAGGTCCGGTCAAGGCCTCGTCGCTGGAGCAGGCAATATCATACCTGCATGGTAAATCACCGGGCACGTTGGGACGGGTGTTCGTCATAGGCGGCGGCCAGATCTACACTTCAGCCTTGGAGTTGGGGGAGACGAGGAGGGTACTTTTGACGAAGGTCATGACTGATTTCGAATGTGACACGCACTTCTCGCTAAAGCTGAGCGATGAGGGGGAAAGCACTCCCGGGTGGACAAAGAGGCCAAAGGAGGACTTGGATGCGTGGGCTGGGGAAGCAGTGCCAGAGGGTGTGCAATCTGAAAACGACACACAGTACGAATTTCAGATGTGGGAGAGGACAGATTAATTTTTTATTTTATTTTTCTCGTCATTTTCTCTTCCCTTCTTCTTGTTCCAGATAATTACATTGCTCACAGCGGCCAGATGCTGATTATCTGCCCTCTATACGCAAGCCATCGTGCCCGTAATGCTTCACCCGAAGCGACTGGCCGGGCTTTTTGGCTGCTTAGCGCTTTCAACAGACGCTGGCTTCACATCATTCAAAGAGGCCATCTGATCCACCACCTTCAGTTCCGCGGTAGGCTGCGTCTTGAACACGGTCCCTCCATGATACAACAACGCCGGGTCGAGCATCTGATCCAAGGATCTCAGCGTCGACCTCATCCAGCTAACGATTGCCGCCACATGCCGCATGTCCACATCCTCCCTACTCATAAACACATTTCTCCACACGGCGGCGGCCATAACCGCATCGCCCTTAACCAGCCCCTCGTCGTAGGCAAGTATCACGCCCCGCCATGTTTGGAAGAGTGAGTTGAGCTGGCCCGACCGGATCATCCTGCTCTTCATGCCGTGGTTGATCTCCATCAGGTCCTCGGCGTGCTGGAAGAAATGATTGACCAGCTGCGTCTGCCAGGCCTGCCAGGCGTTCTTCTCGAGACAGCGCAGGCGGACGACAATGAGGTAGAGGTGTAGCATGGTAACTTGGGACCAGGTGCTGAAGGTGGGGACGAGGCCAAATTCTGCAGCGCACAAAGAAACAAAAAGCTTCCGTTAGTGACCTATTGAACCCAGCGCACCCAACAGCGCCTTGGATGGACAAATTAACCTACCTTCGTACCACACGCCAGTTCCGACACCAATCTCCATGCCGTCCTCTGTCATAGGGACCTCTTCCTTCTTTCGAAGCTCCTCTGAAATCGTATACGCTGCCGGCTTCGAGCAGGCCTTGTACATGGTTTCCGTCGCACCGTAGATCGCGTACGGCTGCACTGCTCTCCGCGGCAAAATCGCACTAGCTATAGTGAGGAGAGTCTTACTGAGCCCGGAAGGCGCAGACGCTGGCTGCGACTTCTCTTCTCGACGTGCGGTGGTCTGGTGGAACGCTCGTCTCGAATGTCTTGCAATGTCTGCGACGGAGGTGCGCTGGGTGTAATTCAGCTCGATCAAGGCGCGAAGCTGCCGCCGCGCGAGGTCGCGGCATGGTCTGCAAAGCTGGTTGGCCATGATCTTGTAGCCGAACCTCGATATGACTGGAGAGGGAGGGTCTCGAATCTCAGAGCCCAGGTCTGGAACAGCATGCAGCTCCTGTGATATACGGGCTGACAATGGTTCGCGTCATGGATGGTTTGCGCTTCGAGCCCAAAAATTTAGTGATGCAATCCTTGTAATGATGCGCCGGCAGGCAGGCTTACTGCAGTGCTTGCATGGTTCTAGCAGCGTCGAAGTGGAGTTCCGAGCACTAGAATGATGAAGGGTCTTCAAATCATTAGCAGACAATTGTTCCTGGTCAGCCAAGTGCACCCCCTGCCCTAGGCTTCGGGATAGAAAGAAGCATCAAAGGAAGAGGGCATCAATTCAAGCAGGATGAAGATGAATATAAAGCATACAAATAAAAAGGAAAGCAAGGTAAATCGCAGGCACGAGCCGCAAAATAAAGGCTGGACAGATCTCGCACCAAATACACTATGGCAAAGTCCCGGAATTGTCTTGACCTCCTAGAAATGATATTATCAGGAATAAATACAAAGAACAAGTCGCCCCAGTCCTCTCAGCCTTTTAACCATGTGGTTCTTCGGAAATTCCATAGGCTGGACTCGGCTGACACCTAAGTCTGTAATGCAAGACGCCATTGCTGATGCAATCAAAGCCCATACTGCCAGTTGCCATGCACTCACGGCCTCACAAATATCTTGAAAATACAAGGGAGGCATTTGTACCACCGAAGCCGAAAGAGTTCGACATGGAAACATCCACCCGTTGTTGCTGTGCCTGCAGGGGCACGAAGTTGAAATCGGCTCCTACGTTTGGGTTGTGCAGATTCAGGGTAGGTGGTACTGCGCTCTGCGAACAGTCAGTGGCTTTGTCTTAAGTATTTGCTCAGGCTTGTGGTGGCCTACCTCTGAGATCGCCAACACAGAGAAGAGCGCCTCGATCGCACCAGCAGCACCGAGCAGATGACCGACTGCTCCTTTGGTACTGCTCACGGTGACCTGGCTCTCACTGTCCACACCATCCTCTCCCAGCATTAAGGTCCTGATTGCACTAGCTTCTGCAGCATCGCCAATCGGGGTGCTGGTAGCGTGAGCATTGATGTAGTTCACCTCACGTGGTCTTATCTGCGCATTCTTCAAAGCTCTTTTCATGGCTAGCAAGGCGCCTGACCCATCCTCTCGTGGAGCCGTCATGTGGTGTGCATCACCGCTGCAGCCATAGCCGGCAACCTCAGCCAGAATGTCGGCACCTCGCGCCTTGGCGTGCTCGAGCTCCTCGAGAATGAGGACAGCCGCCCCCTCAGCCACGACAAATCCGTCTCTATCCCTGTCGAAGGGCCGACAGCTCGCCTTCGGATCACTGTTGTAGGCGGTAGATAGGGATCTAGACCTGCCGAAACCCGCAAAGGTCAGAGGGTGGATGCAAGATTCCGAGCCGCCGGCGACCATAACATCGGCGTCCCCGTACGCAATGAACCTGGACGCGTCTCCTATGGAGTGAGCGCCAGTTGTGCACGCCGTGGTTGCGGAGTGGTTGGGTCCCTGAAACCCATACTTCATGGAGACATGGCCAGCCGCAAGATTGATGAGAATCTTGGGGACAAACAGGGGAGACACTTTCTTGTAACCCTACCTATGATCTTAGCCTCTCGCGCATAAACCGCAGCAACGTTTCAGGAGGGCCAAGCTCGCTCACATCTTTCTCAAAGGCGAGACTGGTGGTGTAGAGCTCGTCCAGGTTGCCAATGCCGCTCCCCACGCAGACCCCAGTAGCCTCAAGGTCACCCTGGCAGGTTGGTTTCCACCCGGCATCCACGAGGGCCATCTCAGCAGCCGCAATCGCATACTGGGCGAACTTTGACATGCGCCTCTGTTCCGTGGCATCGAGCCAGTCTGGTGGATGCCATTGTCCCTCAGCTAGTCCACCCGCGCCGCCTGGAACGAGTCCAGCAACGGTGCTGGTGAGACCTTTCCACCGGGCTCGAGGCTCGACTGCAGAGAGATCTACCAATCCAGCCTCCCCAGCTAGGAGACGTTTCCAGGTTCTGCGGGCGCCTACTCCGAGGGGACTGACGGCGCCAAGACCTGTCACGACAACACGGCGCATAGTGTTTCCATGTCCGAGGCCCAGACTCGAGAGTTAACAGGCGAGGCCACAGGCGTCAAAGCTACAGAGACAGGGGGTTCAGTATCAGTGAGCCTGTTCCTGTTCCTGTTCCTGGCTTAAGGTTGATGAGAAGCTTGATCACTCAGGCTTCTCAATGGCTCTTGGTAGCAATGAATGTATGTGTCCGAGCTGAGAATGGAGGAGGATTTTCCATGGATGAAACTTGTCATCCGCAGAAGACAGGAAAAGAAACGATAAGGTTCTGACTGGGTTGCGCTAATCCAGAGCCAGGTGGGAAGGTGAACCACCCCTGCCCCAAGCCCACGGGCCTGCCCTACGACCCCCAGGTTCGCCCCGTAACCAGTGGTAGGCGGTATCTGCAGGGGCAAGGCATGGCGAGGTATCAGGCTTACTAGGACCAGATCGCGGTTTCTAAATCCAGACCACAATAAGGCCCACGCAGCCGCATTGTCTGACAAAGAACGTGGCCCGATAGTCCCCTGCTCTGTTAATCCGCATCCTCTTCCTCCTCCTCCTCCTCCTCAGAGACGACAACACATTGCCTTTCTGGATTTTGACCAGAGATGCTGCACCCACGAAATACCCTCCAGTAAACAATATGAAACTCGTCTCTATTTCAATTTAGACATTCTCTTCTTCTGGCAGCTGATTCACTTCAATCCATTCCTTCAAGACGGCCTTGTTGCGCGGAACATCTCTTCGGGGTTCAGCCACCTTCGATTCGTTCATTCGTCTCGAAACACGGCGATTGCAAGTCAGGTTTTCTCTCGCTTTCTTGGGCTATCGTCTCGAGACAGTACATCGTGAGTACAGGGTGAACGGCCTCTCTCTCGAGGCTGGGAAACAAGTACCAGGGGACTTAAGACGTCTGTCTGTCCATACTCCCAGCTGCTTCATCGCGAGTCCATGATCACACCATCATAGATCCGTATCCGACCATTTAAAGTCCATCAAGATATTTCGTTACGCCAAGAGACACGATAAGGGTCCACAGTTTCATATCCACAGAGATGCAGTGCTTCCCAAAGCTTTCCACATGGTAGTCGAGATCACTCCCGTTCCTTGACTATCGAGGCTATCTGGCGGCCCAACCTGTGCTTGCCGCAAGTCCGTTTCAGCCTTCTCTAGACACTCTCTCCCTTCCTTATCGCCATATAATCGATCGTCAAAATCTAGCCAGGATAGACCTTCGACCAGGTCAGTTTTGCAATCACACGCGTCCGCGTGGTATAGTCTCGCCCTCGGCTTGCGTGACTGGACGATAACCTTGGTTCTCATCTGAGACACCTCACTTTCATGCGGATTGGGTCTGCCAAATCGACACTTTAGGCCAGGGCTAGGGTTTTACGACTCGACCACCATTTCCGAACTCAGAACTTCTGTCCGGATAGCCCAGCTGCATTGATCTGCAAGCAGTTGCTGTCTGGTGGCACACGACAAACCTGTTATCCGAGTGCCCTGCTCTGCAGCGCTCCGGGTCTGGGGTTGCAAATCACGAGCTAATACATCGGTCGAAGCGCGGATGACGGTCTTGCCTCGTGGGACAGGCGAATCCCATTACTGGACCTTATCAGCGTCCTCGCGGGCCAAACTTTGAGATCACTTTTGGGCTGCTTCATGTTCGTTTGCGATCGACAAAGTATAGTCCAGGACTGCTTTGCCGTGGTTTCGGCCCAGCTGGTCGTCGACCAGCAAAGCATAGGTGGGCAATTAGATCACCCCTAAATAGCACACTCCCCTCTTGCTCATCATACCTCTACGGGTGTCTGTCTGTCTCTTGATTCGTTCTCCTCATTGTCGGGTCCTGCACCATGGCCCAGCCATACAGAGACGAGCCGTCTGGTACGGCCAAAAAGCTTCGTATGGCAGGAGACGATCGAGACAAGAACACTGAGGTTGATGTGACGGGGGCTAGTGGGAAGGAGGCGGAAGCTGAATCGTCGTCGACGGGCACCTTCGAGACCCCTCTGGGTCGCCGGATGAGCCCTGTCGATGACCTCAAGCACCGCCTCTCGCTATGGGGTGAGTCTAATACCCAGCCAGCAGACAGTGACGAAGAAGGATCAGAATACGAATTGTTATTAGACCCGAACCTACCCGAGGAGTACACACGACCGCTGGCGACACGTGTATCATCCCGAACCTCTATCAACTCCGCCGACTCCATCGACGAGGAAAAGGCGTCCAAGATCTACAACGAGGATGGAGACGAGGAGGACTCACCCTACCCGGAAGTCCGGGCCGCGGTGCACAACTACGATGTTGAGATGCCTTGCAATACGGTGAGTGAAGTTCTGAATCGGTAGCTGAAATTTTCCCTCGGCTTGCTAACACACATAAACCACCCAGGTGCGTGCTTGGACTATTGGTTTGGCCCTTGTTGTCATCGGTGCTTCGATGAACACGCTGTTCTCACTCCGGAACCCGTCCATCGGCCTTGGAGCACTCATTGCCCAGATCATCGCATGGCCTATTGGTCATGGATGGGCCAAAATCATGCCCAAGAAGCATTTCAACACTTTCGGTCTGAGGTGGTCGCTTAACCCGGGACCATTCAACATCAAGGAGCATTCCATCATTGTTGTGATGGCCAGTGTCTCTTTTTCGGTGGCTTATGCAACAGACATTATCCTGGCCCAGAAGGTTTTCTACAAGCAGGACTTTGGCATCGCCTGGCAGTTCATGTTGACCATCTCGACGCAGTCTCTTGGTTATGGAATCGCGGGCATCATGAGGAGGTTCCTTGTATACCCTGCGTCGATGATATGGCCCGCCAACTTGGTATCTGTCACCCTTATGAACGCTATGTACGAGAAGAACGAGCACCCCGACCCCACGGTTCTTGGCGGCATGATGCCTCGCTACAGGTGGTTTGCGTACGTCACCTTTGGCGGCTTCGTGTACTACTTCATCCCTGGCTTCTTTGCTCAGTTCCTGAGTACCTTTGCCTTTGCTACCTGGATCGCACCCCAGAATCCCGTGGTCAATCAGCTCTTTGGCGCTTCCACTGGCTTGTCCATCATCCCTATCACCTTTGACTGGACTCAGATCTCAGGCTTCATTGGCTCCCCATTGATTCCCCCTTGGCACGCTATCGCCAATACCCTGATCGGTGTCGTGGTCTTCTTCATCTTTGGTGCTTCTCTTTTCCACTACACGGGGACTTGGTACGGCCAATTCCTGCCAATGAGCGATTCCGGAACCTACGATAATACGGGCGCCCCTTATAACACGACGCGCATCTTGACGCCAGAGCTCACCCTCGACCAAGAGGCGTACGAGAATTATTCGCCCCTCTTCATCAGGTGTGTGCTTATTGTCCCTCCATTTCTCATTCGCGCGGACGGGGCCACTGACTTTGCAATTTCAGTACTACTTTTGCTCTCTCTTACGGTCTGTCTTTTGCTGCCATCACGTCTCTCATAGTCTACACGTATCTACATCATGGCGAGAGAATCTGGACGCAGTGGAGACACAGCAAGAGCGAGCCTGATGATATCCACATGAAGCTCATGAGAAAGTACCCCGAGGCTCCTACGTGGTGGTACGGGAGCTTGTTTATTCTTGTAAGTTACGCTGTTTCCTTACCCCAAGCTGTATCCGAGGTCACAAGCTGATGTCATTTGTAGATGCTCTGTCTTGGCTTCGTGACTGTACTGGCCTACCCCACCAACCTGAATTGGTGGTCCTTCCTACTGGCAGTAGCTATCTCATTTGGGTTCGCGCTGCCCATTGGAATCATTCAAGCTATCACGAACAACCAGATTGGCCTGAATGTGTTGACCGAATTTGTTTATGGGTACATCCAACCTGGACGTCCTCTGGCGCTAATGATGTGAGTTCAATAAAGCATTTTCCTACCATCTACAACTGGATATCTGCTAACTCCTATGTAATTATAGTTTCAAAACGTTTGGGTACATCACAATGAGCCAGGCACTGTCCTTCGTATCTGACCTGAAGTTTGGTCACTACATGAAGATCCCGCCGCGGACCATGTTCATGGCCCAGGTGGTGGCAACGACCTTCTCCTGCTTCATCCAGATCATTGTCCTAAATGCTTCGCTCAACGCTATTCCCGAGGTCTGCACAACGACCCAGCGCGAACACTTCTCCTGCCCCGGAGGCAAGGTCTTCTTCTCAGGTACGCTTCTTCCCCGGGCTGCTGGAGGTTCCAAGATGTGGTCTCAAGAAGGAATCCACGCTGATCATGTAAACACAACAGCCTCCGTCATCTGGGGTCTTCTCGGCCCATCGCGCATCTTCTCCCCGGGCCAGATTTACTCTGGCCTGTTCATCTTCTTCGGCGTTGGCGCCGTCGTCCCCATCATCTTCTACTATGCCATGAAGCGCTGGCCCAAGTCACCTGCCAAGTACCTCATCGCCCCCGTCATCTTCGGCGGCTCCGGATCCATCCCGCCTGCCACGCCTCTCAATTACCTATCATGGGGTGTCGTCGGGTTCGTGTTCCAGTACCTTATTAAGACACGGCACTTCAGATGGTGGAGTCGCCTTAACTTCCTCACCTCGTCGGCTCTCGACCTCGGCCTCGCGCTCAGCACCCTGGTCATCTTTTTCGCGTTCACGCTGAACGACATCAGCCCGCCCTCGTGGTGGGGTAATGACATCGTGACGCAGACGATGGATGCGCAGGATACCGCTATACAAGTTATTCTGCCGGTGGGACAAACGTTTGGGCCGAAGACATGGCATTAGAATACTGGAAGGCTTGGGTTGGAGTTTTGGGAGGGCAAGAGGGGAAGACGGGTTTTGAAGACCTGGCGTTGGATTTAAATTGGCGTAGTGTGCAAAGCAGTTGTGATGGTCTCGTTTTGTGGATTCCATCGTCTTCATAATAAATTAACTATTGGGCTCGACTTTGGTCTTTACACAGGATCCTCACCACCCGTTTCTTTCCCCTGTAAGCAATCAATCTACTACTCCGAGAACCGCAGCTGCTTTCTATATAAACCTCTTACTCCATTTCCAGCCTGTACAAGGATGTCTATCCTCTTAGTGCCCACATACACTATGACACTTGTGTCCGAGACAGGCTCTTGGCAAGGCTGAACGAAGCCTTACTTACAATGAAGACAAGGCCGTTTGCCACCCAAAAGGCGTGCAGACATCACCAGCCTACCGCTGAATCGTCTATATTTTTCAATTCGATCACTCCCGATATTCTCAGGGCTGCTCTTCCAGTTCAGCTCACCAGGACGACTTGCTCAGATTGGTAAGGCGCGAAAGTGGCGGCGCAGCAGAAAGTGCACAATTCAGCAGAGGGCTATCGTCCCATAAGGGTCAGCACTGAACTTGTTCTCTGGCTCCAGCTGAGTCTGGACAAGAATTTATGTCTAGTGATGTGGACAAAATCTGGTTGCCGTCGGTAACACTCCCTTCCGGCGGCGCAGTCTGTGAATGTGGCTGACAGCCACTGTGAGATCTAGACGATTCTGGCTAATCGTTCATTGAGAAAGCCATGTATACTTACAGACATGTCACGCACGTGGACGCCAAACTTTAGATACGCCGAGGGAAAATTGTAAAGAACGCAAGGCCAGCCCGAAATGGCCGTAAGGCATCATGGTCGCATGAACAGGACGTCCATAGTTTTCAGCTGCCTTCTTCCAGGCTTCATTGGGGGAGGCCTACCAAAAACTTTTTTTTTTTTTTTTTTTTTTTTTCAAAGACTTCTTGCCCACATTCTTTACTGAATGGTCTGATTCTGCAAAGGCACTGGTGTAATTCTTTTTTCCTTTTCATTTCTGTCTCGCTCTCTGATTTACTTGTCGTCTTTCTGAACCATCCTCTGCTTTTTACACACGTTGTTTGTTAATGCAGAAGAAGAAGAAAAGGCAATGTTCTCAACGGCGACTCGCTCCTTTGTTTTCTGGGTTTTCCTTACAGTATGGAGCGAGGATGCCTTCGTAATTGCCCTCGCCACCCCACCTTCTCCTCCTCCTCCTCCTCCTCCTCCTGCTGTCGTCACGCCGGGCCCAGCGTTCGATCCGGCAGATCTAGTCAAGAGGGGATCCGGGCAGACATGTGGTTTCATCAGCGGCGACTCAAGTAAGTTTGAAGAGACGGGGGGGGGGGGGGCGGAAACAAAACCAAAACATCTTTCGAAACCGACAATGTTGATGATCCGAACTCAATAATTATACCTTGCAACTATGAATCTAACACTCTCATCGCAAGACTCACCAGTCACCTGCCTTGGGACATCGACCTGTGACTACCGCAAGGGCTACTACTGGGGCTGTTGCGACGCCTCTACCTGCTGGAGCCCTGCGACATGCGAGCCAGAGGGCCACTCATACTGCGGTGGTGTTGCGTCTGACGCCTGTGTCTACACGCAGATACAACAGTGGTGAGTAGCAGCAGCCTCCCTGGGACATCGTTTTTATCATACCATCTACCTATCTTAGCAATTTTGCTTAACCCCCCCCCCCCCGGCCTTTCTTTTTGTTTATGTCCCTTGCCTCTTTCCCATCCTCTTTCTGTTTTCCCCAAAATAAATAAACGAATAAAAGGGAAGTAAACCCCACGGCTAACCCGGAAACAAATTCCTCTACGTAGCTCTGACGATACTCCCTCGTGCGTAACATATATCCTATCCTCAAGCTACGGCGGCAGCAAGACCACCTCCTGGGCCTGCGGCGCCGCTGCTACTACATACGACGTCCTAGCAGCCACGGTGCCGGAGAGTCAAGAGTCCACAGCGACGTCGGATGTTAGTGGTACAGGAACACAATCGGCTGCAGGGCAAAGCAGCTCAACAGGTGAGACGAACAACATCCTCTCTCTTTTCCTCCTGTCTAGACATTCCTTTTTCTTCTTCTTTCTTCTCTTCTTCCTTCTTCTTAGTTCTATCCAGGCTGCTTCAGCTTAATTATCTCATTTCCCTTCATCCACGACCGACTTGTCTCTTGATAAAAACACGATCTGAACATGTAATCTCCCGCAGGCACGGCGTCAACCTCCTCCAAGCCCACGAGCACATCCTCAGGCGGGCTCAGCCCCAGCGAAAAGATAGCCCTTGGCCTCGGAATTCCAGGCAGCATCATCATACCAATCGCAGGAATACTCGTTGGCTTGTGGGTACAGAAGCGGCAAAGGCGAAGGGAAGAGGCAAAGAAGGAGAAAGCGGAGAGGGAGTCCCACGCGAACCTGCAGAGCGCCTCGCAGCGTGGTAACAATAACAGTGCGGTGGTTGCGCAACATGGGGGGAATGTTTATAATAATTATGGGGGAAATATCTTTAGGTGAGGCTATCACGCTTTTGTAATTGCTTAGTAGCGGACGATTGAACTTGGATCTTTTGAATTGATTGAAAGAAAATTGCCATCTCGAGGTGGTGATATGGAGGATCAAGCAGCAGCTATACTAATTATAATAAGTCTACGTACATCTGGTGGGGTCGAAAACTCTCCATGTCATAATAACGGAAATTATGAAGTTTGATTAATCCGAGGCCCGCCGCCTGTCTTTGAAATAACTTAGAACGTATTACCAGGGTCCACGGGTATTCGCATCCACATTTTTTTTTATACAGATCTAGCGTTAGAGAGGTTCGCAGCGCCAAGCTGGCGCCAACCTGACTGTGCGACCTTTGTGTGTGTCATAAATTCGTCAGTATGTGCCTTATCATGGAGGATCGCTGTCTCCGCATCGCCTTTCCATTCCAATCGTGCCCTACATGTGCCAGTCACGTTCCTGACAAAAAAGAGCGCACTCAGTAATACGTCATTGCACTAAACCTAGGCAAGGACTTGGCCACCCCCTTTCTTTTTTCCATCCCTTTCCTTTTTCTTTTTTTTTCTTTATTTAGTTATTTTTCAATCAACTTCATTCAAGATGGGTGCTATGGCCCATTCGACGCCTAAAAAGAATAAATTTCAAGGAGCCTGTGAATTCAACGATGCACATGGTATCCCATACTTTAAATCTGACGCATTTCGGCATTTCGGCTTTGGCAAGTCATCCGGCTGGGCTGCCCTCCGTGAGCCTGAGCAAAGAAATGGACGAACATTTCATTCGACATACTCCGAGACTAGAGGAAGGCGTCGATTGATAGATAATCAACGCCTTGCTCAGCTTGAAAGATTCCTTGAATCTGAAGGCTTTGATGCTCGTACAACTTCCTGGGAAGCAATGCCAGCAGCAGCTGGCCTTGATATCGAGGTTTCTGGCCGTACAGTACATCGAATGCTTGGTACTCGAAGCTGGCGTTTCTGTATAGCTTGTTCGAAGACCTGGATCTCGCCACAGTTAAAAGAAACAAGAGAAAAATACTGCCGTGGCTTGCTTGAGAAATATGGCACTGATCCAATACACTGGAGGCATTTCCGCTTTACCAATGAGACTCACTTCGGATATGGCCCTCAAGGCAAGATCTATATCTGCCGGCGCCCCTGGGAAAGAACATGTGCAGATTGCCTTGTTGAAAATCAGCAGCCAGAGAAAGAAATGGATCAAAAACAGAAACGATTGCATGCCTGGGCAGCAGTTGGCTATGATGGCTTCAAGGATGGTCTTCACTGGTATAATATTCCATCGAATCAGAATAGTAAGATGAACTTACAAGTTTATCGCGATGAGATTCTTCAACCAGTTGTTGGCGAATGGATCCGGCGAGGAGATCAGTTTGTATTAGAAGAAGATAACGATTCAGAGCATGGCGGTACGCGAGGAAATAATATTGTACGCAAGTGGAAGGAGGAAAATAGCATTGTAAGCCTTTTCAATTGTCCACAATCGCTAGATCTCATCGCAAGCCCTATTGAAAAGGCTTTTCAAGGGCTGAAAATGTATGTACGGAAACAGCCCCATTGGGATGATGATACATTAAGGCTTTCAGCCCAGGAAGGCTTTAATGCTTTATCTATTTCTACTGTAAATAGCTGGATTGATGCAATTCCTCAGATTTTGCAAGATTGCGTCGATAATGATGGTGAAATTACTGGGCATTGAGGATAAATGAAAAATGTCTGTTGTTGAGTGCGCTCTTTTTTGTCAGGAACGTGCCAGTCTACTCTGTAAAAGTCATCATAGGATAAAGAGGAACCGGCATCCCTGCGACCCCATTATTATTATATCTGGCATCCATCTGCGCAGATGGCATTGGTGGTGTAGCAAATATGGACGGCCCGGCGTCACTTGCAACGGCGAAATCATTGATCGCAGCATCGTTGTAGAGCGCGGGGTCCGTCACCGCGGCTGCCGGCGCGCTGCTGGAAGCGCCGCCACTGACCGGTGGAGCCCACGCCTCCCACAGATTATCGAAGTGAAACCAATCCGTGTCAGACAACACGTCTCCACCTGCAGAGGTGGCAGGTGTAGTGGCTGCGGGCATCGTGCCAGGGGATGGTGAGGGGCCGGGGGGCATGTTGGCAGAGTCGCGGCGGGGCAAGCCGGGTGCCTTCTGCGCCTGGGCGTTGATCGATGTGAAGGTCGAGGTGCCCAGCGGGTTGGTGGGGTTGAGGTGAGCCGGCGGATGTGACAAGAAAAAGTTGGCCATTGGATCATTGGATGAGTTACTTATCGTGCCCGTTGGTGTATTCGGGACAGAGGTCGGGTCTGGCCCTGCTGATGTTGTCGCAGGATTCCTGGTTACGATAACATGGTTAAAGGTTGTCAGGATGTAGACCAGCCGACCGGCTTGTGGGTCTGACTTGGCACAGTAATTCATGACTGTCATGGCCTTGTGGAACGTCTCGGCATAGGCGGAATTCTGGTGGAGGCAGGCGAATTCGCTGCTGAGGACTACTAGGGCAGCAGCGAAGAGGAAATGTCTGGAGCAAGAAAGTCAGCCATGCGTCGTAGTCGTCAGTAGCTCTTTGTGTGTGTTTGTGAAAACTCACATCACGAATGGGTCACGTTGTGGTAAATATTTGCCCTCAAAACCCATGTGTACGAGTGTGACAGTGTGGTAGGCAGCATTCACACAGGCTTCAGAGAATTTCTCCATCCTTGAGCCTGGGCGTATCGCTGCACGAGGGATGCCTCGCTTTTCCTGCTGCAGCCGGTTCATCAGGAAGAGAAAGAAGGGCCTCGTCAACAGAATAACCGCGTGACAGTACAACAGGTTGACGTGTAATATTGCCATGCCATGCTTCGGATCGATATCGGTGTTCATAGCTTGTCGCCAGTGAAGGTTCGGGCTGTACTTTTGCGGACCCCCCTTGCACTGTTCTGATATATCCTGTGCGAGCCTGGTTGATATCTTGCGGTGCGCGTAAATTTTCTTCAGGATGATCCCGATGACCTGGCAACTACGCACGGCTGCGTTCAGGCCACCAAAGGATGAAGAGTCGGTGTCGTTCGTTGCGAAATATTTGTCAGGAGTGACAAGAGCATCTGGAGAGCAGTCATCTTCCGAGATGGACGTCGGTCGACCGAGAGCTGCTGCCAGGAAGCGGTCGAGGACGTATAGGCTTCGCCAGACATTTCTCCGCTGCACACGATCCGGCACAGGGAAGATCACCATGGTTTCGAGTCTATGCAGGCCTAGGGCATACGCAGATCTCACAGCCATTCCTAACCCGCTTTGTCAGTATCAAGAGAGCAATCATGACTGACTGGGCTGAACGTCTTACCGTGATACGCATAGGCTGCATTCCGCTTCGTCTTTGCCAACATGTACACGGACATGAGCAATAACGCCTGGACAGACCAGAAGTCTGCATCCTCAAACCCCGTGGTAGGGTCTCCTAAGCACTTGGCATTTCTGAAGAAGAGCTCGGCACGGTCCGCCTGGCCTGCCTGAAGCTTCTGTACGACCTTCTCCTCGTCGCTGCCCGAGAGGGGCGTAGCAAGCAGGAGACCAATGGCAAAAACGAGGTTTAGCAGGCACAGAAAGGTCGGTTCCGCAGCGAGGGGGTCTTGGTAGCAAACATCAAGTTGTTTAGCGAAGACGGTCCGTTCGAAGACCTCCACTAGGCTGTTGGTCTGTCCGAAGTCAGCATCACTCAGTATACAACAACCAAAGTTGGCATGTACCACCACTTGTGGAAGGATGACGATACTAGATGCCAGAGTTGCTCTCTCGCCTTGAAAAAGGCACAAGAAACAATGTGCGAAAGCGAACTCACGTTTGTGAAGTATGATTTTACAAGGACATCCGCAGTCTTGCGGTCTGGGAGCAAGACGGGCGCCCTCGCATCCGGTGGGAGGGTGGTCGTCGCCTCCATGAGCCGGTGACGACTTGGATCCGTGGTAAATTGAGATGGGCCATCGACACTCTCCACTATCATACGGATGAACTGTAGGTATGACAGCGTCGCGGAATCACCAAGGTATACTGAACCTGTAGTCAGCAAAGTTCAAAGAGACTCTGGCAGGGGAGGAAGAGTCGCGCAGTTCACTCACGCAGCCTTCCAGTAGGATCCTGAAGCATCCTGGTCTCGGTATAGACTTCGGCGACCTCATCAGCAGCGCTCACGGTACTCTGCCTGGAGCGGGCGTCCGGATCTAACTCTCGGCCGGGCAGGGCAGGGAGAGCAGGTGCAAGTATAGGAGTCGGGAGGCGTGGCGGCCTAGCCGTCTCATTGGCATCCGAGGCGTGATGACGAGCTGGTTTTGGACGTGCTGGGTGACCTGATCCGTCTCCAGAGGCCTTCAACCTCTTGGCAACTGGCTCGGCAGTAGACTCAACAGCATCCGACATGGGTACCGGCTCGTGCTGAGGAGACGTATCTATGGCTGAAGTTTGTCTGGGACCGCCGCTGTGGCTCGGAGTGGAGCCGTTCTGTGCGACATATTCGCAGTTGAAGCCCCTCTTGGTACATGTGTTACAAGGCTGCAACCCATTGCACTACATTGGGCTCTGGTTGTTAGCCGCCAGGATCTTGACCCGCACCAGGAGTAAGATGAACAACAAAAGCAGCAGCAGCAACGACAACAACAACACAGGCTGAGAGAACATGGGGGCTATTCTCTCGACATCGCTGCCGGCCCCCATCCCGCCTCCTCCTTCTTTCTCAAAACCTTTGCCTACCCTCCTCATTGCATGTTGCCTAGCACTAGGTGATACATGTACAATGTAGAGAGAGAGTGTCTGTTCGGAAGAGACCCAAATGATACCTGACAGGGAGGAGAAGCAACATGATTGGACAGTAGATAGTGAGAAAGGAGATGGTGGTGTCGACATCTGGGACAGAGATGCTCTCACCTTCTGCTTCCGACGCTTACAGGACTCGCAGGCCTGCGCAGTACGAATTCTCTTGTCATCTGGGACTTTTGGCCGGGTCATTGTCTGGCAAGAGATACTCTCTCTCTCTCTCTCTCTCTGTGTGTGTGTGTGTATATGTGGGGGGAGGGGCCTAGACACAAGACGGAGACAAGAAAGGGTGCGGCAGTGGTCACAGTCACGGCAGGTCGCGGCCCGCCATGCGCGGGAGTAAGCCAAGCCAAGCACCTGTGCCGTGGGAGGTGTTGATTGATCGTATCGGAAGCGGACCCGATGAGGAGGGCGAGGTGGGCTGGGGTGAGGTGAGGCGACGGTGAGGTGGGCTGATGTCGACAGCAGTGAGTCTCAATCGGCCTTCAAGCTCCGGGGCGGATCACCCCCCAAGAGACGGAGACGGCGGACGATGACTGATCGGCTAAGTCCCCTTGCCTTGCCTACCCACTCCGTACGGGCCGAATACTTGAATAAGCAAGGTCGGCAAGCACGGAGGCCTGACTTTGAAAGAGCTTTCTGAGTTGGAAGACAGGATGTCGTGGCACAATGGAGCCGGGTGGATCACCAGATCTTGTCAACTTCCCAACTGTTGTCGACAAATGCCTGCAGCAAGCTTCATCCCCTTTTCAGCTAGGTAAGGGGAGGACAAGTGGTGTTTAGGTGGGGTTTGGAAGGGAGTGGAGGGCTCGGAATAAGCTCCAAGACAGAGAGGGACGGGTGAAGTAAGAGGTAGATAGATGAATGAGCTTCAGCTAGATGAACGATGAGATCCAAGACGCTGGAAAGAGAGACAGAGAGAGATAGAGATCATGTGTATGTCGGGAACAGCTGTGGTGTTTAGTGGCGATGGAGGCCAATGGCAAAGTATGGAACCAGCTTCAGCAGGCTGAAGTCATGCCTGGTAGTTCTTGGAAGGGAGGAGGGCAAACGGGATTGGCTTGTCAGGTGTGAGGCAGCTGGTCGGTATTGGCAAGCTTGGCGAAGATTAGCGGTTGATGAGGAGCGTTTTTGGAAAGAAGGGGGGGGCAATGTTTGTTGAACCGGGAGCTACGGTATGCAGGAGACTTCCCCGCCCCCCCCCCCCCCCAAAGAAATAAAAACAACCCCCCAAGAAAAATAGGCACAATGGAATTAGAGACAGTGGCCTGGTTACATCTACATAGTAGAGCCAAGATCGAGTTGCTGGGGTAGTCTTGTTGACAAGTCATGGACGGACATGGGGGTGTGAGGGAATGCTAGGGGTGTGAGGGGTGCACTGTAGGTACAATAGTACTTACTCTGATTCTACTCGACAGCAGCTGACAGGTACAAGATTCACTTGGTATGATGCGCTATGATGCTATGGTACTAAGGCCCTGTGTCACTGATGTAATATGTATATTTATGTATATTACACCTCTAGAAGGAGAGGCCTGGGGAGAGAAGGCGGTGTGTGCCCCGGGGGGGGCGGATTAGCAGCTATCCTAAGCATTTGGAAGTCACCCACCACCACCCATACCTGCCTGGACTAAGTACTTCTTAGTGCCTTCTGTACATCATATTTGACTTGAGCTGAAATGAGAGCAACAAACACATCATTTTTAGATTCTCAGCGAGGGCGATCCCTATCACTTTGTTTTGCATATGTAGAATTGATACCTCTATGATCCACTGTGGCCTGACAATGGCCTAATTATGACAGCAGGCATAGTCATCCATCTCAGATGGGATGAATAAACGTGGCTCTCGCATGGGCAGGGCAGGGATAGATGCTGTATAGATCATTTTATTGCTGTGGTTTATTTACTATTGTCGACATACCAGATGTAGTATACCGTGTTTCAATGGCAGGGACTATGTACTGCCGTACTAGAGTACTACATAATAAGTAGTGTGTAAAACACACGGTCCTGTAGCAGCATCGTCGTAAGTGGAAAGGTGCCCGGGGGGAGGGGGGGGGGGCAGCATGCCGGAATTGTGACCGCGGTTCCTCGCCCGTCGGATGACGCACCTATCTAGACTCCTGCAGGTGTGTGCCTCGGTTGTCACACAAGCCCCTACAAACATACCACCCTTTCAAAAAGATCCCTGGCCCTCCGTCTCGAGCGATGTCACTTAACTCCCTCCCCTCGTTGTAACACAAAGATGATCTGTCAGCTCGATATCTTGATGTTCATAGCAGGGGTCTGAACCGGCTGATACTGTACTGCAGTTGGAATGAATGGAGAGGGAGCGAGGGAGGCAGCGTCGCAGTTCAGGACAAGAATCATTGTGGGTGGGTATTGTTCCTATATTATGACCACTACAACCAATCTCAACTGACAATATACGCGGGTACCAACTAGTGCTGCTTGTTGTCAATGGGCCTCGGGTCGAACTGCCTTGCTGCAAAGTACCTGTATCGTCCTGCGCTCTTGTACCGCCAGACCTTGCCCTTCCAGATGAAGGCAAACGCAAAGAGCAACACGGCCAGCCCGATGGCGCCGATGGTGTTGAACACGTTGGAGATGCCCACCGCGCTGATCCACGGCGTCATGGCGAAGACGAAGACGGTGCTCAGCGTGTTTCGCGAGAAGGTGAGTGCCACCAGGGCGTCGCCAATGATCTGGTAACGTCAAGGGGTGTTTAGGTTAGCTTCATTGTCCCCTGCTGCTACTGCTGATGCTGCTGATGCTGCTGATGCTGCTGATGCTGCTTACCTCGTTGTACGCATCTGTCATGTATGTCAGGGCGATGGAGGAGATGGGCGCGGAGCCGAAGCTGCAGATACCCCAGGCCCATGCCACCGCAACCCACGATTGTCCACCCTGCAGGGCGTATCCGAACCAGAACGCCCCCGCGACCTGGAAGGGGATAAAGGGAACAAAGATCCAGAGGCGCATCTCGGGCTCGTAGATGCCGTCCTTCCTCTTGGCCAGTCGCAGGATGATCCAGTCGCTCAGGGGACCGCAGATGAGCGACCCGAGCGTGTTGCCGATAAAAGGGGCTAGGTTCATCAGGCCAATCTGGGTCGAGTTGAAGTCGTACGGCTCCTCGATCATGTACGTGCTCAGCGCTGCCGACATGACCGTCGACCATGCCAACAGCACCGCGTACACCAGGGACATGTATGCCACGCCGGGGATGGTCACCAGGATCTCAAAGGGCTGATATGCGTGCCGTGCGAAGAGCATAAAGGGCCCTGGGGTCGTTGTCGCCAGGCTCAGCATCCGAAAGTACGTCTTGCGGGGGATCGTTGGGTCAATCTCGATGGCTGTAGCCGACGTGGCGCTGTCCTGCGGCGACAGCACCGCCTGGGCCTGCTTCTCTGGATCGGATGACTGCGGCCTTTTCTTCTCCTCCACCACGTCATCGCCGTTGTTGGAACCGACGTTTGAGGCCGTCTCTACTGCCGCAGCCGGGACCGGCCTCCCCACGAGGGCCGCCTTGGACCAATCAAACTTGGACTCTTCGAACCCAAAGACGAATGCGATGAGGACGAGCCCAAAGAAAATGGTCATGTACCACCATACCCACCGCCAGCCCTGCGAGGTGGTAACGAAGCCGGCGGCGACGGGCGCCAGGGAGCTTCCAAAGTTGGACGCCCAGATGTATATGGAGTTCATCAGGCCTCGCTGGTGGACGAAGAAGACATCGGCAACTGTCATCTGGACCATGGTCTCGGCTAGCGACCCCACCCAGCACTGCAGGGCGTTGACACCCCACCAGTCGCCGGCGGTCTCTGTCCGTGCCGCCCAGATCATGATGGCCATCTGTGCGGCGCTGCTGAGGATGTAGATGGGCCGCAGTCCGTACTTCAGCGCAAAGGGGATCAGCATAAAGCTTCCGAGGGCGAGCGTCGCGCAGCCAATGGCGTATGTGTTGTTCCTAATGCGACCAGCTCAGCACCAAACCCCAAGCAAAGCTTGACGAGAAATCATGTTCAGCAGGAAGGGAGGAAGCCGTACATTAGCACGGCATCAAAGCCCAGCTCATCCTCCATCGGGCCCCAGGTCGGGGTGGTGGCATTGATCTGAGCGAAAGCCATGACGGCGTAGAACGTCGCCAGGCCAAAGTTCAGGTATTTCCTCCACTTCTGCCAGTTCAGCGGATCGTTCGGGTCGCTGGTCGGTCGGGGCTGCAGGATGATATCTGCAGCATTTTCTCCGTGGAGCCTCTCAAGTCGGACAGTTCCAGGAGGCCAGGCTGGATCGTCCATTGTGGTCGCTGCGGCTGCAGCAGCTGCCGCAGGCGGTATGGCTCCACTTCCTGCTCCCATGGTCACTGCGCAGTTGGTGGTGATGACAATCAATTCGGCCAGCACACGAAAGGAGAGGTGAGGCGAAGATGAGAGGTGCCTTTCTCTCTTCTTCCGGTCTTTCTCATGTACAGTTGAAAATCTTCGGGCAGCACTAATACTTAAGTCCTTCTCTACATTACCTGATCAGTTCCCCTTCCCCCTCATGGCTGCTGCACCAGCGCTATATGAGCTGCATGTGCGTTTCACCAATACTACACAGCTGGTCTGGTCCGGCCCGCTATCAGTTGCCACGAGGCAAGGCATAGATATGGTATCGCCCCATAATGTCAGCTATGAATGGAGTCCTGAACCGATAACACAACCACTTACACAGCAACTATGGTTCCATGACTGGTGTAAACTCCATAGTAATCCATTCACGGCCCAATTTGGGAAATTGGAGCGCCGAGAGTATAATCTTTGCCAAGAAGTTGTGGTTTTCTATTTTATTTTGTCTTTTCCATAACACACGCTGATCAATTAGAGTTATCTTTCTATCAGTAAGTACAATAGACACCCAGATTTTGAGTCGGCAAGGCAGTTGTGTGGAGAACACGCGTTTGTGGCACATCTTTTGGTTCCATCTGGCAAGTCCTCCTCTAGAAACCCACTCCCCACAGCCATTGCACAAAAAGGCGATTGATTACCATGATACATGGTAATTGATTGATGGGAACTGAGTGATTGGAATTCTTGCGGCTGCATAGGTATGTCCTATAGTACTATCGTACAACCGAGCCAAGCGAATGCAACTTGCTTACTATGGTATATACGCGAGACGATCAGTGCAACTCTGGCCAACCTAAGGAAAGGGGGGGTTTTTTTTTTCCTTTTGTTCGTGTCTAGCACTAATAGTATCAAGTAGATGTACCACAGTACTGCTGTATGCAAGTAACCATCGGATCAAGCACCTGCCGAGGATAACGATAACCCTCTCTGTATTAGCGCAACCTTCTTGATTTCCTTTACTCCTTCAAAAGTGGACTGCCCTCGGATGCCGTCTCTTTTCTCTTGCCAACAAATGGTCCAGTGAGGGGCTCACATGCCAGATAGGGGAGGAAAAAGAGCCCCTGAAGAAAAGAACGGTGTGCCTATTCTTCAGGGTGCCCTGTAAGGAGAAACTTTGTGGACCAAAATGTTGTCTTGCGGCTCCCGTATATTCTCCTATAAAACTGCGTTCCGTTCTCGTTTGTGACTTGGGATGTTAGCCGCAGCATCAGCAGACTTTGCGCAACAAGAGTTAACCTTGTGTCTCCGAAAAAGGAAAAAAAGGCCTTCCTGCTTCAAAAGAAGAATACCTCCGAATTAGTCCTAAGCTTGAACCGAGCAGGTGGCTCAAAGTGACATGTTTGGGCGCTACTGTACGCCTTGCCGTCTGCGCACTACTCCTCTTTCCTCTCCGGTGCCTCATCCGCGATGGGCCGTCCCTGTCGCGCGGATGTTCCGACTACGAGAGAAGAGAGGAAACGAGCCCAGTTTTTTAATTCAAAAGTACGATGACAAGTAACGTGTATATTACTCACACTTCTTCTTTCTTGTGCTCCTCGTACCTTAGCACCCTCCTCTCGTGACTCTTGATGAGGTGTGTCGTCTTATAAGGTCCTTGTCTTCGTTTTCCTCCTCCTTATTAAGAAATTCTTTCTATGTATCGTTGCTCCTCCGCCTGTGATTGTGGATGGTGTGTAAGTCAGCCTGGCGGTTCCGACATAGTCCTTTCTCCTCTTCTTCTTCTCCCTCTCCGGATATCTACTATTATCATTATACCATGAGCACGACGAACGCCCCCCTACCCAACGGCGGCGGCGACCAAGCCAATGGGTCTCCTTCCAATGTCTTCACCTTACTAGTCGGCACGTTCAGGTCCCCAGAAATATACACTCTCCAGTTCAGACCACCACCTCCCTCTTCTTCCTCTTCTTCCTCTTCTTCTTCCTCTCCAGCGTCTGGAAACCTCACCATTGCCCACATATCCAAAGCCTGGGGCGGTCACTCCTGGCTCGCCCTCTCCCCAGACCACACCCGCCTCTACACTACCAACTGGACCGATCCCCCTTCTGTAGGCGCCTACGCCGTCGACCTAGCCACAGGCAGCACCACGCCCCTCAACACGGCTCCCGTGGCCTCGCTGTCGGGCTACGTGACCGTCTCCCCTTCGGGGCGACACCTCCTCTCCGCCGGCGGGCCCAGTGGTGAGGTGTTTCGGCTGGAAGAGGACGAGGGTGAGGGCCAGGAAGAAGGAAGGAAAGAGAAAGGAAAAGGTGGGGGTCGTATTGGCCCCCTCGTACAGGCGTTGTCCTTCCGTCAGGCAGGCGGTGCCAACGACGGGGCACGAGAGGGCGTCGCGTACGGTGGATTTGGAGGTCTGCGGTGGGGGGCACACAGCGTTGATATCTCGCCGGACGGACGGGCAGTGTATGTCGCTGACATTGGTCACAACTGCGTCTGGACCTACCGGCTCGACACATTAGCAGATGAAGGGAAAGGAGAAGGGAGCACACTATTAACCCCTGAGGCAAAACACATCTCCCCCCGCCCCAACGACGGTCCCCGGCACGCCTGGCCACACCCCAACGGCCGCGTGCTGTACGTTGTCCAGGAGCACAGCGGCATGGTAGACGCGTTTCGCATCGGAGGAGGGGAGGCAGGGGAGGGAGAGGACGCAGCCTTAGCCCTGAAGCATCTAGGCGGGGAGACGATCATGTCGGCGGGCTGTAGTGCCGAGGACTTCTGGGCAGACGAAGTGCGCACGTCTAACCTGCCCCCCGCCACTAGCCTGCGCCTGGGTCGAAGTGAGGATGGTGGCGCTGCGGCGGCGGCGCCCAGGTGGCTGTATGCCAGCACGAGAGGTCTGCGACCTGAGACCAAGGGCTACGTGGCCGCCTACGAGCTGGACGCGGAGGGTATGATCCTTGGCCCCGCGCGGTGTATCTTCGAGACGAGGACGAGCGGAGGCCTGGCGAACGCGGTCGAGCCTGCGCCACGAGCTCTGTACGAGACGTTATCGAGGTCTGGAGGGGGGGAGGAGGAGGAGTACATCGCGCTGACGGATAGCGAGGAAGGATGGGTTACGATTTTGGGATGGAATGGAAAGGCTTTTCGAGAGGTGGCTGCTACAAGGCTTGGTGGGGATGGTGGGGTCGTTCAGGCTGCTACTGCCGTTTGGCTGTGATGGATGATAAGATGATTAATGGTTCAAATCTTGGTTGCTCATGTAGCGTGCGTGAGTGTAAGCGCTTCTGCATAGAAGAAGACATGGGAGGACGGTCAGGCAATTTGTCAACAAATTGTGAACTGCTTTTCTTTAGAATGTGATATGCCGCTTTTGTCCAACGCGCACGTGTCATATAACAACGTGTCGCCTTTGTAATCTTGAAAACAACAAGAAAGAAGAAGAAAAAACGGTGTGCTACATCCTTCACGAATGCTACCCCGCCATGTCTATAGTGTTGTGCTGTACTCGAGCCTAGATTACACAGTTTTATCCCCTTTTCCTACAGTCGAACCCAAAGTTGCCTCATAGGACTAACCTCCCCGGCTCGTTTTCCAACACCAGCTTGACCCTCTCGAGGAACGTCTTGGCCCTCTTCTCCTCCGCCTTGGGCACCTTGAGGCTGAACACATTCAGCCCCGTCGACAGACCAGATGGTCTGGTCGTTGGTGAAGCCACCGTCGTTGTCTTCTTCGCTGACCCACTGGAGAGGATATCAATAATATCCGGCCTGGTAGCCTTAACTGCCCTCTGCGAGAAGGAGGCTGGTGGCGGTAGGGCCGAGATCTGCGGTAGGTAGTGGCCCCTAGAGCCATGGGGTCCGGCCTGATCAAGCCCTAGCACCTGGTTGAACAGCTCGTCTGCGGATGGCTTGTAGTCGGCAGCCAGTGGCAACTCGTCGTTGGCCACCTCAGTAGCGCGGGCGATGAAGGTCGACAGGGGCATGAAGACCCCGAGTGTCTCCTGGACCTTCTTCTGCACCTCGATCACCGACGCCAGGGAGATGGGCAGGGCGACCTGCAGATCCTCGACGACCGGAACGGGGGCGGGGCTGGCGGCACCGGCAGGCTTTGCAGCTGCGGGCGCAGGTTTCTTCTCGGCGACTTTGACATTGCTCAGGTCCAGGTGCGCCAGCTTGTCGTATATCGCCTGCACATTGGCCGCCGAGTCGGACTTCGCCTTGCCCAGATAGACCAGGACATCACCCTTCAGCAGGCGGCCCTTGGGCCCGGTGGCCGGTATCTCGTCGGCCTTGGAGGCATCTAGACCGTTCTCGTGCAGTAGCTGGATGATTGACGGGTAGAGCGGGTATGTCTGCTTTTGGGCCTTCCCACCCTTGGCACCCGAGTGGGCAGTTGGGGCCACGTCGTCAGACCCCGAGGCTGTCCTCTCCTCCTGCGGCACGGATTCGGACTTGGTATCCTCCTCCTGCTCCTTCGGCGTCTCGGCGGCCTGCTTAGGCGCCTTGTCGGCCGGGACCTCGAGTGTGCTGAGGTCGTCGCCCTCCTCAGCGATGACGGCGATGCGGGTGCCGACCTGGATGCCCTTGGCGCCGTCGCCGGTGGTGATCTTGAACATGACGCCGTCGTCCTGGGCCTCGACGTCCATAGTAGCCTTATCGGTCTCGATCTCGAGGAGCACGTCGCCGGCGGAAAATCTGTCGCCCTCCTTAACGTGCCAAGCGGCGATGTTGCCCTCGGTCATGGTCGGAGAGAGGGCGGGCATAGTGAAATTCTGGGCGGCGAGGGAGGCAGTGGAGGTCCGGAAGCCTAATCAGTGAGAGAAGAAACTCTGTCAGCATGGCGCCTGGCTCTGGCTTCTCTAATCTCTCGTAGCAAACGAGTGAGAAAGAGGAAGAGAGGATGGCATCTACGAACCCCGAGTGTTTGGCCGTGCCAACCTCGCCGTCAGGCGGCATGCGGTCATGAGGGACGCCATGGTGAGGCAGGCAGTCACGTCAAGAAAGGCCACAGCACCTGACGAAGAGAAGGGAGGAGGGAGCAGTGAAGGTGGCGTGAAGGAGGAGGAGGAAGTGGTGGTGTTGAGACGGCGATGCGTAGGTGGGATAATTGGTGGGTTGCGATCGCGGGCGTTGAGAGAAATATTTGGACCTCCGTTGGGAACCGAATCGGTGGTTTCCGCTCTCACTGTGGCGCCAATTGATGAGCTTTTGGTCCGAGCAAGGATCAGCCAGCTATGGCAGGGTCAGCTTTTGCAGCTCAACGACAATGTACCATATACAATATTCTACAAGCCACGAAACCACTTTCAGGTCCAGAGAATTTGTAGCGACTACGTACTTAGTACTTTTCACTAGACAACGGGACAAGCACAACCTCAACACTGATGCGTTTCTGGCAACTTATTTTCACGGTCAAGTGAGCGTGGTATACCTTGTTATCCCTGGTGCCTCTCTATTTCTTCTTTCTCTTCTTGACAAGGAAATAGTATGGTACAGTACACTTTGCCCTACATAAAGTACATTGGTGAACATTCTTCAGCGCAGAACGGGGCTCTACTATGCACCATAGTAAATATGCGATCGACCAATGACCAGGATGCGACGATGCTAGGATAGCAAATCCCTGCATCCGCCTGCCGACATGTTTTCTGAGCTTTGGCAGGCATTATTTTCCCTTGCTTTCTTTCTTCATATGACTGCCGTTCTCTACCTTCATTAATTCCACTTCTGTCGGTCGAGGATTACCTCTTATATTATCCACTGAAGAGCATTGGACGGCTGACGAGAATTCCTCTTTCTCTCTGAGGCGAGTAGCCCTAAGGTCATTCATCTCCTCCTTTTGCGCAATAACTCTAACAAGACCTCTTTCTCAGGCATCGGACCACCACCACCACCACCACGACATCATGTCCGCCTTCTCGAGGGGCCTAGGCTTGGGCCTGAGCCACCGCATCTTCTCCTCCCTCCCTCAAACAGCCAGACACAGCTATGCGCCGCGACCACTAGCCACAAGGATAACACAAGCTATCCATCGCAGTCCGATAATACAAGCCGCTCGCAACCTCCAGACATCGGCCCGCCTCCACGCTGCGAAACGAGCGCCCCCGACCAAAAAGCCCACACCAGCACCGAAATCATCATTGAAACCACCATCACCTCCACGCAGACCAACACCTGCTGTTTCTATATCAGCCCCCTCGCCCACGGGTAGTCTGGCCATGGCGAACCGCCTCGCCGCCCGCGGCAAGCCCACCGTTCTTTACCAGTGCCCGTCTCACTTTTGGATCCACGTCTCCTCCCTGAGCGCCGCCGTCTTCTGTATCGCCTATGCCGTCTTCCATTACTGGAACAGCGTCGTCCACCCGCCCGAAGGTCTGGCCTGGTACGTTCCGCACCTCTTCGCTGTCATCTGCCTGACCATGGTTTCCGCCGGCTTCTGGTTCCTCTACAGCACCGCGTTCATTGTGAGGAGGATCACCGCCATCCCCAAGACCGCCGTGCCTGCCTCTTATCTCCGCGCTGGCCCCGGCAATACTATGACCCCTGCCCGCCAGGCCTTACTCGCCGCCCTTCAGGAGAGCCCCGTCGCTCTGGAGTGCGAGATGAGCATGCTCGTGCCTTTCCTGCCCACCAAGAAGGTCATCGCCGCCCCAAGTGAGGTGTGGCTGCCCTTCCGTTTCCAGGCAATGCCCCTTGCCTCTGCTGCCCCGGCGGAGGCTGCAACTCCCCAGGGCGGAGGCGGCGTCATGAGCATGATCACGAGGCCTTTCAAGGCTTTTGGGAGGGGCGTCAATGGTGCATTTCTGGGTCTGAGGAGGGGCTTATTGAGGGAGGGATTCGCCCCGATCAAGGTGAAAGGGACACGATATAAAGTCGACATTACGAGCGGGAACCTGTTCGATAAGGGAAGAGCTGTGGATGCTCTCCTCCCTTACCGCCCGGAGCAGTTCAAGGATACTCTGGCAGATCGTCTGCTCAAGTAGTAAGCCTCTCATATGGCGTGTTTTACTCAAGGTTGGGTACGGCTTGGAATAGTTCACAAAAAGAAGCATGTTGAATGTACAAGCACTTGTGTGTATCTGGTGCACTGGAGTGCATGTACACCCTCGCTTGTTAGTGACACCTGGTATGAGCTCTCGCAATCCTCTTCAGCAGCAGGCGCAGAGGTGCTGGCCACTGGTTTCCTTTCCGGTTCCACCAGTATCCGGCATGGATTTATGATGTTCCCCTTGTGTTGACCTCCCGTACGGACGGAATACACTAGAGGTATTTCGAGGCCAGTGCTTTCCAGTTCTCAAGTGTGTTTCATGTATCCAATCCCATTCCAATGGATGCATAGAGACGCTCAAAGACCATACAGATATTCTTCGATTAGAGGGCATCCTCCCCGAGGGACGGCACAATTCTATCGGGTTCGAATAATCATACCATCAAGCTCTGGACTAGCACTACAGCAGAACGTCTTAAGGACATATCAAGGGCATATTGGGGCTGCGCTCTCGGTTACCTCTGAACCTGTTTCGTGCGGACACAACTGGCAACGAGACTATACAGGTCAGGGATACTGGCTACACAAAGCAACGTACACGTGAAAACTCAATCAAACCAGTCAAGGTTATGTAGCCTTGTTCCCCCGATTACCTCTGGACTGGTGTCTATCTTACTCCAGATTTTAGGCCTACGTGTTTGGGTACGCATGGCGACCTGTTGGTTCTGGGACTCGCCTCCCGCTTAGTAGACCGTTTTTTGGAATCCAAATAATCCAAATGGCACTATGGTGGATTGAACTCAGCACCGGCGACTTGACTTCATTACAGGCCCATTCGCCGTTCCGCTTGATCTTTGTGTTCTCCGTGGTCTTTCCTTTCAATGTATTTAGCAGGGGCTAGTTGGATGAAATAGCTGTCTTGATTTTCTTTACAGTCCAGTAGGATTACCCGTGTTTAGTATGTGTGTTTGAATTAGCGAACAGACATTCTTCTTGGCTACTGGCAAGTCTGCCAGAGAGATATGCTCCAGTTGCCTTGCCAATATTTCATACATCTGGCTGCTTGACTTTTTGGGAGATTATGGGTTAAGGCTGCCTGCTTATACCTAATTTTATTGTTATAGAGAAAAGTAGAATCGTGACATTGTGTAGCATCTCTCACAAGCAGCTATCTACTTGCGAATCTCAACGGCGATACAAGGCGCTGACAATAACATATCAAGGCGTAGTAACGAGCACCGTTGTATCTCTCCTAATATCCGGATTTCGTTGTCAATGAGTGATTCCTGGGGAAGGAAACCTGCATATTCCCCCCTTATTTCCCTTTCATGGAAGGATAGAGTCAATTCTTGTTCTGTTCACCGTTGTGTTGATACAATATCACATCAAAACCGGGGGCACAGAGATGATGAGCGGACAACAAATTCCAGCACCACATGACGAACGAACTCGCTCCCCACCCCTTTCTTTGGGCCGGCATGTTGAATAAAGTAGGGCATCAATGGACATGGAACCGTGGTTGCGAGGGTCACACAATTAGAACATGTTCTTTTGCCAGCCGTAATGTCATTTTCTGAGCTCAGTAAAAGCCTTTTCACTTATAAAAATAAAATAAAAGATACCCCGACGACCATCTTCCAGGGCCGACAGGCTGACAGAAGTATGCATCAACTCGTCACTTTCCCATCTACTCGTCCAAGTAAACACTCCTGCTATATGAGAACACACAACCAAGTCCTCTTTTGTGGCTCCTCTTCCTCCCACCCATCTAGAATTCGCCGTACAGGACAAATCCAAATATGTCAAATAGAACACCACGCTGAGACTATGATCAAACTCGCGAATGTACCCACACGCGAAGACTCGGAAGAAGATAATAAGAAAGACGACCGGAAAAAAACATCCAAATAGAGTTTGCTTAATCAGACATGCCGCCATGCTAGCCCATACAATTGACAAAAGTGAGAAAAAACCACCATGAGACACTGCGAAACGACGAGGAATAACGACCAGTAGAAGAATGTAACCCCATCTTGGAGAAGTAATAATGTACCGTTGGAAGATAGAATAGACGGCCCGAGACACCAGCCCGAGTAGTAATGTTGCTGAACAACGAATGAAGCGGAGGCAAAGACAGACAATTTTCCCTCGTTGTCTTGTGCTTTAGAGACGTATTGTCCTGTGTGTGTTTAGGTGGGAATTACCGCCATAGACGGCGTCTCTTGGCGGAGGATTGTCGCCCGTAGTCCCAAGTGGTTGGAAAGGGCGCATGTAGAGGTATAGTCGTACCAAAGCAATTCGAAAACATGAACGCCGGTGTCCGCTATGCTTTATTGACAATGACAAAAACCCAGATAATCAATCGTGAAAACCGCACAAGTCCCCGAAAGATGATGGTATCGAAGAAGAGGGGTATTTTGGAGCGGCTTGGTATCTACCGAAGGGCCGAAAAAAAGGGGTATCATAGCAATTGATGGTAAGAAGAAGGGGGAGGAGGGGGCGAGGTTTCGATTTAGATGGCAACAGACGATAGTTCGGTATTCCCACGGTGGAGGGTCGGAGCAGCCGAGTTCGGGTGTATTGATGAGTTAGAGTGACCGAAAGGTGACTCTGTAAAATGTGTAGTGCCACCGGTATCCCAGCGCTCTTCGCTGAGGGCGCCCAGATACCCATCGACGACGTTACTGCGCAGCGTGTCGATCTTGCGCCGGTACAGCTCGCCACCCGCATCCCATCTATCAGGTTCGGCCCATGATGTTGGAGTTCCAATGTCCTGAGCAGGGACCACAGGGGGCAGCTTGGGTATCGTTGAGGTATCAATGCGAGGAATGACCCGTGTCGCAACGCCACGATTCGCTTCGGGCGTGGGACTGAGTTGATGGATTTCAGGTGTTTGTGAGATTCGGTAATTAAAATCAGGGGATACAATGGCCGGTGGAGCTTCTTCTTCTTCCAGTACCGGCCGAGGTGGAAGTGGCTTGGTGTCGGCAAGATCCACAATTCGTCGCTTTGGTGCTCGACGCGGCCTTCGTGTCGAGCTCGTGTTCACCTCGCTGGCAACCGTCTTGGGGGATGGACGCTCTTTGCGCAAGACCGTTGACTTGGGAGGTGCATCGTACACAATGGTAGGCTTGCTCACGTCCACAGCCTTGATCTCTGGCACTGGAGGTCTAATCACAGGTACAGGGAGAGGCTCCTTGGTACGCTCAACCAGATATCTCTTTTCTGAAGATGTGGGGCCGGCCGTATCGATCAAGATATCCTCGGTGTATCCAGGCGACTGGCGGAATAGGTTGAAGATCGTGATTCGGTAGTCTTTGTGAGTCTTTGTGAATGGGTTTCCTTCGACCCAGATCTCGCGTATATCGGGGATGTTTGTCAGACGCGCAAGCTCCACTGGATCTTTCAGGCCGTTGTCCCGGAGGTCCAGTCGCTCCAGAGGGTACAGCCTCTCAATACCAGCCAGCGACTCCAGGCGGTTTTCTCGAAGATTCAGAGCAGTAATGGCTGGCAGTGGGTTCCGAGTGAGCGAGTGCAGAGATTCAATCATACACTTTGAGAGATTGAGGGCACGGAGCGCCGTAAGTGTGGCTAGACTGTCGGGAATCTCCTTGAAGAGGTTGTTGGACAGGTCCAAGGAGTACAGAGTATTTGCCAATGGCATAAAGCTCGCTGCCGATATCGAGGTCAGGGAGTTCTCGGCAAGACTAAGGTGCCTCAAGAAGCGCCATTTTGACGAAGGCAGCACGGTTGTGGTGGGAAAGTTACTCATGCTGCCTCTAGCTGGATACCACGAATCAGACAGGCTCGACTGCGAGCTGCCAGAACCCGACCGTTGGACTTTGTGGGAGCCGCGGATGTGCTGAGAGCCGTGTCGTGAGCTGGCAGGTCTTCTTGGCGAGTGACTTCTGGGCCTGGACGACGTCTTGGTGGGTGATCGTGGCGGTTCAATAGTTGCGACAGCGACAGACTTCCGTCTGGCATACCGAGCCGCGTTGTCGTCGTCAACAGCGGCTTCACTTCCCACAGAGCCGAGATTGAGCAACGCAGGTCGTGAGCCGGGGGAGCCTGGGGCCGAGGTAGACTTCTGAAGCTCGGCCGGGGTCGCAAATGTCATACTCCTCCGTGGGCTCGAGTTGCCGGGCCATGGCGTTGTCGGCGACCTCTGTTGCTTTGATGTCCGCCGTCTCCTCTTGTCCATATCGTCCAGGACGATGTCGATGAGCAAATCGGCGGGATTTTCGATGCTTGCCCTCTTGAGGGTGAGGGACCTCAACTGGTCCGCCATGCGATCCCAGCCAAAAAATTGTCGGAAATCGATATCGCAGACTTCCAATGCCTGGCAATTTTTGAACACGTAAAGTGGAACTGCCGAATCGAAGGGGAATTCCTCATACCCCTTGATGAGCCTTGCCCGCCAGTCTGGTGCTAGTCGGAGGCACGGGATTTTGGTGAAGGCCGAGTAGAGATATTTGAGGTCTGCCTGCAGAGCAGCCTTTTGCTTCTCTCCACGGGCGGCAGATATGTTGTTTCCGATGCCAAAGTTGGACCAGAGTGCAGACATGCCCGACATTACGCTCCGCATGCTGGACACTGATCGTATAGAGCCAACTTCCGAGGCGCCGGTCTTGGACCTCTGCGTTTGGCTGAGGAAGGAGACGTAATTTGCTGACGAAGTCGTGTCGTGTAGATTCTCTAGGCGGACCTTCATGGGGCCGACGGGTATGGCCAGTTCTTCAAACCGCGACAGCAGGTAGAAAAGGTGGTGGGGCGTCAGGGCGAGCTTCGCAGACTTGGCGGACTGTGACGTGAAGTTCAGGGAGCCGAAGGACAGTGCGGAGGCAAGGCCATTAGATGCGGAAGCACCCGACGTGGCTGGCCTCTCTGGGACGGTGGGTGATGTGAGGCCATTGGGGGTGACCGAGGAGACGCTGTGCGAAGCACCATGTCGCGGGGCGTTCTGTTTTCGCAGCTGCAGGGCGTTGGCCAATGCCTTCTCGTGGGTGCGCACAAATGTGGCTAGTTGCTGCATGCCAAACATCATTAGTCTCTTATCTCTGAATTATGACGCTGAGGACTTGGATGATGCCTTGGTCGTACCTTGATGAACAACTCCCCGTCTTCTGAGTCCATGTTCATTGCTGAAAAGGCATGGAGGACACAGCCAGCGAGAAGCGACGGGGCACTATGCAGAATGGAATCGAGGATCCCACCAGCAGTGGAGGGGTTGGGAAAGAAGCAATATGCCAACAGTGCACGACGATATTTTCTTGAAGCCGTACCAGCGCCGGGTCGCGAGAGACGAGGTGATTTTCGAGGTCGAGAGGCTCTGGGGGATCGAGGGCACAACCTGTCTTGGCGATTGGTCGCCAGCAGCCTGTGCGAAGTCATCTGTCAGTATCCTGGTGTACAGAACGAGGCACAAAATCATACGGAAGAATAAAAAAAACAAAGAAGAGGGGCCGTGGAGCCGAAAAATGCAAGAGGAGAGAATGGGGCTCGATGGGAGACCGAGAGAAGTTGTGTTGGTGTGTGTGATGTATGTGGTGTAAGATTACGGTGCTGCGCGGCTGTACCCAAAGCCAGTTCCCGGAAAAGACGTAGGATATCCCTTGGTTTCCAGAACGGAGTGGGTTGGAGAGCAGGAGCTGAGGTCAGCCTTCTTAGGGGAAGAGGCTGAGGTGTCGTTGGGTCGGGACAGAGTTGAGGCCCAAGAAGCGACCACGGCAGTGACTCTGAACTATAGATATGTCGGCTAGGAAAATGGTCTCGCCTGTTTCAGCGGCGGGGCATTGTCACTGAAACTTGTTTCCAGTGTTCAGTTGGACAGTGATCGAAAGGCCCAGAATCCCAAAAATCGGAAGATATCCTACGTCGGACGAGTTGTATGGCGTAGCGAGGTTGGAGGGGCGTCGTGGTCGACCGCAAGCATGACTTGGAAGTGTTGGACGGGTACACGCAAGCCTCGCACACATACCCTGTCGTAATTACTCCAATGGTGACAAACACGAGTTTGTGAAGCACACTCGAGTGAGGTCGAAGTGCAGCAGGCGCTTGAGTGAGAGACGGACCAGCCAGAACAGGAGGTCGTCCAGCACAAGATAACGCACGAGGACACAGGCAGGAGGACGGGGACAAGGAGACGCCGACGGTTGGGACGAAGATGGTCCATTGTCACCTTGTCGTTGTTCCATTCCTCTGGGTTCCTAGCCTGTTTCTTTTCCCCTTGATTGCTTTCTCCTTGTGACACATGGCTTGCAGTAGATCTCGGTCCAGGTAATCGGCCAGGAATGTTGCAGAGGGCGCTCACTGGAATGGCGGGGAAGAGAGACAGACGAACACTCGACGATGGGTCGACATGCCAGCAGGCGATAGGAGCAGTGACACAAACAGCAAACAACAGCAACGGCGAGGGCAACAATAACAACGACATAAAACAGGCAGGACCAACACCACTACCATAGAGATAACAGTGTACATATCAGGGAGACTCAAACAAGGCAGAGAGATAAGGCAACAAACAGCACAGCGCAGGAAAGAAGAAAAAGTAGACTTACTGGGCAAAAACTGGCTTGGACTGCGTTCGAGTGCAGCAGATGATGCTACGCCGTGATGTATCCAAGAGAACAGGTGTGGCCGCAAAGGATCGACGAGGAGGAAGAGGAGGGGGGAGGAAACGGAGGGGAGGTGAAAGCGTAGGAGAATATCGTGGAATTCGACGACGGGACGAATGGATGTTTTCTGTTGTTTTCTCTCTCAAAATCCCAACCCAAGGTCCCTTCCGTCGCACTGGCCCAGTTGAAAAAGGGAGATGAAAACAGACCAGAGGGCCCTTGTTTGGACGCTGGAGCAGGGCAGTTGGGGTAGGCGCTTAGTCTTATTGCCATGTAGCGTGGGGCCAAACGGACAAGGGCATATGGGGGGGGGGGCAGAGATGGGAAAAAGAGAGGGTAGCCATCCCAGTTCCAATGTCCAGGGTTCTTGTGCAAATTGCTGGGATATCCCTGTAAGATGGCATCAGGGATAGTGGCAAGCGGGCCAAGCACGGGTCGCTCCTGGTCGTATCGAAGTGCTTTTCCTGGCGGTTTCCTCAACTTTGTGGAAATGAAATATAAGATCCACTCCTGCCTGTTCCTGGACAGACAGTCTGGCTGATTCTGCAGCTTGGTCAGGTGGACAGGAGATTCATCGTCTGGTGCTAAACATCTCTCCATTGTTGTTGAAATCTGCTGATAATCTGTCTTATCTCTTCATCAATATGAGGAGGGGGGGGGCGTTTAAGGGTGCAACCGGAGAGGTGGGTGAAGGAGGGACCTCAAAAGCACTACCATAGTAGTACGTACGTCCTTCCTATCGTTTGTGTGGTCGTGGTCAACCATCTCTTCGTTCCCACCTGCTCCTCATCCACTAAGCGCAGCTCATACTTTGCCTCCTATTGCCACCATGGTCACGATGCAGTGGTTGATGTTCTACCTCTCCTTCTTCGTGACTATTGTCACAGCTGAACTTTTGTCGCCTTCAGACTTGACAGGGAATAAATTAGAACCTCCCTTGTCAGCTCTGGTGCAGCATGAGGAGGGCATGAGAACGCAAGTATGCTGGGCAGGTCACTCGTCCGCTGATGGAGGGTACAGGGGCTTCCCAAGCTGCATTAGCACCTGCATCTGACTGCGCTAGAATCAGAATGCGGGTTCACCTCACCAACAACCAAGCGTCTACAGACCTACCGCGATACAGAGAGCACTTCTATGGTGCTACTATAGCACACATCAAGGCAGAGCGCAGCGCTGAGTGGGTGATCCCATAGTCTGCAGCCATTTGCGGCTTCTTCTGCCTCCTCCTCCTCCTCCTCCTCCGTCCTCTTTCTTGGTGTGCACGACTCTTTCCGGCATTTACATCATGTTGCGGGTATCGCATGACAATACAGGATTTGTGTGGTCGGAATCATTCCGAAGGGTCTGTCCATCTGCCATGATCATGGCGGTGGCCTCGTGGCTGGTTACTGGTCGAAAGAGGAGGGGCCCACGCTCCCAGCCGCATTTTAGAGGCATTGATGCCGGCAATGGTAAATGAATTACATCCGTTACACGCCTTTGAGAAGCTTACTCTGCCTTTCTGATCAACCATCGACCTGCCTCCTTGAACCCACGGGTCTTCGGTGACTCTCAACTGGGATGTAGAGGTGGCCCAGTTCGGCTCCGTGTTGTCCTGGGCATCCAGGGCCCTCGTCCAGACCCAGCACCGTTGCAACTTACTGGTCAAGGCGGCTCAGACAGGGTATTGCAGATTCTTCAACGCCGCATCCAAATCGCTGTGACGGCGCGCTATGGTTCAGCCTCGACCTTTAAACTCGCATATTAACGAAACCTTTCCTCTGGACTTGGGTTGCGGCCAGCCCTCAGCTAATCAAGTAGTATTTGGTTCAAGCCATTTATTATTTGTGGCGACAGGCGTCCATACTACTTGTGCGTGGCCACCGATCCTCCTGAAGCCGGTGGCGGCGACATCATCAGCTGCTGTTTACTTTCCAAATCAGTATGTCAAGACGTCCGGCGCGCTCATCCTCCGGAGCTGGCGACGACAATTCCGAATGACAAGTTCATGCGCTCGCCGTTAGTGGCTTGTCCCCCAAATGAGGGTGCCACTTGGACCTTTGATGGCGTCAACTACTGACCAGGATCCTGACGAGCGCCCCACTGTTCAAGCAACGTCCGTCCTCGACGCGACTGTGGAACACCGTGGCGGTCGCAGGGTCACAAAAATCCCAGAATTTGGTCCCCGACAAGGTTTACACCGACATGGGCGAGACCAGTACCAAGCAACCAAGCACCAGCGCGGCGTAGAAGAGAAAGAAGAAAACAAAAGAAAGAGAGGGAGAGTAGATGAGTTTATCGATTCCCCCAGTCGTTCGTCATACTTTACGTTGCCGCCCGCCCTGGGCTTGACCGCCTCGACGTCGGATCTTGGGATGGTTTCAACGGCCCAATTAGCTTGCTCGCACACACATGCAGGCTCGACTGATCCGACTGCGCCTAACTGGCCCCCTCCCGATACCGTGGACAGGCACGACAGGCCGCCATTCATTCTTCTCCAATTCACGGTAGGATTCCCTTCACCAGATCTGCGCTCCCTGCAGGTCAACCTGCCAGGGTTATGAATGAAGAAGACCGTCCAGTGGCCCGCGCCATCCTTAGCAGCGGATGGACCCTGACTTTTCAAGGGCCTTGTCTGTGCGTCGGAGCGTTGATGTTCTAGCGCCCATTCCCCTCGAGGCCAAGCAGCCAAGGCAGAGCATGTATCCATAGTAGCCACTGCACGACAGGTTATCCTCGAGTGAGAACTTTGAGAGATCTTCCCAACTGAGTCGGACAAAGCTCGGGCTCAACAGCAGATCACGGCGGTGCAACAGACGGTGTAGCCTACCGAGAGCTCTGGTATGTCGCCTCATCTGCGACGAGTCTCGATCAGCGTCCAGTTCTTCTCCAAGGCGTTGGAGATGGGGAATCTTGAAACTTGTGTCGAGGAAGCCCTCTCCAGACGGGTAACAAGCGAGCGCAGGTCGATGGGGTTGAGACCACAAACAGGACCACACCATTTACGCCATTGTGCATATGGCGAACAGCAACTTGACCACTGCCGAAGCGCACCCTTGACCACTGTAGTCCCGGGGGTGGCTCCATTTGAATACGTCTCGGACCTCCCGTGACACCAGAAGCCGAACACACCCATGGATTGCGCACAATGCACAGAAGTTTCCTAATCATTCATTCTGGCTGCCCAGTCTTCCGGTCAGAGGTGCTCGATCCGCACCGATGCTTGGATGACCTCCTCGTAAGCCAAGTCCTGGGCGGCAATCATCTGAGGCCATTATACACGAGTCTTGGTTAATTTCTCGCGTGGTGTGGAGCTCGTACATGGAAAACCAGAGCTTTTGTGCTTATGCCCCATCAGTTTGGAGCCGACAGCTCGGCTGATGTGTGTGCTGTGTATCAACATGAAGCATCATTGTCAGAAAGCCACCACAACGCCCGCGATCAATATTTCTGGCAAACCCGCCACAGGCAAGAGTCAGACAAATGTTCATCATAATGGCAGGCAAGGAAACCCTACGTTGCAGCATCGAGAGCTTTCGCATATCTTTTTTCCTGCCTTGCAGGTTTGGACCGGGACCCCTCCGGTTCAACAGCTCTCTGTCTCCACCGGCCGTCTCACCAAACAGACTCGTCGTTCAAGCCACGTCCACCGTAACACCAGGACAAGAGACTAAGCAGCCGCTACCAAGTCATCGTGGACCTGTGCCAGTCTTATGTATGGCCAATGTGCGGCCTTGTTTTCTCCACGGGTGTTTCTTGCACGTACTCCCCTCATAGCAGGGAAGTGAGCCGTTTTCTGCGCCTACAGCCTCATAATAAACTTCAGCAGGTCGTTTTGATTTTGGAATACCATATGGAAGCTGCCACAGGTCTTGTCCTTATCTGGATTGGCTGATAGTTGCAAAAGCCCTATCACGTGTCTAACGAGTGGCACAATGCTCACCTTCTTCCTGCTGTCGCGCTCGCAGTCAATTATTTCGTCGCTACTAAATGCCGGGCATCGCTAGGGAGAAGAGAGAAAAAAAAACGTCTTATCCACGGCAGAAGATGATTTCTGATTTGTTTTAGTATGAATCGACCAGCGATCACTCCTTCTCCAAGAGCGGTGGGCTATGCATGTCGTGCTCCGGCGCACGAAGTTAATCAATGCTGGCCGTATACGCTTCATGTGTAGACGAAGGTGTGCACACCATGACGTGGGAGGGTGTGGAGGGGTAGCAGGGGCCATCCATCTTCGTATTCCCGTGATGCCTGTCGCCATTCGACTTGTCGTTGCAGAGCGGACTGGCGTGTTTGGGGTTGACCAGAGAGAAATACCTTTTTAGCACAATGAAGCGTCTCTCGAGGCTAGGAAGATACCCTCACCATCGCGTTCCTCGATCACTGTGTAACGTCTTTTGAGTCGCTACGAAATTGAGTGGCGCGCCGCTAAAATAAAAAATAAAAAATAAAAAATAAATAAAAAATAAAAGAAAAAAAGATGGAGGACGAAGGGGGGCCAATGCTGTGTATCTACCTCAGCCTCGCAGGTGCGCAGATCTATCTTCTCCTTTTTTCCCGAGGAGCCAATAGCACATGCATCTTGAACACGCACCACACTCTCCAAAGTGCTTGCATACTATGGTACTAACGTACATACAAGAACGTGCTAGGGTGTGTCGTGAAGTGACACAGGGCTTCCGGATCAAGGATGCCGGGCTCTATCTCAGATGCCGTTTGAACGCAGGCTAGCAGGCATTGGTGCCCATCTGCAGGCCAGAAAGTCATTCTTATCAGCGGGATGAGGAAGAGGAGGAGGCCCCTCCTTTGAGAATGGAGACGTACTCCATAGCAAAACCGACTTTCTACTATAGTAAGGCGTGCGTGATCCTCAATCGGGCGAGTCAGCCACTTGGAGCCTCGTCGTCATGTCTTGTGATCAGCAGGGCACAAGAAAACGTGCTGTTGTGCATTGGTCAGCCAACGTTCAAATCCAGAAACATTGGAGCTTGCTGCAGGTCGAGGCATTGTGCGAACCCTACCTCGATGTCATGAGGGTCATATCAACTGCCTTATCTGCGGTAGTAGGTAGTATCGAGCTCTCTGCAGGTCCGTGCATCCCAAAGGGATGATCGCAGGATTGGACCCCCCGGATTGTTGCTGTGTGGACCGTCGCCCAAAGACGCGGCGATGGCGGCTGTTCGAAATTGGTGAACCCGCCCCACCTGCGCATGCTGTGGTGTGCTCAATCCCTGCTGGGAACATATGCACCCATAATAACACACTCACACACATGCCCACGCACACACACACACACGCTTCTGGATCCCTGTCGCAAACCGGCCACCCTTCCTCTCTGGCTTCTTTTTGCTTTCGATGGAGGGGCCAAGTATTCGAAATCCTGCATCTCCTTCTCTACCCCACATGCTCGACGCCCGGCCTTGGTCTTGCAGGGAAGAGAAAGACAAAAGAGAAAAGGAAAAAGATAAACCATTAGGGAAAGAGGAGGGCCTGCTCAGATTGAAAATGAAAATAAAATATCCTCGCCGCCACCCATGATCGTGATCGTCAGATCGGATCACGGGCATTTCTGTGTCGCACCACGTCGCACCTCTCGTCCTCTGCATTGCGGGTGCCTCGACAGACAGCAGCGAAGAAGGCACGTCGGCTCCTGATACGCCAATTGCCCGCTCTCTCTCTCTCTCTCTCTCTCTCTCTCACCGCCTTGAGACACGGCCAAGCTGACATGGCGGCTTGCCTGCGCACCCTAAGAGAGGCGTCTCACTAAAGGTTCACGTACATGAAGGTGGCTGTCAGCGTTGCTACCCTTCTTCGCATCACGTCTTGTTCTCGCCTGGTCGACAGCGTCGGACGCTGGTCTATATGCATGCAGCGCCATGCTGCATCTTTTCTCTTCTAGAATCGCGGTGTGAGACAAGGACTCTTGGGTCCTAATGCGAGGTTGAAGAAGAAAGAAAGAAAAAAAATTCTCGCAGGATTTCTCTCCCCCTCTTTTCTCACGATGGGTCTAGTCGAGAGAAGAGCAGAACTTTTCGGAGGCTTCCCAGTCGCCCGCCGCTTTGTCAATCACGCCGCCGCAATGCAACTTGGGATGCCGTCTCCGTGTGTGGAGTTCAGCTTGCTGCTGCTGCGGCGTTTCCGAGTTCTGATCACAATCAACATCATACGCCGACCTAGCAGCGGGCTGTCCCATACCCCGAAGCTACCCTGGCGAACAGGCCTTTATTACGCGGCCCGTCTGCCATCTGCCATAGTCGATGCGCCGTTATCATGGCCCGACGCGGGGTGTTATGCATGGCCGGATTTGGTTGTGGCGACAAATATGCTTTCTCTGCGAAGTTCTGAAACCCCCGACATGCCGTGCTATATTTACTACAATCAGTTACAGAGTTATTACCCCTCTCCCAAACGTCACTATACTACATACATGTAGACCATAGTGCTACTACCTTGGTCAGTCATTCGTCACGCATGAAGATGGAGACGAAGAAACAGAAGCGGCCCCCCCCCCTCCCCACCCTGTCAGACCCAGTAAGTTGACTTTCCCATTCCGGGACGAATTCTTCGATATGTGAACTTTCATTGGCTTGAAATGATTCTGTGAGGTCCTCAGGGATATCAAACAAGGTTCTTTCCAGAGACAACGTCTGGGTCTGATTGTTGTAATTAGGAACCTCGGACGAAAGACTCTTCCCCTCCTCCCTTCTCGTACATCTCGCTACATCTTCTTCCTCTCGTGTCGACCACTACATCGTCGCGGAATCATCATCACTCAGGCCTAGCTGAGGGCCTAAGGAGGGGCTGGTGGAGCACAGCGCACGGCGACACACGCGGTAGAGAAGGTCCAGCAAGGAAGAAGAAAAGAAAAAAGGGAAGACCCGTTCTTTGATTTGCTCGCAGGCTATCTTTTGCATCTCGCAACATGTTTCTTGGTCTAGGGAACAGAAAGGAAGAAGAAAGAACAACGCCCCATATCTAAGAGGGCCGAAGTCTGTCGTTAAGAATAGGCGCCTGGACTGCCGGTCATCGGCACCAGCTGGAAGACGACGAGCGGTTATGTGCTAGGCCTCTTTCCCCCTCCCCAGCAATTTGATCTCGATGCTGACGACCCAAGCCCGGGTTCCCACAGGATTTCGATCACGTTTTGAAATCCCATGTTGGTCTGTGGCCAGGGGGGCCAGAGGGACATGCATTCTGGCCCAATGGAAGAAGCCCCGCAAACCTGGAGAAAGAGAGAGAGGAAGGGGGGGAAAGGTAGCCGTTGGTATGGCCGCTGACGGGTCGACAACGGCCGAGGGATCTTGTCGCAGCTGTGTTGCTGACAGTCAGTGATGATGTTGTTGACACGACATGTCTTTTGTGCTGCAGCCGGACATGCACAAAGAGCCTCAGCTCCTCCCTCGCCCCTCTCCTCCTCTGCTCAAAACAGTTACTTATGTGTGTGCATGTGCGTCGTCATCGTTTCCTCTCGAACATCACATGGCGAGTCGGGAATTTTTTTTTCTCTTCCAGCCCACTCACTTGTGCATGAATTTTCGGCTCGCCTCTGGCGCCTAGGAAGCCTCGCCGTCGGTGACGTTCCGCCGAGGCGGACGAACGGGGCTGGGGCTTGACGCGTTTAAGAACCACTCCAGCGCGTGACAGTGGGGTGAGGGGAGTTTTGTCTTTTCTCTTTTTGGGCGCTGGTTTTGTTTTCTTTTCTTCTTCTTTTTGTACAGCTGTTCTCAGTCCCACTTGGCTGCAGGTCAACAACCTCTTGGGTCTAACCGTTCACGCAACATCCAAGGAAGTTTCATCCAACCCTTCCCCGCCCCCGCCTCTCTTTCCCAATCCCTGTCAAACCACCTTTCTGCAGCAAAAAGTCGGCCGTATGGCCTTTTGTTCTTCTTTCCTTTTTTTCTCTCCTTTTTGTACGCAATGTGTTTTCCCCAGGATATGCACAGAGAATTGCCGAGGCTCCACTCTCGCTGCTGCTGAGTTCTCGACGGCCGGTCACGTCTTAGGGGAGAGAAGGTTAGACGCGTTGTGACGACGAAACAGTCGGTCAGTCTCACTTCTGCAAGTGGGGGGAGGGGTAGAAATGGGCACTACTACATTTGCTTCTTCTCGTCGCACGTGGCGCCTTCAAGAGATCCAACGACGGCCCAAGAGAGGGGCCATGTTGGTTGTCACCGACTCCGACTCCTCCCCCTCCTCGTCCAGCGAGTGACTCACCATTGTGAGAGTGGTGGGAGAGCATTGAACGGGAGGGGAATGTTGTGACAGTCTGATAGCCCTCGAACTGGACTGCGCAGGTAGTCCAGCCAGGCCTTAGCATTGATCTTAATGGCAAACTCTATCCGAATTTTAAAATTATCTTCTGCGGGGATTTGGTCCCAGGGATCCGAGAGCGAGCGGCTAATACCAACGAATCCTTGGCCAGGAGACGTGACTTTTTTTTCTTCTCTCTTTTTTCTTTCTTTTCTATGGGAATGAAATGTAGGTGAAAGTTTTCCTTTGAATTGGGAGAGTTGCTGCATTCCCGGGGCCAGACAGTTCTGGGATAGACCTTGAGAACAAAAAGATCGCTTGCAGTCAAAGCTGAGGACTTTCAGACGGCAAGAGATTTTGCGGAACAGGGAACAGGCAGGACATCAGACTTGCCATACTCGGCCTGGTCTAGTCACTCAATGAATGAGAATAGAAATACACAAGCTTTGTTACAATTCTTTCTAAGCAAAGTGAACGGCAGAAGTATATCTCTGTTGTGTCTACAGCCTTGACCATCCACACTTCGAGAGACGCTTGGTAACTTTAGATTACAAAATTATCATTAGAAGCGCTTCAGATCTTAAAATCTGTTTTGACCTTCTTTTTTTTTAAATGTTCCTCCTCAAAACTCCGTCGAATCATCTCAATGGCATTGAACGCCCTTCTTATTTTCTCTATCAAAATAAGGAAAAAAGAAGACGAAGAAAAGAAGCTGCATCCTCATCACCACTATGCAGCTGGCTTCCGGTGGCAAGGCTTCTTGGACACGGTCGGGACTGGTGCACCACCTGTCTGGGTACCCGCGTGGGGGGGCACCCTCCCCGTTCCAGACGCCGAGGGCAGCACCGAGAAGCCGCTGCCGCTGCCCGGCTTTCCGGTGGGACGGGTCGAGCTGCCGCTGCCCCCGCTGGCACCACCGCTGGGGTGGCCTGGGTGACCTGTGGGAATGGTCCCGCTGGGGTGACCCGAGTGACCTGTGGGAATGGTCCCGTTGACGTGCGCAGAGGCCGACACGCTAGGCCGCGTGCTCAGCGTCGGCGAGGGGAAGCCAACGGTGGTGGATGAGTTGCGGTGCACGAGGCCGCTCGTGGGCGTCGACGTGGGGAAGGGGATGGTTGCGTTGCCCGCTGCGGGGGTGATGGTCGAGTTGAGCGCCGGGACCGTGGCGATCGAGGTTGGGGTGCTCAGGGGCAGCGATGTGGTTGCGTTGATGGCTGCTGGGGTACTGGAGGAGAGGGTGGACACCGGGCGGGTGGACAGGGCTGTAGGCAAGGACGAGGTCGTGTTCAGGGCAGTGGGCAGTGGGGACGGGGTGCTGGTGGCAATTACGGATGGCACCGTGGAGGAAGAAGATTGGGCTGTGCTCAGGGTGCTGCTGCTGCTGCTGCTGCTCGTGGAATCAGACGATGACGACGATGATGATGTCTGCGTGCTGGACACATCTGAGGTCGTCGAAGAGGCTGACGTCGATGCCGAGCTCGATGTAGCGTCAGGGGTTGCTGAAGAGGAAGCCACGGTGCTCAGGCTTGAAGAGGACGAAGAAGAAGACTCGGTTGAGCTGGTAGATGATGAGGTCGCTGAAGGCAGATCAGTCGAGCTGGAGGTGGTTGAAACGGTCGAAGTCGTAGAAGTTGAGGCAACATCGGATGAGCTGCTAGACGATGACGAAGTCGATGAGGGCAGATCAGTCGAGCTGGATGTGGTTGAAGCAGTCGAAGTCGTAGAGGTTGAGGCAACATCAGACGAGCTGCTAGATGATGATGAAGTCGACGAGGGCAGATCGGTCGAGCTGGAGGTTGAGGCAATATCAGACGAGCTGCTAGACGACGATGAAGTCGACGAGGGCAGATCGGTCGAGCTGGAGGTTGAGGCAATATCAGACGAGCTGCTAGACGACGATGAAGTCGACGAGGGCAGGTCAGTCGAGCTGGATGTAGTTGAAGCAGTCGAAGTCGCAGAGGCTGAGACAAAATCAGACGAGCTGCTGGACGATGAGGTGGTTGTTGATGGCACGTCGGTCGAGCTGCTGGCCATCGAAGTGATAGACGAGGTATCATCGGAAGAGCTGCTAGACGAGGAGCTTGTCGCCGAATCAGTGGCGGACGAAGTGGTAGACGACGCCGTTGATGACGGGTAGGTCGTGGTGCAGACCTGGGTCGGAGCTAGATCATTCAAGGCATTTAGTTAAGACTCGACCAGCAACATGGCGTCTTCGCTGCCCACGAGATCTTCTCTTATTGTGAAGGACGGGGACAGGAAACAAGATACAAAAGGATGATCATTGGGACTTACCTGATGCAATGGCATTGTCAAAGTAAAGGTTGAAGAGAACTGTGCTGTGGTACGGACTGCACGAATAGTACACACCAAACAACAAGGTGCTGCTAGTTGGTGCATATGTGCCAGATAAAGTCGTCCAACCAGTCGTGGTCTTGGTGAAGACCTTTGAAGAGTAGGTGATCAGGTTTGTCGTCGTGAGGGTGTCATGGAATAGGTATATTATGCACGTTTCCGAGATAGAGTAGGACGGGTTTATCACTCCGTTGACGTCGATTGAGAATGTATATGTCACTCCCGTTTGAAGGTTACTCAGTGACTGAGTAAATTCGCCAGCCGTCGTAACGGACCCGGCGAGGCTGGTTCTCAACGTCAGCTTGAGCCTGTTGATGTGATATAAACGAGGAGAAAAAGGCCACATAGACCAAGACAGAGACAGGAGAAAAGAGAAGGGGAATAGATATAAGATACGAACAGGGAGTAGGAGCCGTCATCGGCATAAGCATTGGTTGTCGTTGCGGTGCTAATATAGTAATTCCAGCCGGCGGTCCCATCTTCCCACGAGGGATTCGTCAAAACATTCACCGTCGGGTTCGTGCAAGTCACGTCTTGAGCAGAGACGATGCCCCAGCTCAAGGCTGAAAGACACGAAAAAAGAGTATATCTCATCATGGTCGTATACGCCTGACCAGAAGAGTTGGGAAAAGGCAGGAAAAAGAGAGGGGGGGGGGGGGGATTAAGGAAGTTTTGATCACGCCTGATTTGGTTGGCAGTGAGTACAATGAACGAACGGACGGGACAGTGAAGCCCAAATGATTAACAGGACGCTCGGACAGAGCACGTAGTTGGGATCCGGAAAGAAAGGATAACCAAATACCCCCAAAAAGGTCGGACAGCAGGAGGACCAGAGACGTAAGTAGTATCAGGGCTCACACAAAGTACACGATGCTCCTACATATACTTTATAGTCTGTCTCTTTGCGTGAATCACATCTGGCCACGGCTTGACCTGATAGGCTTTCTCTACTTTGTGGCTGGCCAGCTGTGGATACTCAGTACACAAGAAGGGGGAGCCTGGGAGCTTCGAGGGGGGTCTTGATGATCTCACGAACTTTTCACGTCCTTCGAGTAGTCAAGTTCATGATATCCAACTATACCCCATACCATATTTGGGCTCTTGGTCGTCGGAACTACGGTGTATCCGGAAAGGATCTTGTCCAAGCTAAGCCGTGATAAGGCTGTGGAGCGATCTATATTCAGGAGGTGGAAATTACTTACAGGCATGCCACCGAGTCAAAATAGTTGATTGGTCCGCACATCACTTTTCAAGATCTCAACGACGATAAGATGTGACATCTAACCACTTCAACATGATTATCACAAAACAAGTACTCGTCGACTTGCTTGTGGATCGAAACTTTTGCGAGATCGAAATACTCCATGCACCAACCTTTTGTAGGGCTGTACAGATCATTTGGCAGTCAATAAGGGGGTTTGGGTAGTGATCCCGAGGCCTGCAACAACAGAGCGAGGGCCCCTGTCGAAGCGGGTCTTTCAGCTAGCCGCTCAGCCACTGCTTTTAGGGCAAGCCACATGGCAGCAATTCAACTAATTCCTCAGGCTGATGCCAGCTGAGGGGTGGAGCGTTGTGGGCACAGCTGGGCGCTATTGATGAGTTGATAGCTGCCAGAAATTGCAATTTCGTTCGAATGTCTGGAGCTCAAGCTCGACTGACAATAAGACAGCGGCGAATGAGAGAGATTGCTAGGCAGGATATGTGCCCAGCCTGCCCAGCGATTAGCACTTGAGATGTGATATTATTAGAGATTCGGAGAATATATAGCTGTAAGAAACTTAGCAGATATGCCGTACAGTCACGGCATTATACGCTGTTCTTAAGACATGCTATAACATGTAGTACTCTGGACCTCCACACCGGGGTATTAAGACGGACGGACCATCGGGAGGGTGACGTTCCGAAATTTTATGGTCGAAATGTCCTGACAGCGAAAAGTACACTTTACAAGGAGATGCCTGTATCTCACATTCAGCTAAGAGCTCGTTATCCCATAGTATGGACAAGCCGGGCTATGGCATGTACCGGCAACCGTACCCAGGATTTCAGAGAAAGGGGAAAGGGGCAAAAAGTATAAAAGTACAAGGAGAAAAATAACTCGATTGATGAACGTGCAAAAACCAGAACAAAAAAAGTTGAAAATGGTACCTGGGAGATTCGAACTCCCGCCTCTTTCGAGATCAGATGAAATCCACATAAATGCGGACAAGATATTCTCTTGACTCAGACGCCTTAGACCGCTCGGCCAAGGTACCATCAATTAATAATATACTCCCCAAAATAACACTCATAGACCTAATCCCTGGTAAGAGAGTGGCATTTTCCCGTAGACTTCAATGTTCGCTTGTCATTCCTTCTCACGATTATTGGCCTATACAGTTGTCCTGAACGACCCAGCTTATTAATTGTTGTATATGTGTCAAAAATGCAAATATTCATCAATCCCCGGTGGGTCTAGAGTCGAAAGCTGACTGGACGCGATCTCGTGGGCGAAATTGTAATATTAAAATAGGATATTCGTTTGTTGCGCTGCTCCTATCGCGACCGGGTTCCAGATAATTTAACCCTGACGTTTTCTACTACCAAGATACAGTACTTGATTACGGTGTATTCATTGATTGTAACAGGCAGTAGTCATGTTCTTCTCCCATTTTTGCCACCACCTTCGGGGCGTCGTTCGAATGATCTCCTTCGGTACGGCTTCCAATCCATCGACAAGCGAGTTCAGCCGGGACAGGGCTTCGCGTGAAGCTTTCTTCAACGCCCACTGCCACGACGACCCCGCTCTGTCATTCTCTCTTTCTAAGCGGTACTGAATTGCCAAGCGAAGAGCTGGGTCGCTCGGCTCGTACCCCTCAAAGTTGCCCAGTATTCGATAAGGATGGAGTGTATCTGGTTCTGAAAGTTCGGCCCGCACGCAAACACCAAACCACGATGTGTGTTGCTGCTTAATGTTGAGTGTTTGGGTATTGGGAAGTTCACGTAATGTCCTACGTAAAGCCAGCAGATGGGGAGGTGTTTACCGATCATTCTTGGCGAGGCAGTATAGCTGCCCGTCAATAGCGTACTCATCAACTGCCTGTCCTTTCCAGCATTTGTATGTCCACGATCTGCAACCTTGAACTCAGTCTTGACTTCCTCTCGTGGGCCATCCACTATGGAACAGGCCAACGTGGCTTCTTTGCAGATGTGTTCCTCTAAGACCTGGGCGCACAGGTTCGTGATTGAATGGTCCAGGACACTGCATTCTGCTGCTGTATCCACATCTTGCGGGAATAGTGACAAACTATGTCTATCATGACTGTCAAGCGAAATCCGATCTTGTTCCTAGCTGGCTTCAGTAGGCTGGCTTGACAATTGGCCAACATGCGCAGGTGTGGAGTAAGCTGTGAGCTCAATAGCTGGACTATATTTACGACGAGCTGCTGGAGGTTGCATATCCTTGGCCAAGCAGGTCTTCTTAGACCTACGTTCCGAGAGCGCCGGATCTAAATCAAGTGCCCGTTTTATAGGAACTGTGGGCAGAAGATCTGGAAACGTTTTCGACTTTTCCTCATAATCATGACGAGAAGGCAGCGAGCCTTCGAAAAAGGTGACCTCCTGGTCTACCTACGCATGGTCGTTTCGCGCCCTCCTAAAGCCCTCAATGCGTTTACGGTGCTCTTCATGCACTTGCCCCCACAGCTCCCTGATTTGGCGAATGGCCTCTGGATCTTGAACTCTGGGTTTTTTGGGTACCGAGGCGTTGTCATTCTGCAAAGGTGAGCCACAAGCGGGTGGCTCCATTGTTTGCGGGCTGGTGGTCCCGGAGTTGCTGTTTGGACCTCGTGAGAGAGGGCGACTGGCAGGTAGATGATGCCACGAGTGAGGGAACCTGCAATATCTTCGAGCCGACGAATATCGGCATCGGCGACAAAACTACAACGCCAAAGCCATTCACGGAATTGTATGTCCAAGGTGCCCACTGTCATGGGCTTTTTCTGGCCCTGTCCCTGCCGCAATCGTAATCTGATCGCTGCGGAGAATGTTGTGTTCTCGAAAAAAGCGAGATTCAGCCTTTGGACGCCCGTGACCGCACTGGCAAGCCCAAAAACATCTGTGATACGCCTAAAAGAATCAATATCTAGCATCAAGCAAGCAAGATCAGGATCCTGGGGCTGATGAAGATCCTGGATATCCGCTGGCTTTTTCAATTTGATCTGCGGAGAACCATACGCGATGACTGTGGTCCCTGAGATTTATCACGAAAGGACCAACCAGGTTGTGTTTCATAGCATGTACGATATCATCTTACACCGCAAGCCACACATGATGATGATTCTGGCAGCGCTTCCAAGAATAGCCAGACGATTTACTTCTGAGACACGAGTGGAACCCGGAGAGAAGGCCTCAAATCTTGAGGGTCCTGACCCATATGCCTCGAAAGAAATAGTCCATACACGCGCGTTTGCTCGAGTAAATTTCATTCCTTCCAGGGCCTAAAGACGGTTTGGATCACTTAAAATGTCGGTCCTTCCAGCTCCCACGTCGTCCGAATCGATCACAATGCTGATGAGTGCACCAGTATTTCCCGTTGGGGCTAAGAATTTGTTGTTGCCCACCCGGTCGCCGACTTCTTCGGCCATGATGTATCTGAGTTCACACGCAAAGTCGATAGGAGCGCTCAATGGTGCTGGGAGACTCAGTGACTTGATAGAATCCGGAGAGAATCCGTTCTTCTTGGCCAGACTCCTAGTCACCGAGCGATAATTTCCTGCAGTAAGGACCCTCGCATGGCGCTTCCGTGCCTCATTTTTGGACTGTTGGGACAGCCACTTTGCGCGGACCTTCACCCACTCTCTGTTCTCCGAGTCTGATTAGTTACTCTGCAGTTGAGCAAATTTGTCTCGCTGATCAGGAGGCACCCAGAGCCCTTGCAGGAGACGCAGCAGAATGTTGAGACCAACATTGGCGTATTCTTTGTGCCCGGACGGCCGTCCGAAATTTTCGGTCAAAAGGACACCAGGCAACAACTCAAACACTCGACAGAACATCATCTTGAGAATGTTCCGCACGACGCCAGTCTCGATTGTTGCCTGAGTCTCACGCAAGGCCAAACCCGCGGGATTAATGGGCCATAAGCGTAGAAAGTTGGCGAAACGGTGACCCTGTCCACAAGCCAAGACGAAATAATGAAGCGGAGCCGTGTTGGCTCGGCGTATCTGCCCGATGTGTTCGACAGCTATGCGGAATGGACTTCGCCTGATTGTCCAATGTACAAACGCAGGTAGTCCTCCCTCCCTGGTTGATTATCCGTGACAAAGTCGACATAACCTAAGTCTTGATAGAAACGTTGCTGACTTTGCTACCAATCTTGACTTACAAAGCTAGCGATAACACCTCGCCCTGGAGCACAAGAATTTCTGGTTCGAGACGATGCAAGCAAGCATCTATTAGTATCTCGTTAGGGCCATACGCTGCTATGGGCATGATGTATCGTTGCAAGCTGGGCAAGCTTGTGATCCCGCCTTCTGCTAAGCTCACGACCAGGTCTGTTACAACTTATCGATTGCCGAACTCCAGGAATCAGATAGACATATTGTATGTCCCCAGCTTCGAGAGGAATTCATTGTACTAACGCTCACTGCCACGCTATAATCATAGGAGACTGAGTTTTGCCATATGCCCTTGGTCACCTGCCCCGATATTCGACAACTCCGCAACCCGATAGGAGTTCGGAACTTGACGGGTTCTCCTCGAGCGAAGAGTTGTTATAGGGGCAAAGAGTGACATAGAGCCATAATCAGATGCTGTTGGAGGGTCATTTACTAGGGGTCGTGGACTGTCGCTATTCATGTCGAGTGCTCGAGGAAACTGGGTCGCAGTAGCCCGAATCTCTTGCAGTAACTGCAAGGTAGATAGGTGCAGTCTTGACGTGTATGCAGATGATGCTCGCCCTGCTTGCAATTTTCCTTGATGCAAGCATGTACTTTTTGCTCCTCTCTCTCCGCTAGAGCCTTTCGCTTTGCTTCCGAGCGGCGGACAGCCCGTGGGCGAATAACTCCGAATAAAATTGCCTTGTTCCATGAGCAGTATGGACCCAGGGCCGGCGGTCGGGGTAAAGGCTTCTGCGTTCATAATTGAACCCACGGCGTAGGTGGTGTGGATGGCGGCAGCAAAGTCCGAGTCCCTCTGGTGCAAAAAGAGAGAGGTGAGTTCCAAGGTTGGCGGTGAGAAATGCAGGTGACAAATACCCAGCCCGGCCGGCAGATTGTTTGTTGCCATGTCACTTTTGTTGAGCAGGGTGCCAATTCCAAACTTAACTACCTACCAGCTTTGGGGAACCTTGAACACCACGGTTGTTAAGCTTCATTGCCCTGATGATTCTCCTACGGTACTGTGAGCAGATCCTACGGTGGGTCCAACACACTTTAGCGCTCTCCAGCACTATCGAGTCCCAATTGTGGTGAATGCCGGTGTGGTGAACGAAACTGCGAATGAATCGATGAATATTGAGAGATATTACAACCTAACGCCACACTCTCGCCAAGAGCGTGGTGTTCTGACTGAAGAAGTATGGGATTGCGAACGTTCAGGACGATGCACATGCTGTCAACAAAGGGTGCGAGATGACTATGACGAGAGATCTGTCTGTTGCCGGGAAATCTGGATTTCGATAATGACTGGCAATCCTGTCTTGCGACAGCCAGCCTTGATAGGGACCCAAGATGGGCTTTTCAATTATGTATTGCCTCTTTGAAAAATCACGCTGCTGTATCATGATCCTTTCTTCCATTCAGTAATTGAACTATCTTATTTCGCTGGTGGTATAGGAATGGTCGCCTGGGGCAAGTCCTTTGCAATAAAAGAGAAAGGCCGGGTCGCCCTGGAATGGATTTCGTATCGTCATGGGTGGTCTAAAGATGAAGGTGTCAAACGCCAACACGTAAACTGGACGGGAGTAAGCGAGTGCTGGAAGGTTCTCCAGAGTAGCAGGGAACATAACGTGCTGGTGACATCGGGATGCAGGGCCAAGGAGGGGGGCGGTGGTCAGGCAATCGAGTTGAAGGGTGCTACATGGCAAGTCGGGAATAGGCGAGCGAGTGCGTGCGTGCGTGAGTGAGATCTAGTTAGACCTCGTCTGCAGCAGTTGTTGGTCGGGAGACAGCGGGCCAATAGCTGACCAAAGCTGGGGTGGCTGGGGTGTCATGGATCGAAAGCGGCCAGAAGACGTGTTGTTACCTAACGATGCGATGCACGTCAAAATGGTCCCCTAAAATCCGGGGTAAGGTAGACTCGAGGGCCCCTGCAGTGGGGAACGCATGACGTCTTCAAGAGAAGACGGACGGTTTAAGATGCTGGCATGTTTAGTCGGGTCTCACAATTTTCTCTTTCTGGGCTGTTGGAGGCCAAGTCATGCTTGCAAGTATAAGTCCGCGCCCGATTGGGACATGTTGGGACATACTCTTCCTCCTCTCTTTGAGTGTTTACGTATAAACTGATTTCACGAGTTGATCAGATCAAGAGTCACCGAGTACATTTCTGAGGACCGCCAATTGCCTTGTTTGGATGCGATGACCCGATCCATCAACCAGCGGGTCCAGCGTTCTGACGGGCGCCTTACTCCACCGTCATCCAGGGGTCCTTGTTTGGGGAAACGCAACGGAACGTACTTTAAGTTTTGACCAGGCATTTCGGGACTTCAAAAGCTTGGTGGATTCAATGGAGGCATAAGCAACAGATATGCCATCGCGTTGTAAAGACATCAATGAAACACAACAGGTGTACTATTTTGTGTATGTTATCGCCCTGATAAAATTGTAATTCAGGTATTGAATGAAAATGTGATAATTTTCTTTTTTTCGATTCCCCCCCTCAAGCTGATGCTAACAAGCCTTTTGAGTTGAGGGAACATTTGTACTATGTACCGTAGTACGTGGAATTTATTATGTAAGCGACAGGGCAGCTTACCACGTTTTGGGACCTGCATCCCTGTCCTCGTCCCTTCCCGATGAGGCTAGTGGCCATCTCCGCAGGCGCGTTAGCAACCTCAAGTCGTAAATTCGACCATCTGTCGCACCTCACACAGCCCTTTCGCCCTCGCAGCAACAACCACTAGACATCGTAAACAGTCTCGAATTCTTGTCCTTTTGACACCTCAAGCCGCACAGGCGACTCGCACGCGCTCCTCCCGATGCTAACGCCCGCGGGTGCGCCCTAGCAGGTGTTGCTCGCCTCCCCTTGGACGACGCGCCCCTCAAACCACGCACCCTTCGAAACTCCATCCTCAGACCATCCCCTCCGACCTGATCGCCATGTCGTCAAGGCCCGCCACGCCTAGGAGCTCGCGCTCTGGGCGCGTATCTGCCCGTCCGCGCGCTACGGGAACGCAAGATCGCGAAGAGCCCCCCCTGAAGAGGAGGAAGTACATCCCAGGCGGTCCTGGCGGCGGCGGCAGGTTCATCCTCACCGACGACATTATCGAGGCACCGACAGGTCAGTCTCGTGCTGCTTCGTCCAGATCTCGAAGCACCGCCCAGAGATCCTCGAACCGTTCCCGCGCCCCACTCGTCCCGCGAGAGAGACGCACGCGCGCCCGAGCCTCCGCAACCCGTGCAGACGACGAGATGGAGTTCAGCTCTGCGGCCGCCGTTGCTGCCGCCGTCGCACAGAGTGAGGGATACAAGCCAAGAGAAGAACGCGGCTGGGAGGAGTTCCACCCAAATCTTGACATAGAGGCGACCTTTATGGTCTTCCACGCCGAGGACGTCGATGGCACCCGAAAGTCGACCCCTCCGCCACAACCTGCCCCTATTCCTCCTGCCTCCCAGAGTACTACCGTCAATGGCGCTAGCACTCCCTCGAAGGACGCCAGCGGCACTGCTATAGGGGCTGCAGGCGAGTCTGCGACACAGCTGGAAGGGACCGCAGCGACTCCAACCACGGTCGTGGAGACGCCTACGAGACGGCGGACGACCCGTCCGAGGGATGCCGTATCCTTCTATGCGACGCGTTCAGACTTGGGCCAGACCCCGAAAACGCCCAAGGTCCTGTCCACCTTGAACCAGACGCCCAAAGAACGCCTTGATTTGAAGAACCCTTCCTACCGGAAGACGGACCGGATATTACTCTTCGAGAGCAAGACATTCGGCCAGGCAAAATATGTCGACAAGGCTATGATGAATGCGGGCTATCAAGAGAGCGACAATTTCATTCGGCCCGAGCGACGTCTCTTGAAGGCAAGCGATGCCCACGTGGACGAAGATGTGGACCAGCTGCTTGGGCACAAGGCGGAGGGCGAAGTGGTTGTCCCCTACAGCGGATCCAATATGGGCCGCGTTGAATATGATATGGATGAACAGGACGACATGTGGCTGGAAACACTTAATTCACAGCGCAAAGCACACGAGCTGGAACCTGTGACCCGTGAGGTCTTCGAGATCACGATTACCAAGATTGAGAAAGAGTGGCATGCTCTGGAGAAGAAGATACCAAAGCCCAATCCAAAACCACCACAGACGCACCGGCCAAGGTCAAGTTCAGCTGCGGCCGTGAATGGCGAGGGGGCGGGTGAGGAGCAGGACAGCAAGTGTGCCATATGCGACGACGGAGACTGCGAAAATACCAATGCGATTGTGTTTTGTGATGGCTGCGATCTTGCGGTGCATCAGGAATGCTATGGAGTACCTTTCATTCCCGAAGGACAGTGGATGTGTCGAAAGTGTCAGCTCGCAGGTCGTGGAGTTCCAGTAAGTTGTATAACTAGGGGGTCGCTCAGACTGCAGAATGTGACACTCGGCTAATGGCGAAACTGTACAGACTTGCATCTTCTGCCCCAACACGGACGGTGCGTTCAAACAGACCAACAACTCGAAATGGGCCCATCTGCTCTGTGCAATGTGGATTCCGGAGGTTTCTCTTGGCAACCACACTTTCATGGAGCCCGTGATGGACGTGGACAAAGTCCCCAAAAATCGCTGGAAACTGCAGTGTTACATCTGCAACCAGAAGATGGGCGCCTGCATACAGTGTGGCAACAAGGCGTGCTACCAAGCCTTCCATGTCACATGTGCACGGCGGGCGCATCTGTACCTCAAGATGAAGAACAACCAAGGCGCTCTCGCAGTGCTGGATGGCGGTATGGTGCTCAAGGCTTTTTGCGACAAGCATTGCCCGCCAGACTATGAAGAGGAGCACGGCGTGGCTGCTGCGTTCAAGGAGGCCAAGAAGTTCTACAAGCGCACGATGAAAGGCCGGATCTGGGCAAACAGTCAGGATTCAGCTCGACAGCTGGCGGCGACCCACCGGCATGCTTTCACCGAACACCCACCCGACGAGTCGCAAATGATCGGAGCCAAGCTCTCTGGTGGCGCGGGCGACAAGAAGAAGGGGCAGACCGGAAAGATCTGGAAGCTGCCTTCAGGAGCACCAGTAATCCCACAAGCTGTCTTCGACCTGGTAGAGGCTGGGCTGGCACGTTTCAGCCTGCGGAAGCGGAAGGAGTACGTGGCCGAGGCATGTCGATACTGGACCCTGAAGCGAGAGTCTCGCCGGGGCGCCGCGCTCTTGAAGCGTCTGCAACTGCAGATGGAGTCTTTCTCGTCCATCGAGCTGACAAGACGGGATTTCGCCGCCATGGGTCCTTCTGGCAAAACTCGTCTGGCTCGGCGTATCGAGTTTGCCGAGACCCTCCTAAATGACCTCGAACAGCTCAAGTCTCTTACCGACGACGTCGTGAACCGCGAATTGGACAAGCTAGAGCAGGCTGAGATGGAGCAGGACTTTGTCGACACGTGCTATTTCCCCATCTTCAGGCTTCTCTCGCCTGTCATCGATAAAGCCCAAGCGTGAGTGTCCTCCGCCCCAAATCCAATACTGTGTGCGTGCTCTGTATGCTAACGCGATAAGTAGGTACGACAAGAACGTCTTCAAAGACGGTCTGGCGAAGCTGCAGAGCAAAATCGAGAAGCGCTTCTACACGACAACCCTCGATTTCGCTCACGATCTATGCGAAGTCATCCATGTTGGCATTAACGCTCACTGCAGGCCGGAAATTGTCGATCAGTCCGGGCTTGAGCCCATCGATGTGTCGCCTACTAAGCATAGCTCATCATACTCTGAGACTCGAGATCGCAAGAGGCTCGGCAAGCGCATCATCAAGTTGGTCCAGCCACAGTTGGAGGCCGCTCTGAAGGCCGAGGCGGACATCACGTCGAAGCAGTACGCTACTTTGCAGAAGGAACTTGAGGGCATGATCGACGCCAGCCTCGAGATCAGAAAACCTGGTCTTCCTCATCAACAGGGAGCAATGGGCCAAGCGGCCCAGGGCGTTGTCATGGTAGATGCTCCGGCTGAGACTCACATCACTGTTGCGGATGCCCAGCTGGGTAGTGAAGCTGGCGGCGAGGAAGCCGACAAGATGGACGTCGACGAGCTGAGCATTGAGGTCAAGGACGAAAATGCTGGGGAGAGCAATGGCGGCACAGCAGAGAATGCCACAGCTGGGGAAGACATACCCCATGAACCTGAAGGCAGATTGCCCAACGGCGTGAAGTCAGCACCGACACCCCCTGAAATGAACGGATACACACACATATCCCAAGATTCGCACCCAACTCCTCTCACACCTCCGCAGTCCAACGGGAGCCTCGGCCGCGGGATGGATAACACGCTCACCGAGGGCGGCATTTCCTGGTACCTGAGGCCTTTTGATCCCGAGGGTACAACTGCGATTCAGGAGCAGTGGGCGGGACGCGAGGCGCTGAGGTCACTCAGCGAGGAGCTGACGGATATGGACGAGGAGGAGCTCAACGATTTAGAGTTTAATGTCGAAGACAGCACCATTACTGCTTCACCTGTCCATACGCTACCGGAGCAGGGCAGTGGAAGCACCTTGCCATCCAGGAGCTCGAGCAGGAGGAAGGCGAATGGTGCGTCGGGAGGTATTGGTCGGAAGCGGCTCAGGTCGTCTGCCAGGAAACGGTAAGGGATAGTCTTGACATTCGCTGGTGGTGGACTGAGTTGCGCAGATTATGGACTGTTGAGGCCTTGGAGTGTACATTATGAAACTGGGCGGCGTGTCTTCTTCTTCTTCTTCTTTCACGATGTTTAGAGGTTTTTCTTTCTTCTTTTGTTTTTGAGTCTTGGTCCTTGTGTTGCCCCATACCCGAGGCAAAACTGGATTCGAATTGCTTTGCTTTGGCGTTTGGGGAGTTGTTGTCTTGGCACGGTCGCAGAGCGGCAGAGCAGAAAACCTCATTTGATATCCAGCTATTAATTGCGTTTTTGAGAAAAAAACAAGTTCTTCCTCTGATCAAAGGCATCGCATAAGATTTTGTTTGGACCATTACGACTGTTGAGAACGCTATGGCTTGCTGTGTAGAATCCACCGACTGTGGTTTAATTGCAGCCTATGTCTCGGCCACTGGAATCATGAACCTCCTCTAATACATTCATGTCTCGTCACAGTGTTTGAAGTCTTGACTCGCCAAAACTTCCTTGCGATACACGCTCGTTACACAACTCTGTTGTGCACGCCCTTACAAGCCTTGTAAAAAGACAACTGCTACCGTCCGTCCTACGAGGGAAACTCTCTGAGCAAAGTCGATGCGAACATCATATCGGTTGATGCAGCGGAGGTAGGGCGGGAATTTGTGACGTTTCTCAACAGAAAATTCGGAAAGTTGGGTATCAATGCATTGTCTATAAACATTACTTATCGTCGTTTTCGTGACGCCGCACGCTGCTCCGACGAGCAGTATATTTTTTATATGTCTTTTCCAGCACTGGACGGCGACGCGCTATTGTAACAATTGGGTTGGGTGCCGCCTCTGCATCTCAGTGCCCGTTGTCGAAGCTTTCTAGTTTCCTCTCTCATGCGAACGCTGGCGATCCGTCATTTGCCATAGCCATTTCCTCGCTGCCGTTCTTGTGACCTTGGAACCTGTTACTCCTCGTCCTGTGCATGGCGAAGTTCACCGGCAGGAAGTCGAAGACGTAGGACCAGACATCTGTATCACGGGCGATGATTAGCCAGACGGTTACTTGTTTCCTGTTGAGGGGAAGAAAGGAAGGGGAAGAAGAAAGAAGAAGGAAAAAGGTAAAGAGGGACTATCACTCACAAAATATGTAGACAAGGGCGACAACCCACTCAAGGATCGCAGACTGGTTGTAACGTTCAGTATACTCGAGAGCACCAAACGCAACGGCCAGGGCGATCTCAACGATGATGAACACAGCCTTGATGGCAAAGCTGGCCAGCAGGATCCGGTGCTGGCGGTGGGTCTGCAGGCCGCGGCCGTGGTCGCGGCGGCGGGCGACGAGGCCGAGCAGGAGGTACTCGATGCAGACGCAGATGGCGCTGATGACGTAGCCGGCAATGAAGACGCCGAGGAGGCTGTCGTGGGCGGTCTTGTGGTGGGCGGTGTCGAAGATGGTGAGGAGGATCAGCCCTGCGGCGCCGACGATGGACCAGAAGATGGAGAGGATGGACATGGCCTTCTCCCAGCGGCTGTAGTTGGGGGTGAGGCGGCGCTTGTGCCGCAGCCAGCGCTCCGACATGAAGACGAGGTCGAAGCTGACCACCATGACGGCCGAGGTCGCGATGAAGATGGGCTTGCCCCACGAGGTGGCGCCGATGTCTGAGATGTAGACGATGTGCTGGGAGGTCGCGTGCATGAACTCGTAGTAGGGTTCGCCCTTGGCTATCCACGTGCAGAGCATCGCGAGAAGGCCACCTGTGTGTTGTTCGCGTCGTCGCAGGGACGAAAAAGTGTCAGATCTTGCGTATTCTTTCTTCTCCCAAACGGATCACTCGGGGCAAGAGATCATTTACCTAGCCATACGCAGCCTGCAAAGACTGGTATTATCCAGTACGGAATGCCGAACATCGTGGACGTGCTTGCTTCAGATGTCAGGATTATGATTGTAAGTCGAAGTTTGCAAGTCGAAAACGACTTTTGGGTTAATAATGATGGTTGAGCTGTGTCGCGAGTTCATAATCACGACGACGACTACGGCGCTGTGTGACAGGAATATATTTCTCTGCTGGAGGGCGAACCCTCGAGGGGCTGTGCGAAGTCGTAAGACCTCCGTCATTGTGGGTCTCGCGGCGCGGCTGGAGATCAATGACGTTGTTTTTACGGCACTTCAGTGCCGAGCGCACTAAGTCTCAATACTGACGACTGCTGGGGTGTACTATAGTAGTACACTACTTTTAGCCCACTAACACTGCCGGCCTTCCGGATTATGCCTTGCATATGCATACCATGCTGTCACATCCCATACTCTCAACCCCGGTTGCACCTGGTCGTGTTTCAGAGGGACCATGAATCTCTGAATTTCCGAGGTATGTATGTCATCACGCTCGATTTGTTTAAGAAATTCAGTCGTCAATGAAACTCATATGATATGCTTTAACATCTTCTTGGACCTTGATGGCGACTATAAGTAAATACTTATATAGAATAATTAGTAAGTGATTCTTCATATTCACAATGGTGTCATTTGCAAGTTTTCAAACCACGCAAACCAGAAAAATTCCTTGTATAATTGGTCTCATCATTAGCCCCAAAAACCCTTTCCTTGCACCGTAACCGTTTCCCAGAACCAACACTTCTCCCCTATTCTAGTGCGGCCAATGAACGCTGCAACGGCTCAGGCACGGCCACCTGAGATGTAGCAGCTCAGCGTGCCTTCTCAAGGGAAAAGCACTTGATTTCGAGAGTGGGTTAGAGAAGAGTGAAACCAATCGTCTGGGAGGTGAGGAGTTATCAGAGGTTCAACTGTCATTTTCGCTGTTAACTGGTCTCTTTAATTATTTTGCCAAACTGGATGACAAGTTTCCTAATCTGGCATTTGATATAATTAAACAGAATTGACTAGGTAGATACAGAGCTAACCTACTTGATATGACATACACACTGGTAGAAGACAAATGGCTATAGCTCATCAGCTTGTTGTTAGTCATCCAGGACATTACTTGGAAATAATATGGGCAAAATGTATATACAGAAGGCAAGAGACGTTGGGGCTCACAATAATTAATTACTATTTTAATATGATTTTCCTAGTTATATCAGTAGATAATGCATAGTTGAGTTGCATACCTGATGCTACACATGAATCAATATTCTTGAAAGCGCACATGATTCCAACTGTACTCAAGTATATCTGTTTAGGTCCCAATTGATGTTCATGAAACTACCTCAAATAGCCGACCATAAGCTAGATAAGCCTCATGTCGGGATACGGACCTCCTCACTAATTGATACCACTGCAACGTTCCGTTCTCTTAAAATTGTTTGCAGAGGTTCGAAAGCGGCTCAATGATATTGCCACAGATCGAGCCCCACAGCTTTGTGTCCTCCCAGTCGAGTTTCTGTCCCGCAGGCCCGTGGTTTCCCGTTAGGCAATGTGAGACAGCTTCTCCGTAAAGCCCTTGCATTCCCCCGTCGTCTTGCCACTCCAACGCTCGCCCAAGGCGCTCATAGTAAGTGGTCGGAGGCAAGCGAAAAGCTTGGTCCATCCCGAAGCGCGTCTCCAGAGTCGTCCCATGCCATATTTCGAGTAGCAAGATACCAAGTTCTAGTAGTGTTTCTCTGGGACCTGAGGGAGTCTCAACCCGCTGCTGAAGATCAAAGCTACGGGTGATGAACGGCTTGTCGAGGTCGACTTGGGTCTGTCTCGCCGACAGGCTTGGTTTGAGGAAGAAGATTGTGTCTTTGGACCATGCCTGTGCCAGCCACTGCATGTGTTGAAGTTGAAGAAGGCTGGAGGCCAATTGCAGTGAAAGATGCATCCTGGGCTTGATAGGAAGCGTTGTTATTGTGGCTCGCAAAACCTGGCGGAGGGATACATATCCCCCATGTTCCCCCCGTGCTAGTCTGATTTTATCATCTGGGAGGGGGCCTATACTCTGATTCCCCATCAACACGAACGAAAGTCGGGGCTTTATGCTACCTGCACTCTTGATAGTAGTACAGATGCTGGTGATGGTGACTACCTGATGCATGGATATTGTTGGGGAAGCTGGAGTGACGCAAAAGGTCACCGCACCGCTCGTCGGGACACCAGAAGGGCTGTTATTGTAATTATTGCTGTCGCCCTGATTTAAACATGGATTATTGTATGCGTTCAAGACCCGCACAGCTGTTCGGTAAACCAGCACGTCGCTATTCTGGTTGCTGGCATGAAAGACGAGGTCGAAAGTTAAGAGAGATGTGTCCAAGTCTGTCGTATCACGTCGCCGAAGTATCTTGGAGGCATCGTCGATGCGGTCGTCGAGATAGAGCCTGACCTCATGGCTTTCGTGACACGGATCGCGGAAACCATCCTGGACAGCTCTGTACAGACCACCGGCCAGCTCTCGAATTCGGCGGAATGCTTTGGCGAGTTTCGTGCCTTTTCCAGATGGGTCCCTTCCCATTGCTTTGCAATTTGATAGTATCAACATTGAAAAACGGCCGAGTTTCTCAGTACCTGCATCGATTTCTTCGATCATTGTGTTTATATCGGTGATACCGAAAAGCAATTTGATCCTTGGAGCCAGGTCATCCCGTAGACTGGACTTGTCTTTGTTGGCATTGATGATTGCCCTGAGGTCATTTTTCGGGCCCTGCAGGGTGCTACAGTATCAGTCACGGCTTCAGGGCAAGATGGATATTATGCGGGAGTGGCAATCACCTGGATCGAAGGTACAAGCCCCGCTATACCACCAGCTACTTTCTCCACCGTCTCGCCGATTGTCCGGAGCTCTTCCACAAGGAAGTGAGAGTGCTTCGGACCTAGAAATTGTTCCAGTTCCTCCTGGATGTCGGGATCACTGAGATAGCGGACAGGATCGTCGACAAGCAACTGAACAGACAGGACATGCTCGCAACCACTTTGCAGTGCGACGGACTTTATGAGCTCTTCCAAGAACAATTGCTGCTGGAGGAGAGCACGCGCCAGTTTCTCTACATATTTACGCTTCCTGAAGAGCGTTGTGATTCTTCGGATGCCGTCTTTGTAATCGTCCACCGACTTGAGCACGAGGGCGAGAGCTCCGAGCACGAGTCCTGCGATGTCAATGCCCGACATGTCTGAAAAGTAAGGAAAAAGATAGAGCCAAGCTGGAATATTGAGCATTGGAGGGTACCAGGAGCTTAGAGGTTTTGATAAACGGGAGGAAGAACCAAAGGTCCAATATTGGACTCATGCCCGGCCAGCTGAGGATGAATTGCGATCATTAACGCCACTGAGACTATTCCGCACTGGGGTCTTACGTGCAGCAGTAGTCCTCCCAGAGACATGTGAGTAAAGAGAGGGGAAACCCGGTTCCGAATTGCAATTGTATTGGTTCGATTACGTTGACCACCGTAGAGACGTCAAGCCGACAGTGGAAGGCACATACTGACGCAAGCTGAAGGAGGCTGCATATTGATCCTCTTTTCATACAACATGCACCAGCTCCTGATGCTCTTCATCTGCCGCACATGACCTCTCTCCATCTGCCATCTCCCCCAATGACGTCCAAAGATAATACCGTCTCCAACAGTGGGGTCCTAGCAGCCTTGGGAGCCCGAGCCACCGGCCTCTTCCTCAAGGTTAAGAAAGCCCTCAACAACGAGGTCGATGAAGCATGGCCCGTATCTTTATTCTTGGCCGAGTCAGAACGATTCGAGCTCTGGGCTGCAAATTTGGGGCTGTTTGTACCAGGTCATGGCTCTCTGGACTACCGGGTCCGAGAGGCCGAAAGACTGGCGCAGACGCTCCAGAGGTTGTTGGGAGAGCTCATTGACTCTCTGGATGAGGTGATGCAAATGCTTCCAGGCGCCGTCCAGGAGCAGACGCCCGTCGACGAACAGAGAGCAGTCTCCAGATCAAATCCGGGAGGTGCAGAGCATGAGGATGAAGATGAAGACGTCGAATCGGACATCGATCTCTTGCTAGACGGGATTCGTGATCCTATCAACAGACTATTCAAGATATCTACACAGATCAGAAATCCCTCCACCAGACTTGGTTCGTTGCGGGCCGCAAAGTTTCAGCAAGTGGACGAAGAAACTGGGGTCGACCTCCTGCAGACCATTGAAAAAAATGATCGTGATTATATCAGGTCCATGTTCCTCCAATATCAGAAATTTCGAGCTTTCCAAGAGCATGACCCGAGCCCGCCCGAGAATTCAACTGAGGACAACGACGACGCAGTGTGGGAACCGATCAGGACTGTGCTGAGCCATCAGCGGAGCGCTACTGAGTCTTTCTTGATCGATCGCATCACTCAGGCAAACGTGAAACGGCGCCAACAGTTTGCATATTGGTCCAAGCACCGGGATAACCTCCACAAATATACCAACGCTTTTTTATCCAAAGAGGCTTCAGAGACTGAGCCTTCACCCGTGGAATTGCACAGGCATTCCGACGCGCCAGCACCTATACCACTCATCCCAGCAAACTCCGTAACGACCGCCACGACACTGAACATCGCTCAACTCGAAGTAATAGACAATCGTTCGACCTGGACCGTATCAGAATACGCACCGTCAATAGGGCAACCCGCCCGCGATACGGTTGATTTCCCTCCTCCGCCCAAACTGCCGCAGAAGACCCGCTCCAACGAACCCTTTGAGTGCCCCTTCTGCTTCACCTTCTGCCCTCGCGAGTTCCTTGCGGACAAGGCTTGGAAAGCCCATCTGATCCACGACTTACGGCCGTACATGTGCACATACGAGGACTGCCGAAATCCGACGCAGCTCTATGACAGGCGACAGGACTGGATACAGCATGAGAATTCGGCTCATCGCAGAGTGTGGCGGTGTCTGGAACACCATGACTAGATTTTCGTCGAGCTTGATGCGTACAAACACCATCTGCGAAGCGATCACGCCGAGTCCTACGGCAGCGATGAGTCCTCTGCGAGCCGTGTTCTTCAGGCCAGTGAATCTATCCGAGATACTGTGGATCGGCCTTGTCCTATTTGCATGATAACGCTTGGCACTGCGCGGGCGATGCAAGATCACATCGTGCTGCATCTGGAGAGGTTCGCATGCTTTTCACTCCCGCACTCTGCCACGGGTGATAATGAGAGCGACTTCAATGCTGAGTCAAATAGAGCGAATGGTGTCGTCGAGGGGACATCTCAGGATGCTGGATTCAGTCAACATAGCGTTGATGCGGATACTGAGGACTTAAAAGAAACTGACCCCCGTGATCCCGACATGGAAACCGCACTCCCTGGGATGGAGTTGACCGAAAGAGCGATTGAGACATTCGACGAGTCCGCCAACGAGAAAACCCGCACCACGAATATGGTATTAGAGCATCTGGAAACACATGATAGCCACACATCGCACGGAGACGTGGAGAATATGCATCTGCAGGCTTGGGATCGCGACAAGCTGAACGATATGGAGGAGATGGCATCGATATACAGTGACCAGTGCCGGTGGGACGAAGCCGAGAAGTTACAGGAACATGTGATTGAGTCTCGAAAATCAACGCTTGGTGCAGATCATCTTGCTACGTCTCCTGTGAGAAACGATACCCTCATATACATGTAGGATATTCATGATATTGTTGCGTTTTTGAAGTGAAGTAAGTCGGCTCAACAGACGTCAAGGCATCATTTAAAACCCGGTTACACGACTTCCAATTCGCTTTGAGCACATCATCACAATTAAATTAGCCATAATCATGGAGAGCTCGAAAACTCATAGTCACGGAACTATAGACCACTAGCACAGATGCCCGTACAATTTCTTGTCTATTTGGGGACCTCTCAGTCTACTAAGTAAGTAAGCACTTGAAGGTATCTATCTGAGTCTGAACGTGATTCGAGCCCGTTGCTAAGAAGAAAGCTATGCAACCTGCTGGAAAGACTGATGAGTACCAAACATATCTCCGTGAAGGACACCCTGACGGACTGTCAATGGTCTCTGCAGTGATTAAACCTGTAAAGTCTTGGAGCGCAGCACCACTGCCCAACGCAGTCCCCGGCAGCAGATCTCTCTTCTCCCTTACCCCAGGGATAAAAACAGACAAACCCGGCAATGGCATGTGTCCCCTACGTGTCGTTGATTAGACACAGTCCCAAGCAAACATCTTTAGGTTGCAGCATCGTAAGGTCGCGAATATCAAAGAGGCCCAATTAATTTAAAAGGGTGTTCGTCAGAAGGTTGTGGTGCGAGATCAAGAAATGGCCCATGACTGAGAACTCTAAACGGGAGTTTCCTGGCTGACCAAGCAAAAACTGAGCTACCGTAGACAGGAAGGGATATCAGAGTTCGGAGCTGTGCCTTCTCAGGTGACACTAATGACAAGCTTTGAGAGGCGTAGCACTGCCGTTTATTCAGCTTAGGCGACCGGGCGTTGACTAAAAGTTCCCAATGCCGCAGAACCGTGAGCGTTTCCCTCGTCTTAAGAGTACAATGCCGAACTGAATCTTGATCGGGGACCGTGATGGTAGCTTTAGCCCATATTTAAGAAGCAGTGACTATCGGGCAGTATGTCGATCTAATCATGACGCTCGGGAAAAGACGAGGGCCCTTCCCAAGTCAGTTCTGAAATGATCGGCGCCAATCCGCGGTCATCTGGTGATTTGATGGGTTAAGACAGCTGATAAAGGAATCTCTGCCGATCTACTTCAACCATGAGCCGATGTTTGAAATCTGAAGAAAGCCAGAGCCAAGTGAAGCGGTCTACGTAGTCTAGGTGGCATGACGAAATTGATGACTCAGGCTTGTCCAAGTGATTGATGAACGAAGAGGTTGCTCACCGCAGACAGCTTGTCTAGGTATCCAAAGACGATCTAATGACGAAGTGAAAAGTCCTCGGCCCTGAACTACATAGCCTCTAGTAGGTCTACAATTCTTTGTTTACAAACGACAGTAAGATAGATATTGGTACTTGTGAATACAAGCGCAGGAAGGAGTGGCAAATCGGTCTTCTGAACGTGGAAACAGGTACCTTTCATGGATGACTGCCGGTCTGGGGGTGTGCTGATCCTGGCGTTCAGAGCTGAGGCATAAGATGCTTGCAAAGCCCTCAGTGAGTGGAGCAAGCAACCTTTAAATGAGTCGTCACGGGTCGAGCGTGCAGAGTCGCAGCAGAGAACAAGTCTATGGGCGGAGCACAAAGTTGGAATGGTCTTCGGCTCCGTACTCCGGGGGGAGAAACGGGAGCAGGCGAGGGACAGCCGACGGGATACTACTTGGACTGGGGAGGGAGAGGAGAAAGACCGCTATTCTCCCAAGATCACGCTGACGACACCGAGTGATGTTTTCTTCGTTTCATGGCAGACTCATCATGTCCAACAAAAAAGAAACTGCTTGACTCAACTCACCGTACGTGCCTTGTCAGCGAGCATGGGCGTCATTCCGGTACCGTGCCACGACAGCGGTCTCAACGATGTCGGTGGCGGGCTGTCGTGGGACTGGAGGGAATGCTTTCGAGTGGATTGTAGACTGATCTTTGTTCAATCGCTGGCCAGTTCTTGAAAATCTTGGCAGCATGCGACTCCGACCGCCCCGTGCAGCGAACCCGGCATTTGGCCCTCGAGAAGCCAATAGTAGTCCTCCCGATGTGATCAAGAGGGTCTGGCAAGCTTCAATGTGGGTGCCATCGCAGTCTAGGCCGGGTGAACAGTGAGGGTGGGTGGGACGGGTGCACATGCTGATTTTTGAAGAAAAGGGGCACCTGCTGCTCGTCGACCGGTGAGGTTCTCTTTTCCCTCGCTGCAATGAGATGCAGAACTATAGTCAGTAATTGCGATCCGAGTCTGGCGCCGTTGTGGTTGCTCGGACTGAGTTGTGATGGGTCAGCCAGCAATACGATAGGCCAGGCGACGGATGGTGTGCACCTGAGCTACCGGTGCCAAGGTGGTCAGTGGTCAGACGGCTCCAGAGCGTATCCCTCTCACGCCTTCAGGAATCCGTCACAAAGGACTGTCAGGGGCTAAAGCTGCGTGTATGTGTATATGTGTTTTGCGCTGCTTGTATAACCTCGGACGGCATGTAGAATAAGAAATGACCGTTGTACACCCGTTTGACAACGCTGAAACTCGTCATTTCAGAAGCGTATGTTTCCACGGCCTGCCGGGGATGAGAGACGGGGGCCGAAGGGGGATCTGGCTGGCCGACTTTGGTCGAGAAGTCAACACGAAATCGGTCTTCGACGTAAAGAAATTGCAAAGGAACAAACTCAGGATCTGTGAGGGCACGAGTATCCGCAGTTGGGCTCCCAGACCCTAAGCAGTGGAGACGTCGTCGGGCTGGTAAACATCTCTTCAGAGTCGCAGTCGGTTTCGGGCCCGGTGCTATCAGTCGCATTGTGTACGTCTGTCTCATTTCTTGTGGTGGACTCGATCGAGCTCGGCGATGGGTCTTATTGTCCGTGGTTATTGTTCGACTAAAGTGAGTGAGGGCGTGCCGTGGCTATTGCGCATATTAAACTGCGTTCCAACGGGGCGCCGTGCAGGCATGGCAGACACGAGCACCAACTAAGCCAGGCCTGGAGTGGTTCTGACCGAGGTGAGGGCGAGAACAAAGGGAAAAATGCCGAGGTGAGGAGGAGAGGCAGGTCGAGGTCATCTGATGGAGCTGTTGGAATTGGGAACGGTGACAGACGGAGACGACACGCTTGCAGGAGAAGAAGTAGTTCAATTGATTTTCGCATGTGGAAGGAAAAAAGAAGAAAAGAAGATATACATATACATGGTACTTGGTCCTCGTGCAAGTAAGGTTGAACAGATCCCCGGTGAGGTCAGATGGAGGGAGCGAGGCTAGATTCTCTGGACCCAATGGCAGCTCTGTCTGGGAGCTCAGATAAGTGGAGACCGATCCAGGTTCCAGGCCATTTTTGGATTATAACGGAAGTGGGGCTTAGCCTGCGACGCCCGCAACCTCCCGCACCAAGAGGTACGATTGCAGTATATACACCTATAGTAGTAGCAGTAACGTTGGGGGTGAAAAGAAGTAGGCCTCAGGGCTTAGAGCTGACTTGGACCTCGACTTTGGGCCAAATTCTGCGGCGTGCCTGCCTAGCCCCCCCGGGTGCCTGCCTGCCATTCTTGCGGTTGAGGGACCGACCCCTGGGCGCTAGCCCCTTCCCTTGCAAACTCACTCTGCCTGCCCAGCTGCCTCCACTTTGAAGCCAGCAGCCGCAGCAGCAGCAGTTAGCAACAAGCCAGAAGCCAGCCAGCCAGCCCCTGTTTGCAGTCCTAGTCACAACTCCCAGGTCCAGGCCTTAGCCCCAAAATCCAAGCAGTTGGGAGCGCCAAGTCTCGATTTGCAACGCAGCCGTCGTCTTCACTTAGCGCGCTTTTCCTCAGCTTTTAGGCGGGCAACCTGCAACCCTGCGCCCCAGCATTCTCCCCCCCCTCCCTCCCCCCAGCACCACCCCCCGTACGCCCCCCTTCGAAACGGTTCCAGGTAGCATTGTGACTGGAATTCTCCCTAAGGCCCTGCCCTGACGTCCCCGATCCGCCCGTTTGCCTTCCAACCTTCCCACTCCCATCCCTCGCCTGAGCAATCTTTTGACCTTTGTTGACCCCGACACTCACCCCAATCCACAGGCGACTTGTCAATCCGATTCATCTTTAAGGCGACCACAAGACCTGATTCAGGCATTTTTCAACCTGCAAATCCACCACGGCGACCGAGGATATACTCTCCTCTATTTTTCGAACTCAACACTACGCGACGCACCCGACGATTCCAGCTTGTTCTGGCACCCCAAGTCCCGCGGCGAACCAAGACGAGAGGGAAGAACCCCCAAGACAGAAAAAAAAGAAAGAAAAAAAAAATCCACTCGCGAACCCGCTCCGTGCCTCCCGGGTGCACGCATCACGAGGTGATTGTTCATCCCTCAATACAGGCGACAAACGGTTCAAAGAGACCGAAACTTCATTCATCTGTATTTTATCTTCGCACTTAAGGGGCGAAGCAGACGCGAACACCCTGACGCAGCCCCAGCACCGCGGCCTGACGATCCACGTCACAACTGAATTGGCCCCGCTGCTGAAGCTGTCGAGACGCGACACCTACCTTGATCGCTCCGGTCGCCCATCTTGACCGGCAGCATACCCACACATCCACAAAGCTCTTACCTATCCGAATAACAATACCTCAGATACACACGAGACTGGTCGTCACCACTCGTTTCTGTGAAGGCGATTGACACTGCAGACGCTTTCAGCTTGTCTTGAAAGCAACCTCTGGCTGAGATCACTTCTAAAACGTATGTTTGCTCCACACCCTCCCTCCTCGCCTCCGTCACTATTGTTCTTTTCCCCCCTGCATCGAGCATCACACTTCTCTCATCCAGCCCAAATCGACTCTATTCATCGCTTCATTGCCACTCCAGAACCTCATCAACCTGTGGTCTATTTTCCCTTCTTTACCTTGTCTCCCTCTGCGCATACCAGTCCCTCCGGCGCTAACGCATCGATGCAAACGCAGCCGACAGAAGTGCATCAACCCACCCCACCTATCTGACTGCGTAAAATCCTGTCCCACCACAGCGCATTCCCACCCTTCCGGCGCGCCCACCCCTCCTCCCTTCTCCGCCATCATCACGCCAGCTCTTGGCGGCCGACACGATCACCATGGCAGATCAACATGATGTTGATTTGGACTCCATAATCGACCGTCTGCTGGAGGTTCGTGGCAGTCGCCCTGGCAAACAGGTGCAGCTGCTCGAGGCCGAGATCCGATACCTGTGCACCAAGGCTCGTGAGATCTTCATCTCCCAGCCCATCCTGCTCGAGCTCGAGGCTCCTATCAAGGTAAGTCGGTGCCTATCATGAATATCCCCCTACCCTGATGCCTCTGGCTGTCCTGTCCTGTCCTGTCCTGTCGCCTCCTTGTTTGGCCGTCAGCCGTGTGGCGCACTGCTGACCCCGCCCTCTACCACCCCTCCTCAAAAATAGATCTGCGGCGATATCCACGGGCAGTACTATGACCTGCTGCGCCTGTTCGAGTATGGCGGGTTCCCGCCGGAGGCGAACTACCTCTTTCTCGGTGACTACGTCGACCGTGGCAAGCAGTCTCTGGAGACCATCTGCCTGTTGCTGGCATACAAGATCAAGTACCCCGAGAACTTCTTCATCCTGCGTGGCAATCACGAGTGCGCCTCTATCAACCGCATCTACGGCTTCTACGACGAGTGTAAGCGCCGTTACAACATCAAGCTGTGGAAGACCTTCACCGACTGCTTCAACTGCCTGCCCATCGCGGCCATCATCGACGAGAAGATCTTCACCATGCACGGTGGTCTGAGCCCAGACCTGAACTCCATGGAGCAGATCCGCAGGGTCATGCGCCCCACTGATGTGAGTCTTTGAATTTTCCTTCCACTGACTTTCCCACTGCCAAAATCACCTCAATTAACCAGTTGTTCCTGCCCCCGCTATTGCACCGTCTCGACTCGACACGGTTTTGGTACTGACTGCTCCGTACAGATTCCAGACTGCGGGTTGCTGTGCGACCTGTTGTGGTCAGACCCTGACAAGGACATCACCGGCTGGAGTGAGAATGATAGAGGTGTTAGTTTCACATTCGGGCCGGACGTCGTGTCTCGTTTCCTGCAAAAACACGACATGGACTTGATCTGCCGTGCCCATCAGGTGGTCGAGGACGGATACGAGTTCTTCTCCAAGCGCCAGCTCGTCACCCTCTTCAGCGCGCCTAACTACTGTGGAGAGTTTGACAATGCGGGTGCCATGATGAGTGTCGACGAGAGTCTACTCTGCTCATTCCAGGTACGTGTGCAAATTCTTGCCTGAACATGCAACAACGTGGAACAGTCCGCTGATTCTGGATGCCAATATAGATCCTCAAGCCCGCTGAGAAGAAACAAAAGTACGTTCCCGGCCTCGGAGGCAGTAGATCCATCACTCCTCCCAGGAAGTCGTCCAAGACCTGAGTTTGAATTCACACCAACACCCTTCTTCGTATTTCTAGGTTCGGACGACGATGATTTGCTTTTCCTCCACTCACCACGCAAACACGGTCAAACTCGACTACTACCACCACAAACGGATTCTCGCTCCTCGCCGTGTCGAATCTATTAGGCTCTCTATTCTCTGGTCCCTTCTCTATGCCGAACACTTGCCTCGATGTACCACCATTTCTTCGCCTTGACCCCAGAAGACGCGCTCTACATTCGCCCAAGACATCCGCCCTACTGCTAGACGGCCTACCCCAGCAATGGCTGCTGACTCGTTTGAGGATTTCATCAGTGTGGAATATACGTAAAGGATATTCTACATTCCAACAACACAAATATTCTCAGATGGCATGCGGATCGCTCATCTGCTCCACACGGCCTGCCCCCGGCCAATCCTGCGACGACGACCTCTAGCAAACCCTACGCATTGCTTCCTCGGCCTCAGCAATAGTTATGATGAGAGACAATGTCATGTCGGTTCGAACGTCTCAGTGTTGCATTGCGTTAGACGGTCGGCTCAATGGGAAAGGAAAAAGGGGGGGGGGGGGATCTTCTTTGGTCAGCTTGGCGGATGCTTACAACGGCTGTGCCGGGTGACTTCATTTTTGTTACATCGAGATTCGGTAATGAGAGAGGAATCAGGGAAGTTCTCTGCTTAAAGGGAGGACAATTTTGAGGCGAGCACAAATGACATGAGAGGAGTGACCTGACGAACGTGATGGGTTGGAAGGGTCGGACTTTGGATGGGGGAAAAGGGGAGGGGGTTGATTTTCTTAATTGCTGTTTAAGTATTGATACTTGACTCTTGTGGTTCTCCTGCTCTTGATCTTGCTGCACCACGGTTTTTCACTCGTGACCAACACCCCCCCCCCCCCCGGTCTTTTTTTCTTCTTTCTTACCCTACTTATTTTTGAATTACTGTCGGCACCGGCGGTTGGCTTTTGTTTCTTTGTTTTCTATTCTGCAGCTTCTGCTTTATAGGTTGGCTTGGGAGTGAGCAAGAATGGTTGTCGAAAGGGGATGCGCCTGGACCAAGGCACGAAGACGGACAGAACGATCCACGATCTGAGCAACAAGTTCTTGGCCACATGTCGATGCAGCGATGCTGGAGTGCGGTTGCAGACAAGTATTCGCCTCAGGCCGGTGAGCATGGATGGTTGCATTTTCGTATATACTTGCTGACCCTATCAATTAGTTTGCCCATTCCTGCAGTGCGCTGTGGCCACTTGGCGATGGATTGCAAACCTCGAACCTTTTGAGTAATAATTGTTACCCGTCGTTGATCAACGGACTAACCAAAGCTCTCGCAAGCATCAACAAATACGTCTCCCGTGTCGTCACCCAGGCGAACCTCTCGGATCAGGTTGTTGAAGGCCGAGACTTCCTCCTTGGTCGCCCTCTTCATGTTAGTCCAGAGTTTCTTGGGGTTGGTGCCGGCCCTCCACTCCATCAAGCTGGATGGCGTGTGACCAGTCTGGTCCCTGCTATACGTGTCCACTTGCTCCTGCGTAAGCCCAAGGCTCCGTAAGTACTCGAGGTGTTCTAGATCGCCATAGGCCGCAGCGTAGTGAAGAATGCCCCTCCCAGTCCCATCTCGGACCTGCGTCTTGGCTCCCCTCTCATACAGGATGCGAAACAATGTATTGTCCCAGGGAATCATGGCCGCGTTCAGCAGCGGCGTGCAGCCCCATTTGTCAGGCGCGTCAATGTCGGCGCCCGCGTTGAGCAAGGCGTTGATCTTGCCGTGGCAGTCCCAGGGGTCTCGCGCCAGCGACTCGTACACCAGGTTGTTCAGCGGCGTAAACCAGTTGACGCGGTCCCGGGCGTCAACGTCACAACCACCCGCGGCGCCGAGCAGCACGGCCATCGTCTCTGTGGACGTCTCGGCCGAAGCTGCCACGGCCAGGTGCAGAGGAGTCCTCCCGTTGACATCGGACGCGCCGACGTCGCTGCCGGCAGCCAGGAGCCGCTTCACCACGTCGAGATGGCCGCGCTGGGCGGAGAAGTGCAGCGCGGTGCGGCCATTGAGGTTCCTCGTGTCGACGCGGGCGCCGGCCTCGAGGAGGATCTCGAGGCTGGCCTTGTCTTGCCTGCGGGCGGCCCAGTGCAGCGGGGAATATCCCAGCCCGTCCAGGGCGTCGAGGGAGGCGGCTGGTTCTAGGCGCACGGCGTCTTGCAGGGTGAGGAGGGGGCTGGAGGTGGCGGTGGTCGCTGCGGACGGGCCGGTCTGGTAGTGGCGGTGGAGGAGGGTGTCGTGGATGAGGGTGGAATTGTACGAGTTTTCGTCGTCCATGTGTACGATGGCCTGGTATAGACGGTGCATTCGCTCACTTATGGGCTCGAGGTCGCTTATATAGAGGCGGCCTCGGGCTTTGTTGGCGGGGGATCTTTAAGGGGAGCGTGTAGGACACGCAGAAATTGTTAGTTTGGATGCTCATTTTGTATTGATCTGCTGTCAATTGGGGGGGCTAAATGATAACAAGAGGAGGTGTGGAAGACTGGTTTCACATACATCCCATGATAGTTCTTGAAGGTGATGTCGCATCCAGCATGTAGGAGGATTCCCATCATCACGGGCTGTCCAGTGGACATGGAATGCTGTGGCTTTGTCAGTCTTGGGTGTACCCTTTGTCTCAACAGCTGTATATATCTACTTGGTATATCATGTATAAAAAAAAGAAAGAATAAGAAGGACTTGCAAGTAGAAGGGATGTTCCTGATGGTGATATGTCTGTAGGAGTGTTGATTTTGGACGCGAATCTTTCCAGCAGCCTCTGTGTGTCGCAGCATCGAATTGCTTTCCATATTGAGTCGTGTGAACTAATAACGCGAGGGATCTTGAGGTATAAAGATGCCCCCTGGCCCGTCAAGGAATCCCACGACAGCGTGAACAAGAGGGCGCGGGACAGGATCCAGCTCGGGAGGTGGTAGTACAGCTTGAACGTAGACCTGGACCGGCTTCGACACGTATGATAGTCGCACGGTCTGGCCTTGAAGAGCGGCAACGCATTGTACGCCAGGACCAGAGCCCCGACGGCACGCTGAAGATACTCGGGGCTGCGGACGAGCTCTGTACGGTGGCATTGGCATTTGCACGACGAGGTGCAGGGCGTGCGTCTGAAGGCCTGCACACACGCGATAGCGTCGGGGCTCTTGGGCGAGGGACTGCTGGTGATGACTGAGGTGGACTGGCTTGGGTTTGGATCTGCTGCCGTGGGGGTTGGCGAGTGCTGTATGGAGGAGATGCTCGTGGTCAAAGCTGCGAGACTGTTCATAGTCTGCATCTGCGTATCACGGAGATGGCAAAGAGACTCATCGATGCGCTGCAGAGACTCGTTGTTCTCGGCACGGATGGAACTGCCCAGCTCACCTGCCGAGACCCGGAACACGCGCTCCACCTCGAGAACGAGTTGCCCTGGTGAGGCTGTCGTCGTCGTCGTCGTCGTCGTCGTGCCTACAGCAGCTGCAGCGGCCGCCGCCTTGGATGCAAAGCAGACTGCCAGAGTTTCTCGGGCCTGGCGTGCCCGGTCACGGAGAGTGAGGACATTGTCCCTCTCGAGCCTCCATCTCGCTGCAGATATCCTGTGCTGGCCGTTCCTATTTAGGCCTTTACTGCTTGTGAGGAACCTGTTGACCAAGTCCTCCATGTCTTTGACGATTTCCTTGATGTCGGCCACACATCTCGCCACGGCATTTACGCTCGATGAGTTTGTAGGCGGGTGATCCTCTTGCAGCTGATTTGACAGCGACTGCAGGGTTGTAAGCTTTGGAAAGCTGTCAGGTCAGCACATATGCGACGAAAAGGGAGGGTATCTCCTTGGAGTCTTTTCTTTCTCTTTCTCTTTCTCTTTCTCTTTCTCTTTCTCTTTCTCTTTCTCTTTCTCTTTCTCTTTCTCTTTCTCTTTCTCTTTCTCTTTCTCTTTCACTTCCTTCTCTTCTTCTTCTTTCATCACTGTGTGGCTTGCAGCTGCTGACCTCGTTGAGTAGTGCGCAGAGCTCAGCTGGAGCCTTGCCCATGGACCTGAGCGTGTTGATACCCTTGCTAATGGCGGCTGCGGCTTGCACAAGGGCGATGACGCTGGCGACGAGGGATAGAGGGTCCATGATAGCGAACCACGGCTGGGAGAAAGAGAAGTGGTAGTATTGCGGAGCTGTTAATTACCTGTCTATGTAAGTATAAACATGTTGTGTCGGCCTCGAGAGTTCATGAGACCAGAGAATCGACAGAAGCAAAAGTATACAATCCCCCGTCCTTTGGAGGTCAGAAGCTGAGGTACAGGCCTCCTTCGCCAAGAAGGGTTTAGGAGACTGCCCAAAGTATAGTGGTTATACTGCTAATCCAATCAAAAGCCAGACCTCTACACCTTGTTTCGACCTGCGCCTCCGATACCTCAGCCTCAATGCATATCTGAACGAGTGATCATAGTGAGGTATTCTTTGCGCTAGAAATCATTCCTCTGTGGCTGTTCGAGGGGGTTGATTAATGTGTAGTTACTATTTTGCTAGGAGTCTATAATGGTTTTCACGTCCACTGCTTGATCTTCCAGCTCTGCGACAAATGGTGCAGCGTTTGCTCCAGTGAGGATGAAGAAGAACTTGCAGGGTTCCATGTTAATTATGGACGGAGTTCAAGACTTGCACCTATTTTCAACAATCCTCAAAACACAAACAAAAGATTGACTCGCACTTGGTTACAGTCATATCTGAATTTGATGGAATAAAGAAGAAGTCACCATCTACTTAGCACATCGTATGCTTCAGTATTATTAAACACACTTCCTTTGCAATCAGTTGCAAGTCATCATAAGCAGCACGACTGAGAGGGCGTCAAGTGGCTATTAGTCATTTATCTATATATATAAATATTCTCCACTCGGAGAGCAATGACATATAAATGTTAACATCCTCTTTCCCTGCTATTACTATTGACATAACTCCTCAAGACTGCAGACTGGTCCGGAGTCAGGAGTCATGAAGAGAATCAATACAATTAATGATATATTTGTGCCAATCATGCCCATTGGGGAAAATCTGGGGCTCAACAGAGTACATCAAATACCGTATGTAGTGTTATCCCAACCTTGCTGCATGAGCAAATTATCCCCACCTATTCTATAACTTGCTCAACCCACCCCAAAACAAGCTCATGTGACAACACCGATGAACATAAGTACTTGGCATTGTTTAAAGCACAAGCGTCCATCATTTTTTTCCCCTCTCATTTTCGATGACATTGCAAATTATTGATGAAGCATCAGTCCGCTGAGTTAGTCAGATGAACTTCCTCCTGCTTTCAATTCTCCTTGATAAGACGCAAGAACCAGATTGAACCATGTCGACTACCCAGACCTTGACATGGACGAAGTCCTCGGTCTCAAGAGAAGAGGGCAACTGGGCGGATCTGGTCACGCTGGATCTATCCAAGTTCGACCAGCCCGGGGGTAAGCAAGAGCTGGCCACTGAATTTACGAGAGCAATTGAAGAAGTGGGTATGTACGCTGGTCTTTCAGCACCTAAGGGGATGGGAAAAGGGGAGGCAGGGCTATTTTACTGACTACACAATACTCAGGCTTTTTCTACGTCAAGAATTTCGGTCTGACGGAGGACGAGGTCGAGAGACAGTTTGCCATCGGCCAGGCCCTCCTCGCACTGCCCGAGGCTGAGAAAATGCGCTACCTCGCCAACATGGAGGCCGGCGAATACAACGGCTACAAGCCTGCGGGCACCCGCGAGCTGATCCCCGGGGTCCGAGATAACTATGAGCTCTACAACGTCCCTAAGTTCACACCGCAGCACGCAGACATGGCACACCCGGACATCATCAAGACACACTGGGCAGAGGTTGAGCGCTTCTCGAGACACGTGCACAATCACATCGTCCACCGACTGCTGGTCGTTTTCGCGCTGGCGCTGGGGCTCGAAGACGAGAACTGGCTGGTCAAGAGACACCGATATGAGGCCAACAGCGCTTGTCATCTCAGGTATATGAAGTATCTTGCGAGAAGTACGGAGGATAATGAGAAATGCGGCGGTGTCTGGCTGAAAGGGTACTATTCACAGTCGAGATAAAGAAATATGGAGGACGACAAAGACATTTTGCTGACACTGTTGCAGACATTCGGACCTGGGCAGTCTGACTCTGCTCTTTTATCAGCCTATTGGCGGGTTGCAAGTCCTGGCAAAGGACGGTTCGTGGAAGGACGTCCGAATGGTGCCGGGCACTTTGACCGTGAATCTTGCCGACGCTCTTCACTTTCTCACAAGTCAGTAGAAACTTTCCACGAGACACACTCTGCAGCTCCTGCCGCATAATTCGTAAATGAGCTTGGATGGCTAACACGTTCATGTGAATCATTAGACGGCTATCTTAAATCCAGCATTCACAGGGTCATCGCACCGCCCAAGGACCAACAGCATGTTGACAGGCTGCGGGTCATTTACGTGGTTCGGATCGAGGACGACACGGAGATGCTGCCTATCGAAGAGTCACCAGTTCTCCGCGAGCGTGGCCTGCTCGGAGACAAGATTCTCGGTAGTGATGGGAAGCCTGTGAAGGCTGGAGAATGGGTCAAGCAAAGAGTCATCAAGAACATTGGCCCAGGCACAAGCACAGCGGCTGGAGACAATGCCGACAAGGAAGTTGAGATCATCAAGGGTGTGAAAGTCAAATACTTTGATTAAATTCCATGATCGTATGAAGATCTGTAAAGAAACAGTAGGGTAGTACTACTGGGAACCTCGAGCATGGACAGTAGCAGCAGCAAAGTCTGTAGGCATTGGAATCGATCTGGCTTCTTGAATCCTAGGTATTTATACACTTACTTAGTAATCTGTCTCTAGCCAAGTACGCTCACAATCTTGAACTGCCTCGACACAGGCACACTATTATACTGAAGGGAAATGACAAGCTAGGGATACAAGTCATCTACACTTAACCCAAACCACAATATCTAGAGATTCAGCCAGTACCACACCATCCCAGTCGCTTGTCTGCAGCTGTATCGTGTCGGCCACTTCCTCAGGCGACAATGCGATATCTGCTTGGGAAAGCTGCATGATTCCGAAACGTTTGCATAAATAGCCGGTGGCGGATTGAGCATCCTCGTATACTGCAGGTGCCCAGGAGATTCTGATAGAGTGTGGTGCCATTGGCTGCAATAATGCATCGTTTACTTCGACAGCAGCACTGCAGGCAGCCTAGAAGTCTGTCTGTCAGTCAGCACCTACCTGCCGCATCAGTGCTCTGCGCACGATGATCGGGTAGCGCTGTAGATTATTAATATGTCCTATGTATCATCAGCACGGTGGAGTATACAGCCACTGACATCACTTCTCTTTTATCTTTCCATCAAGCATGCGGCCCTGTTGCCTACACCAATCGTATATGAAAGAAGTTCCAATGATCTGCAGCACGGAGAAGAAAGCCCGTGGACGGGTAAGGCATGTGGAGATGCAACTGGCTGCAGTCGCAGCGTCTGCTCTCTGTTTCGGACATCAACAGAACACCGTGGAATGAATGTTTTACAAGGGCATGGACGGAACAGCCTTTTTTTCTCGATTCGAAACCTTCGAATTTCCAGTATGACCATCTCAGCAAGCAAAGCTCGCTCACTGGCGATACTGATGAGGCGATGGGATCCCACTTGGGATGGCTGGCCATCTTTTTTTCTTCCATTTTTCTTCTCGCTCCTTTTCATTTTCCCCTAGCTTACATGCCAGGCAGTTTTGGTCAGAGCTGAGGCGCAATTTGCCACATTTAGCAGCCTCTTGAGTAATAGGCTCATCTCGACCGTGTTCAGTGTCGCACAACAGGACCAAGAGCATAGCACAGCATAACTAGTCTGCCAATCCTAAACTCCAGGGCTTTCTAGCGTTCTCCATGTGACATGTCAGACGCCTCGGGCAGTAGCGTCTTGAACCCCAGCCTGCTTTACGTGCAGAACGGACTAAAGGATATTACATTACGTTGATTATCGTTTGCATGTCAGCCTGTCAACACCTAATCAGCCCCCTCTATTGTTTGGCGAGATGTGATCCTCTGATGAGAACGCTTCTCTCGATATTACAGCCGTATTTGAATATAAGAAGAGAAGAGAGACAAAGCGGAGAACCTTCAGTGTAAAACCTTCGAATTAGAACAATCCCTCTTTACGCCAGAGCTGTATGACAATCGAAGGCAAAAGTGATCTATCCCAAACGCCATCAAAGTATCCTTGTTCCCATGAAATCCTGGTGCAAAAGGTAAAATAGCCGAGAATTCCTAAGTCATGTTGGCTTCCCAGCACGTTCCCAGATAATTTTGAAGCCAAATTCTCAACTGCGCCGTGAGAGACACCTGTTGTGCCAAGGACTGGACTGATAGAGAACTCTGCCTTCTTAGTACGGGGACATTGCCTAGCAATGGCGTACGCTCGTTGTTCTGTGACGTGCCCTGCCCTTGCTTGCCTGGGCGTCCATCTTGGTTGTTGAACTCTATGGCCTTGGCCAGAGGTTCACTGCTAGCAGACTTCCCTGTGCGACTGGTCGGGATGTCGGCCGTCATCGTTGCAGCATTTGTCGCTTCAAGGGACTCTGTGTTGCCCGCAAATCTGACGCTGTGCCCAAGCCCTGGGCTAGGAGCGCCATAGAAAGTGTAGGCTGTCCCATGACGCTTGCTTTTCGTTTGCATTTCTTTCAATGCGTCCACGATCTTGTCAGAGTTCTCTCGTGTCTCTTTGTCGACTACCAAAAGCTTCTGCTCGACTAGATCAAGCAGATCGCGTACCATGCTGCTGGAACGTGGAGTTACACGCAACTCACGAATCAGCTAAATATTCCATATGTTGTCAGCGCATCATATTGTCAGAAGGGATTGTCCAGCTTCAACAATGCTGAGAAAATGTAATTACCTGATGCACACACAGCTTGACCCTCATTTTGTGGCCATCATGTGTATCAGGAACATTTTGGGATACGAAGAACTTGTCTTCTCGGACATGGCTGCCGTTGCCGTCGTCTTCCTCAACCCGCAGGGTGGTGAAGCTTTCGACTTGCTCGGGGCCGAGCAGGTACCACGTCAAGAACTCTAGGATCACGCATCCCAAGCTCCACATATCCGAGGCTCGACATGATGGTCCAGTGCCGGCCTCGGGTGCACGATACGTGACAGTCATGCCGCACGCCTGAGCTGCGGATCGGGATTCCTCCTCGTGAAACCTCGTGAATCCAAAGTCACAGATGGCGAGTCGCCCGAGATCGCCGCCATCAGGGCCAGGGTACCAGAGGATATTTGCGGGCTTAACGTCGCCATGAGTCCCCCACTTCCGGGGTTGTATCTCTATCCACGATCTTCCTAATCGATGGATCCTTTTAAGGCCCAAGCTTATACCGAGAAGCTGTTCAAGCATCCACCCGGCAAGGACGCTGGTCCGTTCTGGGTCAGTGTTCCAGAAGTCACGCAAATTGCCTCCATCAGCCCAAGGAAACAACAATGAAAACGTTTCCTTCTGGCGCCAGACAGCGAGAAGCTTTACAAGATGTTGATCTTCACTGGTGCCAACAGCGTTGGCCCAGCCGACCACCTCATCCTGTGATGTCACGTGTTGATGTTCATTGTGGTTCAGTTCTTTCACTGCAAAGAACGGATTGGAACCGCTTGCATTCTGTAGCAGCAGCAATTTAGCTGGGCGAAAGTCTCCCCATGGAGTGAAGGGCGGCGGCTTCAGACATGATAAGAATCAACCTACCCCGCGATAATTATGATGAGATGGATGAATCTGGACCTTTCGCACAGTGCCGTGATATCCCCAATCAGTTTTGAGTGCGTTGTTGTCTTCCTTTACAAATGGCAGCACATCAGTCGGTGCGAGATCGTAGAACGGGACCTCCTTCTGGCTCAGATCGAAGAATGGCGATGTTACCCAGGTCTGATACACCTTGAAGAGATTGAGGGTATTATGATTCCAGCCGCGGGAAATCAGTGGCTTTCGGGACGGGTCAATGGCCCTTGAGAGTTCGAAAGCTCCAGTCGAGTTTTGTCCCTCGTCCGAAGCTAAAGGCAAATCCGAGTCCTTGATGCCACTATCAAGGAAAGCTAAGATTTCTTCCAGCAGGTTCGGGCCGTGGTCCTTCATTAAACACAGAGCTGCGAAAATTCCCCTTCTCGATGATTTGAATGATCTCTTATGCTGGCCGGGAAGGTCAATCGGCTTGCAGACCTCTTTGGCTATGCGGCGGAGACCACTGTTGTGAGGTCCCCATGAGGCGGATGTTCCTTTCTGGTCCTTTAGTGATCGAGATAGCTCCTGGTACACGGTCTCTTCGTTGATAAGGGAAAACAGCTGGTCGTAAGGTAACCAGTCTTTCTCTTCGTAGGTTGTACGACGAGAGTATATCAACCGCGGGAAGTTGTCAGGATGGTTTTGTGGGTCCTTAGAGGTGATTGAATCCCGCCAGTTGTAATCAAGCAGTTGACCATGTTTCTCTTCCGCTGATGCGAAACCTCTATCCAATGCTTCGAAGGTGTTGAGTTCGATGTCTTCCTGACTTTGTTGGCCTTTTGAAATAGCCGCGTTGATCGATGCGAATGGTTCCATGTTGTTGAATTAGCCTCGCAGAGCGCCAGCCTGGAGGCTAGTTAGAGATGATGTTTCCAGACTGATTCGGGGACTGACAGGTCTTCTCGTGAAGGTCTTCTGAACAAGTTTTATGTTGCTGGGTTGCTTTGGCTTGAACCTAGCAGGTCAGGTTTAGTATCTGGTCAGATCAAAGGCTAAAGGAGGCATCTGAAGTAGAGAACATGGACCTCCGGATGTCTTTAACCTCCATTGGGAGGAATAGCCCTCCGAGGTCCTAGCCTTTTCTTCATCCTCAGTGCCTTTTGTAAAGAGTGGCATAAGATTCCTAAGACAGGAAGACATGCGAACAACAAGGAGTAAAGACAAGTACATCTTCACTGACATAGCTTTACTTACGTTGAAAAAAGTTATTTTAGTTCAATGAGTAGTTGTTCAACTCCACCAAGGCCAGAATGTTTCCGATAGTTTTATCTGACCAACAAGATCAGGTGAGGAGAAGGACTGATTGCTGATGTGAGAGGGGCTAAGGATATTCGAGATTCAGGTATAGTATGAGAGGAGTGATAGGGACTGGACCGGTGCACATTGCATAGAGGGATGTCTATGATCATACTTATACTTACTGTGTATGATTGCCAATTGACTAGGGTCACCACCTGCGATCGCGCCTTCTACATGAATTGGTAGCATTTCTTTGGGCTATGCGTTAAGTCAACAACCGCCCTCGTATCCGACTCGGACAGGTATAATTACAGAACCAAACACACCATTTCTGCCTCCCTTGCTTTAACTTCTCACACCAGCCCACCCTCTTGCTACAAGTCTCGAGAGACACCGAAAATGTGTGTGGGCAAAAGGCTTGCATTGCTGTGCGCTGAAGAGAAAAGAGAAAGGAAGAGAAACGCCACGAGGGCAGCTAATTGAGGCTATCAACAGGTCTGGCTGTTGGCTGGCTGGGGCCGTGCACGGCTCTGGGCTAGTGACTCACTGGCCCTCGCACAGAAAAGCTACCCTGGCCCCTTACTTCTTGTAGCAAGAAGGGGCGCTGGGTTGGAGCTTTCGCCCGACGTAAGTAAGCACAGAAGTAGGCAATCAGACGCCGTGTGGGGTTTAGAACGTAGGTAAGGCATACTAGGCAATATCCAGCCTGCCGTGCCCATTCTAGTATATTGTCACATAACATCCAATCAGTACTTCAGACAGCGGAGTGGTAACAGAATGATTTGGCCTGTGAGGCAACCTGATCATAGAGGCGAGTTAGAAAGGGCGCTAAACTTCACACACGCACGAATGTTAATATATATTGTGAACAAAGTAAAATGCACATACCTGGTAGGATAAAAGGCCCTAGGGTCTACCGTGGTCAACAGTTCTGCCAGAAGTAAAATATAACCGACATCGTTTTCGACACCGTTTTCAACACCGTTTACAAATACACGTCTCTGATCACAGTCTTGATCATCGTCGATGACTTTCGATAACAAGATCTCAAGTGTGCGTGCTTTCGACGAGCGCATCCACTTCAGAAAAGTCGGGAATCAACAAAAGCTCTGTCATGAGCTCACCAGGAAATATGGCGAAGGCAAATATTCCGTCGAGGTATGTCAAACGAGTCGTGTCAACCAGTTGTTCTGTTGTTGATGAGAGTAGATCCGACATGACTTCTACTGCATCAAGAAGAGAGAACCATGTACTTCACATGCGTTTCAACCTGTGTATGGCAGTACTTCACCCCGAATAGAGATACAACAATCGGTAATGCCCGACATTATGCAACTTCCAGGATCAACGTTTTGATTAGTTTGAGGAGTCGTCAGTAGGGATTGGAGCCCTGAACATTGAATGTTGCTTGGGATATCATAGCAAAGAGAAATTACTTTCCAGTATCCTGCAGTCTCGCTGAGTTATTTGAATTTTCCGGTAGTTCTTGAAATGAACTTTCAGTTCTAGCACTGATTTTCTAAATGTCCAACTCGCATAATACACTATTCTGAACCGTGTCCTTTCAAGTCTGTCTCCAAGCTTTGCATGATTGCTATCTCGGCCCCTTCACAGTTATAGGCCATACTTGTGCTACTATGCCGAATCTATCTTTTCCACCGTCCATCTTGCTGACCACCCTCAAAAGTTAAGGGCGCAAACTATGGCATTGAACAGTCCTTTTGTAGTGTCTGACCGCCCTCTGCTCTTCAGACTTGGGTCGATCATGTGCTGGTATATTGCAGAGCCTCACCTAGATCCATAGAAATCCAGACCGTCTTTTTGTGATAGCGCCTCCCCGTTGTGCCAAGCCCCGCATGAGGGTCCGTCATGATTGCAGCCAGCTTATCAGGACTGCGATCGTAGTGGTGGTCTCAGCCTCTTGTAATGAACGATTGGTATTGCGCAGCAGTCCTTGAGGTCTCCCCACCTTGACCGAGACTGCAATACTACCCACACATGTGAAATCAAGTTTTCAACGATCGCAGCGCAATGATGTCTGTAGCGCCTGTTCAGAGCCTGATTGTCTGCGATCGCGACACACCCAAAAACCAGAACTATGTAGTCACAGGGAGGCTCGTTTATGTAGAATTACAATAAGGCTCCGCCAGCTATACCGACCACACTGTGTCTTCAATTTTGCGACACTTTCATGAGGCAATGGAATTTTTCTTACTCCACCTGCGCCCGGCAAAATAACGAATACAATATTTCATCGAGAGCATCACTTGACCAGGGAGAACTCAGCACCGACCTTCACAGCCTTGGAGGCTACAACCACCGAGGCCACGTTATTGACATATCTACGACTTGACCATGAGCAGCCTAGGGGGATTAGAGCCTCAGCCACAACATCCCTGGCTCAGTCCAGCGATAGGTTTTCCGACTCATGTGACGAGAACTGTTGGATCCGCTCTCACGAAAGAAATCCAAAACAGGCTCTACATGTATCCAATAAAGTTTCAGAACCCACATGCCAAACACTTCTGGTCACCTGAGTATTTTGATAGGCTCATGACTCCAAGTACTGTCGAAAAGCTCGTCAAGCATTTACTGAAACGGATGTACCTTCCCATAGCGTGGAGAGGCCGGATATGGACTTGTCAGGATTGGCAACTACTTATTAATGGCCACCCACAAGAGCAGAAGCTTGGATACAGCCGCGCGAGCGGTTACCGTCGAGTTCTGGCCCTACTTATGATGGTGAATAAGTGTGCTCGAATCCATGACTTCATCAGGCTGGGCTTGACGGATGCCAAGTTACCTCTCCACCCACAACATGAGGTATTCCAGAGTCAACGCAGTTGGAACCATCCTGATATCACTTTGTTCTGCGAGGCATACCAGTGGCGTTTGACAGTGCCTTACTTTTTCAAGGAAAGGAGGCCCAGGCGAGTATGTGAGCTGGAGCTGCAACCCAACGACATCAAGCCTTGGGAAGTCTTGCGCACGATAACACCGCCTACAAACCCCCAACCTCGACCAACTATGCAACTGCCCAGGATCAATTTGCACAGTAATCGATACGGCGGCTTCGGTGAAGTCCGCAAGGTCGTTATTCACCCCACGCAACACGAATACAGGGATATCCTTGCTCAGGTATTGTGTTTTCTAATACATTGCATGCATAATACATTCCCTGTTCGCATTATGGCCAGTTGCTAATCGAAATGCTTCATTCTTAATCAGTGGTCCGCAGAAAATAATATTTTTGCACTCAAGAGGTTGTTCACAGGCAATAAGGAGGAGTTCGACAAAGAAGCTGAAATGCTCAAGAGATTTGGCGGAATACACCCCCACATTATCTGTCTGCTGGCCACCGTGGTCTGCTTGGAAAATGGAATTCCTCACTTCCACCTCCTGTTCCCTTGGGCCGACACAGACTTACTCAGGCTATGGAAGCTGCAGCCGGCTGGAATCCACGGCGTTTATAGGGTCAGTTGGCTGGCCGAACAATGCTATGAGATTGTGAAAGCCGTGAACTCGATTCACAACCCGAATCCTCGTATATTCATAGACGGGGTGGAAAAGTGGGGACGACACGGGGATATCAAACCCCAGAACGTGCTGTGCTTCATAGAGCCTGGGAGCCGAAAGATTAAGTTTGTGTTATCAGACCTCGGCCTCGCCCAGGCGCGTGGCGACGCCACCAGATCCAACATACCTGGGGAAGGCCTTCCAGGAACGCCCAACTATCGGCCGCCAGAGTGTGATATGGCGCCTCATCAGGGTGGAAATCTTGGATACGTCTCCAGAAGCTACGATATTTGGACTTTGGGCTGTCTTTTCCTTGAACTCACTGTCTGGGCTCTTCAAGGATGGGACGGGGCTGAGAGATTTGCTTCTGATCGATGTAGTGTGACTTACTTGGACATGGGAGGAAATGATTCTTACTATGGCTTGGAGCGCATCAACGGGCAAATGGGCAGATTTTCGTTGAAAACACCGGTCTTTGAGGTGAGAACTTTTTTCTCGATGGACATCGAACTTGAGAATGGCTAGATGGGCACGATCAGACTACCCTGCTGACATCTACTTCCCAGCGCCTCGATTCTCTGCATCAGCACCCACGTTGCACTGGGTTCTTCCGAGACCTCTTGGAGCTAGTCCAACGGCACATGTTGTGTGTGAGATCAGATGAGAGGATCAAGGGGCCACATCTACAAGAGAAGATGAGAGGCTTGTGCACATCAAGACCCGCCACATACTATGAGACGCCATGTCCTCACCGAAATTGGATTCAACATGGCGGTTCGGTGGAGGCTATCCTCAGTAATAAGCTCCGGCGTGGCGCATGAGGCACTAAGATCTCTGATTGAATTAAAGGGGGCTCGGGCTGACTGCACAAAAAGTACGTTTGCACAGCCACTGAGGGGTTAAGAAGCTGTGGAAAAACCAGAATGGAAGGCCAAAGATCAGCAAGACGAATAATTGTGAACATAAGCTAGTTTCATAAGAAAAAAAAAATTTGAATTTGTGTTTGTTGTCACGACGAACTTATGCTCAGAGTGTCGAGCTACATGCATGCAGCCTTTGGGAAATCATCTTCAGTAACATATCTTCTACCACATTTTCGACCCCACAGTTCATCCTCCTATTTCTGCTAGAAATCATGACGGGATGATGCCAAAATCGCTTCTGTATTCGCCCTTAAACGCTGGTAGTTATTCAATATTGGTGTCCCTGTAGTGTGACTGTTCTTTGACGGCATCCTCCACAGCACGAATTTGGTTCTGTATGTCACTCCTTAGTCCTTATTACACTATGAAAAGAGAAGCTCATAGTAGTTACATTTGTTAAGGCGGTAGGCACCTTGCAGATGAAGTGATTGCCGCTGACCTGTCAGGCACAGGGTCAATAAGACTTTCCAGGACATCAGATTGGCTAGGCTATTACACGAATTTTGAAGTTGCCCTTGGGAAAATACTTCATGAGTTCTTTGCTTATAACGGAGTAATCTCCATATCGGGTAGGAATAGCCATAGTTGGCATCGTCGTCCGCTGGCAGTCGTACTATCGACGTTTCTTGATGGCAAAAAATTGGAGTAAGCACCAAGAGGCAGCGGCCAAGTGGTTCAAGGCACATAATTTACGGGCAGGCAGGCTCTTATAAATTTCTGCATTTTCGGACTGACCCAATCACTGTGAGAGGGCGATGCTCGTGGCTGCCAGCCAACTGTCATGCATGTGCATAGGTCGACAGGCGGAGCTGTCTTGCCACATCACTACCAGCCCTGCTTTCGGCGCTTATTGTATTTGACGACAAAAATCTTGTTCTCCATTGCCCCGCTTGCTGCGTTGATTCGGCTGCAAAATAAATGCGTCATGAGACTCAAGGCATAGATAGACACAACCATATACAGGTGCCTGGACCATCAGACTTTGTTCACGGTGCTGAGTTACTCAATAGAGGCAAAGAGAATTCCTTCAGAGGACGGAATGAATTGGCCAGCGGAATTTGGACCAATGTCCGAGAGTGACCTGGAGAAGGTCTTCCGCTACACACCCCAACCCACAACAGTAGTGTGCTTACAAGCAGGAGAACCGGTGAGGAGGAATGATTTGACTTTTATCAACTACGAGTAATCACTGACTCTTGATCTCTCAGACTCCTCGACTATGGTCTCTGGAAGGAATTGAAGACTGGAATATGTGGCTTCATCATGTGAGTGGCGAGACTGCCTTTTCCGTTTGCTAAGATTTTGCCACTCTGATTGCTCACTTCAAATTCCATTAGGAACGACCACATTACTTTGATGGACAGCCATGCACAGTCTTGGTGTAAGAGATTCCTCTATCGTACGGATTTCAAGGAGCAAAGCTGACGACACCGGTCAACTGCGACAGCCTTGCTAGAAGGGAGGGAGAACACAGTAGCTTGCTCAAAGAGATTGACAGTGGTGCTATTAGCTTTGGAGACAAAGACGTCGATGGCGAATTCTTGGGCGTCATCTACGATGACAAGATTAAATCCCATCGCTGGCCCGCGAATAGAAATTTGTTGCGGGGCACAGGTACGGCAGATAGTGAAAGAACCATCGCGGAACTCCAAGGCGGTGGACGTGAAGTCCAACGGATACCACTTGAGAAGGACCTGTTTGAGGAAATCTGTGAAGCTCTCTTCATACACCCATCTATAGCACGAGCAATCAGTCGGGCTGATACCCCTTTATTTTCGCGAGCATATCTGAAGGCAGCTATGCATGGGCAGAACACTCCGTCAATTGGTATGCAACTCAACTTAGCACACCCCCAAAAGAATGAAAGAAGAAGGGAAAAAGAAAGAAGAAAAAAAGAGTGCTGGAAACATTGCTGACAGGGTATTCTGCAAGTCTACAATTGTCGATCCGCAAACCTGTGGAAGAGGGACCTGGCACTCACTGTCACCCACTTCCCCGACCTCAGCTGCACGTTCGGTATGCTCTTCGGTTGCACGGCCGATATTGAACGAAAAGTCTTAAACCGGTTGGCTGGTTCGATGGAGTATTGCCGTCATCCACTGCTCTTGCCGGGGATCTTTGCAGAGCTGGAACGCGAACGCATGCTAAAGGTTGTCGACGTGACTACTAGGCAAGTTGAGGAGATGATATTTGAGCTCGACACAGGCGTGGGAACGTATGCTCTTAAGAGCGACGCAAATGGAGGCGCACGTAGTGAAAGAAGAGATGTCTGGCTTCATGCCACTTTCCTGAGGAACAGGCTCGAGATATGGCGACAACAGCTCGTGAAAATGGCTGACCATGCGGATGAGCTCTCGTCTACGGATCCGTTACCTGTAAGGGGGGCAGCAGAACCTCTCAAAATGGATGAAGCGATGATAGAGGCAAATAGACTCATCAAAGATCGTCTGAAGGATCTCACTGAGGAGTTCCAGCAACATACAGAGGACTGTACAATGAGGGTTGAAGGCATGTCGATGGCCACACAGTGGGTGAGTCATACAATTTGCTTTTGTTATTCAGAAAAGGTTATGGTCCATACTAACTGCTTACAAAGTCGAATGCAGACATAAATGTCGACATCGCTTTGGCCGCAGGGAACGATTCTAATCAAATGCGATCCATATCTCTCGTGACCATGGTCTTTCTACCGGGTACTTTCTTCGCTGTAGGCTGCCACCATCTCTATAACATTATTCACAATACTTATTAAAGACAGACCTTCTTCTCGATGACATTCTTTGACTGGAGCCCCTCTGAGAGCGAGAGTGTCGTCTCCAGCTACATCTGGATTTACGTTGCTATCACGGGTGCTTGTACCTTCCTCACGCTCCTGGCGTGGGGGTATTTTGTCGGTTTCAGACGACAGAAAGGACAACAGATTGACTCTGATGCTATGGTTTAAGACTTTTCAAGGCATAGAAATTATCAGGGGCCTTATGTGAGCGAGTACTTTGATTGGTGTCAGGGCGAGGATACATAAAATACTGAACATCTCTGGCACCCGGAACAAGGCTCGCAAAAGGTCCACCAAAAACATGTTGGACAAGAAAAAAGCTAGATTCGAGTTACAGATTGGAAATAATTTCATACGTGTATGGATATTGCGTCCGAAAAAGTCACTGAGTGTATTGCAATATTCACCAATACAATTATAACCTCCAAGGCTCCAATGCAAGTAACAAACAACCAATCAGGCTTCTCGAGATCACGAACCAATGATGATACTTTTTCTGCTGTAGCTTTGCAATTTGCCCAGAACTGCGTTCATAGGCTTGAAATCTGTCCAGGTTCCTCTACACAGCCACCTCAGCTACAGTCCTCGCAGGCCTCCTTGCCAACGCATTCACCGCCCTGTTGTTGCTCTCCACGCTTCAGGTCTCCGACCAGCTGCACCGCAGCCTCGCTTGACCCAGGGTACCCTCCACCCGCCTGACCCACCGCCTCGAGCTCCGACCTCGAGGGAAGCCTTTCGCCTGCGCCGACCTCCAGCCCAGCGTCTCCCGCCGGAACCGCCGCCGCTCCTTTCGTCCCTCCATGCCTGTCAACGTGTCCCAAGTCACGTCCAGGCTCGATCACGTCCCTCACCCTACGCTTCAGCTCCTTCGTCTCAGGGAACCCACCGTCCGCCTTGCGGTCCCAGAGGATGCGGTTCTGCACGGTTGAGGCTGCTGAAGGCGATGACGATGGGACCTGGTGGAAGATCTCCACCACAAAGGTTCCGCCCGTGCTGGGCTGCAGCGCGACCTCGCCCAGAGATGTGGAGAATGTCGAGAGGAGCTCTTGGGCGAACTAGTGTGCGCGCGTCATGTCAGCTCAGAGGCCGGGAAAATCGGATGAGAGTAGTTGAGAACCGGGGGTTGCGCCCACAGCCATTAGGAACGTACGTATGCGGCTCTCAGCATCCATTTGCACCTGGTTTAGTGTTTAGTATTGATTTAGGACTGGGCTATGGAAAGCTTTAGGATGACGGAGGACCTGATGTCACATACTGCGTGCAGAACTTGATAGTCACGCGGGGGAGAGGATACGGCGCGGCGGCCTCTTCAGCCTTTTCAACCATTGCTGTGCGTAAATACTTGGATGCGTTGATTTGTCGAGATTGATCGTGTAATGAAATGATGATTCTCTTGTGGGCGAAGTCCGTGAGATCGCGCTTCGTCTGCTGAGTACGTCATGTACATATGATGAAGTGGACACTGCAAATCCGGCCGAGCTCCGGCCGATGTCCCGCAATGGCGGGGCAACTCGGCTCGGGACCTACCGATCGGGTCCGGAAACACCGTTACAAATAGAATACTATCCCTTCATGCTGTTTGTCACAGCAGTACTTATGAGAATCTTGGTCAATACCGCTCGGCACGACGCATTAATTGGACCTATTACCTGTATTCTCTCATCCTTTGCCTATAAACTCAAAGGCGTCAAAGAGACTCTGTGTTCAGAAAGCTCTTGCCGTATACTCAATTGTCGCCTATAATGAAAGCCCCAGTGCTTAGATTAGACCAGGGTGCTTAAGGGGTATGTATTTGCATCAGTAACAAGAATCCTATGAGTTCCATGCATTGGCTCAAGTCGGGCCGTATCCTGAAGTCTTGCTCCTGATGATTCGTATGGACTCGTCCGTCGAGCGACCGAGATCATGCTATCCTGAGGCGCGGACTATCACTGGTAAAAGCATGCAGATGTTGAAGTTATGGGTCCATCTGTCTCTCCCCTCATGCCGCCCTCAATCAATCATTGTAGATATGCCACTCCACAGATGCTTTCGTGGTGCCACGGCTGCAGCTCATATTGCCTTGCGTAGGCGGCAACGTGCCTCCCTCTCCGTACAGACTCATGACGCTGTTGAGCAAGTCGATGACATCTTGGTTTCCGATCCTGCACATCACAGCCGTCAGAATCACAAATATCGCCCTTACCCCTTTAGTATCCCAGTACGCAATAGGTCAAGTTATCCAACTCACGGCACTGTCCCTGTCTCCCCGTCTGTCCGCCTCACCCCAATCTTACAAGTCGCCAGCGTCGAGAACTGAACCCAGCTCTGATCTTCAGCCGAGAACCCGGTGACCAGCCAGTACCCGTTGCGGGTCTTGGCGTAGTACACAAACTGCTGGCAGTCCTCAATGCCCGGCCTGTCGCCGTAGCTATCGCTGTCGCCGATGTCACTGTCGACCACGGCAATTGTGGAGTTGCCGCAGAGGCTCTGAGCCTGGTTGGTCGTATCGGTCCAGACGAAGTCTCGGCGCGAGAGAATGTCGTCGAGGCAGGTGGGGTCCTGTCCAGAGCTGGCTGTGAGATCGGGATGGCTCGTGTTGCTGTAGGTGAAAATACGGTCGTAGGAAGGATAGGGGAAGCCCAGGGGCAGGGCAAGACAAGAGGCGGTAATTGAGGAGAGGGTGCCGAGAAGGAAGTGGAGAAGAGTAAACATCTTTATGGAAAGACACGGAAAGGCCACTTCACGTATTATTATGAGAGGTTTGTGGTGTCAGGCTGCAGATATCGTGGCTTTGAGTTGATGAGGCAAATCTGAGGCCGAGAAAAGGATGATCCAAAGCAGTCAACAACACTGGATGCTAACCGACTGATATGGTGCTTGCTCAATTTCCAAACAGGAGGCGGAAGCTTCAATCCTGAAGTTGGGGCCCCATTCTTTTCTGGCCTTCGCGGAAGGAGGCAACAAGTACATACTGTCCCGCGCACCCGCACGGAAGCTGCACCTCAAGGATGTCCTTCGACCTGACTGGACAGGCGTGGAGTAGACATGACATGTGAAGCCCAAATGATTTTTTGCAGGCTCCTAATGGCCTCAGCTAATCGGCTCATGGAAAAACGGCTCGCAGGTTGAGGGACAAAATGCTGGCCGAGCGGACACGCACCGTGATCAACTGATAGATGTCATATACCAGAAATAGTTGCCGTGAGAGAGGGTATTCACGATTGTCGGGGAGGCCTAGACTGACAAGGTACAACTGAAGAAAGAAGGTGGTGACGCAGTATTAATAAACATGCCGAATTATCCCTCTGGCAGTATCCACAAGCCCATATGCAGAGGTTGTTTGGTATAACGAAAAGAAACCATTATCGTGACCGCCCCGACCGTGAAGGACCAGCACCCTCAAGGGACCCTCAGGTTAAGTCCAAGAAAGAAAACGGCCGGAACAAAAAGCATCGTGATAACCCGATGGGGCCTTCTCCTTGTCTTCCCCACCCAGTTGCCAGTGCCACACCTGTCAAACATCCTCCTGCTCCTCTGGGCATTTCCCTAATCTCACAGAAGGTTCGCTTCCCTTTTGTCCACGAAGTAACGCCGGCAAGAAACAACGCGCAAGGCAGCAAAGACTTCTTTCCCTCCTCGGAATGTCGTTCGTGTCGTATGCCTCGAAAATCTGCCCACGATCGCTTTCCCTCGTCGGATCCGACGAGAACCCTTTTTGGATATCTTAAATTCCATCTCCTTCTTCCATCCTTCATGAGCCGATTACATAACAACACAGCAACCACCGCTCTGCTGGGGAGCGTAGGGATCCTCGCCTTTGGGAACGACCCCCCAGACAGACGGGACCATGTAGTCTCGGGTGCTGTTGCAGTAGGCGATAATGCTACACACAGAGACACAGAGCTGTCAGCATAGGACCACCCATTTTTAGGGAGCAGACACGTCGATGTGCGGCATGTGCTGCCAGGACCCGTCTTACCTTTTACTGGCCTGGGAGACAGGGATACGCTCGCGCTCCAGGTCCTCGCGCAGACGGTTGTTCAGTTCTGTCAGGCGACGTAGCTTCAGGTCGGCCATGGACTGCTTATTCTTCTTGATCTGCGTTGGGTCGCCAACATCGCGGGAGGTGAATTGAGGCATGTTGGCAGGGGTGTTGGCGGAGTCGTTGGCCACAGAGGTGTTGTCGTGGGAGACGTCGGGGTGTGCTATGGAAGGCTGCGAAGCGTCGGAATCGACGGAGGGAGGAAGATGGCCCAGGAGGTCGGGCTGGGTGGATGAGTGAGGGATGCGAGTGCGAGTAGGCTGGTCACACTCCCGATCTCTGTCCTGTTTAGGGGTAGACATGGCGGCTGTCAGTCAAGTTGCGGATGAGGGGAGATTTGAAAGCAAAAGGGATCGGTCGGATTTAGTTAAGGCCTTGGACGTGATTATCTGTCGAACGTGGTCCCATTCGGAAGAGAATCGAAATGACCACAAATCGAGAAATGAGTTGATTATCGCGTTTGGATCGGCAATGTGCTTTCGAGGTTTGACCAAGGCGACGGGCAGGCGTGTTCGCGCAGTGCAGCTGGTAGGACAATTGACGACTTGCTGTCTGGTATTCCGGGATGCAGTGTGCAATAGGCCAGGTGCACAAAGCGAGAAAAAGAAAAGGGTCACTTACAATTCAATGAAACCTGAGACCTTGGCGTAGTTTCCGTTGATGAGGATATTTCCGTTCGTCGATGAAGGAGGGATTGAGTGCTTTCCGTGGGCTGGAATGTAAAGGAGGGAATGAAGAAGTCAGAGTGGGCGGCAACTGCTCTCGCACTCTCGCACGTCGTAGTTGGTCGGAGGGAAAGGAAGAGCCAAGGGAGAGAGGGAGGGCGACGGGTAATGCTGCTATGGTAGGGCGGCCCAGGTGCCTAGATTGCCGGAAGGATGGGATGGGAATGGGGGGGAGAATGGAGCCCAGCGTCTCTACCCGTACTATGTACTACTTGCAGTGCTAAGGTAGTGCTGCAGTCCTGCTATGGTAAGCCGCAATGTCGGGACCAGCAGCTGCACTAGCCAGGGGGGGTCATGTACCTGAAGGCCGCTGATCTTCCTCACTGGTCCTGCTTGGGAGGGTTTCTGCTTTGTCAGGCGGTGTGATGTGCACCTTTACTCCGTTCGAAAGTGTGTTGGAAACCAGGAGTTAGGGTCTCGTCGATGTTGAAAAAGGTTGTGCACCTACTATACCATACACACGAAGAGATACACGAAGAGACTGTATAAAAATTAAAAGGAGGAGATCAAGAAGAATGGAGAAATGGAAGAAAACAAACAATGAACCAAGGGAGTATTCCGATTCCAGTCTGACGGAAGCAAAATGAAGAAAAATAGAGAAAAACCCAGTGACACCCACTCAAGGGGCTGCAAGCCATTTGCAAGAAACATCTCGCAGCGAATTTGGATTGGCTAAGACAGGGGCGGTCTGATATTACTACATACAAGGGTACAGAGCATACTGCGAACCACGAAATGATCCTCGAAAATCACAGCTAATCTGCCATGTATGCAGGCATAAAAGACCATTCGAGACAAGAAAACAAAGATTGTATACACCAATAATATGTGTATCCTATTACTACAGTTTGAAAGGTTCTTGACCCTGCAGGTGGCTGATCAACACTTGCTTGCCTTGTGATGGTTAACATGCGTATTATTACTCTCTCCGGTGAGTGCGTACTTCCATTACCATTTCCGCTCGCAGGGTCTCCACCTGAATACCTTATGTCTCCACAGCTCTCCCCCGTGCGGAAATGAGATCTTACCGATTTGATAGCGTCCACTGACGCTCATGACCTGTTGGATATCTATGAGATCTGGAACATGCACCGAGTAGTACCGCATCTGAGCCTTGGGTAAACGGGAGGATAAGCACGTAAAAGCACGTCAAGGTATCAAATGCCTTGTTTGACGTGGTCCCTTACCCCAGGTTAGGAGGACCATGGTCCGTACCAAAGCACAGCTGTTATCGATTTCCAAACGGTTTGTTTGGTTTGATTCTGCAACCCTAAGGGGGCCTTGTCGAAAAATTGAGATTTGGGTTCCTCGCGCGGATGCCCAAGCGGCCAGATGGAGAGAGTCATGAAGCAGCGACACGGACGTTCGCTTAGCCTACAACAGGTGACCTTTCTACCCATCAATCAACCCACTGCAGGTTACACTACAATCTGGGTATTTGCAGTAAATAATGAGACCAGCATTCCATCTATCCAAAGTACTGTGATCTGTATCTGGCTGTGCAATTCTCTATTGAGTTGCGGTATGACAAATCGGACCAGAAAGATTGATGGTGTCTCATCCCATAGTTGCTAAGTTGAATCCGATTTGCCCTGTTTTGGTGTCTGATACATGAGCCGCTGAATCGTGAAATGGCAAGCACGTATTCTCATACACGGATACAATGACTGGACGGACAGAGTGCGTGCCGCGGGGTAAGCCCCTCAATCTCTGTCTGAGTGAGGACTGTCACCTTTCCTTCTAACACCAAGCCCTCCCCCCCCCCCCCCCCAAAACACCCCCGCCTCCCTTCAACCTCGATTTTTGCCAAGAGACTCCGTCACACAGGCCCTCAGCAAAAGGCACACAGTCTTAACTGCCGCTACAGACCAGCTCAGGCGTCTGGGATCGCTTTGTTATTAGGGTTTTGAAGTCTCAGAACGGAAAGACACTCTAGTCTTCGTCCAGTCGTCTTGATTGTTCTTCTGATTGTTGTTACCCGGGCAGGCGAAGACACCCAATGCTCAGGCCTGCTAGGTCACCTGATTTGGGGCGCTAGGACCGCACTAGCCTCACGCTAGATTCCAAGCGGGCACGACGGGCAAGTACCACACATTTTGCTCCAGCCCCACTGCCTGCCCTTTTTTGCGTGTCTGACTCCCGCACGCCAGCAAACCTTCCAGAGATTTTTCCTGTGTGAGCCCAAGCCTCAGACAAGTTCCCCCTCCCCCTCCTCCTCCAACATCGTGTTGTCGAGGCTTCAGCCATCCCACCTAATCCGACAGGTGTTCATTATCAATACTGATATCCTCACACTTGTCCCGCTCACCATCCCTCCGAGGGACTGCTGCCCAGCATGCCTCCTCCTCCCCACCAAAAGCCTGAGAACGTTCTCAAGCGAGCCCATGAGCTCATCGGCGTCGGCCAGGCCCCCGCGGCCCTGACCCTCCTACACGAGCACATCACGTCTAAGCGTTCACGAAATGTCCCCATCGCATCCCTGGAGCCTGTGATGCTCCTTCTCGTCGAGCAGTCCGTCGAGCAGAAGAAGGGAAAGTTGACCAAGGACGCGCTCTACCAATACAAGAACATTGCTCAGAACAGCAACGTGGGCACCATTGAGCTGGTCCTCAAGAAGTTCCTCGAGCTGGCCGCCGAAAAGGTCACTGCTGCCCAGCAGAAGGCAGATGAGGTCCAGTCTAGCATCGATGCTACGACTGGCGAGGCCGGCGTCGACGACCTCGAGGCGACCGAGACACCCGAGTCCATCCTCCTTGCCACCGTCTCTGGCGAGCAGTCCAAAGACCGTACCGACCGTGCCATCGTCACCCCTTGGCTCAAGTTCCTGTGGGAGGCCTACCGTACTGTTCTCGATATCCTCCGCAACAATGCTCGCCTTGAGCTTCTCTACCAGAGCACTGCCATGCAGGCTTTCGACTTCTGCCTCAAGTACACCCGCAAGACCGAGTTCCGCCGACTTTGTGAGCTCCTCCGCAACCACGTGCAGACCGCGGCCAAGTACTCTCAGCAGATGCACGCCATCAACCTCAACGACCCCGACACACTGCAGCGACACCTTGAGACCCGCTTCCAGCAGCTGAACGTCGCTGTCGAGCTGGAGCTCTGGCAGGAGGCTTTCCGCAGCGTCGAGGACATCCACACGCTGCTCAACCTGAGCAAGCGCCCCCCCAAGAACGTCATGATGGCCAACTACTACGAGAAGCTCACCCGCATCTTCCTCGTCGGTGAGAACTATCTGTTCCACGCCGCAGCTTGGTCCCGCTACTACCAGCTGCTACGCCAGTCTGCTACCCTCGTTGCGGCTGGCCAGAGCAAGAAGTCTGACAACCCACCCGCCACCGAGGCTGATCTGCAGAAGGCTGCATCGTTCGTCTTACTGTCAGCGCTGTCCATTCCGGTCATCAGCACCACCCGCTCTCGTGGCGCAATGGTGGACTTCGACGAGGCTAGGAAGAACAAGAACTCCCGTCTCACCCACCTCCTGGGCATGACCCAGGCGCCGACCCGTGCTGCACTATTCCAGGATCTCCGTGCCAAGCAGCTCCTCCGCCGCGCCCGGCCTGAGATCCGTGACCTGTACAACATCCTCGAGGTTGATTTCCACCCGCTTTCCATCTGCCAAAAGATTTCCCCAATTCTGGCGCAGATCGGCGCCGACCCCGAGATGGAGAAGTACATCTTGCCTCTGCAGCAGGTCATCCTGACGCGTCTTTTCCAGCAGCTGTCTCAGGTGTACGAGACGGTCGACCTGACCTACGTTGAGAACCTTGCCAAGTTCCCAGAGCCTTTCCAAGTGTCGCGTGCCACGATTGAGAAATTCATCATGAACGGTAACAAGAAGGGTGACCTGGCCATCCGCATGGACCATGCCACTGGTGTTCTGAGCTTCGACAGTGATATCTTCTCTTCTTCCAAGGCCGCAAGCTCCGGGTCTGCCGCCGGCTCTGCTGAGGCCGACGCTGGCTCTGTCCAGAGGCTCCAAAGCACACCTTCGGAGATTGTCCGCACCCAATTGACTCGTCTGTTCAAGACTCTTCATACCACATGCTACTACATTGATCCTACCTTCAATGAGGACCGTATCAAGGCGCGGCAGGCTGCCTTGGACCGTGCCAAGGCAGGTGCCGAGCAGGAGCACAAGGAGATCCTGGCACGCAAGGAAATCATCCAGAAGCGCAAGGAGGAGGTCTCCCAGCTGAGGGCTCGCATTGAGCGCGAGAATGCCAATGCAAAGCGCCTGCGCGAGCAGCAACTGCAGGAGGCTGAGGCCCAGCGCCTCGCGCAGGAGCTGAAGGAACGTGAGCAGCGACGACTCGAGAAGGAGCGCCAGGAGATCCACCGACGCGAGGTGGAGAACACAATGAAGGAGCTCAAGATCGAGTCCAAGGCGCTCGGAATTGAGGAAGAGGACCTCGCCAACTTGGACAGCAGCCGTCTCCGTGCGATGAAGTTGGCCCAGCTTGAGCGTGTCAAGAACGACGTGAACGAGAAGCTGCGCATCACAGGCAAGAGGATCGACCATCTCGAGCGTGCCTTCCGGAAAGAGGAGGCCAAGAAGCTAGGCGAGGACTACGAGAAGCAACGCGTTGCTGATATCGCCGCTTATGAGAAGAGTAAGGAGGAGCAGCTTATCACATCGAAGCAGCAGCACAAGGCGAATGTTGAGCTCAAGCACCGTGTGCAGCGCCTTGTTCCGTACTACGAAGAATTCAAGCAGAGCCTCTACGAGCGTCGTCGCGAGGACTTCGACAGGCGACAACGGGAGGCGGATCGTGCCTTGGAGAAGGCCATCGCCGAGCGGAAGAGAGAGTATCGCGAGAGGAAGCTGCGCGAGAAGCGGGAGCGCGAGGAGAAGGAACGTGCTCTGCGCGAGGCCGAGGAGAAGGCGGCCCGCGAGAAGGAGGAGCGCGAGCAGCGGGAGGCACAGCGCCGGGAGGAGATGGCGCGGATCAAGGCCCAGCGCGAGCAGGAACGCCAGGAGGCTCTGGAGAAGGCTGCCATGCAAGCTCGTCGCGAGGAAGAGGCTCTTGCTCGCCGCAAGGCCGAGCGGGAGGGTGCTCGCGGACCAATTCCCGTGCGTTCTGCCGGTCCGCCTATGGAGCGCACCGAATCTGCCGAACGCCCATCTGGACCACCTCGCCTGGCACTCGCCGGCAACAAGCCCAGCTGGCGTGAGCGGCAAGCCGCCAAGGCTCAGCAGGGCCAAGGCGATGCCGAGACGGCGTCTGCCCCTCCTAGCCGCCCAACTCCCCCGCCCGTCGAGCGCGAGCGGCCTGAACGCATCGAGCGCACCGAGCGCCCTGAGCGACCTGAGCGCTCCGAGGGCGCCGATCGTCCTTCTGGCCCACCACGCCTGGCGCTTGCGGGTAACAAGCCCAGCTGGCGTGAGCGTGAGGCTGCCAAGAATGCTGCCGGTGGTGCTGCTCCTGATCGCAGCGGACCTCCTCCGGTTACGAGCCGTTCTGGCTCTGCTCGTGGCGAAAATGGCCGGGATGCTGGCCGAGATACTGGCCGAGATGCTAGCCGAGATGCTCCTCCTCAGGAAACTCTGAAGGCGTCTGGTGCGCCTGGCAAGTGGGTGCCGCGGCACCTGAGGGAGGGTGGAAAATAGATTGTTGAGTTTCGGTTTTGTTCATTCATAGGTTGAGATGGTCTCGTAGCATCTCGGGGAGCTAGAAATGCAGGTGCTTTCACGAAAAACATGAGCGGTCGGTATCTGGATCATAACTCTTTTCAGGTGGGAGAGATGTCACGAAGTCTTATTTGAGGTACGCGTGAAGGTGGTCTTCCCGTAAAATATGAGTAGTATCATAGCATGCCAATCTCTTATCAGATAACTTGCTGATAATTGTGACGTCTCTCTCCCCTCTCTAATTAACCTATGCAGATGCTTTCCAGCCAGAAGAGGTGGGAGATTTTGCGTGTGCTATCATAGCCACTTGTCCTCGTTGAGGGCAAGAGTGCATGGAATCCGCATGCAGAACCAACGCATAGGACAGCCAAAGGTTATCGTCACAGGGGAGCCAAGCCATCTCTTGCCTTTGTCACTTGTTCATTTCCTGACCTTCAATGTGCCATTCAAGTCGACTCCCTCAGTGTCTGTTGTCAGCCAGTCCTCGGTTGTGGTAGTGCTAACCTAGCGTATAGTACGGAAGGAGTGGTTTGTCGCAGTAGTAGATCTTATCGATAAGACGCAAGGCTGGAAATCCACTGAACTTTTTCTCTTGATCGCATCGGCCCGCTCCCCCCAAATCGTCCAGTTGGTTTTCCTTTGCGACAACCGAGAGACGAACAAATAACCTGTTCCCCCCCCCCCCTCTCTTCCTGTACAAACCACCGACAAGATGCGTCCTCTTACAGAACCAGAGACGCAAACTTTGTTCCAGAAGCTGGCGCATTATGTATGTCACCGACAAGATGATACACATACAGAAAGAGAGAGAGAGATAGAGAGAGAAAGACACTTGCTGACGAGCGTTGCGCAAACTCCCCATGAAACAGACCGGCAACTCCCTCAAGAACCTGATCGCTCCGCTCGACGATTCGCCGACCGCAGACCGATATGTCTTCCGGGTACACAAGGACCGTGTGTATTATGTGAGGCTGTCGATTGCAAACTTGGCCGTGTCGATTGGTACGTCTTTCACCCCCACCTCCCTTCCACCCCTTCTCGTCCTTCTCTTCCAAAGCCCCAACAAAAGGCACTTGCAGCTAACAAGAAGACACCTCCTTTGTCCTCGAACAGAGCGCGAGAAATTGACCTCCCTCGGCATCTGCCTCGGCAAGTTCACCAAGACGGGCAAGTTCCGACTGCACATCACCTCGCTCCCGATCCTGGCCGAGCACGCGCGGTACAAGATCTGGGTGAAGCCCAACGGCGAGATGCCCTTTCTGTACGGCGGCAACATTGTCAAGGCGCACGTGGGGAGGTGGTCCGACGACTGCCCGGAGCACCAGGGCGTTATTGTGTACAGCATGAACGACACGCCGCTGGGGTTTGGGATCACGGCGCGGGGCACGAGCGAGGCGAGGCGGTTGGATCCTACGGGCGTTGTGGCGTTCCGGCAGGCGGATTGTGGGGAGTATCTGCGGGATGAGGATAACCTGTTCGCGTCGGGATAGGGGAAGAATAGAAGGAAAGAAGGATAAGAGGAAAGTTGTGAAGATGCGAGGATGAACCGTATTTGTGAGGGAGAGAGAAAGGTACAGAGGACGATCACATCATGGAGGGCGTTCAGGAGTATAAAAAAAATCAACCAAGGTCTATTTGCATTTTCTCTAAATAGAGGACCTCCTTCATATGGGCCGTCTACCTCTTCATCATCTAGATACCAAATATTGAAATGGGCCGTTCTATGGACAGCCCCCTCGATGCATACGTTTCTATTCTTTCTTTTTTTCTCTTCCGCTTAAGCAACCTAAGGTACTGCGCCCTTGGACTCATACTCGGCGACACCAACCACGGGCGTCGCCGTGCCAGGCCCCATGGGCGTGGGCGTCTGCGGTCTGCTCTCCCTCCTGAAGAAGGTGACGTGCTCCCGCTCTGCCACGTACCCACTGTCAGCATAGCCCAGCAGCCCTTCAATCTCCTTGCTCTGGTGTCCCTTGATCCGGATGATCTCGGCAGACGAAAAATTGACGATGGCCCGGCCGACGTCCAGCGGCTCGCCATGCCACAGCTTCCCGTCCGCACTCGCACCCGTTGTTGTGTTGTTCCTCTCCACGACCAGCAGCCGCACGCACTCGTGGCCCGAGAAGGTCCCGTCGAGGTCCACCACGCCCACAGGCAGTAGGCCAGCCTTGTTAAGCAGCGCCTTGTAGCAGCCCTGGTCAATGTAAACGTCGCCATGGGGCTTTAGCCCGTGGAGAATCCAGAATGATCTGTCACGTATGGGCTGCGGCGAAGGCAGGAAACGTGTGTGCAAGGGCACCGTCTGCGACTGCTTCTGCGGCCGCGCCGCCACGTCGAGGCTCTGCAACGAAGCGGTCGACCTCGCCAGGGGATCCTCTGTGTCGTCGGCGGCGGCATTGACATCGCCATTCTCTCTTGTGAGAAGGGAGGCGGGGGACCGGCTGGCCTGGATGTGCTGCGCGATCCTGCTGATATTGCCTGGATTCGAGGCGCGTGTGATGACCGTTGTGACGCCTGCTGAAGTGGCTAGGCGGGCGGCGACGATCTTGGTTGACATGCCACCTGTCCCGAGAGAGGAGCCGGCTGATGAGACTGGAGGGGGAATGAGCACCAACGTCATCTATGCTTCGAAACGCAAAGAGAAGGCATGGACACGGCGGTGGGAAGAGACCTTACCGTCAGCCTGTAGAGCCCCTATGTCCTCCACGACCTCGATAGGCTGGGCATCAGGATGTGTACGTGGATTCTTGTCATATAGGCAGTCCACGTCCGTCATGAGGAATAGAAGATCCGCATGGACCATGGCTGCCGTTATGGCCGACAGCGTGTCGTTGTCGCCGAATTTGATTTCAGAGACGGCGAGGGTGTCATTCTCATTCACAATGGGAATGACACCCATGTCTAACAGCTCGTTAAAGGTCCTTTGTGCATTGAGATACCTTGAACGCTACACGTAGATTCCTCACTTGTTAGCAACTTGGTCCTGTGGTTCCCTGCCGGTTACCAAGGTATAGTCTTGAGCTGACTCACATCTGCTATATCGTTCCTGGTGAGTAGGATCTGCGCCACAGGCTGCTTGAGGTGGTTGAACAGGCTGTCCCAGATGTTCATGAGCCGGCACTGCCCTATGGCAGCGAGCGCCTGGAGCTGGGCGAGGTGCTTGGGCCGCTTCTCCTTCTCCATGCGGCGCAGGCCCACACCGATGGCGCCGGACGAGACGATGACGACGCGGTGACCATCCTCGCGCAGCTTGTGTGCCGTCTCAACTATGAGCGAGAGGTTGGAGAGGAGAGGCTGGTGGGTCTTCTCGTCTACTATGGAAGATGTTCCTGGAGTGGCGAGTTAGTAAGGTGAAGAGAACGGTGAGAAGGAGGAGAGAAACCATACCAAGTTTGATGACGATGCCGAGCGATCTGTGGCTCTTCATGTCTACCAGGTGGTGTAGTTGTCAGTTCTATGGGATGATTTCTTGGTGGAAGTAGTCTTAGTGGGATGAAAAGCACTCGTGTGATGACTCTCAGAATCTATGAAGTGAGGATCCTTTCTGAACAAGTCGACCACTCCGTTTTTGTGACCTAGCGCCTCATGAAGAAAAATCCAAAAAAGAGTGAAAGAGTATAAAAAGGTGGTAACCATGTGCTTACAGTGTGACTCGTCCCTAATATCCATGTTGACATCCTGGAATGGTGCCCCCCAAAGACGTTTTGGAAAAAGAATATACTCCGCTAAACCAGGGCAACAACTCTGGAGCACCGCTGCGGAACGTAACGTTAGATGTGGCTTAGAACCCACTTCCAAGACTTCGAGTCAGTGTCGTAGAACTGGAGTCCATGTACAGTAAGAAAACAAAGAATGGGGCATTCGCAGGGCGCAGATGCGATGTGACAGTAGGGGGGAAATTCTTCTTGAGTGGATCTTGGAAAGTTGAAGCCGGCACCGGTCGGCCGTGACTAATAAATTCTCTGCCGCCTGCGACGAACCTAGCGTTTGCAACGAGAACAACAGGAAGGAATCACTGATTATCCGCAAGGCGGGTTTGGCAGGAGAAAGGCTGGCGTCCATACTGTGATCTAAATGAAATGAAGAAAAAACCCACGAGAAGAAGAAAAACACTAGATAACCTGTTGTTCTTCAGAGCAGGTACTTCACGAGAACTACTGTATCTGCAATTTTTTACTGGGGTCTCGAGTTTGAAAACAACCAGTCTTGGACGGCGTAGTTTTGAGCCGCCAAGAATCTCAGAAACTTGAGTATCTAGCAAATCGCTATCAATCTACATAACATATAAAAGTCTGGTGTTCATTCTATTCAGACCTGAAACAAGGCTCACTAGATATTCGCTGGAGACCATTCTGGAGTTTTCCTGTTGTATCCCATTTCGTCTTTTGAATTTGTTCTAGGTCGGAAGTACTATGCTTGGAGCGACATATCGTTTTAAACGCCAGTTCCGTTTTAAACGATATCAACTACAGCGCGTTCTCTGAGCTAACTGCTCTCTGACAAAATTGCCGGCGCAAAGTCAAGGGTCTCCCATCATCAGCGACCAGCCTCGCCTCGACTACACTGCAGTTGACCACGAATTATACGCTCCAATTGTTCGTATGTATTCCTTGTGTTCGAGTCCCAGGAAGAGCAAACTTCGTGCGCGCCTATTCTCCCAGTCCGCCTGCCAAAGGGCAGCTCTGGCGATCCCATCCACCACCCTCCTCCTCGCAACTCCCAGCGATGGCCTCAAGCTCAGCTACCACGAGCCCACCAACAGGCTCAGATACAGCCACGATGACGTCCCCTTCCTCCTCCTCGTCCTCCTCAAATTCTTCCCCCTCGAGACCAAACCTCTACCTTGAGAACGACCCCGCCCGCACAGGTTTCGACCCCTCTACCAGCTGGTGGCTCAACTACTTCCACATCCTCACCGGCCGCGTCACCCCCGAGGGCATTTTCCACTACCGCGAGAGCCGCAGCCGCGTCCACGAGGCCCGCGACGTCGAGCGCTGCGAGCAGTTCCGCGACTGGCTGCTCCGCTACAGCCCGACCGTCACCTTCCTCAACGACCGCATCGCCGAGCTCAACCACGGGCGCAAGATGGACGCCGCCAATATCCTGTGCCGCCGGTGTCCGGCCCGGCTGACGGCAGACGGCCACGTCGAGAGGCAAGGAGGTGGTTTCGAGCCCACACATGGCATCTTGGTCTGCGCGAACGAGATCCGCAACAGAGGTCACCTGGAGGACATTCTGTCACACGAGATGGTGCATGCCTATGATGAGCTGCGGTTCGAGGTCGACTTTAGAGGGCAGAGAGACTTGAAGCAGGCTGCCTGCACTGAGGTAGGCTCTTTCTCACGAAGTTGTGTCACGCTGGGGGTGGAGGACACCAGTGTGGGAAGAAATAAGATGATGGCTAACGTTGGCACAGATACGAGCGTCGATGCTCAGCGGCGAGTGCAGGTTTACGAGGGAGTTTTGGACAAGGAACAACTGGAGGCTGACGGAGCAGTTCCAAGACTGCGTCAGGCGGCGTGCGGTGCAGTCTATGATGGCGCGGCCATGGGTCAAGAACGACGTGCAGGCGGTCAAGGTCGTGAACGAGGTGTGGGACTCATGCTTCTCAGATACCAGGCCGTTCAACGAGGTATACAGATGAGGCAAAAGACGTATGCGTGGACACAACATGACACAGCACAGACAGGATACCAATGATACCACCACTCTACGCTGCAACGCTTGAATAATTTTTGTATTCTCATAAACGGTAGTATCATTCATCAAGCCGATGTGCGGCTTTGTGCTATGTCCTTCTTGTCCGGTACAAGAGCCGGACCGTTAAAAAACCGGGAAACGCTGAAAATGTTAATGAAACGCCCCTCGGCCTAAGAACTCATGACGGCCATCCAATCATATGTGACCAAAACGCCAAACAAGTGTAAAATATACAATACCATCCATCATCTACTCCCCACCCTACGGGCCTGCCTTGATGCCGAGGTCAAGTTTCTTCGACAGAGCTTATCCGGACCACATCAAGATTGTCCACGGTCACCTCGACTTTTCACGGTTCGAAGCACGTTCCCCCTTCACACAGTGCTTCAAGATCCACGGGTGCTCTTGCACAGCCTGCAGAGGAAGTCTCTTTTCTGGGTCCAACACAAGCAGCTGTGAAAGGTCAAGTCAGCTAATTGGATTCAATGTGGATGGCAATTTGCAACGAGCATATCCTAGAGAGGGCGGGGTCACAAATTCTTGAACTTACCTTTTTGATGAGGTCCCTAGCCTCTGGGCTCACAAATGAGGGGATGCTCATGTCGGCCCGTGCGATCCGCCGCTGTGTCATTACCGGTGTATCCTCAAAAGGCGCCTCGCCGACGAGGAATTCGTACGTCAGCACGCCCAGACTCCAAAGATCGACCTTCTCATCGTACGAGTTGTCCTTGCTCCCTGACTTAATCATCTCTGGAGGGAGATAATCCAAGGTCCCACAAAGCGTAGCTCTGCGGCGGTTGGGCGCATGGACACTCCAGCCAAAGTCGGACAGCTTGATCTCATCATGGACGCCGACGAGGATGTTCTCGGGCTTGATATCCCGGTGGATTACATGCTTGCGGTGTAGGTATTTCAGCGCCGAGGCCATCTGGGCCACGTACTGTGCAGCCTTCCATTCAGGGAACCGGCTCTCTTTTCGGAGCAGCTTGTACAGCTCGCCCTGGCCGGCGAACTCGAGGATCAAGAAGATTCGCTTCGGATCGTGGAAGTGGCCGAATAGCCGCAGGATGTTGGGATGGCGCAGGTTGCTCTGGATCTCGATCTCACGACGGACCTGCTTCTCGACCCCGGAGCCCTGTTGCAATTCTGACTTGTAGAGCACCTTCAGCGCGCAGATGAAGCCGCTCGTGCGCTCCTTGACGAGGTAGACTCGTCCAAACTTGCCCTTGCCAAGGGGTTTGCCAATCTCGAACATGCCCAAGTGGAATGTCCGGGGCTCGTCGAGGAGCGTGACAGTCTGGGAGTGCCGCTCGCTCTCGGACTCATCGGACGGGCGGGAGGATGAGGAGGAGGAACTGGCGGAGCTGGTTTTGTCCTTCTTAGTCGGCGACGGGGGATTGCTGGCCTGTGCCTTGCGGGATACCGGCTTTGATTGGATGGCAAGGGCGGATGATTGGAGTGTCTTTCTGGTAGGTGAAGCAGGATTTGCGCTTGATGAGGAGGCTACGGCTTTTCGCTGTACGGCCTGAGAGGGCAAAGTCACAGTAGCGACGGTGTTGGTGCTTTGGGATTGTAGGGCGACCTTGAAGAGGTTCGGTCGGTTGCTGGACTGAGCGAGCTGCAGTCGGGTGGCAGCAGTGTGAGTATCGGAGAGCATCGAGGACAATAAAGTGACAGTGGGTTTGGCCCTTACCTTGGAGGACTTGTAAACGGACTCATTCTCGTCCGTGATTGACATACGCTGAAAGCCAGCCTCGAGCGTTCTGGTTGCCATACCTTTCGTAACACCAGTGTAGAAACCTAAGAGGGTTTGATAGGGTCTTGATGAGATGAGTGTCTGTAGGTATTGTTCGTTGTCAAGAGGAGATCAATATGATATGCACCAGAAAAGTTCCAGAGGCTCAATGCGGCGCTGGCCAGAGTATGGTAGATGGACGGGTCGAGACCTGCAAGGGGAAGCGCAATTGGGAAGGAAGGAGCAGTTGTTTTGGTTTGTTGCCGGGCAACACTGGGTGGGGCTGTTGCCATAGGGAGGCTGGGCACTAACGAACTTCTCGGCGAAACAACGTTGACGGTTGTTAGCGGTGCAAAGTGGCGCCAGCCCCACCCACCCCAAACTATTTCTCATGCAAGTAATCAAGTCTAGCTTCCTACGGCTTGAAATCAACTTCGTTCCCCTTGCGCGAGGACTTGCGATACCGTCCAACCAACGACACCGCAGACCTTCCTCAGATACCCTTCAGCCGGAGACTCTCGACTGCGATACCTCATTGGATCTCAGATGATATGGAACTTCCACAAGGTTGACCAAGTGATCATCTCGACCTTCCGCGCTTTGCAGAAGCCACTCTGATACTGCTGCAATTCGGCTGACTGCGGGCGGCATCTTCTTAGTCAGGTCATTTGCGAGAGATGTTGAGTTTGATACAAGAGGTGTCAAGTATGTCCACAGCCTGGAAGACGTTACTTTGTGTCGAGTATCGGTACTCCTAGCCACCTACACTAAGAATTCAAGTCACCGTTCGCTTCGAACCCGCATTTACGGACAAGAAATGGGCACTGCCATTCGAGATCTGCTGTAACCCCTCCCACGGCTTAGAGATACTCCAGCGCGTCCTGTTCTCGGATTTTAGTATTTCAACAGGCTTGCTAGGTGACTATACCTGAAGCCAGGCCTAGTCTTCCTTCCTAAATTCGAGGACTGGCTTGCTTTCCTTCGAACATCATGAGTGGTGCAGAGCTTCCAGCTTCATGACCACTCTGCCGCCATCGTTTGGTGGGAAAAAAGACCTTTTCATCTGTCATCCTTCCTATAGTTTCTCTGCTCTTTCATCCAAAGGAGGTTGTTGTTGGGCCTTGATATGGCTGCTATTGGGGTCCACATCATGCTCTATAGTGTGGAATGATAGAAGGTATATTGTGGTGAAGGTGCTATCTGAATGAGAGGCACAGCATTGGGTAACAAGTCTTGAAAATGATTTATTCAATTTTGAAGCATTATCCCGTAGATAAATTGAGAGCATCGAGATTTCCTAGACTCAGTACTATCATGCGAATAGAGACAGTCAGTTATACGATTCGTAGCCTTGGAGGACCAAGACTGGATGGCATGGCTTCGACTGCGCCTTCTACCTTTTGTACGAAATAACTGATAGTTGATCTCAGAAAATAATATGAAACATTATTTTTCTCACGACACCTCATGAGTATAACGTGTTTGAGTAAGTTGTATTCAAGCAGTATTTCAAGTCAGAGTACCTCGGGAAAGCTCCCGCCTCGAGGACAATAGCTTTCACCCCGAGGCTGCGCAGCCTTGTCGGCGCATTGAGGTTGGCTCTGGCAGGGGCTTTATGTAAGCTAGTGGCCACTAAGCTGGCTCACTAGGTGCCTACACGAGTCCCGCCTGCCATGTTTGGCAGCGCCGTATTTTACCGAGTTGTGTCCAAGTCAAGGCTTTTTTGGTGGTATTAAAAGTAGACGTCAACGAGGCTATTTTGACCAAGAACAAGCACCACTTTATACTGCGGATCTGTTTCGTACTTTAATTCCATCTCAGCTGGCTTCACTGCCAGTCTCTATCTGGTCTGACCCAGATCAACTACCAAAGCAAACGGTGTGCACAACGCAATTCTGACAAGCACAACCCCCCGTCTCAAACACGCCTCTCATCCACGCTGCGAGACTTGAGCCTGTCCACCGAAAAGACTTCACCAAACATAAAAGAACTCACACAGCCACACACATCCAAGACACCAGGGAATGAGAACACCCTCTACCCCGTCTCATACCCCATCGCCCAAAATGAATCATATCACCTCTCCCAACGAGCCCTACCCCGACCCCAGCATGCTCTCACAGGCCACCACCACCCACACCCAAGGCCCCTTCGCCATCTCCTCCCGCAAGCTCCCCATCTCCAAATCCGGCCCCATTGACGAGATGTCCCACCGCCTGGGCATCCCCATCCCGGAGATGATCTTTGGCGACAACCTCGTCGCCGTGCGCCACAAGCCCTCGGGATGGGCCGTCGAGTTCACAGCCGAGGCCGCTCTGGACAGCGTCGACAAGACGGGCGCCAACATGCTGCAGGTCGCCTACGCCGGCGAGTGGAGCAGCTCGCGGGAGAGGAGCACCGCCCACGATATCCGGGAGGTGGTCAAGCCCTACGACTGGAGCTACTCCACGGCATATACCGGCACAGAGACGCCCGCCGGCGCCTCCAGTGGCGGTAGGCTTGCGCCCGCGCCTGACAAGTCGATACCGCTAGAGCTGCTAAAGCGGCGCGACCCCATCCTGTTCTTTGACGAGGTTGTCCTCTTCGAGAGCGAGCTGGACGACAACGGCATCAGCGTGTACAGTGTCAAGGTCCGTGTCATGGCGCAGCGGATGCTGCTACTGGCGCGGCTGTATATGAGGCTGGACAACGTGGTGGTGCGAGTGAGGGATACGAGGTTGTATGTGGACTTTGCGCAGGAGGAGGTGATCAGGGAGTATACAGCCAAGGAGGATAACTTTGCAAATGTCAAAAAAGTGAGTCTACTCTCCTCTGGCGAGGGAAGCAGGGAAGAGATTCTTCCTAGTGGCTACGAGACTTGATACTAACAAATATGTCGTAGGCCTTGCTCATGTCGGGACTGGCACCAGACACTGTCACCTCCGCGCTACGAGATGCTAACCAGGTCGCGCATTTGCTGCCGGTGGTGGAGCAGCGGGTGGAAAGCATCAATCTCTCAAAGCCTTCTTCATGATCCCACCCATGGCCGTAGAGGGAAAGACGTAGTGGAATTATTAGGCTGAGGGCTTCTCAGATGCTGAGCTGCTATGCTATTGCTCCCTCAGAGAACATGGATATCATGCATGCCTGGCAGATTCGCTTCCAGTGATATATGACTAGCAATTCTGCCACTCCTCATCGAGAAATCAAGATCCACGAAAAGATCAAGAACAGCACGAAGAGGACAAACAAATTCGGAATCATGGATTGTAGCTAGTTAGGGGTATGTAGAAAAAGCCTCGCAGCAACGGCCCACCCCCACGCCTCTCTCGCCTATATTACCACCAATACCAAGCCAAACCAGGGGGTATGTGATACCTCATAAACATGTGGAAAACAATCATCATCAGACAATTCTCTCGCTGTCGTCCATTTTCCTTGGTGAAACGTCCCGTCGCAACAAGCTTGAATATGGCTCGTCACTGTGCTCCCCCCCCCCCTTTGCCTTCTTCTAACGGCCCTCAGGCAAATCAGAAGAAGGCTCAACAACCTCCTCAAAGTCCAGCTCCCACTCGTCTACCTCCTTGAACTTCTCTGACGCAGCCTTCAGCTCAGCACCCAGACCAGGTGTCATGCTCATCTCGGTCTCGTCACCACCATTCATCTCCGCCTCGAACGCGGTGTCGTCGAGCGGTGGGGAAGATTCCCGGGCGACCTCGATAGAGTCGCCCTCGGTGATGTTCTCCTTGTCGAAGTTGCGAGATCCGTATTTCCGGCGACCCGTCCGTTTTCCTAGCGCTGGCGCAGAGGCAATAGTCTTGGCTTGGTTGTTGGCTCTGTTGGTCTTGGCTGAACCGTTGAGAGCTTTGGAGGTTTTCTTCTTGGTGACTCGGCGTGGTAGCTCCACTATCTCTGGTGCGCTGCTCTCTCCGTCTTCCACGTCGGAGGTATCTTTCTGGGCCTTGCGGCGCCGACGCGGCAAAAGTGCCTCCAAATCAGCAGTCGACAGCTTGGGCGACTCGCTCCGTTTGTTCGCGGCCGCAGCAGCAGCAGTCTTGGCTCCCTTGAAGTTGGGCGAGTGTGTGAGGGATGGAGGCTCTGAGATATCTGACATGCCGTCATCCAGGGCTGGCGTCTTGGTCCGCGATGGTGGGTGGCCATGATGTTTCTTTCCCAGGTTCTTGAGAGACGGCCAGATCGTGGGACTACCCTCGCGCGAGCTGATGCTTGCCGGCGGTGCAAAAATATCATCATCCTGCTCCGGACTAGCACGACGTCTCGGCTGTGGAGGACTCGAAGGAGGTGATGAGAGAGCGTCACTATCAACGGACTGGTGCATCGTCTCGTCGTCCTCCTCCTGCTCCTCCATCTCCTTCTCGACAGCCTGCCTCTTGGCTGACTCGCCGCCATGAGCCTCCGTAGACTTTCGCTTTTTGGAGCGCGTCTCGCGTCCACCTTGATCTGGTGTCTCAGGTCCAGCAACCACGTCCGCCTCCTCGCTCTTCCTGCCCCGCGACACTCTGACAGGCGTGCCCTCCGCCTCAGGCAAGAATGACTCCTCCACATCACTCTCCACCGCGTTTTCATCCTGACCCTCGTCCCCACTCGCCGCACTTGTAGCGCGCGACCGCTGCAGACTCAACGAAGCTTTCTGTGCAGAACTCAACAAGATGCTCGGCTGTCTCTGGCGTCTCTTGAAGTTCCCAAGGCTGAATGTCGAACTCAGCCCCGGTGTAGTCGGGCCACGGCTGCTCGGTCGGATCGGCGCGTCATCCTTGCCCACGATGCTGCTCTGCCGCCGACGCGTCCTGCTCGGCTGGCGTCGAAATACGCTCACGTTGAAGGTCGACGTATCCGCGTTCCGCACTCCACTCCGCGAATCTGAGCCCTCGCCGCGTAAGGTTGCATCAAAGCTGCTGTCCAAGTTCCCAAATATCTCGGAGTCGGCAATCTCCATGCCTGACAGGTCCGCGCCCGCACCAGCACCACCGCGACGGCCTATGCCACCGCCTCCAAGAAGCGACGAGACCTCCATCGTGCTATCTTTGCGTCCAATTTCCACAACAGGGCTATCGTCCGCATTCGCCGTCGTCGAAGTCAGGTCGTCAAGGCGGGCCATTGCTGTGTCGCGTTGAGCGCGGGAGGCGGAGAGCGCTGCATTGGCTGAGCGGGTGCGTGTGCCTCGCGTGGCGGCAGAGGTCTCTTTCGCTTTGCGCTGGCGCTCGATCTCACGGTCGCTGACACCGTAAATGTCTGTTTCATCTGAGCGAATTGGGGCCCCTGACTCATCAGGCGTTGCCGTCGCAGCAGGTGAGGTAATCGCGGGGTCAGAAGGGGTCGACAGCGACTCGCCGCCGCGTCGCGTAGCCGCGACTCGTGATCGGGTTGGGCGCGGCATTGCGCGCAGTGTGTGTAGTGTATGTCGAGCTTCGAGTTGGGGATTCTACTCTGCTGCCGAGATCTTTGCATAAACTGGACCAGTCCCCAAGGGTATCAAAACCGCATCACACGAGTCTACCGTGTGCACTGTATTTGGTACATGTAAGGATTTGGGTGGGTGTGGAAGTGGCAGCTTGGGCGGGTTGGGCTTGGTGGAGAAAAACAGTAGGGGAGAGAGACTAGCTAAAGAAGACGCGTACCGCGACCTGGCCCGTGCACTATGGTTGTGCAGGGGTCTAAACTAATGAGTATCTGGTACGCACCGTAGCACCAACAGGCAGTCAATTCGGTTTACTCATATCAAAAGCCTTAATGTGACTACAAGTAAATTGTTTCCGTTTTCCTGCCCCCCCCGCTCCCCAAACTTCTTTCACGAGCACAAGTGTTTTGTATCATAGCAGTACAAGCAGTCCTTTAATCAAGTTTATCCTCTCCAACACTGCCCGTCCATGACGTATATTCTATCGGAAGTCTAACCTCTCCGACACCACAATATATACACACACAGTCAAGTAAGGAAAGACAAAGCAAAGTCCCTCGCAGCTCGTAAATTACAAAACATACCCTCCCGCATTCACACAGTTCCATTCACGGACGCCCATCCCCTCTTCAAGCTCCACGCACCACCAGAGCACCTCCTTTGCCTTGTCTGCCTGTCCGCTCTCCTCGTGCGCCCTGGCCAGAGCGAACCAGGCTTCCGAGTAGTTCCAGCCCGAGCCGAGCTTGGTGAGGTTGGACAAGAGGCCATAGGCTCTGTCGCGGGATGCAAGACGATCGACAAGCGGCACTGACGAGGCCTTGTATGGTGGTGGGAGGTGACCCTCGTGATGCAGCGACGCCGGGCTCTTGGGCACGCCTGCTTGTTGGATTCGTTCTCCTTTCGGTTTCTTGAGCGCGCCGAGACCAAGTGGCTGCGTCGGTAATAGCTTCGCCAGGTCTGCTGGTTGTGGTACCGGCGATATAATGTCAGCTGTGCTCTGATCTGTCCCAGGCATGGCGTCCGAGCCCCCCACAAGGTCCAGACCCGGGAAGGCCTTTGGCGGCACAATCTTCTCGCAGTAGAGGTCGAGCAGTATGTTGGAAAGACCGACTATTGCGCCAGGGTGGTCAGGGAAATGCGTCAAAGCTGCCTCGAACCCCAACCGACTCGAGACTACATCTTGTTTTGCCAAGGAGAGGTGTCCCATCTACATGCACGTCAGCACCGTCCGTCACACAAATTGCTTTCTTTTTTTCTTGTTTTTTTTTTTTTTTTTTTTTTTTTTTTTTTGGCAAGAAAGAAAAAGAAGGCTGCTTACCTCACACCAGACATCGGCCCAGAGCTCCTCGATCGACTTGTTGCCAGCCCATCCAGGATCTCTAAGCGAGGACGAGCCAGGAGATTTCTTCCCGGTGTCTCCTGACCCTTTGCCCATGTCTGCCTCCATGTTTTGTACAATCTTCTGTGCCTCTGCGACTGCCCCCTTGGAATCATCATACATGCCAGCTCTACGGTAAAAGCCCGCGATCATGAGCCAGATTTTGACCAGCGTAGCCCCTCTACGCCTCTTCTCGTGCTCCTTGTCGAATTGTATCGGCGGCAAGATAGCGCCAAGCGGCTCCATGGCCTCTAGTGCAAAGCCAGACATCTCTGTGGCCCTCACTCTTGGAGAAAAGTCGGAATTTTGGGAGACCGTTCTGGTGACACCTGGCGTGTTCACTGCTGACGATGGGCGAGATAGGGGGTTCCGGCCCTGCGCGTAGGCAAATATATCAGAGGCCTGCAGTCCCTGGCCTTCCCCAAGCGGCGTGTAGAATGGCTCTCCGTCAACGATGGTTGCGGCATGTGGATTTGGCCCACTGCTGGAAGCGCGCGGCCGAGCACCATGAGTTTCTTTTTTGCGGAGACTGTTTCTCCTAGCAGACTCACTCCGCTTCTCAGTGCTGGTCGACTTCCTTCGTGAGCGCGGTTCATTGGGACTCCCATGGACTTGGATCGTCGGCGCCCGAGTGATTGTGGTGTTGGCAGTTTGGGGCCTGCTCTCGCTCTTCTCCGTCTTCGCATCATTTGGTCGCTGAGGGACAGCAGTATCAGCCCGGCTAGTCCGATTGCCGAAAATGCCACTTCTGATGCTCCTGAATGTGCCCGAGGTCCTTGGGACAGCTGAAGTCTTTGGTGGCGCTAGACTCTGTTGCTTTGGCTGTGTGCTCCCGAACAGCCGGGAGAAAAGAGTCAAGAGTTCCAGGCTGGCATTGACTGCTACTCGGGGGCCTTCCATGATCTCGACAATTGCCAATTGTGTCATCTTTACCTCCAAAATATTCTCTTTCTCGAAGTCGTCCATCTCATCCACCAGGCCTTTGAGAGCTTCAGGGTCCATCTCTACTTCGTTCAGATGATCACTCTTATAAAGCTGCTGTCGTCCAAACAGCACGGCTGGATCCCTAAACTGCTCGAAAGCACATTCGCATGTCCTGGCCGCGAGTATGTACTCCTGCCTCGCACTGAGAAGAAGCGACAGCAGATGCCAGAGGGGAATCAATGACCGCTCTTTCCAAAAGGGTCCGTTATGCAGAACCAAGGTTTCGTCCTCGGCTGGTTTCGTCAACAGGGCAGTCTTGACAAGCTCGATGGCGGTGGTCAGCTCTCGCTGCTCAGCAAGAAGCAGGCCGAGGGCGAACACGCCACGGACATCCGCAGAACCGCCAAAATCAGACGACAAAGACGTCCGCAGTGACCTGATGGCCTTCCTCTGCACCTCTGTCCGAGCACTCGCATCAAATGTCGTTCGCGCCCATTGCGCCTGCGCGAGTCCAATCGACTGCCAGGCTAACGCGAGGATCTTGCCTGGCACACGGTCCCCTGTTGCCGAAGTCCTGCCCCCCTCTTCCTTGACTGACTGCATGCCGCCGTTTGTAGGTGGCGGCTCGAGCTTCTCGATCGAGTGCTCCAGCTCCGTAGCAAGCGCTCTTGCTTTTTCAGCCGCTTCCCTCCCGCCAAAACGACTCAGGGCCGAAATGCATAGACATATTGTCTCCAAGACGGTAGCATCGGCATCAAGGCTCTTCTCCTGGTGTCCTGTCTTCTCCACGCGCGCTTTGCCCTTTTTGACGATCTCGAGATACGAGTCAAAGGCCTTCAGGGCGAGGTCGAACTCAGCCAGAGAGAGATGAACGATGAAGAGATTCCTCAATATGGCAGTCGAATGGAACGTCTTCATCGACGCGCGGTACAGTAGTTCGAGGACAGTCGCGCTGACAGCAGCCTTGCCGCCCTGGCCAAGATCCTGATCATTCCAACCACGTCCAGTCAAAATGGCCCAGTTCTGGACGAGCATCTCCACAAAGAGCTCAACCTCTTCCCTTTCCTCATCGGCCCTGGGGAAGGCTGTCTCGCCCAGAAGCAGGCTCTCGAAGTTCCTTTCAGCCTGGGTCAGCTCCACCCAAAGGTGATGTCGCACTGAATTCTCGCCGGTGATCGTCGTGTACGCTGTCGGATACGCAAGGTCCTGTTGTAGAATCGTCGACAGGGTTTCAAAGTACTCGAACCATATGCGCCTTCGCGGCACTGATCCTTTGAAGCCGAAACCACCCACCAAAGCAGAGCCTTTCGGGCCTTCCCACCATCTGGCCCAGGACCGGAAGCAGACCAAAGAATTGCCCTCCTCCAGTGATACTTGTCCCCTGTCACGACAACCATTGAAAAGCATGCAAAATTCTGTTAGGAACAGCTCTGACCAGTACCGAAGCTCCTTCTTGGCCGTATGGCTGTTCCATGTATAGGATAAGGGAGGCACCGCAGCCTCGAACACCCCCAGCGCCTGGACATCATTGTTGTTCCGAGCCAAGCAGTTGGCCCGTAGATAGGCGGACTTGAGCATGCAGACCCTCGTCCATTCAGATATGTTCTCCAGGCTCTCGACTGAGTTTTCCTCTAGACCCTCCGGCAGACGAACGGAGGCGAGTTCATATTCCCCAATGACCCAGTGTAGCCACCCTGCACAGACCTGTGCCTGGAAGCGGTCTTCTGCGTAGGTTTGCTCCTCGTCAATCAGACCCAGAAGTTTCGGTAATTGACCGGCAACTTCGATGTCTTGCGACGGGATGTTTCCGGACGCGGCTGTGCCTGGGCGCGCAGTGGTTGGTCTCTGGGACTTCGTGGCTTTGACAATGCCATGTTCGACTTCGGCTGTTAATGCTAGGCCTGCACCGTCATCTTGTCAGAGGAGGCAATCGTAGAGCAGGCAGAATTCGGGGTAAAATTTTCGTACAGACTCTGGCGGGCGCGTGCTTTCGAACCTTGCGGACGAGCTCTGGGACGGCATCCCAGTTTCCTTCACATCGAGCATGGTCGAGCTGGTCGAGATAGCCTCTGGCCTTCGTCGGGTTGGGCTATTCCATGCGCAATACGAAACTGTCAGTCTCCAAAGGCGAACGAGTACATCAATCGGTTGCAAAGGGTTTCGCAGGAGACACTTACAGCCATTGTGCACAGAGAGCCTGTTGACGAAGGGTGTAGGAAAAGGGGTTCTGGGACGCGACAACAAGATCAAGGTGAATTGGCCAAGTATCGTATCAACACAGACCAAACAAGGCGGGTCTCAACATTGAGGAGAGCTGCTGCGGAGGCAGTTAGATTAGGAATTAGAGGGCAGAATGTATTAGTATTGCCCAAAAACACTGCGCAAAAGACTTGAAAGACGAAAGGAGCGAGATTCAAGGTCCAAGACGGACTGAAGTATCACAAGTACAAGTGATTCACAAGTAATGACAGCATTTCCAACAAGCGTGCCAGCATGGTTGGCAAGTGGAATGCAGCATTAAACCTTGAACTTCCTAATCGTCAGCTTGCACCCCTAGTCGCAAAGTGACAGCAGCAGGGCAGGCACAGCTCAAGTTCCGATCGACGTGCAGGAAAGGCGGCCGCAGGGAGGGCCCAGGCACTGTCAGGGAGACCAGGGGGGCAAGGGGCGTTTCCCTCCAGGGGTGTCTTGGGGTCTTTCCTCATCAACCAACCTAGCCAACCTCTGCTAAACGCCCGTTTTCAATCGAACAAGACCCACTATCGACACCCCTGTAGAAATTTATTTTACAATGTTCAAAACTTCCAAAATGAACATCGACCAGATTTTCTCATGATGCTTTAACAGCCTTTGTGCAAAGTGTGATTTATAAGACCACACAATCTCTTTGCCGTCTCTTGTTTCAGCCAATCGACCAATAATCAACATACCCCGTCCCGGGTCAGAGTCGGGCCAGCTTCCTGTGGACGAGTCTCAGACTATATCCGGAGTTTTCAACCCTCACTTCGCAAGGACTGAGCTTCCAATATCAAAAAATAATATCCGGTCAAACATTGCTCGTTAGATGTCATGTCATTACCACCCGACCTACAAGTCCTCTGCCGGCGCTTGGCATCAACAGACCCCGATGCTCTTCCAGCCTTGTGCCCAAACTTGATCAGCCACATACATCGCTGTAGAGGGGTGTTGTCTCTTGTGGTGGATCAGAAGCTCAAGGACAGTGCGCCCGAGCATTCTGTCCTAGTTCACAAGCTTAAGACTCAACTCACTACCCTCCTCAAGAATGGACGCAGCCAGTCCTCTCGGTTCTCAGCAGCAATATTGATCAAGGCGGTGGTTGACGTTGGCGGGTACGAGTGTCTACGGACTTCAGGGCCATGGGTACAAGGCCTCTTGTCAATAATTCAGGTGAGCCAGCTCTCCACATCTCGATGGACCTTTGATTCTTTCCTTTTACTCGTCATGAGCTAACAATCTCTCTTCAGAAAAATGATCCCTTCCCGGCTAGGGAGATTGCCATCATCACTTTGACGAGGATTTATACACTTCTTAACGAGTACCAAGCACTTGTCCGAGAGATAGCAACTCCTACTCTTTCGGCCTTCGTCAAAGCCTGTCTGCAGATTGTTAACCCTCCAGGATCAAGTAAGGTTGGCTCACCGCCGCTGAGGCTCGTCGAGACGGTGGCCAACGCTTTGTGCACCATTACGCCTCTGTATCCGACAACCCTGCGACCGTTCAGCGCACAGATCAAGACAACCTTCAGGATTTACGTTGCTCCAACAGCAGCAGACCAGTCGGCAGTTCCGCAGAGCCTCCGGGTGTGGTCTCGGAAGTTGTTTGTCCTGCAGCATTACACGACACCGAAGAATGATAATGCAGAGGAGTGGGGCAAGACCATAGAGGGTTTTATCAAAAGCAGTCATGCCACGGCGGACCAGGTCTTCCGTGCCGTGCAGGAGTCGTGGGAATCGAGTAGCGGCTATACGCGACAAAAAGTCGGGTCTGAGGGCGAGCCGCATGGAGGCAGCGACTCGTTCGAGCATTTACCCCCTTGGCTCGGCTTGTCGAGAGGTGCTGAGAGGTTAATCGGTCTGCTCGAGACGCTTTCGGAGTTCCTCAAGTCTCCTACCAAGATACCCGTGACCACTCCAGTCTCGTCGCTGTTGGACCTGACTACCAGAATCACCCTGATTGTGCCTCCTCTTCAAAAGGGGGCGCGGAGCCAGGACGGCACCCAGCTCAACTCCGCTATTGGAAGGGAAGAGAAAGATGAGTTATGGACTGCTCTCCCAGACATCCAGACCGCCGTCATGAGCGTCCTTATATCTCTCATACAGAGGCTGCAGGATAACGCTGTCCCAATAGCAGCAGACATGCTGCACCAGACCATCCGAATCCTCGACGCTCATGACCAGGTTCCAATCGTCCGCGAGCATGTCTACGTCCTTGCCCACAGACTTCTCCTCCTTCACGGTCCTACCATGCCCAAGCTCAGTGTCAATTCTCTCGACAAGCTCATACAATCCTGCTGCCGCGACCTCCTCACCGCATCAGGGCACGCCAGGCCTAAAGCCTCGCCACAGGACGTGAAGCCCGCGAATAGCAAAGCATCCTCCGTCAAACCCTCCTCCAATGCAGACGCCTATTTGACCATCCGGTCCAAGGCTTCGTCTGTTGCGGTAACGGACGTCTCCAAACCACACCTCGAAGCTGCGTCCTTCCTCTTAGCGACATTCCTATCTCATCTACCTCAGCAGCACCTCAAGCAAACACTCCGGGCTCTCGTTGATCGCACTGCAGTGCTGTCTCACAATAAGGAAGCGATGGTGGCGAGCGTTTTGAATCCGTACCGTACGAGGACGGGCAAATTGCTTGCAAGCGTCTTTCCTTTCTTGTCGAGGGACTTCCCTAGGGATAGGGAAGTTGAGGTCCTGAGGAGTAACTTGCGGACAGATAAGGCAGCTACCATTAGCACAGGCGATGGTGAGGATGATGAAGAAGTTCTGGAGAAGATGCAGAATGGTGGCGAAGACGCAGAAGAAGATCTGGAGGTTGATGCAGAGGAAGATGGCCTGGATGTGGGGGAGGAGGAGGAGGAGGAGGATCAGGACGAGGAGATGGCTGATGCTGAAGCACCTAAGGCGGGCTTCGATCTGAGCAGCAGTCAATTTCCCGTCCAGCAGAATGCGGCGATAATCACAGAAAGCTCAACGACAGTCGGCGGAACGGTGCTTAGCAAGACCAAGGAGACAGTCGTGCTGTCGTCATCGTCTAAACGTAAGAGCGAGGAATTAGAGGAGCCGCCAGCGAAGCGGCTTGACACGGGCAAGGCGCCAGAGACTATCGGAACCACGACGAATGTCGACCAGGAAGATGAAAGTGATAGCGACAGCGATGGAAGTATCCAGCTGAACGCCGTTCTGGAGGACGACGATTCTGATGAGGATGAGTGAGAATTCAATCTGGATGCCTGGACAGTCCTGCTGGCATTGTCGAGTCCGATTGCAGATAAAGCCACCAAACCCTCGTCAATTGAGGCTGTCTTCGTCTTCAGAGCTCTGAAGAACGCAGCTCCCCACAACCAGGCCGAGCCCGTTCAATGAAACTGTCATTGGGATATTTACTTCATGTCCCCTCAGCTCTTCCACCACCCTGTTCGCTTAGACGCTGCTGCACATAGATGCACAAATAGCGTCCAGTTTGCGGTAGTGTAGGCTCATCGAAGAAATCGCGTTGTCGAGGCGTCGTACTTATCAAAGCTCTTTACGCTGTGCCATAAACTACATGCACATGAATTGTTGCTTATGACCATTCAAAGTGGTTTTAGATGACAGTATGCCCGGCAGACTGATCAATTTTAGAATCGGATCTTGACAACTGCGCTTTTCCTATCCAGTCTTTCATTCTGTAGAACCCCTCCAGTGTTGAGACTGTGTACCATCGTCGCTTCGCTCTTGGGAGGAAATTATGGCGTGGAGCCCGGAGACGTTGGTGGCCGCTGTGCTCGGTGCTATAGTATTACAATTCCTTGGACGTATTATAACATGCTACTTCATAAAGACTCGCGTCCGAGACCAAAGATGAGGGTCCGGCGGCGCGTTCGCTATACTGCCGGGTCACGCGCCGTTTACTTGTAACCCGTTTTCCACTTCTTGAAGCTCCCAACGGCAGAAGATCCTGTTTCTGAAAACCAGGGCCATGCTCGCAGAAACGAAAATGAGGTCGCTCAGCGCCCGAAGCAAGTAGATTCCTGGGCACTCAACAAACCCCTGGAAAAAGCGAACAGGAATCTCAGTATGGTGGAGGCGGAACAAGGACTTGTGAATCTACGCGGAGACCCTCCTGGCGTTGGACTGTCACCGAAGCGAAACGGATCTCCCGACCCCAGATGGAGCGCGATATGGATCTGGACAGTCTACAGAAGTGAAGCTCCCACACAGCTAGATGAAAGCGTGAGACGTTTCCAGGACCTCTTGGGCAGCACCACGATAGGCTAGGAGGCTAGGAGAACGCAAGAAGGGTTAATACGAGTGTTGAGGCTCTTCCAGCAAGACTTATCCTCGGTACGGTAGGCGATGTTTAGTGTCACAGGAAGCAAATGATGATCAATTTGTAGGGTGTAGGGTGTTGCATAGAACCAATCAAAAAGACATATCTGGATCTGAAGATACTGAGTCATCTAAAGTTTTGTAATTTGTTCAGAAAAAGAGCGCACTACGCTGTCCTCATTGGGTATTCAAGCTCTCTAACAGAGCAAAGCCAGCAAGAATTCCTTGGGCAATCACCATCCTAATGTCCATCCTAGGACTCGTCCACACTCGTCAACTCACGATCCAACTGTAATCTTTTTCAACACATGTGCCCTGCCCTACCCTGCCCGCTCCAAGCTTACCCGGTTCAATGCCGTTGTGTAAATGCAGAAAGTCTCTCACAGATTAGAGAAGAAAGAAAGCAAAAGATGTAGCAGGAGACAGTTGCCATCAGTCCCTCAACCAGGCCCGCCTCTTCTCTTCCTTCCTGGCCTTCCGCTTCTCCTTCCACATGGCCAGCTCCTTCCGGGTGGGCTGTTTTCCCCTCCTCTCGGCCTTCAAGCTCCGGCCGTCATGCGAGTTTGCAGCCTGGTCGACGTTGAAGTACGCATTCATTTGGCGGTACGACTTGTTGGCGTCCGTGTACTTCTCTGGGTTCTGGTCGCCCGTCTGGAACTTGCCCGTGCCCTTGTTGAACGCCACATTCTGCAGGTACGACGGGTCGCCCGCCTCCTCACCCTCCACGCCCGCCATCGCCTCTGCATTGTACGCCGCAAGATCGGCCTCGTACTCCTCATCGCCCGCCTTGTAGGCTTGTGCGTACGGCGCGTTGGGGTCCCAGTCCCCATGGATCGCGGGGTTGTAGCCCCCTGCTACGGAGGTGGGTTGGGAGATTGCCGTCGCCGCTGCCGTCGTGGAAGTACCTGGCGCACCGGTTGCAGAGATGCCAGCCGGCTCGCCAGTGCTAGAGGTGGGTACGCGCGGGTTGTCCCATTGTGAGACGCCCGTGAAGCGATTGTAGAAGTACCATGCCGAGTTGGCCGCGTCCCATTTCGCTTCCCAGCCGTCGTCTGCATTCTCTGGCGGGGCCTCGGATGGCAGGGGAGGCGCCTGGCCTGGGAGGGGCTCGTCGGGGAGGGGCGGCGCGTCTGTAGAGTCTTTCTGCTTCGAGAAAGATGTGTCGCCGCCATGTTGAGGATCCTCATTGCTGTCGCCCTCCTCCTCTTGCTCCTCGTGTCTAGGGGGGCTGTCGTCGCTCCTGGCCTCGCCCTCCTCCGATCGAGAGTCTGCTGGGGATGGCGACCTCTGCAGCTGCTGCTTCTCCTCGTCGTCCGTGAGAGGAGTTGCTGCTGCGTCGCTGTCTGACGGCATAGTGGGCGGGACTGGTGGGCGGTTTTCTACGCTGGCCGGATCTTCCAGAAGAGAGTCTGTTTCTGCTGGAGGTTAGTACACATGACAAATCTCCGACCTGGGTGTTTTACGTGCTCCCTTTGCGGATCGTGAGCTGAGCGTAATACCTTGCTCTTTTGAATGGTTTGGGGAGAGAAAACCAGAAATGCAGGCTGGGGAAAAGATCAGATAAGAAGGAGGGAGGTGGTCAGGATGGAAGTCGAGATGGAGGCTCTGCGGAAATGATGCTATGAAAGATTGCCGGCCAGGATGGAACGGGTGCTGGAGCCAATAGAGAAAGCTCAGGGGTACGTTAGGTGGGTGTTGACAGTGGGGTCCAGCTTGTCAGCGAGTCCCAGGACCCCTGAAGCTTGGCGCTCGGCCACTGGGGGGCGAGTCACTACCAACCTAATCGGATGTAAATCGCTAACCTCTTTTTCTTTTTCTCTTCTTTCTTGCTCCCTAACCGTAAAGCCAAGATGGCAAACAATGCACAGAGTCAAGATCATTTGTTCAATCATTTCCTTGTTTATTTTTGGCAAGGTATTAGTTTTCTATAGACTTGAAGTCCTAGACATCGTCTCTCGAGAAGCTCGTAGGACGTGGTTTAGGAAATGAAAATACCTACTATCTGACAACATTGACCTTTCCAAGTTCACCAACAATCCATACTACGCAGAATAAACCTTTTAGCACTTTGAAACTGGAAGCTGCTATAGGAAGAAATCGGCACCAAGCAATTCTGGCAGTAAAGTTGGTGCTCACCAGATGACCACTGCTGCATGATGCCATAGTATGTTTCTGCCATTCTGCATTGTGATACATCACGTACATAGCTGATCCTGACAACATGAAGGCCAACTCGCATCTGATACATGTAGGCCCCAGACAGATCGAAGCATTTTTTTTTTGTTTCCATTCTTTTCTTAGACTCCCAGCTGAAGAGCTTCTTCTCGTACTGAAGGAAGGAAGAGAAGAGAGAAAGTCCATGGGGTAAAAACCAACAAACCCAAAGTCAAACACGCAGGCATGTGAAAAGGCTCTAATTATCTACACAGTTCCCAGTATCAAAAATTGCAAAAGAGAAATGATCAGACTGGGACTCGAACCCAGGAGGATTGCTCCATCAGGAAGTTGTGTTAAGCTGACCTTAACCTGACGCCATAACCGCTCGGCCATCTGACCAATGATTGTTGATGAATTTTCCAGATTTTGGGAGGTTTATGTCGTTGTGATTTTGTGTGCTGGTCTGTTTGTGCGAACCAGCCGAGTCAGGGTGTGGATGAGTGGGCCCTGATGGTTCCGTCTCTATAATATACACTCTGTGGAAGTGAAGCTAGAGATGGAGAATGTAGCATGAGTGAGAAGATGATAAGGCATAATAGAAAGAAATTTCGAGTTGGGAAAAGAGTTTCAATAGTTTTATTGATGATTGGTTGACATATATTCCAGAGCTGAGCTCCCTTTCTTCGAAAGGCCAAATAGTCATAGACAGGGAGCTGCCTGTTGACCTTACAGATGGATGTTTGGACCTGAAATATTGCATCCACTATAGGAATACAGAGTCACATGCTCTCTATGGAAAGTTATATATGATGATTTGAGTCAGGCCGCGGTTGTGATGCCTACTTGACTGTAAGTTGAATGCGTAGTTAGAGTCTTATTGGCTCGAATTAACCTCAAGCTCAAATACAAGCCCGAATCTTGGCAAAAAAAATTATGCTTAAAGTGCTGCAGCTTGACACAATTTCACCATTCCTATAACCGTCAAGGCAGCCTTCTATCATGAACCAGGTATTGGGAACGGTGGTTGCCATCCTGCTCGACCAGCCCTGGGCCCCTGGACACCCAGGACAATGACGAACACCCGGATCAATCATGGATGCAGTAACGGCCATATGACGAGCCCAGACATTGAGTGCAACTGGGTGGATGTTGAATTGTATGTCAAGTTGAACATGTCCTCCCTGGATGCCAATATATATATCCTCACAAGCTCAGAGATCTGGACACGAAAGCTGGTGTACGCACGACCAACCACGAAACACCAGCGATAATATAGATTCTAGCAAAGCCCAACTTAACTTCAAGGAAAAGATATTGACCTTTGGACCGATTACCAACTTTCGAGCTTTGAACATCGACAGCTGCAGCATTCCCCTGTGTTGCCCCCGTTCTCGTTCTCGTTCTCGGCATCTCCAGTCATAGAACCAAAGCCGAGGCAGATGTTCGAAAGCACATTCACTTACCCACTTCAAGTCTGGACCGACGGGGCATTGAACTCATTCGAGGACTGTTGTAAGCCTTAAAGAGCTGCAGCCCAGTGGCTCAGGGCCTATCGAGCGTTTCTCCATCGTGACTGAGCACTCAACAAGACACGAGATCCAGCGTGCATACTTATTAAGCCTGGTTCCGGGTGTTGTTACTTGTTCTGGCTTAAGGACAGGGACATGGATAGAATAGACAGTGTCTTTGAGATGTTTCATCCTGCCACTGGCTATAAATCTCCTGGATATAGCGCAGGCCGCACGAAAATGAAGCCGTAAAGCCTCAAAGATAGGCCGAGCTTACTTACCCTGCCAGACCCTACAGGGAGCCATAACGCTTGTGTACGTCGCTGCAGATCCCCCCACGAGGCACGAACTTATGTAGCAGTGACCCCCAAGTCCACAAAACCAGCCTATCTAGTCTTACTACAGCACAATACGCAAAGGATCTACCCTCTGATTATTTGTCCATCAGTCCCTAGGAATTCGCAACAAGATGGCTCAAGTACTTACCCTCCCAGACGGCCGCAAGCTCGACTACTTGGTCGGCGGTGCCGAGGGAGGTCTTCCTCTCGTCAACATCCACGGCACACCTGGGTCCTACCTCATTGACAGAGACCTGCAGACTGCTTGCGAGACGAGAAACATCAAACTGATCAGCCTGTCCCGATCCGGGTACGGCGGCTCGACGCGGCACCATGGCAGGCGGATTGTTGATGTTGTGGCGGATATTCATGCGCTGCTTGAGCACTTGGGTCACAAGGAATGCATTGTCATGGGACGTAGCGGTGGTGGTGAGTCGAAAAGACAGTGTTTCTTCAGGAAATGAGAAAGGGCGAAGAGAAGAAAGAAGTAACGAAAGGAGGGAGAAAAAAAAGACTTGCACGTCCGAAGCTGACCAGTATACGTGCGAACCTAGGACCTCATGCTCTGGCCAGCGCGGCTCGTCTGCCGGGTTGCCTCGCTGTGCTGTGTGTTTGTGGCGTAGGGCCGTATGGCGTGCAGGATCTTGACTTCTTCGCGGGGTTTGGGCAAGGCAGTGAGTCTCAACACGCCACTACGGCTCCCTTCCCGTTTGTCTCGGAGCAGTCAAGTTTTGGCTCACACTGGCGGGGGGTTGGTCGCCATTAGATATCGATGAGTACAACGCCACCCTCCAGAGCGAGGAGACAATCACCAAGTTCTGCGAAGCCCGCCGGCCCGAGATGATCACAGCCGACCCGGCCATCCTGGTCGAGGGGCTCTCCAGCATGCTCCCAGAGGTAGACAAGAAGGCGATCCTGGAGAACGAGGCCATGAGCGAGGAGGTTGTACAGACGATCCGCGAGGCGCTCAAGCACAACGTGGACGGGTGGGTGGACGACGACCTGGCGTTTGTGGCGCCCTGGGGGTTTGAGCTCAGCGAGATCAAGGTCCCTGTTTTGCTGTACCAGGGCGACGAGGACCTGATGGTGCCGTTTGGACATGGGAAGTGGCTGGCGGAACACCTGCCCAGGGACCAGGTGAGACCTCACTTGCTCAAGGGAGAGGGACACGTCTCAATTGTGCAGAATCACCTGGATGCCATGTTGGATGAGATCTTGTCGGCCACTGCGAAAACAGCAGTGATGGGGTGAATGCTGCGGTTGGGAGGACAAGAGAGTCATGGAGTCGGGGTCACTTTGGGCCCCAATGCTTTCCCTTGTTCTAGGTACTCTGAGACGGTGTGTGGCCCGAGTTTTCCTGCGATAACGATCACGCATACTGTTGGGCGAAGAACCCCTGGTATTATGTTGTAGCCTACAACATGGTGGGCTGACGCTATCAACCCGATGCCTCTAGAGAATCCTTGCCCTGCATGCATCAATGTAGGAATCCGGTAGAGATAAGGAACCTTGATGACCCTTTCTTTCGAGCTTCTCATTCGATGTTTTCCTGGTGGCTTGTCAGCGTTATGGATAAATTTTTAGAAATACGCCGTGAGATGAAAGGATCTTGTGTGAGAGGACCATGGAAATTGCCTCCCCCCCAAGGCCTGTGCGTGTAGACTGTACGAGGGGATCATAACGTGTGAGAAGAACAATACGAGGCTGAGAGGCCGCTCGAGATAACAAAGTAAGCTTCGACGACGGTCGTGTGTTAATTTTGGGAGCTGCAGGCTTGTCGGAAAAGAAGGCGGTCCATGATAAGAGCGTGGCAGTGTTCTGCTCGTGTTTTCTTTTCTGGTGCTTCTGATTTCTTCCCCCTACTTCGAACCAGGGGGGCGGGCGGACATCAATTACCAAGGGTTCCATAGTAATTGCTGTAGTAAACTGACAATAGCTGGAGAAGAGGAGGCGGCGTTCGATGGTCGGGTCGTCCCAGTGCGTTAGCGGCCTGCTGTGGCTACACCTTGCAAATTGTAAAAATAGAAATAAGGCCCAACGAGCTGGGTAGTTTGGGTGGGTTGCACTTTGCCTGTTTGGAAGCCCTTTCCTTTTCTCCGCCGAGATGGTTGATGAAACGGGCTCTGTCGGGTTTCCATGACTGCCGACCGAATCCTGTGAGTGCCAGACAAGGCCAGCGGACAGAAGCCCCAGGCCGTTTGTCTGACAAGCAAAAGAGCCTTCCGGAGCGTCGTGACGAGGCCTGGGACAAAAGTGTTCACGTGCTATGAGAACAACAGGACGGTACAGTAATTACACAAATCGGTCTCTCCCCCTTTAGGCCCCGTGACATTTGTTCCTAGGGCAGTAGGCCGCTATATTCTCCACCGCCTCGGGACTCGGAAACGCTCCACAGGCCTTCTAGAACTTTTGGCTGAGAAAGACGAACAAAACAGTAGTTCAACTTGAGTTGCCCTGGCCCTGGGGTCTTTCTTGGTCACCTGGACCACCAGCCTGGGATGTTTTGTTACATAGCATGTACACATGGTGGCTACGCCGGACGACCTCACCCCGCAGAATGCGGCCTTCACACACACGGGAAGTCCTTGGACTCACGGGAGGAGGAGAAAGGGGGGAGAGTGGAAAGAGAATCTGGGGTAAAGAGAAGGTAATGGATCTTGTGAAATGGAGACGGAAAATCGCGTGATACCCCGGATCTCAGACGAAGAATGGCGGAAACTGGGATACGATGAAGTAAAATGGGGGTAACAGAAACTATTCGCACGTCACCAGAAGCCCAAGCACGGGCCAGACAAGAAGCAAGCGGATGGGGTCAGCCCTTGCCGGGAAGCCCAGGTGTCTAACTGAGTGGTTCACTTGTTCAGGATGCACGTCAAGCTTGGATAACTTGGGATGGCTTCTTACGTACAATGACTTTAGTCTTGACACATCGTGAGGTCACGTTGCTCTGTTTTGTTGCAGGATTTGAAGATCAGGATGAGAAAAAAGGGATGATACCCGGTGGGAATTGTAGTTTGCTGGCGGTCGGGACGTATTCCATTGGAGTCTTTGGAGTTACATGCACCATCAAGGTGCATGCATGTATGAATTTTATGGCAGCCAGAATTTGTACCACAATTTAATATAGCAGTATTGCGCGCTATAAATTTGTACTGTACTATACTGTATTGTACTGTATTGACCGACATTGCTGATTGACACCACTGTAGCCCGAAATTCTGGACAGCCATGTTATGTTGTATGTACTGTAGTACGCACAATTCGCAATTCTCTTCTCGTATGTCGGCCGTGGCGACACAAGCCCCAGCAACAGTGGATATCCAGTACGGAGTCTGATGGAGCCCTGTGTCCCTCCTCGGAAGCTAGACATGAAACGGAAGTTCGAACCTGGCCAACTCAAGGTTCTGTCCATGGCAAGTAACAGTACTGCAGTAGTATCTTTTCGAGGAGGGGGGAAAATAGCTCAATGGTCTTTTTCTGCTGTTCGAAAAGCCTCGAATACCCGTTCCTTTGGTTACATTGGGAACATGTGAACGGCATCCTCCCCTTGTGGTCCACTTTTCCAGGTACACGACAACCAGGACGGCGTGCAGCAGTTTGCCTCCTCCGAATCAGACGGCGACGACAATTTCCAACATAATTCCCGATCCAGTCTAGGTTTGGTTGGTATTTTCTATTCATTTTCTCTTTCTTTATTTTCTATTACTACATAGTATGTACTATCCTTGCCATTGTATCTTGTTCAAACACTTGACTCGGGAATCTGGGGAAAAGACTTTCCGTCCTAGCCAGTTAGTTGGGTTTTTGGTCCAGCACCCGGCCAGGTTGGATGTCATTCCTGCGCGTAGGTACAAGGAAAAGTCACGATGGACAAGGTCGTCAAAGCTTTACCTCATCGAGTCATGGTGCATAATGCTTGAGAGACCTTTGGGTGAGACTTGACGATCGTATAAGATGGGCTCTTCTGCTCCCCGAGACGGTAAGGTCTTCCGGCGTCTTGGTGAAGCAGGACAATAATATCTGTATATCAAGTCTTTCGAGGGGACGATAAGTCAACAACAATAAATCGACATTGACCTGTTTTGGTCTGGTCTGGTCTTCTTGTCTTCTTCAGAAATTGCATTTTCACATCTTTTGGGTAAGTCTCCTTGTCTGCCTCGACCCTTCCTTTTTGGCCCTTGCTTTTCTTTTCTTTTCTTTCTTTTTCTTTCCCCTGCGCATGGCCAGACCATAAACAACGCAACCTCGAGTGCTGTCTTGTTGTACTGTATTGCTATCGGGCCCTCCGGCGCTTTTTTTGTCCTTGGGCCCTGTCCCCCTACTGCGGCTGAGAATTGGGACTTAGCTGGGCTCAGCTCAGGTGTGCGCCAGCCTCCAGGGGGCTTCGCTGGCGTGTTGCAACGTGGAACTCTCTCGGGTCACTGCCGCCAAGAGAGGCCCCGCCATTGGCAGCAGAGCTTATCTTGGAGCAGCATTCTTTGAACCTTTTGGACTGTCCTTTTTCCAAGGGCAGGGGCCTCCCAGCGGCCGAGCAGCGCCCCAACCCTCGTCGGATTGGTTCATGACATCAGAAAAACACGAGATGGGATGCAAATGCGTGATTGCCAGTCGTCTCTTTTTTGTACCTGTTTTTCTGTCATCTTTCAACGACTAAGCCCCTGCATCATTCTGCATCTTGTTTTTTCTTCCTCTCCCTCTCTTCTTCTCTCTTTCTTCTCTTTTTCCCCTTTTGTTAAAGAAACAGGAAAGAAGGGGAGCTCAAGGAATAATTATTAACCAGCCAAGATCCGAAGCAGAACACCTCGCATTCCACCTCCTCACCATCCGACGGCTCTTCCAAATCAAAACCACCACACCCAACAAACGGTACGCTCCCCCTGTTGCAATTCTTCATTCCTAGCCCCTTGCGGCGAGCTGGGGACTTTCTTCTTTGGTTACCTGGCGGCTCCTTATCTCTTGTGTCAAGTTCTCCATTTATATCTGACACCGGACGGCGAGCAGAGAGATCGCACCGGCCAGCGATCTAAGACCTGGTTCCTCCTTTGTTGTCGCGAATCCGTTAAAGGTTGACCCACACAGCTGCCCGAGCCACAAGTGAACCTCTACATCCCTTGGGGGGTCCTTTCTTGCGGTCTCTACTTGCCAACTTGCAAACACTCTCGATCCAGACACGATCAATTAAACTCGCCTCCGTTCCGAAGGGTGTTCGCCGTTCATCTCTGTTCCAGAAGCATCCACTCGGGCTTCTTGCTTTTTTATTTTATTTTTCTTGTACCAGGCGCGTCATTCGTTCCAACGAACCGCCCAACGAATCAGGCACGGATCAGCCGAGACGGTACGTCCACAATTTCTTGAACGCTTGTCCGTTTTCTTTCGCTCTCAAGCACGCACGCACGCACGCACGCACACACACACACACACACACAACACATGAAGGAACCACGCACATAGTACATACAGGAGACACGGACATTGTCCAAGTCTCTTATCAGACGGCGAGCTGAGACCCCAAGAGCGGTGAAGAAGGGCCCGTCACCTTCCAATTGATGCTATTATCCATGGTCAACCAAAAACCCCCCCACCTCCTCCCGGGATCCACCAGTCCCAAAGTGGTTGCAGATGGCATTTTGCAGACCGCACAAAGTAGTGCCAGCAAACCGCAACATGTCCTCATGCCACATGTGCATAATGAATTTTCCACGATCTATGATCAAGGCCCCATTCCTGTGTGGCCTGCGATCTGCTCTTCACGACAAGATCGCGGGTCAAGGTTCGAGGTACCTCCGAGGTTACAAGAGTTTCTTCTCCTCTCCTACCAGCAAGGACAAGACCGAGGCCAGTGGCCGTGTTAGTCTTGAACTTTACCTGGCTGTCACTACCTCCCCTTTTCAGCTGTACCTTTTTTTTCTTTCTCTTTTTTTTCCTCTTCCAGTCTGCAGGTCAGACCCATAAACAAGCGAAACAAGCCGCTCTTTTTTATTTTGCGACGGGTCAAGGTTGGCCGCTCCTTCTGGCCCTTCACGGCAAACGGAAATAGGTTCCGGCCGTGTTGTTGACCAGTGGGTTGGCGAGCTCGCTGACGCCCCTCGTGATGGGACAGTAATTTTTATACACCTTTTTTTCTGTTTCTTTTTGTCTTCCCCTTCTCGTCCTGATTCATGGGAATGCCACAGCATGGGCCTACAATTGAGACCCCGGTATCATTAAGAGATACTTCCTCTGTACATCAAGGTACTGCCAACCCCCAAGCATGAGTCTTGTACTCATCATCTCCCTCAATGTTCTCTCTTCTCCGGCCTCGTCGGTCCCCATGTACATCCCCTTGCCTCACACAGACGAACTCGTATCTGGCTCACTTCCTGTGGCTTGTCATGGCTGGCGGGCTGGCCGCGGTACAAGGTTGCCGTTGTCCACGAGAAAAGAGAGAGATAACGACAGCGCCCTTTGCATATTTTACTTTATATATTACCTTGGCCCTTCCCCTTCCCTCCTCGCTGTCCTTCTTCTTTTGGTCGTTGACCTCTTATTTGGGCATGATGAGAACAATTCCATGATGCACCTCGTCCAGGTCTAGTTTCCAACCTTATTTTTCTTTCTTCTTCTTCTTCTTCTTCTTCTTCCTCCTTCATCATCATTAGACAACTTTCTTTTTCTCTCTATATTCTTCAACACACACACACCACTATCATCAACCATGGCGACTGATGCTATCACCTCGCCTGTGGCGCCTGGCCTGGTCATCAAAACTGACCTTGAGTGTTGTAGTAGCTTTCCTACATATATAGACCCTTTTGACTCCTCAGACGAGACTGTCGCCGACTCGGACGACGTCATGACCATGGCTTCCTCGTCATCATCACCTTCAAGTCCCGGCAATAAGCTGGTCGACCAGATCAGGGAGGATCCTTCCCGCCACGCCTCTCCTCAGCCCACATCGGTCAGTCATGGCGTGCCCGCCAAGGTCAATGGCAATGGGTACAGGGTGCTGCGGTCTGCGACAGTAGGATACATTGCTCCGGCGTTTGTCGGAAAGGCAGATCAGATGAAGGAGGGTGAGTTTCCAAACCGAAATCCCCATATCTACTACATACAAATACGGCATGAGCCGCCCCTATCGTGGAGGACATGAGAGAAACAGAAAGATACTGACTTGCTTACGTCCACATAGTCAAATCCCTGATTCTGAAGAATGGTTGGATCCCAGAGGACCGCGTGGAGGCGCAGATTGCCTGGTTCTACAACGAGCTGGGTATCGATGATGTATACTTTCAGCTGGAGACAACGTCTGTCATCGCGGACCACATCACCTCTCTATACGCTGCCAAGGTGGCTGCCTCGTCGCGTAACGACGGGCGGGAAGAGATCAGGCTCGACATGGAGGCCCGGGACCATGCCATCTACATCGACACCAGCGAGCCTGGAAAGAGTGCCATTGGAGGTCCTCGTTTCGAGACCAGGCTGGAGAACAAGTACCTGGACGGCAACCTGAGCGACCGCTTCCGCGTGGAGACGTTCCGTTCCTCGGGCGTCCTGGGCGACACGGCCGAGTCCAAGGTATCACTGCGGTGCTACTTTGTATACCAGTGCCAATTTGTCGAGCCAAAGGCCGATCCCAACGAGACGCGCCTCGAGGTCATCAGTGATCGGATGTTCCTTGCCAAGGCTACCGACAACACGAAGCAGATGTATAAGGAAATCATCGAGGTGGCTGTCAGCAGGACCGGCCCTGTGATTGAGGTCTTTGACCACGCCGGGTCTCATGAGAAGCGCCTTGTCGTGGCCTTCCGCTCGCGTACGGCCAGGGGGATGTTTAGTGCCCTCTCCGATCTTTACCACTACTATGGCGTGACTAGCTCCAGGAAATATGTCGAGCAGTTCTCTAACGGCATCACCGTCATGAGTATCTACCTTCGGCCTGCGACCAACCTTGGCAGCGGCTATCCCCCCTTCGACCAGTCCATCCACCAGATCATGAAGGAAGTCTCGCTCCTGTACTGCATTCCCCAGACCAAGCTGCACTCGCTCTTTGCCTCTGGGGAGCTTAGCCTGCAGGAGACCATCTATGGACACTGTGTGTGGGTTTTCACGCAGCACTTCTTGAACCGCCTCGGGTCAGAATACGTCTCTCTGTCTGAGGTCCTGGACCCCAGGAAGAGCACGCACCAGGAGATACTGTCCAAGCTGAAGCGCAGGCTGAGGACGGAGACCTTCACCCCTGACTACATCCTCGAGATCATCGCCTCCTACCCTCAGCTTATCAAGACGCTGTACGCCTCGTTCGCCAGCGTGCATCTCAGCGTCGGCCCCGAGTTCGACCAGCATAATGTGGCTCCTACGCCAGCGACCGAGGTGATGTCTGATGAGAGATTGAAGGAATACATCACGAGGCAGGTCTCGACAGAGCATGAAGAGATGGTCATGAACGCCTTCCGAACATTCAACAGCGCCATCCTGAAGACCAACTACTTCACCCCGACCAAGGTGGCACTCAGCTTCCGCCTGGAACCATCCTTCCTCCCCGACGTCGAGTACCCGAAGCCGTTGTTTGGTATGTTCCTCGTCATCTCGGCAGAGTCGCGTGGCTTCCACCTTCGCTTCAAGGATGTGGCCCGTGGTGGTATCCGCATCGTCAAGTCCCGTAGCAAGGAGGCCTATGCGATCAATGCTCGGAACATGTTTGACGAGAACTATGGTCTGGCCAGTACACAGCAGCGCAAGAACAAGGACATTCCCGAGGGCGGTTCCAAGGGCGTGATCCTGCTGGACCCCAAGCAGCAGAACAAGGCACAGGAGGCTTTCGAGAAGTACATTGACAGCATCCTGGATCTGCTCCTCCCCGCTGAGACGCCGGGTATCAAGAATCCTATTGTGGATCTGTACGGCAAGCAGGAGATCATCTTCATGGGTCCTGACGAGAACACTGCCGACCTGGTCGACTGGGCTACTGAGCATGCCCGGGCTCGTGGCGCACCATGGTGGAAGTCCTTCTTCACCGGCAAGTCTCCTAGGCTTGGTGGTATTCCTCACGACTCGTACGGCATGACCACACTTAGCGTCCGCGAGTACGTCAAGGGCATCTACCGAAAGCTGAACCTGGACCCTGCCACGGTGAGGAAGATGCAGACCGGCGGTCCTGATGGCGACCTGGGGAGCAACGAGATCCTCCTCAGCAACGAGAAGTACACCTCCATCGTGGACGGATCAGGTGTGCTTGTAGACCCGAACGGGCTCGACAAGGAGGAGCTCCTCCGCCTGGCCAAGGAGCGTGTCATGATCTCCGAGTTCAACATGTCCAAGCTGTCCAAGGACGGATACCGGATCCTGTGTGACGACTCCAACATCACCCTGCCCAACGGCGAGTTTGTGGGCAACGGCACAGCGTTCCGCAACACGTACCATCTGCGCGACACGGGCCTGACGGATATGTTTGTCCCCTGCGGTGGGCGACCCGAGTCGATCGACCTGGTCAGCGTCGCCAAGATCATCAAGGAGGGCAGATCGACAATCCCGTACATTGTCGAGGGCGCGAACCTCTTCATCACGCAGGACGCCAAGCTGCGCCTCGAGGAGGCTGGCTGTATCGTATTCAAGGACGCCAGCGCCAACAAGGGCGGCGTGACGTCGTCGTCGCTCGAGGTGCTCGCGTCGCTCAGCTTTGACGACGCAGGCTTCGTGCAGCACATGTGCTACGACGCCAAGGGCAACGCGCCCGCCTTCTACCAGGCGTACGTCAAGGAGGTGCAGGCCAAGATCCGCGAGAACGCGCGCCTCGAGTTCGAGGCCATCTGGCGGGAGCACGAGGAGACGGGCGTGTCGCGCTCGGTGCTATCCGACAAGCTGTCGGTGGCCATCACGACACTCGACGAGGAGCTACAGCAGAGCGACCTGTGGCGGAACCAGAGCATCCGCAAGTCTGTGCTGCGTGACGCGCTGCCGCAGCTGCTGCTCGACAAGATCGGGCTGGATACCATCATTGAGAGGGTTCCGGATGCGTACCTGTGTGCCATCTTTGGCTCGTACCTGGCTAGTCGGTTTGTCTATGAGTTTGGCAGCCAGCCGAGCCAGTTTGCTTTCTATGATTTGTGAGTTTTACTCTGGCTTCCCTAGGCCAAATGTGAAAGGAGAATACTGTTTACTAACTTTCTCATGAAATAGCATGTCGAAGAGGATGCACAAGATCGCATTAGAATAGAAGAGAGGAAAGGAAAGGAAAAGAGGGAGAAAAAAACCAAGCGCAGCAATCAAGGGCGCAAACTGAACGGTGCATGCTGGGCAAACCGGGGGAAAAGAGGAAACGAAACCAAATATAGAATGGAAGGCCCTCCGGCCATGTGGTGGACGGGACAATAGGGGAAGGAGCTCTACAGACGCAATCGCCAGGCGACGCAGCCAAGAAATGGGGTGGTCTGGAAGGTGCTGTGCGGGGTCAGGACAGAGACAGAAAAACAAGGAAGGTTCTCTGGGTATTCACTTTTCTTGCCTTTGCTCCTTCCTTGAATTATCACGATGGAGTAGAGAGTGGTTTGGGTGGGTGGTGTTTATTAGACTGGGCGCATGTGTGTTGTGTGAGTGTGCTGCGCTGTAATATACGCTGCTTGCGCTGTGTTACTGCCTCTGGGAAAATTGATTCCATTGGAGTGCCAAATCTTGACTGTTGACAAAGATGCAGGTGAGATACTCATTTGGAAATTGTATGGAGATATGTAAAGTACACAACAAGTCTTTTTGGCTCTTCTATTCTCTTTCAGAGATTACCAAAAGAAGCTATAGATGTTGTTCTGAGTGGAAGGCTGCGTGACAGTGGAACTTGGTTGAAGAAGCAAGTCTTTATATTATGTATGCTCTTTGCTAAAGAGTACATGTTTAGGCATTGTGCCCGGGGGTGTTCTAATATGTATCCTGAGCTTAACATTGCTAAATTGTGGCCGTCGTAATACAGTCCTACTACCATCTTTGTATGAGGCACATCAGTCTCATGCATATATGCTTGGCTACAGTCAGCGTCTCATTACAGGCTTCTACGTAGTATTGTAAGTAGTTCTTAAAGTAGTATGTGGCTAGCTTCATATTTTATGTCGTAAAACCTCGTCTAATAACTTGGTTACAGGCTGCAAGTAAGCATTTATGGTGGTAGAACCACACCCACACCCACCCAATCTCGCTCTGCTGCATAATCCCAGTCTGCTTCAGCTGCAGGGATTGGAGAAGGAGCCGCCCCTATCCTCTCCCCCCCCCCCCCCCCAGTCGTTCATCACCCCCTACCACCTCCATCCTACTACAAACTTGCAGTACAAAACTGCAAATAATTGGTATACCAGCAGCTGAGGCGTCACCACAGCAAAGTCATGTCAGCAATCTCTGGTGAATAAGGCTGTGCTGCTGTTGTTATAAGGAGAGAAGGAGGAAGCGGGTAATTTGGAGAGATCGATCATCTTTTTCGTTCTTATTGTTATTATTATTATTAATTTAGTGCCCGTCTGTCTTGTCAGACCCCCATTTTCTGCGACCTCGACGACGACGACAGCGACGATGACGACCACAGCGAGTCTATCCAGCAGCAATGCGCCCGAACATGTGCAGAAGCATGTCAAACTTATTAGCGCCACGCTTTCAGGCAACGAGTCACGGGTTCGTGAGGTGCTTTCTCAGGAGAAATGGGCCTCACCAGCAGATCATGATACGTTAAAACAAGCCCTGGTCAGTAAACTCACTTACTGGTACTCTCAAGAAGACTCCAACCAATTTCTTACTGATCAAGTTTCTGGTAAAAGGTGAAAAGTGCCACAAAGGGCTACCTCGATATCCTGCGTCAGCTGCTCGAGGCGGGGGCAGACGTCCACCCCAGAAAGGACAAGGACGTAGCCCCTCTCTTCAAGGCTGCAGAGGCTGGGCACCTGGCAATCGTCAAGGAACTGCTGGACCATAAAGCGGATCCCAACTGGCGGCTGCCCAAGACAGGGCAGACGGCCCTGTGCGTGTCTGCCCTGCGCGGCCACACTACTATCGTCAAGATCCTTCTTGACGCACGCGCCCACCCGGATGGCGGCCGAAACAAGGACGGCAAAGCGGGCGCTGAAGATGGGCGTACGCCGCTCCTGCTTCTGGCGTCTGAGAAGGCAAGCAAGTGGAATGTAGAGATCGTGAGGCTGCTTCTCGACCACGGCGCGGACCCGGACCTGCGAGACTCGACGAGACGCTCGCCCTTGCACTGGACCGCGACCAACGGGCACCTTGAGTTTGCGCGATGCCTGCTGAGTGGTGGCGGTAGCGGCGGGCCTGGGACAAGGAACATCGTGGACGCCGCCCAGAATCGCGGCAAGACGGCACTCCACCTCGCGAGCATCCTGGACCGGGTCGACTTTGTCGAGCTCCTGCTGAGCAAGGGCGCCAACTGCGACGCCGCATCGGACGGCCGGTGGACGCCCCTGATCAACGCCGCCGAGAAAGGCCACACGGCAGTGGTTGCTAGGTTATTAGCAGCCGGTGCCAATGTCAACGCGGAGCTCTCGAATCACATGACTGCCCTGCACTGGGCCTCGTTTAACGGGCGTAAAGAGGTCGTGCGGCTGCTCCTCGAGAGGCCCGAGACCAATCTTAATCGAAAGGACCAGTTCGAGAGGACGCCCATGATCTGCGCCGCCGAGAGACATGAGACCGAGATTATCCAGCTGTTGTCGCCGGCGCGACACGCGCACAGGCTGTCGGAGCCCGCGCGGGAGGCGTCCAAGAGGTTTGAGGCAACCATTGTCGACTTTGGAGAGTTCCAGGAGGAAAAGTTTCTCAAAGATACCGTCAAGGAGAAGAAGCCGCAGCTCGTCTTCAAGCACACGGTATATGACCTACTGTACGGCTGGGACGAAAAGACGGGGAAGGCGACGGTGCCGGTACTCACCAAGAATATCAAATGGCAGCCTCATTTCCGATGGATTCACCTGCCGGCCAATAACATTGCCTGGATCGATACCCTGCTTGCCAAGTCCTTCATCGAAGGAGGTCATCGTGATGTCGAGGGTTTCAAGGCGCTGGGAAAGTGCTTTGACCAGGAGCACCGAGGCCCGCTGGCACATGCGAACTTCATGAGGCACTATTGCGAGCGTATACCAAGCCGCAGAGCGGACAGGGAAGAGAGTCTCCTCGGGTCTGTGGCGGAACAGCCAAGGGAAGAGAACGGGGGACCGAGCCAGAACACAGGAGCCGAGTCTGTTTCGACAGAACATTCGGAAAACAGCACGGCGAAACCAGACACTAAGAAGAAGAGCAAGTCGGAGAAGATTGCCGAACGCCACCCGCAGCGACAGAAGAGAAATAAAGGCAACCCAGGGAACCCACCGGGGAGCAAAGATGCAAAGCTGGCCAGCAGCAGCAGACAGTCATCCTGGGCTTCTTCTGAGGCCTTTAGACAGCTTGTCAATAACGGGAAAATGGTCTTGTTCGTGAGTTTTGACTTTTCACCAAGTTGTGTCATCATGCGTCTGGCAATTTCTTGACAGCTGACTCGGCTTTTGGTCTTTTGTAGATGCCTTTCCTTCATTACGAAACACATAATCGGCGACTGAACATGACAGCAACTATCGCAAGAGCCCAGAAAGGTGAACCGCCACCTGACAATGCTTCGAGGGATGAACTTCTTATCCATGCATACATGGAGCAGTACCTCCATCCTAGGAGAACATTGGATCAGTTCTTCTACCATGGCATCGACACAACCCAGCGGGACTCGGATCAGGTTGTGTGGCGATACTGTCAAAAGCACCGGGAGCCTGAAGAGCCCAAATTGTTCATGGTGGATCAGCTCTGGATGTGGATTCTCGGTGGCGATACTGTCATCACTTGTTTCCCACAGAGATGGGACCAGCCGAAACAAGATCCCCTGAACGTGGTTGATGGCATTATAGAAGAGACAAATGCGAAGACAAGGGGCCAGATCCAGTCAGTCTATGACCTTGCCATGGTCATCACAAATCGCTGCGCAGGCATGTTTGACCGACACCGCATCGATGAGCAGCAGTTTCAGTTCCTGGACATGTTTGAGAGCAGTATCGGAAATGTGACCAACGAGGAGTCGAAGCTCTTCAACAAGTTCAACAGGGCCTCGGAGAAGTCGACACAGTGGCTCAAGAAACGACACCGCCATGACAGCGACGGCCAGGACGAGGACGAGTTCGCAGACGACCTTCTCAACATCCACTCGGAGACCAAGTTCCTCGCCGAGATCAAGGACATCCAGGATGAACTCAACATCATTGCCGTCGTCCTGCACGTGCAGGTGTCGGTGCTGAAGAAGCTGCAGCTGAACATCGAGCAGGAGCTGCGCGTCGAGGGCAGCAGCCGCAGGACCACAGACCTGATCCTGCGGGACATCAAGCACCGTTTCCAGGAGCAGATGCGCCTCATAGAAGAGCGGTACGACGATGTCGAACGCATGAATGACCAGGCCAGAGGGATCTCGGCCAGTCTGACCAACCTGTTGGATCTGAAGCAGAAGCATTCCAACGCGCTGGAGGCACGATTCGCCCGCGAACAGGCCATCATCGCTGCCAAGCAAGGTCAGTATAGTAAACTGATGCCATCTACGATCTTCTTCTCATTGTGTGTGCGCGCGCTGACACTGCCTTTTTGGTTTTTCTTCCAGGCCAAACCATCATGGTCTTCACCATCGTCACCATCATATTCTTACCTATGTCCTTTATAGCCGCCTTCTTCGCTATCAATCTCGAGGACTGGGGCGACCGCCTCACCATCGGCTATGTCTCAAAGTACATGTTTGGGATCGGTCTTGCTGTCTCCTTTATCTTCGTGGCAGCGGCTTTCCTCGTCCATGATATCTCCAACGCCTGGAAGAGCATCGTAAGGGGTACTAAGAGTTACCTCAACTACACCCGCGACAAGTCCAAAAGCGTGAGAAGCCAGGTAGGCCAGTCGGAAGGCGTGTCCCATCCCTGGCCATCGACAGACCATGAGAAGCCAACAACAGCGGGTGGTGCCTCGACTGCTTACCGGTCGATGGCAGATGATATGGAATGGAAGAGACGGGGACTCGACGGGCCAGATATGTATATGAGGATGAGTCTCGAGAGGGAGCAGCGCGACCACCCGAGGCTGGGCCTGTCGCCTCTACGGTATGGGGCGCGGGCGCAGAGTTTTGGGAGTGGCGGGCACGCTGTATCTTCGTGGGCGAGGCCGAGTCTCGATGGGCGGAGGACAAGATTCAGCGGGGACCTCGAAAGAGGAAGAGACCCTTCGAGGTCGAGGATACATTGGGATTCTGTTCAGCACTAGAGACCTGAGAAGGAGAAAGAAAATGTCAAATGAAAAGAATTTAAAACGCAGGAAGTTTCCTCTACCCCAAGGCACCCTCCTTCATGATCTTGCTGCACGGTATGGGTGATGCTCAACCAACTAGAGAGAAGTCTCTACTTCTTCAGCAGATTGAGGGGGTGAGTTGAAGCTTAGCTCAGCAGAGATGCAAGTTACGTCATCTTGATATTGTCGTACGCAACTGCCAATGGTTGTCCAAAATTCCTCCTCATACTTACCGCCTCCGAACAATGAAAGCTTGCTTTGATCGACATTCGTATTTACGACCGTCCTAGTCCTCAAGGTTGTTTTTGTTGTGATAACTCACTCCTCACTTCCTCGCCTGACAAGTGCCCCAGCGGAAATTCCCGTTCAACACGCGCCACTGCTTGACCAAGCATTAACTTTGGCCATACCAAGGCGGGTCACCGGCAATTATCAGCAGCAAACTATGTCTTTCAAGGCACACGACCAGGGCCTGACGCCTGTTCTCATGGAGGCCCGTGAGAAGGAGGTCATGGACGAGATTGGAAAGCTCATCGACCAGAAGCTGTACCTCGCCCTTGCACGCGTCATCCCAAATGAGCCCAACGCCGCAGCCATCGTCGACGACCCGGAGATTCAGGAGCAGAGCAGGAACTTGAAGGCCGCTGTGGCTGCAGTGATCGACAGGCACGAGGCCATCATTTCGACTATTGCGAGGTCTAAGAAGGAGAGGGATGGCGACAAGCCTGTGTAGACCAACGGTTCGAAGACCGTTTTGCCCACAACGTTGGATCTCCTGTACCGTATGCTCCAGGTGTCGAGTTGTCAGGTACTAGTCTGTGCTAGGCGCGCCCTGCCCTGCCGTCTCTTTGCCTAAGGGGTGTCGGCAGGGGCAAGGGCCCAAGAAGTGCAAGGCAGAGAGAGATGAGCATGGGAATGATATTGGAGGACAGAGAAAGAAAGGATGCAAATGCAGCCTTCAGAGGGGAAGCCTTGGCATTCATTACCTTGGTTTGAAGATGTGTTTACTTGCCTTTACCTTTGCATCGTCTCACTTTAGCATTTTCAAAAATTGATTTCAACTGCATTCATTGTAAAGAGCGATGGTGTGCCCTAAGTCAATTGGAGGCGCCACATTGCAGGAAAGAAAAGGCGATTTGAGGCTCCAGCAATATATGTTTAATTGTAACGATCTGTGATCCGGATGATCCGCGGCGAAATAGAATTGATGGGTTCGGTTTGATCAGAGCAGCATGCAGACCCTCTTACGCCTCTCAGGGACAACGACGATCTAGACTCAAGTCTGCTCTCTCAATATGTTAACGTCCGATCCCCACCTCGAAAAAAATGATCCACGCCGAACTTTAGTCGCTTTGATGTCCTGAAAGATGGGGTTCTGCTTCATGGTGAGCCCTTGTAGGGCATTTAATGTTCCTGATTCCGGGGGGCGGAGGCATAGACAGAATCGACCTAGGCAGGGTCGAGTCTTCAGCCACAAAGTAGATCATGAGACACATCGTGGTTTGATGATGAACGAGCTGGAGTCGCAAGGACTTTTAAAAGACTGCCGAGGCAACAAGAGACAAAATTTTACATGCACGAAGGCTACTACACCCTGCTGAAGAAAAGTGATGGAAGAAGCATCGTCGTCGTCGCCGGCGCCGCCGGCGCCAACGCATACAAGGCATCATTAAACAGGCTGCTGGCTCACTTGCAGCTTGCTCTCCAAGATGTCTCCCCTTTGGGTTGTCGCAGGAATCAATACCTGGGCCGCCCTGAACATGCAGCCTACCACGCCTGCCTGGCCAGGCCCGGTTCTCCCCCGCGAGTGGCCTCGCAGCCCTCGTCAACTGGGGCCGACTAGCGACGGAGATCTTTATGTGTTGGGGCTGGGTCCTGTACCCACTTGGCGGGCCTCTAGCCATATGGCAAAAGTCGCTTCGCGGTCCAAGCACCGCTGCATATTCCGCTCAGCTCAGCTCATTAATTCAACCTAACCACTAATGCTCATTCGAAGGAGCAGATTACCCACATGCCGCTATCAAGGGGGGTGCGTAGACCGAGAAAGCTTGTGAGTTGGAGAGGTCTAGAAGGGTAGTAGAAGGGGACGAAAAAGAAGGGAAAAACAGAAAAACAAAAGAGGGCATCAAGACAGCAACGAGAACTGGTTGCATCCAAGCTACCTTCCTCAACGACACTCCTTTTCTTTCCTTTTTTTCAACGTTCGACGGCATTCCACAGGAAGCGCGCACTCCGTAATGGATGCGGCTTTCTGATGCACACAATTTACAGTCACACCAATCGACCTGACTGACATGCAGCGGAGGCCTCGCTGACTGGACCATTCATCTCTCGGCGCGTGCACGCGACAGGTCTCATCCGTGAACGGCTGCGCAGAGCAGGCCGGTGTCGCGGGACCATGATGGGCCTCGAGCACGCGATCCTTCCGATTCTACCTTTCATCAAGAGGCAGCTTATTGCTTATTCTGTTGTGGCATTTTTGGCGGTCCTGGTAGTGGGGCTTCGAATCGTGGCCCGGCTGGTGACGGGCTCGAGGTTAGGTTGGGATGACTATTTGATCCTCGCCGCAGTGCCACAAGCCGTTGTGATCTTGACCTGTGGTGGTCTATGTGAGTTGAGCCCAACCCTGGAGGATCTCCAAAGATCACCGTGATCGAGTCAGAGGAGCATCGTAGGCTAATCGTCAACCACATAATCTAGGGTCCACAGCAGGGGCCGGCTATCACAGAGATGCTATACCAGTCGAGAACCAGCAGTTCATCTCAACCGTACGCCTCCAGCTTCTAGTATTCCACCTGCCGACGAGTGTCGATGACCGATGCCAGGCGCATCACCGCTGACAAGATTCTCTCTTTTCCTTAGATCTTCATACCATTCTCTCTCATCTACGACATGTGCATCGTGACCACAAAGCTCTCGGTGCTTTCCTTCTACCTGCGTGTCTTCACGCACGGCATCACGCGGCAGGCGACCAAGTACATGATGGTGCTCGTCGCCATTTGGGGTTTGGGCAACTTCCTGCAGTCGCTGCTTGTCTGTCATTTGCACGACGGCCACTTCGAGACCGGCATTGGCCAGTGCAAGAACAAGACGGCGAGCTCCGTCGCCTCGGGCATTTACAACTGCACCACCAACATGATCATCAACTGCCTGCCCCTCTTCACCATCTGGTCGCTCAAGACGGTCAGCGTGTCGACCCGCCTCGGCCTGTCTGGGGTCTTCCTGCTTAGTCTTGGGTACGTCTGTGAATGCTGCCGCAGACATGACTACCAACCAGTCAGATTGCTAATGCTTTTCTGTTGTTGCACAGCGTGACCCTAGTTTCCATCATCCGCATGGTCCGCCTCCTTCAGGCGGAGGGCGCTTCTGCGCCATTGGTGAGCCTGACATCCTACCGCTGCCTTTCTTTTACGTTTCGCACAATCCACCTTGCTAACACACCACCGCCACACAGATCGCTCGCAGCGAGATCGCCTTCCTCACCATCCTCGAGGTCAACCTCAGCATCTTTTGCAACAGTCTGCCGATGCTCCTACCCTTGTACTCGTATTGGCGCTACCGGAGGTTCTACGACAAGGAGGAGGACGAGTATGTGTCGCGCCTGGGCGGCGGCGGCAACCAGGACCCCAAGAACCACAAGTTCCTCGTTGAGGGCGTCACAAACGGGCTCCCTCTCGAGACCATCTATGGCAAGGACCACGTGCACTTTACGGCGACAGTCGGGAGGGGAGATGTGCAGCGCGAGCAGCGAGGGGAACGGTCTAGCAGGTCTCGAGGTCGGGCGGCGAGCGACCAATCTGAGGATGACTGGGATGCCGAGTCGACGAGGAGGTTGCCGACGAGCGTGGGCGCTACGGGAATTACGATCGAGACCAAATGGGTTGTTGTAGAAGAGACAAGGAAGGATACATTTTGAAGCAGAAAAAGAAAAGAAAAGAAGAAAAGAAGAAGAAAAAAAATAGTTAATTCTCCTCATGAACCAGAGGCCGTCCTTTCGTCAAATGCGGTGATGTATCCATGCGTTCTGATCAAGGTGAACTGAACTGATTCTTCCCTGCTGCTATGTTCACTTTAGTCTTCCTCGACATATGTCTTGAAGAGATAATGATATCCTCTTGTGTGTCAGCAGTCAACAAGTCCTGGTGAGGAGGAATTCCAGCATTCATCGCCAGTGCCCTCAGTCATGAGCATATCGGAAGGTCCATCTCGCATTGCCCTTCTTGTAGTTGGTTTATCACAGACAAGAACACTTTGTTGACATGGTATGTTGTCTAATCTGAACCTACGCCATGTCTAATGATCGTCAAGGGATCCACGGGAGTTTCTTCTTTGTCTTGTTTCTTGTCTCCTTGTTACTTCGCAGGTGGGGGCCGAGACTCAGCCTTACATATAGTGACTGGGCGTCTTGGCTAGTGTGACACAAGCATCGACCCGACCCTCTGGGAAATGTCTGTGCAGGAGGTCTTGGAACCCTGAGTGGCTGAGGGGGGAGGCGGGGAAGGTGTGGTGGAGGCCCCAATAAACTTTTTTGTTGGTCAGCAGGGCAAAGGCGACCCTGCAGGCACAAGGCGCAGGCACAGGTGCAGGTGCAGGTGCTCCTCTTGCCGGCTGCCACTGGGGCGGCCTAGACTGATTTTTTTCCTTCTTTTTTGGTGAGGCTACAGTTAAGTAATGCTGTACACTTGCGCATAACGACGTCTTCCGTTAACTCACCCCACCACCCGCCCACCCCGTCCACCCACCTAAAGTACTTGCTCACACTTACTCAACTTATTCACCTGCCCGCCTTTTTCGTATCGACGAATGTTTCTGCCTATTCAACCCTTCAGGGCGCGGGGGCGGCTTATTGTATTACTTGTGCATTCTCTCCATTAGTTCTCTCTCAGCATCCATATTCTGCGTGTGACCTTCTTTCTGTATTGCTTTCGTAGCATACCTTCCTTTTCTTCAGCGCTGAACATCAAAGCGCGAGCGTCGTCCTGTCGTGTGTCTCTTTCGCCTCGTCTCTATTCTGATACGGCATATCGTCACACCACCTAGCAAACGATCACGATCATCGACCCTCTTTGTCACTCGAACTCACCCCCCCCCCCTCTCCCTTCCCCACCTCCCTCCCTCCCTCTCTCTGGATCCGACTCGAACAAGATGTTCTCGAACCAGCGAAAGTTTACTCCTAGTTCCCTCCCGAAACCCAAAGTCAAAGTCCGTACCGTTGCCGTCGAGACCGCCACCCCGAGTAGCTCCGCTATTGCTAAACCACGGACGTCTACACCTCTCAGCCGTGGTCCCTCGCGCTCCAGCAGCGCAGGAAAGACACCCTCGCGCTCCGCGCCCCCGAACGCCGCTTCTAGGAGCCTCAAGTGCTCCCCCTCGGGACGCGCGCGCACCAGCAACAGCCCCTTCGCCTCGTCCTCCTCCACCGACGACCGCCACTACCTCGCGGTGCCCGCCAGCTCGTCGCGCAGCAAGCGCATACGGTCGCCCGGGACAGACAGCGAGGCACGCGTGACGTTCGACCCCTCGGACGGCGAGGATGACGATGACGACGACTGGGAGAGCAGGCTCAAGAGGCGCAAGCAGGCGCGGCGCACAGACCCGGACCGGAGACTGCCGAGCGCGGCACTGAAGGAGCTGGCCGAGACCGGATACGAGGATAAAGGCGGGCGGCCCCTACGGTTCGTGCATGCTGCGGACGTCGTCTCGCTTGCGCTGGGCGACCTCAAGTCGTTTCCCCAGGCGAGTGACGCGGACTCGGCTGTGGAGCTGCAGTACCCCGGGTCGCTGACAAGAGAGAGGTATGTGTGACACAGATTATGAAACTTTCTTCTAGGTCTAGACCCGTATGTCTTATTTCTTGATGGAAAGCACATGACTGACTGTCGTTGATAACGACAGGTTTGAACTCGTGAACCAGAGGGACAAACTCGATGTCATTAAGGATATCATCAAGGTGGTCAAAAACGTCAAGGAAACATACATCACCGACGAGGATGTCAAGAAAGAACTCGGCGTGATCATCCGAAAACTGGAGCGGAACTCCAACGAGAGAATTTTGGACATTGGCGCGTTCAGGGACGCCATCGACGACTACAACCGGACCATTCTCGACCAGCTCAAGACGGGTGCCATTCTCAAGAACATCGACAGGCAACATGACCTGACCGAGGATCTCGTCACACATATCCTCCAGCAGGTCTACGACCGGGTGGTGACACCGAATGTGGACCAGCTGAGGAGATACACGAACGGCACGGACAACATCTATGGGGAGATGAAGCACAACTTTGTGACCAAGGTGTTGTGCACCGATCTGCAGATGACCTCCAAGCAGACCTTTGTCGATCTCGGCTCTGGGGTGGGCAATGTCGTGCTGCAGGCGGCCCTGCAGATCGGCTGCGAGAGCTGGGGTTGCGAGGTCATGGAGGACGCCTCGAGGCTGGCCAAGGAACAACACCGGGAGTTTGAGGCACGGTGCAAGCTGTGGGGCATCCAGCCGGGCAAGGTCCGCATCATGAAGGACGACTTCCTTAACAACCAGGACATCGGCGAGGTCATGAAGCGGGCAGACGTGGTCCTGGCCAACAACCAGGCCTTCACGCCCGACCTTACCGAGAGACTCAAGATCAAGTTTCTTGACCTGAGGAAGGGCTGCAAGATCGTGTCGCTCAAGAAGTTTACGACATCTTCCAAGTACAACGAGAACGATATTGCCAGCAGTATCCTGTCTGAGCCCGAGTGCCACCGCTGGCCTGAGAATGGCGTCAGCTGGACCGACTCAACAGGAGACTATCATGTCACGACCAAGATTGAGGGAGGACAGGACTTGTAAAGACAAGACCAGACCGAGACAGTGCGCGAGGCAACCGACTTCATGATGGAGGACATTGGGACGTGTTCCGTTTTATATCTATACAAGAGTTGATCTGGCACATACGGCATAAGTGGGCACTTCTTTCCTCGTTTTTTCTCCTTCCTCGACAGTATATGTTGGGCGGGTAGATGCAATTTCTGTACGTTGATACCCCTCTTGGAAATCGGGGGAGGAAGGGTAGAGATGCACCTGGATGGTCAGTTCTGGAAACCCAAGATTTTGGAGAACGTGGTGGAACATGAAGAGGGAGATTAGAGGACTCACTGCACACACACATGCATTAGAGAAGAGAGTTCACACACCCCTTGTAAACAGCGACGATAGCGAGCATAGCATATCGTATAGAACAGATCAGCAGAGCCGGCCTTGACTTGCACATGCTCTTCAATAGGCAGCTGGAACAAAGTCCACACGCTCATGATCATCGTACCCCTCGTTTGTCCTCCATAAATCCACGAGAGGAACCAAATATATGCCGGTCCAGGGTATCATAGACTTCTATAGCACACCATCACCTTTCTTGTCTTGGCGTGCGCGCATCCAGGCCGCCGTCGTCAGTCGTCATGATCAAATCATCATCACGTCCCTTCAGGCCCGCCCCTCTCATTGGCAGCATTCATCTCCCGCGCCTCCAGCTCCGCCCGCCGCATCCACCGGTCAATCAGGTTCTTGTTCTCCGCCGCGATCTTGGTCTTTTGCTGCTCCGCCACGTTGAGCTGCATCTCCAGCGTGAGCACCTCGTCCTGCACCTGCTCGAGCATCTGCTTCTTGCCGCGCAGCTCCTCGGCCTGGTCGCGGACCCGGCGCGACAGGGCGCCGCGCTCTGTGGTCAGGGTGGCGATCGTGGCCTCTTGGGTCTTTGTGAGGCCTTGTAGGCGGTCGCGGTCGGCGGTGGCGGCGCGGAGGCGGGTGGCTAGGGCTGTGTTCTGGCGTAGAGCTTGGGCGAGGTCGGCGCGTAGTCGGAGGAGGACGGGGTCGGTGCTCGGGAGGGTGGTGGAGGCGCTGGGTATTGGTGGGCTCGACGGTGTGGTAGTGCTGGCGCTGAGGGGTGGCTGTACTGCTTGGGCCTTTTCGGCCTCGAGGAGGGCTATCTTGTCGTTGAGTTGGGAACCTAGAGTTGGGTGCGGGCAGCACACCACTGTAAGTCTGGTGCTGGTATTGCATGGGTAAAGATGGTGGGATTCAACGCAGAAATAGCAAAGGTAACAGCAGAAGCAGCAGCAACTACAGCAACAACAATGAGAGACGTACAGGCGTCGACGAGGGCCAAGTTGACGGGGCTGTTCCTCTCGGCCTCGAGCAGCGAGGAGAGGTAATCATCCTTCCAGCCCGGCATGATGGGGTTCTTTTGCAGCCGTAGGGAGGAGGCAGATGCGGCAGCAGAGTCTCCTCCTGCCACGACGGCGACTTCGAGTCCGTCCTGCGCCGTGGGCTTCCTGGCTGGAGGTTCGTAAGTGGTGGTCTCGATGGTGTTAGTGGGGGAGGGGATAAGCTCCCACTGCTCCAGATCATCATCATCCCATGACGACGGTACTGGGCCAGGTGGTGGGTCCATATCGGCCTCGCTCTGGGGTCCTTCGCTGGCAGGCTAGGAGGCCCTGCAGAGAGGGGCGGGCTGCGGTTGGTTGTGATTGCTCGATGTGTTCCAGGCGAGGAGGGGGTGGGGGGCCAGGCCTGCGCAGGCCACTGACCAGTTAGTGGTTAGAGCCTATGTGCCAAGTGCTCCGTAAGTCGTTATCGTTAGCGTGTGCTCTCTGTATTGTTGGACGCTGTGTGGCCCTGGCCCTGGACCTTGTCAGGCCTGCACAAGACGACGCAACAAGCAGCAGCCATCGACTGGGGCGTAACTTACTTGGTTTGACGCAAAACCTCACATCACGTCTTTTGATAGCCTCTCAAGACAACCCGACGATTTTACTCATCATAACTTGCTTCCTCATTGCAGACGCATGGGAGATCATTTGTTGATACCAAATGCTAAGTCTAGCTGAATAACAAAGGGCATCACATTTTGGAGGTCACGAGGGGCTCAAGGATGTGTTGATTGTCGATATCGAGGAAGATGGAATCGACGCACCCCACGGCAGGCTGGGAGAAGGTGGGCGATCGGTTCTACCGAAAGACACAGCTATACACCGCTGTCTTCGACCTCGACTTGTATCTTGACAATTTCTTTGTTGCTGGGGCTCTCTATGGCGGGGCTGTCGGTATGTGCTAACTCTTGTTGACTCTTCTTGCCTTAAGCTTCAGGGATGCAGGCCTATGTGGCTGGGCCTCCGCCTTCGCAATTTCACAAGATATCTTCGGTGGCAGATCTGCCTCGAAGTGACGAGCCTCAAAATCCACTGTATACATGCTCGATATGAGTCAACATGACCAGCTGACATCCTGCAGCACTGTATCGTGACGAGACCAAGATATTGGCCTACCGCACGGGCAAGTCATCCAAGCCCAGTATAGACATCTACAGTTGCGCCGGAAAGCCTATCAAGACCATTCCCTGGGAGCATGGATCCATCAAGGGTCTTGGCTGGTCGGAGGATGAAAAGCTGCTAGTCGTCACCAGAGACGGCGTCGTGCGGTGCTATTACGACTTGCAGGGCGACTTCACCCAATTCTCTTTGGGCCATGGAGCTGAGGAGCTCGGTGTCCAATCTTGCAGGTGGGTCGGAAAGATAACTTGAAGTGTCGACCAATATGAGACTGATCCTTCACAGATTTTATGATTCTGGTTTTATAGCTTTGCTGTCCAACAATACCCTCATTTCTGTCTCGTCTTATGATGAGCCACGGCCCAAACTGCTGGCCTCTCCACCCGGGGGCCAAGTGCACTCGTGGACCATCATCCCACCCAGATTCACCCTCTCGCGCTCAGTCGAGGCGCTGCTCAGCATCGGTCAGACCATATACTTGGTCGACTCAACAGATGTCGAGGATCGCTTCCTGGATATAGGACCTTTCACCCACATCAGCGTGTCTCCGAACGGGAGATTCGCTGCACTGTACACGGAGACAGGAAGGGCGCATGTCATCACGAGTGACTTCCAGAATCGCTTGAGCGAATATGAGTCCAAGTCTAGAATATCCCCCAAGTACCTACAGTGGTGCGGCAACGACGGTGTCGTCATTGCATGGGAAGATGAGGTCCACGTCGTGGGACCAGCAGGTGCCGCAACCAAATTCTTGTACGACGGCAGAGTCCACATCATCCAAGACCATGATGGTGTACGCATCCTCACAAATGAGGCATGCGATTTCCTCCAGAAAGTGCCAGAAGTCACAGACGAGGTCTTTAGATTCGGCACCGAATCTGCGGCGTCCATCTTGTTAGATGCTGTCGCCCAGCTCGAGATACAGTCCCCGAAGGCTGATGACAATATTCAACTGATCCGGTCTAACCTGGTCGAGGCAGTCGACACTTGTGTCAATGCTGCTGGACAGGAATTCAGCATTCATTGGCAGAAACAGCTGCTCAAAGCCGCATCATTTGGCAAGTCAGTTCTCGACATCTACAACAGCGACGACTTTGTCGATATGTGTGAGACACTGCGTGTTTTGAATGCAGTCCGCTTTTATGAGGTTGGCATACCACTTTCGTACGATCAGTACCAGCGTCTTGGCCCTGAAGGGCTCATCGCTCGTCTGTTGAACCGCCACGAATATCTCCTCGCCCTTCGGATTGCAGGATATCTTCGTCTGCCTTCAGACAAGATATATATTCACTGGGCATCCGCCAAGGTTCGGGCAGGCTCTGAGGATGACGACTCGGTATGTCGTCTCATTGTCGATAAGCTCTCTGGCAGACCTGGGATTTCTTTCGAGTCCATCGCACGAGCCGCCTACGACGAAGGCCGGGGCCGCCTAGCCACTGAGCTGCTCAACCACGAACCCAGGGCCGGCCGTCAGGTTCCTCTCCTCCTCAGCATGGAAGAGGACGAGGTTGCTCTCGACAAGGCAATCGAGAGTGGCGACACTGACCTCGTCTATTTCGTCCTCCACACTCTGCGGCGTAAGCTACCCCTAGCCGCTTTCTTCCGCTCTATCAACAGCCGCCCTGTAGCCACCGCCCTCGTCGAATCCTCTGCTCTCCGCGAAGACGACAGGACCCTTCTCAAGGACCTCTACTACCAAGACGACAGGCGTCTCGACGGAGCATCCGTGTTCATCCGCGAGTCGCTAGCTCAGCCGGACAGCCGTACAGCGACGGACAAGATGGCGTTGGCCGCCAAGCTGCTGAGCGATAATAGCAAGGAGAGCGCGTTCGAGTTAGGCGCGCTAAAGGAAGCGGCCACGCTCTTGCGGATGCAGGAAGCCTTTGATCGAGACCTGACGGATAGCTTTACAGGACTGAGTGTGAATGACACGATGTTCAAGCTGATCCGGCTGGGTTATGACAAAAGGGCGAGGAGGATACAGAGTGAGTTTAAGGTGCCGGAGAAGGTAGCTTGGTGGATCCGGTAAGTCTGCATGACATTCCCTTGTGGCATCTCATACTCACTGACCCCCATCTACAGGCTTCGAGCTCTCGTGGCCAAGCGCGACTGGAATGAAATCGAGGAGACATCCAAACAGAGAAAGAGCCCCATCGGATGGGAGGTACGTTGACTCCATGCTACTGACCATTTTCTTGTGTGCTTGTGACCGACTGACGTTTCCGACGGGAGGAAAACAGCCATTTTACAATCTCACTCTACAAGCGGGCAATCCACGCCTAGCTTCCGTCTTCATCTCGAAGTGCACGCATCTCGAGCCTGGGCAAGCCCTCACCATGTACGAGAAGTGCGGCATGCGCGTCAAGGCCGCAGAGGAAGCCGTCAAGATGAAGGATGCGGAGGTATGGCAGAGGCTGCTGGAGGCCGTCGGGAGGAACACCTCAGAGGGAAGGGAGATCGAAAGGATGGGTCACGCGGTATTCAAGAAGTGAGGTGTCTCGAGCTGCGGAAATCCAAGATTTATAGCATTCACCAATTCATGTTTGGCGCCACACCCAAAAATGTGATGACATAGGAATAGGCATAGAGGTTGCCTTGTCTTGAAAGCTGTACAATCCTTTTTCTTGTTCTCTCTTGTTCCTTTCTGCCCCCCCCCCCCCCCCTTCTATTACAGACCGGATTGACATCTCTGCAGGCGAACCCTAGGAATAGTGAAGTCTTTTTTTTTTTAATACAACGAGGTGCTTGTCCTCTCTATAATATACGTACAGTATGGCCATTGTAAGGCCAGGTATGCCCTCAGACTGCAGACAGGAAAATCTATGACTGCCGTCCCAGGTTAGAGCGGTGAATCATATCCTGAATCTCGTCCCAGCTTATCGCCCTGGACGCGATACCGTCCGCCTGCGCCTCCTGCAGCACCACCGTGGGCGCACCGCTGCCCTTTCCTTGATTGTTCACCATGCCGCCGACGACCATCTTAGCCACACGTCTCAGATCGCGGATCGTAAGTTCGCTGATCTTCCTGGTCATCTCGTGCACGGGGACCTTGCGCCCGTGGACCTGGACCTGTCTGCCCAGGTCTTCCAGCTCGACCATGCGGCTCTCGAGGTTCATCAGTAGGCTCGACCGAAGCTGGTTCTTGGCGCGCGCCACCTCAATCTCGCCCAGCGCCGAGAAGCCCGTGTCGAGGGTCAGTGCTCTCAGCTCGCGGCACATGACCTCGAGCATCCTTGCGGTGCGGCCTGGGTAGCAGCTCGCCGCAATGCCGAAGAGCCCACTGTCGGTGTAGCTGTGGTTGAAGGCGACACACGACTCGACCCAGCCGTATTGGTTGAGCACGTTGGTGTACAGCCGCGAGTACATGCCCTTGCCTGGCCCGCCGGCGGAGAATGAGCCGCCACCTCCCAGGAGGGTTTGCAGGGTCGCGAGTGCGTAGATGTCGTCAGACGAGATAGGCAGGCCCTCGAAGGCGAGGTGGATGTGGGTGAAGGTGGGCATCATGGGGTTTGGGGAGGGCGGTTGGGTGGGGAGGGAGAGGAAGCCGCCGGTGTAGTGGGCTGGCCGGTGCAGATCTTGGCTCGACAAGAGGCTGCGCAGGTCACCGGCCTTCACGGAAGCGTTATGTGATGTGGAAGTTGAGAGGTTCTTGAAGAATGGGATCTTGGAAAGCAGATTCGGCGACTGTGGAGAGGAGGCGGCTGAGGAGGACATGGAAGAGACCGAGGATGCCAGAGCTTCACTGCCTTGCGATGAGGCGTCGCTTTCTATCGAGGATTGCGACGCAGTGTCTGAGACATCTGGGAGTTCGGTACCCTTCATGTCGCCAAAGTGCTGCTCAGCCAACTTGACGGCCTGCTCATGCGTCACGCCCGCAAAAGCCACAACCATCCTCTCGGGCCTGTAGAAGACGTCGCGGTACGCCTGAATGACATGCTTGTCAATAGACCCAAGGCGTTCCTTTGGACACAGCAGTGGGTTGCCCAGCGTGTTGTCCTTGAAGGCCGCGGTATGTACGAGCTCTGGTAGTATCAACTCAGGCTTGGACCATATCTCTGTGATCTCATACTGCGCAGTAAGAAGCTGGTCCTCAATCTCCTCCTCGATGAGCTGAGGATCTCGTATTGTCTCGGCGAGCAGGCCCACTGCAGTCGGTATTGCGGTGTTGAAGGTGGCGGCCTGGTACATCATGGATTCTCGTGACGAGGCGCACTGCACATTCCCACCCAGTTGTTCGACCTGTTCTAATATCTTATCTGCAGTGTGATTTTTGGTCGACTTGAAGGCCAGTCGGTCCATGATGTGACTTGTGCCACGGAGGTACTCGTTCTCGTACCGAGAGCCAGCATCGATGTAGACTCCCACGCCGGAGAAGGCGTCTGGCAGGGCCTCGGTTGCGACACGGACTCCGTTCGACAGGGTTGTCACATCGTTCAGCTCTGTAGGCTCCTGGAGGCAAGCAGGGTCAGCGAAAAAAAAAAAAAAAAGATACGGACGGTGTTCGGTCTCAGTAAAGGAGAAAGGGCCAAACCAAACAAGCATGAACTTACTCGGGCGGCAGGTGGCGGAGAGACGGTAGCTAATGTCCTGGTACGAAAGGATGGGCGGCTGTTCTGGGACCGAGCGAGACTCGCAGGGCGTAGCCTCGCTGGCAATCGCGACGAGCATGACCGCAGCATCTTGTCTGTAGGTTGTGGCTGAAGTTTCAAGTCGCAATGTGAAAAGACTGACGTCGTTCTGAAGAGAAAAATCCCCGGTCGTAGCCACCTCGCTTCTTATCGATAAACCTGCTGACCGGTGCTGACCAGCGCATCGATAGATGAATAAACCTCTTTTATCTGCATATTTACCATTTGTTTTCCCTTGACCCCTTCCTTTCCTCCTTTCAACAGAGCACATCATGCGTAGAGAAATTGGAAAGTGCGGAGAATATGTGCGCTATTCTTTTGACTTGATCGTCATCATCCTACTCAACATTGAACTTGGTTCACTCCTGTTCAAAAAGACGAATCAATTTGCAAATGCAGGGTATTGATAAATAAAGACTTTCTACATGTTGAGATTCATTGTCCCTGAAGCACCCTCTCCGCTCTCACTATTATGCTCTATGCGTACCCAAAAACCTTGTCTAAACCTTGTCTATCCATTTTTCTATCCGAAAACATTCCTTTTTTTTTTTTTTTTCTCTGTCTAGACCCTCAAATCCTGTCTATCCTGTTGATCTCTAGGAAATCCTTGACTAGTCCTTTCTCTTCCCAAGGCTCTTGACCTTATCCACCACTTTACCCAGACTGCCAAATAACAAGCCGAATCCAAAACTCCAGCCGCGGATCCGCACCGTGTAGATGAAGAAGTAAACCAACGCCCAATTGCTGATGCAAAAAGCGAGGAAGATACCAAAGTAAGGCCACTTGTCGTGCGGGGTGATGTTCAGCGTTGCCAGGTACTGATCGCCGAGGCTGTACGGACAGTACTGGCAGTCGGCTGTCGCCGTAGGGTTAACAAGGTAGCCTCCAGCACCGGCTGCGAATGAGCCCGCGTAAGTGCCACAGGTCTGGCCTGGCGGCGGGTCGAAGTGCCCTGTCTCGTCCGCCGTGCATTCCACCGGGATCCCCGTCAGCGTAGCAGACAGCACCCCTCCGATCCAGTACGTCGACGGGTTGAGGTAATACATCCAGTACCTCCAGAAGACGGGCAGCTGGGCGAACGGCCGGACCACGCCGTTCATCAGTGAGAACATGACGAAGAAGAAGGGCAGCACGTTCGCAATGACAGTGAAGCTGGGGGCAAAGGCGCAGATCCACTGACCCCAGCTGTTCATGAAGATGAAAAACAGGAGCGTCATCAAAAAGACATAGCCTGCTGTGCTGCTGTCTGTCGGCAGGCCCGTGGCGAAATACCAGAGCACCCAGTATACAAAGGCTCCGATGATGGCCATCGGAATCTCCCCCAATATTTGCGCTGTGGTGAAAGCCACGAACCCATAAATTCGAGACGGGAACTCACGGGCTTGCCACCTGCTCTGCGTGTTAAAATGCGAAACCAAGAACCCCAACGAGACGCATCAGAAATGGGAGTTGACTCACAGTGCCATGTTGGAAAAGAACTTTGGAAGAATGCCATTTACAATAGTCGGTGGAAACATGACGATGAGAAACACGGTGAACATGCGGTCCTGCATGGCTTGAGTGGAGTTGCCCAGCTGCCAAAACGTGAAGCCATTAAAGATACCGATAATCACAGACACGAAGAGCTTTCCGTACAAGTACGACGGGTCGCGCCAGTACTGCCGGAAAATCCTCTTCGTGAGCTCATACGTCTGCATCCACGTGGTTGCGGCGTACTCAGTCTCGTTCTGCTTCTTTTGGTGCGCCGTGGTGGATCTGCTGCGCGTTAACTTGAGCCCTTCGATCTGCTCTTGCACCTCTTGTGCCTGTGGACTCGTGCGCCATTCTTCGTTCCAGTCCACTCTTTTGCCATCTTTTCCTCGTGGTTTCTTTGCGGCGGTCTCGAGAATGAACTCGGCGACGTTCTTGTTGGGTGGGCATTGGACGCCTCGCTCGGCGAAATACTCGATGACTGCACTTCCATTCTCGCCGACTGGGCCGAAATAAAAGGTATTGCCACCTGGGTTCAAGGCAAGGATCATATCGAATGTCTGAACAGTGCCAAACACGTCAGTCTTTAATGACAAATTCAAATCCAACCATCTCTGAGACACTAAAGAAGGGAGGGCACTAGGAGGGGGGAGGAAACTCTGACCTGAATAATCTCGGAAGATGGTTGATGGATGGTACAGACGATGGCCTGTCCCGCCCGAGAGAGCTTCTTGAGAAAGCTGATGATGCTCCAGGCGCTCTGGCTGTCCAGACCAGACGTCGGCTCATCCAGAAAGAGGAGCAGCTGCGGCTTGGCTGCGAGTTCGACGCCGATCGTGAGACGCTTGCGCTGCTCAACGCCCAGGCTGGAGATGATAGCATCCTGGAGCTCTCGGAGTTCGAGAAGGTCGATGATGGTATCGACGTACGCCAGCTTCTCCGCGCGAGGCACCTCCCGGTCCTGGCGAAGGAGCGCAGAAAACTCGAGTGCCTCCCTGATGGTGGCAGTGCCATCGTGGAGATCCATCTGCTCGCAGAATCCCGTTCCTCGTTGGAACTCAAGACCGAGTTCCTGACCATCTACCTTCATCTCTCCAGACACAACACCAACACGCTGGCGTTGAGCCAGTGTGTTCAGCAGGGTGGTCTTCCCAGCTCCGCTTGCGCCCATCAGAGCAATCATGACGCCCGGTTTCACATATCCGCTGACCTTGTTCAGAAGTTTCCGCTGACCGCCCTGGTATGGCACAGTATACTCCACATCCTGCCACGTGAAGATACTTTCGCTCTTGGAAATTCGTTCCAGGCCATCTGCCTCCTCTTTTGCTGCCTCGCCTGGGCTATTGGTGGCAATGACCCCGCTAGACGACCCGCTGCTGGGAACAGCCTTCTCCTCGTCGACAGGAGACGATGCAACTGCCACTGTCCTCTTTGCTTTCCTCGTCTTCTTGAAGATCAAAGCTCCACCACCGCTACGGGCGAAGTTGAAGGTCTCCACCGCAAAGACAGTGACAAGAATGTAGAGTGCAGCCCAAGCGATGAGAACTCCAAAATTCCTCCATAGATGACTCCTCGTGTAGCTATACTGCGCATCGAGGTATGCGGCGCCATTGACGGAATGGGCATTGACGGCTGCTCCAGGGACCACACAGCCCTGGTAGCTTGGATCGACTCCAGTTCCTTGGGGCACGAGCATATCGTCTGCGCACGCCATGTTGCGGTCGGAAAACTCATTTGTCAGAACGGCCTCGAATGCGTACGAGATGGGGTTGATGTAGTAGATCCAGCCGAACCAGATGTAGTCAGAGACCAACTGAGTCTTTGGTATGACGTATCCGGTGTAGATGATGAGGAGGTTCAGGGCAATGCCAGAGAATCGGACTGCATCGTCGATGGTTGGCGACAGCGCAGCAAACATGCGATAGAGCGCCGTCATACACATCGTCATGGTGTAGACGAACAGCAGGTAGATCCAGAACTTGGAGACAACAACATCCAGACTGGACATGAAGTACATGATCAAACAGAACACACAGACCTGAACAAAGATGACTGGGATATCCATGACGACGCGGGCGACGCTCACAGCACTCGGTCGATAGAAGGCGTACTCGCGGTGTCTGGCTACAACCGCACGGCCACTGACCGCTTTCATCAGCTCGCTCAGCTGTAGCCAGCCGAGAAAGAGGACAGAGAAGAATAGGGCGCCTCCTCGAGTGAAGACACCATCGGTGTCGAGAGGCTCGCCGTAGAAGAGGGAACCCACAATGAGAGCATTGCAGATGATCCTGTGGTCATAGTTAGTGGATTGGAGTGACCACAAGGAGAATGAGGAGGAGGAGACATGGTGAAAGAATGTTTGTATCGGGAGCGGCACGTACGTGGATGCTTTGGTATACAAAGACGTTTTGTCTCCAAGCAGAAGCCAGAACTCTCTTTTGACGCAGGCCTGGACTTGTCGAACGAAACTGACGGTATAGGGGGATTTCTTCCGCACTGTCTTGGACTTGCCCTCCCGAACGGCCGATTCAAATTCTTTCGCATCGCTATGCTCTGTGTCTCTTAGGTGAGTCTCGTACGCCTGGATGTCGCCCTGGACACGGGTGTAGAGTGGTGACTGTCTGTATGCCTGTTCTAGTTCTTCGGGCGTCTTGGGAGTACTGGCTTCACAGCCCTCTCTGAATCTTCGCTCTTTCGGATCGGTTACCGCAGTTAGGAAGTCGGCGGTGGTTTGACGCTCAGGAGCCTCAAATCCAAGATCGATCTACTCCACTTGTCAGTACAAACTTCAGCAGGGACTCGAAGTTGCTTTTTGTTTGAGAACCTCCTATAATGAACGGGGACATCACGCGTTAGAATGGGCAAGAAAGTACTCATTACTTACAAAGTATTGTCGAGCCTCATTGGCTGGTCCTTGGTATATACAACGGCCAGCGTCGATGACCATCACTTTGTCCATCAATTCAAATATATTTTGTCCGACTTGGTAGAGAGAAACGAGCAGGGTACGGTCGCTGATGTCTGTCATGATCCGCAGGGACTTGGCATAGTCAAGGGCTGTGGAAGCATCGAGCCCCCGCGTGGAGTTGTCCCAGCAGACAACGGTGGCCTTTGACGCAAGTGTCTCGGCGATCGAGACTCGCTTCCTCTCTCCGCCCGACACGCCGCGAGTGTACTCGTCACCCACCAGGGTGTATTTGGTGTGGGGAATACCAAACATCTTCATGAGCGCCTGTGCAATGATGGGAATGTCCTGAGCTGCGCCCTTCCTGGTCTTGGTCATCAGTGCAAAGACGAGTGTCTGCCAGACATTCATGTTTGCAAAATGCACGTCGTCCTCCGGGTTGTAGTTGACCTCGCCACGATACATGGTCTTTTGCTTGTCGGCCGGGATTCCGCCATATGTGACGTCTCCTTTGACCGAGGCGTACGCTTCCCGGTCATTGGCAATCGCCTTGAGGAAGGTCGAGCAGCCCGAGCCTGGGCGGCCAAGGACCAACATCATCTCTCCGCCGCGGACGACACCGGTGAAATCATGGATCAGGGTGCGCCGTTTCCCATTGTCGAATCTGAGAAATGGTAGAAATCTCGACAGCAGACGGTAGAGGTCTGGCCCAAAGGTTGCAAGGATCGCGTCCGGTAGCGTCTTCACGAACTGGACAGTCTCGCCTGCTCCCTCGACCGTGAGGTTCTTGAAGACGACGCCGACCTTCTTAGCAGACCTGCCCTCCTTTCGCTTCTCGAAATGCCCCTCGCGAATAAAGGCGTCGAGCTCAAACTCATCGTCGTCGTCTTCGCCCTTCTCGTCTGCAACTCCCGCATTGTCGGCCTGCGACTCACCATCGTGCGTCGTGGCATGTGAGGCGGCTCTGTGAGCGGATCTTGTGGTGGTGACTCGACTTGCCGCTCGGCTCCTTGGTCTCGACTTTGCCCTGGAAAGTTCGGACAGCTCTCTCTGTAGCTCTGCGAACTCTCGCATTGCAGCACGCTCATCAGGCAGGCCAGCGTCTCGCTCGCCCCAGGTCCCTGCCTGCTCAGCCGACGCGGCGTCTTCATCGCTCCCTGTGGCAGATGTGTCTTCAGGGACCTCGTTCGCGCTCGGGCCGGGGCTGTTGTGCCATTGATTCCTTTGATGGCTCTCTGTTCGTGTCAGGTTGGTGTCGTCTACAGTAGTGCCCCACATCATGGGCAGCTCATTCGGTTGTACTACTTTTATAGACGTAAAATAGTAATAAGAATGACAGGTGAGATGACTTTAATATCTATACTTGACAGAATGCAGAGGGCGAAGTGGCCAAAGGGTGTCGGGGTGTGATATTGACCAGACGAGGGCGGTGAGCTTCGCGAGGCCCTTTGGCAAATGGGAAACAGAAAAAGTCACGAGTAGGGATAATGATGAAGAAGAAGAAAACGAAGAAGAGAAGAAGAATTGGTCAAGCTATGAGAATTTACACAATACTATATCGGTTTTAATTAGGAGAAAGCAAGGCCTTCATCAGCTATTCAACGTCGCCGAGATCGACAATCTAATACCACATTCACAACCCCTAGCGGAGAAAGGGCGCAGACAAGACTAAACCCGTAATAGCGTCAGCGCGGACGACGGCAGATGGTGAAGCGTGCTAGCGTCTTGCCACAGCACCATTGCGGACGATATCCAACCCCAGCATAAGGAAAGTAGCGCAGCTGAGACGAGTTGATTTCTAAGCCCTACTCACTAGCGGACCACGACATCCGCAAACATAGGGGAACAGGGAGGACAGACAGACTGCTTGGCAAGGTAAATTTCTCAGCCTTCTTGTGGTGCCCGCCCTGGATGCTTATTTATGTACTTGCTCACGAGTACTCCACTAGAAAGGTCATGTAGCCAGTGCAAATGATATGATAACATCAGTGCGTATCTGAAAACGTCCTCGGCCGATCGCTTGTCAGTTTCAACATGAGAGAGAGAAGCGGTCTTAACGGATGTCCCTCCGCTAAGACCCGAACGAAGCCGGGAGAAGCTGGACTTAACATGTTGATAGCCGAAATACCTGGAGTATACTTAAATGTGACAAATCCCCTTGAGCCTGGTCGCACAGCCCTCACCCTCATACAACCTAAAAATCTTCACGAGTACAGGATAAGCCTTCCAAGTAAGTACTTGTTCACTCGGTAAAGATCGCCCATCACCTGGAACCGAAAGCACGGCGGCGCAAGTCCTGGCTGATAATATCCACAGCTTGGAGAACTTCTCCTGGTTAGATCGCAAAATACAATGAACCTCTTATTAGGAATCAATACGGGGATCCACCTATGGTATCACAAGCTTACCCCCAAGATCAAACGTTGAGGGTCTGTAGATGCAAAGATGTGCGCCCTATTAGTCAATGAGAACAGTTCGGACAAATAGACTGTCCGGTTGCTCTCGAATCATTTTCGGCGTGACTAACATTCCCCTTTCGTGATACCACCCATCTGCATGCATCGCTTCGTCACGCCTTGCAGAAGTGGCCTGAAATTCGAGACGGTTTCCAGCAAATGAACATGGAATGCTTTTGAAATACGCTGGAAAAGCAATATTATTCAGCGGTAGAATCGTGCCAAGCCCACTCTACCAGCCTGATTCTACAAGTGGAGATCCTCAGCCTTATGCGAGGCTGAGACTTTTGCGGAAAGTGGAGGCAGAGAGCTGCAGGATCAGCTTGCTCATGTGACTCTACATGGAGCAACACTTCCAGATCAGAGTGAGTTGTTACTGATTGCTGAAGAAGGTTTATGAGACTTGAGCTGGATGATATATTGATGATCTTTTGTCACTTTTGTTACCAATTAAATCATTATAGTTGTGTTGTGTGATGAGCATATCACACATAGTTCTGAAAGTCTTGAGCTTGTTTATAGGTATTACTCATAGTACACTACACAAAAGACCTAGATTCTAATTATTTCTTGCCCGGTCTGGTTTTTTGGGGGGGTTTTTTTTTTTCTGCTTAAACTATTAAATGCAGGCCAAGTTCACCTGTAATTACATATTAACCACCCTCCGATATTATTTTGATAATCAACAACATTGACTTTTGCAATATCGCTCAAAATTTTCCCATGTTTCTCTGACCAAATTACCGAAGTGTGGTTATAACTGAGTAGTTATTTGCTTTATCTTCAATGATAGTAGTAAATCTTAACAGTCCAGCTCATCAAGTCAGCTCAATCTACTTTGATCTCGTGTTCAATTGAATAAGTACTCCTCTGCTCTTTTCTTGAGCTTTTTCGTTCGTCTTCTTCTGCTAGAGTGTTGGAAGCCAGTCTTTCTACCAAGTGCCTGCGGTTCAACAGCATCAAAGACGTAGGGGTAATCCACCTCGGAGGCCAGTCTGCAATGCAATTAATTGATAAGTCCTACCAATTATTTGCAGGGAATTTGATATAAACTTGGTCCCAATTCCCGGACTATGTACAGGCTATTCGGCAGGAAGCCGACCTAAGAAGAACAAAGTTGCCTTCATCCGACCCTCTTTAGAGAATTCATGATATGGGCATGTAGTAGCTGAACTTCCCCTGCGGATCCCACTCCTTCTTCAGAGCCCTGAGCTTCTCCAAGCGCCACGTCTCATAACCGTACACACTCTCCAAGGTCTCTCCCCCAAAGGCATAATTAACATAAACATTAAACTCCTCGCCTGGAGGCTGGCCGTCGCGTATAAGCTGGCGCGCCTGCTCACCCCACGCGATCGCTGTAGCGTCCAGGCCTGGGTCATAGTCGTACGCGATGACTTGGGACCAGATGAGATTGTCTCCGCGGTGAGGATATGCGGTGCTGTTCCCAGGCACGGCTTTAATCCCCTGCAGGCTGTAACTTTCAAACACGACGCTGGTGGCCACTAGGCTGGGTTCGGCCAGCGTCATGTTCCTGTACAGCTCGTACATCTCCCGGTTCGTCGTGACGTTGTACGTGAGAAGGTCGCAGGAGAATTGCATGCGCTGCGTGCCGTGAGCGCATAGGGGACTGGCCACGCCGGTTCCCGAGACGTTGGAGATCTGGTCGTAGGGGACCTGGCCCTCGGTGCTGGCGACGGGCCCAAATGCTTTGAAGGGATCGATGTAGGGCGCTGCTGCTGTTGCGCCGCCCGCGTAGTTGAATGTCAGCACGAGGACTGGGTCCGTTGCATTGATGGTCGCGCTCCAGACGTAGAATAGCAGCACGCCGCCTATCTCCTCGGGGAGGGTGGCTTCCGACTGGCGGTTCATCTCGTTGAAGATATTCTCAAGCTGGTCTTCGTTGAAATAATAGAGTCCGTAGAACCAGACAGAAGATGGTTGATCGTATATCTTGTAGTCGAAGCTCGTGACGATCCCGAAATTATGGCCAGCCTGTGTGGCATTAGCGATTGGTTCTTGGTAGATCATCCATTCTTCCTTCTGGATGTGGCACACTGACGCCTCGGAGTCCCCAGAAGAGGTCTGGATATGAGTCTTCATTGACAATGATTTGTGTACCGTTCCAGAGCACGACGTCCATGGAGATGATATTATCAACAATCAATCCAAAATAACCCTGGAGACGCCCGTGGCCTCCCCCCAGCCCAGCGCCCATATTACCAACACATGCACATGATCCCGTTACTTCACGCGCCTGTCAGCCAATTTTTTCCTAGCACAAAGTGTCAAAACTCACCTGCGACCTTTCCGTACTCAAACAGAGTATGCACAACCTCTTCTATGTACACGCCGCCACCAAGGACAGCAGAGTTGCCGTCCTCGGCGATATCGATACTGTTGAGCTGGGACAGCCATATTTCGATCCCATTCTGAAGCTTGGAAAGAGTATAAGGACTTCCATGACCGCGATTCACTGCGAGAAAGGGCATGTCGATCGAGTTGGCGTACTGCACCGTGGCAGCAACATCCTCTGCCGTGGCGACCTCCACCACAACCGAGATGTTGGGCTCGCCATAGATGTTCCATCGGGACGTGGCGGTGCTGAACTCTTCACTCCCAGGGAACCAAATGCTGGAGCCATTAGACAGCTGCGGGCCAAGGTCCAGCTGGATCTCGCCAGCTGTCGGTGCTCTGGGAGTAAACCTGTGGTCAACCTGTCGCAGCACGTGAGGGACAGCCGCTGCAGAACTTGGTTGGTGGAAGCAGCAGCACAGGGCCGCAAGTATTATTATAGAGCACCTAGGACACATTTTGGACGACCTCTGGAAAGACTAGCTTTTATGAGCGATACCTGCCAGTTTCATGGATCGTTGTCATGATGTACCGAAGAGAGAATATCCTCATTTTATATCCGACTTTGAAAATGTAAATGTCGGTTCGGCTGCTCTGAAAGTCCGAATACCATGCAATCAGATGATTCAGGATGGTGAACCGAATAATCAGTGAATGAAGAAAGTTAACCTCTCTCGTCAGCAATATCCTTTCTTGAGGGACACCGAGCAATCTCTCCGTCACTGCCGTGAGGTTGGTTCCTTGACTATCGATTTTGATTACACGTGGTGTGGCTGCTCAAGTGCAGCTAATGGTAGCATAATTGCATGGCAATATGCTCTTAATGATGTTTATGGTAATCAATTCAAATGTAGAACCACGAGTTCATTCCGCGTGGCTTTGAGAGAGAAACAGCATTTGGAACTGCACTGCATAAGTAGCTGGTCTTTCGTGTGGCTTCGGTTCACACATAATTAACCGCAAATCTCTTCTCTTTCCACATGGAACGATGGCTTGGTCAGCTCATGGGTACTGAGAGCCGAGGGGAAACAGTTTAAAGCTGGGCAAAGTTGCATACTTTGGGTCTTGCAGTTGGCTGGTTCTATGAGAGATAATCATGGCTCTTTTGATCAGATGGTAGAAGGTTCAACAGGGACACCCGGTTGGGCAGCACAATAGATAGAATTCTGGGCCCATATTTGGCCATCTCGTGCAAGCTTATGCTTTATACTGATGAATACCGCAGGCTACAGGCTCCAGAGTATTCCCAGGGTGATGGATGACTTACTTCAGCTGATAGTCAGAAGACCTAAACTGGCAAGGCTGACTGACTGACTAACGGGAAGGATCCCTCCAAAGGACCTGGAGATTCGCAAGACAGGATCTGGGGCATGTGGGGCTCAGCAGTGCAGCGCCCTGAGAAGGAAACAGAGGACTAGGATGAGAAGAGAAGGAGGAGGAGGAGAAGAAAGAGAGAATAATGGGCTGGCGCGGCTCGGCTACTTGACCCAATCCATGGGCGCAGGGACGGACGGTATGGGGCCTGTATTTCACTGTACGAGGCCCTGAACACGGACGGACGGCCCCGTTCCCACATGCCGCTGAAGATGGGCTTAAAGGCGTTTGCCTGTCCTGGGGAAACTCGGGAAAACTTGAGACTTATGGCTTGCGCTTCGTCCTCGTCAGCCCAGTCTGTGTGTTGTGTGCGTGCGTGTATAACAAGGGGAGGTATCGCAGCAGATGTGTTGGGAAAGCCAACTCTTGGTGCCCTCGGCCGATGCTGTCTATCGACAGGACTACCTGCTTCCTCACTTTACTGGTTAACAAAGTTTGAGTATGCGAGTCTTGGAAAGGGGACGAGGGGACAATCTGATCACGATGCCCTGACTTCACCTCACTTTGTTACTGGATAAAGAGGGATAAGGATGAGGGATTAGCAAAGCGCCCCTGCGGCCTTCTTGTAAACCCTGGGGCTAAACCAGCAAAGCCAATGCTGGCGGGTGGCTGGTGGCTTTTTCAAGCCCCTCGAGTTCTGGAACCGAGTCGCTAGACAAGCGGGCCAGCCCATCCAATACCCATCTTAATACCCATACCCACACCACCTCTCCCAGTCGTCTTGGGGTGCTATGGTTGGGAGGGGATGCATGTCGAGGGCGGAGACAAACACGTTGACGTGCATCGCCGTTTCGCAACTCAGGCCACTAATTATTTTGTACATATGGTATGGTATGCTCGGTCACCCGCTGGGGGGACCGTCATGTGCCTCTTCGGATCCCCCTCCCCCCTTCTTTCTTTCTTTTTTTTTTCCCCTTGAAAACCCCCATTCCTTTTTTTCCCTGTTTTCTTTTCTACTTCTTATTCTTACTCGGGCGATGGATTGAGATGAACGTGCGCGATGATGACTGGACCACTTCTCTCACCTGAACTAGGCTGTCAAAGTAGCTTTGATACCAAAGTGCACAGAGCATCTATCTCGTCCTACGACATCGTGTCAGGGGCTCAACTTAGGACACTTAGCTTGTAGGAGGTTATCCGAGGGTCCTGCATTTCTAACGCCCTAACGCCCATAGTAATATTACTACACTACCATTACTTACTTATTGTATTGCCAAGGGGTCCAGTCCCGTCTCGGTAAGGACAGTCCAAATTGCACTGCTACAATGATAGATAGAAAGCAGCCCATGGGATTCCTTTTGTGCCGTTTGTTATCATCATAAATGTGATCCTTCTGCTGCTCAGGCTTTGTTGTACTACTTATTAAGTAGTCAATCTACTTCTTTGTCTTCGACAGCTTCTCTATTGTGTCAGGCGGCCGTTCGTGAGTGGCAGAGTGGCTATTCACTGTACGTTGGGTCTGGACCCTAACTCATCAGAAAAACAACAACAGTTGTCGAGGGTACCCCTGGATGGCTGGTCAGTGGGCAATTCTATTTACTGTCATAGTGCATACGCCAAATACTACGGTAGGATGTACAGTACTACAGTAGCCTGACAGGCCCAGGCCCAGGGATGGTCATGCGTTGTGGGGGGTTTCTACAACGGGCCTGACCGGGGGGAGGAGGGCCTGACTGCAGACCAGCAGCCCCCCAAAAAAGGCAGTAAACTCCACCACTCGGTCCACCCAGCCAGCACTCCTTTCGCTCCTTTTCCTCTTCCTTTCCTTCTTTTTTCTTTTTTTCCCTCGCTTCCCAAAAGGTTACAATATTCTTCCCGTTCGAATAGAGGGTTACTTGTTGAGAGAAGGAAAGAAAAAGACACTCAAACGAGACGAGAGACGACTCCAAGGGCCGCTGTGCAAAAAGGAGTAATAACGGCATCGTCCTCATGTTCACGGCCGACAGACGACCCGTCAGATTCGAATACGCCCTACTATTTGGTTCCCTGGGGGAGGAACCCTTCTGAGGCCTAGGATTCTACCTTCTATTATCTACCACTCCTTTGGTGCAAGCCTCTGCTGGCCCAGTCCACGTCCACCGTCCACCGTTTCCCGTCCCCATTCGGCTCGGTTCGCCGCCACTCAAATACAGACCAGACAAGACAAGTCAGTCAGTCAGTCAGTCAGTCAGACAGCCGAGTGCAATTTCGAATCCACTGGTCATCTGTTGTTCGTGCACAACCACCGGACGGCTGCATCCTTCCCCATTCCCAGTGCTGGAGGTCATGTTTACTTCGCCCGCCCCTGCGACAACCTCCTCCCTCTCAGCGGGCGTTATCTCCTTGGCTGCTGGCAACCCAGCCTCGTCGTCTGCGTCTCACGCACGCCCCCACCATCATCACCCTCGCCCTGACGTCCGCCCTGACGGCCCATCATCAGCATCGTCATCGTCAACCACCACCTCAAGGACAAGGAGGGGTCTATCATATCTACGAAACTATACCCAGAACCACCTTCTGTCCAGAGACCACAGCAGTAACAGCAACAGCAACGCTACCAACTATCCTACCTCCCCTGTCTCTCCCGTCTCGCCTACCTCCTCCTCGTCCTTCTTCAGGCCCGCACAAGGCCTCACGCGGTCCGCTTCAGACACTCCCTCTGCTGCCACCACCACCAACAACAACAACATCACTACCTTCTCGGCTACCATCGCTTCGGCTAGTGACGCCGACCGCTCCATTACCAACTCGCGCCGTTTCACGCTAGTGCCCACCTGGACGCATCCGTTGAACACTTCCTCCTCTTCCAGACAAGCCCTCGACGACGACAACGGCGAAGGAGAAGAAGAACAGACCCAGCCGCTGACCACAACTCGATCTACCCCTCTGACCGTCAACCTCCCACCATCACTACCACTACCTGGTACTGCCATCACCACATCAGATCCTGAGCAAGAGTCGACGGGCCGACGCAGTATGACGCGGTCCAGGTCAGCTACGACAGGCACTGTCATGGCTGCTTCCTCCTCTGCTGCTGCTATTGTTGGCAGGCCCACCGAAGATGGCACCGGCCTCAACGGTATTCTCCCCTCCATCCGCTTTTCCGTCTTCGTCGACCCTCGAAGCACTCGTCCCTCCCTCCACTTCTCCCCGATAGCCCGCACCCTCCCTACCGGCCAGGAGGTCATTCGTGTCGGCCGTTATTCCGAGCGGGACAGTCAGCCTCCGGTACCGACCAACGCCCCGTCCTCGGCCCCCGTGGGCTTCAAATCCAAGGTCGTCAGCCGTCGTCACTGCGAGTTCTGGTACGAGGAGGGCAAATGGTACATCAAGGACGTCAAGAGCAGCAGTGGCACATTTCTCAACCACATACGGCTGAGCCCTCCAGGTCAGGAGTCTAAGCCGTTCCCCGTCAACGATGGAGATGTTGTACAGCTGGGCATCGATTTCAAGGGGGGCGAGGAAATGATCTTCCGCTGCGTCAAGATGCGCCTGGAGTTGAATCGCGGCTGGCAGAACAAGCTGAACAAGTTCAAGTAAATTCCCTCAAAAGTAGTGTGCCCCTCTTCAACTTGGTACTGACGTTTTGACACAGTATGAGCTCGCATAAGCGACTATGGAACATGACCAAGAGCGAGGGGTCAGGGAAGGACTACTCGCAGGACTGCTCCATTTGTCTGAACTCCATCGCTGTAGGTTCCCCCTCCAACCCTCTTCCTCTTCAGACCTGCCTGCTTTTCTTCCTCTCTCCCTAGTTGTGCAGGTGTTCTCTACAGGTCACTTACTGACTCATGATCCTTATTACACAGCCCTGCCAATGTCTTTTTGTTGCACCATGCTCGCACACATGGCACTTCAAATGCATTCGCGCCCTCTTGTCCGGACCAAATTACCCGATCTTCATCTGTCCCAACTGCCGAGCCGCGGCCGACCTCGAGGCCGAGGTAGAAGATCCCGAGGACTGGGAGGAGCTGAACGGTGAGCTGGACGGCAAGGACAACGCAAGCACGGACGAGAGCAAGAACAAGGAGCCGCGGCTAGACCCTCCCGCACAGGTAGAGGCCGGCAGGTCTTCAATGGACAGAATAAGGACGTCACTGGAGAGGGCCCGGGCATCGGCCGCCGAGAGGGCGGCGAGGACCTCCATGGAACGGTCCCGCCCTGCGAACCCGCCCACGACACCCGCCCAAGACGAGACGCTCGACCCCTCTGCGTCCGACTCCTTGATGGACAATGTGGCCGTGGCCGATGCACACGCAAGCGATGGCGGTGCCAGCACGCCCTCGACAACCGAGAATTGCCACACGACGTCGCATCCGATGCCTATCCCAACCACCACACCCAACGCCCGGAGGACTCCCAGCCCAGGCAGTGGGGGGCTCCCGACGACTAACGGTCACGAGGGGCCGATCACGCCGCGGAATGATGCTGGCCCCTGGGTCTTTGATGGGAGTGGAGCGAGGATCGGGCTCGCCCCCCCAGCAGGTGCCAGGCAGAGCCTGAATGGCGTGGTGGATGCTATGGATATCGAGGAATGATACCCTTTCCGTGATCACGATGGATTGTCTGGGGTAAGGGGAGGAAGAGGAAGAGGAACATGAAGAACAAGCCAGGGATTGCAGGCCGGAGAGCCAGTATACGTCTTAATCAACATCGCTGGCCGTGCCAGGCTGAGAAGGTGAAGGGGAGGAAGGACACGGGAGAAGCTTGACATTCACCAAAAAAACATGGTTTAACAGTTCGGATCAGTCGGATCAGCCGGAGGAGGAGGAAAAGAGCATGAAGAAGAAGCAACACACAATGCAACAATGATGATGAAGCAGGCATATGGCAGATTGCACTAGTGGGAGCTATGAGGTGTGCTTTCGGACCAGCGAGCACTTGTTTCCCCTTCTTTCCTGTTTTGGTATCACTCCTTAATTTTTTTTATCCTTCATTTTGGTGTTGCTATTTGTTCTCCCTCGGCATCAGGGGACATTCTTCACCATGTGCGTTGACGACGTGTGAAGAGTGTCTACTATGATGATCTCTGTGCACCGGAGAAGAACTTGGGACGCACACTCACACAGAGAGAGGGAGGGGGGAAGGGAAAGAGGGAGAAAACCTGCTCTTTTACTCTGCATAGCATCAAGGTGGGAGGGGAAACTTGGACGGGAACCAGAGCATTTATGCTACAACCTGCTGGCTACCCTTTTCTTTACCTCTTTGCATTATTGGAAACAAAGAAATAGCATGGTCATGATGTATCTGAGCACGGTCAGCATACGTCCAATAATTTGTAGAGCAATGGGATTAATTGAGAGAATTTGAGGTGTGGAGACTGGACGATAGAGGTAAAATAAGTATGTATGCTTCTGTATAGAGAAGGCCTTGTGTGGAGAGAGACACACACAATCACACACCAAACAAGAAGTGTTGAATGAAGTGATTGTACGAAAAAGAGTTGAGACGGAGATGAACGATTTGATGGCTCTCAGAGGCTTCTCTTCTACAGTTAGTACGTTCATCAGATCCACTAAAGACTTTGTAGGACTGTTGTATCATATGGCTATCTATTTAGGGATGGGCTCTAGTAATTGCTGTGTTCTCATAATGTGCCATCATCGAAGCCCATTTGTAAGAAAAGAAAGATGCAAAAGAAAATCAGGGTCCTTGAGGACCGTTGTATCAGGCTTTGGGAGCCATTTATAAGCGCCTTCTGTTTCCCTTTCCTCGACGCCCGAGTACGCCCGCTATGATTGTTATATGCTTTGCCAATGACCCCAAAATGATAAAGCCGCAACAGGTATCCTGTTCAATCGATGGAGGAAGACATGAAAAAAAGAACCAGTATTGACCAGCCGAAGCTCAACCACTATTTGAATCTCTCCGGCAGGGAATCCAAGGCAAAAGGGCACCCATACATAACATTATAGCCTGATTCTCTTCTCCCGTCTATAGCCTCGATCTGACAGCCTCCAGTCGGTATTTGACGTTCTGGAGAGGCTTAGTCGTGGGCTTCCAGTCGTCAAAGCGCTTCAGAAGCTGATCTGTCTCTGTACTTAGCTCCGTCTTGACAAAGTCCTCTTCCAGTAGACCTCGCATGATCCACGGTAGCACGTAAGGATTCGGTTGGGCAAGACCTTCGTATCTTGCAATCTCGCAGGGTACGGAGCCAGCGTCCGTTGTCTCGAGGGTATGGGAGATGGCAAGACTATAGAAGTCAGTAATTGCATCCTTGTGCGGAATAGGGAATGTTGATCACGGGCAGGAAAAGGGATGAGGGGGATGGGGGCAGCTTACTCGTATACCTGGTCGTCGTCGTAGAGCCGTGAATGGCCCTCGCCCCCGTAGAGGCTTCCTGCAAGCGGTATGGACAGCTCGCGAATGAGACCATGATCGGAAACGCCCATGTTGCGCAGTTTGCAAGCGAAGCCGACGAGATGAGTGATGAAATCTGATGCGTGTAATCTGCCATCTATAAAGACAGCTCGATAGATGTACGGATGACTAGCCGGTGAGTAGATGGCAGACTGTGACTAGTTCAGTAAATATCGTCTGTTAAATGAGTAGAGCTTTGCTTACTTCCATTGGGACCAGCTGGTCATCAATGCTCCCCACATACGTGATCCGCACCCCGTACTCTAATGTTTTCTTTAGAGCTGCCTCGTATCTCCTCGACACTTCGCTCTCTGAGTTCGCAAATTCCCACAGCTCCGCTGCAGTACCCATGAGAATACCCATGCTGCTCTTGTACTCGGCAAATGGCCCAAGGCTGACACCGGCCATGGCACAAACTCCAACCTTGGCATTGCCGATAGCACCGGAGTCTACCAGTTTCTCTAAGAGCATCATCGAGACGGGTACACCTTGGGAATGACAAGCGATCACTACGAGGTCCGCTTGCCTGATATGATCCATCCAATTCTGAAGCAGGGTCCACAAGTTTTGGACGCGCGCCTCGATCTTCCCTTCTCCCTCCAATGCGACTTTCTCAATCTCGCAGTCTCCACAGCCATGGCTCTCTGCCCATCTTCGAATGCCTTCCGCACAATGGTTTGCAAACTTGATCGAGGTTCCCGTGGGTTGGCCAATCATGGGGCGTAGAAAGGTAGCCGGGAACAGTCCGTGTACTCCAATCGCGATGGCCTTCCTGATCCTGGGAGCTTCGTTCTTGAGAAACACATGCTTTGCTGGTGCTTGTTGTGCCCTCAGGAGTAATGCTGTGATCTGCTTCAATATGGAGGGGCTTTCTTTCATCCTATAAGTATCTTTGAAGGAGGGTAGGAGAAGATTGGGTGGAGCGGATTTGGTCGCAGTCGTGGGCGTTTTGGTCTTGCCTTTAGACGGAGACTCAATCTTAGTAGAGGTAGCGTCGGATTGAGGTGTGACAGGCCGAGAGGGTGTTTTGTTGAGATCCAAGGACTGAGGTTTAGTCTTCTTGGTCTTCTTGCTTAGCTTGTCCTTGCTTTGCTTGGCCTTAATCGACTGGCCCCTCGAAGGCTCTTCCTTTAGTTGCTCATCTCCACCCATGTCTTTTGAGTTGGCCCTCAGCGGGCGTCTCTCTGATCGGTCGCCTACGACAGCCAGCTCGCCAGTCTCGGGACCTGGTGGCTGTTGCCCAGGCGATTTGGGCGCGTCCCTCGACCAGAATGCCCATGTCGAGCCCGCTGAGGGCTTTGAGGCCGGTTCAGGATCACTCAAAACGGGGCCTTCCACAGACGCATCCTCCGGTGCAGGTTGCGTTGAGGCTTCTGCTGCCTTTGTAGACTCCTCGCTGCACCCCTCTGGCTCGGTTTTGGCAGACCAAAAAATATTAAACCAAGAGGCCGCAGGCTGTTGACTAGATGTGATTGGAGGGGATTCTACTTCCGAAGTACTGGCCGTGGCCACTTGCGTAGGTGGATCGGGGGCGGGCTCTGATTGTGAAGACACTATGGGCGCATCTCTAGCTCCGGCCGACTGGTCTGCTGGCACGGGGTTACGACTGAACCACCCTCCTAGCCATCCCGATGGCTGTTGTTGCGTGTCAGCTGCTGGTGGCGCATTCGCCATGGTGCCGTCTGTATTTGCTCCCATATCGGCGCCCGTTCCGGGTGCTGCTATGCCATCGCTCTCTTCCCTTGCACCGAGACCCTCCCGGGTCTTGACCTGATCGGCTTGCGCTTTCATCACAGACGTATCGTTCCTCGCAACGGAAGCGTCGACGTTTGTCTCGGTGTCAGTCTCGTGCAACTTGCTGAGTGCGTTGACTGACGCTTGACTTCCACCACTCAGACTCGCCGTCTCGCCATTCTTCTTCAAGTCGTAACGGTGGAAGTCAGGTGTAGAGCCAGCCTTGAGTGGACTCCCTACTATTGTCTCGCGTTGTAGTGATGTGGAAGCAGTGGATTTTCGGGTTAACGATCCATACCAACTCTTAGTCTTGTGTATCTACAGAGAGTGAGCAAATCAGTATTGTACTTGTAGCCTTGTTTGTAACCGTGCATGCTGCCAGTACCAGGCCCAAATGACGTACTGTCTTGTACCCTTGTTGGTCTGATTTATTGCTTCCATCTGTTTTATTGCTTGAGCTCAGCTGTGGAAGTGGAGGAGGTGGCATCCCTTTGTCAGGTTCCCTCCTGGATGTGGCTGGTGTTGTTGATGTTGATGGTTCAGACGTAGCAGAGGACGAGGAGACCTGTGACGTCGTAGTTGCTTGGCTGGGCTGCAGTGTTGTTGGAGCTGCTGCTGGGCCAGCAGCTGAGCTGGCCTCAGCACGGCCTCGTCGAAACCTCTTTCTAGGGCTCATGAGCAGAGACTTGGTAGATGAATTATGAAGACCTCTGGTGAGGACTGTCTGGGTGATATCATTATCCTGAGAACAGGAGTGTGGTTGTTTTTGTTATGGTCAAGTTGGTATGAAGAAGAATCCAAAGTGTCTCTGATCTTTGTTTGCTGTACCCTGAATGCTATGGAGTCATTGGCACATGCCTGGGCCTGAGACCCCTGAAACCCTGTATGTTCATACATACCTGCTGACATGGGAGCCCCTCCCTGTGGTCTGCCTGCCGAGGCCAACTGCGTGTGCTTATCGATAGTGCACATCCCTGCTTGGGCCTTTGATTTTTTTGATTTTTTTTTCTTGGCCTTGGAGAGTTTGCTTGTGAGTGCCACTTCTCTTGTGATGCTTTTTCAGCAGCTTCAATTCCCTGCTCATCACTACCAACAGGTCTTCTTCGCTTCCATTCCACCTAGCAGAGAAACTCACCACCACATGGAACCATGAGTTCTCTAAAACGGAAGGATGCGCCGTCCACCAATTCCTCCACGCAAAACGTGAAGCCTGCCACAGACACGAGGCCCTCGAAGAAGGCGAAATCAGACAAGCCAGGCAAGAGCGAGGAGTTCAAGAAAGGCTCGAAAACCACTGACAAGACTCCCTCATCTGGCCCGGCAATTGCGACCATCAAGGATGAAGAGCCATTGTTCCCTCGAGGCGGCGGCAGTGTTCTGACACCTCTCGAGCACAAGCAAATCACCATTGAGGCCAAACGTGATGCGCTCTTTGAGGAAGAATTCGGCAAGTCGGCCAAGACTGGAAGCAAGGACTCAAAGAAAAAGAGGCGCAAGTCGTCCACAAAGGATGCTGAAGGAACGCGCAAATCAACCCGCGACGAGGATGCTGTCAAGATCGAAGGTCTGAACTATAAGGTATGCGCCTTCGGTTGAGGATTTTATCCTAGTACAAGAGAGGCTGGCTAACTCGGACATGCAGCGACTTGTAAAGGGCTCACTGGTTCTTGGCCAAGTTTGCGAGATCAATGACCTTGATGTTGCTTTAGCTTTACCGAACAACCTTGTCGGCCATGTCTCCATTGCAGCCATTTCACCAGCCCTCACAAAGCGAATTGAGGAAGCCGCCGCTTCCGACGACGCCGACGCCGACGCCGACGCCGACAACTCACCTGACGACGACATTGATACGAAGGAATTATTCGACATTGGGCAATACCTCCGTGCTTATGTTGTGTCGACGATGGAAGACTCGTCTGCACTGCCAAGCAAGGCGAAGAGGCGCATAGAGCTGTCTCTCCGGCCAGAGGACGCCAATTCGACTCTGTCTCAGCAAGAGCTGGTCACGAACAGCACTGTCATGGCATCCATTGCGAGCGTGGAAGATCACGGTTACGTTATGGATATTGGCATTGCAGGCTCTAACATAACCGGGTTCATGCCAAAGAAGGAGGTTGATCCCAGCATCTCCGAGGGCCGGTTACAGCCAGGCAACGTGTTCTTGTGCATCTCCACAGGCTTGAGTGCGAACCGAAAGGTGGCTCAATTGTCTACGAAGAGCGACAAGCTGGGCAGCTGCAAGAACTTTCCGTCCGAGGCAACTACGATCAACACCTTTGTCCCTGGGACTGCCGTCGAGGTGCTTGTGTCTGAAATCACTGAACGTGGTCTCATTGGGAAGGTCCTAGGTCATCTTGATGCCACGGCCGATCACATCCACTCGGGTATAGGGCCAAATGGTACAGACCTCGCAGCCAAGCATAAGGTCGGGTCAAAACTCAAAGCGAGGATCATTTGCACGTTTCCGGAAGCGAAGAAGCCAAAACTGGGCATCTCGATTCTGGAACATGTCAAATCTTTGCAAGGTGTCAGCGCCAAGGTTGGTGACGAAGGAAAGAGCCCTCTGGAGGCGCTGCCTATCTCTTCATTTGTCGAAGAATGCGTTGTCAGACAAGTCGAGACCGACATTGGTCTCTTTGTTGACGTGGGCATCGAGGGGATCCCTGGCTTTGTCCATATCTCTAGAGTTAAGGATGGAAAAGTCGACGGCCTATACGAGTCCAGCGGTCCGTTCAAGGTGGGATCCAAGCACCGGGGCCGCGTCGTTGGATACAACGCCTTTGACGGGTTCTTCTTGCTTTCGTTTGAGAAGACGGTACTTGACCAGCCCTTTCTGCGCGTCGAGGATGTGCCAGTAGGAGGCGTCATTAACGGTGTCGTGGAAAAGCTTGTCATCGGCGAGAATGGTGTTCACGGCCTCATCTTGAAACTTGCGGAGGGCATATCAGGGCTGGTCCCTGAGATGCATCTTTCCGATGTTCGTCTGCAACACCCCGAAAAGAAGTTTCGAGAAGGCATGAAGGTCAAGGCGCGAGTCCTGTCAACCAACCCATCCAAGCGTCAACTCCGCCTCACTTTGAAGAAGACCTTGGTAAACTCGGATGAGAAGCCTATCAAGTCATTTGATGACGTTTCGGTCGGCATGCAGGTGCTGGGAACAATCATGAACGTCCTCCAGAATGGCGCTGTTGTCCAATTTTATGGCCATTTGCGCGGATTTCTTCCCCTATCCGAGATGAGCGAGGCATACATCAGCGATCCCAAGGAGCACTTCCGCCAGGGCCAGGTTGTCAACGTGCATGTGATCGATGTCGACGCCGAGACCAACAGACTCGTCGTGTCTTGCAAAGATCCTGCAGCGTTCGGCATGGACAAGCAATTGGCCCTCAAGAAGCTCAGCGTTGGTGATCTTGTTTCGGGCAAAGTTAGCCAAAAAACCGAAGACGACATCTACGTGGAGCTAAATGACAGTTTGCTGAAGGCGGTTCTTACCGTCGGCCATCTGACAGACAAGTCTGCTGCCAAGGATCGAGCCGCGCTCAAAAGGATACACGTGGGGCAAAACTTGAACGATCTGGTGATTCTGGAGAAAAATGAAGGCCGTCGGGCGCTCACAGTGACCTCAAAGCCGAGTCTGGTTGCTGCAGCGAAGGAGGGCAAACTCCTTTCGAATTGGGAGAAGGTCAAAGCTGGGCAGCTGGTTCATGGATTTGTTCGGAACATCACTCCTACAGCCGTCTTCGTGCAGTTCGGTGGCAACTTGACTGCCCTCCTTCCGGCAGCCATGATACCCCAAGAGCAGCAGAAAGAACAGGACTTTGGCATGCACAAGCTGCAGTCAGTATCCGTTAAGATCGTGTCTGTCGACCGGGATCATACTCGAGCGGTCGTTGCTATTCCATCGGTTGCGGATGCAAAGGAAGAACGATCTAGCAAACCCAGCACTGCTGCAAAGTCTGTTGAGAACCCCGTCGATGATTCGATTCAGACCGAAGAAGACATCGCTGTGGGCAAGATCACAAAGGCCAAGATTGTGTCTATCAAGAGCACACAGCTCAACGTGCAGCTTGCTGACAATATTCAAGGCCGTGTGGACGTATCGCAGGTGTACGACTCCTGGGACAAGATTGGGAACCCAAAGAACCCTCTACAGAAGTTCAAGCCGAAACAAGTCATCAAGGTCAGAGTTCTCGGCGTCCATGACGCAAGGAATCACCGCTTCCTCCCCATCTCACACCGTTCGACACATGCCTTGATCGAGCTGTCTGCCAAGCCAAGCGACTTGAAGGAAGAAGGGGAGCTTGAGATGCTGTCGCTAAGCCAGATCGAAGCTGGATCTGAGTGGACAGGATTCGTCAACAACATCAAGACGAATTGCCTCTGGATTAACCTATCGCCATCTGTCCGTGGTAGGATGGCCATCAACGACGCGTCCGATGATCTGTCTCTGCTCAGCAACCCATCTGGAAGCTTTCCTGTCGGCTCTGCAATGCAGGTGCGAGTGAAGGCAGTGGATGCGTCCCAGAACCGTCTCGACCTTACAGCTAGGACCTCCAACTCGTCGAACGCAATCACATGGGACACCATTAAGAAAGGGTTGGTCTTGCCTGGCAAGATCACCAAGCTCAGCGATCGTTATGTCATGGTGCAGTTGAGTGAAGATGTCTCTGGACCGGTTCATCTCGCAGACCTCGAAGATGACTACGACGAAGCGAAACCCAAGAAGTTTGCCAAGAACGAGATCATCAGAGTTGCAGTCGTTGACGTCGACGCAAGCAACAAGAAGCTGCGGCTCTCCACCCGTCCATCGCGTGTACTCAGCTCCAACCTGCCAGTCAAGGACCCGGAGGTCACAACTGTCTCTGCTCTCGAGGCTGGTGAGATAAAGCGAGGCTTTGTCAAGAATGTTGCCGATCAGGGTCTCTTCGTCAATCTTGGCGGCCACGTGACAGCGTTTGTCAAGATCTCTGACTTGTCCGATTCGTTCTTGAAAGACTGGAAGCAGAATTTTCGGGTTGACCAGCTGGTCAAGGGCCGTATCATTGCAGTTGATGTGGCTGCTGGGCAGGTGAACATGAGCCTGAAATCTTCCATCGTCGATAACGAGTACGTGCCTCCAAAGACTCTGTCTGACTTCACCGAGGGTCAAGTGGTCACCGGCAAGGTGCGTGGGGTTGAAGAGTTCGGCGCTTTCATCGTGATTGATGGCACTGCAAATGTCAGTGGTCTATGTCACAGAAGTGAGATGGCAGAGAAACATGTGAAAGATGCCAGGAAGCTGTACAGCCCAGGTGACGTTGTCAAGGCTCGCATCATGAAGATTGATCTCGAGAAGAAGAAAATCAGCTTCGGTCTCAAGCCGTCTTATTTCGAGGATCAAGATTCGGACGAGGACATGGACGATCTGGATGAAGATGCTGGAGCTCTTCTTGGCTCTGACGAGGACGACAGCGATGACGACCAAGTGTTCCAGGATGCCCCTGAAATTATCATTCGGGGCACTGACAATCAGACCGATTCCTCCGAGGGTGAGGACGAGGATGATGAGATGGCGGAGCCTGGCGATGACGAGGGCCTGGATGCTGGTGGTTTCGACTGGTCTGGTGGAGCCCTTGATGCCGCAGCTGATAACCTTGATGCTGAGTCCGACAATGGCGACAGCAAAGACAAGAAAAAGAAGAAGCGCAAGCCAGAGATCCAGGTCGACCGCACAGCCCAACTTGACGCCAATGGCCCGCAAACGGCAAGCGACTTTGAGAGGCTCTTGCTGGGACAATCGGATTCGTCCGATTTGTGGATACAGTACATGGCCTTCCATCTACAAGTCAGCGAACCCGCAAAGGCTTGCGAGATTGCTGAGCGCGCCCTCAAGACGATCAACATCCGCGAGGAGGCAGAGAAGCTCAACGTCTGGACTGCTTACCTGAATATGGAGAACGCTTACGGCACTAACGAAACCCTTGACGAGGTCTTCAAGCGGGCTTGCCAGTACAACGACGAGCAGGTGGTTCACGAACGTCTGTCCACCATTTACATCAAGACTGGCAAACACGATGTAAGCTTCACCACGGATGATTCCCATCAGACAAATTACTAATGTTGCCCAACAACAGAAAGCGGACGAGCTCTTCCAAACCATGACCAAGAAGTTTGGCGCCAAGTCTCCTACTGTGTGGACTAACTACGCACACTTCTTGCACAACACTATTGAAGACCCCGAGCGTGCCCGTGCTCTCCTGCCCCGTGCGACGCAGGCGCTGCCTTCACATACGCACGTCTCGCTGATGACCAAATTCGCGGCTCTCGAGTTCCGCTCCACAAGTGGCGACCAGGAGCGCGGGCGGACAATGTTTGAGGGGTTGTTGGCTGCGTACCCCAAGAAGTTTGACCTTTGGAACCAGCTGCTGGACCTTGAAATCTCCGCGTACGCCACCGCCCAGAAACAAGGCAAGGAGGCCGACGCTACGGCGGTGCGAGGTGTATTTGAGCGTGGGCTCAAGATGAAGGGGCTGAAGCCACATAAGGCGAAGGGTTGGTTCCAGCGGTGGGCCAAGTGGGAAGAAGGGAACGGCAATGCCAAGAGTCGCGAGAAGGTCAGTGCCAAGGCGAAGGAGTGGGCAAGAGAGGCCGAGGCAAGGAAGAAGGCTGCGAATGCGGACGGGGATGAGTGAACATGAACTCTGAGAAGCTTGCATCGGTGAGCTGTATGTGTGTGTGATATAATACCCCAAAAAGGTGTGCATAAGGATGGGTGTTGGGTTGGGAAAAGGCATTGACAATTGATATCGATTCTTTCCTGTTGACCTGTGCCTCTGCTGGCCATAACTTGTCCGTCTCAACTTATATTGATTCTGATTAAACCGTCTTGGGCACAACAACCCGTCAAAGATCAGCAACAAAGAGCACCAACATAAATTACACAGCCTTTAAGAGTTGAATTGAACATGTCAATTATAATGATCGATTGTTTGTCATATTGTACAAGACATCATGAAGCCTTCATCCTTCTGTCTACACTAACAAGGGGGTTAGATCAAATCTCCTGTCCTCTCCTTTGGTCAACGTCAAGAGAATATCTTCCCGAGGTGTTTTGTTTTGCAGATCACCGTCCCCTCACTCTCCGCAACCAGAGCCCCGTCCCTTGAAATTCCCTATCCGATGTGACACCTCGGGCGCGCGCTGCGCAATCCTACTATGGCACACACGCACACAAACACACATGACAGATGTGTGTGCTTGATGACATGCATTGCAGCCACACTCCTGCAACCCCTCCTTCATTAGTCACACGCACAACTTGGGCATATATCATCCGAATCTGAGGCCTGCAGGCATGAGCTGTGAAAGGGGGGGGGGGGAGTTTCGGGCGAATGAGGGCTGAGGGATAAGAGATGTCTCGATCTGGCCACGTGCAGGATTATTATGTTCCTTTCTTTTCTCCGAAAGCTTTTGAAATTTGATATGTGAATGACTTTAATTGATGTTGCCATTTGCCTATGGTACTATTTAACTCTTCGTACCAACCGGTGCACGCCACGACGCTCGTGGGGAGGAGTCGGTATGCGGTCGCAATCTGTGTCATGCGCGGGGGGGGGGTGGTTTTTTTGTGTGTGTTTTTCCTTTATTGGCTTTTCCTTTTCTTTTCTTCTGTTTCGACCCACTCTCGGTATGTGCCCCCCCTTTTTTTGCTTCTTCATGGTTTTACTTAGAAATATTACTCTTTTTTCTTTGACAAGGGAAGATGCTGCAGGCTGAATTCGGTAAGCCGCGGATTTCCATGTCTGCTTTGATGCCCAAAAGTCAAGAGGTGGGTAGGTTCTGGGGCAAGACGCATGGCATGGTACGAGGGGGAGGGGCGGGGTAGAGATAAGCTCATGATGCTGCGAACGACTCGAAGGAGGGGTAGTCCTGACAAAAAATTGAAGCGCCTTACCGTAGTAGCTCCCTGGAGCTGAAGTTGCCTTGTCTTGTGATATCGTGTCTTCCTTGTTACTTTTTCTACTGCAGCCCGACCGTCGACCACACATAGACCTATCGTTTGTCACCAAGCCCCTGAAAGCGAGATTCCTATCATGGCGAGTAGATGCGGTCAAGCCCATCCCTGAGCTTGAGAGAGGGATCAAATCTCAGGGTGCAGGTGGTATGAGCAGTGGGTAATGGTAGTTGTATTTTGTTATTGCGTTTGGACCCGCAGTATGAAATTCCAACCCGCCGGCATTTGCAGTGGGCGCGTTGCGGGTCCAAATCGTGAGGATCCCCTGCCCTTGGTCCTATGTCAGATCTTTGATGGTGACATTTCTTTCCTCTTCAATTTTCTCCTTCACTCTTCTACTTATTCTTCTAAGAAGGCGGCTCCGTCGGCTGTGGGTGGAAATAAGCAAGAATTTCATTCGACACCGGGCCGGAGGAACTTTTGGAGTTGCGCGCAAAAAGTGTAAGGGGCAATTTAAAAAGACCCTGCATGCTCTGAGACCACAATTCTCATGGAACGTGATAGGAAAATTTTTTCAGAGAAAGGAAACAGAAGTTCGGGAATGGAAAATGACTTTATTGAAAGCGAAGGCAAAGAGGAAGGTCGATCGATGGGTTGAAGATTTGCCGTCGTGCCTCGTTACTTGTGGGGAATGAGCGGGCGAGGTGTTGTGCTGGACAGGAATGAACCAATATACGTGGATTTAGATATCTCGTAGATGACATCTTGATCGACGACATAGCAGTGGCATGGCCAACGAAATCATGTTGGAGTGGGTGAGTGGTGTGCGGTTGGATGATCAGTTGGTATTGACCTACCATAGTAGTGAGGATGACAAAAACACAGACGTGTGAACGAGCAAGTCGGCGTGGGGAAGGGAGGACATTCTGCTGAGCAGAGTTGTGTGCCCATGCCCAAAAAAGGTACGTACCCCTGCTGCTGCTGCAACGCTATGTACTCCTACTGTGCATGCTGTGGCCACCCGTATTTGGTCATGTTCCCATGAGGAAGGAACATTGGGTTTAGCCAGTGACGCCGCAGCAGTAACGGCACTACATACGATAATGTGGTAAGTGGAATATGTACGTACCCCGGAAGCAACGGGACGACCCTGACATCCCTTGTCTCTTATCCCTGACTATCTTCCCTGCTCCTTCTCTTATCAGCAAGGTACGTACCGCAGTACGTACATAGTGGCTGTACACACTGGGGTGAGTGAGTGACACAATCATTTGTCCTCTCGTCAGGTCAGGCTCAGGCTCAACTGCAGGGCACACGCGCTGAGAGGCCCAACAGCTTCCCTATCAGTGCGGCCGCCCGGAAGGCGAGGCGAGACAAGGGCATTTCTGCAGTCTCGTTTTGAGTCAACCAACCCCTGCCTGGGCCTGGAGCTTGACTGTCACTAGACATCCCTCAGGTCCCTTTCTCTCCTCGAGACGTCCAACTCTTCCCTCTCTTATCGCAGCTGTCCTGTCTCTTTCCTCTCGTCACCATCGCTATTGTCATCATCACCAATATATTGCCATCATCGCCATCATCCACCAGCTGCCTATTCATTATCGCCCTCTGCGACCTCGAGATCGACCTTTTCCCTCTTCCCGTTATCAAGACTTGGGTACTGCTCCAGTCGTGCGTGGCCTTTGATTGGTACTCCGCCGACTTCCGATGAGGTCACACCAAGCGGCAGCCCAGGAACCGATGACAAACTTGGCTGGTTGAATCTTTGGTTGGAAGCCGACTTTACAACGAAAGAAGGAGGAAAAAAGAAAGAAAAGACCAACCAAACACCTACAACGCCAAATTTGACTTTGGGCTTGGCCTAGAAATCCTACGAACCAGCATACAGGCTGCAGGTTTGGTCCAGGATCTATGTGGTGGATGTCATAAGTGGGAAGACGCCGAGACACGCGACCGACCACACGCGACAAAGAAGAGCCTCTTCACGGGACTCTCGAGAGGGTCATTCTCCTGTGTCGTGGCTTGGAATTCGTATTTCTTTGCACTTCGTACAGTGCAGAAAAATTAGAATCGCCGAGGCAGCGCAGAGGCAACGCAATATCTTGACTCGACTCGGGTTTACATCAAGTAATTTCTTTTCGGCCTTCGCCTTTAAAGGCTTCTCTCAACGATTTTTCTCGTTCGATCCAGCAGGGCCCCTGCGACCAACGAGATCTCGACGCTTTAGGGAGGTTTCTGGAAGCCCAGCTCGACCCATCTGGCCAGTTACCGACCCTCTTCTCTGTCTTTCTTGCACCGCGGCAGAGTCCAGGCCGCCTGTTCCTCTTACGTACTGTTACGTACACGCAACTGGACCCTGAACCACCCATCCCCATCCAGGCGCATCGACCAAGCACCGAGGAACCCCAGGCCCAGCCCTGCCAGCTTCGACACCTGTCTGTCACTGGTCTCGTGCATCCTGCCGTGTGCGTGCAGTGCCATAGGCCAAGACAAAAAAAACACCGTCATAGTTCTCCTTCCCGGTTTGCTGGGTCATCCCGCGTCTCGCAGTTGGCCACGACTCTCCTTTGGGCCCCACAGCTTACACGGCGGCCGCTTGCGGCTTCGCTTCACCATAACGAGGACAGGACACCCCAGGCGCCTGTGCTGGATCACGAAAGGGCCAGCCGGTCATGTCCAACCGTTAATCGGATCTAACACCGACGTGCCGGTCCTGTGTCTGCTGCGGCCAAGCCTTATCAATCGTCAGGCCTAAATTGCCTGACCCGCCGCCCACAATGATGTCTCCCAGGTCCTTTCTGGTCTCAAGACAAAATCAGCCCCAGACTCGCCGTTCTTCTCGCTCCTCTCCTTCCGCCTCCTCCACAACCTCGTCACCTCTCGCCTCACCACAGCTATCTCCTGTATCCTCCACCACATCGATCTGGGGAAGATATGGTCGCGACGCGACCCAAATATTCCCGAGCAGCCTTCCCACTGCGAACGTCACTGCCACCACTGCGCAGAAGATGGCCGTGAACACACACCAGTCTGTCAGGCCAGCTGACGGCTCACCACTCTCTAGCCCTCCGAGCTCTCCACCGGCCGACGCGAGACCAACCACTCCAACAAGTCCCGTACAGATACCTACAAAGTCAAAAAAGATCGCCGCCCATGGTAATCCTCCACACCGCGCTCACCGGAATCATGACGAACGCAGGCATCGTTCCAGCTCTCCGCGATGGAGGGATACCTACTCACCTGATGCGATCCCACCGTCTGTCGCCGCGCTGCTGGCCGTCACAACCATTCCTGCCCCGAGGAGGAACTCGCGACAGCGTCCGGCCAGGGAGACAGAAAAGCGCATGACCGTCGAGTCCTTCCTGCAGAGCGAGGATTCGGAGAAGGAACTCAGCTTGAACTTCATCAGAGGGCCTCTAGATGTCTTGCTAAGCCCACCTGAGGAACTGGCGGATGATTTCTTGTCGGCTGGAGAGGACCCCTTTATGTCACCTATGTCGACCCGCACGGTGTCCTGCGAGTCTGTGCCTTCGCTGGCAGACTCGTTTTCGACAGAGACGTACTCATCTGTCGAGAGCCCCCACAGCGCCTCAAGGCCTCGGAGGATACGTCCTATGAGGAAGTCACTCACACCAGTCTCCTCGCCCCCGGGTCAGAATGAGGACCACCCTCTCTACCGACGCGAGACGGACGCAGAGGAGCTGGACCTCACCGTCTTCGATCCCTCACCTGAAAGCGAGGAGGAGAAGAAGGAAGGGACGAAGATGTTTGGACCATTCCGGTCCGCCTTCAAATCGAATCTGACTGCCAGTCTACGCGCGTTACGGAATGCTGCACGGTCTTTCTCATCTATGAACATGCCCTCGATCCCACCCGAGGACTTCCTGACGAGGTCAATTCTGACCCTGGAGCCCAACGTACCGTTCACCGACGAGCGTATGCCGCCCACGCTAGAGGAAGAGCCCTCGGCTGCCGTTCGCAGGTATCTCAACCCGACTCAGACGGCTCGCTTGGAGTCGCAAGCCAGCTCTTCTGCGGCGAGTCCTCATGGCTCTTTTACGGCTTCCATCCAGATGCAGACGTATAAGGTCCACCGATCGCGAAGCGCACCACCAGGCACCCGTGCATCGCGCTCCTCCAGCGAACCATCAGCCCGAGGGAAGGAGGCTGTGTTCTCGTTCCCTCCAGGCCCACGCCAGCGTGAGATGCGGGAAAATTCTGACTTTATCCGTGTGGCTGTTATGGAGATGGCCATGCGCAAGAACGGCAAGCTGGACGAGCAACGCCCCGGTCGAGCCCGATGGGCCCTCCCTCCGAGAAAAGCGAGCGCGAGGGCATACGAGATTGGCGCTGATGGCGTTCCAGCTCGATGGGTTCCGGTTACACATTGAACGATACCGACAGGGCATAGCTATCACCACGGTATCATCACCACGATGTACCGGTCCAGAAACAGCTTATCGATTCCGACGCAGCACCTCACTCATCCGGGCCAGCCAAAGACTTTGCACCAATGCGATACGACTCTTTTCTGCGAGGTCATCAAAAAGACGATGCCCGAACAGCCGATATCGCGATTTGCCCGGCGGTTTGGCAGGAGTCTGACTCGTCATGTCAACACATCATTTTGCATCCGTTACAAGGGTCGCAAAGTAGCGACAGGACCCACGCCCCACCATCCACGCTTTAATTCCCCCACCAGATCCAATTCATGCAAGCGAGTGGGGAGGACTGGTAATCTTTGGGAAACTTTGGCTCTTTGGACACGTCGCGATCCTCGAGAGCAAAAAGCTTGAATTTGAGGGAAGAGCTGGGGTATGAAAGAGAGCCACAGCCCGGCGGCTCGGTGGAGCCAGCGGCGGAGAGACTTGCAGAATTTGCTCAGCGGATGAACTCGCCACCGTTACATCACTTCCACCTCGATCAAGGAGACATAGCCCATGACAAGTCACAATGGCCGAGGCTGACCATGGAACCGACCAATCAAACCCTGTTACTCGGACCCGAGACAAGGACCATACGCTCGATCAGTCGTCTCTTTCGCGCCAGCCTTGGGGATCGAGATTTTACGGAGTATTTCGAGGGCAGCAACATCGCGCTCGCATTATTTTAGAAGGACCACTACGTTCTGGTACCTTCTATTCTGGGTGATCCACTCCCCCTTCGCGGGGATTTGACGGTTATATTGCAGTTCGTTTACATTTATTCTGATTTCGAACGGCGAACGAAAGATGTTTGGCGGGAGACGGAGAGAGAAGTTGCTCGCGCGACATGACGGCTCCTGCAGCCTCTTGAATCCGGGGGGGGGGGGGGGGTTTAAGCGATTTCCAACATTAGGAAGGGTAGCGAAAGTCTGGAGTTCGACCACATATCCACATGTTCGGCGTTTTTCAAACGGGATTTTGTTATTACGGAACTCGAGCATTTGCATGAGCATGGCGTGGAAATGGACTGTTACATTGAAAGAGCAAATGGACGACCACGAGAACAGAAGTTGTACATACAGACATACAGGCATACATATACAAATCTCCTGCGCCCTGGGTGAGGAAAGAAAGAAATCAAGACTTTCAAGATCTATTTCTGGTTCGAAAATCCACTATGTTGAAAAGCTGCAGCACCGACCCAAGAATATACCGAGTACTTACTTGGTCGCCAGATTCTTGGAATATTATAAGATTTCCGACGCATAGTTGTGCATATAGTAGTAGTATATATAGATGTTAACACCCCCCACACCCCCTTAAAATCACGCCAGCAATATGTCTACCTCCCCCTGCCTTTCGAATATCTCATCTCATCATAGTGTGTGGCGCCACCAAACAAAAACTCCCTCGAGAGGCCCGCCCACCCCTTTTTTGCTGTCTTGTCGACCTCAACAAAGAAACACCCACCGACCATTCCCCCATCCACCCCTAACCTTGATCCGAGGAGAGTTGTCATGTGTAGAACGAACAAACATGCGCCTCCCAATTTTTTTTAAAAAAAAAAAAAAGTCCGCAACATAGCAACAACCAAAAAAGGTTCAGGTCCAAACTCCATTGCCGGTCTTTTTGCTGTTCCCAATACTCTTCTCTCTTCTCTTTGTGCTTGCTGCACTGAGTGGCCCAAGAAAACCTGCCTGACACCCTTGTTTGCAAATCACAAAAAAATCCATACGGTTCCCTCCCAAGGATATGCAGATGGGGTTTGTATATATATGTACAGCAGAAGTAACATTGTCGTTCTCAAAATAAGTCATGGGGTTCCACCATTCAGTTCTTGGTGTCGAGGACCTGGACCGGTTTGTTTCTCTCCTTCTTCTCCTCTCCGGCAGTCCTACTGCCTTCATCTTCATCTTCCTCGATGACTTCCGCGTTCTTGGACGACCATCGTGACCCTGGATGACGCCTGTCCTCGGCGCCGGACTGGGTCGTCAGTAATTTAGGAGGTGGCATCGCTTCCCCCTCGCTTTTGGAATTGCTGTTGCCGTCCTTGTTGTTGTTGTTGTTGTTGTTCAATTTGCTCGCCAGGGCTGTGAACTTCTCCTTGAAGAAGGCACCTGCGTCCTTACCACCGCTCTCGCTCCTCTCCTTGAGCCCACCAAGCATCGTACGCGACCGGCTAACGACCTGCTCGGGAGAGCCGCTGCTGGCACTGTAGGCTGCTGAGCTCATATTGCTGCCCCGCCGCTGGTTGATACCGAAACTCGTGCTGTTGAACGAGCGCATGCTGCTGCTGGAGGAAGGGCGGAGCATGGAGATGCCAAAGCCCGAGTACTTGTTGTTGCTGGAGTCAGACGGCGACCGCTCCTTGGGTGTAGGTGGCATCATCTGGAAGCTGGGCACCACAGGGCCGGTCGGGATCTGTGTGAGAGGTTTCTGCGAGCTTTCTCCGCCGGAGCTGGGGGCGGTGATGGTGGAGTTGGTCGTGACCTGCAGCTGACTGCTGTGCATGGACTTCCCGCTGGATGCGATGCTTGAGCCGCGGCTGTTGCTGCGGGGGATCTGGATGGAGGAGCCGGACTCCTGAATCGAGCGCGGTGGCGAGCGCGAGAAATCGTGCCCGAACAGGCTCGATGAGTCGTCCCCGCTGCCATTCTGACTGTCGCTCATGCTCGGCGCGGCGATAATGACCGAGCTGCTGGCAAGCTCGCGGAGTTTGGATTGCTGCGCAACATTTGGTCGATGTCTGAACTTGTTGCCAATAATGGCGCCCGTGTGGCTGATGAGGGCCTTGATCACACGACTCTTGAAATTGAGAGCGAGATCAAGGTTCGACCACATCTTGTTGTGATACTCGATGGTTGGCAGGCGGAAGACAAAGTCATGGACATCCTCAATGTTGCGGTCGCCTTTTCCTTTGTAGCTGAGGCAGAGAACGACGGAGGGCAGCTTGATATGTGAGAAGGTCATATAGTTGGATGCGCGCGAGATCATCTCGGTCAAGTCGTCCGAAGGTTCATCATTCTTGTTCTCTGACCTGCGGAGGCCGAATCGAGACTTCTTGACCGTGTCGGAGCTCACCGAACTAGTCTCATTCTTGGACGACAAGGTTGTGTTTGTGCGGTTCACGCCAGCCCGTGGTAGGTTGGTTGAGCGTAGTGAGTCCCAGGACTTCTTCTTGGACAGCCCAGGTTTGCTTGAACGAAAGAAGCCAAACGTTGATGACTTTTCACTGGAGTGAACACTGGGCGCCTTGCTCCTAGTCGGGCTCATCTTGGTGTCCGAGGTAAGCGTCGGCCGCAGCCGCAGTTCAAGGGACCCAGCGCGGGTCTCGAACTGTCCGGGGTCGAACGCAGACCTCTCTGATATGGCTGTAGCGGGTCGCATAGGTTCTTGCAGCAGTTCTTCCTCGGCCAAATTGTCCCCGCCGGGAACATTTTGCTTGGACATCAGCGGCGAATCGTTCTTCCCGCCATTGGCCGAGAACTTGTCTCCTCCCATGCCTGGGAATACATACTCGAAGAGCTTCTTGCCGATTTCCCGCTCGAGCTGGATCTTTAAGGGGAAGAGGTTGACCTCGAAGTGATCCATGACTGGGATACCGGCGACAGCCTCAAGCATATACCAATACACGGTGACCATGGGTTGGCCTTCAGGGACAGACGCCGTCCGCGGGTCCTCGAAGAACGGTGCCACCATCTCGGGATAGAGTGCATCGTTGAGCAGATTCAAGCCAAGGACCTTGCCAACACGGATCAGGTTGATGTGGGACCCGTCAGAATTGTCAGTCCGGTCGTACTCCACGTCCTTGAGCTGGAACTCGCACAGCGGCTCGTTTGCATCCCGCACCAGATGCCACACAATGTCCTTGACCGAGATGCACCATTTAAGTAGAGCATTGCCCTGTGTTGAGTCGTATTTTCTCTGCGAGGTTGTGATGGCCTTCATCATGAAGAAGAGCTCATCCTCGCAAGCGGCCAGGTCTCTCTCGACCAGTAGCCTGTCTTGCCATCCTTGCTTGTCGAGGTATTTGGAGTGGACCTGGAAGTGTGACTTGATGTCTTCCAGCTGTCGAATCCGTTCTTGCAACTTGATAACCATCTCGGGGGTGCCCCGGAGGTCGCTGAAGTCGGAAGCAAGCATGATCTTCTCCAGACGCTCGCTGCGTGTCTTCTCCAGGGGCTCGCTGTACATCAGCAAGTCGAGCACGATGACATATATGGCGTAGTACTGTGATGAGTTACAGATTGCTCTCGCTTGCGGGAACTCGACCGTGAGATTGTCCATGCGCTTCTCCGCATTCGTATCGTTTGACTCGCCATCCGCGCCATCTCCTGTGTTCACATCATCATTGTACTTGAGACGGAGAGTGTTGTATTTGTCGTAGCGCAGCATGGCAGAAGTCTTCTGCACCACACGCTTGAAGCCGACAGGATCTGTTTGGTAGTCGGACATGACTTCCATTGGCACCCAAGGCGGCCATGCGGAGCCACTCGGTGTCCCATAAGTGCTGCCCGAGTACATCGAGAGGAGCTGAGTAGAGAACCACTTCTGGTGGGTCACAAAGAACTGGGTGCTGTCCATGTTGACCAAGAATCGACGTTGGACGAGTCCACTGACAGAGTCGGACAGTCTCTCCTTGTCGTTCACCTCGACGACCTTCAGTTCCATGCCCTTGCTAGTGATCATGACAACGTTGTTCGTGTTCTTGTCGCTTTGGAGCTGGATCTGAGGAGCAATCAGTCGGACATGGTAACTCTTCTGCGGAGTAAAGCCTTCAGCGATGCCACCAGTCAGATCTTCCATGGAGACGTTGGGTACGTCGTCGGCTGCGCTCTTGGCATCATCGTCAGCGTTGACGTACTTCCGCCCGTCCTGGAGGATTTTGTCGATTCGGTCCTGGATGTCGTCCCTCTCCCCTTGGGTACCATTCGTGTTGGTCCTGTTGGCATGTTTGGCTGAGTCCTTGGACGCCTTTGCGCTCTTCAGCTTGGTCTGCTCCTCAACAATGTCCAAGATAAACTTGACCGCTGGCCGAGAGAGGTAGTAGATGAAGCCACGGCGCTGGCTGACTTGATGAATGTACCGCAGGATGATATTCCGCAGCAGGTTGTTCCACTTGAGCTGCAGATTATGTAGGACGAAGCGGTTCAAGAAGTCGCTGGCGAACTCGGCGCTTGTGGGGAGATTGATAGAATGCTCTCCAGAGCCCACGGAGGTATCTGACTTGCCGCTGCCCAACTCCGAGCCGGATTCGTTGGAGCGGACGGGAGAACTCGTCATCTGATCCAACATATTCTCGAGGAAATCCTTCTTGTCGTGTAGCACGCTGCTGTGCATCAGGAGCGCATTCAGCGCATTGTGCGCCTCGAGATCGTCATCGCCTTGCCGGACCAGCTGCAGCTCTGCATCGCCAATCTTGCGTGTATGATTCTGCATCTGCACATCCAACTGGTCAAGACGCTGCTGGACAAGCTGCGCTTGCACGCGGCGGGGATCGTCGTCTTGGCTCATGATGCACAAGTGCGTCGGCTCAGAGCCAAACGGGCTTGTTCTTTCGGGATCACCGGCAATCACGCCACCAATATCCGTTTGTCGGAAGTAGGTGAGCCTGGGACAGAAAGCTAGGGGAAGGATCTTCGTATCCGGGTTTGGCTCTGACGGTAAGATCCAATCGAGCTCCACGAAGTCGTCCATGTCGATCCAGCTAAAGTCATTGTCAGGAATGGTGAACTTGGACAGATCCGTGCCGTCCTCCTGCTGCTGCGTGATCAACGAGCCGAGGTTGTTCTTCATGATCGCCTCTGTCGTGGTGCCCTTGATGCTAGCAGAGACAGCACGGATATCTGCAGAGGCCAGATCCAGTTGCGCGGCGTGGATCTTCATTCCTGTAGTCCGGCTCTGCGTCTTACGGCTCTTGTCACTGGTGTTGAATTCCTCGCGCCTCTGGTGGATGTCGAGTTTGAAACTGTCGAAGCGAACCTTGACACCTGTGGCAGACACCGCATTCTCATCGTAGTCCTCGACATCCTTGTGTTTGTAGATATGGCTGAGAAACAGCGGAGCGAATAACAAGTTGTACTTTATGGTTGCGAGGTGTCTCCCAAACTTTTTGCTGCTCTTCTCCCGTCCAGGCCACAGGGCGCCCTGCCGGACAGGCAACGACATCGCGCCACCGAACAGCGACCACCATGCAAAAAAGTGAGTGAAGAAGCGGGGCGTGAGATGTACGGCATTGTAGCTCCGCGAGGCCTCGACTTCGGAAGACGCCCAGTCTCGATCGACGGGGGCCCTCACTGCGATCGACAGGTGAATGTACTGGCTCCTGAAACCCCTGAAGGCATCGTAGGGCTGTCCATTTTCTCCTGCTTTTGCATAGTTCGGTGCTTTGAGATTCACCTCGTAGTGCGGGCGAAAGTCGAATCTCCGTTTGCCGTTCTCGATTGCCTGCTCAAACACCAGGCCTGCCATCCACTGCACGTTCCCTGACAGCTTCATCACGACCTTCTTGAAGACAGTACCTGACTTGACGCTGTCCTCGCTGAGGACGCTGTCGTTGTCATCTTGGCGTCGGACCGTGTCGCGCGCGTAATGGCTGAAATCAGGAATGGCGAGGACATACTCGCCGCTGTCGACGATCATGAAGCGCTTTGGATCATCGTCGGTGTGGATGTTACACCTCACGTCGTTTCGCCAGCACATCATGAAGCCAGCACCATTTCCAATGACTTGATATGGGTCTCTTGCCCCCTTGAGGCAGAAATGGACGTCGCCATCCCCTTTCCAGGCGACGCGCACGCGCGAGTGGAAGTTGAGGCGGATCTTGTCCCAGAAACCAACGCGTTCTGAGGGGTCCAGTTGTGGTTTGGTAAAGGACTCTATGACCATCATCATGTCCTGGATGGCCGGCTGGTAGGACGGACCCCAGGTGATTCTTGTTGGCAACGACGTATTGATATCCACAGTCATGTCGGAATAAGACTTGATGGGGCCAATGGTGCGTCTAACATCAATGGCAAAGCCGCGATCATTCCCTCCTTCAGATTCTGTATTTCGTGCTGGTATGACATCGACCCGAACTCGCCTCGTAGACTCGATGCCGCGGAACTCTTCTGCAATCACAAAGTCCGTCTTGAACGATACGGCAGGCAGGCGGGTGGACTGGCTTGATTTGAGGCACGGAATGTGTAAAAGAGGTAAGGGGTAATCTCTCAGTGAGACTTTAGCCTCGCCCATGCTGATTTGCACGTTCATCGGGATGAGGAGAGAATACTTCATATCGCGTGGCATGCCCTTGCCAACCTTGTGAAGGAAATCTGGGAGGTGCTTCATCGGGAACGAAGGCTTATCGATGGTGAAGTGTAGGTCGTGGATCAAGGCGGACATGAGTGCAGCCCGCTCTGGTACCTCGAGAATGTCCTCTCCATCGTCGAGATCGTCGGGCACGTTGCCTGTGCCCCAGAAAGTACTCCTTATGTCGTTCATGCCATTGCGTGCCATGGCATAGAAGCGATCAATCCGGGTCTTCCAGCTCTTGGCATTGTGTGCGTTGAGCCTGGCTCGAGCATCCGCGATGGAGACCAGGGTATGTCCAGTGATCTCACAACCGTTGTCCGGATCATATCTCGGTGCACGATCGCGCTCACGACCAGCACTAGAGGACCGTGGCCGACGGCCGTCAGCACTTTGACTCCTGCCCCGCCAAGACGTGCCAGAATGGGTTGAGCGAGCTCTTGGCCCTGTCGAGCGAGCCCGGACGCTGGTCTCTCTCCTCGCCTCCTCGTGGATCTTCTTGACCTTGACCCGGAAGGCTTCCTCCCGTGCTTGCCTCTGCATCTGCTCGATGCGTCCAGCTCGATAGATCATGCCCAGCTTCCACTCAAATGCGCCGTCCTCCAGTTCAAAGAGCAGTGCTTTGGTTCTGAACGACACCTTGGGCACATTCTTGGGCTCCACTGGGCCCTTGTCCAAGATGTACTCGTTTGTGCCGGTCTTGAAGCGGTGGTGCAGTTGCTCGACAGCTTTGATGACATTGGTGATGTTGTCCGAGACTTTGCTGACGATAAATTCGTGGGGAACAGCCCCCCTGACAGCCTCTGTCACAATGTCGTACATCTTTTCGTCCTGATACCCGCCAGTCGCCATCTTACGACGGGATTCTCGATAATCAAGACGCCCATGCTTGATGCTGATGATCTTGGCCCACACACCACGCATCCTGGGGGGCTCCGAGTATAGCCTGATTAATTTCGTGTGGAAGAATGGTGACGACCAACGGTGTCTTCCCGCTTCGAGATTATAAACATGCAACATCATGGGCGGGTCTGACGGCATGTCTGCTTTGATTTGCACAAAGGCCGCCTTAAAGTCGATGGCAATGAGCTCAGCGCCAGAACTGGTGTCCTCGGGCTCCTGGAAAGGAAAGTCCGGCATGGGGGGTGACAGATACTGCGAACCCGAGCTCTTGTGCTTCGGCGTGGCAGGTGTTGATGGTATGTTTGGCGATGCAACATCACCGCTCCCATGCATGAAGGCCTTCCGCAGGACTGACACGGCTACACCGATCGCATAATGTCGGTACAGAGAATACTGCACCAGTAAGGTCTTCACATGGGAGTGCACGTGGAAGACAGGTCCTTGGTTGTCGGTGTTGGTGGAGAAGGCTACCTCGAAGCGAGGCATCCTGATGAAGGGATCGACTTCCCACCGATCGGCCGACTCGACTATAAAGGCCTCCAGGCCACGAACATGGAAGGCCACGCGGCGCCCATCACCAGGGGTCTGATGCTTCTTTCTCGGAGACGCAGGGAGGTTCTTGATGATGTCTGGGTCGATAGACACGCTGACACGACTGCTCGCGCGTTTCCTGGCCCCACGGCGAGGCAACCCGTCCAGTCTTTGTGCCCGATACTCGGCAGTCCAAGACTCCAAGCATAAGGACATCCCCCTTGATTCGTTGGAGATCTCCTCGTCCATGCCGGCAATCTCGGCGCTGAAATCTGATGCCTGTAGCTTGAAGTGCAGGAGCCATGGGGGTAAACTGCGTAGGAAGTTGCCCTCCTTCTGAGACTTTGAGTAGCCGCGCTTGTCCGGCTCTACCCTGAGACGAAGTTGCCGGATGATCTGTCGCAGCCCATCCGTGATCTCAGGGCGAACCAGTCGGATAGAAAATGTCTGTAGGTTGCCAGCAGCAACGACTTGCACGTCGGGAGATGCGCTCAGGTTGACCTTGAGGTCGAACGATTCCGTCTCTACAAGGTCGAACCGCTCGCCTCCCGACGTCTGATAATAGAGATTATGAGACTGCACCCTCAGGTTGGAAGCTAAGGAATAATGAAGCTCCTCCACGGTTGAATGGAACGACTCCGCGTCGAGGGATATTGACGATATGGAGGAGATGATTAAGTCGAAGTCATCAGGATCCGCGTCCTTCTTGACGGGCGGCAATGCAATTCGAAGTACGGGTTCGTGCATGGAGAATTTGATGTTGGCTTTCGGAAGCAGTCTTGAGATGAGCCCATGCCGCTCTCGAGGTGGCTGTGGGCTCCCACCCTTTGGCCTAGGCCGCATCATGGCAAGCAACAGCGGAAGATGCTTTGGGTCCAGATCCACCGAAGGAGAGGTCACCACAGAGTTGGCGAACAAGATATTGGCGTTCCTCTGCTCTGGGTCGCTGGTTCCAGAGATCTCCACAGTCTTGGAGGGCAAGGTGGTCCTGACGGTCGTAGTCGCCATGGGCACGTACATCAGGCGCTGTGGACTTCCGTGTCCGTCATCCAGCCCTATCGAGATCGATAGCGCAGCAAGTAAGGCCTCGTGCGCAAGGTCCTTGGAAGGGAAGTACATCCTATGTGCCGGAGACTTTGGGTCCAGTCGGTGGAGATCGATGCCGACCTCTTTCATGGATGCGTTGAGAATGACGGGCGGACCGGCGGTCTTGACAGCCTCGATCTTTTTTGTCAACGCAACAAAGCTGACGGCAAACTGCACCTCCTTTATGCCGCGGAGTATCGAGCTCACAAACTCCTTGGAATCGGAGACCGTCTGCATGAGCTGCTCGTCGGTGCTGCCCGGATGATCCATCTCTTGTATAACCTTGTCGACGTACTCCTCCATCGGCTCCTGCAGGGGAGGAGAGGTAGAGGCGGCCGCCATCTTGCTCTCCCGGGCCCTCTTGATCGAGTCGAGAACCTCATCCAGAGGTACGTGGACACGGCCCAGCTTCAGGGCGATGGAAGCCTCCCGCAGGCCGTCGCGGGTCTCGTACAGGAACCCGTGCACGTTCAACGTGAGGTTGTCGAGGACCTCGAGTGACTCGGCACCGAGGGGGGTGAAGAGCACACTCCGGACTGTCATGATCCATTCGGCCTGGCGTTTCCCATACCCCTTTCTTGGTCCTGAGGCCCAAAAGAAGCGGGCCCGGTCGACCATCTTGCGCCGGGTGTCGACAGCAACGGTGACGCTGCCAAACTGTACATTGCCCACACCCACGATGTTGACGGTCGAATTGGTGGCTACAACATCCACCATGCGCAGCCAATTGACATTCCTGTGTAGCTTCTTGATGCGCTCCTTGATGCGCGTGAGCTGCTTCCACGTCTCGCTGCGCTTCTGCGTATTGGTCGGACGCCGGGCTATCGGGGTTTTGGGCGGGTTCAACGCCGACGGCGGCGACGACGAGCGGGTGTCCTGTCCCTTGTTATAGACCGCCGGGTCGTCAGGATCGACTGCTGCCGTCCCGGAGATCCTGCTGGCCTCGAGCTCGTGGATGTCGACAGTGACGACGAGCTCGCTGACGACAACGCTGAGCCATGTGGGCTGGGCAAAGGTCGGCCTGTGGACGTTGAGGCCCAGGCCCCTGATCTCGATCTTGATCCCATCCTTGGGGACATATGCGAGGCGGCGTAGGGAGAAGTAGCCAATGCGCTGGATGGAGAGGCCGGTCAGGAAGCGGATGACGGCGAAGAGGACAAAGGAGGATAAGTAGAGGACGACGAAGACGCCGAAGATGAAGGAGGGGTTCAGGAGGGCCATGTCGTCGATGTGGTGGTGGCCAGAGGCAGCGACGCTCTACCTGGCGCGTGCCGTTCTGCTATCTGGGAGGTAAAGAGACTGTCAGTATCCTCGTGTCTCGTCTCGAGCCGGCTCTCCGAAAGATCCGCCTCGGGCCGACCTACATGAACAGGGCTGGATCGCTGGCATCTTCCATTGAGGGACTTCTCTCGAACGGGTGTTGAAGGGCAGCAACAGTTCTCGTGAGGAAACAGCGGAAGCAGGCGGAAGCAGGCGGAGGAGAGCTGGTAATGCGATCGTGAACCATGCAGGCAGGTAGTACGGTGGTCGTCGCAAGGAGGTTGTGGGTTACGGAAATCCGCAGAGACTAATGTAGGTACTGTATATGCTTGGACCGAGAGTGCGATGCGATGTTGGTCCGCAGTTACGTTTCCGTCATCCACCAACAGGGGGCGCGCCACCCGTTTGTAATCACAGTCAGCGGTGCTAGCGGGAAGGATCCAGTATGGAACAAGAAATAGAATTGACGCTGCGGCAGTACATAAGTGACAGAGCACTGTCCGGTCGCGAGGGCCGAAAGGGTGATGAATATTGGTGCCAGGGGGGTCTGGTGCAGAGAGTAGAAAGAAGACGAAAAAAAAAAAAAGGTGAAGCTCCAAATTGGGGTCGACGTGTAAGTTGGCGAACGGTTGAACGGTTGTTGAGCTCGAGCATACTTCCCGTTCTGGCCGAGATGAGGGAGCACTGGGTTTTGGAGGTACATTGTGCTGTGCTGTTGCAGTACTTGGCATCACTATGGCCCTGTAGGGAGTTGTCGTGGTATCTGCCCAAGTAGCTTTTTGGAGATACTGTAAGTTCTGTCCCCCGCCCCCCTTCTGGACCGCCACAAGCCCCAACACCCCCGGCCTGCCTTCCTAGGGCAGATACCACCCTACACAGTAGTTAGTACAGTAACACCATAGCATCACTACAGGCGAGCCCCTCCGTCCATCGCTGAACCCGGCGTCTCGGGAGCGGTTCAGGGCCCACAAGGGCGGTACCCATGCGAAGTTTCAGGGGGTCCACTCTTCATCTGCACCGAGATTCTGATGACCTCTGCTTAGCACTTCTCAATTTCTTTACGAATTAATTACTCCTCTAAATCTATGTCTCCTGACGTTGGTGTTCTCACCGACATGCAAGTGTCTTTCCTTCTCCTTATCTTCTGCACGTCAGCAGTCAAAAGGTTATGAAAAGCAGACAAGCAGCCCATGCCTGCTCACTTGCTGGACATAGACAAGAGCGGCTCAGCTGCTGTGGTTCACCCTCCGGGCTTTCCATAGTAGGAGCCTCAACCATTGGCCATGCAAGCAAGCCAGTGTCATCAGTGGAGAGCTAACCTATCCTAGACTTCCTGTCATAACAACCCCCCCCCCCCACTCCTTCTCCGTGGGGAAGGGCTGGTCAGAACATACCTTCTTTTATAAAAGAACGACTATCCTCGCCATTCTCGCTCCCGTCTGATTCTCACTGAGGTGACGGGACTGTCAGGCTTTTCTTTCTCAGCCATTGCATGCCTTCTACAAAGTTGGTGACACGACCTTTACCTCCTTGTCAGAGTTGAACCGCCCCTCTGTGGTAGTACAGCAATGCCAGCAAATATGTCTCTTCTTCACACGAGGCTGTACACCAGTAGGGCGCAAAGGTCGAGTGAGCAAGGTTTGCCCCTTGATTTCTCAGGCTGGACCTGCAGAGGGAGAGTTGCAGCTGATGCTGATCATCGGAGCTGGAAACTCAAGCGGCATGCATAGACTGACAGGGGCTTCACGGAGACGATGGCAGCCTGTGTCCGCGCAGGATGCAAACGCCATCCTGGGCAACAGATCTCGCCCAGCCTCCTGCAGGGCTTTTACTATGCTCGGCTCAAGTCTTGGCGATACTCTTGAGAGCCATCCTTATAGATCGCTAGACATCATAACGAATGGCCTTAGAAACGAAACAAGTTCAATTGTCAGTAAGGAACAAGTCGCACAAGCTTTCGTCAGTATGGATCCCAGTATTGCGCCGGCGTTAAAATCACATGATGCCACCGACTGGCCAGCCTCGATCTCAGTGCCTCGATCCCTAGCAAATTCCGAAATGTCAGAAAGCCCATATTTGCTACGGCCAGCCTCAGACGCATCTCTCTCGTCTGCAGCAGAAGGAAGACAGAGTCTATCGAATCAGGAACGCCAGGTCGCAGCCCTCCAACAGGCCATCGATGCGTTTGATTGCAAGCGCATTCGAAGTATTCTTCAAGATCGACCCATACTGCTGCAAACATGGCGTATCGACCCGTGGAGCTCGCCGCCCCTGCACTACGTGCTGCAGTGCAGATGGGGAGACAACGTCCCGGAGCAGCCGCGGCTGGAGGCCGTCAGGGCTCTGCTTGAATCTGCCACCGGGGACAACATCATGTTGAGCGTTGTCAATGCGACGGATGCGAGAGGCTGCACTGCGCTACACCTGGCCGTCGATTTCGAGACCATCACGCAGTGCCTCCTGCAGAATGGCGCCGAAGTCGACCCACGCGACCATGATGGTTCGACGCCCCTGCGCTGTGCAATTCTGAGCCACCAGAGCAGGACCATTGAGATCTTACTCGCCTCTGGGGCTAAGACGGATGCCTACGATATGTTTCTCCAGACACCCATGGATTGCGCTCGAGGCCGCGCCGGTTGCTTCCTGGTGGAGGAGGACGAGGAAGGAGATGAGTGTGACATCTTGACATTGTTCAAGAAGCACGACCACGACTTGTGGGCCTGGGAAGCCCAAGGGCCGCCCCGGTATACAACTTCTCTCCACTTCAATGGTCGTATATCGGCCATTTTTCAGTCTAAAACCCGGCACGGTGATGATACCGACAATGCTGTTCAGATCAGGTACGTACAGAACGCCGCGAAGCCGATATTCGAAATGCTCTATGCAACGACATCTCTGGCCGAGGAGATTGGCCGTCGCCAGTTAATCTCTTGGTTGTCATCTGGTTCGAGCAGTTCCCAGTCCGTATCGAGCTGCTGGATACACTTTCCAGCCACAAATGTGAGTTTTCTTGAGAAAAGACAGTTCTGAGGTTGTTTATGACGCTCATCATGACCGCTCGGGGTGATGGTAGTTTCAATGGTTACAAACTGCTATGGACAAAATCTTTCTTCCAACTACAGATGACCAGGGAGAAGACAGCGCGACCTCTTCTTTGCTTGGAAGGGATAGTGCCGTGAAGTACTACTGGATGAGAGTTTTCATGGCGAGAATGAGACTCCCATTATGTCTCACAACTCCCAAATATCATGTGAGTGCCCAGATAGAACTCTGTCTTCAAATTCTCCAAATTCTCCGTGACAGGTGACTGACATGGTTATAGCGAATGCAATTACCAGGCGTGGCGGACGGAGACGCCTATTTCGTCGTAGTAAGAAAATCCAATCCCATTTACTGAAGTCCCTTGCTCGCAGGGCTTCTCGTTGTCCTGTGACTGACAATGTTCAGCTTCCAATCATCAATATGGATGTTCAACAGCCACGGTATCATGGCCACAAGACTTCCAGCGACGAAGGGCGCCAGAAAAGGAGAGACGTGCAGGAAGCAGCGAGACAGATCCTTGACTGTTGGAAGGCAGGAGACCGGCCATCCCAGGTGACAGAGCACGTCGTACGCCTGGGCGAGCTGCACCAAGCCTTTCAGGGCGAGATCCCCTCGGCAAAGACTTTGGATGAATACTGCCACGAATTCCTAGAGGATCGAGAGCTGGCCCGCCGGGATAGAGCACAGGTGATCTCACGCTACCTGGAGAGGAAACGCTCTCGGCCCCGTGAGAGAATCGAGGCAGCCCGGGAGCACGAGAGGGGCCATGACCTGGAGGAGGGTGCCAGGACGTGTGACCATGGCCTCAATACCCAAGACCAGATCCTAGTGGTCTCTCAAATTTGGATCTGGAGAGTGAAAGGTTTGTTCCTCAGAAACCCACCAGACATGCCTTACAACCCCGATTGGTCATTTGTGTGCGCACCTGCTCATGCCACCACAGATCTTGTCCTTACTGCGTATCCAGAGGAATGGGATTGCTCCAGCAAACTATCACTACCGCATGAGATTCAACAGCGGTACGACCTGGTTTCGAGTGAGATTGAGGAGGCCGGCAATGCGCGACAGCAACATGGCCCCGACAGCTGGTCTGCTACCAAGACTGAGGGCAAGCGCATGGCGAGAATCATTGTCGAGGAGTGTTTCAAATATGAACCTCACCTGTCGGATGGTGGCGGGAGCTATCTGAATGCTTTTGCCAGCGAGGTTGCTTTTGTGGTGAGTCATCTTCCTCTTGATATTCAGCCCGCGGGCTCTGCATTGCGACTGTTCACGTCGTGGCCAAGTCGCGAACTGACAAGTCGACATTTAGTCTGGTCAGGTGACCAAAGCGTACGAGGAATACAAACGATGCATCGGCCAAACCGCGAGGACATTCAAAGATGCCATTCGAAAGGAGACAGACTATCTCCTCCTGATCGACGACATTCTCGATGAGCTCGCTATGATACGCAGAGTCCAGGAGGAGAAGGAGCTGGTTTGCAGGGATCTCATGGAGTTTGAGGAAAAAGAGGAGCAGAATAAGTTGGAGCGCTGGATGAAGCAGGCCCAGATGAAATTGAAGCGCCTAGAGGAGGATGCACAGAGGGTTAGGAAGTCGGTGAGTCACTGCCCCAGCCCAGTCGGTCGTGGATCGCAGAGAAGATGTCTCCTTCTCCTCTTTCCTCCCTGGCCATTTTCTCGACTAGATGCGTGGGCTAAATCAGTCGCAGCTTGTCACTCTTCTGGACTTGCGGCAGCGCCAGGTCAATGCGGAAGGGGTCGTCAACTCGGAGCTGCAGTCTAAAATCTTCGTTGTCTTCACAGCAGCGACGGTGGTTTTTGTAAAGCATCCCCATTCAATGTTCTCTTCCCTTTTTTGTATTTCAGATGCTAATGTTCGACCACTAACTAGACGCCCTTGTCATGGATCTCGAGTCTGATGGCTTTAGATATTGTCGACTTCAGCCCACCAGATTCACAGCCATGGAGTCGGAATCAGGCCTTGGCAGCGTCCCGTAAGTTTATTTCAGCGAGAGAGCACGCGCCCCCGTAAACCGTCACCCAGCTAATCAATGATTGTTCGCACAATCATTAGTTGTCACCATGGCTGCCTCTGTCGTGCTCATCCTTCTGTGCCTCCTCGGATGGCGTTGGTATGAGAAGATAAGTTCTAGTGTACAACATGAGGACCCATCTACCATCTACGGATCAAGTCGATTGTGGAAGAGAGCATTGCGATCTATCGGACGACGGAAAGAAAAGGACGCCGTCATCAGACCACATTCGTGATGCTTCCTTGTGTTTTGCACAGCTCAATCGTTTGCATCTCGATGGGCTGCCTCTATGTATGTACATAAAAATTACAAGATAATTTGAAAAGAACCACTGTAAGGGCAAGTGACAGTGTATTATTACGTAGCAATTTCCATTTATCAGCTTCGTTACCGCTTTCTTCAGTACTTTCATTATTCTCAACTGAAGTGAGAGCGACGCAAGTATTTTTGACCCCACCCGCTGCGGGATCCCTGTGGCGGTAGACTTGGAGGAATTAAGGCCAATGATTCTCTTCGCTGGCTGAAAGCGACTACCAACTACTGCATTAATAATGTCTCGCCCTTTTAACGGCATCGAGCTGGAACCTTGCTCGCCCTATTTCTCACGGTGATGCCCTCGTCTCAGTCATTTGCCGACAATTGTTCTCTCTACAATAGAGCTGCTGATATAATTTTTCCTCGTTACCCCTCACAATCAGCACATCATACCATTACTGAAAAAAACATGGCTGAGTTGGCCAATGCAGAATATACACTCTACTCCTCCCCCTTCTCCCTTTATTCTATGATGGCCCGCCACACCATCCAACTCGGTCCTACAACGCAAGGCGCGAGGCCACCCAAGAAGATCACCCTCAGCTTCGTCAACCACAAAAAGAATGAGAACCTCAGGGAGGAATATCTCAAGGTGAACCCCAAGGGCCAGGTTCCCACCATGACCAGCAACGTCCTCGAGCAGCCGCTCACCGACAGTATCTCCATTTCGCTTTATCTGGCCGAGAAGCACTACCCGGCCATGCTGCCAGCGGAGCACGCCGCCGTCATCAAGGACCTCCTCCAGAGGTTTCATGCCATTCCTGGCCTATCGTTCAGCAACAAGAACCCCACAGCAGAGATGACGCAGCATAACCGTTCACCCGTGGAGGATATTCTGAAGAGGACTGATCTCAGCCCGGAATACCGCAAGGCTCTCGAGGTCAAGCTTGAATTGTAAGCCGCCTCTCCCCCGGGGGTTCCTTGCTTCAGACCTGACGATCGACGTGACCCCCCTCTTGTGACTTGCCTCGTGCCATGGCATTCTCGCCAACGGCTGCCATCACTGACACTTTCTTGTTCACTCATTCAGCCATAACAAGGGCAACGGCGTAGTGTTCCAGCCAGCCATCAAGGCCAAACACCTCGCAGACCTACAGGCCATTTTTGCAGAGATCGCAGAACACCGCAGGCAGAGTGGTGCTTCCGGAACTGAGGGCGAATGGACGTTTGGCGCCCAGGTGGGGCCGACGGTGCTCGATAGCCATCTCCTCCCACTCGTGCTGCGCTGCGTTGAAGCTGGCAATGCCGAACTCGTGCCCCCGGAGCTGCAGCGGTGGGCCGAGGTGAAGGCCAAGAGCCCCGTGTGGCAGAAGGTCATGCACGGCAGGCCGACGACGTGGGCTCCTTCGATGGGCCCGGTTGAGGATATGCAGGATATGATGTCCCTGTGAGACGAGCTCATTGTTTAGCATTAGTTTTATCCCTTTCTGAGAGCAGATCCAGCTCAAATGTTTGGGTGTTTTTGAGATTCCCTGTTGTTCAGCATAGCCTGATCAACTGGTTGACTGAAACGTAATCATAATATCAAAACATGTGCTTTGTTTTGGCGCAAATCTTGAAGTTCAAGCCATGTCCACGGCGATGTGGGTGCTTTTAGGGAGGGGAAAAAAAAAAAGACCGACTCTGTGAGGCTGTAGTGAATGATGGGGAAACGCAGTACAAGCCAGACCCGAAAAAGAGCATAAGACACTCCGTACTTGTTATTAATTACTTGGATAGAACAGGACAATGCAGGAAACACATCGCGGTAAGCCTCACTGAATTGTCCCTTTGACCAGGCCTGGAATGATGCTACTCACTTTGGAGTATATAATCATGCTCGAGCCATTCCATAGTTGACTACAAAGTGCGTAGTTACACCCTGGACTTTGATGGCGGGATTGAAATCACTACCCGCGATGAAAAAAAAAAAAATGAAAAAATAGTCCTCGTTGTGAATCGTTAGTAGTCGACATGTAATAGTACTCTCATCGAATCTCAATGCAGCAGTGTATCCTCATTCTTGGAAAGCAGAGAGGGTAACGTTAATGGTATTCGTGCCTTGGGAATGGGGTTTGCGCTACAGACACTTTCCTGCTGCAAGTATATCCGCGAGGTAATAAGCATGGGGGCGGGAGGCTTCTGTGATGGGGAGAATACCAGCCGAGAAGGGAAGAATCATTAATCGTTTCCACAGCAGAGAAAAAAATGTTTTTCTTTTATCTTTCCTGGTGCTACTGAATCGATATGCTCGAGGGTAGCAACAACCAGTTTAATTACTGATTGAGCACAGTAAATGGGCTGTACGTCAAGGAGCACTATCAAGGAAGGGATGCCGACAGATTTAAAAAAGTGGTTACTGGATACTACAGTGCCCGGAGCAAATCCTCCTATAGCATCGCCCTGCTGGAACGTACGCTGTGGCAATCTTGCTCCGAAATCGACGATTTTAGTATGCATTGACTGATATTCATCCACGCTTCAGGGATCCACGGGTCCATCTGCTGGATGTTGGCCAGATTCTGACCAAGCGGGTCCCGCGGCGGCGCAACTTGTAGATATTACATCAGTCAGGAGAGAAAATGCATCAATTTGCATGCAGATAAACAAAGTTCTAGATGTATTTGGTAACGAGTTGTCGTGCTGGTGTTTTTGAGCAATGCCGGGGCTCTTGGGAGGTGGCCACTATGAGATCATCACGCTTTGGTGGCCATCTGATACCATAATTGGTGCCCATCATTACATCAGAAGCGATTTGGGTGTATGACGTCTGATAATACTGATAATAGAGCACTAACACAGATGTGAAGCGAGCAGCGTCGTATATATAGACGAGTCTTGCTTCGAGGAGTATAATGGCTGGGGACCATAATTCTGCTTTACACACTTCAATCCATTTGTATAGTCAAACGTCGCATATTGACTCTACACACCATTTCAGTCCTATCCATTCATACATACCCTTGAACATTCACGCAAGTGTTTTATGCCGACATAATGGCACCCACCAACGAGGAGCTGAACCGCATCGCCAAGCAGGCCGAGGTCGACCTCAACAGCTACCAGGCTAAGCAGGGACTCAACAATTCCTCGGTAGATGATGCTGGCGTCGACACCGGCGTCGAGAACAAGTTTCCCGGCGCGGAGGTCAAGTACGGCTCTGAGCTGAGCACAAATGCCAGTTACAACAAGCGTATTCCACCAGAGGAGGGTGGTGAGCTGGACGACCGCGGAAGGCAAGCACCCCCTTCTAACGACCGTTTTGAATCTTCCGACTTTGGAAATAGCTGTGCTGACTTCTTATCACTACAGGCAAACTCGCGGCACCCACTTCGAGGGCACTGGCGGCCCCGAATCCAAGTTCGAAGAGACCGGAGAAAACGACAACGACGTGGTGACGAGCAAGGCGCTCGGCAGATCTGACGTTGTCGGCGCTGGTAAGGAGCGGAAGGGTAACGATATTTTGGATCGGGGCGTGAGCGCAACCACCAACAACGTTGGCTCGAACCCACCTGGCCCTGGCGGCTCCAAGTTCAAGGGCGAGGATTACTACAGGCCGGAGTCGGTACCTGATAGTGTCTCGGCGGAGGGTTATTTGGCGCCAGAAAGTGTGACACAGGCGTCCAAGGAGACAGAGTTAGGGTCGTAAGCGGTGAGATGTGACAATCAAGCGTCCTTAGAAAGTAAATGCAACTGCAAATATCCCAAACATCGTTCCCGAAATTCTTCGATGCTGTGCCGTCATACGAAATTTGGTTGATCTTGGATGCGCCCAGGCCATTCGTGGTATTGGTGGAAATCTGTCACCAGTCTTTACGCAGGTTGGATTAAAGGTGTGGGATGCTTCCGGCATGTTCAACCTTTGGCGGCGTTGTATGATTCGGTGTGATCGCTGTCGTGCAAGAGTTCCCAAGGTCTGCCCTCCCAATGCCTCTTGTGAGGGGTCATTGCCCTGTCTGCTTCAGTCGCCATGATCATGACTTCTCCCGGGCCATTGTTGATGGTGTTTGCCTCGTAGATTCACTTCCCTTCTGCTTTTCTTGGGCTTTCAACGCCGCAATGTCTTCGTCAATGATTGCAATTTCGGCCTCCAGCCTGAGCAGTTTTTCCTCTAGTATGGCCTCATACTCCTGATCGCTGAGTCTCTTCATCGGACTGAACTTGGCGAACCAATTATCGCTCTTCTTCTCCGTTGGTGCATCGCTTGAGCCGGTCCACTTGTTGACTGCGAACTGACCACCACCTCCGAGCAGCGAAAACACCAAAGCTGCAGGGAGGATATTCCGGGTACCGCCTACACACCGTCAGTAGAGAATTTTGGAGATGTCAAACCTCTATGATGAAAGAAGCTATTGACGCACGCATTATCCCTCCAACAGTCATGCCCGAGACGGCTCCACCCAGGGCACTGGCTCCCACTTTTTGTGAAGGCGTAACATCATGCCCAGGGCCATATCTTGCAATGGCCATGCTTCGTGTGCCTAGTTAACATTCAGCCGGATGTTCTCTGAAGCAAGTAAGAGGTTAGGAACCTGAAGTTACCATAATATACGGATCCCAGGCCAAACCACTGTAGGCCTGACACTATGGAGAAGAGCACTGGGGTAGTCCCACGGACGACACCAGCTGTTGCGCCGAAGAGGAGCCCACATGTTCCTGCCCCAGCTCCTAACTGCAGGCTCTTTGCCAGTATTTCTGTAACTCCGTCAGGTAACTCATCCTTTGTCCTGATCGTCCGCTGTTGGGGATCAGAAGGAGGCTGGGGCGAGGCCATTGATCCGGGCAAGCACAATAGCAAGTCGTCTGAAAGAAACAGAAGACAGAGATTTGCCAGCTACAGGCTCAGTGATAATTGGACTGGAACACGAACAATGGATTATAGCTGGGATGGTGACTTGCAGGTGATGATGAGGAGGGTTTGTTTCTGGGTGACAGTTGTGTGTTCTGTTGTAAAGTAGGTAGTAGAGGAAGGACCGAGTAAGTTAGTACTTACCTATGATAGATGAATATTTTAATGGGCAGTCCCTGATTGCATATTTCCCACCTTGCATCACCGAGGGCAGATCGTGCTAGTCCCTAAAGTGATTAGCGGTACAGTGACACCAGCCCCAAGGGCCCCAGACCTAGCTTTGCAGGCCAAGGGGGCCCTCCTCACTTCCCATCCCCCCTTCCCTGCCGTGCCTGCGACCTGCCTGCCTGACCTGCGGGGTGGGAAGGGACAGACAGACCTAAAAATTTCCGCGCTAGTGAAGTTCCTCCCCAAAAGAAAGGCACAATCACAACCACCACAACCTTTTTTATCGACCTCGTCCATCACAACCTCGACAACTCAACCACCAAGTGACCACAAGCTGAGGCCATCCACACACTTTTTCACAACGACGATTGAGGAGAAGACCCAGGATAATCTGATTTGCTGCCACAGCTCACCCCACCAGTAGCGTTATTTCAGCGCCACCACGAGTCGAAAACCGGATCTATTCTATACCCGGACCACGACTTTGCCCACCGATTTCGATCTCAATTCCCAGTCTCTGCACCTCGTCCGCGAATCCTCGAACGAACGAGACTTCGTGGCCATCAATATCTTACCCAGCTTGTCTACGTGCCACGACTAAGTGTCGCGCGTAGTCAAGTCCCATTCAAACACCGCAATCATGCGTACGATGCACCCCGCCCACCAACCCACCACCCACCTGGCTCAGTAGCAGCCTTGCGAATTCATTTGCTAACGACAGTCCCATCACCAACAGCTCCCAAGAAGGAAAAGGCCCAGAAGCTGTCGCTTAATGAGTTCATGAATGATGGTTGTGCGTCTCCTCCGCCCTGTCCCCCTCGCCGTCGAGATACTGTGCCCCTCCCACCCTCGTCGCATTGCAAAGCTAACCCCTCCCCCCGTCCCTCAGCTTTTGGCGGTGGAAACTGGGCCGATGAGGTCGAAGAGACCTATGGTGAGTTTGCTACCTCTTGACCTTCCTGGCTCTCCAATTCATGGCATCTTGCTGACCACATTCATTTCCTGCTAGCCTCTGGTGAGATGCCATTCTCTAAGCAATTAGTGCTACAAGTGCCCTCGAAGAATTCCCAGCAACTGACGTTGAAAACAAAGGCACCCAACCCCTCCCTGCAACCGACCGCCAGCGCTCCACCTACAGTTCCAGCTATAGCCGCGGCGATGCATCTGGTGGATTTGGCGGAAGTGATCGATATGCAGGTGAGGCTAATTTCACACGCGCCACAGTCTGTCTTGGCTTCTTATCTGACATTATTGTTTGTAATAGGCTACGCTCGTCAGGAGCGCGAGGAGCTTCCTATTCCCGACAAGCCCCCCTACACGGCTCACCTCGGAAACCTCTCGTACGATGCCAACCAGGAGGCCGTGACCGAGTTCTTCACTGGTGCAGGCTGCGAGGTCGTCAGTGTTCGCATTGTCGAGGACCGGGCTGAGATGCGCCCCAAAGGCTTCGGTTACGCTGAATTTGCTACTCCGGATGACCTCAAGAAGGCCCTGGCTCTCAACGAGGAGAGCTTCTTCAACCGCAACATCCGAATCCGCGTCGCCGATCCTCGTACGTACCAAATTCCTTCAGAGTTAATCTGTGGTGGAGTATTGTGCTAACCTCTCCACACAGCCAAGGACCGATACGGCAATGAGAGCAACCGAGACTTCTCCGACTGGACGCGCAAAGGCCCCCTTCCCGATGCCCCCGGCCGCAGCAATAACAACAACCGTGGCCCTCGAGAGTTCACCGAAGCCCGTGAACCCCGTGAGTTCCGCGAGCCACGAGCGGCTGGCCCTGACTACAGCCAGATGAGCTGGGAGCGCAAGGGCCCTCTGTCGCCCGTTGCCCCTCCGCCCATGGAGCGCGGTGGATCCCGTGCTGGCAGCCGATCTGGCCACAGGATGACTGAGCGGACCAACTCGTACGCCAACCGCGGAGCCTCCCCCGCAGCTTGGGGTCCTGGCGAGGGCCGTCAGGAGTCCCGTCAGGAGTCCCGCCCCCCTCGCGAGCCCCGTGCCCCGACCGCTGCTGAGCAGGAGTTCGACTGGCGCGCCAAAATGCGGCCCGATGCTCCGGCTAACAAGTCTCCTGTGCCCTCCCGTGCTGGCAGCGAGGCCCCCTCATCACCTGCTCTGGCGCCCGCCGCCCCAGCTGCTCCTGCTGGCCGGCCCAGACTGAACTTGCAGAAGCGCACCATCTCCGAGGCACCAGGTGTAATGTCGCCATCCCTTACCAGCTCCGAGTCCAAAGCCAGTCCTTTCGGTGCTGCTAGGCCTATTGATACTGCCGCCCGTGAGCGAGAGATCGAGGAGAAGAAACAGAAGGAGCTGCAGGAGAAGAAGGAAGCCGAGGAGAAGGCCAAGGAGGAGAAGCGGCTGGCTAAGGAGGCAGCTGCCAAGGAGGCCTCTGAGAAGGCTGCCGCCGAGGCTGCCGAGCCTGCTGCCGAGCCCGCTGCCGAGGCCGATGCCCCAGCTCCTGCTGAGGATGCTCCGGCTGCCGAGGCCGCCGAGGCCACCGATTCCGCCGAGGCCACCGATTCCGCCGAGGCTGCTCCCAAGGATGTTGAGACCACGGGGACTGCCGCTGAAAACGGTGTGAACGGGTCGGAGCAGAAGATCCCTGTTCGATCTCGCGAGTCTGCCGATGACCGTGCACCCTTCAAGTCTCGGGCCAATGATAGCGGCAACTGGCGCTCCTCTGGCGCTGCCCGTGGTGCCCCTGGCGGATCCCGAGGTGATCGTCGCGGAGGTGGTGCCTCTAGAGGAGGACGCTCATTCGAGGGTCGCCAGCCCAGCCGCAGAGGTAACGAGCAGCGACGAGGCAGCGATCAGCAGCCCTCGACTCCTACAACCCCAGTTGTCGATGCTGATGGTTGGACGACCGTGTCTACCTCAGCCAAGGGCCGCCGCGGCCGCCCTGTCCCTTCTTGAGAGATTCGTGATATACCCCGCCACCTCGACCATTGTTTTCAGGTGTTCACGGCTTCAGCAGTCCACAAAAAAAGAGAAGAAAAAAAGAGGCACGATTTACCCTGGGAGTGTTTCTTCCTAATCTGACCTCATGTCAAAAATTCGACACTGCTTTGGCCGGAGAGCTCTTTGATACAAGATAAAGATTGGCCTCCTTCTCCCACATGGCAGACATGGTTCTGATGATTCTCTTTCATCTATTGACTTTTCGGAATAAAAAAGATCAGGGTTTGAAAAGGTGGCGCGGTCTTAGGCGTGGCAGGGTCTTTTTCTCAGCATCCTTTTTTTGCTCGACTTGTCTCCAATATTTTCCTTTCCTCTCTCCATTCAGGTCATCCTCATATGACTCTTCATCTTTGCAGCTCCTGGTTTGGTTGATTCCATATCTTCGTAACTCTTCAGCCTTGCAGCCTTTTGTCATCAACGAAAGAGGAGGAAGGGTTGGCATGTGATCTTTTTTTCTTTCTTCTTTTTCCTTTCTAGGGCACATATTTTTGATGTCTGGGACGGATATGATGAGGAGAGACCTTGGTCTCCGGGCTAAGGTTGACCTGTCAAGATGGACAAGGGAACAAGGTGGGGTTGGACAGAAGATGGATGCTTTGGTGTGGTGTTGTGTGGTTGAGAAGGTGATGATGGCCTGCCACTGAGCAACGCAATACAAAAGGGGTTTAGAGGGTTATTGATAGGGAATGAATCGCCGTGATACAAGTTGTCATTGTTGATTCATAAGAAGGGGGCTTGATTCCACCTGAAGATATATTGTGATGGTCGACGTGGCCAGAGAGAGAGACAGAGAGGAGAAAGGGAGGGAGCAGTGGGGGTGGGGAGGACTCTGTTGACATGTTGCTTGATTTTTCCTTTCAAAAACTCGGAGACGTTGCTGCAACCGGATGATAGACGAGGCGTATCTGACCTCCAACCCCAGTTCTCATAGAATTCAAACCGTGCTTTCTTCATTTATCATTTATCTCATGTCCATGGGCTGGGCCGTGAGAGGCCCTGCCACGCACGTACGTACGCAAGCCCGCCTTGTATCACTAATACCAGAGCCACAAGGCAAGGCGAGGCAGTTTTGACAGTTCTCGGTTTCCCTCGGGTACTGGCTGTCCATGCGAAGGATAGCCTGATTGCAGGAGACAAGGCACACGCTGGGTTGGCTCTGAATAATAGAAGGAATTCATTCACCACGAGGAACGTGACGATGTTGGGTGAGAAAAGGGGGAATGATATACATATATATATAGACACAGTCAATCAGTTCTATCGACACAGACTCGCTGGTTTCGTTTCTGGTTGCTGCTTGCTGCTATCATACAATGAAATAACAAGCCAAAACTCCGACCAGATTTACACACATACATAAAAGGTATATTTCTTCCCTGTCTTCCCTCTTCCATTTCGCTTTTGCCCGTTTGGTAATCATGCCCTCTTCTCGCCCATCTCCTCGCCGACAAACTCATCCCACTCCCCCCACTCGCCAAAGCCGCCTCCCGGCCCATGTATCCTCCTGCCGACCCAGATGCCCATCGCAGTGGCGGCAGAGCTGAAGAGGAACCACGACTCGAACCAGCGGTCGACGAAGCCGGGCTCAAGGGCGCTCTCGAGGGCATGGCCGACGGCGCTGCCGACGTCGCGGGGCAGGTTGGAGCGGAGCAGCAGGCCGGCGCTGATGACATAGGTGGCGCTGATCTGGCCGATGATGAGGGCGAGGTTGGCCTGGGCCTGGTGCAGGAGGCCCGGGGCCCAGCGGGCAAAGATGTGGAAGGTCTGGACGACGGCGTTGGCGGAGGCAATGAGGATGACGCCGGAGAGGAGGAAGGAGATCTGGCGGGCCCAGGCGGTCTGGTCGAGCTTGGGGTCCCAGTGCTTGGCGAGCAGGCCGAGGAAGCGGTTGATGGGGTCCGACGAGGAGAAGGCGGCCGAGGCGGGGTAGTAGAGGCGGCGGAACGAGGTGAGCGAGGTGGCGAGGATGCGGTAGATGCAGTAGATGCTGAAGACGTACGCCGGCACCGCAAGCAGCCTACCGACTGCCGTGCCTGCGCGGGCCTCTGCGGCCTGCCTATTGCGCAGCGCGGCCAGTGACGAGCCCAGGCTCGTCTCCATCGTCTCCAAGCCCGAGATCTCCAGCTGCAGGGCTTTCACCTCGGCTGCGTCGCCGCCCCCGGCCCCGCCGCCGCCCATGCCCTTGAGCGAGCCGACAATCTTGCCCATGACGCCGCCAGGAGACCTCGCAGTGGGGCTCGACTCGGTGGTGGCCGCCATCTTGGTCTGTAGCGACCGCAGGCGGTGCCTCTTGGTCAGCAGCAGCTCTCCCGTGGCGTCCAGGCCGGCCTGCTTCCGCGCAACGTCGGCATCCGTGACAGGCCGCCTCCGCCGCGCCGTGCTGTCCATGAGCGTGTACCACGGGCTGCTCACGCTGGCGAACCCGGACAGCAGCGCCATGAGCGAAATCCCAATGACCCCGATGCGCTCGAGGCATGCCCGCGCCAGCGTGTCTGCCGTCCACCAGCCGTCGAGGCTGCCGCTGCCGCTGGAGGAGGAGCTGCCCTCGCGCCACCGTGTCGCGATCGAGATGCCCGTGGCGTCGAAACTGCCCTTGAGCCTGGCGGCACGCGAGTACAGAAACCCGTCGGCCTGGTCGGCAGCTCCGCCAGCAGCGCCCGCGGGGACGGCCTTGCCGATGCTCCAAAAGACAAGGAGCCAGAGACCAAAACCGAGGGTCTGCAGGGTCCAGGCCCAGCGGGGAAACCGGCCACGGGAGGAACGCTGAAAGCTGCACAGGCCGGAGGCGGCAAGGACACTCTGGATCTCGAGGAAAGGGATGAGGACGACGAGGACGACGAGTAGCGTGGGCACAACGATGCCCAGGGCAGTATCGCGGGCGCCGGCAGAGACGACATCGGCGATCTCAGAGAGGATTAGCTCGCCCAGCACGGTGGCCAGGCCGATGGTGGTGGCGAAGGTGGTGGCGGCGACGCGGCGGCGGAGAGACTTGGAGCCGTGCTCGGCGTGGACCTGTTGCAGGGTCGGGGGTGCCGAGGCCGGGAGGAGGTGGTCTTCGCCATCGCGGACGGCGTTGAAGCGAGATAGGCGCGGAAAGAGGGTACGCGAGACGGTGACGGAAACGAGGACAAAGGTGGCGAGGAAGGGCGAGAGGGAGAGGACCGTCCCTATGGTCGTGGAGGGAGGGACAGCACTGCAGGCGGTATCATCGCAGGAGGACGACGAGGACGACGAGAACGGTTTCATTGGCGTGAGCTAATGGTCTGCTGGTCGAGAGAGCAGGAGAGAAGAAGAAGGAGGATGGCTGTTGAGGTCGTGGTAGGTCGTGGATGGGACCTCGTGGAGGTGGAGTAGGCGCAGGAGAAGGAGGTGGGGGGGGGGGGGGGATGGGAGGATCGATTGGCAGGAGAGTCTTGTCGTTCAAGCTTCTCTCAAGTATGTTGGTGGAAGATGTGGTGTTGATGGTGGTGCCTGAGGCGGTTCGTCGTTCTGGACGCGTGGAACATTTCACTCTGAATCGTGAAGTCACAGTGAAACAAAATACTTGTTGCTAGGCGAGTGGACGATCGAGGGAGCGAGTTGAGAGGGAGAAAGGATTAAAAAAAAAAGAAAAAAAAAGAGTAGACCCTAATCGTAGCAGGTCGTTGCGTTGTCCTTCCTCACTGCAAAAGAGTCATGACCAAGAATGTCGTCGTCAGAGCACACAAAGAGCTCGTCGTCATCTGATTGGGTGGGGGGGGGGGAGAGAAACGCTGAAAATAGAAGTGTGCAACGATAGTGTTGGTGTTGTGCTTGTGGGAAGAAGTTTTGAGCGAAACAGATCTCGTCTCGTCCCGTGCAGACTCGGTAGTGAGTGTGTGTGTTATAGTGGAATAGGAAGTCAATGGAACGACGGACAACGGGTCGTGGGACATCCGAATGTGGGTGGGTGCGTGTTTCCTTTCCCTAGGTATTTCGTAATTACTGTATGGGAATTCCCACTTATCACAGCCCGTCCGAGGCCCTGTGATTGGGCTGCAGGCCCTCTCTTGGCTCTATACTGTGGTACTTCCAGGGGACCTTTTAGTGGACGCGTCGCTGTCAATGCCGCTGTGCCGCCGCTATCAATCCAGCTACAGGGGGGAAGGAGGGGGGTGGGGGGGTTGAGTGTTTCCTCTACCGAGGTGTGGAGGGGCAAATGTCGTAAGCCACAAACCCACGTGCCAATCTAGGGACCTTTGGAAGTCATAACGAAAAGTCGAATAGCTATGGTAACACAAATTCGAATGACAAGTGAAAGACTCTGGCTGACTTCCCCAACAGTGGTAATTATACTGCAATCATGGATATCAAGTATTCTCCGAATCCTATCGATAGATATTTCAATCAACAGCTATATCGATCACGACCGTGGCTTGTGTGTGTAGTTTCAAAACAATACACGTCGGCCATCCCTCAAGAGACATAAATTGGGGGGGGGGGGGGGGACATCCTGCAGCCCTTTGCATTGATTAATATGTAATGAAGCCTATGATGCCTTGGCAGAGTAAAAAGTATTTTAATTCCATATGACTTCAACAGCCATCGCCCACCTTCCAGATCCTACCCACGGGGGAAACCCCCCGCTTCCCTTCATCAAGTGTGCTGGAAACACCTGATGAACGTGTCCTGTATGTTTCCGCCAAGTTTTCGATGATATTTACTTTTTGCTCCGGAGCCATAACTCCGGCCTTCCAATCAGAAGAGCGGTGGGGAAAATGAAAAAGTAAGAAGACGAGAAGAGATAAATCACACCTGGACCCAGCCTGACCCCAGACCTGCCCTGTCCTTTGTCCTGTTGTGTCCTGCAAACTCCGTGCTTGACTTGGCTCTATAAGTCCAGACCTCCTCCTTTCCAGAAAGATGCTTCAGCAACACCAAATGCAAATCACCGCCCTTAAACAACAACAACAACAGAAAGTCGAGTTCCCGCTCCTCATTTATTCTTCTTTCTCTTGGGAATCAGTCTGCGGATGATACTTTGACGGCCCCTCCACCATCCTCGTCGTCCTCGTCATCGTCATCCTCTTCGTCGTCTGACTCGAGCTGGTCCGGCTTCTTGAGCAGCGCTGCACCCTCGCCCACCTCCATGGCGTGCAGCCGGTCTTTCTTCTTCTGCTCCTCCTGCTGTGCCTGGAGCTGTGCCTTGAGCTCCTTGTTCTGCGTCTGCAGCAGCTTCGCCCCGGTCGTGACTTCGAATTCGGCATCGCCATCGTCCTCGTCCTCGCCGCTACCTTCGGCCTCGTCCTCACTGTTAGCGGCACTGGCCGTCGGGGTGATACCGGGGTCAGCCACCAGCCGGCCGGGCTCCGGCTCTGCGCCTGCGATCGTCGTCACCGACAGCGAGCTCTTCTGGCGCTGCGGCTTGTACGGCTTAAGGGTCGGATCGAATTTGGCCGGGAGGCCCAGCGCCCGCGCCACCTTGCCCGCCTCCTCGTCTGCCGACAGCTTGGACTCGATCTGCCACGCGCTGACGCCCTCGTCGTTCGCCTCGTGGACCCCCTGGCTGGAGTGCAGCATCTGGCGGTAGCTCTGCATCTCCGGGTCATTATCCCGCTTGCCCTTCTTCTTCTGCCGCTTCTCGTCCGGCCGGACAACCACCACTGGTACGGGGGAATACTGGAGGCAGTATTTCGAGAAGGAATTTCGAGACGCAACGAGCCCTTGGAATCCTCCCAGCTGTCTGCCGCGGGTACCGACGATGAGCATAGACGGTTGGTGGAGCTGAATCTAGTCGGACGAGAAGCGTGGTCAGCCAGGTTAAGTATGAGAGGCACCGCTAGGCTGGAGAGAGTGCATGCGCGCGCGCGCACGACTCCAGAAAGGGAGCAGGGTATACAGCACGTACCAGGCGTTGAAAGGTCGAATGGAGCTTGCCAACGGCATACTCGAGGATGATGCTAACAGCCTTGCCCTCGCCGATCTTGGCCTTGATCCTAGACACCTCTGCGCTGGCCTCTCTTCTCAGTTCTTCTGATCTCTTGTCCGCCTCGTATAGCTTGACGTCCCTCTCCACCACCCTCACGCACACGATCTCGTCGCCATCGTCGACAAACTTGTCAAACAGCCACTGCAGCGCCTCGTCCGAGTACTGATGGTCGTCGATGCCGACCATGAAGGTGCGCGACCGGCGGTTCGTTGTGTAGTCGGGGTGCTTGACGACTAGGGTGTGGGAGGGGAAGTTGTTCTTGGTCGCCTCGCCGAGGTTGACATTGGTGAAGGCGACATGCTTGCGGTATCTGCGAGGGTCGTCTGCCGTTAGCAGGGCCATGGTTGCGATCGCAGGTGGTTATGGTGCCAGCAGAGATCGCCTGGCGCAAGACTCCATATGCAGTCGACGACAACGGGTAATAATGACTCAAAGTGACGAGGATCGCGACAGACAAGGGCCCACGAGTTACGTAGGACCAAAAAGGTCTAGGATTGCAACGGGTATTATGACACACAAGATGGTAGGGAAAATGAACAAGTCTTGACGTAAACTCGGTGATAAGATATGATGGACAAGAAGCAGAAGAGAGGAGGCGGGGGTAGGCGAGTGTGAAATGGTGAATGATGATTGAGAGTGGTAGGTAGGGGTGGTGATGGTGAAAATGAACGCGGCAGGAGAGGAGGGGAGCAACAGGCTAAGCTGATGGAGATGATGGGATGGAGTCGCATCCACAAATGTATGCCTCTTCGATCCAATTTTCCTCTCATGTCAGCTCTAAGGCCGCCTTGGCCCGCTTCCTCCCGGAAAGGATACGATTTGTATCCTCAGCAGGTGAGGGTGGGGATGAAGGGACACTGCACAAGCCATGGCCCAGGGATTCCCAGTTTGTACTGGGCTCGGCAGAGTGGAAATGCTTGTGTTGCCTGTGTGTTTGCGGACGTGTTGTAAGCAAGCAAGGCTTGTGTCCCAGGGCAGCCTGCGCCGTTATCCTTGCAGCAGCCTGCTCATGACTGATATCTGTCTGATAACACTGAGAGCTCTGAGGGAGGGCCATCCTGGACAGTCGCCCTAAAAAGGGGACCCTGCCCACTGGAATGAACCGCGGCTGGACCCACTGCGACTGCCATTTTGGGGGGATAGGGTAGGGACGAGGGGTTAGGCAATTGGAGAGCGGGGTGTGGAGGGCGTTGGAAGGATGTTGAACAGCGGCGGGGAAAAGAAGCTATGGATGATTTGCGCTGATGAGCTATACAATAAATGATACCAGTCTGCGCTCCATTATCCACTTTGGAAAAAGCATGCACTGCAACTGGGGAGTGGGCAATTGGGGAAAAACGGAGGAACATGCCCATGCTGGGATGGCTTGCAGTGTGCAGTGTGCAGTTTGCAGTGTGCAGCATAGGTTGCATCAGATCTGCCTCGTGCTCCACTGTTGTGCGCCCGACTCCGGGTCCACGAGTCCTGGATATGTCCTGAAAGAAGAGGCGGGTCCCTCTTGGTGGCATCCGAGAGAAGGATTGTGTCCTCCCCTCATGTGCTAGATCTGTCCTGTACGGCGTGTGCTGAAATGTTGGGGCTTGGATGGAGGGGGCAAGGGGGCGGAATCAATCCATGCATCAGACCGAGAGAGAGAGAGAGAGAGAGAGAGAGAGAGCTGCGCTTTCGCCGTGCTGTAATGTGCATGCGTGCATCGAAGCTCGTCACAGTCGACGCGATCCCCGTGTGCGTGCGTGACAGGCAGAAATGACGATTACTTAGACAGCGACCAGGCCCCTCGACAGCAAGGGCTTGCTTATTCCCATGGCTGATTATTTTCCCTGGCCGATCATCATGGCTGGCATCCTTTTTCGAGTGGGGGAGGGGTTCTTTCTCTTCTTCTTCTTTCTCTCTCCGTGCCGCACCGCCTGCAGACGTTGGAGAACTGCCCTTGCTGCAGGTCGTGCGACATTGGGTTATGCGCCTTGCGAGCCACCTTCAACCGCTTGATTGTGGCGTTTTGTTTTTTGTGGCGCAAAACAAAAAGAAACATCAAAACAGAAAGGAGAGCAGAATGCTCAGTGGGGTAGAACCCCGTAACTCTCTCAACGTACCTTGATGAAACAGATGTCGACGAATTGCGATGTCGTGAGTGAACGGATGATCTCGTTCGCCCTTCTGGCCAAAAGAATATGAATGTCACGTCAGCCAAAACTTCGAGAGAGGCTATTTGTTGTTGTTGTTGGTTTCTTTTGGGGGGGAGGGGGGACGAGGGTTCAGGTTGAGAGGTGTCATGACCTACCGCCAGTGCTGGATTGTCCTGCATCCGTCGTCGCATCGTCCGTCGAGTCTCGCAAACTGGCTCCGGGGGATGGTGTCGCGCTCGACACAGCCGTCTCCAGTCCTGGAGACTCGGATTCCTGTTCTTGAGCCCGCCCGTCCGTCAGACCAGCTTCGGGCTTGGTTGGAATCGCAAAGGTGATCTTGTTGCTGCCTGACACGTCGTCGACCTCCTTGGCGAGTGCAAAATATCCACCGGTGGTGGCCGTGTCGATTTGGGATTTCTCAAAACTGGTGCCGTTAACAGCCAGCGCCCGCGGTACTTGCGACAGAGGCGACACGTCGGACCCGGGGCTCGGCACAGGTGGAGTTGCTGGGCCAGTCGCGAGGCTCGCTGCCGTCGAGATGGCTGCGGCGGCGGTGGGGGAAGGAAGAGTAGGAGTGGGTGGGTCGTCTGTAGCAGCATCAGCAGGGATACCGCTGGCATTGACGACGCTGGCGGTGGCGCCGTTGCGGGCATTCTGGCCCTCGCGCGTCATTGCCTGCTGCTGCTGGCGCTGCTGGCCGTTGATTCCATCGCGGGGAGCGGTGTTGTTGTTGGGCTGAGTCCTGTCAGCTGCTGTAGGTCGGGCCGTCTTCTTGATGGACCTGCGGAGGGAGGCTCGGTGTCGCAGTCGCGATGCCAGATTCTTGGTCGCCTCCATGGCGGGCAAGAGGGGCAAGCAGCAGGCCCGGGCCGATATGCATGAGGGTTGAGGTGAGCGACTCGCAGTAGTGGTGGTGGTGGTGTCCGTAGTGGAGCGGTTGAGAATGAAGGGAGTGAGCTCGACTTTGGATCCGACACGAGAGGTTGGTGGGGGAATAGCGGCGATGATGTTTTGAGCCACCATAGAAAGGATATGAAGTAGAAAGGGGAAGGGGGTCGTAATCAGAAGGGGAAAGAGGGAGAGGGAAGGGAAAAGGAGGAATAAGAAAGAGAGAAGAAAAGAAACAAGAAAAGAGGCAGTAGTAGGACGAGGTAACTGCAGGAGGTCGAAAAAGGTGAGGTGAAGTGGATGTTTTTCTTTTGGGGCGACTAAACCTCTGTTGTTGTCGTACTGCAACGTAGATACTGCTACACTGCTTTCAGCAACCCTCTGCTATGGATGACTCTGTCTTCTTCCCCTTTTTGCGAGCATGTGAGTTCGTCTTGTGCTCCCTCTGAGGAAGAGCGCCTGGGAAAGGGTTACGAGGGTTGATGTCGACCTGGATCAGGGTGACTTGGCAGAGAAAAATCAGGCTGGTCGAGCTTCTCTCCTCGTTCTCCTCTCCTCCCTCGGATGAGTCTTTCTCTTCTTTGTGACTGCGACCTTGACTAGCGTGGGATTTGGAGCTTGGCTTGGCAGTTGGTGGTCAGGTTGTGTTTAGTGCAGGGCAGCTTTTAGGCAGGCGGTTTGGTGATGTAATGATGCAAGCTTGCTGAGCTGGCTGGGATGGTGGTGAAAATCGAGCTGGTGGTGTCGTATGTCGGTCTTGCATCTCTCTCTGTGGTGTGTGAGAATTATGTTGTTGCTGCTGGTATCCCTTTGGTGGTATTGGTAAAAAGGTGGCACGACCCTCAGATGTTATCTGATGTATAAGCAAGAATAAAATACTACATCATGAAGAGATGTCAACCAAAGTAAAAATGAAACCCTGTGGAATTGCTGTGGATTTACACAGTTTTGGGCATAAATGCACCTTGGGAAACTTTTTTGTCTCTTCCCTCCTGTCCCTTTTTGGGTTTTCCCCTGGTATTGATTGGGCTTGAATCTACATTGTCAAGAGTCGAGCTGCACACCCCATCAATCTTGTTCGAACAGGGGTGTTGGAGCCCGAGCCCGAGCCAGAGCCAGAGCCTGGAAGCAGGTCGAAATGGAAGGACAGAACAGAGCCAGGGGGAAGGACCGTTCTGCGCAGGTCAGCTCAGTACTTACTCCCTCGGTGATCGAGCTGCCCTGTACTTGCCAGGCAAACACAACAGAAGGTCAAGCAGGAGAGACAACAGGTTGTTCTTGCCTCAGAGCGGGTACATGCTCAGTTAACGGTCAGGCCCAGCAGGGTGTCCGGGCCAATTTTGGACACCTTGATGTTTTGTGCCCCCAACTCCATCATTGTAGTACTTTAGTCAATTCCTCCCACCCACAATGAATTCACGGCGTGTATTCAAGATGGTCCAGCGCACAAGTTGATGGTCCGTACCATAGTACACCAACAGACCTAGGTCTTGGCCCCCCCCCCCCCTTCTCTCTTGGCACCCGCAGGAATGAAATGCAGCTCCTCAAGTGTTTGACTAACATACGCACACACACACCCCGTGACAGACCTGCGATTCATCAACGTAATTGACATTCTTTTTTGCTCCGCCCGCAGTAGACGAGAGAGATGACCCACGCGACACCTCGTTGGTTCCGAGCCCACCTGCCGGCATGGCCAAGAAGAGCACATTCATCGTCCCCCTCCTTCTCCCTCCGCCGGGCCCCCAGCGGCTAAGTGAACGCCAGGATCCATCACGTACGTACTCTAGATTGAAATGATAGGGGCACAAGAAGACAGATGGGCGAGACCTCGGGGTGTCAGATCTCCTACTCCTCCTCCCTCTCCTGGTGCCTCCCCCTCTTTCAGATGGGTGGATATTCAGTTTGCAAGGCGATCTTGGCAGATGGACGGCGTGGAGCCAACCCATCCATCCATTTGACTTCTTAAGGCGGGCCTACTATAGTGCACAGTACATGACCACAGGCCACGTATTTACTTTTGCTTTCCTGACTCTGTTCTCGTCTGAGTCAACCGTAAACAAACTGTAGTCCACTGTTGGTCCATACCCTTAGACCTTTATGTGCATATGTCCTGGATATCAAAAAGCTGAGACAGACACATCCTGGCTGACGAGGACAGTAAGCACCACATCCGCAAGGCTTATCAATACCCCTGAGGATCACCCATACATATAACCTGCCTACCCTTACACAGAATGACATGGTTCTGGGCCTATCCATTGGGCCTTTTCGAGGTCGTGGCCCCTCTACGGGTCCAGAACTCTTCTCACATCTTGCGGTCGGGGCGCAAGGGAAGTGAGGGGCCGAGACAGGAATTACGAATAAGACATGGAAATAAGAAAAGAAAAGAAAGAAAGAAAAAGGAAGGAGAAAAAACAACTACAAAGTTCACGAAAGACGGGAGCTCCCTTGGTGACACTTGGGAGACAGGGTGGGAAAGGAGGGCGGGGATTGGGTCAAGACAGAAAGAGAAAAGAGAGTAGAAGAAAAGACAAGGGACCACAAGCTTGGTCTGCAATCCTACATCAACGCGTAACCACCTCGCGAGCGAGTAAAAGCACGACATGTGATGACTCGTCCTCTATTTCCAGCAGCTGCTGTTGGTCGAAGGGGGGGGGGGGGTGAGGGAATGGGGGCAGGGGTGGTTCTCTGCTCAGAAGCAAGGTTTCCTGTGCAACACGGAATTATGCAAGGCTTGCAGGATGGTGACAGTGTGTAATCACGCTTGCAAGGACCCTGTCTGGCTGGCTTCTCTTTTCTCGAGGACACCAAGTTTTTCTCTCCATTCAGAGACTCTGAGCAGAGCACATGTGAAGTATCGATCACCACCCCCTTGAGGACTGACCAGGCTGGCTACGGACGTCGTCTCCGGTGGATCTGTCACCCGGAGGAGCCGACACTCTTGACCCCCCGCCCCGCGGCCATCAATCGTCCGGATGGGCAGGGGAAATTCTCCTCTCTCGAGAAATAGAGGGACGCTTAAGAGAGAGACAGCGAGGATGGCCCTCCATCCAAGATGCGTGCTTACTTTCGTGTGTATGCACAACTCACCCAGAAACAAGCCCAGTCTATATGCTGCCAAGAACACATGGTCATCACGAGCTGATCGATACCGCTCCCGTGCAGTTAGATTCGGGACGCCAAGAAATATTCTGTTGTACAGTATATGTACGCCGCTGGAGATATTGCCACGGACCCCATTCACACACACATCCCTCCTCCCTTGAGCTGATTCATTACGCTGCACTAGCCCTCGCGTGGTGGATGCTGTTGTGGACATCTCCCTCGCAGGTAATATGGTAAAAACTACATGGAGACGGGAAAGGGCTGCAAGCCGTGTTTCGCAAAGATTCAAGAAGGGAGGCTTGACCAGCCACCCCTCCTCTAAAGCCGAAGGAAAATGACGGACAATCATCTTTCTGGAACACACATACACACATCTGTCTTGTGGCGATCTGTAGCTATACATGCACACACTCTTTATCTGCCTACCTCGGAGCCGAATCATCAGCGGGCGGAACACGAGGCAAACCAAGGCGGCGGTATAGAGACCCAAAGAAGAAAAAAAAAAGAACAAAAACGCGGAAAAGATACCATGGTACACCGTAGATCTTGGCATATGCAGGCAGGCGGGCGGGTACCCGGGCAGGAAGAAAAAAAGAGAGACAGAGAGACATCACATCACTTCTCACCTTTCACTAAAGGCGCCGCGCTCGCACTTTGGTCTCTAGGACTTACTGTCCTTCTGCGCTCTTTGGGAGGCCTCCATTCTCACATTTTTCTGGTGGCTTTTTACCCATACAAGTGAGTTCCGAGGGAGTACCTGTCTAATTTCCTTTCTTCAGAGTCGGCTAGATAGGATTGTATCATTTTACAGCCGGCTCCCCCCTCTCTCGGTGTGATAGCCGACATCAGACATGCAGCAACTATTGCTGAGCCTGGCGGGATCATGGTTTTGGTTTTGCAGAAGGCGGCGGAAGTGGTCTTATCAATTTTCAAATCCCAACACATCACATTTCGATGATTTGCGAAGGAGCATGCACAGGCAGCATTACAATGCAAAGAAGGAAAAGTATCAATCAAACTGGTTTACATGTTGTTGTGTGGCCTTGTGGATCATGCACGAATGTCTATGCTGGCTGGCCTGACCCTCCTCCCGTACCTGCTAGCTGAAGAGAGTCATACAATTCCGAATCCGCCTCGAAGAAGACCACCATCATGACTGATGGATGAGACCGTTACCTGCAGCGCGAGAGAAGATCGCGAATCGTCAGACACTCATATCCTATGGCATCGCTTTTGGTAGGTCCTCTGGCTGTACCACAGCTCATCCGTCTTTGCTCTGCTCATTCACTCTTCTCGCTTTCTCTCTCTCTTTTTTTTCTTCGTCCGACCATCAAGCTTGATTTCGCCAGAAAACCTTCCGTGAATTTGTTTAAGCCGTCCCCAGGGCCCCTCTTAATACCGAAACGCCCGTGCAATGCAGTATGACCTGCCGCTGTATCCGCTAGTTCCCTTCCTCCCTTATCGCCCACCAATACCAATATGTAACGACTTGGAAGGAAAGCCATCAATGGACGCTGTAGAACACCGCTCCGCCAATACTTCATACGTACGTGCGGCTCAGGTTGCGCAGGTACCAGTCTACCAGCTTGCGGCCAACCTTGGCCTCGGAGATGTGGATGAGGTCCTAGAGGATTCTTGCGTTAGCACAATAGCGCCGAGATTTAGCACTACACGAGAGGAACAGGCTACTTACACCCGAGATGGCGTAGTCCAGATCGCTAACATTGACCAGGTCACCCTCCAGCAGGGCACGCTCGTTCCAGCGCAGCTGCTTGGTGCGCTGCTTGGTCACCAGCAGCCACGAGCGGAGCTCCTCGGGCTGGACCTCAAGGAAGCCGGCCAGCTTCTTCAGGTCCATGGTCGTATACAGGCGGAGGTACGACTTGACAGTTGGGCTCCACATGTTGGTCTTGACCTCGTCCATGAAGATGGACAGGTGGTGCTCCGTGGGGTCAACGTTGGCCTCTGGGTTGTCGAAGTCTGGGGGCACGGGCGAGATGAACTTGGGGCAGGCAGCCCTGAAAAGCTCCTCGAAGATGGGGAGGGACTCAGGCCCGCCGCGCTGCAGCTTCAGCAGCTGGTCACCGTACTTCTCGCGCAGGGCGGTGTGGATGGTGTCGTCCAGGCGGGTGGGCTGGAAGGCGACGCAAATGGCAATCAGGGCGTACATCTGGTCATTTTTCTGTTTGAGGGGGGATAAAATGAATGGTGGTTAGTTCTGGAATGCATTGACCCGATAAAGGAGAGATGATGGAGGATGAAAAGTGCAACTACTGACCTTGGTGAGGTTGTCGTACTGAGCATTCTTCTGGAAGTTCTTGGTCCGGGAAATGTAGACGAGAATGTGGCTGAACATGCGGATGGCGTCGGCGTAGCGGCGCATCATCATATATGAGAAACCGACATAGTAGTAGGTGGAGAAGTGAGCAGCCATGACCCTAGCAAACATGGCCTTCTTGTTCAGCTCAATATCGTCGAGAGTCTTGAGGGCGAGGCTGAAGTCGCCAAGGAGGGTGTGGACACGCAGGAGACCAATGATGGAGAAGTATCCAAGCATGCGGTACAGATTCTTGGTGCCGTACTCGCCGGCGACGGCCATGGGGTCCTCATTGCGGCGGCTGGCGGCAAGCTGCTCGGTGATGTTGGACCGCTGGATCAGGGAGTAGAGGACGTTGAGGACGCTGTAGCAGCCCCAGGTGTTTGGGTTCTCGCGCAGGATCTGGACCTCCTCCTCGTTGTTGGCCTGTCGAGCAAGGCGCAGGCGGTAGGAAGAGAAGGTGTTGAACTGGTAGATGAACTCATCGATGACATCCCAAGCCCAGTAGTACTAATGCAGAACCCAACCCCGTCTCGTTAGTATTGTACGTACGTACGTGCCTGGTCTTTGTGTCTTGGCCCGTCCCGCGCGCAGGTAGGACTTAGGTAGGTGTGTCACTTACGGATGGGGGCTCGAGATCCACAGGGCCTTCTGAGTTGAGGATAAAGTGGAAAAGGCTGCAGTAGGAGTCGTAGCTCTGGAACTTGACCTCGAGAGGGGCGGCGAAGTCGAGGGGTTGGGCAGCCGAGACAAGTCGCGACTGGATATCGTCGGTCTGTTGGGCCATGGTCAGGGAGCTGACCTGCTCGAGCTCCATGCCATCCTCGTACTGCACCTGCTCCTGGTAGTCGGCGACCAGGGCCTCCTCCTCCACATCGCTGTCGTCGAGAGCTCGCGCAGCAGCTGCGCCATTCTGGTAGGTAGCCATTTTGCCGGTGGTCGTCCTGGTAGCCTCGTGGTTGGACGCGGAAGGAATGGCGTCGCGGGGTGGTGGATTTGTAGAGATTTCGGTCGAGACGAAAAATCTGGGTCTCTTTTGTGCGATCGCCGATAGTTGCAAAACCTCGCTAGAGAGATGCCGAGTCACTCAAGCCGCAGAGGGTTGGCCGTGTTCGCGACTGGAGAGTGTTGCGCACAATTTGTAAGGGAGATCGTATTGAGGGTCCAAATCGAGAGAGAAACTGTATGTTATAGTCTTCGAAAGAGGAAGTTTTTTGTTTCTCGATAAAGAGTCGATCCTTTGTTGCGACAAAATTGAGACAGACTCTTTCTTCTGTCCAAAAAACGATTATTTGATGGCGGGGTACAGTCCAGGACACTTAGTGCTAGGAAGTAAGTAGACGACCTGAGAAAAGTGGTAGTGTTTAGGCTGCAGGCCTTGATGATGCACTAGCATAAGTGACTTTTTTTTCTCTGCCCCACCACCCTACCCGTCTCGCTCTCTCGCTCCTGCTGCCACCATCGTATGTAAGATGGCTCATTCTGATGCTGAAACATTGACTTTGCGCTGAGCCAAGTTGATAAACCTGTACCCTCATTAGCCAGGTCATACATAAAAGCCTTGATACCCCAATAGATCCTTTGGTTTCCCCTTATTTGTTTTTATATTCTGCTACATATTGTTGTATCTTTTGCAGTCTGTATAGTCTGGCTAGTCAAGATGCCCGTCGTCAGCCCTCAGCAGCTGGCCAACCTCCAGCAACACGCAGATAATGTCCGCAATGTAAGTACACACAACTCCTGAAAATGCCCTCAACATGATATGGTTCTGATTTGAGTCTAGATATGTATTCTTGCCCACGTCGATCATGGCAAGACATCGCTCACCGACGCCCTCCTCGCCACCAATGGCATCATCTCACCAAGGCTTGCGGGCAAGGTCCGTTACCTCGACTCCCGGCCGGATGAGCAGCAGCGGGGCATTACCATGGAGTCCTCAGCCATATCTCTTTACTTCAGCATGTTGAGGAGGTCAAGCCCAGACGCAGCACCAGAAGCGAAGGAGTATCTCATCAACCTGATCGACTCACCAGGACACATCGACTTCAGCAGCGAAGTGTCGACAGCATCACGGCTGTGCGACGGGGCTGTGGTTCTGGTTGATGCGGTGGAAGGTGTTTGCAGTCAGACTGTCACCGTTCTGCGACAGACCTGGGAAGAGAAACTCAAGCCCCTCCTAGTCATCAACAAGATGGACAGACTTATCACTGAACTGAAAATGACACCAGGCGAGGCATACGTGCATCTGAGCAAGCTTCTTGAGCAGGTCAATGCAGTCCTCGGCAGCTTCTTTCAGGGTGAACGTATGGAAGAGGACCTCAACTGGCGAGAGAGGATCGAGGAGAGGGTCAAAGCCGCAGCTGCCAAGGAGGCCCAGCTGGTCGATCAGCAGACCGAATCCGGCGAGCTGCAATTCGAAGAGCGAGACGATGAAGACCTTTACTTTGCGCCTGAGAAGAACAACGTTATATTTGGCAGTGCCATCGATGGCTGGGCCTTTACTGTCCGACAATTTGCATCATTATACGAGAAGAAATTGGGCATCAAACGAAGCAGTCTGGAGAAAGTACTGTGGGGAAACTTTTATCTGGATCCCAAGACCAAAAAGGTCCTGGGCCAGAAGCACTTGAAGGGCCGGAATCTGAAACCTCTGTTTGTGCAGCTTGTCTTGGAACAGGTCTGGGCGGTATACACGGCAACCATCGGCGGCGACAACGGAAAAGGAGACACAGTCATGCTGGAAAAGATCATCAAGTCTCTCAACATCACGATACCACGGCATATACTGAACTCTCGAGACCCTCGCACCTTACTCACCACAGTCTTTTCGTCTTGGTTACCACTGTCAGTCGCTCTGTTGGTCTCCGTGGTTGAGTCATTGCCATCGCCTCGGACCGCACAGGGAGATAGGCTACCAGAGCTTCTTGACGACTCGCCCGGCGGAGAGTACATTGCTCCCGAGGTCCGCGACGCAATGGTCAATTTCAAGCATTCGAAGACCGACCCTGTGGTTGTGTACGTCAGCAAGATGGTCTCCATTCCTGAGAGCGAGCTGCCGCACAATAAGCGCCGGGGTCAGCTCAGTCCAGAAGAGGCAAGAGAGATGGCACGAAAGAAACGAGCAGAGGCTGCGCGTGCACAGGCCGCCATTGAACATCGTGATCCCATGGATCACCTTGCTCAGGCGCTTGACAGTGCTACCCTGTACGAAGATGAGCCTACGCCTGAAGAGCAGAAAGTTGATCCCGAGCATCTGATCGGGTTTGCACGCATCTACTCGGGTGTGCTGTCTATTGGTGACGAGATCTACGTTCTCCCACCCAAATTCTCCCCCGCGAACCCACAACATCAACCAATTCCGAAAAAGGTCACCGTCTCGGCTCTGTACATGCTCATGGGGCGAAGTCTCGAGAGTCTCGACAGCGTTCCCGCAGGTGTTGTTTTTGGCATCGGTGGTCTTGAAGGCTCCGGCATCCTCAAGACCGGAACTCTTTGCTCACAGCTGGAGGGTGCTGTCAACCTTGCAGGTGTGGGAAGCTTGGGCGGGCGGCCCATCGTCAGGGTTGCGCTGGAGCCAGCCAACCCTGCCGACCTTGACAAGATGATTGAGGGCCTGAAGCTGCTAGTTCAGGCCGATGCCTGTGCTGAGTACGAGCAATTCTCCAGTGGCGAGCACGTGCTGCTGACTGCCGGTGAGTTGCACCTGGAAAGATGTCTAACAGACCTACGTGAGCGGTTCGCGCGGTGTGAGATCCAGGCTGGTGAGGCGATCGTACCATACAAAGAGACCATCGTGCGGGCAGAAGAAATGAAACCACCAGCGAACAAGGACTTGGGCAGAGGTGCCGTTGTTGGTGTCACAAGCTCCAAGCAGGTCACCCTGACGCTGCGCGTGCGGCCTCTCCCAGCTGAAGTCACTGACTTTTTGGAGAAAAATGCCGGTGCCATTAAGCATTTGAACACCAAAAAGGCGAGCTCGAATGGCACGAACCACACCAATGCCAGTACGGAGACCGACGACGAAAGCGATGACGAGAGCCTCGATGAGGACATTAATGTCTCGGCGGCCAAATGCCTTTCCCCAGAGGACTTCAAGGCGCAACTCAAGACCGTCCTAGAGACGGGCAAGGGCAGAGACCCGTTCAGGAACATTGTCGATAATATCTCCGACTTTGGTCCCCGCCGTGTAGGTGCCAATCTGCTCATCGACGCCACCCGGGAGGGTTGTCTGGCCAAGGCCTTTGAGACGGACAAGCGCGACGACGTCAAGCCCGAGGCCCATGAGAAACTAGCTGGCCATCATCTATCCGACAAGATCAAGTACGGGTTCCAGCTCGCAACATCACAGGGCCCACTCTGTCGCGAGCCTGTGCAGGGCATTGCTGTGTTCATCGAGGACATATCGATCACGACGCAGGAGGAGGAGGCTCTAGCGGGAGAGAATACCGGCCGCCTGACGGGCGAGGTTATCAAGACGGCGCAGCAGTCCATCCACAAGGGCTTCCTTGACTGGTCGCCCCGGTTGATGCTGGCCATGTACTCGTGCGAGATCCAAGCGAGCAGTATGTGCTTTCTTATTACCCTCCTATCCCCTTCCTCAACGTAAAGAAGAAGACATAAATCATGCTAACTCTGCTACTAAAGCCGAGGTTTTAGGCCGCGTGTACGACGTGCTCACCCGGCGGCGCGGACACGTCCTATCCGAAGCCATGAAAGAAGGAACCCCCTTCTTCACCATCCAGTCGGTTGTGCCAGTCGCCGAGTCGTTTGGCTTCGCAGATGAGATGCGTAAGCGGACATCGGGGGCAGCGCAGCCGCAGCTGATCTTCGCAGGCTTCGAGATCCTAGACGAAGATCCGTTCTGGGTGCCGTTCACGGAGGAGGAGATGGAGGATCTTGGAGAATTTGGCGACAAGGAGAATGTTGCGAAGCGGTATATGGACAAGGTCCGGAAGAAGAAGGGGATGTTGGTCGAGGGGCGGACGGTTGCTGTGAATGCTGAGAAGCAGAAGACCTTGAAGAGGTAGAGGGGTTGTTCAAGCATTATGAATCACGCACTGGTATCAGGAGTCAAGCGAAAGAGCCGTCCAGTCACAGCTTTCTGATATTGTCTTTGGTCCTCTATGCAAGTGAAATTACACAGACCGCGCCGCCAGGAGTGTCGCCTCCTCCGACCTTCTCTGACCTACCTCACCAGCTAGGAATATGTTTGATCGACTGGTCCTTTGCTTGCCCTCCAAATATCATGGATGTTGTGCTCACACATTACTCGACATCTTTAAGCCGGGGCGTCGATGTTTCCACGTGGCCCCCCCCCCCCCCCAAGAAATTCCCGAATATGGGAACCTTGACACAGGAACAGCCAGCCTGCCCTGTCGGCAGCGGACGGACATGGCCATGCATAAACGCTCTATCGGAGGCCTGCTGTTTTTCTTTTCGTGTCGAAACATATTCATGCAAGACCATCACCAGTAATATAACCGCCAAAATGGAGAAGAAAAAAGTCTCCGCCTTTTTCACTGTATTGGACTGTACATCAATGAGGAAACTCCCCTCGGAGAATCATCACAGTAGGCACCGATGGACCAATTCTTTGGCTGCATGGTTGATTGGATATCAATATTCCCAGCTGTTGCAATGAAGGATGCGCCGAGGAAAGTGGCTCAACACCTATATGTGGCTCACCTCAATGGTGGCTGCGAAAAGCGGGGAAAGAATTTGGATTGTGCCATAGTAGTGCCAAAATCCTTGACCAATCAACTAACATGTCATGATCTGCAAGGGGCTGGGGGCGCGGGGGCGGCCGGGCGAGCAGACATTCAGCGCTTGCGTTTCAGATGCTCAGACGAACTGCCGACTAGCCCTGCGCGGATTGGTTTGTGGACTGGGGAGCGACACGCCCTGCCTATTTTTTGCGGTTGTACTGCAGTGTTACTATTTGCCTGAACGAGATCGTTGAAACCCAACCGAGGGGTGAGGGGGCTTACACCTGCACGAGCTGCTGCCATTGTGTAGCGCCAGTGTGGAGTATGAATGGCAGAGGAAGGGGCTGAGAGAGGAGATTGGTAGGTTTACAATTGGTACTGGTCTCGTTCTTGTCTTGACAAATGATCGACTTCCTGCCTGGGAGGAGGCGAGGTCGTGTATTGGGCCTCGTTCTCTCCGTTTTCAGGTAACTGGTAGGCAACAAACACGGCAGCGATAGTTGATTGGTCTGCCTTTCTGGTGTTACGTCGAGGTGGCCCCTTCCCTTGTCCCCTCTTCGCCTCGCATGACGTCTGACGTTGTTCTGAGAGGACTGCCTCTTTCGAGGAGACTGGTTGTATGGTGCCTCCTTCCGCTGCAGATCCTCAAACACAACACTGGCACCATAAGTACTTTGGTACTATACTTGCTTTGTACATAGTATGCTGTGCGGTTGCTCTTGTTTTCACTTGGCACCTCCTTCCACATGAACCTGCCTGATCCTCTCGATGAGGTACAGCATCTCTTCCCTTTCAAGCGTCCTCCTTGTCCTCTTCGTGCATCTTCTTGACGTTCCTCCTTGCTGTGACCAGCCGCAGCCGAAGCGAGCGGCCGTTTCGAATCAAACACTGCCGAGGTGGAAGGCACTTGATTGACTGACCGTCATCGGCTATCACCATTTTCGGACGAACATCATACAAGCCCCTCCCATCCTCAGCCCAGGAAGTGTTTCCTGCTCATCATCATCACCCACTGCCAAGGCGTTGTTGCTGCTGCGGCCGTCCCTTATTGCGTCAGACACGCACACACACACACGCACAGATATTCGAGCCCTCCCAGAGCCGTGTGTTGAGGGCTTCTCTTCAAAATCCCTTTCTCCTACTTACCCTTAGACCCTCCTCTTGCGGACAATCAGCAACGTCTGTAATTTAGGATTCTGAATTTCATTTTTACCATTCATCCTCTTGTGCGCCGAGAGATTCGGTCCAACTTGACTTTCTCATCGTCTCATAATTACCGTCCTGGAACGCCACCTGCCATTTGGCGCCCCTTAGGTCATCTCCTCGTGGCCTAGGCAAGGAAAAAACAGGCCCCAAACGGGATCAAGGCTACCTGCATTAGCAGCGAAGTACTTCACGGTCGACAGCAGAGGCAGATTCAAAAGGGCGGGTGTTTCCTCATTCTCTTAGTCGGGCCTGGGTGCCGGGCAAGTCAGCACAGGTCCTGACACACATCTCGTTTCGCCGTGTCCGTACTAAGGGACCGGACCTCAACCCTGGCGTGTGCGTCGCAAACCAAATCAGGAGGCGTCCTCGGCTTCTCAGAGACTTTTTACTTCCGCGGCGAACTCACTCGTGGTCTCGTCGGAAGAGGCTGAAAGAGACTTACACTGCTCCTCCACAACATAGCACCTCACAAGAACGGAACGACATCGACGGAATCAGCAAAGGGCAAATTGGTCTTGAAATTTGAACGCTGGAATGATCTCACATCCAAAATCACACTTCTGTGAATCTGAGCGGTGAAATCAAAGGAAGTGAACCGGCAGGGGGGACGGAAGCTCGAGTGCGAATCACAACATGGCCGGACAGCCACGGACGAGGCGGCGGCGGAAAGCAAGGTTGGGAGCCTGGTTTACGATGGCATCGACAGCATGCGCGGTGTCTCTCAACGACTTACAGCCCATCCAAAACGGGGTACTCCCAGCGGCATGTAATACTGTGTACCACCAGACGATCCAAGGGTGTACCACAGCCGACTTTGCATCCGGGTCGACCTGCTCGGATCAGTGTGAGAACGGTATCAAAGACATCGAGGACGACGTAGGAAACAGCTGTGACAATGTGGATGCATCGTCAAACTCAGTATTGTCATTCGCCCAATCAGGGACCCTCATCATACATGCGTGCCTATTGAACCAGGTCACAGTGGCGCAGACGACAAGTACAACCTCCTCATCCGCTCAGCAAACATCGACGACCAAGACCACCGCTACAACCACCACGTCGGAAGCCTCGACCTCCTCACAGAGCATAGGGTCGTTTACCACCATACCAGGCTCGACCACGTCGACGACCACAACCACCAGATCAACCAGCTCGACCAGTTCTTCTACCTCAGGAGATGGCACCACCACCAGCCTGACGATCACAGCGCCGACTGCCTCCACGACGTCCGTTGAATCAAGCACCTCCTCAGCTGTGACGTCCACCACGGCAGCAACTGACACCACATCATCTACATCGCCTTCGACCGCTGCAGTCACCACGACGACCTCGAGCTCGACCACGGATGATGGCCGCGGTGGCGGAAGCCCATTCGATACCACTTCGGGCTCGGCCAGAGCTTCAATGGCTTGGTCGGTGAACATATCAATTGGTGTCTTACTCTACGCTCTGCTCCTGCGATAACCAATGTTGGGTCCCTCGTGGACATGGCGCATAATGATTGGATGCCAATTCTTCCGTACACGGAGTGAAGCAGAAGGCGATAGTCGCTGTTAAGTGTGCTACTTGCAAGGAAGAAAAACAAGGTGTTGCTCCCACTTATACGTCTGGGCCGGAGGTGCAACGGTCTCATACGACGTCATGAATAATATCTATTATTACACTCACATGGGCGGATGGTACTGAACCCTCTTCTTCAGTGTTATGACAAGACTCGGCGAGATAAGGAAGATCTTGCCAGGACAACGTGATGCTTGCGTAAGGGCTATGATCACCATGACCAGGAGGAGAGGGGAAGAGAGATAGTGCCATCAGAGGGCAGTTCCAGAGGCGAGAAGGTTAGGCCCGGCTGGCTCAAATTTGTACTATCATTCTTTTGAAAGGAAAAACGGAAAATGGTCAGGAAGATGAGGTGGAAGAAGGTATATGATGGAGCTATGGCTACGCTATACAAAGCAAAAGCGAGCCAGGGAAGGGTAATTACAGGGAGGATGGAGAGAAATATGATACCATTTTGCATGAGTGAATCTTTGAATTTAGTTGTGTCTGCTCATGCTGGCTATGCAAATTGGCCTATACAGTTTATGGACTGCTTCTATATATATGACAGACGAGCCATTCCTTTGCAGTCAACTAGCTTCCCATCAAATTCTGCCCACCTCACTGCGCCGTCTCCCTCCACAGCTTCCGCATCTGAATCACACCAGGAATGCAACCCCCAAAGCCCACAGCAGCATCCGTCAAAAACCCGCCCTCGGTAGCCCAGTGCAGCGTCAGTGGTGTCCAAGCGAGATTAATCGCCATGCTTCTCCGGACAGCTTCCTCGGCCTGCGCCCTTTCCTCCTCCGTCTCTGTTGTCTCCGTCTTTGTCTCTGCCCGTGGCCCAGCCCCTCGTCTGGCTACTATCTCGGCCAGGAGCTTCCCGATCTCGAGACCGGTGTAGACGGCCAGCCAGCGCGAGGCGACCACGTACGCTCTCCCCTGCTGCTTAGGGGTCCAGCCCAGCACGCCGCGGCCGGAGAGGTAGGCGACGTTCTCGAGGTACTGGAAGGCGGTGCAGGAGATGAGCTGGGCCCACGAGACGAGGAGGGTGGCGGTGGTGTCCTGTTGTTTCTCCTTCTTCTTGTTGTTGTTGTTGCCGCCGCCGCCGCCGCCGCCGCCGTCTGATGATAGCAACTGGAGGACCAGGCGGCGGGCCCAAAAGTACATGCCCAACAGGCCCCATAGCCGGGCGATGGTGCGGGCCTCGCTGGCCAGGCTGCCTAGGTTCTTGAGCCGGGCGGAAACGAGGGCGGCGAGCTGGGCGGCTGCTGCGGCGAGGGCGGCGCGGCTGCTGGCGCCTGGGCCTTGCGCGAGGAGCACGGTGGCCGTCTTCTCGGCGGCGGCGGCGGCTGCTGTTGTTGCTGGGGAGGTGGTGGTGCTGCTGCTGCTGCTGACAAAGGCGAGGGTCAGGAGACCTGAGCGGGCGGAGCGGCGCAGGAGCGAGGTGGACAGGGCGGCGAGGAGGGCGGAGGAGAGGCGGGAGGCGTAGCAGATGAAGAGGAGGGTGGTGTCGGTGCCGGAAGGGGTGGCGAGGCAGCGCTGGAGGTGGGCAAGGAAGGCGTCGGCGCCATGGGGGAGAGTGCGGAGGAGGGATTTGAGGTGGGCGGTTGCTGGTGTCGTCTTCTTTGGGGAGGAGGAGGAAGAGGAGGGTATGGGCGAGGTTGGGGCTGGGATGGGTTCGCCTGTGGGGAGGTTCTCGGCGACAGAAGTTGAGGAGGACATGGTTGAGGATTGATTGATTATCGTATGGTTCGAGAGAGAGGAGTGTGGGTGGGAGGGTGGTTTCCGCGAAGGAGGAGAAGGAGGACGAGAGGAAAGATCGCGTCGCAAGGTTGACGTCGGTTCTCCTTGCACGGGCCGAGGTTAAAACACGCGCACGCGCACGCTTATTTTGACATGCAGGCAATTTAATGACTTGAAGACACAAAGGCAATAGCAGCAAAGCATCAACAAAATTGCACAAAAAAAAGGCGACGAGAAGAGGTTGTGTATGTAGTAGGATGAAAACTGCCAAAGCTACCATAGAAAACAAGAAGAGAGAAAAAAGTTCTGCCCGTGAAATGATCTGCCTGCGAAGGGGAGCGACTCCGGAGTAAAGTTGAGGGCAACCGAAGTGATAAAATGCGGGCCTGTGAGTGGTACGAAAACTCGCAAGCCTCGGAGATGGATCAGATTAGATTATATCATGCCATTGGCTCCGCTTTTTCTTTTTCAAAAGGCAACAGAAATTTCGTGGGCGTTCAACTTGTCATTCGATTTTTCCTTTCTGCCCTTTGCGGGATCGCTCATCTATTCACGTGCTGTATAAGTGGATTTACAGCCGCAAATATACAAGACTGGCGACGGTGTGTGCTCCTGCAAGGCATTGCCTAAATAATTATTATGCCTTCACAAACAGATTCACCATATTGAGTCTCATGTTTGGTCGTCCTGAAGCCGCGAGCATGTCGCGAGATCCACCCACCTTTTTGCCCACTCCTCCACAGCAGCAGCAACGGTAATTACTTGCTAAACTACTCAGGCCAATACAACAAGGGCATGCAAATATATCGATATAAATGCTAGCGTCCAGAACGTCGTATAGGCATGATTGTATGGGGATGAAGCTTTCAGGAAGACACGCTTTAGATTGCTAAGCAAGAACCTGAGCGTTTTCAAGTTGTATTGCCAAACGTATTTATTCTTACATAGCATCGTCAACACGTAATTTCTTTACCTGGACACGTACCAAAAGTATCTACTTTACACCATCCAATAATGACTCTGGAAAGGATAAGGCTATTTCCGAATGCATAATTGCCATAAATAAGGTGCAAGGCCATCTCTGCTTGGAAATTCCCATCTGTATGCGCATGTATCAGATGTGCGTGAGATCTCAGATGGTGGGGTGGTAGTGAACTATTCACAAAACGAAAGACTTGGGAGTCTTGACTACTTAATTGAATTCTCTCAGCAGTTCCCGACTGCTCCGGCTCGCACATGTAGCAGAAGCGCTGATGTCCCCAAAATGCCAGTATCTGTCTCCCTCAAGCAATATGTACATCTGGCTCACAAGTATTCCGTTGACGATTCACTTGCATTGCGGGACGAGCGAAGATGTGAATGCAGCGATCGACCCGTGGCATCATGGGGAACCCGCTATCCCACGGCACCTACATGTAGGAACCTTTCACGCCACCTCGCTGGCCATGTTGCCCTTTTTGGCTCTCTTGGCTTGCTTGGTGGCCTTTTTCTTTGAAAATTCCAAGCAGGACTCCAAGGGCGGAAGCAGCCAGAGGCACGCGTAATCTCATCGGCACTCAAACAACGGAGAACCCGCCAGACATGGGACCAAATTTCAAACCATTTTTCGAGAATCAGGTGAAATCATCAGCTGTCCACTCTTCTTCGTCAACAGGACGTGCGACTTGGTTCAGATTCACGCTGGATACTGCGCCATACATACGACTCTGCATCAGGCCCAGGTCCGATGCTGATGCTGACACCCTCCCAGGTGATGCTTCAAGTAGCAAGGACGCGGGTTGAAGCACGATCTGTTGATGTGCCGGGATGCCCGAGGCGAGTTGGCCTGGCCGGAATGGACTCGTAATCAGCACCTTCAGTCGACATCTGGAGTACCGTCCATCGACAAGTCTGTATAGACTCTGCGTGATATGAAGCAGGTCTTCGAGCATATTCGAGCGCTCGTACCATGTGATCCCGTCTATCATGCAGTATATGGTTGTACCGGGCGCGAACTGCACCATGATGGAGGAGAAAAGGTGGCAGAGGTATGTGATGTCCCGGCGCTGCAATGCCTCAAGGTAAGGGACGTCCACGAACCCGAGATTCGGGCTGGGACCGCCGCTAGTATCGAGCTCCATGAGCAGTCGTGCGATCAAGCACCTCATCAGGCCTTGAGGCCCTCGTATATCGTCGTATGAAGATAGGTGCAGGCCACAAAAGTAGTAGAGCCCAGTAGCCTTGGAGGTTGTCTGCGAAAGGCTGGCCATGATGGTGGCACAGACGACTGACAAACTCGAGACACGCCCCTGATCACTGGAAAAATCCATAAGCTCGCCGTGAGCGAGAAGAAAGTCAGAAGAGTCGGTGGAGAACCACTGCCAGAATCGTTCGTGCTGCAGTACCCATTGTAGTTGGCTTTGCTGAGAGTGATCAAACTGTAGGCCTTGGCGAAGCACGTAGTCGAAGTCGTGAGTAGTCGTCTGTAAAGGAGCACGGATGATGCTCTGAAGCTCGGAAACTGAGAGGCTTGGCGACCCAAGCAGAGATGGTTGCGGCGTCCGCGCTCTTTCGAGCTCCAGCTCCATCTCGACTGCTTCTAGACGTCCAAGGAGATATCTCTCCCTCTGATCTGCCAGATCTGCCTCAGCCTGCAGTGCGGTCAAGAATCTGCTGATGTTCTCGTTGAGCATGTTCACCATGCCCTCATAGGCTTTGTTGGCAGCGTTGATGCGCCCCTGATCGGCGGCCTGAATTGCCCTGACAATATTCTGCTCCTGCGACGCCAAAGCCTCCTTCATCTCGCGGCTGCTTTGTTGCGCGATGGACTTCACTTCGGCGACTCGCTGGTTGGTAGCCAGTGCTGTCTGACGGGTGACGTGCAACTCTAATTGAATTTCTTGGATTCCTTTCCGAAGACGATCATGTATGTCTACGAGTATGCCGTCCTTCAGAATGTCGCTTTGTTTGTCCAAAGCGGAGACTGCTTGCTTTATCATCTTGATCATTCCATCGATGTCATCCTCCGAGGGGACACTCGAGAACATTGGAAAGATCTTCGAAACTGGTAGGGCACAATTAACATCGATCCACGCAAGATTTTCCGGTTGTTTGAGGGCTCACTTTGATGTTTCGGTAGCAGAAACGCAATGAGCTTTGTCGTGGCTTTCAGGACGGCGTCATACAGATTGTCAACCAGTTCAACAACACGTGCATCTGCTTGAAAATGCTTCCGCCTTGCTTCAGCGATCATGATGATATCTGGGATGTCTTCAAATGCCGTGAGAACCTTCTCACGGGCCTCGGCCGCGCTCTTGATAAGCTAAAGGGTTTTGTACGTTAGAACTTTGTGCTTTTTTATTTTCCTGGCAGGCAGACAGGCACATCAAGACGCACCGAGAACATCCACCCCAATGAGATCCGCAGAGCTTTTCCCCACATCTCATCAGGTATGAAATCTAGGAATCGCTCGGCATAGCCAGGATGATCTCCTAACATCCGAAAAGCCTTTCGGATTGAGCCTAAGACCCCTTTTGCCTTCTTATTGTACAAGACCTGTGCTTCTGACTGAAGCCGGAAAACATCGGCCCATGAACAATTCGCGGGATCGATTGCAAGACTCGGGTGTCCTTCCAGGGTCTTATAGTGCCTCAGAGCGTTCTCGATGTCACTGGAAGGTTTTCAATCAACAATTGGGCCAATTCAAAATGCAGTGCTCTTGTTCGACATCAACCGTGGAGCTGAGGTGTGAAATGCTTACTAGTCTGGTTTTTTTCGTCGTAGGACAGCCCTCTGATCGCTACCCTGGGCCGGGGATGCAACGGCAAATGCGCTGTCAAACCTGGGCGCTTCATTCTGCATCCAGTCTTGCCGAAGCAACTCGATGTCCTGTTCCATGGCTATGGAACAATGGCAGAAGGTGCTGCAGAGCAAGATGGCGATCAGACCTTGGTCTGTTACTTTGTTTTGCCTTGTCCGGCTTCCAAAATGGCCTTGAACCTCTCCGTGCAGCTCTACCCTCGTGTCAGCATGCGGCACAGCCATGTGGCCCGCATCATGAGGTTCAGCTGGGCAAAAAAATGCTGGCTTAAGCCCCATTGGAACATATTAGGCAGTGTGTACCGCACATCTGACGAATCAGGGACAGGCGGTGGACACCCTCTTGAGAATTCCCTTGACTAAACGGCAATACATCCGTTTTAGTAAACAATATGTGGAGGTATCATCACCGGCACGTAGAACCTTAAAGGGTGGTGGGGTGGAGACTGGCGGAGCGTGGTGAGCGATCCTTTCAGCTGTGGCTATCCGACAGAATATGGGAATCGAAGTGTTCTGCACAAGGACAAAGTATATCAACCTCTCACCTTTTTGAACATGCTTTCCCGCGCCGGTTTCTAGCCCGGACGTTATTCTCAACCCTCATACCTAGAGCAATCACTTCTCTCATACTCGATCCAGATCTCTGAGGATCAACTTAAACCATGTCTGACACGGAGTCGACTGCGTCTGACAAAGAGGCGCGTGAAAAACGCAGGGAGGAAAATCGGAAGCGACGCGAAAAAATCAGGTCCCGGAACCAGTATATTAGAAATCGAAACCAGCGGATTGTAGCCACTCGACATGCCGACGCACAAAGATGGCGCACCAAGAAGCCAGAAGTGGGCAAAATTGACATGGAAAACTTCAAGAATCGATACTGCTGGACAACGGAATACGAAGAATATGCCGTGGAAGCTCTCGTCGGGCCTTGGGATCTCCACGAACAATACCGGGACGAAAAGAAACGACGCCAGCCCCAAGACTTTTTCCGTAGACAGTCTAATATTGGTATGCTGTCTGGGCTCACGATGCCTGGCATGCGGGCAGAAAACCTCAACCGCGACTTTCGAGGCCCAAATGGGAAAAGCTATGCAGCTCCAGACGTGGACTTGAGCGAGCTCTACATTCATCGCATCCGCATCAATTCGATCCCGATACTTGGCTATCTGACTGATTTCATGGGGCTATCTTCTGAAAGAGAACAACCCAGAACATTCATGAGACCATACATGACCCTGGTCTACTTCCAACCGTACATGAAGAAGATGCTAGCCCGGCTCGAGGAGAGACTTGCCGATGCAGAAGTCAACAAGTCCCAACGCGAGGATGCAACCGATCGAAAAGTAGCTGTGCCAGGAGAGGCAGACATACCTGAGGAACTTGCTGCGCAACACACCATTACCACCCTCGACCAGACTCTTCCCCAGGAACAAGACGCAGATCTCGCAGTACGGGATGGGGACCTTCAGACGCTTGTTGAGCGAGACACAAAGGGCGATACCGAGGAAAACGACGCTTCAGACGCAGAAGAGGAAATCGCTTCCATATATACCGCGGAACTCGAATCGATCCGATATGACGTCGAAGAGCAAAACAAAGAAATCGAACGGCTCATGACCAGCGCTGAAGCCCTCCAGGACATGAGATGTTACGTCAGATTCATGGAAAAAGAGATCATGCCACATTTCGAATTCCTTCGAGGGCAGCAAGCAGAGAAGGTCATCTTCGACGATCTATGGTGCGTGTTCCGTCCGGGAGACTTAATATACTCGCACAATATGGGACCCAATAGCGACCGCGGAGAAGAACTCTGGCGGCTCTATCGTGTTAGAATTCCCAGATTCACGACATCGTATGAGCACGTCGGAAGCCGGACTGGCGAGAATGGTCAGTACCGGGCGGACGACAAGGTTACTCTATATTGCTATCATATCGACTACGACGGGTCTACATATGGTGCCGTTCGTAGGAAGTTCGACATTCCTTACTTCCCAGGGCGAAGGGCCATTCGAAGCTTAGCTGTGTACCCACTGCGTTTCGCCAAGAACTGTGACGGGATCCTTGAATCCTTGCGATCGCGAGGCCAGAAGTTCCAGAACGCATTCGCTCAACGCCATCAATCGTACCAGAACTGGACTCTCGAAACTGAGCTCAAAACTTCCTCAGAGTTTATTGAAGGCCATGTCATTGTGGATTTTGAGGAAACGTTCAAGAAAATGCCTCACTGGTGTCCATCGTTTCATCATCCATCGATAAACAAGGAGACCACTTTCGACGAGAATCATGAAGACTGGGACATCCTGTTCTGGAAGGACAAACCGGACGAGGCATCCTCCTCGTACTTCGTCTGTGTAGACAGAATCATACAGGACCATGCAATCCAGCTATTTGAGCGCCGGGATCTTTTCTATGAAGACCGATTTTGGGAGCGGCAATCCAAAACCTTTGGCTTCGACACATACGACTCACCCGAACAAGCAACAACAATCAAGGACGCTGATCTTGTTCTTCTCCCTAAACGATCATTTGCGTACACACTGCGTGAGCGTAAATTTGTTACCATCGACATCAATCATCTCAGACCCGTCCCCATCGACATTGGCATATTCGACAGCCTGAAAATCTCGCGAGATTACAAGGACATCATCCGTGGTCTGATCAGTTCCCATTTTCAGAAAAAGGAACTTGAGCGTCTTTACACCAGCCGATCTGTGGAAGGATTGAGCCAAGATCTGATCCGAGGCAAGGGAAAAGGCTTAGTGGGTCAGTTCTCTTCATCCTTCTCCTTCTTAGACCGCACACTGACCACTGATCAAATCAGTACTGCTCCATGGAGCCCCAGGCGTGGGCAAAACCGCCACGGCCGAGGCGGTCGCGATGGAGAACAACAAGCCTCTCTTCACAATTACTTGTGGCGATCTCGGCCTGACCCCTTCAGAGGTTGAGACATCGCTCAATGACATCTTCCGTTTAGCCCACAAGTGGGAGTGCGTCCTTCTCCTCGACGAGGCCGATGTGTTTCTCTCGCAGCGTTCTCGATTCGATCTCAAACGCAATGCCCTCGTCTCGGTCTTTCTCCGAGTTCTTGAGTACTACAACGGTCTCCTCTTCCTCACGACGAACCGGGTGGGCACCATCGACGAGGCATTCAAATCACGCATTCACATGTCTCTCTACTATCCACCGCTCAACAAGATACAAACCACAGAGATCTTCCGGCTGAATGTCCTCAAGCTGCGACAGATCGAGCAGCAGAAGTCCTCGTTGATAAACAAGCCGCAGCTCATTATCAACGAGAAAGATATCATCGAGTTTGCCGAGAAACACTTTGACGAGAACAATGCTAAAGGAGGCTGTTGGAACGGTCGTCAGATTCGCAACTCATTCCAGATCGCATCCAGTCTGGCCTACTATCACTATGAGAAGAAAGTCCGTGAAGCCCTTACGACGATGCAAGAGCCCCCAAAGGCACCCGAGCTGGACAGCAGGTTTTTCAATACCGTCCAGCACGCGACTCATCATTTCAACCAGTACATGGAGGAGACCAAGGGGTGGAGCGACGCAGATCTGGCTCACAAGCTGGGGGACCGGTCGGACTACCTCAAGGGCACGCGATTTCCCTCCACCGACGATCCACAGAATCCGCAGGCCACTTTCACGACCCAGGCCCCGAACGCCGGCCTAGGGCAGTATCCCGGTACGCTGTCTCCCTCGCCAGGGATGGCCTTTCCTGGTCAGATACCTATGCACAATGCCGCGGCGCAGTACCAGTCACCAGAACCACAGGGATACCACACGCCTCAGCAGCAGAGTGGCAGGACGGTGCATTTTGGCGGAGTTTCGCCGTACAACATCGGTGTCGCGGCGCCGACAACGCCAGGGCGCCTGATCTTCCAGCCAACTCCTCAGGCTGGCGCCGCGCACATGCAAACTGCATTTACCTCAGCCTACACCAGTACAACATCTCCGCAACCACCATCAACCTTCCTTGCAAACTCACTCGAGGCCTCTAGAGGATCTAGTTCTCCGTTCATGGGGGGACATCCTGTCGTCCACGAGCAGATGGGGCGCCCGCAAGGCGAGGCGAGTGGGCCGTGGGCTGAGAGCGGTGCACAACACGCAATGCAACCACAGACATCATTCCAGACGTCAGAGGAGGATCTTTATAGGTAATTAGATCGGTTGTTCTCGATTCGGGCACAGGGGACGGTCAGTGACCTTTGCTAGTTCACCATGCATCCAAGACTGTATCGATCTAGTCTTAAATACTATCTTTCTTTTCAATGCATGGCCTCAGCCTCCTATATCAGCTTCAATGTGACATTCCTACCAGTGTGCGCTGCGTCCTTGCCGTGCTCGAGCGACGCGCCTTGTCCTCCCAAGCCCCTTTTCATGCAAATGTCCTTGCTACATCTCTTTAGTCAACGGAAGCCACCTAGCAAATTTCTGTCCAGCTTAATGTGTGTGTGTGTGTGTGTGTGTGTGTGTGTGAAAGGTAACATATAATTTTGCTCATACCAAAGAAGAAGATTGTGCAATTCGTACGCTGACAAGAGCTAAATTGTATATATGTCCATATAAAAAAATATCTACACTATGCGCGAAAGGTAGACGCAACACCAATCATAACAAAACCCCCCCCCAAACAACCACTCACCTTTCCCCTATCCAACCCCGACTCCATTCCCTTACTCAGCTTTCGCGCACTTAAGCATCAAACATCAGGCCCAGACCCCGAGGCCCACGAGCAACGTGACCCTTATACCGCTGCACATAGTTCTGCTCCTCCTCGGCGTCACAGTCCTCACCGTCGTCGCCGGAGGACGATGCAGAGCTGCCAGTGGGACGGGCTCCGCCGGAACCGTTGCTCTTGGAGCCAGTGGGCCTGGAGGTGCTGGTGGCGGTGGGCTCGCTCTCGCCCTCGCCGTCGGCGTCGCAGCCATCGTCATCACCGCTGTCGTCAGAGGAAGAAGAGCTGGCGGCGGAGGTAGTGGTGGCGGCAGCGGCGGCGGCAGAGGAGGAAGAGGCAGAGCTGCCGGACTGGGGGTTGGTGGCCACGGAGCCGGAGTCGGAAGAAGAGCCGTCGCCCTCGGCGTCGCATCCATCGTCATCACCGCTGTCGTCACCAGACGAGGCAGAAGTGGTGGTGGAAGAAGACGAAGACGAAGAGGAAGCGCTGGTCTCGGTGGGCTGGCTGGCAGCAACGACGGTAGAAGTCAGAGTGGTAGGCTGGGCATCGACCACGGTAGACGTGAGGGTCTCCTCTGGCTCGCAGCCGTCGTCCTCGCCGTCGTCCCCGCTGGTGGAGGTCTGGACGGCCGAGCTGGCGGAGATGGTTGAAGTGATGGTCACCTCGGCGTCGCAGCCGTCATCACCTTCATCATCAGAGGAAGAAGAGGCTGCGCTGGTCTGAGCGACGGCAGCGGCGGTGGTGACGGTGCTGGCGGAGGCGGAGCGGGTTACTGTGGCAAAGGTGCTGGTGCCAGCAGAAGAAACGGCGGCGGCGCTGGATGAGGCGACAACAGCGGCAGCAGAAGATGAGGAAGAAGAAGAGGAGGAGGAGGAGGAGGTAGTGTTGCTGCTGGAGCTGGATCCAGAGCAGGTAAACAGCGCAGGGCCAGGGATGGTGTAGGTCGACGCCTCGTAAGGGTTGTACAGGATACCAGGGTCGCTGGACTTGTACGCGCCAGGGAAGGCGACAAGGTTAGCTGGGGTGACGGCTCCAGTGCCTCCAGACACCTTGACCTGGTGGCAGCCTGGGTAGAACTGGGCGCCGCCCTCGGTCTCGGCGGCGTGCAGGGCGATGATCTCGTGGCGGACGAGGTAGGCTCCGGACTCGATGCACTCGGGGACGGTGTAGGAGACGAAACCTCCGGCTGTCATGACGGCGGTCTGTGATTACATTGTTAGAAGGGGAAAATGTATATGATTTTTGGTTTGGCAAAACTTACAGCACCCCAAGTGTCGGAAGTTCCGTCACGACCATCCTCCTGAACCTTGAACCAGACGGTGCTATAAGGGAAAAGACACAAGTCAGACAGATGTTCGATTATTTGGTGGCACAAGACAAAGACAGAAAGGCGTAAAGACTTACTCATTGCCAGGCATGTACGTGGTGCAGTCATCATTGGCACACCGCGCCATATACGTAATAGTAGGCCCAACATGGCTGGTCGGCCACAAGGTCCAGTACAGATCAACAGTCGATCCAGCCGTGACATCAGCGGTCAGGTTGGCAGGCGAAGACCCATCGATGCCGTCCGCCAGGTCACCACCGCACTGGATGTCGTCCCAGGTGACCACGGTGACAGGGCCGTTGCCCTGGATAGGGCGAGAGATGCGCGACGGAGTCGGGCTCATGTAGGGATCTGTGTACGGCTGGTAGAAGGTATAGCTCTCGCTATCGAGGGTGCCATTGGTCACGTAGCCGTGGCCAGCCACCAGGGAGGCTGATGCGAGGAGACCTGCGAATGTCTTCATCTTGATTCGGGATTTTGATGTGTTGATTGGTTGTCAAAAACACACTCTCTCTCTCTCTTTCTAGGCTTTGAAACGGGGAAAACTTCTCGAAGGAACGGCTGCAGCAGCAGAAGAACAGAAGAGGGGGAAAAGAATGGAAGGTGTTGTGAAGGAGAAAAAAACGAATGGTAGCCCCAGGCAAACCGTGAATGAATGGAATGTGTCAACGTAGTTGACAACAAATGAAGAGAGAGAGAACGGTAAGGTTGAAAGAGAAAGAGAGAACGAGAAAGGACGTGTTACTCGTCGGAACGGCGAACCGACCGTCCTGGTATATGTACGTTCTCTCTTAGTCTTCCCTTTCTCATCTATCAAGCATAATTCTTAGGAGAGGGTGGGGTGAAGTGGAAAGGGGACGAGGAGGAGGAGAGGTGGGGGGGCCTTGAGGCAATCCTGCCTACCCGTCGAAACTTCAAGCAGGGCGCCGTCATGTTAATTGTTGTTTCTTGAATGAAAGGGCCTACATCATAAGACAAAAATTCTCCGGTTGCTTCTCATAGGCTCGATGAGACCATCGCGAGGGGGGGCAGGAGACGCAGCCTAACGGAGTCCATCATGGAGAAACATCAAACATCTTCTCTCTTGCTGTTAAGCGAACAAGGGGTTGGAAACGTCCAGGATCCAGCCGAGCCGCATCGCCCCTGAGGCTCCAATCAGGACGAGGGCGTTTCCCAGGAGGAGGGTCCACAGGGTCACTACGGATGAAACAGCCAAGGCAAATGGAATTGATCCGTCAAGTGAGCAGCCGAGCTCTAGAACTTGATGACCTTCGTATTGTGATAAGAAGGTTAAAGTATATAGCTGTCGACTGACCTTGATGGAATAGTAGGAGATCTATAGAAGAAATGTAATTCGCGAGTTTTGGTGAGCAGCTGTCAATGTCAGTCCATCAGTCTTGCTATTAAGCATAAGTAATCTATAAGACCAGTCCATGCTTTTAAGTTGTATTCAGCCGCACGCATGCTTTATTAGCGCTCGCAGGCGGCAAACCAGATGACAGTACCATTCAGTGGCCCAGTCTCTGCAGATCTCGGAACACGCCGAGGTTCCTGGTTTCAAAACACTGCAAGGGGAGGGTTGGTTAGTTAGAAACGAGGATGCAGATCCGGCCCCAGTGACGGACGGAATAACCATCTCCGTCATTGATGAGATGACATGGTCCACAACCCAAAGTGTGTTGTTTTGCAGCTCTTTCTTTGACAACAAGTCGTATGCGTTCGAGGCATACCTGACATATAATGATGTTCAAGTCTCCATACCAGTCAGTCATCAAAAAGAGTTTTGGTAGGGCTGGAACAAGGTTGGGGGAGAAAGAGGGAATTGACTAAAGTGTATTGTTCCCTGTTCCCATCGGCCAAGGCCAAACCAAACAGCCATCGTGGGTCTTGTCGGTTTTCGACCGCATCTGGCATAGCAAAGATCCACCACGTGCTCCCTCCGAAAAATTGTGCATAGACTCCCAAAACCTATCTCACTTCTCTCACGTCGCTCCTCTGGCGCATGGAAGATTATGCATTGATGATGGTAATGATTCTTGATTGGGTTTGTGAAGTTCCAGTTCATGCGTCCAGACGTCAAGATTCACGCTCCAAGCCCAAAAAGAAACAACAGGCAAGACATGATTGCCAAAAGATGATTCGGCCCGGACTTGAACCGAGGACCTATGGTGTACATTGAATTGCATGAGTAAATCATGAATTTGACAATGTTAAACCATTGTGATAACCAACTACACCACCGAACCTGTTGAGGATGTTGTGAGTGTTGCCGCTGCAAAAAGCTCTCATAACACGGATACTCCGAGATTGGGCACTTGTTGCTCGGCTCTTGACCGTGCGCGGGTCATTCCAATTCGAGAAGAATGCGAAGAGTCTTCAGTCCAGTCCATTCTAGACCATGTCATGTTCGTGTTTGCGGGGTGCTGTGGGTAAAAGCCGTCTCATTCTCTCCACCGTCCATCGACGCTCATCTTCCTCTTGACTCAGATCATGTAAGTCATGGAGTCTACTTTTTGTAGGTGTCATACTCGATGATATATGAGGGGCCCTTCTACCTCAAGTTCATGGGCAGCTCAGAATGATGTTGTGATGGTCAGTCGAATTGCTCTGGATGGACGCGTCCCTGACATGTCTTTGTTGACCGGTACATCAGGATATGATGCGACACAGATGTACACACATGTGGATCCTCATCAATTTTTTCCTTCTTAAAAAAAAGGTATGAAGAAGAAAACTAGACACAGTCAAATTGGTTCTTTTCACCCTCTTCTTCTCTCCTCCCCTGGCCTTTCTCGGCTTGTTTATTCTCTCTCTTCTCTTAATTTTCCGCCTCTTTCATCATAATTGAATATGAATGAGACGAATGTATCTTTCGTCAGGACCAAGCACTGTGGTGACTGTCATATGATTAGAAAGAAGAAGAAGAAGAAGAAGAAGAAGAATCCACTTGAAAAAAACACCAGCACGAGTTCCCAAAAGTTATTCGTACGACAAGACACTGCTTCCTAGATGCTTCCTAGATGCCGAATGATCTATCGTCATCTATGAAAACGTATATAGATTCGTTGATGATCAATTGAGGCAGATGACACTCGGAGTAGTCATAGAACTCAATCACATGCTTCCAAAAGATAGACCTTGGCTCGTCCGCCATCACATTGAACAGTGACCGTTCCATTTTTTGGATGACAGATGCGATCGAAAGCCGCGCGGTCCAGTTTACTGCCCCATACCACCCATACGGACGGCGGTACGTCCCGGACCTCGTCCCACGAGTCCAACTCTCCCAGGACCTCCATGCTGCAGTCGCAGCTGAATCTTAGAATATTTATTCCTTGCTCCAAGCACAAGACATCAAGATCTGCAACTAATCTTCCCTTGCTTTGACCAAGACTGACCGACTTCAAAAGGAACACCTGTTGGTCGATTTTCTCCGTTACCTTCCTAGGACACAGGCGTCTTCCACTTTGTGAAGATAATTAAATGTCGATAAGATTTTAGAATTACGTTAAAATTTCAGACGATACTATTGTAATTTCCAAAGCAACGCAGGCCACAATGAAAATTCACCTTCACCGCCTCCTTAATGATTCTGCACTTCAAAGCGACCATGTTACTTTGAGGCGTATTCTGCACTAAAACCCAAGATTAGCCTTATTTAAGCCGAATGTTCTGAATGGAAGTGAAGAACGCTTTGAGTCCCCATTCTAGCAAACTGTAGTGGCACATTCGGGGGCCAAGAACAGGAGCTGTTGATTCGCAGCACTGACGTGTTGCTAGACCATATCCTTCTTCTTAGAAGCAATTCAAATCCCCAGATCCCATCACAGTGTTCGCCAGACTGATCATGATATCATCCATTTCTTGTCTTCGTCCAAGTCAGGACGTTGGCAAATTATACCATCGTAATCCTGGTAACAGATTCAAGACATAAGAATCCAGATTCTGATTATTGCTCCGCACACACACACACACACACACACACACACACACACAGAAAGAAAGAGGGAGAGAGAGAGAGAATGGCTTATTATATGCAATGCTTCGCTGCTTAAAAACAAGGTCCAGGTGGCCTAGATAACGAGCAACGCATCAACAGGAAAATAGGTGTCCTGGCATGATATGAACTTTCTGCATTTTAGCTTATGTGAGCCGATACTACTTTTCTTCTCCATAGCATCGGCGAAATTGTGAAGATCGCTGGTGATGAAGCTGCGATAAGCCATCATCCACGACTGAGCGGCTCGAGTGCGTTCTGGGCTTATATTCTCTCATCACTCCTGATGATCCGTTATTACGCAGGACACAAGTTTTTGCATTTATGGGAGACAATATGCACGGCGTAGTCAATGGCTCAGGGATACTTGAGGTTTCTAACTAAGATTTTGTGGTGGTGGTGTTGGTCTGCATGAGCGATGATTAATGGAGGATGATCGGATGCGCACAATGTCGGACTCCCATGGCCTGGCTATTGATCGCCGGGAGCTGTGGCATTTAAGGTTTCGGAACGAAAGTGGCGCATATGTAGGATACATGTACACCCAAAATCCGGTTTCGACGACGCTGTTCATGGTCTCCATATTTATAGTTTATATGTATCACGGGCCTTCTAATTCCGCCCCCTGAGCGTTATCGACTTTGTGATAGGCTGTGATTCCATGATTTCAATCTCAGCCAAACATAGATCTGGGTAGGTCAAGGGGAATAGACTGGACTGGTTACTTTGTAGGCTGGTTGGTTATCCCGCAGCATCGTGAAGTTCAACATCGATTCCCAGGTCCCGAAGTTCTATAGTACATTGGTATTAGCCACCACGTAATTAGAAGATGCATCATGGCACTTGAGACCTGCTTATCCTGCAGAAGGGATACGAATTGATTATACTTTTCCTCAGTCTAGTTCTCAACGGTCTCACACTGGAGGATCTCGTTCAGAAAGGCAAGAGTGCCACACCACCGAAAATCAACTTAGGCTCAATGGTGAAGATGTTTCAAGATACACTGCAAATGCTCAATTGGATAATTAATTACAAGAAGTATATAAACACCCTCACGCCGGGCAGCGTCAAAGGTCTGAGCCCGTATCGTCACTAATAGTACTTGAGCCTCCTCCAAACGCCTCGGCAATGACCTGCGTCCGCACCACCTTACCTCCAGTAGTGACATAGATCCAGCAGACAGCCTCAACGCCGGGCAGCGGCGTATAATTGTACTGCAATTCAAACTCGCGCACCATGCCGTTCACGCTGATGGTGTGGTTATGGCCGGTGAAGGTCATATCCGTGGCGTACGACCCCACCAAAGTGCGGCTCTGCTCGTCGCCGTCGTTGTTAAGCTTGACGTCGTAGATGTTGCCGTCCTGGCCCAGCACCCGATTGGTGTGTGTGTTGCCCGAGTAATTGTTGATGCTGTAGAGGACGTTCTGCGTGTCGAGACTTCGCTTCGTAGCACTGCTGTTGCTGGATGATGTTCCCGTCAGGGTGCCGACGGTGCTGTTGACAACCTGGCCCACGTCTTCCCCGAGAGTGGCGATGACGGGGTTGAGATCAATGGAGTCTAAGACATCGCTGATCCTGTTTTGTAATGGTGGGCGTAAGCGAATCTGAAGTTTGCCATTTGTGACTGGAAACGAGGGAACCAATGGAGGACTTACATCTGTACAACATTCTCTAGACGTGCCTCCAGCAGGACCTTGGCCGAGATATTCTGGATCGTCAGCCTGACGCTGTCGATGGATGCATCAACACCAGCGCTGAAGTGGAGCAGGTTCAAGACATCCGCCTGGAGGTTGACCTTGGCGGTGATATTGTCGACCTCGATATCGATCTCGCCAACGGATACAGACGCGTTGAGGAACACATCAGGCTCAGACGGAAGGACCGTGCTGACATCTGTGTTTGTGTTTGCTGTCTCGTACACGGCGGATTCTGGGTCGCCTCGCTGGTCGAGATGGTAGCCAAAATAGCCTTCTTCCTGTCTACTGCCGTGTTCATGGCCGACGTCTAGGAAAGACCAGGCGGGCAATATTAACAAGCAGAGAGGAAGGAGTTCTCGTATTCTGATGGCCATCTTTTCTGGTGCGAGTTTGTGTGCATGTGTGGGAGGAAACGAGGAAAGACAGAGCGTGCAAAGAAGTAGGTTCACTACTGAACAGTGACAAGTTGAATTTCTCGGGAGGCAGAAAGGCAATATGAAGTGGTATCACTCGTCGAAAGGCAGGCGAACGGGGTACTGAGCAGATGGTATAGCAATAAAGCTGAAATGGTAGCCAGCTACGGAGATAAAAGTGCAGCCAATGCAGGGGAGATACTATTTTGCCGAATGACCTCACTTGGCTCCTGATCACACTGGCATCTGGGTGCAGGCTTCCATGCAATCATATGTCTACTGCATCAAAGCACACGCGCGCATGAATGGAATTCCCAGATTCTCTGAGCACTGAGCTCATCCGTGCATGGTCTTGATGAGAGCGGGTCTTGAACGTTGAGTCCATCTACATAATACCGACAGCATGATCCTAGTCGTCGATGGAACAATAGGTCCGCCCCGGCAAATTACCATAGCACAGCCCAACTTTTCCATGGGTGTGGCTTAGCCTAGTGGTTGCAATTAGAAAGTGCAGGTAGTGGTTAATCATAGTAGGACGGAAAAGGGGAGACTCTTAGGGCCTATGCAGGGGATCATAGAGGTCTAGAACAAGCTTAAAGACTGGGCTTGTGTCAGAAATATCCGCCCGCCTCCTCGCGGCTCACACCAGGATTCATGTTCCCCAACCTATAGGAAGAGAGGCAAAGAACTGTACCATAGTACGGCAATAAGTGTGTGTCCTGTCATGGAATTTTAATTTGGCACTGTTAACAAGAACGGTACTGGTGTGCATACAAACCGGCTGCCCTTGCAACCCATACACGATGACATCGCCCTCCATCTCGAAGCCCCTGAAATCCGCTTACGCCTTTCCGCTTTGGCATCACCGATCATGCAATTTGCTTCATGGCAATTTGGCCAGTTGAAAGAAAGACCCAGCCCTCCCTCTCTGACAGGGTAATTTCCTTGGCTATGCGGGGATTTGACCGGTCCATCGAGATCACGAGGCACAAGCTGTCAAGTGAACTGGTCTGTGTGCATAGCCTAGACCACAAGTGAGTAGCTTGACCCCGTAGTAGGCGACATGCTTCCCTATTCGAGAGTGGGAACATATGCTCATAGTTGCATTGTTAGTTGTAATCCATAACCAAGGTACTTACATACAAGCATGGCTTGGACCAAGCCTTGCCTGACGTCTGTCAAAAAACGTCTATTCATCAAGCGTTGCATCCTATCCTTCTTTGCCTTGCTGGGCCTGTCACTCATTGTGGACGTTGCGTTATTTTCTCTGTTTGTTTCTTATTCTTCAAGAGATTGCGGTTCGGTGTTGCCTGAGGAATTCCCCTCAAGATAATTATTTCTCTGCACCAAAGCTCTCGGTGTCCTCTTCGTTTCTGTTTCCTTCCTGCGAGTGCATCTTTCACTTCTCCATTCGTTTTGATTATTCCCCGCAGCTGAGAGTGATCAGCGCACCACCGGCCAAAATGCAGCCTAACGGATTACTCTCCTTGGCCTTTGGCTATCTTCTCTCTTTTTCCACAGCCCAGTCGATCTCTTCTACTATCTCTGGTGCAAGTGCTTCTGCTACGGCTTCGGTGACAGCACTAGGTGGCTCGAACGCGACAGCCACCTTGGCGGGCGGTGGCAGTGGAAGCACGGCATCGAGTAGTAGCTCTACCACCAGCCCTCCAGATGTCTATCTGAGAGTGCCCAATCTATCGGTGGGCAAGATTGAGTGCGTCTGATGGCAGGGTTGGGAAGCAACTTGAACATGTAACGTACAGAAACTGACCGAGTGTTTTCTTTTGCTGCCTCCAGATTGGATGTCGAGAATCTCCAGGCAGAGCTCAACCTCGCTGCTGAGGTCGCCTCTCTCGTGACGATCAATGCTGGCGTTCAAGTGGGAGTCTCCAAAGTAAACATTACCATCTCCGATGTGGAAGCTGAGTTGGAGTTGGTCATCCGGCTTGGGAATTGTAAGTCTTCTCTAAACCTAGCCGCCGTACTATCTAACTGTGATTACATTTACTGACCGACTGCGATCATTAGTGGTGGATATCGTCAACAGGACACTATCGTCCATCGACCTAAACCCAACGCTCATCACCCTCCTCAACACCGTCACCGACGTCGTGACAGAGGTAGTCGGCGCAGTCGACGGCCTCCTGGGCAGCATCACCCAGGGCAACTCCCAGCTCAACTTCATCATCGACAACCTGGGCAACATTGTTCAGGAGGTCGTCGGCGACGCGGGCAGCACCGTCTCCACGATCGTGGGCAACTACCTGCAGAACATGACCCTGGTAGGCGACGTCGAGGAACTGGGCGGCGGTCTCGTACAGAAGACGTACAGCTATGCGCCGCTGGGCTCGCTTGTTGATATCGTCTTTAATGCGCTGGGCCAGGTGGTCCAGGCGACGGTCGCCTCGTCCACCGCGGGCAGCGGGACGAGCTCGACAAGTGCGGTTACGGGGACGACGGCTACGGCGGCGCCGGCGGCGGCGAGTGCCACGGCAACTGGGGCTGCGCGGCGTGCATGATGATCCCATGCGGCCGTAGATGTGTTGGTCTTTATTTCATGTATATAATTGAAATATGAGTAATATTCTTGATATGGTGACTTGGAAATTGTGGGCGTGAGAATGGATGACTTGACTTGTGAATATAGTAGACTGCTTCTCGCAGTGATTATCCCCGTCAATATGTATTTAAGTAACCAGGTTCGTTATGCTGCGCTCATCAGAGAAACCCAAAACGCACAAAATAAATCCTTTAAAAGAACCTCCATAGGGAGTCAGGCCTTCGAGCCTTCTTGAAGGTTCCATACCACCTACACAGGAGATACATGATGACCAAAACGACTGCCCAGTTCACCCAGAACGCCCACTCGCTAGGAACGCCCTCGTCATCTCCCAACCAAGGGCCTGAGCTCATTGGAAGGTCATATATGTGAGACCAGACCAACCACGAGATGAAAAGGGGAAGAAGATGGACCACGTAGAAAAAGAAAGCAGATGTCCCAACCACCTGAAGCGGATGCAAGACGGTAGAGGAAATGACATGTGGAATGGCGCTGAAGAAGGTGAGGAGGGTGAAATTAACACCCATGGCGTATGCCCAATATGCCACCTCGGGCGGGTATCTGTGGAGAAAGAAGAAGGAGCGCCAGGATACGAGATACTGGTTCCTGTCGGGATGGGCCGCATGCTCCGGCATCCGCAGGCAACCCTCGGAGAGGTTTCCAAAGTGCAACAGGCGGGTTAGAACGAAGACCAGCAGGAACACCAGGCCAAACACGGCGTTGCCCAGGGTGAGTGCCGTTCTGGTCCATGTCCTGCCGACGACGACGCGACCGTAGAGTAGACCCAGGACGACAAAGGAGAGCCAGGCCAGCGGTGGATGTAGAGATGCGACATGCTTTGTGACAAAGACGTCGATCCAAACCCTAAACCAGTTGTTTGAAGGAGAAGCCAGAAGGACGGAGATGTTGTCGTCGTCGGGCTTGCAGTGTCCTTCTTCTCCTCTGCTCGGCGACCGCCACATATTCCACCAGATCGATACTATCGCCAGCGCCAGAAGGACGATGTTGTGGAAGTGCCATGAGATGTCTGCGGCCCGCATGATTTTTCGATCCGGCGCAATGTCCTCATGGCCACGTCGGTCGGCCAGCAAGGGCTCATTCGCATCATCCTTCTTGGCGTCAGGTAGGACCTGTAAAAGCCAATAAGCCAACGTCTCCTCCGCCCGCGAGATGACGAGCCACAGGATGCCCACGAGCAAGTAATCCACAGCCAGCGCAAACAACACAAGGCTCATGAACCAAACCCTGCCCAGCGTCATCAAAAGCCCCAGCAAGACGCTGAGAACCACGAGAATCACGACCCTGACGAGAAGATGGCGGACCAGCATGCCCGCAGACCAGCCCAAGGCCCTGCGCGACTGGCCAAAATATACGATTCCCATGCCGAGCAGGAACAGAAGCCCAGGCGGCCAGAGATGCGTGAGGAGCCGGATGATGTAAGCCACGGGTTGGTTCCACGTGTGTGCCGGAACGTCATCATGGTCTCGCTCGCCATGGCTGTCGTTGTTGTTGTGGTTGATGATGATGGATGAAATGGGCCATGGTCTAAGGACGAGAAAGTTGTGATCTAGTGCCATGAGGATCATGAAAAAGCCGCGCAAGATGTCGGGTGCTAGGGCGCGGTCGGTCGATTTGGTGGTAGCGGAGAGCTTTGAAGGCGGCGTGTCTTGAACTGGAGTTGAAGACGAAAGAGGAGGTGTAGAATGAGAATTTCCCTCTCTGATCACCGATATCGAGCCATAGGAAGAAGTATGGCTGTCGTCTCGAGGTGTCGACTGCCTATTGTCTGGTTCCTCCTGGCGTGTGTCGTCGTTGGTGACGTGCTCATGCGTGTCATCCTCGAAGCTGGTCTCTTGGACGGCGCCGTCTGGGACAGCACGGACGACTTCCATGTTATCATGTCAGGGAACATTGACAGGAGAACAAAACCCTTGAAGCGTTTGTCAATACAGCAAATGAATCAGAAGAAATATTTATGTAAAGGTGATAGATAAGATTTATTATGCAAGTGCAGTAAGAGGCGCCTTGGAGGGTAACCTCATGACGCGGTGAACGGTGAATGATATAAAACTGCAGTGACGCAATCGTGCGCTTGCTGAGGAGAACACTGAAAGGGGCGAAAGTCGCCTCCGAGGAAAAGGGGACACTGCCACATTGCCTCTCGACAAAGCATAATGACTTGACCTATCGTTCTGTAAACATTTATTTATGCTATATGGGTCGATTATGCAAACCCTACTCTTCGCCCACTATTATTTGTGTCTCGCTCAGGAAACCATCGCAGCAGGTGATTGCAACCGTGGCACTGATTCTGGGTGGATTGGAATGGAACAGCAGAGCGTGGCAAAAGTACGCGGGCGGCTGATAACTGCCAGTAATATAAGCTTGCGAACTGTCATTTCTAGCACATACGACCATAGGTAGTGGAGAACTTGGGATCCCGTCTGCTCTCCCCTAAATAAGCCACTAACCGCCGGATTAGTAGTTAAGTGGGTGACCATTAGCGAATACCCGGTGTTGTATGTTTTTATTCTTTTTCCGTACGCGTTTTTATTCTCATCCGTCTTACTCATTGTTTTGAGTCTGAAATTTAAAGATTGGCCCTCGTCTTCCATTCTTCCCTTTTCTGTTTTTTTCTTTCTTTCTCTCTTCAAGACTGTAATATTCAGGGGATGGAATATGTAAATGTGTTCTGCAGAATAGACTCTCCGGACCTCGGGACCTTTAGTTGACCGAGCCCCGTTTCTTTGGCCTTCTGAAACCTTGGCCCTGGCAACGTGTCTGCATGCCTGCGTGTTTGTGTGCGCGCGTATGATTTGCGGGATGTTCCGACGAGCTTGCGATCGTTTCCACCGTCTGAGATCAACGTCATTATCGTGCATCTGGGATCCACTTCAACGACAAATTGCTTGATGGTAGAAAGTATAAGACTAGAAGCCGCCGCCAGTCTCGAGGAACGAAGCAGACATCTCCTTTAAAGAAGAAACCTGACTTCGAGCTTGTATAACATCTAAAATTACACCATGACGACCTACATCTCAGCGCTGACCCTCCCCGACAAGATCTTCGCCAGCCCGGCGGCGTCGATCTTGACACCCATTGTTCTGGGTAGCGGAGTTGGCATTGGCATAAGCAGTGAGTCCATTTAGCTGATCACTCTTTTTATCACCTCTCGACCTAAATGTACATTCATGCTCACTATTCGCTTCCTCCACAGACAAAAAGACCAAGGAGACGTACATGTCCCTGCGACAACCTCCTCTCTCACCGCCAACCTGGGTCTTTGGCCCTGTCTGGACACTGCTCTACGGCCTCATGGGATACGCTGCCCACCGCGCCTGGATGACCGGGACGTCACCTCTCAACTCAACCGAGCTCATCCGCACGACCCGCCATGCTGCCACCGTCTACTCGGTCCAGCTGGTACTGAACCTCGTCTGGACGCCGCTGTTCTTTGGACTCAAGAAGCCCGTGGCGGCTTTAGCTGATATTACGGCACTCATCGGCGTCAATGTCTACCTGACATATCTGTGGGCAGAGGTTGACAAGGTCTCGGCGTACTGTATGGTGCCATACCTTGGCTGGTTGGGTTTTGCGACGTATCTGTGTGCCGGCGTGGGATACGTGAACGGGTGGGATTTGAGGGGCCGGAAGACTGCCAAGTCTGAGTAGGTATGAGGGCGGTTGGGTAATGATGAGGCCAAATCCTAGGAGGGAGATTTCTTGGCTAGACGAAAGCCATGCTCTCCGCAGATGAAAGAAAAAATAAGTAATAATTTAATAGAGGTAATACCCATACTTGCTTTCCAGTTCCAGTCCTTCCACACTAGCCTCAAACTCCCTCAGCCTGTCTGCAAGCCCGCTCTTCGCACTGCACTCGTGCGCAACGGCCGACTTGCCCACAATCTCCGGAGAAGAGTCGGGCGTCAGCGCCTGGCCCGGTTGGGCGTTTGGTGATTTCCTCTTTTTGGACGACGGGCTGCTCAGAGACAAGAGGCTGGGCACAAACTTGTCTACCTGGGCCTCGGCCTCACCCACGGCTTCCTTGATGCTGGCGAAGCTGACTCCTGCGAAGGGCTTGATTGGTCTGGGCCAGACCAGCTGATTTCGGTTCAGTGTCCTGATCAAGGCACCGAGAAGCAAGGTGTCGCAGCCAAGATGACAAGATGGTGTCGTTGTCCCTGTTGCTTCTGTCAAAGCCCTGGTTGTCTCGTGCACAGCGTCCAGGGACTTGTTCACCAGCTGCTGTCTCCGAGCGTCGATCTCCCCTGCGATTCGTGTCAATAAGCCTTGGCTTCGCGATTAACACGCAAAAACAAGAAAGAGGAAAAAGGAAAGAAAAAAAAACAAGCATCGTGCCTTCCAGAATCACTTACTAATGACCCCTTCTCTCACCTGCAATCCCAAGCTTCGAATCGGCCCGTCACTCTGCAACACTGCCACCTGGGTAGCTTTCTTGAACGCCTCGACCTTGCGAAAGATATAAGCTGCATACAGCCGGAGCACGAGATCTCTCCCATACTCGGTCGGCACAGGGCCGTCATCCAGCTTCTCAAACCACCGCTCCGCATACACCTCGACAGCCTCGGCGCACCGGAACGCATCGACAAAAACAGCCACCTTGGCAAGCGTCTCGAGGTCCACGGCCCTGGGAACCTTGCGCCCGCGCCCGTGGATGATGTCCATCACGATGATCACCGCCGCGGGATCATACCCCGCCAGCGTGATATGGACCCGCCCATCCTCCGCCTCAAGAGAGCCCTGCACCTGGTGCAGATGGCGAAACTTGTTGCAGAAGTGCTTCGACGCCAGGCTCAGGTGCTTGGAGGAGACTTTGATCCGCACCTCTGGAGACGAGGCTATGCTGGCGTAGATGTTGGGCGGGCGCGATGTGCCGCGCAGGATGCCTGCGTAGACGGATGTGTCGGCGGTCGCAGCAGAGCGCGGCGAAGGGGGCGGGGTGTCTGCCTGCTGCCATGGCGCGAAGGTTTTGGGTGGATAGGGGATGATGAGCAGGGTGTCTGCTTCTGGGTCGACTTCGTAGAATTTATACATTTTCTTTTTGGTTGTTGGTCTTCACGGCGCAGTGTGGCGTTTGGTCAGCCAGGGCTTGGGTATGAGATTCTTTTTGCGAACTGCCTTGACTTCTCAACCTCGTCATGAAACTCCCATATATGATGAAAAAAGTTTCATTTCTTCCTCTATCATGGAGGCATTTTATTTACCATATCTTGCTTATGAATGCTCATATCAAAGGTGAGATTACGCGAGTAAGCCATCCCATCACGCAATGAAGCTTAAGGCCGTCCTTGGCTCTTTGACAGGGCAAATACGCTAAAAAGGCTCATCGCGGATCGACATTTGTACCAGTGGGCGATAAGGAGACTAGTTTTTGGCTGGATGGCTTGGAAAGACGGCCAAGACGGGAAATGGTCGGGTCAATCTCTGAATTGCGGACGCCTGTCTAAATCGTATTCGTATATGGAGATTATCGCTGGGAATATTACTACAGTAAACCAGCCCTGGGCTTCCTTTCGAGAACGCTTTTGCAATTACTCTGCGAGAACTGCCGATTTCACGGACAATTGGTTATATATCTGTATGGTACAATAAAAACAATGCATGAGCAAAGGGTTTTTGGTTTTTGATTCCTTTGCATCGTCGTGTCGTCACTACATGACAACACGGCGATGGAGATAAGAAGCCTTTACAGAATAATTGTAAAATCAATGGCGTGGATCTGGTCACTTCTCATCAATACTCTTAGCAACGAGCAGGCGAGATCTCAAGTCTCGTAAATATACAGCAGAAGAGGGAACTCATAATCTTGCCCCTTTCAACGGCCGCTGTGCAAGAAAGCTGCAGAAGATTGAAGACAAGTGATATGCTACCTATCATTTTCATGACCATTCAATTGAGTGATGAAACTAACAAATGGTCTTGCTGTACTCGTGTTATTATTGCAATGGCCTCTTGAGTAGGCGTAGCAATCCTCTAGAAGTGAGGAGCTTGAGAAGGATACGGTTGATACTGAGAAATTTCCTGAATGTAAATAGAACAGAAGTTTGTACAAGCTCTCGGGGTTTGCAATGGTCACCAAACACTGTTGCAAATTAGCGGAGTAGGACATAGATTCATGCTTCGGATGTTGTATTATAGCTCTTACCACCTTAGTTCGATGTGTTCAAGATGAACATCAGATACGCTTTGGTAAGATCTTGTTCTGGGTAGTCACTTCTTCATTTGTCTGGCAACCCATCGTCAGGCTGCGAGATTCCACGGCTTCCACTGTTACGGCTCTCTTTCACATTCCTACCATGAGCTCGCATTGCAAAGATCCCACACCTCGGATTCACCGGGCCATACAAATTGGGAATTTTAACCGATGGTGGTCACATGCCCAGTATTCTGGCATGTGGACTGCCGAGACGGTCTGTTTCAGTTGCCTACATGCCTTGAGTGTCGTCTTTCCAGGGCAGCCTCTTGCAAACCTGCACGTCGACACAGCGGCGTTTCCGATAGCCAACGGATCCGCTGCGTCAGTGGGCTTATGGCACTCGACTAGGGCAAAGTGGTTGACCGGTCGAACAATCAAGCACCTGGAAAAGAACGACCACAAAGGTACTATATGTCATGTATCTTCAGGGCTGGCGGTCGGTGAACAAGTTGGTCATGCAGAAAGGCTCACGCATAGATCGAGCCACTCACAGACTACCACGACCTGCGCATGCAAGAGAATCAAACCAAAGGAAGCGAGTGCATCTGCATCTGCATCTGCATCTGCATCTGCATCTGCAAGTGGACCTATTCGGCTGACAGAGCGAGCCGAGTACAACCCCAGACACGACGCGAAGAAAGAACAACTTGGACATGCAGTAGTTGAAACTGGCGGCGTGCCGCTCTGGGAATGTAATGTACTGTTGTATTTCCGCTCATCGAGACTTAAAACAAATTGGGATTGGACCACATGCAGTCACTTTGGCAGCCTTTGTGGCAGCTCGACGGGTTACAATACTTCTTGGATGCATGCCCCGATGACCATCTGCAGAAAGTCGGTGAGAATCTGTCTTGTACAACTTCTCGTCAACCATATTCTTGAGAAAGTAGGCACAGCGCGCAGAAGTATTACATGCATGCTCCAGACTCTCATCGAGGGCAAAGGCGGAACTTGAGCTTCGAGCACGTTGGACAAACCAACGCCACGTGTCCTGCTTGACCGAGAAGCAGCACCGATTCTCAGAAGAACCTTGGCGGAATTTCCGCCATGTATCATGTATACAAGTAGAATTAGCAGACGAAACCCAACGTGTGGAGGTTGAAGCCTTGGAGACTGTCAATGGGAAATGGTGGTGGCGATCTTGACCCTAACCCCAGAAAGTACTTTTGCACCTGCTCCACGTTCGAACTGAAACAACCAAAACATGCAGGAACCAGCTGCAAGCAGGCCATTGACATCTTGACAACACATTGTTCAGTTGTAAATCCACTCACACAGTCTTTCTCATTCACACACACCATCTTTTTCTTCTTTTCTTTTTCTCAGAAGCAATGATCACGCCACGCAACCGCCCCCCTCAGCCATCATGACCAATTGCTCATTCTAGCACATTGAAATTGGCCACCGGCTGCTGAGAAATCGACTACGTACGCACTCCGAACTCAGTCACATGTGTGCCAACAGCCTTTTTTCCCTCTCTCCTTGGGCAGACGCGAGGCCACGACAACTAGGACTTTATCCACTTCGTCCGCGCATTCGTCATTGTCTAACCTGCGAAGCCAGTTCCCCGAGTGTGTCAATCGAAACTGGGCTAAATCAAGGACTTCTGCCATTGCGTGTCGTGGCACTGCCACCTCGGGAGCAAGTTGATGTCATCAATTGTTTCTAGGTTCATGACCACACCTGGCCTCCCGAAATCGCTGGTATCAGCGTACCAACTATGCAAAGAACCGCTACCTTGAGTCCTTTCACGAGGCCGTCTTGGCGGCTGACGATCCGCTGACCACCATACGAGTCGATGCTCTCAGCTAGTCTGGGCCACACTCTCGCGACGACGATTTCACATGGGCATCGCTGCAAGCCCGGAGGGAGGAAGTCTTTGGAGCTGTGTTTGACAGCAGGTGCATGACGTCCACCTATCCATGTCGAGCAAACACACTTGGGCAAATCAATTCGCAAGCTGCAGCGCATGACGCTGGGCTGAGATCGGAGTTAGCGATGAATGCTTGTGAAGGGGGGGGGGGGGGAGTGGGCGCGGGCGCAAGAATCGCCCTCGAGACACGAGCCGCAACATGCCGCAGCAGCCTAGAGCACCAGCCGACCGTAATCGAGCAGATTCAAGGTATGTGGGATACTTCCCAATGCGGCTGTGGCCATGAACAGTTCGTTTCCACAGGATGTTTAAAGTCACGAGCACCTGTTCCCGCCTCTGTTTAGCGGCTGATCTGCGCTGGCTTGGCCGGTTCGTGAAGAGATCAAACACCCACAACTATCGACCACGTCCTCGGCCAAGCACGGCGTTCGCGCCTCGTGCTCCACAGTGTCCTATCACGTACAGGGCGAGCTGCAGCGCCGAGCACATGATACAAGTGAGACCCTCGTCGCCCATGGAGATCCAATGCAAGGAACAACGAATGCAGCGTGCTGCATTGCAACCCCAGTGTAGGCGCAAAGTTGGACAACACCAAGGGACCTGCTTCGTGCCAACGCATTGCTTGTCTCACTGCATCTGCAGAAAGGCTACTGCAAGAGCACACAGAAGCAAGAAATGGCGACCATCACAACGCATAGTAGATGCGAGCAGTGCCGTCTCCTCTCGTCCGCCGAAGTGTGGGAGCGTGTCGTTGTGAGCACGACAGGCCCCTGTGGGACGATAGCCAGACGGGGGAGGCTGACAACGGCCCCACACATGCTCAGCAGACCCTGCCAAAATACTGCTGTGGTAACTGCGGAGTACTACTATGGTACAGGACTGCAGTCCCGAACCCCCCCCCCCATGAGTCAATCAGTCGACTAGTGCGAGCCGGCCACGTCCTTGATGCGCTGACCCTGCAGATTGACAGCAACCTTTTCTCGCTTCCATTGTCTAAACTCGCCTTTCTGCGGCTGAGGAATTGACCAGAAAACCAGCCAGGGCCAGCGACCGTGCTTGGCATGTCACTTTTCAGTCGTCGTCGAGACCGAGATCGATCTGGGACGGGGGGAGCGACGGTTCCTGCATGGCCTCTGTCGCGCAGCCTCTGGTGCATTAGCTCTAGGCAGCATAGCCACTCTGCGGCCCAGCAGGCGCTTGGATGGCAAAACCTCAATCTGCACTGCAGTGGGCGGCGTCGTTTTTGGCACAGCGCGTTCAAGCGCCGCGGCAAGATTGGCCGTTCTCCATTCCCCTGCACGCTTCTCTTCTTCCTTCTGTCAGCCTGCATTGCGTTTCAGGGTGTTGAACTTGAAGCCCGCGAATGCATGCCTTTACTGGGCGAAACGTGGCCAGGCAAACGGCCTCCGGGCTCCCAACGTCGGCCAGGGATCTATTTTCGGCGCCTTGGTTCTCTTCAGTCCCACGCAGCTGGTACTGCACTAGAGCTACGCAGTGCACTACTACAGTATGGTAGTGCGGTTTCTGTCGCATGAGCCCCCCTTCCGGCTGCCGTGCTGGTGATCTTGGACAAGCGTCGCCTCGGTCATCTCACATCACCCCCAATGCCCGTCATCAACATGCCAATGCCGCTCCTGCATGCACCTTCGCATTCTGGAGGAGGACAACAGGCCTACCGCCAACCATCTAGGTAGGCGGCGGTATTGAACGTGCAGAATATCGGTCACCAGACCGAGCCCATGATGACATTTCTGCAGTTTCTTTCTCCACCTCTATCCAGGACTCCGTGTCTGCCTGTCTGCCATGGCGCATCGCTGTTCCAAAGACACCCGAACCCAGGAGATTGTATGCTATACGCACGCCACCGGTGTGGGAAAGGACAGGTAATCCTCAGTGGTTGCTGGCTGCCACCAACGCGTACAGCCGTGCGCCATCTCGTCTCGTCTCGTACCTTTTTCTTTTTTGCGCCAGCCTGGCGAGGCTGTGGAAAATGATCAGCAATTAGCCGGCTGCCTCCGCATATGACCTTTCTCATCTCGTCTAGCTGCTGGCAGTTGTGCTGGTGACCACCTCACCGCGAAGACTTTCCGGCGACACGCTTTTGTCTTTTATGTCTGTTGGGGGCTGAGGGAGGAGAATGACGGAGTGTGCCTCGCCGCCAATCATGCCGCGCAAGCTGAGTGCGTTCTTCTCAAGTTGACACGGGGTCAAGAGTGAGAGCCAACAACGAAGCCCTTTCATCTGAGCCGATCCAAGGAGGGGGACAAGCTTGTGGAGGGAAAAAGCGCCTGCATCTACACCCCACCACCACCACCACCACCACCACCACATGGTACGTACCCTGGGAAAGCCAGGACAGGATCCCTGCTTGGACATGACGGCATGGGACCCCTGAGCATACCCTTGGCCGCTTGGCCGGTTGACTCCATGGCCTTTGAAGATGGTCACGACCTCACCCATCTCCCACACCAGGCCGCCCTTCTGATGGCCACCTATAATTAAGGCTCTAGTCCAGATCTTCAGCCCTCTCAAGTTGTGCTTCAAATCTCACTTCACAAGCATTACCTAGCCGTTACAAGCGACCGGTTTCGAATATCACCAACTGTCCTCTCTTATCCCCTTAAGGCTACACCAACTGATCTCACTTGGCCCGTCTCGACCATCTCCAAGCCCGTCTCATAGGTGGTTAACTTGGCCTCACTGCCTACCTCTCTCTCTCACTCTCCCATCACATTATTACTTTTACTTGTCTCTCCCAAAACAGTTGATTCTCTTCTGGTCTCCCCCCCCCCCCCTTCTTGTCACGGGCAACCCTCATGTCTTCAAGGTCACTTTACTTTTTAATCGACCACTTTCTTTCTGACACAGCCGACTGACATTCATTGTACGTGACCGGACTTGGGCTGGGCCTGAGTGTGTTGCTCGCGGGTGGTCTGACCACAACGAAATCCTACCACCAACAAGACCAACATTGATAGAGCGGCACGGTTTACTACATTTGTTCGTCTTTGTCCGCTTTAGGATCGCCACCACAAGACACGAGGCCTTTAGGCGTCTGTCAAATAGTCACTTATTGGCAACCTAAGCCGGTCTTTCTTGAGTCACACGAGGTTTCATAGATAAAGCCTGGCTTGTCACCACATACCCCAGAAGCATCCAGTCCAGATACAACAATCAACAATGGCTCAGAAATATCACACCCAGATCCTCTCTGAGGAGCGTTCCAAGAACGGACGAGAGGTCATCATCAGGGAACGTCCAGTCAAGTGCTCAGGCACTTCGGACTGCGAGTTCTGTACTTCTGAGCGGAGATCTAGACGACCATCCAAGCTGGACTTTGCCTCGTACAGCGGATCGTCCTCCAGATCTTCGTCCGTCAAGGACAGGCTGCCGACACCCTACAACTTTGAGTACAAACCTGTCCGTCGTGCATCGCGGGACGCCGACACGGACCGACACAGGGAGAGACGCTCCAGCGAGCGTGACCATTACTACAGTGATGGAGAGAGGATGGGTGACTACAACCTCCGCAGGACCAGCACATCGCGCGGTGCGGCCACTCAGCCCATTCCCATCCCCATCCCCAAGACCAGGCCGCGTCGTGCCTCCACCATGCATGAAGACGATATCTACGACAGGTACTACAACAACACCTCACGTCGGACCAATGACCGTGACAGCTGGCGGCGCTCCTCCCCTTCACGACACGAGTCGGCCCGCATGTACCCAGGCTTCTACGATACGTACAGCTCCTCTGTCTCCACGAAGGATTCCTCTCCTCGGCCGTCCCGTCATCGCCAGCGCCACAGCGTGGATGTCCACCAGGACGATATTCCCATCAGCTACGGATCGTCCCCGGTGACAAACTCCCACAGCTCCACCCCTTGGGGCTCCTACCGCTCGTCCGACCTCCACAGCAGGGCCACCTCGGTATCACAGTCCCCGCCCAAGTCTGTCCGCTGGGGGGACGACCCTCGCGCCCTCCAGAATGCCAAGATCGACAGCCGTCCCAAGATCAGCCGCTCCGCCAGCATCTCGGGCGCGGGCACGGGCTCGCACCTCTCGGGTGAGGTCAAGAGCATCCTGAAACACTCGACTGGTGCAACCGTGAAGCAGCATCAGCAGAGCGAGGCAGGCTTCCCACCCGCGGTGCAGGACCTGACCGACGACCAGTATGCAGCGCTGTACCAGACTGCTCAGAGCATGGGCGTCGAGGACAGGGCCACCTCGCCCCAGCGGCGGCTGATGAGGGAGCGCGCCACGAGGGACTACGAGTCTCGGGACATGATGGACAACTTGCGCAAGCGCATGGGGGGCGGCGGTGAGCGACGCTACTCCTTCGACATGCCCCCTCGGCGGTTCACGGGCTCATACGGCGAGAAGCCATCGAGCGTAGGCAAGCGGTCTGAGGCATTTTACGATGACAGGTTCGACGAGAGGAGGTGGTAAACAAAAAACGCTCATTACAAGACTGATTTATTTTTGGGTTACATTTTGCATACTTTGTTCGATACACACTCGTTTTAGGCGTATACGATGGGGGGGGGGGGGGAAGGAGCACAAGGGATTCACACAATAAAGATACCGGTCGTTTCACTAGATGCAAGATATATATATATATATATATATAGCTTCTTTTTCCTTTGTCAACAAAATTGAACCTGACTTTTTTGCAAGCATCTTTGTCCTGTCCACCAACCTGTCTTTGGCTCGAATCACCAGTTGCAGTAGTACACTTGCTCGTGTGTGTGTGTGTTTTGGGCCACACCTACTATGGCACTTAGACCACCACCTGGCTCTTGGGACCAAGACAACAATACCACCAATGCACCCATGTGCAGCTGTCGCTACCACACCCTCAGGGTAACACATGACGCAAGCCCACCATCCATGACAACTCGTAAGGTGCCCACGGCTAGCCTCAGCCGAAGTCCCCCGGATTCAAGGCAGTGCACCCTGTCTCTTCCCGGATTGGGGACCTCTCCCACAAGCCAAAACTTGGCAGACGACTGCAAATGATCTTCCCCTCCTTCGTTCACCTTGTTTTTTTTTTCTTTCTTTTCTTTCTTCTTCTCTTGATCCTTCTCTTTCTCTCTCTTTTCCATTTTTGAGAGGGGGTTTGCGGTGATCATCAGTCGGGAAGGATGATCACTTTCTTTTTGAGAGGTGGGATGGGGAGTCGGGTCATGCATTGCCCCTTGTCTTGATTAGCCCTGTCTCTTCAACACACACCTGGGTTCAAAGACTGGGATCAGTGCCAAGGGTGCTGGGGGTACAGTCCCCCCTCCCCCCCCCCCCCCGCGGCCCGCTCTGGAAGGGAAGACCCTTAAGAACATGCAGGGCTGCATGTACTCCTAAGAGGGGAAAGTTTATCCCCCACCACGCTTATTGTAGCCTTAGAAGGATGGGCTTGGCAAGCTGGCGCAGCGAGTCTTGATTGTAGTCATTGCTGGACACCAGACTGGGGAGTCTGCTGGTGGGTGGTGCTAAATAAGCTCTGTACTATGGTAGATAGTACATGGCTTTTTGGTTTACTCTATGTAGAGGGAGGAGGGGGTGCGCTGAGGGGGAGGGGGAGGGGGTGTAACTTGTGTTTTTCCACGAAGAGACTTGGACGATAGTCTCATGATCTACTATTACCTTCAGCGCCACTCCTCAATTCGTGGGAAGCATGTCCAAGTACTTGCTTGTGGGCTTGGCATGTCTGAACTTGTTACGAATGACAGATCTACAATGAGAACTAGAACAATTTTTTTTTTTTTTTTTTTTTTTTTGCTTTCCTGATCAATTTCAGTCGTTGTCTTTTCAGTAGCACTCCAGGACGGACTCGCAGTGCATGAGAATGACTTGTATGGCACACGATAACCACGCCGCTGGATGGACTAAGGCACAGTGGACCCTTGCGGGAAACTTGTGCTGTGCATGCACTGTAACCGCATGGATGCTGCCAGATCTGGGGGGCCATTACATCGGGCCTCGGAGCCCAGATCGTGGGGATGACAAGGTCTTGGTGGAGACAGGGCCGCTGACGGGGTTTCGAAACGGCCACAGGGCCGCTACACTTCTATTTGTAGGCATCGGGGGTTCTTTTCTTCTTCCTCTTATTCTATTTCTCTCTTTTCAAGTTGTGTCAGCGCGGTCATAAATATGACATCTTGTCATGGATGACTAGAAAAGAAAAGAAAAAAAAAAGAAGAGTCTTTTTTTTTTAAAAAAAAAAAAAAAAAAAAAGTACTTTATGTATGACTTTAGCATCTACTCCTCAACTCTTCTTGCTTGGCTTTTGAAACTGCTTCTTCTCCTGGGCCCATTGCTGCCTGAGCCCCCTGTACGCCTCATCCTCGATACAAGCCCGCCACGCCGCCTTGAAGACCTCGCTGGCATCCGCCTTCTCCTTCCTCTTCGTGGCCTCCTCCTCTGTGCCCCCGGACCACTTCTCCAGTTCTTCGCCCGTCGTCTTGGCGTACTTTCTCCCGCCCTTGTGATTTGCATACCGGCGCGCCCTCGTCATGCCCATCTGGATGAACTTGCGCGTCATGTCCGCGCCGACAAAATCCTGCCGGGCGACGTAGGACTGGAAGATGGTCCGTAGGATCTGTGACGAGTTGCGGGCGATGGGGACGGTGCGGAAGGCCCAGTAGGGGAGGAGGAGGGTCTTGTATGGCTCGAAGGAGAGGACGCCTACCTCGCCGCGCGCGATCTTGTAGCTGTAGCGGAGGGTGGATGACTCTAGAGCCGGGGTGGGGAGGGGTGAGGTCGGTGGAGGTTTCAATGGGTCTTGGTTCTGGGCTGTTGACGATGCTGGCATTTTGGTGTCTGGCATTGGTGAATCGGATGTTGCGTGTAGCTCGTGTCTGCTTCTGTGTTGACAGTCACGCTTCATCATAAGTAAATATGGGAACTGCGTCTTGTGTTGTCATTTGCGCAAGATAGCAGTCTGTAAGTATTATAATGTGTTGTGACACTAGACTGTGTGTCTGAGTGAGTCGCAGAGCACAAACGAGATTTGTGACGTCAATAGTTAAGCTCGGTCTGTAATCGTCAACAAGCGCTTGATGTGCCGTCCGCCCCAAAAAGAAAGAATTAATGGCCCAGCAAAGGGCTTTTGAGTTGAAATAGAAACATAATCGATGGTTAGCTACACACTTGGAGTTAACCAGTGACTCTCAATGCTAGTAAGTATTGTTTCCAGAGTTAGAAGACGTTCTTGTATGTATGACCCAAATTTATGCCATCTCAGTATGAGGATGTTTTATCCTTTTCTTTCTTGATATCTTCTTTTACCATCTGCAGCCAAAGACAGAGGAGGCAACTGCTGCATTAAGCACAGAATTTGACACGCCTTCCCTGGCGGAGGGCTGAGCGCAGCACAATCGCGTGCAGTGATGCAGCCTCGTTCTAGTATCGAAGCACGTCTCCGTAAGATGCCACGTTTCCATCTGAACATGGCAATATTGACAACTAAGTATAACAAAGAAAGATGTGCACATTTTGTTGTATGTCTTCCAGGGAAAAAGAAAGTCAAACTCGTTTCGAGTGAAGATTTAAGTTGTTGAGGACCAGTCTCGTTCCTTTTTTTTTCTTTTTTTTCTTTTTTTTTTTCCCCGCAGAAAAGGTTTAGTTCGAATGATGTATTTTATAGGGATATACATATATACATATATATTGTGATCAATCACGCTGTGATGGACTAGTTCTCTTGAACAAGCGTGCCTCTGTTTCGCTTGCCTTGTATTCTATTTCTACACAGTGACACTTTGAAATTTCCATGAGATGCAGGTCGACTATAATCTAGGTCTACATCTTTGAGCCCCGTCTATGTAGAGGACCAATTGTTAGTTCATTAAACTCTGCCACTGCGAAGAGATGTGTGAGAGTTGGCTCTCGGAGACAGCCACTACTCACTTCTGCGGGGGTCTTGATGCCCTCCCCTTCCAACCCCAGCCAATCTGGGAAGCCAGGTGAATCGAGATGCCAAGCTCATCAGCCCACTGCCAGACCAGTCCAGGGTTCCTCTGAAACGTCCTGCCGGCCATGACCACATCGATGGGCGTGTCACTGGTCAGGATCTCCTCGGCCTGATTGCCCTCCTTGATGGCGCCCACCGCAGAGACGTGCAGCTTGTCGCCCACAGCCTTCTTGATCTCCTTGGACAGCGGCGCCTGGTAGGCAGAGGATCCCACGGGCGACCTGATCTGCGCTCCAGAGTACGCACCACCGGAAGACACATCGAGCAGGTCGACGCCGCGCTCGGCCACCAGATGTGCAAGCCTCACGCTGTCACTGACGGTCCAGCTCTCCTGGATCTGGGGGTCCTCCTCCAGCCAGTCGGTGGCACTGATGCGCATAAAGAGAGGCATGTCCTCTGGAATCGCGGCACGGACGCCCTCGACCACCTCGAGGGCCAGCCGCGTCCTGTTCTCAAAACTGCCGCCGTACGCATCGGTGCGCTTGTTGGACACGGGCGTCATGAACTGGTGCAGCAGGTAGCCGTGGGCGGCGTGGATCTCGATCACGTCGAACCCAGCCTTGACGGCGCGCTGTGCCGCACGCACAAAGTCCGCCGTGACCTGCTCGATGTCCTGCAGGGTCATCTCGCGGGGGTGAGCAAATTTGTCGTTGAACGGGATCGCAGAGGGCGCTATGCAGTCGTCGGGCCAGCCTCCGACCTCCTTGCCGACGACCTCGCCGGTGCTGAGCCAGGGCGCGGCGGTGCTCGCCTTGCGGCCTGCGTGGGCGAGCTGGATGGCAATCTTTTGGCCCTGGGAGTGGGCAAACTGCACAAGCTGGGTCAGGCCTGCGATGTGTGCGTCGAGCCAGATGCCCGAGTCCTCAGGGGAGATGCGGCCCCTGGCCTGCACGGCGGTGGCCTCGATGATGGACAGGCCCGGCCCGCGCGAGATGATGCCGCCGAGGTGAGCGGCGGTGTTCCAGGGCTGCTGGAAGCCGTCCAGACATGAGTACTGGCACAGCGGGGCGAGGAAGATGCGGTTCTGGAAGGTCACGCCGCGGATCTGGAGAGGGGTGAACAGTTTGGGGATGGGCGTGGTTCCGTCGGGCTGGGGATTGACTGCGGTTCCTGAGACGGGTTCCTGGGCGGGCGTGAAGAAGGGGACGCCTTCTGCTGGCTTGTTGTAGGGGGATGGTTTGGTCGAGGCCTGGCTGGGAGGCACGATTGGCTTGGTGACTGGCACCACGATGGACTGTTTGGTCGACATTGTGTGATGTGAGTATTTTAATTGGGTGTAGAGAGTGGACTGAAGAGTAACGATGGACGTTGAGAAGATGGACAGTTTGGCGTTTTGTTTAATTATAATAGTTTTACTAGTGGGAATGGTGCCACCTCAGACTAAGGCTGGAAGCCCATAATTATATACTTAATTAAATGCACAGGGCAAACAGTGAACCACCATCGGCTAATTTATGTGTGTAAAGTCACGATAGCATCGACCAAAACATTATTGACCGCCCCTTTGCTGACAAACTGAGGATTAATAATTGCTCATGATAAATGGCAATGCTACCATCCAAAGTGGTTTGTTGGAGCTTCTTTTGCAGTGACCCACTAGTATTTAAGTGACAAGATACCATCGAGGAGGTACAAGTGCACTCAAGACGCACTGGCTACTTTGCTACATTTTGCAGTCATTATTCCCGTCTTGTCTGCCTCCTTGATGCTTAGTTGCTGGTCTGCTATTTACACACAATATTACCGAGGCTAACATCCGTGGCTCCTATCAACAGTACAGCATGCCTAGGACTCCGAATACGGCCATGCTCAGGCCACTGGGCAAGACTGGGAGGCGTCCTCGCAGACCCACTACACCGAGTCGCACACACACACACACCCAACGCCGAGGAGGTAACAAATAGATCATCAAGTCGTCCGATGACCCCTCTACCCCTCTATTCAGAGACTGTGATGACATCACTGTGCTTGACTGTATATCCACCCTCGTCTGCCTCGCAAAAAATTGACTCGTGCACACCAGCTATGGAACGAGTTGTCGAGTTCCTTAAGTTGCACCAGATACGAGGGCATGGCTTTCATATGGCACGTCGAGTGGAAACGGGATATCTTTCTACGATGGTCGTAGTGTTTTTGTTTACCGTTCGTTCCTCGCTCAGCTTTGTCCTCACGAGTCGCAAAATATGCACCTCAGAGGACTGACACTGAACCCCTCTCCCCACCTCCAAAAAAAAAAAAAAAAAAAAAAAAAAAACAGGGGGAGGGGCCTCTTGCTTATCCATTGAACAGAAAAGGTACAAGCACAGGCACATAAATCCGTGTGTCATAGTATCCTCTGCACTGCCACGAAACACATCTCTGAAGAATAGGGGACCAGTGGCATCTCAAGTCATAAATTCCACACGTCGTTAGTGCCACGCAATGCAGCATGTTCCAGTTGTGGGTGGCATCCCTTTTGTATGATGGCATCGGAACATGAATCGTAACTCCGAGCACACGTGATGGTATACCATATACAAAATGGCAGAAGCAGCCCTCCTCGTAGATGACGAATAAAACCATGTTGAGTATATGATTTCTTGCTCAAGTATTGAAAGAGCACTGAACAATTGTTCCAACAACAACGAAAAACAAACAAACAAACATGGATCAGCAAAAGAAACGCCACCATGTGAGTCGAGTCAAATAGACAATTACCAAAAACATAGATAGCACTGACAAAAGTATCCCAGGGCGGTGAGGGGTCCATTCTGGAGCGCTCCAAAGAGCAACAACAGCAGCTCCGCGAACACATCCTGTCCCAACCAGCCGGAAAATACGTCGGTAAGCCATGGGACCTCATCCAGGATATCGAGGCCTTCGCCACCGAGAAGAGACTCCCCATGATCTTCAAATCCGCCAAGATCCAGACCTCCAAGGGCGTGCTCGCCGCCCTGGACCCCAAGCCCAAGACCGTGGTCGAGTTCGGCACCTTTGTCGGCACCTCGGCCATCGCCTGGGCCGCCATGCTGCAGGAGTTCAACGGGGCGGACGCACAGGACATCAAGGTGTTCACGTTTGAGTTTGACGAGAGCGTCGCGGCCGTGGCGCGGGATATCATCAAGACCGCCGGGCTGGACAAGATCATCGAGGTGCACGTGGGCCCTGGGTCCGAGAGCCTCAAGAAGCTGCACGCCGAGGGCCGCGTCCAGCAGGGCCAGCTGGATGTGGTCTTCATCGACCACTGGGAGAAGCACTACCTGCCGGACCTGAAGCTGTGCGAGGAGCTCAAGCTCTTCCATGCCGGGTCTGTGGCGCTGGCTGATAACACGGACATGCCTGGTGCGCCGGATTATCTTGCCTACGTCAAGAAGGGCGGGGATGGGCCGGTCAAGTATGAGAGCGAGTCTCTGGTGTCCCAGAACGAGCGTGGTCCGGTAAGCAGCCCTATATTTTTCTTGAGTGAACTTGTTTTCAAGACCTTGTTTGCTGACTTGGTTTGTGACCAGTCCATCGTGGAGGCAAGCAAGATTGTGGCGGTCTAGATGGAAGGGGAGGAAGTTGAGAGTCGTGATATGCACCACTCGAGGGTGTGGATTTTCAAACATAGCACGAGATACAACGTGGGAGCTGGGTCAGTCTTATGAAAAACATTGAATTAAAAAAACAAATTGAAATATCAGTATTATGAAATTTGAACTGGCAATGGTTGAATTGTAAGTGACTCAATGTGGCCATCATCATATGTATTGCAAGATTCTCCCCTCAACAAGTAAAAGACCTGTCGATGAATTTGAGATTACACCTCCCAATACAACACAATATGAAGGTATACTGATGGAGAGAGAAGAAGAAAAAAAAAGCATGATAGCTTTTCAATACTCCGATTAATAGTTTTTTTTCTTCGAACGATATCTTCTGTCTCTAATGTATCAACAAAGTAAATAATTGGGAGAAGGGTTCTCCCACAGACCCTAGAGTGGTGCCGCATCAACGGGCCGCGTCCCCGTCTGGCAAAAAGACCATTCCACAATATCAACCGACGATGGCCCGGTATCTAGCTAAACGATGTCGGTCACAGCCCCGCCGAGGTTACTCATTTCCACGAATGAAGACGTGATACGGGGCCAGGTCGGCACCCATTGTAGGAACGATGCGTCCTTCGGACAAGTTTGTACGGCCTTCACGGAGGCGCCAGGTGGACCCCGGAACGGCGTGCCACACGTCTCGAGTTTCGTTCACGCTGACGTCTTTTCTGTCCATCCACCTGACTTTTTCTTTTTTTTCTCTTTAGTTCATCTCTCCTGCTCTTCGACATCTTCCTGACTGGATCTCTTTTGCCTCAGGTGGAAACAATAGTAAATTGGCTGAGCGCAACACACACACTATGAGCTATTCGACTGCTGACTTCGACCCAGCCCTCAAGGGCTCTCTCCCTCCCGACTTCCACTGGGGCTTCGCCACAGCGGCTGCACAGGTCGAGGGGGCCTGGAACAAAGACGGAAAGGGTATCTCGATCTGGGACAAATGGCACCAGGATCCCAAGCGGATCAAAGACGGAAGCACCAACGAGGACGCGGTGCGGTCCTACGATTTCTACAAGGAAGACGTGGCCCGCATGAAAGACTACGGCGTGACGGCGTACCGCTTCTCACTCGCATGGAGCAGGATCATCCCCCTGGGCGGCAAAGACGACCCCGTCAACGATAAGGGCGTCGACTACTACAACAGGCTGATCGACGAGCTGCTGGCGAACGGAATCGTGCCCTTTGTCACCCTGTTCCACTGGGACACGCCCCAGGCGCTGGAGGAGCGGTACGGCGGCATGCTGGACAAGGAAAAGTACACGCCCGACTTTGTGCGGTACGCGCGGGTGTGTTTTGAGCGGTTTGGCGACCGGGTCAAGAACTGGATTACTTACAACGAGCCTGGCGTGTACACGCTCGCTGGCTATGCCGCAGGGGTCCACGCGCCAGGGCGGTCGAGTTTCCGCGACAGGAACGAGGAGGGCGACAGCAGCACGGAGCCCTTCATCGTGGCGCACACGGAGCTCGTCTCGCACGGCCACGTGTGTGCTCTGTACAAGAGGGAGTTTCAGCCAGAGCAGAAGGGTTCCATCATGATCACGCTGCATGGGAACTGGGCGGAACCATGGGACGAGAATGATCCCAAGGATGTCGAGGCCGCCCAGCGGGCCAACGAGTTTGAGATTGCCTGGTATGCCGATCCCCTGTACGGGAAGGGCGACGAGGTCGACTACCCTGCCTGTATGCGTGCACAGCTGGGCGACAGGCTGCCGACCTTTACAGACGAGGAGAAGAAACTCATCAGGGGGAGCAGCGAGTTCTACGGGATGAACTCGTACACGGCCTTCTTTGTCAAGAACCGCGGCGACCAGCCTGCTGATATCAACGACCACAAGGGCAATGTCGAGATACTAGACACCAACAAGGCCGGGAAAAGCCGTGGGCTCGAGAGTGATACGCCCTGGCTGAGGACGGCAGAATGGGGCTGGGCGAAACTGCTCAGGTGGATTTGGGACCGGTACGAGACGCCGATTTATATCACGGAGAACGGCACCACTGCGCAGGGCGAGCATGGCTGGAAGCCCAAGGGGCCGGATGATGTGTTGGAAGACCCGCACCGGATCGACTTCTTTAAGAAGTACCTTAGTGCTGTGGCGCGGGCGTCGCAGGAGGGCGTTGTGATCAAGTCTTACTTTGGGTGGACGTTTACTGACAACTGGGAGTGGTCCGCTGGGTTTACGGACCGGTTTGGTGTTACCTGGGTTGATTTTGAGTCGCCTGAGAAGACGAGGTACGCGAAGAGGTCGGCATACTTTTTGAAGGATTATTTTGGTCATCTCATCAAAGCAGAATGAGCATGAGCGTAGGCTCACGAGGGTGGGCAGTTTAGTGAGTGTTTCAAATTTTATGTCAGTAAAGAAGCAAAATTGCTATAACAGAATACGATAGACATGAATCATATATCACTGTTCAATCCTCTTGCCTCTTCATAAAAGCTTCACCCAGCCTTTGAACCAGCAATATTCACCGTCTTGTTTTGGCTGTCCTTGCTGTCCTCCGCCGCCTTGAAGCACCCAGCCCTGCCTTCCTGTAGATGATGTTGCGCGTATGGATCCACCCTCTCTGCATTCTCATGGCTCAGGGGAAACGAGGCTTGGTGTTTGAGCTCGGGGCTGGATATGCCGACTGAGGACTCCAAGGACTCTTGTTCTTCGGGCTGCAGAGTTGTCTACGGTGCTTGGTCAGTGATTTCCTCATCAATCCAACCAAAGGGGACGCGCAGCCAGGTTAAATTACACAGAGAGACATTGCTGCGTTTTCTCTTGGTGTTACCAAACTAGGCGACGAATCCTATATGATGACAATATCGTGATGCGACGGTTCACTTGTAATTCGAGGTGATCGATACCAGACCAGTAAAATTCACCATTTAGATGTTGGGTTGGGAATGCCGGTACTAAATATATATCGACGACTTGTTGTGCAACTATTATCAAGAGCAACATTTGAAATCAAGATCCCAAGGGTTGCACATACTTCTCGCACGACGACGTTTCAACACAACGCGGCATCGTGCATGAAGGTGACGCAATGCGGCATGCTGACCAACAGCTCAGGGAGGGGGGCTGTATGCTTTTACTGCCACGGGGATCGACGATCCCACGTTCCCCAAGTTTACATTGCACAGGAGAAATGATGTGTCTGCTCTGTGGCACGGTGTCGTTTCACTGCCACACCTCGTGCACATTACACGTACCTCGCGCCATAGTAAGCGCGACTTGCGCCAGGATATCATTTTGGATGATGCCATTTTCTTCGTCGTGTTGTCGCTTTCCACTCTAATAGAATCATGAAGTGATTATTCACCCATTATGGGTATTGTAAGTATAATTGCGAGAGGTGATTTGTCCTTGGTGATTTCTTGATGACCGAGACTGGTTCTTTTGAGTTAAAATACAGGCTTAAAACAATACTGATCATCACAAAAGTGAGTACGGCGGCCAACAATCAATTACCAATCAATATTGTCACATGCATAACGTTTATCACGTCGCCTCACACGCGGTACTGTTTCCGTCCCGAGCTGATTCCCTTCCAGAAGCACCAAGCTGCTCATCAGCCTCCGAGATCCTCTGGCACCGCCAGCTAAATGCCTTCTTGGGATCTCTCCCACCCCCAAGGTACGTGTTCCTCAGAGGCCACCTGCAGTGCGCCCTCTCAAAGTCCACGCCCGCGCTGGCCGTGTCATTCACATACTTGGTCCCCGTGAGGGTGTCAGGCGCCGCACCCTGCTCGACCCATGCCACCAGCGCGGCCAGGACGTTGTGCTCTCTATCAAAGGGCCCCTGGGCTGCGGCCCCGCCGAGCTGACCAATCACCCAGGCCCCAGGACCCGTCTCGCAGTGGAACATGCCGGAGATGCGGAAGAAGCGGATGAATTCGTCCATCTGGTCGGTGGAATAGTTCATCCCTGCCCTCAGATACTCGTAGTACCGGGGGCTGTTGAAGCTGCTGATCTGGTTGTCCTGGCCGCCGTGGTACATGATGAGCTTGCCTCCTCTGCTCTGGAAATCGGACAGCGTGTCTGGCCACGTGCGAATGTTGCCTGGGTTCACCTCGTCTGCCACCTCAGCATCTGCCAAGGAATAATTCGCAGGATCCCAGCTTGGATTGTTGTAGACGGCATATCGAAACCACCCTTCCGACAAGGCCCAGGGCTGGCCATCGTACAGTCCAGCAGCAGCCAGGATCTCGCTGCCGGGATTCATGGCAGGGTACAACAGTGTGCCGTTCTGCCAGTCATAAGGACTGAAGATGGTGCGTACAATGTCGACCTGCGCAGAAGTGAGGCACGCCGAGCTGTTTACAACTGTTCCACAAAGAAGGGCGTCCGGGTCGAAACGGCACAGGCTCGAGTCCTCGATGATGCCATCCGCCACCCCGTCGATAGTGTCGCACTGCCGGAGCACCTCGTCGTGGATGGTCGTCTCCCACACGTTTGTCGGGATGAAATTTGCTGACCCGTTGGCGCCGGTTGTCGGGTAGAAGCTGGCTCGCCATGAGTACAAGTTGTTGAAATCTACCGCCGGGCAGCCTGCTGAGATGCCGTCAAAGTCGTCGGGGAACATGTCTGCAGCTTTGATGGCCTGGCGGCCCCCCAGGGAGCAGCCTAGGTAGTAGGATCTGTTGGCCTCTTGGCCGTAGAAGGGTGAGAGCATTGCCTTGCCTGTCTCTACACCTACGTGCACACTAATTGAATAACTTGTCAGCCCTGGGCGTTGAGAAATCCATCGGAGTCATAGAGAACCTGGGGTCTTACGCTCGCCATGCAAAGTCAGTAACTACATCTGCATTGTTCAGGAATTGGATGCCCGAGGTCCCATTATGTCCATTATTCGTTCCCACACTGGCAAAGCCGTTCTGGCTTGTGTATGCAATGCTTGCATAGTCAATGCCTTAGGGATACACAGTGTCAGTGAGAGCTTGCTGAATACCATATGAAAGAAATCAGTTTTGGAGAGACTGCTCACAGCCACCAAGACCTCCATTGCCAGTAGTGACCAGACGACCGTTCCAATCTTCCGGCAGCCAGACCTCAGCAACAACGCCAGACCGGTTGCTGGTTGATATCTGCAGGGAAACTCGACACAAGTCGACGGGCACGGTCTGGCTGGTCTGGGCACAAGAAGCATCGTTGCCGGTCAGGGTGATGCTTGTGCCTGCTCCGATGAAGGCGTGGTTTGTGACAGTGGCATTTGCGATGCCAGCGGTGTCGGGATCGAACTGTAAGCACTGGTCTTGGAAGCTCGGAGTCTGCCTGGAGGCTACCTGGGAAACTGGTGGAGTCCCGAGGGCAAAGTGGAGGGAACAGAGGAGGAGGGCGGCAGATCTCAGAGCCATGGCGGCAAAATATCTGAGAAAGCTTCAAGAAGCCTCACTGGGCCGGCTTCAACTAATGCAAGTGATAGGCCGGTATGTATTACCTTGAAACCCAAAGACACGATTGCTCAGCAAGACCGGTGCATGTTTACATATGATCTGAATACGCCACATGAGAAAGTGTCTTCAGACAACCGATTCAATTCACATTGATCTGTCTCTTATATGCCGGCATATAACTGGGATCTTTGCGAAAGCGAAAACGACGCCTTGTTCATAAGACGCGGGGAAAATACTACCAAAGTTTTGCCGTGACATGCATTAGTGCAGGTTCTATCGGGTTGAATAGTTACTGCGGTCTTCAGCCAACGGCAGAAGAGGCACCGAGCAGATGAGATGTTCTCCTATTTAGCTACAGAAGGTCCCCAGGGCCGTCGAATAATCACTTCTGCTGATGGCTTGGGCTGCAACGCCGTGAGAGGCGTACGTGCAAGGACCAGGCGACTCATATAATTTTGAAGCATAATCATAGACACAGATTGAAATTCTTTTGAACATTGTTCCATGTCTGTCAAGTGGCTTGCCTCAAATTGCGGTATTAAAATTTACGGAAGAGAATCATATTAAACCTTTCGATATTCGACGACGGTATTAGACTTGGAGCCATTCAATAGTCCTTATTTTCATCAGCACAAAACTACGTGAACTTTGATTGCTCACATCTTTTTCTAATATAGACCGTTTCACAGGTTATAGCACTTTATCTTTGGAAATGATAATCTTCGATGCCAGTGCTGGTAATTGATCTCATGGCACCTGAACTACCTCGTCGCCAAACATCACGAAATCTGCAACCACCACCAACCATTGGTCCTGCCACGGCAGCATGAGGCATTCAAGAATTCTGACGTCGTGGGTTATGAGTGCATTCTGGAGCCCTCCTGATGACTTCCACGTGCCTCCTCGGGGCTGTGTCCATATGAAAGTCTAATGACGCGTATTCATTACTGCGGAAGGGCACGCACGGTGGCTGTGCTGGACTCTGCTACGAGCTGACCACCATCATTTCCAGCCACGAGCCTAGGCTGACGTCTTGAGCAAAGGAAGCAAGGAAGCCAATGAGATGCGGAATCTGACCGCGTTCATCCCACTTGGCGCGTATCAGCTTGCTTATGTCTAGGGTGCCTTTTCAGGGGGCGCAGTTCCACATCATGGCAGTCAGGATCACGTGGCGTGGTCGATGAGCTGGGATGAGATTGATGATAAGAAAGCATGCCGGGCCGTCCTGAAAAAGCATAAGATTGACCGTGGATCCTTGCAAGAAGATAATTATTTTCTCTTCGGGTGTCTGGATCCAAGATGTGTTTTGGCAAAGTAAGTAAGTTTCTTTTCTCTTTTGCGTTTTGGTTCTGGTTTGCATTTCTAATGGCGATAATCATAGTCTCATTACGTGGAGGACAACAAGTTGGCGGCGCGGCCGGCGCGCAAATACGGCGACAGACACAAGTACGGAATGCAAAAGTCATCTCGTCCGCACGACTCAAGTGATGCAGCCGTCATCACAGCCGCTGCAGGTACCAGCTCCTATCAACAAAACCAGTATGCATATGGCGGACAGTCTCATTCGCACGGTCATCACGGCATGAGCCATCACGACGGATTTCATTTTGGGGGAGGTCATGATGTGGGAGGCGGGAGTCACTCGGGAGGGGCCGATGGAGGCGGGGGTGGTGGAGGGTTTTGAGTGTGTTTCCTTGGTGCGAATGATGTTTGGGTGCAAGAATGAATGATTTGGAGCCGTGTAAGATATAATGATGAATGATGGATGGATACTCGTAACAGGATCATGATTTCGAAGTCAACAGAGTCCTGTAAAAACAATCACCCGAGGTAATCTCCTCCTGTTTCTTTATGAATCACATCGAAAAGCGGCTTGGCGCTGAAAAACCCAGCAAAATGAGTCCCAATCGTCTTGTACGTGTACCTGGCATCCTCATCCGAGATGACAATCGGCTTCTCGCCCCTCGGACCCGCCGCCGCCTCAGCGAGCAGCTGCGTCTGGCAACACTTGTCCATGCTCACGAACCAGAACACGGCCTCGTCCACATTTCTGCCGACAGTCAGCAGGCCATGGTTCTGCAGTAGCGCAGCCTTCTTGTCGCCAATGCAGCGCGCAATGTTGCGCCCTTCCTCCGCCGCGAGGACTATGCCGTTGAACGACTCGTACACGGTGTGGTCGTCGTGGAACGCGCAGGCGTCCTGCGTGATGATCTCGAGCTTGCGCCCCAGGGAGCAGAAGGCCCGGCCGTAGATGGTGTGGCTGTGGCAGGCGGCGTTCACGTCGGGGCGGGCCTGGTGGATCGCGGAATGGATCATGAAGGCTGCCGAGTTGAGGAGGCGGTTTTCTCCGCCCTCGATCACTTTGCCCTCTTCGCTGACGCGGATGAGATCCGAGGCTTTCATGAGGCCAAAGGCTGTGCCGAATGGGTTGACCCAGAACGTGTCGGGCTCGACAGGATCACGGTAGGTGATGTGGCCTGTTCCATTTTTTTCAGTTTAACAAGATCAGCGAGTCCTTTATGCACATGTCTAAATGGCGTACGAACCGGCAATGCCTTCGTCAAAGCCATATTTGGCAAAGATGCGGAACGCCGCGGCCAGGCGACCCTTCCAGTAAGCTCGTTCCTCGTAAGGATCCTCGAATTTGGGAATTCTGCGTCGATGTGGCGATTAGAAAACAAGTCCATCAAATCAGCCGCTGTGCCGGCCATTGTCATCCATCAAGTCCTACTCACGAAGGAAATTGGGTTCGTTTCTGCTTGGCAGCTTGGTCAGAGAGGCCAGGCTCCAGCGGTGCTATTATCGAGGTATGGCTTTCTTCATCTTGCTCCTCGGTGGCAGTGTCTGCGTGGGGTGCCATTCTGATAGATGAGGTGAGGATGAACCAGACGGATGATAGTGTTGATTGGAACCTATCTGATGAGAGAGTAGAGGTCTCAGGAATAGGGCATGAATGACTGTGGGAATAATTATAGGAGCGATAAGAAAGGAGAGGAGAGTGAGAGAGACTCGCCACTCGTCATACATTGCCCGCTGCTTAGTTTATTCCAAGCGTACCTCCGCCAGATCGACGTGGAGCCTTTGACTGTGGGGAAGTTGACTAAAAGCATTTTTGTGCACTGTAGTTGGCCGGTCGCAGCCGAGGTGTTATCTCTGGAGGCCACTAAGACATGCTCAGAATTGGGTTGCTTTAGTTGGTGTCGGCAAGATGTGATGGTGGATGAGATTGAGGCATGCTTAAGCCGGGTTGCTGTGCTGATATCACAACAAATAAATTGGTCTATATATTGAGGTGCTACCACGACATGTAATTAGTAGTGTTGCTGCTGTTGTGAAAAAGAATGATCACTTTCAGTAGATCTCGCGGGACTAACGTATGCTGCAGAACGGAAAGAAAGCCTAGCATGTCTATTGTTGCAATAACGCTGTCAAATGTGTACTCGAGTATCCTTGCCTGTAGCACGATGTTCTATTGGTAATTAGACATTATCAACTTACAAGGCTGTGATTGATACAGAGTCCACATAACCATCCAAGAGCATGGGGATATCATACTTTGACAAAAGTGCCTTTTCCAAGTACTGTCATAAGTCTGTTAGCTAATTCTTCAAGTAGTCGATGTAATGACATGTGTGCCAAGGTACTAAATGGGCTGATGGATCGTAGAAAAGAGACAGAGAAAAGAGTGAGTGACATATGAAAATGGCAGTAAAGATGAGTTCATGCAGAAAAAGTAGGAAAGACTTCAAGTTCGAAAGCTAGCAGACCGGCCAGAAGATGAATTCTTTCTCAGCTGCCGAGTCTGACCAAACGACCCAGGACTGCAATACTTTTGTCACTTGCTGTGGCTATGCATATGCATGCAAATGATAATGTAACTTGATTGTTGTGCCTTAACCCATTCGGGCTTGGTGAAGCCACTCCAATGCTGCCTGAAAGGGGACAGGCAGCTGGTGTCAACAAAGCCTTTTTCTTCTTCTGCAGTGATGACAAATGGTGCCCCCCCCTCCCCTCCCCCCGGATCTTTTTTTTATATTTTTTATTTCTTACTTACCACTAAGGGACTCCCACGTTGCATCTGATGCAAGCCACTGAGGAGGCAAAATATCCCCCCTCCCTCTCCTCCTCCCCGTCCAGGAACCCAGACACCAATCTCGGACAAGCATGCAGAAGCCTCTTGCGACCAAGGAAACAGGAAAAGGATGAACACTTCGATACAAAGAGCTCAAATCATTTGACACCTCTCACGCTCTATCAATAAGTCCCTTCAATTGAAACAGTGTACCCATTCTTCTACTCCGTCGACTCTTGCCCATCGGAATTATTCGTAACTTTGGATCGGTCCTGTCTCGCAGCGCTTCTTGCCAAACATCACATTGAAGAATGCATCGATAAGCATAACTGTCAACAATTTCAATCGGAAAACAAGGATCTTCCAACCCGCCTTATCCTCATTCAAGAAGATCCTGAGCATTTCGGTGTCAGGCTGCGATACGGCAAAGAATTGCCGCCTGAAACTCGATACTCGGCCCTCAGTTACTGCTGGGGTGATGTCAAACCTCCATGCCTAACCACAGCCGGCAACCACGACAAGCAGTTCACCAAGATCGACTGGGAGCAGGTTCCCCAGACTTTCAAAGAAGCAATAATATTCACTCGCAACCTTGGACTGGAATACATATGGATCGATTCGATGTGTATAATACAAGAAGGGGATGGTCAGGCCGATTGGAACCAGGAATGCACCCGCATGTTTAACTACTACTCTAATGCTTACATCACACTCGGGGCACTGCTTGCTAGAAATTGCGGCGAAGGGCTCTTTTCTAAGGAGGCCTTACGAAAGCAACATCTCTTCGACATCATGTTTCGGGGCTGCAGGTCGTCCGTTTTCGCTTTCCGGCTCGTTGACGAGGACTGGGAATTTCTTCATGCACATCGCGGATGGTTCTCTCGAGGATGGAGTCTTTTGAGACGAGGCTGGGCCTATCAGGAGCGGCTTGTCGCACCGCGCGTTCTCTTTTTCACCAAAACCCAACTGATCTTTGACTGCTTCTCCTGTTGCACGTCGGAAGGGAAATCTTTCGAATCTCCCCTTTCTCGAGAGGACCCCAATCTAAAGGAACAGTATGGAGCACTCTTGAACGGTAGCTCGGAGCATCTTACCCAGACGTGGCAAGACATTGTCCAAAGCTACAGTGGTCTGCAACTGACTAAACCTCTGGATAAATTACCAGCGATTGCCGCTATAGCACAGCAAGTCTTCTCGCGACAAAAATGCAACGACGATTCAGATACTGAGTATCTATGCGGGTTGCGGAAATCACACCTACATGTCGATTTGCTATGGGAACCCGAACCTTTCGAGAGAACAATCAGTCGAGATCGTGAGGAAGCGAAGTACATAGCTCCTTCCTGGTCGTGGGCATCCTTTCCTAAAAAAATAAATTATGATTATCCCAGTGTGGTATCTTCTCCGATTTCGACAATAAAGCTCGTCAAGGACTGTCTCAGGTTCAGAGGCGCGGGACGTTTCGGCCGTGTACATGGTGGCTACATCACGGTTGAAGGTCCCGTTATCGACGGCTGGGGGGAAGTCTTTTATACCAACAATTACCCTGAGTGGCGGGTACGAATCATACCAGTAGAATCTGACCACGACAACCAAAGCACGATTTTCTTCGTGAACCCGGATTACAAAGGTGGTTATGAAGGATTGGAAGGACTCCGGGCTCGTGGGGAGGAGGCCCAAACTCTGGAGGAACTCCAGGATGGAGATCGAATCAAAATCACGTGTATACAAACCTGTAAATCTGATTGGCAGCGGTATGGTGCGCTTGCTTTGTACCGGAGCTCGAAGACTGGCCGCTACAGGCGCTTGGGCTTCATACGGATTAACAGGAGCGACAGAATATTTCAGAAGGCTAAAATCCAAGTCTTGGACATCGAATAATGTCAGAAGAAAAGGCCCAAATTTATGAGGCAAATTTCAGATTTCCTTCCACGAGATTGAGACGTGTTCACGCAAAGTCTGCTGTGCCAGTACGCCAAACACGATTTGGTTTTCTACGCTGCGTGATTGGAGGCTAGGACAACCAATATATATCACTTTAACTGTTGTGTAAAGAAATGACCACTCTCCATTCATTGGGGATTGAAGCACACTGTAAAGTAAAAGATATTGAGTACATCAGAACAGCTCAACATCAAAACCTACTTGTCGAAGTGTAAGTCCTAGATATTAAGAACGAGCTATCAATCTATAAGAGTAGTGATTGACACGAAGTGCAGTTCAGGCCCAGATATTAGTGATGACTTAACATAGGCTCAAACTTTCAAATATTTTAAGAGTGATGGCACTCTTTCACTTTGATCGTCTGTGAGAAGATCCGAGCATTCAATAGTCATGTGGCGTAGCCAGTGGTTCTCATTAGAGGGGCGTGAGACAGCAAGGCTGATTATATAGCTGTCTGACAGTCAAACTCGCACAGAAGGGAAGCATTGATTAGAGTTGATGGCTGTAAAGTGCTTGATACAAGGGTTTGATAGCTCATATATACCTGAATATTGATAAATTGATCATCACTAAGTCTGGGTGGTTATACCCTTTTCCTCTTCGATTTTGGGAGGCTTGTCTTCTCATCTTTGACAAGAATAGACATACTAAATTGCGACCACTGCTATCTAGCACATAACAGTGGGCCCCCGGGGGTAGGATCGGGGAAGGGGGTGAACAGTGCTGCTGCTATCAAAAATGATCCGTCTTTGCGCTGGAGCTTGTGTACCGCCTCTATATACCCACCCAACAACAGATCTTGCGCACGCTGTGCTGAGCAGTATCTAGCAAACATTATCCATCACCAATTGAGATTTGATTCATGTAAGTTCTGAGCAGTTGTGGTAGTAATGTCTCACATGATTACACTCGGTATTGCCGATGATTATGCGAGTCCCAAAATTCGATCTCCTAACTGAACCAGGGAGCTGAAATACGCGGTGCGACATGGCCCCATCTTTTTGTTTACCCTGGCCCCAAGGGGGGAGTGTGAGGTGTCAATTGTTAACGAGTGGACCGGGTGAGACCCGCTGCCCTGTCTCTTGGGCCTTGGCTGTCTGCTCTCCCAATGCATTGCCTGTCTTTTTGGGGGTCCCTGTCAGCGTTTGAGGCCAACAAGATGAAGTACGAAGTCAAGTCCACTGCTGTTGGTTGTGCGAGCTCTCTCCACAGTGGTCCCAAAATCCATCCACGATCTGTGTGCAATCTGGGAGGCGCTCTTCATTTCTCATTAAGAAGAGTGTGTATGTACACAGCACCTGCTTGCCCTTCAATCTTCTTGTACAGCCTTCCTCACACCGTGATATAATTGACACTTGGCTTCGTCGTCACGATTCTACGGCCCAGTGATGTTGCTCCAGAGCCAGCACCACCAGTGACAATGCCACAGCAACTGAGGCCCAGCCTCGGGGCCCAGCGCCAAAGGCTGGTCAGCAAGATGGCGGATATCTGGTCCGTCATACGGCCCTACCTGCCACCGGTGAATTTCATCACGATGCACCACGCCTACTTCATCCTCGCCGGCCTGGTCTTTGCCGTCATATTCTGGGGCGCATCACACCCCAGCAGGAGCGTCAGTTTCATGGACAGCCTGTTTCTCGTTGAGTCTGCATTCACAGGCTCGGGTCTCAACACGGTCAACCTCAGCCAGCTCACGTCGGGCCAGCAGGCCATCCTCGCCATCATGATGATCCTGGGCAGTCCTGTGCTCATATCGCTTTTCACAATCTGGTTCCGGGCGCACATCTTTGAGCAGCGATTTGAGGATATCGTGGAGGCGGAACGGAACAGGAGGCCCGAGACAACTGGGACAATCGTCGGCATGACCGGAGTCATGTTTGGCGCCCCTGTCATGTCTACATTTCGGCGGGCCAAGGGACACAGCAACAACAACTCGAGGGGCCCGCCTCGTGCAAACACCATCATGCACACGCAACGCGCCGAGGAAGATGCTTTACAACTCGGCACATCGAGGGAGAAACTACCGACTCCCCCAGTTCCAGAAGGAGGACCCAGCCCCCTGAACCCGATCCGAGAAGGCGAGAGTCTCACCGTCGAAGAGCCGCACGCTTCCGGCCGTCCCGTCAGCGCATACTCGCACGCCTCCAACAACACCACCACGAGGAGACGGCCTCGCACCCGCAGCGATGCCCGCCCTACGAGCTCGGACGGGTTCGACTTCAGGACCTTCATCCGCACCAACAAGAAGTCGATCGGGAGGAACGGGCAGTTCTTTGACCTGACGGACGAGGAGCGCGAGTACTTGGGCGGCGTCGAGTACCGCGCGCTGCGGATCCTCTTTGTCATCGTTGCGGTTTACTTTGTCCTCTTCCAGCTCTTTGGCGCCATCGCGCTGGGGGCCTGGATGGCCTCGCGAGAACCCAAGCTTGCGACCGCCAATGCGCAGAGCCCGTGGTGGACAGGCGTTTTCCTGTGCATCTCGTCGTTCAACAATGCCGGCATGACTCTGCTGGACGACGGGATTGCAGCGTATGAGAACGATGCGTTTGTGTTGACGATTGTTACCATCCTGGCTCTGGCGGGCAACTATGCTTTCCCGGCATTCATAAGGGCGACTGTCTTCTTTTGCAGCTGCATGCTCAGGCTGGCGACCGAGGCTGACGAACACGCTACCTGGAAGGAGGCATTTGACTTTATTCTGAAATACCCTCGCCGTCTCTTCATGTTGATGTTCCCAGCAAAAGCGAATTGGACATTTGTGGCCATCTGCACTTCCTTGGGCGTGGTCAACTGGGTCAGCATACTGATCCTCAGCATTGGCAACTCTGTTCTGGAAGTGTACCCAGTGGGGAGAAGGATAGGCCTGGCCTTGTTTCAGAGTTTGAGTAAGTACTTCCTTGAAAGGGAAAAGAATCTTTTCAGTTCTCATCTGCATGTTTTCATACAAATGGCAAAGGCTAACGTCTTTTGTTTTCTCCTTGCAGCACTCCCGTCTGGAGGTTTCACCGTCATCTCAGCCTCAAGCCTGTATTTCGACGTGCTCGTCCTCTGGGTCATCCTGATGTATGTCTCTGCCTACCCAGAGATCATCGTAATGCGCAACTCCAATGTAAGCTTTCTGGCCCTCTCTACTCTGACACCTAAAAATCTATTGTCTCTAAACATCATCACGAATAGGTATACGAAGAGCGCTCTCTGGGAATCTACGTCAGCAAATCAGACGAGGAATCCGACAAATCCGAAACCAGCTCTCTGGACCAGCTTCTCTCCCCACACGACCAGCTCCTGCCCATCCCCCTTTCCGGCGTTGCCTCGACCTCGGCAGTCTCGCAGGCCACCACTCAGATCTCCACCCGGTCCATCAAGAAGCTGGCCGCCGTGGGCCGCCGCGGGACGGCGTTTGTGGGCAAGCAGATCCAGCGCAGGATGAACAACTTCCAGGGCGTGGGCGTGGCCGCCACAACACCGCGGCCACCACACCTGCGCCGTGCCCCTGTGATCTCGTTTGATAATGACAAGCAAGGGGGTCCACCTGGGGTGGCAGCCACGGCGGCGGAGGAGGGCCAGGTGAGCCTTGTCACGCAGCATCTTCGGAGCCAGCTGTCGCATGACATCTGGTGCATCGCGCTGGCGCTGTTTCTCATCATCATCATCGAGACGCGGCATACGCTCCTGGATCCGCAGACGTACAGCGTGTTTAATTTCATGTTTGAGATTGTGTCTGGCTACACGAATATTGGGTTATCGCTGGGCGTGCCCAATGAGTCGTATAGTTTTAGTGGTGGGTGGTACACGGGGAGTAAGTTTATCATGGTGGTCATGATGATTCGAGGGAGGCACAGAGGGTTGCCGGTGGCGCTGGATCATGCGGTTAAGCTGCCTGGGTGGGATAATGCGAAGAGGCAGCAGGAGGATGCCGAGATACGACAGAGTTTGAGCAGGAACAGGGCCAGTTGTGATGATTTGGAGGATCCTTAGCGATGTGGTGAATGCGTCTATGGGCGAAGTTCTCATTTACGACGTCACGAGTTTTTGGGTATGATTAGACTCTAGAATGCATAATTAGATCATAGAATGCCACCAGCTTCTTGCCTTCTTGAAAAGCGTAATATCAAGTTTGACTTCATGTTGTTGAGTGGTCAGTGCAAGATTATGATGATTTGTTGTATTTGTATGTCTTGTGACATGAAGCAACTCGGGTCTATACTTATCCAAGAGATGACAAAAGTCAAATTACTACTACTATTTGCATTTATGCTGTCTGCTCTTATTCTTTCAAAGAGCCCATAAATATGGAATTCAATGACTCTTTTTTTCTTTACAGCACGCGACGAGATTACCTTCACGACGCCTATTCGTGCTAATCAAACACCAAACTCTAATGAAGTTTGTTCTATGATTTACCAGTGACAAATGTAAGATGAATTCAGCAGAGGATAGAGATATCTTCTTCTTTCTCCCTTTTTTTTCTTTTTTTTCTTTGGTTCCCTCTTTTCTCGACAGCACAAGTTGTTGGTGTCTAAAAGGCAAGAGAAAGGTGTCTCCACTCTCTTACGCAAGCCATGATCTATTCGTTATCGAATGAATGAGGGGTAGAGAATGAATACGGAATCTACGTTCAAAGTAATGAGAGAAATGGAAAAACATGAGAGAAGTTCACTCCACACAATCAAGAAAAAAAAAAAAAGATTGACAACAATCAACCTTATTTAATGAAACCAAATATACAACAATGCAGCAAGAAACCAGCTCGGAGGCCAAGCGGCCCAACTTCCTTCTCATCGTGGCCGACGACCTAGGCTTCAGCGACTGCAGCTGCTACGGGTCCGAGATCCAAACCCCCAACATCGACTCCCTCGCCACAGCAGAAGCCAGCTCGCTCCGGTTCACCGAGTTCCACGTCGCGGCAGCATGCTCACCCACGCGGTCGATGCTCATGACGGGGACGGACCACCACATCGCGGGGCTGGGCCAGCTGCAGGAGTTTACGCGCAGCTCGCCGGCGCACAGGGGCCAGAAAGGGCATGAGGGGTATCTGAATGAGGGGGTTGTTGCCCTGCCTCAGATCTTGCAAAAGGAGGGCGGGTATCTGACTCTGATGTCGGGGAAATGGCATCTTGGGGTGCAGCAGGAGCATCATCCTGTCCGGCGGGGGTTTGACAAGTCTTTTGCCCTTCTTCCTGGTTGTGCCAACCATTACAGTTAGGAGCCCTCTCCATCTCTCTCTCGCTCTCTCTTTTCTTCTTCTCTCTATATTTCGCCCTCTTCAGATGAGGCTGGGCGACTACGAAGACGTAAACAAAAGCTAACGCTGACATCCATGGCCAACCCTTTCCAACAAAAGACTACGAGCCAGCATATCAAGACCCATTCAACGAACCTGGTAGGTTTTTCGAGACCGCCACCAGGGCCCTTCACGCAGAAGACGACCACTACGTCGAGGACCTACCCAAAGGCTGGTATTCTTCCGACGGCTACACCGACAAAATGCTGTCATATCTATCCTCAAGAACCGAGCAAGAACTCCAAAAGCCCTTCTTCGCCTACCTCCCCTTCTCTGCCCCGCACTGGCCCCTCCAGGCACCCCCAGAGAACATGGCCAAGTACCGCGGCCTCTACGACGACGGTCCCGAGGCCCTGCGGCAGAGGCGCGTGCAGAAGCTCAAGGAGCTGGGGCTGGTGCACCCTGACGCCAAGCCACACCCTGTCGTGGCAGGACCAGGGGACGTCGACGAGTGGGAGCATCTAGACGACGAGGTGCGCGCAAAGTCGGCTCGGGCGATGGAGGCGTACAGTGGCATGGTGGACCGCATGGACTGGAACATTGGAAGGGTGTTGGACTACCTCAAGGCGTCGGGCGAGTACGACAACACTCTTATCCTCTTCATGAGCGATAATGGGGCCGAGGGCGCGTCGTATGAGGCCTCGCCCATCGTGGGGCCGCGGATCCTCGAGCATATCGACAAGTACTACGACAACAGTCTCGAGAATATCGGCAGGGGAGACTCGTTTGTGTGGTATGGGTGTCGCTGGGCACAAGCAGCCACGGCGCCGTCGCGGCTGTACAAGATGTTCTCCACGGAGGGCGGCTGCCGGGTTCCTCTGGTGGTGAAACCACCCAAGACTGGGCTTGCCGGGGAGGGAAGAGGAGAAGACAGAAGAGGAGGAGGAGGAGGAGGTATCATCACGGATGCCTTTTGTACTGTCATGGACCTCGTGCCCACCGTGCTCGACCTGGCTGGACTGCTGGACAAACACCCAGGCGGCACCATGCAGAACGGCCACACCATCGCCCCCCTCCGCGGCCGCAGCTGGAAGTCCTACCTGCACCAAATCGCAGCATCTGGAGGCCAAGCCCCACGCCTCGAAATTCACGACAAGGACTACGTAGTAGGCTTTGAGATTGCCGGTTCCGGAGCCCTTCGCCGCGGGGATTGGAAGATCACCTTTGTCCCTGCGCCGAGGGGCCCGCAGAGGTGGGAGCTGTTCAATATCCGAGATGATCCTGGGGAGACCAGCGATCTAGCTGAGGCGAGGCGTGATGTGTTTGTGGACCTGCTGCGGTGCTGGGAGGAGTACAAGGCCGAGGTGGGCGTGGTCGGTCTGGCGGGCGAGTATCCTGCGGCGGTGCAGGGCGATGCGAGCACGTATGCAAAGGATGAGTTTGAGGATCCGTATGCTTGGATCAAGTATATTGGACGGCCTGAAAGGACGCCTGCACACCTGCTTGGTCGGATTCCGCTGACGGGGCAGGGTCGGGAGATGTAATGAGGGTGGACGAGATATCATATGTATATATATATGTGTTAAATGTAACGACTGTTTATAATGACAAGAATACCAGAAAAGACTGCAAATGTTTGTGATCTGAAAACACATAACCGAACTGGGACCTTCTCTTCAACGTGGTTCAGAGACAAGAACTAATGTAAGACGATTCAACCTCTCGACTGCTCGCAGCTCACGTCACATTTTGCAGCTCACCCTGCCGACAACAATCCTCAGTGTGTTACACACAGTATCTCACCATGGCGATATTAGTATGTCACTACTCCAACATTTCTCAGCAGGCTTCGATCAGACATCTCCTGCCCTTGGGTGACAGGAGCACATAGAAAGACGCATCCATATCCGCATCGCTCATGCCCTCCCTCTGCGAAACCTTGGCCTCTGGGAAGGCATGGAAGAAACGACAGGTCGCAAGACGCATCTGCATCATAGCTAGATGCTGGCCAATGCAGACTATTGATTGTGAGAAAGGCGTTGTCATGTCAGCTCTCTGTCTCGGTCATCCTTATAATAAAAAGAAAAGAAGAAAGGCCGGCCCATGGATTTGGACTTACCTCGCGAACCACCGCCAAAGACAATTATTGAATCCTTCATCTCCTTGCTAGGATTCTCCCATCTCTCAGGCAAAAACTCCTCAGGCCGCGGAAACACCCTCCCATTACGATGCAGCGTGTAAGACTGTGCCAAAACCGTGGTCCCCGCGGGCACGAACTGCCCAACCAGCGTAGCACCGCCTGAAGGCACGACACGAGGCATCCCGGCCGCCACGACACTAAACAGCCGCAGCGTCTCGTTGATGACACAGTTCAGGTACGGCAGGTCCTTGATATCCTCGTAGCCAAAGTCCTCGCCCCCACCACCACCAGCAGCAGCAGCCAGCGCAGCAACCCGCCCCTGCACCTCGGCCACCAGCCTGCGCTGCACATCCTCCCGCCGACAAACGCTCCAGACCAGAAAGGTCAGCGAGGTGGCCGTCGTGCCCGTCCCAGCCGTCATGTACACCTGCGCGTTGTCCCTGAGGTTCTCAAACGACAGCGCGTCCTCGTCGCGGGCCTTGTACAGCTTGGAGAACAGCGTGGGCCGCACCTCGCCTTCGGGAGTGTTCTCTGTCAGGCGCTGGTGGCGCCGGAGGGCTTCTGAGGCGTGCTGGCGGAGGCGTCTTGCGTTCTCAGCGGACTTGGGCGGGATGGGGAAGCGGGGCATCAGGTACCAGGTGAGCTCGGGCAGAACTACTCGGATGGAGGCGGCACGGCCCAGGGCTTCTAGGTCTCGAGCAAATTCGTCTTTCTATTTGGTATACACGGTTAGAGACTGAACATCAATACAGTTTATGTAATTATGCAAATGTAAAAGGAGCAGGAGAAGAGACGAAGAAGTAAATAATTCACCTCGCCACGCTGCAACAGCCCGGCCGTCTCACCAAAAGCCAGCTCGGAGATGACATCCAAAGTCATAAGATGCCACCACTTGGCCACATCCGCCGCCCCCCGTGTTTCCATCTCTGCCTGCATGCCTGCAATGGCCGCGCGAGGCTTGGGCTCGATCTGTTTGTGAAACGCCCTGAGGCCAGAGTCGGACACGCCGGCCGCGAGAAGGCGGCGGAAGTGCCGGTGCACGTCGATCCGGACAGTGGTGAAGACGTTGGAGATGCCTGGGTGGAGGGCCCAGTAGAACTGCGGTTCTTTTAGGAACTCATTCTTGACGCTGGTCATTTGGTGGTAGGCGGCTGGGTCGGCAATGTAGACTGCTTTGGGTCCTGTGCGGATGATGGGGCCTAGAGAGGGAGGAGTTTTCGAATGAGTGAGTGAGTGAGCAAATGTATTTTTATAAATCTTTTGAATGGGTTGAGTGGCTGAGAAAGTATTTTCCATGGCTTATTGCAGAAGAGGTACTCACCGTATGCCTCATGAAGGGAGTGTATGTAGGGGGGCAAGTGTCCCTTCCATGAATGATATCTCGAGACCAACCCCGTCCATTGCGTATGCCATGGCCCGGGGATCTTGTTGAGAGGACTTCGAAGGCTCTTGATGATAAACTGTGTGTGGTCCTCGAGTTAACAAATGACTTGTCTCTGTCAATACTTTTAACCACCGGATTCATAGGCGTACTATTCCTACTGCCAGAAGCAGAGCAACGCCGCCAAGATGAACGTTTGTCAAAGAGATGTCCATTATCTATAGATCCTCTTCTGAAGTAATTGATTATGCCAGCTAATAGATTCTTTCAAGAGCCACCAGGTGGAAGTATGTAATGTTGTTGAACCTGGACCATCTCTACAGAGACGACAGCGTAAGGCAAGCGAGGGAGCTCTTCATATACTTGCATTGTTTCGGCAGTTCACACTCAATTGATATTAAACCATACATATATTGGTTGAAGCAAGGATAGAATGTGAAGTCAGGTGTACGCAAGACGTATACAACTTCACGATCGACGTTTCCCGTGCTGCAACACCCCCTCCTAGAACTGACCGCTACCAAGATTGTACCGCCAAGTGAGGAATACGCCAATACGACAACAAGTATCACATTGTACCTATTCAACCAAAGTATACACCCAAGGGCACACAAATACCCACGTGCAACATCGCTTCTCTCTCCCTTCCACTATATCCCCTTCATATCAAGCACGTGTCCCAGGACTAATGATCCTACACAATAAAGGGTGTGCAATCACAACACAACAAGGAAACTCGGTCTATTCGGAGTCGCGAACCTCCGACGTGACCGAACCGTATGCAAGTATCTAGACCAAGATCGCGTGCCGAAGACGAGCGAGGCCATCATTGTGAGCATCGTTATACACCGGCCGTACCACCTTCCCAGGCACACCACAGGGTTGCACGCATAAGAGTAGTAAAAAATAGTGAGGATTAGATCCTTCACTTGCGCCTTCTTGATATCTGCCGCTTTCCGTGTCTCCATGCATGTCATCCAATCATGCGTGTGTGATAATGTGATCAACATGATATTCCCAAGTTTATTTCCATTGGGATCCTCTTCTTCTTCTCCTCCTTCCTCCACCTCTCTCCAGGACGCATAAACCGGTAATTATGTCTTTTCCTATCGTCTTCCCCGCATGGCCCCCTTGTCCTCCCTTTTTCGTGCTTCTTTCATGCATACTGACATCAGACCGTGACCTGCACAGATCGAATCGTCCCGTCCCCGTCATCAAAATACATCCTCTCCAGAGCCACGACCCGTTTATTCGCATCCGTCTCCCCCGGCGCTCGTCTGTGATACACAATGTACCAAATATCCGACCCGGGAACGTTCACCACGCCGTTGTGGCCCGTAGCCACCGCCACCCCCGGCTCCTGCTGCAGCACCACGCCCACCCGGCCAAACGGCCCCAGCGGCGACGCCGACATGCCGTACGCCACCTGGTACGTGGGGTCGCCGTAGCCATTCTCAGACCACATCATGTAGTAGACGGAGCCGCGGCGGAAAACCTTGGTGCCCTCGACGAACGTGGGACTGGGTGTGACGTCCCTGATGTACTCGTTGATCGTGACGGTGGTGCTGGTGTTGCCGTCCTCATTTTCTTCTTCCTCGTGGTCCTCGTCATTGTCTCCGGTGGGTAGGGGCAGGAAGCTGACCATGTCGTCGTCCAGCAGAGCGACGTTGACTGCCGTGCCGCCCCAGTACAGATAGACCCGGTCATCGTGGTCGACAAACACGTCAGGGTCCATCGGATTGGCGTTGTTGATGACCGAATCGATGAGGCGACCACCCAGGGCATCTCGGTAGGGACCGCCCGGTGCATCGGCCACCGCAACACCAATACCCGCCGTCTCCCTGGTCGTCCGCAGGCCGTTCGCGCTAAAGTACAGGTAGTATTTCCCGTTCCTACTAACAGACGCCGGCGCCCAGAGGTTGTCCGTAGCCCAGCTGATCTCGTGCGGCGTGAGGATGGACGGGTGTATTGTCCAGTGGACAAGGTCAGAGGAGGAGAAGGCGTCAAAGTAGGTCTGGTGGCCCGAGGGGATCGAGGTCGTCGGAAAGATCCAGTAGACGCCGTCGTATACGCGGATCTCTGGGTCGGCATACCATCCTTGGAAGAGAGGAGCCTGCGTGTTTCCGAGCTGGGGCCCGACACTTCTTGCCTGAGCTGCTGTGATAGTCACGGCACTCCAGCAACTGCTCATCAAGAGAAACAACCTCATGGCGGTGTTGGAAAGAGGCCCTACAACTTGTGACTTGGTTGATGTGAGTCTTGTCTGTACTGTAGAGAGTATTGAGTAGGAACGCCTGCGCCGATTGCTCGCACTTGGGTAGGAAAAGAACGAGAAGGATGAGAAGGTGAGCCTTTTCTGGATTACATTGGGGGAAAACTCTGCACTTAAATACTGGCACAGGTCAGGAAAAGGAACACTATACATGTTAGGTCAGTCTAATAACTGGTTAATTTTTATATCTAAAAGTCAAGGGCACGGGCTAAGAGCCTCTGGCCTGCGAGCTAGAAGCGCCGGTTTGAGCATTGCAATCACGAGAACTTCACTTGTGCGGATGGTGTGAGAACTATTTGGACTTGATGATTCATGTATTTTGGACTGTAATAATCTGCATTCCGGCGTGCAAGTTGTTCACTTGGAAGGAATACGCTAACACCATGTAAGGTTGTGTCTGGTTCAAACGCTGGTCGTGATGATACATTTCGGATCCCGTCCACGCTCGACACACGACGAGGATGACGATGACAAGAACCTTATCATGCCCAAAGCCACGGGAAGCGCCCACTCGGCAGTTGAATACGGTATCGTACTCTTTGGATGATGCTATCGTCCTTGACCAGCTGTCGGTATGCGGCCATGATGTGGTCTGGGATCTCCCAAAACAACCCCGTTTCTGGGTATGGCCAGTACACACTCCTGTTGCAGTCTAGGATCCAGACGGAGGCTTTGCGCGGGCTGGTTCTGGTTCTAATACTAGGCGTCTCCAGGTAGTATTCCAGGCTGGGGCACTTTCCCTGAGACGATGAACTATACCAGTTCGGGAACTCCAGCTTCAATCGCTGGAGCTTGGGCATCTGCAGCATGGCCTTTGCCAACTTGTGCATAAGAGGGTCGTAGGACCTGGGGTCCACACGGTCACGCCAGAGGTTGATGGGGTCGTGACCGTTCTGCATACGCCGTGTTGTGTAACAATCCTCTGGCATCAGGTGAGTCGTCTGATGCTCGCCGTCTCCTTTCAGAAACCAGCCACCACCAGCAGTAAGGAGGCTGGCATCCATCTTAACCACCTGCATAGACGGCCAGAGCTCTCCGCCGTCGGGCGGCAGCTGGAACATCTCGGTCGATATAATGAAATGCCCGTCAAGCACGAGCTTCTGGACTGGACAGCGCTGACAGATCTGATTGATGGCATGACCGAGCAGATCGACATGCTCAGTCGAGTGAGCACACACGCAACCAGGTCTGAAGTCATGATTCCTGATACTGCTACGCCATTCACGTAGCCAAAGTTCTGTGAGAAATTTGAAAGAGAGGTCCAGCATGATGCGACCGATGGCTTGCCGTGGTTTGATGTGTTAATGGGCTGTATACGGCTTGGCTTTTTGGGAGAAAGAAAGACGGTCGAGTGCACTCACCACACCGCTGCTCACGTCGAGTTCTCTGAAACCGGTTTTCCACCGTTGGAAGCTCCCAACGGACACTTTGAAGATTTGGTAGTGCTTGAGCCATTCGGGCAAGAGTTTCAGGTAAGAACGCTCGGCTACTGCTCAGACAGTCGAATTGGAACCTAGTCACTGCTTCCAATGGGGTCAGGCTGGCGTCCCTGGCCAGCTCGAGATAGCATTCTATGCTGCGGGCGGGCAACCACTCGCCCTAGATCGGCTGCTTGTTCTTCAAATTTCGGCCAACAGGCAGGAGCCGTTCAATATCGGAAGGAGACGAGGCGGAGAGGCTTAGGAAGATGGGAGCAGTAGCTTTCTCATCCTTTTCCTGGCTTGACTTTGGATGACACCATAAGCTCAGGAGATAGAAAAACCGTTTCACAGCCCATGTGACATGAAGGTTGTTCTTCATCCTGACCCAGCTGGGTTCCCGATGCCACCGTGCACTGCAGGAATCGTGGTGCATGTCAGAAGAGTACATTTAACAAGGAAGGGCTTAGGGGATGGGCTGCTGACTGGGCAGGATATCCATCCAGGTCGATCTGGAAGCTGATCTCCTTCACGATCTCGCGGCGGGCCTGACTATCCCGTCCTCGAATGATGCTTTCAAACACGTAAAGATCGCTGCTGCGAATCTTGATGCTTTTGAAGGTCCGGAGTTCGACGGCAATCTGCTATCTGCGGCCGAGCCTCGCGTAGCCGGAGAGAGGACTAGGGCCCAATGGGCCCTTATAGAGTAGCACATGGTCGAGGATGTTGTCAATGATCTCGCCTGGAAAAGTGTTCATAGTGCATGAAGCGGCAGCATGTCGCCGTCTAAAGGAATGGTGGATTGATATTCGGAGACGAGGAAAGTGGGAAAAGAGTGTGAGGAAAAAGGTTAAGAGAAAGGGAAAAAAAAGAACCGGGGGCGAAGAACCAAGAACAGAGACGAGGGCCTTGACAAAAAAAAAAAAAAAAAAAACAAGAGGGAGGCTAAGAGGAAAGTGCCTGCCGATGAGGTTGAGGGTGATGAAAAGCTGCAGGGCAGGGCAGGTGCGATCAGAGAGCACATGTCTTCACTGTCACTCAAATGTATGATGTCTATACGCCGATACGGTAAGGTGTGTAAGTAGTATGCACCATAGTACACGCTGTAAGTCGTATTGGATAGCTGGCCCCAGGAGGCCCCAGCGCCATAACACCCCTGTCAACCCATAATAGTTTCCACAAGGGCCCTCATCAGGCGTCCCGTGTGCTATTAAACCAACCCCAGACCCTCTATGGCATCACCATGCAGGGGTTCACGCGAGGTAGCAACCCCGCGAACCTGAACCATACAACTCATCCGTGTTTCACCGAGCTCTCCTGCTCGCTCTCGAGTCCGTGTACGGATTTTGCCCAACTCCATACACAGCTCTACCACCAGAGACACACCTGACCTATGGTTATCGACTTTCCAAACCACCCTTTTCTGCCCTGCCCTACTGAGCAGGTCGCGCCCCTTCGCAAAACACACCTTGTGATTCCGAGCCACACAGCAACAGAAGCTTCCCCCGCGTCGAACCCATCCGAACCACTCCAAGACAGCTCGAGCTCACTCAACCATACTATACGCACACACACAAACACACACAAGCACACACACAACCCTTCAAAATGGTAGGAACGCGCTCATCCTCGGGAGCCCTAGCGCCAGGCCTGAAAACACCCACCACCCTCACCCGCAGGCGCGACAAGAAATCACCCTCCCTCATCACCCACGGCTGGTCCCACGCGCCCAGCAACATAACCCTCGCCTGGCTAGCCATCTCGCTGCCCCTCGTCACCTGGGACACAGGCTACGTGCTGGGCCGCCCCGCAACCATGCCGGGCGGCTGGGCGCACAGCCCCGTCTGGAAGCCCTACGACCTCTACGGCAACGTCGACCACATGTACGGCTTCAAGCAGTGGAACCTGGGCAACGGCTTCACCGCCGCGCAGGCCTGGCTGAACGTCGTCGAGTCGCTCATGTACCTTGCCTACATCGCGCTGTGGTACCGGGCCGGCGGCGCGGTGGGCGGTGTCAACGCCTCTGCCGGTGCTGTGCAGGCGAGGAGGCGGGTCGCTGGACGCGCGGGCGCGCTGGCTGTTGTGGTTGGGCTTGCCGCGTCTGTCATGACGGTTAGTAAGACGGTGCTGTACTGGCTGAACGAGTACTTTTCTGGTTTCGACAATATCGGCCACAACAAGCCGTGGGACCTGATCCTGTTGTGGATTATTCCCAAGTGCGTGAACACCCCCACCAATTCCTCTATCTGATTGAATTTACAGAGACTGAATTTTGGGACTGGATGACAATAGTGGCCTTTGGCTGGTTGTTCCGTCATACATGATCTACCAGATCGGATCCGAGATTATCGACGCCATTACCATCGCATCCCAAGCTACCGGGTCAGCTAAAGACGAGTGATGTACGCTGAGAACATGTAGCAAGAGGATGTTGGCTGTATGTACACCATGGCGGAGATGTTCCAGTGTCACATAATATTCTCTTCGACTGTCTTTGCTTGCATCATATGGCGCACGCAAGGCGCTGCTGCTATTCTGCCTGTACTCTCAGTGCAACGATTGGGTCTTGAACACATCCAGCAGCACGTCGGATATATTGATTTAAAGAGGTGGAACTTTTCTTCTTTTGTTTAATTAAGTGCTTTTGAGTATTAATACACTTGTTGGCTGCTAGACAGCTGCCGCAGGGCTGCGGTCCTTTGGGGCAAAACAAAAACAAAACAAAACAAAAAACTGGCGGGTATCTCAGAAACATAAGAAACAAAATGGAATGTGGTCAAACGAGTGATGATGGCCAATCAGGCACAAAATGGTTGCGTCCGGCGCCAGAATTCTCTCCAAACTCCTGATCCTGCCCCTGTATCTTCCCAAGCCATTCATTTCAACGGTTGGATGGGCTGGAAGCCTCCAAGATCCGTAAATTGTTCCCACGTACAGGGCGGAGGGACCTCCGACGCGCTGTGCACCATCCGCTCCCAGTCGCTGGACCCGCGCAGGCTGTCGTCCTGGTCGACTTCCAGATGTGTCTGGATCCGCGGCAGCTGGCCTACAGCCTTGCGGATGCGCAGCGGCGAGGGCTGTAGATCATCATCAGCCTCTGAATCGCTACTGTCCCCAGTATTGTCACGAAGAGATGCGACCAGCTCTAGCATGCTCCATCGCTTGGACGCAGGCACGCTGAATCTCTTGCTACTGCGCCGAGGCAGCGGCGGTGGCGGTGGCGAATCGGTCACCGGTGCGGCAGCGAACATGTCATCGCTCGAGTACATGCTGCGCAGAGACTTTCGAGTGCTCTGCCTCCGTGAAGGAAAGGAACGGCTGTCGTAGTACTTGTCGGGACCATCGGCCGTTGCGTGATTTGCGTCAGCAGGAAGCACATCAATTACTGCCTCGGGCACAGAAGCCTCAGCGCTCTTGAAGCTGCTGCTCGTCTGCGGCCCTAGCACAGGGCTCAAGGGCTCAATGATGGTGGTGGGCGCTGTCGAGGTTGAGCTAGCAGCAGCAGTGGACGATCTTGAGACTAAAGTCGAATGGCTTCTTGAAGAAGTTGTTGAGGCAGAGCGACTTGTTGTTGCCAAAGCTGGAGGCTGGGCTGGAGAAGCAGCCGGAACACCCGAGTCTTCCGTGTTGTTTGCACCGCCGGTCGGCCGATTGATGGCATAATTTATCCCGGTGCCGTACCTAGGAATGCTGATTTCAGGATGCATTGGTTTGCACTCTGGGTATGCACTGACAGCTAGATGTGAGGTTGAAGGCCGCTGAGAAACAGTCCTGAAAACACTCAGTGACCTGCGGATAGACATGGTCCTCCTCAAGCTATGTGATTTCGACCGTGGAAGCACAGCAATCTGGCCGTCGTGGCCATGCTGCGCGCGAGATTCACCACGGTGAGTCAATGCAAAGTAATCGATATCAGGCTGGATCTCCATGCCAGTATGGAGCCCTGACTCGATCTTGGACGGCTTGACAGGTGTCAGCAGGGGCGCAGCACTGATCGATTGGCGACGCTGTGGTGTGCGAGGCCTGAAATCGTCGGCATTCCATCTGTTGAGAGTGGGTGGAGGATCGGCACCCTCTTCTGTCTGCCATGGAGGTGTGCCCTTGGTCGAGACACCGAGGTGATAGTCTACATCTGTGACTGAGGTGACCTCTTTCGGGACCTCAGCACAGGTGCGCAGCGTCTGGTACATTGCATAAACAAGCAGCCACCTCACTTTTCTGGCGTCTCCCGTGCCAATCGGGCATTTTTCGACCCGCTCGCCCTTGCGATGGTGATGGAGGAGTACCGAGTCCTCTTCAAACCTCTGATAGGCCAGAACTAGCTCGTTGTCCAGGAGGTGAGCTTTTCCTTGGTTGGTAGCCCTAAGCAGGGCGGCATGTGCGCTGTGGCGCTGGTCGGGGCGTGTCCTGCTTTCCCGAAACCCGAGACCGTCGACAAGCCACGGCATGAGACTCCTCCGACGGGATAGCTTCGCTCGCCTCATCTCTGGGAGGAGCGGGAGGGGGTGCTCCAGAGCGGCAAGCTCATGCCTCCTGTCAAACTCGTAGACGCTCTGCAGGGTGCAGAGTCCGCCGTGAGCGACAGGTGGGCTATTGTCGACTGTGGTGAAATTCTCATCAACTAGATACTCGTACAACGCTTTGAAGTCCTCTTTCATGGCGGTGTAAACCTCGGGCCGGAAGATGGTGCCGCATCGTGGGTGCCAAGGCGGCGGAGGAAAGCTGCCAAACTTTGTCCTGTAGAAACCACGGATATAAGACCTGAAGCCGTTCAGGTGTGCTCGCTCGCCCATGGACAGGCCGACGTGGGACTCGGACAATTCCTCCTCGAGCAGGTCACTAAGCATTATGCTGACGCGGCGGAGTCGGGATTCCATGTCCGCCCTCGCCCGTTTGATGAGTTTCCGTGATGCGATGCTGACACACTGGGACACACATGTCAGTACATGACAGGAACCAAGTCGGGTCCAAGACTGGTACTCACAGAGATTTCTGGGCACTTATACAAGCGCTCACTCATCCCTACGCAATGCGTGAATGCGTCGATATAGAGGTTCTCGATCTGGAAGACTTCGGCAACATGCAACAGGCCCACAGCGCGATGCGGCTGGTTCCGCATGTCCAAGTATCCAGCTTGATCGAGATAGTTCAACAAGTCCCTGATGTTGTCAATGCCAGGGTCACGAAACTCGTCCATGCTGTGAACGAGTCCAATGATCGCATTGCCCAGATGGTCCCCGACGAGTGACCGGCCGTAAACCCACGCAAGGAAATTCCGAATTGCGACATGATACTGCAATGCTTGAGATCGGTTTGCCGTTGGAGGTGCGGGCACGTACAGGTCAATACGACCTTTCCGATAAGCAGTCTCCTCAGACATAGAGCGGTCCAAGAATTTCTCCATCAGCGGCCGGGCCTGAGCAGCAAAGAGCCTGTCGATGGAAACCTCGTAGGCGGCTCCCTGCCGTGATGACTGTCCCTTCTCGTAGAGATACACATAACAATTGCCATTCCGGAAACACAATTCTGGATCCTGAGCGGAAGATCAGCCATCGGGTCTGTGTAAGAAGACAAAGGAAAGGACGAGAAGTGGCGGTAGCAAGTTACTTTTGTCAAGTTGTCCCATGAAGAGCAGCTCCTGGCAGCGCCATCAAACCTCTTCAGACTCTGCTGGCGAAATGGCTTCCCGTCCACAGCCCCGAGGTCGCCATGGTGTTTGGCCTTCCACCCTCTCCACCGGTTGGAAACACCACTATACAGCATAACGCTGGCGGACCTCCTCGAACGTGAATATGACGAAAGCGAAGGTGGAGGGTTCGTAGCAAGGCAGGCCATATCGCTTGTACATATATATATGGGTATGGAAAATGATTTCGTCGAAGCAGCCGGGGCCCCGTATCAATCAACTGGGTTGGACCTGGGGCTGGACCTGGTCCAAAAGCTACCGGGTCGCTGGCGCACTATGGTATCAAGATAGCCATAGGTGGTCTAGCTGTCTGGTAGCGTCGCCAACTCAAGCCCCAATTCTTAGCATTGGGTTCTGTGGCCGCGGTGAACGGGATCTGGCGATGAACCGAGGTGGCAGTTCCTGAAGGTCTGCGTGAAGCTGTTTCGAGCAAAAGGATGATGCGTTTGCGAAAGAATTGTCTTTATACACACAGGTCAGTCGGTATCATTGTTGACATTGATTGGCGATGGGGAGAGGACACGGCGTTCCAGTGGGCGCTGGGGAGATCATGGGAGAGTTGAGGAATGAAAAGTCTCCCCCCCAACCAACGACCTCTCCACCCGCACCTGAAAAAGGGCGGCATTCCCGTGAAACTGATTTGTGAGACCATCAACCACTTCTTCACTGAAAAGATAACTCAACAAGCAGCAATTCAGCGTGCCCAGCTGCATGACTTGCAGCTACCCCACCACCGCCACCAAGAGTAGCCAGGCAAGCCATGCCAGCGGGCTAGGAAAGCTGCCGCTCGTGTAGCCACCGGGGGTCCTTAGGATAATGACGAGAAGTGGTCAAGTACCATCGAGAACAGCTAAGTCTCTCTCTCTCTCTCTCGCAGTTCAGCTCGTAGGGCCCTGGTTGGCGTGGCATCTCCCGAACGCCAGACAAATTTTAGGATGTACCCATGCCCGTGTCCCAAGCCAAGGGTACAACCCTGTACCGACGGCAGCAGGCTAGACCTGACCAGGCGGGGCCAGGCCGTGCCGAGTCGACAAAAGAGCGGCAGAGCCAGAAGGCTTCACGATGCCGAGGCAGCAGCAGCGGGGGGAGGACAAGTAGCGAAACACACGGCTTGAGGGTATGCTCATGGTGCGAAAGCATAAAAGCGGTCATGGACAACCAGCGGGCCAGAACTCGGGCTGCCTCCTCCACGATGCGAGACGAAGACTTCGAGACCTCCAAAGTGGAGACGAGGAGCTCGGGCCAGCCAGAGGCCAAAGAAGGTCGACTCACGCTTTGTTCAGCAGACCGGCTGAGCGCCAAATAGTGACACGACCGATGCGCACGTCAATCTCAGAGCGGTGGGCACCATCAAATTGCAGCACCCTAGTGCCGGCGAGAGGTGGTTCCGGAAGCCCTCCCAGAAAAGACAAGCCAATTTGGGTCTGGGTCCTCATCCAGCCAGCATCCAGCCAAGAAGCAAGCAGATTGAAGGACGATGAGAAAGATGAGAAAGATTGTTGCTCGAGACGAAAAAAGCTGGCGTCCGGACTGAGACGTGGGGGAGGCTGCTGCAGTAGCGCAGAGGCGGCTTATCGCTTGGTGCTTAGCTCGAATGTCCGTATGGTTCCGTTAGTATGTCTTGAACAGGCTGGGGAAGTATGCAACTCTCGGGCCGCCACAAACTTTGAAGATGCGCATTCATACATTCACACCATCTTCCGTCTCAAATTGTCCCGAGTGCTCATAAGTCAATCACTTGAGGCACAAAGCTAGCAGAACTGGAGGAACGTAAAGGTCTTCTTCGCCCGGCTCTGTGTTTCATTCAAGTCGAACATTTGGTCATGTCCAGACTGTATGTCGTACCCATCATCTTCGTTTCACGAGATCTCTTGTGGCTGGTCGGGGATGGTTTTCGAGGGACTATATTTGGTGACGTCGAGCTTGGGACGTGGGGCATGCATCGCAAAGGAACCTCTCAATTTCTGACACCTCTTTGGGCAACCGAGTACAGAAAGTACGCCTATCTCATTGACTGAATTACGCATTGTGCTAACTTGAGACAGCATGTCCACCTTCCGAGCTAGTAGTGCTTAAGAAATAAAATTAAAAAAAATTAAAAAAAAAAATAGACATCTCCTCCTGGCTGCCTAGCTTAGAATTTCTCTTCCTTTCAATCCTTCCACTCAGGCCATCTGAGAGCAACACGCCCTACTTAATGAAAGTACATTCGACACAAAATACAACGAATTCCTGTGAAGCAAAAAGAAAAGGCTTTCGTATTCTTTTTTTTTCTTTCCAGTGTCTATTCACGAGCATGAGCTTCTAGAAGGTTGTGTCTCAGTCTTCCGCCGCTTTGAGCCCGGCTCTGTGGTCGCGTCGTCGTCAACATCCAGCGCTCCATGGAGGCGCGCAAACCCAACGGTATCACGAGACCCTACCAGTCCTCCCTGCTTGTCTTTAAGATAAAGCGCTCTCTGGTCTTTGCGAATGACCAAGGGCAAATGATTTGCCAAGGTCGGTTCATTGCTCTTGTACTGCCCCTCGTGAGTGGAGTTCAATACGATCGAGATCTTGTCCTCTGACCTTTCGCTGGCGGGTTTGTGCATCGATATACTCATGTTGGTCACAGGCAAGTCGTCTGGTACTTGAAGTAGAGGTATCTTAAAGAGTCCGGAGTCGTCCCTGCTGTCTTGCGCGGCGAGCTCGAACTGTGAGCCCCCGGTACCTGCCTTGGTGTGCAGGGTCATCATGATATCGTCAGACATCTGTAGAGAAGTTGATTCGGATGATCGTAACACCGGCACGATCTGATCAATCACTAGCCTTGTAGACAGGTTAGAACTGTCCTTGGCAGCCGACACGCAGTGATCATCACGAGAACTCGGCAGGACGTCCGTCCCAACCTCCTTCGAGCTTTGTGTTGTTTCAAGGTAGTAAGCCGGGACAGGGACTAGCTGAGGCCAGTCACGCCCTGAGCGATGTATGGCAACAAATCTACCGCAGTGAGAGAATGTGACCTTGTGGCAATTACCAAAGTTACCACCGTTGGCCAAGTCAAACTTCTCAGGGCGGCCTGTAAAATTCAAATGAGTTCTCTCTCCGTAACAGCCGACTTTTTCAGGGTAAAAACCTACCGTCTGGAAGCTTCCATATATACTGGCCGCTGGGCACCAGCAGTAATGGCTGGGAGGGGTGAAACGAGAGAGATCCTGCGACCGGAACGTAGGTAGTTGCATTTAAGACCTCGAGACATGACCGCTCGTGAATATTCTTGGCTGAGAAGATAGCGATGCCAGAGAAGTTCACCACTGTATCTTGAGCAAGACCCGCCTTTTGAGCCACGAAGCGGGCATTCTCGCCAGCGAAAGCGAGCCACATTCCGTCTGGACTCCAGTAAATTCTGTAAGAGCTCCTGGAAATGCTCGTAGATCCCTTCTTGACCGGCGTGACCCAAGAGCTGAAGTCCATTGCGAGCTGCTCTGGTTCCGCAGACCCGGACCGCCCCTGAGGCAGACGGTAGATTCTGTTCAGTATGGTGAAGGTTTCCAGCGTCGGACTTATTGACAACGGCATGTTCAGTTCCCGGACGGTAGGGCAAGTGTCCGTAGGCCATTTAATGGCAGCGATCATGTCAGGGGGGCAAGCAACGAGATGAACCCCGTGGGTAGTGGCCCTGTCTGGAACTTTTGCATCCCCATTATTCGCGGAGTTTCTTTCCCTGAGTCTTGTCTCGGGTCTCGCACGCTGGGAGAGGTACGCCCAGTCGACCGAGCCGGCGGCATCAGTCAAATCAGCCTGCCGGTCCGGAATCTGCGGTACTGGGGCCGTTTTGAAACTGTTCAGGACATCCGAGGCGTCCCAGGAAGACTGTTCGATCGGGCACCCTGACCACGTGGCATCGTACTCAGTGATTACACCTGTCATTTTCGGAGTCGACGATTCCTTTTCGAACCCTGGTCCTCGAACCCTGAGAGTATTTTCGAGGCACACTCGTATATCCTGTGGATTGAGCTTGATCTCCACTTGTGTAATGATATGTGAACTCGAGCTTGACAGAGAAAACACTTCAATACGGGCAACCCACCCAATTGATAAGAGCTGGAAATGATCTGTATCGGATGCAAGGTTTGCGCTAGATCTGCGTGTCGAGCTTGCGAGTGATGATCGGCCATTCCAGACATCACAAAAGTTCCTGGATTTAGTCGTTAATAGGGTAGCAAAACCATTTTGCAGTCTCCAAAGCATACCTGGGAGGATATATTCCCAAGACTAACAATCGGCTCCCATCATTAGAGCTCATGGATATCGAGAAGGTCGGCTTGGTGTTGTGCTGCAGGTACTCATGATGGTCGGCATCTCCGAGAGAGGGAAGCAAGCTCTCTTTCGACAGAGCCGTGGTTGACACCCAGAAACGGCTTGGGTTGAATTCAGTGACATCATCCCATATGGCAGATGGACTCCTTGACAAGCTCTCCCCCCAAGATGTGTCCAAAGTATGGAGGTCGTTGACAAATTCTTCAAGGTCAGCCACAACCGGCCTATGACTTTCTCGGGTCGCTCGCAACATCCAGGATTTCGCGTCCGAGACGAATGTCGATACGTCACGGCCGTTGATTCTGTAGATCGCCTCAATCCACACGTTGATTGATAAACGAGACTCGAGGTACTGCTGGACCGTCTCCTCGATCTTGATGCTCTCGTCAGGTGGAAAGGCTGAATTCTGCATCTTGGCATGGAAAATCCAGAGTGTCAATGGTAGCCAGTTTGGCGCAGCATACTTGAGAAGTGGATGCTGTTGTCTCAAAAGCCCTAGGTCTATGTCTGCTCCTATTCCTCCGGACAGTGGCTGGGTCGGCAGTTCCTTCATCAGGTACCTGAGATAGCGTTGGAGGATCCCACATATAGCGACTTCTTTGCTCAAGATGAGTGGTGAGAGGCTGACTCTGTCGGTCGTGATTTCTTCAGTGGCAGCTTGCACGTATTCGAGAGCCGACAGGTGGATGAATCGATAGCGAGCATTGGCATCCTTCTCCAACAAGCTACAACACGAGCTGGAGATAACATGGTCGAAGTCTGTACTCGAGCCATCCCATCCATTATCATAAAGGGCTTCTTGGAGCGCTTTGTCGGAGTAGCCCACCTCAGGGCTGCCATACGCGACCCAACTGAAAGCACGACTTGCTAAGTCTTTGCTTGGGCTGTCTTGCTTAACGATTCTGGTGTGTATCCGTCTATACATGCTTTCGAGCCCGTCCGGCGTACAGTCCATCATCGTGTCCAAACGCTCCTTTCTTGTAAGTGCTGGTGAGTTCAGGTAAGTCACCATCAGTCTCGCCCACAGGAACATGCCCTCTGAGCGATTTACAAGATTTCGGACGACCTCTCGAACGTTGCATGATAGTGGCAAAAGCCTAGCCTGAACCATATCCTCGACCTGACCTCGGATGTAAAGCCCAATGTCGGCAGATGATGTACCGCTGTCAAATTTTATATTGACATCAGGCACATATAGATGATGCAGATATCGTACTTCGGGCCGGCTGAAGAAGATCACTTTCAAACTTGTTGGGAACTGCTGTCGTAACTTCCAGAGACTGCGAACTAGTGCTTTACCATCAGATGCCTCATCGAGACCGTCGAGAACACAAAATAACGTCGGCAGATGGGGCAGGCAGTAGGTCAGGAGATCGTACAACTCCTGCTCCGTAGCTCTTGTCTGTACAGGGTAGTCTGCAAGTGCGAAAGAAAAAGCGTTGTAGATCATCTCCTCGCTATGAAACTTGTGCAGAATCTGCAGGGCGATGGCTCTCAAGGCGTCGGAGGAAGTATTCCACCGTGCAAGGCTCTGGCTGAAGAAGTAGTAGCAGACTGTAAGAGCGCTGTCGCCTGCCATCTCTTGGCGGGAAAGTTCGTCCATTGTAGATGCAGCTAACGTGGTTTTACCGCAACCAGGGTTACCTGTCAAAGCAATTGATTAGAGAGTGCGGTGAATCAGGTGATGAATAGACATACCGTTCACCCACAGGATCGACGGAGCGCCTTGAGAGGACATATCACTATCGTGGGTGGCTGAGTAGTTGAGCGCTCGCCATGAAACGAATTTGTCTTGATCAAAGAGCCACTCTGCTGTGCCTTCCATGCGTAGTTCTTGGGCTCTTTGCAGTCTTTCCTTGAAGTCATCCGGAGGCGCTAGCCATTGGACAACCGAGGCCAAGAAAGTGTCTGTTAGGCTTTGTTAATCATCGATACTCTAGACCGTTTGTAGGTGATATGGGGGCTTACTCCTGGTTTGTTCGGTATGAACGACAGAGGTCTTCTGGATGAAGTGGCGGACGCCCCGCCCTGCCGCCTCTGCTTCCTTTTCTTGTCGTGATAGCTTGGCCTCGATGTGATTCATTATCAAAAAGTCCATCTCTTCTTTTATCGTCTCCTGGTGGAATCCGATCCCCTCCAGGATTTCTTCGAAATGAAGATCAAATGGTTTCCACATCAGGGTGCCGACCACAACCGGCGTTCTCTTCCGTTCTAGGTAAAAGTCATCCGTCAGCACTATAAAGTATTTTCTAGCGGTGAGGTTCTTTCAACTTACTGCCTTCCTTGGTGGTAAATATTCTGGCAACGGCTGCTAGGAATTGGAAGAGTAGTAGATATATGGAGCTCATCGCATTCGTCAGTCTCAAAGCATCCTTTCGCACTCCTTTAAACTTGTCATGCAGCTGCCCATAACGCAACAACTTGTCGTCTAGTCTCCCGAGGATGCCGCCAAGTTTCTCGAAAAAGGTCACAAAATGGCTGGCAAGCTTCAACGGAGGTACAAAGCGGTTGTCAGTACAACACACAGCTTGCTACCAAGGTGGCACTGCTTTGTAGAGTGTAATGAATCTTCGCTTACCTTCAGCACCAAGAGAAGCCCACCGAGGACAAAATTGGAGGTCTCTGGATGCGCTCCGCAACACACCTCGACCACCTTCATGTAAGGTCCCAAGTTTTCTGCAAACTTCTGAATCTTCTGCAAGATCGGAAATATCCGGCGTTTGGCTTTTGAGACCGAGTGAATCGCATTGATCTCACTCATAAGTTGCTGGGTCGACGAGACGGGAAGGAAGCGAGCCATATCAGCAGGTGACAATGTTCGTAAGAACTCTTCTTTTGCCTTCCGGAACAATTCGTCCACTGATGGCGCTGCGGCTGGAATAGAGGATGACATTTTCGCGGAAGTGTGAAATGTAAGTTAGAAGAAAGAAACTAGGATCTCACGATGAGAGACAAGACGGGATTCGGATACCCAAAGGGCAAGAATCACTCGGCTTACTATTAAGTCAATAGCTGATAATCTGGGTTACGAATGCTGGAGATGCTGCGCCGGGTGGGGCCCAAGCCATTTCCGGTTTGCTGCAGGATATCAGGGAGGGTGGGATACATTAGAACAACAGCCACAACACTGCCATTGGACCACATCAGTAAGCCTTGCGGCTGAGCAAAATTGGGCGAGTCTTCGATACATTTTTTCGTTTCTTGCAGGACTACGTGGCTTCTCTTGCCACACGCTCATGAAACGTGCCTGCTCCTCGCGTAGCCACCAGTCAGGAAGTATACTAAAGATGAAATGCGAGAATTCAGGCTAGCGGGACGGCTTCGTTCTGTGATGAGGAACGCAGAACCAGTAATATTACAAGAACGCTAGCTTTCCGTCTATCCAGCAGAATGGTGGTAACCAGGTCACTCGTCTTCATGCCCCTCGAGAGGCTATGGCGTAAAGGGACGCTATGGCAAAAGTGTATACCTAAGCCCAGACTATATACATCAATACAAACACATATAGGTCACAAAACAGGTCACACTGAATAATGAGCCTAGAAATTGCTAGTTATCACATCCAACATCCATCTAGCACTTACGTAATCAAGATTAAGATGACAAGATGAGAGCCTCACGCCTTGAATTAACGAGCTTGCGGAACGGGCCAGACAATTCATGCTAAAGAGCTAGATATATAACCTTACGCTTACTACTATTAGATAGATCATTGTATACAGCTCTTCAGTCGTCAATCTGAGTATTAGATACACACTATCTAGTGGCCTTCACTAGCAGTGAACACTTGCAGCAGACTTCAGTTACATTTTCCCTATCGGAGGCATATACTACATAGTAAGTACTGACTGCTCTTATTAGCATAACCTCCTTGTGTAAGTACTTAGGAATCTTCGGATTACTGCAGTGCTCATTACACTTATTCATTCAACATGCAGGTCAACAGCTGAGCTAGAATGCTGATTATTAGATCCAATATAAGAGACAAGGATTGTGCTTATGTAATCCATATTAGGTTTCAACGAGGTGCAGCACAGGCCTGGTACTGTACCCTAACCCTGTCTCCCAAGCTCCATCGACCTCCCACTTGGGAGCTTCACGGTACCTTACAACTCAACGCGTCTCATCTGGTGAGCCACATAACTTTGACGCGGATGACCCCTCTATCCTGGACACACAACACCCTGATGCTAAGCCATGACTCGCTGATTTCCACCATTCAAAAAGGCTAAAAAGGATGTGTTCATAAGATAGATATCTTGTCACAGTCACCGTCAGCGTGTCTCGGCCTTTGGTCGCGTCGCGATCCCCGTTCCGTGACGGCAACAGCATTGCACAAGGAGAAGCAGCTTGATATGGCCATGCACTGGATCTGACCAAGCACCAGCGCTGCCTGTCAAGATGGCTGCCATCACACCATACACTTACATCCAATGTCCTTGTTCGGATCCAGCCAACGTCTCTCGTCACAACCACAACGACCCTACCACGCCCCTCCAGACCGAAACCGATGATGACGAGCGTGCTTTTGATCCAAGAGCTCCTCGCGCCAACTACAGCCTTTACCCTCTCGAGTACCTCCTCTACTGCGAGGACTGCCACCAGATCCGCTGTCCGAGGTGTATAGCTGAGGAGATCGTCACCTACTACTGCCCAAACTGCCTCTTCGAGGTACCCGGCAGCAACATCAAGAGCGACGGGAACAGGTGTGTAATCTTCGTTATTGAAAGCAGCTCTCATACCACACATAACTTCAAGTAAGCTGCTGACCTGATTTTCTCCTCGCTGCATAGGTGTACGCGCAGCTGTTTCCAATGTCCCGTCTGTGTCGGGCCACTCGCCGTCACTGCCACCGACCCTCCACCTCCATCGGCATCTGACCCGCATGCTGAGACAGCACAATCTTCCGCCCAGCCCTCTTACATCCTCACATGCTCATACTGTCAGTGGACATCCACCGAGATCGGCGTCAGGTTTGACAAGCCCAACGGCATCTATGCCCAGCTGCAAAAAATCCGGAACGGTGGCAGGACGAGGCTCACCCCCAGGGAGCGCAAGGACAGGCGCAAAGATGGAACTCCCGGCAGTTCCTCCGTCAGTGTTGGTTCGGGCCTTGCCTCCTCCGCTCTGCCTCCAATAGGAGAAGAGGCGCCCACCAGGGATATTGTTCACGAGCCGGAACACCGCGACGTCGAGACCCAGTTTGGCAGCCTGAAATCTTTCTACCAGTCGCAGCTGGCCGACGCCTCCTCCACTGGCCCATCCGGACTATCTTCACTGGGTGATCTGGGCATTGGCTCTCCGGGCTCCCTATCGCGGATCATGAGCTTGTACACCGGGACTGGCCTTCTCGGCGACAAGAAGGGAGCCAAATCCCGCTCTCATTTAATGCGAGAATCACTCGAGCCCGACGAGGGGCTGCAGGTAGCAGACCTCGACGAGACAGCGTCCATCGAGCGCCTCCACCAATCTGGCTGGGACGGGACCGCCTCTCTCGATCAAGCCGCCGCCCAGCTACCGGTCAACGTTTGCGAGCCCGTAATGCACGGCCGGTCAAAATTTCTCGACGAGCTCCGACCCATCCCCTACCTCCTGCGCACCAAACGATCTAAGAGATGTCCCGTCTGCCGCCATATTGTGAGCAAGCCCGAAGCCAAGGTCAGCAACACGCGGTTTCGCATACGGCTTGTGGCGGGGAGCTACATTCCCACCATCTCCATGCGGCCCCTGCAAGCCACGTCTCTCTCACAGACAATATCGGGAGCACCCTCGGGTGCTTCTATCAGCGCCGCTGGCCCCGCGGCTCTTCTGGCACCGCTCCGACCCGTGCAGTTCCTCCTAACCTTCAAGAACCCCATCTTCGAGGCCGTCAAGGTTACACTGGCGACGCCCTCGGTCACGCCGGGCCGCTTCGCCAGCAAGGTCACCATCTTGTGCCCTGAGTTCGAAATCGACGCCAACACGGACGTATGGGACGAGGCTCTCAAGGACGGCGACAAGGACAGGCGGCGGCGCGGCGGCATAGAGGACGCCGCGGGCCAGCAGCACCAGGCGGAGCCCGGCAAGGTATGGGAGCGAGGTCGGAACTGGGTGACCATCGTGGTCGAGGTGGTGCCGGCGTCGCTGAGGTTGGAAAAGACCAACTTTTCGATCCTCGCCAGGGATGCCAAGGGAGCCATGGACCTGCGCCCACTGAGGGAGGACGAGGACATCCTGGAGATACCCATGTATGTGCGTCTTGAGTGGGAGACGGACGATGCTGCACAGGATGGGGCGCCGGCCAAGGACAACAAGGATGGCAGGGAGAAGAGAGAGTTGGCATACTGGTGCGCACTAGGCATAGGCCGGATCAAGCAGGATTGATTAACAGCTGCAAAAAAAGAGAAAAGGGAATTTACTGTACGTAGATGCATCAAGATGTTGACCAAGAAGATACCCCCGGAGAATTCATAACTAGAGCAAGAAGAGTTCGCAGCAGGTCTCGGCATGGCAAAGATACAAACAATATTGTAACGGCTTATGACAGTTTCGGCGATTTCATCATTTGGCAAGTTTTAGACCGTGCTTGTTCTATTTCGACAAGCTATCCCGTCCTCAAGAAACAAAACGCAGAAGAACGCCGTTATGCCCCTCCCAAATTTTGGTTTGCCAACCAGCTTTTGTCCCCTTGATCAATCAACCAGTTTGCCCATAAAGCCTTGGCTTTGAGAACCACCACGGCCCTCTCGTCACCTCGTAACACCTTGGGTATTTTAACTCATGGTGACCCTCCGTCCGTCCACTGCCTGAGACTGCCCGCCCTTTCCCATATTACATACTAATAGGAGAGAAAGCGCTTAGTACTCAGCGGCACCAGCCTGGGGGAACTCGAAGGTGACACCACGGCCGGTGAGCTTGCGGTAGACCTCGGAGTAGGTGTCGAGGCGGTAGTCAACACCACCACGGTCCTTCTCGTCGAGGATGACCTTGAGGGTCTTGGCACCGTCCTCCTTGGTGCGGGTGCGCTTGCCGACGATCTCGACGGGGTAGACGAGGTCGGTCAGGATGGCATCGTGGACAGCGGTCAGAGTGCGGCTGCGGGGGCGCTTCTGCTTCTGGGTGTTGCGAGAGCGGGTGGAGCGCTTGGGGCGGGGAAGGATGCGGCGCGAGGCGAGGATCAGAACGTGGCGGTCGGAGAACTTCTTCTCGAGCTCACGGGTGAGGCTAATGGTGCGTATGCCAAGTCAGTCAGACTGTTCAAATACGCAGGGAGAGGGATTGAGAATCCCCCAAAGTGGAGTGGATAAGGCCGAGAACGAGGAGGGGAATCAGAGAGAAAAAAAACTTACCGCTGCTGGACACGGTGGAAGCCCTGCAGGGAAGGGACGGGGACAAAGATGACAATAGCCTTCTTGCCGTGGCCGACCTCGATCTATTTCAAGATCCCAAAAGTCAGCATGCGAGCTCCCGGATGGTGTTGTCTGGCCCCTATGAAGGGAGAGAGAAACAGAATCCGTGGACCGCTTCCCGTCCTATTCCACATTTGTTGTATTGAGTGTTTTTGTTCGCTTGTGATTCCAAGTATTGTACGCGCGCTCTGAAGAGAGGTTGTGATGTTTTGTTCGCACAACCAACTCTCTCCATCTCCTGGCTGGCGGTCGAACCCCTTCACCGTCTCGTTGTGTTGTCGAGACAACATGAGAGAGGAGAAAGAGTAACGACGGGATCAGGCAGGCGGCGGGCAAAACGGTGTCGGGGCACAGTCGCGCACTCGGTGGAATAGGATTCGATGGGGTCGGTGTTGGCGGATAGACTCAAGAGAGTCTTGTTCTGTTTTCTCTAGGACAAAATGGTAGTTTTCATCTTCTCACCTCCTTGGCAGAGACGAACTGCAGAGGCCGCAGAGGGACCTTCAGGTCGGCAGTGTTGGTCTCGAGATCGTAGAGGGCACCAGCGATCTGGGACTCCAGCTCAGAAGGGTTCTGGTGGGAGGGGCTGTTGGCCGCGATCTTGTTCAGCTGAGGGGCGGACATCTTGACTGCTTTGATTCCTCTGGAAGGGAATTGACAAGAATTGAGATGCAGTCGTGGGGGTGGTGGTGGTGGTGGGTTTGGTTGAAGTCAAGGCGTGGGAGACAATCACAGGAAAAGTTCACCTCGTCGCGAAAAATTGATTGTTGGTGGGTGCTCTGCTGATTCAGCATCTGCCAGCTGTTGGCCACCTGTCAGCTGATACCAGCTGGTTTGAGCGACACCTGCAGCCCCACCTGGTCCTTCCCTGTCCTATGTCCTAGACTTTCTGCTGACTCATGGACCATCTTTGTATTCAGTCATGTTTTCCCTCTCTTTCACTTGAAGCCATGCTCTTGAAAAGACAGGCATTGAACCTAATAAATATCTCATTCTGCAGTAGTTCTCTGCCTATTGTCTCGACACTAGCCTGCTCCTATCCTTCTTTGCACAGACTAATAACATTTCTTCCCAGCATCATTCAACCCATGACCTCCCAAACAAGCGCATTGACACCCTGAACAGCCCTCATGACAGGGCCAGAGCTCTACTCACACTCCCAAATCTGGCCTGTAGCCAATCCAACCAAACATTGCCCCTTGCCTTCCAAGGACCTTTACCATCCTTTAAGTTGAGTGGAGACGTCCTGTCCTTCTTTATGTATGTTGACGTCAGCTCCAGCCACGACTTCTTGTCCTCCTCAGCAATGACCGTCCCCTGGGGAAATTTGGGCACAGCAACCTGCCGACCCCTCTTCTTCATATCCTTCCACAGACGACACAGCAGGATGGCCGTATTGTCAACCCCGAGCGTCCACGAGGCCCAGGCATATCCAACCATGTACATCAGGTTGGGCACGTCATTCATCATACAACCCTCCCAAATGATGTGTTCCGGGTGGCTGACCAGCTCACCATCGACACGCAGGGGAACCCCCCCACCAAATCGAATCTTCAACCCCGTCGCCGTAATGATTACGTCGGCGTTCAGCTTCTGCCCGTTACTGCAGAGAATGCCGTCCTCCGTGACCGTCTCGATCGTGGCCGTGACGACACCCGCTTTCGCAGGCTTTCCATCGCGGCCGTGCAGGCACTCGAAGAAGTCTCCCTCGGGTGACAGACAGAGCCTCTGCTCCCATGGGTTGTATCGCGGCGTGAAGTGCGGGTCGGTGCTGATGTCCGCGGGAAGCCGCTCGCCCGCTTGTTTGAGGAGAGCCTTCCTCGCCAGCTGCGGATACCTTTGGCACAGGCGGACGCGGTAGAAGGGCACGATTGCAAAGTACAGCCAGTTCAGCCACGCCTTGAGCCTCCTGGGAATCAAGGACGACAGCAGCCAGTGTCCGTCGAAGGGTGCCCTGTTCGTGATGGCCGCGATCCATGTGGGGCTTCGCTGGAGCATGGTGACGTGCTTGGTCCTGGGCGCCAGGTTCGGGATCAGTGTGATGGCTGTGGCGCCGCTGCCCACGACCACGACCTCCTTCTCGGAGAAGTCGTAGTCGGTCGGCCAGGCTTGCGGGTGCACAATCTTGCCCTTGAAATTCTCCAGCCCAGGAATCACGGCCGGTAGGGGGTTCTCGTAGTCGTAGTAGCCCGTGCCGAGGACCACAAAGGACGCCTCGTAGACCTTCCTTTGCCCGTCATTGTCTACGGCCAGGGTCCACTTCTTGGCCTCGCTGGACCAGTCACACCCCGTCACCTTGTGCCGGAAGCTCATGTACTTGCGCAGGTCGTACTTCTCCACACACTGGTGAAAGTAGGACAGAATCAACTCGCCCTCGGCAATGGGCGTCGAGTACGGCCACGGCTCCCAGGCGAAGCCATAGGTGTGTAGGTCCGAGTCAGACCGGATGCCCGGATACTTGAAGATCTCCCAGGTGCCGCCGATGTCATCACGGGCTTCCAGGATCGCGAACTTGGCGTCAGGGACCCTGGACTGGAGGCGGTAGGCACAGTTGATGCCGGCTAGGCCGCCGCCGATGATGATGATATCGTACGAATTGACGCTGGTGCTTGACGAGCCCATTTTCTTCTCTTTTCTTTTGGTTGATGGTAAGAAAACAAAGATATGATAGGGAGAAGATCTCGAGCCACTTTAATATTCACTTAATCTTCGTAGTGATCAATGGATGAAAAAGGTAGGTCGAGAGTTATTAATGATGTTCAAATGTCCCTTGCTATCCACTGCATATGGGCTCTGAGGAAGTATCCAATCAACAGACCAGGATGCTCATGCTTGACACGGTGTGGTGATTCTTCTCTGTATGTATTCTGTCCAATACTTATCATGTATGCATCCAGGTGACGCGTAACAGGTTCTTAAGGCTTGGAAGGGCCTCTATACACCGACTACAGGCCATAGTGTGGAGATGCATCGTGCGGGCAGTCCCTTAAGAGCACATTTATAATCCCAATGCCGTGTCCCGCTCGTCCTGGGCCGAGGATATTGTTGGGTGGAGGAGGTCGGCACGGCACGGCAAGGCCCTGCATGGCACCACCAATGGAGACAAGGGACGGGGAGTTAAACCCATGCGCCGCTGATCTGATCAACACAACTAGGGGCAATCCTACTGCCGCCGGTCCTGGTGTAGGATCCGTGTCCGATTCCAGCAACCCAGCAGAACATCAGCTGGAAATCATCTGCAGCGCATCCCGGTTTTCTAACTGAGGTTGATTTGCATGTGACCAAAACCTGGCCTCGTTGTATACCTTTGCCTGTCGAGGGAGCCATGAATCCCTACACCCACACACTTGTAGACTACAATGTTTCAGCTCTTTGCCGAGCATGTCAAGACTTTCCCCCGCTTGAAGAATTCCAAGCATATTCGCATCAGCTCCACAACAGCTTGGATGACCTACAATCTTGCCTGTGTCCTTTCTGCAGGTGGCTGTGCAAAATTGTAGAAGCAGAGTGTGCACCGGATTATCTTGACAGGATCAGGACACAGCAAGCAAAGATTGCATTCTTCCTTGATATCAAGAGTGGCCAATCAAGGGCTTGGCTGGTTGAGCAGTATACTTACCAGGACGGAGGGAATATCGTCACTCTGCCACTCTATGTATTATCAGGTGAGTAGAATGGTTTCTCTCTGATCCAGATGATTAGCTACCGGGATACAATTGCGGTCGTAAATATTGACAGTATAACACAGATAAGATTGGTTCGGCCAATGGCGTCTCTGGAAGGCCCATGACACCCGATCTGCGATCCGATGAGGCCTTCCACCGTGTTACAAAATGGTTGAAAGACTGCACTCGTCATCACACCAGCTGTTCCGTGGTGGAAACAAGCCTGCCGACCTATACTCTAGACGTTGGGTCTGTGGACACGGCCGAGGAACTCCGGCTCGTCGAAAATAAAAACGGCACCGCAAAAGGTCTTTATGTCGCTCTTAGTTACGTCTGGGGTGTCCCTTTTGAGGAGGATCTGCGACAATTGTACCTTTGCACTGGGAACAAACATGATTATCTCGACAGAGTCCCTGAGGAGAAACTGCCACAGACCCTGCAGGACGCGGTCTTCGCCACCCGCAAGCTCGGCATACGATATCTTTGGATCGACGCCCTCTGCATCATCCAGGATGACAAGGAGTTCAAGAAGAAGGAGATCATGAACATGCACCGTATCTTTGGAGACTCCCATCTCACCATACAGGCCGCCTTTACGCAGACGGTCTATAAAGGCTTCCTGAGTCGGAGGACGCGGCATGCGCTTTCCGACCAACGACTCCTGTATAGCCGGAACAGCCGAACGGACTCTCTATCATCAACAGATGAGGCTTGTGTATTCCTGAGGCCAGCCGTACCTTCGGTACAAGAGGGCCCAGCGGGAACCCGCGCCTGGTGTTACGAGGAGGCCGTGCTGCCGAAGCGTCTGCTGGTCTATGGAAAGGAGCAAATGCACTACAGCTGCGTCGACAGTGGCATATGGGAAGGAGGCTCACGAGAAAAAAGGGGCATTTATAGCACCATTAGAGCATCCAGACGCGCCCCTTGGTTCGAGGGTATACCGATTCCGCCCACGGCTCGCACGCCTGATCTGAAACTGGACTCCTTGAAGCTCTGGTACTGGGCGCTGGATATCTTCTACACGCCCCGGTTCCTAACACGACCCGCAGATCGCTTGGCTGCGATTGCTGGCGTTGTGCGGTGGCTCCAGAACGAGATTCCTGGGGAGTACCAGGTCGGGCTGTGGACGGTAGATCTGCCGTGGGGCCTCCTCTGGACAACCCGAAGAGGCCTTGGAATAAAGTTTAGGAGTGATGAGATCAAAAGAGAATGGAAAAATCTCTGTCCTGAAGACTTCATGATGCGGCCCTCTGGGCGAGCGCGATACCGTGCGCCGTCTTGGTCTTGGGCGTCGGTGGATGGACCTACCAATCACCATTTCAGCGCGAGGCTGCGGGAAACCATTCTGGTGGAGTTCATAGCCTTTCCGACAGGAGACGACTTCCTTGGAGACGGAGGGCCCTGGGAGATTGTGATCAATGCGCCTACTAAGCTTGCATATGTCAGCCCAACACTGAGAGAAGGGGGCCAGTTGAGACTTCAGACCAAGAAGAGCACAGGGTGGGCTGGGTTAGTTACTATCCTTTATCCTCTTAAACCACCCGGAGGCACATTGGGCGATGATGGTGATGATGACGACGGTCACATGGCCATTGCCAAGTTCGATATTGCAAAGGAGACGCCAGAGAGGGAACGCACGGTCATGTGTGTCTTCATTACGGATCGCACGGGTTTAATTCTGGAGCCCACCGAGGAAAATGGGAAAGTGTATCGGCGTCTGGGTGTCTTTGACAACTACTACAATTTTTACCAAGGAGAGCCAAAGACAAAACTCACAATCATCTAAGTCTAACGGCAATGTCAGCCAGTAGGCGTTGGCTTTGTACTTCGTACCTATGCTACTCAAGTCTGGAGTAATTACGGAGCGAAATGCTAACTATGCACTAATTCATATCGTACCACGTCGCTGAAAATAGCAATTGCCAGCCGTCGGGTCTAATTAAGTATTATTATCCTGAACCTCCTAATTCAACCACATCTCGACTCTTCAGTCTGGTCTATATGCGATTCTCAAATCATCAACAACAGAGCAATAGTCTATACTTGCATCAAAGGATGAACGCCAGTCATAAATCTGTCCTCCTCCTACAACCAACGAGCTCCAGGTGTCTCTCAAGCTGGAAACGTCGTTCAAATCTCATGGCTTCCAAGATTGCTCATCTCAGAAATCTTCTTGGTATACCAGGCCTGTAGACACAACGATCGTCAGTAAAATGTCTCGTCCTCATATGATTGTACCTCGACCAGACAAGCAATTCATCATAAAGGGCAAACAATATCCCCATGTTGAACTTACCACCTCTGTACCAGCTCCCACGTTGGGTGAGATCATTTTTCTCATTAACCAAGGCGCTTCAATCCTCTTCGCAAACAACTTAGCCTCCTCACCCTTGACTTCGCGGTTGAAAACGACCGTCTTGGGCAGTAGAGGGTTCAGAACGGATGGCCTCCCGATCCCGATGAGGTCGCATCCGCCCTCGGCCACGGCGGCCTCCATTCCCAGGCGTGTCCGAAAGCCGCCGGTGACGAGGAGAGGCACCGTGGGGAACTTGCCGCGGATAGCTTTGGCAAAGTCGAGGAAGAAGGCCTCACGGGCTTTGGTCCGGGCGGATTTCGCTTGCACCTCACGGCCTTGGAACATCTATTGACAGGTCTGGTCAGCATCGTCTCGGAGTAGCCAAGATCCAAGAAAACCACTGCATCATGGTAGATCAAATCATTTGAGCCCCCCCTCTTGGCTTGCCGCTCTTCTCAGTGCGTGCGTGCACCAGAAGACCTGCTAAACATAAAATGTGGTAGTAACTCACCTCAGGATTCTCAAACGACCCACCACTGACTTCGAGAAAATCAATGCCCTCATCCAGGATGACCTGCAGCTGCTCGATACAATCCTCCAGCTCCGACTCGGACTGGTGGTCGACACTATTCAGCTTCACACCAACGGTAAACCCCTTGGGGGCCGCCTCCCTCACAGCCCGAATAATCTCGACCACAATGCGCGCCCGCTTGGCGGGGCTCCCGCCGTAGGCATCCGTCCTCTTGTTCACCTTGGCGCTCAGGAACTGCGCAAGCAGGAACCCATGCGCCGCGTGGATCTCCACGCCGTCAAACCCGGCCTCGGCAGCGATGCGCGCCGTCCTGGCGAACCGCCGCACCACGTCCTGGATGTCGTCGGGCGTCATCTCCCGGGGCGTGCCAAACACCAGGGCAGAGATCAGCCTGGCGAGGAACCCTGACCCCAGCTGCAGCGGCGTCGCGGACGGCGCGATGGATTTCTCAAAGAAGCCCCTCTTCCCTGCGCCCAGCGGCGACTGGCGGCCCGCATGGCAGATCTGTACCATGGTCGGCGACCCTCCCGCGGCGCCTTTGCTGGCTTTCGCCCACGCCTTCCAGGCCTCGCGCATCTTGGCTTCGTCGTCGATCAGGTAGACGTCGCCGGCGTCGGAGAGATAGCGTTCGTCGGTCAGGACGCTGCCGGTCATGACGAGGCCCCATCCGCCGTCTGCCCAGGTCGCGTAGGTGTTGTTGTGTGCCATGTTGGGCAGGCCGTCCTTGCTAAGGCATTCTCCTAAGGCGGATTTTACGAGGCGGTTGGGCAGGACGAGACCGCTGGAGAGAGGGAAGGGTTGGGAGATTTGAAGATCCATGTTGGTAATAGTGGATGTAGTTGCTGGGGATGAAGATGGAGTATTGATTTAGGAATGCCAGAAGTATGTATGTATGTATGTATGTATGTCTCCTGGGCTGTAGACGAACAGGCTGGGGCAGCAAGAAGGCTCAAACAATTCAGTTAGATATTGCTTCTTCTCGATAGAGGATATTTGCTGCTGTTCAAAGAATGTATTTCTTGATGGCACAGGCTTCCCAATGATGAGAGACAGTATCAACTGAGTTTATTCGTTGGCACTCTTGAACTGATTGTAAGTTCTTGGATGCATATACATCAACATACTTATAATGCTCGCGTCACCAGTGTATACGACTCCACACTCGGACTGGGCATGTTACGGATGCCGAACACCTCTCTTCTTTTCTCTCCCCTCTCTCTACGTTTCCTTTGTAATGATATCCTCAAGTAAACCTCGACCATAACAACATGTCGCCGTGTGAACATTTCAAACACGGCAAAATAAAAGCGAGATGGCAGAATAATCCCTCCGGCGTGAGAGGGTGCGTGCCAAGCTGACGGAGTTAGGAAATAGCCCTAGAGGATAGTCGCCGAGCATTAAGTTACTACTTACATGCACTAACAGTACATTGGGGCGCAGCGACGCGGCCTGATTCAGTCTCAAGCAGCCACACACACTCCGCCAAGCGCTTACCCAGCAGCGTTAGTAGTGGGTATTTATTGAACAAAGATGTATCATGTTCGCACTCTGGCACAATAATTCCGCCGGTGGAGGTTTTTCATGAGGTGAGATCTCACCAGTCCGAATGCGAAGGCGGGGCTTTCCGACTGGTAAGCCCTGGTTTTTTTTATTTTTATTGTATGGCATGCGAAGCTCATCCGTTGATTATACCTGGCTGCTTGGTAATCCATGAACACGCCGCGTGGACATTTTGGCATAAACTCCAAACGAAAGAAGAAAAATCCGTCAACATAATTACGCGGCGCGAAATTCATACTCGTTGATCTGATCGGACAGCTGTACAAAATGGGAAAATAACAACGCTGTCATTATGGTATATCATGCGCATGCAAGCGGTCTAAAGCTATTTAACCATCAAACTTCGCACCTCCAGCGAAGTACGCCACGTTCAGTCCGTGAACATGATCTCAACGTCCATCCCCAGATTTTTGGCCTGAATTACCATGATTTTGGTGTAAAATGAGCCATGTCCCGAAACTCCACGTCATAAATAAGCCATCAAACTCCTACCATACTCCCTCGCGCAAAAAGTCCTTGTGAGCCTGTCGATGAGACGACAACTCGCCAGGTTGAGAACACACCAAAATGAGCCTTGGGGAAAGAAGGTGGGGGGGGGGGGGAGGGTGGGGGCGAGGTTTATATCATAGGGTCCGCGCATCCACCCTCCTTGTCTCAGATGAGTCCAGTCCAACGTGAGATATAGCCGAACAGCATCCAGACGCAGGCAAGGGCCAGGACGAAGACAAATGCCTTTACGATGGCATCCCTAATCTTGCGTTTATTGCGGCCATGCAGACCTCTTTGGAAGTCGCGGGCGCTATTTGTGCTTGGGAAGGGCATCTCGGGTATGTCTTCACCTAGGAACTTGCAGAGAGGCTCCCAGCCGTGGCTGACGTCGTATTCGAGCAGGCGATTGCTGGGCACGATCTCACGGACGAGATCGTAGTGGGCCTTGTAGACCTCTTTGCCCCGGTTTTCGAAGTCACCTTGGAACAGGCGGTCCCAGAGGAGGAGCAGCATCGGCCGGTACAGCGAGAATGCCCAGTCGAAGTGGGAAATGATCTGAGATGTCTCATCCTTGATTCCGTGGTAGATCGTCTTGGTAGTAGATCTGCGGAGGAGTTTCATGTCAGTCTGGAGCATCATCAAGGGAAGGCTCGGCATCCTGGTGCGCGGCCTGTGGACACAGGAAGGAGCCTACTCATGCCAGGAGTCAGGATCTCTGTTTGTGAGAATCACTTTGGCGTTCGGGTAGGCTGCTATCAGCTCCGAGGCAAAGGCGGCGGCTGGCAGATCGCAGACGGCCTGGCAGTGACCAAGCAGCTGATCCCATTCGGCCTTGCCAAACTCGCCCTCGCCGTCCCATTTGGCGCGTATGGCACGCATCCACATCTCACAATCGCGAGGTGTCTCGGTGCTGGAGGCCCGCATGTGGTAGGTCTCCAGGTATCCAAGAGAGCGCAGGGCCGACCGAACGGCTGTTAGTAGATGGCGGTGGGTTGTCAGCATACAAGGGCACTTTGAACGACACATGGTCTTGTCATTCACTCACACATGGTTCCAGTACGGCAGAGGCCCAGACACAAGACCTTCATGGGGACGAGGCGCTTGCATTGTGTTCTGTCGATGTCCGTCCCATCCCGGACGAGTACGGGCGTACCACGCACTTCGAGGTCGGCCATATCGCGTATCTGATGGCAGAGATGATGGGCAACGGTGGTGAGTGCCTAAGAAAGGGGGAATTTTGATGACGGCCAAGGATCGTACGTAAGGAACCTGGCAGTGTGTTGTTTAGGACGCCACAGCGTTGATTGGGTCGGCGTTGAGAGAACGGTCGAAATGGTAAAGCGACGTTGGCGTTGACTTTGTTGCTCTGTGCAAGTGTTGATATGGGGACAGGCACATCAGGTCCAAAACACAGTCTTTTGACCAATTAAATTAATCTTGCGGTGCCCAAGACGTAAGTGGTCTGTTGGTCTGGGAAATGGCTGTTTTCTGGGGCAAATGTTGTTGGCAGTGCTCGAAAAGCAGGTGAGGTGATGTCTGCAGCTCGCTCCTTGACTTCTTTTCTCGGTTTGTCCCAAAATGGACTTGGCTCTGCCAATGGTTGGCCTGTGCCCGTTGCTGGCAGTCGAAAATTACTCGCGACAAGGAGGGGAAATTGTCCACGCAAAGATGCTCGTTACGGTGGAGAGAACAAGGTATGCGAAGATGCATACGGTGTTGTCGAGGGAAGAAAGAAGAGGGGGGGGGGGGAATAAAAGGAAAGGAAAGGAAAGACACTGCAGGTACGACCAGAAGTTCCGACGGCTGCCCTCTACGAACGTTGGCATTTCAGGAAAGGAAGGGGACATTGAAGTATAAAGTAATTTCAACAGTCGATCATCACCCTATCCTTGTTCAGCACGCTCCACGGCCTGCAGGGGTAACTTTGGCACCATACCGCGGAAGGAGCTGGCTACAGGGGCCTTGACACGCCCCTACCATGATAGTACTAAAGCTTAGGCAGGGGCAGAGGCACGGCCAGGGGTGTTCATGGGGGATCTGTGGGCCCTGACTGCCTTGTGGGGGTTAATGAATAGTGGTGTTAGGTTCTTGGGACAGTTGCAATTGCTACTTATAGTTCGCATGCATACTTTACTCAGTACTTGATACTACGGTACTGCGTACGCACTGATCAGGGAATCCGATCCCACGAAACGTTGCAGCACAGCAGCAGCATAAGGTTTGTATATAATTCCTCCTCCACTCACCACCCATCTTTCCAGGGCAGGGATGACCAGGGCACCAGGCACATGGTCACCTTTGATTGACTGTGGGCAGTGGCTTTCTCACACACATCATGTAGGTCATTCTCATCAATCTTTGAAATGCACACACCCCAGATGGCAGATGAGCTGTTGACTGGGAGACAACGCATCATTGCTTGATGTGAAATGTTTTTGAAAGACAGTGAGAGAAGCCCCACACGGACCCTGAAAATTAGGGTACTCTCCTCCCAGTCCAGGCGTGCAAGCCAGGTAGCACCCTGTTGTTTTCAGGGCTGCAGGAGCTTACACCACTAGAGGCGGCACAGGATCTAGCCACTGTACTTGGCCTAACCGTCACTCTTACTGCTATAGCAGAGGTTGTTTCTCCTTGACATATTAGGGACATCTCAAGATTTTGACAGACAAGCACAATGGCGTTCTGTGCAGTGAATGTCCCTTTTTCGTTTCCTTTTTTTCTTCTTCTTTTTCTTTCTTCATTTCAAGGGGTCTTGTGCTCACCTTGGGGCCTGCAATGTCATTCCTGGTTCCCCAGTACTTGATGCAATGGTAAAGAAGTACGTACTATTTGGCAGGTACTGCCTGGGTTGCTGCTCTGTCTCGCCTACCTTTCTCAATAACTTGGATCACCGGTTACCTTTTCTTTTTCTCCTTCGTGTCTTGTTATCTTGTTTCTGGGCTATCTGGATCATGTTCTTTCACCCGGACAAGCAAATTACGACGCCCTCCCTATCAGCAAACAACGGTAGCAGCTGTACGAGCGGCATCATCCTCGGTGCGTACGGAGTGCGCACATCGTCCCACCCACGTCCTGCCCGAGCTCGAAGAGCCGTAATTCCTGATACGCGAACACTTCTTTGTACACACGACAATCGAATGGGGCGTCTTTGTGCAATACTTTGGTGATTTCAAGACAGCTGCGAAAGCAATTGAATCTTTTGTCTATAGATGCTGTTGTGGGAACTGGTCTGCGATAACACGACGGTGCGATACGCGGGGTGTGGAAGGACGAGGTAGCAACATCAGCCACACCATTCACCTATCACTCTCTTCCTGGTTCTCGAACACAAAGAAGCACAAACACACACACACACACACACACACATTAGGCTTATCTCATTCCTTTTGTCTGGGTTTGTGCACCGCATGCTTCAGAATGGATCCCCGCGAGAGGGAGGCGGCCCAGCCGTTCCTCCGTAGACTCGGGAACGACTCCAGAGAGGATGTGCTGGAGCTGACCGAGCTTAGCAGCAATCATCACGCCCATGAAGAGCTTCATTCCGGGCCTGATGCACCATCGGCCAGCCTCGAAACCCAATTCGGACTCGTGGATGGTAAGAAGAACGAACAGAAGGCCCCCTCCATAAAGAGGTCGGCTACCTATGCAATCATCTTCATGCTGGGCGCACAGGTCTTCAGTGCCTCCATGAACGTTTCGATTCGACTTTTGGAGAGCGCTTCTACCCACCTTCATCCACTGCAGGTTAGCTTTCTCGACTAATGGACCACGATTGGCACGCAACAGTGATCGGTGGTGGGGCTCGAGGCTACTGTGAGACTGACATGCATCCTATGACAGATTTTATTCGTACGGATGAGCATCACTACACTCGGCCTCACTTTGTGGTTGTGGACGCAGAACAAGCCAAGCAACATCCTGGGGAGGCGGGAGAACCGTAGCCTGTTGCTCGTCAGGGCGTTTGGTGGATTTCTGGGCGTCTTTGGACTTTACTGTGCGCGCCCTGAGCTTTGCCCCAGTTGGCACACCTTGAACTAAAAATATCCATCTCTGTAGACTCCTTGCTATACCTCAACCTCAGCGAAGCAACCGTCATCACATTTATGATGCCCCTTGTTGCTAGTTTTGGCGGCCACATGCTACTTGGGTCCTCGTTCTCGGGGCCCGAGATCTTGCTTTCGAGCATCTCCCTTTCCGGGGTCCTACTCGTCGCGAGTCCGGATGCCCTCTTTGCTGCCAACGACATGGACACGACTGAAGGCGAGTCCGACACGGCGAGCATGGCATCTCGCATCTGGGCCATTTGCGCAGGGCTGTTGGGTGTCTGTGGCTCGGCCGCGGCGTTTCTTTGCATGTCTGCCATCGGCAAGATGGAGAATCCCCTGACAGTCGTCAACTACTTTGCCGCCCTGTGCACTGTTGTCAGCTGCGTTGCGCTGACTGTGCTGCCTAGCCTGGGTTTCCAGACTCCCGGCGATCTTTGGGAATGGCTGCTTTTACTCTTCAGCGGCGTCAGCGGTTTCTTGATGGTAAGTGTCTCTACGACTTAGTGACAGGGTATCATATTCGCCTTGGTTGATTTGAAGATATTTTGGTTGACAAATATGAACATTTAGCAACTTCTCATCACATTGTCACTGCAGGCCGAGAAGTCTCTTGTGGCAGTCAACATGGTTTACACCCAAATCGTATTTGCGCTTGCCCTGGATGGCGTCGTCTTCCATACCATACCGCACGCCGTGTCATTCGTGGGCTGTGGTTTAATCTGCGGATCGGCCGTGTTTTTGGCGTGGCACAAGACCAGGGCTCAAGGGAAAGCCGGAAATGCCGTGGAGGGACCCTGATGATAAGAGTGGCCGTTTGAGGACGTATTTCGGCCTGAGAACTAGGGACATGAAACGACGCGCAATATTGATGACGGTGCTTCATATGAAGTGAATGTAAACACGTCAAGCCCGGGCTGTAAAGAGGGGACTTGAGGCAGCATTTTATCTTGGTGAGACTGATGTCTCCTAACAACCAGTCAGCGTGGTTGCGTGGACCTCGGATGCCGGGACAGGCCGTGGACCCGCGCCAATCCTTGTTCAAAATTGCATCAGAGTTGAGACGCACGCAGCATGAAGATCGCGACTTGAGCATCCGACACAAAGGCATGAGCAGGAAGCTGAAGCATCAACGAGCGACAGCCAAATACAGCCAATCCAGGAAACTAGCCAATCCAGCTATCTCAACGTCCCAGTGAGATCCTTTGAAAGGGAGAGAAAGATTTCCAGTTCATCAGAGCCATGGCGTCACAGTCAAAGTCGAAGCAGCAACAGCTTTACCAGCCGCAGGTAGGCTTTCACCTGCCTTGGCCCTACACCATCTTCTTCCTCTTCATCGAGCCCTTCTCGGCCCTCGTCGGCGCATACTACGCCCACTTCCGACAGCGGGACTATCTGACGCTCACTCACGCGTCCTCTGCTCCCGTCCTGGGCGGCGTCTCTACCGGCACCTCCATCGTCCTCTCCCAGCTAGCCAACCTCTACCTCCTCTTCGCACTCAACGAGGCTCTGGTCCTGCGGTCTAGCGCAGATCTGCGAGTCTGGAGGACAGTCCTGTTCGTACTGCTGTTGGCTGATTTTGGTCACTTGTACACCGTCAAGGCGCTGGGCCTGGACGTGTACCTGCCCTGGAACTTTGCTAGGTGGAACGCCATCGACTGGGGCAACATCCCGTTCGTCTACCTCGGCGCCAGCATGAGGATCGCATTCCTCGCAGGTGTGGGCATGGGCGGGTCAGGCAACAAGCTGCCCAAGGCCATCAAGAAGAAGAGCTAGATGGGCAACACCGACCCGGGGCGCTATGTTCTGGAGGATGGATGTGCTCCGTCCATCGTGTACGATCCCGAATAGGGAGATAAGAGATTCTAGGGACTGTATCCGCCGCCCCTATCAGCGCGCCCTAGAGAGCGCACCCTGGAGCAAGCTCACCGACCTAGAAACAATGACAATACCCTTTTAGCATGAGGGTCTTGTTCATGGAACATTGAATACCCCAAGATCGCCGTCATGATGTCCAAACACGGCACCTTTAGGCCCGATTATATTACTAATCTTTGTGCGTCGATGTGCTCCCAGTTCCACGTGGAGAGAGGGGGGGGAGAGGGGACGAGTGGGATCCGAAGCTGCTGACATCACCTTGTCCGCGATTATACAACAAGAAGGCGCTGCATCGCATCATATTTTCTTGAATACTATCACGCACAGCCTTTCTCCCCAAGGACACGAACAGCCACCACATATACACAATCATTCTTTACCAGTTCTACGAAGCAATCCGTTCAGTGAGCCCCAAACATGCCTGCTCCCGGAGAGACATATCAGCAAGCAGGCCCAACCTCGCCCAAGCCGTACATTTCGTATGGCTTGCCTTTCCAAGAAGCCGCGAGCTGGCATGTCACGAACACATTCGATGTGTCTCGAGTATACGTGGTTGTCTCGGCGACAATCAGCAAGACCAAGGACTGGGCCGGGCTGCGGGACGCCCTCGGGTCAAAGCTCGTGGGCGTCCGCTACGGCATCAAGCCTCATACGCCGTGGAACGAGGTGTATGAGCTCGCGGCGGACCTGCAGCGGGTGAAACCACACGTTGTCATCACCCTAGGCGGCGGTTCCATCACGGATGGGGTCAAACTGGCTCGTCTTTTTGCGGCGAACGACGTGCTGACGACCGAGGCGCGGCTGAGCTTCTGGGAGAAGGCAAAGCCCAGGTTCGAGAAAAGGGAGGACCGTGAAGACATAGCGTCAGCGACCAACTCGTGCATCTTCATCCCGACGTCGCTGTCTGCCGGGGAGTGGTCTCAGTACGGCGGAGCAACGGACGACGAGGGACACAAGAGCCTCTTCCAGCACAAGTCCATGCTTGCTGACATTGTCATCTACGACCCTGCCCTGACGCTCGGGCTCCCAGAGAAGTTTTGGTTCTCCACAGGCGTCCGCACGATCGACCACTGCGTCGAGGGGCTGTCAAGCACGAACAAGGTCGACGATGAGGACGCCATCCGTGACGAACTAGACAAAGCTCTACGGAGACTGCTTCCCAACCTGCTCATCACCAAGACGAAGAACTACCGCGATCTGGACGCTCGTCTCCAGTGCCAGCTCGCCACCGTCATCCTGCCTCGGGCCATCACCATCGGTGTCGCGGCCAGCCACGGCATCGGCCACCAGCTTGGCCCTCTGGGCGTCGGCCACGGTGAGACCAGCTGCATCCTGCTGCCCAATGTGCTCAAATTCAACTGGAAACACGGTGACGACCTCGCTCGGCAGCGCCAGGACCGCTTGCGGGGGATCTTTTGGTCGGACCCCGTGCTGCGGGCATTGTTCCAGAAGCGGGGGCTGGAGGAGGACAAGGCAGACGCGGGCGACCTTCTGGATGCGTACCTGCGCGAACTCGGCATGCCCAGGACATTGCGGGGCGCAGGCATCAAAAGAGAACAGTTCGACTCGCTGGCCGAGAGCAGCCTTCGTGACCCATGCACGACCAATGGCCCCGTGAAGATTGGGAAGGCGGAAGTACTTGAGATCTTGGACATGGCTTGGGATGACTAGGGGGTTTTTTTTTGTTTGTTGTTATGGATGTGTCGACTTGGTTTTGTGGACGCTCTCTCAGGGACAAGTGAAGTGATGTAGTAGGCTCTGGATAGCCTGATTACGCAACCAATTCCCAACATTACTCCATCAGCTTCGTGACGAGCTTGCCCTTGTTGGCACCACTGAACAAGGACGTCCATATCTCAGGCTGCCTCTCGATGGGCGCCTCTACCAGCGTCTCGCCCTCATCCAGCCTGATCTTGCCCTCCGCCGCCGCCTGGATGAGCTCTTCCGTGATGGCCCCGACCTTGTCCATCCAGTTCAGAAACGTGTACCCTCTCACAGTCAGGCTCATGGCCACGATCTGAAACCAGTTCCGCAACCCCATCGGCTCATCGGCGCTGTTATACGTGCAGATGGCCCCCGTCACCGCCACCGTGCCCCCTCTCTTCATCCGCCCCAGCACCGCATCCAGCACCTCACCTCCCACGGCGTCCAAGTACAAATCCACCTCGGCACCAGGCGTCGCCGCCGCCAGGTCCTCGAGAAACGTCGCGCTCTTGTAGTTGACGCAGGCGTGCGCGCCCAGGTAGTCTCGCACCCACGCGCACTTCTCGTCGGAACCCGCAATGCCGACCACCCTGCCTGCACCGACCATGCGCAGGGCAATCTGCACGGCCATGGACCCCGTCGCGCCCGCTGCCGCGGAGATGACAATGGTCTGGCCCGGTTTGGCCTCGCCTGCAAAGTAGAGGCCCGTGTAGGCTGCCAGACCGGACGAGCCGAAGGCGCCTAGGAAATGGGTGGGCGGGAGGTGGGCGGGCAGAGGTGGGAGGGGCCCCTGGAGCATGGGCGAGGCCGCGTCGAGGACGAGGAGCTCGGCCCAGCTGGCCAGGACGCAGAGGACGAGGTCGCCTGGCTTGAAGGCCGGGGCGGCGGACTCGAGGACCTGGCAGAGGCAGCCGCCCTGCATGGGCTCGCCGAGGGCCACGGGGTTGACGTAGAGGCGGGCCGAGGTGGCGCCTGGGTGGATGAAGTTGCGGAGGCCGGTGTCGTTGGAGAAGTAGCGGGTGCGGGCGAGGATCTGGCCTTGTTGGAGGGGCGGGAGGGTGGTGGTTTGGAGGTGGAAGGTTGCGTTGGGGCCGGTGAGGATGGGGAGGTGGGTGGGTTTGTGGGCCAGAACCCATTGCTTTGTTGTGTGGGGTGAGGATGCCATGGTTGGTTTGATGTTGTGATTAGGAGAGAGGGCAGGGAGTTTGTTCTTCTTGAGGGGTGGGGAGAACAAGGAGGAGGAGGAGCAGCAGCAGGAGAAGCAAGATAGATGATCTTGGTGCTCAGACTTGATCATATCTTGCGAAGGAGGAGGAGTGGATCGTTATGAGGCCGCTACTATCATCCATCACATGATAATGAGGGGTTTGTTTTGTTTGGAATCAAATCGTTGTGGATCCTCAGTTGGTTTCTTGGCATTTATTTCTTCATGGCTATAAATACTGGATTCTTGATTTGATCTCGCAGTAGGGTACGAGTCCGAGTTGCTTTAAGTTTTTTTTTTTTTTTATTTTTTTTTTTTTTATTGTGCAGAAACTGCTTAATTGTGAGGACATTCGAGAAAGATGTATTACAAGCCAGCGTGAAAATGATCATTACTTGTAACAACGACCCTGTGTCGAGGTCTGGAGTTCCCAAAACGGTGACCCAGACCCATTATTTCTGAAAGGGGAACAAATATTCATTCATAATACAATTCCTGCGTATAGGCATTGAATAATGAGGGCATGGCTCCAATTCAGGCCGAGGAATGCAGTCTTCACCTTCCCACCACGTGCATGAGTCGCAACAAGATGGACATTCATGACTTTCGTACTGAAAAACAATTCCACTATGGCCCCTGAACTCCCAAGTCCTCGCATCCACAATCATCCGCCCTTCTTGGCTCATTTTTTTGCAGTTGACTTGTTCTCCTGCCTGAAGCGCGGTCGCGAAGCGCAATAGAAGCCCTCCTCCGATGCCCCGGAACACGGCAGGACTTACTATTCGGAGCGACGTCAGCTAATCTTCTGCTTCTCGCCCCCAGCCCACCATCTTTAGCCTCGGGGCTTTACGCCTGCGCCCATGCCCTACTTTCTTCTCGCTTGCTACTTTTCCTTTCCCACTGAGGAAAATGAGGAAAGTACACGGGTCAAATTTACATCAGATGTCCTGGCCTTGCGTGGCTGCCTGGCGGCGTCCTTTTCCTTGTTTCTCCCTCTCCAGCCCCAGTGCTTGCTCCAAACGGATTCGCAAAGGCTGCCTTGACCAATCTTTAAGGTTCCTTTAAAACAGAGGTAAGACATTTGGTCAAATCACTGCATGTTTCTATGAATATAATTCCTGTAAATTGAATGACCTAATGATGTTATTTGATTTGTGGAATGACAGCTTAGCTTCAATATCAAAGAAGATGGTGGGGGGGGGCCAAATCCTTCCACTCTAGACACCTTTGAGGGGAGTAGGAGCTGGGGGCTGGAGCTAGAGGCGCAACTTCCAGGGGACTAATGCAATCACCAGTTCATCTGAGCCGAGATTCGTGCCTTGCTCATGCACACTATCTCTTCAAGGAGCGACACAGAAGTGATAGCTCAACTGGGTGACGGCTGCACGCGGTTTCCCATCCAGTGTCATTTTGCGAAAGTGGATTAGCTGTGGAGAACAAACAGATAGTGCTCGAAAACAATACGCCTCGCCCCCATACAGGAAGCAAGCGAAGGAAATGCGCCTGCTGAGCTAATGCAGATATTGAGATCCTTCCATGTCTTGTTTCTCAGATGTTTTGCTTGGCCAATGGTGTGCCTCCCATCCTGTTTGTTCTGCTAGTGCAAGCCATTACTGGAATTGCTACATAAATAATACTTGGCCAAGGACCTGGGCTGTGGGCCGCCTGTCTTGATCTTTGAAAAATTACAAGTGCCCACATCTTCATTAGTTGGGACAAAGTGGTCGGTTCCATTGCCCCTGCTTGGTCAGTGACTGTCAAGATCAAACATGTCGGTTGCAGATCTGCCATCATGTGCTGTAAGATAAAACCACTACCTCCATACTGTCGTACAAAAAAGGTATCTCTTGTGAAACTCACACCCTTTCAAATAGCTTGAGTGCCTTTTGTCAGCTATCGCCAATTCCACTTGTGTTGCTACAGACACAGCCTGCACCTGTTCCAATGCTGCGCTCAAGAGCCAATCTACCCTCTGCAGTGAGGAGTCATGCACTATGGTTGAGTTGCTGAGTATGCCCTAGCTTTTCCAGATTACTATAATAGGTGACCTGTTATTTATCTTCAAGCTGAATTAACTGTCTTGGGTGCCTGATACAGCTACGCAAAACATCACCAATACTATCTGTGGTGTTGAGCCTCGTTATGACGACTCTTGGTTCTTTCCCAGTACAGTGCTTCTCGGATTCATGATATTTGTTGTTGGGCTGCGATGCTTAGCTCGCATTACTCTTAAGATGGCCTTCTGTGAGCAGTAACCTCGGACCTCTGCCCCTCTCCCTCATCATGTTTGCATCTTTCTCAAACATTTTATTCAAGTTCAGCACTACTGTGCATTGATGTTCCTCATACACACTTTTTAAAAATTGCATGCTAAAATATTATTTCATGCAGGGTGGGATGATTACATGAATATCCTTGCTGCTGCAACTGTAGTTGCAGCTTATACGATAGTTGCTGGTCCTAGTATGCGACACAATCCTCTTTCACTTCATGGCTGCCAAGTACTGATAAATTTGATTTTATAGTGGAGTTCAATGGATTTGGTCATGATATCTGGGCAGTAACCCCAGGGAAGATTGTGGCATTCTTGAAAGTAAGTGAAACCCATTTTCTAGTTAACCATATATTGACTGTAATTCTTCCATCATTACTTGAATATAGAACTAATCCGTATTCACTTTTTTTTAATAGTATTACTATATTGTATCGCTTGTTTATCTAGTCGCTCGACTTGCTATACGGGTGTCGATTGTACTATTTTACTCACGAGTCTTTTCCACTCCGGAGCATCGTCTCAAGATTCGCATCACGCAAATTATCAATATTGGATTATCATTTGCCTTCTTGTGAGTATTTCTTCATGGTCAAAGTTGCATCAAAAGTTGATTTTTCAAATCCCCCCAATAAGACACTGGGTGCGGTGCACGCAATCCAATCTATGTACATGTTCCACCAGCCTATCGAATGATTAATCATTAGATGATATCATGAGTCTTCGTATTCATTAACCAAATCTCATAGTATGGTATTCACATTTCAGTGCATCCCTGTCAGGTATTACTGGAACCGCATATATGATATGCAAGCCGGACATTGCATCGATATGTTCGATTTTGTATGGGCAGCTTTTACTCTGCTTATAGCTTTCGACTTTTGGATAATCGCGATTCCCCTACCTATCATAGCCAAACTTCAGCTGCCTGTAAAGAAAAAGCTGCTTATAGCCATAATGTTTACGACTGGTCTTGCGTAAGTACACGCCTGCTGTTCTTCAGACCTGCTATCGCATTCCGGGAATCGAATTACTATATCGGCAGAGCCAAATTATAAGCAAGCAAGCTAACATCTGCAGAGCTATTGGTGTTGGCAGTGCAAAACTCGCTTATGTTGGAATGTTTACACGCACTACCAACCCTACATGTAAGTTATAAGAATCTTCAAGGAGAGTTACAACTAACCTGATTACAGATGATAACATGCCTATGCTTAGGCTCTGCTGTATCGAGATCCAGCTTGGGGTAATTTGCTCCTGCATGCCTAGCATGCCTATGCTCTTCCGGCCCTTCACCGACTACGTCCGCACTAAGAGCGAGACAGCAAAGAGATTTGATTCGGGATATGCAAATGCTCCGGAGCGTATGAGTAGCAGCAAGCCCTACTCAGAAGGCACGAGCTACTCTACGACTTATAGCAGGAGTGCTGATATTCCAGAGGCCCAAGGAATCAGAATGATGACAAACATCCACCAATCGACAAGCTACTGGCGAGTCGAGTCTGACAAGAACGTTTTGTTACGCGAGATGCCTATAAGTCAAGAAAGCGTTTAGATAAACGCAGAAGGCATGTGCTACGAGCGAGCGTATGAGTGGATAAGATTTTGAAATCAGAATGTGGTCACGCGGCACATTTCATGCACAACAATGTCTTGTCGTATTCGTACTCTACAGCGAAGGAGATGGGAGCTCAGGCTGTACGCAAGTTGATAGCATAGCTTCCACCTAGGTTAAAGAGAGGATCATTTGGTTCCATTCGCTGTCAAAAGTACTCAAGTCTGCTGCTACCTATGCGTGCGGTAGCAGCATTAAGTAATCACCCCGATCGATCATGTGCCCTGGGAACGAGAACTCCGTGGTGAATTGTGATATGTCTCTACATAGGTTCTTCACGATTTTAGAGACTCATTTTCTAGATTGGACCATTTCATGGTGAACTGAGCGAGCTGGTGTAATGAGCTAGATGAGTCCAACGTATATAACTGGACGGACATGAGGCCGCTGCTTGGACAAGGGAAATTGGCTTGAGAGATTCCAAGACAAGATCTCTTAGTTCGTAATATCAGAACCACGTAGTTTACAGTCATCAGTAATTACACCTCAGATTGTTCGAAGCACAACACTAGTTCACAACTAATAAGAAAGTACCACGGGTAGCATACTAATATGGTGAGACATGTGCAATGCCAAAGTGACAAGAAGTTGCCCACTATACAGTCTTGACTAGCGCATGCCATACTCTGACCTCCTCGCGCTTTGTCATCCTGGGGTTCCCGCGGACTTTTGAGCGCTGCTGAGCGAGGCTGTAGAATCCTTCCCGTAATCATAGCCACAATGATCATCACGCGTGACCTGACTGCCAAGCTAGTCATCTGCATTGAAAACTTATAAAGACCTCCACGACCCCATCCATTATTTAGAGGTCAGCAAATTGGATCTCTTACCTGTGGCTTCTTCTGCATCGGTTGAACAACCTAATATCATTACCGAATCAACTAGAAACAAACAAAGACAACATCATGGAATCCCAACCATCTAATGATCACGCGCCTGGTAGTCAGGACTCAACAGCCCCGAAGAAATCTCTCTACCGTCGTTACGTGGACGCCAAGCGCGGAAACAACAAGACAATCTCAGACGAGGATCTCAAGAAGTACACTGGCATGACAAGAGAAGAGTTGGGCGAGTGGTCTACGGACCGCCCGGGCGTCGGCGGTCATAGGAATGCTGGAGATATCACGGCTGGGCCTGTGACTGGGTTTGGTGGGATGGCTGCGACTAATGGGTTCGGAGGATGGGGGCCCGATGCTAGAGGGGATTTGAAGTTTCCGCCTAAGAAAGAGGAGAAGATATCTGGAAATGATGGTGGACAGTAGGTGGAGGATAGAATGGTGGTTTTCATGTAACCTCAAGATTGACAACGTTCTGATTTTGCTGAGAAGGCTATGGGTATTTCACAAAGCCAACTGATTATGGCATGCATGATGCCAACAATCCATACTATTAAACAGAAAAGTAGAAATGGATTGTGAACCCACTGCAAACAATATTGCCATAACTCTTCACTCAGCTTGTAGATTTGAAAAATTGGGCCCACTTTGGGTGGCCCTGGACAGGAAGAACAGCAAGGTGTATGTAAATATTAAGTAGTTAACTTCTAAATTGTGTCCTTCTCCTTGCTTACCCATGAATGGCGCAGACCCTCAATTTGTACAAAGCATTACTGACTGACACAGCCCTTCTTGACGTGATGTTGCAGAACTTGCGCCTCCTCCAAACGACGATCAGTTTCTCCAGTGGAGGTTGAGACCTGGACATCAATCACCTCAACTATGAACCAAGCTACGAACAATGCACTAGTATGTTGATGGCGTGTCAGCCAGAATCCATTCAATAATGACGCCTCCTGACCAGTTCAGTCCAGTCTGCACGCAGAGGCAATTGAATTAATACACACTGTCCTGCTCGTCACAAAACAGAACGCCAGACAAGGAAGACTGACTTACAGTGCGATGACATAATTTTCTTCTACTTCATGATCTATCAACGTATCACGAGGAACTGTTGCAACCGCTTGTCTCGAAACGGGACAGCCCACTCAGCTGAACAAGGCTGACGATCCTAACCTCACCAGGTAGCATCCATGCCCGACAAGCTGAACACACCTAAACAAAACCGCAACCAGTGCCGAACATGGCGCCAAACAAGCAGTTCTTCCCAAAGCAGGTTTTCTTACAGTCCGAGAAGCAGACAGAAATGCGATACGTCGTCAGTTTAGTCACCAATGTTTGGAGATCCATCACGCTTCTTTCCCCTCCTCTTACATCACTTACAAACGCTAACCAATAGTTAGTCCCTTCCACAGAATGGGGACAAGACTTATAAAAAAAAAAAAGTGGACAAATCCGCACACGAACTAAAACTAAGGAGCATTTTTTAGTCCCGAGCCCTCTTTCACTAGTGGTTCTTTGTTAAAGCGGCTTGCGCCAAGCGTCATCGATTCTGTTTACTGTTTCTCATTCCTCGGGGCCACTGCCTGCCAGCCCCAACAGCCCCCCCCCCCTTCAAGCAAGACATCATGCCTTTACGCGTCTTGGGGGATCGTGGACACTATGAGAAAGTGGGATTTAGCGCTGGGGAAAAGTGGTTCACATGAGCTCATCTGGAAAAGATGGCTTGCGTTTTGCTCAATGTCAAAGGGCGGGCGGGCTCTGAGGGGCACAAGAGCTGGGCTGGGTTGGGGGACTATCGAGTTGTGATCCAGTGATGTGGGTGTGATGTCACAAGCCTTGGATGCTGTTTCGTCCGTATGAAGATGTATGCTGTGCCCTACTGAAATTGCTAGATTAAAAAGGCTGCTGTATCCTTCAAGCATAATTACTTTTGAGATCCAGGGCTGTTTAACTATAGTTATAACTTTCTCTGGCACAGACACAAAAGTCAACACCTATTTCATCCATTTCAAACAACTCATACATCTTTAGCACATCAATATGAGCGGCATAGGAGAGAAGATCAAGGATACCCTCACGGGTCACCACCACGACGCAGACAAGTCCAAGACCTCTGATGCGAGCCACACCAAGACCGGTGAGAAGCACGACCCTGAGATCGACGCCAAGAAGGCCACCAGTGCTGCTGGCAACTATCCTTACTGGGGAGATCTGCCACGCGAGGGCGAAGGGCACCAGGACGGTGCCACAACCATCACCCACGACAATACTCACAACCACGGGCGGGATACTGGCCTCGCTGCTGGTGCTCTTGGGACAGGAGCTGGGGCGGGTTCCCTGGCGTCCAGGGACCAGAATGCGCAGTCCAACTACGACAACACCGGCTCAACGCAGCAGTCTCTTCCGGACCGCACAACCCAGACCACGCAAGGTCAAGGCGACTATAATGACAACAATAAGCGTGATCTCGCTGCAGGTGCTGGCGCCGGTGCAGGTGCGGCGTACCTTGCGTCTAAATACAACAACAAGGACGACGAGAAGCATCTGCAGGACTCCAACACAACATCTGGTGGTGCTTTCGCCAGCGACCCAACCCACACCGGACGCAGCACTCTAGAGGACCAGAGCAACTATGGCAACCAGAGTGGGCGGAGCTTCCCGCTGCAGGACAACAAGACTGCTGGCGTTGACGACGAGCAGAGCCGGCGGAGGAAGGAGGAGGAGCTCCTTGCAGGTGGTGCGGGCGCGGCTGGTCTGGCTGGCGCGGGATACTATGCGTCCAAGAAGCACAACGAGGACAAGACCCGCCCAGACGACCGCTACACCAACACCACCAACACTACCAACACCACCACGACCACCACCAATCCTACCTCGACACAGCGCGACCCGACAAAGACCAGCTCGACTGGTCTTGGAGACGACAAGAACGATCGCCGCAGAGACGAGGAGCTCCTCGCCGCCGGTGCAGGTGCCGCAGGTCTTGCCGGAGCAGGCTACTACGCCAACAAGAAGCACAACAACGATGATTACAACAACAACACCAGCAAGTACGGCCGCGAGGACCCGCTCGCCACCACGACTGGTTCGTACCCAACACAGCAGACCGGCCAGACGGGGCCCACAACCAGCGGTGGTGTTCACAACACCGTCGTCGGCGCAGGAAGTTCTGAGGATCCTTACACACAAAAGGTCCCTCGCGAGGCCGGGGCTGCTCCTCCCTTGGGCTCTTCCACCAACGCCACAACCGTCGGGCCCCAGACCCCCACCAGCGGTCTGACTCACCAGCAGCAGCAGCAGACTGTCGGCAGTGGGTATGGAGCGCCCAAGTCTGGCGATGATCGCGACAGACAAGCCCTGTACGCTGCGGCGGGTGTTGGCGCCGGTGCTGGAGCCGTTGCCGCGGAGGAGAAGTATCGCCACCGCAAGGACGACGAGAAGCCCACCTCGACGACCACGACCACGACGGCGTCTCAGCCTGCCCAGGTGGCTGCGCAGCAGGCGTGGAACAGGCAGTCGCCCAGCTCGGCTGCTGCGGGTGGCGTTGACGACACTTCTAGGTACGGCGGCACCAGCAACAACAACAACAATGGTGCCGCTGCTGCTGCTGCTGCTCTCGGCGGCGCAGGTCTCGCAGGCGGCACAGCAGCCTACTACGGTCAGGGCAAGGAGCACGACCAAAACCCTCGCTCAGACAAGTCTGAGGAGATTGCCGACCGGGCTCTTGGTCAGGGCAACAACAGCAGCGCCTACACTGGCACGGGAGGCTTCCAGCCTGAGCACAAGACGTCGTCTACCATGCCGGGAACTTTTCCGTCGGGTGGCCTGTCCAGCTCCGGGCTGAACTCTTCTCGGGTTGTTCACAAGTGCCAGCAGTGCGGTGCCGATAACGACATTAGCCACTATTTTAACAAGGATGCCTCTTTCAAGGCTGACTCGTAAGGCTTTTTCTGTTTAAATGTGTTGCGATGGCATGGTTCAATGACTGGTTGTTTAAATTGTTGGCGACGGAAAGGAGGGAGAGTAGGTTTCGGGTCTGGAGACTGCCAATGTCTTGTGTGAAGACTTCGGGAAAAATATAGCGATCTTGTGAGGTAGTTAGCATAATGATTTTTTTCGAATAATAATATTTGGTCTTCAAATCTTATCTCAAGATGAATTTCCACGTCAGTTAACACATATTCTGATAAAATGTCTCCAATGCATCTCTCACGCAGCAAACAACAAGCAACAAGCCCAGTGTCTCCATCAGCTCTGTCCGTACTATGGTTACAGCCCGCGCCAGCCTCTGTTGAAGCCGCCAGACAATCGCCAGCGTCGATAGGAGGGCGTCTGCCACCGCCTGCACGTCAACAATCAGACGGCCCGTTCCCGACAGCGCCGCCCGAGATACAAACCGCTTGGGGCCGTCTGAGTGTGTGTGCAGCTCATGTCTGATGGTTGCTTTGAGTGTGACGAACACCGAAAGCCTCACTGGTTCGTCACACTGGCGGGGTCCTGCTTTTCTTCTTTTCCCATGCTCCCTCAAGAATTTTCTTGTGTCGCTGATCTGAACCTGTAAACACCCAGCGTTACGCTAATGCGCCGTCTAAACCTGCCGAGGCGTTCTTGATCATGGTTACACTTTACAGCGACTGATTATCACGGCTTCCGACAGGCGTGCATTTGGTCCTCGGACTGGTGGCAAAGGTCCTAAGAGTCCTAAGAGCGCGTGTCACGAAAACGCCAGAGAGGGGTGATTGCGCGCACAACATTGTCTTTTATGCGTCTAGAAGCCGTGCATTGCTGCTAACTGCTATAGCTGACGATCAGATACCAGGGTTGTACATACATGCAGAGGCTATAGTTGATCGTCAGGGCAGTTACTAAGGAGATGCTGGTCTCTCTACCTGATTCTACCCACAGGCAAGGGCAACAGCGCCCGGCGGGTAACGCTATTAAGATTCTGTGCTAATTCAGGAACAGCTGCAGCGGCAATGATGAGCAGGAGAGTCTGGACCCAGTGACAATCGTGCGACGAGGTCTGAGCCCTGGCATTTGAAATCTCTCGGCGTCTGGATGAGATGCTCAAGTACGTTCCACGAGGATGCTTCTTCCAACAAAAATGGCTCTGGCTCTGGCTCTTCTTCTTTTCTTTTTTTGTCACTGGAACTACGCAGAGCGGGTAACACAGAACCCCTAAGACGGGTAATGTTGCGCAGCTCGTATTTCATCCCGCAAGATCCTGAACAGATACAATAGTAGTATTGTACATAATGTAGTAAAAGTACGTCGTGTTCTGTGTAAGGCGGATCCGAGGAATGCGTTTCGAAACTAAACACATGTGTCAGGTGTTTGTGCCTATGTGTGCCTGCTTCTTTGGGCAAAGTCTTACAGGTGTGGTAGGATGAACCCCCAGGGAACCTCGAGAAGACTGGGTCAGTGGCTGTGGTGGCAAAGAACAAAAAAGGGGGAGGGGGCCAGGGGGCTGAGAGTGGACAAAAGAGTGAGTGAGGAGCAGCGAGATGCTGGTTGGTGTGTTGTTTTTACCGCATGAATAACCCATCCACTTTATGACCCCGCCCGGTTGACAGCGTTTCGATACTCAGTCCGTCTGAACGGCGTCGTCGAATCAGTTCTGGATTGTAGAGGGCTGAGTGGGGCCTCGGGTTTGAAACATGCGGATTGCAGCCCCAGAACCAGCCAAACTGCACCAAACAAAGACGATCTGTCCCTCGATTCGGAAAAAGCGACAGGACAGCAGCTCTTCCAAAGAACTAGCCTATGGATAGGAGAACTGAGCTTCAAGATGATTCCAGGATGAGCCCAGCCCTTCGCAGTGAGCAGGTGCAGAAGACCCTGCCATGAGAGTGGGTGGTTAATCCCGCGGATGAAGCCCGGGAAGATTCAGTCCCTTCGAGCCCTTCAAATCCATTGTAGATCAGTCCAATCTATCAGCCACTTGATCTCGGGGAGGCTCAAGGTTGATGTTCAAGAGTATCACGGCGCGTCGGGGGCGGAAAAAAAGAAGAAGAAAAAAGGGACGAAAATGGACGGAATAGGGAAGCATTGACACTTGTTTCGACAAGTCCTGATTTTCAACCCGCCACCCACTCACCCACGTACTCTGGCAGTGGTCCACAAGGCGTTCTGGATGCACAAGGCACACACACACACACACACACACACACACACACACCCACCCATCCACCACGGCACCACGGCTATAAACTGTCCGACGGGCGCTAAATGGGCGCTGTGCCCCCCCTGCTCGGGACAAATGTTTCAGGACAGCATTGCTTTGAACCAGATCACTCGAGCCTATCTGGCCATCCCATCGAGGCGCTAGCACAGCAGGGGTAGGTATTGGCCGGCAATAAAATAGGCAGCCCTGGAGCTGCTGGCACCGAACACAGGGATGACGACTCGTACTGTTGTGGCGCTGTTGTACTGTGCAGACTAACAACTTGCCAGGCCTGACTGAGGTTGTGAGTCGTGCTCAGATGTCGCTGATGAATCACTGTGTGATGCATAGTAAAAAGAGAGAGAGTGTGAACCAGAGAGGGATGTGCTCTTTTTGCCTCTCTGACTTCTCAGGGGAAAATGCAACCCTCCCCAAGGCGGGTAAAGTTGGGTTGCCCAACCACTCACTGCCAACCTTGTTAGCGTGATGGGTACTTTGCCATTCGCGGTTAGTAGGACGGCTTGAAACATCAACGCCCTCGCACGTCGTGAACGATTCGACAGGAACACATTCTCCGTTGAGGTTCCAGTGTTCAACCTCCCCCTTTGGCCCCCTTGTGATCCCAGCCCGTCCCAACTTTAGACTTCTCGAGCACGAGTCTTGGCTCAGAGGGCAAGATTCGATTCTCCCCGCTAATCGTTATGGGGCTTGGACGATCCATTATGCATCGTCTGTCCAATGTCGTGTGCTCTAGAGAACTCCCGAGGTCTGTCCTCCTTGACCGTACCCGGCGGGGGGGGGGGGCTGACTGACTGACTCTCCGGGATCGTATTCTCATATTGCTTCTGGACTGTCTCTTTGACCGCCTACTTCATTGAGCGTGTATAGTTGCTATGGGCGTTGATGACGAACGGGACTCGTTCACTCGGTAGGTCACGGTAGGGGGCTTGCTTGTATCGATTGGGCGGCCCACGTATAGCAGACCACTGACCAGATAGTCCCGAATACAGCCTATGTGCCCAGAAGAGCCTCAAGACGCAGGCGAAGCAAGGCCACCATAGGAAGGTTATGCATATATGGTTGGCCGCCCAGGTCGAGGGCGCGTGGGGTGGGGGGGGGGGACGCTGTGGATGCTACTCATGCTCGGACGACTGACTGTCCGTGCCAAAGAAGGGAAACACAGGACCGAAACAAACATAAAATAAAAGAAGAGAATAAGAGAGACAGGGTTCCAGGATAAGGGCAAGAAGGACAAGGTAGAGCGTGGGAGGCTTTATGGCAGCAGCGACTGACCCTTGGAAGAAAAATCAAGGCGTGGGTAGGAGCGCCCGAGGTTGTGTAGTGGTTGAGTGGCCACGGTGAGCTCTGCAGTGTCGCGCGCGGTACCTGCATACTACCACACTAGTACTGATGTGTCATGGCACCCTGGCCCCCTGTGGCGCCTATTGATGTTTCCCGTAGTGCTATGGTACGGGATCCCCCTGCAACGGTAAATCTGCTAGCACACCAATTACTAGGTAGTCCTAAGGTACCACGGTACGTACCCATATCAAAACACCAGGTTTTTGATCGAACCCTCTCTCGACTTCTACTACATCTACTTCTACCTGACCTTTTCCTTTCTCTTTTCTTCCATTCCGTTTTGATCTTCATTCATCTTCCATTTTACCAAACATACTTTCTTTTTTTCATCTTCAGGGTAGCTCTGAGAGTCAACCATTCATTCATTCTTTCCGTCCAACCTGGCCGTATCCTTTTTTCTTCTTCTTTCTCCCCAGCCTCGTTGGCCTTGACCTGTTGACCGCCAGCTCAAAAATCTGAACAGCAATAACCTGCATCATTTTCCTCTTCTTCCGTGCCATCACTCCTATCCTCGACACAGTGAGTAAAACAGATTCTACTTCCTATCTTTTTTTTTTTATACCCTTAGCACACATTCGAAGACAGCGACGACATTGAACAAAGCTGCCTTGTGGGGGGGGGGGGGGGAGCATGGGTTGTGGCTGTCCATTGTTCAAGGCACCAAGTCTGCTCTCATTGTTTGTTTCAGCAGTGAGAACCAAAAAACCTCGACGTTGATGGGTGTCACAATTCATCTTACAATGAGAACAAGAACAAATTGGTCATCGGTGTCTAGTGGCACTGAAATTGCTTGCAATGGGCTTGCAATTTATTTGTCACTGCTTGGCTCTTGATCACCCACATCCTCAACTCACTATCATGAGAACAATGTCTATTGTCAACCTTACAAGCCTCATAAAGCACCCATCCCCTAATTCAGGCTTTTACAGTCTTGTGTTCTGTTCTACCACCTTTTTTCTACCACATATATCTGAGCTTCAGGAAGCAAGACGACACACCCTCCTTCAGGTCTTTGACAGATTCTCTTTCGAGTCTTTTCGTTTTTACTAATAGAACCACATTTTCAGACGTCATACACAACCATTTTACCAGTCGTCCATAAAACCAAAAAAAGACAAGACATCGACGATTAGCTGTGCTACATCCCCCCAAGATGATCTTCAACAGGCTGGCTTCGTGCCTGCTGCTGGCCCTGCCTGCTCTGGCGGCACCCGCTCCCCAGGCTACCACCACCTCCACCACCTCCTCCTCGGGCTACTGGCTGCCCACTGTCCTGTCCCAGGGTCTGGGATCTTCTCCCTTCCAGGGCAACACAACCTACACCATCTACCGTAACGTCAAGGACTACGGCGCCGTGGGTGACGGAACCACCGATGACACTGCGGCCATCAACGCTGCCATCTCCGCCGGTGGCAGGTGTGGCCTGGACTGCCAGTCCTCCACCGTCACACCGGCTGTGGTCTACTTCCCTGCCGGAACCTACCTCGTCAGCACGCCCGTCATCCAGTACTACTTCACCCAGCTCATTGGCGATGCCACCAACCCGCCCACCCTCAAGGCCTCTGCCGCCTTCACTGGCATGGCCGTGATCGACTCGGACCCGTACGAGGACGACGGTAGCAACTGGTGGGTCAACCAGAACAACTTCTTCCGCCAGGTGCGCAACTTTGAGATCGACATCACCGCCCAGCCCGTCACCGAGGGTGCTTGCATTCACTGGCAGGTCGCCCAGGCCACCTCGCTGCAGAACATCGTCTTCACCATGCGCACTGACGGCGGCACGACCAACATGCAGAAGGGCATCTTCATGGACAACGGGTCTGGTGGGTTCATGAGCGACCTGACCTTCAATGGTGGCGGCATCGGTGCTTTCCTGGGCAACCAGCAGTTCACCACCCGCAACCTGACCTTCAACGGCTGCCAGACCGCCATCTACATGAACTGGAACTGGGCCTGGACCCTCAAGGATGTCACCATCGACAGCTGCACCGTCGGCCTGGACATGGCCAACGGCGCCTCGTCCCAGACTGTCGGCTCTGTGCTGTTCCTGGACTCCAAGATCAGCAACACCCAGCTCGGTGTCAACACCTCGTACCTGACCACCGAGTCCAGCACCAACGGCACCCTGATCATCGACAACGTTGACATGTCCACCAATGTCGACATTGCCATCAAGGACGCCATGTCCGGCTCGACCGTCCTCGCTGGCAACCAGGTCGTCAGCAACTTCGTGCAGGGCAACTCGTACCAGAGCGGCAGCGGCCTTGCCGTCCAGAAGGCCATCGCCTCCAACACCACCAAGCCTGCCTCCCTCCTCAACTCGGACGGCACCGTCTTTACCCGCAGCAAGCCCCAGTACGAGACCCTCGACGCCTCGAGCTTCGTCTCCGTCAAGGCCAACGGTGCCAAGGGTGATGGTTCCACCGATGACACCGCCGCCATCCAGGCCATCCTGAACAATGCCACCGACGGCCAGGTCATCTTCTTCGACCACGGCGCGTACGTCGTCACCGACACCATCAAGGTCCCCGGCACCAAGAACATCAAGATGACGGGTGAGGTGTGGCCCATGATCATGGCCAAGGGCACCTCCTTCAACGACATGAGCAACCCCAAGCCCGTCTTCCAGGTGGGCGAGCCTGGCGATGAGGGCGCGGTCGAGATGTCCGACATGGTCTTTGAGACCCTGGGCGCCGCGCCTGGTGCCATCATGATCGAGTGGAACATGAAGGGTTCATCCAACGGCGCCGCTGGCATGTGGGACGTCCACGCCCGCATTGGCGGCTCTGCTGGCACCGAGCTCCTCTCGGCGCAGTGCGCCAAGAACCCCAACGTGACGCACAGCGCCAACGCGGCGTGCGAGGGTGCCTTCATGCTGATGCACATCACCGAGTCGGCGTCCAACGTCTACCTGGAGAACACATGGTTCTGGGTGGCGGACCACGACCTCGAGCTGGGCGCCGACTCGCAGCAGATCGACATCTACAACGGCCGCGGCGTGCTGATCGAGTCGTCGGGCCCCGTCTGGATGTACGGCACCGCCGCCGAGCACTCGCAGCTGTACAACTACCAGGTCAACAACGCCAGCGCCATCTACATGTCGCTGATCCAGACCGAGACGGCCTACATGCAAGGCAACCCCAATGCCACCACGCCCTTCCCCACCAACGCCACGTACAACGACCCGTCCTTTGCCTCGTGTACCGAGGCCAACTGCGCCCGCACCTGGGGACTTCGCATCGTCAACTCTGATGACGTCTATGTCTACGGCGCCGGGCTGTACTCGTTCTTTGACAACTACGAGCAGACCTGCCTTGAGACCGAGTCGTGCCAGCAGAACATGGTGTCCATTGAGAGCAGCGCCGCCCACATCTTTGGCCTGTCGACCAAGGCCTCCGTCAACATGCTGACGGTCGACGGCGAGAGCAAGGCCCTGGACAGTGACAACCGCAACACCTACTGCGCCACTCTGTCCTACTTTGCCAGCTCGGCATAGGCTGCTCCACCTGGCGGTAATGGCTCCGTGGTCGTAAGCAGTAGTGGTGGCCACACTGTCGGCGGTACGAGCACCGGTGCTCCGTCCCCGACGACCTCCATCTCGTCGGATTCTACCTCGGCCTGCCATAGGTCCAACCGATCCATGGCTGCGGCCAAGGCCCAGATGACGACCTGATTAAGGAGGACTTTCACTTTTTCACTTCTTTTTAACAAGTATGGATTGGTCTCCACGGTGGCCATTCATCCTTTTTTTTTTTTTTTTTTTTGGTGTTTAGTTTCTTTTGCGCATGAGCAGGAGTTCTGGTTCAGGGAGAGGAAGATACCAATTCGCAAACATGGAAAACATTGGAGACAAATGGAACAGTAGAAAGGGAGGAAAGAGTAAGGCATTACTGCTTTCACAAATTGGGTGTAAGGAACCCAGTGGTACATAGAAGAAATAGCAGAACATGGATTGATAATGGATCTGTTCTCAAAAAGTGCGTCTTCTGAGTGTCAAATTTCTCAAGCTTGTGATGTTGACCGTGATAGGATAAAGTAAGCAGGTGATACTTGTGACTTGCATGTTTTGTCCTGTCTTCAGATCTAGAATATTGGTCCTAGGCGGCCCTCTGGGTGTTAAGTCAAAACCCCCTAAGATTGCCCTATGTAACTGTCTTAGTGCTACTGTTAGTTCGTATGATGCATGCATCAAGGGCGTCAACGGCAGGCACACCTGGGAACCAAGACCCTAATGGCCCTAGACAACCCTGCTCACATTTCTGACAACGTCATAGCTTGGGTGGTGGATGTGCGTGTGTGTACCTTGACCGACCAGGTGCATTGCTGGCCCAAAATTTCCACCTACAATAGGCGGCACGAGTCTGTCCTGCACCACGACAAGACGGACAGACCAGTTGTTCTATATGGCCTGTGAGCCTTGGAAGCATTGTCTTCTTCTTCTTCTGCTCATACTACATCACCCAAGACCAGATTGTGCTCAGGACCACGCCGCTGCTGGGTGTCCAGTTAGCCAATCTCTCTTATTTGACTACCTTTTCTTCCCTCCTCCTTCTCTTTCATCTTCGTCATGGACTCGCCTCCAGCAGCCAACACCCGAGCTCGGTCCAAGATGACATCCCAGTCGAACGGCACCGCGGCCTCCTCCTTTCTTCCGAGCACGACCACGTCCTCGTCCTCGTCGTCGCGCAACCCGCCCTTCCTCCCGACGCCGATCGAGGCGCTCCTGCTCCTGGCCTACCCCGTCCTTCTGACCTTCGGCACGCTCTTCTCCCTGCTGTCGCCCACGGTGCGCAACGCCCCGTACGATGCCACCCTGCAGGCGCACTCGCAGGACCCGGCCTTCTCGCCCTCGTACTTTGCGCGCAAAAGCAACATCTTCAATGTCTTCTTCGTCAAGCGCGGCTGGGGCTGGGTGTCGCTGGCCTTCTTCATCTTCCTGCTTACGCACCCGGCCACGGCTACCACGCAGAGGCGGGCACGCGCCCTGTTGCGGTGGGGGCTGGTGACCACGTGGTGGGTGCTGGTTACGCAGTGGTGCTTCGGCCCGGCCATCATCGACAGGAGTTTTCGGTATACAGGGGGCAAGTGCGAGATAGTGGACATGAAAATCGAGGCGGGCGACGCGAGCGGCTCAGACTTCGTGACGGGCGTGGCGTGCAAGGCGGCGGGCGGGAAGTGGCGCGGAGGTCACGATATCAGCGGGCACGTCTTTTTGCTTGTGCTGGGAAGCTATTTCCTGGTCCAGGAGGTCGGCTGGGTGTTCCTTGACCACTGGCGCCGGGGCTCTGCGGGCCCGGTGTCGGTGCGTGACGAGCGCAGCGTAGTCATGATCGACGGGGCGGTCAAGAGCGCCACTGTCGAGGCTGAGAGGTTTGCCACGACTGCTGAACACCGGCTGGCGGGCGCCTGGGATGCGTTGGGGCTGGGCGGCAAGATTGCGAGCGCAGTTGTTGTTCTGAGCTGGTGGATGCTCCTCATGACGGCGATTTTCTTTCACACATGGTTCGAGAAGGTAAGTCTTCCCTACAAGACTACATTTTCCAAATCCTTGTTCCAAATAACGCTCCCATCATGATCACTGACAATAACAATTATAATTCAGTTTACTGGTCTTCTGGTTGCGCTGACGGGACTCTACGCTGTCTACTTCGTGCCGAGGTTTGTTCCTCCCTTGCGAGGTGTTGTGGGATTGCCTGGAATATAAAACAAGAATGTGCAATGGAAAAAGAGGAGACTAGATGTTGGATGAATACGATGTGGCCCTTGTGTGGTTTTGATCACGGATTTTATATCAATCCATAATATACATATTCAAATGATGTTTTGTATTGGAGAGCATACCACACTGTGATCTTTCTTTCCTTGGGAGAGCATGAGGGACACCTTGCCCCGCTTACGTCATTTCATACACCCCTTGACATGCTCTTTCTCTCTCTCGATTTCACATGCCAGCCCCAAACCAATTCGACCGTATCATTAGCAAACTGCTCATCACGACGCCTCCCTAGTGAAAGGAGAACGCAGCAGCAGCTGTCAGTAGGGTAGAGATGTCGCCAGTCAAGGTTCCTGTCAACCTCCCCGACCTTGTGAGGACAACCTTCAACAAGGCCAAAGCCAATGACGATGTCAACTTTTACCCCACGCAGGTCGCCGTCCTGACGCCCGCCGCTTCGACTCCGGTATGTTGTTGCTTCACGAGATGGGGTCTCCACTTCCTGTAGACCCCTTGATCTCCAGCCTTGTGTTTGCCAGCTGACACACCATCCCTTCTCAACGCCAGATTCAACTCCGCTTCGCGCCCTCTCTAGCGAACAAGCCGAAATCACCGCCCTCCTCCAAAGAGCACGCCAACAAGCCCTTCAACCCCTTCGAGGACCCTCCTCCAGCCCTGATCATCACCCGCCTCGAGCCAGACCACATCCTCGTTCTCAACAAGTTCGCCATTGTCCCCGAGCACTTCCTCCTCATCACACGAACGTTCAAGCACCAGACACACCTCCTCGATGCGGACGACCTGGCGGCTACGTATGCCTGTATACGCGCATATCATGAATACCCGCCAAGAAGGGCGACAATAGCAGGCGACGAGGAGGGCAAGGAGAGGAAGGAGGAGGAGGAGGAAGAAGGGAAGAACCAAAAAGGGCTGTTTGCGTTCTTCAACTGTGGAGAGCACAGCGGGGCCAGCCAGCCACACAGGCACCTCCAGCTGCTGCCGGTCGCGAGTATGCGGGAGGGACTTGCTGATGCTGCAGGCACGAGTTGGGATGTCCTTGCGGATAAGCTTGTGAGGGCAGGAGATGATGGGGGAGGGGAGGGGCCGAAGCTGCCGTTCCTGGTCTTTGGGGAACGTCTGCGCCCGGATATGGAGGCCAAGGACCTGCGCGCTGCGTATCTGCGGCTATACAGGAAAGCATGTGAGGCTGCTGGGCAAGGGCAGGTCCCTACGGATGTCGATGATGAGGACAGGGCATCGGACGGAGTAGAAGCGAGGATCAGTTATAACATGGCGCTGACTAGGGATGCGATGGTGCTCTGTCCTAGGACAGCAGAAGGGTCTGTTGTGCTGGATAGGAGGAGGAAGGAGGGGGAGGAAGAGGAAGAAGGTAGGGAGATGGGCAAGTTGGCGCTGAACGGGACACTGCTGGCTGGGACAGCGCTGGTGAAGACGCAGGGGCAGTGGGATGCTTTACGGAATGACCCTTTACAGTTGTGGGAGATTTTGGGTAAGATTGGGATTGCAGTGTGAGAGAAAGTGGGCTTGTGTCCCTTTCAGTGATTGATCAAATCGATCAGTTTCTGTGCGTTGTATTGCTCAATAGACGTCACTGTTGTCTGACAGGACGTTCTTCCTGATTGAGCCGTGAAGGAAATTTCAATAACATCATTGACCCCAATCAGTCTTTCTGCATGATTCCTATCCTGCTCAACTCTTGTTGAAGAATGATTCTTCAGCGCCAACATATCTGCTGTGCCCTGGCTTTGAGTTTCCCTGTTCCAGCCCTAAGTATGGCACACCTTAGGGATAGTTCAACTGTTGTATGACTGTGTTATCAAATGATATGATCAAGAGTTCCCTTAGTAAAACAAGGTGAGTCAGTATGAGCAGTACAGCTAGACTGATAGCATGTCTCCTGTGTCAGGTTGGCCTGCGGCACCAACGAAGTCATCGTCATCGTGGGCCTTCCTGTGAGGCCAGAAGAGAGGCTCTTGTTCCGGGACTGTGGAGCTCATCATCAAAGAGATCAGAAGAGAAACTCACCTTAATTGATATAGCCTTCTTCATCATCATCATCATTCTCTTCAACATCAATCATGCCATCTTCATCATCACCATCATTCTCTTCAACATCAATCATGCCATCTTCATCATCACCACTGTAATCTTCATCCTCCGCCTTTCCTAGCTCTTGCGTAGTCACCTTGTCTTCACATTTGATGCACTTTTCGTCTTGGGGAAGACGATTATATTCCTTAGCCACCGTCCCCACGCCGAACGGTTTGCCAGTGTGCTCTTTGATGTACTTGGCCACCGCAAGCCATGAGATCTTGCCGTTTATGCCTGTGTAGAGCGGCACAGCGTGGACGAGTGCTTCCCGCTGGAGGAACAAGTTCAATGTTAATCACATACACATTCAATTCGTGTTTTAACAAAGTAAAATAAGAACCACCATGATAAATGGGCGCTAGATATAAGCAAGAGGTATGCGACAGCTAAAAGGAGTGACCACTCCCCGCTGACTGGAAACGGCTGTGGCCTATATAGCTGCGTAGAACGGTCGGACTCACACAAGGGGCATTTTAGTGGTGATGAGAGAAGGAAAGAGAAGAAAAGATTTTCTTACGTACGTGCTCAGGTCCCCAGGTAGGCTTGCGCTCGCGATGCTCCTTGGGAAGCTGGTAGCAGCGCTTGATACCCCGCAGAGTAGACTCGGCCGATTTCCACTCGTCATACTTGCCCTTGATAGCCTTGTAGCTCAGCCCGACCCGTCGGCCGTACTCGCCCTCGACGCCGACGCCGCGCTCCGCCGCAATAATCTGCTCCATGAGACGTCGATCGATCGGCCAGCGGTTCCCCTGGGCGGCGCTGGCCACGCCCTCAGAACCGAATGGCACGAACCCAGGCTCGTTTCGGCCGGGAAGGGAGTGTCGGAGACGGCGGAGACGTCTGACGGCGGCTGCTCGAGCTCTGTTGCAGTTGGTGGGTCTGCCCTGCCATCGAAGGCGGCTTGGTTGGGCGGATGGGTTGTGGGCTGGGGGACTGCTGTTGCTTTGTAGTCCATTCTGCTGCAGGTTCTCGTTCTCGTTCAGACCAGCCACGATGGCGTCTACTCCATGGGAGTCGCTTTCGGTGGAATCCCTTGTTTCCTGGCCTCCAGTACTCTCGACATGAAGAAGGGTAGAGGGTAGATGGCGACATTGTCCCAGACCAGAAAGGCGAGCAAGTTGGTCGTCGTGGGCACCCAAGTCGGCCCCAACTTCTTCCAGATGGCTATCGCCCGTGCCGTCGTGTGCCTGGCCAGCCTCCTGGCTGGGGAAAGTGGAGGGAGAGGGAAATGGGCTCGACACCATCACTTGGCTCCTGGAGGAAAAGTATTCCTCGGCAGGGTCACTGAAGGTGAACGCGCTTGACTCGTATTGGTCAGAGCTTGGTATCTCCTGAGGGCTCGCAGGAGCCTTGAAGTGGATATTCTCTGGAGATAGTGTCCCATCAAGCAACGATAAGCCGTAGTTTATGCTCTCCTGACTAGAAGGCATCATGGGAAGGTCATGGACGTCCTCCATCTTAATAGGAGTCATAGGCAGGCCTTGAGTGTCTTCTTTCTTGAGAGGTTCCATTGGTAGGTCGTGGATGATTTCCATCTTGAAAAGAGCCGTAGGTAGATTGTCAGTGTCCTCCATCTTGACAGAGGTCGGACTCAGGTCATGACTGTCTTCCACCTTGTGAAGAGGAGTATGATTGGTCATCAACATGCCGAACTCGAGCTCCTCAAGGAAGGTATCAGACAGAGGGCTGATCATAGGCGGAACGCTGGGGGTACCTGTCTCCTGGCTGCCAGACGTTCCAGAGGCCAATTTGATGACGCTGCTGGAGATATTCTGCTGGTTTCCACCAGAAGGAAGGGACACAGCGGAATGTTCGCCAACAGAGTCTTGGGAGTCGACGAGGGCGAGGGCTGGGGACACTGGTCCGGAGGTCGTAATGAACATGTCCTCGGGGCCACTTCCTGAGGCGTTGGGAAGGTCATCCATCTCCTAGAGGGAGAGAAGGAATTTGTAAGTAATTGATTATCATCCCCTTTGGGAGATGGGGGACCCAAGTCGTGGCCTAAGGAACATAGGATGGGCACTGGACGACGGTGGAGGGCTGAAAAGGAGAAAAATGAGCTTGCCTCCTTGATACTATTAATTTCTATCATGTTCTCGTCAACCGTGTCTTCAACCTTGAGAACTGCACTGATGATTTTCTGGCGACAAGAAAGCGGCAGGGCTTGAAAAAAATCGCCAGTGATAGCGATCAAGATCCTTTCAAAGTAGGCGTGCAGCTCAGGCGAGCATTTATGCTTGCAGACAGACTTATGGCGACCGTCAGACATTTTCGGTATCCCCTATGCGTATTGATATAGTTAGCCAGTCAGGCAGTCTTCAGATCTCCATCTTGACATCAATTAGTTCCTTCGTCCTCCTTCTTCAAGGTTGATGTCACCTGCTCCGTCATGTAGCGTAAAATACCATGCAGCAAGTCTGCCACCTGCCTGACTGTCAGAGGTGCCAGCGAGTGAAATTCACTCCAGACCCTCTCACCGCTGGTTTGCCTCTTATTGACCTGCTGCAAGATGCTGCACGGCGTTCCGTCTTGACCGACTTGCGCCATGCCAGTACAAGTATACGTCGCACAAGCTGCCAGCAAAGGCGATAAGAAGCACTTTCACTGCGTCGTCCAAAGAACGACAGGCAGTGCATCATTCAAGAGGAGAGAAGGGTGATGTAGTGCAGTTAGGAAGTAATTAGGTCAGGTGGTGAGGCGGGGCGAGGAGATGGGGGAAGACGTACCCAGGCTGTTGTAGATGCCAGATAGGGAATTTGTTGCTGTTTCCAAACCAGGGAGTTCCTGGTCAGGTTTCTGTTGCTTTCTTTTCAGGAAAGCCTTGTGTCTTGTTGGTGCGAAAACCCGCTCTGAGATGATTGGTACCTTCACCAGAGTCGGTCAGTGGACACTTATGCTCAAGGACAAACAGGAAGGTAAACTCGATTTCAACGGACGGAAACCAGTATCAGGCCCGGGTGGGTTCGGACAAAAAGAACGAGATAAAGAAAGCAACGGTGAGATAGTTGAGCGTGTCACTGAAACCAGCCACAGAGGCTCGTTGATGGGCGAAAAGAAGTACGCAGCATTTGAAAGAGAGAGAAACAAGGGTAGGTCCAGAGGCTATACAAGTCCTGATTGAGGGTTGAACGAGTGGATGTGACAGAGGTAGGTCCACTGAGGTAGTGAACAACAGCCAAGACAGTGGTGCTTGTGAGGGTACAGATGGCATCGAAGAGCACCCGACACTGCAGAGAGCGCCGGTGTTGATTTTAAATTGTGATGGAAGCCAATCAATAAGTACAGAGACTCAGGATCTCCTGGTAATGCAGAGCCCATGTTGTGCTTTGGAATGAAACATTGATGACAATTACAGTGACTGAGTAGGAGTAATTAAACCAGACTTACCAAGCTTTGTTGCTGTCAATGCTCAAAGACTAACATCTGTCAACCAGATGTCGAAGCTTGTAGACAATAGCCTTGACGAAGCAGCAAAGACCCGGGAAGGAGGCAAGATTTTATACCCAAGAGAAATAACAGGGCTTGCTGAAGATTGAGAAACCAAGGCGAAGGGAAAAGCAAAAATCAATTTCTGTCTATGCAGAACTAGCCACTGCTACCTCGAGGGCAGACCTGCAGACACGAACTGCTTCTAACCTGCATGATACAGGGTTGTGTTGACAAGACATTTGGGTATAAGTCACGACAAGAGTTGGGCACTACACTGTGCATGTCCTTGCGAATGCAGACGGGCAGAGACCTCAGGAGGCCAGTGCAGCACAGTGAAGTATTCAAGTATCATGCCTGATGAGCAGAGAGACAACGTGGGGGTGGTAGACCTCGTATTAGATAAAGGACTTATCAAGCATCTCACGAGGCCTGATGTCACGATGATGATTTCGATTGTCAAGATGAGGTTCTAGTTCCTCTTAAACATGGAGTGTGTGTGGAGTGAGGTCGAGAGTACCGCCTTCAGCCTCCTCCTAGGCCTTGTAAAGATGGTCACAATCACACAATGGGTCTGCCATCCCGGATAGCAGTTGACATCTACAGGGTGGGTCAGAGCTCTCAGAAACTTGATGCCATCATGCAAGTTTGGCAAGAATCACAACTCTAACCTAACATGTACAGGTTTGTCATTATCCTAATATGGTAATATTCTCTTCTGAGGAGGTGTTCAGGAGTGTCAAGTGATAGATCGACTTGTTGTGTGTACTTTAAAGTTTATGTGGATGCTGTGGCTTTCAGCCGCAGCCAAAACACAATGTACATCAGGTCAAGCTGAGAGAAGGAACATGAGAGGGGTGGGCAAAAATATCAATAGAGTCTAGGCAGCTCAACCAGAAACACCCTCTAGCTAATTAAGTAGGTATGGTCTCTTGTACAGTTGCTATAGCACTCAAAGTAGCTCGAGTTACTTGGTAAAGGTCGTTACAGCCAGTAACCACGTTGGCTCTCTTCAAACGAAGAAGACCCAGCAAAGATGATCATCAGCAGCAGGAGGAGGTGAGCACAACACGTAGGGGATCGCTCACACTCGACTCGCCTCACTTATGCAAGATCAAGCTCTCATTCCCCACCTTGTATGCCACATAAACTCTTATGGTTGGGCTAGAGCGGGCATAGATCCGGGGACAAGGGTGGGCTGACACATTATACTTAGTTTTTCTTGACTTGAGCTCGATTTGGGAGCCTACTTTGCCATTGAGAGGCCGCGTCTTCAAGCCACAGGCCCACCTCAACTGGAAATCATCCAACGGACAGGATCAAAATAGACTTTCGACATGGGTCAATAATGAATGCATGCTGATATCTGTTTGTCTGTCTATTGTCAAGATGGCTTGCTTTTTCCGGCATAACAGAATGCATTTCTATTCTGACGCAATTATAGAACGCCTTCTTTTCTTATTGCTCATTTCTTTTGATACTTTTATTTACATGCTAATTATGTAAACCTAGTAGCTGAGAATCCGATAGGAGGATGAGGCAAAGGAGAGTATATGAGAAGTATGGCGTGGGGATTCGGATGTCTCCTTCGCTTCGGCCCCACAAAATGCAACCCCTCTGCTTCATTACGTATCGTCAAGACACTCCCTGGACAGTGCACTCTCTCCCTTACACACCTAGTGTGAGAGAGAGAAAGAGAAGAGAACGAGAGGGAAGAGAGCAGTGTGAGTGATAAGTAAGGCGCCGGCAATTCCCAGCGACCCGGTTTAGGACCCCGGTCTCCACACCTCTCTTCTGAAAGATCGGTTTTTGATGAGGAAATACCCGCTGCGATGTGCCAGATTGAGATATGTACGTTGCAAAGGTCGGGAAATACTAGTTTGTCTATTTTTGGCGGACAAGAAGGCGATCACACTGGACTGATCGGCAACGGCACCCAAGGCTTCCATGAGAAGAAGATGGAAAACAGAAGAAAAAACCCAGTTTGGGGTCCCCACACAATTGCTTACGGGAACTCAGGAAAAAGCAGTCAAGAGGAGCGAATACTTTAGTAGGTGTGATACTTGTTATGCAGTGCGCCCGAGGGGTGGGCATCCCAGAGAAAGGGAGGGGGGTGTCAAGGTGTGCTGGCGGTGGTATTTGCTGGCACGTCGGCCCATCACAAGAGATCCTGTTGGTATCCGCCCCCGTCATCCTCGAATAAGAGGTCCAAGTCCTCTCTCTCTGTATGCATGACCATCCTATCTTGGTATAGCGAGGCTACACACGCCAGCAAAGTCTAGATCAAAAGCAAGTACGAAGGGCTCTATGCCACCCTCGCGAATCTATACCCAGATGCGCTCATGTCTTTTTTTCTTTCTTATTTGTTGATCATTTTCAGAGAGAAAATAACGATCCTGTCTCGGAAGTACTGATCAGGTCTCGGATGGGACATAGGAAATGAGATATCACTTTTATCCCTTCACTCCACACACGCCCCAGTATTCAAGTCAAACCGGTGAAAACTAAGACGAGCAGCCAGGAATGCATACAAGGCTGGCTTCGGGGCAAGGAAAATCAAAACCTAGCCAGAGGACAAGAGAAGACTGTCCACAGAGACCTCGTGCTCCCAAGTCTCCCTGATCAGTCTAACTACATAGGTAAGAAGAAGAAAAAAGAAAGAGGGGAAATTTTTTTTTCATGTTCCACGACCTTGAGCCAATGTTCCAGACTGTTTGATGGACACGCAAGTCTCGCGGCCTTGAGACAAAAGTATAGAGGTACCCTCTCACACTGTAAGGGTACTGGCAGGTCATTCCTCTACCCTGCCTTCCCCTAGATGAGCTCATGCAGGCAGCACGAATGTTGCTTCTGGCTGGGAGTTCGGCTCCAAGGATGGCCTGACCCAGGCACCTCACCGCCTGGCAACTTACTGACACGGGTCTTCTTTTTTTTATTATTGCCCCAAATGCTACTATAGCCGTCGTATTTATCAATCGTAAGGCGAAAGGTTGTCGACTATAGTCGAGAGGGAAATGATGGAACCTAAAAGCCATCATAGCCTTGAAACTGATAACATACATATTAATTCAGGTCTACGTTGTCACGAAGAAGAACGAGATAGGTGATTGGAGGAATGATACTGATACGGGAAGGGGAGTACTGGTAGAAAATAGAGAAGAAAAAGAGGTGACTATTGTCGGATGCTACAACATGGCCCGGTAGGCAGCTCCAGCCGAACCAGGAGGCATGGATGTCGCTTGTTCTCGACTTTGTAGGTCCTCCTTTCTTTTCCCTCTCTGTCTCTGTATTTCTCGCTCTTTCTCTCTCTGCCCTGCTCTCTCTCTCTATTACAATCTTGCTATCTGTCTGTCTTTCTGTGCGTTGACGGCCGCCTCTAACCTTGTCCGCCTTGCCTTCCCTCTTTTTGACGCTTCTTCTCCCCACACTTCTCTCCGAACTGTACAAATTCATTCCATGATGGGGACAGGGGGAGGGGGCTTCTGTATGCTCTAGATTTGTTGTGCAACACTCACTTATAATGTTGGATGTAAGCCACTATTCAGGCCGCTCCGGCCATTCCTCGGCCAGTCCGGCCACGCCGTGCCGCCCTCCGGCCGCCTTGAGGATTGACTGATTCAGATATCCCTCAAGGCGAGTCAGGCCCTCAGGGCCTAGTTGAGGATAAAAGAGGGCATATACGACTCTCGTCAGTACATAGAATAGAAGAGATAAGCTTCAATAGACGTTCGTTATTCAACATATAATGTGTCTGGAGCCTTGATTGGACCACTCTCTACTGCTCTGCCGCCCCTCCACGCCCTCCCCTCTCCTTCCTGGCTGCTTTTGTTTTCCTTCTTTACTTTTTTTCGGGCTCAGCTGAGACGAGTTGATATGCATATGCACTGCTCCTTGGAGCAAATCATTCTGGGCCAGTGGGTTCTCCCATTCCTGCCTCTCTCTTTCTCTCTTTCTGTCATGTTCTGTTCGTTCATTATGGATGGATGATCGATGGACCCAAGATCTGCAATTCCGAAGCGGGGTTTTCTCTTTCTTCCCTAGACATGTGGCAGAAGGTTATTGGATTTAAGTGATTGCTGGGATATTTTAGTGTATTGCTTGTTTGTTGCGAGGTTGGTGGAGAGTGGAAAGGTGGCACGCTTCGTGGCCGCGATGGTGTTTGCAAAACTACTTACGGAATCGGTCGAGCGTGGCCCTGATCACCCGGTTTTCTCGGTGGGCAAAAATGTATTGAAGCTGAGTGTCGTCGTTGCACAATATTAATGGACGAGCGTATAGCCAGCGAGCGTATAGCCAGCGATGAGTTAAACCATTCAACTTATACCTCCGAGATGAGATAACCCATGAATCCAGTCCAAGAAACAACCATACGACGATGAGGTCTTCCATACTATATCCCTCTTTCACAACTTTCTTCCCCAGCAAAGATACTGCTATGCTGCTGCCCAAAGAATATACAACCAGCCCCTCACTGCCTCTTGTCCTGACCACCGCCTGGCGCAGAATTGTCGTCATCATCAAAGAAGACAACCTGCACAGTCACATCATCCCTCATGTTCCTCGACACCGGCACCTGCGACGTCAGCCTTGCGGCCAGGGCCTCAGACCAGGCTCCGCCCAGCGCATTCCTGACCAGATGCACGGCGACGTTGTCATCCCGGAACGTATCCGTCTCGTCACCATCCTTTGCAATCTCCTGCTTCACGTCGAACCTCCCAAAGCCTTTCTCGACCTCATCTCCCTTCTCAATATTCTTCTTCTTCTCCTTCCTCTTCTCCCATCCTGCCGGCGCCCCAGCCCTCCGCCACTCGATCCAGTTCCCGACCAAACGCACCGCCCGCTCGCTACTAACACAATCCCAAAGCCCGTCCGAGGCAAGAATGACAAAACTCGGCCTTCCTTCTGCCTTCTCGACCCGCATCGTCGTGATCACCGGCTCAGCCGTCAAATACGGCGGCGTCTTCAAGGGATACCGCGCCGGCAACTCTCTGAACAGATAGTTCTCCACAACCTCCTTCTGCAGCGCAGCATCCCACTTCCACCGCGCGTCTCCTAGCGCCCGTGACACCATGATCCCCAGCACACGGCCGTCCGCGACGATGCCTTCTTCGCCAGGGTGCTCCCTGTAGATCCGCGCCACCTCGTCCTCGTTGCTGCCCGTCTGATCGACCGTCAGTGCCTCGGCCGTCCACGCTTCTCCTACTGCTGCATCGCCTCCTTCACTACGAGATGACGACGACGACGACGACGAGGATGAGGGCCGCCCGTACACGGCGCGCGAGTCCCCCAAGTTAGCGACGCGCAGCCGGCGAGTCTCGGGATCATACAGCGCCAGCAGCGCACAGGATCCAGCCATCGCGAGGCCGAGCCTGGCGGCTCGCTCTGCAAAGGAGAGGTCCTGGCTGCGCACCACTTCCTCCGCGGCCGCCTGGCTTGTGACGGCGTCATCCAGGGCTAGGAAGGCGGCCTTGATGGCGGCGTCGATGTTGGGGTCGGTGTCGGAACTGGTGCTGGTGTTGAGGCTCTGTGCTGCTGCTGCTGCTGCTGCTGCGAGGTGATGGCGCACAAAGGGCACGAGCTGGCGGGTCAGGTGGTCTGACATCTGCCAGCCTGCGTGGCCGTCAAACACACCCCAGGCCATCCAGTCTGGGTGCGACTGTGACTCGGACTGCGACTGGCCATGAGGAGCAGCAGTAGCAGCAGCAGCAGCAGCAGAAGAAGATGAAGAAGAAGAAGAAGAAGAAGAGGAAGAAGAGGAAGAATACGGCGAGGAAAAGGTCCCGTGCAGGAAATGATCCTCGACGGGGCTGTTGGACGCGATGCGTGTGCCGTGGTACCGCGACACGCCGGGCACACCCTTCACCTCGTGCGCGTAGGCCTCCTGGGTTAGGATGCGCGTGAGTTCTCGGTCGTCCGAGATGAAGTCGAGATGGAGCTGGTTGGTGGGCTGGCCGCTTAGGACGGGGACAGTGGTGGCGGTAGTAGTGATGGTGGTGTTGGATTTGGAAGAAGAGGGAGAAGAGTAAAAGAGGATGAGGGCCAGAGTCGAGGTGACTCCGAGGCCTGACACTATGAGCAGTGTCCTGTTGCCACCGCTCTGGTCTCCTCCTGCCCTTGTTTCTCCTTCCCCTCCATGCTTCGTGCTAGAGAAGCGGAGGGCGATTGTGCGTCTTGTTGACGACGAAGATGACACCTTGGAGATGGGAATTGAGGGGAGGAGGCCTTGTCGTGCTGCTACTACATGGTTTAGCTGCCGTGGCAAGCCGGCGAGAACCAGTCTCCTGTGCGGTGCGAAGGCTTGGGCGAGCATGGTAGCTTGTCTTAATTTTTCGAGGGAAAATGATGTCTGAGTATATAACTAAAGTATGGAATTTGGTCAAAGAGGAACAAACAAGTAATGTCAGATTGATTATGTGGTGTTTCTGTGTCTCATATTCTCTCCAAAGACGCAGGGGAAGAAAAAGACTTGGGTCGTCTGTCTGAGAGGACTTAGACGCGCACACACACGCCTTGGAACACCGTCGCAACGAGCAAGTTAGGCTGATTGCTATCGAATAGAGACTCTCTCTTTCTCTTTTCTCACACACACACACACACATACATACATACACATATGTATATATATTATTCCATCCTTCCCAAGCACAGCCCCAAAGGGCTCATTTTCCTTTCCCCTTCCATCTACACCTATTCCCTCCCGCCTGACCACGAGCCATCGGAGTTCCCACCCACGTCGGACCATCCCAACCACCATCCTTCATGCCGTGTGGTTGCGGGGCCAACACCGATATGCGAACGCCGACAGTCCAATTCCTTCCAGGGATAACATTATGTATGTTTATAATACTCTTTTATTTCCCCCCTTGAGACTTTTCCCCTCCGAAGCGGACTGGCTTGGGAAGAAGTATAGGGGCTATTAATGCCGAGTCTAGGCATGCACTGGTGCGGACCGAAATCGCAGCACCCAGGTATATTAGCACTCGTTGCACAGGAGCAAGTATTTATTCATTCATGTCCTGTATACGGCGGTGGCTGCAGAGATAGAGAGAGAGAGAGAGAGAGAGAGATCTGTCACCAGTTAGGTTCATGTTCGCAGGCGGTATGCATGGTCGTATCATTGATGGATAGCCTGCATCAACGTGGGATGGTAATTAAGCGACTGTGTTGTGTGTGTACAGTATTGATTGATGACCGTAATCTTGCCGGTAGTGATGAACAAGAGAAATCAAAAAGAATAATCACACGAAAATAATACTCTCTCGTCACCCATAATTTCCCTCCCTCTTATGTGCCCTTTCTTTGAGTCTGAGAACAGCCATATCTCTTGTCGTGACCCATTGATGCTATCTCTTTCTCTTTGCGGTGAAAATAAACCGAACACCTACGACCCAGAAAGCTAAATGAACATGCTAGTGGTTGGTTGTCTGTGGTTGTCTCCAGAAGACCAGCTATAATGATATCCCCCCAGTGTGATAGTAAATAAACAAATCATGGTAACCGAACAATCGAAGCTGCTGGGTCCAAAACTACACCAACATTTCCCCATTCTTCTTCCCTTAAGACGAAGGAGTCCTTGCACCTGTCTGATAGAACAACATCAAATGCTGCCCCAAGTCAATAATTGATACAATGATCCTTGTGTGTGTGTGTGTGGCGCAACCATTGGTAGAAATACTCGACCACTCTGACGTAGTATCAGATATATCCTCCGTGGTCGAGAGGGTCGGGCTTCACCTCTTCCACCTTGCGCTGCTGTGGGCAGCTTTCCAGCTGCTCGATGCCCGGGATGCCAGCACCGAAATCCATGACGAGAATCTTAGGATCTTGTCCTGTAGACACGATACGCCGGTAATCGCTCTTGGCACTCAGTACCCAGCTGGCATGCCACCTAGGAAAGTCCAGCAGCTGTCGCCCCGTCTCCATGTCGAACACCTTGATGTCCGTGTCGTATGAGCCCGACACGAGCCTGCCCGAGACGCTGTCGATATGGAGCGACCGGACCAGGCTCTCGTGGGCCTTCATCTCCCGCAGGCACTCGCCCGTGTTGGCGTCCCAGATGCGGATCACCTTGTCGTTGCCTGCGCTGGCCACGTACCGCCCGTCCTCGGAGAACTGGCAGCACGCCAGGCCCTTGGTGTGGCCCTGGAATTCGCGAATCTGCTTGCCCGTCTCGATGTTCCACAGCTTGACCCGAAAGTCGCCGCTGCAGCTCACAATCGTGTTGCCGCGCATCTGCACTGCATTCACCGGCCCGCTGTGGCCCCGGAGCTGCTTGAGGAGCTCGCCCGTCGCCCGGTCCCACACGCAAATGCTGATGTCCTTGGAGCACGTCACAATGTACTTGTCGTCGAAGCAGAGGTCCAGCACTGCTGCCGTGTGATGCCGCAGCCGCCTAATCGGCCGGTACCCGCCCTTCATGTCGTAGACGATGCACGACGCGTCCGAGCTGCCCGTAACCAGTATGTCCTCGTCATACTGTAGACAGAGGATCGAGGCCTTGTGGTGTGTCGGGAACGCCATCGTTGTCGGCACCGACGTGACACGTTTGGAGCGAGCATCTGCCCCGATATGTGGCTCAAACGTGGCCGAGTGCGTTGGCTTGCCCTCGCTGTCGCAGAGGATGGCATTGCTCTTGACCACCTCGGGTGGGCCGATGACCACCTTGCAGGTCATGGTCTTCATGTCCCATATCCGGATCGTCTTGTCGCGCGACCCAGTGATGATCTTCTGCCTGTAGTAGTAGAAAACGAAAGCGAATACAGTCAGTAAACATTTTTTTTTTTTTTTTTTTTTTCGAAGAGTGAATCCCGCCCCGACACACGTTTCAAGGTAAACTGTGAGAAGAAAGAAGAAAAAAAAAAAAAAAAAGAGGCAAACGTACTCGTCAAACTGAAGGCAATAGATGCTATCTGAATGGCCGTGCAGATAGATCGAGGTCGCCTTACCGTTCCTCCACCTCTTGGCCAGCTCTTCGGTTGCGCGGTAGGCATCCTTCCAGTCCATGTTGGGCCGACTCAGAGGCACACCGAGCCCTGTGCCCTGCCTGATGGGCTCGCTGGTGGCAAAGGTGCCCGTCTTCTCACGCAGGTACGAGTCCCGCCAGATGTGCTGGAGGGAGGTGACGTCGTGCCAGCGCGTGGAGATGCGGCTGGCGATGGCAAGTCCCGCGGCGTCGAGATGGGCAAGCACCTGGATTGCCAGCTCGACGGGCAGCCTGCTGATGAAGTCGACCCTGTTGGGGGCACAGGCACCCAAGACCACCTCGCCGTCGGGCGTGACCATATCGAGGTCCTGGACCGCGTCGGCGACCGGGTCGGTACTGGTGACCGCAATGCCTATGCCGCTCTCCCTGTCATTCTGGGCGGAATCGAGCGTCAGCCTCTTGTTGCGGAGCGGGCTAGCAGTTGTAGAGAACATCTCGTGCTGCCATGCAGCAACAGCCGCCCGTGCTCCTGAGCCTGTGTTGCGCGGGATGACAGGCGGCTCGTTGCCCAGACCTGGTCTTGGCACAGAGTGTGGCAGGTAGTAGTGGTTGTTGTTGTTGTTGTTTCTGCTGTCGTCTTCTTCTGTTTGTGTTGGTGATGATGATGAAGATGAGAAGGAAGAGGGTGAGAGCTGCTGCTGGCCGTGCTGGGGCAGGGAGAAGTCACCGTAGAGAACCCTTGAGTGTCTGAAACTGGTTGCATTCCTTAGACGGTGCCAAGTCGCGTTGATGGTATGGCTTGTCGTAGGACGAGCCGACGACTGATGTTGTTGCTGCTGCTCTGCATAATAACCAGAACGAGGCGAGGTAGCAGGAGAAGAAGGTGAGGCTGGAGCATTGTTGTGGTTGTTGGACGAGGAGGAGGAAGGGTTGTTGCTGTTGCTACTGCCGGGGAACAGGTGATGAGAACGGGAAGGGACGTGGCTGAACCGCTGCTGCCTCTTGGAAGTGGTGATCTCGTAAGGCTCGTCCAGCGTCTCGGTAGCAATCGAGGTTCGACGATGGACCAGCCCCTTGATGGAAACCGACGCGCGCCGCCACATGCCACTCATGGACTTCTTGCCCTTGCCCTTGTAGGGCATCACCATGTCTTGTTGCTGTTGTTGTGGCGGTAGTGGAGGAGGAAGAGGCCCTTGCGTTCCGTAGTCACCATGGCTGCTTCTGCTGGTGGAGTTTCCTCCCAGTGGAGCGGTGAACCCAGACCAGCTTTCAAAGGAGGCCAAAGGATCTTGTGCCTGCGCCTGCGCCTGTTCGGCTTCGGTGTGGATGCGTTTCAAAGACAGGTTGTGAAATCTCGATTCGAGGTCGCCGGGCGGCAAGAGGGCGACGGACTTGGGTCTCCATGACAGAGACATGCTCCGGAGTCTCTTGGTCGCAGATCGGCGGGGAGCAGGAGACGCGACAGAGGCCGAGGAAAGGGCTGAGACGGAGACAGAGACGGAGCGCTCGCTGTGCTTGGTTGGGCAAGGTAGGGTGTCGATGGAGGAGTCATTATCCCTCTCTGGATAGAGCGCCTCCTGGGCTGAAGCCCAGTCAGCTATGGGAAAGATGCGACGTGTCGAGGAGGTCATGGTCGTGGGAGAAGGGTGCCTCGCGGGTTTGTTGCACGACGATGACGACGACGACCGATCAAGAGAAGAGGCGTAGACCGTCGTCTCGTATGGTCTTCCTCCTTCTCGTTCCCTTCTCGTCAGTCAGCCGGTCGCTGCCGGTCTCGTTCCGTCCCGTTGTGTGTGTCTCTTCCTAGGTGGTTGGTAACGACGAGAGGACGCAAGAGAGACGAGAGTAGATAAGGGCTGAATACGGGACTGGACCGGACCAGACCAGATCGGACTGAACGAGACGAGGAGGGTATATAATAGGAGGGGCGTGGGGGAAAAGGCGGTCGAAGCGCAGTCGGAGGCGGTCGGTGGTGGTCGGCAACAACGAGGAGGAACGCACTGCAGCGCGATAGGGAACAGCGGCGTAGAACTCAGACGATCCAGTCCAAGAGAACACAAAGCCGAGGTTGACAAGCAGGACAGAGTCCGTTGTTGTTATGATGGATCGACGACACAGTCCTGGCACATGTGTACGACGAATAAGAGAAGGAATTAAAATAATAAGAGAGTGTGAGTACAGTGACCACAAAGGGAAGAATGAATGAATGGATTATAATAATTGTAGGAGATGCGAGAGAGAGAGAGAGAGAGAGAGAAAGCGGGCGAGAGAGAGCAAAGTAGGAATAAATCGGTGAGTCTCGCGAGCACCTGAGTCGAGTAGCAATTACATGCGCGAGACTAATCCATACACACTTCTTCTGTATGGCGGTGGGGACCCTGTTTTCAGAAGGCCCCCAGAGTACTCTGTCTCTCACCGCGACAACTGTACTGTACCGTTACTGTTTGGGGTAAGCACTTGGTAGGGCACTTCTAACGACGCCAATGCTACCATACAGTATGTACACCCTAATTACTACCTCATGGGGCCAGGGGCTGCGTGTACCATAGTAGTGTTGCCCTGGCACCTAACATGGCCCTACCAATCCGTGCCTGTAGTCACGCTAAGAGGCCAAGTAGTAGTGGACCCTGCATCAAAAGATCCCCGGGACAGGGCTGGTTCCGGGGGGTTTCCAGCGCCGGGACACTCCAGGGGTCCAGACACACGCCATACACTCACACACCCTGAAGGACAAATCCTCTTTGCCCCCCAGTCAGCAACAGTGATCTTTTTCCTTACACATTCCCTCTGTGTGTGACTTTTCCCCCCAAAATCAAAGTCAGCACTTAGGCGGTGGGTACATTGAACACAGCGATCGCGCCATGGTCCGGTGCGCGATTGACTAGGCCCGCCTGGGTAAATAGTAGGACCAGACCCTGAGATCTTTCCCTTCAGCGGTGTGCTTGGGGTAGTCAAATGTTGATGGGGGCCAGATGCAGTAGAATGTCCACTATAGCCCTAACCCTTCTCGATAGGCACCCCTTACAGGTCCCACCTCGGACAGCGATTTTTTTTTTTAGCGTTTTTCATGTGAGGAATCTGGGGATAGGGTCGTAATCTCAAAGGGGACTTTTGATCGTAGAGGAGCCAGTAAAATGTATGGTGGTGTGTGTATTCATGTATGGTGCTATAGCTGTAGGATCGCTGGATAAGACAGGCTGACACGGTATTACTTCTTCCTTCCACTACTCCCTTCTCATTCTCAGCCCTGTCTTATTATTTTATGGTACTCTAAAAGATTATCCTGGGTGAGTGAGAAAGTCCTTCTATGACTATAATATCACCAATTCATGCAATCCTCCCAATTGTCTTGTGTGCCTGAGGCTTTGCTGTGACGACCTATCCAGATTTCTATTCGAGACCCGTACTGATTATGCGCATCTTTCCGCTTCCTTTACCCATAGACATAGTATTCCTCGCCTCACCAGAGACTTAAGACCAAGGCGAGGGATCGACAAAGGTACTGCGTGTACTATGGTACCTCCAATATAGTTGGCTAGTCGAGATAATTCAGATGAGAAAGATTTGGCAGGGCCCTTCTCGCCTCACCTCAAGTCTAAGCTGGGCGTCTACCCCACAACCGCCCTCATGTCTCAGCATCCTGTCATTCAGACTTCCCCCTTCCAAAGAACCCCTTGGAACCGTTCTTTGAGTACAGTACATACGGCAAGCATCCTTCCTAGATCGGATCGCCATTCAACCTTTCTCGCCTCTCTCTCTCTCTCTCTCTCTCTCTCTCTCTCTCTTTTCCCCTCTTTCCTTGTGCTGGGATTGGGACTGGCGGGGGAGATGAGACCGGAGATATTCAAACTGACTGTTTGTATGAGCCCTTGGCCCACCCCGCTGTCGATCTCACCTCTCTTTCGATAAGACCCAATTGGACCCAGGAATCGATGAGGATGTGTGGGAAAGAAGAACAAGAGGTTACATCCAATCATTCTGGGGGAATGAGACGGTGGTGACATGATACTATGGTAGATGGCCCGGTCCCTGATCGACGGGGCAAATCTGATACTGGCCCACCCATCTCGCCACCGGCCGGCGCAAGCTCTTTTTTTCCCTTCTCTATACCTGTGTGGTCAAGGCTCAAATCGTTGTCCATAGTACAGTATAGTGGCTGGTTTCCCCTTCCCTTTCCCCCCCGCTCTATCTATTGCGTACAAGCATCTATGCTCCGTAATATGCCGTGCATTGATGGTATGTGCTGGATATACTATGTATTACGACTGACTGTACAATGTGCAAATGTATCCGGAAGGTCGGTCGATATCGAATAGTCTCGCTTGTTCGGGATTCCCTAGACCCGCGAGACCAGTTCGTGCGGATCCGTAGAGTCGCCACTACTGACTGTATCTACTGTACTGTACAGTAACTTTGGTACATACAGTATTTGGCGCGAACTAGATACGTTGCCATAGACTGTAAATCCGTAGGCCGACACAAGAAGAGAGAGAGAGAGAGAGAGAGAGAGACAGGGAGACACAGACGGAAAAAAAGTGACACAGACCAGAGCTAATGTTAGCAGTATCAGTAGCTGAAAGGCTAGAAGTATCATCTCCTCTGCTGTCCGACTCGACCCGTGAAAGCCAAGTCCGGCCATGCAGGTTATTATTGAGCTACTTGTACCTGGAAACCCGGAAACCCGGAATTCCCTCAGCTGACCGCCACGAGATCTCGGGTCAGAAGAGCGAGAAAAAGAATAAGAAAAATCTGTTCTACTACTAGTACCGTATCATAGCAAAGTGAATGGTCCAGACTGTTCCCCTTCCGGCTATCTGATTTGGCGCCCTGCACTGCCAATCACCCAAAGATTTGTTCAGCAGGGCTGACAAGAATTGACAAAAGCAATAGGCTATCCGAAATGGGATGGTTCTGTGAGCAGTTCACACTGCGCTGATCACTGGGGGCTGGAATTTCCCACCACCACGATCGGTTGGAAGGCAGCATGTATTTGTGACAAGGGCTTGGGCTAGCAGAATATATTTATTGCTAAAATTGACCCCTTTACGTATTTATCTCACACAATGCTCGGTGGGCTTGTAAAGAAGTATTCATCGTTTGTACTGTACAGTCATGACAGTATCCGGTAAGCAGCACCAGTACAGGCGCTGCTGGCCCTGGCCGTGCTACAGCATGCCCAGAAGATCGACCCCGAGATTAAGATCCGCGTCTGGGGACAGTGGCAGAGTGGCCACATGCTTTGTTTGGTCGACCAACCGCGCCAGTGGGTCTGTCTACAAACACTTCATGACGCCTGCAGCACTGTTCTCTCGGCTCTCTCTTTCTCTTCCTCCCACACACGCTTGACATGCCTATCTGGCCGAGGAGCTATGTCCTGTACTATGTGGATTGTCATACACCATTGCATTCTCAAGTTATACTGGGAAACAACGATGTGACCCCCACCGACCACGTGCTTTTAAACTAGATTTACCTCTGTGCATCCCTAAGAACAGCTGCATATGAACGCCCACGAGATAGCTATGCTGAGCTGAACACTGCGTTCGTGTGGTTTGGCAATAACGCAGCACTGAAAGTACCATAGGCCAGGGCGCCGGTGTCACGATCAATTCTTTCAAATGTTGCTGTTGTCTCAGATCTCACCCCGAGGGTCGGGCGCCTTGCCGCCAGTTGCAGATCACTGCAGATAGGGCGCCGCCGCCGCCGACATCGCGGACCAGAAGAGGCGCTCCAGCAATCTCAGTGGCTTCAGGATGATCGACACTGCCCACACACACACACACACACACACATCCCTCTCATTAACAGACAGCTATAGCATGTTGTAAAGGCTGATATGTGGCGAGGGATCCGCTAGGCTACACTGCTCCAGCAGAGAATCAAACCACCCACACCAACACGAGAGTCAAATACACACCGTATTCCCTAGTTCTGTACTGTGGACCACGACTCGAGGCCCGTGGTAGGCCCCACGACGACAACAGCAGCGGGCGCCTCAACAGCGTTGTACGAGATTCACTAATTATATCGTACCCCGCGTGACCTCTTTTTCTTTCTTGCGTTACACTGCTGGGCTGGCTGATCGACGGGGCGGCGGCGGCGGTCATTAATCTGTGGAAGATCGGGGCTCGGCCATCTGCCACGACAGACAGCCAGAGCAGATAAACGGACGGGACCATCTGCTGTGCTGCCTCTTGGGGTTGTCGGAAGCTGGCCGGGCAACGCGCCATGGCATCGCCCACGCGAGGGACTGACTGGTATACGATGGCCGGACCTGGTGCTCGTGCAGCCTCGAATTTGGATGTCATGCTGTACCTGGCCGGGATGTGCTGCAGAATGGAGGATTTGAAGTCGTTTCTTCATCTGGCCTTGCAGGTTTGTGTGCTCTTGAAGGCCATCAGAGTGACGATGACATACTTTCCCAATCGAATGAGTGTGCTTTGACAAGGCAGATAGCTATTGAGTTCAGCGTCAGGTAATTGTAGACCAGAAATCAGCTTGGTGTCGTCGATTGTCTGCCCGAGGCTCTGGTATGTCTCTCTCTCTCTCTCTCTCTCTCTCGCACGGACAATCAATACTCTGCCCCAGTGCAATAAATGGGACAATCGCACAATCCTGTGACATGGCACTGGTGCGCCTCGTCGCAAGCAGCATTGAGAATCCAGACAACAGTCATCTCAACGGTGGCACGACCCAGGTTGCTTGTCCCAATTCAAGACCCCAGCAAGGCTCGCTGGCCGCGTCCTGGCTTGACTCTTCAAGGCTATAATGAGTTGCTGAGAGGTTTATAGCCACTCGAGCTGATAAGTCGTATAAGTGGTTCTTGCTCTCTTATATGTCTGTTGACAGCATTCACCGACGGGAAATAGAGCATGCCTTGCCTTTCTCGGTGCCCAAATCGTACCGCTGCATCTGAGATAGTACACCCAGGATGCTATGGACAAGATCCTTCTCAAACATGGTCAGTCAGTCCTTCTGCCATGAAAGTCTACAAGTAGTTCAGGGACGGACCATTAGAATTGTAGAGAACAGATTATTTCAAAATTATACCAATACGGTACGAGCAAAGCAGGGGAAGAAAGATTTGGAGTAATCATGGTCAGAAAACAACCCGCCAGAGGAAGTGGCTCAGCCAGAAAGTTGACAGCCGCCTTACACCGCTATTTCCTTGCCCAGAACAAGGAAAAAGCAACAAAGAGAGAAGAGACAGAATACAATGAATTAGTTAAAAGCAAAGGAGCAAGCACAGTCAACAAAAAGGACGGCTTCAAGGACAGAGAAAGCATAACTTGGTCATGTCTACCGAAGATTATCCGATGAAGCAACTTCATCCCACCGTCACGCCATTCAAATAATGCATTAGACATCTACAGTAATTATTTATCTCCTTACGATAGCAAGAGTCGATCTCGATCAAGACTACATTACGTATACACACACACTCAGTTCACTCACTTGGAGTCCTGCACCTCATCTTTCTCATTGATGAAAGTTCCAAAGCGGCGATGGCTGCGCAAAGGAGACAACGACGCTGGGGATCAAGTGACCAGCCAAGAAAAAGGCGAGATCGAGTCGTGCATCTTCCAGCTGTTTTCTTTCCCCTTTGCTTTGGAATTACTATTCTACGGTATGGTATCATCGGACCTTTGTGCCCCGCCATTCTCGGACCTCGCAGGCGACAAAACGGCATGTTCTCCCCCATGCTACGTAGTAGAAGTATGGTAACGATTCCCACTTAGAGCGTTGTGCCAAGATATGGCGCCCCCGCCCGTCGGCCCCATTTCCAGTGATTCCAACCCCGCGATATTGTTTGTGCGGCATCGCGGTGCGGAGAGCGTGTGTTTGTTATGGTGAGATCACCACTTTGTGACAAGGTCGATGGTGGAATGATTACCACCGTATCTGTGGGACCAGAGGGAATCCTGCTATGATACTATATAGGAGATATACTTGCAGTCGATGTGGGCGGGCTGATTAGATTTCCCCCCCTCGCTGCCTTGGCTTTTTCTGATATATAAGTCTGGGGAGTTTTGGGTCTACTCATGGCCCACGAGTGCTAGCTCTTTAGCAAGGCTCGAGGAGGAGTTGTCATCGTCTTGTCCCTGCAAGTTCGTTCCTGTTCTGGCCAACTGCCTCTTCCTCTCAGCAAGATGAAGGTGCACACTCCCCTCTTCGCTGCCCTTCAAGCCAGCTTGGCGTTGGCCCAGACGAACAGCACAGAGGCTCCTTCAGAGGTGCCGTACTACGGTCTCAGCCCACCTGTATATCCAAGTCGTAGGTCAAAGAGAAAACCGAATAATACCCATCACCTCAAACGTCCAAGACTGACACACACTTTCACACAGCCATCGGCAATGGCTCCTCCACCACGCAATGGGCAGCGGCCTACAAAACCGCCAAAGCCCTCGTGGCCCAGATGACCCTGGAGGAAAAGTCCAACCTCACCCGCGGCTTCACAGGCCAATGCATCGGCACCACGGGCTCCGTAGACCGCCTCGGCATTCCCGCGCTGTGCCTCTCCGACGCGCCCGACGGCATCCGCGGCCAGGAGTTCGTGTCCTCGTTTCCAGCGGGCATCCACGTCGGCGCCACGTTTGATCCCGACCTGATGTACAAGTACGGCGTGGCGCTGGGCGAGGAGTACCACGCCAAGGGGATCAACGTGGCGCTCGGCCCCGTAGCAGGCCCGCTGGGGCGGATGGCCAGGGCAGGGCGCAACTGGGAAGGGCTGAGCAACGACCCGTACCTGTCCGGCATCGGCATGGGCGCGATCACGAGGGGCATCCAGGAGCGCGGGGTGATCGCGACGCCCAAGCACTGGCTGTTCAATGAGCAGGAGTTCCGGCGCACGCTGACGGACGCGGGCGAGGCCATGAGCTCGGACGTGGACGACAGGACGCTGCACGAGCTGTATGCGTTCCCGTTCATGAATGCCCTGCGCGAGGGCGCCGGGGCCGTGCTGTGTGGGTACAACAGGGCGAACCAGTCGTACGCGTGCCAGAACTCAAAGCTCCTCAACGGGATTCTCAAGACGGAGCTGGGCTTTGAAGGATTTGTCGTCAGCGACTGGGCTGCCCAGCACACGGGTGTCGCCTCTGCCAACGCCGGTCTGGACCTCGTCATGCCGGATGGGGGTTTCTGGGGCGCCAACCTTACCGAGGCTGTCCGCAATGGCTCTGTTAGTGCGGAGAGGCTCGACGACATGGCGACGCGCGTCCTGGCCAGCCTGCACCTGCTCGACCAGGCGTACTCGTACCCGGTCCCGTCCATCTACACCAACACCCAGAAGCACTTTGCAGTCGACGCACAGTCGTTGGACCACGCCGACCTCATCCACCAGATCGGCGCGGCGGGGACGGTTCTGGTCAAGAACGTCAACGCGACCCTTCCCTTCCAGAAGCCTCGATTTCTGGCCATTTATGGCTACGACGCCGTCGTCAAGGCCTCGCCCTGGGAGAACTACCTGCGCTTTGGCGGCGGCTACGAGGTGAATTTTGGCTGGAACACGCTCAACGGAACCCAAATCACGGGCGGTGGTTCAGGCAGCAATACCCCTTCGTACGTGATCGACCCGTTCATGGCCATCTCGGAGCGGATTGCACGGGATCGAGGCACGCTGCGGTGGGACTTTTGGTCCGAGGCGCCTTCTCCTGCTTACTCGAATGCTGAGCACTGTCTTGTCTTTATCAACTCGTATGCCTCCGAGTCGTTTGACAGGACGACGTTGAAGGATGAGTTTAGTGATAACCTGGTCAAGAATGTGGCCAAGAACTGCACCAGCACGATTGTGATTATTCATAACGCGGGTGAGTCTCTCTTCTATCTCGTGTCTTTCTATCCATTTTTCCCTTTGTAGTCAGTCATTTTTAACACACCTTCAGGTATTCGTGTCGTCGACGAGTGGATCGACAACCCCAACGTCACCGCCGTCCTCTACGCCGGCCTCCCAGGCCAAGAGACCGGCCGCAGCCTCGTCTCTGTTCTCTACGGCGACATCAACCCCAGCGGCCGCCTCCCTTACACCGTCGCCAAGAACGAGTCCGACTACGGGACCCTTCTCAACTCGACCATCTCGTGGGATTACTTCCCCAGCATCAATTTCACCGAGGGCGTCTTTGTCGACTACCGCGCCTTTGACCGCGAGGGCATCGAGCCGCAGTTTGAGTTTGGCTTTGGACTGTCGTATACCACTTTTGCGTACTCGGGACTCTCTGCTGGTCTCGTCAATCTTGCCGCCGTCGCCACTACTACGACTACTACTACTACTACTACTACGACTGACAACACCACCACCGCCACATTGTCAGAGTATCCCGACCCAGCTGTGGCCATCGTCCAGGGCGGCCACCCCCAGCTATGGGATGTCCTCGCCACAGTCAAGTGCACCGTCGAGAACACGGGCTCCGTCTCGGGCGCCGAGATTGCTCAGCTGTACGTGAGCATTCCCGTCGAGGACACCCCGGTGCGCCAGCTGCGCGGGTTCCAGCGAGTCGGGCCCCTGGCGCCTGGCGAGGCACGGCAGGCTGTGTTTGAGCTCACGAGGAGGGACTTGAGCGTTTGGGATGTGGTGGCGCAGCAGTGGAGGCTGGCCAAGGGGGAGTATGATTTGTTTGTGGGGGCGAGCAGTCGGGATTTCAGGCTGAATGGGACGATTGTGATATCGTGAGAAGGGTGGACTGAAGAGGCCCTGTGGTGAGTAGATCTTGACTAAACTTGAATACTAGTCGTAATAGTGTATTTATTATTATTAAGACCAGAAAAGAAGAAGAAAAAAAGGGTCCCCAGACACAATATTTTGGCTGATCTCCATCGAACTTTATCTTTGCATGCATTCTTCAATACAGTGTTTTCCTTGATTTTCCACCCCTTCTGAAAACACCACAGCCAGCCTGCGTACAACACACACCACTGATCAGGACCAGTGCAGATAAGAACCTTGGCTCCTCCGTCATAAGGACCCAAAAACCTTGGCCCAACCTGCATTTCTCAACTTTTTAAGCGATGCGACGAGGACAAGAGATGAAAACCACTAATTGGCTCGGAGAATTATCAACACACAAACTCACTCTCACTCTCTGATTCTGTATCTATGCCTGAGTAGCGAGGAGGTGGATCTCTTGTTGGCACGAAAAACCTGGTCTGGACCCCTGGAGTTTTGTACTGTTCAGTCGACTTAAGACGCCCAATGCCCAATGGAACCCTCCGTGTAAGTCTCGTGTGTCGTGTGACGTCACCCAATGGGCGCCCATGTCAATAATGAGGAGACCCTGGTTTTTTGGGAATCGTCCATGTAAACTTAGGCCGCCTTGGTATTTCTTCAGCGCTGGGAATGGAATCTGACGGATTCAATCATGGTCTTTGGAACTATATAACTCTCTGTAGTGCTTTGCTGAAGAAGGATATCGCTTGATTGTTTATACAAATTTGTATCTACAATTTTCTATACAAGTAAACACCTCGCCTCTTGTGTACCAGTCACCACCATCACCTCTTATTGTTCACCCTCACAGTAAAAGAGGAGGGAAGAAAGAAATGAAAATGAAAATGAGACGAACAACAACATCATCATCATCATCCTCTGCCCTAGTGGCCTTAACCATCTTCTCCTACATCCTCCCAGCCACCAGCCAAGCCACAACTCTCGGCTCCAAACGAGGCCTCGCCTACCTGGGCGACACGCACGCCTCGGACAACAACCTCCTCCTCTCCTCCAACTCCTCCATAGACTGGTACTACAACTGGTCCCCAGACGCAGTCACAGACATATCCCTCCCCTTTGTGCCTCTCCTCCACGGCCTGGACGACGCCTCCTCTTCCACCACCATCAACAGCCTCAGCACGCTCCCAGCCACCTCCACGCACCTCCTCACCTTCAACGAGCCAGACGGCACCACCTCCTCAGGCGGCAGCGCCATCGCCCCCTCGGACGCCGCCCGCGCCTACATAGACGACATCCTCCCCCTGCGCACCGCCTCGGACCGCACCTGGAACATCTCGCACCCGGCCACCACGGGCTCCGACTCGGGCCTGGCCTGGCTGCAGGAGTTCAACGCCTCGTGCTGGGCCCTCAACCCAGACGCCGGCTGCCCGGCCGACTTTGTCGCCCTGCACTGGTACGGCGACTACGCGGGCCTGGCCTCGTGGCTGGGCACCCTGTACGACTTCTACGTCACCAACGCGTCCAGCGGCGCCGTCTCGGCCGACATCACCTTCTGGATCACCGAGATGGCCCTGCCCCAGGAGAGCGAGGACGACACCGTCGCCATGATGAACCAGAGCATGGCCTACCTCGACGGCCTGAGCTATGTCGAGGCCTACGCCTGGTTCGGCGCCGACCGCAAGAGCAGCTCGTGGGATAGCTATACCGGCGGCAATGTCGCCCTGTTGAGCAGTGGCGGCGCACTGACGGATGCCGGTGCGTTGTATCTGGGTGGGAAAGAGGCCGGCTTCAAGGAGGGCATGACGGGTGCTGCGAGCAGGAGCAGTGGTGGTGTGCGTTTCTCGGCTGCTGCTGCGGCTGCTGTTATGATCATGACCATGATGATGTTGAATATGTGATGAGATTGTTAGGGATGGACATTGTTGCAGAAGCCATGGGTGCTGGTCTCATCCATGGTTGAGAAGGAGAGGGAGTGGGGGCGAGTCTCCTCTGGTCTTTGTGTGAACTTTCCCTTCATTTAGCGTCTCATTTTCTATATACCCTCTGAAGCGTTTCTACATGCAATGTTATAGATTAACATAGGCAGATAGATATACTTTATTGTTTGGAGCGCATGCGTTAGCCTTCTTAGCGACAGAAGAAGTAGACCAAGAAGAGAAGAATAAAAGAAGAAGAAAAACAAAACAAATCATGAAAAGACATATTATATCTCATGCAATATCTTCCAAGTCAGTCGGAGAATCCCGAAAATACTGTGACAACTCGTTGGGTTACGCCGTGCGGGCGACCTTCGCTTTTTGGGGAGAGATCGCGTGGTTGCCATCTTTTCCTCTCTCTACCTCTCTTTGACTCTTTCATCTACCACAACTGCCGTATTGCAGCAGCATGTGTACCAGAAAACTCGCCAGTCAAAGCAAAGTCAACTCGGTTATCGGACACACACCTCTTTTCGGCAGGTCGGTTTGGAGGGTGCGGCTCAATCTCCGTCTTCGCCTGCTGCCAGAAGCGGAACGACAAGTCCCTCGAACCCCCGCGCGCTGAGAGAAGGAAGAGACAAAGTGTGTGTGTGTGTGTGTGTGTGTGTGTGTGTGTGAGCCCCCAGTTGGCCCAGGTAAATAACAGGACCCCCTCTTCCTTCTCTTTCTTTCTGCCAGCAAACCACACACGTCAGCCGCTGAAACCCGAAAGAAGATTCGAAAAGAATGGCTTGGCCGTCGTATCCAGCGCGTCGAATGTTCCAAAGCCTAGCCTGATTTGGCAGCAGGTTGGGTTGTGGATGTGCCAACGAAACCCAGCCAGGGCCCCCCAAAACACCCAAGACAGGCATGTGCGGCGGCCTTCTATTCTTTCTTTTTAATGCCTCTGCTGCTGGTTGGTTCGACACCCTGGTCACACTTACACGTGTATCCTTCCTGTGTCGATTTGATGTCGGGCTTCAAAGCTCGTCTCACCTAGGGGTCTGACTCTTCGCCTCCTCAGCCCTGCCTCCTTGACTTTCTTTTTGCTTACTCAAAGCTGCGTGGTGGGGAGAGCGGATGAGTGAGCAAGATGACCATGGAATCTTCGTTGGCTGATGATGGTTCGAAGTTGGAGGGTTTCCTGCGTAGGCTTGGGATGAAACCCCACGCGCGCACACACACACACACACACACACCATCGAATAGAAGTGGGCATGTTGGCTCACCCATATCGATGGATCTCTGCCCTGGGGAGAGTAATACAACCAGTTGCTGAATCCGCTAACGTCTTGCAACACGCACACACACAGCTCATTAAGTGGATCATATAACGAAGGTAGCACCCGCCTGCCTTTTTCAGGTTTGACGGTGCAGGACATCCGTCCAACCTCTGTTGCCAGCCGCCTTGCATCTGTGGCCGGGTCACATACAAAGAGGCAAAAAACCGTTGGTGTGGGGACCCTCTTCCTGGTCCGATGATTGCCATTGCCTTCAGCCCAGACTCGCTTTCGCTTGTTTTTCTTCCTGCCTCTTTGGCTCTCAGCATCTGTATGCGGACGTCCAGCATACGCAATCAGCCAAGTGGAGAGCCTCGGGCCATCCGACCATGATCTTCAAAAACCCTATGACTTTTTCATCACATGTGGTGGTTGTCTAGACGCAGCGCTTGACATAACCTGCAGTCTTTCCCGCCGTCTAGGGGGGCGGAAGAAAACCCCCCACCATTACCCTCACCACCACCACCAGCACCAGACAAGGTTGGACTGGCCGGTCATCCGTCCCTCTGGAAACATCCGGCCGCATGGCAACGATTGCGCCATGGCTGTCATGATACCTTTGGCTGCGCCCAGCCAGATCGCCATGGTGATAGTTGCTGTCTTGTTTGGCTGCATCTCAACCGTTGCGATTGGGCTTCGACTGGTGGCTGCGCGTATCGCTCACCGGCGCCTGGATGCCAGCGATTGTTGCATCTTGTTCGCATGGCTCTTCACCTTGGGATTAACGGTGGCCTGCATTCTAGGTATGGAAGATCCAACCCTCCGCCCCTTGCTAAGGTTAGTATTTCATGATGACTGAGAAAGACTCAACAGAGGCTGTCCTTGGCGGGTTTGGCTGGCATGAGGACGACGTCCTGAGTCGTTTTGGGCCAGATCCCATCATTCAATATCACAAGGTGCGTCGTTGGCCGGTCCCTCTTTCTGCTCCAGGTATCACGTTCGATGATCATTGACTTTTCGAGACAGATCATACTCCCTCTCGAGATGCTCTGGAACTTGTCACTCACCGCAACCAAACTCTCGGTGCTACTCTTCTACATCAAGATCTTCGCCGTCACGTCGATTGTGCTGCCTGCAAAGATCATGATCGTCTTCACCGCGCTCCTAGGCTTGTCGGGTTTTTTGAGCACATTTCTCATCTGCCATCCCTTCGCGTACAACTGGAACCTTTCCATCGCGGGCGGGTACTGCGGCAGTCAAAGTGCACTGTTTGCCGTATTTGCCATCTTGAATCTGGGGAGTGACGTTGTAGTCTTGGCGATGCCGATCCCGAGCCTGCTGAGTTTGCGAATGCCGGTTTGGAAAAAGGCATGGTTGTTGGCAACCTTTACTATTGGGTTCCTGTAAGAAAGAACTGCACATCTTTCCCTTCGTCCACATCCCAGGTGAGAATGGTCGGGCGCCAAGCTGACATGGCCCCTGAATCAGAACGTGCATCGCCAGCATCATCAGGCTTGTCTACCTCTCCAAGATCGACTACAACGACGTGACGTACACCTCGGTGACGGCAGTCCTCATGACGGCCGTAGAGCCTTCGTTGGCTGTGATGCTGGCATGCATCCCTCTACTTCGGCCACTTCTCGGGCAGATACGACGGCCAGAGAATGAATACCAGAGGTCTCCCAAAAGCGTGGGATTTTCCACATGGATGTCGAGTGCGTGGAGCAGGAGCAGGACGTTCAACTCATCCAATAAAAGGAGTACGGTACAGAGAGAACTGTCCTCAGGCCTGGTGAGACTCGGGTCTTCGGAGGCGCACCTGAATAGTAAGAACACCGTCATGCAGTCGGCGGTCCTCAACAACTCGAGGTCTATCAACACGAGGTATGACTCGGACGACGCCGTGGAGCTGAGATATGTCCTGTCGCCTGCCGAGGGCGTGTCGCATCATGCCCATGTGGAAGCATTGTCTCGAAAGGGCAGCGTGTCAGTCGGTGGAGACGAGCTGATCCGACAGCAGCTGAAGGATATCGAGGCCGCACATCCAGGAATCAACGTTGGGGGAGGTGGTGGGATCACGATCATGGTGAAGCAGGAGTGGAACGTGGAGCATGAGCCAAAGGTGCCCCCATAAAACTTAGTCTAGACATCAAGAAAAAGTGTTGTGATTTTTTAGATCTTTTTTCTTCCCACCTCGAAAGGACTCTAGCCAAGGTGAGTGGCATGACTTGTGGTGAAAACCTTACTCTTGACATGAATCAGAGGCGTGCATCTCATGAAGGTTTGTCGAACTGAAGCAGAACCAGAAAGGATATCAGGTAGCTTGAGAGGAGCGCAGGATCGCAGGAACAGGTGAAGTCAGTTTAGAGAAAGATGACGATATACGAGGTACGGGGGTTAGTTTCTGGGGTTGAGGTATTTTGGATGGTCGTGGCATCGTTGGTATGGTCGTGGATGCTCTCAAGTCAAGTCGAGTTGCTGCAAGAGGACGAGATGACGATGTATTTACTGGAGGACGCCAGTGATGTTAGGTACTACGGTACTCGTGACTAACAGCAGCAGGGACTAGGACTAGTAGAGACAGAGGGTGGCATTCTACTACGGTACATAGAGGCTTGGACCCTGCTGCTCGCGACCCCACCAAGCGCTAACTCAAACTGGCTACCAGCTTGTTCCAGGGGCTGAGACACTCAGAGACACGGCTTGACAGGCGAAAGTTTCGTGGACGTCACGACCCAAAGCTCCCAAATCCATACAACGGTTCTATACTGTACTGCCAATTGCAAGACGACGACCACACTCCTTGCTGGGCATGCCTGATGACTTCAGTCCCTACCACACCCTCAAGACATCAAGGCTGAACTGATACCCACCCACGATGTCTTCCAAGAAGGCAGAAGCTGAGGCAAGACAGCAAACAGCTGCTCACGGCTACGAGTTTGGCGGACCGTGAGTGCGATTCTTGCCCACCACCCTGTGTTGGATATGTTCTGGAATGGAACCCGGGCAAACTGACATGATTTTCCTCTTATTAATCTCTCTCTTCTCTATTTAGTCTCGGAGCTGCTGGCGTGTCATTCGGCCTGCCTATCCTTCTGTACCTCTTCACCTTCGCCTGCAACGACACCACGGGCTGCCCTGCCCCCTCGCTGCTCTCTCTCAAGACCATCAACATCGAACAGCTGAAGCGGGAAGCCGGATGGCCTGCTAATGGCATCGCGGGGCTATTTAGCCTGGAAGTTACTGGCTGGACACTGGCCTACTACCTCTTCAATGCCATCCTATACCGCGTCCTTCCTGCGACGGTGGCCGAGGGCGTCGAGCTCTCTAGCGGTGGCAGGCTCAAGTACAGGCTGAACAGCTTCACCTCGATCGTCTTTACTCTTGTTCTCTGCCTCGCCGGGACGATCCAGCAGGGTGCTTCGTTCCCCGTCTGGACCTTTATGACCGACAACTACGTCCAAATCCTCACGGCCAACATCTTGATTTCGTATGCCATCGCTACCTTTGTCTACGTCAGGTCGTTCGCCGTCAAGGCTGGAAACAAGGACCTCCGCGAGCTGGCGGCAGGTGGCCACACCGGCAATGTCATGTACGACTGGTTCATTGGGCGGGAGCTGAACCCTCGCGTCACCATCCCTCTCATCGGTGAGATCGACATCAAGGAGTTTCTGGAGCTTCGGCCCGGCATGCTCGGCTGGATCCTCTACAACTGTGCCCATGTCGCCAAGCAGTACCGCACCTATGGCTTCGTCTCGGACAGCATCGTGTTCGTCACCCTCATACAAGCCATCTACGTCCTCGACGGCGTCTTTATGGAGTCTGCCATCCTGACGACCATGGATATCACCACGGACGGGTTTGGCTGCATGCTCTCGTTTGGAGACCTCGTCTGGGTCCCCTTCTCCTACAGCATGCAGACCAGGTACCTCTCTGTCTATCCCGTGACCCTTGGCCCAGTCTACCTGACAGGAATGGCCGCCCTGCTTATCACGGGATACTCCATGTTCCGCGCCGCCAACTCTCAGAAGAACAACTTCCGCACGAACCCGGACGATCCTCGCGTGGCACACCTGACCTACATAGAGACCAAGACCGGCTCGCGCCTGATTACCTCGGGCTGGTGGGGCACTGCCCGTCACATCAACTACCTTGCCGACTGGATCCAGGCGTGGCCCTACAGCCTGCCCACGGGTGTGGCGGGCTATCTCATCCAGACGGCCGGCACCAACGCAGAGGGTGCGTTCAAAATGGCCGACGGGAGGGAAGTAATTCAGGGTGCCGCGCGAGGGTGGGGTATGATCTTCACATACTTTTACGTCGTCTACTTCGCCGTGCTGCTGATTCATCGTGATGGCCGGGATGACGAGAAGTGCCACCGGAAATATGGAGAGGACTGGGAGAAGTACAAGAAGGTCGTGAGGTGGAGGATCGTGCCATATGTCTATTAATGTACATGAAGTGGCAGAGGAGATTTGCTGAGTCGAGTTCTCCGTGTATATGTGTCTCGACTGGTGTGTCACATATGGGCGGGTTGTGTACAAGGCACTTCCCCTTACGAGGTGGATCGATTCTAATCCTTGTGGTTTGCCTGTGTCAGCAGCATCATGTGGAAATCATTCTGGTATTGCATTGGGGTTGGTTAATTGAGTTGGGTCTATATTCTGTGTCTCGGAACAATAATAATTACTTTGGTGGTGGTGCTCGTACATAGTATATTTTTCATTTTACAGCATTGTACTAAATGCTCGAGTGCTTGCTTAGGCCCTGGTGAGCAAGCAAAGTAAAGCATATCTCTGTACATAGTGGTACAGTGTCTCAGTGAAACGTGGTATAAGTGGCCGGACCTACAGGAGGTTAGGTAGGGCACGGTAGGGGTGGGGGTTCAACCAGGCTATTAATTAGTACTGTACTTACTTACTCCCTTGAGTTGGTGGAGGATCTTTCAGTGGCAGGTGAGCAGAGGCAGGCCCTCCCCCCCCCCCCACCCCCTCCCAGGTGCCCCCTGTCCAACCCCTGAGGCTGACGTCTCCTTCCCCGGGTGCTAAACTGGCGGCCGTGACAATGTGTCCCCTGTTCATTTCCTGCCTCTCCAACATTCTTGTTCGCAACTGATGGAGCTTTTTGAAATCGACAAACGTTTCGAGAGGACAGCCGATTGTTGAACGAACATCTACGAAAACCTTCACTAAAACCTTCAAGGACGCACCACGAGACTTTAGTTTTCGCATTCCACTGCCCACGCGATCCGCGACTCGTATTTGCGAATACGCCCATTGACGACTTACACTGGGAAGAAGCACAGGGCAGCTTATAAAGTACTCGGCGCCGACACGGTCAATCCGCTGCTCCACAACCTTGAACTACGACGATCTCAACGACGATCTCGACAATAACGACACCGACGACCATCCCTCGAACATATACAGGAGTTTGACGTGAGGGAGAGTTACTGTGCGCCATCGAAGAGAGAGAGGGCACTAGAAGAGAAAGAGAGAGAGACACACACACAGACATGGTGTCGCGGTCAGGTCTGCTGCTCCTAACAGCAGCCCTCCTCTTCGGAGGCCCCTCGCTTGCTTTGGCTGCCGACGACAAGACCCCGACGACCACAGCCTGCACCGCAATATCCACAAAGGGCGGGTCATTCTTCGACCTACGGCCAGACATCGCCGTCGCGAAAAAGGACGGCAAGCACCAGCAGCGGGCGTCGACGGAGGACTACACGGTCAAGGGCTACGATTACAACTACAATTTCACGCTCAACATCTGCGAGGCCGTGCTGAAGACGCCGGAGAGTATCGTTGGGGTAGACGAGAGCCTGTACAGGAACGTCAGCGCCTACTATACAGCAAATAATGGGAGGGTGTACTCGATAGGGTGAGTCAGTCCAACAAGTCGGGATTGTGAAGAAGGGAGCCCTACCACGGGCATCACAACTGCAGGATCAACCGGGAAAAGATTGTATTCCATGTATAACGGTGTAGGCATGTGCTGACTATCATGGGGTGCGAAACAGGCAGCAGAACGCAACACTCACGCCGCGGGGCAGCCAACTTGTTCTCCAGTACTCGAACGGCTCACCATGTGGTCCATCGTCGAGCTCGAGCATATCCAGACGGGCTGCCGCAGTCCACGAGGGCGCAGCCTACAAAGATTATATCGATGAGGATGTGTCGTACGGCAGTTCCGCCAAGAGTGGCAGCAGTGGCAGCAGCAGTGGCAGCGGTAGCAGCTACACGAGTTCCCTAGACACAGTGACGATCGCAAAGGACGACACGCGCCGCAAGTCAGCCACCATCGCCTTCCGCTGCGACCGCGACTCTGTCAGCTCGACGCCTGTCATCTCGTTCGTCGGCGCCGACCCAGACGAGTGCAATTATGTCTTTGTCGTGCGCTCGCAGCATGCATGTGCCGGCGTCGAGCCGCACAAGCCGGGCAGCGTGGGACCAGGTGGTGTGTTTGCCATCATCATGATCATCGCCATCATTGTGTACTTTGCTGGTGGAATGTTCTACCAGCGGAACGTGGTTAATGCCAGGGGCTGGAGGCAGCTGCCAAACTACACCTTTTGGGCTGGGATCTGGAGCTTCATCACGGTCGGTAGTCCTCCCCCCCTTTTTTTTTTTTCTCAGCGAGAGAGAGAGAGAGAGAGAGAGAAAGAGAGAAAGAGAGAGGCTCCCACATGAAGTGAACTGACAACTGACACTATTACCACGGTATTTTCAGGACTTCTTCGTCATTCTTACGTCTTCGTGCGCAAGATTTCTTCCTAGCCATCGAGGTTACCACTCGCTGTCAAGATCACCAAACGGACGAGGGATGGGCAGGAGTAGGGAAGATGAGGACAGGCTGATTGGGCAGCTGGACGAAGAATGGGACGACTGAGCTAAGAACTTTATACCTCAGTACCATGTATCTCTGGATGCAGAGACTTTGGAAAATAATCAAAGCAAAGAAAGAGAAGAAAAAAATATACCATGGGAAGGTTGGAAATTGACGGCGTTCATCACACAAGGTAGAAGAAAGGTACAGAGCCATTTTTGTGTGTCTTACCCTTTCAACCCTCTGTTCATACATCGGAGCATATGGAGTTTGATCTATGTTCAGCAATTACTACTGTCTACACATATCCCTCCCTTCTTGTCCCTTTCTGTCTCTCTCAGAAGACCTTGAACTCGACCAAGCGCACTTGCGTCCCAGAGGCCGGCACAAACACAAGCCTGACCTGTTCGGTGGTCACACTGGACCACTCTACATTAGTGATGCCATTGGCGACGGCATCCTCCTGCACCAAGGTCGTGACATCGACCCACGACGCGTCGCTGCTGCTGCTGCTGCTGCTGTTCGCATACTGCACCGAATAACTCACAGGCACCGCAAAGGTCCCATTGACGGCAGCAAACGTGCCGTCCTCGTACGTGTAGAAGCCAGCCTCGCCGCCCTGGTAAAACGCAATCTCGGCACGGCTGATGTCTGTCTCGGCGCCAAAGTTGACCGAATACCACTGCGACGTCTCGCCGTCGCCCTCGGCGCTGTCGTACCCGTTGACGATCTCGGTCCAGAACCACACGCGGCCGTCGATGGCATCATGAATCTGCTCGGCATCCGCACCCACGACAGAGGCGTTGCCGTACGGATACGCCGAGTAGTCCTGCAGCTGAACGGACTTGGCGAGCGGCCTCGCGATGGCAGGCGGGTCGGCGGCGGCGGCGGCGGCGGCGGCGGGCAGGGTGGCCAGGAGGCGCTGCAGCGTGGACGAGGCGTTAGCCTGGGCGCCGTCGACGCTCAGCAGTAAGCCCGCGGTGCCAAAGTGGCTGCCGTCGGCGTCCCACTGCACGCTGACGTTGTGGCCGTGGTACAGCACGTTGTCGACGCGGAACCAGGCCACGGAGCCGTCGACGAGCGGGTTCACCTCGAGCACGTCGTCGGAGCGGGGCCGGATGCCTACCAGGCCCGACAGGATCAGGTCCACGAAGCCGGAGTGGAAGTAGTGCGGGCTGCGGGCCAGCCACACCAATGCGCTGCCGTTGTTGGGGTAGTAGTCCTCGACAATGTTGAGCGCGCCGGCGTCATCATAATGCAGAGCGGCGTAGGCACGGAGCAGGCCTACATAGTCGCTGACGGTGATGACGTCCTGGTCGTAGTGGTCCAGCAGGTTCGACAGGCCGCCCAGCATGCTGGTGGTCTGAAAGGGCCACACGGGGCCGTTCCACTGGCACTCGCGCAGCCCTGTCACGGCGTCGTAGCGGTACTGCCGCATGTAGTACTCGTAGCTGGGCTCGACGGTGCCCAGCAGGCCCGAGCCGGTGAGCAGGTCGGCCGTGCTGAGGGCGTGCGACCAGGCGGCCGCGTAGGTCTCGTTGTTGGGCACGACGTCCCAGTTCCACGGCGTCAGCCCCACCAGCTCGCGCCCGCGGATAAAGTCCCAGTATGTCACGTACGTGCTGTCGTCCTGGTAGTACCGGTCGATGAAGTGCTCCAGGGTTGCGTTCCACAGGCTGGCGGTGAAGTTGCCCTGGATCGCTGCGGCGCGGGCCTCGTACGTGGCGGCTGTGGCCGTGTCGCCTGTGGCCGAGGCGATGTGGGCGATGGCGAGGGCGTTGGCGTACATGTAGCTGTTGATGGACGGGCGGAAGGCCTCGCCGCCCGTGAAGCCGTCTTCCCCGCCAGAGGCGTCGATGCTGCTGATGGTGTACTCTGTCGCGTCGTACAGAGGCTCGATCCAGTACAGGAACTTGGTGTCGTCGTAGTGGTCGGCCCACTCGTCGTAGATGGTCTCCATGGCGGCATGGTGCTGTGAGATGGACGCAAGGTCGCCGTCCACCAGGTACGTCCGCCACACCGCGTCTGCGATGGCCTCGCTAAAGTGCCTGTCGTTGCCGTACGTGGCGCTCTCGTCATGGTACGTGTACATGAAGTCGATGTAGTCGTGGCTGTACCGCCTGTCGCGCAGCCAGCGGCCCTCGCCCAGGTGGAAGCCCGTCGCGTCGTTGAGCGAGGCGAACGGGAACAGCTCCCACGAGACGTCGTCCAGGAACTCGGTCGAGATGAAGCCCAGGCTGCCCAGGTCGCGCTGGTGCGCCCGGAAGATGTTCCAGCGGTAGTAGTAGACATCGTTGAGCGTGGCGTCGCTCGACTGGAAGAGCGGGATGCGTGGGATGTACCAGGGGGCGTCGTTGCCAAAGTACTCTTCGCAGATGGTCGTGGCGTCCAGCTGCTGGGCTGTGGTCAGAGGGCATAGGAGGAGACCCAGCTGGGCGAGGAGGGAGAGGAGGACGAGGGAGGCAGGACGTCGAGCCATGGTCGTACTTCTGTAGAGGGCGTTCTTGTTGGCAAGGACGTGTAACCCGAGTATGTTATGAATCCTCTCACGCCTCCAAGGAGAGGGTGTCAAATCTGCTTCATCCGGCTGAGATGTCCATGATCCTCTTTTCTCCAGCAGCAGTTCTCAAGGTTGGCCTCCTTTATAGGAAGTCTTCGTATGGAAGCCTTGAGTCCATACAGTGACATCGTGTGTACACAAAGGTCGACGTCACTACACCAAGACTTCGTATAAGCCTTAACCCCCTAAACCAAATCCAACTCTCGTCCATCTCTGCCTTCGTTTTCCAGTAGTGAGGCCGTGTGGACCGCATGGACGGGCGGGCGGACGGATTTCCTCTTCTCTCCGCTAGATGTGGTCACGAGGGTCGTAGCACAATGATACCCTTTTCCCCAGAATTCTTGGTACTGACTTTATTGACTCGAGTAACCGAACAAGGAGCGGGCGCAAAGAAGGAAATTGGACAAGGGAAAAAGGCCCGTCCCCCGCTGCGGTTCATTGGAGCGCATGTCTTGGGGAACGGAGGACCCGCCTTTGCACCGGGGTAGAGATGTGCCGATGGGGAATGTCAGTGCGAAGTATGTACTAATTAGGCGCTTGTAAATTAAAAAGCCTTTTACCTTTGTGGAAATGAATGAGTGTTGATGTTCGACAAATACTCCCAATATATATTGCCTGTTTGGGCAGCTCTCGGCTCAGGTTATCTGTAAAGGGGCGGGAATACGGCGTGGCAGCTGTCTGCAACGGTTCAGCATGCATCTTGACGAAAATGGATAAACTCACACAATATTCGCTGTGTCTTTGGGAGCGAAACTGACCTGCTGGGATACCAATCTGATTGTGCTAATGATAAACCGATCAGCAAGGAGGCAACATAGTCTCACTCGGGTCATTCGACATTATGAATACAGTTGACTGGTAAATATTAACAATGTAGTATCGTGCGTAGAAAATTGTTGTGTCTACTGATGAAAATGTTTGTAATTCTATACGAACAGAGAATACAAGGCCCTCCTTTTGTGCAAATTGTCTACAATGTAATCCCAACAACAATAGCTATGCATTTTGGTTCTTGTGGGAAAAAGACAAACGTATTCAGCCCGACACTGGCTATACCTAATACTTCTCCACGAGTCTGCATTTATGAAGTATCGTCGTCAACTGTAACGGATAACAAAATAATAATGCCTCGTGGTGTTCAGACAATTCGGAACAAAGCACACTACATGCCATCACAAAACAAGAAAAGTGATTTTGAGGGGCTCTCAAAGGAGACAAACATGATGAGGCTCAGAGAAACTCATCCGAAGCTTTTCGTTGTCATACTTGGGTACGAGAGGAAAGAAAGTTTCTCACAGCGTCAAATTATCTGTCAAGCATCTCTATAGCCCCTATCTTTTCCCTTTCAATGGTTCAAATTCCAAGGCATTGGCTCAGAAAGTTTTACGCATGCATGCAAATAAACGTCACCATCAAGGTCCCTATGTCCAGTCTTGACTTCGAAAGGCTTTTTCCTTCAGAAGTCCCGACAGATTTCTATGCCACAGCTAAATCATAGACAAAGCAGAACAAAACTTTGAGAAAGCAACTCCTTGTTTTCAATATTGTTTCGATCATGACTTTTACTACCCATTCCTTGTTTTAACAAGGGGTCCAAGACAATGAATTCGCCGATGGCACGAAGCCTCCCTCACTCGTCCTCCCCAGGAGGTCGTTCGTATCCATTCGTACTTACCAAGTAGTAAACACAACCGTCAGGTCAAATATTTCCCTTATGCTTCCCCCCCCCAAAAACGTTATTATGCTCACCGGAAAGATTATTCTCATCTTTAGTGATCTGTAGTGAGAACGCCGTCACAGTCTGCATACCCATCAAGCCCAGCCAGATGCTTTCAATAGTCATTAATATTTTAAAAGCCTCATCTTCTAACACTATGTACGTAAAAGTATATAACTCATTAACCTACCAGCTCATTTTCATAAAGAACCTGGGCAGCAGGAGACCGAACCCATCATCTCAAATTTCCTTCCCTGCATCCCTACGACAAGGAAGCGCTCAGGTCCAGTTTCCTGCTGCTCCGTCCGACATAGACCGTCTTGGGGTAGCTGCTGATCACCCAGTCCTGGGAGACCGTGTCCCAGTTGCTCAGATCACGCCGCGTCAGCTGCACCGTGAACGTCGCCGTCTGGCCCGCCGCGATGGTGAGGCGGTCGAACCCGCGCAGCACGACCTTGGGGTCGTCGGGACCACCGAGGCTGAGGTACAGCTGGGGCACCTCGTCGCCGTCTAGGGACCCCGTGTTCTGGATGTCCGCTGTCACGGTGTACAGAACGTCCCAGAGGCCCGGGTTGCCACCTGGTGCTCCTGAGGCGGGCAGCAGGGGCTGCGGCGCCGACGAGGTGGCGTTGGGGGGCAGGAACTCGGCGGCGGTCTGGCCGTAGCTGGAGTCGTTGGAGGCGGCCTCGAGGGAGGTGGTGGAGTTGAGGTACGGGTAGATGTAGGCCGTGATGTAGTCGAAGCTGCCCTGTGGAAACGCGTAGTCGGCGATATCCGTCGAGAAGTTGCTGCTGCCGATGATGGGCGCCGCGGCAGAGTAGCCCGTGTTGGCGACGTAGGCGCTGGCGTTGGTCACCTTGGTGACTTGGAGGTTCGAGTACTCGAAGGTGGTGTATGAAAGGCCAAAGCCGAACTCGTAGATGGGCGTGGCGTTGGTCTTGTCGAAGTAGCGGTAGTCGATGAAGACACCCTCGGTGAAGTCGTCCTGGGGTGCTCCGTCGCCGTTGTTGGGCTCGTATAGAACATCTGTGCCATAGCTCTCGCGCGTGGCGCCCCAGGTGAAGGGGGAGCGGCCAGCAGGGTTGACGGCGCCGAAGAGGACGTCAACGAGGGCATTGCCAGACTCCTGGCCCGGGAGACCGGCCCAAAGAATGGCGGTGATGTTGGGATGGTCGTACCAGTCGGTGAGCAGGGTGGGCCCGACGCTGTGGATGACCACGATGGTGTTGTTATTGATAGCCGAGACATTCTTCACGAGGTCGTCGCCGGCGTTCCAGTTGGTCAGGTTGTTGCGGTCGCCCATGTTGCCGTCGACGTTGATATAGCCCTCGCCGCTGTCGGCGTTGATGAATACGATCGCCGTAGAACCCGCCTGCCGGACAAGTGTCTCGATCTGGCTCGTCGCATAGTTGTCAAGGACGCTCTCGTAGCGGCCGCCATAGGACAGGACCTGTTGCTGTACGGCGCTGTCGGGCGTGACGAGGTAGGGGAAGTCAGAGGTGCCGGATCCCCAGCCCATGGCCAGCGTGCCATTGTCACAGCCATGGTCACCGGCTGCGCAACCGTTCGGGCCATACAGAGCAGGGCCAGCGTCTTCACCAATCACGGCGACGAACTTGGGTTTGTCCAGGGGAAGGACGCCCGAGTTCTTGAGGAGGACGGTGCCCTTGGCGCCGATCTCACGGATGACGGCGGCATGCTCGCCGCGGACGTCGACGTGCTGGTTGACCTGTTGCCAGCCCTCCTGCGCGTAGTAGTAGGCGTTCTGGTAGGTCTCCCTGGTCCAGGAGGAGAAGTTGGGGCCGGGCTCGTCGAGGGTGAAGCCGACCTTGTAGAGGGCGGCCATGATGCGCAATGCCATATCATCGAGGCGGTATAGGGGCATGGTCTCGTTGAGGACGGCAATGGTGAGGTTGGAGCCCCAGTAGGCGTCGCCTGTATCGAAGGCGGTGTCACCAGGCATGCACATGTCTGTTGGGGTTGATTAGCCTTTGGTATACTGAGAGCTGGGGCAATGTATATTAGATCAGAATTGTAAAAGGAAAAAAAAAAAAAAAACCTACCAAGGCCGGCCACAGCGCCCGCGACACCAGTGTGCTGGGCAGACCAGTCACTCATGACGAAGCCCTGGAAGCCGAGCTCGCCCTTGAGAATGTTGTTGAGCATCTTGGAGTTCTGGCAGGCGTACGAGTTGTTGATCTGGTTGTATGAGCACATAACAGAGCCCACACCAGCCCGGACCGCATCTGCAAAGGGCCAGACGTAGAGCTCGTGCAGGGTCTTGTCGTCGATATTGGAAGAGATGGACTCGGTGATGTTGAATCCATACCCGACAGCCTCTGGCTCCTGACGGAAGTGCTCTGGTTTTTTTTTTGATGATGCTGTTAGTACAGTCAAGCCTAGTTTTGTTCATTTCAAGTATACACAATATACCACATACCTTGCTCGTTGCCTATAAAGTGCTTGGCTGTAGCCACCACACCCACAGACTGGATGCCCTTGATGGTCTCGGCCATGCCAACACCCGTCAGCACAGGGTCGACAGAGAAGCCTTCCCAGTTCCTGCCGCCCTCGGGCGAGCGGCCAAGGGGTCCTGCGACGGGTCCCAACTGGACGTCGACACCCTTGCCCTTGTGCTCCTGGCCCATGGCCAGGCCGCGACGGTACATGAGGTCACGGCTCCATGTCGCCGCGGTGGTCTGGCCCGAGGGAAAGGCCGAGACCCAATCGGCGAAGCGGACACCGAGCGGCGAGTCCTGCATACACAGACTGCGGATGCCCAGGCGGGGTACGCTGCCGGTGTTGCCCACGCAGAGTCCACCCTCCCAGCTGTTATATGATCTTGTCAGCCTTGTGCCTGCGTTATAGTACAATAGTATAGGACTAGCCTTGGTGGAAAAGGGCAGGATACAAGGAGGAAATACACTCACCCGACGCCTGTTGTCAGGTTCACCTTCTCCATGATGGTCATCTGTGAGACGATGGCCTTGGCCTGGGCGTAGGCATCCTCCCAACCCTCGGCGTTAGGATCCATCCATGGCGAAGGGTAGAATGGGTCTGAGGAAGCGAGCTCAGACTGCTGCCGCTCGTGAAGCTGTAACGTGATCAACGTCAGCACATATCAACCAGAGTCACATGTATGTGTGTAGACATTGACTTGATGGTTGACGCATGGCAGAGTGCCCGACTGGTATGCTGCCATACAAGCTGACCAGCAAGGCCATGTCCCCCAACTACGAGATCATGCATGCTTGTGTGAATACGTACCTCGTTCGTGGCAATGGCTGAGCCGAGGCTCGCCAACCAGAGAACAGCCGCAGCTGGTCCTTTCATGTTGTCTCTCTTTGTGTGGAAAAGAACTGTCTCTTACTGGTCCCCCAAGATGCTTGTGTGCGTATTGCTTCCAAGCCACCTTGACGAGGAATAGGAAGGGGAGGGATAGCCAATTGGGACTTTATATGGCTTTGTGATATGAACAGAGACAGGGAGACATTCACCAACAGAAAGAGAGGGAGGGTGGGGGGGGGGGGATGGAGTGTGAAATGGATGGCCTCAAAAGTAAAAAGGCCTTCACTTTCCTTCACAGGACGGGGCGGGGCTGGAAGGGTTAAATAAATAAGAAAATAAGCATGTGTGAATCAACAAACAGCTGAGGTATGTGAAAACTGGGGTATGGATCTTGGATCTACCGGGGTAGTAAGTAGTACAACGTCAGGGACGGGACCAAGGAAAAATAAAAGGAAAACCCATCAGGAGACCAGGAGAACGTCACGATGTGATCGACTATGCAGTATACTATAGATCAACCAGGTTACCCCTTGGCAACGTATGACCACAAGAGTTACTTGTTCCTGTTGCTGCTGCTCCTCCACTATCAACACCACCACTCAGAAAACCAAAGGAGAAAATATGCTCCAAAAACCACAGACCATCGTACATACCTTACACCACTGATGGGAGAGGACCCGCCCACCCAAGCTCGGAATCATCCATGACGGCAGAAGCTTGGAGTTACTCCGCAGGAAAATACATCATCACAAGAGGAGCAGGGAAATGGGAGTAGAGAGAAGAAACAAATCGGAAGAATGGAAGGAAAAAAAAAAAAAAAAAAAAAAAAAAAAAGGATTATGTTCGGCGTCATTCTGGTCTGGCATGGGCCTTGATCCCTGTGACGGGCTTGTGCAGGTCAGCCCTAGGCCTCGTTCGATGAACCGTGGAAGCTCGTGTTTGTTTGTGTGGGGTGGCTGTCCCCCTTCTTTCATCGTCTTCTACCTCATGCTGCTTCTCCTCTCTCCTACCCCATAGTGGTTCGTCCCATGAACCCCACGGCAAGGAATTCAGTGCTGTAGTGGATAGTAACCGTCTTTTACCCCAGCCAAGACGGGGCCTGTTGGGCTGGGTGGGGTGGAATCGTCAGGGGGGGTGGGCGGTGGGCGGTGGCCGACCGAGAGGGGGAGAAGGGGGGGGGGGGCAACGGAGCCCCCTGGGGAAGCAGTTCAGGTCAGGTCGAGGCGAGTCCCGTCCTGCATACAGTCGATACTGCATCTGTCCTGGCTTGTGGTCACAGCACAGCAGTAGCGGTCTGTAGCCCGCCTCGAGAAGGGCCGATCACAATAACATGGCTTAGCCCTTGACAGCTCACCCCGGAACGGACCATATTCCACAACATGCTTGCTTCCTGCATCTGTCGTTTTTTCCCTTCTTTTCTCTTCTGCCTGGCGATAACCCATGCCAATGCCGTCAGTGCCGGAGGGTCGGAGTAGAACCCGGCGGCACCGGAAGTCAATCTCGGAACGCAGATGAAGAAAGAAAAGTTTGGGCTGGCTGGTTGAGGTGGGTGGGTCGTCTTGCATTGTGTGTGTCCTTGCATTGTCCAGGTTCGGATCTCTGATGCATGGTGGTAATCATCGATGCTACTCGTGTGCTGTTGTATGCATGCATGAGATGTCAGCATGCCAATATTCCCTGACGACAATTCTTTTGTCGGTTTCTTTGTTCAGTCAGCGACGACTGCTTGTGTGCGTGCGTTCGTGGGTTCGTGCGGGGGTTGCTTTTGTTAGTTTTGGTCTTTGGGGCAGGAACGACACACTGACCCGTTGCATGCCGGCGGCTGTCTGTCATCGTCATCGTCATCGTTATGCTTCCTTGAGGTACTTTTGTACCTTGTACTCAAATAATATTACGGTTATGGTTTATTGACTCCAAGATCCACTTACTATGTGCTTCCCCAATTTATTTACTTGGTCTACCCCCAGGCCTGTACAAGTACAAATCTATCTCATCATTCTCCCTCGCAAGGTACGGCGAGTCTGTCACCTATTGATTAAGTACACTCAACCCCTGCGTGAATAATTCTTTTCCCTGTCCTCTTTGCCGTTTACTTTTTGTGTTCGCCTGCCAAGATATCCTCCATCATGCCTGTTCTCTTTTCCCCGCCTTTTACAATCTCACCTCTAGCATTTCCCCAACCTTCCCCCTCTCCTGCTCTTTGTCTGGCGCCTCGATAGCATCCCTCTCCCTTCCCTAGCTCCACCACCACCACCATCACCACCACACCCACTGAAAGTTTCGTACAGAGCAACGTGACATCTACCTGATGCATATCAGCTCTGACGTGGAGCTTTGTGGCTGGTGAAATCTTCGGATGGTGGTTTGGTTGAAGAAGTGGAAGTGGTGGGTTGTCCTGTTCGTTGCTTGAAGAGGAGGACGGGGCGTGTGAGAGGCGCCGTGGCGTCCAGAGACAGAGTGATGAACAGCCAGGCAGCAATGGAAAGACTAGAGTCCTCACCATACCTAGTGGTGCATATACACTACGTATTGTCAAGACCTCTGTTTGGCCCGTTTGCTACCCTCCTTTATTTGTAACCTACAATTGCTAGTCCTCAACCCACCCCCCATCGCCTTTCGCAGCGTTGAAGCAGTAGGCACCTGGCCAGATAGAACGAATATACCCCCCATTTTAAAACGAACATATCCGATACATCTGCTCATTCTTGACAATCTACCTGAACCAAGAACCAATAGACCCTCCACGCGTAATGTGAGAAGACCTTGTCATGAAGCAATTTAACAATGGCGCCGAGCCAGACCAAGACACCCTTTTCCGGGAGGTAAAACCTCCAATGATGATGTTATCGACGCCTCAGCACACAATACTGCAAGCAACTAAGGAAGGGAGTAAAGGAGACGAAAAGAAATGGCCGAGGTAGTCAGCCACAACCAGGAGATTAGATCTTGCGATGACGCTTGGACACACACAGTCAGAACTATAGATTCAAGGAAAGCGTTGACGAGTGGTCGCGTTCAGAAATAAAACTGCTGCTGTGGTGGCTGGCCCGGTGGCGGTTGCGCGAGAAAGTCGAAGCTCATCGAGTCCAGACCAGAATTCCAAGGGTCCGGGGACTCTGTCATCAAGCCACACATGTAAGCCTCATGGCGATCCCTCCCACGAGCAGAGAGATGCGCAAAGGTGGACTCACCCCAGAAGATAGAATCGTAAAGTTCCATGGGCTCGATATACGCGTTCGGGTCGAGCGCACCCAGGTCTGGCATTCCCAGTGGCTGTTGTGTAGTCGGCCCAAAGGGCAAGCTGGCGGTGCTGACATGGTTAGCTATGACTGCGCACGTCCATACAAATGAGGGTTAAAAAAGAGAGAGAGAGAGAGAGAGGGAGAGAGAGAGATAGATAGATCAGTATCACTTACCTAGCCAAGTCGCTTATTGCGCTTCCGTTCTGCAGCTCCGCCATAGCGAGTGCAGCATCCTGATGGGGATCCAGGCCTTGTGCGCCAGTGGAACCAGCCCCCTGCTGCGGATAGGGAGCAAGTAGACTCGGATCCGTGCCTTCGGCAAGACCAACGGGAGGGTTGGTAAGTTGGTTGATAGCCAGAGGCGTGCGGGTTCCAGAGCGGGTTCCATTGTCGCGCCTGAGCGCAGAACCCATCACATGCCCGTGGTCGTATATGTTTTTCAGAGCCACGAGGGCTCGTGACAGCGGGCCGGACAGTTCAATGTCCTTGTCTGTCTTGTGGATGTGCGGCATGGGCGAGGTTTGGTCCTTGGCAGCCGTGGCCGACAGGGCCGAGATGAGATCGCCCTGGAGCTGACGAATCTCGGGGTCTGTCTTGGTCTCCGGGAGGAGGCCGAGGAGGACAGCCGAGGAGAGGCCATGGTACGTAAAGGCCCACGACCGCGTGGGAATGACCGACAGCTGGTGCATGGCGAGGAACATACGTACCGTCTCGGTGAGGTTCTCCTTGCACTTGCTGGCGAGGACCTTACTCTCGGACGAGCTGAGGTTGCTCGCCGCGCCCCGCTTGAGCGCCGGCCGGCAGCACACCGAGGCGACGAAGCTCGTATGAAGGCGGATGGCAAAGTGTTGAAGGCGATCGACAGCTGACTTGCAGGCCTCCTTGTGGCGGATCTGAGGGATGACGCGATCGCGCAGCTTCTCAATAGCCTCGCAGTTGTCAAGGATCTGCACGTAGGTCGCCTCTGCGAGCGCGTCTGGGTTGAGACGTCGGTTGATGTGTTCGCAGAGATGGTACATAGCCTCGAGGTAGGTGAGGCCACCGGTCTCGGCCTTGGGAGACAGTGGGATCGGGCAGCACGGGATGTTCGTCATGGGTGCGCTTTCTTGGGCGTCAGTAAGAGGTTTCGGGACAGCTCCGAGAGACAGGAAGACATTACCGATCAAAGGATAACGACGTTAGGGTGTCGTGCCACAGACAGCACCACCTGTCACAGTCAGCTACTTTCTCTTGGCCCGTGGGTGTTTGCTAGAGTGCAAATTCTCACCATAACTTCCTCCTGATTAGTTCTTTCCTTTGCCCCTCCGGGTCCGTCGGAGGGTGTGTGTTCACGCGGTGAAGGCCAAGCGACAGGGCAAGCCGACAGGTGAGACCGAGCAGGGCCCAAGATCCTTCGGCCTTCATATCGTTAAGAAGACTAAACGAAACAAGAAGCAAGGCCTGTATCGAATCGAAATTGGGCCTCAGGAGGAAGTTGCCAAGCCGAAGGAAGTGCATAGAGATTTGAAGGTATTTTTGCGAGCTGCTGGTTCGGATATGATAGGGCGAGTCGTGGTACTGAGAGCCCACGGCGAGCACCGCGAAGAGGATGGCGAGCCACGAAGCCGAAACTGGTTTTCTGGGCGCCTTGGTGGCGCTCCTTGCGTTCTTGGCCCTTTCCTCCAGATAGTCCATGAGTTTCGACTCCAGATCGTCAATATCGATGACGAAGCCCCAGAAGACCTGAGGGATTTCCTTGTAGGTGCGGAACAGCCTGGAAGTGTCAAAAGAAAGGGTCTTGACTGAAAGTTTTCAAGGCCTGGCTCTAGCCAAGGCGTAGAGGGGGAGAAGAAGGGCGGTGGGTTTTGGGGGTGCAACGACGGCCGAGTTCAACCTACTTGTAGACCTCCCTGTCCGACGGTAGCTCTGCCGAGATGTCGGCAGTCAGTTTCTCCAGATGCCTGGATGACATGAGGGGGAACGGGGCGGAGTTGTCCAATCCCAGAATAGACCGCATGTCCTGGCGGATGTGGTCGACCCCCTCTGGCCGGTCGTTGGGGGAGGATTGTTCCCTCAGCAGGGCAGGAATGCTGTTTTGGCCGAGATATCTCGTAACCTCAGCTGATTCGGAGTCAACTGAGATCGGGGTCAGATCACGCTCAAGCTCATCAGGATCCGTCTCTCTGGTGCGGAAGGGAATACCAAAAGGGCGCATGGCAGGATCAGACTTGATGTCGCTGCTCATCTCGCGGGAGCCATGGTCTTGGTCTTCGGTGGACAGGGCCCTCTTCTTGTTGACGTGTGCCGTCCCATCAGAGGCGCTGGACTTGGCCGACCGGTTCGGCTTGTAGGAGCACAGCTGGGGATGTTCCCTCTTGACACAGTTCTCGCATGGCTGCTTGTTGTCACACTTGACCTTGCGCTGGCGACATGGCCAACATGCGGTTCCTGTGAAGAAGAAGAGGCAAGGATTGGTGAGCACATATTCACTTCAGAGACACAGATGAGTAAACAGATAGATCAGAAATGAGGAGGTATAAGTGAGATACTATCAGGGGAACGTCGATGATAACGGCAAGTGAGGCATTTCAAGGAAGAATGAGGTACGCAGACACAATAAGGCATACCGTACCATATCGTACTTTGCGATGAGAGTGAATGATGCGGCTGGCCTCTTCCGGGGTCAGGTCGTCGACGTTGGGACCTTCATTCTGCTCCGACATGACCGTGGTCTCCAGAGCATCCGATGCGTGCAAAGATGAAACGGGTGACAGAATAGTCTCTTCCCAAGTTTCCCTCTCTCTCTCGGCTGTATCTTCAAAGGGGTGGTGGCGTTCGTCCTCGCCGGGCTCTGCCGGGAACGGAAAGGCGAGGCACAGATCGTTTACTAAGATGTAGTCGATCTCATAAGATGATATTGAAGTTGATTTAAGTGGAGAAGCGTAAGCTGAGGCTGATGTGGGGGTTCCGAGGTATGTTGTTGGTCGGTGGTGGACGACGGTTGAAGTCTTCTCTGTGGTTGAGAGGGGCCGCCTGCTGCCACCCACTGTGACGTGACTGGAAATGCAGATAACGTTTCGATATATGTGTGGCAAAGGGGCCTCTCTCTGCTGAAAGCAGAAGCACTTGTCGAGCCAGCCAAGCCAAGAGAAAGTGAGTGAGTTCAATGACCTGGTTGGAGGGCTGTTGGGTGAAACAAAGGCGCTCAAAAAGTTGGTGGTCGTGAGTGATGTTGTGCTGTGCTGGGCGGCAAGCAACACTAGAACTCTGTCTGTCATCCCAACCCCACCAGACTTGATGCAATTGTGTGTGTGTATGGTAAGCAGATCCTTGTGATTTCATTGGATCAAATCAGCTGGGTGGGGCACTTGCCACTGTGACTTCCGCTGTACAGGCGGGCGCTACTATGGACCGAATTGCTGGCAGGCGGGTTTGACAGGCATCACCGCTCCATCCTAGGGCAGGGCACAAGGCACTGACACCACTAGGTACAGGGGGCTGCGGAGATTTTTGCAAGGGTCTAAGACTTCAGTGATCTACTGTGGTATAGTGGTTGCCCCTTTCAAGAACATTGATTGCTTAAATAAGTAAGTACTTTAGGGGCCATCGCAGCTCTGCACGCCTGAAAATAGAACCACTGCAGTGGAAGGAAGACCTTAAGGTTTGGCAAACCATGGACAGGCCATACACCATGACGAGTCAAGATGTCCTCCCTCTTGTCCCCACTCTTTTCTCTCTCTTCCCCTCCTCCCTCACACTCACATACACACATCTTGCTGCTGCGCTTCCTCAACACCACCATTTAAGCATTAACATCGCTTTTGTCTTCCTGCCATGGCCATGGCACAGCTTGCTCACGAAAGCTATTCCGTCTGTGCCACAATGAGCATGGATTACAGAGTCAATCTGGAGGAATGACTTCCTGATCCTGTCGACAGCAATGCAGCAGGCACAACATGACAGCTATTTTCAAAACGATACACTATCAAAAGAAGTCCTCACGGCTTACCTAATGTGCCACTCTTGACGCCCATCTCGACATGGGCCATTGACATGGACCCACGACCCCCTCCTTCCCCCATGATGGCTGGTCGCCCTTGCAACCTTGTGATAGGCTGAGTATGGACAAGCGCCTCTTTCAGCTGTGAATTGAAAGTGCATTTCGAAAGCACGAACTGTTTACATATTTTCTACCCCGCTGATGGGTCAGTCCTCGAGATTGGGGGCGTTTCAGCTCGTTCCTACGACAAGTGGCTACTCATTCAACCTCTGCTCCTACTGATCACCACCGTTTCCTCTCCTCAAATTGACAAGTTGCTGCATCTTCGGTCGACTGCTGCTCGAGGGTTAACTTTCAGGGCAGCCCGCGGAAGTACGAACAGCGAGCGTCGTTGGTGGTTGTACGGTATTTTCCGGCCCCTTCTTCCTGAACATAGCTCTGGCCGCCATTACGCGCTTGTGCTACGAACCTACGCGATCGCGACAAAGAACTTCCGACGACTTTACTTCAGCATCCATTGACCGCTTCCAAAGTCAACGCCTGGCCACAGTCTTGCTGGTAAGACACATCCCCCTGTCACCGTCGTTCGCTCCCTAGTCCCTCTCGAAAGGCCGTCGTCCTCTTCGAAATGGGAGATGCTCTACGTGTTTTCTCCAAGCTCACAGCATTCTCTTCCCTGGCACCTCAAGATAGCTCAGATGGGGCATCGTGAAAGTGGAAGCTGACCTTGGGAGTTCCTGTGTAGACCTCTTCAATCCTGTCTCGATCGGGCTACTTCCGGCTGGGGCCGCCCCGACCCGTCTGTCTGCACTGACCACCTGCCACTGTTGGGTCTGCTTCTGCTTTCTTGGTCGACGATGAACACTTCCCAGGGCCAAGGCCAAGCGCGAGCGCAGCCCCACCCACGAGAAGATCTGCACCGCTTCGTGAATGAGCTCAATGTTCGCTACAACATCGGCATCCCGATTCCTGATCCTGGTCTCACTCCAGCCATGCGGAGAGAGACCGAGGATGCTGCCGGGAGGATCTACAGACGTCTTGAGACCCATTTCTTCATGGGAGGGCTAAGTACGCTCAACGACCTCCTCGTCAACTTTGACTATGAGGCCAAGGGCTTCTGGTCGAATTGGGTCCAGAAACCCGGCGCCGATCCCAGTACCCTTCCACAGACTGCACAACCACCTCTTGCCGCCAGTCTTGTGCAGAGGGACTGGCTTCAGACCATTTTCAACCGCCTCCTTGATGAGGCGAAGCCGAACACACGAGAACCTAGAGTCTTTGCAAGGACAAGAAGCGGGCCTAGCGCCTTCGCTGCATCCTCTTCACGAGGCAGTTTGGCCGTCTCTGACGGCGCGACGCTTGACCCTCTCAAGAGGCGCCAGGATGACTTACAGGCCGACAATCCCGCTAAGAGACGGAAGGCCGCTGCTGTCCAGGACTCAGCTGCTTCCACTTCCGCTTCTACCTCGGCCTCCGCACCCAGTCGTCCCGGGCCACGTGCTGATACAGGTCGTGTCGATGTGTCTGGCCCTTCAAGTGCTGCAGTGGCTGCACCACCAGCCTTGTACAGGCCCGGAACAGAGCCTGCTTCTAGGTCATTCGCCTCAGTGAGCACTGCTGAAACGTCTTTTCACTCAGCGATCTTCTCCGATGCCGATCAGCCAATACCTACCCAAGACACTGTGGAGGTAAGTATGCCGGAGCAGTATCAGCAAACACAATGTTCCCAACAATCGTATGTTGACACACCGTCCTCGGGGACGCAAGCTGCCCTTCTGAAATTGTTTCAAGAATATGAAGATCTTGCCTCCAAGCCGAGTGGTAAAGACCCATCATCATCCACCATTGAGCCGTCAGATGCCGTGATTTCGTCCGGACCAGCAGATGGCTTCGTCTCTGCGACCGAGAGAGTCGGCGCGAAGGAAATTGTCACAGCAGAGGAAGGTGTTCCCGTCATGCAACAGCGATTGCGAGGTGTGTGGCCAAAATGTCCTAGCTGGTTGCGAGCCGCCCCATTTCCAGTGGTCTGGGAAGTAACAAGGGTTGCTCAAAGCTGCAATGTGGATCTAATGACAGTGGCAAATCTTCAATACGACAAGGAATGGCACGAGCAGAAAGCTCTGCGGAGGGCTCTGTGGAGGCATGAGGCCTTTCAGGGCAAGGCCTTCCCAGAGCCTTCAATGGACGCGGCCTGGGCTGCTAGTATTGATCCGTCCACTTGTCTGTTCGACCAACAGGTTGTTTATTCGGCATCTTTGGACCTGATAAGGTCGGTTCCGAATGTTCGTTTCTCCATGCAGCCGTTGAAGCTGGAGCGATCACATCGGCTGGCACGCCAGTTTGGAGCCGATCGCTTTCTGGAGCTGCTCTTGCCCTCGCCCGACTCGTCCAACCTGCGGGCTTACATCAGAGACGATGGTTCCTTCTTTAATGCCGTCGTCGCATGGTTATCAGATGACCATGCCTTGTGTGGACGTATGTGGAAGGCATTCTATACCAAGAGCGGTGGGTCGCGGAAGCCCCAGAAGGACCTACAGATCGGACCAGATCCGAGGCCAGTCTACAAGGATCGCATTTTCTTCTTTGCCGAGAAGAGTCAGAGTGATAACTCTTTCGAACGAGTATCGCTGCTCATGATGCTGAGATGGGCCCTGAATATTCGCAACCACAAAAACAGGTCCCAGCCTGCATTAAAGTTGTTTCAGAGAATATCACTTGGTAAGTGTGGTGGCGTCCCCGAGGCGAACTAAAGAGGGAGGCGCCGGTCCCAGGCTCATTCTTTCATTGTAGTCCTCAGCAGAACTAGCCCGACAGTCATCTTCGAACCCAGCCAGATGAGGCATTACCTAGAGGACATTGTCTCCCCCACAGGCAAGGTCATGAATGACGGCATTGCCAGAATGTCACCCGCAGTCGCAAAGGCGATCCGGGATCGTCTTGGGCTTTTGACTATCCCTTGTGCCATCCAAGGCCGCCTCGGCAGTGCCAAGGGCATGTGGATCGTCAGCGAGGCTCCAGGGGCCCCTTTCAGCGACGAGATCTGGATAGAGACATATCCTTCTCAGCGGAAGTGGGAGCTGGACTGGGGAAAGGCTGACCCTCAGCACCGGACGCTGGAGATACGCAGCTACGCCTCGATGCCCAAGCCGGCGAGCTTCAATCTTCAGTTTCTTCCTGTTCTTGAGGATAGAGCTCCTGATAAGGGCCTGATGAGAGAAGCAGTCGGGAGCTTGCTTAAGGATAACCTTCAGAGAGACCTAGATGGACAGAAGAAGGCGCTGCAATGCCCTCTTCAATTCCGACAGTGGTGCCATGAGAATTCTAGGCACAAATTCGACCGGATTGTTCATGGCCACGTACCATATCAGGGTGGCTCGCCTGTGGAGGACGAGGAACTCATGAACAGTATGCTTGATGCTGGCTTTGAGCCCAAGGCTAACAAGTTTCTGAGCGATATTGCGTACAATCTTCAGAAGCGTAAGTGTGAGATCCTTACAAAGAAGCTCAACATCACAGTAGGACGCTCGGCATACCTTTACATGGTGGTTGACTTCCGTGGCGTCCTCCGAGAGAACGAGGTGCACATTGGCTTTTCGACAGCTTTCCAGGCCGATGAGAATTGGGCCAGAACGATGGTCCAGGGTCCCGTTCTGGTTGCACGATCTCCAGCGCATTTCGTGTCCGATATTCAGAAGGTTCAGGCAGTGTTCAAGCCTGAGCTTGCCGACCTCACGGATGTGGTGGTGTTCTCTAGCAAAGGTGATGTCCCGCTCGCCGAGAAGCTGTCAGGTGGTGACTACGATGGAGATTTGGCATGGGTTTGTTGGGACACCCGCTTCGTGGACAACTTCGAGAACGCCGTGGTACCGCAGCAACCCGACCTTTCGCAGTGGATGTCTCGAGACAAGGAGACATTGGATGAAATCCGATCGAAGCACGCGGAAGCCGAGAAGCCCCTGGCGAGCGCTGTGGCGGAGATGATGCGAAAGTGCTTCGAGTTCAACCTTAGCAAGAGCATGTTGGGCATCTGTACGAATTATAAGGAGCGATCATGCTACCACAAGAACACCGTTTGCGATGATGCGGCAACAGTCCTCAGCACTCTCCTCAGCAATCTCGTTGATCAAGCCAAGCAGGGCATTGTTTTCACCGAGCCCGATTTTCGGCGCTTACAGCAAGATCTCCGTCTCCCGTCTTATGCGGAAGACCCGCTTTACAAGAGAGAGCGTTTACCAGATGGGCACCAGTATGAGCACATTATCGATCATCTCAAGTTCAACATTGCCAGGCCGACTATCGACACTGAGCTGAGTACATTCCACGCTGCATTGGGGCTGAACAAGGCGGCAGAAGAGGGGCCTTCACACTGGGATAAAGACCTTGCTTCTTGTTATAAAGAGCTAGTTGATCTGACCACACCAAGCAAGCTCGTCGCTCGTCTCAAGGATGATATCCAGGCTGTGGCCAGTCGTTGGGACACTCTTATGCAGACACGCGACGACACTATTGGCTTTCCGGAGAAAGTAGCGCGAATTTACGCGCTGTGGCAGGAAATCGCGCCCCAAGAGGAGACTTCGGGAAGCACAGTATCCAAAGTACCGCACATGCTGCGCTTGGGGGGCGAGACGTCACAGTGGGCTATACTGAAAGCCAGTACTGCGTTTTACATGTATTGCAACCGCAGTGGCACAGGCTTGAAAATGAAGCCACGCTTCGTCTGGCAGATGGCCTGCCGGCAGCTTTGTTACATCAAAGCAGAAGCGGTCACATCAAGAGGCTTGTCTGGCGCGGTGGGCGCTCCGACAGCGGTCATCCCCTCTATGTATGCAGGCTTGCGACCAGATGCCAAGTATGTCAAACAGGTGACTGCAAGAATGGACGGTGGGAGTCAATTCGGTCTCGAGGGTGATGAAAGCGACGAGTTGGACGAGGACGATTGACGAGTAATGGCTACGGACGAGATGGCGACTTCAGCATTCGAGGGGGAACGGTGCAGTTGAAATTTTGACGAGTCTCCGGGCTGTCTGCACCGAGCCTCTGACACAAGACGCAAATGAACAAGCTGGCCTGCGTCTTCTTTTCTAAATACTCACTGTGATGGTCGCTTTCGTGCGTCTCCAACGCCTCTACGCTGCTTTCGTTCGCAAGACATGGAAAGCTATGCTGATTTATGAGTAGATGAGAAACGACAACGACCATGCTACAAGCCAGAGAATAAGCGTCTGGATCGGGCTTGGGGGAGAACTAAAATTTCACCTGCCCTTGGGCAAGGGTAGGAAGGTCGCCCCTATCGACACTGGTCTTCAATAGGTCATATGTGTACAAAAAGGTATTGTAATTAATGCGGATTTTAGTACGAGTCCTTAGCTTTGGTACTGAGGGATGTGAGAATACTGTCTAAATATTTATATCTTTAATCTTTTAATATTACTCTTACTTGACCTGCAATTTCTAGTACTTCATACCCCTGCGACAGAAAGAGAGGGGTGGAGGAACCAGACAACACGAGAATAACAACAGCCAACGTTCAGCTCCATCTTGGTTCACAAGGTACACTATCCAGTGCGATTTCGCCAACTTCATTTGCTCTGATTGAGAAGCACTGAAACTCGCTCGGGCCCGCCTCCGCTAACACAACACGAATGCGCCGCGTACGAACCGTCGATATCATCGCCAATCGTAACGGCCGCTACTGTATGCCGCCGCCTGAAATCTCAAAAGACAAAGCCCTCGCGGGCATGTGGGCATGTGCCACCGATTGATCGTCTGAATTGGTGATATCACTGGCAGATGCTAGTGTCATCATATGAAAGCCTGAAAGGCCCAAGGTCTATATAGAAGAACGGCCGTCTGTATTCCTAGGAGGAGTGCTCAGTCGACATCCTCTCACCTCCGTCTTTCACCTTTGCCAATCTTGCTGCTTCTCACTTGTAGTCCAATCTATCACCAGTATCATCATCATCAAGATGCAGGTCCTCCAGGGTTTCGTTTTCATAGCCATCATGGCGGCACAGGCCACGGCTAAAGCTGTGCCTCCTTCTTACCCTCCTTACCCCCTTCCTCCTCCTCCTTCTCCTCCTCCAGCAGACCCTCCTCAGTATCCAGGTTACCCCATTCCTCCTCCTCCTCCTCCTCCTCCTCCTCCTCCTCCAGCAGACCCTCCTCAATATCCAGGTTACCCAGGCGGACCGTGGCCGCCGCCACCGCCACCACCATCACCACCTAGCTGGCCTGACGTGCCCATCCCGCCCAGCCATATCGACTTCGGCTGCGTGCAGACGGGGAAGGCCTTGCTCAGTCTTGTGCCCCGCTGCGCCGAGACGTGCGTCGCCCGCGGCCTCGCCGCCGACGGCTGCGCCCCGGACGACCACATCTGCCACTGCAAGAATGCAGACCGGTCGGCCCAGGTCATCGGGCCGTGTGCATCGGCGCCCGATGCCACCCCGTTTGGGGCGTGCTCGGCTGTGGACCTGAAGGCGCTGGAGGACATCACGAATGCGTACTGTGGGTTTTGGAACGGGGTGGCTGATCGGGCGGAGAAGGAGGCTTTTGCGAAATGTAGGGAGGGGTGTGGTGATCACTGTGGGAAGAAGGAGTATTGATCAGATTCTGGGGGGGATAATGGGTTGAGTAGTAGAAGGGGTGGAGTTAGTATTTACCAAAGTTTTTCACTGGTGGGACGAGATGAGGTCTTGTCAGGATTGATCAGTAACGGCCTGCTTGTGGGAACGTATCTTGTGATGATATTGATCAGGTATGAGAAAATGGCAACGTCATCAATGTCACAACTCATCAGAGACCTGGTTTGAAATGTGTGGTGAATTGCTCGAGAACTACATATCGCAGCATCAATATGGTCCAAAATACTGTCAACTACATCATCTATAGAGTCATGATAATCAGAGGTTTCATAGCTTGCTGGGTCTGGACTGTACCAATGAGTGACTTGACCTAGGCAGAGAATAAAGCTGGTGTAACTATTTTCCAAGGGTAGAAAGAATGAACAGGCCACCACGAAAATGCACAAGCATAGATGGGATCCCGGGGGATTGACCGATAAGTGGCCCGGTCATTTCAGGGCTCTGACCGTCAGATGCCACAGTTCTTACTTGATTTTTCTAAGTACTTACGTATGATGTGCTGACGATATTACTTGACTAGATCCGCGGAGCTTCCGCAGCGGCTCTCAGTATCTGCCGCTTATAAATGTAATACCCGGTTCACCTCGCCGGGCATTCCGTCGATGTCCGTCTCCGAATGGTGGATTCTGCCGATGGGGCGCAACTGATCCCAAGATGTGTGCAAATTGAAGGAATCGCCAAATGAGCTGCGGCATGATCATTGTCGAGGCCGGAAAGACCGAGGGGATTGCTGCCCGACCCCGGAAACGACCTCTGTTTGGGACATCAACGCAAGGCATAATCCTACCGGTCGTCCAGTCACGTCCACTTATACAAGCAGTGAAGGTCTTTATTTTTATATATATTTGCATCTTGCTCTTCCTCGAGACCAATTTGACCTGACAGCAACGATCAGCTCCCAAACATTCACATCACAAACAAACAACACAATTCAATTATCAGTCTCGTCTCATCATTCATTCTTTGACTGGTTATAAAATTCAACAAGCCCACGACAACATGGCTGGTGAAACTCCCATCTACACCGTCGTCATCGGTATCCACCGAGTCACAGCCCAGAAGACAGACGAGCTCCTCGCCGGGACCCCCTTCAAGCTAGCAGCCATCCTGGACCTGACAGAGTCGCCTGGCACCCTCCAGTACTCGCCGCAGAACCTCGCCGTCGTCCTCAACGCCCTTTATCCGAGGCCTCGAGTCCTCATGACCGGCACTGCCATCCCGGACGACATGCTGCCGGCTATCGAGGCGGCTTGGGAGGAATATGTACAGCGCTGGAGCGTGGACGGGCTGTGGTTGGCTATGAGCAAGACGCATCCTAGCCCTGGGGGACCGCCGCCTCCGGGGGCGCTGGAGTATGCGATGGAGACCCTGAATAAGAGATTTCAGAAGTGATTTGATGGGCAGTGAAGCGAGTGTATTGGGGCGCGAAGTACATTCAAGGCGTGCTCTTGTTGGTGCGAGAAGGGAAATCCTGGGAGAAGGGCCAGCATGACAAGGTTGTGGTCTGAATCAGATGAATGAGCTTGATTGTTGTGACAAATCAATTGTCACTTTGTATGTGCTCGAAACACACTGTCTAATATCCACTCAACCTGTTAAAGAATCATACTCGACTCAAATAAATCTCAGACAAGGAACTCCTGTTCTGATTCTACGTCCCTATGTACACGTTAATAATTTAACCCTGCGCCACCTCCCTCCCTCAACAATCTTTCTCTTCACATTCCACTGTTGCCAGGAACCATAGGACTGGTCTTTGCGCGCGTCAGCTCTGTCGGCAAGCTCAAGTGTCGTGACCGGAACCGCTCGTTGCCATCTCTAAACAGCGGGTGTGAGAGCAACGGTGGCGTCTTGAGCCTCACACTCGGTGGGCGCTGGGATATATCGCCATCGCCACTGTCATTGCCGGTGCCGTTGATTTGTTCTGGAATGGTTGCACTGGTGCTCTTCTGATGGAGCCGCGAGCCTCTGTCATGATGAAGTCGCCACGTCCGCTCCACATTCGCCTGCGCAAGCTCCCAGCTCACGTACTTTTCATCCGCTATCGTGATGTTCTCTTGGGGGCCCTTCTCTACAGTCTTGACGTTCCTGTTGCCGTGATAAGTGCTTGAGGGAGGCTGCGACAAGGCGTCTAGGCGGCGCTGTTGCGACTTGCGGATTATGCGGATGCGCTGGGATTCCTCGACGGACAGGCGTTTGGAAACGAGGCGGCAGCGTCTTTCGTACTCGTTGTAGGTGATGCCTGGTTCGTTGATCCACGACTCCTGGCATGTGCTGGTGTCCAGGTGCAGTTCGTTGCGCAAGCGTAGGACCACGAGGATCACGGAGGCGAGGAGGATGAGGCCCCCTATGGAGGAGAAGACCAGGATGATGGGAAGAATGTCGGCAGGGAGGGGAGTTGAGTTGGCTCTAGAACAGATCTCGGGGATGATCATGGCTGCTGTTGATTGGGACGATGGTAGTTTGTGGTAAGTTAAGGATGTATTTCCAAGGTGTAATTCAACGCAGGATTGCGAGGGATCTGAACCACACGAGACAGAGGACTGGTTCGTAGATCGTGTGGAAAGATATGGAGAATAAATGAAAACCTGGCACCTAGACAGTAGGACTGGGCGTCCTCGCAACAGCCACCAAGGGAAATGGTGGTGTTGTCCGGCCGAATAATGTGTCACCAAGACAGTCGAGAACACGAGCTCTCTTCTCTCATGTGGCCTCCATGATGCTCAGTTAGCCCCGGCCCAAGCAAAAACCTGGCAGCCCACGACTGGGCGGTCATGATGGCAGGCAGCCGCACAGCACACGGTTCCCTACATGCAGAAGCATCCTGAAGCGGGATACAAATGGACACTAATACTAATCTGCCCAGAGGAAAAAGAAAAGAGAGAGGGCCTAGCAGTGGACGGAGAGAGACCGCTGCCCTCCCACATCACTGTATGCAGCGTGTCCATTCAGCTACACAGCGCCTCAGAAGCTGGGTCTACACGCCTGCATTTGTTTCCTTCTTCTACGTTGCCAGCTTTGGAAGGCTTAAGGCACCAAGGGCCCGCCCAACTTGCCAAATTGTAGCTCGTTATTGGTCGCGATGCGAGGACCATGTGCCCGCTTCCTGACAACACAACGAGAAAAGCCATCTCGCCACGGGGGCAGAAGATGGAGAGTAGGACAGGTAAGGTATTCGTGGTACCACTACTCCGGTCAGAAATCTCGGAACAGAAGAAAAGAAACGCAGGGAAGTGTAGTCTTGTCAAGGTGCTATTGGGCCGCGGGAGCCAGCCACGTCGTGACGTGACATGCACATCTATGCTTCATTTGGAGTTTGTCTCGTAATCGATAAGGAATAATGTGCACATATCGGTATATGCATGCACAGCCCCGGATTGCTTTTTCACCTTGATGTAAAACATGGTTATAATTAGAGACGACAGTGGGAGACGGGGCAAATGTATCAGCAGGTCCGGCCACTAATGTGTGCTTGATACAAATACGACCTTGGAATGCATCATGTGAACGAAGAAGCTCATGAGTACTAAGGATAGTGAAACGGATAAAGAAAAAGAAACATGCCACCAAAACTTGTGGCTGGCTCGTGTAGGTACTGGTTGCAATCCAGCGGACCCATCATGGTATGATTCTGAAAAGCCAGTGGCTTGCTCGGCGACTTTTTGGCCTGGCAGAGGTTACAACGGCTCAGGTAGTGACAGTTGGGAATGATCTATTTTTGGTCATTTTGGTGGCAGCATATCGTCAGTCCATCATAGTAGTCACTGCGAGTCTGTTTGATCATATAACAATGACTTTGGTCTATTGTAGCTTTGCATCGTATTTCTTCGAATGCTTATCTGTGCCTTACTCATCCTGAAGACACTCGATATTTTCCAAAGTCTAACCGTTAAGAAAGCACATGCTCGGCCTCGGGACCCCTTGGAAAACGGACTGAGACACTAGATCGACCGCGTAGATGTGTCATAGACCAAGTCGCTGACCACCGGCGTCAAACGGGAACATAATTAACATCAAACAGCACTGCCGCGCAACGAAGACCCATAACGAGCTAGATGTCTAGTGGTCTTTCAAGGCGTACCCCGCCCATGGTCGTACTGCAGATGCCTCCCACCCTTGGACTGCCTTGATGAGGGTAGGGTGCTCGGATTGAGGAGGAAGAGGCCTTTTGCAATTGGTGGCCCAACATTGTTCATGACCGCAACCACCACGGGAGCCTGCCTACAGCAGCCGGAGCGGTGAAGGTATCGAATGCTAAGAGAAGTATATTGTAGTGAGGTGGGGATGCATCTATCCCTCTCGCTTTCCCCTCCTTTTATCCTAACATCTGGCGTGTGGCTTGCATTGTGGCAAAAAGTATACAATGAATGGATGCCTAAGTAAGATCTAAGTGCCCAAATGCAATACTCTCCACCTTATTGGTCCTTTGATCTGAACAGACTCCACTTCTGTTGGTATCCTTTGCTTATTCCATCGGGACACTAGATGACTCTCTGTCTGATGTCAAGCACCTGTCTTTGTTCGCAACGTGTACAACCATCTGTTTCGGCGTGGGAACTTCATATCCCAGCGGGCGCAGCAGCCATTGTAACAGAGATACTCAGACGAATCGAGCATGACTAGAATGCGATTCTAGTCCTAGATGGCTTGCCCGCGCAGAACCTACAGCGTGAGGTCATTACACATAGGTCAGCGCCTTCATTGGAATGCAACGGCCTCCGTTGGTGTTCAGAGTATCAAGTGCATACATGCTGACGAGACACAGCTCCGGAGTCTGAAGAATACACAGACATCGGCACAGCTCTCTGCAGCAGTGTCTAGACGTCCTCTCCTCTGTGACGACTCGTGCCTCAGGCTGCCGTGGTCGCGCGATGGATAGAAAGAGTAAACCCAAACGGCCGCTGTACACAATTTCTGAGGACCATACAGATGATCACAAAGTATTCAAGAAGCGTTGTTCAGCCTTCCGCAAGACATTTGATTCATCTCCGTCCCGGACAGGTGGGCTGGCATCTGGCCCTATCCCCTCCGTGTCTCAGTCTGCTTCCAATGCCCGAGAGAACATCGGGGTGCAGCAGACCACGGAGGCCCCGATACCATACACCGAAGAGGAAAGAAAGAGCAGAAGAGTGCCTCAAAACGTCGCAAGTCTTCCTCGATCTAGCACAGGGCAGAATGTGGCGAAGGAGGATTCCGTTGATCGGTCGGGATGGTACTGCTATTACTGCGCATCTGGACCTATGGATCGTTCCTGTGATATTTTCTGTACGAATTGCAGACGGAGGATGAAGAGTTCGATTAACATTGGATGAGCTTGGTTTCTATCTGAGATGGGGCGCAGGCTGAGGAGCGTAGAAACTGTGGGAGAAAAACTAGCTTATATAAACTATTTTGCCTATAATAATATAGAAGGTCCTGGAACTCTACTCCCCAGCCCCTACCCAAGGGATGGGTAGATACAACCCTCAAAATGTAGCCATGTTCTCCACAGATAAATGACGTAAAAGGAAGGTCCTCTAGTCTCTTTGATAGTTTATATGATTTTCAGATATGCATTACGTTCAACATGGTTCTTTTCCTTTCTTCTTCCTCTCCACAATATCAAAGCCTTCAGGCTTTATGTAGGCATTGCCAAACCTGCGCTGACCACCCTGTCGCACCACCCGGTGCTATTATAGTAATGAAATCCAGGTATTGAATAATACAAATCGTTTCAACGGATGCTGCCCCTTCCTGTAAGGTACAATGCTCAACAAGAAAATTCTGTCTGACAGAACTGATATGGGAGAGCGTATCAACTTTTCCAGGGACCGTCAGTTTTGCAAGTTCTTGTCAGTCCAGTCGCTCGACGGATATTTGCTTGGTTCGCTAGTATAATGTGAACCTTGCAGTATTTAAGTAGTTATAGATTCACAATGTCTGGATGAGAGATTGTGACATAACCTCTGGCGTCAATTATGGTCACTTAGGAGAGGTGAAGAAGACAAGTATAGCAGATTTTGTAGACCCAGTCATAGAGTCGACGCTTCTGAGGATAACATAACTGAGTGCTATATAACATATTATGAAAAACAGTAAATCACCCTTCTCAGTGCATCTTTGAGAACAAGGTAGCAGCAGCAGCAGTAGTAGTTCATCACATACAAACTTACATATAAATTGCCAGTCGTGACGATCCAGCACAGAACTCAGTGGTATTTCCTGAACACATTATCCCCTCACAGTCCCTGGTGTCCGCACCCAGGCTCACCGGAGGCATGGCGCTCCCACAGTAACATTCCGTGCCAGCCTCCACGCCACTGACGTTAAACCCTTTGGCCCCGCAGCCGGTGATGCAGTTCTCAACTGTCATGTTCTTGGTCGAGGTGAAGGTGTAGGACGAAAGGGTCCGGTTGGATTGGGTGTCCATAAAACATCCTTGGAAGGTCTGGGTGGTGTTACCTTCTTTCAGGGATGTGGAGTTGACCAGCACTGGTGGGGGTTGTGTTGTTGACTGGTAGATGCTGAGACGGGATGGGCCTCCGCAGATCTGAGATGCGGCACCTGGACACGTCATATCGCAGGATGTTTCCTCGGTGGTGGCGGAGCTTGGGACGAAGATTGGGCCGCAGTAGCATTGCGTACTGTATTCACTAATTATAGGCGGTCATGTTAGCAAACAAGGCCGTGAGTGACAATGACAAGATTCTCTGTGCAGGTGAGGTGGACTTACAGTCCTGCATAGGGATACTGATGATTTGCGCAATAAGTAGTGCACATGGCCACGGTCATGCCGCTGTTCACAAGAGATGACCCTCGTAGTGTTCGGTTGGTCGGACTGTCATTGACACAGCCGACATAGGACCATCCAGCTGGTGCTGAAGACAATGATGATGCGGTGGACACTATCGAAGGCGGCGCAGAGGATACCAGGGATTTAGAAGGCAGAGTTATCTCCGCATTGCTTGTTGTGAGTTCTGACGAGCTCCTGACGAATGATGTTGAAGATGCACTCACTGATGAGCCGACGGAGGTCACTGAGACAACTGGACGCCCGGTGATTGAAGTCGGCAATTGTGTTGTCGTGGTTGCAGAAGCTGATTCTGGTGATGGAGTAACGAAACTGGCTTCCGTGCCAATTGATATCACAGGTCGCCCGGTAATAGATGAGGTCTCACCCGATGATGAAGAATCTGATCCGGAGACCAATGGCACAGTGCTGATCTTGGCTGCCGCCGCAAAAGAAGTGACAATACTCGAAGCCGAGCTCGATGAAGTAGCAGATGCTGAGCTTAGAAGCCTCGCGCCCCATACCCCATCATTTACCACACCAGCCACCAAACTATCTTTCATGTAGTTCGGATTATTGATACCCGGCAGCCAGGAGAGCGCAACGCAGCCTGTGGTGGTCGAACAAGCCTCGCAGGCCTCAGCGTAGGAACTCACATAGTCGACTGCAAAATCGCCGCCGTCACGGTCGAGGTAGCACTCAAGCATGAAGGTAGCGCCGTTGAGGGCGGTGTAGACCGTGCCGTTGCTGGTGGGACACGAGATGGAAACTGTTGGCGTGGGTGCAGATGAAGATGAAGACGAGGTGCTGGTTGATGTGGATGTGGTTTTTGTTGAGGTCGAAGGGGTTTGAGAAGATGATATAAGGGAAGATGAGGACAAGCGGGTACTTGAACTGGTTTTGGTGCTGGAAGTCAATGACAACGAAAACGAGGAGGTTGTCGTGTCTGTACCGTCCAATGCGTAAAGAGACAGACGAGACGAGCCACCACAATATTCCTCTTGATTCCCAGCGCAGACCATCGTACACCCACTCGTCTGATTCTTACCAGACACACCAGTCCCAGACTCGACATTTATCGTATCTCCACAATAGCACTCGTCACTATATTCCGTGCCAAAATATGTGTACCCTTCACAAGCAGCCGCACACGTCTCAAGGGTCGTCGAAGAGCCGAGTCCTGGTGCCGACCCAGAAAGAGCTCGAGCTGCGGCATCATCGCCGTAGCAGCCCAAGAAATAATAGTCGCCCACAGTAGATGGCTGGGTGGGACCTGTATAACCTGGAGCGAGAGTACCGTTCTCGGGGAAATAAGCTGTGACATCGTACCAGATGGAAATGTATCCACCGTCACCACCACAATACTCGCTTGCATCGCCAGCACAGGTGTACCCCTCACAGTTGGCATCGGTGGCGAGAAGAGATGATGAAGGTATGGAATCGCCCCAATAACACTCATCTGTGTATTCCACACCAGCAAAGGCCACCTTCTCTGCATAAGCCTCGTCCTGGCAGAAGCCGATCGAGTTATTAGCCGACACAACCCCCGAAGACTCGATCCGGGATACCGTGCTGTCGAGATAGCAGCCCAAATATCGAAATCGAGCCGACCCATCCGCCAGCTGTGGCCCGACCTGCGCCGCTTCCGTCGTTCCTGTGAAGTTCACGACGTGAACGCCCCACGTGAGATCGTTGAAGTTTAATGTCCACGCTGCGGCATATGTCGTGGCTGGCGCATTGATCTGTGCGGCTGGGGGCTCGAAGTAAACCGTGCCGGTGCTGTTTTGCCCTGGTGCGATCTCGAGGCCTTCGGCCAGGTCGCCTTCGGGGTTGGTCGCGCCCAGGTAAGTACCTTCTGGAGGCTTGGATTTTGTGACGATGAGATCAGATCCGCCCGCGTTTTGTACCAAGAGGGTGATGGTCTGGTCGGTGTCTCCTGGACCTGTACCAAAACTGACAATGTACTCCCAGTCCTCATCGGTGTCGGGAGAATTTGGAATCAGAGACCATCCTCCTTCTCCGTCCGAGTAGTACACTTTTGCTACAGGCTGTGAGTCTGCAGAGGCATCGAGGGTTACGTACACCATCCCTCCATTGGTCCAGATGCAGAGAATTGTGAAATAACTGCCGACAATGTTGGTGTTGAACTCGACCTGGACGGTGAGCGCGGATCCCGCTGCTATGCTGGACCCCAATGCAGGCAGCTCTGTTGTCGAAAAGTACCCGTTGCTGTCCAGCACAGTCTCATTGTTGGTTGTTGTCGTGAGATTTGTAAACGTTGTGTCGTCGTCTGAAGGGTCCGTGTTGGTATAAGCATACCTAAGAATTTCCAGACCTGCTTCGCCTAGGTTGGAGAGGACAAACGCGTTATCCGAAGCACCACTCGACACGGGACCGCTTGAGGAATTGGTGACGACCACAGCGCTGAAATCAACCTGGAGTGGGTTCACAGCTGGGTAGGCATCGCCTGTGATGGCATCGCCCGTGAAGGAGATGCTTTGTGTGCTTGCATATTCGGCGACGTCGTTGTCCATTGTGATGGTGACGACTGCGGATTTGGACCCTGGCACGAGTTGTGTTGTGTTGCCACCGCCGCCAGTGGTAGAAGAATAGCCGGTCAAGTTGAACACCACATCCAGAGTAAAAGACTGACCAGCAGCCAACGGGAGAGGAAACGCATCTGACGAGGAAAGGCTGTAGTATACACTGCCAATAGCCAGAGACTCAATCGTGGTACCGATCAAAGCCGTGCAAGAGACACTATCCACAGCAGATGATCCGATGTAGACGTCGCCAAAATTGACAGGTCCTGTGCAATTAAGAGGCAGCGTGACGGGAGATCCATAGGCAATTATGTATCCTGGGGCTGTAGTGTAAAACCGTCCGTCACCAAAAACCAGTCGTTGAAACTTGGAAACCTGGCCTGAAGCAGGGAGAGTGATGGGCACAAGCACTCCGTCTTGAGGAACAGCGTTGTAGGCACTGATGCCGTTGTCGGGATCGACAATCCAGAGGATGCCGGTGCCTTCTTGACCGTCCAAGGACGTGACCATGGGTGCGCTGACGGCAGGTCGGCCTGTGGTGGACGTGGCCGTCTCGCCTGCGTAAGAGAATTGTGGTCGACCAGAGGCGTCGAATCCCAGAGCATAGGCATAGACAGGCGTGCCCGAGAGGGTCATGTAGATATACCCACCTTCCAAGGGATACGATGCCACTGTTCCAAACATGGCCGCACCAGCCGGCGGAGTGATGGTCTGGAGGATATTGTCACCTGAACTGGCTCCCGTCTTGTATCCTCCAAGATTGTCTGCGTTCATGACAAAACACTGCCCATTCTTGCCACAGGTGATGGCAATATTATTAACCCCTCCGCCGCTGAAGGGAGTTGTCAAGAGAGTGACACCACCACTACCAACATCCCGATCTGCACCATCCATGGCTTGATAGGCAGCGGGCTCAAAATAGTCTTGTTGGGCCAGCGTGCCGTCCGAGTTGACGAGCATATTGACGACACACTCACTCAGCGTGTCGAGGGTCGTGCGTCCACTGGCCGCCTGTGCGTCATTGATGGTGCTGGTGATCCCATTGCCCGTCGCAAAGAAGAAGCGGTTGGACTGGTCCGAGGCGAGGATGGAGCCCGCCATCCAGACCCCAGCGCCACTTGTGTCTGGCACAGGAGGGGCCCCTGCGCCTGCACTGGTAGCATAGGCCGTGACAAAGCCCCCGTCGCTGGCACGCATCCCTACAATCCAGCCCGTGTAGTTGAACATGTCACAGTGGCCTCCAAACCCGGCATACACAACGCCGTTGAGAAGGTTCAGGGACGGGCGCTGTAGCTGAATCCCAGCCTGGAAGAAACGAGTCTCGTCGTTGGCGGCCTGGTGACCATCCAACACCGTGGGGAACCCAGCCCTTTCTTCCAGAGTGATAGCGTCCACAGCATGGAACCGATATCTGGCATTGTCCACGCCAGAGGTAACACCAGCCTCGTACCCCTTGGACCAGAAGTAGACTGTATCGGTATCTGGGTCAAGAATAGGCGTACCAGTGACTCCCACGGTATCACTGATATCATTACAATCCCCATCAAAATCCGCAATATTAAACGGCCCTTCCCCTTCCTCGTTCATGTCCCGAAAGGCAATGAGCGTGCCATTGACGGCATCCACAGCAAACAGACGGTTTTGCTCGGAAAAAGCAAGTATGATCTGCCTACCGTAGCTGGGAGGGGTGTACACCAATGGTTTTGCGTAGAACTGCTCGTCACCAGTCCCGCTGGTGTAGGCTGGGGTCTTGTATCGCCACAGCTGGCCGAAGCTGCCGCTGGAGATAATGGTCGGGTCCATGTTGTGATTGTCTGCATAGCCGGTCTGGGCGGAGTCTTTTTCAGCCAAGACAAGGTTCACGTCAGTGGATCACTCGTGCTCGCAGGTGTTTTGGGTAACGGCTGATGTAGCAAAGATACGCACCGCCGTCTATAATTGTGTCTGTCGCATCTAGACCACAGACCAGGCGCCCTGTCAAGAGAACAAAGCCCAGCAGAGCGCGATACGCCCACCATGAGCCCATGGTGATTGACGCCGGCCCAATAATGAGACCCCTCGTTCCAGCCTCTCAATGTAATGCTGCTGTTGCTACTGTATGGAGTGTCGTAGTGGTTTTCTCTCTTGTTCTCATACAATAATGGGTACACAAATGAGAGACATGGGTTCAAATTGCCCAATAGGGCGAATATCTTCTGAGTGGCTGGCAGGGTAGCCCGGGCTAATTGGCGGAACTGGCCTCATCCGAGCATCTATTGTGCAGACGTGTGGCAACAAGAAAGAAGAGAGAAAGATGTGCGCTCGCGATGTCACCGTAGATCATACATGCAATTGCTGGAAGAGCTGAAGAGAAAGCAACAACATGCTTGAATAGCAGGACGGTCACAATTTCTTAAATTGGCACAATACAATCAATTGCGAAGCTAGAAGAGGGATGGTCTGAGAACAACTCGCAGCTTGTGGACGACGTAAGCAACCAGACTGGTGCCGACGGTGAGAGCAAAAAGCTCCTCGTGAAAGGAAGTGTGCAAGCCCGGCACGAAGAGAATAGCTGCACTGCAGACCTCGTATCATGGCCCTCTTGTTTTTCTTCTTTTGTTCTCTCCCTCTCTCCCTCCCCCCCTTCTTCTTCATCACCTCCGTCCACATTCGACCCTTCGGGGCTGGCGTAGATTGTTTGCAGACTGCAGAAAACGAAGGAGGCCCCCCGGCTGAATTTGCTAGGCTAGATTCATCCTCGTCGGGTCAGCATGCCGTGAACCCCAATGACGCCCGCCGTAGTCGAGACTATCGATCCTTCCATCTCGTGTGTGTGTGTGTGTGTGTGTGTTGACTACAGGCGAAAACATCGGGCTCCGAGTGAAAAAAATTCCGAAGGTAGGGGTGGTGGTCATCATGGGGGGGCCAGCGGGACGGAACATGTAGCCGATAAACTTGGCTTTGGATACAGTACCGCCATTCATCCTGAGCACAGGGGGGGGACTCAAAAGATAAAGCATTGTGAACGATATAAAGCGAACAGAACTCGACTCACTACGAGGCCCAGAACATGGAGGACAAAGTGACATTGGCCTCTCCAGGCCAGCATGGGAGAGGGGGGCAAACCCTCTGCGTTTTACCGCTCAGCTGAAGATAGTTGGTAGAGACAAAAGGACTGTCCAAAAATTCTCGTGTCTGCTACCGTAGTACTGTAGACATAAAAACATCCAAATCAGTTTAGCCTTTCTGCGACTGTGGTGGGGCCGGATCCATCCGCGTGCGTGCTGACCCGTGCTTTGGCTAAGCCAGGGGGGCAAAGGTACCGGTACGAAGTGAGGAGCTGTTGCCAACAAGTGGCATGTACTTCACCATGCATGTAAGATGCAGAAGTGTGTGCCTCGGGTCCTCTGCACCATAGCTATTGTCGGAAGGTCCTCCTCCAATGCCAAGGTCCTACGGCCGTTATCTAGAGGAGGGTGTGGTGGTCGTGCCAGCAAGCATGGGACGCTACCTGCATTGACAACACTCCAAGAGGAAGAAAACAAACAAGGCACGTCGTTTCTGTCCCAAGACTTGGTCAGCGCGGCTTAAAAACGGACGTTTGCTTGGCATTGTTTGTTGACCCGCTGTGGCTGGGTGATGGTGTCAACGCTCCAAAGCCTCCGGGGTCCTGACTAGTCTTGATGAACAATAATAGCGTCCAATGATAGATACTATATTCTTGAACTACTGCAATGACGGCATGACTTCACACGGGATGAAATGTTCAACATTCGCCCAATTAAACTCATTAGATAGTCGTAACCGGTCAAGAGATTGGTTCATCTAGGCTGAAAGGTGAGCTGAGAATATGGACATGTATCGACTGTCTGAGTGATAACATACATACTATCTGGTTTGTGGCTAGAGATAGACAGAACAGATGCCTTCGTAAAGCTCGGTCTAGACTGGAAAAGCTCCATAAGAGATTTCAATCCATCCATATTGCTGAACTCGTATCAATGTATATAAACAGATAATCTGCTACGAACCTGAAGATTCCCTCTAGCTCATTTTCAGTAATTATCTGTCAATCGCTCAAGACTGGCTGAAATACGAGCACTCACCGAATGATTGGGTGAGTTCACTGCAGCTTGATAGACCTTTAGCTATGCAGCCTTTCTCGGTGATCACTGATGGGCAACCACAATCCACGCCGTCTTTTCCGGAGAAATCTTGGGTGGTGATGTTCCAAGTGGCACAGGGCATACCAAAATTCAGTGGTTGTCTTCTTTAATCTTACAGCGCACAAGTTAACGTACCATAAGTGTTACATTGGCCTCTGGACTTGAGGTGTGAAGAATATTTTCCCATTGCAACCCGTCTCAAAAATGTTTCATATTCATTGACGGCCATAGCCAATTCAACACATAGTTACGTATTACAGTTCCATCGGGAGTATCGCATGCCATCCCCGAAAACTATAGATAATGAGACAAAATAGTCAATCTATCAATACGACGCTGATCTGCTATTGGTATAGATTACCTCATCCACGGAAGCCCTCTGCTCAGAGAAAAGCAAAGAAAGAACAAGAAGAAGGACCCTGTTCTGTGTAGTATTTCAGCTAAACACAAAGAGTTTTAGATCATCTTGAGCCTATCGCCTTATCTTTCATCGTTACCCTCTCTCCCGAGCTGAGACACCCATGAAGGCATTAGCATATAGAGATATAGAAACCTCTGCTTCATGAGATATGCTACTGCTTGTGGATGGCGTGCTGAGCTGAAAAAATCATATGTTTACTGGGACCGAAAACTTCATAGGATGTCGTGGTCACACTCTACACGAGAAGATAAGCAATGAGACGAGTTTCACCCTTCTACTGTAGATAGTCCGTAAACGTGGCAATCGTCCACGGGACTTGCCGTCACAAACCAAACAATTGCCCGGTCACGTTGATGCAGGTAGTTAGATACACCCAGCCATGTTCAGCTGTAGTGCTACCTTCTATTAATATATCGAACAAGTACAAGATCAATCTTCAGCCTCAATTAGATGCTGTGTCTCAAAAAGATGAGGATGCGGTACGGAGAATATTCCTCAAAGAGATGCTAGCAGCCGTGCCATGGCCCAGAACGGGCTCTTTAGATACATCTTCATTCTTCATCAGCTACGAGGATGCTTCCTTATCTGGTGATATTGAGTCCCGAAGCAGTCAATAGAGCTCAAAAGAAGATATCGTGGCGGGGAATTATTATCGTGCACCCCTGTTGCGTGGAACTGCAGCGGAGCATTTTTCGGTCGGACGGTGCATCCGACGCGCCTCTCTTCCTGCATGCGTGCGTGTGTGTGTGTGGCAGGGATTAAGTTCAACAAAGGTTAGCTGCAGTGCTTACCTTGTGTAATCTAGACTCGTTACTATCTCGTCGTTCTTCTGCAGGTTCGCTATCCGGCTGAAATCTTGTTTGATCAAAAAGAATGCTGTAAATCGGGAGCGCAGCCACAGCAATATCTGGAAAGAAAGAGAAACACATTTACAGAGCCCTACTGCAAGCAAGACGACGTCTCCCATCTCAAAAACCATTTCAACTTGTGACAGATCAAGTCTCATATACTACCGTCCTCACTTGCACCACTGCAGAAAAAGTCCTGATCACAATTTACGGTAGAGATGGACCACAGTTCTGGCCGCAACACCCCGGCTGATGTGATGAGGAGCCGAAAACGATTTGTGAGTTATCGCCTACGGGGCGAATATGAGAAACCGTGGCTCGCGGATCCCAAATTCAAGCGAACCAAAGTCAACAATTACATCATCTGGGCCTTCATAGCATTAGGCATCGCTGCTGCTGGAGCGGTTGCCTACCTTGAGATCCGAGGCTCTTTGCCACAACAGGTGAGTCCAGCCTTGACCAATCTCGTGTGAAAAGACAGAGTTCTAAGCTTCTTTCCCTCTATAGATGTGTCTTGTGTTTGAAGATGATTTCCAGGGAGACACATTGGACGAGAGCAACTGGAACTATGAGGTTGCGCTGGACGGGTTTGGTACAGGCTCGTTTGACTGGACGACTACAGACCCGACCAATGTCTACGTGGACGACAAAGGACTTCACATTGTTCCGACCCTGACGAATGAAACAACCTCCATTACGACAGATCAGATGTGGAATGGCTTTACGCTGAACCTCACAGCGGACGGGACTTGTACCGAAACGTCAGCGAGCGCTTGCGTTGTCACTTCCAACTCCACATTGGGCAACATGGTCAACCCGGTGCGATCTGCCAGAGTCAATACACAGGGAAAAGTCGGCTTAAAGTACGGTCGAGTCGAGGTGGAGGCCAAGATTCCTCAGGGAGATTGGCTGTGGCCTGCCATCTGGATGATGCCCACGGACTCGGTCTACGGCACTTGGCCAAAGAGCGGCGAGATGGATATCATGGAGGCACGAGGCAACGGCGCTGACTATGAAGGAGGCCGGAATGTGTACTATTCCACATTGCACTGGGGTGAGTTTGGAACCATTGTGAAGAGAGGCTCGGCTTTGTCTCGAACCAGTTCATTCAACTAATTACTATTTCCGTAGGTCTCAGCTCTGACACAGATGCCTACTGGAAAACCCAGAAGGTCAGGACTATGCGCAGAGGATACTTCTCAGAAGCGACATATACATACGGACTGGAGTGGGATGACAAGTACATCTACACGTATTTCGACAGTCGGCTGACCCAGGTCCTCTACGTCAACTTCTATGCCAAAGATCCTCTCTGGGACAGGGGAGATTTCTCGGCCTCCTCAGAAAACGACACGCTTGCGACCAATCCATGGGTAAACTCCACGTCTACCACTGGCAATGCACCGTTCGACCAGGAGTTCTATCTGATCCTGAACGTGGCTGTGGGCGCAAAAGATGGGTGGTTTCCGTAAGTGATTGCTTACCTAGATTCACAAGAGGAAAACAAACATGTAGAATCAACTAATAATCCGTGGAAACAGGGATAACAAGGGGAACAAGCCATGGCTCGACGATGCGACGAACGCCCAGTGGACCTTCTGGAGCGACGTGGGAACGTGGCTTCCAACGTGGGGAAAGGGAGATGCTCGTGGGCTGACGGTTCGATCTGTCAAGATGTGGGAGCGAGGCGTGTGTGGTTCCACCCCCGAATTGTGAGGTGGTAGTGTGGCGTGTTTTATTGCAATCTTCTTGCATTTTTATTTGCTGTCATATATTTATGGGGAACAGCTCATGTCCTGCACGCGAACCTTAATCATCCTTGTCTCTCGTGGCCTCGTCGCAAATCATGATCATGGTGGGTGTTATTGGTGGCTGGCAAGTCCGCCTGTATTTCTGCTCACATGTGCGCTGTTGCAACGGCAATTCAACCAGTGTATTCTTAAGTTGTGCATTCATAACTCGATGTGGTTGCATTTGAGCAACAATCAGCACCTCCAGTGGAGAACCTCGCACGTGCTGATTCATGCCACCTTCACATGCAAATATTGTTCCATCACTAGACAACCAAAAAGGAGAGCAACCGTAAACTTCCCCTCGTTCTGATACAACCACACTGGGTATTGTACCATTATCTCCAACTATCAGAGACAGGGTTTGTGCGACATGCACATATAAGAATGCATGAACAATTAGGCACCTGTAATTGTCGGACCTCCGAGTATCCGATGCATACCAAATGACCTGCTCAATGAGTGAGTGGGTGGCGTTGTTGAGCGACAGGCTAAGCCTGCTGGCGAATTTCTTTCCTCTTCCAACTCTGGCCTTTTATCTCGGCAGCAATCTGCCAACTCAGCCGACACAGGCTATCGAACCAGCGTTAGTAAAGGCTGGTAGGATTTGGCGAGCTAGTGATGCGAGTCTATGTAACCCACGGGTGGGAAGACGAACCTGAAGGCGGCCTGGTTTGTCGCTCCTATACGTACACGGTGCAGATAACAAGAGCAAACTAGAGCAGGGCGTAATCTTCCGAGGATGCAACGCATGCTCACCGCATCTGAAATACAGGTTAAGCGCCCTGGCAAAATTGTCAGCTTTTCCTGATTGCGTTTTCGTTTAGCTAGCCATAATTGTCTGCCGCAGTAATCCTCCCAGCCCAGTCAATATGAGCAGAGATGTGTCTTCCAGCCTTTCCTTTATGAGAGAACTGGGCTTCATAGTGGCTCCGACACAATTTCCCTACACTCACGAAGCAACCCACAGGTCGACTTACTATTTCAAGGGCATCGTACTACATTGGATGAGTAATGATAGTCTCCCTACTCTCCTGGGTTGCCTCTAATGCTGTGAACCCAACCATTCTTTGTGGAGACCTGCTGGGGGGTTCGCTGCGGGTATCATGGCTTCGTACCGGTACATGGCAGGGGTACTGCGTATATTTCACTGACGCATATGATTCCAGAACCAAGTTCCAAGAGGCTATCACTTCAACGGCTGGTCGGAGGAATGTGGGTTCGCCGAATACAGCGTGAGTTTGGAAGCACCTGGGCAAGGAAGACATTCTAATTTGCTTCGCAAGTGAATCCTCATGGTAGACGGTCTTCTAGGCCTTCCAATAAGCAATCTACAACGGGATTATCAAGTTTTCAAACAATAGTGGATCCATGGATTCTATTCTGTTGGTACAGGTAGTGAGACAACAAGAGAGAGAGCCTCACAGACTTCAACACAGGGTACAGATGTCCGTCTCGGCCCCCGACGCCAGTCAAAAGATGTGATGTGGCAGACAAGCCTAGACTGTTCGAATCACGACATCATGGAACGCAGCCTCTCCAGCGGCGAGCCAGATTTACTACGCTCCGAGGCAGACCCTATCTAACGAATCCACCCATGCGCATTCCATCCTGCGCAGTCGCAATAGATGCTGCATTAGACGCCGACCTTGCATCTCACGCAGGACTCAAGGTCATCCCGCGCGGGATCTGCCCATCGGTCCTCGTATTTCCTCTTGGCGCGGTACCTCTCGCTGAAACCTCGTTGCAGGCACCGAGCAAGTAGCTGACAGGACGAAGGTGCCCATGATCGAGACCGGGACATACGGCATGTCTGTTGACCAGATCAGGTCGACATACAGGCATCTAGCCAGCTGCGGTCCCTCCCTCCATAGCTCCGTTTGCCAGCTGGATATGTCCGAGCCGTCTCCATGTTTTACTCAATAGTTGGTTGATAGCTGAGGCTCTCTTCTTGATGGACACTTCGATATCGTGGTCTGGAACTGGCTGGTGGCACAAAGAAATCAGTTCAGCGATTCCTGTGGCTGAAAAGATACCAATATCTGAACTTCTCAGCTTCACTTTCGGGCCATATGTGGTTTGTGTAATTCTCAAGCTCTTCTATTCTTAAATACTTCCAGCTCGCTGAGTCAATAACTGTGCTCCTTCTGGGTTTAATCATTCATCTTGTCCTTGAGATTAAACATCGATATAAGTTTCGGCGAACCTTTGCTTATTGATTCCCCTTTCAATTATTCTTGGCAATTCTCTGCTGTCCCTTTCCCCTGGTGGTCTCATCCTAGGTTTCGGCCATATTGGTGGTCACCTACAACCAGTTTGTGAGATCTATGCGGCACCTGTGATTACCTATTCTTTTTCCTGGTCTCAGTCTGATCAGCAGGGATGGCAACGCACTCATCGGCCGAGAGCTTCATTGCTGGCCCTTACCTTACGCCTGTCGATCCAAACGACCGAGCCAGACCCATGCGAGGTCCCTCTGGGACCTCTACCCCCCAAACTTCACGAATGGATGCAATTCAACCAGTCCCTCCTCCAAGAGCTCACACGAGAGAAAGCTACTCAAGACGCAGCTCATACACCAAGTCGACGTCTCATCCCGCATCCCGCGCTGCATCTCGCCCTGCATCTGTTCACAGCACAGGCTCTTCAAATGGAAACGGATATGATGATGAAATCCGCTACCGAACGGTGCGTATCAACATATTCTCCAACTCGATCCAACATGTTGCAAAACTTGGGTACTGATATCAATGATGCTATAGATGGTCAGCTATTTGGCCAATAGAATCTCGGCACACGGCTGGATACCCCAGCAAGCCCTGGCTGATGGGTCTCGTGGGCTGGGTGTTCTGCTCAGACAGTCCAGAGGAAACTACGTTTGCTGTCCTGAGCACATCGACAACCAGCTCCTCGGTGCGGCACAGCGTCTCAATGTGGGCGTCATAGCCACATTGCGGCTGCACATGCTGTACCCCATCATCGCGGGCATGCATGAAGGACAGACGGAACTCATCATGAGAGGGGGCTGGCAACTACAAGTGATCGAGTCCCTCGCCGCGGTCTCATCCTCTAGCGTCAAGAAATTTCAATACGCTGCCATCCTGAGAAAAGAAGGCTTGTTGCTCATCTGGCAAGATGAGATCTCTCAGATCTTGACTCATGCGCAGCGCATGGAGGACAAGCTTTTGAATTACGTCTGGGGTCGAAACTCGACTCTGGGGTACTCACCAGCTGCATCTCCATTTACGGGCGCAAGTCCTCTTCACTCAACCACCCCATCCGTGTCCAACTTTTCCATGATACACGAGAAAGGTGGTGCTATGGTCGCCACACCAGACGAGGTAAGCGACAGTGAAGAAGGTCTAGACAGGGAAGCCGTCGAGCCAACAGAATCCGTCAACCGGCCCGTGATGATTCACAGTGCTTTCTTTGTCGGAATGGGCATCTGTCTGGCTATAGTGTTGGTCTATGGCTTCGCAGTCGGCCAGCTCGTCTCGGAGTGTTTCTTGGACGGCAACTATATGCGGCTCGCTCTCATTGTCGCCTGCCCCTTGCTCATGTGTGCGGGGCTGTTCTTCTTCCAGGTCATCTTTGGTGATCTGTGGCAGATTGCAGGACCCATCAGTGGTCTCAAGACGAATTCCCGCACATATTCCTGCATTAAGCCCAACCTTCGTCAGGCTTACTCACTGGGCTTCGAACCACCACATATCACGATTCAGATGCCTGTCTACAAAGAGGGCATGGACAGTGTCATCATCCCCACTGTTCGAAGCCTGCAGACAGCTATCTCGTACTATGAGTCACGAGGTGGATCGGCGTCCATTTTCATCAACGACGACGGCATGCGGGCTATCACAGAGGAGGAAGCCCAAGTTCGCAGGGACTTCTATCATGACAACGATATCGGCTGGGTTGCAAGACCAAAGCATGGCGACGATGGGTTTGAGCGCAAAGGCAAGTTCAAGAAGGCCTCAAACATGAACTTCGCCCTCAACCTTTCCCAACAGGTCGAGGCCTACATGCAGGAGGCTGTGGACGCCCGAGCCGCACAGCAGCCCGGGTACAATGACATGGAGCCGGTGATGCTGGAGGAGAATGAGCTTGGCGAGATCTACGATCAGTGCTTGGAACGCGCTCTGAGAGAGAATCCCAGAGCTATGGCGGGAGGGGATATCCGAATTGGGGAATTCATCCTGATCGTGGATTCTGATACACGAGTAGTAAGTCTTTTCCCTCTCGGTTGCTTGCCAAAAAGTCTACTAATCAGTAATCACAACTATCTAGCCCGTGGATTGTCTTCTTTATGGCGCTGCTGAGATGTTCTTGTCGCCTGAAGTCGCTATTGTTCAGCACTCGACAGGCGTCATGCAGGTGGCATGGGATTACTTCGAGAACGGCATTACCTTCTTCACGAACATGGTCTACACTGCAATTCGGTTCTCCATTGGCTCGGGTGAGGTCGCACCCTTTGTTGGCCACAACGCTTTTATTCGATGGGCTGCGGTTCAAGACGTTGGGTCAGACTCGGACGATGGATACATTGCCTATTGGTCTGAAAGCCACGTTTCTGAAGACTTTGACATCGCCCTGCGAATGCAGATCAAGGGAAGCACTGTTCGAATCGCCAGTTACCACGGTCAGGGTTTCAAAGAGGGTGTCTCCCTGACAATCTATGACGAGATTGCTCGATGGCAAAAGTGAGTACTGCCCGCCCCCTCCCTGTATTAGAGTTGTCTGTAGGGAATTTCGTCAGGATAAGTCACTTATCACCGAACTAGGTACGCATACGGTTGTAGTGAGATGGTGTTCCATCCATTTTACAGATGGCCGACCAAGGGACCATTCACTCCACTCATCAGAAAGTTCTTGGGCTCAGACATGCAACTATCATCTAAGATCAGTGTCTTTGCCTACATCTGTTCATGTAAGTCACCATGCCATTTACTTTATCTTTGAAGATCAGGCCAATATTTGGTATCTAATCTCGTATCTAGACTTTGCTATTGGTGTTGGTATGCCCATGACTGTCCTCAACTATTTTCTAGTTGGATGGTTCGATGACTCCTTGGATCACTTCTACCTCCCCTCATGGAAGGTCTTCGTCTCGCTTCTTGTCGTGTTCAATCTAGTTGGCGGCGTTGCACTCGCAATCATCAGGTATCGCACTGGTGAGCGCAAGCTCCTCAGTTCTCTGATCGAAAACTTCAAGTGGACACCGATGATGGCAATTTTCTTCAGCGGCCTCTCCTTCCACGTCAGCCTTGCTCTTTTGGCTCATCTGTTCCATATCGACATGCAGTGGGGCGCTACATCTAAGGAAAAGGAGGACTCAAATTTCTTCCAGGAGGTGCCCAAGATCCTCAAGACATTCAAATACCTGTAAGTAGCATGCCGTGTCACTTGACGCTACATGGATTCGTCGTAAGGTAATAAGGCGCTAATCAGGACAACAGTTACATCTTCGTCATAATCTTTACTGGTGGCATGATTTACCTGTCTCACTGGGCGCCCCGTGGCTGGACTATCACAGACTTCACTGCAATCGTCCCGATGTCGGTCGTTCTGGGCTGCCACGCCTTAGCACCTCTTGTTCTGAATCCATCCCTCATGGTTTTCAACTATTGAGCCGGGCGTTCTGAGTCGACACTCAAATTTGGAACATGGGCCTTTCGTGCGTGAAGAATACGCTTTTTTTCATGCACAGGCATGGCGGAAGGTTGAAGTGGTATATGAGTTTTTCCGATCTATCATGACTTAATGACCTTTTAAGGGAGCCAATCCAGAGGGGAAATAAAAATACAAGTGGGCTATAAACTGGAAATAGATATACAATAATTACACAGGCACGAATACAAATACAGTTCTCATTTAAATACTCTTGGAGCCACAGATCGAACGAGCTGATTATGACTGCCAATCTAGATACTCAATCCTAAAAGGCTTGTAGTTTGAAAGTTGTTCCTTGTTATTCACATATGTGGAGTTGTTTAGATTTGAATGGTATTATAATCATTATTGGCGATTTATGCTGTGTGTGAACAGATGCAACTGACAATTACCAAGTAATAATACTGAACTTTTTCTGCAAAGACTCATACGGCTACTAGAGGTCCCGCCGTCCTGTCTGCAGATCCATCTCCTCTGGCTGAACTCTCTTTGTCTTTTTGAACACCTTCCACCAGAGAACATTGATGACATACACGGGGATGCCAATGTAGCTCGTCATAAAAGTCCCAATCTTGAAAGGCATGAAACCCGCAAACCCATTGAAGATGATGACCAGCACAGTGATCGCGAATGCGATATATGCGCCCCACGGCAGGAGAGGGTTCCGGTATGGCATCACACTCCTTGGAATCCCCTGCGCTTTCATACCCTGCAGCATGCAGTGGTAGCTGATCAGGATCGAGATCCAGTTCAGCGCCCCGAACACAGTAACCAGGGAGACGAAGTAGCCAAACACGGTGCTTGCGCTCTCGCTGACGTTCATGAAGCCGAGGGCGATGAAGAGCGACGAGAAAGCCACCGCAGCGACTGGCACACCACGCGCATTGGTGCGGTGGAAGATGGCTGGAGCCTGGTTCTCCTTGGCCAGAGCCCAGAGGGTTCGCGAGGCCAGGTAGATGTCTGAGTTGGCAGCGGAGATGGTGAACACGAGCAGCAGTGCGTTGATGACACTGTCCAGCTTCTGAATGCCAGCAATCTCGGCGGCGACGACAAAGGGTGAGGCTGCACCGCTCGTCTTCTCCCCTGTAGCGCTGATAAGCCTTTCGTCGTTGTACGGTACTGCCATGCCGAGACTGATGACTCCGGCGACGTAGAAGAAGCAGATTCGCATCAATGTCTGCTTCACTGCCCTGGGCACATTCTTGGACGGGTTTGGCGTCTCTCCAAAGGCAACACCGACGAGCTCAGTGCCGAGATAGGCGAAGGTGGCCTGGACTATGGAGGCCCAGACACCAAGAAACCGACCAGTGTCGCCTGGAATGTCCTTGTACTGATTGAACGCTCCTGGGGTGTGCCAGTACCAGAAACCCGTCCTAACGTGACTTGGACCTCCGCCCAGCGCGATGATGAAGCAGAGGAGGATCAGCATGCAGATGACGAGGGCCTTGAGCATTGACATCCAGAACTCGGCTTCACCGAAGAAACTGACGTGAACAAGCTGTGGAATCTCGTTAGCTGACTGTAATAACTGATCAAAGATGGGGAAGGTTGCAGTTCTCCTTACATTGAGAGCGATGATAACCGCTCCGAACACGACGATCCAAATCGAGACGTTCAAATCAGGCCTCCAATACGATATTATGATGCCGGTTACAGTCAGATTGTTAGGCAACACGATCGCATATTTGAAGAAGTAGTTCCAGCCCGTTGCAAATCTGATCGTCCCTAGCGGTCAGCATCATTACAGAAAACGGAGAGGGACAGGATAGGATCGTCTGGGGCATGCGAGTGGCAATAAATACACAGTACATACCCGAGCGCAGGGTCAACGAAGCGTGCGGCATATCCAGAGAAGCTCTTCTTGTGTGGCAGCCATGCGCCCATTTCACCCAGAGCAACCATAACGATGTAGACCACAAAACCCATGAGCAGATACCCAATCAGAATGGAGCCAGGGCCTCCATTCTTCAGCGCAGTTCCTGATCCAATGATGAGACCAGTTCCGATAGCGCCAGCGATGGCCATCTAATAGCCCACAATGAAGAAACAATTAGTACAGGAGGCCACGAATTTTCTTCGACTTCCTTCATATATTACTTGCCATATCTGTCACAGGACGTCAGCCATTTGCTCTTTTTAAGTAACACCTTGTAAAGCTTTGGGGTAATATTTACTCAGTTGTCTCGGCTTCATGCCTCGGTGCAAGTCGTCGCCGACTTCCTCCACCTCACCACCCCCTGTGTCCGAAACTCCGTGCACAGCATCCTCAGGCGAAGAGGCACGCTTCTCCTCACTGCTCCAAATATTGAGGATTCCCATCTTGTTGAGGCTTTAGCACCGCCGTGCTGCTCGGTGATGAATCCGCCGCTGACTTCGCTTACTCGAGGGCTGTCGGTTTAATGACCCCAGACCATGGAAGTATAAAGGCACCTTGACAAGACGCAACTTGACGTTCGCTGGAGTAGGCTGAGAGGAGAGAAAAGATCGAGCCTTCAATTTCAAGATTATTTGGGGGACGCAAGGCTCTTAATAAATACCGCAGATCCTCTGAAGCTTATGGAGGCCAAGACCTCCACAAGAAAACGATAGATCTGGCTTGGCCTTGGCTTCCACATATTACTACATAGTATAAGACATAATTACCAGTATTAATTGATGGAGTTACATGATCTAGGCATTCGCCTATCCCTGAGAAAAGGCCCGACAAACCCAGCCAGCAGGCCCTATACGGCGGGGCTCAACAGCTGATATTGTTTCTCCATTAGCGGACAAAGGGCTTGTGCTTGCTGTCTCGGCCTGGGCTGCTGATTTTGTACAAGGGTCCCAAAAATGCCCCTCAGCGGTTCGGCAGACGTTGCGCAGCCAAAGCACGCAATGCACGATAACGATGGTGCCGGCAAACACATCCAGGGGTGGCGGTGCCATCACTTATTTGGGTTATCTCTTGGGAGTCTCCACAACTCACATGACTAAGGACTGATTTTTTGATTTTTTTTTTTTGATTCGATAGCGGTATGCGGGAGAAGAAGAAAAAAGCTTGGAGAAATGGGGGTTTGTTAATACACAGCTGATTTGTATCTATCGTGTCAATCTTTGCCAAGTATCTTATGGTCAGCAATAGACTTGGCGAGGTCTTGGACGCGTCGTATTTCCCAGCAATCAGCAGGGGCATGCTGCGCTTTTGCCCAAGACACATCTTTCTAGGGAGGGTAACTGCCAGGAGACAAGGAGAAACTAGCTGAATCATATTCTTCTTGGCTGAAAAGATAGTACGTAGCTTCTCGCCTCACACATACAAAAGCAATTGTAAAGACGCCATCGTTGGCACAACGCTGACGGAGGAGTGAAAAATCCACACTTGATGAACAAACCGCCTCCTTGATTCTGATGTCCTCACACCGTCAAAATGTCAGCAAGACTTTGTGCACAAGGTTCAAAATACCCAGCACAAATTAAAAAAAAAAAGAAGAAAAGCTCGGGAAGAAAGATTTAAATTAGCACGCGCTATTGCAGAAATCAAACAAGCAGCAAATCGGCCAGCCCAGCCTAGCCAACAGACCAAATGGCTACTCGCACGAAACGTCCATATCACTGTCCAACAGCCCTGCGTTGCCATTGCCAATTTTCAATATGAATAGTATTTTATTCGCTTGCACATCAATCTGTACATCAACCAGATATGAGACGGAAAAGGCGACGCAGACAGGGGCCTGAACAAGAAAAGGAGGGAAATTGAAATCAAGGGAGGGGAAAATACACCTCAGCAGCTCTGCGCCGAATTCACATTGCAACTATTGTAGATTCCACGAGCCGAAACCTCCTGTGCGAGGGCCAGTGAGTCACTGGCCCAGGGCCGTGCACGGACCCTCCAGCCAGCCAACAGTGGCCTCGTGGCGTTTCTCTTCCTTTCTCTTTTCTCTTCAGCGCTCAGCAATGCAATATTTTTGCCAACACACACCTCCAATTCCACAAATAGCATACTACCAAGCAGTACGTGCACGTGTACGACTACTTTGTCAACAACACAGGTGCTGTTGTGCTGGACAACACGGCACTACTATCGTCCACTCCTCATGGGATGAAACCATGCTATGATTCCACTCCAGGCAACCAATGTATTACTTCTCAGCTGTAATGACAGTCTATCAGATCTAGAAGAATGCCATGGAAGTTTATGGGCTACAGGGATCCATCTGAAAGTAACACTACAACGTGGCATCGAGGCCTTAAACCAGCGGTGTTGCCTGATACGGTATCCCATAGCTGAGTATGCAGAGCACGTCACATTATTTTAGGCAAATATAGCATACCTACTTATATTAATGGTACTAATGTGTGTTTATGGGAAACACATAAACGTTAGTTGCGCCTCAAACAAGTTCTAGATGTCCACGATGCCTGAGGATTTACAAAACAAATAATATTTATGATTCAAGTCCCGCAAGTCTCCAGAGATGTGCACTATACCTTTGTGCTGCTTGCGTGTACTGCCTGTCTCCAATTGCTGTATGAAATCCGGAAAGGGAGTTCGATGTTATAAGCAGGGTGAGGTCCGGGCAAATATTTGCATACTTTGCCTCGTCTTCACGACTTGTCCACATTTCATCTGAAACTGGCAGCTCCAAATATCCCAGACCAGAATTGGCTGTTGTTCTATACCGATAGCATCGTTCCAGAATATCAGGTCCGGAATGATTCGACATCCTCAATGATTTACAACTTTCCAGCCAGCCCTCGATAGCACTACCCAGCTGGAGCCCACCCACAAGCATCGTCCACAAAATTTGCTCCGGACCTGGGCCTGAACATGGACACCGAGGACGATGACTTGATCCATGCCAGGGTATGACCATTGATGAGGAGTTTCGACCTTTAGCATTACTGCTATGAGATGCTGAGCTCGTACATATGAGTGCTCGTTCGAGATGGCCGTCAAGGGAGCAAGGCCAAGCTTATATTGCTTCCATATCCTATGCCTAGAAATCGCGTCTCTTATGCTACTGACAACGCCGGCAGAACTACACCGAAGGTCCAAAACCCCGTCCCTCGTGCCGTCAGCAATGCAGGCGAAACCACCCAGATACATCACAACTGCATCACGCCCGGCAGTGACGAGGATGCTTCATGACCTCGGAGAGCTCATTGGCTATATGCTTAGCGATCATCTGTAGTAACGAGCATACGGCGTTTCGACAGACTAACTCTCGTCCCTGAAGCAAAGGGATTACTTGCCGGAGGAGAAGAGCCGTCACAAAGCCCGCATCTTACGGGACAAGACCATGAGATGAATAGCAGCATTCTTGGCTCACCTGGCGGAAACAAGCTCTGCACCCTAGTAGACGATCAGGAGAGCGACTAGTCCATACCTGCCGCAGCTGCCGTCGCCATGAAAATGAGGGTGATTTGAAACAATACTCAGCAAGCGAAGAGCTGACCGAGAGAGGAAGACGTCGGGAGGGGAATAGGAGAGGAACGACGCAGATGATAGCAGCTCATGCTCGAGATGATTGCGCTGGTCGTGGTAGAAGAAATTGGCGAAGTAAGCTCAGATGGGACGAGATCTAATCCAGACTCTGGCTGGGGACGTGGGATATAGTGCCCCTGCAGACTTCTCCCGCCTGGGCAGCTTCCACGGCCCACCGCCGACTGGTTCGATATCATACATGGCAATGAGAGCTGCAGAGAAGAGCAGGACCTCTTGGACAGCGAAATCTTGTCCGTTGCAAATAGCTTCTCCTCCACCTGTGAACATGAGTTAGCGTTTACCTCCATCATGCGTAACGAAATTCAACTTACCATATGGCCTCAGATCACCTATGTCAATGACTGATTCCTGCCCTGCAGTGCCGCCTGTTGCGTTTGGTCTAATATGTCTCTCCGCTCGCCAGACTTCTGGATCATCATAAACCGAGGGGTCCGTATTCCACAGCTGAGTAGCCAAATGGGCATACGTTCCCGCACGGAGGAAGAACTTCTCGCCTTCCTTGTCGCCCACGACAGTATCCTCACGGATATATTTGAAATTCCACCCATCAAAATCGAGGCGCAGCGTCTCGATGTATGAGGCCTTGAGCAAGGGGCACTTGTTCAGGATTCCCTCGATATCGATACTCTCTATGCGCGTGGCCGACTCGAAAGCCGCCCCAAACCCGATAGCCGGTTTCTCAAGAACCACAAACGGCGCGATCTCCTTGCGGATACGAGCCAGGAGACCATCAGGCTGGGAGTAGACTCTCCATAGGACCCAGAAGACGACAGGGTTGGCGTTGGCGTTTATCGCCCAGATTAGGGCCAGGTCAAGCGCGGACCGCTGCTTCGTGCTCAGGTTGTACTTGCGGAAGACGTCATCCACACGATGCTGCATCAAGGGGCTGACGTTTCCGAGGTCTGCCCACTGCGGTGCCGGGATCTCACCGTTGCGGACAGTGTCCATGGAGGCCTGGAACTCGTCCAGTGACCGCAGAAGGAACCCTCTCGCTCTGCGTGCGCCAATAGCCTTGTTGAGGGGCAGGACGGCCGGGAAATCCAAGGCAAGGGACAGGAAGCCCTTGTCCAGGCGCCACAGGGCCAGCCAGAACTCTGGGAAGTTCTCGACGAAATCTGTGCCGACCAGACACGGGTTGGCCGTGAAGGCGACGAAGTTTCGTACGAGTTCAAAAAGGTCAGCCTCGACGACTTCTTTGCCGGTGGCATCTTCAACGAGGCCGGCGTCTGCGACACGCTCCCAGTGGACTTGGTCTATCTCGCTCATGTTGAAGGTGACGAACTCAGCCACATTGTGTCGCAGCCTGTCGGTCATCGTCTTCACCATCTGTTTCAGCGACTGGCCCGATAAGAGATGGGTGTATTGTTGTTCGAGGTCCTTGAGGATTTTATCGTAGAGTGCCAGGTCGGCTTTGGAACGCGGATATCCAAAGACGCTCTGCATGAGATGCTTAGACGCTCTCCCTCCATCGACGACGTGTTCTGGCCGGCTGAAAAGCTTTTTATATAAGCTCGGCTTGTAGGGGACGTTGTGGGTTCCTCCAAAAAAGTTCAGGGCAAAGGCACCGCCTGGGTAGAGTTTTCTGAGACCTGCGAGGAAGCTGTTGAAGCCAAAGGCCATTTGTGGAATATGGCCTAGATAAGGGATCCAGTAGGGTACCGCAGGAGGTATCTGGGCGTCGTGGATATAAGATTTGGCCTGTGAGTTGTCGCTCCGACTGGTGACGAGGCGAGTCGTGATGCAGATGACGATGAACGTGATGACGAGGGCTGTAACAGGTTGATCCTGCACCTGGACCATGAGGCCTTGGCCAAATTCCACAAGGCTGTCCATCTTCTCCATCTTGAAAGAGGTTCGTGTATGCGAGGCCGGCTTGCCAGGCTTGCTTGCACTTTCACTCAGCCGCAGACAACCACCCAAGGTGAGTGGCACAATGCCACGACCTGGAATGAGAGAAGGACCTGAGCGTTGCAAAGTCGAGAAAAACAGACTGAATCTTTTTCAACTTTCCTCTGTCTCTCTTCTGGTAGCAAAGTCTGGCTTGACTTGGCTCAGAGTTGTTATTGTTGAGACGTTTCAAGGCACGTCGACTTGCCGTTTGATGGATTTGCAGAAAGGCCAGTCAGCAGCAGCTCAGTAGCTTGAAGTGAAGCTGCAAGGGGGTTTGCTGACAAGGGCATCGGAGACTTGGCGGGCCGACAGCCGTGGCGGTGATCCCAAGGCGGCCCGTGCGGAATTTGTGTATTAACTCATGTATTGTACATAGTAGAAAGAAGAAGAGAAAAAAAATTAAAGGAGAAAAGAATTCGCTCCTTCTCAGAATCTTACTTTTAAGCTATCTTTTCATGATGTTGACGACTTTCATTGACTTCGGTCTGATCGAAAAGAAAACGCACAAGCACCTGAAGAATTCATACACCGAGATGTCTCTGAATCAAGAGGAATATCAGTGGAACGCGAAGCAGTTGTGATGAGTCTTTGTAACTCATCAACTCAGAGTACTGCAAACCATTCCTATTGAAGCGAGTGCTCAATGTTTTTGAACCTCCAAAGTGACAGATGCCTCTTTTGGTATTGTAGATAACTTACCTGCACAGGCTGACGAATGAAATCGGAGGCTAGGATGTTCAACGATGCACTGTATGACCTTTGAATGAATAGTAAAAAGTTACTGTTCATTGACTTGCACAATTCTAGCCGTCCAGTGCAGGAGAAATCAGTCTGATACCAGGATGACACAAGCAGTGGTCGTCATGTTGTTTTGCTCGATATTAGTCGAGGAGCAAACGGAGTCGAGGAGCAAACGGAGTAAATACTTTCGTCGAAGATGGAAACGTGACAGATGACTTTTCCAACCATTCAACATCAAGAGCTGTCATGCGATGAATGCAGATAATGTGTTGACGATGCCTGTGGAGTCGACATCTCGAGAGAAGGTCTCGAAATGTCTATATACGCTGAAGCATTGCATCTGTGGACAGTGAGCGAAGAGTGCTTCTTGTTAACAAGGCATGCGTCAATTATCATCCTGAGGGCTAGACAGAATGCAACCTTGTACCAACTTAATACCGTTTCCCCCCAGCGAGGTCACGTTGCGAGGGGCTCCGCAAGATGGCGTCGAGATCAGATCAGTGGGACAGCAAAGAGGACAATTCTCAATACCTCCCATCTCTAGCGAAGTTTTCTTATTTCCGATCCCGACTTCCGGGCCCTCGTGAGGCCTTTTTGATCGTCTTCGGCAACTTATTATCAATGCAGTCCATCTGCAGGATCTTTGTTTGCAGTGGTGTGTATCGCAGCGCGCAAGAACACTGACTGGTTCGCTGTAGCCTTGAAAGGAGGACTACACCCCTAAGATGAACCTATCAAGATCGATACCGGTGCCATATCTCCCCCTCACGCAAATCGCTGTCAGAATGATGCAAGCGCTGGTTATGGGACGACTTTTGGCCGATTGTCGGATTTGCTGTGGAAGACGTGATCGGCCAGCAGCTGTCGCAATCCACTTCCCCACACGCGGCGGCTGTATAATTAGTAAGTAATCGTGGCCATGAATGAACAACTGCTGGCCCAGTTTGTGTGTGTATATATAAGAGAAGACAACTAACTTGGGACTAGCGATTTGATATCGAAAGTTGAATGATTGGTGTCATATAATTACGCTGCTAAATTTACAGCAGCAGGGAGTACTTCTTCCTTTCTAACTTATAGGCCCTAGCTCACGTTCCTATAAAGAGATTCTTCACAACCAAACATTATTTCAACCATCAAGACTGCCCAAGATGCCTCTCGAGTTCATTTCCATGACCTTTCCCAATGCCTCTACGGAGCTGGAACCCATCCCCGGCGCCCCGGCCGACCCAGACTTCATCAAGCGCTACGCACGCGGCCTGGACGACTATGACTTCAACTATACCCTCATCCCCTACGACTCGGGCGGTTTCGACCCCTTCACCATCGGCGCGACCATCCTGTCGGCCACAGAAAAGGTCAGCGTCGTGATCGCCCTCCGACCCAACACCATGTACCCCACCGTCGCGGCCAAGATGCTCGCCACACTCAACCACCTGGGGCAAGGCCGCGTGGTGGTGCACTTCATCGCAGGCGGCAGCGATGTGGAGCAAGGGCGCGAGGGCGACACCCTCGACAAGGACTCGCGGTACGGCCGGCTCGAGGAGTACATCAAGATCCTGCGGCGCGCATGGTCGTCCAGCGAGCCCTTTGACTGGGACGGAAAATACTACCAGTTCAAGGATTTCGCCAACCGCGTCCAGCCCATCGGCGGGCCCAAGGCCATCCAGGTGTCTGTCGGTGGCTCCTCGCCCGAGGCGTACCGCATCGGCGGATCCCTGGGCGACATCTTTGGTCTCTGGGGCGAGCCGCTCAAGGACACCAAGGAGCAGATCGACAGGATCTACGCCGAGGCCGACAAGGCTGGGCGCGCGCCGGATGACAGGCCGCGCATCTGGGTCACCTTCCGGCCGATTGTTGCCGAGACGGACGATCTCGCGTGGGCCAAGGCCTACCGCATCCTCGACGTGCTCAAGGAGAACCGCGCCAAGGGCCAGGGCAAGGTGCCGGCCAACGCCCCTGCGCCGCAGAACGTGGGCTCGCAGCGCCTGCTGAACATTGCCTCGCGCGGCGACGTGCAGGACCGCTGTCTGTGGTACCCTACAGTGACGGCCACCAACGCGCGTGGCGCGTCGACGGCGCTGGTCGGGTCGTATGAGACCGTGGCTGAGTCTCTGCTGGACTATGCGAAGCTTGGTGCCGATCTGATCTCGATCCGTGGCTATGACAACATCAACGACAGCATCGACTACGGCCGGTATATCCTTCCCAAGGTTCGGGCGGGCCTGAAGACGCTGAACGGGACAGATGGTGCCAAAGCAGAGAAGGGTGCCGACGGCGCACCTGCAGCATCTGTGGCAGCAGAGGGGGTGTAAATAAGTGATGGATGATGATGATGATGATGATGGCAGAGATCTTACTGGAGTGTCAGCCTTTGTTGCGAATTTGAGCCTGGAGGAGGAGGATGGCAAATCACAAGGGAGGGAAGAAGACCGGACGAACCCGACACAAACAAGTACCGAGCACGGGATGGGCCTATTGAGACTGAGATATCATTATCAATGACACATGATTTATGAACCAGATGAGTTGCAGCATGGTATGGTACTCAAGTCCCTCTTTTCCATGATTCAACATCCTCTGGGTTTGCATATTATCTGCATCTGCGCTGCTATACCATCCTGTACGATATGTCGGTCGTTGCATTGTATAATTAAATTGGCGAATAAGGTTTCAAATAATACAGGTCTGTTTCCAGAACAACTACCCTCAATCATATGATGGCTATATGAGAGAGTCTATGCCAATCTCTTATCAAAAGCTCAGCAAGGAATATTGGGTGCTGAAGAACATGACCTCGGAATAGCCAAAACTACCCTCTATCCAACCCAACAAACGCACGCCTTGCAGAAGACCTTCTGCAACTCGGAACTATGCTTGTCCCTGTCAACAAGCCACCACACTGCAAAACCAGGCCCTGGACTTCGGGTCTGACGTCTGGAAGAAATCATACATCCTTGGAAAGATCAGTGGAGCCAAGTGACCCACAAAGATACTTATCGAATTGACAGTATTGCAGAGTACGATGGTAGATTCTTCTGGCCCAGGATTATTCGAGTCTGCTCAGTCTACGACCTGAATAACCCCTCGTACGCTTCTTGTAGCCACACAGTAAATAAATGCGGTATTAAGCAATACATTGCCATTAGTAAATATCGATACAGCCCATGACACCATTGCACAAGAACATCCCCGTCCACCATCTCCCCCTCCCCATGGGACAGGATGACGGAGCGATGGTACCCTCCTTCGCGTAAGCCCATCGGCCACCCCCTGTCTTTTTTGAGAAGGATCCTGGATCAAAGGCTCAACTGGCTTCAGCCCAAATTTCGATGCTAGTGCATGATGACGAATGTGCGTGTGAGGAGGAGTGTGATTGAGCGTGTGTGAGTGAGATGCGATTCTTCCCAGATTTCGCCACATTACCACCCCCGACTCTCAAGCCACACACAACCACTATACACCCATTGCTTCCTACATCGCGTGGAGGTATATCACTGCTCCACCGAGGTTCCATCATCAACTCTTCTCATCTCACCGCGAACCCCACATTCATATTTGGCTGGATCATCCATCTATCTTACTTTGAGATTCCTCACGGAACCGAGTTGTGTCGTGCGCGACGACTTCTTGAACACCTGCGCGCATCAAAGGCCCATAGCTGCACAAATCAATTTGGTGAGGTGGCTCCGGCCACCGTCATCTTTTTCTTCTCATCATCATCATCTTCTTTTAGTTATTTCCACAAGCAGGGGCTCCATTGAATCATCACAGCAACAAGAACCGCGATGGAGGGCCTCAAGCTCATCGCCCAGTCGACCTTCGACAGACACCAAAAGTTCCGGCCCAGCAGCACCAGCACCGGCGAAGGCCCATACCGGTACAACGCCATCGAGGTCGGCGCCTTTCCCCCGGCGTCCTCCACCTTGTCGTCATCCTCACAATCCAACGTCACCACGACGGCGGCGGCGGCAAGACGCCAGCCCAGCACCCAGAGCCTCACCGCCGGCGCCATTGCTACTGCCGCAACCCTCAGCGCGGGCGGCAACGGGTCTGCCTCGTTCTCGTCCAAACAACAACAACATCAACAACAACAAAATGGCGGCAGTGGCGCGGGCGCGGTGAAGCGCGTCACCATGAACGAGTGGATGGTCTTTGAGGATGACCTGCCTGCGTTCATGAAGAAGCGCCCTGTCGACCTCGCCCAGCAGCAGGCGGCGGCGGCGGCGGCGGAGGAGAGGCCCAAGGGGGCTGCTTTGCAGAACGGTGGAGGTACTGACCCCGGCACTGGTGGTGGTTCGAGGAGTTTCAGCTTGCCCAGCAAGATAAGACCGACATCGTCGTCATCGGCAGGAGCAGCCTATAGTAATATTAATCATAATTATCCAGGTAGGGAAGGCCACAGCCGCGGCCAACAAGACACAGAGGCCGTAGCGTCGCTGAAGCTGGTATGCATCCAGCGCATCGAGCCTGACAACGACGACACGGACGACGACAACAACGACGACGACGACGACGACGGCAACGATTACCGTTACGGCAAGAATTCCGGCGCACCAGCAGGATTCTCCCCAGACACCAACACCCTCGCCATCTCGCGCGACACCTTCCTGCGGCTGTACGTGAACCTCATGGACGCTGACCACTCTGCACTGTATTACCTGGCGCGCGAGTACGACGGCTTCCACGAGTTCACCGACCACAGCAAGGGGATCGTGACAAAATTCATCGGCACGTCGCAGTACGCGCTCATCTGGACGTTCAACAAGCGCACCCTGGAGACGAGAGGCCTCTTCATCGACAGGTGCCAGAAGTGGCAGGCCAAGGACAGCAGCCACTTCCCACCGCCAACTCTGGCCTCGCCTGCGGTTATTACCACCAGCAGCGGCACGCACCGCGTTGTCTCTGCTGCTGCTGCTTCTGGTGGCGGTGGTGGTTTTGGTCCTCCAGGTAGTCCGCCCGTGACGCCTATAAGTAAGCTGGCGCACGACGACACCAGCAGTCTTCACTCGACGCCGAGCAGGAAGTGGACGAAGAATAGGACGGGCAGTGTCACGGCCAGCAAGGCGTGGCAGGGGTTTCGGGAGACGCTTAACATATACCGAGGGTTTCTGTTTGCGCCGCAGCTGCTGAGTTTTGTCACATGCGTGCACCTGTTGCGCTTCTCTGACGATAAGGTGAGCGAGGACGACCTACCGCTCATCAAGGGAGTCGAGAAGAGCCTCAAGAACAGCAGCACCACCACCAGCAACGGTGTTGGTGGAATCGCTACAGAAAATCTTGTTCCAACAGCAGCAGCAGAAGGACGAGGACGAGGAGGAGGCGGAATGTCTCCAGACCACCACCACAACCACCACCATCACCATCACATGGCCAACGGTATAATGCCTACTCAAACCAGCAGTTTCTCCCTCGTCACCGACCCGAACCCCTTCGCACCCTCAACACCACCAGCCGAGTCAGAAAAGATGACCCATCACACCGCCAGCAACCCCCAGGCTCAGGCCGGCGGAGGACGCGGGCCCCACGGAAGAGTGGTATCCCAGATAGCAACCATCAACAAGGTCCAGACCAGCCTGTCCAACAAACTACGACACCTGGCCATGGCAAGAGGCATCCTGGAGATTGTGGCGCGCGAGCACGAGACGGTCATCGTGGACGTGGTGGCGCCGCAGTTCCTGGACCGCTACCACTGGGCCATGGAGAGCATGACCGAGGCCATCCCCGCCCTCGAGAGGCACATGGCCTCCCTCGAGGACTACCTGCGCTACCTACAGGGCCGATCCGAGAGGCTGACCGGGCTGGTACGTAGTCTCATCACCCTGATCTCCCTCTCCTCGGCTCCCACCCCAAGCTCTGCTCTTAAAACAATTCCTGCTGCTGCTCCTTCTTCTTCTTCTCGAACTCAGTCTGATGCGTTGAGCCTCAGGTGTCATGAGGCTGACAGCCGGTCAGATCTCGGCCGTCTCCTCATCAGCGCCGCACGCTGCGGTGCCGATGGGGCCCGGGGCGGCCGAGACGGCTACGAGGCAGCTGCTGCGGCTGTTGTTCTCGAAGCCGATCACGACGACGAACCTCGTGGACTTGGAAGAGGAGGAGGAGGAGGAAAGATACGATATATATCAAGAGAAGACCAGCGAGACGAGCAGCACCAACAGTCAGAACAGCAACAACAGCAACAGCAGCAGCAGCAGCAGCAACAACAACAACCAAAGCGCCGCCTTGAGCCGGCACCACTGCGTCGCGGGCGAAGTCTTGGTTTTTATGCCAGCTATATTCTCCGCGGCAATTACAGCCATCGTCTCACTTAAGCCCTCTTTCGCCAGACCGTCCCTCATAACCATCCCCTGTGTCGTGATTGTAGTTTGTGGCTGGCGCTTTGTTGCGCCTAAGGAGTGGTCCAAGGGCGGAATTCGGCGGCAGGACGAAGGGGAAAGGGGTGCCAAATAGTGAAGGGAAGATACTTCGACATCTAGATAGACCAGGAGACCAGCCTTCGAAGGCGGTGTAATGAATGAAAAGTTGGTCATGATGATGGGATCAGTCATAGATGCGAACCCCCTCGACGAACAGCAGGTGAGCTGATGGATGTCGAGAACAGGCAGGAATCTTAGTGCTGGAGCAGCATACATACACAAGTTGTTCATGCGGCCCTTAATAAATTGACACGCAAGTCCTGAAATGTCAGAACAACCAACTACCTCTACTCTTCTTGAAGTAGTAGACAAATGCTGAGCGTCTTGATAGGCGAGTGCATTGTACCACAAGCGCTTCTACGAGTCAAGACGATGATGGGCAAACATGAGCCAGTGTTAAAACAAACATGTATAATGTATTGTATGTCATGGAGAGGCGTCTAACAGGTTCAAGAACGGAACCGGAGTACATGAACGGACCGACCCGAGCCACGCTTGCACCAGTTTATCACAAAAGTAGACAAAACTTCGGGGGATGCCAACCCGTTTTCCAGGACCAGAGACCCATGTAACTCATTTCCTATATGAAAAAGAATAACGCCGTGACCGAGAACGAGAAGGAAAAGAGAGAAGAAAGAGAGAAGAAAGAGAGAGAAAGAAGAAGAGGGAGAAAGAGAACAACGAAACAATGCTAGTAATACCACAAATCTTTGTATGACCGTACACACTCTTGTCCATGAACCCCGAATAGTAGAAGAAACTAATGAATCCGTACACAAGATAATCAACACACACCCCACCTCTACCTGTCTTTGTCTATCTTGGCGGTCCTGTCTAGGAGGAAAGCTGCTTCAGAAGCGCCTCCTTCTCCGCCACAGGAAGGTTCGACAGTGCAGCACGCACGCCCTCAAAGGCATTCTTGTCGACCAGCAGCTCGGCAATGTGTGTGCGCGTCGCCTCCGCCTTCAGGGCAGCCACCTTCTCGTTGACCTGCTGGCGGTGCTCCTCGTACCACAGAGCAACCTCGCGGTCCGACTTGTCGAACTTGGCGATGCCGCTCCAGGCCTTGAGCAGCGAGAGATGACGAGTGCGCAGGGCGGCAGGGTCCTTGTTCGCCACAGACGTGACGGTCGCAGCCATGCGGCGCAGGATATACTCCTCGTTGAGGCGTCTGCGCACGCGCCAGTAGAAGTACCGACGGGACTCGCGCCACTCGAGCTGATCGCGGATCACACCCTTGGCCTTCATGCGCCCAGCCCGGTCGTGCAGGTCGGCAAATTGCAGACTGATCTGGGAGTAGATGGGCAGGAGCAGCTCCTCGCGCTCGGCAATCTTCTGGGCGATAGCATCAATCTCGGCCTTGGGAGCCCCGCTGGACTGCGCCGTCGCCAGGGCCTTCTTGAGTGTGCTATAGGTGGGGTCGTTGCGCGCCATGGTTGCCAGCTGCTTGTCCTTACGGTACTTGATACCGATGATACCCTCGGGCTCCAGGACACCACCACGGGCCTCCACGTCGGCATACATCTCCATGACAGTGGGGTTGATGGTGGGATCGACGACGACCCAGGAACCGCCACGGAGCTCACCATAGGGTGGGATGTAGACGAAGATAGGCTGCTCGTACTTGACGAGGGCGTCGACGATGAGCGAGCCGTACTTGAGCACCTCGTTGTACATGTCGCGCTGGCCACCAGAGAAACCACGCCAGTTGGCAAGGATCATGAGCGGCAGCTGCTCACCATAGTTGAAATCATTGATGGCCTGCGCCGTCTTGAAAGCAGAGTTGGGGTACCACACACCACCAGCCTCCTGGCTGACCTGCTCAATAGAGTCAGGGTTGGCGGGGTCTGCAGGCGTGACGTTCTCAATGGTCCGGGTCTCGACCGCGATGACACCCATGGGGATACCACCAAGGCGAGCACGTCCGACAACGACAGACCTGGCCCAGCCGCCGAGGGTCTCGACAAACGAGTCCTTATCGAACAGACCAGGCTGGAAATCATCGCCGTCCTGCTTGCCCGCAATCATCCAGCGCACATCATGGGGCACACGAGGCGCAGGTGTGAAGACAACATCACGGTCCCACGTGTCAGCGCTTGGGGCAACGGGCACGGGGTTGTTACGCTTGTCGGGCACAAATGACATCCACTTCACAATCTTGGAGATACCAGCCATGTCATCCTCAGCGGTCATGTGAGACACACCATTGCGGTACATGATCTGAGTGCCACCGAGCTGCAGGTTGGACGTGTAGACCTCGCGACCCAGCAGGTTGTTGAGAGCAGGAGCGCCGGTGAGGATGATAGGCTGACCCTCCACCTGGACAGCACGCTGGCCCAGGCGGACAAGGTAGGCACCGATACCTATTTCACATTGGGTTAGCAAATGAAAGGTGAGTAGTGAGAGGACATTCCTCGCCACGGCTTTCTGGTGCAAAAGGACAACAACTTACCAACGGAGCGGCATGTGACGAGCGTGCAGGTGAAGATGTCGTTGTAGGCACGGCTGGTCGCACCGGCAATAAGACCTGAGCCGCGCAGACACTCGACACCGAGACCATCTTCTTGTCCGACGATGGTGACAATCTTGTGCCTCTTCTCACCGTCCTCGACAACCTCCTCGGTGATGACGGAGCTCCCGAAACGCTTCTTGGCCTCGTCATCGAGGTACAGGTACTTGAAGCCAGCCTCCTGCTTCTCGGGGTCGTTGAAGGCGACCTTGAAGTGAGGCATGAGCTCCGTCGCAAGACCCAGGCGGGCACCAGAGTTGGCAGACAGGTAGATGCGGGGGATGCCAAGCTTGCGGGCCAGCTCGGTACACTTGTTGAAGTAGTGGTCCTCCTTGGGACCGAAGGAGCCGATCTGGTACGTGATGTCGTTGGCAACGAGCACAAACTTGCGGCCACGAGGGTACTCGGGCGTGCGGGCATTGATAAGCCAGCCGACCATACCACAGCTGTTGGTGCCTGCTTCGCGGGAGACCTCAGCCAGCTTGTCGGCGTCATCGAGGACAAGCTCGCTGAAGTCGATGCACTCGCCGGTCGGAGGCTGCTTCTCGGCAAGAGCCGGCATGACCTTGACAGCCTCGGTCCACGAGTTCTGGATAGCCTGACGGAACAGCTCGGGGAAGTCGTACGCGTACTGGGTTCCCATCAGGTGAGCCTTGTACCGCTTGGGCTGCAGGTGGTTCTTGGCCGGGTACGGCGACGAGACGGGCAGCAGATGCATGGCGCCAATCTTGGTCGTGCCGCCGAGGGAGTGGAACACCCACTCTCCCTTCTCGGACTTGCGCTCGGCATACACCTCGACTTGGACAACAAATCCAGAAGTATTGGTGATGATGACACGTAGAGGATAAGGCGTGCCAGTGGACGGATCCGTGCAGATAATGCGGATCTCGACCTGGGCGACACGGAGGCGCCACCCTCTGGGCCCGAACCGGTCAAGGAAGCCCTGCAGCGAGTACTCGACCTCGCGTGGCTGAAGCTGGAAGACGGGCGTGAAGTTGATGAAGAGGTGGTTCAAGTCGGAGTTGTTGTTGCCAATGATCTCGAGGGCATCAAAGATATCGTTGACAACGCGGTCAGCCTCAGAGATCAGGTACTCGGCGGTAGGGATCTCGTCACGGAGCCTGCCGGGCCGGATGACAGCGCGTGTGAAGTAACGCTTGTCAGCTTCGTTCTCCTTGGCGGCTGCCTCGTACACGTGGATGTTCTTGTTCTCGGTAAAGACGGGCTTGATCTTGAACTTGGACAGGCGGTTCAGCTCCAGCTGGAAGGCAAGGGCAGGCTCCATGTGTCGAATGCTGTCGTCCTCCTCGTACGTTGGACCACGGAAGGTGTAGTATCCGGGGTTCGAGCCATCGGGGCCACCACAGATGAAGGTGAGACGGCGAACACCGTGCGTGTGGAGTTCACCCTTGAACTGTTCGATAATGTCCCGAATGCGGGCAAGGGCGTCCACATCATCACGGCTCTCAGAGTCGTGGACAGCAATGACGACCACGTTGGACAGCTCCTCCTGCGAATCACGGCCGAGGGGCTTGCGCTTGCCTTCGAGGTTCGCAATCACGGCGTTCTTCTTCTGGAAGAGAGGCAGCGTATCCAGGGCTTTCGACAGGAGCTCCTCGACATCGTCGAGATACTTGCAAGGAATGATGACACCTCGGCGGACAGGCTCCTCTTCAGTCTTTCGAGTCAGATAGGACATGTCGCTGATGGAATGGATGCGGTGGAAGCCGTAGTCTGCCCCCCCTTGCATTGGCGTCATGGGCGTCGCTGGAGACGAAGGTGCGGCTGTCTCAATGGGAAGGCCGAACTCGGACTGGCCAATCTTCCTAAGCTGGAAGTCCCAAGACACAAAGGCTGGGTTATCCGACTCATCGCCGTGGTACTCAATTTGACGGAGGATGTATGCTCGGTAAGCGCGGCGGACGTAGACCTCCAGGGCAGCGAGACCCACCCAGGGATCAGCGTGGGCGAAGAACTGTGGCAACACGTCGAAGACGGTGTACTTGGAGTCGACAATCTCCTTGATGACACTGAGACTGGGGTTGCGGTGGTCCAGGCCAGCCTCACCATACCTCGACTCCACGACCGACGACCGCAGGATGTGCTCCATCTGTGCCTTGCGCTCCTCCAGCGACGGCAGAGCGCACTGGATGAGGATCTCGCGAGCCTTCAGAGAAACCTTAGCAGTCTGACGGGACTCGAGATCTGCCAGCTGCCTGAGCACGGGCCGGAGGGTTTTTCCAACGTTGCCAACGTTGGGCTTGTTGGGGCGGTACTCCTCCAACAGGGCAACGACCAGGTTGTTCTTGGCATTGACACGGCTGTGAGACAGAACCGTCTGGACAACCTTGGTCACGTCCTCCTTGTTGGCGTCACGGAGGGCCAGGATAATCTCCTCATCCTGCAGCTTCTGGCCTGAGAAATAGCGCTCCACCTCAGCATAGCTGTCCAGCAGGCTGGAGATGACCTTGAACTCGCGGACCTTCTGGCCCTCATTGTACAGGTCCAGGATGGCGGTCAGGGGCTCCAGGGTGAGCTTGAGAGTGGCCTGGTCGCTAGGCGCAACGTTGTCGTCCAAGAACTTGTGGAAGGCACGGAGCAGCGGCTTGGCGGGGAACTCGCTTCCGCGGGACTTGGCGCGCTCGACCAGCTGGGCGAACTGGGCGTCCAGCTTCTGTGGCATACGACTGTGGAGGGCTGAGAACTGAGCAGCCCATTCGCTGTAGGGCAGCTCTGGGTCGCGCAGGACCTCCACAAGCTCCTTCAACGTCTGGGTCATGACAACGGTATTGTCGAAACCCTGGAGGATGTTGAGCAGAGTGCCATAGAGCTTGGCGAAGCGCTGAGAAGGCTTGTCGCCGACCACCATGGGAGGGCCGAACTCGGGAAGCTGGCCAACGAAAGGCTGAGCCTGCTTGACGCGGCTGGGGTCGTCCAGGACGAGTATACCCAGGATGTCGCCTGCCTCGATGGTGGTACCGGGCTGCTTGATGAGCTGGACCACACCGTCCTCCTGGGCGATCAGGGGCATGTACATCTTCATGACCTCGACCTCGGCAAAGATCTGGCCAGCCTTGACATGCTCGCCGTTCTCGACCGAGTAAGAAACGAGCTTTCCAGGCGAGGGCGTGCGCAGCTGGGTGGGGTCGTTCTCTTGCTCGAGTAGACAGGTCTTGCTGTCGACGGAGACGCGGGTGGCGCCAACCTCTTCCTTCCAGTAGATACTGTGGCTACGTCCATCGAGCAGGATGAGCAAGCCGCCATCACTGAGAGCACGGACGCCGACAGAGCACTTGGAGCCGTTGATGAAGAGGTGGTAGCTATCCAGACTCGACCGCGTGACGGTGAACTTGTAGCGGAACCCCTCATAGATGAACTCGATCGGGAAAACCGTCTTGAGAATATCCTTAGAGGGAACTTGGCCCTTGTTCAGACCCGCCTTGTAATCGGCAAAGCACTCTTCGCTCGCAATATGAGCCTTGGTGACAGCACCGCAAACGACAGCGAGCGTGGGGTCCGGGCGCTCCGCGGTGAGCTTGTTCGTGATCAGCTCGTCCAGCCAACCGGTGGTGATGGTGTTGTCCTCGAAAGCCTCCGTCTCAAGAAGCTTGATGAGGTACTCGACGGTGGTGCGGAAGTCGCCACGGATGCTCAGCTCCTTGAGGGCGACGACCATGTGCTTCCGGGATGCCTGACGGTTCTCACCGTAGGCAAAGATGTGGCCGAACTGAGAGTCCGAGAAGCTGTGAATACCAGAGCCAGTACTAACAGAGAAGTAACCCCAGACGTTGGAGCTACTCCTGAAGTTCAGGTCGTGCATGACACCGTTGGACGGCTTGAAACCCTCACCAGGGTCTTCAGAGGTGATACGGCATGCAGTGGTGTGACCCTTGGGAGTCGGTCTCCGCTGGGCCTCAGCACTACCCTCGTTCTTGAACTCAAAATCGATCTCCGTGGCGGCCTTGGGGTCCACACCGTACAGCAGGCGGATGTCGCGGATGCGATGCAGCGGGAGGCCCATGGCAATTTGGAGTTGAGCAGCAGGCAGGTTGACACCGCTGACCATTTCGGTAGTAGGATGCTCGACCTGAAGACGAGGGTTCAGCTCGAGGAAGTAGAACTTGTCGTCGTGGTGCGAGTAGAGATACTCGACGGTACCAGCAGAGACGTAGCCGACAAGGCGACCAAGTCTCACGGCAGCCTCCTCCATCTTCCTAAAGGTGTCGGCCTTGGCGATGGTAACGGGGGCCTCCTCGATAATCTTCTGGTGGCGTCTCTGCACAGAGCAGTCTCTGCCAAAGAGGGAGATGTTGTTGCCGTACTGATCAGCGAGGAGCTGGACCTCCAGATGGCGGGCGCTGCTGGCAAGCTTCATGATGAAGATGGGCGAGCCGGGAATCTCGCTGGCAGCGGCCTTGTAGAGCTGTTCGAAACCCTCCTCGCTCAAGGCCTTCCGGATACCCTTGCCTCCACCGCCCTCAGAGGCCTTGATCATGACCGGGAAGCCAATCTCCCGCGCCTTCTCCAGACCTTCCTGCCACGACTGGACGCAACCCTTCATATATACGTTGTCAGACACAGTCACGATGCCATGTTCGTCGATAGCGACGTCATCAACGCCTGTTCCCGACCACGGTATGCAAGGCACCTCGGCGTGTTGTGCAACAATTGTCGACGAGATCTTGTCACCGAGGGAGCGCATGGCCGAGCCGGGAGGTCCGATGAAGACGATCTTCTTGGGGGAGGCAGCGAGGGATTCTGGCAGTTTTGGGTTTTCGGACGCATGACCCCTAAATTTGGTAAATCTTCAGTCAGTTGCCAATTCTCTTCCCGGTAGCAATCATGTTTTCTTTCTTCTTTTTTCTTCTTTTTCTTTTCGATCTGGGTGTCCTTTGTCTTGCTTACCAGCCGGCCCACACGGCGTGGACGTTCATCCGCTCGGCCACATCCACGATCAACTCCACGTTGGCGTAGTTGTGGTTGTTTGTGCCACCCGGGACCTCGACATAGTGGTCTGCCATTCTGATGTAGTCTGCGTTGGCCTGCAGATCTTCTGGGGTGGCCATGACGGTGAAGTGGATGGCGCGCTCGTCACCGAATGTTTCGTACGCCCATTTCCGAACGGACCGGATCTCCTTGACGGCAGCAATACCGTTGTTGGCGATGAGAACCTGTCATCCCACCCATCCCATGGTCAGCGTCCTGCGTCCTGCGCGCTCCCTGCTCTGCGCAACGCCAATTCTTGGGTTCTGGAAAAGCTACTCACGTTGGAAATGACGGTGTGACCGTCATTGGCAGCGACAAATTCCTTGACCCTAGAATTTGGCGCATTCTCTAACCTGTTACCGCCGATGAAGTGGTCGGCAACCTTGCGCATCTCAGCATAGGTAGCCTTGCCGTTGGTATGGGGAGCAACCAGTAAGCTGCCGCGCCGTTGAGATGATGCACCATTGGCGAGGCCATTGGCCCCATTGGCCCCGTTGCTGAGTGTGGTCATATCTGCGGTGGGATGGAAGGGAGAGCAGTTGGGAAAGCGGAAAGCTCTGCTGTCTGTCTGTCGGAAGAGATGGGTTGAGAGGGGGTATCTAGTGGGTCATTAATGGTACAGGACTGGTAGAGAACGCCGTGTAAGAGTCGTGTCCTATTCGAGTCGAGGTGCCGAATCTCGAGATCGAAAGAAGGTGTCGTGGGGGGCGGTGACGTATCGGTCCGTAATGTTCAGGTCTCGTTGTCGAGAAGCGAAGGGGATGCCGGAGCTAGCCAAAGCGCGGCGTCGAGTAATGGACCAGGAGAAAAAGTAGCCGAACGTGCAGCTCCGAGAAACGGTATTACTACAGGCCCGGGACCGACTTGCAGAGAGGTGAATGAGGGGAGCCGCTAGAAGTGCAGGGTCTTGTTTCTCCTAGACGTAATCCGAAATCAGCGTCAGTAAATCACTTGATCACTCCTGTTCAGTCATGGTCCATGGCCCACACATTGCATCTGGGTGGGGAGAGCTTTTTGGTGGGGGCAAGAGTCAGGTCAGTTGCTGAAGGAGGGATGCGAATGTGTGTTTAAAAGGCCAAGACTGGCCTTTCTACGCTGGCGCACTTCGGAGCGAACAGATCTGCATTCCTGTTCTGTCCATCATGGGAACGGGGTTTTCCAGCACCGAACAAACTGTCGTCCCAGAGCGATGTGGAAAATTCGCAAAGCTTCCAAGGTGCAGGGGACATGAATCAAGCTTACCTGTTCTATGCTGGATCGTTGTCGCGGTGTTCAAGACCACAACCAAGCTCAATCTTGTGGTAGAGGGTGAGTCCTGGAAAAGGAGGAATAGGTCCTAGGCAATTCGTCGTGAGAATGCCTAGCAGAGACGATGGATGGCGGGGAGAAGTGCTGCTGGTGTTTGCAGTCGAGGGTGGGACGAGTCCTCAGATCTGATGCTAGGATGAGGAAGAGAGGGAGGAGGAGAAGATCAAGGGCGGAAAGAAGATCCAATTCAGAAAGAATCAAGCCGAAGTGAGAAGAGGCGTGGAGGCTTCGCGACAGAGACGGACAGGCTGGGGGACTTGATATACCATAGTAGCTTCGGAGAATGTTGGCAAGTGGCATGGGACTGTAGGGCAGGGGGAGGGGGACAATATCTTGATAGAAAGGGGGGTTTTGCATTCATCGAGGTGATCCACATGCAAATCTATCCATATTATCGTTTAATGCCCCTCCAACAACGAGGGTCCAGCCCTATTTTTTCTTCTTGTCTGCTTCCTTTTCACCAGGTCACTTTCCAATGTCACCAGCACCTTCTCCAGATAGACAAAGTACGTCAGTGCGACGGAGCGGTACCTCAGTACATGCCACCACTAAAACACCCTGACCCTGCAGATCCAACGTGTCAAGGCACCCAATCAACTGGGGCGATTCGATGTGTTGGGGAACGGATTTGGTGAGATGGTGGGGCCGGCACATTGCTTCTAAAGGGGCGAGCATGCAGCTACACGATATAGACCAGTACCAGCCAACTTCCCTGATGGGGCAATTGTTCTATCGATAAGGGCCTGAAAGCTCCGAACGGAACATTCAACTCGCTGGATCTTTTGGTGCGCCGCCGCCGCCGGGCTTGTGCTTTGTCTGCCCCCTGGATGCCACCTTCCCCCGAGAGCACCCTCGGGAGATTGGCAAATGGGCCAGCAACCTCGACGATCATCAGGTCTTGTAATGTAGGAAAGCACACTGTATGGTAGAAATATGGGCAGAAGCTAAAAGCAGCGGCCTGGCTCTGGTCTTTCCATACGGAGCATCTTCGGTGCCCGAAGTGCCCAGAGCTCCTTCTCCTTCCTCGCCCACGGAGACCGTGTCTCCCGCGCCTCACGAGCCTGGTCCCCAAAGCTCACACGCTGTTAGGAGACTTTGTCCGCAACTCGTCGGGCCTACAGCCCCAGCTGAGCTCATGTTTAATGAATACATCGAACCACACCAGCACAGCGGAGGTGGATTGCAGCGCTGTATAGGAGCATCTCATCAAGCGCAGAGGGAGAAAAGTTGTTGAGCATAATAAATTGGGGATGGTCCTCCTCACCTCAATAGAGAGAGAGAACAGCACAAAGACCCTTGGTCAGGGGGGGTGAGATGGAAAGAAAAAAAAAATCTTTGGTTACTCGCTCTATTGTTATATCGATATGAACCAAACGAGGCATGAACTTCCCGTCGACGTCATTTTTCTGTCTTTATCCTTTGTCCCCATTCTGCATCCCAAATCTCAACCGAAATCGATCTCGGCTGGTCCCCTGGGGCCCGCCTCCACCCGCCTAAAGAGATTCCCCTAGCGGATCTCCGGAGCATTGAGAACATGCAACAGTGTCCCACGGGCGAATGTCCTCAATGGTGAGTGGTACTGCGGGACGAATTGCATCAAGTAACAATCTATATAAATACCAAGTAGAAAAGACGGTGAGCTGTAGCAAGTCAGCCAGAGCGACTCCGGGTGGGAGGGCAATACTGAGCGAGTTTGTACCTGTGGTTATGGCGGAATTCACAAAACCGAGGATCTGTGAGCCTGTGGCATAATTGTTGAGGTTTCGATTTGCAGAGCACGAATTCAGGGCCACGGGCCTAAGGAAGGGGCCCCCATTTAGCCCTGAGAAAACCTTGGCCTAGCATCCCTGTCCACCAAAGCCCAAACTGGGGCAAATGGGCGCCAATGCCCTCTTCAGCTCTTTCTCCCTGAAAATCGCACTTCCCCAACATCTCTTCCGCACCGTCCGCCACTGCAAGCGGCTAATCCTACTAGTGGCTAGTCGTCGACTGGCTCCCCTTCGCCCTCTCTGTTACGTTGGTGGCTTTTGGTTTCATGACAGCGAATCCACCCTCTGGAACCTGCGAGAAAAATTCGGGCTACCGGAACAGCACCAAAGGACGGTACACTCTGCTTGTCGATATTCACCGTGCAGGAGAAGATCTTGAGTTTAAAATACAACGAAATAGAAATTAAATCAAAGTAGGAGAAAAAGATGGAGAAAAATAAGTGCAGACCCTGTCAGCCGCCCCGAAGAGTGCAGCCATCCATTGATAATCATATCAGGTATCAGGATCTACCCCAGCTGGACCACTCTCACTACTAGTGGTCCCAGCCCCGATCCCAGCAGCCAAGCGTGGGTTGGTGTGTACACTTGCACACTTCTCAGCAGTATCTCTTTCTCTCTTGTCGACTTGCCCATCTCAGCCTCGTCCACACCCCCACAAGGCTCATCTTTCATCTCCCGGCCATCTCATCCACCAAGGACAGAGACCAGTGAACCGTATTCTCACCCGAATGTTGCTTGGGTCCATGTGCATGGCATATTCTTTGCTTATGATGAACACTTGCCTACATACAACACCTGACCCTACACCCCGCACAAACGATGTTGTAATCATCGTCGTTAAGGAGACCTGCTAATTCCTCACCGAGGCTACACCAAGGATGCATGGCTGCAATGGCGCTCTATTTCCCTCGCTATATTCTCATCGTCATCCTCAGCCGTGCCTCGTCCACTCACCCTGTCCAAGCGCTTCATTCATCCCAACCCTCCACCCCCCCCCCCTTGCTCCCCTGCCATCGACACGCTGAACCCCCCATCAGACATGCTGGACCGTGCGGTTGTGTTGTGTTCCCTTCCCCCTCCTTCGAACCCCGATCGGGTGTTACAGCGCATGTGGGCCGGTCCGGGCACTTTCGTGAATCTGAATCTGAGCGAGCCCAACTCCAAGTATGCAGAGGTAAAAGAGAGAGAGGGTGGGAGGGAGGGAGAAGGAGGGCAGGGGGGGGGGGGGGAAGAAGACAGGAAAAAAATCCAGCCTCATGCATGCACGCAACTCTCTCACTCCTTCGTTCCCCTTCCATACAGCCTTCGAAGCGCTTGCCCGAACAGGCTGTTGCTGCTACAGCCGTGTCCCGCCGGTCCAGCCCCCCGGCCCAGTCTCTGCCACATACCCTCCCCGATTGATTATTTGAGAGACAAAACTAAGAAGCCACCCTCGGGTGTCGGTGACGGAACTGAGATGGAAGGACGAAATCGTGTCTTTATGGTCTTATCTCATCGGGCGCACCTTGTCATAGAGACGACCTCGGATGTCGGGCACCCAAACCTTGGGCGAGTATCGTTTTGGGTCCTGTCCAATTCAGACGCCACTACAATCCGCCCACCTCCACCCGTGGCTTGTATAGCAGATGAGACAGAACACAGCGTAGGCAAGAACAGTTGCAACAGGCTTCGAGTACTGCCCAGCACACTCCTGGATGGTTGGTTTATTGATTGGTTTGGATGATGCAAAACATCCAAAATGCGGATAGCCGCTTTTTTCTCTCGCCTTGTATCCAGCATCCCAAAAAGAAAACACGCATTCCATGCTGCATTCTCGTTGCTATTGAGGTGTAGCTCCCACCCTTTCTCGGGTTCTCATCCATGTCCCCGAGACCTTAAACGGGATATAGTTCCCGTACACAGACGACGCAGGTCTCCCTCCTCCTCCTGCCCAGCCGACTGAACTTCCCGCTCCACCCAAATCCGCACCACCTAGGACAGCACGGGGACCACCAGGTTTCTCACTCTAGTGTAATAATGAGGTCCCCTTCCGACAAGAAAAATCAATGCTGTGCCCAATGCCAGTGCCACACCCAACCCGTTGCACCCATGTAAGATTTGACGCCATGCCATGAGTGCGGTATCGTTTGAACAAAAGAAATGGGGTATGTTGACAAATGAAATGAATATGTTCAGATAGAAGTGTAGTGAATGTTTGCAGACAGCCTTGGCCGCTCCTGTTCTGCTCTGCTGTCCTTCCAGCAGTCCGGTCTCGTTATTCTCGTCGCCATCCTCCACTCATAGCAGCCATCTGTCTCGACCTAGTAGGTCTCACCCAGATCACCAAACTGCGTCGACGGTTTCTTGACCAATTTCTTCGCAGCGGTGATGCTCGGCCGCCTGAGGTGGCTCTGTGGTGTCACACTGGCCACGCTCGTCCGCCTGGATCCTGGCACCGGTATGCCAGTCGGCGTCGGGATTCCGGTACTGCCGTCAAGTCGGCTCAGGGTTCCGCGCCGGCTCGGTGTCCTGTAGATTTTCTCTCTCTCCTCGGGCTCCTCCTCTTCTGCCGTGCTATAACTCATAGAATAGCCGTGGAAACTGTTTCCGAAGCTGGCCCGGCTGATCGGTCTGCCTAGCGGTGTGTATCCCGCACCGCCTGCCCTGCTGCTTGGACGGGGAGGCGCGATCATGTTTTCGTAGAGCCCTTCGGCTCGGCTGCCCGGTCGTGCGTAGCTCGATGTGCTCGCTCGGCTGCTCGGTCGGCTGATTTCCGACGCCGAGTCGACAGGTCCGCGGTTGGGCAGAGGGCCAAAGGACAGTCTGCTGACGCCCGAGCTGCTAAGGCGGGGTACATGCCTGCCGTTGATGCTCCTGCTGTAGCCCAGCCCAGTAGGGGTTGACTCATCTGGGCCTGTCGCGCTGGTCGAGACGGACGAGACGGAGCCGGGGCCTCTCCTGCGCGATCTGATCGTGATATTGTCTACCTCGAGCTCATTGCCCCGATGTGAAGCACGGGGGGGTGTTGTCGTAGGCGCGGGAAGTTTGGAGCGGGCAGACTGCACGCGGGCCTCAAGGCGTTGCATCTGTGCAGTAAGCGACCGGATGTGGTTGAGCGAGGTAGAGGGGACAAGCCCTCTGGACGGATTCCGTGCGGCTGGAGGTCTCGAGGTATTGGATCGGGGTGCTGGAGTGGTACGCAGCGTGGTGTTTGTGCCAGAACGGGTTGATGGCCGTGATGATGCCGTAGATGAAAGCCTTGGCCTCCGCGTGGCAGTAGCGTCCACCGAAGGCTGTCTGGGTCCCCGGGGCTTTGACCCAGGCACAGGTGTCTTGATCGGCGGTACCCTCGTCTTGGGAAGTGGTGGAGGCGCAGAGGCATCGGACATGGGCGGCGACGGCGGCTCGTGGACAGGCGTCTTCGATGAGGACACCGACGAGGTCTCAGGAGGCGTGGTGATGAGTGGTGAGCTTGCCCCCGACATCACGCTGCTGTCGAATATAGGACTAGCCGGTATGGAGAGGTCGGTAGAGACGGTAGACAGATGGCGTCCGTCGACTTTCTTCAGCTTGTCCTGTAGGATCTCGGCCTCAATCTTCAGGTCGGACAGTTCTTCGCGCAGTCGCTGTGCCTCTATCCTGAGCCGCTCCCTCTCCTGCTCGCCAATCCTGATCTCTTCCTCCATCATGACTGCTCTCTCGATGGCTGAGTTATACTTGGACTCAAGATCCTCCAGGGAAGAGTTGGTGTGCCGTGCCTGTCGTTCGAAGTCGTCGTTGGCCACCTCTATATCGCGCAACTTGTGTTGCAGAGTCCGGTTCGTATCCCGCAGGGTCGTGATCTCCTTCTCCAGGGTGTTCTGAGCGGCGTTGGCCTCGCTCTTGGACTCCTTGTACTTTCTCTGTGGGAGAGATGGGAGCGGTCAGCCATTGAGGGAAAAGGGCTCTCGAAAACAGCAGGGTCGGGCTCATGAGGGGCAATGCGCACCTTCCACTCATCAACCTCGTAGTTGAGGCCCTCGGCCTTCTCGCGCAGCGAGTTCTCCCTCTTCTCTGCGGCCTCCAGATCTTTTTCCAGCTCCGACTCGAGTTCTTGGCTGGAGACCCTAAATTCGGTAAGCTCTGTCTCAAGCTGCTCGTACTGTGACTTGTACCACGCGACCTGGTCCGCCAGAGATGCCTCTCCGCCGAGCGGCGACGACGGCGGTTCCGAGATCGACATGGCGACAACGTGAGGAATACAGAGTAAAAGGAAATTCGTATGCGGTGACGAGGTCGTCACTCGCGAGAGCGTCGCATGTGGATTCTGCTAGCGAGGTCGCGCGAGCGTGGAAGAATGGAAACTGTCGGTAAAAGATCGCAAGGTCGCAATGCGTTCTGTTGCGTCGATAACGAGTTGAGAGAAAAGGGGTCCGACTGGCGATAACCAGGATCGCGGGCCGTCAACACAGTGTTGAGGATGCGAGGACGTTACAAAAGAGGAAGACAAAGACTGGAAGCAATGAAAAGGACGTTTGACAGCACTCAGCGATGCGGCGATGAGGTGGTCTGCAAGTAGTTGACCTGTTTCAGTCAGGACCAAGGACTCGTGTTGCGGATCATGCGCATGGTGCCAGGCCGACAGGCCCTGGAGGAGTCACGCTGAACCTCTCAGGAGGTTGGGTTTTGGAGGGGGGGGGGGGGGGGGCGGTACCTCGCTTCATGCGTCGCGCCCGCAGAAACCGAGGGGTTGGGCTGGGCTGCAACGATCGCCGGTGCGTGTAGCGTCGTCCCTCGGTCGTGTCGTCTGGCTGGTGCAAACTTACCTCAGCTGGCGTCTCGTCGCAACTCACGAGGCTGTCGTTGAACCCTGTCGCGTAAAGGGTTAAAGGTCGGATTACTATGTATAGTGGGCGAGTGTTGGGTTGGTCGCGGTTGTCGCAGCCTACAGAAGCAGATGAGGGATGACGGCCCTGGGGAATAGCGTCCAAGCGTCTCTTGGGTCTCATTTGTTTCTGTTCCTTCCTCCCCTATTGACTCTCCTGGGATGGAAGATGAAGCTAACTCTATATGGTTAGCTCACTGCTTCGCTTAATGCGATGCACCGTTACTGCCGCTGTCAAGGCAACAAGGCAGGAAGTAGACTCCTATGAGTGCTGAGTCATCGTCCAGCTGCTTTCTAACTGGCTGATGGCCATCGGGTGCACCCTTCTATGTCACATGGTGCTTTCTTATACTCTCTCACCTACAACACTTCATCCTCGATCCCATCTGCAACTTGCCCTATTGTCGATGCATCATGTTCCTGTTCTTGGTATTCTCTCTTGCTTTCTTAGTCCGCGCGACTGCGCACTAAACATCCACACAGCAGGACGATGGATCGTTGTTTAGATGGCAAAGATGCGCAAGAGCTGAGCCACGTGTTAAATCTAAATGCGACTCCTATTCTGCTGCTACTGTTGCTGCCATGAGTCTCTCTATGGCAGTAGACTATCTGGTCGTGGTCAGACCCAGTGACCTCAGGAGAGTGGGAGCCAGAACAGAAAGAAGAGCAATGTTTACTCCACCGGATTGACGGCAAGCCTAAGTATCATGAGCTTTGCATATACTTTTTTCATTCTTTTTCTTTCTGACTGACTTTCAATTCTTTCTTTCGCTGTAATGTAGCATTTGCCGGTTCAGAGAGCGGGTGCCGTTATTCGACATGCACAATCCACATATTCACCTGAAATCACCGCATTTTCCATGCTTGAAATTGGCATCAGCTTGTGTAATGCGGTGCTCTCCTGATCCTTGCACAGAAACCACCCTTCCGTTAGGGTATTTGACTGCCATCGATATGGATGGGTCACTGTTTGATGTGGTATTGTTGACAATGACAGGATCGACAATCTCGCCATCGCTCCATTCGAATGATATTGTCCAGCCATCGCGAACATGAAGTCCCGTCAGCCTACCTCGGGACCACTCCTTGGGGCGAGACGGCAGCAGAGTGACGCCTGTCTCGTACAAGCTTGGCTCCCATCGCCGCGCAAGACATTCCAGAATGCCGGCACAGCCTCCAAGGTTACCATCGATCTGGAAGGGGGGATGGTTGTCGAGCATGTTCGGGAGAGTCGAGTCTCGAAGCAAAAGGTCCATGTGCTTGCCACATCCCTCAGCATCTCTCAGCCGGGCATGCATGCACAGCAGCCAGGCTCGACTCCACCCGGTGTGGCCTCCACCATGTGCTGCCCTTCTCGCGAGCACTTTCCTTGCTCCTTCCAACTCCTGGGGTGAGCGGATGCTGTTTCCTGGATAGAGGCCGAAAAGGTGAGACACGTGTCTGTGACCTGGTTCATATTCATCGTGGTCCTTCAAGCCCCACTCCTGGATGAGGCCTTGCTCGTTGATCTGTACTGGGGGCAGCCTTGCCTCTTGGACCCTCTCGGCCAGTGGGTGCTCACCCCCGTACAGCTTGGCCACCGTCCAAAGGAAGTACTCGAAGGCCATATCCACGATGCTTATATCTATGGTGGACCCCTCACAGAGGATACCAGGTTTGCCGTTGGATAGAAAGGTGTTTTCTGGCGACAAAGATGGGTTTGTGACGAGGTATCTGCCACACTCTGATGTGATCAAGAAGTCCAACAGGAACTCAACACAGCCCTCGAGAACAGGCGCAAGACGCTCGTGCAGGGCTCGATCATACCGCTCTCGCACCAATTTCATCATGTCGATGCAGATCCACACACCGCCCAGAGGCCACAGCGTCGCTGGCATCCACCGGTCCTGAGGATCTGTGTCGGCCCATATGTCAGTGTTGTGGTGAGCACACCAGCCCTTGCAGCCATACATTGTTTGTGCTGTTTCGCGGCCCCTCTGCGCCATTCGTTCTAGCAGATCTACGAGCGGTAGAGCACACTCCAAGAGGTTGCTTGCAGCCACAGGCCAGTAGTTCATCTGGATATTGATGTTGATAGTGTACTTGGAACCCCACGGCGGGGCAAAGGAGGGATTCCATATCCCTTGGAGGTTGGCCGGGAGAGCCTTGTGACCGTCCCGGCTGCACGAAATCAGCAGGTATCGGCCAAAATTGTGATAGAGTGCAACAAGCCCCGGGTTGCGGTGCCTCGCAATGCGCTCGTCGGTAGGGATATGCGGGCTGTCCGGCCACATCTGCAGGCTGACGCGGTCGTAAAGAGAGCGATAGTCTGCGACGTGCCTCGCGAGGAGGTCATCCCAGCCCTGCCGAAGAGCCTTGTTCACATCTTCCACCGCATCCTTTTCGGGGGCTTCTGTCCGGTACGTGGTCTGGGCGCCAACTGCGATCATGCATGCAGCAGAATTCACAAGCAGGCAGTTGCCTACGGCCTCGACAGAGCCCCCCTCGTGGCTGTCATCGCACCGGATGCCTAGAACCAGAGCCAGTCTGTTGCTGTTCCTGCCCCCGGGCGTGGCTTGCAACACGATACGGTTCTCTGTCGCATCGATGGAGTCAAGAAATTCATTGGTCTCCCACTCGATCTCGCTTCCGCGGTTGAGACGTACGATGAAGCGAATCTTTTGGCTCGTCTCCACCCTCATCAACAGAACCTGGTCTGGAAAACTTGCGATGACATCTCGCCTGACCTTCACCGGCTCTCCGACAGAACCAGCAGCGCCATCAGCAACGTGGAACGTATACGAGGTCTTGCACACTGATCGTGATATGTCCAGACTCCTCACGTAGTCCACCACGTTTCCATGGCCGAACTCCAAAGAACAGGATCCCAGGGGCTCATAATGCCTCATACTCGCCGGTGTTGCGAAGAAGGCTGTCCGAATGAGCTCTTCGGCTTCGGCATGCCGTTCCTCACGGATAAGCTGCCGGAGAAGTGGCAGCTTTTGGAGAGCATCGCGTGGCTTACGGTCTTGCGGTCCGCCGTACCAAACCGAGTCCTCATTTAGCTGTAGAAGTTCTGTGTCGGTTCGGCCATGCACCATGGCTCCAAGGCGCCCGTTGCCGATAGGAAGTGCCTGAGACCATTCTGTGGATGGCTTGTGGTACAAGAGGGAGGACGCCTGGGATGTGTCGAGGTTCCTGGGCGTGTCCAAAACCATGTTGGCTTTGGCAAGTCTCTCGAACTCAGTCTGAGAAACAACAACCCGTGGTGAGACGCGAACCAGAGCGACTGGGCTGTATCCAAAGCTCTCTATGAGCGATCCCAATGCACGTTGCCTCGGTCAAAAGGTGCAGGGACCAAGTCACATTCTACTACAGTACAAGGTCGAGAGCCTAGGAAGTTCGCGCCGCAATCCCGAAAGAGCCGGGTCAGGCCTTTGACTAAGTCGTCTGCATATGGTACGTGATCACCACTGTGGCTCGGCCGACAGCGACAGAAGGACAATGTTTATTACCAGTCTCTTATGGCGTGAGCACCTGGCCGCATAAAATACTACCCGTCGGCTCGTTGGTCAGCAAGGACAGCGGTACTGCCTGCACTTCCCCGCGCTTTGGGTGCCTCGTCTATTGACGAGCTAACACCAAACTCGTGAGACAAGGGTCATCAAGTGGATGGAAAATCCGATCCCAACGGGCGACTGCTGCAGCGTGTGGGGTCGAATCCCAGCCGCTTCAATGACCTCGCTTTTCCCCCCTCGAGGAAGAACCCCAGAATCCCCACACATCACGAGGAAAGCTGGGGAATGTTGTCCAATGGCAACTCGTCGCCCCAGATGGGATGCTATTGTGGATGCCCTCACCACGGAATCCCCAGCCGAGGCAGCGTGCCGTATGGTCCGGACCTGGCCGAGCGGTCTGAGGCAAGTCGATCCAAGCACGTTCTGGGCTCAAGTCTCTGGGGATCAGGATGCAGGCACAGGGTAAGCAATCGGCCTGGGAAGGTCAGACACGCCACCACCTCGAAGCATCTTGCAGCTGCACCTTCAGAGCCTGGACCAGGTTGTCTCGGGGTCACTGGACTGATACAAGTCCCAGCAGTCTGGGACTGATAAGGCGGCTCCCATCCTATATATGTGAGCCGACCTCGACAATGTCACCTCAGCTGCAGCCCTTCCCCCCCTCTTCCTTCTTCACCTGGGCTGGGGCCAGCGCGAGTATACATCTGTAGTCTCCTCTGCCTGGAAAGCAGCAGAACAACGTTCGCCCAACATGGCTGCACGCGTCGACTCAACAACAAAGACGGAGGCCGACGTCCACCACCAAGATGTCCGCGAGGCCGAGAAGCTGGGCGTCGAGGTCGAGGAGGTGGTCGTCACGCGCATATCGGAAGAAGACCTGATGCGTATCTCCAAGGAGTGCCTGGACATGCACTCCCGGACCGGATTTCATATCGTCTTGATCACTCTGGTCATGGGTTTCAATATGGCTGGGTAGGTGCTGACCGATTCTCGTTCCCAAAAGCTTATATTGCCGACGACGCTGACGATCATGCTAGTTACGGCGTTGACTGGGGTGTCATCTCGGGCATCAACTCCTACACGACCTTCCACGACTACTTTGGCTTCCCAAATTCTGGTGTGATTATCGGTACCATCAACGGTCTCATGACTATCGGCAACTTCGTTGGCGCCCCCTTCCTCGCGCTCGGAGATGTCATCGGCCGCAGAGGCATCAACTTTCTGGGCAACTTCATCGTGGTCGTTGCGGCTCTCGTTCAGGGCCTGGCGCCGAACCTGCCCGCTCTCATGGTCGGCCGTTTCCTCCTCGGGTTTGGCAGCTCCATGGCCTCGGCTCCGCAGTATATGGCTGAGATCGCCCCGCTGCATCTTCGTGGCCGCCTGGTTGGATTTTTCGGCACCTGGTTCCAGGTAGGCTCGCTCATCATCAGCGGTGCCATGGTCGGCTTTGCCAAGTGGAACAGCAACTACCAGTGGCGCACGCCTCTCCTCTTTGAGGCTTTCTTTCCGCTCCTGACTTGCATTACCATCTACTGGTGGTGCCCCGAGTCCCCTCGTTTCCTCATCCTCAAGGGCCGTCGCGAGGAGGCCCGTCGCGTCATTGCCAAATACATGACCACGAACAACGACGTCGATGCGCCCATCGTGCCGCTTGTGCTGCAGCAGATGGAAGAGTCAATCGAGTCCAGCCAGACAGGTGTGCGGTCAGCTTATGACTTCCGCGTCTTCTTCACCAAGGCTGTACGGTACCGGACACTTGTGCTCGTGCTCTACTCCATCTTCCAGCAGTGGAACGGCGGCGCCATCATCTCCTACTACCTGTCTCCCGCGCTCGACACCATCGGCATCACCGCCTCCCTCCCGCAGCTCGGCATCAACCTCGGCTCGACCTGTACCTACTTCCTCTTCGAGTTCATCGGGTCCTTCCTCGTCGACATCTTCCGACGGCGCACGCTGATCATCACCGGACTGATTACCTTCATTGTCACGCAGACTCTCGTCACCATTACCAGCTGGCAATACTCCCTGTACCAATCCCATGCCACTGCCGTGCTGACCATCGTCTGGGTGTTCATCTACCAGATGTGCTCGGCCGCCCTCATCGCAACCATGCACAACCTCTACCCAGTGGAGATCCTCTCCCTCCCGCTCCGAGCCAAGGGCATGGGCTTCTACAACATGGTACAGGGCGCGGCCGGCGTGGTGCAGAACTACGGCATCAGCGTGGGTATCGAGAAGGTCGGGTACAAGATCTGGGTCGTGTATATTGTGTACAACACGCTGCAGCTCATCGCAGCGTACTTCATCTTCCCCGAGACCAGCAAGCTGTCGCTCGAGGAGATCGATACCATCTTTGAGACCCCTGGCACGCATCCCGTCAAACTGAGTAAGAAGATCAGCAAGGCCAAGAAGGAGAAGGCAAAGGCGGATCGACAGGCGCTGGTGAGCGGTGGTGCTTGAGATGTCAAGGCCATAAATGATGATATTGGAGAGTGGATTGAAGTATGTGTGATCGAGTTTGCGCTAGCAATGCAGAATTAATAGAAGAAGATGCTCGTTTTGCTCATGATTTGAGGTTCCTACTTGTTTTCCAAGGAGGGCTCACATAATTCATTCATTCGCAGGGAGCTTCTGACTTCTGACCGTGTCGGATACCACCCACAGTGAAAGCTCTATATGCAAATGATTATGCTGTATGCACACCCGCCTTGTAATATGCGTTCCACAACGGAGGCTGTAAGCATTTGTCATTGCCCAATATGCCATTGGAACAAGGAGACTGGGCACGAACAAATTTTGATAGAGGAATTCATGTTCCTCCTTGTGTCTCAGATATTTTCAGCCTCCGAAAAGAATAACAGGCGAATGACATAAGCACTTGTCTGGTGATAGATTGCCCTGCTCATTGTTGGCACCTTTCCAGGATTTATCAATTACATCACATCTTTAAAGACACCCTCGTAGCTCCACGTGAGCTGATGTTAGTCTGTGTAACATCAATTATATTAAGTGTGAGTTGTTGAACCACGTGCCTGCCGGGCGGCAGACATCCTGGTTGCACAAAAGAGAGGCATTCATCGTCCTGCCTGGACCATTTGCCGCTCCTGAGCCCCTAAAAGTGCTTTGCACTCTGGCCTGACTTGCTAACTCAACGCTCCACATAAACATGAAATCCACTATTCGCATTCCTCTCTCAAATCCTACTACATGGCATCATTCAGTGGCTCTCAAGAAGAGCCCCTGATCCTGATAAGGCTGACACCATCCCAGAGAAATGTTATGTGCTCATAACCTAGTATGCGTCACGTATGTAGAGCTGAGCCGCTTCCAGCTGGCGCAAGATGCGCCTCTCCGAGGAAGCTTGATGGAAGATTAGCACCGGGGCATCGTTTGTTGGCACACAAATCATAAGGGAGAACATTTTGACGCTTACAAGGTCGGTCGGCTGAAGAAGCCTGGGTCAGGACGGTGAAGTGCCTCGTGTTGGCGGAAACAACCTGATCCGCCTGGTCCCATTCATTGTGCGAGTAGCGCAGGACGTGTACGACAATTTGCAGAGAAAAGACGCCGAGCGTGTTGATCGTCATGCCGCTAAAGATAAAGTACAGCCAGCGCCGACGGCCCGAGCTGCTGCTGCTTCCACTGCTGCTGGTGTTTTCTGTGTACGGGGCGGCGGAGGCACTCCAGGAGATGTTGGTCCCGTCGCCAGGGTCCATGTTCGAGGCGTATAGCACTGCAACGGCGAAGACGTGGTTCCCCTGGTTTGAGGCGGCCTCTAGAAGCCGACGATCTCGAGTTCGGGCCACGACGGGCGGTTCTATGGATGAGCATATGGTGACGGTCTGCGGTGGCTGAACCACGATCTCGAAGTCAACGCGGCGAGATGACATGTTGGCGTTTTGGACGTTTCTTTTTTTCTTTTTTTTCCCCACTAGCGTGTGTTAGTTAACATCCTATGCGTTTGTTGATGAACAGGCGTTACCTTGTGGTAGAAGAAACAAGGAAAGTCTTTGATTTGTTTTTATATGCTGTCGATAATTCTCGGGCATATATTACCTGACTTCTTGTCACTTCGAGATTCACCCTCCTTTCAGTCTTTTAATGTGAGTTCTGAGTTCTTGGTGAATTCTGTCGAGAGACAGTCAGAGAGTTTTCCCTTCACAGGAGGACAATACACATATTTATATTCACCTGGTCTACTACATTCAGAGGGCATTTCGAAGCATTGACTCCATCTCGTGAGAGTGTGTGGCATTCCTTCATCTTTTCGACAAGGTTGAGATACCATGAGGCTGGGTCTAGGTTGACGATACTTTGGGAAAACCATCTCTGTAGGGGCTTCAGGTGGCGTGTGCATCTCTCCCAGTCTATGTCATGAGTAAGATCTGAATCAGCCATAGGAATCTTTCTGGAGATCCCTGGATGCCTACATGTGGCTATCTGCGTGTTTGGACATGATTCAGGTCTTCATGTGGATAAGTAGTGGCACGAGCTTTCGGCCTGACAAGTCGTCTTGAGAGCACAGGCGCCGCCTGCGCCATGCATCAGTCCAATGATGGCCTCGGGAGGCTCTGCAAGGACTTTCTACGAAGCCATGGCAGTTAGATCATCCCGAAACCTGTCGGGACATCCTTGCTAAAGACTGGAAAGTGTCATGGAGTTCTCCTTTCTGGGTGGCAAGGCTGTTGGCCCCAGACCATGGTGTGCACACGAGGCAAGGTGGCTCCGGCTCTCGTGCCGTATTAGTGTGAAATGTGTGGCATTCCACGCGTATACTTCCGGCAACCCCGGGTCCACTCATGGCTAAGAGAAAAAGAAAGACAAGAAAAGAAAAATTATACCCCGTAAATACGAATCAGGCTTCAATTATGCTGGTTATTTTCAACTTCTTGAACAATGTTCCTACTTATTGGAAACCATGACCTGGATTTTTCACCCCGACGGTGGCTCTGACGTAAGAAGAGGGTATATTCATAGTCACGGGCGTATATATCAACGACAGTTATCGAGTCAGCCTGCTTCATAAAAATCTGTAAGTCGTCACACAAAGAGACCATGGTACAACCATCCATACACAGCTGAGGCGTATGGAAAAGTCAAATAAGGAGGCATTGGCTTAGGACATTCCAAGGTGTCATCAAGATAGTCCTTATGCTGGTCAGGCTGGTCATGATACAGCGGAAGAAGATCCGGAATTGTTTTCATCTCTGTGAGACGACGAGTACTTGCTTGAATCTCCTGATGGCTTGACGCATCTCAGATCATGCGATGCTCGGTGCTTCGCGACATCGATATTACAACATCCATGCGCGAAAATGTGAGGCGGGTTTGGGCGGGTTGTTAACGTGATAATGTGCTATCCGCATAACTCATTCCTTTGTCTTCACACTGCATGAGTAAGCATCTATTCTCCTAAATCCATTCTGCATCCTACAGTTGGGCACAGTTACACAGGCTTGAGTACCTGGTCGCGGAACGCAGCGGGTCTTCCTTCCGGTTCTGTATTAATAGTTTACATTCGTCCACCGAAGCCTGCGGGAAGATACAGAAAAAAGAAGCAATGCTGGACAAGGCGAACTTCCGGGGCGAGAGCTCATGGATTGCGATCCAATATAAGGGCAAAGGTGGCCTGTGAAGCAAAAGTGGGCTTGGTCATCAGAGCCCAAGGGGTCTGTCTGCATGTGCCAGTGCTATATCACAATGACCAAGCGTGATTAGATCTGATGCCTGGGATCCACCGCAAGCCTCATATGACATGTAATATTTTGGCTGGCCTCGATCTCACCAACTGCCTAAGGACCCTGGCGATCTCTGTCGTGCATCGAAATTCCCGAAGATCGAGCTTTCTTATGTCTATATTTGAGATCCGTGTCTCGGGCTGGATCTCGCCCATATGTATGGCCCGCATGTCCCACCTCACCCCCTTGTTCGATACCAAACGTTACCGTCGCGTGGTACAAAAGAACAGTTACACTGAACACCGTTGGGTTCTATCAATCAGGGAACTCTCTCTCCCTGGATCTGCTCTATGCACCGAAACGTGATCCTTCATCCATCGGCTTGGCCGTTCTAGAAAGAAAGAAAGAAAAAAGAATGCATGAACAGTGGGTCTCATCCCGACTCTCTGGGAATTCAGCCGCGGCGGATTACTTGGTCTTGGTCACACACACAATTTTCCGGCAGAAGCAAAGTTGCGCTTCCAAGTACACAAGGTCTAGAACTACAAGGATTTCCTTTTCCCGGCCTTTTGTGGCATGCCACAGCCGTCACTGAACAGAAATGATGATGCAACGGCTACGTCCTGCCAGCCCTCCAAATCCCTAAGAGCGAGAACCCTGACAATAACATAACCTGTATTCCTCGTGTCCAAAAATGAGAAATGCCCAGAGGAGATATAAGGAAGGGGGGAAGGGGGTTGAACTTTGCTTTGACGTCGTTTACCACTACCCCAGTCCGACAGGCGTCGGAAATCGAATGGCATCATCTGAGAGCCAATCGGAATTTGCCATAGAGGGCTGGATGATATATCGTGTGCAATTCGCCATTGGATCTTGATCCGTTAGGCAGAGAAGCCATCAACAGCTGTGGCTTGAAGACCAGTGTGGTGGGCCACACACCGCCTCATCGACTTGAGTCGTGCCTCAGCCATGACCTAGTTCCATTCGTCCGAGGTCCTCTATTTCGGATCCGGGAGTAGTATTTCGGCCGGGTGCGTCCCTGGCTACCGTGGTCGGAAGGGCAGCCATATGAGTACGATTCATACAATACCTTGGCAAGGGAAAAGGTAAGAAGATATCGACATCGAGAATGTAAGACAAGAACTACACTAGGGCCAGATAGTAAGAGATGAACGCTGCCACCATTCGACATTTTTGATTTGGTAACACTGTAGATTGAGCTAGCTGGATGTGATCAACGAGAAGGAGGGCGATCTGACTGTTTTCAGAGTCCTCCACGTAGGGTAGTAAGAAAGGCTTGATCTCGTTCTTGGTGTGACGATCACATCAAGGTTCCCATATGGTGACATGACTGTGGATACTCTGAATATTTGTCCTTCGGGTGCTTCAAAATGATCGACAACAGTTTGAATCGGGCTTCGAGTCCACTCTTGACGAGAGATGCTGTCTTTTATGCACATAATGGGCGTGTTATTAATTCTGCTAGTTGGTTTTCCTTTCAAGAATGGGGTGCTGAACGATCAAGGTGATCGTTTCCACGCCCCGACATTTTCTCAGCTTCGAATGAATACCGTAGTCCGATACAAGGACCAAGTGAGTTGTATACGTAGGATGTGTATCGAGTAGAAGTTTTGACTGAAATGCATGCATACAGAGTACGGCCACGAGAATAGAAAGGCATGGTAAGTCGTTTTACAGTATACGATGATCGCCACAACTTGATAAAATGAACGCAACTCTTATGCCTTGATTCATCAACCTATTTTCAGGACTGAAAACACTGCGCTAGGACTCAACCACGACGATCCTCAACAAGCCCAAGGTGTATGCGAATACCTTCGTGGTGAAGTTTTCAGTCCTTTGAGTCTACTGCTGATACCGGAATTTGGACTGGATGGGCCTCCCCGAGTCCTAGATCTGCCAGGCGGTATCTCGGGTTGACTGTGTGCATCGTTATCATCCCCATCAACTGTCTTTCCCATGCTTCAAAGTACTTCGTCCTGCCCTCAAGAATAGCACGAACACGTTCCACAGAAGCCGCGGTCTCAGCCTTGACCTTCTTGAGGATGACCAAAGGATTCTGCTGTTCACACCTGGCTCTATTGTGAATGTAATTGTGCGTTTCACCCCCAATTTCCTCCTTATAAAAGCTTTGTTCCATTATTAGCCATCACTCCTCTGGCATGAGATCCTCTTAACACTTACGACAAGACATCATTAATGTTGGCAATATAGAAAGCCATATCAGGCAGGGCTTCGAGGAATAAGCCGATATCAGGATACTCTTCCTTGGAGTAAATGAAGCAGGCATAGGCGATACTTATGCCTGACATATTGCGGAAAAAATAAGGGAACGACTTGCCCGCCTTTGTGACAGGCATATTTTTGAATTCCCGCCGGGTGTCTATGATGTTGCTCGTCACGAAATCCATTGTCGAGGTTACGATCAAGTTGGCCAGAATGGGGTCCCAGAAGTCCCATGTCTCTTTCATCAGGGCGGCGGTAGCGCGGAGAAGTGGTGTTGGCTGCTCCTCGCCTGTAAGAAAGCGCCGCTCGAAGCCTTCAACTTCTGCTGCACACTCGCCTATCTTGTCCTCGATAAGAATGACAAGCCAAGTGTAGATGCCTACATAAACCTGGACATCGATTCGAAGGCCGTAACAGCACGACTACATAGGAAGAGTGGGACAGGAACGTTAGTACATAAGTCATCATGAAGCATTACATTAAGTTTAAATTGCTCACACAAGCTAGAGATAACCCAAGGAAAAAGGCCTTGGCCGAAACACGATCGTCCATGTAGTCCACTTTAACCTGGTCTGCCTTTTCCTTCATCGCCTGATGAAGCTGAGCAATGGTTTCTGCTGGCACTGGAACAGCGGCAGTATAACCGATTTCCTGAACCAAGGACTTATAGATTGGTCGTAGGAAGGATCCGAGTTGTTCCGGATCAAGTTGGCGTCTCATATTATACCCATCGACGGCGATGGCACGTCGTATCGCTCCAGCAATGGATTGCCACATGGTGACAAGACGAGACTAGAATGACGGGGTACGGGAAGAACCATGCAGAAGCTTAGAGTTGTGCACATTTCGAAAGGAAGAGGAAGGCAACCTTTAATAGACAATGACCACAAGTGCGGACAGCGTGGGTGACAGTCGCCCATATCATACGCTCCCTGCCCAAAGAGGCCAAAATATTACTTGCAGCTCCTCCTAGTGAAACAGTCACACAACATGACTACAGATAGCTCTGATGACCCATTCAATATTGTGGAGATGAAAGATACAGCCAGTGTCAAATAAGACAGTGGGCAGTAGCTGCATTTGTGCCTGCTACCCTTGTATGCTACGATCACACCAACTCCATACCTATTATAGAGGCCGCGAGTTCATTGAGTTTCTGCACCGCCCAAAGACGGCAGAGGGGCATACACAGTACGTTGTAGGAATACATTTTTGTGACTCATTTCATTTTCCGAAAGTGATCTTCGAAAACTGAGGGGCGGTGTTTCAGAGATATAAAGGTAAGCCAGTGTCGCAGTGAAGACGTTCATCTTTTCCGCTCTAGATATGCAGGTCATGCAACAGGTCACAAGTCACAAGCCACAAGGGGCACTTAGCATATTCCCTTTAGTGGGTGCACTAGAGATTATGGGCATTGTTCACCTTGACAAGAAATCATTGAGCTTGCCAGCTAGCTTTCAGCAGAGCTTCCTGCATTGTCTTCGGGCTGTCCAAGCCAACCAATACCACATGAACTTCGACTAGCAAGCTGTTGTATGCTCATGATCAGCGATAGCGTCGTGCCTTGGGACAGCGATTTTGAGGCTGAACAGGTTCTTGGAGGATTCCAAAAAAATTTTGAGTCAGTCCAATTTCCCCCTGATTATGCGCAGAAGTCACAATTGCACAACTCCTGCTCGGATCACCATATGAGCTGCTCAAAGAGTTCACAAGACAGAAGTAAGGGCCAAGGACTATTCTCATGCTGCAAGGCAACGATGGCAAACATCGCCATTGTGGAGGTCCAAGCGCGACACTGACGCGAGGACTCGCCCCCATGCAGTGTTTGAGGGAGGACGGACCCATTAGCTTGACCTCCTGTATACTGTTCAGGTCGTCTACAATAATCACCTTTGCAACAGCACATCAGCATCAGGCTCGGTCCAGCTGCAGTTGCATGACCATGCCATTTATTTGCTTTGATTTGTATTGTTGACTCAGTAAATATTCATGGAGTACATTTGGGAGCAATCTCATATTCACTTATTTTTTCAATTCTATTTCATTCCGCCTAAGACTCCTGTCGTCCCAAACAAAAGAGAATGCAATACCTGCTCAACTTCTTGGCAGCACGGAGGGTGAGACATAGTCATAAAAAAGAAAAGGGGAAAAAAAAAAAAACCAAAGGAGGAAGAAGAAAAAATGCAAAAGGATTGTCGGGAAGGCTTGATGCAGGTAGATAGCTATGAGGCAATGAATATGACAAAAAGACTCCGTATGATGCTTTTTCGTAAGACGCGCTTGTTATTTATGCATGAGAAATAAAGCAGACCGGGGGGAGGGGAGGTGGTGCTCGCTGCAGATGAACGGTCCTCTCTTTCTGGGTCGACTGAAGAATTCTTCCGAGCCTTAGTCCATCTCGGTCTCCACCAAATCTTCAAGCTGCTGCGGCTGCTGCGTCTTCCGCCGCCGCAGGAGACGGGTGTTCTTAGCGAGCGTTTCGAACCACAGATGCATGACGATGAAGGTCAACGGCACTATGAGGGTTGCCAGGATCCACCACCAGTAGGTGATTGCGAGGAAAAGCCCGTCGGGACTAAAGAAGATGGTGCTCAGGAATGACTAGACACGAGAATATTTCACATTAGAATCGGTAGTGATCGTGGAAGCAGCCCTTTACGAGGTTGTGAGCTGGTAAGAGATTTGCTCACCAGTGCAAGCGTAGACACGGAGGCGCTGTTGCGCTGGACCTGGACAGCAATGTCAATGGTGAAATTGCTTAGCCGTCGATTTATCTCGGGTAGAGAACCGCGTCGTCGTAAAGGTATCGTTTTGCGGATGCGATATGTCTGAGACGTTTTGAATATCTGGTCAGTGCTGGGTTGTCATAAGGTTGTGCGGATATTACTGTAGTGCCTGGCATTTAGACTTACCGAGTTTTTGGCGCGGTCCGTTGTACGTTCGAGGCTGGCCAACGAGTGTTAATGATCGGCGCCATGAGTATGTACAGGAAGAGACAAGAGATTGGCTGTACCACAGCAGGAGTATCTGCCAAGAAAAGTACATCGCACAGGTCGACTTACTACATTGTCACGCACCGCGTCCAGAACTCGCAGGTTGAATGTTGCAACTCGAGGATCTCGGCAGCCTGGGGGCCGAATACCTCACTGCTCTTCTGGCGAGTGTGTTGATTAAAACTGCTGCGCCCGGAGACCGATGATGCTCGTGCTTGGGATTGACCCTCTCTGGATCTGACTAGATCTTGAAGCTGGTGTATGTGAGCTCGGATGCCGTGTACATCTTGCAGAATCGTGCGCCAGTTTGCGGCAAGCTCTTCTAGCTTGATGGACATCTCGGTGCCTTTGGAGTCGTCATCGTTCTACAGCAACTGTCAGTCAGCAACGGTACTCTTACTGCGTGTAGGGTGAACGAGAGGCGGCCGGCAGGGTTGCGGATGGAACGAGACCTACCAATGCGAGGAGCTGACTCCTATGCGATTTGATTGCATCCCTATAGTAGGCGATGACCTCGTCGATTATGAGTGTATCCATGAACAGTGGGTTCTTGGCAAGAGCTTCCATGCTCCGTATGATGTCTGTGATTCGTTTTTGGAGTTTCGATGGGAAGTTCACGAGGAAATAAACAGTTGTTTGGGCATCAGCTAATATCTGTGTGCTTGAACGGATGTATCGTGCCTCCCACGTCCAACTCTTGAGGGATCGGCCTGCAGATTGGGCAACAACGTCAGGATCAAGTAAGGCCGAGGGGAACAACTCATTTTGTCTTTTTTTCTTCTCTCGAGTGATGCATACCTTGTTGTGACTGCTTCTTAATGATGCCATGCTCATCAACCGAGGTCAAAGGTTTACCCTGCCTGCTCGGTGGTGTGATCCTCTTAGATCGACGTGGAGAGGCTGTGGGCGAGACCGAGTCTTCATCATTGTCGTGGTTCTTTACAGCGGCGGAACTAATTTTCAACCCCAATCTCTCTTGTCCGATGCTGAGAATGTCCAGTGGCGTGCTGAAGTTGGGCGATGCTGTGCTGGACTCATTATTACATGCCGGGAGGAAGCTGCTCATACATGTAAGCCGCTGTTATTCCAAGGATGCCTACTCACACTCTTCGTTGCCAAGTGATGTTGTACAATGGTGTCTACTTACAAGAGCTTTAATGAAAGAGGTCTGGACACCAGAAGCCCTTCGCCAAATGAAAGCGTGCTGTCGCCATGCAGGTCCTGCGAGTCATGGTAAGGCCGACGCCGTGTCGCACAGGAATCTCGGTATGTCGCTATGTCCTTGTCTCAGTTCCGCGCTCCGGCACCGCAGGCTCATGCGTCTAGACGTCTCAACTCACTAAGTGTCCTGTGACCCCCTATTTGCACGACCTCAACATCCGTGCCTTGTTTGAACCACTGGCGGTCCTCGAGCTCACTGAGGAGACATGGCTGGTGCTCCAGAGTCTGATCAGGTGAGTAAGTCATTGCCCTGTTGTGTAGATCCAGTCGAACGGTCCTGATGTCCAGCATCTGCTCCTGTTGGCACTGAATGAGAGGGGCGGTCACAAACAGACCAAATCGCATGAACTCTCGAAGTCGGTGAGTGAGGTGGATCCTCATTTTTGCCGAAGCCAAACACAACCCTTGCTGTGAGCTGGCACGTACCCGGTGGGCCTAACCCCCCTGCAGGCCAATCACCGTTCATATTAGTTCACGTCAGTCTTGATATGAAGCTGACTTGCATGCATCTATGTTGTGTTAACCCAAAAATATATCCTCGAAATTGATCTTCAGGGTATGAAAGGGTTACCGAGACTCACTCTATGATGGTTGAGAGAGGACGGGCATAGGAGAACCTACCAGTCAACTCAGTAACGCCAGAGATCGCATAATTTGTGGATGCGAAACAAGGAAAAGGGGGATCGCCATGGTGGAATGTATAGACGCGCTCTGGTCATTTTGTTCCTCAATATGTGGCAACCAATCAAACCTTTCTTCCCAGTCAACTTCTTCCTTTATGATACGATCGTTAATCCACAAAGGAAGTCGTTCCTTTGGCTCTCTTCTCGCTTGAACGGTCTTTTGCCATGGATAATGTGTACTGATATATTACTATTGCTCGACGATAATTAATAGGGAAGTGTCCAGCTGCATAAGTAATGCCTTCTCAGGCACTGGAATGCCAAGTTGATCATGCAAGATGCCGAATTTGGAAATAGTAGATGACTGACAAGCACAACAGTAGCGAACCAGGCGAATCGTAGTAATACAATGTCTACAAACATATGAGGCTTTATGTATTCTGTTGGTATCATAGTACACAGCAATTGCTAGCTCACTTGCTGGATGATAACGTAAACAACATTACCTATGTCGAAAAATATGTCGAAATGCTGATCACATGCTATGGCTTTTGCAACGAGTTCCCCTGGTGTTTAGAAGAATTTGTACTCACCCACCATGTTATAACCGCAAAGCACATGGAATGTCTCAGTTGCGGCTTACCTTCCTACGAGTCGCGATCATCCGAGTCCACTTGGACGACCACTTCCGTGACTTCTACCCAAAGACCAAAAGTTACACAAGAGCCCCCATTTGAATGGGTCCTAACCATTGAGACCGACAGAAGGTACACATAACGCTAATTCTTTTCCACTTCTAATGCGTTGTCCATGCGGCGTGTTTGAGAATTGGCTGATGTGGAGAGGCATCGTGTTCTCCTCAAGATTATCGGAAAAGTTCAATATTTGAAGTAGGGTATTATGTGAAAAGAAAAAGAAAAGGGTGAAAGAAAGGAAAAAGTTCCTCAGTAAACAAAAAAAGCATCATCTTAGCCTAATCCGGCAGACGATATGTACAGTAGCTATGCTTTCCACCCACTCAACTATCCTTCCTGTGCGAGACATGACCAAAATTGTTTCTCTTACTCTCTCTCCTTCTCCCTCTCCCTCTCTCTCTTACGTCGACGTACTCTAACCTGGACCCTCACCCTCCACCTCTCCAGTCGCTGGCGTGCCCGGCACACTGTTCCCCGCCAGACTCCCCTGCCAAAAGAAGACCCCCAGCCCAGCCGTCGTAGCAACCACGGCGACCCGCAGAGTCCATCCGACCGCGGTTCCGTACACCAACAGCCAGCTCGCGAGCCACCGCACAACGGGGATGACGAGGGTCTGTGTCTCGGTCTCGAGGTGCGGACTGAGGGTGCAGATGATCCCCAGAAGTGCGAGCAGGATGAGGCCGAGGAAGACGCAGGTGAGGACCTGGATGGAAGCGAGGAGGATGGAAATGTTTTTGGTGGTCTGGAGGACCTCGAAGCCGGCGGCGACGAGGGGGGTCACCTGGGTGAAGGCGCCGTTGATCTGCTTGGAGTAGGGGATGCCCATTGTGTGTGGGTGTGATTACTGGCGATGTTATGATGGTTTGTCTGTTTCTTCCCTCCCTTTCACCCGCCCTTCACCTTCCTTTCTTGTTGTTCTTTGATGTGCGTGCTGCGGATGATTTGCGTGATCGAATGACGGCCAGTATAGTTTATAGTAGGCTTCGACACTGAACAACAGAAGATGGAAACGAAAGGCGATAATAGTGATGTGCCAACTATTAATTAATTATGACTGCAGAAGAATAAGAGAGAGAGAAGAAAACCACCAAAAAGACAAAAACACATCATCAGCTTCCTACAGACATCGGCATATTTCAACGCCATTAATGATCATAATTCTGGAGGGCATCCCATCAAATCATCACTCGGTCTTTTCTACATCGCCAACCTTAGTGATGTCATGCGTAATGCATCTTTTGTGGCTGATGGAGGGTATGGCAACCAATCATGGGAAGTGAAGTTGGGTGCCATCGCACGGACTTGTGAGCGCGATTGGGATAAGTTGAGCAGTAGCGCCTTAATCTTATGTGGCTGCAAAGACCCCGAGTTCGCACATATGCAGACTGGATGCGTGACCTACAAATTGTGGGTAATATTGCTGGAAGTTATTCGATTGGTCGCGAGAGTTGATGTGAGGTCTGAAGACATGTTGTGGTGGTGGTTGCTAGCTATTGTAGTCAAGGTCTTGGCTCTGGGCAGCAGCAACAACAACAAACGCCTTGTTTACATATGAATACCGATAGCGGGTATCCTGTCACGTGTGAACTTGACGACGAAAATCATCCACAAGTTGTAGCTCCTGCGTGGGTTTGGCATTTCTTCACTTGACGACATCGTTATTCGACCTCAACTCGGAATACATCTATACGATGTACCTTTTTCGATCAATGTGGTAGAGAAAGAGCAAGCAGCAGGCCTACTCGGTGAGGTGAGAGATGGCATCCCGTTATCCGTGGGTTGGATAGTAGCAGCGATATCGGAGTAGACTTGTTGCGAGGACGACCATCAGGTTGCCACAACAGAAAACGATTAGACCATCTACAAGTCTGCATAAGGCCGGTGGGGATTTAACCAGATTTACTCGAGGTTTGCGATCTGGTTCACGCTTCCTTATATCTTGAAGAGAATATGATATCCGGCCGAGCACCGATGGGACACGTCGTGTGTACCATTGCACTATGTAGACCGGTTCCTTGACGATTACTGCAGGAAGCCCAATGCAGTGCTTGAACCTACATTGCCACGTGCTTGCTATTCTCTGCAAAGACGGACATCGGAGCCTCCTCGATAGTTGGTCCTGTCAACGTAGGAGTTGTGTCGCCTGAGCCGACCATGTCTCCTATTGCGAACGTAGACAAAAGATGCGATGGTGCTCTGAGCCGAATTGGTCAAGGGGGATCGACTCCTCAATGCAACCCTGCAACACGCTCTCCCTGGAGGCTGCATCTGGATCGGACGAGCCCCAGGTTACGAGTCAGTGGAGGGCATGGCTCGGGTGCGTACAGATGCATAGAATTCAATCTGTCGATGGTTCTTCATAAGCGGCCCCTTTTTGCGACGTCGCGTGAGAAATCGCTTTTCGCTGAAGCCGTCACCTCATCCTTCTTCCAGGACGATGGTGCAAAATGTCGCCATCAAGCACGGGCCAACCGCGCATCAAGACGTATGTTCGCCAAGGTTCGCGGCAGACCGCAGCCGCGCGACTGAGAAGAGGATCAGGGAGAGATGATCAGTTGTGAGAGACAGGTGCTCAATGCCTCAATGCGTTCAGGTCGTCTCCACTGTGGATGGACAGGCTTGCGGCCTTGCTCGGCCGGGAGGACGGCCGGGAGGACGGTTGGCGGTTGTCGGTCGGGCCGGAGGAAGGAAGTCGAATGTTGTGAACGCCGTGGGACCGCAAGCCCGGATTGCGTGCCCGGGCACGTCAACGTGTCCACATTCACTTCTTCACCTTCTTTGTGTAAATCCTGGTGCCACCTTCTCGTAAGAAACCTTCCAGGAGATACGCGAGAATTGGATCAAGGAGGACAAGAAGAAGGAGGAGGAGGAGGAGGAGCATAGGAGCCCTCGTAAATTGAGGACATCACGCCATCGACCCTGGTTCTCCATCGAATAAGGGGTGGGAAGGCGGGTCGAATCGAGGGGGAGGGGGCTCTCGAAGCCTTCGACGCAGATGTCATCATGCTAGACGCAGATGGCACACCAGGGTTGGTATGAGAGCCAGGCTGGGGAGGAGTCGAGATGAATGCGACGCTCGAAACAAGAGCAGCGGAAGTTGACGCGGCCGGGGTGCCGAGGTTCCATGTCGCATCACAGCTACTATGGTACTCCATTTTCGCCCATCCAGATCGTGCGATTGGGGGGAAAGGGAAGGGAGGGGGGGTTCCATTATCGTATTTTACTTGGTAGTGATCCTCCTCTCCCCCAGATTTTCAACCAGGACAGGTGCCGACACCAGCGAAAGGGGATTTTTTCTCCTTGAATTGGACATGGTAGGCACGACGCTTGATTTTTTCAGGAAGCGCAACCGATACCCGCGTTCGCCAGTCGAGCGATGCGATGATGATTGAAGAAGGGGCAAAAAAAGAAAAAGAAGGTAAGAGGTGGGGTCTTTTCTTCAGATTTTGACATGTGCCATGTATTCTCTCTCGTAATTCCTCCTCATTAGCTTCAAGGTCTTTGTTGCGTCTGCAAGAAGAAAGAGTTGCCTTGACAATTAGATGAGAGTGCGTCCAAACGAGCTGCATGCAGGCTCTCGTGCCTGTACACACATGGCTGCTGCTGGTGAGATCTGATTAGGTCTGGCTGGTTGTTCGAGCTGCCGTATCTGGACAGCTGTTGCATCCCATCAGAGGGCTGCGTGTATCTTCTCAACCGCGAATTTTCATGGGGGTACACACACACACACACACACGTACAACGAACAGGGTGTGCTGGCGGCTCGCGGCAGAAGATGGCCTGCAGCTCAGTACCGGTCGGTCGGTTTCCAGTGGGTCTCGGGCGGCTCGCGGCTAGCTTCCTGCGGCTGTCGGTGCGGCTGGACGGCTTTGCGGGGGAAACCCACTGGATCGAGTCCCTTTCACGGGTAGAAGTGACTTGTGCCCGGCTTGGAGGTTGGACCTGAACACTGGGTATACAAACCATGGATAGATTGTGGCTTTACTGTGAAGAACGAATATAGAGGGTGATATATGATGCTAGATATAGCAACATGCTAAGTTTTGGACTTTGTCTTCATCAGCTCACTGTTGCTAGTGAGAACATCGAGAAATGAGGTTCGAATTTGAGACGAGGCTGATGAGCGCAGCTCAAGGGTAGAGGGTACCTTGCAGGGTAAAAATAAGGTAAGCGGGCCTGAAGATGGTGTGCTCCCGCAGAAACCTTCCACTATCCACTGGATTTACAGGGGTACCAAGAATACACTGCTACAGCACCTGGGTACATGCTGGGAGTCACTATTTCAGCGCGAAGATGGTTGGCCCAGGTCGAAACGGGCAAGAGCGATGGTGCAATCCATTGTCTCAAGCACCACATGAATAATCTTGGACATAAGCCTTGAGGAACTCAGGCCTTGCGAAGAGGTCAGGGTGAGAGACATTTCGAGACATCGTGTCATACACTCATCAATTCGCATCATCACCAGCAACAACAACAAGAACTATCGCAACAAACTCATCATCACTATCATCATCAGGATTTCTGTCACGCAGTGACGGGTGGATAGCGTAGGCGGGCTGCAGGTAGAGGTGCAGACACATTGTGGGAGTGAGAGGACAGGTGGGTTCAGTGGGGGCCGGTCCCCCTGCTGAGAAGTACATAGTTGAGCCAGTGTACTTGTCCTGTCGCTGTCACTCTGCAGGGTTGACGAGTACCGGGACACCTAGAGACCAAGGTCCTTTCGTCCCAAGTACCCCACAACATAGGCGCAAAGACTAGAGCGATTTCGCCATTTTGCCGCTGCATGACAGAACTTGACGGCTCACTGTCGCTCTCGTCTCTGCCTCTTGCGTCTTCCTATGCCTCACTTTCAACAGCCATCATCTCCTTCCCCAGACCGCCGCATTGCCTTCCTTACCGTGCCCTGCCCTGCCCTGCACCTGTTGGGTTGGACGTAACACACCCTAGACGAGGTCGATACAACCCCCCCCCCCCTGGGACTGCTGGCATCTTCATCAACTTCCCTCTCTTGTTCTTTTCTTCGTCCCGACCACCGACCGCCGAACAAGGGCCCCGTCCATCTATTTTCTTAAAACTGGTCACCCATCCGCCATCCCACCAAAAGATCGATCTCCATATACTCCAGTCGCCCCTCCAGATCACCACACCACAACCACAACCACCACCTCCTCCATCACGAACCGAAAACCCCAAGCCAAGCCAGACGTCCTGCAGGCCATTCGTCCGAAGAGGCCTGCACAACCATCTTTCGAATACAGCCCCAGGGTGAAACAAGATAACCGTAATATTGCGAGCCTGCCTACGCGAGCGCCTCATCCAATTGCGAAATCGATCCTCTGCCATTGCGTGCCCGGCCAACTTGGACACCTCTTCTGTGCCCAGACCTCACGCCTACCACCTCTCCTGCTCCCTCCCAGGGGAAGTCCAGTGCGCCCCGCCTGCTCGCGTCTTTCCCAGCACAACCGTCGCCAGTGTGTGGGCAAGTGTGAAGTGGCAGCACGCCATCCTGAGCTGTCTCAACCTCATCCTGACCGACTCGTTCAGCAGGCGGTTTGTCGCCTAAAACATCGGAACCCTGCTGCAAGCCCTGGCTGCATCACTACCCAGATCCTCCCCCAATGGCAGTTTAATCTGACATCTGGCGCAATATTTCACCAAAGACATTGGACCAGCATCGAGCTGGCCCCTGTCCCGCCCAACGCCTACCGCGCAACCATTTTCTCGAAATACCCGTTTACCTCCCCCCACACACCATGCCAGCCGACCAGAACTACGCCATGGACCGCCCATCTTCTTATTCCATGGCCATTCCGCGCCGTAGCTCTCTCACCACCGATGGCACCCCTTTGAAGGCCAAGCAACATTATCACCACGATCGCATCCTCCAAGCTCGCCTGCAGTACCCCGCCAGCCCTCCAGTAACCGATGACGGCGAGATAGAACCCAGCGCTGCAGTTGACAGGGCCAGGCTTAAGGAGCTCAACTGCGAGAGGAGACGACCGGGTGACGAGCTTGAGGACAAGTCCCGTCTCTCCAACATGCCCTCTGCTTTGGTTGGCCAGACGGTCACCCCTTTCCTCAAGGAACATGTTCCCAGCCTCTATGCACCCGTCTCCAAGATCGATGCCTCCCACACCCACGACCATGAGCAACCGCTCTCCCAGAACTGGAACAGCAAGTACTGCTACCGTCACCGCCCCGACTCCAAGTGTCGCAAGGCCGCCGACGAGGACAAGATGGCTATGATTCAGACCGTACGTTTCCCCCCCCCCCCTTTTTTTTTTAAAAAAAAAAACCTTACCTCCACATCACGACCTCATGTTTGGGGTTGGTTGTATAAAAGTAGTCGTCGCTGACATGGATGCCGCCGCAATAGGAACTTGAGAAACTCCCCTCAGCCGACCAACAAGCCATTACTCACGTCTGGAGTCTCTTCTCCGCCGCACCCGGCAAGCACAGGGAGCTGATGATCCAGGGGATCCTGTCGTCGTCCTGCTTTCCCCAGCTGAGCCTCGTGTCCCGAGAGGTCCAGGCCCAGCTCAAGATTGACTTCATCTCTGCCCTCCCTGTCGAGATCTCCTTCAAGATCCTGTCCCACCTCGACACCGTGTCGCTGTGCAAGGCCGCCCAGGTCTCAAGGCAGTGGCGTCAGCTGGCCGATGATGACGATGTCTGGCACAGAATGTGCGAGCAGCACATCGACAGGCAGTGCACCAAGTGTGGCTGGGGCCTGCCGCTCCTCGAGAGGAACAGGCTGCGCAACTGGACACGGCGGCGACAGCTTGCGGCTGCCCAGAAGTCGACAGAGTCGGCCTCTCTGAGCCTCATCCCCCTCTCGCCACCAACACTACCCCGACCGAACTCACCAAAGGTGCCGAGCTCACCAAAGCGCAGCCTAGACGACGACGAGGATGACTTTGCCTCTAAGCGCAGGTGCGTGTCTCGTAGCGACTCGACAGCCGAGGATGCCGTTCGTCAGAAGCGGCCTTGGAAGGATATCTACCGTGACCGGTGGCAGATCGGTGTCAACTGGAAGCTCATGCGCTATTCGCTCAAGACGTTCAAGGGTCACACGAATGGCGTGACTTGCCTGCAAATCTGGGACGATACTACCCTGGCCACTGGGTCCTACGACAATACCATCAAGATCTGGAATCTCGAGACTGGCGAGGAGGTCAGGACCCTGACCGGCCACACCCGCGGCATCCGGTCCCTGCAGATGGACAACCACAAGCTGCTCAGTGCCAGCCTGGACGGGACGGTCAAGATCTGGAACTGGCGCACGGGCCAGTGTGTCCGAACCCTTTCGCCCCATTCCGACGGTGTCATATCGGCGCATTTCCAGGGCGATGTGATGGCCAGCGGGAGCATTGACCACACCATCCGGGTGTACAACTTCAAGACGGGCACCACGTTTTGCCTGAAGCATCACGACGACTGGGTCAACAACGTCAAGGTCGACATGGTCAGCCGGACCCTGCTCTCCGCGTCCGACGACTGCACCATCGTGCTCTGGGACCTCGACACGCGTGAGATCATCCGAGAGTTCGTAGGCCACGTCGGCCACGTGCAGCAGGTCCTCGGCCTGCCTCACGACTTCGAGCCTGATGAGGACCCAGCCGCCGCAGCCGCCGCTCACGATTCCACCGACACCATGTCCGTTGCCAGCGGCAAGAGCTCCTCTCCGATCGGTGGACAGGTCACCGACCTGGAACTGCGGGCGACGTATGGACCCGGCTTTGTGGACAACCCGGATCGGCCCCTGCCTGCCCGCTACATCCTCTCTGGTGGGCTCGACGCCGGCCTGAAGCTGTGGGATACCTCCACCGGCAACGTCGTGCGCGACCAGTGGGGTCATCTGGAGGGCATCTGGTCTGTCGAATCCGACAGCCTGAGGATGGTCACCGGTGCCAACGACAGCCTGGTCAAGACCTGGGACCCACGCTCCGGTCGATGCACGGGAACCTTTGCAGGCCACACCGGCCCTGTGACATCCGTCGCTGTATCTGACGCCCTCATGGCATCTGGAAGCGAGGATGGAGAAGTGAGATTGTATAATTTCAAGTTGAGTGATGGGTGTAGGCGGTCAACCAGCCCTAGCACGCCGTCGGCGTCTTGAGAGTAATCTGGGGGGGGGGTTTTTTTTTTGGGTTTTTTTATTTTTTATTTTTTTTTTTACACATTTTGGGATCCTTTTCAGATCTTTTCTTTTCCTTTTTATCTTGGGGAGAGCGCGCCTATACCACTTTTGATCTTTAGGAACCGGGATAGGTTGGTAGCATCGATCTCAGGATCGCCGGCGTTTTGGGAATTACTTGTTTCTTCTTTTTATTTGTTGGGTTTCTTCTTTTCTTCTTCTTTCGTTTCTCTTCCTCCTTTGGGAAAAAGGGTTTGGGAACAGGGCTTTTATCGTTGGGAGGTTCTTTCGGGATCAACAAACAGGGTGACGGCATACAGAAAACCACAATAAGTGGTACATTTGCATATCAAGGTGTTTAGAGGATTGGAACTGGGAGGGTATTGGCAAGGGAAATGCCACCCCTATAGCTAGAGCCGCAATTGGTTCCCGCCGCGACTGGATATGAAAAACCAAATGGATTTTACACAACATACACACTAGAGATGTTTTCTTCTCTCTGCTATGTCTGGTGTGACCTGTGACCTGTGACCTGTGACCTGTATCATCATCCCAGCGCAATACCTGTGATATCTCCTACCCTGTTGAACAAGGCTGTCTTCCTTCTCGTCTTGATGTCGATGGCGTACACACCGCCCGCCAGATCAGTGACATAAGCCATGTCTGCCTCTCTATCAACCGCCAGGCCGATGATTTTGCGCAGCCCAGTCGCCAGCACCTGCGGCACGCCTCCCATTCCCACAGCCGCCCTGTTCAGCCTGCTCTCGCCCTTGGGGCCTCCACGATCCGTCCAGTACAGCGACTGGCTCTCCTCGTCCATATCGAGGTGAAGCGGCTCAGGCAGGCCGTCAAACACAACCTCCACATCCCACCTCTTCTCTGGATAAGCACCCTGCGGGCCTTGAATGCGCGCCCGGCAGATCTTGCCGTTACTCGTGCTACCGTCCGCCGCCGCCGCCGCCGCCGCAGATCCGCCCTTTTGTGTCCAGTAGAAAACCCCCCTCGGCTCGTCGACCGCGACGCCGACGCACCACCTCCTCGGATCGCCCCTCTCCTCGTCCGTGTCGCCCGTCGAGACGAGCGTCTCGAGGTCGGCGCCGTCGGGCTTGCTGCACCGCATCACCTTCATCCCCTCCCTGTCGCACCAGTACAGCGTCCCGCCCCTGGCTGTGATCTGCTGGGGCGTGAAGACGCCCCGTGTGCCGGGCGGGACGACCACCTTGCGCCCCGAGCCGTCGAGGTTGGCGCGCTCGATGGAGCCGGTGGGGAGCCGCGGCGTGTGGCCTCCGCCCATGTTGGTCCAGTACATGTGGCCTGCGTCGCGGTCGAGGGTGATGCTGTCGGGGAGGCCGGGCAGGTTGTCGATGATGGTTTGGAGGTTGGTGCCGTCTGGGTGGCAGGAGAGGATGCGGCCTTGTCTTGGGTGCGGGTGAGAGAGGTCTGTGTCGAGGAAGTATAGGCGTTGTGTGGGTGGTGGTTGGGAGCCCATGGTTTTGTGGATCGAGGGAAGGGTTGGGCTTGATGATGACGATGATGATGGTGGACGAGTGTTGAGGCAACGAGGAAATTGTGACGATTTGAAGAAGGCTTGAGGGGGTTCTGATGAGACAGATTTACTTCATTCAACAGGCAGAATAGACTTGAGAGTTTGGCAATGGCAGAAATCAATTTGGTATCATGGCATTTATTCCTGTCCTCAATTGCGATATGATATAATTCTATCATCACACGCTCGTTCCCTGCCTGCTTGAAGAATCTTTGCGATCTCATCAGTCGGGACAAGACCGTCACCTAGCCCTGTCTTTTCCACATCTCGATGTTGTTTCCAGGCTGTTTTTCACTGCACGGCACGAGGTTCGGAGTCCCTCCGTTGCACTACGTAGTTGAAATCACAAGTCATGATAGCGGACCTGGTGGAGCTGCCCGGGGCGATCATGACGAGCCGCCCGGAGTAAGAAGACCAAATGTAACTCAGTGTGCCGACCTCAAACGTCACCTTTGGCACCGAGAAGGCTTGACAACCCTGTCGATGATGTCTGCCCCAATAAAAAAAGACGAAAATAGAAGAAAAGAAGGGAAAAAAAGAAGGTGATAGTGCCATAGTATAAAGTCCAAGTTCATTAGATAAGAATGCCTTATCCATTGATGGGCCGAGAATATGTGCGAGACTCTCGAAGGCTAATTACGACGTCCTATATAATTGGACCACACATTTCCCGCTGCAACGACGGGATACCAATGCTTTGATCCAAGGCAAACTTTGTCATGACATTGCAAACATTTTTCAAATTCTCGTAACTCAGATAAGAAGGTGTGGGATCTCATGTGGATGGTCGAGCCTCGAGCAACTTGACAAGGAAAGAGTAGTCACTTGTCCTAATTGTCTCGGTCGCTGCCCCGGAGGCACCTTTGCTCAACTCGGCCGCCTTTTCCGCAATAGCGTACCCGGTAGCCTGCACATCGCTGCGGGCATCAGTGGGAATCACACTTGCGTCCCTCATTCGCAGATTCTTAGTCCCACTATTCAAGGAGCGTGAGGCCAGTAAAGAAATGAAAAGAAGAAGAGAGGTTCACTTACTAACACCATTAACTCATGATCTACAACAACCACTTTCTCCCTCGGTAGAAAGATGTGTGTAGGTATTGCTTGTAATTGAACTAAGGAGGCCGCGTTCGATTATTCCGTACCCTTGCATGGCTTGGCCAAGGGCCTCGGGCTCTTACCTAACCAGGGCATCGACAGACGCAACATCGCCCTCGGCTTCGAAACTGATATAACAGACCAAATGATCCTGCAAGTTCTTTCCCTATAAAATGAGGATAATTAATAAACCTTTATTATCAGTCAATACTAATAAAAGACGCGAGGACATCTGGCTTGGTTTCAAATGTCACCATGACTTACTACTCCATGCAGATCCTCAACACTGGCAATGCTGTGCTTCTTGAGCAAGTCTGCATTACCGATGCCAGATAATTCGAGGACTTTGGGGGACTGGAAGACGTCTCCAGACAGGATGGCCTCCTTGGTGGCTTTGACGGGCCTGGGCTCACCCTCGTGCGTGTCCTGGATGCCATTAGCTTCAGCATCAGTAGTACTAGCTGCATTAGTACCCTGATCGAGAAGAATCTTTCCAACATATGCATTGGTGGTCATGTGAACGTTCTCGCAATCCTTGTCAAGGTAGTAGGAGGCAGAGGACAGCATAGCTTCTCTCCTTGGTCACCGGGTCAATGTTAGACAAGCAGGAAAATGCCCTGATATCTTTTGACTTGGAGAGAAACGGATTGTCAGACATGCATTGTCCACCGTTCCTGGAAGCGTCTGCCCAGGCCTGGCTTATGGGATGCTCGGCGTTGCCGGAGAATGAGGTTTGGATATGGTTCTTTGCGGCATCGTTCTTGGAGGACCCATGCGAGGGCAAAAGGGCTCATATTGCTATGCGCTGAGGAGAAAAGAGAAAAAGAGAAAGCCACGAGAGCAGCTAATTGAGGCTATCAGCAGTTCGGGCTTGTTGGCTGGCTGGCGGGGCCGTGCACGGCCCTGGGCCAGTGACTCACTAGCCCTCGCACAGAACCACCTTTGAATACCGAGAGGCTTGGACAAATACGTCTTGAGGGTGTTCCAGTTCCAGGCCTGGTTACCGAATGCCTCCCAGAACTTGATGACTCCCTTGGTAGAATGGCTGAAGTCTTGAGCATTGGTGGCGCTCGTTTTGCCCAGCGCTTTGTCCTAGTCCAAGACACACAGTCATGTGTTGTGGTTCACCTGTTAGGATTTTGAGCATCTTTCTTGCCCCTCGACAAGAAGAAAGAGAGTGAGTGAGAGAGACAGAGAGAGAGAGAGAGAGAATAGCTCATATGAGAGGGCGGAACTACTTGAGGCTCAGTCCGAAATCGCCAGTCAGCTGAACCGCCTCCGACAATAGTGAATTCATACATATACGATGATATCGTTTCTCACGTGTAAGGACTCTTGACTACGAGTGGGCGAATATAAAAAGCGGGTAAATCGGCTGTAAGGATGCACCAGATAATCAAATGAAGAAGCGATGGTGCTATGTCGGGATTTCCGGACGTCCTGCTGGATCTAATTATTTGGCACCCTTTGGCCGTTGATCTCGAGATACTACTTAGTACTACATACTATGACACAGTTGTCCTCAGCCAAAATGTGCTTGGTCGTCGGCCCAGATTTGAGCACACTGCAGGGTTTTGATCCCACCCGATAATAGATTTGTCCGTCCGTGCATAGCAATGGGGCGGTGAATGGTATGCTTCTGCCTGCGACTGCGAAGCACTGTGCATCATTGGGTGGTTATAGACGCACACTTCTTTGGGCTGTGCATACTTCTCGACTCATGAGGAAAAGTCCTTCGAATTGAGAGAGAAAAAGGAGGTTAACTAAAATACTTAGGCAACCACCACGATAGACACTCGTTCGATTCTCCATTATAGGGAGAGAACCAGCGCGTCGGTAGTGTGGAGAGTGGGGGCAACTCCACAAGTATCGCTGGACAGCACTCAATCATGCATGCGTAGCCAATCACAACAACCAGTGCTACCCTATTTACTGGGTACCTATCACTGCCACGAGGTGGCTAACTCGTGCTGATCCACACCTCAGCAGCTGTGCATAGGGCTTCTCTTCCTCTAGGGGTTTCAGCCCCCACGTATTCGGACTGGTTCTTGCAGGGTTTGCTTTTTGTGAGGCACATGCATGTGCTCTGACCTATTCGATACTGACCAGGGACTAGATTTTGCTCTCGTGGGAAGCTTCATCTGGTTTGGCAGACATTTGGATGCACGGTGATTTTGTACAGCTAAGAGAAAAGCAGGGTTGGTCAAATCATCAATTCCTGACGTTCTGAGAACCGTACTCGGCTTGATCCACTCAGACCTTTCTCATCGTGCTCCTCCAGCTTGGGGCCTGCCAACTCAGAAAAGACGATGAATCTGAACATAGGAGGACACAAAACATCATCATGACATGCTAAGTATTCTGCAATGCAGATAATTACGGTACTACATACTTTGTCAGGCGTCTTGATAGGGCTCCGCAGCAACCGAGTTTCATCAATAACGCGGCTTGGGCGAGACCGCTGTGGTGGGTCTCGTCTCTTCTCTTAGTGAGCGGTCGAGGCTCGAGAGAGGGGACACAATGATAAAAGAATAGGCCTCCAAAAATTTCATTAGGCGCTTGTATGCTGAATGATACGCTACCTGACGAGATCTATTCTTAGGCGGTAGGTTCCGTTGAAAGGGGGAGGGGGAGGGGGAGGGGCTTAGCCCAAGGTCTTGACAATATTTATATCAGGTATCGTATCCAGAAGCCAGGACGATGGACGTGCTGGTTGTCCTAATTCTGAGAAGCCATCCGTCGTTCAAGTGTCTACTATTACCTTGCTTGATTGCTACGGCATGACACCATGGAATCCTTACTATATCACCTTGAAACCATCTATCTCTTCAGCCGTAATGACATCAAAGTCGCCATTTATATGGGCTTCCTCTTCGGCGCGCTGAACGCCTCTGTCGCTTCTGCGTTCGCCATGGGACCATCTCTCTCCCTCCAACAAATATTAGCGTCTGCACCTTCGATGCTCCTGTGGTCCTGGAGCCATCTATTTCTCTTCAACCTTCACAACCAGCGGCATGCTTCTTCCATCGCCGAAGACGCCATCAACAAGCCCTGGCGGCCTCTCCCATCAGGGCGCCTGACCTCCCAACAAGCAACTTGGATGATGTACTGCATGTATCCAGTCGTCTTCCTCGTCTCGTTGAACGCTGGAGGACTGGTCCCATGTCTTGTGGAAACGACGTTATGCCTGTGGTACAACGAGTTAGGAGGATCAAACAATCCCTTCCTCAAGAACGTCCTCAACGCCTTTGGATTCTCCTGCTTCTTTGCAGGGCCTCTCGAAGTGGTCACAGGACACTCCATCTTTTCTGGCGATATGAAGGCAGCTACCTGGCTCTTAATTCTCGCCTCGGCCATCACCACCATGAGCCACGCTCAGGACTTCCGGGACATGGTGGGAGATAAAGCTGCCAATCGCAAAACTATACCGCTCCTGATTGGTGATATGAATGCCAGGGTGGTTTTGGCAGTCGGTGTCGCAACCTGGACTGCAATTGCCTGCTGGTTCTGGGAGGCAGGGCCTCGCGAAAGTCTCGCCGCCTGGGCTGCTGGGCTTGCAATGGTTGGGAATTTCTTCAGAGACAGGACGCAAAAGGGAGACTCTCTGTCGTGGAAGTTGTTCCCGCTTTGGTTGCTTGGTTTGTTTCTGCTCCCTACTCGCATCGGAGGAGCAGCACCCTGGGTACAGTCTCATCAAGTGGACTACTCGCTGTCCCCAAATGCATCTACAATGGTCGGGCTGCTTTGAGGCAACGGACTTGAGAATTATCAGGTATTATCTTCTTGACTTTTGGAATTAGTTACTGGCAATATAGGATAGGGCAATATAGGATAGATGGCTCCTGTGGCCAGCCATGGAATGTTCCACTATGTATTCTGCATCGTACAGCGTAGCCGCTCACGCCTTCAGGTGCGGATCGTGAATTCGTCGCGGTAAACCGGCTCCTGTGAAACCTTAGTTGCTTCCCTACCCTGCTGGTCTGGACTGCAATTGGGGGTATACACGTGGACTAGTGAGGTTAATTTATCTTGAGTCGGTCGCTAAATTTGAAGTCCTGCCTAACAAGCCAATGATATACCACTGTATGTGGATCCACTACTCCCGCCCAAGGAGCCCACCAAGCTGAAGTCTGACCCGCCGATAGTCTTCTTGGAGCCAGCTGAGGTTGGACACGTCTGGAAGAGCCCATTACCATGCTCCGCCCCAGTCCTGTCGCCGTGCTGTGGTGTGGATATTATGGCCATGCCAAGGTTGAAGGGTTTCTCCGAGGCATGGACTGAAAAGAAAAAACTCGCGGCGAATCTGCTGGGCGATATTTTTTTAAATTTGGTGGTCTTCTAAGAGGTGGTGCCGAAATCCCGTCCGATGAAGCAAAGAATCCCCTATGATCCTAACATGCAGACCTTTCTTCACATATGTTGGTGACTCTCTGGGAACCGTTGTTGATCCAATGCAGCTGCTGCAAGCGGCCATTTGAGAAACAGGCATGTGACAGGGTGCATGGTACTGAGTCCCAATGAGCCTATATCACACTCGACCTAGGGTGGCAGGAAGGCTCGGGATGCTGTGGGTGACAGCAGGAATCTTCATGCTTGATATATGCTCAGTGATAGGGTTTGGAGCGTGGTGACACGTCAGTTTTCAATCTCATAAAATGGTTAGGCTGTGTCGTAGTCTCGTAGATCACCCGAGATAGGGACTGTGCTCTATTTATTATTAGCACCTGTCCATTTACGCCTCGTTACGAGATCGATTCTCGGCTATGTTACTTCAATGTCGACTACATATTCTCTAAATATCGTATGATCGAGGAGCAAGGCTTGTTCTCAGTATCCTCAATCCCTGCGTACTTGGAAATGTCAGATTTACATTGGAGTACACGTTGGAAGCCCAGCTCGCATAGCACACGTTGATTCGTCTAAAATCTGCAACGAAATCTGCATCTTCCAGAGGAGTTGTGACAATCTTTGGTCGGGTAAATAGTACAGAGCAGCATGTACTTTATCCTCTAACCACTCTTTGTAGTCGGCAACACTGACGCCCATCAGAACGAGGAATACGGTTCTGAGAACTTGCCAGCCTGCCAGCCATCAAGCCACAAACAACCATCAGTACATATTACTAATTTTTGATCAGCAATCCTACGCTCAATCACGACCAAATACTATTGTGCTCCCATGGATTGCCTGTTTTTGCCTTGGTATCAGAATGACCTGGCACTCTAGGCAGGCACCACAGCACAGAAATAAATGTATGCTCACTTTACAAGCAGAGCGTGGCTTTCAAAGTATTTCATAATTCAATATGGATAGTAAGTATAAATAGTTATTCATTTCTTAGCATGATTGCAATCATCATGGCTTGCAAACGAGTGGCCGCTTAAGACACTGCAACCTGAAAGCTATTCCAAGAAGCACCACTATCCTCCCAACATTCATTTGTGTTGGTCAAATTGATTGTCTCAGCAACGGCATCTTGACATGCAACATCCTCATACACCAGAATGTGAATGCTTCTTCCGAACAGATCCTGCCCAACCGCCTGCGTCAGCGCGCTGAACGCCTCGTTCGCCTGGTGGCAGACGCTCAGGTTGCCTATTGTGATGGTCTCGAAAGCGCTGTCACAGCAGGAACTAGAGTACAAATTCAGGGTGACCGTGTTGTCATCTGTGTTGCTCGGCTGGGTTATAGTGCACGACCCGCTGTCTGAATGCGTGATGTCAATCGAGTAGAAGTGAACGTCCGACGCTGAGTCGCCCTGCAAATAATTCCCAACTTTGAAGTATGAGTCTGGACCGTCAAGCTCATAGGTCGACAATACTTGGAAGCCATCGTCATTGATCTGCACCGACAACTCGTTGTTCTCATATCGGATCTCGTAGGAAAACGCTGTGCCGACTGGAACGCTCCCGACAGTGGTCGTGACCTGATTCCCTCCTGCCGTGGTCTGCTCGACGCCCATCACAATCGCTCCGCTGTCATAGTAATACAGCTCACAGACCGGTTTCGAAGAGATGCTGTCGTCGATATGGATCTGTCCAACGCACGTTGAGCCCCCAGCGTCGAAGACCGTGAGCGAGGCACTAAGTCTGTTGACGGAATCATACGGCGACCAGCTCGACGGGCTATCCTCGCGCAGCTCTGTGCGGCAGTGTGAGCTGCCGGACGTCGTCACGCAGCCCGTGGCCGCAGGAGTTCCGGGCACTTTCATTCCAAGCGATCCGTCGGCTGTGTTGGTGAAAAAGTACTGATCCTGGAACCCGTCGCAGCCCTCGAGCTCTGAGGCTGGGATCGTAGTGACGCCGCCGGATGAGTCCGCGATGGGAAGCTGGAGGTTGAAGATGCTCAAGTCGAAATTGCCTCCTGGTGCGCATGCCGGATTCAAAGCGGTGACATGTCGCGGGGACGCGAGGCCAGCCAATAGGCCAGCGTAGAGGAAGTAGGAAGAAAGACCCATCTTGGAATTAAACAATTCAGAGAAGAACATGAGGCATGTCGAGCTATCTGAGATACGGAAAGTCTGAAGACCTGGTGTCATTATATACTTCTCTGTCCTTAGACATTCATGTAGACATTGGTAATTGCCTCGATCTATACTGTCTGGAATATCCATGCACAGTCAGCCTCGTATTCTAATCAAGAATCCATAAAGCCATAGTGCACATTTGTGATGTTTATGCGACTATCGATCGCCTTTTACTGGACTGTATAGGCACGCGATATGCTTAGTCTAACTCGTCCTGGAGGACGTGAGTAAGCAGCACTGTAAGAGAGGACGTCCCGACGGTATGATGTCGAGGCAGCTATCCCATCACAGCACATAGTATTCCTCACGTGGTGTGTCTGGTGTGTAAGCTCGCCGGCACTATCACAATCTCTATACTTGATACGGTCTGTAGGAGGCAAAAAAAAAAAATATTACACAGGGTGGGCACTGCAACTAGATTCACATGGTATATCGTCGAGGACCGAAAGGGCCGATACGAGCTCTAGGCTCTGGCTCACTTTTCCTGGTTCTGACAGACTGGATGCGGTGAAGGCTTCTTGCCAGCCAGGATGAATGCTGGCCAGACTAGGCTGGATGGGAAAAGCGGATTATCAAGCATGCAGCGCCACTCAGACCTTGGCGCTTTTGTACTCGGTATTCTTGTTCGTGATTCGACCATGTGTTTGTAAGCCCCAAGCATATTGCCCTTGTCTATCGATAGACTGACAGAACTCTGTATGAGACTCTCATGTGGACGAGAAGGCGCAAAAACCACTTTGAAGATAGTACAGCTGGCTATATGATTGGTCCCCTATGACTCGCCTCTGAGATCAGGAAATGTGTGATACACCAGCCTATTGATTAACATAGTCTATTAGATCACGACGTCTTTGTGATGAGATGGACGTCTTTAAGTCCTCGATGCATGTGGCTGATAGGTTCACATATAGCCACGCTTGAAGTCTGTGATTATGAAATGAATACGGTTGATCCAAAGCCGACAGCCTCGCGTCTGACTTTTAACGGACAGATGAGGATAGGATTAATAGAAGCCCACTATAGCAACAGTTTTAAGGCTCAAGCTATAACCCGCGGAATCCCTGTTTGTGAATACGATAACTAATTGAAAACCAGAGAAAAGCAGCGTCTTTCCCAGTTCTTATACTGCATCCCACCTACTTAACAGGCAGCCTTGGACTGGGACGTATTATACAAGTTTGTAATATAAGGCTCTTCTTGCAACTTAATTGCCTCTTCTAGCTCCACATTACATTCGCATTCAAAGGCTCAAAGCTGTTACCCGGGGTCAACCTGCATCGCAGTCAATAATTTCAGACCAAGGATGTTTTTTGATCCAAGGCAACGGTTCATTGTTCCTCTCAAGGGCCGCAAAATTGTCAATATTGAGTCACAGCATTATATCCGAACTATCCTCCGAAACGATCACACAGGCTTAGCTTACTTGTGCCTCAACTACCCACGAGATCATCCTTACATGCGTGTGATGAGCGGTCTCATACAGACAATCAAGACCTGAGGGGGGTGTGCTAATAATAGAGTGCCACGGACCTTCTATGGGGGCATGGCCACGTAGGACACTGATTGCGTGCAAGTACACAACATGGATAAGCATGAGCTGACTTTGGCACTCGACAACGGGATGGGTAAGTAACAGCTTGTCTCGTTCGACGGTGAGAGGGGAACACAAAGAGATAAGGAACCTATGGAAGTCGCCAAGTCAGTTGACCCTGTTCAAAGCTCGTCCACGTCGCCATTGGCTTCAGTGAATGACTTTAACCTCGGTTTGCGCTTTTCCGTTGAGCCGTGGCTATGTACATGCTGCCAGCCAGTGCCAGGAATCCTCTCCTTCCAGACACCCCCGACTTCTTCGTGACCGCCTCTGTTTTCGCATTTACTTGCCTCCCAAATTTCCATTGGGTGACGTTCGCATCCGGTGGCGTGCTCTTTCTTGGCCAACATCGGTGGCTTTGTGATGCTATTTTGATCTCCATTGTAGTACATGCCATACGGGTCAAGGGCCAACGTGTCCATCTCCACAAGCGACTTTGATAAGAAGGCTCCAAGCTGTTTCTGTGTGCTGTGGAGTGATGTTGGCAATTCTTTTGGTCGGTGACCGCCCTAGCCGCAAGACCACCGCCACGGGAACCTCGGAAAGCAATTTGTGATTTTGGCAGAAATCTCGTCTCCTTCCCGGCAGGGGTCAAGAGCATTAATCAAAGAGCTGCATGGCCAAGTTGCACTCGTGTGCACGCACCCACGGCAGATTTCGTTCCCCTGTAGAGAGATAGACAAATCTTACACCGCGGAAGTACCCGGGCAGGTTGGATGAAGTATGAAGTCCGTTCACAATTGTTTCTCCAGTGTCCACTCCATCGTGGCTTTTTGTGGAGAATTTCCCATCCCAACTGGTGGGACCACCCCCCTGGTTGGTTCATGGCCGAGTTATCGTCCTTCCAGAATTTTCCTGCGGTTTTTCTGCTTCTTCTGTTGCTTCCACTACCACCACGGCCACTGTAGGACGAGGCGGAGATTGTTTTGGTGGCACAACGTTTTCGGGAGTGGATCCCGTTTCAGATTATTACATACTGGGGGTGCCCATGGATCACGGGCTGAGCTTCATCTCGGGTGACTGTTTTGAGTTGGGTACTTGCTGGCAGTGCGTTGTCCGCCCTGCCTTGACACGTGGGCCTGCTCCCATGGATTCACCGCTGTTCTGCTCAACGGTGGGCCCGACTGGTTGTAAGGAAAGTCGTGCCTCATCCAAATTTCCCTCAATATGATAATGAATCCTAGGATGAATAGAAAAGAAGAGGAAGAAGGCCCCGATCCTGTCGATCATGTTCCTCATTTGCTTGCGCCTTGTATTTATTTCTCTAATATTCCCACGACTTCATCAAATCGTCGCAAGACAATTATACTTCAAAATTTCAAGCAACATATCAATCAAACTACCACAAGATACCCACCAAACATTATCAACACTTAGTTAATTTCATCCTCTTCCCCACACCCTTCCAGAGACGCCATGACTGTCAACCCATTTGTCCAGTCAACCGCAGACCTGCCGCAGGCGGCCCCAAAACTCAAGTTCTCCCAGCGCCACCGGCAAAAGGTGAACGACATTCGCGAGGAGACCAGGACCCTCCACCAAGACAAGATCGATCGCGTCAGCAGATGGGTGGAGGACTGCGAGAGGGCACGAGCGACTGCGGAGAGCAGCACCAGCGAGCAGCTGATCGACGAGCCGTATGAGTGCGACGGCGACATGGAAGACCTCCTCCTCGCGGTGCTGGTCGCCAGGCCCGAGTACCAGACGGTGCCCACGGCCGGTCAGGTCCGCCAATTCGCCAGGGAGCTGCACACGTACAGGTCCAAGCTCTCAACCCTGGACCAGACACGGGGTTACTTTCATCTGAAATTCCTGTCGGCTCGTGAACCGGCTGCGCTGCCCGAGTACCCTGAGGATATCGACGATGAGCCTGAGATCGAGGCGCAGGGAGATGGGATAGGCCTCAAGACAGCAGCATGGCCTCAGGTCGTCATCCGCGAGATCTCACCTGCTGATGAAGAGCTTAGGTGGGAAATGATGCAGGAGTATCAGAAGCGGAGGAGTACTCTCAAGAACAAGGTGGTGGATATTGCATGGGACTCGGCAATTCGGGCTACGACATGTCCCAATTTTGTCCGGATCGAGGCCTTTTGATGATGCGCTCTGCTGGTCCAGACAATACCTCAAGGCATTTTGAGAGGCAAAGGTGGTTCCGTCAGAGAAGCATTCGCAGGCGAAGCAAACTCATCTGGAGACTGGAAAGCAAGATAGCGAGGATGAGATCGATTTGGTGAGAGGGTCCAACAGCGCTCTCCTGCCACGATCCGACACAACATAATAACAACACCTCTATAATTACACACAATATGACATCTGCCCCATGCATTCGTTCGTTGCTCGTGGAGAGAATTCTACGTGATTCGAGAAAGGGTTTTTGCTGGCCAAAAGAGGAGTATGAAATCATCATACTACCTAACTTTACTAATATTCCATAGACTTTAATGGAAAGCTCTAGAGGTCCACAGTATCATCTTTAGTCCGTCCTCCAAAGACTGACCCCAACAACCAGCCACATTACGTAAGGATGATTCTTATAAAGCCAATGTCGATTCTCCTCATTCTTTTGCTTTGTCGTCCATGATTATAGATCATGTCAGAGTAAATTCTTGTGAAGTTTCACAGACAGAGGTTTCGTCAATCTTTCACGTGTGCTCATGATTAATAGTTTATTGACCATGACAGCACCTATTGCTTATGCCTCTTAAACCTTCAAACTATATATCTCAGGAATCTGTCACAGGATACTTGATCAATATCAGTTAGCTACTTGGACAATACGTGAATAGCAACATAACCGTCTCCATTCCAAAATGAAAGCCCTCATCCTCGACGCAGAAAATGCCACTGGCACCGTGACCACCTCCCATCCCATGCCCGTCCCTGGCCCAGACGAGGTGCTCATCGCCGTCAAAGCCGTCGCCCTCAATCCCGTCGACGCACTGTACACCTTGCATCCTCTCGGAAGCACCGGCCGCGTCATAGGCTCCGATTTTGCTGGCATCGTTGTCGCCCGCGGCCCACCTGCGGCCCCCAACAATGACGACACCACCACCAACGGAGGCGGCGGGCCCAGTCGCCTGCGCAGGTCCAGCACTGCCTTGACGACCAGCATCAATCGTGGGGACCGCGTTGCTGGCTTTCTGCAGGGAGCGAGCAGTGTCAACGAGCGGCCGGGGGCGTTTGCCGAGTACCTGGTCTGTCCAGTGGACCTGGTCTGGCGAATCCCCGCCAGTGTGACGTTTGAGGAAGCGGCAGCTGTGAGCTTATGTGGCCTGACGGCCGCGCAGGGTTTGTTCTTCCGCCTGGGCTTGGACGCGCCGTTCCAATGGGAGGATGAGAGCGACGAGGGTGTGCTGCGCCGCGTCGAGAGCGAGATAGGTAGCAGGGTCGACGCTGCTGGTGCCAACGATGACGATGAGTTTTCTTTCTTCGTTGCTGGTGCGTCGACCTCCGTTGGCCTGTATGCCGCCCAGCTGGTGCGAAGGAGCGCAGAAGTCAGTGGTCGCAAGGTACGGCTGATTGGGGCTGCCAGCCCGCGCAACTGGGAAATGCTCAAGGCGGAACCATATGCGTATGATGTGCTGGTGGACTATCGCGACAAAGACTGGCCTGAGAAGGTGCGAACAGCTTCAGGTGGTGGTGTGCACTTTGCGTATGATGCCATCTCGGAGGGCTCGACGGTGAGAGATGTCAGCAGCACCCTCAAGCAAGGTGGCAAGATGGCGGTCGTCAGGTCGAGGGCAGCAGGTGCGTGGGAAACAGAGGGCGTGACGACGGAACCTCTCTATGGCGCAGTGTGGGAAGGTCTTGGCGTGGATATTTCTTATCAGGGCTTTGTGGTCAAGACATCGCCTGCGAAAAGATCATTTGCGATGGCCTTCTACAAATGGTTGTCTGATTTGGGTTCTCTGCAGCCAAACCCGGTGCGCATCATGCCAGGCGGCCTAGATAGGATCGTGGAAGATGGGTTCAGTTTGTTGGGCACGGCAGTCTCGCGTCGGAATAACGACAGAACCGAAGAGCACATGAGACCTATCAGTGGTGAGAAGCTTGTATACAGAATTGAGGCGGAAAGGAGGCCAAGCATAGGTGAGGAGGATCCCATTGTGTGATTTTTTTTTTTTTCATATGTCCATCTGGTTTTACAGAGCCTGTATTTAATTTCAATATTGTCTTGTTCTGATACTCGTCCTTTTAGAACGACAGCTCTCTCGTGATTCTACAATAGAAAAACCTTGCATGCATTTTGTTGCGGGCATGTTCTATTCGGTCTGATCAAGATTCAAGGGCACTCTCAAATTTTTGGCTGGCCATAACTCTCGTCCATGCAACGCAATGTCTTGTGTGGTCACTTGAGGATGACCACGATCAAGAAACCCAACAGCACGGCACCAAGCCACCAGCACTGCAGAAGCGACTCCGCACCCAACTGACCAGGCTGACGCACACGGGCGAGACCGTTCTCACCACCCATATTCGCACCCTTGAGCATGGCCAGCTCTTCCTCCTTCTCCGCCAGCAGGCTGGTCTGTCTGTGGAGCTCGTTGATGAGTCGGTCCACAACGCCAGGAAATCGCTTCTCCGTATCGGAAAGGGGCTTCTCGAAATCCATCGAGTCGAACCAGGTATCACAACACGGGAGGATGTGGAACCTGTCGTCCGACGGGTCGTGCTCGTCCGGTCGCGCGAGCAGCCAGAGTGGACAGTTGGCACAAGGCTCCTCTAGGACGTGTCGGATCGAGGTGTGGGTGACGAGGTTGAGGGCGTCGTGTTTCGTCACGGGGTCCCGCTCTCTGAGGGTGAGAACGATCTGGTAGATCTTGCTGGGGTCGTTGTCGCGGTAGCAGATGTGGATGTACCTGATGCCGCGCTCAATGGCCATAACGTCGTGGTCGAAGTTGAGCATTGTGAAGCAGGTTTGCGTGGCGGCCTGGATGGGTTGCCACTTGTAGTACTCGTGGAGGATGAGGTGGGGGGTGAAGCCCGCGTTGATGCTGATCATGGCCATGGTCTTGCGCCACGGCTCGGGAACCTCGAACGAGGGAGGCGAGGTGGACATTTTGTTGGTGATATCGTCGGACTTGTCGTTGTGGCGACTCGGGCTGTCTTGCTCTCTCGCAAACCAGGTTGTGCTAGAGTAGTAAAAGTCACCCCCCTCTTCGTTGTGGCGAGATTCGTCGTCTTCGAAGTGCACTCGTCGCGAAAAGGAACGGACTTGGTTGGGACGAGAGGTTTCAAAATCGTAACGGGAGAAGCCGCTGTTACGAAGGACACTGTTGGGCATATCGAAACCTTTTGCCAAGGAATCTCAAGAAGGATGGCGACGAGAAATTCAACATCGATGATGACGAGATAGCTGCTGAGGCTGGAGAATACGACCTTATCGAAAGGCAATGTCTTGGTGTTGAGAATTGATGAGACTGGATGTGGGTTGGGTTGTGAATGTTTTTTGATGCCTGACAAGCCGAGTTGATGGGAGGAAGGAGGAGGCAACAATGGTTGCGAATTATGTTTATATAGCAAATCATGTTCATCAATTAATTTTATCAAATAGCATTCAATACTAGATATTTCTGCAATTCACATTATCAGCAGCATGCAATAATATCCTTGGTGAACTGCAGGCATTCACTTGCTCCAAGTCTTCAAAACCTTATTGTAACATGAGATCAAGTGATGAGAGAAGGACCAAAACACTGGAGGCTTATATTCACTGGTTTGGGGGGGGGGGGGGGGGAGAGTGTAATTTTTGAGTACTAAGATGGAATGTTTGGAGTGAGCCTTTGGTCCTTCAGACGTGTAAATAAGATGCTGTCAGACCCAATGCTTGATAATTGTTGTGCCACTTCATTTCTTGCTGAAATTATTCACTTGTGTTCTTGGAAAAGTTTCCTTGTTTGAAAATAATAGACTAAACATTGTCCCACGCTTACTTGCTTGACCACACACCATCTAGATATCGACAGATGGAATCACAGCAGTAACACTCCCAGAGGTGCTAGAGCCGCTGCTGCTGCTGGTGCTGCTCTGAGCCTCCTTCTCTGTAGTCTTGGCTGTCTTCAAGCCCTTGGAAGCTGTCGAAACCCCCTTGAATGCGTCCTCCAGAGCATCCACAATTCCTGACAATTGACGCTTGACATCTACAGAAGGGATCGAAACAGTCTCACCGCCTGAACTGCTAGAGGAGCTGCTTTGAGCCTCCTTCTCGGTAGTCTTTGAAGTTTTCAGGCCCTTAGACGCCGAGGAAACTCCCTTGAACGCATCCTCGAGAGCATCCACAATGCCTGTGAGCTGAGGTGAACGCTTGGCATCTACAGAAGAAATGGAAACAGTTTCGCCACCTGATCCGCTTGAACTGCTACTCTGAGCCTCCTTCTCTGTAGTCTTGGATGTCTTTAGTCCCTTGGAAGCGCTTGAAACGCCTTTGAATGCATCCTCAAGAGCATCCACGATGCCAGTGAGCTGAGGCGCACGCGCGTCAAGAGTATCGAGGTCGCGCTGGTTGTTGACAGGCGCGCCTTGGACACCGGCAGCCATGACCATGGTGGCCAGCAGAGAGCCAATCACGTTGGAAGTGCGCATCTTGACTGAATGGCGGAAAGGAGGTACTGTGGGTGTTTGGAATGAGTAGGATTGAAGGTGATGTGGTGATAAATGAATTGATCAACTTGAACTGGTTGTGAATGAGTGCTATTGCCAAAACGAGTGAGGGTCAAATGAATACAGCAAGTTGTACACGCCAGGTGTAATTCAATCTTGCAATGAAAAAAGTGAAGTACTACTTCCAGAGTAGTTATCTCAAAAAGAAGACAAGAGAGAGTGAATGGAAAGCTGGTGATGGTGATGAAGGGAGAGAGAGATGGCCGTTGTGGCCGAGAAGAGCTGATGTACTTATATCTGTGAACATCGTCCCCTATACATCTCCCCAGGAGTGTATATGCATGCATCTCTGGCGTGCTTCGGTCGATATCCGATCGATCTGTCAGCTAAGCTGTACTGATGGAGATAAAAGCTTCCCACCCGCTTGGATTTCCGCATTTCCGTGGTCGTGCACAATGGCCCAAAGTCAAACGCTGTTCGAACCTCTGAGGCCTCGGGAACACGACCCCAACCACTGAGAAGTAAGATCCTACGAAATCGACCCACATGCGGCCAACCTCAACAGCCGCGACGTGGGGGCATTGCTGACAACATACGTACGATGCTGTCTCGGACGCATGACAGGTGTGACGTATGCGAGCCTGGAAACCGGGCTGCCTGGTCGGAGTTCGTTGAGGTCTTCAGGGCTAGAAGGGTTGCTTCTCAGGCAGCAGCTGTTGGAAGCCTTGAGAGTTGTGAAGATAGTACTACGGCCGCATGCTTACCTTTAGACTTGGTCAGCTCGGCTGGACCCGAAGAGGGGCACTACAGACACTGCACATGGTGCCTCAACCGGTATGAATGGCGCTTCGTGCATGCTAAACGGCCGTAAAAGTCACCTTGACCGACCCACGCGACTGGGAATCGCGAAACAAATCGCATGGAGCCTGGGCGATATCGAAGGCTTGAGACGGGTCGGTCTTCTCGACTCAGTCCGCACTGGCAAAAAGATCCTCAAAACACTCTTGTTCAACCGAGTCGGAAAGCGAATTCGTCCGTATGCTATCTTCAGTAGTACATATGAACGGCCAGTGTTTATGGGGAATGACAGACTACTATACTTAGACACATTTAATTGTAGTTGTAGTTTGATTATCACTACTATGTTGGCTATGTTATTTGTTGCAATGTAGAGAAATATAGCACACAAACAAACCTTGCATGCCTCCGTGTCCACCCTCCTTTTTTATATCCTTGCATACACCGCTTTTCACCGAAGCCTACCTATTTTCCTTATCCAAAAACACATGCGCTATATAACCAAAAAGAAAGTCAGTTCATACGTCGAAGTAACAAGTACAAGACAGCAAATATGTCCTGTAGGGGTGGATATCAGTCAATATAAGCAGGTTGCATTTGCCTCAAACCTGCGTAGTGGTAAGAAGGGGGACAACCTCGTGACAGGAGATTTCCGCATTGGAACATGAGTGTAGAAATTGACGCTCATTTCTTTTTCTCTTTTCTTCTCGGAACACGAATTATTTATCCGTCCGAGAAACTCTTTTCTCCTCGCCAACCGGGGGCATGAGACTTCATTGCTCGCCCATGGACCCGTCCCAGTGTCGAGTGGCGATTGATGGAGTTCTGAACTTGGCGCTGATGAACCTTTTCATTCCGCCGCTTAGCTTTCCAGCTCTGTGTCGTGTGCCTGGCCAACTCCCCCAGGCGCTTGTCGGTAAAAGGCACTGCCAGGGCGTCCCGCAGGCTCTTGCCGAACTGGACCTTGTCATAGAAGCGGGCAAGGGAGCCAGACCGGAAGGCGACGCGGCAGGTCGCCTCGAAGACATCCTCTGCCGTCATGGAGTAGTCGGCCTGCATGGGATCCTCCTCGGAGGCGAGCCCCAGCAGGCCAAACACCTTGTCCCGGATATCCGAGCTGTGCAGGTGGATGTACGTCGACACCAGCTGCGCCAGCGACACCGAGCCACCCCACAGTGTCTTTGCGCGGATGATAATCGCCGCTGGGCTGGAGGCAAGCCTGTCGATGGCCGGCAGGTCCGAGACGCGCGCGATGCACTCCCAGCGGATGGTCCGTTTCCCCCAGTAGATGACCAGCTCCCTGGCGCACATGACCTCCTGGACGATCCACACGCGGCTCCAGTACTCGTGCTCATACAGCGAGATGATGTTGTCGCGCTCGGTCGGGCTCAGGTCCAGGCTGCAGGCGCTGTCGGGTGAGCTCTTGCACAGCTCGCGGTAGGTGGCCTCGATGAGGTGGATGGTTTTGTGGTAGGATTCGGAAGCGGCCTCGCCCAGCCAGACAATGACGCGACAGGCGCGCGAATAAATCTCTTTCATCAGGCGGACCTGGTGGGTGCGCTCGCGGTTGCAGCTCTGATTGATGCACAGGGCGTCGATCCAAAAGAACGAGTCGTTGGCATCTCGGCTCACGCGGCACAGGAATGCGAACAGGTTCTTGCTGACGGCACATGTTTTCGATTGGAGCTGTATATTTCTCTTGTGTTCTGAGGATCCCCAGGTGTAAGACAGTGCTATATACGGGGGGCAGTCCTCGAGGAGACACGAGATGAATTGGCAGCGGATGGGTGGTGAGGATCCAGGTTGAACCTTTACAAGCCTTATGGCGCGTTTCCCAGGGTCTATGGGAACCGCCCGGTAAGGGTCTGGACCCTTCAGACTCGCCATCATAACGTACTGTCACGTGCAGTAAATTTTAATCCCACTCTAAGGAGAATAGGATGGTTGATGCTCGATAGCCAGTGACACGCCATGAGGGAAATGGGGATTAGAGAAGGAGGATGAGGACCAGGATGAGGTTTCAGAATGCGCTTTCCCCTCCCCCTCCCCAACATGATAAGGGATGTTCTTATGTGCCAGAAAAAAGATCAATCGGGGTGAGCAATGCGGCTGAGCAATGCGGCACTGCTGCACTATAAGCAATTTTGCAGCTAAAGTGTAGAGGAGCCACTGGAGGGTAGTACTGCATGTCTAATAAAAGAGGGGCTACCTCTACTAACATTACAAATACCCGTGTGTTTGTGTGTGAGAGAGAGAGGGACAGAGACAGAGACACAGGCTGACTGACCGCTTCTCTTGCTGCCCCCCCCCCTCCTTTCCCCTTTACTAGACTGGTCTTCATTTCCAAGCATAGAATGATTACTGTATCATACTTAGTAATGATTGTCTCAAGGAAGGGTATAGCCACCATCGATCAGCACATCACTGCCCGTCATGTAAGTACTGGCGTCGCTCGCAAGATAAAGATACAAAGCCTTGATCTCCTTGACATCTCCCTGCCGGCCCAGCGGCGTCATCCTCAACCCCTCGCTGAACACTCTCTCCGACGCGCCCATTTTGGTATTAAAAAAGCCAGGCGACACGATGTTGACGCGGGCAAACTCGCGCCATTCCCTAGCCAGGCTCTTGCCCAGTTGTGTGACAAAGGCCTTGGTGGCGTTGTATACGGGCTGGTCGACAGGAACATTCACAATGCGCGCCGAGATGCTTGAGGTGAGGATCAAGTTGCCGAACCCTTGGCGGCGGAACAGTTCGCCGGCGTATTTTGCGCAATAGAAGACGCCGTCGACATTGACGGCCATCTGGCGGCGGTACTCGTCGACCGTCTGCTCCGTGATGGGCTTGGAGATGGCCATACCCGCGTTCGCCACGAAGCAGTCAACCTTCCCGCCAAAGTCGTTGACCACAGCCTCGAGCGTGGTGCGCACCGCTTCAGCATCCGTCACGTCAACCTTGTAGGCTTGAGCCTTGATGCCGAACTCGTTCGAGAGGGATGCAGCCTTGGTGATAGCAGCGTCGTTGCTGTTGTACCAGAGGGCGACGTCGGCGCCAGCCTCTACCATGCCCTCTGCCACTGCGTAGCCGATGCCGTCTGCTGCCCCGGTGATGACCACGACGCGACCCTTCATGCTGAATTGCTCGAGCACGTTGGTCGGGATGTCGGGGGCGGGCCTGGGCTGGCGAGGCTGGGCCGCCACCTCCTCGATGCTCATCGACATGTTGATTTGTTGGAGTTGGTGACTGTAGCTGTGTTCAAGATGTGTTTTTTTCTCTTCTTTGTCTTTCTGGGGATATATGTGTTGTAGAGTTGGCTGTTGAATTTAAGCGAGGAAGACAGTTGATAAGTATGTCCGTGATTTTGACTCGTGTAAACCGTACAACGTCACCTTGAGAGTTGGCCACTATGAGATGCATGAGGGGAAGAATACAGGTCGACAGTCGACCCGCCATGCTCGGTCAGTCTTGGCCCGATCGTGACACATGAAGGGATCTTCCATGACCATCGCGTATGACGGTATGACCGTGGATGGCCGGCCCAATAGCTGAGTTGTATCCTGTCGATTTGTACATACTTCTGACTGTCGTAGAATTTTTAGGAGTAAAGATTCAGAGAAAAGATTCCCCTTCAAACAATCGCCCAGAGCACGCGAATAACAGGCTCCAACACCACCAACTCTTCTATCAGGTGTAGGGGGCAGTGTCCCTGCTCTGAAATGCGACTGAAATTTGAAAGGTGTGGCCAGGGCTGCAATGGAGGATGTACCGTGACAGATTGCTGATGGCTGAATATCGTGCCTCGACGGGCCACAGTCGATTAATTGCAGAGCATCTCCTAGTCCGTTATTACGGCATGCTTTGACGTGACTAACGAAGGCCAAAAGGATGACCAATGCTTCACTCTGCTGGGAAAGAAGGTCACAAGATTAGATTTGAATGAAGGGAAAGAGACATTGTGGGGAGAGGCTATATTGAGGAAGCTGCGCTCCAAAAGAAGGAAGGAAAGAGCCAGCCTGCTCGCTGAAGCTGTCTAGAAATCGCAGGGTGCGTCTGAGACGCACGGGCTGGTGAGACACTGGCCCCTTCCACAGCCACACAACGCAAATGAAAAAGGAAGGAAAGAAATGAATTTTTCTTCTCTTCTTTTTCAAAAAAAAACCCAAAGCTTCCACTCTCTCTTCCGGCTTGACCACGAACAGGTCCGTCACGGGCCACGGAGGACGGACAACGGAGAGCGGAGACCAGAAGAACCTCGGCTCCGGTCGGAGGAACTCGAGAAACAACAGAGTCAGAGGACTAATTCCGAATCCACCCGAGTCATCCTCTCTCTCCTTTGAAACAGACTGACAGCCAGACCCTTGTCCCTTCCCAGTTCGAGTGGGTGGGGGTGGGTTCGTCTTTCCTTTCAGGGCCACTTTCAATCCCCGCAATATGGCCAGGCCAAGCCCAGGCCAGAATCACAAGCTCGGCTTGTGGTCGGCTAACCTCCCAAACGTCGACGTCACTCTTGGTGTCCCTTCTGGGGTATTAACGTTTTCAGCTCTCAGGGGAGACGACGACTTTCACATGGGAATTTCGAACGTCCCGTCGTCCATGGGGCAATGCCTTCAGGATGGATTTGGTCCAGCATTTTGCACTCAAGTCAAGTGAGGAGGGGTTTTCTTTCTCGATAACAATTGGATTCCATTGTGTGAGAGACACCTTCAGGTGAGAGTTCAAACACTCCCACAGTGGTTGTGGGTGATGCTTGGCGGATCCGTTCTTTTTGGGCGTTGGAGGAGCGCAACTGCATCTTCATCCGCTGCACCGAAAGCAACCACATCTCATATCTCCTTGTGTTCTCCATGTCACCCTGGTCAAGTCACAGGTCCCTGCATCCGCCCCTCGATTTGATCTGGTCTGCCGTGACATATCTCGAGCTCCAGTTGCCAAGTGCAAGTGCCAGCTCCAAAAAGTCACGAGTGTTTCCCGGCAAGGCCCCTCCTCGACAGCCGCGGGCCAAGGGCAACTTGCTCCTTAGAGTAATAGCTCTCTTCATCTCCTTGTTCTTCTTCTTTTCTTTTTTGAGTCACGTCCCCATTAGCTTCTCGAGGACGGACGCCTCGCCCGCTTCCCTGGGTCTGGTGTCAGACTTATAATTACGAGGTACTTGAACCTCGGTTCCCTTCCACCGGATCGTGTGTGCCTCTTGTCTTGACTGTCGCATGTCATGTTTGGTATTATTTCCTCCCCCTCCCCCACTCTCTCTCTTTCGTTTCTCTCGTCTTGATTGACGGTATAGTCAATGTGTGCATATACGTGCATCTTATCTGTTTCCCCTTAAGCACATGACAGTACTGTGCAGTCATCTTTGTTAGACGTGCTGCTTGTGGTGGTATCTTTCTAAGAGTCCTGCCGGAGTGGTAGACCTGAAGAGGAGGAGGAGCAGCAGAAGGGCGGCAGCGCAGACTGTACTTACAACTCAAACCTCAGCCTGATATCCTAGCTACCCAACAGCCAACACCGGACACAATGGCGACAAAGGTACAGGGAAAAGATGGCAAGGCCCCAGCAGGCGCAGCAGTGAACCTGATAGCAGGCGGCGGAGCAGGCATGATGGAGGCCATGATATGTCACCCCTTAGGTGTGTTCTCGTCCAGCTTTTCTTCCTGTTCTCTCCTCCTCTGACCAATTGCCTCCCTCCACAGACACAATCAAGGTTCGCATGCAGCTCTCCCGCCGAGGCCGCGCCCCAGGTTCCCCGAAGCGTGGCTTCCTAGCTACAGGCGCCCAGATCGTGAAAAGGGAAACGCCCCTGGGTCTATACAAGGGCCTCGGTGCCGTTCTCACAGGCATCGTCCCCAAGATGGCTATCCGCTTCACCTCTTTCGAGGCATACAAACAAGCCCTCGCAGATAAGGAAACAGGCACTATCACGGGCCGCGGGACGTTTCTCGCGGGTCTTGCCGCAGGCGTCACCGAGGCCGTTGCTGTCGTCACGCCGATGGAGGTCATCAAGATCCGCCTGCAGGCCCAGCACCACTCTCTCGCCGACCCTCTCGACGTGCCCAAGTACCGTAATGCCGCACATGCGCTGTACACTGTCGTCAGAGAGGAGGGTGCGGGCGCCCTGTACCGTGGCGTGAGCCTGACTGCGCTACGGCAGGGCAGCAACCAGGCCGTCAACTTCACCGCCTACACCTATTTTAAGGAGGCACTGATGCGCTGGCAGCCGCAGTATGAGGGCGGTACCCTGCCTGGATGGCAAACCACCCTCATAGGCCTTGTCAGTGGCGCCATGGGCCCTCTGAGTAATGCCCCTGTCGATACCATCAAGACGAGACTTCAGAAGACGCCCGCTGAGCCTGGCGTGAGCGCGCTGAAGAGAATTACTGCGATCGCGGGAGAGATGTTCAGGTAGGTTTTTCTTCCCCCCCCCCCCCCCCCCTCTCCTTCCCTTTTCTCTTCTCCCTTTCAAAAAGGGCTTCTGCTACTATTTGGATGGTGACTGACTTTATTGCCTCCATGACAGACAAGAAGGTATGCATGCATTCTATAAAGGCATAACACCACGGATCATGAGGGTCGCCCCTGGCCAGGCTGTCACCTTCACCGTGTACGAGTTTCTCAAGGACAAGATAGAAAGGAGCTCGTGGACATCTTCAGGCGGAGAGTACGAGGAGTAGACGAGGGAGGGTTGAGCAGAGGGGGTAAAGAGTCGCGTGCCGATACACCCTTGGTTTTTGGGACAGCATCAGGTGTTGGGAATGTACACTAGACTGTAACATGTGTAGCATTGGCATAATTTAGATCATATCATCTATTTTGGTCTGGTCCTTCAAACGCTTTGCTACACTTTGCTCCTGGATCCCATCGGATTGCCTGCAATGCCGCGATGGCCTCTTCTTTCCTACTCAGCGCAATATGGTTGTCGTAGGCCAACTCAGCATATGAACCTACCGGCCAGGTCTCTTGGGTCTGCTGAAACCCTTCTTGACTTCCACCTGAGGGTGCAGATCCGCCAACACACTCTCCTCGGTGATCTCGCTCGGCTCTTCGACCTCGAACTTCTTCTCCACGGTCAGACCACACTCACGGTTGGCCATCTCCAGGACCGCGCGCTTCATCAGTGGATACAGCATGCGGTCCTTGATAGCCTTCCGCCCTCCAGTGACCGGACATGTGTACAAGAAGAGCAGCGGCGCCGACTGAGCTCCCTGGTGCTCGTGTGCAAAGCGGTAGAAGGTAAACCTAGGCTCGGTGCTTGAGATGGCTTGGACGAGCTCTGGTATCGACGAAGGGGACGACGAGTCGGGCACAAGCTCGATCTTCTCTGTGTCGGGGTTGACTTTCTATACAACTCGAGGGGGTCAGCCATCAATCATATTAGCCAGCCCTGCTTTACGGCCGAATACGGCACGTCAGAAAACCCACCAGCATCACTAGGTTCTTGCTGCCCCCGGCGCCCAGCTCCTTCAATGAGGCCAGCGCATCCTCGTGTACTGGCATCTGCATCGTCTGGCTGAGGTGGATCTCCCTCGTGCCTGTGCCCCTGCTCCCTTCCTCGGCCTCAGCCCGCTTGACGTCCTCGAGGCTCCTCTCCTCTTCTGTCAGGGGTGCCTCGAGCTTCTCGTGCTTGTCGTGCTTCTCAAACCCCTCGGGCGTGAGCTCGTCCTTAGTAGTCGCGAAGATGGTCTCCCGGAAGTGCTCTCGCCCGAGCTCCCGCACCAAGGTCAGCCGCGTCGAAGCGAAGAGCATCTTCTGCCGGACCTTGGCCGTGTCGGGGACATACGACACTGCTATGAGCTTGGGAACAGTGTCATAGCGCTTGAGAAGGATGTATCGCGAGTCGGTGTCGGTCAGGGCGGGCAGGAGGAGGGATGTAACGTTATCGGCGAATGAGGCCGGGGAGGAGGGCGTGAGGAGCGAGTGCGGCACGAGTGCTTCATTTTCGATGGTGACGAGGAGGCCAAAGTGGGAGTCGGACTGTAGGAGCTCATTGAACTTCGAAATCAACTCCTCCGAGGCTGTATGGGGAAACAAAGATCAGCTCAGGTCAGTGAGGGAGAGAAGGTGTTTAGGCTTGTATTCTAGAGGAAGGCCCTGAGACGAGCTGGACCATACCTGAGATTCCTGATTGCATTTTGTTTTTATCTTGGGTAACAGAACAATAGAGGAAGATTTTTAGGATACTGTGACCAATTCAGATCGTGGGTCAGAGAACAAAAGCTTGAGGTCTGGAGGTTGGTTAATAGTCCCTCCTAGGCGGTGCTTGGAGGATGGAGGGACCTGAAGCTTGGGTGCCGTGACAACACACTAAAGATGACGTGGGGTTGAGCATCCAGCCCTAACCCTTTTCGATGAGACCTGGATAAGACACCCCTTCGAGACATGCTTGGTGATCGCTATTTGTTTATTGTTTCTTTCACCGATGCTTCACATATTTCTATATTATTAATTATTACAGTAGGTACAAGTAAGTAGGTATGGTTAGATCTATCAGGGTGTTCTACATACACAAATACACACACACACACACACACACACATCCGACGCTCAACCCTCTTCGACATCACCTCCCTTTGAACACAGGTTTCCTCTTCTCTCCGAATGCCCTCAACGCCTCATGCCAGTCATCGCTCACAAACACTCTCTCGCACATGGCCTTCTCCGACTCTTCACTCGGGCCATTGAGAGCCTTTAATGCCGCCCTCACAGCAACAGGAGCACCCTCACACACTTCCTCCGCCAGCCGGATCGCCTCGACCAAAACCTTTCTCCTCGACACGGCCAACATGGTCGCGCTGTCCAACCCCTCACTCTCAGTCTCGAGGTCCACCAGCCTGCTAGCGATCCCCAACGTGTACGCCTCGGGTCCCTCCACCCTGCGGCTGGTCATGACAATCTCGCGCGCCCGTGCATCTCCCACCAGCGCCGCGAGGCGATAGGTGCCGCCCGCGGCTGGAATGATGCCGAGTCCTGTCTCTGGGAGCGCCAGCGACGCGTTCGAGGACAGCACGCGGAAATGGGTCGCCAGCGCGAGCTCGAAGCCGCTCCCCAGGGCAGCCGAGCCGATGGCTGAGATGACTGGTATTGGGAGGTTGGCCAGCGCCTTGAAAGTATCTCGCATTGCTGAGAAGAAGGCGGACATCCTGCGTTGTCAAATGAGCCTCCAGACACACACATATAAACTTTGGGGAGGGGTCACAAGGCATGGCACTCACTGCTCGCTGTTGAGCCTGCCCAGCTCCTTCAGGTCCGCCCCGGCGCAGAAGCACGCGTCTACCGAGCTCGCAATGATGAGCGCTCTCGTAGGGCCCTTGATGTCGCCTTCGGTCCAGGGCATCTCTGCCCCCGAGATATGGCTGTACTGCGACTGGATCGTCTGGATCTCCTTTCGCAGCGCTGACAGCAGAGCGTAGGAGATGGCGTTCGCTGCGGCCGGCCGGTTGAGCTGCAGCACGCGGATGTGACCGCTGTGCGGTGCAGGGAGATCTATAAACTCGATCATGGCGCTGGACTTCTTTGCAATCTCAGGCCCAACATGTTGGTTCTGTGGTGACTGTTGTTGTTGCTTTTGAAAGGCCTGTTGGAAAGACTCGCCCGCTGACGACTTTGGTGGCGAGGGCGGTAGTTCCTTGTCGACGATCCTGTGGCTGTGTGGTGGTTGGTAACCTCTGGCGGGGGCATCCGGGAACAAGCTGAGCTGGTCAGGCGCCGGCCGAGAAGACATGGTGTGAACTGGTCGAAGGGAAAAAGGCACCTGCGCAGCACTGACTCGCCCTGGTATTCCAGGCCTGCCGTGGGTATGAGTTTGATGAGCTGTCAATTCCGGGTGAAGATGATGTGCACACGAGGGCAGAGGAGGTCATTTTTGACGAGATGAGGTTCCTCTTCTTTCTTTGGGCTCTTCTGGGCTCTTCTAACATCTCAATCCCTATCTGGCGGGTCCCTGCCGTCTAATCCGGCCGGGCAGAAACGACCACCCCCCATCTGCACGAATGCCCCGAGGTTAAGGGTCTCCACTGGCCACGCTGCCGACGGAGCACGGTGGGTCACGGCCTCGATGGATCCTAGGGCCCCTGAAATCAAGATGTTTCGTCCTGTCCTGCGCTGCGGACGGGCTGGATGTACGTTGTTTTGATTCCAATTTTAGTCAGTCTTGTTTCTAGAAACGCCTCGCTCCGGACAGGAGAAAGAGGCAGACACGTCTTGAAACATTATTGGCTCGAGCGCCAAACACGAGAAAGTCGTGAGCGCCGATATCTGATTACTGTGGTACCTCTCAGCTCGGTTGGTTGCCCTGAAGCAGCACCGTACCATGGACTCCTTGGCCCCACCCTGGGTCTGCCACGTTCGACTCCTGCAACGACGTATCTCGTATTAAGGTAAAGAAGTGTTACTGAATGTTACAGAGTTATCACTCTGGCGCCAACTCTGTGCAACATTGCTTCCATGGTCCTCGGTATATTGATGGCCAGGGACAAAATTCTCAAAGACACCCAGAACACAGTCCAACTCGTGCCTGTAGACGTGGTTAGCCGTTACTGTCAAGATCACCAGAAGGTCTCATGACTGCAGAAGCCTCTTCTGAGTCAGCCGCGAATCACTATCTTGGATACATTTTTTGGTGAACTCTTTATGCAAACATCAACCCACATGCCAGCAATGCTGACAAAACATAATGAGGCTGCTAGATGCACTCCACATTGTCATGATCAATGGTAGCGGCAGTGGATACAGCGGTACAAATACCCGGATCTACCTGGCTTTGACTGGCCATACCCAAAGGAGGTTATTCAGAAGTTTGAACGCCATTTTGAACCCAATTCAGCAGGAAGGTTGCCTTTTTTTTTTTTTTTTTTTTTTTTTTTTGTGTGTGTGTGTGGTTGAACACAGGTCTCACCGGTTTGCTCCTTCCAGGCACGAGAAGGTGATCAGTTATGGGTGCTCAGTGAAGGGAGAATACCTTCATAGTATGACCACTATTCCGGGGACAATTTGATGGCCGTGGCATCATGCAAGGAGAGCTATCTGCGTGGGGAAGGCAGCAAATAACAGCGGCACTGGTGTGGTGTAGCAATATTGAAAATCATTGCAAAGCACAGACATCCATTACCTTCTGGAAAGCCCCAAAACCTGAGGATCTCAGCGAGGGATATCACTAGATTTTGCAAACAAGGGGTACAGATTTTAATATGAATCTGGCATCCTCATAACATGCAGTACCAATAATTATACCTCACCAGTCGCCTCATAATGTCTGGGTCAACTCAGAGCCCCTTGATATATGCCTTCTTGATCTGCAGTTCATGTTCCATTATCCCATAGTTATTGCCAGTGCCTTCAATGTTGATGGTCTTGTCATATTAGCAAGGAATGCGGGCAATGGTTGAGTAAACAAATGAATTGGGGCATTGTGTTTGTGATGTCATTGACCATTTGAAAGCCGCTTCAGTGGAGATTTTGTCCTAGAAGGAAAGTAAGTGATTATCTTTGTACTTGGGAAGGCAGCTTGGCAAGCATACTGGATGAATATAAGCCTCTGGTTCCTTCCTTGTCATGTAAAGAGCGAGTTCTGTAGGTGACCACTTGTTGGCGAAGAAACCCGGCCCTTTGGAATACAACAAGTAGTATGACTGATTGGTCTTCATGAGTTTCTCCGCGGTGACTGTTTTCACATATTCATTTGCGAAGTGTGCCGGGTCCAGCCTTCCACAGGGAAAGCTCTTCTGTGACTGAAGTCCAGACCTCGTCACCAGCCAACGAAAGTTGTCCCTTGATTGATTTAAAAATCAACCTTTCCAGCCAGCCTCCAAACTTCCTGACACTTGCAGTCTTGCCATCTTCCAGGACTACCTCTTAGAGTTGACTGCTAAAGAGTCAACAACTTCTACAACATCCCACACAACCCCTACACATAACCTTCATCCATGATCATGGGCCCCAAGAAAATCTTTGTAGCCTACATGGCTTCCACTGCTGCAGCCCTTTCCAATGTTGTTGTTTCTGCGACTACCAACACCGTCCTCGCTTGGTAAGCTCCTCATACCAGACCGCCTCTCATGGTCAGTCAGTTTGTCCGTGACTAGAGTCAGATAACTAAATGCATCGAAAAGGCCGACTTCTCTCCCTGGCCATGGTAATCTCGACGTCAATATCAGCGCCATGGCCCTCGACACGGGCTCCACCGTCCTGCTCGACCTGATCAACACCAATGCGATTCCTGGTACCTTCAGCCTCACCAAGGAGGGCAAGACTCCCTGTGTCGACCCTTTCAACTTCGACGTCACCGACTCGGTGAATGGCAAACTGTGTCTGGACGGCAACGTCACCTACGAGAGCGTCGTGACTTCTCTGTTGGGTCCCACGTCCAATTTCAGTGAACCAGCTGCCTTGGAGCGTGCTCAAGAGGATAACAGTTGTTATCATGTCTCAGGCTGCTGGTGCACCTGCGAGATGGCTTGCATTGCCACAATCTTTCTTTTCCCTTTTTGCCGTGAGTTTACCGTCTGCCTGACCGTCGCTACAGAAGTCAGTGTGTTAACTAACATTGTCAACAGTCGCTGGCTGCACGGCTTGTCCCAACTAAACCTCGACGCGAATCCCAACGAGGTACGAAGAGCTCCAGACCTGCGAAATTGGGCACGATTCTTTCTTGAATTCTCCACTGGCGACTTGATAGGCTTAACTGGGATCACATGGACACATTATATGGTGAGAACATTGGATGGCTGGGTAGAGAATGAGCGCGCACACGCGAATGTTCCCTCATGACGGTCTTGGAACGAAGCAACAGAAGCTCTTCTGCCCATAAACATTCCATCTGGATCACTGGCGAAACAGTCTAAAAAAATCGCCTTCGTCACCAGTCTAGCTTGCATTACAATATTGAGATCAAGTACATGGTACATGTATCGATGCCCCGTGTGATCTATTCCACTCGAATGGCCCCGACGTTCATCTCTCCAACCGACCTCAACGCTGGTAAAACCGAAGTCGTGATACCTTAACGCACTTACCCACCGAGGAAATATACAGGCCTCTTATGTACGGGGCTGGCTCATAGTGAGACTTAGACCGCCTCTCTGTGTCGGGCCACTTGTTGCCCTTATCGAAGCATCCACCAGGTGAGGTAGCAACCTATGATGCACCTCAGGTCATACAATACCTCAAATGGCCGCATCATTTGCTCCTTGCGAGAAAGCACTGCAGTGGTCTCAGAGCTTGACCAGTCGGAAGAAAAGACCTGGACATTCCCGAGGTCCCGACCGGCTGAACTTGCCTCTGAACCAATTTAAGTTGCTTCACCGCCGACGACACCGCTTTTGATCTCACTTGGCAGCTTTCTTGTGGTCAGGGAGGCCTGACCCCGTCCTCAGTGATGCTTTAAAGCACAATAACAGGGTGCATAGAGGCGAGGTAGACAAGAGCACCAGGGGACAGGATTGTAGTATAAGATTGCTGCGAAGACGGTATGCTCAGCAATGTGTGAGAAGCCGGCAATTTGCATTACATACTTCGTCACGAATCTGCATTCTAAATGCTATGACTCGGGAATTCTCAACTGAACCAGACCCTTTGGAAACTGCACTCAATTGCTCAAAGTCGTCACCACAGTTATGGCGCCGGTCATTCTCGCCGGCCCAGATAGCATTCAACCCTGGCTCAACAGCCTCGTCAGACGAGCTCGCCACTCGGGTTGCCAACACATTCTCTTCCCATCCAGCTCGCAAAGCAAATCGTTACCCCTCCACCAGTTCCAACACCGCGATCATCTCCAAGGCATTCAAAACAGGCTCCAGAGAGAAACGGCCGGCAGACTTGTGAGGGAGAGTGTGCCGGGCTATATCTGGGCATATATGCTTACGTTGGTGGTCCATCCTGACGAGCTCTTTGCGGATCCAGCGCTCTCCGTAGGCATTGCGCAGGTGGCGGCGGCGAGGGTTCCTGATGCGCCTGTTACGGAACGAGAGTGGGCCAGGCTGAGTTATGAGCTCAAGGGCGCGTGTCCGGATGATTATCCCACCCGTGCCCATTATGAGCAGGGCCAAAAGTGGCTGAGCACCGTGACCAAGAGGCATCGTCTCGGCCAGGGACAGGTTTAAAGCTGCGAACGGGATGATCTTTCTTGCTTCCTTGAAGAATTGTGCTTGGCCGAATGGCTGCTTAGAGTGATATTAATTCAAGAGGGTTCTCGGGTAACAATTGTGTCAGCTGGGAAGATTGAGGACGAATGAAGATGTTCAGATAGATGTCGTCCATTTTCTGTGGCAAAAGGCTTCCTGGATAAATTAGTCTTGGAGTCTTTGGCAGCATGAGTATCAAATCGTTCGTTCCAAACACCATGTCCCTTCAGTATGTTAGCGACATCTAGTAATGTCTGGATCTCGGAATATCTGCTTCTCGGAATCGTTTGACACTACCGTCAACTCCGTCCTTCCCAATCGTCCAGATACCATCCTCAAAAGGCCGATTGTACTTCTCAGAGACACGCTCCGTCAAGATCCACGCCCTCTACATGCCATGTGCATCGAAGGGTAGATGCCATGTTGGAAAAACTGCGTCGGATCTCCCGCCTTGACCAGAGACCAGTCCCTTCTCCTAAGCCCCCATTTACTTTCATCATTATCATCAACATCGCGACTGGATTGCCAAGCTGGGAATGCGAGCAGAAATATAACTCCATCCTTCACGATATTCGCCCTGCTATGTTGCCCGGACTGTGGCGATGAAGCGATCGCTCCTCTGACAGGAGAGAGTTGAGACATGCTTCATGTGGCTCCTCAGACTTTGTGGGCTCGTGAATCCTTGGAGTGTCAAACGTTTACATTCAGGAACAGTGCAGAGGGTGATAATGATTATGACTCTGTCAAGCCTAGCATCGCGACCTCATTAATTCCTGAGGCCTCTGAGGCCAAACAAACATGATTCCATCTTCGAGTCCCGCCCCGCAAGGTTAAGCACCGCGGGCTCGTTGTCTGGGAAGTCCATGGCATCAGGCTCACTAGGTGGGCCTAATTGAGCTGGATCAATAAGCCAAAACCCTACCGCCGTATTGGGGACGCGCCCGTCCACCCACTCTTGGAGGCTACGGGGGTTCATCTCTGGAGTGAACCTTTCCACACTGCGTCGCCAACCTCCCAATGCCAATTTTGACCCTAGAAAGTCGCAGGCGTCTCTGGTCTCCTTTGTCAGATAAATATCTGCCGTCTTGCGGTTGGAAATCAGGAATGTTACAATGCCATCAGTCATGCCATGACCATCCCACGGGCAGGACGCCAGAAGGACTCGACAATCGACAGGCATTCCCGCGTCTTGTCCGGCTCGAACACCAAGACTGCTCTCAAGTTCAGACCAGAATTTGGGAATCTGACGAGAATCGGTACCGAACCAGACCTGGTGTAAGTCAGGCGAGATAGGCCGAGGATCAGGACCGATGAAGTCAACAGCAGTAGTATCAGCCATCAATGGCATAGATGTGTTGTACCAAGGAACGGTTTGATGGCAATTAAGATGACCGACACTAAAACGTGCATTGTCAGGAGGAGTCGCCCGCCAGTAGAGGCGGTGAAGGTTGGCGATAGTATCTCGGTATGAATGCCAGACTGGCGCTGATACTCTGGCCTTTTCTAAGTTTGCAAGTCGAAGAATCTGTAGGCCGTCGAGACTTAGGTTCAGGTCTCCTTTGCCTCGTACATCCGCTGTCTTGAGAAGGTGCAATGCCTCTACGACTGTTTGGACCTCGTTAGGCCCCTCCGGGTCGAGTCCATGATAGGTGAAATCAAGAATATCCCATTCTGGATTCAAGAACACAACCTTCTTCCGGCCCGGCTGTGTTGCGACTCTCCCGGGGAGCGTGGGAGAAAGTCGAAGCGGTATTCTGTAAAATTCGCGTGCTGCACGAGCAGACTCACGACAGGTATAGAAAAGGACAGATAAAAGTGGTTCAGCTCGAAGACAGACCTCGTATGTCTTGTCGAACTCCAGCTGGGACTGATGTGCAAAGTTGGAGAATTCCTCGTCAGAGCTCCCATCTTGGGCAGCCTGCTCAGTATGTTCCTCAGTTGCCTCGTCTCGCCCGCTGTGTCCCAGAGAATCCGGCTTGTGGGAAACAAGGATATGCAGGAACCGATGTCGCTTCAGGTTGATGGTCCAGATTTTGAGACGCAGCTCGAGCGGCAGGCGACAGAAGAGGTGGAAAGCATCGTCTCTGCTGCTTTCACTGCCTCCATCGGCCGGAGAATTATTGTAGTAATGCCTGTCGTTGAATAATTCAAACTCGCGGGCATTCGCAGGTGTAATGGGCTGATCGGATTTATCTGGCGGCAAAAAGTCGAGGGACATAGGCGCAGATGCTAGAGTCTTCTGAACATAAGACCAAGTCCTCAGCGCAACATTGGCACAAATCAATAGATAAAAGTCCAGCAGCATGACATGGGTCACATAGCTGTAGGTGCCTTCTGCATTGTGTGTATTTATACAAGGGAAGCGGCTGGTTGAGCGCAGTTTCTGATACCTCAGAGCGGGCTAGATAGAAATCAAAGACGTTTGAGCGTGGTAAGATTAGCAATGAGTTAATTTCTTAGTTTTTACCTTGTAATTATCATTCAAATACCATCAAGAAGAAAAACGGGGTTAGGTTCTCGATATACTAACTACTGTGGTAAACAAATGATTGGCGGCTGGTAAGATTTAATGCTGAGATAGCCCCATCCAAGTTAATCAAGGCAGCCCCCTCTGAAACCACGGATATAACTGGCATAAGGTCTACCATAGTAGTGCCTATTTAGGGGAAGCCCCCCCCCAGCTTCCCCCCTTCATTAAGCACTCTACTATCGTAGAGCGTCTAGCATAGGGATATCCGGGACTTAGTGCATTCGTACTACTGCACAAGCTCCAGGCATCGCTGAGCCTTCTGCGGTCTAGACCTGCGTGACCTGCACAGACCAACGGTCCCCGTGTCTAGCTAGAGGAGCAGGTGGCTCTAGTCGGCTACCTGGTTCTAAGCACGCACCGCAACGCCAGGCTCCTTGGCTCACCAGACACCATCCCTCGATTTTTTTTTCCCTCCTTCTTTTCCTTCCTTTCTTTCTCTTTCTGTTTCATCGCAGTGCCGGCCACATATACCCCGCTCCTTCCCCCTGCGAACCAACAGTGCCAGGATCTGGGGCTTGTATAGCCAATGGATGAATCCTGGCCTAGCTTGGAGCTTGAGTACCACGTACCTCGGTACCTCAATACTATGGGTATATCTCTTTTTTCTTACCTTTGCAGGAGACGACAGGGTTGTTCGTTGTCAATATTTGGAATGCTGGCGAGGAGGGGTGGGGGAGGGGGCTTTGGTGAGCATTCTTTAGCTATTTTGATTGGCCCTGGCTGCTAACCTAACCGCTAAGACCGGTCCCATGGGGTGGGGGTCTACTTCAATACTATGTACCTACTGTACCAAGTAGGTGATTAGTGACAGGCTAGTTTCATGGTATTTTTTGCAATCCCATGCGTTGCGTGTTTACGTCTCCGACACTCAACCCTCCGATTGCGTTGAGATCCTGCCAAGGGGTCTCGTAGGCCATCAGGCACGACGGGTCAATAGAGCGCTCAACTTGCACAGTCTTCAGGACGTCCTCATGCCCATACGACGTCGTCTGGTGGTCAATTTCGTCTCCTGAGCTCCGGTGATGGTTCGTGGGGCGCGAGGCACCGCAAAAGCGGGCGCCATCTCAGAGGCAGCCCGGGAGGAGGAAGCCTTACGGTAAGCTATCGCACATGTCATCGAGTCTCAGATGCACCCCTCGCTGCTGGCACCTGGGCCGCACGTATGCACGCACGCACGACACACAGCCCTCTTCTGTGCTGACTTTATTGCGATCAGATATGGAGCTTCGTTGATGGCTGAGTCCGTCATCAACGACGCCGCCTCGCCCTTGGACTCTTCGTCGCTGCGCCTCTCGTCTGATGCCATTCTGACTGCCTTTGCCCAGCTGGCCGCCCTGAAGCTCAATGTAGAGCGGGCCGTCTTTTCCATCTTCGACAGCAAGCGGCAACATATCGTCGCAGAGGCAACTCAGCTCACTGTCATCACTCTAGGTCCAGACGACAGCCCTCGAGCTGCTGACACCGAGGGCCACGCGCTTGTGTTCTCCAATACAGCCATCCCGCGGGCCAACGGCGCATGCGAGGCCGTCCTCGACTTGCCCGCCGTTCAGGTATCGAGCAACGCCACCGTTCTGCCTATGTGTGTGGTGCCCGACCTCACCCAAGATGACCGCTTCTGCCGCAAGCCGTACTTTGGCGCAGACACGGCGCTTAGATTTTATGCCGGTGTGCCCCTCCGTACTCCCCAGGGGATCGATATTGGCGTCTGCGCCGTCTTCGACAGCAAGCCGCGGGAGGGCCTCGACCTGCGCTCGCAGAGCTTTCTGCGAACAACTGCCGGGCTTGTCATGTCGCACCTGCAGTCGAGGGTCTCCACCGAGAGCTACCGGCGACATGAGCGCATGGTGCGGGGTCTTGGGTCTATGGTCGAGGGGACAGGCTCCATGTCTAAGTGGCGAGACATGCCCAACCCAGAGTCCTTTACTACCATTGAAGGCAGAGAGGGCGGTCTGAACGCGCAGCAGCAGTACATTCAGGGCCAGAACGATGAGTTCCCCACCACCGCCCAGCTCCCCCGCCCGAATCCAGTCCCGCTGCAATCAGAGCCAGGTTCTACCGAAAATCCAGAAGTAGCGTGCCCAGCCGAGAGCACAGAGACTGTCGCCTCGGGAACAACAAATACTGCAACCGAGTCCTATCCGTCGATGCAGTCTTTCGCCAGTACAACAAGCCCTCCGAAGGAGAGTGATGATCTGGTCATCACCAAGTCGCTGTTCTCACGTGCTGCCAACATTATCCGAGAGTCGATCGAGGTCGAAGGCGCCTTGTTTCTAGATGCCTCCGTCGTGTCGTTTGGAGGTCTCGTTCCGCGAGGAAGTGACTCCCCCCCGCCGGATCATGATCAGGAACACTGTCAGTCTCCCGGGAGCAGCGGTGATGAATCAGTTGGAACCGATGACAGCTCTACCGCCTCCAAAGCCTGTCAGAACCTGGGCTTTTCTACGTCAGACTACTCGAGCATCAACGGAGAGATGGCGCCCTTCGCGTTTGGATCGGTTCCGGATACTGTTCTCGAGAGGATACTACGTCGTTACCCACGCGGTCAGGTTTTCAATTTCGACGACGACGGTGTCGTGATCTGGGCTGTGAGCGACTCGGACGAGTCTGGAAACTCGGGTGACGCAGATGACCAGGTGCCAAAGCCAGTCAGGAACGTCCCCAACCGTCCTAGAAAAAGTGACGGAGCGTTTCTCATCAGGATGTTTCCTGGGGCGCGCAGCGTTGCCCTCATCCCTCTCTGGGATTCGCACAAGAAGATTTGGTATGCAGGCGGCTTTGTCTGGACGAGATCTCGCGGCCGCGTCTTTACCATCGAGGGCGAGCTAAGTTATCTCAAGGCCTTTGGTGCTGCTATTATGTCTGAGATAGCACGTATCGACGTTTTGCGGGAGAAGAAGGCAAAGGATGACGTCCTCGGCTCGCTCTCACATGAGATCAGGTCTCCGCTTCACGGTGTCATCTTGGGGGTCGAGCTGATGCACGATTCTGTCTTGACTAGCTTTCAGGAGGATATCTTGCATACCGTGGAGACCTGCGGCCGTACACTTCTCGACACACTGGATCACGTGAGCCTGCTCCCCTCCCCCCCACCCCTCCTCCTTCCCCTTCCTCCTCCGGCCTCAAATACAGCGGATGTGCTCTATAACTGACCATAATCTTCTCAGTTGCTTGATTTCAGCAAGGTCAACCACTTCTTACAGTCTCCAAGACGGAGAAGATCAGCCGGACATGCGCGTGGCCTCAACGTGGGTTCCGTTGGGCGGAGCATTGAGTCGGGGATGATGAGTATTTTCTCGGAAGTCAGTCTGGACTCGCTTTTAGAAGAAGTCGTCGAGAGCGTCTACGCCGGATTCAGCTTCCAAAATACGTCAAGCCGGTGGGCCTCGAGAGACAAGCCGAGTACTTCATTCTTCGAACAAGGAAACACTCTCAGGAGACTAGAATCTGTCCGCCAGCTAGACACCAATGGCGCCGTTCTTGGGAACTCTCGAGATGAAGATGCTGCTGTTGGTATCCATCTGAACATCGATCCCAACGTTTCATGGGATTTCCATGCACAACCCGGCGCCCTGAGACGGATCATAATGAACATCTTCGGAAACGCGCTCAAGTATACATCGACAGGCAGCATCATAGTGTCGTTGACACAGGAGCCGATCTCTGCGAAGAGGAAGTCTAGGCGGCGAACCATTGTCTTCTCCGTCTCGGACTCTGGACGAGGCATCGAGAACGAGTATCTGCAGAACCGGCTTTATGTCCCCTTCTCCCAGGAGAATCAAATGTCTGCTGGGGCTGGTTTGGGTCTCAGCATTGTCAAGCAGATTGTTCACGGACTTGGAGGTCGGATCAGTGTCGAGAGCCGGGTAGCCCACGGCACGACAGTAAAGGTTTTGTTGCCTCTGCGCTCCTCGAGTCGTAAGCCTTCCGCTAGTGGCTCCCCGCACAACGTATACGACGATCTCGACAGTCTTGTACAAAGACTGGGGGGTTCCTCGGTCGCCCTCATAGGCTTCCCCGAACACTTTGACGAAGACCACCAACCTCTCTCGGTAGAGGTTGCAAAATCACATGTGGGCCCGATGCCCTTCTTGCAGAACATGTGTGAAAACTATCTTCACCTGCGCGTGCTTTCCCCCCTCGAGCTGGTGTCCGAGGTCCCGTCCCTGGTCATCTGCGCGGAGCGTGCCCTCGACCAGTTGCCAGCTCTGTCTAGCCAACCACCAGTGCTGGTCGCATGTGATAACGCCCTCACTGCACACCAGCTCACAGCCCAGCATGCCTCCAACACATCCCGCATCGTCGAGTTCTTTTCACAGCCGTAAGTGAAGGTTCCTCCCCAACCCTGAACTCATGAAGTGGTGTATGTCTAACAGTAGCAGGATTGGCCCGCGAAAACTGGCCAAGATTCTCGCGTTCGCCTTGGAACGATGGAAGGACCTCCAGAGCTCAGCAAAGCCCGGCATCGTATCATTCGCTCCAGTTGAGACGAGTAGCCAGGACATGCCTATAGTACAAGAGACACAGGACCCCGTTGCAGAAGACCAACCTGTCTCCGCGGAGAGCAATGGCGCAGAGCCCCTTCCGCATCTCAGTCTACCTCACAGGCCAATAGGAAGATCTAGATCTACAGACAAGTCCGATTACAGCGATCGAACCATTACTGTAGATACTTCTCCGCCCCGACAGCTTGACCAAGAATCGTTACCAGAAAAGGAGAAGAATGGCTTTCTACTCGTCGACGACAATGCGATCAATCTCAAAATCCTCGACTCGTACATGAGGAAGCTGAAGTATGCCCACGACACCGCTACCAACGGGCTGGAAGCAGTGGACGCCTGTCGCTCAAGAGAAGTCCACTATCGTTGCATATTCATGGGTTCGTCAGACCGCCCTAATCGTTTTGTCTTTTCCCTCGTTTACCTGACATTTGCTGACTCGGGGGGTTTTTTTTTTTCAACATCATCAGATATATCCATGCCCATCATGGATGGGCTCGAGGCCACACGTCTGATTCGAGCGTACGAACAAAAGCAACAACTGAAGCCAGCCTTCATCATTGCGCTTACTGGTCTTGCGTCGGCTGCAAAACAGCAGGAGGCATACGCTTCCGGAATCGACCTGTTTCTCACGAAGCCGGTACCGCTTAAAGAACTGGGCCGGATTCTAGAAGCAAATGGTATGTAAACCACATCTGGACTGCGGAGGGCGATTTCAATCATTGATGACGCAGTCTTGTATCGGCTGCAACATGAGCCTTCTATCTGGGACCATAAAAACAAAATAAACAAAAAGAAATAAAGAAACAAGACATCCAGAAGCTTATAGGGTACTTGGAAAGAAACAATGGCGTTTCGGATTTGTTCTTTCAAGAAAGAGGCACTGGCCGATATACACGTATACCCCCACATAGGTGTTTGGGTTTGAAAGAGTTATTGCGGGATCAATAAGAAAACGTCTGGTGGGTAATCCACCAAAGAAGACCAGCACAACACCATTACAATGAAAATAAATACATGAATCAATACTCATCCCTATCAAAGTCTCCAGCGTGAAGAATGTCATCTCTTGGTCCGTTCATGACCTCCCAGACTTCTCGTGGGTCTAGCTCGGGCTCTGCTACTCTCTTGGCAGCTGGACTGGCGTCCTCTCCAGCGGCGGCGATCTGCGCAGCAGCCTCCTGCTTGGCCAGGGCAACTGAAAGTGAGATGTGGTCAGCGTGAGAGGAAAAGGAGAAGAAGAAGAAGAAGAAGAAAAGGAAGAACGACTGAGAAGGAAACTTGAACAAGAAAACGCGGCCTCAGTCTTGACGACTGGAAGACCGCCGTGGAGGGGGCCAGTTCCAATGCTCTCTTACCATGTAGGAAAACCGCTGCCTTCTTTCCAGAGTACATGGCATGCGGCACGTTGGTGGAATCATCAATGTTGATATCCCCGACCGCGTACACCATGGGGATGTTGGTCAGGTACCCCAACCCCTGCACGCCGGCGAGACGACCGTTCTGCACAATAACACCCAGGTCACGGCCGAGGTTGGACCGCTGGACGCTGGGGAACGAGGTGAAGAAGGCCGCCCGCTCGACAGCCGTCCCGTCGTCGAGTTCCACGCTGAACAGGTCGTGCTCTGGGTGCGTCGGCGCGCTCGGGTCACTGCCGTTGGTACTACCGTTGGCAAGGCGGGTGATGGACGCCAGGGTCTGGTTGTAGACCGTCACGTTGTTCTCTACCAGGTACGTCTCCCAGCCGGGGAACGCGCTGTCGGCGGTGCTGCGGACGTCGGGCGTGTCGGTGCCGTTCACAAAGGCGACCAGGTCGGCGTCGAGGGTCCGGACCTCGCGCACCATGCCGGGGATCGCGTCGAGTGAGCCCAGCAGGCCCAAGGCCTGGTCGGCGTGCTCGTAGCCGTCGCACCAGGGACACCAGTAGATGCCCTGCGCCCAGTTCTCGCGCAGGCCTGGGGTGCCTGGGATCACGTCCTTGAGGCCCGTGGCGATGACGACGCTCCTTGCGGCGAGGACGGCCTGCTCGCCGCTTGGATAGGTCACGCTGACTGTGTAGGACGGGTCCCCGCTGGTCCCCTGGGGCTCGATGTCGGTGACGGTGCCGTTGGTCCACGAGACTGTGGGGTAGTAGGCAATCTTCTCGCGGGCGAGCCAGCGGAAGTATGCCGGGGTAACACCTATACGGGCGCTTTTTGTGAGCTTCTTGGGAATTACCATGCAATCTTCACCTTTGGGAAAGGAAAACAAAGCTGCTTGGAAACCTTACCATCGAGTCCGATCACATCGTGCATGTGACGGGTGGCGCCGTTGCGGTACTCGCCAGAGTCGATGAGCAAGACATGTCGGCGCACACGAGCGAGTCCGCTCAGCGCGCTGAGCCCAGCTGGACCGCCTCCTATTATGATGGTGTCGTATTCAGTGCTGCTGCCGTTGCCATCTCTCGTATAGTGTAAGCTGCTAATGTCAGTACTGACAGTGGCAGCACTGAGACTGCAAGAGGTTAAGAACGTGAGAAGCGCAAGGAAAATCATGATGGGTTAAGTATGGGGAGTGCGTGCACTAAGAAGTAAAAAATGAAGAAGAAAACGAGTGACCAAGCAACAGCGAAGGAAGTTGGATGTGAAACTGGTGGCCTGACCCAGGTGTTTGCGCAACAAAAAGAAGGGAAAGGGAAAGAGCAAAGAGAACTTGTATATCCATGGTTGATCAGAGAATTTTATACCACGTTGTTGTCGAATGTGTACGATCATAATAGCAAAAGTTGACTTAAATGTGACCTTTCCTACGTGCCTTAAGTTTGATCACTAGCGACGGGCCGTTGTGTGTGTCTCAAGAATGTGCCGTTGGCTGAACAACCTTTGTGGATATCGTGAAGATCCCGAGGACAGGAATGAGCCATAGCATATACTAAACCTCAAAAGTCAAGGGACTAGATAGAATTGCTGACGTTCAATATAATTATTTGTTATTGGGAGAGGGGTTTTTTTTGGTTGTGCTATTGACCAACGGGAAGAGGAGCTTTATTTGCTTCAGCTCGACTCGGGTTATACCCAATGCAAGCCCCTTCTGTTGAGAGTGGAATGGCCAGTCTGTGATCGTCATCAGGTGTTTGTTAGTCAATTGACCGGTCGCCAGCTGATGTGGGACATCTGGTAAATTGCGGCGACCGGGTCACAGTAACTGGTGTTCTTCTGCTGTAGTGTAACCTTGTATGAGGTCATGCGGATAGACTGCGTTCACATGCGAATGATGCGATGCGAGATAACAAAGGTGCCATTCATATACCCTAGGTATGCATATAGCAGAGTACAGACGACGAGAAACTGTAAATTGTCAACAGCTGATACAAGAAAGCGACAGAAGATGAAGGGGAAGAAGAAGAAAAAATCGAAATTCTATTGTTGCTCATCTTGATCCTAGACACAGGATTGCGGTTATGCCAAAGTTGGCTGCCGCTGATACATGTGGTGTTACAATGAGAGGGTCACGATGAACTCCTACTGTAAAACTCAACCATTGAACACTTGATGAGAATCATAAGACAAAAGAATAAGCACCAAGCTCCTGCCAGATGTATCTACCCATGGAGACCGGAAATCCCGTCGAGCGCTTTACGAATTCGCCTGTTGCCAGTATATTGAAGGCCAGGGGATATCCAGACCGCCGCCCCCCTCCCCCATGAAGATACTGTCCGACCCGTCGAGCTAGCCTCGGGGTAATGTGAAAATGCTTTGTTTCTAAACTCCTGGCGTGAAGTTGTAACCATATCGTTCATCTGAGGATCGTCCCGAGTAGGATACCTAAGCGAATTTCATCGGGAAGATCAACTGCTGTGTAACCGCCCATGGCGTACTCGCTTGATGGAAAATCGCCATTCAGACCGCAGCAAGAGCTGGGAGGTGAAACAGGTGGCTTGTGAGTCTATGCTCACCGCTTCGACATTAGACCAGTGCCCTCCCCCGGCTGGCCATATGGTGATCGACATCTGGAGGTACAGTGGTGGAGGACTGAAGATAGAAGGAAGCGATATGGAAGAGGGCCAAAATGACTTCAATGTCTCTCAGCTAGGTAGGTCTTCTTTGGCTCAAAAAGCTGAATAAGTCATGTGATGATCAAACCCAGGGTGCGTCCAGGTGTCACGACCTCGAGTTAAGGTCAAGCCTCGCACAGCTTCGAATATGGCCTGCGATATCGTTGCAACTTGACAATCATGCCATTGGTAGCAGAAAGACTTGAGATACCCGGGAAAGTAAGTATGCTAGCTGTTGATTTCTGAACGATAATCAATGTAAAACGTGCGCCGACCAGGATGCCGTCTATCTGTCTAAACACATGATAGGGTAGAGTCCACAAACGCCTGAGCCATCCACTACTAGAACAAGTGTCCAAAACAAATTCTCTCCTGACATATCTTCATGACCGACCCTGACCTCCGTAGCCAGACACATCTCTTACGTACTGCGCAGCCTGGTCTGTGGATAGGGGCCCCCACATCCAGAAGGCCCAGGACACGAGGAGCAGAAGAGAAACAATGCCAAGCACCTTGGTCCTCGCAGGGTTCTTCTGGCGGAAGTCGGCAAACTGCAATCGGGCGTCGGTAGCGAGAGACTGCATCTTCTCGGCGCCGAGCTTGTAGTAAACCAGTCCTGCGAGGGCGATGGAGTAGCCAAAGAACTGCTGACCGGTGACGGGGTCGCGGAAGATGAGCATGGACGCGAACACCAGCAGGATGTCCTTCAAGATTCCGGACATGGTAAGGACAACGGCAGAGGTTTGGCCAATCTAGAAATGGGCGGTCAATAATAACAATTATGAGTAGTCGGCAGGGATTACGACTTACCAGGAGTACAGAAGAGACATTGAGGAGGAATGCAACGAGACCGTTGGCGAGCAGAACTGTGAACCCGAGAGATTGAATATCGTTCATCGTGATGCGGGGGCCTTCAATGAAGAAGGTAAAGATGGAGTTGAAGACGGCGCAGGCTGGGGCGTAGTAGTACAAGGACACCAAGGGGTCCATCTTGAAATCGCCGGAGCTGAGGAGACGCTGGACCATGACCAGGCGCAAGGCCTCGGTGACAATACCGCCGATCTGGTAGACGAATCCCCAAAGCTCGAACTTGATCTCTCCAAACGAGGCGATGACCACACCGAGGACAATGATGGCCACGTTTCCTAGAACCTTCATGTTTGGAGGCGCAATGGCGAAGGCCCACGTCGCTAGGAGTACGGCCACGGCAGTAGTCGCCTAGAGAAGCGTCAGCTCAGTTGCCTTCCTGGTTTCACGGAGTAGCTTGTCGTACCTTCAACATCTGGATAAACGAGACACTCAGGGTCAGGTACGCCAGGTTGCCGCAGATCAGAGTCAAACTGAACATCAGCCCGATGGGAACAATTGCTCGGCTGGGTAGAAATTTGTTGTTAGTCCTTGGGCTTCTGTTTGTTTCCCTGTTAAACAGGCCAGGTCCACCGTCCAGTCCTGCCACCTACATGTATGTCTCCGTTGTCATAGGAACCTTATGACGGGAATCGAGCGTCTTGGTGAAGCGGGCCATGTATTGTGTCATAATGGTGCCGAAGACCTGATGCCATGTTGTCAAAAATAGAGCTGTAAATGGACGTCAGCGCTTGATCGGTCATTTTGGGGTCGAGGGAGGACAGGACTCACGGAACTCTGTAGGTATCGTCGAAATGCCAGGTCAGCAAGCGGTTCAGGAGCGTCAAAGGGGGAAAGGGGGCACAAGACAAGAGGCCAGGGAAAGGAGGATGCTCACCGAACTTGGCGGTCGTCAGGATCCATTTGTTGAAGATGATGATGCTGGAGCTCAGGCCAATCCATAGAGCAATATAGAAGGCCGGAGGGAGCCCGCCTCCGGCGCTCGCAGCCGGCTCTGGTGCTTGACTCTGGGCGGTTCCAGCTTCGAGTTTCCGGTCTTCGTCGGAGGAGGCACGTTCGCCTGCCATGTTGATTGTGTTTGCCAGCCGTTACTTTTAGCAATTGAAGTAATGGTAGACTGGAGGGGAGGGGAGGGGTTCGTGATGCTTGTGGGGAAGGTTGAGGGTGGACTATGGAAGATGTGTTGTCTGGTTTTTATTTTTGGAAAAAGGGAAACGTGTTTCCGAGTTGGATCAAGGGAGACGCGACATGCGGATGACGCCTCTCTGGCATGATCGGTATTAATTGCAGCATGCGGGGGCCAGACTGGGGTCCGCGCCCCAATGACCCCTAACCCTGGAAGGCTCTTTTTGTCCTAGCCTGCACCCGCTCTCCGACAGCAAGAGAAAAGACAAGCCGGACAATAATTCTCTCCAGCCGCAGAGGAATCTTAATTTCAACTAAACAAGAGGAGAAAATGAAAAAAAAGGAATAATCGTCATCAAAAGTTTCAGTTAAGGGGGCGAGAGAAACAAAAATAAGGACGCAGAAAGCATAAGACCCGAAGGGTGCCCATAGTTCAATTACATGGTCAAGCAAATCCCAGTCGACACCGAAATCTTTTGAGGTCTACCAAGCTGCCATTGCAATATTTGTCGCTATCTTAGTGGCAGACTTCAAAGTATGGCTCGCTCGGATGCTAGTATCATCCGAAGAAGCGCTGCCGAAGACTTAATCATTGCATGTGAATACGACAAATACAGAGTACTGTAGCAGAGGCTGCAGAGCTGAGCTCAGATGTACTGGCGGTCAATATAATGGCGGCCCAGAGCAAGCTGTGCATGTAGCTTTTAAGGGTTTGTGAGATCTGTCATACAAGTGATGAACTGCGAGGATGGTGGGCGAAGTCATGGCAGAAACCTTGGGACACGCTTGTCAGTCTGCCTCACATGGAACATCAGATTTGAGAAAGCCGTCGTCACCGGGACCATCGGATCCTGGCTTCATCCCCTCCAGCATCCATTCGTCGTCACTGGTGGTACATACAAAACAAGCCGTGATTCTGGTTTTCTTCTTCCCCAAATGTAGAGATCCAAAGATGAAACATCGCCGCCACCCAAAGCCTAAGCATCTCCTTTTTCTCCTCTGTATTTGCTCTAGTGGATCACCGGTTACAACTTAATGGGAAGGTTCTGGCAGTACTGGCGGACGGGGAACCTTTGATATTTGGTACTCGAGCTACAATAACAATCAATAGGGAGGTTGTTGATACACGGCAAAATGTGGATTCTCTGGGCGCTTTTACTTAGCACGACGAGATAGTAGAAGGACGTTCCTGAAAGAGCCCAAATACATCTTCATATCATCAAGCGTTCAACAGCATGTTCATTGCCCGAGTCCAGCCGCTCTTTATAGACCACATCATTTTGTAGCTTGCACCGGGGATGGCAGCCCTTTGGGTGCTCATATACCTGTTAATTGGCTATACATGACCCCTTTCGTAAACTGCATATTGGATAGCTTTCAATAGAATTTTAGAGAGCATCGAAAAGGCGGTGTTATAAGTCGGGTAGGCGATTATTATTGGCAATGTTGGAGCATCACCTGCTGGTATTGGCGCGGGTGATCCCGAACCCACACGAGCTGACTTATTTAGGACCTACTCGCTCTACTTTTAATGATTCGACAGATAATACATAGTAATTGCAGCAGCAGTTCGTTCCCTCTTCGATGGAGGTAAGCAAGCGTTGCAAGGCACTGAAATACATGCCTAGGTGATTTCTCCGAGTGCCCAGCTGCCCGGTCACACCACCATCTAAGTCATTGTGATGTCATGCTCCGCTACAGAGGTACCATAGTACATTCATCATACTAATTCCATCGTAGTAATTATGCAGGGGCGGTACGAAACCATAACGTCACAGCTTTGCACTTCCCCCTCTTCGAGCTCCCTAAGCTTGTCCCTTCCTCCATTACAGTATTTCACAAAGTTCCTCAACTTGCTTTCAACAAAACGGCTCGAGCTATTCTTCAGCCAGCCTCAAAACACACGACCAACGTCTTCACGCACAGCTGTGGACGACCATGGCTGAACAAGACAAATACGCCTCCCATTGGGGCGCAAAGGCAAACAATCCAACATCAGAATCTGTGCCCATTCCTGTGCCGCGTGGTTCAGGTGCTGAGCAGGACCGGTTTGGAGGCCATTTCAGCAGTGGAACGACCTCTCGAGAGATTCCCGTGCCTGTCCCGACCGCGTCTGGCGCCGAGCAAGACCGCTGGGCAGCTCACCTCAGCCGCGCCGCTGCTCGCAACCCCGAGGCAGAAGGCATCTCCTTCCGCGTCCCTACCGCCTCTGGCGCCGAACAAGACCGATACGCTGCCCATTGGAGCCCATCCGAGGCCCGGAACCCTGAAGCTTCTGGTGTCAAGGTGCCAATCTGGAGCAGCTCTGGGGCAGAGCAAGATCGCTACGCTGCCCATTGGAGCCCATCCGAGGCTCGCAACCCCGAGGCCCACGGTGTACAGGTGCCCGTGTGGAACGCGTCTGGGGCGGAGCAGGATCGCTACGCTTCCCACTGGAGCAGGGCCGAGGCCAATAATCCTACAACGGAGCGTGTCGGTATTCCTGTCCGCCAGCCTTTGGGTGGTAGTTCTGAGCAGGAGGTCTACGGCACCCACTTCAACACTGGGGGGCCTTACAGTATTCCTCGCGACGCCACTGCCGTGGGCCTTCTGAGGACCACGTTGCTACCATCTTTGGGCCTGCACACCGGACTGTCCATCGTCGCATACACAGCCTCGCGGGTGGCCAATCGAGTCGATGGCAAAGACTGGCTGTGGCCGGCTGGGCAAGTTGCCAACGCTTGGTGGAGCGCCGTGGGCACACGAGTTGTGTATGATGGTGTCCCGATCGGAGCTGCATTTTCTTCCCTTGTTTATCCTGACAAGGTCATGCTCGGGGCTGTAACGGCTTGGGGTGCTCGCCTGTTCTACCAAGTCGTGTCCCGGTCGGTCAAGGCCAAGTCAGATGATGCTCGGTATCTCGAAGCTAAGAAGGAGCCTGGGTTCTGGAACCAAGCATTCTTCAAGATCTTCCTTCCAGAGGCTGTCTTTCAGGCTCTCATCTCGCTGCCTTTCACCCTGCCCTTCCGCAACCCATACGCCAGGTACGCTAGTTCATGACTTGTCTGATCTCCCTGTTCGCTACGCTAACAATGGCCTCCTGATTTAGTGCTCGCTCGTCCCTTTCTGCTCCTATCGAATGGGCCCACGACTTGGCTGTTGTCGTTTTCAGTGCCGGGTTTGCCCTTGAGGTCCTTGCCGACTACCAGCTTAACCGTCACAAGAAGACCGACAACGGGAATTTGAATCGTGATGGTGTTTGGAGCATTGTCAGACATCCCAAGTAAGCATCGTACCCTGCTCACCCTTTACTTGCCATGAACCCACCTCTCCCTGCTTCCTTTATTGACACAAGGATCCTCAGCTACCTCGGCGACGCCCTGGTTCACTTCTCCTTCCCTCTGTTCCTCTGGGGCTCCGGGAAGATCCACCCGATTGTCCTTCTAGGCCCAGTCGCCAACTACGCATTCCTTCGCTACGTCGGCGGCGACGCTCAGAACGAAGCAGCACAGGCGCAACGCTATGCGAAGACAAGCCCAGTCAAGGCCCAAGAATTCTCCGAGTACAAACAGACCAAGAACAGCTTCTGGCCCAAGGTTCAGGAGGCCTCCAACCCGTGGACTCTGACAATCCTTGGTGCTGGCGTTGGCGGACTGGTATTGGAGCGTGTCGTGCGGCACTTTGCTCTGCAGTCCTAAAGAAGAGTCATGAGGATCCCAACAGATATGTATGTACGATTACGTTGGCGTGAGATTGACCAAAATTGGACGCATTCATGCGTAGGGGTTCAGCAGGCGATCGCGATCGTGTCCGCACAGTCGTTACGTTCTGAACATGTGGTATTTTTGTAGTGAAAAAGCTGGTGCAATACTGCCAATACGACAAGTATTAAGTTTTCATAAATTATCTCTCATATAAATTACGGTCCCTAGGCACAGTTGATTTGTCGCGTACTGTGTGGATCCGCACTGGGGTTAGTCTATTATCCTATAAGGGAGATGTCCCGCTCCTCTGTCTGGGATTTTCATGGAGCGTCGAGCAGATCACTCTCGCCGCCACCACTTGACCGTATTCCACTATCACTTCGATCAGGGGTTTTGGACTCTACTTGACAGTTACACGGTCGAATGAAGCTTGTCGTCATGGAATTATCCTTTACGTGGGCTCTCTTGGCTCTCACGGCCGCACGGCTGGCTTCTGCCATTGACATGAGCCTTTATCAACCCTCGGCGCAAGTTGAGCCAACCTTCAAAAATTACTTGCAAGAGTGGGTCACATCGTCCTAGAAGCCAGACGCATATTGAAACAGGACCTAATATGCACATCTCTTTCTTACAAGGCTCTATGCTGAGACCGAAGACCCAGCATCGACGACATCCTTTACGGATTTCTTCACACCCAATGGATCTCTTATCGTTCTACAATACACCGCTGTTGGAGCTGAACGGATCACTGGGCTGAAACATGCTCTGATGCCTAAAGACGGATCGAAGCTGTGGCACCACGTGCCCAACGTCACCGACGTGTACGCGGACACGACCTGGAACAAGATTTACGAGGTGAAGGGTGTGATTCAGACGACGTACCAGGGCGGGAACTGCTCGCAAGCTTAGTGAGTCTGGGCCTGTTATCCTCAGATAGCAAGGGGGGAGGAAACTCCCAAGGATAATGTGTTGTTGTTTCTCAGTTCCTCATAAGCTGACCTCTGCCATCGCAAGCTACTCGACGCGGTTCACCGTCGCCAAGGACAATGACAACAAACCCATCTTGGCCTTACGCGCAGGCTCGCTTCTCTCGTACGACGATTATATCGTGGAGCCATCTGTGTCGCCGACGGAAATACCTTGCCAAGGTGGTCAGGAGCCCGATGATGTGGATAGAGTCTCGGATAAGAAGAAGGATGTGCCTACTGAACGATTGGAGCTATGAGCTCACTCACTTTCCATGCTGGCCAACTATGAATGGCCAGCTGGAAAGAGAAAATCTCCAAAAAGCCTTCTGTTACTTGGCTAGGTTCGGTCCGGGCACTCAAAGTAGTTGACCTGCTGGTTATGAATAGGCTCGCTCGCTATTGCTCATCATTCACGAGGTGGTGGTATTCAGTATTTAGTTTTCTACACTCTCCCACTGCCCTGTAGGCTACGCTTTAACGAGAGCTTATTTCTCATAGTAACAATCAACCAGGTGATGATGTACCCTCCCTCACTTGCTACCTGTTTCACCTAAAGCGACGGTGCGGAGTCAGACAAAGAACTGCCGTGTTCCCTCTAACATTCAAACCCCAGCAGCCCATCCTACCACCCGGCTCACCCAGTTCCGGTGTCGTCGACATAGGAGAAGAGACGCTCAGCTTGTCCACCTCAGGCTGCGGACCGAGCTCTGCCTATAAGATCCACGCAGACTGGAGTTGATACGGCATTTGCAATTGAACCCCCTCTGGGCTGATTAGCAAGACTGGTAGACAGAAGAGAAGGTACCAGAAGCGTGTGACCGACGACCACGACCACAATAGCGATGATGAGAATATCATTCATGTCAATGTGCTTCTGCAATCTCTTCCCATGTCTTTCTTATCCTTAAAATTTAAGACCATATCATATACCTGCCGCCTTTTTTCTCTCCTTTTTCTGTTCTTTTTTCCTCTTTCGCTTTTGGGCCCTCCATGTTTCCTATTTCGACAGAGATTTGGCTGATATGATTTACAGCATTCCAGCCCTTTTCTATTCAAACATAATTACAATATTAAGCAATGTTGTAAGAGTAATGCGTAATATAGAAATGTGAATTGTGTATGAGAGGTTTACCTGGTTTACCGTGACCGAATATAAACATCGATTTTACCTGATGAATTCCGGGTGGAAAAAGGAGTATTCCCATTACAAAGTCACAGAGCCTGTCGCACATGATGAGATGTGTTGATGGCTTGTCGTTAGGGGCCTAGCGGGTGCCGGAATGTTTTGCTGTTACTGCACAAGAGTCACAGATGTTGACCGCCGATTCCGGAGACATTACTGTAGTGTAGTGACATGCATGACCAAACCCAAGCTGCACGACAACCTCGGCTCCTCACCTTGCAGACTCATTCGACGAGCAACAGCAAAAAGTAGAGGACCTGAGACCCGGGAAACTATAACACACGACACCATTTGTCCTGTGGACCGCATTATCATGTCTGCTCAACACCATGGCAAATACCCTTCGGGCGGCGCGCCTTTCATCAACTTCCCTAGCCGGCGGAGTGTGGTACACAGTACCAAAGGCATTGTGTCCACCACGTCGCCATTAGCGACTGAAGCCGGACTCCAGATCCTTCGAAATGGGGGCAATGCTGCAGTAAATGAAGTTCCATCCTTTTTGATATTGCCAGCACGATTTCTTGTGGGGCTCATTCAACGGTGGCTGACTCGGCATTCATAATAGGATGCGGCCGTGGCAGCCGCCGCTGTGCTCAACTTGGTCGATCCGTCAATGACCGGAATAGGAGGTGATGCATTTTGTCTCTTTTACGAGGCAAAAACGAAAAAGGTTCATGCATTGAACGGCTCAGGACGATCGCCTCGCGCCGCAACCCTTGAGGGCATCTGCAAAGACCTGGATATCAGCGACCGGATCTATGGCAGCATTCCACCTACCTCGATCCATTCCGTGACTGTTCCAGGCGCAGCAGCAGCCTGGCTAGATATCATTGAGAAGTTTGGCTCGGAAAAAGTCACAGCTTCAGATGCTCTGGCACCTGCAATTCAACTGGCCGAGGAGGGATGTCCTGTCAGCGAAATTTCTAGTTATTATGTGAGTGACTACTGTTTTGTGCTCTCTCTGCTACAGCTAAAGAGTCCTAACGGGTGTTGTAGTGGATCAAAACGGAAGACGAGCTCCGACAAAAATATAATGGGACAGAGTTGTTGAAGGAAGACCCAGAAGTACCAGGAGGCTACAGAGCGCCCCGGGCGGGCGAGATCATCAAAAACCCCCTCCTGGCCAAGACATTCAGACTTCTGGGTGAAAAAGGTAGAACTGGCTTCTATGAAGGACCTGTGGCTGAAGCCATTATCGAGATCAGTCAAAAGCTCGGTGGCTATATGACGCTAGATGACTTGAAAGCGCACCGGAGCGAAGTCGTGAATCCGATCTCGATTCCCCTGGAGTTCGACAAGCAGGGCGATTCATTTCACTTATGGGAGCATCCTCCTAATGGACAAGGGATTGTCGCTCAGATGGCTCTTGGGATCCTTGCCCAGCTCGAAAATGATGAGCAAATTCCCGTGTTCACAGAGGACGATCACAACTCTGCCAAGTAAGTTTGAGCACAAATTTTCAACTATGCAAAGCGTTTGCGACTTACACCTTCCATAGGTATCTGCATGCCCTCATTCAGTCTCTTCGCATCGCCTTCGCTGATGGAAGCTGGTTCGTGACGGATCCAGCTGTATCCATCGACCCGGAGACGCTTCTGTCCAGAGACTACCTCGCACAAAGGGCCAAGTTGTTCGACCCAGACAGATCTACCACAATTTCAACCCCTGGAGATCCCTTGGGCGTTCACAAGACAAGCGACACCATCTACCTCTGCGTGACTGATGCAGACGGCAACGCCTGCTCCCTCGTCAACAGCGTGGCCGACACATTCGGGAGCCGCATCGTCCCGCCTGGCGTCGGGTTCGTGCTTCAAAACCGCGGCGCAGGTTTTCATCTTGGTCCACCGAATCATCCCAACCTCTTTGCCCCTGGCAAGAGGCCTTACAACACCATCATTCCAGCCGTGACGACGAACGCGGCGGATGGGACTTTGCACACCGTCTTTGGTGTGATGGGCGGGGCGATGCAGCCTCAAGGGCACGTGCAGGTCCTGCTCAACATGATGCGTTTCGGCATGAATCCGCAGACGGCTCTTGATGCACCGCGGGTGTGCATCGGGGTGAGCCTGCCTGGAAAGTCTACGGACCCTACCAAGAAAGTGGACGAGTCGGTCTATCTTGAAGAGGGCATTGGTGAGGATGTGGCGAGGGAGCTGGAAAGGCTGGGCCACGAGGTGAAATTCGTTCGTGGCATGGACAGGGCGCTCTTTGGTCGCGGGCAGATCATCCGAACACATCATGATCTGGTCAGTGGCGACAGGATCTATTCTGCGGGAAGTGATTTGAGGGGAGATGGAAACGCCGCACCTCTTCTATGATGGGGTCTTTCGGGCGACAAGTAGAATTTCACAAATTAGCACACTAAAAAACATTTCAATCCTGATGAAGTGCATCACCAAAGCATGCTCGTAGAAACTCTTCAGGTGTGTCCTGGAGAGCCTCTGGGTTATCCCAGCCATGTGCACGACAATTACCCTACTTGACGATAGTAGAGACGGGATTAGCTTTTGAACAGTGCCAAGCAATCCTTGGGCGTTATGAACAGGTCATTGCCCAGGCATGTGGGAAGAATGACGGGTCCCTGCAAGAATTTAATTACCAGGCTGCGTTCCCTTGTTCTACATAACTCATAGTAGAGATAGCAGTCTCCTTTCAGAATAACCATTTTGATTCACTATTAAGTTAGTAAGATTGACTTCGAGGGAGCAGCGCTACAATAGATTAAAGATACCAATGCTACTGTTTCAGCGTCATTGCTGATTATCAAGAAGCGTATTCTCGCCTTCCAGCTCACCGTAGATGTGCTCCAGGTCTTCTTCTTCTTATTTTTTGTCTTTTCCTTATATATATACATAATACGTAATGAAATCGACGATCCTTTATCATGCTTGTTGTCGCCTGCGCTTGTATCGCTCTGCTAATTCAGCTAATTCTTTCGTCTGCCATTGTTTCATTCCTGACACTTTCCTTCGCGCAAGTCCAGGCTCTGGGCGCCCCGTGCAGTTTCGTCTCCATATATCGAGTAGCTCAGCTCTCGCCTTATATATGGCTCGATCATTTCGCAAACTGAACGATCCACTGGCCCACTTATACAGTTCAACAACTCCTGCTAGAATGACAATGTCCTTTGTAGCAAGACAGACCCCGACCTGTGCGTGGAAATCCTCAAATAGCACTGAGCTTTTTTCTCCCGACAACCCTTGGCCTACAATTTCAAACTTGTTAGTACTGGATGATTGACCCTCGGCCATCTCTCTGAGTACCAACACATATCCGGGCAATGGATCCGAGCTGGGAATAAAAATGCACCAATCTCCATCCTGTGCTGCTCTGGGTATTAACACTTCGTACCTGTTTGGGTAAGCATGATATTTCCAAGTATCCCAAGGAAAATTTGACGATTCCGTTACATCAGCCGACCAACAATTGTCGAGATACCATCCTGAATGATTGGTGCTTTTCTTGAGCCGAAAGCCACGAAAAGTATTGGCACTGAGGTGATTGCCCCCTTGAATCATCCGACAGTCGAGACTCGCTGTGCCCAGCCTTCGACGCTGTTCAATCTTTTCTGTGAATTTGGGGAACAGAGTTGATGCTTGACTTGCGTGGTCTGGGGCGAATAGTTCCAGCCACTCCCCAACTTCCCGAGCCGTCCTCAACCAGTCCCCTTCAATAACATCGTCCATCCTGTTGATCAACTCCGTGACTTCGACAACTAGTTCGAAATCATCCTTTTCATAGTCGGGCATGAGTGGGTCATGATCCCCCCAATCGACTATAGCCAAGATCCCGAAGCATTTGTCTCTCGCGTGCTGACACTTCAATTGTGTCTGGTGAACAAATTGGAGTTGTTCTCGTAAGTTTTTGAGTTCCTTTCCAGAAGATGCGGCGGTTTCCAAAAGAGAACATGTCCCTGGCAAGGGCCTGTCGACTATCTCCATCCGCAGTCTTTGGGGAATGCTTGTCACCGGTTCCGGGAGGAGGTTCAACACAAACTCAGGCACCGGTGCGCCGTAAAGCATGGATTCTTTTGCTCGCCATTCTTCTATTACTTTGTTTGATACGCTTTGCCATAGCCTTCGATGATGTTCCTTCCCTTGGCTCCATTTTTCAGCAAACAGCGCCTGAGGCATGATTTTGTGTAGCAAGACCAGTTCTTCCAACGACGAGGCAGAGGCCCAAAGGTCCCCGCAGCAAACTTGAACTTGCTTCCCGAGGTATAGTTCCTGATAGACCCAAAGCCGGTAGAAATACGGCCGTTCCACAAATTTTGCGAGCTGATCGTGCAAGGTTGTTGGCGTTTCGGAATTGGTAGGTACCTCTCGCCAAATCAAGAGAGGCCATTCTGTTGGGTTGTCATGTTTCAGGAATCTGAAACAAGGTAGAGCATCTTGATTATCTTGTATGAACCGAAAAAGATTTTCGCTGTCATCGGCATGCTGTCCAACACACGCGAGTACGTACTGCGCATTGCGGTAGATCTGATGCATCCTCGTCACCTGATGCCCCTTTTCGCCGAGATTGTTCTGATCTATGCATACGGAGTCGATCCAGTACCAGGCATCTCTATTGAAGCGCACCGCCTGTTCCAGTGCGTCCTTGCAGTTTTGTGTGACCTCCATTGTCTTGTTGTCGACCGAAATTTTGGTCAGTTCAGACCTTTTCCCCCATGCATAGGATATGGCGTTGTAGGTTTGGCAACCGCTTGCATTGTAGGGTCGCCGGTCGCCTTTTCTCAGGGGCCAAGTTACCAGTTCGAATTCCTCTGAACCGATATCTTGATGGGATGAGAGCGGGGTGACCCTGAGAAGCCTGATGTATTCGGTCGAATCAGGCAGGACATCATGTTTGTACAATTCAGGGGTAGCGAGGACGTCGTGGTTTTCTTCCATGTTCAATGTGGATCTGATTCGGTTATAGCCAGCCTTTGAGTGTAGTTCCGTACGTGAGGAGAGCTTTACTGATAAAGATGTAGAAGAGGGGCACGAGAGGAGACAGACAGGGAGAGTAAGAGGAGAAGGGCGGCGCAAAAAGATACAGGTTAGGGGAGGGTGAAATCAAGTGCTAAGCCTCAGTCGACTGAGGCCACACGTTTTTCAACCACTGTCCGGGCCCAATCAGACCTGGTTCCCGTTTTCACGAATCAAGGCAGACGTACAGTAGCTGCACTCAGTCAGATCGCAGAACAAGAAACGTGTCTATGTCAGTCGATAGGGGCTGTGTAAGACAGCTGGCAACGCCGGTCAGATAATGAATTGAGTATCAATGCCCTCCAATCGAAAAAATGGAGCTTTGTCAATAGCGATGGAATCATTGGCTGACGTTAAAACTTCATAAGCAGGCCATCATCCAGGCACACAAGAAAAAGAAGAAGAGTGCCCCACAAATCGGGAAAGCTGGCTGCATTTCCTGATCGTAAAGTATAATAAACACAAGGATCTTCGTCTTGAGTACGAACAACTTGCTCAGCTGCCCGATAATTGCAGTGTGGCCGACCAGCAAAGGATCATAGAAATCGAGATGAAGGAAGCAGCGCCACAGCAACGTGAACACAAAAATGCATAACAGACGTTCGAAATGGTGCTACTGCTGCCAATGTGATTGCTCTTCATCCCGATCTCCATTGACTGCGCCAGCAGCTCTTAGCCCGAGAACTCGGCCAGAACAGCATCCATCTCAGAAGATTGTCGGGATGCCTCGCATTGTGGATGAATCATGTAACCTTCTTCAGCCTGGTGATTCCTATCTTATCTGCAGAGGCCAAGGGGGTCATCACAAAGCCCCATCTGTAGATATTAGTAAATTGAAATGTGGCACGTTAACACTAATGACTTTCGAGGGCAGTGTTGATAAAGCTTGCTACGGCTGGCCTCCCTGAACGGAGATTCTGGCATCAGGCTCTCTACTACTGGCTGCGGGGTGGACCGGATCTTGCAAATTTGTACGATTGATTGATTCACTTGGCCCTGTGCCCGTGGGGAGGAAAGCTAGATCTAGTCTATCACGTTGGTGAAACCAGCCTTCGCTGAGCTTGTTCCTGAGCGCACCTGATGAAGCAGATCTTCCTTCTACCATCTCGAAAGGCTACAAGAGTTGCCGAGGTATATAGGAAATAAGTCAGGACACTATGGATGGTGATGCTAAATTAACAGCCACACACCATGATCATGTGCTCGTCAAAAGCGTGGAAGCCAGCCTTGGTCATCGACTGACGGCTTACTGGTTGCCCAGATGGGAGCTAAATTGGCGTTTATACCCCGGTCCCTCTACTTGACTTGCTGAGAAGCTCTTTATTTTTATCTTTAAATTCTATATCTTTCTTTTAGCGGACAGTGAACACGACCCAGTGCGGAATGCCGACAATGACCGTGACGCGTTAGAGACTGATGGTGGCTTCAAGACGCTTGATGCTGTTGGCATACGACCCGAATTTATTTTATATCAAGTTCAATAGAAGGCTCGTCGTCCCCTTGAGCGTCGCTTGTTTCATCTAGCGATACCTCTCCACATTCTTCATTAAGTCGGACGGACACGCAAGGCTAACCGGCCGATGTTAACCTACTTTGTGATTTGAGCAAGGCCTAACACTGATCACTAGCCGGATCATAGTGACACCGCAAAGGCAGCGATCCTCCCTCATTGCCAGGCTGTGCCGCGACAAGCTCCACTGTGGTATATGCCATCTACCTTCTTCCTTACTCACTAATCGAGAGAAGAGAGGCGCATTCGACACAACCCTCATGGTCCATCCATCCAGTCTAATCATTAAGGGGGCAGCCATAATTCTTCTGGAACGGGAAATAATAGCGAGTGAGGCGCGGCTAAAGAAGAAAACCGTCAGTTCTTATATAAGACACATTTCTAGGTTTTCCAAAGCTGAAGAAGAAGAAAAGAAGCTACCAAATCTCTCCAGGACAACCAATTAGCCCAGGACATTACATACGTCTCTGCTCCGAGGTCCAGATGTTGTGCGGGGAACCCTGAGTGAGGTCTCATAAAATTGCCTAACCCAGCCCAGAACCCACTCCTTTGTGGGACTTAACTGCGGGGTCTGGGGAATCCTAGTCGTCAGCCATCTTACACGAACAAGCGTTCGTGTGTTGGCAGTTCTCTCTAATACACACTATGATAGTACATAGTGCTACACAATAGTGACTGAAACTCACTCCGTACCCTGGACTACGGACCAGATACCTTTTCGGTCTCCTATCCCGATGCTTGCCCGCCTCCCTGGGCCCCAAAACAAGCGTACCAACCTTTACTATTGGCCTCCTCCATGGATTCGACTTTCCATTCTCAGCCATGACACATTCCTTTCTGTCGTGGCGGACCGGCGGCCATCACTAAGCGCCCGGAGCTAGACGAGGCGAAGAGAGAATTGCATACCATAGTGCCATAGTATCCTCGACTTCCTGGCCTCTTTCCGCCGAGGTTACAATCAAGATCCTAATGAATGAAGCTTGTGCAGATCGGGTCGAACCCCGCCTCCCCCATGTGATGGTTGTGGGGGACAGATGCCCGTGTGGGCTTCCCCAGATTATGGCTCCATTGATAAACTCGTTTCTTCTTCAAAAGGGGTGCCCGTCCGCCACTTCGTAGACGAGGACCCAGACCAGAACTGCCATGATACTGCATTGCCTTCTCTCCCTCCCCATCTCCTGACCTCGGACCAGGTCGTCCCCTTTCCCTTCCTCTTGTCAACATGTCTTCTATCCAGCACTCGAGTCCGGATGGCGTCCGGGAATCTTCACTCCATGGCTCCGATATCGAAAAGAGAGCTTCCAGCGAGAAGCCGGTCCATGAGAATATCGAGAGAGTTGTGCCCTCTCCCAGCAGCGAGGAGTCCCAGCCAGAGACCAAGGCAAGTACTCATTCTTCCCTCTATCATTGACCTAGGCGCGAAGAAAGAATCTCTTACTAACTTGTTATTTGCGCAATCCAATTAGTTAAGCACACGGGCTCTGCTGGCCTTTGTCGCGCTCTCGTTCCTCTGGACAGGATCTCAAATACCAATCTACCTCTTTGGGGCCATCCCGCCTTACATCTATGCCGATATTGGCGGCGCTGATCGATGGACTTGGATCACACTTGCCAATATACTCGCCCTCGCTGCTGTCTGCCCATTCGTAGGGTCACTCTCCGACCTCTTCGGCCGCCGCTACATTGCCCTCTCGGGTGCAACATTCATCCTTGTCGGTATGATCGTCTGTTCGACTGCAAAGACCATGAATATTGTCATTGGTGGACAGGTGCTTGCAGGCATCGGTGCGGGTATCAACGAGCTTACTGCCCTGGCCGCCGCCTCGGAAATGGCGCCCGTGTCCAAGAGAGGAAAATACGTCGGCGTCCTCGTCTTCACCATCACACCGTTCTGTCTGTCGGCGCTTTACGCGCAACTCATTGCCGCCTACTCATCATGGCGATACGTCGGCCTGCTGTGCGCCCTCTGGAACTTGGTGGGCCTGGTGATGACTGCGTTGTTCTATTTCCCGCCACCCCGAACCAACCCCAACGGCCTCAGTCGGCGTGAAATTCTGGGCCAGATCGATTTTGTTGGTGGCTTCCTCAGCGTCTCTGGTTTGATCCTGTTTAGTAAGTCTATGACCTGCCACAATCATGCAGATGAGAACAAGTACAATGATACATGAACATGTAAGCTGACGCACACTACTACTTTTCACTTATAGTGGCTGGAATGCAATGGGGTGGATACACGTACCCGTGGACGTCTCCTCACGTCCTTGTTCCTCTCCTGCTGGGCGCTGTCCTCGTGATCATGTTCATTATCTGGGAGGGCTGGTTCGCCAAGAACCCCATGTTCCCGAAGCGAATCAACGAGAACCCAAGGGTCCTGGTCCTCACCCTGATCATTACCTGCATCTCTGGCGCCAACTTCATCAGCCTGATTGCGTTCTGGCCGACCCAGGCATTCAACGTGTACGGACACGACCCTGTGCAGGTCGGAATCCGCGCCATCCCCATTGGCCTGTCGTTGATGACGGGCGCGGTCATCGGTCTCTTCCTCTTGTCCATCTTCAAGGGAGCCAACAGGACCATCATGATCGTCTCCTCGGTCTGCATGACGGCTGGCTGCGGTGCCATGGCCATCGGCCGCGTCGATAACATGTACCAGCTGTGGGGCATTCTTGTTCTGGCCGGGCTGGGTATCGGCGGCATCGTCGTCCCCGCCAGCATCATCACCATGATCGTCTGCCCCGACGACCTGATTGCGACCGTGGCTGCTCTGACGCTCAGTATCCGCGTCATTGGCGGCAGCATCGGCTATTCCATCTACTACAACATCTTCATCAACAAATTTGTGCCCTACGCGACCGAGTACATTGGTGGAACCCTGTTCCAGGCCGGCATCACCTCGACGGCCGTCATCACCGAGGTCATTGAGCTGACGGGTGCAGCCTTACCAGCCGAGATTGCGTTGATCCCAGGGATCGCGGGCAATACGACCTTGTATAACGAAGTCATCTACGCTGGCCAAGTGGCGTATGCTGCATCGTACAGATATGTCTATTTGGCTAGTATTGCTTTTGGCTGCATCTCGATCGTCTGCTCGTTGTTCTTGGGCGATATCGGCGCGTACATGGATGATCATGTTGCTGTGCACATGTGAGAGTTTGGATGTGGAATGGCTTTTGATGGCAGTACTCGGGACAATTTAGCTGCTTGCAGAGAGGAAATATGTTTTCCTGGCGCTGGCTTTAAAAAGAATATAATGTTGTGCTACCTATATGTTCTGAGTCCACTTTGTATAATCATTAGTCTCTTGGGAAAGGATTTTCCCCTTCGATTCAATCATAGGCTGCACGTATTCAACCTTCCGATAGAATTCAACCAAGTCTCTGCAATTTGGAAGTGTCATGAATATGGTCAGTTTCATGTCCAGAAAACATGTGTCCTTACTCTGAGCAGTCACTTTCATATGATTAATCAGATTAGAATTAATCTCTGTAATTTTGAACCCTAGGTGTCAGCTGAACCGCCGATGAGCTCCGCCAGACAACTTCACTATGTTCTAATAGTCATCCGGATCTGTCTGCCAGAGCCCTCTTGGTGGCTGAGGCAGTCCGAGTCTCGTGTCCTTCAGGTCCAAACGATACATAATGTTGTTGTAATTGTAGTAAGGGGTCCACCATGGATTCCCAGAAAATGTATTCACCAGCGTGCCAGAAAAATAGATGAACCTCCCTCCCGCCCTCATGAGTTCATAGTGCTGGACCGGATTGTACAGATCGTTGTGATTATTGCTGTACATGTCACGAGCCATGTGATGAGTGGCGACCTTTCGAGACTGTTCCCATGGACCCACGGGGGACTTTGCTGTCGAAAACCAGATCTCGCCAGCAGTGGTGTCACCGAATTTCTGCTGGATGATGTTCACCCAGAGCTTTAGATAGGGATTCCATGCAATGCCAACTTGTGCTGGGAGGAGAGGCTGGCCTGTCTCCACATCTCTCAGGCGGTATGGTGACTCCTCCCGGCGGATGATGCCTGCGTTGACAAGGCCGTCTGCAGTTTCAAAGTTGACTGGTCGCCCTCCCTTGACCCAGCTCCAGATGGGCGCTCCGTCCCGTCCACGATTTGCTCGCTGGCCATTAGGCGTGAGACACGTGAAGGCCTCGTACTGTGACGGGTCGCTTGCGCTGGCTAAGTCGGCCCTCACTCGCACATTTTTCCCGTAGAACGCGTACCGGATCCCGTTTTCGCGGACATATATCGTGTGGCCGCTTGGTGCTAGGGGATTGTTGCACTTGTCGAACTTTTTCAGCCTCTCAAAGACTTGTTTCTGTTCATCCCACAGCACGAGACCCTCCTCAATGCACTCCATGCTGTGGCCCGCGGCATGGTATCTGGCGACAAGACGTTCTCTGCCGGCCTCGTCCAGCACAACTGTGAGGCCGTCGACCCAAATAGGGAAGCTGCCCTCCTTTTGGATTTTTATCTTGACCATCGCTCGGACAAAGCTCTCTGGCTTGCTGTCCTCCGTGTAGTAGTCAAAACTGAGCCCCCTCTCCGGATCGATCCTCTCTGGCAAGTCTGTGGTGGCACCCGTCATCGAAAAGTTTCCCAACTGAAACGACATTTGGTCCGTATCCTGCCACATCCACAGCAATTTCCCCTGAAATCTGGCACACTGCACAGTGTCGCTCCCGGCAACCTTGGCGTTGATGACGGGATTCTCAATTGGCGTGGGCTTGCCCAGCAGAACGCTGTCGCGGTAGATGCCGTACCCTGTCATCCGGTAGAGCCTCGAGGCAACCTGTGTCCTCTTGAGCCTGATCTCGACTGAGCCGCCTGGCTTTGGATGAATCTGCGTGCCAGCGATCCCCAGAAACCCAGTCGGCGATTCGAAGCCGTAGCTGCTGAAAGTAACCCAGAGCGGTTCGCCCGTCATCAGGCCAGGTTCGTAGAAGGCGACATAGCCGGCGCTGTCCGTCATGTAGACCATCTTATATGTCGTTCGCAGGTAGACGAGGGGGATGCCCCGATTCGTCTCCTCGTCCACCACATGGATTGCAAAGTATCGCGAAGCATAGTCGTCAGATGATGGCGATGCTTCGACAGGCTGGTCCCGTTTTGACGACTGCGCAGCCGAGGACACGTTGGAGACGATGCGATCAAAGCCCGCAAGAAAAGAGGAGCGGGACTGGCGGGACGACATATTCACGTCCGGCTGCGAGGAAGTTCTGCCGATGAGGAGGAGGACGAGGAGGACGAGGAGGGGGTTGCCAGTGACGAGCGGACGGAAGTGTGACGTGATAAACATGGTTTCCTGGCACTTGCTGTGAAGAACCCCGAACCTTTTCTTCAAATGCTACTTATTTCCCGGGCCTTGCGTGCGGGGTATTCTGACAGGGAGGGTTCAATGTTGATATCCTCATTGCCGATACTCGATTTTGAGGGCTCTCATAGATGTACCTGAGCCATGGTTAGCACTTTCAAGTCTCTGTTGGCCAAACTGTTTTCCTTCATTGCTCTTTCGAGTGGCAGGATCAAGGTGTACATGTTCTGCTGTGTCGACCGGGGTACTGAATGCATTGTTACTTGGTTCAAAGGCTCATTTCAGAAACATCAGAGTGTACCCAATATCCACAACTATTCAATTACTACATGCCTACATTTGAATTAATGATTGGTTTTTGCTAGTATATATATATGTTCTCAATGACAAGATACATGACGAGATCAATTCTCAACAGTTTAGGGGCTTCGGTAGTTCTCTAGGAGCGCTGACCTCCTTCTAGACATTGTTAAGCAACCAAATGAAGCATCCAGGGTTAGGGTGTATACTCTTATCTATCTAAGCAGTACTGTTATACAACCTTGGGAACGGAACGTGGCGACTCGGCGGCTCCGGGACTTTCAGACTGCTTCATCGCATCGACTTGGGCAATAACCACCTCGAATTTGCAATATATACTTGAAGATATACGAGAGGAAAGAGGCCTATCGTACACTTTGGCCATCTGCTGGCCGCGACTCCTATGTTCTGCTCAAATTCGAGGCCCCTCGTGATGTATCCTCGGATTCAAATGCTGTACTTGCCCTGCTGATTCAAGTCCCAGCAGGAGGTCTTCCTACGATTGTGTGTCAGTTGTACAGGAGGTTCTAGGTCAGACAGAGACCGGATTTCATCTGCTTTACTATCAGATTTATGACGCCATGGAAGGTCACGCAGAATTCAAGATCAAGCGGAAACCAGTGGTTGTGGCCGAGAGCGCGAAAATACACACGCCAGAGAAACAGTTGCCTCCAACTAGTACTGGTGATTTTCCAAACGAGAAGGGTTTTGAAGTCGTGGTCGGTGCGGCAGGTCACTCGTCACACATGATGCACCAAGACAATACCCCAGTGCAGGCACGCGACGTGAATACAAGTACAAACGATGGCCTTGAACTACCAAGCTCTACTACCACGAACACGGCTGAGAAAGCATCACCAGATGAGAGTGTCGACGGCACACATAAACCCTCTTTACTCAAACATGTATTCGATGAGACCCGATTCTTTGTCGGCGGCCTCATCCCACGCCCACATGAGTCAACGAAGCACTACACTATCCTCCGCCATTCATCCAGCGTGGTTTTTTATCGAGGCCCCACGACCAGCGTGGTCATCACGGTCTTCTCATCCTCGCAGCCTAGCGTGCTGCTTCCTGCTACGCGAACAATTTGGCTACAGCAACGTGGGGTTTCCGGGAACACCGGCATGAAGCTGAAGAGACTGGTCGGTGCGACGGGTAGCTGGCTGGATGTCACTCCAACGACACAAGTAGCAGCAGAAGACCTCGGGGCCTCTGAGAGGAGAAGTTGGCAGAGAGATATCGACAAGTTCATGAAGACCGCCGCACGCGAGAAGACGGGCCATGTGCCAAGGGAGACGCATGTCATTCGCCTCCCTGTCGTCGCTGGCGATGGCTATTTTCGACTAGTGTTATGCGCCGGTGGCACGACAGCGTCCTGTCAGGAGGATGATGCAGACACTCGCAAACGGTTCACGAAGCGGCGGGTCCTGTGCTCGAGCCCCATCTTTCGTATCGCCAGCACGTCTACAGATCCCAGTGTCTTCCGAGGGGCGAGCTTGAAGACGCTCCCGCTGGAACTAGGCGTGATGGCAGGATCCATCGTGGGAAATGCAAAGGTGGCTGGTCTTTTGGCCCCGGTGACAAACACGGTCCAACAGCAGATCCAGAGAGTACAGCCGGACTTTGTCGTGAGAGAGGCTGCAACGACTGCCTACCAGGCATCAGGTCTGCAGGAGAAGATTGAAGTGGTTGATGACGACGACGACCCGTATAGCTACAGCAGGGAACCAGGCTACGACAACAAGAACGACGACGTGCTGGAACGGCTTGATGAGGGAGCTGAAGTCGACATGGATGTCATCGGTCCTGATTCTGGACCCCAGTCTCCGTTCCCTATCCAGTTCACGGGGAAAATGACCTGGGGTGCCGAGCAGGAAACCAAGTCAATTCCCGCTGCGGCCCTCCAAGGGGTTCCAGACAGTACCATTCTCCGCCTGAAAGGATCCTCCTCCTACATGGGATGGGCCAGCATCCTGCCGCACCGCGACTTGGACAAAGGGATTTCATTGGATTGGCACGAGGTAGTCCTTGAAGTCAGCCCATCTCCCCACGCACCGCCGAGTGTCGCAGCTAGGAATGCCGTCACTGTGAACTGGGCACACGATCCTGGACTCACAACGACGTCCTTCTCTGCCAAGATCAAGGTGATGATCATGGACTTCATCCGGCCTCTAGACACGAGAGCAAGCAGAGACGAGATAGAGAGATCCGCTGCAAGAGATATCCAGATTACGCTGTCCAGCCTCAGCAGAAGCAACTGGGGACCGGAGTTGACGATTGAAAGGGTTAAGACGTCTCAGAGTGCGAGGAGCTTCTCAGAGAAGTATACGGATGCGAGAAAGCAGATACAGCAAAGAACAAACAGCGTTCCACTACACTGGGCCGGTATCAGGAGTTCCGGTGCCGCGTTGCGTGATCGCGCTCTTGGAAATGGAGGCTACTGGGTGGCACGATGAGTTTGTTATAACATGGCCAGTGTTGTATGGGTATGTACAAAGTCCTGCCTTTACGAAACAATTCACTGAAAAGAGATGCTCTTATCGCTGTTTCGGACTTCCTATGCAGAACGCTGCATGGAGTCCCCCCCACTGTGGTATGCGGTAAGACGGCGTAATGTTTGCAGCGCAGATGCTTGGAAATTGCAGAGTGTCGCTGCAGCAGTGTAAGCCAATAACTTTGCGGGCAATGACGTGCGTGAGTGCTCCATCGATTGTACAACACACCACTTAATTAATATTTCAACCTCAAACGAAGCCCGAAGCCCAAGGGGTTTCAGCGACTCGCGGATACTTCTAAACCAGAAAACTTGTCTCATTCCAGAGCATAAATGTCTTGATCTCGAGTGCAACGAAAAGGAGAAAGAAAAAAAATGAGTGCCAACTACAATAACCCTGGAATGCTGCCAGTGCCAAACCCCACGCTCTCGTACTGGCAGAGCGAGCGCCACCACCTCGACTCCTACAGGTCGACCGAGGAGCTCCCTAGCATCAGCGATATTGTGGTCATTGGAGCCGGAATAGCAGGGGTCTCTGTCGTGTAATTGAACCCATCTCACCCATCTATCGATCAAGTCATGGGGGTTCCCTATCAGCTAACCTCATCGTTATGGTCTCCCAGTCATCACCTTTGCAGCACGCCAGATCCACCACAGATCCTCCTTCTCGAGGCCCGTCAGACCTGCTCCGGTGCCACGGGACGCAATGGAGGCCACGTCAAAATGAAGACAGCCAGTATTTTGGGGTATATAGCCAAGTATGGCCCTGCATCTGCCGACGAGTACGCTCGTTTTGTGCAAGACCACATCTACGCTCTCAAGGACGTCGTAGAAAAGGAGAAGATTGCTTGTGAGTTCGAGATACGTCGCAGCTATGACGTCTTCAACTTGGAGAGCGAAGCCCGAGAGGTGGAGGCTTCGTTCAGGGAAGCTCTCGACCGCGGCGACCAGTGGACCAGGGACAGAGACTTGGTCGGGCCTGAGTTCGCAGAGGGGCTGACGAGCGTCAAGGGCGCTCGGTGCGCTGTCAGCTCGCCGTGCTGTTCGTTGTGGCCCTATAAATTCGTGACAGCGCTGCTCGAGAGGGCAATGGCCAAGAACGCTTCCTTGAACGTCCAGACAGAGACGCCCGTGCTGAAGCTGGATGACGGCAGTGACGGGGTGACCTTGGTCCACACTCCACGAGGGGTCGTCAAGGCCAAGAAAGTCGTGTTTGCTACCAACGCTTACACGGCAGCTCTTTTGCCTGAGTACCACGGGATCATCACCCCTTACAAAGGGACGGCAGCGCACCTGGCCGCGGAGGATGGGATCGAGCCCGTGTTTCCTCACCTCAGCCACACATACAACCTGGAATTCGGCCTAGACCCTGTCCTCGAGACAGTCGACTACTTGAACCCTCGACCAGATGGCGGTATTGTGGTGGGAGGAGCCAAGTGGATCTACGAAGAGAAGAGGGAATTATGGTATAACACAGTGGACGATTCCACTCTCTTTGACCCTGTGATCCAGGCTGGTTATTTCGACGGATACATGCAGAGGAACTTTAAAGGGTGGCAAGACAGTGGTTCAAGAGCCGAGAGTATTTGGACCGGTAGTAAGTACCAGATAGCCTGTTCTAGTTTTTGATTTTTGTTCCTTATCTTTTCCCCTTGACGAATCTCCAGCTTACAAACATCTACAGTCATGGGAAGTACTCCAGATGGCCAGCCACACGTTGGAAAGGTGCCTGGCAAGGAGAACCAGTGGATCCTCGCCGGCTTCAATGGTGGCGGGAATGCGTTGACGTTCCTGTCCGCCAAGGCTGTCGCTAGGATGGTGATGGAGGGCGTGTCCCTTGATGAGACTGGTGTAAACGTCCCGTGCCGTTGCGAAACAACGAGAGCTCGCCTGGGAATACACCATGGATCAAACTTGACCATAGGGTTGAACTTGATTAAGTGAGGGTCGTGTATATTAAATCTCTAAAGAAGGCCCTATCGCACGTGGTATGCTGTGTGGCCGAGCGACGATGTCCTCCTATGAGCTCAGCTTCCCCCAACCTGAACCACGATCTTGCCCTTGGCTCTTCCGGTCTCAAGCTTCTCATATGCCTTGGGGGCATTCTCAAACGTGAAGACCTCGTCCATGACGCTTTTCACCTTGCCCGCCTCCATCCAACCCGCAATCGTCTCCAGATCGGCATGGCTCTGCTGGGTCAGGATCATCTTGAACTGCCGCTTTCCTCCTCCCAGAAACCCTGGCACCAGCGTCCTCTTCATCGCAGACTTGACCTGCCCCATGCTCACCCCACCGCCAACGTGAACAAAGGTGCCGTCGGGTCTCAGGAAGCTATTGGCAGCGATATAGAGATCTTGCTGCTCCGAGGGCGTGATCCCAACATTGTCCACCACCACACTGAACTCGGGCTGCTGCCCCTTGGCCTTCAACACCGCACTGATATCCTGCGTCTTGTAGTCAATCACCTCGTCCGCGCCCAGCTCCTGGCACAGCTGCGCGCTGCTGCCAGAACAGCTCACCGTGACATGGCACCCGAGCGCCTTGGCTACCTGGATCCCATACGTGCCCGTCCCGCCACTCCCACCATTGATAAAGACCTTGGGCGCGCTCTTCTTGCCGTCCTTGCCTTCCTCCTTGGGAAGATACGGCCGTATCGTCTGCACCGCCGTCAGCCCGCACGTCCCCACAGCCGCCATCTCCGCCATCTTGTTCTCGAGACCACTCGGGACGCGTGCCAGGCCATCGCCGTTCTTGACGATGATGTACTGCCCCAGCGTGCCGTACTTGTTCGGCTCGATGCGCCCAAAGACCAGCTGGCCAGGGCGGTAGTCGGCGGCCGCGGCCTCGCCAGCCACGACTACGCGCCCTGAGTAGTCCATGCCTGGGTGTGCTGGTGGCGACATGAGGGTCCGGGCGAGGATGCCTAGGCTCGCCACCTTGTAGTCAGCTGGGTTGACCGCCATGTACAGGACCTCGACGAGAATGGCCTGTGGGGAGAACAGCGACTTGGGGGGCGGTGCGGCCTGCTCCTCGAGATGGAGTGCTTTGGCAAGGGAAGGGGTGGCGCCATCGAATGTCCAGGCGCGCATTGTCTTGGGCCATGCGTTGTCCGCCATCGTTGCGGTCGTGATGAATGTAAGAAGGCGAGAGCCAAACTAGGTCTCAGTTGTTGATGATAATTTATTTTCTCGTTTTCCCTTCTTTTTTTTGTTTTTTTTGGAGTAATGGATGTTAAAAGTTGCAGTGAAACCTGGAAAGAATGAAGGGAGGAGGTGGGACAAGAGTGAAGTAAAATTGATGTAGCAGGGCAGCTTTATGTTCTGTACCGAGGGAGAGCTTGGAAATTGCGCACCCAAAGATTTCATGATAAAGACGAGCTTGTAACTGACTCATGACGTATGGTTGCGGACGGGTTCTACTTTTTAAGACCACAGGGGGTGCCAACGTACGATTTTGTTGATAACGCAATCGATGAATGTCGCTGGCATTTATGTAAAATCGAAAAAATTTGGACTCAATACAACCGTCGTCTAGACAAATGACAAATAACAAATTGAACATTATTATGCTGTAAAATTCATATAATCAAAATATGTGACACGGCGCTGAACCCTCACATACAAGTCAAGTCCATGCTACATAATCTGATACCTTCATATAATAAGGTTCCGAAATCCATGGATCACGAATCCTTCATTTTGTTTTGTTTTTATGTTGCACTTCGTCTCTTCTTCCTCTCAATACAAAGCGCTTCGTGCCAAGGGGCGTCTCCGTCGCATGCCAGTAGTGGGCACTGGCTTCTCCAGCCTCCATGCCCACAGCAGCAGATCCTCGAGCGGTAGGAAGTTCATCAGGATCCGGTTGCAGGTGAAGGCCATGACGACCACCAGAGAGGCCACCATGGCATCCATGAGATAGTGGTTCGCCGTCGCGATAATAGTCAGCAGCACCCAGAGGGGATACCACACACCAAATGCGAAGAAGGCAATGCGCGATGGGACGGAACGCTCGCTGCTGCTGCTAGTGGTGTTGATGGTGCTGCTGCCGCCGCTGCCGGGCTGCTCGAGGCTGATGTGGTTGGGGGAAGCGTTCAGGTTCTCCTCGTCCGCGCCCGGCACCGGAAGCCAAGTCTCGCTGGGGTTCCGGGTCTTGCCGAATCGCCGGTACATTTGTTTCGCTCCACTGAGGGCAGCGCTCTCATACATGAAGACGCACCCGATACAAAAGGCATAGCCAAAGTGCATGCTAGGCATGGCCGCCAGACGGTTGACGAAGTTGCCGCTCATCCAGACAGAGGTAGCATCCTCTCCGTTAACGGTGTCGATAAAGCCGTACTCCATGGGAAGCAGACGCGGCGGCATGCAAGGGTAGAAGATGAACACCACGAAGGCGAAGAGGTTGCACAGAGTCATGGTCCGGCGGGCGATGGCGAAGCGTGAGAAGGTCGGCGACATGTAGTAGTAGAATGCGATGAAACTGTGTTTTGAGATCAGCATGCGTGGCGGCTTCAGGGGCTGGGATGATGGGCAGTGGCGGAGAGCGATAAAGAACAATAATCACGACTTACCCTACAGTGCCGGGGATGTGGATGAGGGCGTAGGAGCGGTTGAGGACGGTGAGAAAGGTACCGCGCCAGTCACCAGCTCTTGCGCCTGTGAGGAACCACTGCTGAACATTCCACTCGATCCACCTTGAAGTTCCCGTCAGAGCAGTCCTCCCAAATATGTAGGTCTCGAGCTCGAGGATCGCAAGCGCATGTTCCTGCGCGACGTCCCACATCTGCTTGCTCCCGCCGTAGTACACCGCGGCCGCGTAGGCCGTGAGTCGGTAGAAGAAGAACTGCAGGGCCCAGTAGAACATCTCCACCAGGAAAGGGAACTTCTGCAGGATGCGCGAGTGGATATGGCGGGCAAAGCGCGAAGAGTTGGGGGTCCGGACTGTCCATATTCCCAAGACACGGCGGGTCTTGGAGGGGTATTCCGAGTTGAAGCCCCGTCGGGTCTGCGGATCGCTGTCGAAGGAAGATCGTGGGGAGAGGGATGTCGGAGAGCCTGCTATGGGAGAATAGCCAGGACTCTTGCTGCCACCAAGTATAGAGTAGTCTTTCGCCCGGGTCAAATACATGGAGGTGAAGAGGATCGAGACGATGAGCTGGAAGAAGGGAAAGGACGCCAATTAGTAAGGTTTCCCAAGACACAGGGAAGTAGGTTAATGATGGTTTTTGTTCACACATACCACGGGCTCGACCCAGTCAGGCATGCGGAAGACGTGCGGATGCCAGTCATCGCTTGGGGCGCCATTGTCGGCCATTGTCTCGACGACAGAAGTGGTGCGAATTGCAGTCTCGAAGGGGGCACCGAGCATCTGTTGACAGAATATGGGCAAAGCCTCAAAGAAGATATCGTCGATCGATCTTGGTGCCGGATCGCGAGGACTCTGGTCGTCCTCGATTGATTTGCGTGGGTGTTGGACCTTTACACTGGACTATCCGGGGGGAAATCACGAGGCGACGACAACAGCAACGGCCAAATCGATCCAGCTGGGTCGTGTTTTTGGCCTTGTTGCCTCTGAGATCGTCACGCCCAAATCTATGCCCTCTTGTCACACTTATCCAGAGAGGAGAGATCCAGGGGTTCCGACGAGTAACCAGTCACACGACACAAGGCCACTGTGGTGACGGGAGGGATTTTCGTCGAGGATTCGCAGGTTGGTGGACGCGTGCGAATACACTGTCCCCTTGTCGACAAGGAAAGGACGAGGTTGACAGGACTGAGAGCCTTGCGGAGAAGGGCAGGATCGCGTGTGGACGTGGGGTGGAAAAGACTGCAAGCGGATGAGCGAAGAAAATGAGGAGGGAAAGGCAAAACTTGGTGCAGCTGACGATACGAAATGGCGGGCAAACAGGCTAATAGCAGCCTAAGTGTAGGCGGTTTAAGGAGAGAGGGGGCTAAGGGGAATGGGTTGGGCACTAAGACAAAGCAATTGAACCTGCTGAGGCTGAGATTTGGAGACAGGCCGTTATTAGCAACAAGAGTCCCACTTGACGGAACCCTAGCCCATGCCTCTCTGCCAGCGTGTCGGCCCCTTCCCTTGCCAGTGTCACTTGTACAGTAGTGGGATTTATCACTGCACCTCAGCTTTCTTCAGTGGGGCCAAATCTGACAGTGCAGCTTCACTGGCCCCTTTCAGGCTGACAGTGTTTGTGTTGTATCTTACAAGACCATATTGGGTACATCTTTTAGAGTTCACCTTCATAAAATTATGATGAATTTTTGCAGGATATGCAATCAGTATCTGGAATTGAACTTGTACATTTATCACGGAAGAGAGTAAGACAAAAGAAAAGTTTATCTACAGGGAACAAAGAACAGACTTCAAGAGCTGACGACTGTAATAAATGACCAGGCTGACCACTGCAGCAAGGATTCTCCGCCAAGGATCTGCCAAGTCTGTCTCAAAAGCGGTCTAATGGATGGGAAGAAGACTTTATGGCAGCCAACCAGGTACCGTAGGCTGCTGCCCCCAGGAGCACGATTGTCGCTTCAGAAAATTTGCAAAAAAAATGCTGTTGACAGTATCATCTCAACCTTATTTCATGCAAGGCAATCGACGTGCGAGCTGCTACGTGGTACTGTACCTCTCTCCAAGTGCTTACTTTGAGTACTTCAGTACTTACTTAAGCTCGCATGAACAGCCACAGCCACGTTTACAGAAATAGGGGGGCTTGTATCTGGCAGTGATTTCCTCCTCACGTGTCGTAGCCCAGCGAGCATATGTGGTGTACAGAGAAATAAATATATGAATCACTCGGACCTAAACTTCGCTTTCAACACAATGCAAAGATCGTCGACATTGAAATCGGTCCAGGATATCGTGTCAGATAGGCCAGCGGAATTCGTGAGGTCAAAGCGGAAGTTACCCAGCCGCATTAGGGGCCCTCGGCTTCCCTTGCGCTGAGATGGATTGCATGGGATGGATGGATCTACAGGGCCGAGATTCCAATCTCACGGATCTTCAATCTCCAGTAACCTCGGATTTTCTTGTCGCATACGGACCTTCCGAACAGCGCCTACCACCGCTCATCCCTATCACCCATCGTTGTTGCGATGATCTAGCTTTCATATACAATAATTGTAACCGTCTTCGTGAGATATGCTATGTACTGATGTGACCCAATGCCGATTTCGTATCAATCGAGAACGCGAACCCGTGGAGCCTGGATCCTTCACTGCCAGTATTATGTCAGCCTGCCAGTGGGCATGTGTACATAATGGTAATGGGCGCTGCCCTCGCCATTATGTTGTGTCGTTGCGTACAAGGAGCACGCGCCATCATACAGCAACGCTGCCACCTAACGAGCAGGGGATGGCCTAAAGGATTAATGTAATGTCATGTTACAGGTGCTCATACAGAACACAGCGGTACACTCTTCGGGGCTAGTCGGGACGAGGGCAGGAAGCTGTTGGACTTGAGAGCCTACAACGAAGTACAGTGTTTTGTAGCAGTGACCATTCCTCCCCAGAAAGCTTAGCACGAGAGCGGCGCGTTGTATTGGTTGGATCGAATGATGGCGCAACAGCAACAGGAGGAGACCTTGAAATGAGTGGAAAACTGCAGCTCTCGTCCAGTCGACCTGCGAGTCAAGGGCTTAGTCGTTTTCGCATTAGTTTCTCTCCGCCTAGGCACTACATGCACCCGTAGCCACACCTCAGACAATCACTCCTCGGCCTCGGAGCTTTGAAAGCCTCCGTCCCAGTCGATAACCAAAGGTCTCATTTTTTGGTAAGCAGCACCTTTTGGGCCTGTTCCACAGGTTACCAAAGGAAGAAAGCAACATGAAGCAAAAGGCGCATTTGAGAAACACATATCAAAGTAGTTCCACCCATTCTTTTGTTGAATGCAAAGCTGATGCTGTGGAAATCATTAATTATGGGAAGGGGCAGTCATGCCAACCCCATCCCTGGCTTTTGCCTATGATAGCAACCATCCAAGCTCTAAGATACAGTAGTGTTCCTTCTCGTGTTCTCTTCGTGTGCTCCTGCCCCAAGCTGGAATTTTCAATCCTCATCATAAATATATCATACTCGAAAAATGCCGTTTCCATCGTCTTCAAATATCATCCATTCATACTTCAGCCTTGCTGACGGTCATCTTCAGAAATTCCATCGCTAGTGTTCAAGGCCATTGCGCGATGGCTGCAGTCTCAGTTCTGCCACTATCGAGGGTCGAAGGCCAGCAGGATCATGACGCCCAGGCAGACGGGTGCTGACCTGCCATGAGCGCGGGATAAAGTCTGTGCACGCCTGTCGAAATGTTAGTTGGTGTTCTGTTACTCAGTCGAGGGAATGTAGGATGTGGCTTACATGGTCGGTGTTGTCGTCCATGAGCGTATCCTTCACTAGGTTCATCTCGGCGCCACCCTTTGACGCTCGATATTCTTCCTGGAGGGACAATTGAAGCCATGATCAATTGGCTCGATGGCTTCAATTGCTCTGGAGATCCCCGTCGCTGTCCTCCTCCGGGTCCTCCAGAATCACCGACATGCGCTTGCCAGCGGCGTCGCATCTCGCGAGCCGCACCGCATCCCGGCAATCCTCGAACGCCTTCCGCAGAACCTCCGTCTGCGACCCTCCGACAGAGTGGATTGGCTCTGTCGGCGACTCTTGAGAGAACGTTCCGAGGAAGAATACCGAGCCCGTAAACTCTTCGTCGAACAGCGGCCCGTCAAAGGAGGCCACCTCGCCATAGGCATCATTGTGCCAAAATGATGGCTGCCCAGCCTGCCGCTCCGGTTGGGACTCTTGGTATTCCTCAAGATAGTCCGCGGCGAACTCCTGGTCCCAGTCGGACTGCCAGAGGTGGTCCGATCTGAGAACCGTTGTGGAGGTGGCTGGGTCCTCCTGGGGCTGGCTGCCGACATACCGGAGCCGTCCCTCGTAGGAACGGGGTTGGCTGCCGAGAAACCTAACCTGTCCAGGGAACCTGGGTGTCGGCGAGGACTGGGCGTGTCTGCCGTCATCGTTTTCCTAAGACGAGACGGTCTCAGCACCCATATTCGCCTCCTCTTCCCAGGTCTCCTCATTATCGACGGTGGCCTGCCCGCCCCGCCCAGCGTTGCCAGCATGCTCCTGTACTCCAGTGCCTGTACTGGGAGACGGACTGGTCGTCGCCTCGATCTTGTCGACGCCCTCCTGAGGCTCCTTGCCCTCGTCACTATCATACTCTGGGCCCGACGGCAGGGTGACAGCTGTCGCGCCTGACCCAGACCGAGAGTGGTGCTTCGTGCTCGAGCTGTTCGTCTGTAGCTGGCGCAGCGACTCCCCTGAGGGCTGGCGCGTGGCGCTGTGGTCCTCGGACCAAGATAGGCGCCCAGACACCTCGCCATCAAGGACGGGCGACTTGCTGAGGGCGGCACCGATATATGTGGCCTGGGTGGCGCTCGAGGTCAGGACGCTTCGAGGCAGGGAAGATTGGGGCCGTAGGCCAATCGGCGGATTCTGGCCATCGACGGCGTCGACAGCGGGGGTGATCTCCACGATATAGTGGAGACCCTCCCAGCAGCCGATGATAGCGCCGTCGAGAGCGCGCTCATAAGTGCTGTCACGTTTAGCACTGGACGCATCGTGCGCTCTCGCGTCGTCGACAGCGGACTTCGAAACCCTGTCTTCCTTGTCGAGGAGGTCCATGATAGGGACCACGTGCTTATACGGGCGGCGACGCAGACCGAGGTCAACGTCGCGGTACAGGATCTGACGCGTACTATCTTCCTATTAATGCCAACTCAGTGTGGACAAAGACGAGGATTGTTTGTTATTTACGGTTGAACGCGTTCAGATAGAACGTGTTGGGCATCGGTGTGCCTCTCTCCACGCTCGGCGCGTCTCGTCAGACGGCTTTTCAAGATATTCTTGATGGATCGATATGAAGCCATAGTGGGCTGCTCACGAAGCATCTTCTTGGCCTCGTTCTCATTGTCGACGGCGGCCTGCTGGCTTTGTTGCTCCTCGTGATTGGTGGCAGGGGTGGGGAGGATATGCAGCGCCTTGCCAAAACGCTGCAGAAGCTGGGAAGGGTGGGGAGAAGAACGAGGAGACATTTTTGAATAGATATTGGAGGATTGAACACAACAAAGGAAACAGAGAGGTGTAGTGGTAGTGTCAAAGGTTGACAGAAGATGTTGTGGTATGCTGCTCTGTGTTATTTTGTGTTGTTGTGTGTTGTTGTGTGTTGTGTTGGGGAAAAGGCTTGGGCCAAAAACTGCTTGCTGTTATATAGTTTCTGCCACCCACTATCGATATTATATTCACTTGAGATAATCGAGATAAGGCGATTTGATGTCATTGACAACAGAAGACAATACCATTCATGTGAGCATCAGTGAAGGAGGTAAATATTGTCACCCTGCTTGCAGCACTTACTGTTGATTGACCTGTGTGAATCTAGCGCAGTAAATACTATAAATGAGTACCTTCAATCCAGAGATCCACTGCTAGGTCCTTCACTGTTAGCCCTTATTCGGAAAGTACATCAATACATGGGTTGACTTCAATTCATGTTCCATGAAGCATGTCAATAAATGTATCAAGGACAATGGAAGATACTCGTTACTTCACAGGATCTATGATTCAAACTACTTGGATATGTGATGGATGGAGGACTACAATATTTATGTACTTATGCCTGGCACTTGGCTGGGCAAGGCAGGGCTTTGCGAGAGGACTTACTTCGATCTAGGGGGAAATGAGAGCACATCATAGCTGCATTGAAGTCATAAACCAACCATATGACCACGAGCAGATGCTGCAGATAGAAGTTTTTAAGAACACATTTGGCCTCCACATCAGCAGCTAAACAGCAAATCCATTCAAATCATATTGATCAGATGGTTCCCGATGAGAGCCTCAGAATTCTTTGCCCTACTGTACTGACAACAGTTATGGTCACAATCTGAGTATTGAGATACAAGCTATGGTAAGCAAATTATTACTCTGCTTCACATGGCCTAAATTTGATGGGCTGATACTTGAACTCGCTGCATACAAAGAAATCCTGGTGCAGGTAGCATGCAAAACAGAGACAGTAGGATCAGGAGTGCCGTTCAACTACGAATACATCAAAGCCTATGAATATGAAATGGCCCATGAAGTTTCTACATATTTCTAGCCAACTGTGAACCTATTCTGTAGTTGTGAAGTTATGCGAACTCCCACCGTCAAGGCCAACAACAACATACCCACCATCGAAGCTTACACCCGCCGTGCCCGACACAACACCGCCGCTACGGGTCCAAATGACGGTACCATCTTGAGCCACCGTATTGTCACTGCTCGCAACAGGTACAAAGGCTTGCCCCGTGGTATCTGTAGGCGTGCTAATGGTCAGTGTCAACCCCGACCCCGTGCCAGTATCAGCAACCTCCCACCCGACGCTGATCCCCCCACCATTCGGCGTAGGCACGACACCTTTGGCAAACTCCAGCCCACCTCCCACCACGACCGGTTTCACGTCAAAAGTCGAGAAGCCTGAGCCCGTTGGCGTCACACCCAGGACGTAGTTCTGCATCAAGGGCACGATACACGTCGACCACCCATGTGCAAGGGATGTATAGCCCTGCTCATAGTAACTGCCGTTTGGGCCGATGCCCTCCCAAAAGGTACTAAAGGGGTCATTGTTGGCCATGTGGCCATAGAGCCTCCGCAACTCGTTAAACGCACTCGATGCAACGCCCGTCGGATCTGTGGTCGTCGTCAAGTTTCCTGCTGTTTGGAACCGCGCCGCGAGCTCGAAATAGCTGATGAAGGCGTACACGCGCTGGTCAAACTCGTCTGACGGGCTCAGTAGAGAGTTGTCGTAAAAGGCATTGCCGTAGAACCGGGTTAGCGCAGAGGTCATGAAGGTGAAGATGGACTCCTCCACTGTGGTCTGAGTGGACACGAGAGAGCTGGCGTAGGAGTTGTTGGTCGCGCCCGAGAGAATGGCAAGGCCGTTACCGTCCTGCGCGTGGGTCGGGCATTTCTCTGTGTCGTTGGTTCCGCACGGCCCGCCGTCGTAGAGTGCTCCGACGGTAGAGTCCCAGTTTTCGCTTAATAGGGCGGCTAATTAGAAGATCATCAGTCAGTCAGCTGATGTTCTTATTTCCTTGGCTTACTTTTCCTTGCTTAATGATGCGGGATGAAGCAAAGCAAGGAGGAAGTACTACTCACGGCCAATGCCGGCAGCCCGGGCCCTCCACCTCGCCGCGTCGTCCGTCTCGCCTTGGGTATCGGCTAACAGCGCCGCCCTGTTCAAGGCAAGAATGTAGAGCGCATTGTAGTAAGTAATCACCCCACTCCGCGGTAGAAAGGCATAATCGCCATAGCCAGACGATGTGCCCAGCCCCTTCTCCAGCAAGCCCGCCTCATTCGTGGAATTGGGATAATAGGTGTCGAGGGTGTTGACCATTGTTGCGTAGTACGCACCCAGATAATCTGTATCGCCCGTGTACAGGACCAAATCGCTGCTGCAGACCACCCACCACAGCGGGTAGTCGTAGAGAGCAAGTGTGTAATCGTTGATGCTGGCAGGCGGAATCCATCCGTCGCTCCGCTGGTGAACTGCCAGGTCAGACAGAACATTTTTTGCCGCATCTGGGTTGTTGTGCGAGAGGTACAGCGTCAGCGCCGAGACGGCCAGATCACCTGCATACGGGTCACGATCACGCTTGGCGCCGTCGTACAGCACCACCTTGCCCAGCATTGTCGTGTTGTCACTGGCATCGCGCGGATCCGACTCATTGGCGCGGAAGATATCCGTGCACAGGTCGTTTGTGTAGACGGCGTCATACCACCAGCTCGTAATGTCTGGATCAGAACACTCGAACCATCCGGTGAAGGTGTCGGGCGTGCCTTGATACGCCGAGTATGCCAGACTCACAGAGTCTATGGATACAGAGCCGAACCCTGTGGTGTACGGCGCGTCAGAGGCCAGCGCCTGCAGGGTAATTCTTAGATAGCGGAAGCCATGAAACCCGTCGGAGCAGACTTTGCTTCCTTCATACGCGCATCCAAGCTGGTTGGTCCAGGTGTACGGCTCGCTCTGCACCGCGACCTGGTCTGTCCCATTTGTGACCTTTTCCCCAGCGGGGAGATTGTCCGACCGTGTGAAATCGCTTCTGTTGGTGAGATACTCGAGACTTTCGGAAAAGGCCAATGTGATACCAGGCAGGGCACTCGTGTTGCTAGAGGATCCACTGGCCTCCGCCCCCGCAAAATTGATGGATAGGATGCCTGGGTAATTCTGTCCAAAGTCGAGCACGATCGTCGGCATGTCCTCGTCCTCAGAGCTGCGAGTGAGGGTTGTGACTCCATCGCCGACGATCCCGTCCGGATTGGTGATGTTGCCTGTGGTGTGCGAGGCCAGCAACTCCACAGGGGAGATGGTCGTGCTGGAAGGGCCTCGAACATACTGGTGCCAGCTGGTATCACCTGTCTGGCGAGAGCATTTGCCCCTCTGCTGCGGTGCTGCGGTACCTATTGTCAGCGTGGGTATGAGCGATGCAATGAGAAGCATGACCAAGGCAGCTGAGCCCGGCACCTGCCCGAAGAAGGAGGCCATTGGACAATAGTAGGGAGCAAAAGTTCGAGATGTGACAAGTGACAATACTCAGGTAGACAAGAAGGAGAGGTGTATGAAATTGCGTGTAAGGAGAGGGGAAGTGCGTGCCTCACTGAGTAGACATGCTGGTATTGCTGTGAGGGAAGAAGAACAGTTGGGGAAGACCAAGATGTGGGGGTGAAATATAGAGAAGGAAGTCAAAATATTCGTAAAGTTCGGTCAGATTCACACCGATGGCGTCGACATGCATGCCGACATCCTCAAGCCCGCAGAAGAGAAGGGGGAACCCTTACAATCAGGTGGCATTTCCCCCATCCGGACGACGTTGGGGCATAACAGGCCAGTATCGGCGGATAATCGGTAAAAGGAGATATATATATAGGTATAGGATTTGTCACAAATAAGCGCCTGAAGACTCCCAACAACGAAGACGTGAGCCACGAGGGCTGAATATGCTGTATGCCTTGGGGTATACGAGCCGGTGCAACGGCAGCCTGGCAACAAGCACACGAGCTGTGTAAATGAGGAGTAATTGCTTGACTTATGGTAGAAGCTTCGTCATGAATCGGACGTGCGAGGTAGCATTAGCGTTCAGAGAGTCACAGCGTGTGACCAGAGTTACATTGCTTGTGCTGGTCGGGGTCAAGGCCTTGCAGATGATGAACGGAATAACGGTAGGGGTCGGGATACTCCAAAGGCTGGGTTGGTGATGCAAGTTTTTATGCATGAACGGGGAAAAAAGGGCTTGCTTAAGTACCACGCAACAGCAGTTGTACACATTTGTGGTATGTAAACTAGGCATGATCGCCCGCCCCCCGCCCGCGCTATTCCAGCATAGTGCAGGGTGCAGCAACGCCGTGGCATGTCGGTAGACGGCACAACTTATGTGTGGGATGATCACTCCTACATACTGTAAAAGTGTGCCCGCTGCTGTAAGACATCAATGTCCTGGTCTGGTTAATGGCTGAGTGTTGGAAGAGGTGTATCTTATAACTCTGTCATAGCTATCAGATTCAATGTCACAGGCAGGAGGAGATCCGGCCTGGCGAGACTGTATCATACAGAGGGCGTGCATCCCACCCAGCCAATATAGCAGAACTATATATATGCCGAAAAGACCAACCGCTTTTTTAAACCTTCGCATGCCGCAAATGAGAACCCATGTCCAAGAACCCCCTGTCTTTCTTAACTCAAAAGTATAACCTCAGCCATCTAGAGGTACCGAAATATTACAAAGAGCCATCCATCAGTGATGAATCGTTGCTCGTCGCGTACTTGAGACGCCTTCCCTCCCCCTCACAGCCTCTTCTCTCTTTACTCTTACCTTTCTTTTTCTTCCTTGCCGAGCTAGCGAACCAGTCATCCAAGTCAAGGCTACCGCGCCACGGGCAGAATGCTTTACTGCCAGGGTTCAAGAACAAGTCGTGACCGCAACACGCAGTGGGAACGGCGCGGGCCGGCTCAGGTGTTGCTGTGACGCGGTCGCTTGCGGGCACTGCCAGGCGTCCCGGGGTGCATCTTGGCGTTGGTCTCGCGCTTGAGCTTCTCGTCGAGGACCCGGGCTGTAGAGGTGTGAGGATAAGGGCAACCACACGAAAGTTACATGAATACGAGTCTCTAGAGGGGGGGATAAACTCACTGAGGACGTCGTAACCGAATTGCGGGAACTGCAGGCAGAGGGCCTTGAACTCGGGCTCGGCCTCGGCTCGCAAGGTGTGGGAGCGGCTGGCCCAGAAATTGGCAATTGGGGCACGGATGGCTGTGTCGGCGTCGGGCGTGTAGGCATAGACGTATTGGGCGTATGCGATCTCGCCCTTGGCGGTGGAGTTGACGCAGTGAATCTTGGAGCTGGCGAGGGTCCGCAGGCTCGGGACCTGGAACTTCTCGGCCAGAGTGTAGACGCGGGCGTGTTTTAAGAGCTGTTCGCCAGTCTCGTCGACCTCGGGGATGGATGCGTCGGACTCGAGAGTGCGCTGACCGGGCAGCTTCTTGGGGAAGTATTCGCCGGTGTAGAGGTACTCGAGGAAACAGCCGACGGCGTCCATGTCCTCCTCGGGAAGTTCGAGCTGGCGGGGCTGGCAGGGCGTGACGGGTCAATCTCTGGTTCTTGTCTCGAGTGCAATCTCCAGGGGGTTTCTAGGTCAAGTGTGTGTGTCTCGGGTGCCAGGACACGTACTCACGCTGCCGTCGTCACTGAAGTTGTCGCATTGCACCTGGAAGTACGGACTCTGGATCAAGAGGCTCTGGTGAGCAGTGAGGGTGGTTTCGTTCAATTCAGAACCGACAATGAGGGTGACGACCGGACTGGTCAAGTAGTCGATGAAGGGTGTGCGAGTAGACTCTAGCTCGACGACGGTGTCCTCGCCGGCAAAGGGCAGCTCAGAGCGGTCGCCGTTGCCAGCGTCCGTAGCAACCCCAGTCCTCTCTGCCATCTCGACATCGACGCCAGGGTTGGCACCGAATTCTTCAATTATATCATCGTTGGCAGTATCGGTCATCCTGGCCTATTCCCGAGGGGCAAACGAAGGAGGTCTGTTGGAGTCCACTGTGTCAGCCAAACTGGCGAAGAGGACAAGGAGGACGAGATAGGCGAGCGGGGCCTCCGCAATGTACGGCATCGGGAGTAAGGCCAAAGAATGAAATCAGAAAAAAAAAAGAAATCAACTTACAAAATGGGCATCAGAGCTTCGCAGAGCCAATTGATGGTCTTTTGCACGCTGGGATAGGGGGAAAGGCGCCCATGACAAAAGAGTAAGGGTACGGGACAGGAACTGAAGACCAGAGGCTGTGGTGATGATGATGTTGGTATGTTGGTGTGCAGTCGCGACAGGAACTTCCTACTTGCTGTATACTGCTGTCAGGGGCAACGGCCCCCAAGGTGCGGGTGGTCATAGCTCCAAGCTCGCGAAGCTTGGTACCGCATTTCGGAGATGGGGAGGGTGGGCACTATTAATTAGTAGCGGGTGAGCACTGTAAGTACCTAGCACACCTACCTATATCGTATGAGACCCCCTGTAAACCAATGCCAAGCGGGTATTTTCAGGCGATACAGAAACACCTCAACCCTCCCTACCTGGTCAGGCCCTCCCCCCCCCCCCCCAAAGCAGACTCATGGACACGAAAGTCGATAAAACCATATGGTCCTTGGCAGAATGACGCGGACAGACACTATGAGAGCGTATGGCCCTGGGGAATGCTTGGACAACATGGCATTCTTCAGCACGCTTATTGATAAGAGTTTCTTGGAGATGCTGGCTGGCCCCGTCAATCTTTTCCTCCTCATCCTTTCCCTCCCAAGCAACCTGCATGTGCTTATCATCAACAATAAAACATCTTGGTGGTACTCACGTTCAACCGACTCCATCTCTGTCCCTTCCACCACGCCGACAAGATTGCCTTGGGCCAATAGTGATGATACAACGCAACGAATGGCCAAGGATCCCAGAGCTCAAACGTCCCGTCCTGCCATGTCAGGGCGTGCTTCGCGAAGCTCGTGATTGAATGCGCGAAGGCACTGACGGTGGTGTTCCACGTGATGAGATCCCAGAGGGGCAATAAGAGTAGGACGCACAGGTCATGGCCTATCCAATATCTCGACCTAGCATCCACCAGCGGCCTCGCCACACCGGCAGTGGCAGCAGCAGCAGCATCCCCAGTCTGTCTTGCACCGTCAGGAGACCCAGGAAGCCTATCTGGATCAATAGCTGAGATGTATGCATCTACCATCCGCCTCATCTCCAGCCCAGGCGTCGCGAACAAGGCGACAGCTGTGTGAGCCCGTGGGTTGCATTCGATCGCGTATAACCTTGTCCAACCGTCTGCGTCTGTTTCTGCCATGAAGTCGAAACTCAGGTGCCCTGTAAAGTCCCTGCCTGCCTTCTTCTCGGCCGCTGCGACAGCCTTGGTGAAGTCGAACATTGATTTGCTGTACGCACTGGAGCCTGATAATGCCGTGTAGTGCATCAGCAGCTCGGAGGACGGACACGCGACAAAGACCTTGACGACACCATCGACTATAAGTGCGTGTGTACAATATTCCCGGTTGCCATGGATGAACTGCTGCAAGATCCACGGCCGATCCTTGGATACGGGAAGGCTTCGAACATAGGCCTCTGTCTCGGCTGGCTTTGAAAGTGGTAGAAGTGTCATATTTCCCCTGTTTGCATCATCCATCCCTACTGGCTTCAGTATGAACTTCCGCCTCGGGTTGTCCGCTGTAGCAGCGGTGAGGTTGGCAAGCACATCCTCATGGGAAGATACGTCATGCGTCTCAGGCACGAGAAGACCCAAATCTTGTGTATGCTTGATGAAGGTTGATTTTTCGTGCAGTGTGGCTGTCGCGGCCATGTCGAATTGTATAGAAGCGCAGTGTTTTCCCTTCCCGTTGACCTTGAACCTGTCCAGTGCCTCTTTCACATAGGCATCCTCCAGCGCGCTTGCAACGCCTGAGCACGACACCCACAGATCAACGTCCTCGGTGCGAATGATGGTGCATACGTCGTCGACATACTGTCGCTGTACCGCTCTCCTCTTGTGCTCGCTCATGTCCGGGGTGTACTCTGGCTTCTCCAAGCTGTACACAGCATCAAAGGCCCTACTGAAGGAAATCCGGGAGGAACCTCCCCATGGAACCCATACGCCACACCTATTTGCATGGAAATCGGCGCCTATTACGCGATGCCCACACAGCCAGAAGGATCGGGCAAGGGTGAGGCCCTTTGTCATGCCCACGCCGGTGACGAGGATGGTTTGCTGGCGGAAGTCGGGTTGGCACCGGCATTTTGTCCGGTGGGCAAGGGCGGAAGAAGGTGTGCTGGGCCAGAAGGGGAAGAGGAAGTCCAGCCACGATGTGGGCAGGTTGGTGAGCAGAATGGCCAGCATATAACTCAAAGGCAGTGTGAGGAGGCTGATGGTAAGGAGGAAAGCGGTTTTGATGTGATCGTGGATTGGGAGGCGAAGGGCGGGTAGCAATGCCCTGTCTGATACCATCTTGGCCCTTTTCCCGTAGTGACAACAGCTGCCCCCGTCTTGTTTCTTGCCTGTCCAGTACGTAACATTTGCTGCTGACGATGGAAGAACTCCCAAGATTGCCAAGGTCGAAGCACCAGAAGGAGGTAATCTACTCAGACAACTGGAGCCGGATCATGTAGGGATAGGATTGGTCACCGTCAACATCACCTCTAGAACAGCTCGGAGAAACTGTTGTGCTTAGCCAGGTATATTTGTCAAGCATAGGTTTCCATAAACATATCAAGGCCTATCCAGCGCGTCAGGCCGGGACCTCTATGATTCATTCCAGCCTCGTAGTACGCCAGGGATGGGGCTGCCCTAATAGTGCAGGGATCTAGCTCTATGGACAGCGCGCCATCCCAGGGCTAATGTCGGCCGTGTTCCTGGCATGGCGGGCTTGCTGGGCACCACTAAGGGGAAGCGATCGATCAAGCTACCACGGCTGCAAGGCTAGTTGGGGCGTCTATTACCTCACTATATTCTGCACGTCCCGAGCTCAGGGTCAGATAGGTCTTCTTCCCCTCTATACTTGAGCAATAATGCGAAGAGAAGCTTGTCGGACTTGCCTCATTTTACAATTGGAACAAATCGCCGGTGGATTTCATAGTAGCGCGAATTGTCCATAGAGGATATAAGATCTGTCAAAGTGGTCGTGTGTAAACTTCATTGGAAATTCAGTACGCAACCGATTATTTCTCCGTATATGACCAGCTTAATCTAGTATAATCAGACTACTGTAATGAGCTTCTCAGAATGTTTCATGATGTTGATGCAAATTGACCTTCGGCCAATGTTATAACCCTCCTTCTAATAATCAAAAATAGAAAGAGAAGGAGGAGAAGAAAAAAAGCCGTCTAGTGAACACCGTTTATCTTTCCAACAACAGTGACATGAACGTCCTCAATCTTCTTCACGCCATTGACAAAGCCGTTGGCATAGCCATTGGTGTGACCAGTAGTATGGCCATTAGTATGACCATCCACAGGGCCGTTGCTATGCCCACTCATGCCGTTCACTGCGCCATTCGAAAAGAATGCTGCAGCATTCTTCTTGGCACTGTCGCCGTTCTCCATGACCGTGTTCAGAACACTCTGGTTCTCGGACTCCAGATCCGTGTAACCAGTGTCGCTATCGTCCACATAAGCCTCAAGACCCTCACCCTGTCTTGGGTAGTTCTTGACGATTTCCTTGTGCTTCCTGAGCGCAAGGGCTAACTCCTCCTTGGAGACGTCGTTCAGGAACGTACAGCTACCCAGCGGGTTGGGAACGGCTAGCCGCAGCTTTCCGTCTCTGGTCTTCAGAATAGCAGCAGTGCCGCGCTCGAGCACATCCTCGTCGAACTGTGGGTGGTCAATGGACAGACCAGCACGGGAGAACAAGGTCAGGAGCCGCGTGTGCTCCGCATCTGACAAGAGGCCGCGGTGGTGAGCAAGGGTTGCGCTGTAGGCCATGTCGATAGAGATGGCGTGGCCGTGGCGCAGAGGTGTAGAGGGGATCAGCTCGTGCAGAGGCGACCAGGTATGTCCATAGGCAATGACGCGGTCAAGGCCAATCTCGTGCAGATTGGGGGACTCGAGCTTCAGCATCTCGTAGATTCCCTCGCGGTTGATCTGATTATAGGTTTCGATTGTGAGCACCATGTCATACTCGTAAGACAAAGAAAGAGAATTAGATCAGCAAGACATGGAGAGGGTAAATACTCACGATATCAGCTGCCTTGACTAGCTCCTCGGATGAGCCATCCGCTCTTCCGAATTTGTACGAGATCAACTGCTCGCAGTACTTGTCCAGCAAATTGAACACCTGTAGGTGGGAGCAGGACGAGATCTTGATCAGCTCCGCGAAGCCGTTCCGTACTTGGGAGATGGGCAGGCTCCGCAGGAATGTAAAGTCCAGGAAAGTGTGGATCGGAGCGTGGTAAGCTCCCAAACGGTTCTTGTAGTTGCCGTAGTTGACTGCAACTTTAATGCTGACGCTGGCGTCGATGAGACCAATGACTGTCGTGGGCACGCGAATGAAGTTTGTGCTGCGACGATAAGCCGCACAGGCGAAGCTGGTGGGAACAAGGTCAGCATGGCTCAACTGATCATGGTACGGTAGTCACTCGTGAAGACGACGATAAATTGTATGTGGCGGGCATGAGAAAAGGGAGGGACGGGGAAGGAATAGATTTACCCAGCAACATCGGTGACCAGTCCTCCTCCTACAACAAGCACGGGTTCCTAGACAGAAATGAGCCTCAGGAACAGTCTTCAGGGAGATGTGAATACTTGGAGCAGGGCCAGATAATAATGTGTCTCTCACCTTGCGGATGATGCCGAACTCGGTCATGGAATCACAGATGCTCAAGAAGGTGTCGATAGTTTTGGCCTTCTCACCGATCGAGGTCTTGTGGACCTTCAGAGACAGCCCATAGTGAGAAAAGTACGACTCCATCTTGTCTCCATAAAGGGCGTACACGTTCTTATCCGTCACGGCAAGAACGCGTCCCCATGGCTTGTAACAGCTGGCTAATCCGGGGTTCTGGACGTCGAACACTCCGTCGACGAAGGAGAAGTCGTACGTGATCTTTTCATAGCCTTCAACGTGGAAGCCCTGAGACGTCTCAGAGACGTTTGCCTTGAGGTCAGACATGATGGAGTGAAAGACGATGAACAAGATTGAGCAGAGAATAAAGATTCAAGAGCTGAATAAGTCTAATGTGTTGGAGTCTAAGGAGTCGGCGCCAGACTGTGTAGTTCAATGAACGGCCGACCTCCTGGTGAGCACCACAAGAAGCTGAGCCTCTTGTAGTATATTATTTTTCGTTTACTCTTTCAAGGCTGGATCCGTAGGACCTTGGTAGAGTCGTGTCGTCACGACTTCGATTGCTTTGTTTTCTCTCATGTAGTTGCGTGGAGAAGAACGTAAATGGTACATCTGTGAAGATTCTCGTGGCTTACGGTCCGGTGCATGAGCATTGAACTGGCTCAGGCAGAGCACACGGTATTGGTCAAGATGTCGTATACCTGTAGCTCAAGCCGGGGTAGTTCAGGTCCCACCAACACGCCATTTCAGACTCTCCTATGTCCTCGATACTCTGACAGCCTGGTCGACAACAGCCAAAAAGGGAGGTATTGTGTACTTTGAGCTCGTTCCGCCTTTCACGGGTCATAGACTCGCGACAGACGATTGCAGGTCCGTTGTTCCTGGAGGACGTTCCCGGTCCCGTATGTGAGACATCCCTGCTTGTCGACAAATGGGATTCTCGAGAATCGGCATGCGAGGATGGCGACATTTGCATTTTCCCCAGCCTTCAAGGGATGAACCTTGGGGCACGAGGGGCTGGACGACTGGTCGCTTGGAATCTCAGCCTAGCATCTAGGGATTTGTATAGCTTGCCAGAAGCGCCACTTGAGACGTATACTGGACAGCGTTTCATTTGGTTGCGAACTTAAAAGAAGACGTGTGGCATGGTTCTGCATCCGGAGGCTCGCGGAGGAGACGCGGCCGCGAGAATACCGCAGTAAGTGCATGCGGACTTTCCTCAGGCTAAGTTGAGTGGTGACGCTGCTATGATCCGATCACTTAAGGGGTAGTTAAATCTCCACCCCCATGTCACGGGATTTCGCGTCGAAGGGCGTCAGATCCGGCCAGTGCAGGTACTCACGGCCGGATCCAGACAGCATTCCAATTGCGGGTTGATGACCACGAGACGAGTTTCTATTACAGCACAGGATCCACCAAAGTCACCAAATACGTGGGGAACCACAACAATGGTATTTCCGTTGATTATCGGAGGCATTACTGGAGAGCCTTGAAATAGTACCAAGGTGTTGGAACCCCTTGGTGGTCCGGCTTAGCTTGCCTCTTTCTCATCTACCCCTCTACAGCTTAAGGGCCCAGCTCAGACGCTACGTCTCTCGAATGCTATTGTCGAGGTAGTCTAGTTTGTCGCCGCCCGGTCTTTAGGATTTAGTTCGACTGACGCTTGATTTTCATCAACGCATCAGACCTGCTACCAGCAGTGTCTTGTTTCCTCAATTATTCTATCTTCGGAACACCGACTCTCCCCTCCCTCTTCTTTTCTTTATCTTTGTACTCTGCTGGTCTCCTACTGGACATAATACTTCTATCCAAATCATTCTCGAATATCCTCAAAATGAGCACCTTAGGAATTTTTCCGGGAACAGCATACCAGCCTCAGGAGGAAGAATACGTGAGTTCTCAAGTGAGGGGATTCATTCATGACTGCTTTCTGAATCTGATGACGGTTCATTAGTTCAACGATGGACGTGAAATCGCATTGCTTCACTTTATCTACAACCACCCCAAGCTTGACGAGATTCGTGGAAATCCGCAGAAGGTGATAGATGCCATTGATGAATATGGAAAGACCAAGAAGTATCTCATGAACGTGGGCGAGTTCAAATCTGGGATCGTGACAGAACTCATCAAGGAGGTCAGGCCGCAGGTCATGGTTGAGCTGGGCGGCTACGTCGGCTACTCGGCCATCGTCTTTGGGGCTGCCTTCAGAGAAGCTGGCGGGAAGAAATACTACAGTCTCGAGTACAGTCCAGAATTTGGTGCTGTGATCTCGAGTCTGGTGGACCTTGCAGGGCTTCATGACGTCGTCCAGGTAGAGATCGGTACCAGCTCCTCGTCCCTGAGGAGGCTGCATGCGAATGGCACGCTGAAGAAGATCGACATGCTGTTTCTTGATCATCTGAAGCCGCTGTATGTTCGTGATCTGAAGCTGTGCGAGGAGTTGAGCCTGGTCGGGCCTGGGTCGGTGCTCGCAGCTGACAACGGTACGTCGATACAAGCATCAAACGTGATAACCAGCCTGAGTGACAGGATCTTTGCACTGACACGTTGCACTGCGCCATGTACATAGTGGTCAAACCTGGGAACCCTCCATACTTGAAGTACGTCAGGAGCACAGTCGAGATGAAGCGTCAAGAGTATCAAAAGGCGACAGCTGGGGCAGATCCGCTTTCGCTGCCGGATCGAGCCAAACATGTCTATAAGACCGACGCCGGCGGCGAGGTATCAGAGACAGACCTTTTTGGAAACCCAAATCTTGTCTATGCCAGCAAGTTCATCGAAGGCTGGGAGCCCAGTGGCGTTCCGGTACGTATATATCCCTGTACTCTCACCCTATCTGTAGCTTTACTGTTGTTGATGCCTTATTTGTGATTTGCAGGACGCAGTCGAAATCACCAGGTGTACTGCCGTTGAGGGATACTCAAATGGTGTTTGAGAAGTGGAAGAGCCACATGTACACGTTGATTTCCTGCTACTGAAGCCTTCAAGTACGAAGTAGTTGGTAGGCTATATTTTCAAGAATATCCCTAGCGACATAAGAAACACTGCTGTCTTTCTTGACTCCTCTGGGAAGGAGCAAGACAGACCTCACCCAATAGCAATCTAGCTCCTGCACATACCCAGTTTGAATGCTTTTCAATTGAAGCTTCCTTCTACTGTAAACAAATCTTAAGGGAGGTTAGCATGACATCATTATTTTGGGAAGTCCATGCTTTGTTGCTGGCCTTTCTACTCTGGACTTCTCGTCTAACCAGCTTCTCATCTAACAAGCTTGGGGGCGAGCACCCTTAGAGCAGTCACACTTCTACCATTCTTGTTCCCACCACATTCCGCGTATCCTATTCAAAATCAGTCTTTGCTCAGTATCATGATCATCAAGTTATTACAGCTTGGTCAACTTTTCACTTCCGCACTTCAGCATGACTGTCGACGTTCCTGAAACCGAGCAGGCAGCGCAGGCAGCACAAGCCGAATCCTCTGCCCCGTCTGTTGTCATCCTCGTCACCGGCGTGACAGGTTTCCTCGGCAAAGTTGTGCTTGAGGAACTCATCCGAAGAAAGATTGATGGCTCTCTGTACTTCGATCAGCTCCTCGTCTTGATCAGGGCAGCATGCGGCAAGCCGCCTTCTGAACGATTCCAGGACAAGGTCGTCAACTCTCCATGCTTCAGAGAGCTCCCAAGTGATTGGTACCAAGAAATTATGGTATTATCTGGCGACCTCATGGAAGCGAGCTGCGGGCTGGATCCGGACACTCTGAGCAAATGGACACAGAAGATTACCCACATCATCCACTGCGCAGGCTGCGTCGCTTTCGAATCCCCCCTCGACGTCCTCCTTGCCGAAAATGTGACAGCGAGTGTCAACATCCTGGAACTCGCCCAGCTCTGCTCTGACCTGCGTAAACTCATCCTCGTATCCACCGCCTACGTCACGCCGCACACGGAGGAGCCAATCTAGGAGCAGCTCGTCGTGCTTCCCAGGCCTGCACCCCAGATCCTCCAAGACCTACAAGATGGACGGAAAAGCCCCGACGAGGTCATCGCTGAGACTGGCCACCCGAACTATTACACTCTTGCAAAGTGCCTGGCAGAGCATGTGATTGCTTCGAAACTGGGCCGCACACCCGTCACCATCGTGCGCCCAAGCATCATTTCAGCGAGCCTGCAACATCCGTTTCCTGGTTGGATCGACAGCTTCGCGGCGCTGGCAGGTCCTATGTCGGCCTTCGCGCTTGGGGGGCTCAGAGTTCTACATGGAGACCCATCGGCAATCTTGGATGTCGTGCCTGTGGACGAGGTGGCAAAATGCATCATCAACGAGGCCCTCAATTTGTCGTCATATGGAAGCTTCGATCTCAAGAACTTGAACGATACGGCCAAAATCGTCCACTGCGTTTCAACCACCAAGATGGGCCCCAGCACGTGGGATCTCGCTTTTGAGACGGTCGGATACTTTGCGCAGCCTCAGAACATCGTCCTATACAAACCCAAGGGCTATTATGTTGGAGTCAATGATGGATTGTACTACCTATACGAGTTCCTCTTTCAGTACATACCAGTCAAGCTCGCCGAGTTGGTGGCCATTACGAGACTGGACTGGGATGGCGCAGCCAAGGCACGGAAAACGATGATACGGCTGAGGCAGATCGACACACACTTTCGTTATTTCGTATCACACACCTACGACTACCGTTATTCATGTCCGGTCTTGGATGACGGATTCGACAAGACTGAGTATTTCAGGATCGTTCTGCAGGGTGTGAGACAAAACTTGCTACTACCGTTGGTTACGAAGATGAAGACAAGGCCCAAGGAGATATCGGAGCCGCAGTCAACAGAGCAAAAGGTGCCAGAGGTAATGCTATGAAGTGCTGGCAACAAGTCGATTGGTTGTGCCACACATGGAGTCGAGCGGCGGCTGCAGGTGAATCTGTATGCCGGAATCCCCTCTGACTGAGTGATGGATTCCTCGTACTTCTTAATGAACAGACCTATAAATCAAACTTCGGTAAAATATATCACCATCCATTGATTACAAGTGTTGTGCTACCCAAATACTGCCAACCAAAAACCTATGAACACGATGTCACCACACGTCATGGGAGTCAAGATAAACATATAATCATCCAGAAAAATCTTTCAGTGTGTATTGTCCTTTGACTGATCTTCGTAGGTGTTCTCCTGCTTATGTTCGTCCCCTACTAATAACTGTCAACCCTCTTGATAGTTCAGCAGTGAACACTACTCGTCAAGTAGATTCCTTTTCTTCGAAACCCCAATACCAGATGCCCCAATGTCATGCTTGATATATACAATTATCCGCAAGGAAAGAAGAAAATAAAAAATAAAAAGAAAATAAAGCGAAAAGGGGTATGTGATGCGGAAAATGCCAATGCGTAGGAGCTTCATACAAAAATCAGGCATCTCGTCATAAGCAACCACTAATGTTGCCAACCAGTCCATTCCTCAACCGCAGTCGGTCACTAAATGTGCCATGGCTCCACTCCCTCTTTGTTTCGCATTCTCCTGTTCAAAATGTAATATTGAAGGTTCACGATCAAGGAGAACGCAAGAGCCGTGCCTACAACTGCACAGAGGGAGTCCCATCCGTGGGGGTAGAATGGCGCATCGGACGCCCGGAAAAGGTTGCTGCCGATAATTCCGGCCAGGTTTGCACACATTGTGACGGTTGCCAAGGAGACTGATCTCTCTTCGGGCGTGCTGGCGTTCAGTGCTACCAAGGATGCATTGATAGGATCTGAAGTTGGTGGACGTCAGTGTATGGAGCTTCGAGGCTGTAAATGCTTTTGCTCTCATTCTCTGATAAATTACTTACACCAACAGGCGGAAAACGCAACCATGAATATAAGCATCGGAAGCCTGAGCTTCTTATTGTCGACAAGGATGAGTTTGCGATTGGCAATCTGGAATAGGGGAATAGTTGTCAGTCAAACTGTTCATTTTCCAGCCGGGCTTGGTCAGGGGAATAAAACTGACTGTAAAAGCGAGGAAGAGGAAGAGTCCGATTGATACCATCAAGCCACGGCGACGAGTACGGTCACTATTACATGTCGTCAGCACGCATGTCAACGTTGTTTATGTTATCGTAAGACACTTACGCAATATAACCCCAGAGGAGGTTCATTGGCAACAACATGAAGCCTCCAATAGAACACAGTGCATTGGCTGTAAGTAAGCCGTAGCCCATTTCCATGATCAAGTAAGGTGCATAAGCACCCAGCGTCCAAGAAGGGGCTATTCCAGCAAGAGGAATGATGATGTGGGAGAAAAGTCGCCAGTTCGTAATCTAGCAAATCAGATTGTCAGTTAATGAGATTGTCATCTTCTCTACCAGAAGAAACTTACCGTCCTCCGGATCTCATGCCAGCTCACATGCAACCGTCCTTGAGCCTTTGCAGGGTCGTCGATCAAAACCCTGCGAGTCATGATGTGGGAATCATGCTCACTGAACCAGCGGATGCCCAAAAGCGAGACCGGGTGGTCCGGCGACTTGGGGAAGATGATGGCAAAGTAGACGCCAGTAGCAAGTGTCCACACTCCTTCAATCTGTGAAGAGTCTGTCAGTGCTGTCATACCAACAAGGATTGAGCCATGACTTACAATAAACAACCACTGCCAACCATAGAATCCGCGTACACCGTCCAGACGCAGGCTGTATATTTTCGTCAACGTTTGAGTCCAACCTGATCGGGCTCGACACATAAACTTACATGCCAGACGCTAGGAGGCCTGAGATAGCAGTCGCCAAGTTGTTTCCAAAGAAATATATCGCGTATCTCTTGCTAATTTCACTCTTCTTGTACCATCGTGATAGGGTGTAAAGACCTGCGGGTATAAAGCCGGATTCGCACAGCCTGCAATCCATTGTCAGCTCGACGAAGCCCAGACTACTGTGAACTGCCCTAGCAGTTCGACATAGTTCCAACGGCAATGGCACGCATTAGTGATGAATAGTACAGTACTTACCCAAGGAGCGTCCGCGTTGCAAAAAAGGCCCGGCGGCCATGCTGCCACGCTTGGAATGTAGATACTAGGCCAAAGGCGAATATTTGTGCAACGACCCAAATTGTTGGTCCGATCCGGTAGAGAATCAAGTTGCTTGGTATCTGCGCTGCTGATTAGTATTGAGTAACTAGCATTGTGGGCATAAACAGAAGAAAAGGAAAGTCCTTACTTGAAGAACAACGGTGCCAACCGAGAACAAAGTGTTACCAGTATTGTATTGATCCTGGGTTATGCCCACATCAAAGGCGAAACCGTCTGTGTACGCCGCTCCTCTGTTTTGTTTTTGCAAAAATCAATTCCTGACTTTCTCGATTGATTCCATTGGCTTGAGAGCTTACATGTTGCCTCTGTCGAGCTGAAGAGCAAGGAAAGCGAACACCAGGGGAGGTAGGATGATCCAATCCAGCCTGGTAAAACTAAGTCAGCCTATGTCGATCCTTTCTCAAGGTCAATTGGACATTCAACTCACTTTCGCACCAACCTCTGTTCCTCCTCTGGTGACCAATCCACGGTGTCAACATCACCTACTTCCTTGTTGCTGGCACTCGTCTGGCTCGAGGCCACCGCCACTTCCAAATCCTTCTCCTCGGCCATTATCGTACGTCGACTAACGGGTCAGACCCAGGGATGAGTGTCGTAGAGAGAAGTGTCGTGTCGTAAAACAAGATGGGCTGTAAAGACCATCTAGGGTTAAGACTCCTGCCTGGCCATCATTGCTATAATGCCTTAAGCCAAGTCGGGGCGGATGACCTCTTGTTATATAAAAAGACGCCGGTTGTACCCACTCCAAGACTGTTCCGATTACGATGGATGCGGTCCATAACACCGCCATCACGTCTTCTTCTAGAGACGAGGACAAATGGAGAGGCGGTCCAAAGGAGGGCCCCACCCTATCCCCGGTGGTTGGTACACCTGCAGGTCCAAGCGAAATGGTGCACCGGGCTCAAAGGTGCCGAAAAGGCATGTGAGCAGTCCGCTCGCCCATTGACCTGGTGCTTGGGCGAAGATGAGGACAAATCGGGATGCTGGGAGCTGCCCAGGGTAACCACACCCTAGGTCAGCTTGCGTGCCGTGTGACCAGAGCTATTGCCGCCTGGCATCAGGCACGGCAGGGCACGAAGATGGTTTAGAGAGATATGCTGATGAGGGTCTTGTGCTCAGAACAAAGTCCCAACGGCAAGGGTCCTCGCTGCATATGCACGACATATACAAATGGGGGGGGGGGGTGTGGGGGATGAATTGTCCAGTCATTCCTAGAATGGGACCTACTCCGTTTCAATTTCTGGTCAATCACGGCAGAGCTTTCACTAAGCTGCTTGCAAGGTGGCACACTGATTTACCCATACTGACAACCCCGCTCAGTCCATTGACAGCTAGCGACCTGGGCGCGCCGGGGAGATAAGAGGGAGCGAGCGATTTTGTCATTTCTTCCCAACTTGTCGTCATCGAGGACGGCCTCTATAACACCGGTCTCTGTGTTGATTTGGAGTGAAATGAAAGAGATGCAATGTTTAGTTCGTATTACGCTTTTTTCGTTCCCTCAAAGTGGTATGCAGTGCATGATAACGGGTGGGATGAATAAGAGCTTCATGCCAAGTTTCCCCTGATATGGCTTTTCAGGGCGCATTGCGGCTCTCTTCGCCTGCGTGAGGTTAAATATTTACCTTCCACATTGAGCATATGCAGACAGCTATGAATCCATTTAGCTCCAATTCGAGAGCACCTTCGGGATGCGTTCGTCGGTAGATTTGGAGTTGCATATCCAGAGAGTCCGCCGAAGTCACCTTCCTCATACGGTCTCGTGACAGGCCAAACGCACCAAAAGGCTTGTTTTTTTCTGTCTGTCTTTCTTCTTCTTCTTTGTTTCAAAAAATAGGGTGTAGATACGGCTAGGGTCGTGGTTGGTCTGTTTTGGTAGGACTCGACGATGATGTTCGTCTTTCTGTGTCAGTCATCGAAGTTCTCAGGCAATTTGCATCAGCAATTACTTGCGGAAAAGTATTTCTCGCCTAGTCTCCTCCTGGATGACTTTAGAGTCATCGCTATAAGAAAGTATTTGCTTGCCACCTTTTTCTTGTTTGCTTGCTTCCAACCCTGCCACGTATTCAGTCCCTTTCAAGAAGGTCTTTAGATTGCCAACGCCAACCTACACTGCGTGTCGACAACGGGTAAACCGCGCGCTGCAAATGTGCTCGGTCCAGCCCACCCGGCGTTGATTTTGCTTGACATTCTTGCCACTGCATTCTCATAAGGCGTTATTCAGAGCCAACGCAGTCCCCGAAGTTCCACACACCCAATGTCTATCGTTCCATCCGGCACCTGGGCAGTCTCCATACTCGCATACTTGCCTCGAGATCGCCTCCAAACCCGCGTTTCAAGCGCGCATATTCACGCCCTGAGTTCATATCGCTCTCCGACAGATTATGAGATCTATATGACAAACAGGTTACTTTCCCATACTGTCTGAAGCGGATGGGTCGATACCGATGTGCCAATTTTAGACTCATGTCGAATATTGACCTTGTGTGAGTCTCAGACCACTATTCGCAGCCTCGAACTTGTACCAACGGAATTGTACCAGCTCAACAAACACAAGCGCGACTACCGCATCTGCAAACTTTGACGAGGAGTTGGTACCAGTCAGTCATGTTCACGTCGAGTCAGTCGCCTGTTCCTGATGGTGCGTTCTCACCCCGCCATTCAAGGATGACTGGCGGAGAACCTTCCCTATGGCGTAAATCATGAGCAATTTCGTATCAGACAATGAGACCCTTCGGAGCTGGGTTCGGCATATTCCGACTGAATATACATTAGTGTATGTCCTTATGCTTTTCTAAATATTTCATCACTGGGCCTGAAATTCTTTTTTTAAAAAGACCTTGCAGTACCTGGTCCTGTCTGCCAACACTCATCCAGTCTATAGTGAACTAAAGAGCTTGATATGAGATATCTATCTTTGTTGAGCTTTAACCTGCCATCTATCCGGCTTTTTTGGCTGTCATTATCAACTTCGCCTACGATTTCGAGTCGTGATGACGCTTCTTCGAGGGTGGTGATGTTGATAGCATTTTTCAACGATGGCAGTCGTGTATTTTGTGCAATAAACAATGTCAAGGCCATTGTGAAAAATGGACCAGTAAGGTTTGATAAAGAGGAGGAGAGTGGACATAACACACCTCTTGCGGAGGTCTTTGGGCTCGTCAATACGCAACATACAAAGTGTCTCCGCAGCGCAGTTCTCTCCCACATCCACTGGGCATGCTCGTATTCTGACTGACATATTTATTGTCTTGCCACATATGAAGCACGCCATCGACTGATCGCCACACGGTTCCTACGAACAAGGAAGCCACCAACGCCGACAATGAGAAGAGGTCCCGCCAACACGAAGACCTCCTCTTTTCAAGATCACGTATTATCGCTCGAACCTAGAGCAGTAACCTATCCACGTCTTCCGGTCTGGAATGACTGAGATAGTCGCTGGCAAGCTCACAGGTGAAAGACGTGCAGATGATCACAGCGCAACAAAGACCTCTTTGCCGCTTTGCCGAATTCCTGCTTGATAATACGACCGAGATTCCGATGGTCAACGACTAAGCATGCAATCGATTACAAAATTTTGAACATAAATCACAAGATGATCATCATAAAAAGCTCTTAAAAGGCTGGGGAGAAACCGGAAATACAACCCGGAAACCGAAAACGGTTCTCACCAGCTCAGTACCTTGGCTGGTGACCAACGACACTGGGGCGGCATTTGCCGTTTTAACCCGATTCCTTGTTCGAATAATGATGCCGTGAGCCATCTGATGGTAGACAGTCACGTCTTCGTCCCATTTACGTCTTCTGATGATCGTGCGTACCATTCACCCTGGTTGTGCCGAGCATCGTGGCGATGAGACTAAATGGATGACAGACTTACTCGATTCAACAACCATTTTCATTATCTTTAGAGATTTTGAGACCAAGACAGCGCAAAGTACCCAACCAGAGGTTGCCATACTTCGTCAAGACTCGCCTTCAAGGGATCCCACCTGCTGTAAATGTTGTCGTGGCAAATCTGTCAGACCAGCTGCCATGCCAGATGGGGAGCACACTCCGTGCCGTTGATTCCTTTCGTGTGCTATAGCGAGTCAAGCCACGAATCTTCCATACTTGAAAGCTCATCATAAATTCACAACGCTGCTCAGTTGCCCGTTATAATAACGCTCTCCAGTCCAGACTACAGCGTCAATATGTTAACATTCCTTTAGCTTAGCTTATGCCATACGAATTCGGTTGAATTCCTTGCTCCAGAGCTCTTCATGCCAACCATGGATAGAACCGGCCTTTGACATGTAGCAAATGCATTACCTGCAATACAATTTAGTAACAATTGCTAATAAATCGAGATATTTTAAGAATGTTTGAGGCGCAGAGTACTAACTCAGATTTTGTCCACTTTGGTAAAACAAGTAGTACCCCTGAATGATTCCAAATGGCTTTCTCTCTTGTCACCAACGCCGTACGTCTCAGCGTAATAGTTCCGCTGCCTTCGTGAAATTTACAGCAGTCCTCTCCGTGGAAGTCCCATGAATAGCATTCCCAGCCTGGCATCGTATTGTAGGAAGCGAACTTCGTGTCGACACCAATTCCGATAGCACTTCCAATAGAAGCATGTTAGCCCCATATGGTAAATCCAATTGAGCCCCGTGTATAGCATCGAGATGTAAACATGTTCACCCGTTCTCTTCCTCGTCTAACACCTCAGTCTCAAGAGTCCCCTCATGACAGTCCATCCAGACTCTCCATGTAATGAGCACTGTAGCATTGCGAAGATTCCTAAATACACAAGAAGTTTATGCTCACAAGAGTGGTGATAAGTATATTAGTATACTGCAAGTGAGAGGCTGCTGAAAGAGCGGGCTGTCAGTGCAGCGCAGGAGAGGCGTCAGTCGGAAACAGTGGGACATTAGTGCAGCGAGCGTAGGGCCTCGCCTCTTCCTTTCTTTAAGAAGGAGCAAGACACTTGCATTATAACTCATATAGTATGCAGATCATGAAATGAGAAACGGAACAATGAACTTGGGAAGCTAGATATCAGATATCAGGATCTACTATGGTAATATCCAACATAGCGCAGCCTTGGTCTTAGGGTAAGGGTTTGCAAGGTCTGATGCAGTATATCACCAAATGACGTATGAGATACCGGCTCTACTCACTTTCCTCAAGCCTCTACATGTTCTACACCTTTGAACTTCTCTACAAGAAACAACTCTTGCGGGTTGAAGTCTGAAATGTGCTGAACAACGAATCCGATCACTTCACATGCATCGTTCTCATACCTGCCTTTTTTGTGGACAACTTAACATACACTATGCGCGAATCAGATGAGATTTCCATGTCGTCTCTAGGATTTGAAGATGACACCCTCCTCACCCAGCAGCCCGGACAGGCCACAACGCCAAAATGGATGCGCTGGTCAGCGCCCGGCCCACCATCATCATTATCATCACGATTCGAGAAACTGTATAGCATTCTGAAAACACTCACGAGCAAATGCACCCACCTAGTGACCTTCTTCTTCCATCCTCGCCTCACCATCCGCTACGTCCTTTTTACTTCCTTTGTCCTCTACGTACTATACTGCCTCCTTCTATCACGCCCACTCTTTGCATCATCCCTCCCAGGATACACAGGCCCATATGGTGTCGGTGGCCTAGATATTGAGGTGCCTCTTGCCGCACCCCGGCGTGTCAGTGAGATCACCACAAAGGAAAGCGGGCAGCCTGCGTTCGAGGTCGAGACGGTGCTCTTCACCCTCTACTACCCTACTCAGCAGAGCACTCGCTGGAAGAGACATGAAGAGGATGAACTCTACTGGGTTCCCAAGCCTATATCAGCCACGGCAAAAGGCTACGCGCGCTTCATAAAGATGGACAATTTCCTCATTCGCAACGTCTTCACATTCGCAATGTGGATGGCCGTGGGCGGAATTCGGATCCCAGCACAGATTGGCGCGCCGTTGCTCCCCACGGAAGGCGACGATGCGATTGACTCAATAGCGCCAAGAGGTGGAGGCGAGGACGCAGAGGGACAACAGCTGCCTGTCATAATTTTCTCCCACGGGATGGCCTCCTCTCGCACAGACTACACCTCCTACCTGGGTGAGCTCGCCTCGCGCGGCGTCGTCGTGGCAGCCATTGAACATCGCGACGGCTCCAGCCCGGCGTCTGCGATCACGCGCAAAGACGGGATGGAAATAAAGTCCAGGTGGAAGTACAGCCTCCACCTCAACGATCTCGACCCAGCTTCCTACGAGGGTGGTGATGATGGGGTATTGGACACGGCCGCGTTGAAACAAGCCCAGCTGTCCTTCCGCGAGGCTGAGATCGAGGCTGTCGTCCATGTCCTCCGCCAGATCACCACATCCCCGTCTGCCGCCGAGGAAGTCGCTCTCCAGAATGCACGACACCCAGGGTACGCGCCGCCGAGTCTCCTGTCGTCCTTCGCCGGGCGCCTCAACACCGCCAATATCACTCTGGCTGGACACTCGTACGGCGCAACGGGCGTCCTCCAGGCCCTGCGCTCGGGCCCCACGCGCGAGAGACCGTTTGGCGGCGCCGTCGTCCTCGATCCAGGCAAGAACAGTGGGCCTCTGAACGATGACATCTCTGTTCCTGTGGCTGTCTGCCACAGTTCCTCTTGGAGCCGACCCGGCCCGAGCCTCTTCTTCGGCCGGCCACACTTCGAAGTCGTTCGTGACATTGTCGAGAAGCTCAATGACCTCTTGAGGCCGTGTGGGGAGGCACTTGCTGACGGGAAGAGGGATCAAGCTTGCAGGACCAAAGGCTGGTTTCTGACCTCGTTGGGGACGTCGCACCCTTCCATTACCGATGCACCGCTGCTAGAACCTCTTTTGCTCTCGTGGACTACCGGCTCGACTATGGATGCGCAGGACGGCATACGGCAGTATGTGGACCTCACAGCAGACTTCGTGACGTACCAGGGCACTGGTACTCGGTCGGGCCTGTTAGCCCTGTCAGGTAGGGAAGAGGATGGGGTGGTGAGGAGGGAATACGACCCAAAGAATAATGAAGGCATACCGCAGAGATGGAGAGGGTATTGGCAGATCCATGTCGCCCCGGATTAAGTGCTGTACAAGAAGAAAAGGAAAAAGAAAAATAGTACCTGAAATGAAACAGATCTTATGTAGTGACACGTTGGTGATGGTCACAAAATCCCCACGGTTGCACACCAGTAGCACAAGTCATATTAGATATTTTTGTATTGCAGCGTTACCAAAAAACTTCTGAGTCTTCTGATGCTTCCAGGCTTTCTCCGAGGGGGTGAGCATATTTGCCCAAAATTTGAACCCGCTCGTCATATCGCCAATAGCACGCTTTGCTCAAGAGGTTTTGAGGTCGGGCCCGAAGTTGTAGTATTAGTTACATACGCTTGTTCCGGTTGCTTTAGTGCATTTCCCGGGAGAGATATCACGCTGGTTGTGAATCTCCTTGCATAAGCCTTGCAAAACGTTTGGAGTCTCTCGACTTGGCCAAGCTTGTGTCCATTATGGAATAGAAAGGATGCACTATCCTTTCGAGGCCTCGCATCGCACCAGTTCGGATACCAGTGGAGCAATGTTAGAGATGCCCAAGTAGGGGCGCTCAAATCACCCAGTCATCCTATAGCTCGAGGGTGCAGTCTAAACACCTCGAACATAACTGGCCCTCGCTTTGCGCGATCTCCCGCTGCGCCGGACATCTGATTCCGCGGAAGGACTATCGTTGTCCCTGTCCCTGTCCCGAGCGGAGGACTTGTTTCTACTCCTCAGTGACCCCCTCCTGATGCCCTGCGATGTGGAAACTGGAGTGTCCTCCTTGGGAGTCTTTGTCTCGGGTCGTTTGATGGCTGCACGTCCACGAGCTTGCAGTTCATCATCCAGCGCGAGGAAGCGGTGAATGGTACGGTGGTCCAATATCCGTTCTTCCTTGTCCCAAGGTCCTTCGCGCTGTGTCTTGGGCCAGACGTATCCGTACAGTTTAGAATGGCGCTCGCATCGGGGACAAGACGATCGTGTGTAGTAAGCATTTGGTTGGACAAATGCGACTGAACAATTCATGCATCGTACCCAGGCCATGTCGGGCTCGGAGAGAAGCCGCGGTGTCAACTCGTAATCACCAGGTACTCTGTGGCCAGGAGGCCCAGCGGGAGGCGTGGGGAGGCGATTGACCTCGGTCAGTGGCAGGGACATGTCTTGGCGTGGAGGCGAGCCTTCCAAGGAGCGCCTTCTCAGGCGTCCACGGGTGCGTCTTTCGGGACTCGCTGGTGTAGTTTGGAAATCCACGAGACCAGTGGAGAGAGGATCTGGAGACTCGTCTCGTGTGCTGCTCACTTCAAATGGCTCTGGCATGGATTGTTTTCCGAACGCGATCGAAAAATGGTCAACAGAGACCTTCTCAGGTGGAGTTCCATGCACCGAAGGCGTGTTCAGAATGTCTCGAATGGACAAACCGTGGGCTCGCCGGGGCTGCCGAGGTGTCTCGAGGACCGGGACAGAGGAAGACGGAAGTTCCATCGAGTCAGAGAAGAGGGCCACCCGCTTCAAGCCCGCACCTGTGGCTTCCTCTGCGTCTTGCTCCTGTTTCAAGTTCTCGATTGCTTGAGAGAGTGGCGTGGGATTTGCTGTTATCGATTCTGCAGGGTCGGTTGTGTCCTCCGGGGTAGTAACATCCGTGAGCACAGCTTCACCGGCCGATGATTCGGATCTCGAAGCAATGCCACGCGACTCATCCTCTGAACTGACACTCCGCTCCATGCGCAGAGATACCGGCCGTATCTCATAATGAGTTGTTTTTTGCTTCTTTGCAGGCGTAACCGGCGGCGTCGCAAGACTGTCAGAATCCCGGATGCGCTTCGAGCTGCTGCTACTGCTACTGCCGCCGCCGCCGGTAAAGCCAGGGAGGCTAGACTCGGCGGTCGACGCGCGATCTCCATCCCGGAGCTGTTTGGCTCTCGTCTTGAAGACTTTCGGCCGTAGGTCCGGGGTTATCGAGGGTGTTCTAGACCTGGACTCTCCCCTGCCGTACCTCCGTCTGCCTCGTGTATTGTACCCTTGCGCTGCTGTGCCGTCCAGCTCAATGCTTTTCTTGACAGGCGCAACTCCGCCCGGCTGTCTCCAGCCGTTGGCCAGTGTGTCCTCGCAGGTTTGACACAGGCACTCACAGTTGTCCTCGCCGAAGTAGTTTTCGCCATACGTGACGGTGATCTCCTCTCCCACACCGATGCTCCGAACCGCGACGATGTCGATACCAGCCTGACCAGTAATAACAAGCTTGGCATTGGCGCCACAGTCGTGGTTGGCGAAGCGAGCTGGACCCATGAACAAGCTGGCCATCCTACTCCTGCTGCTCACGACGATGCTGAAGTCCTTCTTTCGCACGGACAGGGCCGCCTCCTCTTCGGGGGTGATAAGGACCTGGATGCCGGACAGGTACTTGATGCTCTCGTTGCGCTTGATGAAGCGGCGTGCCACAATGCTGGCCTCATGCGTGGTTATGGTGTACCTGTTGGTACTGCTGACTTCGAAGGGGCAGTCGGAGAGATAGATCTGGGTGTAGCGGCGCATGTGCTGCTTGAAGTCGACCTTCTCCTTGGGCGTTTTGAGCGCATTGTAGAATCGCCTCAGGCCGTCAGTCGCAAGTAGTTTTTGCTCGGCGATATCAATATCGGGGTTGACAATTAAATGCGTCTGTATGATCTTGGTAATTTCCTCCTCCTTGACGCCGCGCGAGGGATGGTACGAGGGTCGATTCTTGGGAATTGTGGTCCAGTAGTATGCCTGCAGATGGGGGAGTCAGCCGTTAATGCGCCTAGATGCCCTGCCGGTCCTAGACATGCGCATACCCGATCAACGAGCGCATCTGTCAACATGTCATCATATGAAGACAATTGCGCCAGAGTCAGCGCCGGCTTCTTTGCACCGCAGCCTGCGCTCGAGCGAGACATCCTCGACAGTAGTCGCAGCCGTTCGAAACCAATTGCGCTGGTGGACGTGTGCCTCCTTCGTATGCGCCGTGGCTATGGAGGAGGGGAGAAAAAAACAAAGGCAGGATGAAGAAGGAGAGGGCCACCGGAAAGGGAGGGGGAAAAAGAAGGTTGGGCTGGTGAAAGAATGTGGATCGTGATGATGACAATGAGCGGACGCAGGCTGACAGGTAGAAGGGATGTCCTTCAATTGCAGCTGCAAAGTTGGAAAGGGAAAAATGATTGGGTGTGTCGCGAACACAGCCAGCCGCAAGAATGCGCTTGGTCAAAGGGAGAGGAGGAGACGGGCTGACGGCAGCGGAGCAGGCTGAGGGTGTGTGGTGATATGAGGTGAGGTGAGGGCGAAGGAGAAAATGCAACGAGACGAGAAGATTGGCGGTGACAAATGGGCCGCGAAGGGCAATTGGAGGGTGACAACCACCAGGTCAGGTCCGACGACGACAAGTATATCACAAACCGAGGCTGGCAAAGGTTTCGCCTCCATGCAAGGTGGCCCGTCGTACAGATGAGGAGAGTACTTGTATGGTACTCTGGTAAATTGGATAAATTGGGTTGCAGAGGGATTGGCGCCTTCCTCGATTTCGACCCTGCAAGGAAATCCAGCTGTCGTCATAAGGTTTCGATGTATCCCAATAGAGCAAGGGGCCGAGTGCAGGGGTGAACTGACGGCCAATGCGTGCAAGGGTGATGACGAACAGGCCTTGTTTGCAGGAGGGTTGAACACACAGCTGCGGATGGTACGAAGTACGAAGTACACCCTGGGTATTGGGGAGGAACTGCGGGAGAGAGCTGAGCTGAGGAGGGAACGGGGGAAGGAGGAAGGACGGGGAAGGGTTAGAAGGGAAAGGGGGGGGGGGGGGAACGACTCGGACCCGGATGCGGAAGTATCATGGGACAAAGAAAAAGATATATGACAAGGGGGAAAAGAGAGAGAGACAGAGGGAGAGGGCACCATATTACAAATGATTTGAGGGTAAGTGCGAGGAAGGAACTGGGGGTAAGTGGATGCTTTCAAAGTCTCAGGTCAGTCAGTCACTTTGAACTGAAGAGAGGAAGAGCTGACTTAGGTCAGTTCAGCTACAAACCAAACGCTACAAACGGATCGTACCATGCCTCCCTTGCCGGGCAGTGATGAAGTCGATTCCTGATTTCCTCCGTCTTTTTTTCTTCTCTTATTTTTTCTCTTTCTAATGGGGGGCAAAGGAGTCCATCAAATCATCTTCGTGATGGGCAGGTTTGGGGGGGGCCAAATCCCCACAAGAAATTGGAGTGGCAGGGCAACGGATGGATCCCTATGGGCCCCCTCCGGGCCCAGTTTCTCTATTCAGGGGTGGAATGGCGCTGTGTTACCCTGGCATGGCCTGGAAGGTCGCACCTGAGGGGCGGCCCGAGCTGAGAGAAGCAACTGGAGAGGCTGGGCCCAGAACCTGAGTAGGGTGGGAGAGGCTTGTGATCGCCCGGTTCCCTCTAGGATCCCTGCTCTGCAAGCCCTTACAGGGGTGCAACATGTGCACCAATGCGAGCTCCGGAGACACGGCCATCTCTGCGGTCCGACGACAGCTTCTTTTTGCCGGGGGCAGAGTGGCAGATTTTACAACGTCAGGATCCCGAACGCGCAGTCACAGCCCACGACGTAGACGACGCCAACCAACACCAGCAAGCGCGGAGAGCGGTCGCAGGGAGCACAATTCAGTCAAAATGATTCAATTAAAAGTATGTACTCAGTACAAGAAAAGAGAAAGCAAGACAGAGCAGGCAAGATAGATTCAAAGTTGACTGACCACTTGTATCCGCAGACCATGCTCAACTGCATCGACAACTCCGGCGCCAGCATCGTCGAGTGTGCCATGATTGTCGGCCAGAAACGACACGCCTCCATCGGTGACCGCATCGTCTGTGTCGTCCAGCAACAACGTTCCGCGACCGGAGAGGGCATGGCCTCCGCCAGCGCCGCCAACAAGGTCAAGCGTGGCGACATCCGCCACGCTGTCGTCGTCCGCACAAAATACAAGGTCCAAAGGACGGACGGAAGCGTGATCAGATTCGACGATAATGCTTGTGTACTGCTGAACAAGGGTGGTGAGCCCATTGGGAGCCGGATCAACGGTGTCGTGGGTCAGGAGCTGAGGAGGAAGAACTGGAGCAAGATCTTGAGCATGGCGCCCATGCATGCATGAGCCACAGGTCACCATCAAAAAAAAGGAGAAGATTTAATATGACATTTGGAGGTTGGGTCTGCGCCGTCTCTTCACACGAACGTTGGTAGTTTCCGCTCGGACGTGGTCACGAGGGATTTCCAAGGGAAGAACGAAGAAGACGCGGGAGGCGAACCATTCCATCAAGTCCGGATCAAAGATGGGTGCGCAGAACAGTTTTTCGATGCGCTGGCGGCACAAGGTATAAGAATGGGTGTCAAGATGGCGGCGCTATATACCACCACTCAATACTTGATACAAGGGGCATGGCAGGAGTTAACAAAATCACATGTAGTCTATGAGAGCGAATTCGGGGAATAAAGGCCAAGCCTACAATACAATCACAACTATGGCAAGGTTCGGGATTATGAAGATTATCGCTGGTCAATTAATTTGGATGGGATGGCCTGCAGAGAGAAATCCTATCCTTCTGAATTTTTATTGGTACAAATTCCCACCATGTTCCATTTTCGGTCTATTCGCCCATTCTTCCCATTTCCAATCCTCACCTAAACTCCTTGCCGGAAAGAATCCGAATCAAACCTTACTCCCAATCCCCTAATCAATGATCTGGACCAGTTTTCATGAAGTCATCCAAGGACAGTTGTCCCGCTGTTGGCACGTTCTGCGATATGGACGTATCAGACTCGGAGAGGGTTGTAGGTACAGTCTCTGACACGGGCTGTGACTCTGGATGAGGAGGTGGCACCGAGGGCGCGCGAGTTTCTGCGGACAAAGTCCTCGACATTGGCTGTGCAAATTCCCCGTCATACCATTCCAGAGACGAGGCAGCCGGCAGATTCAGAGGCGACATGATGAACGCGTGAGACGGTGACCAAGTTCTCTCAACAGAGGGCGGTTCAGCCTGACCAGGGCGGGGTGGAGTTGAAGGCTGAGCGGCGGACTGTTGCCCGCGAGCAGCCACAGATTGGCGACTGAAAAAGACTGTTCCCGTGGGAGATCGAGAACCATCCTACTGGTAGATCTCACCACAGGAGCAGCAAACGTAGTACAATTTCTGCAAACACATCGTCAGGTTCTGTGTGATCGGAGGAGGGAAGGGTCCTGGCGCTTCTCTTACCATGCCAGTATCTCTAGTTCGTTGTTGGGATTGGAAGAAAACAGCCTCCTCGTGGCCGCAGGCGGGGCACTTCTTGTCCGAGCGAGGTAGCTAGAAAGAAAGTAGAGGCGACACGTCAGCAGCAGGTTCTTGAACAAGAGAAGAATCATGCAAAGCATCATCCTCTTTTAAACAACATCCCGCTCCTGAAATAACATCATTGCCCTCGCCATCTGCAAGTGCTATGCAGTGTATTGCGCGTGTGCTCTGATTAGAGTATAGAGGGGAGAAGGCCCCAGTCGAAGGTGTGTCGTGGGGGATCGGTAGATGCGGACTCGAAGTCGTAACCAAGATTGTAAGTCGTATGGCATGCGATGCAGAAAGAGCAGGTGCTCCTACGTCTCAGGCTCCCAGTTGGCCATATCGTCGTCGGGCTCCAGGTCCATGTCGGCATCCAAGGCACCGATATCCAAGTTGCTGATCTCCTCGAGGATGCGGTTCCAGGAATCTTTCGCCTCGGACGAAGCTAATATTGGAGCGGCCTGCTCGGCCTGGTACGAGCGAGGAGGGGTAGAGGGCGAATCGGCGACAGAATCGTGCTCACAAGGTCCAGGAGCGGGAACGGCGGCAGGACGGTTCTCGCAATCAGAGCACATGATGATCTGGCCGCAACAGCCGCACATGGCAAAGGTAGAGGAAGGGGAAGGCGGGGGAGAAGGAGGGCTGGATGTGTGATTTGTGTTGGGGCCACCAACCGTGGGATCGAGGGCAACGTCATGGGTGACGCCTGCTGTGTCGCCAGCCTGGCTCTTGAGGATGTTTCGGTAGACGCAGTTGGAGGTAGCGTCCTCGGTATGCTGGCAGGTCCTGCACTGGTACATCAGGCGGCGGGCCTCCTTGTCCTCCTTGGGATACAGCATGTTGGAGCACTCGCGGCAGAAGAGGATGGACACGGGCATGTTGCCGTGTTTCTGGGGCACCTGGGCCCCGTCGGCTTCTTGTGGGGTAGAGGACATCTCGTCGCGATCCGCTGGTTGCGTTGATCTCAGGAGGTCTTGTTCTTTCTCGATGGAGGATGCGGTCGCGGACGTCAGAGTAGAGGTTGAAATCTAACTCGGGTTGACAGTTGATATTGCAATGTCTGTGATTTCAGAAGCAGTGGTGGTAGGAAACCTCAAGGGCAAAAAGAATAATTCTGCTCGTGGTGGTAGGGTAAAATGTGGTTGAGGAAAAGTAAGAAGTTGGGGGTCGAAGAACATGTGGATGGACAACGCAAGTTGTTTTTTGAGCCTGACAGCTGAGCACGGACGCGGTCTTTCGAAGCGGGCACAGGGGTACGTGAGCAAGCCTAGTGGGGCGCCGGTGATCAAGTGGGCGGTCCTTCACTGCACCAGATACTGTATTGGGCATTGGACCAGAGTATCTAGGGCGAGCGGCTTGATGACACAAGTGCACCGCTGAACGAGGTACAAAATTTCACCTGACATGGTATGGCTAGGTCACCGTATTGGAAATTTTACACCGTCATACTGAGGCCACACGGCCACATTGAACAGCCCCCTTGGTATCTCCCGTCCATGATCCAAGCCCGACGATCCACTGCACGTGTCTACAGCCTTACGCAGTTGAGTCATCCCGGCCAGCATGGCCCCCTTGACCAATGGTGACTTCGATGGCTGATTGTACTACCATAGCACTATGCTGCAGTGCAGTACAGCAGTATGTACTATTCATGATTCTTTATTCTTTTCGATGATCATGTGGACAAGGCTGTTTTAATTGCCTCGTCTTTTTAGGGACTCAGGGAGCCCCAACTGTACTGGTATCAGGGTTTGGGCTGAGCATCAGTCCTGCGCAACGAGTCCTAGTGCCTAGGTAGGTGACCCAATGTTGATGTTATAGCCAAAGTCATGGAGTCATGAATAGGTCATCCTGAGCATGGAGGATTTCACATCATCGTTGCCAAGCTGATTGGTAATCGCGGCAGCCATCCAAGAGAAGTCCTCCTCCCACTGCAACAGTGCATACTGCCAGAGGCTACAAAGCACTACTGGTAAGGACGGCCTTTAAGGAACATCAAACGATCGACCACAGAGTTTCCCCCTTGACGTCCTGAAGGATGCATTGTGCCTGGACGAGGGCCGCGGGTGATCTCATCGCACAGATCGGGTCTACGTCTGTTCGGCAGATTGTTCACGCCTTCTCTGCCCTTCCATGTGGCGGGAAAAAGGCATGGTCACGATGGCCCCCCTCATCGTTTCGTCCCTGTCCTCGAGAAACCATGCGCAGGCTCTCAAACCCCACATCCCTCTCCACAACGGATGCCCCAGTGAAAATGTTCGTCCTTCCTCGGCGATGTAGCCCTCTGAACTCTGAACTTCAGAATCTGATGCAAAATGCTGACGGTCTATCGAAGTGCTTCTAAAGGCCAACCACAATTCCGATGCTCGATACGTGAGACAGATCCTTGTCTAGCCTTCATCCGCGAAGAGGAAAGCGAAGGAGTAAAGGAGTAAACTACTCACAGTAGTACTGTTGGTCGGGGCCTTGGCCCGTGCGTCCCCTCCCCTCCTCCCCGGCATGTCTACCCCCCCACCTGGGCAGGGCCCCATTCATTCCCCAACCAGTAAAGTTGTTGGTGAAAACAAACGCTAAGCCCCACCTCCGCCTTCGCTCTTGTTTCCCCTGGGTACGTCGCTTGGTCAACCTTGCACGCGCATACCACCTCCATCAACCATTTGATCTTCACTTGCCCCAAATTTGTCACATCGGCACTTTACATTTAAAAACGGTACATATTGGTTGCTTTCTTTCTTACGTCTTTCAGTGACGAGCCATTTGGGACAACGAAAAGAAGAAAAGCCAGCCCATAACCAAACAACAGTGAAACCCCCAAACATCATGGCTGATACTCAGGCAAGTTTATACAAGACATGTCCTACCACTCAAACCCGATTATTTATCAATCTCGACTCCCCATTCTCTACCACCCCACACCCCTTCAACCGTGGTCACGCAGCGCCTTTTCTGAGGTTCCCACCGTCGTTGTGATGTCTCACAGCTGACACGTCAAATGTCTCCTCCAAACAGGAAACTGGTCTCCCTCCCAACTGGGAGGTCCGCCACAGCAACTCCAAGAACCTTCCCTACTACTTCAACTCCCTCGAGAAGAACAGCCGCTGGGAGCCGCCGGCTGGAACGGATACCGAGAAGCTCAAGGTTTACATGGCCAAGCACCACAGCCCCGCCACCGGTGGTAACCTCGGCGGAGGGGAAGGCAAGATCCGCGCCGCACATCTTCTGGTCAAGCACGCAGAGTCCAGACGACCCTCAAGCTGGAAAGAGGTACGTTCGACGGACCTATACCTTTGGGAGATGGGAACATGTTGAGGAGTGATCAAAGCAAAAGAAAAAGAAGAAAGAAAGAAAGAAAGTGGACGGACTGGGGCATGAGGCTATCCGTAGCCTTACATGGTGGTTCTGTCGCCTGCGATAGTGGGCGAATTTTTTTTTTTTTCACCGACTGAACCTGGACCAAACCTAATCGAGCCTCATCTCAAGACTGACGAATTAATTCCCGGAGTATAGGCCGAAATCACTCGCTCCAAAGACGACGCTAGAAAGATTATTGAAGGCTACCAGGACCGCATCAAGAGTGGCGAGGTCAGTCTTGGAGAGCTGGCCGTTACCGAGTCCGACTGTAGCAGTGCTAGGAAGCGCGGCGATCTGGGATACTTCGGCAAGGGCGATATGCAGCAGGCCTTTGAGGAGGCTGCGTTTGGCCTCAAGCCTGGCGAGGTCTCGGGCGTGGTGGATACCGCGAGTGGGTTGCATTTGATCGAGCGGTAAGTTCTCACAAGCTTAACATCGTGTCATAGGATTGCTGCTGACAATGATGTAGTCTCGAATAGGATTTGGAAATCCAGGATGAAGGATACGCCAAAGGAAACGGAAGAGAAGATGTGTTTCATGCCAAGCTCGCACCACTCAATGACAACCCCAGCCGAGTCGAACGGGCATGAAAGATTGATACACATGACAGTGAATACCAAAAATAAAATACATAAAATATGTCCCTATGGTAAAGCCTTGCCAACAAGAGTCTCGGAAATTAAAGCACGCAAAGACTCAGCCTCGATTTTTGTGTTGTGGGTGACATGCATGCATGCAATATGCTAATACCACATCCGCCGCATCCCCGCCAGGAGTCCGCCTCAGAAACCCTTCCCGACATTGAGATATGCATGCAAGTTATAGAGTGTAGCTCGTGCCAGTTATTTGGCCTTTGCCTGGGCACCATCCATAAAAATTGTATCTTCATAGCAATGTGCTTTGAGTGCTAAAACCGATCCATGTTTATTAGTGCAGCCGCACTAGGCGAGACAGACCTCACTGTTCTTCACAGCCCATTCAAATGCAATGACTATAGTTGCAGTTTCATGTACCCAGCCAAGTTTGGATTTCCAGCGACTTGCACGTTACAAACAAAGTGCAAAACGCATCCGGGTTACAATCTTCGGAACCTTTTCCAGCTTTATTCTGTACTATGGCGTGCAAGTTTCATGCTAATACATTCGTTCTGGCGTAGACGCCCCGCAACCATAACGATGTGTAAAATCAATCAAATCAAGCCATTCAATGTTCCTCACACCTAGTTTGCGCATCCTCTATGCAGTATGTAATATCCCCCTTACCAATGCAAAACATGGAAGAGTGAGTGTCATGAACCGCCGCCGACCGAGGCAACAAGCCACTCCACCATCGGGCTCGAGACGGTGAACAGCACGGTGAAGATCCCAAACATGGTCATGGAAAGCGCAGAGTAAGGCGCTGCTTTCCTGTTCTGCTCATACAAGTGTGCTGTGCCCATCGCCGCGGCGTTGATGCCGATTGTGACGCCTGCTGCCACGGTGGCGAGGTCATCCCCATGAGCCAGGGTTAGCTCAGTCTGCTGTCGTTCGTGGTGTTTTGCCGCATCATCATCGGTTCTGCAACGACCTGCGCTACATGTTGGCACGGTCTCGTGCGCAAAATCAAGAGAGTCAGATGCATGTCGCCCCTCGATGTGCGTGGCGTTTGAGTTGTGCCGCGTGTGACGATGATGGTTGTCCTCATCACTCAATCGCGCAAGTCTATTGGAGAACCCTGCTGGAGATTGAGTTTGTAGTCGGTTGTTCGCCTTGTCTTCGCGCGAGAAGGATACTTCTGCGCCCTGGCTGTTCCTCGATGTACCCACGATGGTCCACATCCAGCTACGCGCAACCATACACCACCGCCCCATTGCAGAGTGTATTCCCTGTCCGCCCACCAAGAATCCTGCCGCAAGTTGGAAACAGATCCCGTTGACCACAACACCCACAGCATTGACACTTGCATCGCCTCCCAGGCTCCCCATGGCTGGTATACTTAAGGCGATGGTCACACTCCGCGCAGCAAAGCTCAAATTTGAAGCAGCAGGTCGAACACCAATTCGGTGGGCGAGGAGAGGCCACGCTATGATGTTGAAGATGGCAACAATCGAAGAGGTGATGAGCACGGTGAGGCCGCCACGAGATACTATTTGGTGGCGGTACTCAAAGAGCTTCAAGCCCCAGGATACAATGCCAGCATTGAGGATGGAGGTTGCTATGTCACCTGCCCCCAACGTAAAGTGCATGGTGTGAGGGGACGAGGATGAATTCGATGATGCTAACGCGTCGAGAGATGTAGAGCTGGGACTGATGTCGAATAGGTCGATGTGGTGGGCGATGATGTCAGAAATAGTGTTGTTGGTTTTGAAGCGAGCGACAACGAGAGCAGTGGGCTCCTGGCGGATACAGGATTTTGCGAAGCCGTAGCAGACGAGGAAGAGTGAGGTCCAGAGAACAGGGTTAAGCAGTGTCGCTAAGGCTGTCAAGCCAACACTCCTCTGTTGAGCCTGTTGTGGATGGTAATGTCGCTGCTGCATGTGGCTTGTGATGTGCTGCTTCAATCTAGCCTGCGCTGAGGTGAATGTCAACCACATGATGAAGAGGAAGCCTGTATCTAGGAACAAATCGTTGTCCCGCAGGTATGACAACGGAACTCCCAAAACGAGAAAAAGCAGAATGGATAGGATGAGGAAAACGTGATGCTGTATCCACACCCGTGTAGCTAAAATGATGCGTCGTGATGCGGTCATCGACAAGGAGGCGGCTGCATCTGTTGATCTAGTCCCGTCCTCCAATATCCGCAAGGCGTCCTTAGGCAGTGCACCGCATGTTGCTTGTGCGTCTGCTTCATCAGCCGCATTCGGCCCGTTCGAATCGCTCGCGTACCCAGACAAAGTACACAACGTCGAGACATCACTGAGGTGCTTCCGAGACGGATCCAAACAGGACTGCTCGACGTCGTCGTCCATCCTGACACAGCTTGGTCCACCGGCGGCACACTCAACGACCTCGTGGGGCATCAGGCCCAGTTGCGGGGGATTGACGTGGATGTGGCTTTCGTGCTGGACAGACTCGACCTCTAAGTCATTCCTGTGTCGCATAGCACGGTTTGCCGACGGTCGGACTTTCATGACGAGCTTCGTGATCCAGCATTGTATGTAGTACGCGATCACATACACAAAGATTGAGTTCAGCACACCTGTCAGGGCTGTACAATGTGCCATCATGTTAGGCTTGACTTCAGGTGCACCAATCGTCTTTCATGGGAGGGAGAAGGAAAGGAAACAGGAAAAAAGAGAGGGGAGGACAAGGCTCAATATTCAGCACAAGACTTACCAAAAGCTGTCGTCAAAAGGCCTATTTGCTCTGCACCCACGAACGATTGGCTTATAAGCGGAAGAAAGGGGACTGTGAATCCGATAGACATGTGTTTGTTGAGTATCTCGGTCTGCGGAAGAAAGTAACGAACCAGCACCAATTATTAAACGAACCAGAGCATTGACAAGTTGAGAGAGAAGAAAAGGAAGAAACTCACAGGTGGCTTGAGGTGACAATGGTAGAAGCTCTCCAGTCCCTCGCCCGGCCTGAAGAAGACTACTTGCACAGTCCACATGAGGAGCCAAACGAAAATCATAGCAACAACCTGACCTGGGAAATCCTGCTTGACAGTCCAGAGTGCCATGTCCCAGGCGCACGTGAGGAGCTGTGCAACAGCAAAGAAGACGACGGCGAGGAATATGTAGTAGTAGTGACGTGCTGTGTCGGAGAGATCCCCCCATGGCTTTTTGAGAGTCCACCCATTTCGTTGTCCTGTGCAGTGTGCATCCTTAGGAACATCAATCATGGTCTGAGATTTGATGCTCGGGCGGGACTAGCTGGTGACTATCTCACGGTCAGGCGCCCTCCTCGTTTTATCTTCTTCTCTCGGTGATGTGACTCTCTTCCATGTGCTAGCTATTAGGGAAGTCAAAGAAGAGAGGAGAGAGATGCGAAGCGGTAAGGCAAATAAGTAATTATCAATGTCTGACAATAGCAGCTGTCAGATATATGCCGAGACACAGAGCAAGGTTCATGCAGGTCCCTTGAATTGAGAAAGAAAGACGTGGCATGTAGCTTTCGTGACAAAAAGCCCAAGTGAATGTATCAGGGACTGCGAAAGGAAAGGATAGATATAAAGAAACCATTCACAGTATGTGACGATGCTGTGCATTGAATTGGACCCAGAGTATGCCTACAAGCTGATACTCGTGTGTGAATGCTGTGATGCCATGCACAGAGGTACGCATCAAAGCCCACAGCGTCCCGTCATGGTTTCCGTTTGTCCATGGACAGCATCATGGTCCAGTCTGGTGTCGCCCTGTGAGATCCACACCCGCGTCCCTATTCGGCACTTGACAAGGTACACCGCTAGTATGCAAGCAGGGCTAGACGAGCATAGAGACTTGAGTCGCTTGACTACGACTGCTTTGTTAGTTTTAGCGGTCCTAGGCCTGCTGTCAGCTTTAGGGAAGAGAGTGGGGGGAAGAGTCTTAGTGGGTTGATTGTTTGCTTTACCAGTCCATATCCTCCCCTTTCTCATCGGAATAGCCTAGTCTGATAATTGCGGGTGGGCAGACGGGCACATGCGTATCCGCCCCCCTGTGACGTGTTGAATTAGCCGGTTAGTGATGTGCTTTACAGAAAAGGAGGCCCGTGCAAATGTTCGTTTGAAGAGTGCAAAGGCGATACAATACGAATGCAGCTACTCCCTCTGCGCACAAATACGTGTGCCTATCACTGTTCCTAAATGTCTCAAAGGCACCAAGCATGACATGCGGACCTTTCAACAAGCGGCCGAAAGAGACTCAGCTGTAGTTGAACCGCAGACAACCCTGCTTTTGTATTCGTACAATTGTACGGCTACGTGTTACTCACAAGAAGGATCTACCAAAAGTGCATGTGTCTCGTGTCTAATTATGGACCGACTCACGGCCATGAGCAATAATAGAACTACGATAGGTAAATCTGAATACCTACTTAGATAGCTATAGAACTAGTGTTCACCTATCACTGTTCGCGCATGCCTTGTGCTGAGACAAATCAGGCGAGCTGACAGATCATCTGGTTGGAACCTATGACACCGACTTGAAGGCTCGCTGCTTGTATTCCACCAAGGATAATTCAGACACACAGAAGGTGGCTCGTCGTGTCTTCAATCAAGTCGCCGAGCGGCCTTCACTGATGGCTGAGAATATTTCCGACGTCTCGCGCAATAAAAGTGCCGATCTGGAGCATTTGACGTGGCAACAGCCATTTCACATGTCAGGGAAAAAACGAAGAAAGACGAGAAGGAAACTGCTGGCCCAAGTCATATATACGTCATCTACTATCAACACTACGTGAGTGTTGGAGAATCGATTGTGGCCAACGTCCAGAGACAAAAGGGAGGGAGAAGGTGTGGACTAAAGGGAGCCAAGACGTGCGCTTGGGAATTTGCTCAGCGGCAATTGAAAGCCACATAGCTAGACCCAGAAGCGCGTTGCCGAATCCCCGGACAGATGCTAAACTCGGGTGCGATGCGATGTCTCGATCATTTGAATAAGGTGGTTTGAAGCAAACAAGGGGACGGCTGCGGTTTGTTTACCAGCCCTGGATCCGAAATCCTCAGCCAGGTCGTCATTGCAAAGTCTGAGTATAAATCTTGATGAATTCTGAGAAGTTGACAGAAACAACTGAGAGCCTAGGGGTGACAAGGGGCTGGAGGTTAGTAATTCCGTGCGAATGGTTCAAGAATGCAGGTCGTGCAAACGAAAAGAAACGCTCATCCTCCCACACGGCACCTCGCATATTGATGTGTATATTGTGTCCATATTCAGGTTCTTGAAGATCCACTGTGCACTGCAGAAGCCACCTGCAAGCTACAGATTTTGAGAGATGCCAGTTCCACCTGTGGAGAAAGAAAGGAAAAGAGCTGCAGTCACCCGTGCCTAACTTGCGGGTGGGTACCTGGCTTGTGCCGCGGGCCTGGTGGCAACGTTGCTGATGTGTTTGATCGGTATTCTGCCGATAAGAGTTTTCAATGTTCAAAAGCTATGTTGGGTGGGTTGAGAAAGAAAAGTGGAAATGCCGTCTACACACAAAGATTTTCTATTTCCTTCCCGACGCGGGCCCGGGAGGCGAGAGGCGGGGCAATGTAATGTTGCATGAGAGTACGAATGTCAAGAGCGCGGCTTTAGATCAAGCGTCAAGGAGACAAACCTGAAAGCATCATACGCCCCTACTCCCCCTGAATGTGGTCGACTCGCCCGGTCGGAAATAATTCCATCCGAGACTCTGGTAAACAAAGTTCATCCCCTATTCAAGACTGACATCGTAGAGGTTAAGCTGGCTTGTTGAAAAGAATGATTGTCTCAAATTGGCATCGTGGAAAGACACCAGAAGCCACTGGGGGCCTTAAAAGACCCAGGAATGGGGGGGGGGGGTTTCCCCTCTAGAATCAGTGTTCCAGGATCAACACATGTATCTCAGTGCCAGAGAAGACATGTTATATTGCACATGTATTGGTTAATCTTCATGCATCTGGTGACCATTGCCTGTGTATGTGAGGTGATTGACCTTGGTAACGACACCGCAACGCATCAGAAGGGACTTCCCTGAGCCCAGACCGCAGATTTGGTGCAGCGCCCCCAGGGCTAACACTGCAGGGCTGGAGGGTTCATCTTAGCTCCTTCTCAAGCGAGGTGGCGTCCTTGGGCTCATGCAGACTTTCATGCTAGAAGCCCCGTGGAAGCTGTCGTTGAGGACTAACTGTGACTTTGTGGCGTTGAGGGCTTCTGGAGGATGCCGCCGATATCACTTTGTCGTTGCACAAGCTGTCACAAAGCGTTGACAGGGGGAACGGACCGGGAATGGTCACAGAATGTTAATAGGAGAATCGAAGGTGGCGCTCGAATTTTGCAGCGTCATCCAATCATGAGGCTGGCATCTAAGATAGACGGTTAATGCCCTTGCATAGGCTAGTGGACAGCATGCAGTCTAACCTATCAGCAATCGCGGCGTGGTCAGGAGCTGCATTGCTACCTAGCCACAGCCCCTTTCATGATGACGATTTGTCTGACTGTGGGAGTCTGGCGGTCTTCCTGAAGGTATGTTATACGGCTCAGGAGCCGTTGCATGGCAGGAGAACACGAGGTCGTCAAGCAAGTAGGTCGTTACTCAACGCGGCCAGATAACGATCAATGGACAGCTTTGATGGACTACAGAGGTTCTCGATTCAAGAGTCGCAGAGACGTAGTGTGTTTCGAGTCTCTAAAACGAGAAGACGATGGTATGTAGATGCGGGGGATGAAGGTCGAATAGGCCCCCGGAACATAGGTGATTCTGACTAGCTGTGACTAGAAACCAATGTTTTTTGAAGTCACCAATCCACACGGAACCTGGCCAAACAGGTGCCATGCTCAGCAAAAAGAGCTGAAGAGACGTTTTAATTGGGCCATTTTTTTCTCCCCCCGGGGGGGGGGTTCTCATGATTGACCATAAACCTAACCTGATTGTGGTACAGAATCAAGTAGAGTTCAGCTCATTCGGCTGTTAGATGGACTGCAGTATGTATTTGGATGGGAAAGAAAGAGGAAAGGGAACTTCCTTATGGTGAGACTATTGTGATTTGTACGTGAAGGGGTTGAAGCTCAAAATGACGGAGATCGAAGTGAGGTCGTCACTGGTGACTAAGGAACCAGGCACGGACCTACTTTCTTTAGCCACGACAGGCAGTGTTCCTACAGTGGGTGAGTGGGTACAGGTTGAGCTCTTAGTGGAGATAACCCCCTACCAAGATAGTCACCTAAACCCTGTACGTCTAAGACTACAGCGTCTTAAAGCGGCCGTACCAAGTATCCGCAGGGAGTTCCCGTGCCTGATTGGCAGACAGTCTTGGCTGGCTCATCCCTGCAAGTCGTATTGCGACGCCCAACCTTGGCCTTCGTACTACGTGCTTGTTTGTCTCGGTGCCCTTTTGCGTTCTGTTCATTAACAATAAATCATCTCTCAAGCGACCAGTCTTGCTCCTAGGCCACAATCTCTGCATCCTCAGTCCCACAAGTCCAATTGCTCTATCTAGGAGACACGACCGAGCTAGTCTGGGAATCTCTATGACCCCGTCGACGTCAAAGATCGAAAATCAAAGACCGGCAACCCCCTTTCTGCACAGAGTAACTCACAGGCCACGTGATGGGGTATGAAGATGATCTGCTCAACATTATTCGCACGTATGATGTGCCTGTCGACCCGGCGGCCCTCAGCTCTGCCTTGGAAGATGAGGGCCAGAGGGAACTGTTATTTGAGTGGGTCAAGTCGCACTTGACGCCAGACACATTGCTCACCAAGGACGAGCTGAACTCGTAAGCGACCGTGATCATCAGGCCCACACGGCCTATAGCTAATCAATATCCAGATACCAGCTTCTCAAGCGCAATGGAAAGGCGGACGACCTGGTGGCCGCAGCAGACCTCTCCGCCGTCCATGCCCTCAATGATCAGGAGATATGCGATGCTATCGAGGAGCTCAACCGCTCCACCAGCGCCATCAACAAGCAGACAGAGGCCCTTGTGCAACAGCAGGACGCATTGTCTCGCCTGATATCCAGCAGCGGCACGGCTGTAGACGCTCGATCCAACCTCGAGATCAAACAGATTCACAAATGGGAGTCTGATCGCCAGGCTCTGAATACCGCGGTCGAGCTCTTGCTCCAGAGTTTGGACTATCGCGTGTCGGAGCTCGAGCAGCAGAATACAGCCTCTCGCGACGAAGTGGTGAGCATCGTCGATAGTGTGCTTCACACTGACGACAAGCTTCTGTCCAGCCTCCAGAAGCTCGGATGGGAGCTCGACGCGGAGGACACAGAGGAGACGGAGAGCGTGACCAAACTGCGTGAGATATGTGCCAGACTGATCAAATACACTGTAGAGTGTATCCGCACCAAGCTCGACCGTGTCTTCTTGGAAAGCCTGGGATCTGCTCAGAAGCCGATTCAGACAGACGAAGATACTGCCGGGGAAGACATCGCGGCACAACAGGAAGAGCTGGAAGAGCTCTACGCAGAGGTCCTACCGGTGGCACAGATGTCTGTCGAGCAGCAATGTTTAGAACCTTCTCTTCGATCTCTGTCTGCCAAGAATTCCAACAGTGCTGGCCGCTCCTCCGAGGCTTTAGAATATGTGAGCTAGCAAAGCAACCTCTGTGACTTCAACTGGACCGTCGACTAATGACTTACAGATCATTGACTGTCTCGAATTTCTTCTTGATCGGATCAAGCGCGTGTCCGCGCGTGTGTCTACTTTTAAGGAACACGAGTTGGTAGCTTCCAGCGTCGTTGCGACCGCAAAGACCGAGCTCTCAACTCCAGTATCTTCACGTCCTAGCCGCCGTGGCACCGCCAACTCCAGCACTTCTCCAGCTCGCCGGCCTCGATCCCTCATCATGGATGGCATCGTGACCCCCACAACACCTCGTGTCACGGCCGGAGGCACCAAGACGAAAGGGTTCTCATCTGGTGGTACAGCGTATAGCTCCCCCGTGGATCACCTCCTCAGCGAGCTTGCTGTCTTTCTCCCAGTATCAGATGACCCGTCCAAAAGCACCGCTCAAGCACAGGCCTCCTTCCTCTCCGCTGCGCTTGCGCACCGGGCCCGCAAATCCGCTGAGGTCTCCCGCAACGTTCAGTCCGCCTTCGAAAGCTCCGTGTCGTCCTGCCTATCCGATGCACGCACAGCAGTCCAGCTCATCCGCGACTCGGTGCTGGCAGAGAGCTCCTTCGCTGAAGTATACCTGGTCGATCCAGGAATAGAAGCATCAATCGGGGTGCTGGCACAGGAGGTGCATAAAGTTGCGAGTCGCCTGGAAAGTGTAGATAGGGAGGCTGCAGTGCTGGTCAAGGGACGGAATGTCAAGAGAGAAGAGATTGTGAATCGATGGGGTCGAAAGGCAACATGATCTCCGTTGAGCTGAAGTTATTGTCGATTGTTCTCCCTGAAGTGGGATTTATCAGGCAAAATCCAACTATTTGATGGGGAAGAAATGATCTGTCGCCTGATGCTTCCTGATGATATATCTCAGGAGCCCGCGGTCTGCTGTTCTTACTACCCTGGCGTGTCAACCTCCAGAAGCTTGGACAATGAGTCCACGGTGGTTTAGATTCATTCATCACTGTCTCTGCTGTCTACAGAAGGCACATGCTCCCCTCCCCGAGAACCACAGTATCAGCTTCTTGCACGACTACTGCTGGGCCAATATAACCAAGGGCACAATCGAAAACCTCCGCCGTTCACTCCGGAATTATTAAGTCCAAATATATTAAGAACAGTATCTACTGACGTTGCTCGTGCATGTATGAACCATACCACGATGGTGCCTAAGTGAGGGCTCACCTAAGCCAGCCTCAGACTTCTCATCCGGCATTTCTTCTTGCTCGTTGGTACATTGATTCTTGGAGAGTCATACGCGCTATGCGATACATACTCTTGGCATAGGCGCGCTTCTGAGCGCCCTGCGGTGCGAGTGTGATACTATCGCCAAGATGTTGGTCAGGAGACTCAACGGCAATCAGAGGGCATGCTTCGTCATATTTCAGAGACAGTCAATTTTGATTTCAATGACATTCTCTTAGTTGGCATAACTTCGTCGGAGTACTTTTGCGTGAAACTAACATTATGAGCTTTGTACGCGCTCAAATTGCAGCCATTCGGTGGTCAATTCCTTTATCACTTGCTCTACTGAGGCTTGGTCTATGCTATCTGCGGTCGCCACCGGAAAGAGCCTAGACAAGCGATCAAGCCCGACAGACAATGGAAGCAGTCATAAAGGAAAACTTGAATTATAATCCGACGCTCTCAGTCCCCTTCTTGGTCCAAAAAGCTAGCAAGATCATCGAGAAACATCACCTTGCGCAATTTACGACCCAAATCCAGATACCGCTTCAGGTCTTAGCATCAGGATGACGCCTGAATTCCTACCAAATTGGACGAGGAGGGGAATAGTGGAAATTCAAGTCTTGTGCATAGGATTGTTCATCACTGGAATAATGGCCAGGCTCATCTCCATCTTCGGCTTCGATGCTCGGTCAATACCAGCACCTCTGGCTCTAAACCATGGTGTTGCTTCGTTTCTTCTATTTGTCGTAAGCCATGCACGAACATGCTTTATATGAGTCGGTTTTTAAAATTTATCTGATATCTTTAGGCTCTGCTTCGAGTTGTATTATTTCTGTTGTTGTGTCTCTCGTCCGCGATATCCAGCTTCCATAAAGGTCTGCGCATCGATGGCAAAATACCCGAAGAAGATGTTCTACTTGCTTCCAGTGGCAGATTTTTATCAAAGACTAACAGCTCATTCCTCTCAGACACGAAATCAAAGCGATGGAGGACGCCTCGAATGACCATCTCGACCGAGCTCGATGACTGGGAGTGACACGTTCTGGGACGAGGTCCGCCACTGTACACGATGAAGTTCGCAACTTGCCTAAAGCCACCCCGAGGACACAATGGAGGGATGGGAACTACATATTAACAAAAGAATTTACATCATGCTGTTAGTGGTAGTATAAACGAAGCTACAGTCACTCAATCATTTTCTCTTGACTGTGGAAGGGCGAGCGAGAGCTTGGGAGGAACCGAAGGAGAGTATCATTTGCCGTCTTTTCACGGAATGCAAGAATAAGATCGCGTAGGATGCGAAAATGTCATGCCAGTATGTTACGATGTGAAAAATCAAGACTCCTATTTTCTCGTACAGATCTGGATGCGTGTAGGCTCACGTCATCATGCGGATCCTGATCCTACGCGGAGAAACGGGCATAATCAATCCGCCTCGCCTCAGGGTTTGTACAGTCAACATTTGGGACTTTCTTTGCATCCTTCAAAACTTTGTTGTGGTATCATGGGGTCTGTGCCACATCCTGCCTAGTTTTACTATTGTGATGGCTTACAAATAATGTCTAGGATCCTGCTGGCGAGTCGGGTAAGTCGGGCATGTCAGCGAGACATCAACCTAAACGTATTCGGGTTTAATTTCTGATGCCCCTGGGCACGTGGGTGCATCGAACCCAAACACATAAACCTGGTACTTGAAGGATACAGATAACCCCTCTCTTGTTTGAAAATCAATTCCGCAGCTCGACTGCGCCAGTTCATACCAGACTTCACATTCAAATCAACTACCGAAAGTCATGGCTGGGAAGGCATCCAAACGTGGTTTTCTGGACGGCCTTCTGGACTGGCTGGGAGGCTGGGCAGCAAATCTCTCTGCTGAGACCAACAGCTACACTGTGACACCCGTCAGGATTCCCATGGTTGGAGAGGAAGGCGTCGAGCTGGCAGGAGACGTCTACCAGCCTATCACCAAAGAGAATGCCTCGACGCTGGGTACAATCATGGTTCATAGTCCCTATGGGCGCAGGTTCCCTTTTTCAATCAGTCTGTGCCGGCTCTGGGCAGCTCGTGGCTACAACGTGCTCATTGTAAGCACACGAGGGACGTTTGGCTCTACAGGGCTATTCATACCGGCTGTGCACGAGGTGGCAGATTCCGACCGGATCGTGAAATGGATGCGCCAGCAGTCTTGGTACACTGGCACTTTTGGCACCTTCGGCATAAGCTACCTTGGGTACACGCAATGGGCACTGATGGACTCGGACGAGCCTCTGGAAGACTACGTTGCCGCCGTCAGCATAGTTGGTCCTCACGACTTCTCGGACCTCTTGTGGGGGAACGGCTCGTTATGGTTACCAAGCCTAGACTGGGCCAAGAACAGCACTGTTATCGAGTCGACGAACACGCTAAAGTCCTTCTACAATCTTGTCACTGCAGACCCGAACGGAGACATTGCTGTCAAGAAGACCGTACCGCTGGAGGACGGCGCCAAGAAGGCAGTCGGGGTCGATACGCATACGTACACGTGGCTACACGAGTGGATATCCGGTTCCTACAGCAAGATCAAAGGGGAGGGGGCGACTGAGTTCTGGAAGTCGATGAACCACACGAGAGCACTTGAGAAGACCAAAGTGCCCATCTTGTTGATTGGAGGGTGGCAGGACATCTTCACTGAGGCACAGACAGCGCAATGGCGACGGCTGAACGAACGAGGCTGCACTGTGGCTCTGACCATGGGCGCGTGAGTTTCTTTTCTTTTTCTTTCTTCTTTTTGGTCTCTCTCTTCCCCTCCTGAGCAGACCAATGATAAGTCTTAAACTGAGATGCTTTCTTATGACAGATGGAATCACATGCAGGCTGGACAAGACATGAAGGAAATACACGCCTGGTTCGACAAGTACCTGGGCAAGAAGACAGATGGAGAAATTCGGGAGGCTCCAGCGAAAATCAACGTTACAGGGACCAATGAGTGGAAGTGGTATCCCAGCTGGCCTCCTGCGACGAAACCCCTGGAGCTCTATCTCGACCTCCAAGGTCAACTCTCCAAAGGCATCCCTGACAAAACAGATGAGGCGCAGTTCACATTTGATCCTCACAATCCCACGCCGACATTTGGAGGCCCTCTCCTTTTTGGCGGCGGCTATGCGGACGACACCGCGCTCGCGGAACGACCAGACGTTCTCGCCTTCACCACCTCGCCGCTTACCGAGGACATTGAGATCCACGGCAAGCCGCATATCGAGGTCTCCCACAGCAGCGACAACCCGCACGTCGATCTCTTTGTTCGGCTCAGTGAGGTGAACAGCCACGGCAAGTCTAGAAACATCTGTCAGGCGTATCGAAGACTCGATCCCGATCGCGCTCCGGCTGGTCAGAAGGTCAAGATTGAGCTAGACCTGTCCGACTGTGCACACCACTTCAAGAAGGGCAGCGCAATACGGCTGCTCGTTGCCGGCGGGAACTTTCCGCATTACGCTTACAACTTGGGCTCTGGTGAAGGGCAAGCCACGGGTACCACTCTCCGCCCTGCGAGGCATACGGTCTATACGGGCGGCAGCGAGGGGTCGAAATTCGTGTTGCCCGCATTAGATACTTAGGTAAATGATAAGACGGTGGTAAGTGGAGTGTGTGTTGTATAAGGTTGGTTGGTTGGGATGACTGGAGGCATGGAACACCCGGTAGGCCTCGTGTAAGGAAGCTGATATCGAAGGCAACGAGGGAATGTTATTGTATTGATGATTCTACTCATATGTCAGGTTGTGCCGGAATATTACGATCCGGGATGGACTCCCCTCCAAGCTGCAATATAGCACACGAATCGAGCTGGACTATTGCACCTTTCGTATGGATGTTTCGTAATCCTGGGAACTGAGCTGGATGAGGAAGGCCTACCCAAGTTATAGACCCTCGATATGAATGGCATGAGGTCCAAGGTTCAGCACAGTGCAGTGTACTGGGAGTAACCCGTGGCTATCTTGCAAGTGGTGATGACAGGCTGTTAATACTGAACTTCAAGACTACTGACACAGAACAGAGACTCGGTGTGAGTTCCCAGCGTTGACCCTTTTCCGTTTCCACCACGGTTTGATCACAGCTTTATGAAGCGGCTCAAGCTCATATCAGAAGCGGTGAGCAGCAGAGTCGTGAATGTGCCTTTACCAAGGTAGATGGAGCGGCGTTGATAGGCCCTTGCCGAGGGTAGCCTCAGCAGTACCAATGTCGCCTGTGAGAGGTCAGATTTATATTGCCACCAGAATCACCTCAGAATTTCAAAACTCACCAGGTCCCCTCGGAGCCCAGTACTCGCCCGTCTTGCTGATATCCAGTTTATTTGTCCAATCCACCAAGCTCTTGGCAGCTTCTTCAGGGGTTACAGCTGCACAATCTGTTATCAGTCTCTACGCTCGGAAGAAACACAAAAAGAGGTTAAGAGGAAGAGGAAGGAGAGACAGCCCCAGAATGCCTTACCTCCGCCATCGTCCCAGAATTTATCAAATCCAACACCCTTGGTCATCTCCGTCCTCATGAACCCGGGATGTACGATACTGACTATGACCCCATCATCCTTCAGGTCCAAGCTCAACAGCTTGCCTACCATGTTGAGCGCGGCCTTGCTTGCATGATGAGCGTAATTGCCGCCGCCCTCCGATTCGTGACGAAGAGTGATGCTTCCAGACTCGGAAGAAACGAGCACGACCTTGGACCCCTTCTTGAGCAGGCCCGCGTGCGAAAGCTTGTGGACGATGAAAACGGGCGCGATAGAGCTCGTCGTGTACATGGTCACCTCTTCGTCCCAGTTGGGACCCTTGTCTTTGGTGAAATCCTCAGTCGTGAAGCGGCCGGCGGTGATGAAGACAATGTCGAGCGGTTCCTTTCCGCTCAGCTGCGTGGCGAGGTCGTCACCGACGGTAGACTTGGTGAGATCAATGTTGGATAGCCATTGTACACTCTCTGGAAAGTCTTTGGGCCCAGAGCCAGACCGTGCAGTGGAGAAGACAGTGTTTGATGACTTCGATGCGTATTCTTTGACGAGGGAGGCTCCCAGGCCACGGGTCCCGCCGATGATCAGTGCTGATACCATATTGTGTCAAGGTCGAAGGCCAGCAGAGTGTAGGCAAGTTGAGCTCGGGCAAAAGAGTATAGGAAAGACAGGTCTGGAGGAAAGGAGGGTGAAATGCGTTTCGGTTGAAACAAAAGGTGTTTTATTGACAGACGATGATGTTATAGCTATATGACGTCAAAAGAGTCGACAACTGTCTGGCGGATTCCGCTGCAGAGCGCCATGCCCCAGCCTTTTAACATGTGAACCGCAAAGATTGTATAGGGGGGCGTTAGTTCCTAAACCTTGTTCTGCATTCACGCTCAAGACACTGACAGACCCTATAATATAGTAGAAGGGCTCAGTATTCAATCAACTCAGCACCAACGGACACGGCAATGATTCAGATTTTGTCTCAATGGCTCATGTACATTGGAAATCTACAATATATACAGGAACAAAATCTCTTCAGCACACCCCTTTTTTCTCCTGTCCACTCTTCTTTTTTTGCCCCTTATATCTCTCTTCCTCTCTACAATTCAGCAGCTACTGGTTGACAAACTGCTCCGTGTGGGCCTTGTACAGAGTAGAGCTGTCCAGAATGTCGCCAGTGGCCGACTCGATGAACTGGATGGACAGGTTGTTCTCGTCCTCAAAGGTCAATGTCGCGTAACTGAAGGTCTCGGCATATGCAAAGCGGTTCGACGAGATATTGTTTCCAACACTGCTCAGGCCCTCAATGTTGCCCGCGCCTCCAGCGATGATGTACATGGGCGCCGTGGGGTTATCCATGCCGGCAGGATCAACAACGCTATTGTTTACAGGCGCAAAGCGCTGCGAGTTGTGCACATGTCCAAACACACCCAGGTCAACCCCGTATTGGTACATCAGAGGCTCGAAGGCGGTCTTGCAGGCCGAGCAGATGTTGCTCTGACCCCCTGTAGAGTACCACGGTCTGTGTCCAGCCACGAGGAGCCACGGGGTCACGGTCCTGTCGACCGACGCCAGATCGGCCTCAAAGAAGTCCAGCTGCTGCCCAGTGTATCCAAATGGACCGCCGTCCAGACCAGCAGTGCCGAATGGAGCGTCAGGTGCGTTGGGGAAATCCGTCTCCGTGTCGATCATGGTGACGTGAACCATGCCATACTCGAAGCTGTACCAGAAAGGCGGGTTGGCGAGCGCTGCCGCTTTGTTGGCGTTGACTTTGGCCTTGGTGTTGGACGATGTCGAGCTGAAGGACGTGGGCATGTTTTTGCCGAAGCGCACGTTGAAGTCGGTAAAGTTTTTTTGTCCTTCTGGGCAGCTCAGCTCGATCGCCGGTGTGCCGAGCTCCTCACAGTCTGCTTCGTGGTTGCCAGGGCTGGCCATGTACACTTTGCCGCCCGCGATCGGCGCCAGCTGGTCGTAGAAGTTCTCCAGTATGGCTTCATAGGCATTCACGCCGTCACCGACGTTGGTCGGCGTCAGATACCAATCATCAGCGTAGCCAAAGTCGCCGGGGTGCAAAACCCATTCGTAGTCATCCCAGGTGTCGGCCAGGCGTCCGATAGTCGTGTGGTTCAGCGCTGGCTCAACCTCAGGTATGAGCACCTTTCTCGTGGGATCGCCGTCGGCATCGACGGTGAAGCCATCTGCACCATACACTCCCAGGTCGATCACAACGCTTGTGGTGAACGGAGACTTGTCACCTGGCGTCCGTGGGCTGAAAAAGCTGTTGACAGTGGAGTTTGTCGAGACAATCTGATAGTAGTAGGTGGTGGCTGGCGTCAGATCCGTGAGAATGACGGTGTTTGACCAAGTTCTCGAAGTGTTGTATGTGGTCGAGATGAGTGAGCAGGTCTCTTGCGACAGATCGGTGCTGCTGGTACCATATTGCACGCACGGCTTGAGTAGCTTCTCATACGTGTTCCACCCGACCGAGACAGCTGCTCATAGAGGATGAAGGTTTTGTCAGTGAAAACACCCTCCAAATGGCCAGCTCTGCCGGTCGCCGCAGCAACCCCCTCGAGGATCTTAGCTTACAGTTCATGCCACTGATAGCGAGACGCTGCTGCACAGGCGTGGTTAGGTCTGACGGGATGGTCGGGTAGTCTGCACTTGCTATCGCTGCGACGGCGAGCAAGGGAAGACCTTTCAGGATATCCAAGAGGGTGTACATGATGCAGGATGTCCGATAAGGAGGATCCACCTTGTGCTCTCTGGATCGGATGGCGGAGAGATCGGAGCTGGCAGCCTGGCGGAGCGAGCGTACGTCCCATTGACCACCTTTGGGGGGGTATGCCGTAATATATCATGCGGGCCAAGCCGTGGAAAAGATCATCAAGGTTGCAAAATTGTGTCCTGAGAGGGTTACATGCCTTGAGCGCGTGATAGCGTCGTATTATCCAGGGGCTGAAGGCGTTAGGTGCCCCCTCCTGGGCGAGTGTTCACATGCAAAGGAGATTTCCGTGTGGTAGTATTCCTCGTGTGCTTCCAGAAGGACGCATGCCGTGTGGGCGCATGGTCTGGTTGAGAAAGGAAGTTGGTTATCGTGATGATCCCGGTCAAGCCGAGCTGTGAGGCAATGATTCGACAGAACGCCACCCTGTGTTGCAAGTCCCACGAGCAAATAGGAAATCATTCTTCAGCTGGGTGAAAATAGTTAGTTCACATGTTTGCCGCTCTGCAGCAAGTTTCTGCAGGTCTCTCGGTCCAGTGGTTCACTGGTGTCTTGAACTGGAGTTGTAATTCACAGGTTTCTCGTATGTCGCTCATTGCAGAATGTAGAAGGTGGTAGCAATGCACGTGAGGGGGGTTGGGAGGCCCCAGTACCCATCTGGCCGAGACATTTTGCCTGCTACGCTCAGCCGTTTATCTACTATCTTCTATCAAGAAGGTAATTAATAGAAAAGTTCTTGGCACGTGGGGCTCATCTAGTCTCCACGTGCGTGTTGAGACGAATCAATGAGGATGAATATGGAACCTCTGCTGGCTTTGCTGGACTCATGCTTGGTCAAATGTGCGTCGCTCGCTTTCGCTTAGTGGGGCGATTCCCTTGCTGTGACCGAAAACAAACAATAATACCCTCATCTCCTCGTCAAAAGAGGAAGACAAGTCATAGAAGAGGGCAGCTCTTGTGAGTACGCTGTGACCATCATGATCATTATTTCCGAGCAAGTCCCGAGTCCACAACCACAAACACTAGAAGGATTCAACCTTCCTCACGACTGCTCCTTTCAATTAACCTAAAACATCTATGTTCGATCAAACCGTACCATATTGAACCCTGCATCAACACTCCTTCCTATTCGAATTACCTCTTACTTGAACAAAATGGCAGCATGTTAAGCAAAGGTCGCGTAGGAATACCGCATCAACATGGTCGCATCGCTTGTCCGCGGAAAAGCTTTCTACCATGTACTCAAACGGCCACGGAGGAAAATTGCAGTCGTAGTAATGCAATGATGAAAATGATGCATAACTGAGCGTGTACCTGCAAATGGAAACGGTGCGCAAGTAAGTACACGTAATTAATGGCGTAAGAGCAACGGGAATGTAATTGCATTGCTAAAGACTTCTGGACTGATACAGATTGAGAAATCCACTCAGGAAGTAGGAGACCACTGGTAGCATGAAGTACTTTTGCGTCTTCGATTGTTTTCAGACCCAATGTCAAGCAACGTTGGCCTTCTTGAGCCTAAACTTCTTTCACAACACCCTTCTTCAACAACAGATTCCCATACAGCCTGGTTTCATTGGTAGAGACAATGCAGAATGCCTTGCTCGACATTCTGTAAAACGCAAACCTCTCCAATTTACTCAGTTCAAATTTCTCGCCTTCGTGCTTGCGGATGGCTTCCCTGAAGTCATGCATTACAGGCAAATCAGCCTCTGCATCCCCGACAACCTGCATGCACCACGCCGATTCCGGCACAAAATCGTCTAGGGGCAATACGGAGAGGATGGCGTTGGCTGCGTCCGTTGCATTGGCCCCAGCAAGTCGGATGACCGGTGGGCCGGTGGATGCTGCCGGGAAGTTGGCGTCGACGATTGCGACCATGTCGCCGTGGCCCATGGCCCTGAGATTCTGTAGCAGCTCGGGGGTGAGCAGAGGATCGATGCCTTTGAGCATGGCGTTGAAATTTTTGAGCTTTAAGGGCTGTAGTAAGGAATGATAAGTTCTTTGTGACAATGTTGGATTAAGGCTCGGGACTGGAATTCTAGCCGCCGTACGGGAGTCGAGGAGAAGTATGATGAAATCGCCGACAATATTTCCCTTGACAGTGGTCTCAGTTGAACAAAGACAAAAATACAGAGAGGGGGGGGAGGGGGAAGAGAGTACGAGGAGGAGAGGGAGCAAAGGAAAAAGAAAGAAAGAAAAAAGCAAAGAAAAACAACAGCTTGAGTCATGTCTTAATTTCCCCTGGCATGGATGTCTTTTTTAAGTATGGATTGCGGTCGAGTTAATATAGAACAGATTTGTTTCCAGCATGTTATTTGAATATGAAGTTTCACCTCTGAAACTAAAAAGCTCCACATAGGTTCGACACATGTGATAAGGCGATGTCATGACACATTTAATACATTTCCTTCCGAAACCCTTCAACCGTTCTTACACAAGTACAAAGCCACGTCTAGTTCTTGGATATTTACGGTTCACCATTTTCGGGCATGATTCTGACAATAAGTATAATGAAAAATACGCATAGCACAATCAAGTTTAGGTTAACAAAGGCATTGCGGAAACTACTTTAAAGATTGCTCCTGCAACTCGATGGACTGATTTTAGTATCGTCGGGCCAGCCTTGGACGCCAGCTCAGATGAATGGCTACCTAGGGAGAAGATGCAAATCTAGGCATTCCAGATTCTCATAGCCTATACCAACATTGAAAGAGTCCCCTAAGAGAGCCCTGCTATGGGATCCGTGTTGGAGTTAAGACTTGTCAATAGAGCTTGTACCTATATGAGGACATGGCCTGCCCGTAGCTGAAAAAAAGTCTGCTACGTACCAATCCACTTTGATTGGAGGACAAGAGATGGGAATGTGCAGTCATTTCTATCTCACGGTGTCTCAATCTACAACAGCCGTGATCTGGCTTTCGTCATCCACGAGAATATTGCTCAGGCTCAATGCTTTACATAATATTGTTATGAACCTGACTCAGCCCTAGACACTCTGCGCAGACATGTCATACGTTCAACGCTGATGGCATTTTCACAACAAACGGCGGCGAGAGCGAGGACTAATTATGCAGTCGTTAGGGTCCGTAGTCGAAGACTACATTATGTACAGCAATCAACATATCAAGGCTAATAACACACAAAGACATAGACCAACCTCTTTGATAACCTCTACTTGAGTAGCTTCAGGTTCCAGGTTATTGCAGTACAGTGTTTGCGTTTGAGGAGGGTCTCCGTGACCAGCACATAGTGAAGGAATGGATTAGGCGAGGTATTGATTGGAATTTCCCCGGTTGTTGACTGACTTACGTCAATTCCAGACCTCATATTGTTGGATTTTAAAGCACGTAAAACCTGATGACTGGAATTTGCAAGTGATCTGCCGCGGAGGAAGGGCAAAAGTGACGCAGCTCGGATCTTGCTGTCAGGTTGGCCTCATCATACATGAGTTGCGAATAGTACAAGTCACGAGGGCAAAGGCGCGGCCCTGCGGAGAAAGGACGGACAAGCAGGTGCGGATTCAGATTCATTGTGGAAAATCTTACGGGTACAGGGGTAAGAGCATCGCTTCGCAGCTGTGAGCGACATTTCCAATTGGCAAATATTGAAAAGTTCCACCTGAAGAAGCATACGGTCTGGCGGAAGGCGCCATCAGAGAAGACCAGCTGTGTGAGAGTCAATGAAAGAGTCACCGACCCAAAGGCTAGATAGCCTCTAGAACTTCTGCCATCCGGCTGGTCGCTGATGATGAATTAGAAAACACTCTTTAGTGTATTACTGCGTATTACCACACAATGTATTGCCCACAGCACGAATCTGGGAATGCTCTGCCGATCTTCAAGGATTTATAAACCCGGTCCAGCCCAAGCTGTCGTTCTTACTTGACCGCTCCCGGGAGCCAGTACTACCTCCTGCAACGGAATATTGTGGTTGGACTCCTCCTGCCAGTAACGCGATGTTTGGTGGATTGTTGTTACCATCTCTATCTCTTCATTCCTTGAGGTGTCGTTGAATCTCCGGCTGTAAGGTGTAAGGTAACTCGTGCTCGCTGACAATTGCTGGCTACCACCCACGCGTACCGAACCACCCGCATATCCCGTGGCACTTCCTTTCACACTTCTACTCTTGCTGACAATATTACTGGCTGCGGAGCGAACGAGTGTCGGAAGACTGGGCATGCAAGAGCAAATAACCCCAAGCTCGATCTCGACACAGCAGAGCCTATACATAGGCATACCTTCGTCTATAATCAAGAAGTCAGATCAGGTTCTCTAAGCTGGAGGGTAAGAAAAATCTCGCGCGACTTACACGTCGGGTTGCTAATGTTCGTAAACAAGGCAATGTAACGAAATTTGGCGATCCCAACACCAATAACCCTGTAAGAGTAGCTTGCTTAGCATTTGGTTTTACCGATACACATTGGGCTTTTGAACTGGTCCAAAAGAGAAGGAAGAAGCTTGTCTATATACGTACGCAAATCCGGTTGCAAACATCACAGATATAAGTAGCTTATCTTTCAAAGGCAGATGAAGCTTTGCCACTATAGGCACAGGAATCCACATGATCCAAAAGTCGAAGGCGATAAGTATAGTAAATGCAACCCACACAAAGTCGAATTCGCTTCTGCAATGCCCATGCTGCGTACTAAACAATCTGTTCCAATAATAGCTGGGAGGCGTACATTGGAGTGCAAGTGCAATGCTGTTACGATTAGTACAAAGTCCCGACATGATCAGGAATGTTATACTTGTTTGGAAAAAGAGACCCGATTATCAAGTGGAGTCACTCACAGGAAGGTAAGAGACAACGTAATGTTGACTGCTTGTGTGATTATGACCTTGCGACGATGCTCCAGAGTAGAGAAGACCCGTGTGTAGAACAACACAATTGACACTCGCGTTGTAAGTCGAGCAACCACGTATATAAGCGAATCAGCGTAGTAATACTGCAAAAGGAAGAACATGGTCCCTGTTATTACTACGTTCCCAGTGAAGAAATGTATGATATACAGCTGGTGTAGGAGCATAGGATGGGCTTTCACGTACCTTCAGGAATATCAGAACCTTCGCCGGAGGTATTGCCCAGATATCCAAACCAAACCCACTCCGCTTCACTGCAGAAATATAAGAAAGCGATATTGGAAAGGAGAAGGTGACGACCTACTGGGATATTCGATTATGGTATAATCCACAATTACGACTACCGTGGCGATGAAATTAAAGTAATCGTCCCACCCTGTTTGCACAATGGATTAGCAGATAAAGTTCGAATGGAGGGCACGAAAAGCTGGGGAGTATATATGTAGCTATGATTTTCCCGTAGATGATGCTAGAAGTCAGGTACTTACAGAACGGCATTTTGAGGGTAGCTCTGGCTAAGCATCGCAATGCCACAACGAGTATCATCATCCCTAGAAGCACTGTGCCAGGCACGAACCAGGAATCATCATATCGTGGCTCAACTCCGCAAATAGAGTTGGTTATATTCTCGGCAGCTTTGTGTACCAGGCACAAAAGCAGTTGTCAGCTGAGGTATAGACGGGTATTCATGATTTGTAACTGAAGTACTTAGCAGCGGAAGGTTGAAGCATACTCAATGATTCGATTGTAGTGCATGCTTTCTCGATGCAGAGGGTACTTTGACTCTTGAGAGCGGCGTCGGAACAGGTGCATGCGGTGTCAGTCGCAACACAGGAAGAATTGGTGATTGCTGCCATGAGGCATTCAAGCTGTTGACCGAGGTGTGCATCTTAGCAGGAGCGCTGATGTTCTAGTGGGTGGTTCTTCTATAACGTACGGCGCACGACGGAAGATCTATCACGGACATATTTGATGTCTCTGGGTGATCACTAAGCAGATGGGAGGGACCACATGGACGAACAACTTGTTGTAGGCATGTGGAACAAGTCGTCTCCAGCTCAGACTTTCCAGAAAAGTATGGATGTTAACGAAACGGCTGGCGTACCGGGGGAAAGGAGAGGGACGAGGGGGACCATTAGGTATACGGCAATCTAATGATCGAGCTCGCTCTTGGAAAGCAATGGTGAGACATGTCTTGCATCGACTCTGCATATGCATCATTTCGGGTCATTCTCGTATGGGGGCGGGGGATTCTTGTTGCACACCATTAATTATTCGCTCAACCCAGCGTTGTGTAAAAAACATGCCGTGTGGGGGATCTCACACCATTGTCATTCGAGGTTTTCTCTATTGATTTGTAACTACGTCAGCAGCCTCCGGCCTGCAATCATTCTTCTTATGGTGCTGACGGTGTCGCTCCCACCAACCATCACTCAATGAGATACTCGTGTTTCCCCAATATGCAGCAAGATTATGTAGCTATTGACGGCTAATGCAGCCTAGCCAGCCACGCGGGATGTCACGCACTGGTTTAATTAGCAGGACTGGTAGGCAGCCTCATTTGTGCGCTCGAGGCGACGGAGACTCAATCGCGCCTCAGTTTGATGTGGGTCAATTGTCCAAGACGGTAGGAAGCCGTCGTTATTGCGGTGTAGTCAATGTAGATAAGATGTTCTGCATTGTAGAATAGGAAGTGGCTCAGCTCCATAATAGACCGGCTTCCAGTCACGAGTAGCGAATCAGGCCTGGGATTGTCCTGAGAAGACCGTACTCTGTGCTATTTGTAGTAAGATGTTTTGTTGTTCTTCTTTTTATTATTATAGCATTTATGATACTTCTTTATACATTACGTCTTGTACGCATCCCCTGACTTTCAAGAGTTTTCACGACTGCAAATCGATGGCATAAAGTATTTCAGAAAGCAGTATGAGGGGGCCCCCCCAGGACCGGAATTAAGAGCTTGAGAACGGATTAATTTGCTGAAATGTTTGATTTAAATTCTTCAACGGAGCGGACCTGGATGGGCCGGATGCACAGCGTCCCAACTGGGTCTCGGAGGAAACAATTCCAGAGGCAGACCTGGTCAATTCTCTAACTTTTCATTTATTTGAAATCTAATTTTGGACAGACTAACAGCTATCTAAGGAGTACCTTCTCTCTCGTAGGATGAGAAGGCATCGACGTTGAGATGGAAGAACGGTGTGATATCATGCTTTCCCAGTTAGGCGGTGCTGGGAGCTATGGCTTGTGCCTGCCACAGCTGACACGCCTGCCATGTTACGTACCCGCCTATCTTTAGCCCCTCTCCCCTCCATCCCGCCCAGCTGCAAGATTTGCTACGAAACAAACAAACAAACAAACAAACAAGCAATATTGAAGCTGTCAACCCAAATCCTCAACATTATCCCTTTCAATTGACATTTTCTTGAAGTTTCTCACGTATCAATGAGACGGAGCCGAGTTCAAATACTGCCCTCCCCGGCAAGGGCAAGGTGAACCATTCTATTACCTCCGCGACTCCAAGACAACCGAGCTTCCTCCACCCTCCTGAGCAGAGCCGCGCATCTGCAGATCTTGTGATGTGACAAAGTACTGCAGGCCCAGAGCCTTCATACGCCCGATAAACTTGAGCACCGGCATTCTCTTTGCGTCTGGCCCTCCACGCCCCTCCAGTGAGGCCACCATCTCGGCGATATCGATGCGCACCGGACTCTCATGGCTGACGAAGCGAATCTCCCCAGAAGCAGGCGGTGGCGATGACGACTCTCCCTCATCCAGGAGCCCGGCCAGCTTGCCTGATACCTCGGCAATGGGAACCATATCAAACGAGCCTCCTACTGCCCCGCCTGCCTCAGGTGTTGCGCCGACCGCGCCGACGAGATCCACGAAGTGGTCCAGAGCTTTCTCGACGAGGCCGGTTCTTACTTCGCGGGCGGGCATGAAGCGGTGGACGGAGACGGGCAGTCCCAAATCCCGCGAGGCTTTCTCCAACATCTGCTCGCACACCCAACGGCTCGCCACATAGCCGTCGGAGCCATCGGAAGCCGGCTTGTATGCGTCTGCTGACCTGGCCGGCCCTACGGTCCCATCTTGGGCGGTGGTCGCAATCACAACCCCGGCGGTGGAGATGTAGTGCAGGGGCACGCGGCGGGCGGCCGCCAGACGCACCAGCTGCCGCGTGGGCTCGACGTTGCTGGGCCGCAGGACGTGGTAGTTATCCCAGAAGGACCGGACTGCTGCCAGGTGCAGAATGCCATCGACCTCGCCGGCCAGCGCCACAAAGGCCGCCTCGGAGCCCAGACCCAGCCATGGCTCAGAGAGGTCGCCCTTGTGCGTGATGATCTTGGGAGAGGAGGCCACCATACTATCGAGCACGCGGGGCTGCCCTGCGGGCTTGTCTCGCAGGCCGATGCAGTGGATCCGGGCAATGGATGGGCTCGCGACCAGCCGTGCTAGGATGTGCTTCCCGAGGAATCCGCCAGCGCCAGTGACGAGGATGACCTTGTTGTTGTTGTGGATGGGGGCGGGGTTGGGAATAGTGGGAATACTGTCGCTGCCGATGGCGGTCTCCTCCTCCCAGTTGATGCTCCCGACGTGGGGCCTCTGCTCGAGAAGCTGTGCCATCCCAGACAGGGTGCTGGCGCCGAGGAGTTCGACCAGGGGTACTGTGACCTTCAAGACCTGGCGGATGCGGGCTTGCAGCCTCACAACAAGCAGTGAGTTGCCGCCGATGGTGAAGAAGTCGGTTGAAGGAGTGATGGCCAGCTCAAGGCCCGTCTCCTTGGTCCGCAGGGCCTGTTCCCACAGCCGCCGGAGCTGGACCATGGTTTCGGAAAGCTCTCCTGCTGCTGCTGCATCCCCGTCCCGCCCCGTTCCGTCCTCTTGGCCGTCACCACCTATCTCGATGCGGGCTGGCAGTGGCATGGCCTTGAGTGCCTTGCGGTCTACCTTGGAGTGATTGTTTAGCGGCATACGGTCCAGCGGGATGGCCACCACGGGCACCATGTACTGGGGCACTGGAAGGTGTCTCAGCAGCTGGCGGAGGAAGCCTGCGGTGTCGGCAATACCGTGCTGCGGCGCAAAGACAACGTGCGACACCAAGAGTTGCGGATCACCCTCACGCAGCGTGACGACAGCCTCCTTGAGCGCGCCGCCAGCCTCCCTAACGATGTTGCTCTCGATATCGCCCAGCTCGATGCGCAGCCCGCGCAGCTTCACCTGGGTATCCCCCGCAATCCGATTGTGGAACACCATAGCTCCGTCTTCCTGCAGATGGGCGATATCGCCGGTGCGGTACATTCTAGTCCACCCCTGCGCCACGTACTCAGGTGTTGCGTACGGATCTGGCAAGAAGTGTTGGTCTGTCAGCTCTTTATTGTTCAGATAACCCAGAGACACGCCGGCGCCGCCGATCCATAGTTCGCCAGGCATGCCGACGGGGACAGGCTTGCGGCCTTCATCGAGGATGTAGGCGACATAGTTGGGCAGGGAGTAGCCACAGGGAATGCGAACGGGGAACGACTCGTCGCGGTATGGAATCTCTGCCTTGGTGGAAGAGATGGAGATCTCGGTCGGCCCGTACGAGTTGAAAAATCGCAGGTTAGGAAGCTGCAGCGAAGCAATCTGCCGGAGAAGGGTCTCTGTGAGGGGCTCTCCGCCGCCAAAAGCGAAGCGCCACTGCGAGGCCTGCTTGAGGTTGTCACGGCCGTGCTCAAGCCAGAGAGAATATTCTGCAGGGGTAGCTTTGGTATATGTGATGCCCTCCTCGCGAATGATCTTGGTCACTTCCACTGGATCGCCTCGCTTGCTCCAGGGTACGATCACAACGGAGCCGCCGTTCACGAGACCTGTATACATCTGGTCTGACGAGTGATTAAATGTGAAGGCACTCTGCTGGAGGGCGCATTCCGCCTTGTGGCCCCATTGGGTTATGTAGCCTTCTATCTCGTTGCGAAGACCCGAGTGCTTGACGACGATGCCCTTGGGCTTGCCAGTCGAGCCACTAGTGAAGAGAATCGCAGCCACATCCTCAGGTTTCGCCGAGTTGGCGACAGGGGCAGAAGGACTGGTTCCGATGGTTGACACATTGACAATCTTGGCTCCAGTAACGTTTATCTCGGCAGCATTGCCAACAGTACTGTCATCAACCAAGATGACAGCCGGAGCACACGCCCCTGCAACATCTGCTAGCCGTGGGAGCGGGTTGCGGAGGTCGAGTGGAATATAGACACCGCCGACACGCATAATGGCCAGCATGGAGCATGGCCAGTCGGCCGTCGCGTCTTCAAAGACCAGAACCCTCGATCCGGTACCAACACCAGACTGCTGCAGGGCTTCAGCAATCGCCTGGGTCCGGTCCGACATAGCGGCGTATGACAGAACCCTGCCATGGCCATCCTTGAGGGCCACCTTGTCGCTGTTCTCCTGAGCCACCTGATCAATCCTGTGAGGCAGCGTACCGCCGGGCCAGGAGGACACCAGGTCCCATCCTCTCCCTACAGCAAGAGCGCGTGTGCACTCCTTGTCACTGAACAGAGGCGGGTCCTTCAGCTGCAGCGACGCATCGCCGACAAACGTCTCCAGCAGGTGGACATAGGTGTTCAGGAGCAACTGCGCCACCGTCGCGTCATAGAGAGCCGCCTGTGTCCGGAACAAGATGCGGGCGCCGCTGTCTGGGCTGTCAGTTACATCAAGGGTCATGTCGTATGCAGTTTGGCCCGGGTGTAGGTCCAGAAACTCCCATTTGGTGTTGGCAAACTGCATGACCTCCTGTTGGCCCTGGCGGTAGTCGAAGAAGGCCTGGAAGAAGGGGCTGTATGCGGCCGACCGGGGCACGTTAAGTTCGGCCAGGAGAACATCGAATGGCACACGCGAGTGGGCTAGGGCCTCGTAGGCTTTGGCCCGCGCCTCAGCAACGCAGTCGCTGAAGGGTTGGCTAAGGTCGCGCTGGAACCGCAGCGTGAGGAGGTTGAGAATTAGCCCGATGGTGCCCATGCTGTCACTGTCATTCCTGTTCGCATCAGCGATGCCAATCGTCAGATCTTCAGCATCTGTGAAGCGGAACAGCATGGCCTTGAACACTGCCAGGTAGACGTGGAAAGTGGTCGAGCGACAGGCCTTGGACACGTCTCTGAGGCGGGCTGCCAGGTCAGAGCTAAGCCTGGTTTCGACCTGGTGAACCTGGAAGCGGGCCATAGGCAGACGATTACTGCGTTGGGCCATTGGGAGAAGCGGCAGCACAGGAGGGTGTCCGTCTGGGAACACCGCTTTCCAGTACGCAATGTCCTCGTCCATTTCTCCGTTCGCAAAAGCAGCGCGTTGCCTCGTGGCCAGGTCTGGCAGCTGGTAAGGGGCTGAGCCGAGAGACTGCCGCTGGTAAGCCTTCTCAAGATCCGCCAAAAAGTTCTGCAGGCTGACGCCGTCCATCAGGATATGGTGGTAGTTGACTAGGAGATAATGCTCGGTAGGAGACAGGACTAGCAGGATCAAGCGGAGCAGGTTACCGCTGGCCAGGTCGAATGGGATGGCTTTCATAGCAGCGTAGATAGTCTGCACGTCCTCAACGCTGTTGATCTGCTGCCGTTCGAGGCGGATAAAAGAGCGAGGGAGCACTTCCTGCCAGGCCACGTCTGCATCCTTGTTGTCGGCGACGAAGGCAGTCCTCAGGGACTCGTGCCTGTTGGTGACGAGACGCACTGCCCTTTCTAGGTCACCAGTTCGCAGGGCCCCGGTAATGCGGTAGAAGAAGGTGACGTTGAACGTGGTTTGGTCCTGGACCAGATGTTGCAGGAACCAGAAGCGGGATTGCGGGAAAGACACCAGCTCCCTCCGCACATACGGCGCCCGGGGAAGCGAAGAAGGAGGAGGAGATCCCTCTCCTGACGATGACACAGCAGTCTCCATGTCAGAAGCCCTTGGAGATCCTTCTACAGACGAGGCCAAAATGGACTCGGGCCTGCTCTCGCTGCTGCTGCTTCCGGCTTCGGATTCGGACGAGGGAGGGTTCTTGGACGCCGCTGTTGGCGGTGCTGCTGCTGGGCCTGGCTTTGCTGGAGAAGGCGTTGAGGTGGTCTTGGCCTCTGCTGGCCCCGATTTGGCTGGTGACGAAGAGTTGGGCTTGTTTCCGAGGTTTGGGAGGAGATCCTGCGGCAATTTCTCTGCTGCTTGTTGGCAGAGGTCGGAAATCGAGCCCCCTCCGAGCACCTTGAGGACGGGCATATCCACCTTGACTTCCTTCAAGAACCAGCTGCGGACCTCGACCGCGACCAAGGAGTCGATCCCGAGCTCCGAGAGGGGTACCTCGTGGCTGACCCCGGCGGGGTCCCCCAGCCGTGAGATGACGGCCAGCTTGGCGGCGAAACAGTCCTCCAGGATTTGGATGGCCTCATCCTTTGTAGTAGCGGTGGCAAGTTGTTCGCGGGCAGGGAGAGCGCTCCTACGTCCAGCCGTCCCTTTGGCGTCGCTGTCGTGAGCCTCGTCTATGATGACCTTGTGCGAGAAGCGAGGGTCATCAAACCACTGCACTCGTTGTTCTTCTGATTCTTCCTCACCAGAGCGCACCGTAATGCATCCGGTGGTGACGATTGGGTTCCGCCTAGAGCCCGGCACACCGGCAAGAACGGCCTCGGCGAACAGCTCATGGACGTCCTTCTCGGAAATCGCCATGAAGCCGTATCGGATGAGTTGCTCCCGCGCAGTGTCACCCGCGCGCTCCATGAAGCCGATTCCGGCGATGCGTCCAATGTCGAGGCAAGCACCGGCTAGACCACGACTCTTGCGCTGTCCGATCTAACCAAGAAGGAAAGGAATCGCAGTTCCTGGTCAGCCACTGCATCTAAGCAAACCTCACGGGTGGTCTTTCTCTGGTACTCGAGCTTGTTCTTGACTTACCAAACCAGACATGTACGCGTTCGCTGCCGTGTAATTGGACTGCCCACTGTTACCGATCACGGAGGTGAGAGAAGAGAAGACAATGAAAAAGTCCAGGCTGTCGGCGCCAAAGACTTGGTCCAGGTTTCTGGTTCCCTCTATCTTGGGCCTCGTGACGCTGGTCATCATCTCGAGAGTCATTTGCGTGAACGGCGCGTCATGAAACAGCGCAGCGCCATTTGCCACACCAGCGATGGGTGGACATGATGCCCGAATGTCGTTAATTACCTTGCTCACGTCTTTCTCGTCTGTCACGTCCCTGCGCAGTGGAAATCATTTCATTTAGCGCCTCCGTATTCATTGGGGGCCACCACCCACATAACATTCAAGGATAGGACAAAGGGAGGGGGGGCTCTTCAACTCTTACATTGCAAAGAACTTCACCGTCGTGCCAGCTTTCTGTAAGGAGGCCTGCCACTTCGGATCTTGTTTGGGGTTTCGACTGGTCAGACACACATGGCCCGCTCCGTTGCGTGACATCCACTCGCACAGGGACTGCCCAAGCTGCCCAGCAAGGCCGACAAGAACATAGGTCTTGTCCCTGGAGAATAGGCGATCAGCACGGACGGGTCGAACTTGGACAGGAACCGAAGACTCTGACGTCCAGTCGATAACACCCATGATTTTACCCTTGCCCGCAGAGGAGGCGGCGTCACGTATTTCACTAGGGCGGATGACCTGAGGGGAACTCGTTGTCGTCACTGTTGCGCCTGGTGCAGGGAGGAGGTTCGTCCGCGCGCGGTGCACTGCTTCTTGGAGGACCTTGGAAACAAAGGCATAGTCCACAGGTGCGGGCGGTACCTCAGCCTGGCGGCGGATCACGTGTGAAGCATCCATCTGCCTGCATCGAAGTGGGAGACAGTCCCGGATGATGGAACCGACGACACCCTCCCCCTTGTTTCCTAGGTCAAGGAAGTGAGTCACATCCGTCGGGAGCAGCTGCATGATCACATGTCTGGAGCTCCAAGCGCGGACTTGAATCACCGAGTCTGGCTCAGCGTCGTCTGGGACAGAGTCTTCTGTGCTAAAGGTGACGCGGGTGTTGTTGCTCTTAGCAGCCGCCTGCCGACAGAGAGCAGCGGCGAGCGTACTCATAATACTACCAGGCTCATGTACGAGCAGATGGCTGTTTGCGGGAAGTCTGGAGACGATAGAGGCTGCCGTGAGCTCGACTGCGATTGCAGCAAGAAGGACGGGTGCCTGTACCGTCGGAGTAACGAACTCTGACACAACCACACTTGCGAGTCCGACCAGCTTGGACGCGTTGACGTCGCTGAGAGTGACCACGGTGTCGCCGGTTGTGACGTCCTTGCCCAGAGCAACGAAGAGAGATCCGTCGCCAGGCAAAGCAATGGCAGACAACGTCGAATGGCTCACTTTCGTAGCGGAACCAGGCCGTTCTGGCAGGAGGCGATGTAATCCTTGCTCCTCCTCCTCCAGTGCAGGCGACCCATCCGCAGTTTCGGCTACGAATACCGTCGTATTCTGCAGGTCAGCGGTTTTGGTCACACGCCGGCGAAGTGAATTGATTCTCGCATTCTGATCTCGGTCAGGAAGGATACGAGGAACCAGAATGCGGCCACCCTCGACATATAGCTCGGGCTCTTTGGACCATAAGAAGCTCGTCTTCGATGTGCCACTGCTCTCCCACTGGTCCACCGCTGCCAGGCGGAGGACGGCCTTGGCGATGAGAGAGGCGGCATGCTCTCCAACAGTGTCCATGTCCAGGAATTGGAGGGACAAGTGTGGCATCTCATATGCGATGGATCGCCCAAATCCGATGCTCGCGCTGTGATAGGGTTCTTTCGTCCTTGCGCCCTCAGTGACCCACAGAATGTTACTGGCGAGCTCAAAAAGACATTTGAGGCCTTCCATGGTCGACTCGGTGAGATCCCGGAAGATGGGATCATCCAGATCCAGCAGGTTGATGAAAGTGGTCATGGGCTGGATGTCGTGCTCGTCAATGGGCAGTCCTTGGAGGAGGGTAACCTTGTCGCTGATGCCGTGCAACATCTCGCACAGATCTTCTGCGATGCCAGACGTCTGGAGAGAAGTTCCCCCAAGGATCACAACCTCGCTGAGATGCACCATGCCAGACCTTCCCAGGGGCTTTCGCAGGAAGTTGACTCGGTCATCCACTGCCTGGGCGACCACTACCGAGAGGGGCCACGCGCCTTCACCAACGAAACCTGTTGGAGTGGCTGTATCAATCCCTGCGAACCCAGAGTTGCGCAGCGCACTGTGCCATGTCGCTGTTCTCTGTGTGATACTTTTCTTAAGAAGAGATTCCTCCTTGTCGTCGACAAACCCGTCACTGAGGACACCAAGCAACAGGTTCATGCGGATGGAGTCATAATGGGACAAGCCTGACGCTATGAGGTATCCACCAGGTCGCAGAAGCTGACGAGTGTTCTGAAGACCCTTTTCAAGAAACGGCCCGCCTCCCAGCAGGGTGTTAGACGCAATGATAATATCAAATGAGTGATTCTCGAACCCCTGGGACGACGGAGCCTTGGTCGGGTCAAAAGACTTGAACACCATCTTCTGGCAGAGGGCTGCAAGCGACTGCTGGGTCTTCTCGACGGCTTCTGCAGACAGGTCGGTGCAAGTGTACGAGGAGAAGGTGGTCCCAGCTGTTGACACAATAGGCCGAGTAGCGTGTCCTATCCGGGTATCTACGTCGATGGTTTGTCATGTGTCAGTAATCACTTTTTCGATTGTTTTGAGGAGTTTCGTAAATTCAGCAGCACTTACCAATCTCCAGCACCTTGGCATGGGGATACCGATGCATAATCTGTTGCACTGTCTTGGCCGTCACCGTGTTGGACTGGGAAAACCCGAGACCTTCCGAGTACAATAGGTCGAGGAGTTCGTGCTTCCTGAAGTCAGACACGTCAAGATCACCTCGCAGGATAGCCGACACACTCTCTCCGACAGTCTTGATAATTTTGAGATCGACTTGCTCCGAGAACCTGTCGAGGAGAGCCTGAATTTGCTCGTGCTCGTCTCCGGCCCATTTGCTCATTATCACAGAAACATTGGGCCTGCTGTCAAGCCTGTTGAGCAACCTCGTGGCCGTGTCTCGAAGCTGCTGGCACAGTTCGTCACCCTTCTCGAGCCATTTACCGCTGGTCATCTCGAGCTTCCATTGTCTCAGGTAGTAGCAAGCCACTCGGTCCAAAGTCTGCGCGAGATCATTTTCATCTGGCGAGGGCCGCTCGACTTCGGCTGCTGCTATACTTGCGTCTGGAGCAGCAATTCCGAATTGAGTCGTCGAGAACATAGGGCGGTCGTCGGCAGCGGTGGCATGCGAAAACGGTCTCATCTCGAGGTTCTCGACCTGCAAGAGGGTGTTTTGACCATCTTCGCTAAATATATCGACACTGCTTATCATCGAGATGGACTCGGAAGCATGTAGAATGGCCGAGACGGGCAGGTCGGTAGGCGAGGTCGGCAGTGACGCACAAAGCTCGGGGTTGACCCGAATGCATCCGATGGACGTGGGCACATGTAGCGACCATAGCTGCTCGTCACCTGGACTCGACTGAGCCAGAAAGGATGCCTGAAAAGCAACGTCCAGCATGCTGGGATGGACAGTCAGAACATCATCATCGTCGTCGCCATATCCATACGTGGCTACTTTTGCGGAGGCCTGATCCAGCCTTCTCTTCATAGACGACATGGTTCTGAAAGGCCCGTTGTATCCGTATCCAAGCCCATCGAGCGACGCGTAGAAGCGGTCCGAATCAATTTCCGTCATCTTGGAGTCATCCAGTGGCGAAGACGACAGCGTCGAAAAGGAAGGCGTGCCATAGACGATCCGAACTTTCCCGCTTGACACCAGCTCCATTGCTGCCGACTCCGTACTATTAGGGCATGAATACACTGAAAAGAGAGCCGTCTGTGTCGTCGCAGCACTGCCGTCGTCGGCACGTCCTGTTCCCGTCGCGGTCAGGCTCACAAGCGTCTCAGGGGCAGAGCTGGTAGCCTCATCGAAGGCAATAGCCTTGCCAATGGTCAGATCGTGCACCTCGAGGACCTTCACGGGCCTGCTACCGCCAGCAGCACGAATGAGCTCCTTGGCAGCTTCCAGGGCCATGGACACGTATCCCGCCGCAGGGAAAACGGTCTGCCCCTGCAGCTGATGCCCGTCCAGCCAAGGAATCTCATCTGCCCGGAGAAAGTTTCGCCATCGGAACTCGCGGTCTGTATTGTTAGGCGAAGGGACGCCCAGAAGCTCATGGAAAGCGGCACCCCGGAGCATGGTCTTCCTAGTGATACGTGACTCGTGCCAGTGAACACGGCTGTGATTCCATGCATAGCTCGGGAGGCCCACCGCCAACTTGGGAGAGTAACCTGGCGAGACCAGCCTCTGCAGTGATGTGAAATCAATGGCGCCTGGTCCAAACATTGTCCACAAAGATCCAAGCCCGTCTGCGAAGGCCTCAGCATCGTTAACACCCCTACTCAAGACACCCGTATATGCAAGCGTCGAGGGGCGAGCATCCGAAATATTTTGTTGCGCTGGACCCTTCAGTGCCGGGTGAGGACCGACTTCGACGCAAAAATTGAGGTTGTCATGGCTGCTCACCGCGCCCTTGACCGCGTCCATGAACAAAACCGCCTGCAACATGTTGTCTCTCCAGTAAGAGGCACTGAGGTCTTCCGAGGGACCCATCAGCTCGCCTCCTCGCACACTGGAGTACCAGGCGCAAGATGTATCAGAGCGGTCTGTGTTGACCTTGATGTCACAGGCGCGCAGGGACTCCATGTACGGCTCACAGCAGGGCAGCATGTGATGAGAGTGGTAGGCCGTGTCAACAAGAAGAGCGCGGGCAAACTTCTTCTCCTCGTCAAAGACCCTCTTGGCGTGGGCAATGCCGTCCGCGTCGCCTGAGAGTGTGAGGCTGGCAGCCGAATTTTGCGCGGCAATCTTCACGCGGCCCTTGAATGCCGGCAGGTCGAGAAGCTCCTGTGCATCCTCGAAGCTCGTCCCGACGGCCATCATGGAACCCTTCTGCCCCTGGGGGCCACGAGAGCTTTTGGCGTGCACACCTCTGTAGTACGCGATTCGAATAGCATCCTTCGCAGAGATGAATCCTGCGGCATACGCTGCAGCAATCTCACCAGAAGAGTGACCGACGACCGCCGTGAAGGTCACGCCAGCGCTGCGCAGCAGGTCCACGAGAACGACCTGGAGGGCAGTGCAGAGCGGCTGCGCAAGAGCAGCCTCCTTGAGACGAGACTGCTCCTTGCCCGCGCAGAGCTCGTCGGCAATCTTCCACGATGGACGGTCTGGCTCAGGAAGTGTGGCAAGGGATTCGTCGAGTTGTTTGATCTTGTCCTGCACCACAGGCGAGGCGAGCAAGCCGGCGCCCATAGTGGGCCACTGGGCTCCCTGCCCTGTGAATACGCCAAGGAGCTGTGGTTTGGCACCCTGGGTTGCCGATCGAGTGCCCACACTCGTGCCAGAGGCTGCTGCTCCTCCTTTAGCCAACTCCAGCGCCTTGTCGATCTTAAACGCCAGAGCCTCTGGGCTTAAAGCTGAAAAGGACTTCTTGAACGGCAAGGCAGATCTCCGCGACTGGAGGGTCCAGCCCAGGTCGTGAAGATCAATGCTTCTGCCTTGGTCTGTTTTCAGGAAGTCAGAGTATTTCTGCAACACCGATACCAGCGAATCCTCAGTGGCTGCAGAAAATACGAAGGGAGTGAGCGTGAGGTGGTTCTCGCCCGCGGTGATCGTTGTCGACGGCGTGTCGGCAACATAGCTTTCCAGGATGGCATGTCCATTTGTGCCTCCGAAACCTGTTTTGAGGAGCGTGAGGTTGATCAGTGGGAGAACATGGACGATACCCGACAATTCACTACAGAAATCACTCACCAAAACTGTTGACACTCGCACGTCGCGGCACCCCATCAGGCAGCGTAGGCCATGCTATCGCTTTTGTTGGTACGGCTAGATTATCGCAGTACTGCTCGACGTCCGGATTCAACCGCGTAAGGAGCATGTTCGGCGGGATAATTCCATGCCGAAGTGCCTGAGAGGCTTTCAGCACACCCGCCAGTCCAGCGGTACCTTCGGTGTGCCCAATGATGGTCTTGATAGACCCAACATAGAGAGGATTGCCCTCGCTTGCTTGTTGACCGCCGAAACACTCCTTGATTGCGGCAGCCTCTCGGGGATCACCAGCCTTGGTACCAGTGCCATCTGAAAAACAGGTTTGGTATCAGCCAGCTGTGCAAGACACGAAGACTCGCTGGGGTATTATCGGAGCAACGGCGCAATTATCTCCTCAGGTGTAACTTACGAGCTTCAAAGAACTGCGGCCGATCGCGTGGGTTCGATGTATCGAGACCAGCCCGAGCGTAAGTGGCTTTGATCAGAGCCGCCTGTGCTTCTGTGCTGGGGACTGTCAACCCTGTTGACTTGCCATCCTGGTTCACTCCGGTCTCCCGGATGAGACACTCGATATGGTCACCATCGGCAATAGCATCGCTCAGCCTTTTCAGGACTAGGGCCGCGATGCCATCTCCTCTGGCATACCCATCTGCATCCGCACTCCACATCCTTGAACGGCCAGTCGGAGACAACAGGCTCATCTTGCTCTCTCCCACGAATTGCTCTGTTTCAACGAGAAAAGATGTGGCTTCATGTTAGCAGAAGAGCCCTCGAAAACTTCCACGCCAATCTGAGCAGCAGTAAGCATTCAAGGTAAGGGCGACTACTAACCGGGTCCGAGCAACAGCTCCGTTCCACCTGCAATGGCCACACGCGACTCGCCGCCACGCAGAGCCCGGACGCTCTGATGGAGAGCCACCATGCTGGAAGAGCACGCCGTGTCAATTGTCATGGAGGGGCCATGCCAGTCGAAGAAGTACGAAATTCGATTGGCGAGAATGGCCCGCGATGTGCCAGTAGAAAAATAGGTAGGCATGCTCTCCATGTCTCGAATCAGTATATCGTTATAGTCAACCGACATGGTGCCGACCATCACGGCAGTGTCTGAGCCGCGTAGCTTCTCGATGGTATGGCCGCCGGCCTCGAGAGCCTCGTAGACCACTTCCATCAACAGTCTCTGCTGAGGGTCTGCCGATAACAAGTCAGCTTTCAACGTTCTGTCGTCTCTTCATTTTTTTCTCCTTCTCGCATATGGTGGTTGCCCCGTTGATGTTACACTGCCGGTTTAAAATAAAATAAAAAAGGATAATATTTCAGGGTATTTAATCATACCTATCGCATCGGCCTCGTTTGGGCTGATGTTGAAAAAAGTGCCATCAAACCGACGCACATCCTCGTCCAACATGTACGCCCTCTGGACGTTTGTCGTCCCATGGTGCGAGCCCTTGGGGTGATAGTAGCCCTTCAGCTCGAATCTCTCGTCGGGGATCGCCTTGGAGACGTCTCTGGGTTTCTCGAGGAGCTTCCACAAAGAGGAGGGTGAACTCGCACCCCCCGGGAAGCGGCAACCGCTCCCAACAACGGCGATGGGCTCTACTGCGAATTCCGCCATTTCGAAAATCAGATGTCCTTGTTCTTGACGAAGGGACAATAAACGCAATTGATCAAGGTGGACGAGAGTTTCATGGAGAAGTCTGCGTTGTTCCGTTTGGTTGGAGGACGGCGAGCTATTCTTTGTGTGAACAGGCGCCAGCAAACCCTCATCTTTCTATAGTCTATTCTAGCATCTGGCGATGTTTAAAGTGCTACAATGAAACGACGCAATATGGAGTATGATAATTCGAAGCGGTTGTGGATTGTAGCTACAGACCCGAGCTCAGGAGATATCGGGCACATAATTCTTCGCCCAATTTGTCCGCATATTGTTTAATTCTTTCCTTGTCTTCTTTTAGCAACCAAGATTCGAGAATTGGTGTAAGTCCTATCAGTAAATCCCAGGCTAATGGCCTAATCACTGGGACCCTATAGGATCGCAAAGATTGATTATCACGGATGTATGTATTATCAAACATATCCCCAGAGATCGCAGTGTCACCTAGAATTATCTTGAGCTATGTTACATTTGTTCAGAATTTTGTCATGCTGTACTTTGTATAATCTCCTGCTCACATCTGTAATGTGTCCTAACCGCTAATCGAAAGGAGAAGTTGATCGCGTCAGTTGTCGGTCTAATTAACTAGAATCCGCCGAACGCGCATTTGCTCCACGGTAAGACTGCATACAACATAATAATGCCGGTGAGAACATCAATCTACCCAATCATAACAATTGCAATTTCGATTAAAAATTCCAATTAGCACAACCCATTATGGTGCGTACCCTGGACGTAGCACAGATATCGCACGACGGTCATAGCGAGTGGCGAGAAGCCCCCTTGGGATGACCAGACACATGCAGGCTCCCACTTGGGTGAATAGTATAGTCAATTGACAGCGTTGCTCTCCTAACCTCGTACGATGCTAGTTGGATAGACTTGATGAGCTGTGATAGAGAACTCCTAAACGCGTCATGCCACCTACCTAAACAGTCACTCGCACCAAGACAGTGAAAGGTTTCTGGATGATACTACACTAGAAATATAAACCACTGGGTATGCCACTCTGGTGGAACCTCCGAAGACCCCCTTGAGCTCCAGTTGACGGCCTTTGCCAAGAGCACCTAATTAAATCTTCGTTTCACTACCAATAGATCCGAGAACAGAGTAGAGCTTCTAATTATCCACACAATCTGGATCCATGGATACCATCATCCGGAACAAGTCGGACAAGGTCGTGGCGCTCCTAGGCGCTGCGACTGCGTTGGTGAGCTGCTCTTTCTCCAACAGGATAATCCTATTCTTTGTGCCTGGCTAATTCTGAACCAGATGTTTATCTACCTAGTGCTAAAAATAGTACACGCCCTTCGATACACTGATCTGAATCACATTCCTGGACCTAAGCTCAACGCTCTGTCGATGATTCCATACGCGAGACACATGCTGGCAGGGAGCACGGTAGAAAATAGTGTGCGGTTGCACAGGGAGTACGGTGATGTGGTCAGAATTGGACCAAAGGAGGTCTCTTTTATATCTGGGGACACTGCTTTCCCGGACATTTATGGTAGGGCACACCGTTATTTTGATCGGCGTGGTGGAGCTGCCAAGAGATTATTTGGTTTTAACACCGCCCTACAGGTTTCCGCACCGGCAAACTCAAAGGCCATAGAAATATGTACAAGGTGTGTCACAAAATATCCGATCCTGTGTCGAGCTTGAAAGAAGACAATGTAACCCAGGTCGATTAGGATCCTGCGTGGTACGTGAAGCCTGAGAATGGAGTGCCGTCTATCTTGCACGCCGACGACGAGGACCACTCACGAGGTACGCTGCTCATAATTACCCCGGTTTTGTATTTGATGCTCATCATCACTGCAGGTCGTCGGGTCTTGGCACACGCATTCAGCGAGAGAGCGGTGACCGCGCAAGAAGCTCTTTTGCAGGGCTATGTTGACCAGCTGGTCGGAAGACTGCAAGAGGTCACAACTCAAAGCCAAGAACCAGTGGATATGGTCAAGTGGTACAACTGGTAGGATTTTTCTCAAGGTGTTTGCTCACCGCTGGAATTAGACTTTGATTGAGTTAACGAGAGATTAGGACCACATTCGATGTGATTGCTGATTTGATGTTCGGTATGTCGATGGATACTATTACAAACCCCTGCTCTGTAGAGGATGGACGAATTAACACCGGGCTGCTCAGGTCAACCCTTTGGATGCTTGCAGGATCTCTCGACACACAACATTGTGGCTCTGCTCCTCGAGTCATTCAAGTCACTCAGAATTCTCTACGTGCTCAAGCATTTTCCTTGGCTAAAGTACCTCGGAAATCTTGCTGTTGATAGTAGCTTGATACAAAAACGCAAGCAATATCTAGTATGGACCCATTATTCTTCTCTTTTCTTTCTGTTCTCCACAATTTGTCGATTATCATTCTCTTGGACAAGTGCTGACGGCCGTAGTCATGGGTCTCTGCCCAGGTCACGAAGAGGATTGAGCGAGATACAGCCCGGCCCGATTTCATGACCTTGATCCTGGCCAATAATGGAAAGAAGGGCGTTGAGCTGTCTCGCGCTGAGATCAACTCGAATGCCAACTTGATGTTGAACGCCGGCTCGGAAACGACGGCCTCGCTGCTCAGCGCCGCGACGTGGTTCCTGCTAAAAAATCCCGTGGCCAAGCAGAAGCTCCAGGACGAAATTCGGGGAAAATTCAGCAGGTATCAAGATATCACCCTGGCTGCCCTTGGCGAGACACCATACCTGTCAGCTTGCTTGTCGGAGTCCCTCCGCCTGTTCCCACCTGTGCCTGCGGGATTCGGCAGGGTGGTGAACAAGGGTGGCGAGTATGTCAGTGGGGTGTTCATACCAGAGGGCACCGTCGTCTCTGTGAGCCACTATGCGGCATACCACTCCGAGCGAAATTTCAAGGACCCGGACGACTTTGTTCCGGAGCGATGGTATGTTCAACCTCTTGTATCAAGAACAAGTCCGCCTCTACGAGTTGTTACTGACGTCCAACCAGGCTTGGAGATGAGCGTTACGCCGGCGATAATAAGGCTGGCTGGCAGCCATTCAGTTTCGGCCCGCGTAGCTGTTTAGGCCGTAACCTCGCTTGGGCAGAGATGCGACTCATCATGGCAAAGATCCTGTGGTCTTTTGATTTGGAGCTGGATCAAACAAGCTATGATTGGCTGAGCCGTTGCAAGGTGATGAGGCTTTGGGTGAAACCGGAGTTGGCGGTCAGACTGCGACAGGTTGTTAGGTATTAAAGAAAGTACAGGTAACATGGCCTGGGTTCAGATGGAGTCTCTGGTGGGAAATGGGATCAAGATTTCGCGGGATCCTGTCACAAGTAACAATTACAGAATTAGATGTAAAGTACAGTGGAATTCAAGCCGAGAACAAGTCATGTGGCCATGTTGAAATCTATCAGGCACTCCTGGTGTCCCCATCATTGTCCCCATCAAACTCCCCATCAAACCTTTGACATGTCCTTGGCCGTGCTATGATAACCGCTGGAGACTAATTATAACTATAACTGATGAGATTATTCCCGGCCGTTCTACCTATCTCTGTTGATTGAAATACACATCAGATAGTAAACAAGACGACATCTCTGATATTGGTCCGGACCTGAAATACGCAACATTATGCTAAGACGACATTATGCTTAGACATGCAATCTAGGACTGACTCGGTTCCTTTAACAATGGATAATGGTCTTCCTGTTCTGTGAGAAGACTTTCTGTGCGGAAACTATTGCGGGTGATGGATATGGACGCAATTCAGCTCGCTGACTTGATAGGCTAGAGGAGAGGGTCATGCATTCAGAGAATGTTTGTATATATATAATCACTGATCACTTGTTTCTATATCATAACTAACTATACCGCATAGACCAGACCCAAGGAGCCCGGAACCTTGAAGCTATCGGCATTTGACACTAAGGAAATATGACTGTTTGTTAGGATACGAGAGCAAATGCAAGCCTTATCAAAACAATCAGGAAACAGCAACCTCATCCACCAGCCCGTAACCTTTGTAGAACTTCTTCTTGATGTGCTGCTGCACTGTCTCGGTATCTCCGTCAGTGGGGTTTAGGGGGTTCGTGGAGTTTAGGTTACCGTGCCAGAACGCAGGCACGGCATACCTCTCGGCACCCGTCTTGTTGATGACCCTGTGGAGAGTACTCTTGTACTCGGCCCCAGTCCACTTCTGGATCAGGTCGCCCAGGTTGATGACGAACTTGTCCTCAACAGCAGGGAGTGCGATCCACTGCTTGGTAGCAGCGTGCCAGACCTCCAGTCCGTCCTGGCCCGCTTGCTGGAGGAGGATGGTAATGCCACCGTAGTCCGTGTGTTGCCCGGAGCCGAACTGGCGTGGGTCCTTGAAAGTGTGCTCCGGGTAGCGAAGGAGCTTGAGGAACCTGGGGGGAAAGACTTTAGTTATCCAGGTTCATACGAAAAAGGCCGACAACCAAGGCGGAAGGCATGGCTTACATCGCAACATCATCGAACGTCTTGACGAGGCTGGCCGGATGCCCAAGGCTGACCATGAGGACCTCCATGACCATGTACCCAACACGGACGAGATGTTCAAAATACTCCTCAACAGGCCTCCGGAACTCATCAACGGCCAATGCCGGGGGCCAGACGTTGGGGCCCTTCAGGAAGTCGACCTCTTCAAGAGGCATTTCCTTGCCCACAAAGAAGCCCTATTGTGAAGATGTTAGCGAATTAATGACTAACTGTTTTGCAGTCAAGAAATATAGCATACCTCTTTTGCGTCAGGAAGGAGGTCGCCCTTGTGCGGGTCGTTGGCCTTCTGCTCACCCGGGCCTTCGTAGCCCCTGCGCCAAGAACTGGATAAAAGTCATGAGAGTCAGTGTTTGCTGTACATGAGAGGCAGCTTATGGAAGACAGTTCATGCCCGTCAGTCTCGGTCGAATAGGAGACCACCAGTAAATAAATTCCCCTGGTGCCAGAAAAAGTCTCTGACATGCAAACACAATGACTGAGGGTTGGGAGAAATATTCTTTGACAAAGTGTTACTTACTACTTGTGAAGGGAGAGTGCCCTCTTCTTCTCTTTGGGCAAGTCAAAGAAGGTCTTGCAGGCCTTGAGCATTCTTCGTTGGGTCTCAACAGGCACTCCATGGCCTTCAACTTGGAAGAAGCCATGCTCCAGACACGCACGCCTCACCTTATTGACGAGGTCCTGCTTCTTTTCCGGAGATGTTGTGTCAAAGTATTCACGGAGGTCGATGGTAGGGATGTACTTTTCGTTGTTGTCAACAACAGCTGCGTTCGCGTCTGCTGCCATTGTGGATGATTCAGTGTCAGAAGCAAAGTATTTTGTAATTTGGGTTAGGGAGATTGAATTTGTGGAGTCTGATATCTGCCTTTGTCCACGATATCAATGATATAATTGAGACCATCTACATTTAAGTATGTCTAGACAGTTCATCTAGCCTTTTGCCCAAATCTACTTAATTCGAGTCCTTTTTCGGCCCTCTACAAAATCAAATCGTGAAACCACGTGAGGTTGGGTTAGTGGCCTGGCAAAATTTTGCCCGTTGAGGGCTTCGGCATAATGAATATCAGGAACGCGGCCTTGAACCTATCGACTGCCCTCTGTTCTGAGCTGTGGCGAAACGCGGAGTTAGGGCATGATTGTGATATGCAAGCATAAGAAAATGAGCCAGGATGTCGCAAATCCACCGATTCTGACGGGTGGTTCCGCTTCATCCGCGATCCTTCAATGCCACCTTGCAAAGCATATCTAACATGCCTGGTCAAGGCGGAGACATAAGCATGCATGCACATTACCTCGTGTCGGCTAATAATCCTCGGGCTCTAGAGAATATAATTGTATACTACTCTGAGACTACCAAAATAGTATACAATGAGTACTACGCTGATCACTGTCCTGAGGGTTTTGCCCTTATCTTTCCATGCATATGATTACCGCTGAGAATCTGTGGCAAACTCGATCCGGTTTGTAAGGACGCAAGCTATCTTCAAGGTTTCGCTTACTTTCTTTCATTGTCGCTTCTTCCTCACTCTATAGACAACGAGAACGGAAAGTGGGGGTGGGGGCGTGAACTTTTCCCAAGTCGATAATCACAGGTGAATCCGCGCAATAATGAGCATCCATCGCATGCGCTGAACCGATGAAAGCCGTGAAGCTTAACAGGTTTGAAATCTGAGTTCACCTTGCAATGTAATCAAAAAGAACTCTCAATAGCATGAAAATGTCTTTTCCATTGAGCAAACGCTTGTTGTGACTACTTCGGACTCTGCCTGTGCATGATCTACGGTCATTTTCTTTGAGATTAGTTGTGTGCGGGAGACAGTCACTCGATGCCAGCGGCCAAGTCACTGGCTCCACGCCCGCAAATGGGACCCTTGTCTCCTGAAGAATTTTTTACACATTGTATCTGAACAAGATGTTTAGGTTACGTGATTCAGCGAAGTCTCATCATGTCGCAAAAGTTATCGCCAGTGAATGCACTGACCACACGCATTTCATCGTCACACATCACTTCTCACATCTTGACATGCGGGTTTCAGAACAGGTCATAAGTAACAACGAGTTGTAAGTGCTGGTAAAGCTCAACTCTCGGCACTTCAGCGTACGTTACACAAGAACTATATAATTACTATTGAGCCTGTCATTGGATATGGTGGACATGTTAGCAAGTCATTCCGAATTCAGTGTAAAGGGCCTGAAAAAATAAGGACATAATCATTGTTAAAAACTATTATATACAGAATCAGTCATCAAGCTAATTATTGCCTCCGAATATCGCGCCCAGCCTCGCTTCTGGTGTACACTTGCAAACTGTACCAGGACGTTTCATTTTTCAAGGCAGGTTGCGCTTGACACTGCTTGTGCAAGTGTGCTAGCATCAAGTAAGTACTTTTATTGCATTCCCCAGCAGTGTTTATGGCAATTGGTATTTTTACATTTCGCTGCGAACCGCAACAAGTTGAATTCGTAACTATGAACTGACCTGGCCCAAACCATCCGACCATCGAATTATATGCCAAAAAATGAGCACCAAGGCACATGTTGCTGCACATTCTCAGGACTAGAGAAAAACGCTGCCCTACTCGAAGAGATACCCCTATGTGCCAGCTCTAGTGCAGGCCAGCCTCCTCCCACTTGCATGTCATCAGATGCTCCGTATGCCGTAGCATCTAGATGGGGAATGGCAGCTTCAAGGTCTTGTATCATTGAGGTCAGAGTCGGCACCACGTCTGGGACCTTACTTTGCCCACCAGGGACCTGTGAAGGCTGCAAGAATATTTGTTGCAAATTTCGGGAGAAGGATCGGGGTACAAAAACAGCACTATCTGGGCTCAGGCCAAATGGGCTCAGCGTCTTGCTCTGGTCTCTGGAGCTGTGGGGGCTTTCGCACGTCTCCGAGAGAGACTGCGACGCTGGACCAGCAGTCCGTGTTCGTATGGCCTTTAGACATTGCCATTCGGGATCTGTGTCTTCCCCATGGCTGGCAGGGGAAGCTAGATGGCCCAACGCCTGCATACTCGGCAACGTCTTGATCAGAGAGAAAATGTTGATTGTCCGATCAACCATTTCCAGCGCCTCCTGGCTGTGCTCTGCCCTGGGCTCGCGTTTGAGGTGGTTCAGGATGATGAAAGTTGCCGCCAGAGCGAGTGGCGTGAGGTTAGTTCTCACAAACCATAATTGTGCCGAAGATCTTGCCAGTTGTACAATTCCATGGATGTGAATGACAACATCGATACTCAGCCGGAAAGTACTGTTGAGAAATTAATTAGCAACTGCTGACTAAATTCTCATATGTCTGTACGCGAGCAAAGAGAAGACGATAAAAAGAAGAAAAAAAAAGATGAGCAAAAGGAAGAAGAAAAGGGGCGCCCGGGGGGGGGGGGTTGAAAATCATTTACCTCGTCCATAGCATCTGGTTCTGTTGCACTGTGAGGCTGGGATGACCTAAGAAGGCTTTCTGTAGTATCATCAAGGACCCCTTGACCAATGCTATGAGAGTAGTCCTGGCCCATGGGATGAAAGCGTCCGGTTGCTCGTCAATCTCACGAGGAGATTGATGGTTTGATGAGAGCAGGTCAGGGGACATGTGGTCTTGACCCTGGCCATGCCCACTTGAGGACCCCAACGCAGCAGTGATCGTAGCTAGCTTGGTGTGCAGGGTTTTATACCGCTTGAGGTGGAAGTCGAGATCTGCTTGTCCAAACTCATGGCAGCTGTTTATTCGATGCAACAGCGCATGCAGAAACCTAACCACCTCGGCAGTCCCTGCTGCGAAGCGCAGCGACAACGGATGCTCATGGGGGCTAGACATCGAGGCAGATTGCTCAGCCACAGGCCGAGGCTCTTCTGCAGCATCCAAAGCCGGGTCACACAACATCTGCACATCCCACTGGTGGCCCTCAGCACCACAGTGCATCTGCAAGCCGTACCGGAGCGAACACTGGACGTCTAGCCGAACGACGTACCACCAGATGCGTCGTCGTAATTCTTGTGTGGTGGCATTGAGACCCTGCGTTGTGAAATCTCGGTGAAGCCCCAGGTATTGTGCTGTGTGGACCGCTCTGCTGACGAAGGACTGGGTCTGAGCGGCGGTGTCATTGAGCCCAGCAAAACAATGACACAGGAGCGAAGCAGTGAAAGTGCTTAAAGTATGATCTCCGGGATGGCGAAATTGACCCAGAGCCTTGTTGCACACGGTTTTCAGTCCAGCAATGATTGTTGACGTGTTGGTAGCCCTCAATGCTGGGGACTGCGACCAAAGGCTGGTGGAGGCTGCGGTGGCACCGCAGTACAGAGCAGCAAAGAGGACAGTAACAACGCTGGCGTCTTTGAAGCAATCGTTGGACTTTCCCCTCCGGGACTTTTGAGCACGTATGTCCCACAAGACGCTATAGTCTCTGGACAAAGTAGGGAGGTCAACGAGGGGATTGAGAGGGTAAATGATGGAGATGAACGATTGTATGAAGCCGTCACAGATTGTCTTGCTGGGGATGTCATCGATCAAGTCGAGCAGGCCAGCCTCGTCGCGACAAGACGCGGTGGCTCGTATCGATTCTGCAGTAGGAATGTGGGCGGCGCGGGTGGATGGGACGCATAAAGGCTCCTTGAATATGTGAGTTTAGCAACTAGATAAACATTGACGTGGTGCACGGGACATCATACCTGGCTCTCGATGCGACCCCAGAAGGATTTTTCGATGTAGGGAGGTGGCTTGTCTTGAGAATCAGGACCCGGGGACATGGAGCCTAATGGCAGGTGATCTTCTCCGTCCTTCCCGGGCCGGAACGAGGATCCATCTTCCGGAGACATCAAGCTTGTTATAAAGGGCTGCAAGGGCTCGGTGTATCCTTGGAGCACTGAGGGCTGCCCTGCCCCTGTCGTAGCTGTCAGTGCCTGGATAGCCCCCGTCAGATCATCCTGCCATGAAGCTAATTGAATGGGCGAGAAGTCAAAGAAGTTGACATTGGCGGAAAGAGAGTCCGATCCTTGCAGGTAATCCTCGGCTCTCGAGCATGGTAATGGCTGGAAAGTAAAAGAATCGTCAAGCACGCCCGGATTGCGCTGAAGGGATTCAGGTGAAAGGCTCATGGCATCGTCTAGACATAGTCCGTGCTATATTTTTTGATTTTTTTGCTCTGATTTCAGTACAAAAAAGCTCCCTCACACGTCGCAAATCATCGTGGCTCAGGACTGGCGTTGAACAAAGACGGTAACTCACCGTGTCTTCCCGCAAGGTGGAGGCATCATTGGCACGGGCGAGTTTATGGTGTCGCACAGGAGTGCCGTGCGTCGAAGACTCGGGTTTGGAACGGGGGCGACCCTTGGGCAGGGCCACGCTGTACACGCACTTGGTGCCATGACGCAGGCATCTTCCACAGCTCTCCTCATTGGCGCTCGAATGTCGAGGACAGCGTAGTTTTTGCGCGTGGCATCGGTCACAAGAGAGGCGTTTCCGGGCCGTAGACATTGGGAATGTGTGTTTGAACGTGCAACGGGGGCTTTCCTTGAACAAAATCGCAACGGACAAGGACGCGTTATCATGAAGGTTGCCAAGACACTAAGCTAGGGTTTATACTGGCCTCTTCTTCCTTGTGAGCCTGGCCACGCCTTTGCCCTTTAGGGACGAACAGGCAGCGGTAAGAAGATATAAGCAACTCAACAGCGTCGATCAAAACCCGGCCACGTGCTATTAAGGTTTGTTGTGTCTTGGTTCATTCAGGGCATGAAGCGAGATTGTTTGCGCCAGTTGCAATGATGATGGGCCTGCGTGGGGTTTGTGTGAGAGAGAGTGACTGGTGGGTTGTGGGTGCGCGTATGGATGTGGATGTGGAATGTGTAATGTGGACGTGGGTGTGTGGTTCCTGGAGAAAATCATGAGAAGCGAAAACACTGTCCTGAGTAAGGTTAACTGATAACGATGCATCTTCCGAGAATTGATACGGGGGAGAAGGTGGATGTGTTGTCCGGAGCCGGATCAATTTTGAATCTACCATTCTCACCTTGTCCACAATCTTGCAGAAACATACGACCGGCCTGAGGATGGACGAACGGAAAGGCTGATGGTGCTGCATGCCAGAGGATGCGGGGGAAAACTGACGACGGCCAGGGGCGTACGAAGGGCAGCGTGCGGGAAACAGTGGCTGTGTGCAGACCTGGGAGAGTTTGGGAAGAACATGGGGCACGTTGACGTAAACTTTCAAATTTGACTTTGGAGCGACTCAGCAGCACAGCGGATGCTCCACTGCCGTCCGCGGTTGGTGGAACCAGTTGATTTGATTGCTGACCATATCTACATATGTATGTAGATTGATAGAGCTAGTTTGAGCGACAACTTTGATATGCGGCACGATTCAGTATGCGAAAGCATGGCTCGAGAAGAGACGAACAGGCAGGCAAACAAGAGGAGGAGGATTTACGGCTGACAGGCAGCACGCCATCCTATCCATGCTTCCCACTGCATGAACCTATCCGTGCCCTTCCGCATCCACAACAACACATGCAGGCAAGGGGTCTGGTACCTCCCTCTTCTTTTGTCGTTGCGTTGTGCTTGTCTCCTTCTCCATGCTTTACTTGCCCGTCACGATGCCGATATCCCCTTCGCCCCAGGTGCTCTGCATCTTCCAGTTGGTAATTTTCCAGGTGGTGCCATCGCTGTCTTTGGCGAGCTCTAGTAGGTAGAGGGCGCCGGTCAGGAAGCGATCTGCGTTGCCCTTCATGCCCTGACCACCGCGGTAGTGCTGGGCAAGGGTGGAGGCAGACAAGGTGGCCTGGCTGCCGCCGTCGGCAATGTGGATGCGGGTGTTTGTGACGAAGTGGGTCGTCTCGAGCTTGGCGATGTTGTCAAAGCAGTCTGAGACGATGCTGGCCAGGCCATTCATGGTGTAGCCGTTCAGGGTGAAGCTGGCGTCTTGGTGGAATGCGGACCGAAATAGGTCCACATCGTTGGTGTCGAGGCCGGTGACGCAACGGTACAGGGCGTCAGCAACGGCTTCGCGGCCACTGAGGGGCGGCGACAGGGTGACAGGCAGGGTCCAGCCGCTGAGGGGAGCCATGAGTAGTGCTTAGTGGATTGGGTAGTGCTTAGTGGATTGATAAAGCAGCGGATAGAGCGACGAGTGGATTAGTATTTTCGAGAAGGATTCAGATCTCGGAATGGTCCGTCTTGGTTGCAGAATGGCCCAGCAGGGGGAAAGGGGAATTGCGCCGTACAAATAGGTGCAGCCACCATGCCCGATCGGTGATTTTGTGCTTCTTCTGGACTGTCTCCCTCTGCCTGTCTTCTCTTGTCTCCTTGTAAGACCGGACGTTAAGTCCGGACGTGTGGCTTATGAAAGCAGCAGCTTCTTTGTACCACAGTTACGCGCGGGAAGTGGGCCGGCTGCAATGGCACTCTAGTTGCACAACCCACAGAGTGTATGTAATCAGTACTTTTCACACTTGGGTGCCCCACCTGATGATGTTTACTATGGGGCCTTCCGTATCGCGGCCTCGGGGTCTTGCTGGAACTTTTGCAAAGACCGTCGACCATAAACTTTATCCTGCCGAGTTTCAGTCTCGTATCTGCACCATGGTACCTGTATCTGTGGATATCGAGTAGTAGCAGTGCGTGCTTCTGCTAGCTCGATCCTCGAATCCTTCCAAGGTGAGATAACCTAGCGTGAGCGGCTACCCATCGAGATCTGCCTGGAGCCTTGCGCTGCCAAGTGCCAAGTGCCAAGTGCCGCGTGCCAAGTGCCATGTGCCTGCCAGTCAAGCTTCAACGGCTCGTGCCGTTGCGACTAAGCAGTAGTAGAGATCCATTCATAATCTAGCGTGCTCACCTTCAGGAGGGAGAGAGAGAGAGAGAGAGAGAGAGAGAGAGAGAGAAGCAGGAGGAGGAGGTGGAGAAGGAGGCGGTGGTGAAGAATAACCAGAAGAGGAAGAAAAGAGCGCATCTATTCGGTAAGAGCAAAAGCAAAATTGATTGGGAACCACGGTTGCCTGTCGATTTTCCACCTCTTAGTCTTTTAGCTTTAATCACAGTACCAAACTTTGAAGTGTACGGATCTATATCTGATATCCAAGACTGGAGAGCCGAGATACGTAGTCAAGATGTTTTGCCCCCCCTAAAACCACTCTTTCTTATACAAACGAAGATTTAATTGTTCCCACCACGAGTACCGGTGTGGAGCGAGCCTGCCCAGGGGCCCGTCTCATCTATATTCATGACGGCTATCGTGCGTGTATTACCGAAAGAGAACTGTCAGAAGGCTCCGATGAGCATCTGCATAGTCCTCTCAAGCTTGTATGTAGGTTCGGTGCATAGTCAATCGCCGCATAACAGCCGACAAGTTCAATGTCTCCACTTAGGCTGCGCGCGGCAGGCGACAGAAAGCTGGGTTGTGTCCAAGGCTGTACGCTCTGATCGTGGCGAGATGAAATGCTCAGCCAGGGAGGCATAATTACAAATGGCGTCGCCTGGGAGCCGTAGAGTAATCACAGTATCTAGAGAGCTGACATGAACAGACCAGGAAGCTCCGCTTTAAATCATCATCTCTCTTCTTCGCATGTGGATGAAAAGAAGTATTCATTTCTCTTGACTGATCTTACTTGATCCATCTCCTTCTCTTTATATCCCATGGCGTGACAGCTGAGGAGAAATCCCGTGAGACATGCCTCGTAGTTCCACGGAAGGCGACCTAGATGAGCAGCAGCAGCAGCAGCTGGAGCGCCGTCGTAAACTGAATCGAGAGGCCCAGAAGCGGTTCCGCGGTAGGTACATGTCTAAACACCCTTCTTTCTGCCCAGGCACGAGTCACTTAGTTACCAAGTTACTCCAGCTGACTTGATACATCATCCAATAACCTTTTTCGGTGGGATAGATAGGAAGCAGCAGGCTAAGCGAAAAGAGAGAGGTGAGGAAGTGGCGAGTCCGTCCTCCTCCTCTGGGACTGCATGCCCGCACGACTATACGCCTTTGAACCTTTCGCACCCCAGTCTGGGACAGCCGCTCGAGCATGGACCAGCAGCGGTGGTGGCGGCATTGGGTGAAAGCCCGCCAGCAGACATACCCAGCTCGGAACATCCAACTGGAGTTGACCCCATCATGGCCGCCACCGTATCGCCAGTCTCAACACACTCGGGAAGCCCCTGGGCAGACCACCAATCGCTCCTCACTGCGTGCTCCTTTACCTCACCTTTCAGCAGCCCACCAGCTGGACAGGCCAGCCTCGGTGCTTTCCATCTCTTGACCACACCGCTGGATACAATCTTGTCAGCAAACGAGGGGCTCCAGTGGCAGAACAACCACGTGGACGGACCGTCTGTCTCTTCTGACCAGAGCTCTGCCCCGCTGATGGATGGAGCCCTCACCTCGATGGCGCCTCCTACACCTCCTACCACGACAACGATGCTACCTGTGGGCAAGAGGGGCAGTTATGATAGCAGAATTAAGGCCAACGCTCCATCTGATGCCCAAGAGGACAGAGAGACTAATACTAAACCCAAAGGGCGTGGAGATGCAGGGACCAACAGCCTCAATGCCGCGCTCTTTCTTGCAGCAGAACACGGCCATGCTGGTGTGGTCCGCACCCTCGTCCAGAGTGGTGCAGATGTGAATGCCGCTGATGAAAATGGCAACACCTCCCTGCACCTGGCCATCCGTTTCAAGCACCAGGATGTGGTGACCGTGCTGCTGAGGCATAATGCTCGGAGGCATGTGCAAAACTTTGATGGGCTTGAACCTCTGTGAGTTCCGCCTCCAGACCACACACTTTGATTACGTAAAACAAAAGGCTGCAAGCTGGAACGACAGCCCCGGTCTTTCAATCTTTTGCTCTTTTCTCCGTTAACAATTCCTATTGCTAATGTTTCATCAAGGCAATTGGCCGCCAAAGTTGGTTTTGATGTGGGAGTCAAGTTACTGCTTCGAGGGACTTGATTTAGGAAAGGGATGGAAAGAAGGAACAAATCGGAATCGTATACCTAGGTAGACGTCGGGCGTTGGGTGTAATTGTATCTAGTACTTTTGTTTATCTATCAATTCCATTATTCCAAGATGGGTGGTTAATTAATAGAATTGGGGGTTTTTTTTAACCAAAAAAAAGGGTGGGTTATGTGTAACGAATAGGGATTGAGAAATCCAGTCCCAAGTCATGGGAAACAAGTGGCCGCACAATATGTTTTGACGGTATCCTAGGATGCTACTGGTTCATTCTGGACATTCTTTCAAAGCGAATGCTTACAGACTCAGGGGATTAATCACATCGCTACCAACTGCTTGAAATGACCGTAAAGTAGCCCTAATGTCTTCTCTATTTACTTGGTAGTTATCCCCCTTCATTGAATTTTCCCTCCAATTATACTCTTCACAAACGACGGCTACTTTTGTCTTCAACATTTATTTACCGTAGTATTGTAAATCTAATTCTACTTCGGTAGCTATATATTATGTACTCTCTCTGGATAGCTAAGCGGCAGAAAGATCCTTACTAGGAGTTGGAGGTAAATCGGATTTCTCTTAGAATCCTGTCTACTTTTGACACTTGCTTGTCGTGGCAGTTGAGCAAAGAGCGATACATAGTCCTGATCCGTACTTGCTGCCCTTTGAGCGTCCCATATCTTGATGAACCGAGGTGTGTCTCGTTGAAATGGCACACTTGCCATGATTAGTCCAGATGTTCCGGGTAAATGGATTCCTGAGGTTGTCGCGCTCAAAATACAGTGAACTTGCTCCATTGCCGGATTCGAGCACCATATATGTAGAAGAGTATGGGGACCGGAATCATAGCGATGCAGAGAAACCCGAGTAACGACATGGCCCAGGGCACACCAAGGTTGTTGAACTATTTGAATGGCGTAGAGGTCAGCACAGAGTTTAGCCATTGAGTCAGCCACGCGCGTGACTACAATGTAGGCCGTTCATTCATCATTCTTACCAAATATGTAGAGAACATGGGAAAGGCAGCACCGAGGAGCCCACGAAACATGGCGTTGATCGCGATGGCTGAGTTGGCGTTCATCTTGTAAACGTCAATCAAGTAGTTTAAACCCTGTTGTGTGGGAAAGTGTACGGTAAGTTCCGAGACCATCGATTAGTCCTGTGATCCATGTTTTTCTTCTTCCTTTTTTTTAATATTTTTTTTACGGAGTCGAGATGCTTTACGTACCTGTAGGAAGACCAGCAAAATTCCACAACCAATGAACCCTCCTGAAATGACCTGCGGCACCCATGTCATGGTCGGACTCGAGGTCCCTGAGGTGAGTGGTAGAAATGTAGGGTCAGAACAGCTATTCTTCTCACGCGAGGAAGCACTCATGAAAGGGAACTCACATCCAAACCAGAACATGCCAATAGGTAGCAGAATACTACCGAGAATCATGGGCACAAGGCGCTCCTCGGGAACGTCTCCCGCATGTTCCTGCATCTTGCGCTGCATACGTGTCTTGGTATGCAAGATGATGATGGCCACGCCCGTGAGCACCCCGACCGTGATGCCGAGAAACGGCAGGGCACCCACGCCAAGGTTCCAGCCGCGCTGTTGCTCAAAGGTGATAGGGTACGCCTCGAAGGAGAGGTAGAAGAAGCCATAGATGAAACCCATGTGCAGAGTGACGAGGGCGAGGATGGGCTCCTGCGCGACCATCATCCAAGGTTTGAACACATACAGCCGGGCAAGTTCTCGTACCTTGACAAGGGCAGTGCTTTTCTCCGTGGGGGTAGGTGCATTGTTATGGTCGTCGTCGCTGTTGTCGGCAGACGTAGGAGCTGAGGCAACCTGCTTCCTTTCTTTCGCTCTGCGGGACAGGAGCACGGGGCTATAAGTCTCGGGTACCATGACAAAATACACGAGCAACAGGGACAGGCCCACAATGAGAGTAATCCACTGCGTCCAGCGCCAGCCCAGGTGAGACATTGTAACGTAGCCTCCGACTGTGTCAGAAGTCTGTTGTCAGCATACATCAACAACCAACAAAGACACTGTTAATACTCAGGGGAAGCGGCGCCAATGAAAAGCAGTGAAGACACTTGTTGCGTACTTACCTATCGGGCCCAGGACAGGCCCCAAAAAGGTGGCAGAGGCAAAGCCAGCTACGGCCACGCCGCGCGGCAGAGGATCCCAGAGGTCTGCCAGTGCACCGCCAGCCTTTATGATGGGTGACGAGGCGTACGTGATGTCAGTCTCAGCTACTTCAAACTCGGACATACAAATTCAGAAATAAGTATTTGGACCTGTCACTCACAATAGCCAGTGCTGAGGATCCAAAAACACCGCTGAGAAAGCGGCAGACAAAGATGGTTGCCACATTCGGTGCTACCGCAACAGGCACCACGAAGACCTCGAAGAGAAGGAGGCCAATGCTCAAAGGGTACTTGCGCCCAAGTACCTCAGATGCAGGGCCAAAGATCATGGGCCCGAAAGCAAAGCCCAGCACAAAGATGGCCGTGACGAGGATAGCCACCTCTTTTGTTATGGAGAACTCTGAAGCCAAGGCTCCGACAGCCGGGCTCATGACGGACGAGCCGAACGTTACGAGGGAGACGAGCGAGGCCAGCATCGCGGTGATGAAGGCTTTTCTCAGAGTCGAGAAATTTTTGGGGCATTCCTGTCTCACGCAGAAGTTAGCACACCTAGAATTTTGGGAACATTGATCTGGAGCATTGTAGGAGAAAATAGTCATCTCACAGGGTCGTCGGGCCCGTCCCAGCCTTGAGGCATCATCACCGCCATGGCGTTCTGCTGCGTCTCTCTCACGTTGTTCTCTGGGGGATTCGGGTCGTTCCCGATCTGAGAATCCGTGGTGGCAGAGACCCGTGTTCTTTCTTCTTGGTATGTAGTGCTGCTTTTTTCTTGGACGCCATCTGGTCCGAGGTTACCATCGGCACTCATTATCTTTTTAAGAAATCCGCTTTACGAGGATTGACAACTAACTCGTAGGTACATCCGACGACCTGGATTTCCATAACATTTTCTTTCTCTTTTTTGTTCGTCTTGGTCTTATTCTTCCTTGCCAATAAGCTCTCGCTTTTCGTGTTCCATCTCAAGGGCATTGAATTCGCGACGGCGGAGTTATCGGCCTTGGTTAGTAATTTGACTGGGGCATTCGGCGATTTAAAATATGGAGCCGTCATCATGCAGTCCGTCCCTGCTCCTCCTACCACGTAATGATTGCAGTCAAGCACCTTGGCGTGCATATCGTTGCTTTACTACCCGCCTATTACTTACTTGGGACGTAATTAATTACATACTTGCACCCCGACAAAGAGAAAGAGAAGGAAGAAGACAACGAAGGCAGGGAAAGAATGGGAAAAAAACCATCGATAGGGTCTCGCCGTGTGGATTCAGAAGTTTAGCATACTTGTCATAGGTGAGAGAATAGCTTCAAGTAATTAAATAGCTGTTGGTAGACAAATACCATAACGAATGAGGAGCATCAGAAACGACAGCAACAGTAGCAAGCATTGATAGATTGATCATTGGCTGGCCGGTGCATATATCAAACGCCCAGCTTGGAAAGAGAGAAAGGAAGAAGCAGAATTCACCACACCACCATGCCTTCAGCAATTCCTGTCGTCCCAACAAGCCAGACCGCCATCGTGGCCGAGGGCGCTGGAAAAATCTCCATCCGGCATGATGCACCTGTCGCCGCCCTGAGCCCTGGTACGGCCATGGTCCGAACAGCCGCTGTGGCCATCAACCCGGTCGATGCCAAAATGCTCGACTACAGCCCTGTGCCGGGAGCTATCCACGGCTACGACTTCGCGGGCACCATCGTCGCTCTAGGGCCCGACACACCAGCACACCTCCAGATTGGCGACCGCGTCGCTGGCTTCGTGCATGGCATGAACCCTTCCCTGCCGGACGTGGGCGCCTTTGCCCAATATGTTGCGGCCCCAGCCGAGCTGCTGCTCAAGCTCCCGGTCGATATGTCCTTCACGGATGCAGCTTCTATCGGGCTGGGTCTGTTCACAGCGGGCCTGGGCCTGTTCCGGGAGCTCGAGATCCCGGCCTCGCTGGACCCGGAGAAGCCAGGCCCTACTGGTCCCCATGGCGCCGAATTTGTCTTGGTGGCTGGCGGCGCCACTGCAACTGGGACGCGAGCCATCCAGCTCTTGAAACTGTGAGTGCCTTCGCCTTGTTCTTCTTGAACTCCTTGCTTTTGTATCTTGAATCATGAGTTCAGTTGAACAAGCTGAATGGACATCGGCTGACACCAAATGAATTACCAGCGCGGGTCTCCGGCCGATTGCCACCTGCTCGGCTAAGAACTTCCAACTCGTGCGCTCTTTCGGCGCCGAGGAGGTTTTCGAGTACAGCGACCCCGAGTGCGCAGCTGCGATTCGCAAGTACACAGGCAACACGCTGGCATACGCTCTCGACTGCGTGGCGACGGCAGAGACCACGCAGCTCTGCTATGGAGCCATTGGCCGGGCGGGCGGTCGGTATGCCACCGTGGAGCCGTTCCGCGATGCCATCGCCGCACAGAGGCCACACACCATTAAGCCCTCGTGGCTTCTGGCCTTGACCGTCTTTGGTCGCAAGGTGGCCCTTGATGGGGACTATGCGCGCGATCCGAGCCCAGAAGACCATCGCCTGGCCGTTGAACTGACTAAACAGGTCCAGGTCTGGTTGGATAGGGGCCAAATTAGCGTACACCCTGTGAAGATCATGACGGGAGGTTGGGATGCCGTGCTGGAGGGGGTGGATATCATTCGCAAACAGGCCGTCTCCGGGCAAAAACTCGTCTACCCTGTGTAGTTAATAGTCTTCTTTTCCCAGCAACCTCAACGTTAGTCTATTAGCGGAACTATCCATTATTCACACACAGCGTATTGGCTCCTTCTTCTGTTTTGTGGCACATTGAAGTTGGCGACAAGCGACCATAAACACTGGCTGGCAACCTGAAAGTTAGATTTCTCAGACAAATAATTGTCATATACACTGTGTGCCTGTAGTATTGTCAGCGAAACCTTGGGTGACACCATGTCAAACATCTTCCATGATGGCGTCTATTCATCATTGTCAATACTGTGGTCGTCCTTTGTTCCTGTTTATTCTCTGCTTTTACAATGCGAAATCGGTCTTTTTTGAGTGTCCAGGAAGGTGAAGAGGTTGATACGTGAAAAGAATATAGTTCATTTTTATTTTTACATTGAAAAAGAGGCTTTCTGTGGCTGCATAGCATCTTACAAAATCCCAAGTCCTCGATATCACCCCTCCTAAGTTTTTAAAATATGTTCAGCACTCCGGTTCTCTATGAACGTCGTATTCAGAATGCTGTCCCCTTGCACGCGAAGGTTGTTGCCTCTGCTGCGTTGAACCCTGGCCCTCCATCCATTATTCTTACCATCAGTGTCATTTAATTCATAAGATTGTTCGGAATTAGGAGTGATAGAATTGTCCTTTTGGGTAAAAGGGTACCTCAGGCCGAGATGAATAAGGAGAGGACGGAGACACCCTAGTGAGCCAGCAACCATGCCCAGATTGTATTCAATTGACATCCAGTACAACGACGAGGCTGCAGCGTCTGTGAAAGAGTTTGATCGTTAGATATTTGTTCTGAAGGGCCTTTTTGGCGCCTGCCTTCTTGGATGCGACTCACAGGTCATGTCACTGCTGCCAGATTTGTAAAAGCTGAGACTTTGAAATCGCAACGCGGGTGCTATGCAAGCGACGACGGCTGAGGGATGGTATTACCTTGTTAGTAGCTTGAAGGGTAAGATTTCGAACCTTTTGGAATAATGGATTCATGAAGGGGGTTTTTTTTTGGGGGGGGGGGGGGTTAACGTACCTGACCCAAACACCAACACGGAGACCAGCCCCTTTCCTCTTGTCATTCTTAGGCCCCATAGCGCAGGGACTGGGTACATGAATATGATGATGTCTATGGCGAAGAGGATCACAGCTTGATATAAGAAAACGCCGTATGCCGTGTTTGGCGAGTAGCAGTGAGCAGCCCGGTCGGCCGCCATGACGTAGGTCAAATCGTATACATATTTTGGAGGATTGCACTGAAATGCGGCGACAAATGTCCCAGAAATTGTGAAGAGGGTCATAAAGATGAAAAGACACAGGCCGGCTCTGCGGAGAAGTGCTGTCGTGTACGCGCAATGGTGAGTTATGACTGACCCAAACAGCATCCTGAGAATTATACTTACGTAGTGGAAAGAGACGCCACATGAGGGCAAGCAAGCTCGATTTGACTGCACAGGCAATGATCAAGTAGAAACACGTGCATGCATAGTATAATTTGAACCATGTTGTGAGCTCTTGGGCACTGACATGCTCGATGTGCCGGCCAGCCCCATTGTAGACCACTGCTATCCCTAAAGAGTTGAACGTGGTCGTGAGGACCTAGATCGAATCGCACTATCAATATAAGTGACAACGGTGAAATCGAGTCTGCTAGGGGACGGACCAAGGCTATGAGGCAGGCCCAATCGTCAACACTAAAGGCCTTGATGATGAATTTCCTTGTCAGGAGCTATAGTCGGAAGCTCTGGGTCAACAACTATATATTCCCTTCGCCCGTTTCTAGGGGGGCAAACTTACTCGCGTACAGCATATGATAATTGCCAACAGGCCAGTGCCTATGATCGAGCCATATGAGACTGCTATTTCGTGTCTTTCGTCTTCGTCAAGGTCGGCCATGTCGTTGTTCTTGAACTTCCTAGCATCGGATGGCGAGGTTGCTCAAGTCGGGTTTGACCGCCATGGCTTCCAGGTTATAGATCGGAGTTCGAATATCTAGTACTGCCCGAAAGCAAATACGCACACACAGACACGAGGTGGCCAGTGGGTCACGGAGGAGCAGTAACCTGGTGTTTTGCTGATGCAGGGGCGCATGCTGTGATGACCTGACACCTGCTTAAGATCAACATCGGTTAGCAGCACAGTGTAAAGGTTCTCGTCTGTTGGTTGCGTTGCTAATTTCCCAATCGTAGATAATTGGCTAACCAGACAACGTAACCCTTGGAATCCCCACCAACATGCGTCTCGTCGACGCACGAAGATCACAACAAGACCTTGGCCGCACCAGTAAAGCCAGCTTAAGACAAGTCTATGGGCATACTTTGTACAGCTTCAGGAGATAAGAAAAGGAAACTGTGACTGGGATCCTTATGACACCCAGTGTTTCTTCCCGAAACTCCGAGACACGCTTGCCAATGTCAGTCATATCAACTCAAATCCTCCAACTCCAAGCAATTGACCCTCCCACCTATCCGTCACTTCTCACCTGCAACCCTGCACACCCACCTGGATCAAGCTGCAATCGACATGGAATCTTTCAGGGTTATTGTGACTGGTGGCAGTGTTGTAGGCCTTGTTCTCGCCAACGCGCTCGAAAAGGCTGGCATCGATTACATTGTTCTCGAGAAGCGGGAGATCGCTCCTCACCTAGGCGCATCTATCTCCGTTCTGTGTCAATCAGCCAGGGTATTCGAGCAGCTAGGGATTTGGAAAAGGATGCTGAAGGAGAGTCTACCCTTGAAGGATCGCCTGCATTTTGATGAACATGGTAACCTCTTTGAGAACACGGCCGTGTTGAGGCTGATTGGAGAGCAAACAAACCGGCCCTTCCTCTTCGTAGAGAGGAGATCCTACATTCAGACATTGTACGACAACTTGGATGCAAAACACAAAGTGCGGGACTATACCGGCGTTGTATCGTTCAGGGAGGACGAGGATGGCGTGACCGTTGTCACGGATAAAGGGGAGGAGATCAAAGGCAGCATCTTGGTTGGGGCTGATGGCATCCATAGCACTGTGAAGCGGTTGATGGATGGGAATTCTGGAGAGTCCGACGCAACAGGGGCCGAAAAGTTGAACGACAGTAAGCAACTTGCTCTTCAGTGCCGTCTGTGGATCTTGATTAACGACCTTTACCATTGAAGGCTTCGTGGCCACGTACAGGGTTGTTTTTGGCACGTCACGCAACGCACGGTCTGACGACTCCTCCGAGCCTTACCTTCCCGGTGCTGCAGTCCACAACGTTTATTACCGAGGGGTCTCTGGCATAGCTGCTGCTGGGGTTGAAGGGCTCGTGTTCTGGTTTCTGTTCGTCAAGGAGGATTCGCCTTCAAGAACGCCGCATTGCCCGCGATACACGGACGAAGACGCACAAAGAACAATCGACAAGTACGGCCATCTGGCTTTGGGACCAGGCTACACCTTCTGCAATCTCTGGGAGAGCAGGATCAGAGCTTCCATGGTGCCTCTGGAGGAAGGGGTTCTTGGCAGGTCATGGAATAGTGGGAAAAGGGTCGTGCTGATGGGTGACTCTGTTTCCAAAGTAAGACCCCATGTACTGCGCATTGCTCGGTACCCGTACACGTGTGACCTCCGTGTGACTTTGCAGAGCTGACCTGCGTCCAGTCTACTATCAACCCAGGGCTCGGTGGTAATACTCACATTGAAGGCATTTGCAATTTCGTCAACGAGCTGAAGCCACTCCTCGAGAACTCTCCCAAGCCGACGACGGAGGAAATCCATTCGTTATTCCAGAAGTATGAGGACAAGCAGCGGCCCCGAGCCACAGCGTGCGTCAATGTTTCGTCTTACATCACACGATTCGAGGCGATGGACACATGGTACTGGCGTCTCGCTAGGATCATATCGCCTTGGGTACCCGACAGCCTCAAGGCCAAAGCATTCTTGAACTTCATCAGTTCTTCTCCTATACTGAACTTCTTGCCAGACCCGGATAGGGAGATCTGAATTGCAACAGCCGAACCCGGGGTGCTACAACAAAGCTGTTCCGCGCTCATTTTGCTTATATGTCTTTGATACTTGTCCTCAACTGGGCGACAAAAATTGATTCTTTGAAGGACAGTAGGTAGAGAAGTGAGCTCTAATTTCTATGTAAACAGCAAAGGTTCTATACTTTTCTTCTTCTCCCATGTCTGCTTCAATATTGTATCTGGAATTACTGTCAGGGGAGGATATAGTATATTGGGGACAAGAGTACTGCTTTATTTTTTGTTGCTCATCCAACAATTGCCTAGACACATCTTTCGATAGGCAGCATATGCAGGTGTTTCTTGAGTAAGTAAGTACCCATGCATAAAAACACAGAGTATATTCTCTTCGACCGTACGGCTCTGTGGAGCTACCATCAGAGCCTGCGACCAACCACGAGCTCGGCAAATTCTCTGATGGTGGCGGTTTGTAGAATCTCAAAAACAGTGACCTTGGCCTGCACAACGCTGCTCAACCAGTTCCGCAGCTCGACGGCGACCAGCGAGTCTACACCCACAGCCGATAAGCTTGCGCTCGTATCGATATCGGCCGGCGCCAGGTTGAAGAGCGACCCGAGCTTGTGCGTCAAGGCACCTGCCACAAGTGTGCGCGCCTCGGGACTGGAAGGGGCCGTCTCCGCCAGCGACTGCCTCAGAACCTCGTCCGGGCTTCGCTTGGCGGCAGTGACGCCCGGGGCTCCCGCCGTCATCGCACCTACCGCACTAGCCAGCCTAAGAGTAGCAAACCGGCGGTCCTGCTTGACGGGCGTGCCCTCGGGAATTTTGTCGTACTCTGCGATGCCTGTAATCACCTGGCTGGTATTTGGATCATCTCGAAGCGGCCGACACACCGCACCCTCGATCAGCTCCAGAACCCGTCCGATGGGAATGCTCTTGGCACCCAGGGTCCGCTCCACGCGGTCACGCATGCTGTCACCCGACGCAGCAACGACGCCCACGTCTCCGACGGCGCCCAGATCAATCGACACGGCGGGCAGGCCCTGCGCAGTACGGTGGCGGGCCAGTGCATCCTGGAAGGTGTTGCCAGCAGCGTAGTTGGCTTGCGAGGTATGGCCTATGACCCCAGTGAGGGACGACAGCATGACGAAGAAGCGCAGGTCGGGCAGGTGGTGGTGGAGGTGCAGGGTGCCGTCCACCTTGGGCTGGATGCCGCCCTGCCACTGCTCAAATGTGAGTCGCTCGAGAACGGTATCGTGAAGGGCCATGGCCGCTTGGATCACGCCGCGAACAGGTGGCAGGCCGTCTTGTGCGCAGTCCGCTAACAGCTGCACCAGCTCGCTCTCGCGCGCCACATTGCAGTTTCGCACCACCACCCGGCACCCTTGTGCCAAGCCACGGGCGACCAGCGAAGCCGCCTCTGGGTGGGACTCGGCGCTGCGCGACACGACGAGAATGTGTCGTGCCCCACGGCGCAGCATCCACTCTGCCAGCGCATGACCGATACCCCCCAGGCCGCCCACAATCAGGTAGGTACTGTCGGGGTCGCTCAGGTCTGCTGTCAGGCTGGTGCACCGCGTGAGGACCTTGACCTGTGCCTCCTGGCCCGGCACGAGGACCAGCTTGCCGATGTGTGCACCGCGCTGCATCCGCCTCATGGCCAGCTCCATGTCCGCAATAGGGTATGTGACGATAGGGTGCACAGCACGGATGGCCCCCTCGGCCCAGAGCGACAAGAGAGCCTGCCACGCGCGGTGCACAGCAGGACCATCGAAGGCGCAGTGCTGGGTCAAGTCAAAGCCGCAGATCATGGCAGACCGTGTCAGTGGCGTGAGGTCAAGACGCCGTGCTGCCTCTATGTCTACCTTTCCGATCTCGACAAACCGGCCGAATCGAGCCATGCATTCCCACGTGGCTTTGAGGAGAGGCCCTGACAGAGAGTTGATGACAACATCGACGCCCACACCCCCAGTGCGCGCCAGGATCGCTGCAGCAAACGATGCATCCCGGCTCGAAAGGATATGGTCTGCTTCTAGGCCGTATTGTGTCATGACCAGCTCGCGCTTGGCCTCGCTGCTGCACGTGACAAAAACTTCAGCCCCTGCGTGCTGTGCAAGCATGATGGCAGACTGTCCCACGCCGCCGCTTCCGGCGTGGATCAGAACACGCTCGCCCGGCTTCAGGCGCGCCAGATCAAACAGACAAATGTACGATGTCAGGAAGACCATGGGCAGGGAGGCGGCCTCTTCCCACGAGATGCCATCGTCAGGGATCCTGGCCAGGCTTGTCCAAGGTGCGCGCGGGTGTGTGGCAAACCGACCGTCCAGCACGCCACAGACCCGGTCGCCGACTTTGAGGCCGCTGGCTTCCGTCCCTGGGCCGAGGCGCGTGACAATGCCAGCGGCGTCGTGGATATGACGCGTCTCGTCGATCTGACCCAACGCCACCATGATGTCGCGAAAGTTGACCCCCATGGCCCTTGTCTCGATCTCCACCTTGCCGTGAGGGAGGTCCGGTTCCCTGGCCAGATTGTCATCTGTAAAGTACAGGCCACTGAGGGTCCCTGCCGTCTGCACTGTCTCCCACACCAGAGGACGCCCTGGCTGCCAAAGTGCCTGCTCCACTGGTGCCGGATCATGATGCGTCAGGCCCGAGACGCGGTCTTCTACCGTGTTGGGATAGACACGAGGAACGTGTAGCATCCCGTCCTTCACGGCATACTCCCACTCGATAGCCGCATTGTCTCTACTAGCATCGAAACTATGCCTCAGGACATGCGTGATGTGAGGGATGGTAGCGACCGACCAAGGATCCTCCGTCGTAGCCTCGAAATCCAGGTATATATAGCGCTTCGTGGTATCTTCCTGCTTGGCGGTGCGCAGCAGACCGACTGACTGGGAAAATAGGGGGTTTGAGGCCGTGATGATGCTGCTCCTGCTCAGCCAGAGCAGGCCTTGTCCCTGGGTCAAGAGCTCTTTGAGCTTGGAAAAAGGCTCGTACTCTATGTCATGCAGGAAGGGGGCTGCCATCTCAGGGGTCAAGATGTATGTCGTTTCTGGCTGGGCATGGACATTGCTGAGTGGTTCAATAGTGACAACGGCCGGTCCCACCTTCGTCGCCACATCGGTCTTCAGCGCACAGAGCCATTCTTCGGCTGGCGGGCTGTCATCAGCGTAGACAACAGAGACTGCAGTCGGGAAGGCTGGCGGTATAGTTGGTGGTAATGGTGTGGAGAAGTCGGCAACAGCAGTGGTGAGGAGAACACTAGTGGCCTGGAACTGCGCGTCCTCACAGTCTCCAACCTCCAGATCCACCCCAGAGAAGCCGCTCTTCTTCAAGAGTTCATCCCATCCATCGACAGCGAGAATGGGGCTCTCCTCGTGCTCAGCGTGCCGCCACCAACCTGGCAACACGCCAAACACCAGCTGTGTGTCCAGCCTGGTGCGAGTGTTCTCGACCAACACCAGCTTGCCGCCCGGCTTCAGCAGGTCATGTATATTTTTCAGTATTTTTGACGGGTCTACCGCGCCCTGCAGACTGTCGACAACCGCGATGAGATCGTAGCTGTGTGCGGTCGAGCCCAAATCCTTGGTGCCAGTGTCGGATTGAATGTCGAGGGTCTTGAACCCTATCAGTGCCTCCCAGGGCGTACAATTTTGTTTCACGACCTCGAACTGATCCTCTGCGATATCGGATAAGTCATAGTGGCCCAGCAGTGTGCCTGTGCTTCCCTCCTCAGCCCGCGCCGCAAAGGCATCCAACATTCTTGCCGTGGCCGCTCCAGAATGCCTGCCAATCTCAAGCACACGAGCACCGGGCGTCTTGACGGCATACTGTGCAACGATGCGCTGCAGGTGTATGTAACTGCGTTTCCGCAGACGTGGAAGCTCCTCGTAATATTCTTCCAGGAGGCTGTCGCGCTGTAAGAGTGCTCCGGGTTCGACCTGGCTGCGCACAATGTCGGCGAGGTGTTGGCCTACCCGCACAAGCAACCGTCCTGCGGCGTTCTCGGCTGCCACATCGTCTGCTAGACGCTGTCTGAGGCCAGCGTTGCTCTTGAACCAGTTACGGCTGCCCGGTCCGAGCTTGCCGGCCTGCCCACGTACCACAACAGATTGCATCCACGCATAGAGCCTCTGGAGGTGAGCGGGCCAGCTGTGTTGATCTTCTGCCGGAGAAAGCTGACTGAGGGCGTCCTGTATGAGATTGAACGAGACCCTGTCGAGCTTTTTCTCAAAATCGACGTCTTCCTCGTCTACAGGGGCCTGAATGACCTTCTTGAATGCAGCTGGGACCCCACCTGCTGTGACATCCACCTCCCAGCGGGTTTGGGAACATATCGCCGAGGGCTGGCTTTCGGACGAACCGTCGCTCTCCAACGGCACAGCCTGACAATACAGACCCTCCAACAGCAGCTGGGGCGTGTCCGCGTTGTTATCGTCGTCGTCTCCCTCGCCGTTCACCGCAGCGGCAGTCACCTCGGCACCCCGGCGATCCGCCTTTAACAGGTTGACAAAGACGGTGATTTTGTCACCGGCCTGGCGCTGGAGCTGGCGCGGCACATACAAGTGACGTATGTTGCGTGGCACTACCATGGACTGCACCTGCGTGGACTGTGGAATGGATACATAGGCCGCCTGAATGAGCGAGTCCAGCGTGGTGGGATGCAGCACGTAGTCTGGCCGACCCTGGGCGGCGACGGGAGAGATGCCCAAGGTGGTGACGGACTGGGGGGCCGGCCCAGCACCTCGACGACTTCGGATTAGGTTTTGGAAGACGGGCCCGTGAAAAAGGTTCATAGCGCGGAGCCCCAAAAACACCCGTTCAGGCTCGACTTCTTGCACAGGCTCGGACGATGCCAAGAAGAAGGAGTCAGCGCGCGGCGCTGGAGGGACAAACCTGGTTACTGTCTCGCCCGTCTTGCTAGTCCTTTCAGCCGTGATGCTGCCCTTGCAATGCTGGACCCACGACGGAGACGAAGACGACGACGACGACGATGAGGAAGAGTTGTCTGTGGCCGAGACAGACCAGACCTCGAACTCGAACCACCCTTTGTGCTCCAGCTCTTTCTCGCTGCACGGGCGCAGCACAAGCTGAATCTCGACGCCCATAGCCGTGTCTGGGATGACAAGTGCGCTGATGATGTCAACTCCGCGCAGACGGTAGCCTGCAATGGCCTCCTCAGTCGGATCCGTCACCAGACGTACTGCCTCTATGGCCATGGCCACATAGCCAGCTCCCGGGAAGACAGTGTCGGCCCCCAGCTTGTGGTCCGTCAGCCACTCGATGTCCGCCTGGCGCAGGAAATTTCGCCATGTTGGCGTCTGCCAGTTAGAACCGGAGACTGGGCTACCGAGCAGCTCATGTGGCGGGAATCGCTTGTAGCGATGTTCGCGGTACAGCCGAGACTCGATCCAATGCGGTGTCTTGTGGTTCCATGCGTACGAAGGAAGGCCCTGGAGGTAGGTGCCGGCCCCATGTCCATTCACAGCTACCAGAGACACGGGACAGCCATGCGCAAGCAGTGCGCACACGGCCTCCTGCATTGTCTGCATTGCATCGCTCCCCCTCTTCAGGCAGGAAATGTAAGGTATACGACGTTGCTTCAAAATCTGGCGGATAGGACCGGCGAGCGTTCCATGTGCTCCTATCTCGATAATCACATCGACATTGGCCTGCTGCTGTTGCTGCTCAGTTGGACTTGGTATCTTCTTGTCGGACGCCGCGGCGGAACCGAAACACATCTGCTCGAAGGCCTGAGAGAAGAGCACGGGGCTCACCAGGTTCCGAACAAAATGCTCAGGCGTAAGAGCCTTGGGAGAGTTGATTACATCCCCTGTCACTGGAGATGCGAAGAGTGCTCCTCTCCAGGTTCTTGGCGCGGGGGTGAGGATCTCTCTCAGCTTGTCGGTGTAGTCCTGGGCCATGGCTGCCATATGGTGTGAGTGGTACGCCAGGGGTACGTTCAGTTTACGCCCAAAAATGTTGTTGTCGCTTAGACGTGCAGCCACTTCTTCAATGGCAGGCAGGTCGCCCGATATTGTGACGCTCTCGGGGCTATTGTGACAAGCCACCACCACGGTACCTTGTGCGGTGTCCCTGATGTACTCTGCCGCCCCATCTGCGCCGATGCCCGCAGCAAGCATGCCACCCGCGACCCCTGATCGCTCGTGATGCTTCTGCGCCAGCACGCCGCGAAAGTAGACCACCCCCAGTGCCTGCTGGAAGGTCAACGCGCCGACGGCATAGGCTGCTGCGATCTCTCCACTGGAGTGGCTGGTCACAGCTGAGGGAGTGACACCCCAAGAAGAGAGCAGATCTACCAGACAGAGCTGAAGGGCAACACTGATTGGTTGACTTAGACAGATCTCGTTGACGCGGGTAGTCTTTTCATCCCGCAGAAGCTCCTCTGGTCATTGGTCAGCTAACGTCTCGGCATTTCATCTTGCAGAGGGTAGTTGAGCAAGCAAAAATAGGCCCGGGGGGGGGGGGGGGGGAAGCACGACACAAACAAAGAAATATAGAAGCTATCGGTGGGTTAGAGGGGAGTGGGTGATAATTACCATGTAGTGACCATGAAGCCCCATAATCCCTCAGGATCTGATCGGCTGCCAGTAGTGAGCGGCGGAAAACTGAATAAGTCTGGATGAGCTCGCGGCCCATTGCATGCCACTGTGCGCCCTGGCCATTAAAGACGAACCCTAGACGGGGTTTTCGGCCGGCCCGCGACACCTTGCGGCTCGGGTCATCGAGGAGATCAGCCAGCTCGGCCAGACTTTGGGCATGAACAGCCGTGCGCCAGGGAAATCGGGACCTACACTCCGCCAGGGTAAAAGCGAGGTCGATAGGCGATGGCGGCGCGGTACCGAGCATGGCTGCTTCGCGGATGTGTCTGGCCAGGTTCTGGTTCATCTTCTGGGCAGCCACCGCGTCCTTGGCACTGACAATATATACGAGAGAAGCAGGATGGGCTTCCTCTTCCCCATTCCGATGGCCACCGCTGCTGCTGCGCACGGAAGCCACTTCTCTCTGTTCCGGCGCCGCCTCCATGATTACATGAGCATTGACGCCTCCATATCCGAAGTTGGAAACGGATGCTCGCCGTGCCTTGTCCGAAGGCCAGGGCAAGAGGGTTGTGGGTACCTGTGTGATTTCGCATTGAGTCTGTCAGCACTCACATCATGTCTCCAACTTCTCGAGGGATAAACAAAGCTCCTTGCCTTTAACCGCCATTTGTCAAGGGGAATATTGGGATTGGTCTTTTCGTAGTTGACGTTGGGCGCGATAAGTCCGAGCTTTAATGTGTAGGCGGTCTTAATGATGGCAGCCAGCCCGCTCACAGGCTCCGTATGGCCTATGTTAGGCTTCACCGAGCCGACCAGAACTGAATCCTGGGCTGTACGGCACGCCCCAAACGTGCGAGCCAGCGCCTCCGCCTCGATGGGATCACCTGTAGGCGTGCCCGTCATATGCGCCTCGACATAGCCCGTCTCTCCCGGATCCAGACCAGCGCGCCGGTACACCTCTTGGATCAGCTTTACCTGCGCAGCCATTGACGGCGACGTGATTGTAGACGTCTTGCCATCCTGGTTCACCCCCGTTTCCCGCACAACGGCATGCACAGTGTTGCCATCACGAAGCGCGTGGTCTAGTGGCTTGAGCACAAGCGATGCTACTCCCTCCCCACGACCGTAACCTTCGGCGCGTTCATCCCAGGCAAAGCACTTCCCCGTGGGCCCCAAAACACTAATGATGCAAATAAAGCAAATTGTGAGTCTTGTTGTTCGAGAAGAAACAAGAATAAAGGGATGGAAGAAAAATCTCCCTTTCCCCGCAAGGAAGACGGAAATACAATGTTATGATAATGGGAAGAAGAAAATGTGTGAACGTACCCAGCCTTTGTCATGGCGATAAAGACGTCTGGTGAGAGACACACCAGTGATGACCCGATAATCGCAACATCAGACTCTCCTGACCGTAAAGAATGACATGCCTGGTGAAGGGCTACCAACCCTGTCGAGCAGCCAACCTTTGATTAGTCCTCTCGCGTAATTAGCAAATGTAGCCACATATTTACAGTTGTCGCGGTAAGCAAAAGCACCCGGGGGTGGTGGGGGGGGGGGGGTTGGCAAAGATAGAATTACATCGATGGTCACACTTGGCCCTTGGAAGTTGTAAAAGTGAGATATTCGATTCGACAACATAGCAATACCGTTGCCGGTCTTGTAAGCTGGTTGTATCGTCTCAGGGTCGCGGATCGTCATGTCCGAGTAGTCGGTGTTAAAACTGCCCGCAAAAACAGATGTTTTGGACCCGGACAACCTCTCAATGGGTATTCCAGCTAATTCATATCATCGTGGTTGTCAGCAACGCCCGATGGAGAGTCATCCCAGTGTCTTGTTATATGAAGCTGAAGGACCAACGCACCGTCTTCCACGCTCTCGTAAACACTCTCCAGCAGCATGCGAATCTGAGGATCCATAGCCTAATCATGATATTGATGGTCTGGTAAGACAAAACCTCTACTTGATCAGCCTTAGACTTGGAGTTCACGCACATTTGCTACATCTGTAGTGTAACTGAAGAATGCCGAATCGAACGAGGCAATGTCTTTGAGGAAGTATCCGCCTTGAACAAAGTGCTGTAAAAGAGTTTAGGGTCATCATCTCACCGAAAACATTAACAGCATGGGTGTAATTGACTACAACGTACGCGGCCAAGCTTTCCCTTTCTCTCATCATACAAGCCCGCAGCATCGAATCGCTCAAGGGGAATCGGTGTCCACGAGTCCTTTCCCTCTGCACAAAGATCCCAAAGCTTGGATGGGCTGGTTGCATCTCCGCCGAATCTACAACTCATGCCCACAATCGCTATGGGAGCAGTTGTAGAGAGCTGGGGGGCGGTGTCTGTGAGCTTGTCGGCAGAGACCCCGTTCTGATGGCCATTGGGCGCAGCGTCTCCCATGATTACCGATATAAATGACTATATTGGGGCGAGTAAACGGTTATAATGATGAGCTACCGATTCGACGTTTCAGAGCTGCTAGATTCCGGGTCGGTGCGCATGGGACAGGCCCTTGTCTCTGGTAACGTCTTTGTAGATTGTCGGCCAAGGTCTATGATATAAAGCTATAGCATGGATTTGGAACAAGTTTCAATAGCATGGAAAGCTACACAGTCAAGATATCTACTTGGTGCTAAGAGCCGATTTTCACCTGTAATGCTAACGAACCCTTTTGGGGGGCTGAGGGGGGGGGGGGGGGAGCGGTTGCAGACCCCGAGTAAGCTCTTCGGAACACCGAGTATGGGTGAGGCTTGACTCTTACACTTCTCCTATTCAAATCAACAGATTGCATCCGCATTCAAGCCCTAGCACACCGTTCAAATGAGAAGGATGACCCTAACAATCCGCAATGGAAGGATATCGGTCATTATACATTCAGGCTGGGAAATTAGACTCGGTTAAGAGCCGTCGCCTTGCCACGGCTGTTTGACATAGTCATTTACGAGCAGCGAGTAGTGGATGAATCCGAGCGAGTAATGTTAATCACCGAGTAAGTCCTGAAAGGATTCAAGAATCAGCCCTCTTCCTCGTACTGTCCTGTAGCTTGTAAACGAGACTCTTAAAGACATGTCGGTCGATATCTATGAAAGAGCCCCCACTGATTAAACCACTGATCTGCAGCGACAGTCCCTTTACTCGATACCTGTCCATTTTCCTCATCATTGTCACGGCATTGAGGGTGAAGTTTTCGAAGCAAAAGAAGAAAGAAAAACGAGATGAATAACTTGCTTTTCTCACTCTGCGCCATCGCTCCCGCGTTGGCAGCGATGGGAAGTAGTTATCAATCGTCTCAATTCGATTATGTCGTTGTCGGTGGCGGAACTGCAGGCTTGGTCGTAGCCAATCGACTAAGTGAGGATCCCAATGTCACGGTAGCCATCATTGAAGCCGGCACCTGGATCGCAAAGAGCATTGGAAACCTCAGCGAGGTGCCTGCATATGCTTCCGAGCTCCTAGATGAGAACTTGGTCAACCCGGCCATAGGCTGGGAGTTTACGACAACTCCACAGGCGGTTCGTGCTGGTTTCCTTCTCTTAGTGGCCACAACGCTTGGGGAAATTGCTCAGCTGATTTTTACTGATACAGGGCTTGAACAATACCGTGATTGAATATCCACGTGCCAAAGCGGTTCGAATCTTCTATATTTTCTCCCTGTATTTGTGCGTTTGCTAATCATCGTGGCAGCTTGGAGGTTGCAGTACTATGAACGACATGGCGTACTCGCGCTCGTCAGTGGGGGCCTATCAACTCTGGGCCGATACCGTGGGCGACCAGTCGTACACTTGGGACGGAGTGCTTCCCTATTATCTCAAGAGCATGAATTTCACACCGCCTGATGCATCGACGCGATTCCCCAACGCCTCAAACCCAAGTTACGATGCATCCGAGACAACAAATACCGGGCCTCTCGACATCACCTATCCTGCTTACGCTGAGCCCTGGAGTACCTGGGTGGCCAAGGGGCTCGAGGCCCTTGGCATTGCCCCCACTGATGCACTGCTTGACGGGACCCTGAACGGGTCGACCTGGCAGCTGCTAACGGTCGACCATACGACAGGGCACCGTGCCTCATCGGACCAAGCATTTTTGGTCCCGGTACAGAACCGGTCCAACCTCGTCATCATCGACGAGACCCTGGCAGAGCGCGTGATTTTCAGCACCGACAAGGTGGCTACGGGCGTGGAGGCGACCACAGGCAATACCACATTTTCCATCACAGCAACCAAGGAGGTAATCATATCAGCTGGCGTCTTCCAGTCCCCACAGCTCTTGATGGTCTCGGGCGTTGGACCGGAAGCCTTGCTGCAGCAGTATGGCATTCCTGTCGTCGCAGACCTACCTGGCGTCGGCCAGGGTATGAAAGACCATATCATTATGCCTCTGACCTATCAAATTGATCTCGCCTACATAGACGCTTCAGACCCTGCCATTGTGTCCGAGTTCGACGACCAGGCATCTGGCCCTCTGACCAACCCTGGCGGTGATTTTGTCGGGCTAGAGAAAGTACCAGCCTCCCTTAGGGCGAACTGGTCGGCTGAGACCAACGCGAGTGAGTTTTGTGTGGCATCGTTGTATCTGCCATGATGGGACTGAAAAGCTGGCCGAGCCATGCATACTGACACTTTTCCAGCTCTGGATGCCCTCCCTGCCGACTGGCCTGAGCTTGAGTATATCATGGTGCCAGCGGCGGTAACAAGTGGCGCGACTGCTGGCGTCGCCTATGGGACAATATTTGCGACTCTGGTGGCGCCACAGTCGGTGGGCAACGTGTCCATCACTTCTGCCAACATGAGTGTCGAACCAGCCATCAATCCGAACTGGTTGACTGCACAGACAGATCTGGATATCCTCGTGGCCGGTTTTAAGCGTGTGCGCCAGATGGTCGCTTCCGAAGCGATGGCCCCCGTCATCGTTGCCGAAGTCCTACCTGGAACATCGGTCCAGACCGATGAGGAGATACTAGAATACTTCCAACTCGCGGCCACGTCCAACAGCCATGCCCATTCGACCAACCATATGGGCAACAGCTCTAACCCGAACGCGGTCGTGGGAACCACGGGCAAGGTCTATGGCGTGACGAACTGTAAGTGACCTGCATTTTCTCTGGTAATTAGAGAAGCCCCTTGTGTTTTTCTGTCCTTCTTTCTTCTTGTTCCTTGGGTGGTCATGCCATGTTCACTGCTAATACAAGTATGTGCTATAGTGCGAGTAATCGACGCTTCAATCTTTCCGTTCTTGTTACCAGGTGAGCCTGCTTCTTTACATGGGAATAATCTCGGGACATAGATGGTGATCAGGCTGACAAAAAGGGGTGGAAACGTGTCCAGGGCCTGGTCCTCAAGCTCATGTTTGTAAGTCATTCCTGCTTCCTTTCTTGATTGATGTCAAAAAGGCTGACTGCGCTTCAAGACATGCTTGCGGAGAAACTTGCAGCTGCTATTCAGCAGGGACAGTAAAAAAGATGTTTGTATATAGATATCTGTCTTGATTGATTAAATACTTTTAGGATTACATGAGTCTTCTCAGTGGCTCAGAGCCTAGCATTTAGCATTTTGGCAAATGAATGTATTTATTCGCTTCTTTACGTCATGTGAAAAGTATACATCGTGCGGACTATGTGACACATTATTATTTGGGTTCTAGATTTGTATATTATTAGATCATTGTTAGCTTCTGGTCTGTCTTGCTTAAGCAATCGCTAATGTATTGTAGGATATCACCCAGTCCCAAGAACCATGCCACTAATAACAGAATAGCTCAAATTAAGGTAGACATAATCACCTATTCCCAGCACTGACCCTTCCTTTCACCCAATGAATAGCATCCGAGCGTTTATGATCACCGTTGAGGCAGATCCATTATTATGTGCTGTTTCATTTCAACCCCCCCCCCCCCGGGCTCAACGATAACACCATAGAAGTTTCCTCCAACCGTCCTCTATGTCAAATTCTGTAGAATACCTGGCTCCAGATCCTCCAGCCTCTTGCTGAGTAGGTCCCAAATGTATTTAGCCTTCTCCTGGTCCAGGGCAATCGGAGCATACTCCTGCACTTCACCAGCCCTCAAATAGGCCCCATGGGACTCTTTTCCTGTCGCTGCCGCCTGCACGATCAACCGCGAACCTTCTTCTGGCGATCGAGCAAAGACGGCCGCGAACGCACTGAAACCTATCTTGGCCAGGAAAAGCTTTGGTCCGTCTATCTTGGCATTGGTGAACCCCAGACCAGTCTTGCAAAAGCAGGGGTCAACAGAGTTGATTACGATGGGGGTCGTATCTTTCGTATTAAGGGGATGGACAAGGGCGCTGAGTTTGATAGCCGCGTAGAGCTGGAATAGTTTCGAGAGGTTATATCTATTTCTCCATTAGCAGAAGGGATTATCAAGGCACATTTGGTACTTATTAGGCGAAAAGCTACTGACTGGTTCTGTGCGGCGAAGTTCTTTTCGTCCTTGAAGTAAGCGAAGATATCGTCTCCCGGGTCCTCAGGGTATTTGGCCACATCGTATAGAGCAGACGCCACAAAAGTCATATGCGGCGTCACACTGTACTTCCGCGCCGTCTCTTTAAGCTTGGGAATCATCTGGACCGCAAGTAAAAACGTGCCAATGGCATTCACAGCCATCGTGCGCTCAGTGTCATAGACGATGCTGAAATTCACACACAAAACGCCCGCGAGATTGATGAGGACATCCAATCGAGAGAGGGCATTGGCCCGCTCAACGAAAGCTTTGATGGAGGAGGGAGATTCGAGATCAAGCGGCCAAACTTCGATTATATCGGGGTTGCATTTTGAGACGGCCTCAATCTCTCGCTTTACCTCCTCGCCCTTGGACACGCTGCGGCAAGCGCAAATGATCTTGCTGGCCTCGAGGCGGATAAGGTGCTTGATGATCTCACGGCCGAAACCTCCATTCGCGCCGGTAACGATGGCAGTCTTCGAGGCAAAGGAGGCAGTGGGCTCTGGAATCTTGAGCACTAGCTGCGTGTGAAGGAAGTGGCGGAAAGAAGGCATGTTGACTGTCGGGTAATTTCCTCTGTGAGCCTTACAACGGACCTCATTGAAATCGTTCCTCATGCTATTCATGCTCCCCGAATATTATATACACCCACGCCGGGCCTCAATCGCCCGGACTTTGCCTCATTCGTGATCCGAGAGGGACGACTGTTATGTCCGCGGACTTAAATGTCACGTGGTCCAACACTGCCAGGCTGCTGACAGGCCGAACGTGTCAGCCGAGGACGCGACACCAAAGTATCTCCGTGATCTTTTTGTTCTTTCCTTGGGTTTCCTCTTGCATATGCTTATTGAGGAAAATAATCTTCACGGGCTTGGATGAGGGAACATCGGCCAGCACAGGAAGACATAGAGTTACACTTGGAAACCTACTATCTCCGGACGCGATCAATCCCTTCCAGTCATTGGATGAGGGGGTGGGGTAAAATCCCCTACCCACCGCAATGCAATCTCAAAACCCATTGCAACCTACGCGGCCCAAAAATCACCCACACAGACCTCATCGACGCTCTCGCATTCCACTATCCTGTGACCCCTGTCGCGCTCGAAAGTATGTATTTAGACATTTGCACCTTGAAATCGCCCCCCCCCCCCCCACACCCACCAAAACATATCCTCCTCTCGGCCCCTGGGTGGTCGAAAAACGGCCCCCATCACAGAGAAAACACTAACGAAAGACCAGGCTCAAGTGTAATCGCGAGGAGCCCTGCCAGAACTGTACAATTCGTCGTGAGCAGGCTTCTTGCAAGTACCGAGGGCCCAAGGATGGTGCAACCTCTGTCAGCTCTGCCGCCCAACGCGGTAGCACAAACGGGGAGGCAATGCATCAACGGATCGACCATCTGGAACATCTGGTCAAGAAATTGATCGCAGAGCGCCCGTCACCCTCTCATGACCGGGTTGTGACCCCTGAGAGCCCAAACTTTGAGCCAGGTCCGTCTGCCGATGGTTCGCATGGAAAGGACATGAAAGGACCTGGGAAGACAGTAATGGATGGTCTTCACTCTGTATATATTGGTGGAGGTGACTGGCATGCCGTGCTTCATGAGGTATCTCACACCTTTGGTTTCCTTCCTATTTCTCTCCATTTAATTCTTGGCGACTAGCTCCTGGTATGGGCAACAGTCTGTCGTTTGTCATGATACTCTTTCTCGAGACTGCTCGTCTTGTCGTCCACGTGTGTGCTCACAACAAGTGTGTGAGTGTTATTCATGTGTATGTCAAACATCTTGGCTGATCGGAATCATTAGATCAACGAGCTCAAAAGCACATGGAATCAAGCACAGTACGACCACGGCAACTTCCGTTCTACACCCTCACTCGCTGTAGATGGATCAGGCCTACTTTTCAGTGAGGCGAGGCCACTCGACCGGATGGAAATCTTATCTTCTTTACCATCGAAGCCCCAAATGGATGGATTGATGGCTCGGGTTTTTGATCGCAAGACCTTTCCTATCGCTGTTCCTTGTAAGTTCCTTCTCGGTGACTCTCTGGCGCTTGCGATGCTGACATCGAGGCCTCAGGTATTCTCCATATGGCAACATTTATGCGCGAGGTATGGACTGTTTTATCATCCTTTTCTGTGGCCCGCGAGCGCGTGAATCATGCATTGACTCAATTTTTTCTAGTACGAAGCGCACTGGCGAGATCCTTCCCGGGCCAATTTCATATGGCTGGGCCTTCTGTTCTCTATTCTCAGCATCTCAATGCTCGCCTTTCACCAGCACGGGGAGCCGCCTGAGTATGAAGGCATCTCTGAATCTCTTTTTCAGCTCTACCGAATCCGCACTGCACAGTGTCTACTGAGTGGTGACATAGCCAAATGTTTGCCCTACACAGTGGAGGCCTTGCGATTCAACGCTACTGCTGAGCTGAACAGAAGGGACGATAATCAACGGGGGCTTTGGCTTATGTCAGGCGTTGTTGTCCGTACTGCTGTCAATATGGGCTATCACCGCGACCCCGGGCATATGCAAGGCATCTCGGCGGTTCAGATGGAGTATCGGCGACGCGTTTGGCTGTCTGTGATTGGTATGGACTCCATAGCCTCGTTTCTTGGAGGCTTGCCACGCACATTGTCGGATACGTACTCGGATACAATGGAGCCCCGGAATTTACACGACTGGGAGTTATCCGAGGATATTGCGGTCCTACCTCCGTCGAGACCCTTGACTGAGGCCACCCCAGTTACATATATGATTGTCAAGGGGCGATTATTCCGTGCACTAGGACGTGTGGCCGATTTCAACAGTCTGCCCAGCCCAGGATCTTACGAAACGGTGCTCGACATCGATCGCACCGTGCAAGAGGCATACCACAGTGTTCCCCCGTTTATGCGATTCCCACCCGCCGCCGATGGCAATGGTGGTCTAAGTTTGAGCTTGGCTGGTATCACCAATGTCAGCCTACTGGCTCTGTATCACAAGGGCATGTGCAGTCTGCATCGCACATTCCTGGCCAAAGGGAGGACGGAAGGTCTCTACAGCTTTTCTCGACAAAGGTGCACCTCCTCTGCGTTGGCGCTGCTGGCCATCCAAGAGGACATGCAGCCGTCCTTCTACAAACTTTCGCAAACTCGGCAAATGCTCACTCTAGCTGCGATGATTCTGCTCTTGGAGCTAGAGCTAAGAAGGAAGGCTCCAGGTGCCGAAGAATCTCCGGACAGCGATCTGCTATTGAAAGCTTTGAACAGCTCGTCTACTCGCTGGGCAGAAGCGGCGGGTGTCTGTGAAGAGGCAGAGAAAGCCCATCAGTCACTTGCTGGCATGCTCTCAGCCTTCAGTCAGACTGCCAACGAAACTGGATCTTCCCAAACAGTATCGCCGGGAACACCATTTGGCTTGTTGGGATTGACTCCGGACTCCTTGGACGGATCGAATGCGGGAATCTCATTTGACGAAGGTTCTCAGAACTTGGGTTTTGATTGGGTATGTTTGTCCTTCCCCAACTTTGCAGAGCCTGTCTAATCAATATTACTAGGCCACGTGGGATGCTTTTATCGTCAATGAGGCAAATCACAGTAATGGGCCTACCGTTTTCTAGGTAGATGTGAGCGGGAATCATAGAATACTCAACTTAGACCACGATCGGGCACTCCTAAAGTCCCGAAAAGGAGACAACCTGGTATGTGTAGCAAAAATAGAGTTTGTGCTTTTTCTAATTTACAGCGTACATACTTCATAGCCTTCAAAGATTACTTCGTACACTTATGTGCCGCGGCTGCACATGCATTACAGTGCAAACTATAATTATTCCCCACCTCGCGTTCTGAAAAGCAGCGTATTCCGACAAAGCTCTGCTATGAAACTACTAGATCGTCAGAGGAAAATTTTGAAAAGCCGAGTTGAATAGATGTATATACATATATATATATGTGTGTGTGTGTGTGTGTGTGCGAGCGAGCGCGTATCCACGTATGCACCCCGGGTGACATACCTAAGTATCAATGCTCGGGAGTTGTAATAAATATCGAAATAAACAATTTCATCGGAATTCAAGTTAAGACTTTCTGAATTGCAGCGGTGGTGGTGGGCTGTGGCGAGGGGATGTTATTTCAGTTTTCAAGTTATTATTTTCACTAATTAATATGAATGGCCGTTCTTCGGTCGCTGTCCTTCACAAGTTGACTTAGGTATACATCATGTTTTATAAATCCAGAGGGACTGTCGCGCAATCGATAAATCATATGGCTATCTCATGTATCTTTCTTCGTGTTGATGCTCCTCCAACCCATACCCAACGAGAAAAGGAACGCCCCGCAGGCAGCCCCGGTGGCAAGGTACATCACATGATCGAAAGTATTACTGTACGCCAATCGTACAGCCGGCAACAATGCAGCGGGTACCGAACTCTTCACGCCAGCCGCGGACGCACCGGCGGCAATGACGGCAGATGCATTGGCGCTGGGCGCGTACATGGATAAAAAGTTCCGTAGTTCGCTGCTAAAGATGACTTCGGCAAGAGATAGGAAGACGGCGCCGCTCATGTTCTGAGAGAAGACGACAAGAGCACTGCCTATCGACACTTCCTCCTTCCGCACGCCATTTGACACGGCAAGAATGGGAATTTGGAAGCCCAGGCCCATGAAACCTTGTATGATCTGAAACCCAATTCGCCTGCCTTTTGAGGTTGTTGGTGTGATAGTTGTGATTAGACCCGTCCCCACGGAGGTGAATAACCCACTGGCAATAGCAAATGGCAGATAGTAGCCTACACGGCCGACTATGGAAAGTACATATATCAGCGGACAGGCATAGAATTCTGTCTTGGGAGAGAAGATAACTTACCTAAACCACCGGTGAAGATGGTGACGATCATGTTTGTTATGACTTGCGGCAGCATATCGACACCACTCTGCAGTGGTGTTGCATTCCTGACCGATTGGAAATATACAGGGAAATAGTAGGTTGTTGTAAAGGCGCAACCTGTAAAACAGGCGATATTGAGACAGCTGCTCCAGATGATCCGCCTGCGGACCATGGACAACGGTATCATGGCCTCGTCTCCAACGCGATATTCCCAGGCCAGAAAGAGGACCAGATTGCCGAACGCACCGCAGAAGAGGCCGATGATTGTTGCGCTATGCCAGCTATAAGTCGTGCCACCCCACTGCAATGCTAAAATGAACATGACGATTGTGGGCGTGAAAAGCAAAAACCCGATGATGTCGAGCTTTTTAAGGATTTGCGAGAGGGGCTGCATTCCGTCCCCCGATACCCTAAAACCGGGGATCTGAACGACTAGCAGGAAGCCCCAAATTACAGCAGCACAAGGCAAGTTGATATAAAAGCCTGTTCACAAAGTCAATTTAAAATCTGTTCCAATATCGTGGGAGAGAATAGTTATTACACCATCGCCAAGTTGTATATTCCGTCAGAGCACCTCCGATGAGCGGTCCGCCCAGCAGCCCGAAAAAAGAAAGGCCCATGAGAATACCTCGCAGCCCTACCATAGTCTTTACTCAGCTGGTGCTCTCGCATTAATACAGTTGTAAGGCTTACCAGCTTGTTTAGAATCTGGCACGCTCAAGGCAATGATTGTGTATCCTCCGTTAAGCAATCCTGAGGCACCGAGGCCAGCCACCGCGCGACCGACGATGAGCATTCGCGATGAGACGGCAGCTCCACAAAGAGCAGAGCCTATTTCGAATATGGCGAAGAAGGTCATGAAGGTCCACTATCCATCCTGTAGTTAGTTTATGTGCGTAGTACGAAGGCCTAGCTTTGTAACGCGATGAGACCTACCTTGACATTAAAGTAGGTATAAACTTTTCCGCTTAGCGGCTGAGACGCACAACTGTAATGAAGAACATCAGAACCGCCAAGATTGGGAGATCAGATGCAACGCACTTGGCCATGAGATATGCGGTTCCATACCAACCAATATCATTCAGGGAGTGGAAGTCGCCAGTAATTTTGGGGGTTGCCTGTGAATTCTTGTTGTGAGCAAAGGAAAGTAACACGCCTGCCATTTCATAAACACTTAGTGATGTCACAGACCGTGGCTACTATGGATGCATCCAAGAGCATCAGAAAAACCGCCAGCGTCAGACTAGACATGACAAGGAACAGTCTCATGCTCGAGAGGTTCTCTCTTGCCTCTGGGTTCGACGGAACACTCGGCTGCAAGCCATCTCCCGCCGAAACCGTCCCCTTCTCTAGCCGAGAATCCGCCGACGTTTCTCCATGTGCATGGCGAGAAACCTGCGAGGAATCGGAAGCCGACACGACACTTGCGGTTTTATTGTTTCCTTTCTCCATCATAACGGGCAAGTCTTGACTTTAAAGGAGTAACAGACCTCAATCTCGGACACTCCACAGCAAGTTTTGGACCTGATTCAAGACATACCTATAGTTCGAGATTTGGGATTCAATAATTACACAGTCCGTGTTCTGCTCGGCAAAGACCGAATGTGTCCGGCTGGGTCCTCCTCAAACACGTCAATGTAAAAAGTAACCTTGCCTCACTTGTGGCTTTCAGCCTGGCAATTTTACTTATCATCAAGTCCACTGAGTAAAGAATTCATCCGCATTTATTGCTCAGGCAATTTGCTTACAAACCACAATACAACAGAATACGCACTTGGACCCCGAGTAAGTCTTCAGAGCCCAGTGTATCCTCAAGGGCATAACGACTTCGGCTCGTTCGTTGGCATTGACTCACTTGTTAATCTGACAATTCCGCGGACATAAGACTGCGAGTCCATTCTACTTAGAGATTAGAAGCACGGAGTTCGCCAACATTCAGCAACCGCCAAAGCTGACATGCATTTGGCTGACCGTCCCCGGTCTCTGGAAGCCGAAGCCCGGAAGAAGTCACCGCAACATCCGCGGACTTTATTTGCATGTCAGGATCGGGTCAACTTGGTGGTAAAATGTGAGCCTTTCAGCCGGATTCAGGATCAAAGCAATGATCGATCCTGCTTTATTCCCTTCTGGGCCTTACGCGTGTCCCATGAGCCATTCAAGCTAGATTTCACAATTGTAAGAGCGCCACCACCCAGATTTGTGGCTCCCAAGGTACCGGGCCGCCTAAGCTGCGCCGCAATGCTTATTGTCATCTTGATAAGTGGGAAAAGTGGCCCTTGGGATGTGTGGCACGCTCTACTTATGCGAGAAACAGGCTCGATTGCGAGGCAAACAAAACAAAAAGAAAGAAAGAAGGAACGAATGAACAGCCGGATGGCCGAAGTTCCTGAGGCTATCTAGAGCTCTGGCCAAATGACTCACTGGTCCTCGCACACCAATACCTGTTCATGGTACATATACCTGTCTATCCCTGTACAAGAAGACCTGCGGGCGACTATCCGTGTTAGGTGGTAATTATTTCCAGGACCGGTGACCTCTAAACAACCTGTTTCAATCTGCATAGCCCTTGCACTGGAACTCCTCCTGCAAGTATGATGGTCCTGTTCTAGGGATAGCATGAACTCAATTTACAAGAGGATCGTACAGTACTTACTTACCCAGTCTACGGAAGGACATAGTCAGCCAACTCATCATTCTTGCTGTTTATGATCTCATAGCGCCGCAAGACTTATTGTGCAAGCATCTAGATCACCTGCAATATCTGGTTGGATGCATGCGCTGGATGGACTTGGGGCCAAGGCAAACATACCAGTGGTAAGCGGTAAGCTATGCGGAGTAATCGATAATGGCACGATGCGATATCTATCCTTATCAAAGCACTAGGTATTGGCAAGACCAGAGTTCCTTAACCGAGATAAAAGGAAACGACCGACTATCGAGGGGTGTGCATGAGGATCTTATCACTGCGCTGAATCCTGTACTTGTGGCCCCAAGTTGTCACGCCGGTCTGACCACCACAGTCTTGTGAAGGAACCAGATGCCAGCCGAGTCCGCCTCCTTACTGAACACACATGCGCAGGATCATGCAGCTTATTCGGTTGTTGGTCGACTCGTCTGGCCTCAGGTATCGTTTCGGCATCCCACGACCAGCCTCACTATCAAAGTCACGTATGGCTATAGGGATGAGATGTCATATCTTGACTCCTTCTTTGTGATATCTTGTACGTATGTGAAAGTGCCAAATAGGATGTATAAAAGACAAATGAGATGTTAAGATGCTGGCCGTGAATGCCCAGTTTTTGCTTGTATTCTACGAGCGGTTTTCACGAAGCCCGTATGCTCAGCATCTTATGTGGAGCATTACGGTGTCAAGGCGAACCCTGAAGCTTATAGATCGTTTGCTTTGCTCGTAAGAAGCTAGCGACCTCCCGATTCTCTCCCCTGCCCTATCACTGTATCTGCCCCCCACTACAAAAGGTTAACAGTTTCCTTCGGGCCCATGTTGGATCCTAATCGTCCCAAAAGAACATTCAACAATATTCTGACCAGCAGCTTATAAATAGACTCTGCATGAGGAGTCTTTTTTTTTTTTTCGTGTCTCAGCAGACACTATTGAGTCAAACGCTTGGCAGTAACACTTCTCCTGCCCAGTGCGTGGTAGTGTAGACATTGTTCTTGGGTATCCAGTATGAACCGCATGCGACGAAAGTGGACTCCAGAGGAGGACGCCTTGCTTCGGGATCTGGTGCAGAAGGGTAAGTGACATACGCAGCCACGAGATCCTTTGAAGAAAGAATCCCAAAACACACGAACATGAAGTGACCCGTTGTAGAGGTCGACAATGGCCGTCCTCTTTTATGGCGCGAACTGGCCGAGCACATCCCAGGCCGCTCGAACAAAGACTGCCGCAAGCGATGGTGGAACAGCCTGGCAGGTGGGACAGTGAAAGGAGCGTGGTCTCCAGAAGAGGACAGAAGGCTGAGCAACGCTGTGGAAAAGTATGGTATGAACTGGACGAAGGTCGCTACTGTTGTAGGCTCGCGGTGCGGCGACCAGTGCTCGAGTCACTGGCGCCAAGTGCTGGATCCGAACATTAACTTCTCCGACTGGACATCAGAAGAGGTACGTTCATCATGGGTCTTCTTTCCTATTGTGCGCATCATTCTAGGCTTCTGCCTAGGGCTCAGTTGCTGCCGTAATCTTATGCTGAGATTACATAGGACGAACGGCTGCTTATGGCTGTCCGCATGCACGGCACCAATTGGTCCACAATAGCCCTCTTTCACACGCCGCAACGGACAACGCTAGCATTGAAGAATCAGTACTCGAGACTTCAGGGGAAAAGTCAAGAAGAAGGACGACTATCTTCTTCCAAGCAGTCGTCCCTGGGTTTGTCATCCCCGCGGGCGAAGAGACTGAAAAGTAGCAGAACCACTTCGATCGGTTCGAATCGAGATGGCGAGAGTGGCGATGACGAGTGCGACGAAGAGATAGAAGACGGTGACGATGACAGCGAAGCGGAAGACGATCGGGACTCGGACGTGAACCACCCACGGCACTTGACAGAGTGGCATAGAGGCGAGGAACGAAACCCATCGGAATCACTGTCCCTCTGGGCGGGAAATTACAAGCCTTCCGATGGCAAGATGCCAAGTGGAGATACGACGCCTCCGGATCTGCAGGGACAATGGATGGAGAGCACGACGAATCGCGGAATGAGCAGGCGCAGGATGGCCCCTCTCTACCCGGACGATATGTTTCTAAGCCCCCTTGAGAAAACTAACAATACAATATACCCAAGTATGCCATTCACAGGACAAGGTTGGACATCCTTTTTTTCTTCTTCTTCATAGCTGTAGCAGAAGATGTGTATAGATGGATGCTGACCGTGTAATGAATGGAGATTTCGGCGTGCCGGAACCGGATGCAGACCTCGAAGCTGCCTTCTTGAACGAATGCAGGGACTTCTCGGGACCCGTGGATCTACCTACAATCTCTTCGGCAGCGACGGTCCATCCAGATACAGGAATTCGACATGAGGAAGCGAACGGCTCCATTACTATGCACCCGCCTTCAACTACAGTCGCCCTGACCCCGGAGTTGAGCCAGGTGGACGGGTCTCATCGAGTTTCCATCGACCTAACATGCACAACAGCACAGTTGGCCAACATCATGTCACTTATTACGAGCAAAGGCTTGGCTGTAAATATAAAGATTGATACTCCTTAAACTTAGACTTCAAACCCACGATCTCAAGATCCGAACCCCGTCTAAATTGCAGGCAAGGCAATGGTAATGGTGTCCTGTGAAGATTAACCACTTATTCATCCAATCGATTAAAGCCATGATGTGTACCAGATGAAAAGTATTCCGTGAATGGGACTGACGTTGAGAACATGGACGATTCTCTGTACTAGCAAAATGGAATCTCATACAAAAATGGCCAGGGAAAAAAAAAAGAGAAATTAGTTTCTTCGCGCCCGGGATTCTAGTCACAATCCGCTGCTCGTGCCCATGACGTCTGTCAGTGGTCCTCCGGTACATCGTCAAAGTCCTTGCAAAAGAGCCAGCGGGTTCGCGACCTCAGACCTTTCGCCTGCCAACCATTTATGGACTTCGGAAAAAGGTCTAAGTGGCTCTTCAAGGACTCATCATGGGCCAGAATGATGAATACGTTTTCCGCGGCGTCCAACTCAGCAATTTTGCGGACTGTTTCCAGCGCCGCCGGGTGGTCCGGAAAGACAACCGGCGATAGAGTGAAAAAGGGCTGGGTAGGGTCGCTGGTGGCTTTAAGACCCTGTAGGATCTCCCCCGGGCAGGTCGGTGCAAATTTCCTAATGGGGGACGGCGATAGATGGGCGGGTAGAGGCAGGTACTCTGTTGGCCGTAGGACCCCAGGATGGTGACAAGCATCAGCGCCCATAAAGACGAAGGAGTCGTGGTCGGGTCCTCCAACAGCGGCTGTAGTGACGCGAGCGAGGGCAGTAAGATGTCCAATGGCGTGCCCAGGGCTGTCGAGCAGGTAGAAGGAGCCGTCGCCAAAATAATCAAACGCGTCAAAGCGGCCGATTTTGAGAGGGTTTGCCGTGAAGTCGATCTCCCGCACTTCGCGGCCTTGGATATCGGCATCCAGAACAAACGAGTCTGGATTCGATGGGAAACCTGGCCAACAGAACTGTTTAACCCCTGGGCCGACTACAAGATCTGTTGAGGGTGGGAAAGTCGATGGGTCACCGATGTGGTCAAAATGGTGGTGCGACCAGATCACAGCTTCAACATCCTCGCTACGAACAGAGGGGTTTCCCTTTTCGGTCTGGCTCGCGTGGAGGTCCAAGATTTCTGATACGTTCTTCTGTGTGTGGCATCTTGTTGTGCGCCGGATCAAATCGACGGCCTTTGGAGCATATTGATCCCAGTCCTTCCGAACACCGAGGTCAAAGAGCACGTGGCGCTCGCCGTTGGAAACAAGAAAGCAATAGATAGGTACGTCGATACCGTCGAATCCCTTCATCTGGGGCTGCCAAAACAGCGGCGGGTTCAGGAACAACGAGGTAGTTCTACAAGCAAATGTGGTCAACACGGCACAACATTAAACAAAATCAAATTCGGTAGACTAAAGTACTTACGAGTCGATCACCTTTACTGTTACGGTTGCGGACGAACATGGTATGTGTAACGGCGGAGGTGTTCTAGGACGTGCTAGATATGGCGGCGAAGGCATTCTGGCTGGACATTCAATGGTGGCGCCTAGGATAGTGTTTGATGGGAAAGATTTTTTTGCAGCGGGAAGATACTATTCATCTGAGGAGGAAGGACACAGTAATAATATGACTTTAAGATTGTGAAGACATACTTGGGCCCACCAGTTACCCCGAGCTCCCAACCCTCTCTCACTACGTTGCATCCACGCGGGGTACATCTTAGCTGCAGCTTGGGTCGGCACGTGGCCGACCCTAGGCACGAAATTGAATATACCCAGTGTCTAACATATCTCCAAAATAGCACAGGCGAAGAATAGCCGCGAATTTGCTGGCCCGCCGGGCCATTTTCAGCCAAGTCCTTCTCACACATTGAAGCTGATCGATACCTCCTCGGCTAGCTGTGTTACTTGAGGGAGGTGTGTGGCTGCTCCGTACGTGTCTTCACTTTCACGTCAATCCCCCATTGTCGGAAAAACCATGCGTTCTCAACTTGATATCGCGTGGGATCCAGAAGTTCAAACTAGACAAAGATCAGCGGTGATACCGTCATCATATCCTTGATTCTGACTCACGTCGTATCGAAGAAGCAGCGCGGGAACGATCTTTTTGAGCTCCAACATAGCAACATGTCGCCCCAGACAAACGCGTCTGCCAGCGCCAAACTACACATTGACTTGTTAGTGGCAGATGGTCCCTAAAGAAAAGACACCAGCTAATCAAAATCAAGGGCGCTGGTAATCTTACTGTGAGAATCGCTGCTTCACGTTTCTGCCTCAGTTCTTTCGGCACCATCCACCGATCGGGATTCCAATCATCGGCATCTTCGCCGAAGGTGGGCTTGTGTCGGTTCACAACATAAGGATTCATACCCACTACAGTACCCTCGGGAAAGAAGGTGTCACCAATCCTGAGTCCTCCCGAGGGGACGACTCGCTCGAATGGAAGACAGAATGGCGGATGTAGTCGGACACCCTCCTGGATACAAGCGTCAAGATATGGCAAGTCACAAACATCCTTCCATGACGGGTACGGCTTTTCTATGCCATTCTTTCGTTCTGCGTCCAAAAGCTCATCGAGAAGACGGCGTCTTGACTCAGGGTGGGCCAGGAGGTTGAACCAAACAGTCTTCATGACAGTCGCAGTCGAGTCCGATCCAGCCAGTACGTTGGAGAAGGTCCATGCCGTAACACACCTGGGTATGTGTTAGATGATCCAGTCGCTTGGTCATTCTTAAAGGAAAAGGGAACAGAGACGTACCATGGGGGTAGAGTCGGATTGTCGATCGTAACGTCAAAGAAATGAGAAAGCATATCGCGCTGGCCTAGGCCGTTGTCGATTACCTTGCCAGACTTCCGCGCTTCTGCGCGCTGGGCAACGAATTTTCCCACGATACCTAAAATGGCCATACCTCCAGTTTTGCGAAAGGCTGCCATGAAAGCGTTCTTGCGCCAGACCTGGTCGAACCAGGGGATTTGTGTGAACTATAATGGTCAGCTTCCACATTCCGTCTGCAAACTTGTAAGGAACGGGCGGTCTGGGACTGGCCGTTCTTACCGGTGATGCTGCCTTCATATAAGTCCAAATGGTCATCAGCATACCGTCTACATCTTGACCCTGCTCCAGGAACCCGTATCTCTTGGAGAAGGTCAAAGTGCCCATCACGTCAAAGGCGAAATACTGCAGCCAGTCTGCTAAGTCGAAGGTGGCGTAAGATTCTACGAAGCGCCTATCAATTTGCTCCGTCATCACTTGGATAGTATCGTTGACAAAGGCCTCAAGTGGAAGCGTATTGGACATGGAAAACATCGGGGCGATGGGGGACTTGATCTTCTTGTGTAGCTCCTCGTCCCGCGTGTTGAAAACGGCAGGCAGCGCGCCGCCCTTTCTCGTATACGGCATCAGGGTCCGGTAAAAGTTGCTCTGAAAGAAGTCATATCAGTATACGAAACTTCCCACCACGACATTTATTGCATGAGTTGCTCACCTTGGGGAATCCGGGTCGAATAGGGTACACTGTTGGGATCCAAGCCGGATTGGCCAGTGAAACCATGGTAGGGCCAAATCGGACGACCTCGCCATACTGGTCGTGGACGGCTTGGTGGATCTGATGAGATCGACGAGTCTTGACCCAGAATACACGTTGTACATTGGTAAATCGGGCCCAGAAAGGTCCCGGAATTTGCTTCAGCCGCCAATATACACGGAAAAGGTGAGCGACGGCGCCAATGGTCAGCAGTCCCAAGATCAGTTGCGCAATGGGTACCCACCCAACCAACTCCAGATCCAAATACTGTCCATACTCCATGATTGATGTTTTGCTCTCTCTGAAATATATGGCTCGTTACGGGCTTTTTCACGCAGCCATGACAGAGAAGCGCAGCCAGTGTATTTCAAGATGCAACAAATGTGAGAGTTGCGTGTAATATCTGGTTGCAGGCCTAAATACAACAAATCACATCAGAATATACTATAGGATCGGACGAGGCAAGGGAGAACCATCCCATCCCATTGGAGCCTGTCAAGATTTGACAAGGTCGAAAGTGTTGAGATTAGCAATGATTGGTCGGGACCCGACACCGAGTATTATCTGCTATGTGCAAGCCCCAAGTGGGACAAGGCTGTCTGTCTATATTGCCCCCGAGTAGACCAACTGGCGCTCTGGCGCAGCCTTGAACCAAGGTCAGTGTGTATTCAAGCGCCAGATACGTGAGTTCCAAAGGTCATTAAACATGTGTCTCAGTTATAGCTTCGACGCGTTCTGATACATTGGCTTCCATCCTGCCCCGGTAGTGCATTGGGTGTCATTGTTGAATGTACAACTTCTTCCAATCCGGTGCCAGAATTTGTTGCAGGAAGAATTCGACGAGTTCTGACAATCATCCGCATCCGATTCGACATCACACCTGACTTTAGTTCTGAGCTTGAGTTTGCGTTCCTCAGGCTTCACCAGTCAGTATGTCGTCAGCACCTGAGTGGATACTACACAAGTCGCTGTTGGTGGTCGGCCCGAAGCGGTCGACAGCCGGGATCAAAGACTTAGTAGAGCTGCGGACGACCATCACTACAACGCCCGATCTAGCTTTCCTCGCCGAGACTATCAAGTCTCTGGAGGACCTATGGCCGGCTATCGCTGAGACCATATATACCGATGCCGAGCTTGATGCTATAGATGGCAGGCAAATTCTCGGCAATCTATGGCGATTTTTCGAACAAGGAGACACCTCGGCCATCACAGGCACAGGGCCCTGCCACAACAATGTTCTACTGGACGTGCTCACGATTCTTTTCCATGTGGTTGACTTCTGGCGTCTGGCAACAACAGAGATAGCGACGCCATTGTTTGCTTGCTCTTCTCGCAAGCCGACCAGCGAGCTACATGACATTCAGGGGTTCTGTCTCGGATTTCTGACCGCAGCGGCGGTCTCTAGCTCAACGTCCAAGGCCGAATTCGAGAAGCACGTCGCAACGGTGCTTCGCATCGCTGTTTGCATTGGGGCACTAGTAGATCTAGATGCTGCCAAACTGGTGAGGATGTACAACGACCACGCCGCCTTTGTCTCTGTCGGCTGGACTTCCCAGGATGAATACAACGAGCTGAACAGAATCTTGGAGGCTGAGCCAGATGTAAGATGATTTCCGGCCCCGTGGCTTGATAAACCAACAAAGAGCTTTGCTAACACAATCAGGGATACATCACTTGTATAACGGATACAAACCGTGCCACGGTGACGATACGGGAACAGAGTGCTAGCACGTTCAAACAAAGGTTATCAGCATCGGGATTATCAGCCCAGACACTGCATCTTCAAGGACGCTACCACCATCGGCCAGCCTATGAGGATGGTGTGCGCCGCTTGAAAGAGCTCTTCCACCAGGACTCACGGTTCCAGCTACCCAATGCTGTGGGATTAGCCTTACCACTGCGGTCGAACGTGGAGGGCCAGCTCATACTTGACGGGGCATTGCACGAGGTTGCACTTGAGTCCATCTTGTTGGACCGGTGCCAGTGGTACGAAACCGTGCGCCAGGCTGCGGCGCACAGCCAAGTTCCGGTAGATGATATCGTCCGTGTCGGTGCCGAGGCAACAATCCCACGTTCGCTGACGAAGAACTCAACGATTCCAAAAAATAACAAGCCAAGTGGCTACCACAAGGGCGCTACACATGACCACGAAGATGGCGCTACCTCTGCCCACGCATCCGCCGTTGCGGTCATCGGCATGGCCTGTCGCTATCCAGATGCCGACTCCCTCGAGGAGTTCTGGGAGCTGCTCAATGCAGGTATGGCAACTGTCCGGCGAATTCCCTCGGATCGATTCGAAGTGGCAAACATTACACGTAATCCAAAAGTGCCCTTCTGGGGTAACTTTCTCCAGCATCCCGATGTTTTTGACCACCGATTCTTTGGCATTTCCGGTCGCGAGGCCAAGTACATGGATCCGCAACAGCGCCTGGCGCTCCAGGTAGCATACGAGGCGCTCGAGTCGGCTGGCTACTTTGGGATCGAATCGTCACCCGAGAAGTTTCCTGACGACGTTGGTTGCTTTCTGGGCGTCGGCTCAGTCGACTATGCCGACAACATTGCATCGCACGATGCCACTGCGTTTTCTGCGCTTGGAACACTGCGTGCTTTCATCAGCGGGCGCGTGAGTCATCATTTTGGGTGGACTGGCCCTTCCATCACATATGATACGGCCTGTTCGTCTGGGGCGGTGGCAATTCATTCCGCTGTCAACGTGAGTCATGTTTGTCTTCTCCCATATTGAGCCATGGATACTAGGATACTAACATTGTAGATGTCAAGGCCATCAAGAATAGCGAGTGTTCGATGGCCGTGGCGGGAGGTGTCCATGTGATTACCAGCCCTTCCCTGTACCAGAATCTCGCGGCTGCATCATTCCTAAGTCCTACAGGCGCGTCCAAAGCCTTCGATGCGAGTGCTAATGGATACTGTCGTGGCGAAGGAGCCGGCCTTGTTGTTTTGAAGTCATTAGAGCGCGCCCGTGCTGACGGTGACTCAATCTTAGCCGTCATCACCGGTTCAGCCGTCAACCAAGGAGGAAACTGCACCCCAATTACTGTCCCAGTCTCTAGCTCACAAAATTCACTGTATCTGAAGGCACTGTCGATGGGAGGAACAGATCCTAAAGAGGTCAGCTTTGTCGAGGCGCACGGTACAGGTAAGCTACTGCTTGGAACCCCAACCTGCGGTAGAAATCATACTCATCTTGACATTGGCTTAGGGACCGCTGTGGGCGACCCCATCGAGTGTGAGAGTATTCGAAGCACATTTGGTGGCCCAGATCGCGCACACACGCTATTCCTCGGCTCGGTGAAAGACAACATTGGTCACACCGAAGCCTCGTCGGGTGCTGCAGCGTTGATCAAGACCATCCTGATGCTCCAGAAGCGTATCATTCCGAAGCAGGCGAATTTCAGACAACTCAACGCCAAAATCCCTGCACTAGAGCCAGACCACATGGTTGTACCGCAACGCAGTCAGCCATGGGACGTTCCCAGGCGGATAGCAGTAGTCAACAATTACGGCGCAGCTGGAAGTAATGCTGCCATTGTTGTGCAAGACGTCGACCGCTCACATTCTACAGTCGTCTTAAATGGGGATATGTCTCTGTTTTCTGCGTATGAGGTACCGTTTTTCATTTCAGCGAGAACCCCAGAGAGCCTTCGTGAGTACTGCAAAGCCCTGAAGGCCAGTCTGGCCAAGGTGCAAGACAACTATGGGGACAGGGCGGCCCTCGGCCTGGCTTATAACCTGTCGGTCAAACAGAATCGCAGATTTCAGTATAGATACAGTTTTACTGCATCGAATCTCAAGGAGGTGGCATCGAAACTGTCGCAGGCACGCCCGACAGATATCAGAGAAACGGCTGAAAAGCCGCGTCCGGTTGTTCTTTGCATCGGTGGCCAGAATGGCCGAACAGTGCATCTTGATGAGGGTGTTTTTCGGAACAGCAAGCTCCTTCGGGACCATCTCGTGAGTGGGCCTCCTGGTATTCAACTAAATGTAATATCCATACATATATGGCTGACTGGGAAGTGCAGAATGAGTGCGATCGGATATGCCAGAACCTGGGACTTCCCAGCCTGTATCCCACAATCTTCAGCTCAGACCCCGTTGAGGACTTGATCGGTTTGCACTGCATGCTTTTTGCTCTGCAGTATGCCAGCGCAAAGTCCTGGCTTGATTGCGGGCTGATTGTCGACATGGTTGTGGGCCATAGTTTCGGCCAGCTCACGGCCCTCGTCGTCGCCGGTGTCCTGTCCCTGTCCGATGGGCTGCGATTCATATCAGAGCGCGCCCGTCTCATTCAGTCCTCTTGGGGCCAAGAGACCGGGGCCATGCTCTCAGTGCAGGGAGAACGCGGCACGGTGGACCAGCTTCTAGAGAGAGCTAAGTCTCTTAATCCCTCTCTCACGGCGGAGGTGGCATGCTTCAACGGCCCCGAGACGATTGTCTTGGCTGGAGATCAGGCATCTATCGACGCAGTGGAGGAGGTGGCTAAGAGTGAGACATTTGGCCTCAGCTTGAAGGCAGTACGTCTGAAGAACACACATGCTTTCCATTCAAGTTTCGTGGACGACATTCTCCCGGCGCTTCGAGAAGTTGCGGCCACTCTTGATTTCAAAACGCCCTCGATACGCATCGAAGCTTGCTCGGAGGCCCATGACTGGAATCAAGGCATTGATGCTGAGATGCTCATTCAACACAGCCGCAAGCCAGTGTATTTCCACGATGCGGCGCAGAGAATCGTCACCAATCTGGGGCCTTGCGTTGTCCTTGAAGCCGGCTCAGCATCACCTATTGTTCCCATGTTCCGACGAGCACTGGCACCTGATGAGGCTAAAAAGGGGCACACCTTCCAGCCTATCGACATCGGTTCCAGTAATGCCCTCGGACAGCTAGCCAGGGCCACAAGCAACTTGTGGGCTGCTGGTGTGAACGTTCAATATTGGGCATTCCATCGTGGCGAAAAGGACAGGTTGCCGTACATCAACTTGCCGCCGTACCAGTTCCAGAGAAATAAGCATTGGTTAGACTACATCGAACCCCGGACTTTCGTCGAGCAACAGTCCACGCAGGCTCAGGGCAGCGACGCGGAACCAAGACTCCTGCCACTGCTTGAGATATCCGAGACCACAGCTGGAGGTTCAACAGTGTTTCGGATCAATACATTGCACGACATGTTCGAGGTCTGCACAAAAGGCCACGCAGTCCTGGGACAGAGCCTCTGCCCTGCCTCGATGTACATCGAGATGGCTATCCGCGCGGCCACGTTGCGTGACACCAAGAAAGACCACGCCACGGCTGCATGCGTAGTAAAGAACTTGAAGATTTCTTCTCCCTTGTCTGTCGTCTCAACCCGGACCACCTTCCTCCGCTTGGACCCATCGACCATAGAGCCAGATAATTGGGAATTCACCATACTTAGTCGTGACCAGCCGATTGCAACCGCCTCCGCTATAACGCATGCCACTGGCGTCGTCTCCCTGGTGGCCGTTGGGCATGAGGCCGCCCGTACACAGTTCATCCAGCGCCTCGTCGGTCAAGAGAAATGCGACGAGCTCATTAACAGCCAAGGCTCGCAGGTCCTCAACGGCAACATAATCTACCAGGTCTTCGGCCAGGTCGTCGACTATGCGCCTTACTACAGGAGAGTAGCTAGTATTGTGTCCAGAGCCCAGGAGGCCGTGGGCATAGTGAACGTGCTGGCTTGCCAACCGCCGGTCGTGAAGGAAGGCAGCTGTGATCCAGTCACACTCGACAATTTCCTCCAGGTGGCAGGAATCCATACCAACTGTCTTTCTGAAAGAAGCAACGACGAGGTTTTCGTCTGTACGGAGCTGGGCGAGCTCTTCATCAGCAGTACGTTCCTGGCCAGGCGGCGGGAGGTCCAAACCTACCGGGTATTTTCCTCGTTTAGTCGACGCACAGGCGAGAAAAAACTTGTCAACGACATTTTTGTCTTCGATCACAAGACTGGTGATCTGGTAGTCCTGTTCCTGGGGGCAATCTTTCAGGGCGTTTCGAGCAGATCTCTGGCAAGGACACTGGCCAAGTTGAACAGCGGTACGATCTCGACGGAGGCCTCTGGGGACCACATCATGGCTCTGCCCAAGTATACGAAGACCGACGCAAAAAATGTGACTACTGCAGTAGCAGATGCCCCAAGAAGATTCAGTACGGATGGCAATTCGACAGTAACTGGCACTCAACGTGCCCAGGACGATGTGATGCCACTAATTCGTGAGCTCTTCAGTCGGGTCATTGGGATACCCGTGGACGAGGTGAAGCCCAATGTCACTTTATCCGAGCTTGGAATAGACTCTCTGGTGGGTACCGAGGTCTTGTCTGAGATCAAGAAACAATTCGGTGTTGTCATTTCGTCGGATGATCTCCTGGCACTGAGAAATATCCAGTCGCTGGTCCAATTGGTCACCCCAAATGGAGTTCCTGAGCAGTTGAAGCAGCCGAACCCGATGGGTGTGGCACCGGCTCAGACTGGTAGTCGCCATGATGGGCTTCCGGCATCTTTTGGACAGATCCAGGGAATGTTAGGAAATATTTTGGGTGTCTCGACTGACGAGATAGAGGCTGACACACGTTTGTCCGATCTCGGCATCGACTCTTTGATGGCGACAGAGGTTCTCAGCGAGATCAAGAAAGCCTTTGATGTGACTATATTGGCCGACGAATTTCAAGATCTCCATGACGTCCAGGCCATCGTCACTCGCATTCAGGGCTCCTCACCATCCTCATCAGGCAGACTCACCCCATCACCATCAGACGCGGGTGAACAAGTCGATGGCGTTGCCGGGCTTGGAGAGGCCGTGGACGACACCTTCCTATCGGCCGCGTCTTACAGCTTCCAGGCGGTCCGACAGGACTTCGATGGCATCTCTAAAGAATTGGAGTTTTCTGACTTCTATACTTCAGTCTATCCTGCGCAAATGGAACTTGTCGTCGCTTATATCGTCGAGGCGTTCCAGAACCTGGGGTGCTCCCTGGCAGCGCTGGCCCCTGGTGACAAGGTCACAGATCTGCCGGTACTCGACAAACACGCCAAGGTCAAGAGTCAAATCTACAAAATCTTGGAAGAAGTCAGTGTCCTCAAAAAGGATGCAGATGGCGGGTTTGTTCGCGGTATCGCCTCCGTCCCATCCGAACGACCACACCAGCTTCAGCAAGCCATTGTTGCCAACTTCCCTCAGCACGCTTTCGAGCACAATCTTCTAGCCTCAACAGGCGAAAAGCTCGCCGACTGCCTCACTGGGCGCACTGATCCCCTAGGTATTCTCTTTGGCAACGCCAAGGCACGGACACTCATGGAAAACGTCTACACACACGCCCCCATGTTCAAGGCCGGAACCGTCAACTTGGCTCGCTATCTGGTACGGTTGTTCCAGACATTGCAGCCGTCGAATCGGCCGATTCGTATTCTTGAGCTCGGCGCGGGCACTGGCGGAACGACGAAGCATTTGGTGGACAGTCTTGTTGCTACCCAAAAGCCGTTCGAGTACACCTTTACGGATCTCTCGTCTTCTTTGGTGGCTCAGGCCCGAAAGAAATTCGCGCAGCACGACTTTATGCGATATGCTGTACTGAATATTGAGCAGGACCCGGAGCCCGCGTTTGTCGGCCAGTATGATATCGTCCTCTCGACCAACTGCATCCATGCTACCAAGGACCTGACGCGATCCTGTACAAACATCAGGACATGTCTCCGACCGAACGGTGTTCTCTGCCTAGTAGAGCTGACGCGCAACATCTACTGGTTTGATCTTGTCTTTGGTCTCCTGGAAGGCTGGTGGCTCTTCGAGGATGGGCGCGAGCACGCGTTGGCTGACGAGAAACTATGGAAAGCTCATCTTGGGCGGGCAGGATTCCGCTGGACTGACTGGACTGTGGGCACCTCGCGCGAGTCCAACGTCCTACGCGTCATCACAGCCTCACCAAGTGACGTGACACCGTCAGCGACGATAGAGACAGTCACCTTCAAGCGTGTCGGTAATGTGTCACTCGAAGCCGATATCTACTATCCCGAGAAGCAGATTCAGGGCAGCGAGGTGCGACCCATCGGTGAGCAACCCATCTCACTGGGACACTTTTGATTCATGTGCGTGTATATATATATATATATATATATACATTCAACAAATATGTATATATCCTAGTTCTCTATACGTATTGCTAACACGCCAACTCACTTTTTCTCTAGCTCTAATGATTCACGGCGGTGGCCACGTCATGCTCTCCCGAAAAGATGTGCGGCCTTCGCAGACTCGCATGCTTCTCGAAGCCGGCTTTCTCCCTGTCAGCATCGACTACCGCCTCTGTCCAGAGATGACCCTCATCGATGGCCCTATGCAAGACGTGTGTGATGCCCTAGCATGGGCACGGACTGTGCTTCCCCAGCTCTCGCTCCGGCGACGCGACATTGTTGTAGACGGGGACCGCGTAGCCGCCGTGGGCTGGTCTACCGGAGGCCACCTCGCCCTCACCCTTGGCTTCACTGCACCAGCACGTGGCATCCGGGCTCCTGACGCGACGCTGGCCTTCTATTGTCCGTCCGACTACCACGATGCTTTCTGGTCTAAGCCAAACTTCCCATTTGGCCAGGGCAACGCTACTCGGCCACAATGGAATATACTAGACGGCGTCGAAGACCACCCCATAACGGCATACAACCCACCACCCGAGAAGCAGGCCTTGGGCGGATGGATGAGTCCCAGCGATGCTCGATCACGCATCGCCTTGCACATGAACTGGACAGGCCGGAGCCTGAGGGTCCTTCTCAATGGACTAAGCAGTGGTCGCCTTCATGCTCCTGATCCTCGTCCTGCAGGTGATGGTCATGCCTTTCCAGACCCTACTGATGAGCTCCTTGATCCGAGTCCCGAACAGATCCAGCTGGTGAGCCCGCTGGCACAGATTCAGCGTGGTACTTATCAGGTCCCCACGTTCCTCATCCATGGGACCAAAGATGATCTGATCCCGTGGCAGCAAGCTCTGAGGACGCATGAGGCACTGCAGCAACAGGGCGTGGAATCACACATTAGGATACTAGACGGCGCGGCGCATCTCTTCGATTTGTATCGATCGTATAATGGCAATAAAGGTGCAAAAGAGGCTGTTCGAGCTGGGTATGACTTTCTTCGTAGTCATGTTCACTCATCGAGGTAGTCATCATATAGAACAGTTCTGAATATCATATGATGAAAAAGACGAGAAAACCCGAAACACTATCATTCAATCGCCTGCAGAAGACATGTGAGTTCTGAGAGCTGATGTTCCTTTGTCTCTTTCCCTTTTTTTCTTTCCTGATTAGTGATGATCCGAGTCATTCTATAGTTGAATGAATTCTGAACTCAACAAAGTTTTGGTGGTGGTGAGTGAGTAATTTTCCTAACGCCATTTTCGTCATGCTGTAAACATCGATCGAATTTAGCTACCATGCAATCTCCAACTTATGACCTTTAATCTCGGCGTTGAACCACTCGATAATATCAATCTTCTCGGTACATGTCCACGCCCCCTCGAGCACGCGACTTTTGATCACCTCCTTCATCACTACATACAACTGCTTCTCGGCGATTTCCCGACCCAAACAAGCCCTCGAGCCAAGACCGAAAGGAATCAGGTTCCTCTCGCGAATGCGCCGGGCCTGTATCTCACCTGCAGCCTCCTCCTTTTGCCCATCTCGGAAGCTGCTACCACTGTTGCTACTGCCACCGCTACTGGAAAGCCACCGCTCAGGCTGAAAAGTGAATGGGTCTGGATATACCAGAGGATCGTGGTGCAAAACATGGGCCGCTGCGCCAACGATGGTGCCCGGAGGTAGGCGGTAGCCACTCACAGTCAGGCCCGCACTTCCTTGCCGGATAACCCTCGTCAGCCGCGTCGGATTGGCCATACCGAGCCGCAAGCCCTCGCGCACAACAGCCCGTAGGTACGGTAATGTCCGCGGATCGACGTCTGCGGGGTGGCTCTCGAGTTCCGCCTCCAAGCGCTTACGCTTCTCGGGCTGCTGCACAAGGTGAAAGATAATTGTGGCCAGCATGACGGCCGTCGAGTCTGCGCCCGCAAACATAATCGCCTTGACTTGGTTGAGCGTCTCTTGACGCGAGATGCCCGCTGCCAGAAGCCTCGATTGATACGTGTCTTGGCTGGGCCCTTGTTCAGTAGTAGCACTGTCGAGGACGCCGAGGGCATATTTGGAGACGGTCTGCAGCGAGACATTGACTTCTTGGTCCGATAGGACGCGACCTACCAGGGACGAGAAGATGACACTAAAGAGCCAGTTGGGCAGGAGGGAGTAGCGGCTAAACGCGACGATGGCCAATACGAAAGGAGTAGCTGAGAGCTTGTCGCCCCAGCGAAGGGGTTTTGCCTTGGGCTCTGCGATCCGGAGTGGCTCGTCCAGTCCACCGTAGACGTGACCAAAGAGATACCCAGTCATGATGTCGATAGAAAGCCGTGAGGAGAGATCGAGAATGTCAGCTCGCGAGCTCGGCTTGGTCCTCTCCTGCTGCAGCCGCGCGACGTATTTTCCGACCAATGCCATCATCACCGTCCCGTCCTGCTCATACGCTGCTTGGACCCGGCTGGGGGCGAACAGGGAGATCACTGTCTTGGCTCTCGAGTCGCGATAGTTCTGGTTGGTCGTGGAGAAAATGGTGTTAAACCCCTCGAAGCGGAAGTTGTTGTACCGTGCGTCCTTGGGAAGTCCTCCTCCGGCGACATAAACCTGGTGTAAGGCCTCGCCATCCGACAGAGACACCGCATCGGGAGCGATGCGCAGCACTGGCGTATTGTACTTGACGTGATAATGTGCAAGCACGCTGCTTTCGACGCCCAAGTAGCAGATGATGTATAGAAACAGTGATGATACGCATGCAAACGGTGGACCAGGGACGTGGGCGAGCGGGTGCAAGTAGAGACGGTAAAATGTCACAGAGACGAGGGATGCGCCAAGTGCTAGAAAGAACTGGGCTGGACTCGGAAACGAGAAGTGCACCAGCTGATCCTGGAGAAGGCCCATATCGGTCTATCAAATGTGACTGTCGTGTTTGGTGTTTCCTTCTTGTTCTTCGTTTCGTTGTCGTAATACATATCGTCGGGAGACTACACCAACAATATTCGAATGCTATAAAGTAAGTACATTTTACGGCTCTCGGACGCCGTACCAGCATGTTCCAAATGCTTGAGCGTCGAAAAAAAACAAAAAGATTCCTCCAACAGGTCCTATTCCGGACGCTGGGTAAGCCGTCTGTTGCAGTCTCAGCGCCGCTTCATATTTACTCGGTTCCGCGAACAAACATTTGCTTCGGAGTGCTTTTGAGAGTGCATCCCCTGAATTATGATCCCTACAACCTTACAGAAAATTCAGGGAACCGTTTTTTCTTCTTGTTTCTTTTTTTCTGTTTCCGTCTTTTTTGGTTCTCCATACTTAATTCTTCCATTGCAGAGAAAAATAGGGAAATGTGTTACTGAGGTATGAGAATCAAGTTGAGAAAATTGAGTTAGGATAATGGAGAGAAAAGATTGTGGATGAACACGAGGCGTAGTGCAATTGACCTAGTTCACGGGTGCACGCGAAAATAAGCACGTTTTTGCAGTATAATAATAAAGTTATTTATCTTTCCTAGATGAGAACGAGGTACAATTGAGCAGCGGGATTTACTCCGGCCAACATAAACATAGCACGTACTTGGCAAACTCGGAATCCGACAACAATGCCTCATACTCTTCGTCGTACAGATTAGCGAGGAACTCTACCCCGCCATTCCTGCTCCGTGGCAAGACAACACACAAGCGAGTGAAGCTATTGTTCCCTTCAAATAGCAGGCGCGTAGCCTCCACGTAACCTCTGTTGCCAAAAACTAAGCCATCCCCAAAGCAGAGTGTGTCCATCGAAACATTGATGAGTGACGAGATTGTCATGTTATTGCCATCGATCGTCGCAAACCGCATCAATTTCAGCCTCATAAGCTCCGTGTAGCTGGGCAGATGATCCAGGAGATTGTACAGATTTAGCAGATTCGTCGAGTCGATCCACCCAGCATTGCGACGGATCGTAGCCGCCACGGTGCCGAGGGAGCTTTCCCGGCCAATCAGGGCCTCTGTCGGCAGACTTGATTGCACATTGAACGTCAAATTCCCAAGGTACGTCTGTGGCAGTGCTGAGGAGTAGTTGGCCCGGCCGTCAAAGACCATGTTGAGCCGTTGTTCCTTGTCTTCCGCCTTGTCGTCGTCTCTCGGTCGACGTGCCGCTACGCGCGCTCTCATAAAGCATTGCCAGATCAGGGCGCTCACAGCGTCGTTGGCCGAGATACCACTCGCCACGCCGAGGTCTTTTGCAATTGTCTCCCGCAGAGCCGCCAGCCGTGCTGGAGAGAGATAAAATACGCCGGCTTTCAACAACCGTTTTGGAGGCTGCGGCCTTGACGGCGGTTGTGAGGAAAGGGCGTCATTGCTCTGCGTGACATCTGTGGGTAGCAAGCCAACCAGGCGCCATGTCTCTGGGTCGACTTCTTCGACAGACGAGACTGGGCACTCGCGCGCCCAAATCTCGTGCAGGATATCACGACTATCGCTGCCAGCGGGGAACGGTGCAGGCGTGGCGCTTGAAGTGTGCGTCTGCAGTGCAGCACAGTGCTCGCCCCATAATCGTAAAACGCGGAAGAAGGCACCCTGGTCACTGGCGACGTGATGGATGGCGGATACAAGAATGCAGCCGCCGGGAAGGAAGTTGGCTTGGCCGACAAAGACATTTGGCTCGGTAACAGGGTCGGCGAAGAAGGCAGTGGGCGCAAGCTCAGCATCGCGGAAGCTGTCGAGCGGGAAGCCGAGCTCCCGCACCGACTCATAATCCAGGTCCGTCTCGAGCTCTTTGAATTTCAACTGTGGTGCACGCGGTTCATCGGCGACGGCGGGCGCATAGCCCAGTTCGAGCTGTCCAGGTCGCCAGCCGGGCGTCTCGGACGACTGAAGTCGAACTTTTCCATTTAACCATGGAAGCTGGACAAAGGTGCGGTGCAAGCCCTCGCGCAAGAGTTCGAATGCTTGAAGTGGCTCTACACCGGCTTTGAGGGGCAAGTACGCGGCGCCGAGGTAGTAGGCTCGCGGTACGCAGTGGTCGAAAGGGGTCAGTGCCACGCAAATCTCGTTCTCGGAAACAGACATTATGGTTCTCTTCGCTTCCGTTTCGTGTTTGTTATGATCAGTTGGATAATTGACTTTTGTATGCGAAAGCCATGAGAGTTATAGAAGAAAAGGATTCACGCCGCCGCAATGATTTGCAGTTTTATTATAATACTAGCACTTTTTGCTGGATGTCGTTTCTGTTGTTCCTTTAGTTTTTAAAACCGCTTTCATTCCATTTTTTTTTTTTTTTAACAATGGTCTGCAGACTGGGCAGCCTTGTAGAAATTATTACACCAATTTTCGAGCATCAGATGTCAAAATTAGAACATTGCCTGTGATTACGGCACATTCTGTGAAAGCTTACTCGGGACTGAAGTAAAGCTTACTTGGGGCAACAACATACAATGACTTGGGACTTTAAAGTCATTTCACTTCCTGTTAGTGTGCAGAAAATAACGCCTAATAGTGGAGCAATTTTGCATCAACAGATCAGTACTTCTCTGCTTTGATCAATGCTCTTGGTGTAGATCTGCTGTACATTGGCTCTGCATAAAAATACTTCAGTGTCACCAACAGTGGCAATCATGATTCTTTCGCAACATTCATATGGGGATAATTGCTACTTGCTTCATTTAGATCCCACAGCAGCTGCTACTCGTAGTCATCCCATACTGCTACGTGTGTTAGGCAGTATTTCAACGGCGTTGAATGCACAGCTATCTAGCGTATATATATGCTTCTCCTGTTCATAATGATCTAATCTTGATTTGTATGTCCACAGCTTGTATTAATAATGTATAACTAAAGAGCTCTCTTTAAGCGGCGGAATCAATTCACTAATCCACGCCTCATCCAAGCAGTCGAACTACGTTTTTATGAAGGATGTTTATGACGCCCACTCAAGAAGCCGACCCCTCGGAACCCGTCATGGTGTCAAAGACAGCACTCATAGCCTCAAGATAGGCCTGCAGAACGGGCCATAGTCTCAAGGGGCAAGTCTGGGGTCTCCAAATTGGGCACGAAGACAATAATAGCTTGATTTATAACTCTTAAAACTGTCATCGAGCCAGGTAGGTTGTAGACCCTGGCCATGCAGCGCCAAAAATGCAACTGAAAGTGTCAGAAACTGACATTCTCCGGTTTCTTTAGCAAGTAGCTTTCGCATAAGCATCAGGTCCCAACATATTATTAATCAGGAGAGTCTCTCTAAAAGAACGCCCAGTTACTCCCATAATTATCATCTGCGAGCGCATTTGTGAACCTGGCTCATCAGTCTTGTTCCCAGATGTCGTCTTTACGCGAGTATTAAAGTGCCTTGGGTCCTTCCAGAGGCACTTTGGTGAAGCAGATCAGTCACTGAAGGAGGTATAGGCTCTAATGCGGTAAATCACTTTAGTATATAGACCCAAGCACTTCTGCGCAGTTATTGAGTGCATGTTCCTTTGCTTCATGTTCAGCTCGGCATTCGGGTAAACCTTGTATCCGTTGCGGGGCTTATGAAGGCCACTGATGAGACTCGAGTAGCGTTGATCAACAATCCTACCACTACAGCTCCTCCAGCGCCACATTATGAACATGGAACCTGTGTATCGACCGCTGGATCCGGAAATCAAGGAAATCCGCCTCTTCAAGCTTCACGCGGCGACAGCGTTTGACGCAAAGATACGTGGTCACATCTCCTACATGTCACTCAACGACCCGTGCCAGTACGAAGCATTGTCATACAGATGGGGCGCGAACGACTTCACAGAGGAGATTGAGGTCGACGGCCAGCCATTTTACGTCACCAAGAACTTGGCGACAATTTTGCCCTACTTGCGCGACGAAACAAACGAAAAGACGATGTGGATTGACGCACTCTGCATCAACCAGTCAGACATGGCAGAGCGGAGCCAGCAGGTCCCGCTGATGAAGGAAATATACACTAGATGTACTACCGACCTTGCCTGGCTTGGACCAAATTCTCCCTCAGTGGACCCAGGGCCGATGGGCAACGAGACCCAGGATATCGACTTTCTCGTCCGGGGCCTTAACTTGATGAGGAATATAGCAGAGAAAGACGACGAGACTCTTGCGGGGCTGCGAAATAGCTGGGAAGAGTACAGATATAGGCGCGGAAAGGATAGTGCTAAACTTGTATTGAGACACGAGAACCAGAGCCTCCTCGATACTGTGTTGCTGCACGCTCCGATATGGGATCGGATTTGGGTCATGCAGGAGCTCTCATGCGCTCCTCAGGTTGTCCTACTGGCTAGAAACGAGTCATTGAAATGGGACGTCGTGGCCAAGTTCCTGGGAGACACGCCTTACTCCGATGCCTTTCATCTGGTCTGGTCTCATGGAGAGCTCAGGAGTGCATTCGACTATACATTCGAAAGGGCGCAGCTCATTCAACATCAGCGGAGCATTGTCCAGGATGTCGAAGCAGGAAAGTACACATCCACTTGCTTGGACGTGCTCGCTCGGTTCAAGTTTGCGCAGTCCACAGATCCAAGAGATAAGATCTACGGTCTGCTTGGTCTCGTTTCTGAGGAGCATCCCATCAAGGTAGACTACAACAAGACAGTTGCTCAAGTCTTTGCCAACCTGTGCCAGTTCCTCATTGATTCAAGCGGCACTCTCGATATCATCTGTCAGAATCCCTGGCAAGCTGATGAGACCCAGCGACAAGAACAACGGCGGATCAACGAGTTACCCTCCTGGGTGGCTGACTTTACGATGAAACGATACTCGGATATTTCAGACCGGTTCTCGGCTTTTCTCTTCGCTCAGAGAGGAATATTCAACGCCGGCCCTAAGAACTGCGAAGTTCCCTGCCGAATTTCGGACGACCGACTTGCCATCCAAGTGAAAGCTGTCTTCATAGGCACGATCGGCCAAATTCTGCAGCCTGGATACTTCGATGGCAATCCTGAGCGGTCATTCTGGTGGGACATACCGGCTTCCGCCTTACGCCAGTGTATACAAATGTATATTGATGCAAAGTCTCCCTCCTCTGTAAAAGATGGAAATTTCGCTTGGCACAGGTCTCTATACGAACCTACAGGAGAACTTGCAATTGAAGCATATTGGAGGACGCTTGCTATGGATTGCAAATGCTACCCCATCCAACGACTGAGCAGAGAAGACATTATTGCAGATAGTACTTCATTTAACGAGATTATGTCAGAATCTGCGTTGGATAACGAGGAGGAACATTTGATGAGTCATCATTCACTCATCTCCAGACATATGCTGGTCAGGAATTTCCAACACTGGACCTTTGTTATTTCGCGGAATGGTCTATACTGCATGATTAGACTCGGTGTGAAAGACGGCGATATTCTGGCAGTTCTGGATGGCGGCAAGGTTCCTGTTGTCTTGAGACCTGTCCATGGTCAAGGAACTGATTACACTTTTGTTGGCGTAGCGTACGTCCATGGATATATGGACGGGGAGGCGAACGAAGCAGTAGAGAATGGCAAATTGTGTACAAGGGAACTTTTTTTAGTCTGAGGATAGACGATCGAATATCAAGGATAGTGGGTTACAGATGATATCAACACGAAGAAATCATTAATTAACCCAGATTTCCAGAATACGGAATGTACACCATGTGATCCAGATGCTTGCCCCATTTGACTTCGATGAAAGGATTACAAGAGACGCTGAAGAAGGTGCCAAATAGAAGTAGAATTGAGTCAGGCTCTTAGGGAGCTTGTTAGAGAAAGATGGAAGCAGGAACAGAAGTTTATGTGGACGGCTGATCAATATGAGACTGAGGGGCAGATCATGCGATAGGGAAAGGGAAGATGTGCTGCTGCTTGTTAAAGCAAGACGATCCGACGGAGCTGCGGAACTCACCAGTTCTAGCCAGTATGAGCCAGCACGAGGCGGTTGTCCTGGAAATGGACCGACGCAAACGGTATCCGTTATACAAAATTTGGAAACCACCGGAAGAGGCCATACAATAGCAGAGTGTTTGTTGATACTGTCACAATCTCGAGCAACTTATTTCCCCAGCCTTATGAGGTTTGCATACTTCATATTTTGGAGCTTCTTCACCTACCTCTTTCGGCGCTGAAAGGAGTTTCGATGACGGGCACTTCAGAGGCCCCCAATCCGAACAACCCCGAAGCACATAATCTTGAATCGCGCAAGGCAAGAATGGACTCTTGCGGGCTCACACCGACGCGAGGAGCAGCCGAAATTATCATGGATTTAATAAATACAGAGATAAAGAGGCCACACAAACGCAAACACTGCAAAGCCCATTCTGAGCATTCATCACAGATGATGTAGCACTGTAGACTGCCAAGTATAATCACAATACCAACAAAAGGCACTTGGGTTACCTACAAGAAGCGCCTTTCTTCTTTTGCAAGATAATTCACGTTTTCCATTCTTGCTCTGAATGTGTCTCAACATCCAGATATACGTGACATGATATCAATGATCGATGCTTGACCAAGTATACAAGCGGTCTACACGTAGATGTGCCCATATGCTTGGGCAGCATAACACCTCCAACATCGAGCAACGCAGTTGTGCAGGATTTTGAAGTAGGTAATACAGGAGCAATTCTAGCTGTCTAGGTAGTGCACCGCCAACCCTGGATGCTCTGCTACGCCTCGAAGTATCGTACTGGGACACTCGTGGTCCGGAGTAGCACACAATAATTATACAGCAAGACCACCAACGACAGTGTATCAAAAGCGTTGTCTCATTTTTTCTTCTTATCAGATTGTGTGATTTGTGTCCATATCTGCACTACAGAATCTTAGATTCAGTACTGGCTGTAGTCACTTCTCTCTGCGAAGTGAATCATCTGGTTACCCTGATCAAAGGCAATCACGTAGCCCAACTGCCACACCTCCCCGATGATCATAGGCCCATCGATCGCTGGAATGCCACCGTCCGCAAACGCGCTGAAGCAAACGTCCTCGTAGCCCTGCAACCCATTCAAGCTCCGCACGATCATGTTTTCGGGTCGCATGGGCATCTCCACCCCGCCGATCACGTAGGCCGCGTACGGCGCCGTGGCGTTGCAGTCGACCGTCCAATACCCCAGCGAGGCGTTGTAGGTCGCCGGTGGGTCGAATTGCGCGTTGACCTCGTACGCCGCCAATGTCGGAACAAAATTCGGCGCTGTGCCGCAGTCTACAATGGACTGATAAGTGCCGCCTGACCGCAGGGTGCCGGTCTTGGCATCGCGGAAGACGAACTCGTGCGTTGTTGTGTACCACGTCAGCTGCGTCACGTTGCCAATGTTCTCTGTGATCTCGATATCCACGCTCGTGAAGTCGCCCTCCCAATACTCCTCAGGGACCAGACCACCGACGGCAATAACGCCCGCGGGCGCAAGGACAGAGTAGTTCTGCGGAACCTGGTCCAGGGCGATGGTGAAGACGGCATCTGAGACCAAGCCCTCGTTCACCATGTTGGTAAACAGCGGGTTGTACTCTACCTGGTCACCCGTCGTGCGGTTGATCGCCGAGGTGATGGCCGGGTACGCCAGACCAACCAGCCCAGAGGAGTGGCCATCACCGGACCACGCCGCATAGTCCACCAGCGCGACCTCTTGCTGCTCAACGGTAATCCCAGCAAACGTCACAGGCGCATAGGCGATATCACCATCGAGGATCTCCAGCTCGGGAAAGTACTCAATCTCGAACTCGAGCCCCGTGATGTTTGTCCACTCGCCCTGCGTGAGGTTGTACAAGTTCCCGAACTGACAGGCTGATTGGTCCAGAGGCACCTGGGTCGAGATCTCGACGCACTCGAGCGCCTGCGTCACGACCCATGTATCGGAGCTGCCCGTGTCGAGGAAGCTGATGAATTGCTGCGCCGGGCCTGACGCACCGGGGGCATTGCCCCACGTCAAGTTAGCAACAGGATAGACATCACTGAATATCGTGTTGACGGTCTCCAGAGCTGCTCCGTTCTTGGAGGCGGCGATGCGGGTCTTGACGGGGCTGGCGAGGCTGTTAAGAGAGCGGTTGGTGTACTTGGAAATGGGGATCACGTTTTCCTTGGCGGCTGCAGCAATTGACACACTGCTGCGGCTGAATTGCGCCGCCGCGACGCTCAGCTCGGGCAGCAGGCTCAGCACGAGGCTGAGGAGGAGGCTTGGCGGCCGCATAATGTCCTTGGTATAATATTTGGCGGTTATGTTATTAGCTGCCAAGATGTCGAGCAACAGCTGGCAGAGCGATGCGGGCTTCCAAGGCAAGCGACATGCGGAACCGAAACGAAGATATACCATCTTGTCTTGTGAAAGGGCAATTGGGGACCTGCCTCTTGCAGCCCCGGTACATATGCCGGATTGCCGAGCGGAAATGATGTTCTACAGGGTCATATCTGCGGATCTCTAGGCTCGATTCGGAAGGTCATTACCGGAGCTGCCGAGAGCAACCCAGCGTCTGTGTTGAAGAGATTCGAGAACAATTAGTCGATCAGAAATTCGCCAGAGGCTCACTGGCGCAAAGAAGAATGCTATGGTGGTAGGCAGTGGTATGGTCTGTGGGTCGGTCCCCATGAGCCGACCCCCTGCATTGCAAGCAGGCCGGATATATAGCTCAGGAGCATCCGAAGCATTATTAGGGAGCATGTCGCCACCAGTTCAACCTTGCGGCCTTGGACGCTGCGTTTGCTAGCCTTGACACCCCTCCGCCGTCCTCCATCGGTTTATAATGGTTAGAAGCTAGATTTCGCAATATCGGGAAACAATTATTTGGGAGATAGCGATGTTGCTGACCAGGAGTCATCAAAACCACATTTGCAGTCTTGGCTATGCTTTGTTAACATCTCATACACCTATTGATACTATAAATAATACTGCGGACAGCTTAACTCCAAGAACCCATTATTTTCAATCATATTTCTCTGCTTTCACTCACATGCAGCAGATATTGCATCAAGGTCCCGCTGAGAACGACTTTGCAGGCCTCTCTTAGCTTCTGCAACCGAGTCGAATGATGCTGGAAATAGCTGTAGCCTTAAACTGCCTAAGAGAGCACGGCACGCGTGTATCATCCGCCAGCAGGTCAATTTGAAACATGAACTTCGCCTATCATGGTTTTATATGTGCGAAACAGCCACGACGTCCTCCTCTGGCCCATGATATGAATGACAAACGGCCTGTAGAGATATATAGGACAGAGCCAGTCTCATGACAGAGACGGTCATCTCCGTTACAAGCCCGGTTTACTCCATAGCAAAGCGTGACACTTCCTCAGATTACCTTCGTTGACTGGATCTACGCTTTCGATAGAATTCCCTAGACCACTTCTCCCTCATTTGACCGTCTTAAGAGCGCTTATTCGGACTTGAGAATTACTCGGTGGCAGATATCAGACTCAGCGGTGCTGTTTCATCCCCGCTGACCTCCCTCCGAGCCCCCGTCCTTCCTACTGTGTTTCTACAAATGCTCCATCTCGACCTGTCGTCCAGCTTGCATAGCTGCCATTTCACTTATTGGGAATCGGTCTGCAGCTCGGATGTTTACAAAAGAGCACCAGAATCGCAGTTCTATTTGCTATTTTCTTCACATATGAAAGCTAGCAGGGGATTTGTCAAGTATATCTGGCACCCACCCTTGGCATTATATTGGCAAGGTCTCCATCGTCTTCGTCATTCACCATTACCATGTGGAGACGGTCTTCATCTTCCATCCTCTCTCTGACTACAAAACGAGTCAGCCACAATGCTTCGCCGGAGTCACCCTTCTGAAGAAGGTCCTTCGCCTCATCGGAGAGCAGAATAAGCCTAAGTAGTCCACTGAGGTCACCCCAGGCCTTACTGGTCCAGCCACCCTTATCACTGTCTGTCCCCCACCAGGATCTCATCCTATATATCCAATACAGAAGTATCATCACAGCATAAGCCAGGAGTACTGTGATTGCGACTGGGATTAACAATGATGCGCTTGTTCCGTAGCCCCAGCCGTAGCGAGACACGTTGAGACTGAGTGTTGTAGATTGAGAGGTCGTAATATTCATGTCACTGTAGTTGCCGCGGTTGGGGTGTAGGTCAGACAACAAATCGCCTCCGTAATGCGAGACAAAAACATCTGCGTTATATGATACGCGTGCGAGCCCATCAGCAATCACTAGACCCAAGACCCTGGAGATCGTTTCTGCAACCTGTTCCCCATAAGATCCAGAACTGGTACTGACTCCTGCTGCAGGCCAGTCTTGCTCCCAATCTGGAGGTAAGAACCAGGGCCCATGGGAGGAATTGTGTATGTAGGGGAGCATAAGTGCTTCCATGCTAGAGATGTTCAAAGATCTGCTTCCGAAAGATTGTTCTTTTCCGTAGCCGCCTAGATTCAGGAGGTGGGCAAAGCTTAAATCAATAGTGATACGATTACTTATGCTGCCCAAAAACTTGACACAATTTGCCGGAAATGATGAATTGGGCGTATCACCGAAGAAGGACCAACCATCGGCTGGGTTGCTCGAGACAAGCGCGCTGTTGACAGGATCGTATTGTAGGGATGCACCACCCGCCCAGCGCGCGTCGACGATGCAAGGGACCAGCCCGCTCCCAGTATTACTGAATGGGCCCCCGTACTGTACTGAGGGTGGTGAAGCGTCGCTTATTATCGTGTCGTTCTTAGACAGCGAAGGGACTGTGAAAAGAGCACCAATGGAGCCATTGCCTTTCACATCGATCCAAGTGAAATTCGTTGAACCCAAGGGCTTGGGAAAGTTCCAGTATTCCTCAGGCACAATCAGCTCATTGTTAGAGGACTCGTTTTGACAATCGCCGAGAGAGTCGAGCAAATTATATCTTTCAAAAGCGACATCTGCGTAAGAATCAGAGGCCGTGCTGTTGTAATCGTAATAGGCACATTGTACTTGTACCAGAGGTAATAGCACATTGGCCGTCTGACTCGCTGAGAATAACGGTTGCGAAATTTTAAAGTTTTCCCATGTTTGAATAAACACCCACAGGAGCCCAAAGGCTTTCAGGATGAGGTGCGGCAGTGTAAGCACGACGGTAATTGACCCTGAATCAGACGATTTCCAACCCCCCGTCACAGCTGTGAGGGCACGCTGGGCGTGACCCTCGAACTCTGTGATTGTGGTATTGACGATGCCATTCGACTCCTCATCCGATTGGCCAGCGAGCCACTCATAAAGTTCCCACAAGCCTGCACCGGGGCAGCTCTTTCCATTGTAGGAGGTCGCAATAGACCATTCCGCACAAGTCGCATTCCAGACATCTCCGGTGACGCGCAGGGGATACATTGCCGAAGCAGTGGTGTTGAAGTAAAGGGGCATTTTGAAATCATCGTACGGTTGGTCAACATGCCACCACTGAAGCGTCGGAACTATAGCCACATTCGCCAAAGGATTTACCACTAGTGATAGCACAATCACTATGCCAATCATAAGACCTATCATTGCGGTGCTGGTGGTGTCGTGATTCTTGCCCCATGACGAGTAGGCTGATGGCTTTGGAATGTTTCTTCGCACTGTGATATTCCAGGCTTTTCGGATACAGTATCCTCCCCATTGGAACAAGTAGGAGAGGTTTGAGAGGCTGTAAGCTCCCACGAGCAGGCCGAACGGCAGACCCTCCCTCCCTACCAGTCGTCGACGGACAAAGTACAGTACCACCGAAGATAGTGATGCTGTAACCAGGATACTGTAGAGTTGTGCCGCAAATGTCAATGCCTTGAGCGAGTTCTGCTGACCAAGGTTTCCCAAGAACCACTGAGGTCTCCAATTCCCCTCGTCGGCCCAATAGACCGCGGCAAGGTTTATGTAGGTGACGGTAGCTGTTGAGGCCACTGCTATCACATGTAAAACGCATTCAATCCACGGGAACTCGCGCTTCAACAGGACTTTTCCTTGTGGGCGACTCGACTCTCCCCTGGGATGCCGAAACTGTTGTAGTCGCGTTAAGTTGAGTATCGTCCGCTCAACATCTTCGGAGCTTTGTTTCTTTATGATATAAGGGGACCAGGATTTGGAAAAAGCGGCGCAACTTGCGATGAATTTTCGGATCGCCATTAGAAAGACAAAATTCTAGACTGTGATTGAATTCGAATAGGCAATAGATAACTGCTTCACAAAGGAAGAGAGAAATCCTATGTGGCAGCAGATACATCTCCTTTAATACTGATCTGCAAGGATTGGACTGCACATGCGGGCGCCAGTCTAGTAATCCCTCTGGGATCTAATTGCAAAATCTGAGCCTTGAAAAAACATAGCATCAGCAGCTGAATATTGCAGCTTACTCCTGATACGACCGTATCTACACCCAATAAGACAGTGTTACTTCGCAGCCATAACTATGCGACCTACTTTTTCAGCTTCACGGATATCCCGATTGTGACTGTTGGGCAGAAAACAGTAGCTGACCAGAGGCGTTGGGTTCCGGGGCTTGCGCTTCATACGATCCTTGGCTACCTTAGCTCCACGAACTGTCTGTAAGGGTCGTCCAGTTATGGAAGTGGACACTTTGTGCGTTTGCTGCTGCTGCTACCAAGGGTGGATCGAGAAGGCTCCTCGTCTCCTGACGACGGGGCGACGAGCTTTCTGCCCGCTTACTACCGAAACCCTGCAGGATAGATCTTATCAAGGGTCTGCTAATGCTTCTTTTGGTGCAGCCTGGCACCGACGGCGCGATGCTGTGGCGTATCTGGAAACGGGTGATTGGTTTCTTTCGAAGCCTCCGTCGTTCGTCTGACAGCTTCCTTCGTCATTCGGAGAGCCCGTCTCTTTTCTTGGGTAGGCGGCCTTGTCCGCTGGTCACCTGCTACAGAGCGTACGGAGAGGCCGACCTCATCTTCAAATAGCTTATACCGTCTACAGCTACCGTCGGGCGTAATGTGGCGTTCGGAAGATGACATCGATATCCCTTGAGTGTCTTATCAGAGAAACCAAAAAAAATAAAAATTGAAGACTAGAAAAAGTGACACGATCTAACCTTGAACCTCGAATCTGAGGGACACATATTTTACCCACTAAGTCCACTATAGGTGCATTAAAGATCTGCCTTTTGGTTGGATGGATGTGTCATGAAGCAGAGATCGGATCGAATGTTTGATGTTATGCTTATGTAATCCAAGGCTAGGGCGACAGGGGTGGATTGGAGGTATCCGGCAAAATGGATGCTAGCCTGCGCCCCTCCTGTGCTGCACTGATGCCCCGCTTTTCCCCGCACACACGACTAGACTAACATCTTTCGCGGGCCCCGTGGTTAGCCGCGACTCCGGCGCGAGCAGTAGAACGTCAATGCAACTCATTCCATCGATAACACACTCTTGGTAGCTGAAGTGGATGTCTTGACCCAATGACTGTTGACAGTAGGCCGAATCGCTTCATCTTTGGCGGTCTTGGTGTCTTGTTCCAGACATGGCAACCGCGAGGACAGCGGGGGGGCGCCGGGATAACGTGAAGAGAACTCGGGTCGTCACTGGATGGTAGGTTGTCCCCTTTGAATGCGGCTTTTCGGGCGGAATAAGGCGATTGACAGGTCTGAGAGCACAAAAGTCAGGCATGCAGAGGTGAGTTTCATATCTTGTTGGATATAATTGGTGCCTAGGTACACACCTACTGACTCTCTTCATGCCAGTTCGTCATGTGAAATGTAAGCTGCAGCGTCCAAGTCTCTGCCAGTCAAGAAGATGATCTGACTGAGCATTCTTGAATCAAGGTGACAACAAAATGACAGCTTGCGAGGCATGTGTAAGAGATAGTATTGAATGCGTCAGGGCGCCCAATATCAGGTTCCGTCATAGGACGGGCAAGGATGATGCTTTTCCCAAAGCTCAGGTCTGGGTACAGGTGGAAGGAAGATGTAAGTCATTATTGAACTGTATCTCCCTCTTCTTGTCGGTTAATGATCTTGCGAGCACCAGTGCGATATCGTGATGAGACTGCCCGCGTTGCCAAGTGGTACGAGGACCCGGACTCGTCTGACGAAGCGAGCTGGTCGCCGAACAGCTCAGCAGCAGATCCGGCGGGCGAGGCAGCGAGCTTGACCGTCACCCTACCCACACCACCCCAGGAAGCCCGGTTGTCAGACTGGAACGACGCCCCGACAGTAAGATCCGACAACTTGTATGTCGTCTCTCCGCCGATGGAGGCTCACCATGCCGAACCCGCCATTCTGACCGATCGGGAAGCTATCCTAATGCGCAACTATGTCGAGAACATGGCTTTGTGGGCGGACGTCACGGACATTGGCCGTCACTTCGAGACAGACGTCCCACGCAGGGCGCTGTACGAGCCTATCCTGCGCTACGCCATCTTTGCTTTTTCCTCACACCACGTCAACAGGTTCAACGTCAACAGCCAGGAGAGCAACAGCGAGGCGCTCGAGTACTACAACAGGTGCCTCAATCTGCTCATTCCGAGGATGTCTCAGTCCAGCACTCCTCCACAGCGAATGATGGTCACAGAGGAAATCCACGCTGCGGTGGCGATTCTAAGACAGTATGAGGAAATGGATGGTAAGATTCCCCTCTCCTTTCCCCCCTTCACGTATTTAGCTGCCGTACTGGTAGTGCTTTGGGCAGCTGGGCACACTGACTCGAGACACCACAAATGGCAGCCGAAGACAGGCAGTTCCACCTCACCGGCACCCGCCGCATCGTCAACTCCATGTCCGACTTGGACTACAGTCCCGGGCTGCGAGAAGCCTCCGCATGGCTCTGCCTCCGGCAGGACATCTACATCTCCATGGTGAACCAGACTCCGCTCAAGACTGAGCTCAGCGCCTTTGAGCAGTTGGACACCTTGCTCCGGCGCACGGACGACTTCGCATACGCCGCAGCCATGGTGCTGCTGCTGGCGCGAGTCATGACCTGTGCCTTTGCCGAGCCGTCGGCCGACAAGCTGGAAGGGCTAGAGAAGCTTAGGGCCGAGGTTGATGAGTGGTTCGACAAGAAACCAAGCAGCTTCAGACCAATTCGACAAGTGCCACGGGACCTGAACGCAGGACGAGCTCTGCCTGAGTTGTGGTTGCTTCTTCCTTGTCATGGTATGCCGCCGTTCCACCCCCACCATGGACTTGACTGTGCTAACTTGCTCATGATCTTTGTTGCAGTGATTGGGCTTCAGTATTACCACATCGCGCAGGTCGTCCTGCTCCTCATCATGCCGATGGAGCAGAGTTCTGGCTATGGAGATTTACGCCGGGGGTCAAGAAAAGAAGTACGTTATCGTTATGAAACAGAGTTTGCACGCAATCTAAATGGAACGGAGACTCTCCCCATCCGTCACTCTCACTGAAACGTCTGCACACGTATAGGCTACCATACGCAATCACCTGCGCCATATTATTGCCCTGGCCCAGTCCAACACGCGGGCAGAAAACGTGCTCTTCTCTGCGAGGCATGCAATTTCAGTTTGTCAGTATTCGCTGATAGTTTTCTTCTTTACGAGTCGGTGTCGATTCGTCAATCTGACGTCATTATCCACTGACTTGCTTGCATGGATTAGGGGGAGGCATTCTACGTCACTATGCGGACCAAGAAGCGGTCGAGTCTTTTCTGAGACACATGCAGGCTATCACAGGATGGAACACGACCCCACTAATCTCTTCGCTTAGAGAGCAATGGAATGAGAATTGACAATTACGAGAGGTTGACTTGAGCAACTCAAGACAAGCTGGCCAAGAAACTGAATTGTAAATGTGTTTTGATCACCCGTGAAAAATGTTGTAGATGTCTTTTTTTCTTTTACTTTCTTTCTTTTTTTTTTTTTTGGTTCTTGATTTATTTTCTTTTAAAGAGTGCTCAAAAAAATGTCTCATTTCTCCATCCAAATAGTAGTGGCTGGATAGATCTACAGCTGAGCCGTCTCAATCCTCTTTCCCGTCTCGTCAAACCGGATCTGCCTCCCACTAACCAGCGCCTCCTGCAGGAGACTTCCGATCTCCACGGCCTTGACAGCGTTGGTCAGCTTCAACGGGAGGGGCTTGTCGTCCAAGCACGCCTCGGTGAACTCGATGGACTCCCGGACGAAGGCCTGCTCGAAGCGGCCGTAGTAGTGCGCGGGGACCTCGCGCGTGATGCCGCCCGGGTGGTACAAGTTTACAAGGTTCTGCTGCGGGTTCGCGTTGATGCTAAGCTTGCCCTCGGTACCGATGATCTCGGTGGTGTCCTCCTGGCCGTGGGCCATCATGCGCGAGCAGTAGTAGTAGGCGATGCGGCCGCCGTAGAACTCAACGATGCCGACGGCGTTGTCGAAGTCGTTGTACTTCTTGAGGCCAGGTTGCACGGCCGTGATGCCATGCGCCGAGATGGACTTGGGCGTGACGTCGTCACCAAAGAACCACAGGGTCAGGTCGATGTCGTGCACGGACATGTCGACAAAGACGCCGCCGGACCAGGCGGCGTAGGCGACGAAGAAGCCCGAGGGGTCGTGTTTGTCACATGTCTGGGAGCGGATAATCGAGGGGCGGCCGATGAGCCCTTGGTCCATCTTGGCGTGGGCGTCACGATAGGACTCGTCGAAGCGTCGGGAAAACCCGCACATGACTTTGAGATGAGGCCTCTTGCGGGCTTCGGCGACAACTTCCTTGCACTGTTTCACAGGACCCATCGGTATTCGTCAGCTCAGCTCAAGAGGTGGTTCTGAGACGTGGAGGAGATACGTACAACGTCGATGCTCGTTGATAACGGCTTCTCACACAGAACGTGCAGGTTCTTCTCCATGGCCTTGATGGCCTCCTCAGCGTGAACCGACGTGGCGGTGCCAATGACAACGGCCATTATGCCCGGGTGCTGGATCATCTTGTCGTAGTCTTGGTACAGCGTCACGCCGTAGGGCTCCAGGTTGATCTTGGCCCACGACAGCTCGTCCGGGTCTGGGGTGAAGGCGGCGACCAGCTCGGCGCGGGGAGAACGGTTGAGGAAGTTAATGGCATGGCGCTTGCCCATGCGGCCCAGACCTGCTGCGCCAATTTTCAGCTTCTGAGGTGCCATTGTAGCTTCTGAGAGACGGGGGGACAAATTGAAGGGTTGGTCTGGCGAACTGCTGTGACGAGGTAAAGGGAACAGGATGGGACTGTGACAACGAGAAGGGACAACGTTGACGTCCCAAGCTACTTATACCTCACCCTCTCGTCAACAGCCACCGGCGAAGTACTTGACCGAGTATCGGCGAGTGAAGTCATCCTGCATGTGAAGAGGTCGACTCTCCACCTCGCGGCTTGGCAAATGACCTTTCCCGCATCTCGCAGTGGTCAGTGAGGGGAATTATGTTTTGTCGTCGCACCAACTTTGGTCATTTGCATGCTCACGAACTGTGTGAGCCGGATTGGCCTGCCTTGGTGGGGTTGAAAGCTCCTATCATTGCCTCCGCGCCGGATACAACTACCCCAGATCCGGAGACACCTGCCCACTTCGTTGTTGGGGCATGTGTCCTGGGCAGTGCATGAGTGGGCCGGTTTTAGCGCAGCAACTAATTACCCCAGGATATGCAAAAAGTTCCCCGGATTTTCCAGGTTCTACAATTCTGGGGTAAAGAGCGGGATAGCGTGAAATAGGCTCTGCTAATTTGCTCGCGCTCTTTTTCAGGTGGGCCGATACATATCGCCGTGAAATCCAAAAAACGGGGTTTCTGTACGGAAAAGGATATTCCCTGAGTCGAGAACAGATCCGATGAACCGCCCGGCTGCCTCGTGCCAAGATATCACTGCAGTAACAAGTAGTCTCCTTATCATCAGCTATATATAATCCAACCACGTCCCTGGTTACATTCACCTCCACTTGTTGCGTTACGAGAAGTTTCTTAAGTCTCCATGTTCTCCATGCACCCTACCAGCGACTCAGTGTCGTAGTCTTTGCCTTCGTCCTCGAACTGCCCTTGCATGCAAACTTCTTCCTCCACCCAACTATCCCCATTGTCAGCTTTTCCAACATGTCCACCAACAAATCCGCAGACGTGCTCAAAACTGAATTGGATGCTCAGCACCTCGAGCATCCTCATACCATTCATGATGATGCCGTTCTCAAGGCCGCCGAGCATGCCGATCTGGAGCAGATCGAAGAGACTGCCCCCGGCCGCTTCGTGTGGCTCTGTGCTTGTGCCACCGCCATTGGAGGCATGTTGTTCGGTTATGACACAGGCGTCATCAGCGGTGTTCTAGTTGTCATCGGCTCAGATCTTGACAACAAGCCGCTGTCGAGCTCAGATAAGGAACTTATCACCGCTCTGTGTGCTGCCGGTGCTCTGATTGGCGCTGTCATTGCTGGTATCACAGCTGACAAGTACGGTCGTCGACCGGCTATCTGGTTCGCGTCCGTGTTATTCACCATTGGAGCACTTGTCCAGGCTAGCTCCTTTACCATCGCACAAATGTCTGTTGGACGTCTGCTCGTTGGACTCGGGGTTGGATCTGCCTCTATGGTATGTTTGCTTGCCTTCTTTGCACACTCTCTTCCTCACTCTTTGTCTGTCTGTGTGTCTGTGTGTGCGTGTGTGCTCTATGCTAATAATAGTGCACATGCTAGATCGTCCCTCTATACATAGCAGAGATCTCACCCGCACGCTTCCGTGGCCGCATGATCTCCATCGACATGATCTTTCTCGGCACGGGCTCTGTCTTAGCCTACGCGTTCGACGCCGCCTTCTACACAGTTGCCCACGGCTGGCGGTACATGATTGGCATAGGTGGTGTGCCCTCCATCATTCTCGGCGTGTTGCTGTTCTGGTGCCCTGAGTCACCCCGTCAGCTCATGTTCCACGGCGACCGAGAGCGATGTGAGGTTGTGTTGAGGCGTATATATCCCAACGCTACCGAGGAGCACATCACTAATAAGATGTTGTCGCTCGAGAATGGCGTCAATGCTGCAAAGGCTCTGAACGAGGAGATCTCCCTGAGAACGTCGCTGCAAAGCATCTTCACGGTGCCGGCAAACTTGAGGGCCACCATTGCTGCGTGTGGGTTGATGGCGTTCCAGCAGTTCTGCGGATTCAACACACTCATGTATTGTAAGTCATTCAATACCACATGATCCTCTACCTCAGACAGCTCCTGCCCTTATTCTTTCGTTCCCAGCGGCTGATTGGAGACGTTTGTTCCATCGCAGATTCAAGCACCCTTTTCGACATAGTAGGCTTTTCCAACCCCATCGCAGTCGGTACCGTTGTCGCCGTGACCAACTGGATCTTCACCGTCCTCTCCATCATCTTTATCGACCGCATCGGCCGCCGCCGCATCCTCCTGTGGACCATGTGGGGCATGCCCGTCTGCCTCGTCATCGCCGCGGTCGCCTTCCACTGGATCCCGCTAGACCTTAACACCCTCGAGCTCACCACAGACACTGTCGGCTGGCCTGCCATCCTTGTTCTGGTCATGATGATCTTGTTTGTCGCCTTCTACGCCGCTGGCCTGGGCTGCGTGCCATGGCAGGCCAACGAGTTCCTGCCCATGGAGGTCCGCGCTATGGGCACCATGCTGATCAATATTTGCAACTGGGGGCCCAACATTGTTGTCAGCTCAACCTTCCTGAGCATGATGAAGGGGATGACTCCCAGCGGGACCTTCGGCTTCTATGCCGGGCTGAGTTTCTTGGGGTGGGTGTTTGTTATCTTTTGCTTCCCGGAGGCCGCGAATATGACGCTCGAGGAGATCCGTATCGTGTTCCAACATGGATTTGGCGTGAAATACGCTGAAGAATGGCGGAAGCAGAGGAGGATACAGCAGAGGTCGGGCGATGTCTGAAACCTTGCCAAACCTCAAGACGGTGTTCTCGACGAATACCCTTGACTGGCATGCCGCTCCTGATGCAATGCCAGTGGAAAAGCGCCAGAAAAGATTGGGATGTCGATTGGAAAAGTAGAACTTTAGTATATTAAGCCCTGCAGTATCCAATAGCCATTGAAATACTCATGAAATTTATGTAGATGTTTCGCCTAAGATCAACCAAGGCCCTGAGTCTACTGCAAAATAGGTATGTATCTAAGCAAGATGAAATCCTGCTATTTGTGCGTATATGTTATTGCTAGAGCAGAGAACTCAAGCAACCTCAATCAAATTTATGCTATTTGAAATGAAAAGAGATAAAGTTTGACAATTCTACAAGACTAAGAGATCAAAAGAAAGGGAGGGAAATAAAGAGTTATTGTGTGATCGAGAACACGCTGTTGCACTTAGCGGGTTTGGGGGGCCTTCGAGGCCCTACCTGATCAGGTAGGTGTCATACTAGACCTCGTTGCCACTGCCCCTGCCTCATGGGCGGTACCTACGTGGCATAAATAAGGCGCTTCTTTCCAATATCCCTTTCTTGTACTCTTGACTCTCCACGCTTATTTCCCCTTCCCTATTCTCTTGTTTTGCTGGCTACGACGGCTGTGGTAGTTGCTATTTTGCAGAGCTGACAAAGTTTACTATCTCAATGTTCTAGTGGTATGAGCATGTCAAATATGTCGATAGGCTCTTCAAAGTTCGTCATTGCTGATTTCAGTCCATTTGTCAATGTTAAACATGAAAACCGCGGCTATCATGCTAGGTAAATAAGCTCGCGTGGGAAAGCATAAGGATGCAGAGCAGAGTAGGGACAAGCATTGAAGTTGAAAAAGTCTGGGCGAGGTTTAAACCGTCTATCACGACTAACCAGCATAGACAATTTAGCCCTTATGAATTTCAGCTAGGGAAAGTATGGAGCGCTAAGCAAGCCGACTGAGAGGCTTACAATTTGATTTGCTAACAAACAAAGTAATAAATGATAATTATTACTGTGAGCTAGAGAAATGCACGCTCAAGCGCAATACAATAATTCAATGCTGGCGCTTCCTTGCCACCCGCCCTGAAATGACAACTCTGGGGCCAGATCTACTCTTCCCAGCTTTTGCTCCCCGCCGCCCTAGGCTAGGGAGACGCTGCAGCAGAGATGCTAGGTAGCCTCCGTCTTTTTTCGCCTCATGTACATCAATCCTATGCTCGTCCTCACGCGTATATTCGCAGAATGCGTTGAAATCCTGCCATACCTTGACCCCCTTGCCCACACGTCGAGAGTCGATAAAATCCACAATATTGACAAGCGTGTTCTTCAATTCCTTCTTGCATTTCGTGATAGAGCTGTGTGGGGGTATGCCAACCTCACGACATAGGCTTTGATATCCATCGAGTTTATCCTTTTTATTGATATTTTTATTCGTCTTGTCCACTGCCTGCGGAAAGTAATGGAACTTCAATTCCTCGCGAATCGCAATCGTGCGCTCTTGGGTGTACTGCTGGGATCCGGGGATCCAGTTCTGGGATGATGCGAGGCGAGCAAATTCCTGGTCGAACGACGCGTCATCGTTGGGCGTGAAATCTTCGAATTTGGCGAAATGGGATTGAGAAGAAAGCGGGAGATCTGAACTCTCTCTATGGCTCGACATTTTATCAAGTGGCTGTCTCTCTCAAAAAGGTGGTGGAGGTAAGAAATGATCGAATGTGTGAAACTCGTGGCGCGACTTGACGCGTGAATCTGTGTTTTGATTCTGACTAGAGGTGGGTGCCGCTGACCGCGGTACAGTAGTCGCGCGCCTCTAGAAATTGTTAGTGACCACCCATGCTTGGTGCCCTGCATCCATACGCGCGTGAAGAGGATAGCGATCGACCTTTTTTCATCCAAATTCAACAACATCACCTAGTGTGGATTCGTACACCCTATCATGCCGTTTCCCTCCTGTTAACAGTCAGGCGATGATTATGCAGTAGAGCACACCAGGAATACTTTGATGATGAGTACTTTGATAATAGAGCCAGACATTGATGCATGCGCTCGTCGGTTGCCTGGGACGCAGTCTCTGCTATCGCAGCTGAAACACAGTGTGCGCATGCTTGTTTGTATAAATGAATCTTGATCGAGACCGTGGAGTCGAACAAATGAGATAGAGGGATCCGACGAGAGACGTTGGTCAGATCCCAAGCATGCCCTACGATCCTTTGTAATCGGCACTGTATAGCATGCTAATGAGCATGACCAGAATGGCAACTCCAGAACTTAGCCAGAACATTCGCTTATCATAAGATCATTATGCTTTGGACTTCTACAGAACAAACATATATACTTATGCATGAGTGGTGTGACTAGCTTCCATACTTCAGTCTAAACCAAGATATGAAACATAGCTATAGCGACAGTGATAAAATGATGAATACATAGCTCATGATACACGCCCTTCGCTGATGATCTATGAATCCTCCTCATTAATCATGGTTCTCTGCCACCAATCTCTTCAGCCGTCCGACGCACGCAGCTGCAGCACACAACACAAGCTCCTCAATTTTTCTTGTCTAATGAAATTTCATACCTAGCTTTATTCTCTGTAAATTCTGAAGGCATAATAATAAAATAGTGTTTTGCTGACACTTATCTATGTATTGATTTATATTGGAATAATAAATGCAATGCAAGGAAGTATGGCTTATATTGAACTTACAAGAGCTTCCAGACACGCAAGAAAGAAAAAGCTTGCAAGAGACCTCGGATCCTAGTAGAACATTAGGTTTGCGAGGGATTACAAGGCTCTATAGCACCCTAAATCCGTTTCGAAACGCAGATATAAAGGTAGTATCCATCTTCACCTCTGATCGTGATTCGTTGAGACGCTGGGTTTGCCACCCGAACCGGGTATTTGGAAGTTGCAGCTCGGATTGTGAACTATTGCCCAGGAGCTGCATTAGCCCGGATGGTGAAAAAGGGGTCTGACCGAAGTTCTTCATAAATAGGAATCTTAGCAAATCCAGTCTACATTTCAAACCACTTATGAGCCACAATCTCCTCAACTCTGAGACGCTTTTCAGGATCGTAGCAAAACAGCTTATATAAAATATCCGCCATTAGTTCCTGCTCCACCTTAGACATAATCAAAGTCTTCTTTGCTGTCCCGGTGAGACTTCCGCCCGGCTGGAAAACCTCCAAAGGCTTGCTTAATGCCACTTCCAGTGACCACTCCTCTTGATCACTTTGATTCTGAAGCCATGTCCCCTGCTCATCAAAGAAGTTATGTCGCGCCTGCCACTTATCCCACCACATCTGCGGTGGTTTGCCGAAAAAACGAACCATCTCTGCCAGCAGTTCATCCTTGTCGAAAATCATGTAGAAGAGTGGAATCTGTTCCCGGATTTCGAACAATGTGCACCCGAGTGCCCATATGTCGCAGGCCGGACCGATAGCTATCTCCTCATCTAACAGGAACTCGGGCGGTAAGTAGTTCTCAGGGATGCCCAGGTCCTCAGGAGGCGACGAAATTTGGAAAGATTCGCCCATGTCGATGACGCATATCTGATCTGTTAAATATTCGTCACCCAACTTAAAGGTATCAGCGGGGATGACAAGGATCAACCACCAGTGTAGTGATCTCGGGGTATCGCGTGGCCAGCTCCTGTCCATACAGGAGATTGGCAAGCTTGCTCTGCGCATAACGTTGCCAGTTCCCAAGGATCCAATACGCCTGGGTTATCTTGAGGTCGTCAAAGACAATGCCATGACTCCGTGGCGCGAGCAAAATCGCCAGACTCGAGATGGGGATGATGCGAGCCTTGCCGTGCTCTCTGCTTGTCTTCTGCATCAGGGGGAGCAGCTTGCGGATTAGAAGGGCGTGTGCAACGTGGTTAATGCCGAAGTGAAGCTCGTAGCCGTCGCTTGTGAGGCCTGGCGGAAGAGCCATGATACCGGCATTCACCATGAGCACATCGAGACGTGATTCTTTGGCCAGGATGATGTCCGCAGCTTCCTTCACGGATGCTAGGTCAGTGTGGTCACAGCGGATAAACTCGCCGGTGCAGCCGGCGGCCTTGCCTTCTGCGATGGTCTGCTCTGCGGCAGACTCCTTACGCCCCGTGATGTAGATCTTGGCAGGCTTGCGGCTGGCCAACATCTTGGCCGTCGCAGCGCCGAGGCCGTTTTTTCTTGTTCATAAGAATATGATAAATATATCACTACCCAGATTAACGGAGGAGTATGTAAAAGAGATGGATGTTTACCACCGGTGATAAGCAGAACTTTGTCTGTCAACTCCGGGCACGTCCCGCTCAAGATCAAAGTCCAGCTTTGGGGCCATCTTCGAAGAGCTCAACGAAGGACAGATTAGTGCAATAAGCAATTGAAAAAAATTGAAAGAAAAAAAAAGAGGATCAACAGGCTGCAAAGGAAGGAGGTCCAAAGAGATAAGAAGTTAGCAGCTTTAAGTCCGCAATGCAGAGCGCATTCACGCAAGAAATCAGGCTGTACAAGATTTGTTGGTGAGGCTGTAGGGCAAGAATGGAGTGCGAAGGTGGCAGCTATCTGTCATGCGATTACCCAGCTTCCCCCTTTCTTGTATGCTGAGCGACATTGGTTGGGGCCGGATGACTAATGGCCTCATCCTGTATCTCCTGGTATTGAAGCATGATCGGTCGGGCGGAGAATAAACGGTTGAACATGAAAGAGGCAAGTAAATGATCCTGAAACCGACCTGCTTATTCCCTAGATTCAAAGCAAGAGCTTGACGCTCTCGTGATACATTCTGGAAATTGAATTGTTTGTCCCACTTGTTCCCTCATCTATGGTAAGATCTGTTGAGCATGGAAATAGCACAGTATTAGGTGTATAGGCTGGAAGCCTTTGAGCATTCAATTATTCTAATCTGAGGAACTGATGAGGGGATAGTGATCTTATGTATAGATAGAGTGCGTGCTAGGCGGGTCTATTCCCTTGTCAACTGTTTCGTTTCTGAACAAGATCTTCCTCTGGAAGCGACTAATAACTGGCTAGTCTAACGGCCCGTACCTTAGAGGCGGCTGGAAATCCGCATGCACTCGATCTTTCATCTCCGCAGGGATTTTTCTCATAGACTCGACCCCCTCCAGCAGCACAACTTGTTGTCCAGCCTGTTGACATTTAGCTCTTCTAATCAGCGTCTCGAAGAGATCCGTATTGCTTACCGCAAAATGGTGAATCATATGGCAGTGTAGCATACTTGCTGCCGGGAAGGAGATCTCGTATCTGATGACAGTCCAGTCTCCAGTATTATTACCCAATCTACAACCATCGCGATTGGGAGGATCAACTAGATTGAAGCGCATTGCCACGTCACCCTCTTGGATGGCATCTTCAACCGTGGACCATGGAAAGCCACCATTACCAGTGCCAATGATAAAAGCTTTGTTGTTGTGCTTGTGGAAGGGATGTTGCGAGGTGACATTGGCACCATTCTCAAAAATGATATCCACAACAGTACCATTATGTAGTGTGTTGCCTTGGCTCTTATTGCCATATGTCGTCTCACCGCGTGACATATCTTCCCATAGTAAGGGCGGCAGTTGTTGACGGAATGCCTGGTGCGGGCCAATATTCAAACCCCAGCTGCTGGGGCTGGTCATGTTAATGAAGAACTTGAGCGTGTTATCCGCCTTCGCGGGAGGTGGCCGTGCAGGATAAGGAGCGAGTCTTGTCTCATCCATTGCTACCGACAATGGCGAGATCAGAGTGCCGTTGAGATGGACCCAGGGTCTCGTTTTGGGAACATATGACTTGCTTGCGGAGCTTTGGCCAGGGTATCGCAGTATGCCCAACCCCTGAATTATCTGCTCTCGTCGGAGCGAGGTGACCCGAATAGCGTAGTCACCCGGCTTTTGGTCCAGGTGAATCAAAATGCTATAACCATGTTAGATACTGGTCCGTATGATTCTTGATGGTTCTGTCTGGGACAGCTCACCTAATGCGCTCGCCGAGGTTACAATTCGCGGCGTGGACCTTTTGCGGATGTACAAATTCCCCATCAGCAGCAACCACGTAGAACTCGTGCTCATCCACACTGATTTGCAGCTCGTGATGTGCACCAGAGTGAATAAAGTTGATCCACATCCACTCCTGGCCAATCTTGCCTTCAACCACCTCAAGATCAGTAAAGGTCTCATCGCAGGTCTGCTGGTTAGTGAACTCTTCCTGACCAGGCTGAGAGAGACAGCCAAGGGAATCTCTGCCAGGGCCCCCAACCGACTCAAGTAACTCTGGCGAATGACAAAATGTCCTGCTCTTGCCGTTTAGAACAATTGAGTTGCTACACCAAGGAACAATTCCGGTGTCACGATACATGATCAGGAGGATATCCATGGGTTCGGCGTTCCAGTCGCTGATAACTACATGATGGGGCTCCTTCTCAGCAAGCTTCATGCTCTCAATGTCTTGTGGCCAAGGAGAAATGAGTTCGTATGGTCTCGGCCTCCATGCCGCAGGAGCAATCCAGATCGGGCCCCGCATGCCATCTGCGAATGCAGGTCCAAAATGCCCGTGATAAAAGTAGCTTCCGTATTGCTCCTGAACCGTAAAGCGGTAGGTGTAGTTGTCGCGAGATTGAATAGAATACTGAGTCACGCCGGGTACTCCATCATTCCAAGGCCTGTCGATCTGATAAATTCCATGCCTTGTTCTCAATCAGTAAATAGAATAACGGTGGAGGCGTTTTTGGACTAAATAGCTCACCAATGCATGGACGTCTCGAATGCCAACTGATTATCGAGAAACACCTCTATTTCATCGCCCTCTTTGGCTTCGATCAAAGGGCCCGGACTTTGACCGTTGATTGCAAAGACGGGCCTGCCATGTCCGTCTCCAGCGCTCCACCGATTGGTGATCGTAAAATTGTATCGCCTCGTCTGGATCGCCAGGCCAGAGCCGAGGAGGCCAAGTAAAGCTGCACATCGCGCAAGAGCTGCCATGATGATTTGTCACGCACTTCGAAGAACAGAAGAGAGAAGCATTCGTCAATAGACCAGTGACTACCGGCGGCTGACATGAAATTATTCATTCGTCTCTGAGGTTGTGAGTCAGTAGCAGCAGCTCCCTTTTTCTTAGTTTCTAGAGTGGCTGCCCAAGCTTTGCCACGTGGATGCCAGACTTGCTCCCAACCTTGGGACCGTCAAATTCAGATAAACAAACCATGTGCTCCGGGAGCAAGACTAATCGACCCGGTAACTCGGCTCTCTGTAAATAGCTACCTAAGTTTTCCTACATAGAGTGTATAACCTTTCTTAACCTTGGAATAATTAAATTCACAGAGATAAATCACGATAGGCTCAAGCAAGGCTGATCAACTCGGTAAGCGAGTATTATTAAAAAGTTACAGAGTTACATAGCTCGCGGCCTGATGAAAAGTTCAGGGGAGGTGTTGTGGCGATCAAGCAGCCAAGAGATTGCTGGCGATAGCGACATTCTTGGACTTGGACCGCTTGAACAGAGCTAGGATTGCCAGCACACGTGCCACTCATTAGCTATGTGGTCTGTGCCAGTGACGTAGATACTCAAGCTGAACCTTTTCGCTCTTTCTCCTAAACAGTTCTGTTCTATTAGTTGGGGAAATAAACTTTGACATTTGGTTGAATTAGACTTGAATAAGTAGCGTAGCAAGTGTATATAAGTTTGGTTGTTTCTTGGCATTTCATATATCAACACATGGAAAACCCTCATTGAGGCACTGCAGGATTTACAGAAGAGCAAAAACAGAAGGGGAAAACAGCCAGGTGGCAAAGTGATGCAAGATCGAAGGTGCCTGACCCCACCGGGGCCTATGGGCATTTCGCATGTATACAATAGGGTTGAGAATTTGCGTGAAAAGCGCAAGTAAATTTCTGAATTCATACTTTGAGGGGAAATTTATATTCAACCTTGACCTGACAGGGGCTTCGCCAGGGGGCTATGGCAACTGACTCGATGTACAATGTGCGCATCGGCAGATGAGTTTTAGGAGGCAAACAAACCATGAAATTCACCCCAGCCAACTGGTGGGTAAACTGATATCAGAGGGTGGTATAAGAGAGAAGAGAAGAAGAAGAGTCTCTCAATTTCTGGATAGACCAACAAATTTACTCTTCCAAAAAGCTTTTCTATTGCTCGATGCACATCACACTTCAAGATCAACACCTGTAACAAACGAGGATATGAAGTCGAAAGTTCAGCTGAGAGAATCGGCGCTATTCCATTTGGCTGCCAAAGGATTGGAAGGGAATAAGTGGCGGTTGATTTGGACTATTTGCTTAGCATCTCTGTGTCTTGTCGCTTTGGGCGAGTTCTGGCACGGGAAAAACCCCCATAACTTGCTGTTTAGTGTTTCGAGCCACCATTCCAGTAACACAGAACAAAAGTTCATCCGGAAATACAACATTCAGTCAGGAGTCCGTTGGATGAACCCAGGTAAGTATCAAACCATGGTGTTCTTCCTCTCCCTTTCACGGGACCTGGGTTCACTAACACCCTGGCCAGATGGCGGTCGATGGAGAGTTATGTTCGTCTGCAATGGGCAATCGCCTTGCCCTACACTGTACGCCGAGGAGGGCGACCTTGTTGAATTAGCGGTAAAGAGCGATATCTACGCGCAGTCATCAATTCATTGGTGAGTTAATCGCTGAGAAATCCTCTCATATCGCACGCTGACGATGATCATAGGTCTGGCATCGGGTATAAAGGGTTCGGCAGATACCTTAGAAGATGGTCTCAGTATTGTACTGTTGCTAATAACTGCCTCTACAGAACTGGTGGCTGGAACGATGGTACCGCTGGCCTCTCGCAAGTTTGTCAACACTCACCTCGCCTCAAATACCGTCCAACAACTAGTACTAATATGATGTGTCTCAGTTCCCCATACTACCTCGCGGCAATTACACAAGTATCATCGACACGGCGGGCTCTTGGGGCCTCAACTGGTACATCGACCATACGACAGCGGCCTCGGCCGATGTAAGTTGTTGCAGTCTGTCCGAGTCCGACATGTTCTACTTGATCTACTGGCTGACTACCGATGAATCAGGGGCTTTATGGCATGGTTTACGTAGCTCCTAGCCCGTCACGACCGCGGCCGTATCGACTAATCTCCAATGACGAAATTGAGCTGCGCGCGATTATGGAGGCTGAGAAGGAAGTCCGACATCTTGCTATCAAAAACCATCAACACCGTGACACTGGTTGGAAGTTGCTGCGTATGCGGGCTGAAGGATCCGAATTCTATTGCTACGATTCGATCCTTGTCAATGGCAAGTCCAAGTATTGCACGAACATTCAATACAAGTCGCAAGATCACTAATATGAGGTGTCTTGGAACAGGAAAGGGTCGTGTTCACTGTCGCCAACCTGGTTTCGAGAAGCTCAATGGCCAAGACCTTGACGAGATAGGTTGCATCCAGCCGCCCGGCCTACCGCAAGAATCTTGCACACCCAGCAAGGCTGACTATGAGGTAGTTAATATATGCGACTTTGTGTGACATAGGACAGCATGCTAACAACTGCTTTAGGTTATTGAGACGAAAGGCAGACCCTACATCATGATGAATCTGATCAACATCGGCTTTGAACATTCGGTCGTTATATCCATTGACAACCATAAGATGATCGTTGTCGCAAATAACGGCGGCTTCGTCTTTCCTCGCGAATCAGATGTGAGCTGACTCTGATGTCACACTCACCGTGCATTATTGACGCTTTCCATTGCAGGCGGTTTATGTTCCTAGCGCTGGCCGGATTACTGTTCTTGTGAAGTTGAATGCCGAGGCTGACGACTATGCTATACGCATTTCCTCGACGAGTCAGCTGCAGAACCTGGAGGCGTATTCAATCCTAAGATACCCGGTATATTTTGAGCTCTGAAGTCTCGGATCTGAAACGAATAACACGAAGATTGACAATCACTCAGACCGGCCGGCACCCTTTATTAGGAGAACCAATGAAGCTTCCGCAGCCTGCATCGCCTGATAAAGTCTGCGTGCTTACAGATGGTTCGACAAGAGAAGGTTGCGAGACACTTGATGGCCAGTTTCTCTCTCCATATCCCGAATTCCCGCCACCTAAAGCCAAACCGTCCCACGATGCGTCCGCGCATTATACCTTCCGACTTGCAGCCGGTTCCCAGCCTTCTCAGACGGAGCCTCATATAACGGAGTACTTCCTCAATGAAAAGCCCTGGCAGCTATTTCGTTCCTCCTTGAAACCATTGCTTTTTTACAATTTCAATAACTCGGAAGAGTCTCCAGAAAAGCCAGTGATTGACCGGCTTCCTATGGGCTCTGTTGTTGATCTGATTATTGAAAATCAGCTGAATGATACAGTTCCTCTGTACAAGCATGGCGAACCAGCCTGGCTCATTGGAGCTAAAGATCATGCGAGATTTCCGTATAACAGTGTAGAAAAAGCACTGGCAGAAGGGGAAAACATGATTGATTTGCTCAATTTACACAACCCAGGTCTTGTAACAACTCATGACTTGCCCGCGCTTGGCTGGAGCATTCTGCGATTCAAAGTAAGAGCCAAAGCTGCAAATATGATTCATGCAGCTAAGCTTCGATACTTTGCGGTAAGACCATATCATACTTACACTTGTGATCTGAAGCTAATATAATGTCTCTACTAGCTGGGCATGTCAGTACCTATCATAGAGGGTATTCTGCCTGATGACCCAGCCAACTTTCCTGACTCAGCTGTTAACCGCCCGCATGTCAACTTTGAGCCAAAGAATGATGGAGTATTTGGGTAAAAAACTATGATTTCCATACATTGGCTAGGGTTTGCTTCATAGCTTCTGTGAATGACTTGCTGTGTACCTAGCGTTTTACTTGTTGTCTTTCTCTCTTTTCTGTTATATTCTTGATGTAGTTATTTGTTTAATATCTCCATACAATGTGCGTCCTTCTTCTTTCTCTCAACAACATTTCATGCATGCTGCGGACCATATAGGAGCAAGGTTTAAGGCTCTTCGGGCGACTGCATAGTTGCTGAACAGCAGGTCAAAGGCGCGCAGGAGATACATCGTCCAGTACAGTTCGCTCAAGTGCTCGAACGTCATTATTAGTCTCATTTTCTTGAAAGATAAGGCTAGAGATACAACTTACCCATTTTTCCTAACCTAGCTTCCGAAGACTTCGTTAATCAGGGAACTAACTGTTTTGGCAATCTGGGGAAGATGCTGATTGCGGTCCTCGCGGAGCAAGAGAGCAATGAGAGCATTGCAGTTAGTACTGAGGCTGGGATTTGGCTCCCCAGGTTAGGTGACAAAAGTGCTCACTTGACTCGTGGGTCTGAATGAGGCTTTCTGTACTGCATTTGAAGCCCAAATAATGCAAGACCTCCAGTGTTTTGGCCGTATCACCAAGATCCGTAAACATATACGGCGATTTGACAGAAAGCTTTAGCTATGCGTCAAAGGCCCAAGATAAGAGAACTTGTCATATCAAATCCAAGGAGCCCACACTGAGCCTCATACTGCCTCTTCAGGAAGCCACCCAGCTCCAGTGTTTCAAGGCCATTCACCAGGATCCCAGCAGAAGCGAGTGTGCTGATAGTCTGACCGGTCCATTGTCAGTTGAAGTGAGAACTTTCGGCGTAGTCTTATGATGAATGACTCACCCAAGTTATTTCGAACATCGTAGTTGGCCAGGCAGCTGGCGCTCCCAGACTCGTGTGAGTTATCTCGGTCAAAACTATCCTGATGTATGCTTCGGCTCTGTAGTCTCATTGTGAACAGTGCATCAGGTACGCGACCGTATCTCTGCAGCAGTTAGATATATATGGAACAGCTTGAGTAAGCGGAAGACGATGGCTAACGCTGGCGACCCTATCTTTGAGCCATTCGGCTCTAGCCATGGGCCGACACGATCGAAGTCAATGTGGCCAATAAAGGCTTCAAGGGAATGATGAAGCATGGAAGCAGCTCGGTACAACGTGGCGGGTGGGAGTCTCTCCACTTTAACATTACGGATACATTGTAAAGCTTCGAGCTGAGGCAAGCACATGGTCACTCCCTCGAGCTCCAGAAGCCTCAAAAGTGTTTTCATGAGGATCTCGAAGCCAACCTGATCAGTTGGCTGCATGTCCCACTCGCCTAGCATGCGCGTTAAGGCCTCCTAGCCTTTGTGGCTCCTGAGCAACCAATCTTTGTGATCCGGCTGTAACTGCAGGTTCTTTCTCATAGAGAGCACAGCTGTGGCTGTGTTGATGATGCTGTCAAATAGAGTAGCGTAGAACTTCCAAACCCCACATGGCTTCTGCTTGTGCCAACACGAATTCAAACCATTCGGTAAATAGTCACGGTCGCCATCAGCCTGGGAGCATTCGAGTTTCCTCGACATGGACAGCCAAGCCGTGTCGTAGATAGATGGTGACATGCACCCAAAATTCTGGCCAACTGAGCACCATGCTGCCAGCGAAGCCAGTAAGGCGGCAGCCTGCTCATGCAATGAGTCGTCCATGGTTGCCGGGCGATTTAGGAAGGTTGAAGAGACAAAATTAAGTCAAGCTCAAGTTCCTGTTGTGGAACTTACTTCTGTCCTCAGGGTCACATGACACCACTGGCAGTATTTATCTGCGCTCATCACCAACGCGTGTTCATCCTGCATACAACTTGGTTGTTCCTCGCTGTAACCTCCATCCCATCCATCGCTTATGGAATGGCTACTGTCGTCGACATCTCGGACTCTGATATTTCGCGATGGAATTGCGGCCCTGGAGATAAACACGCCAGCGATCAGAGAACCTCGAAAAGAAGATCCGCACTACACGTAACAGGTATCTGTGCCAATATTGATGCTGTATCGCTCGTCGCCGTTGTTTCTGCGCTGCATTGATTATAAGCGAACACCGCGACGTGAACAAAGGCAAAGGTTGCCGCTGGATGTGACCTCAAACAAGGGGACAGGGGCTAGAAGGGCTTTTGATAGCCTACAGCGTCAAAGCGTGCATGTGCTAACTCTACCTGGTACCCTGAGCGGGGCCGCGGGAATAATGACACAGATTACGATAGTACCTGGGCGACGGTCATTTGTGACAAGCATTTAGATCCTCCAAAGGAACTCAACAAGAGGTGCAGCAGTCCTAGCCTCCAGCCTTGCGTCTCTACTATGTACAAGGTTCCCCAGAATCATGCTAATGCACAGTACTTTTTGTTAGTCTATTATAGGCAACAAAAAGCCCACCAACTGCCATCTGGTGCGAGGTCAGAAATCACTTTCCCACATCAGGTTCCGTTGGTTGTGTTGAGTCTTACAGCTTCCATATCATTCACTTCACCGTCGATCCGCTTACAGCGTTACAACATTGCGGCAGTCATAAAGATATATCTGTGGCAAGCCAGCTGACATCTTTTGAACGAGAAGGGCATACCATTGTTGTGTTTTCCTCCTACCCGAACGTACCCAAGACTGCAATTCATTTTTGCGACCTCTCCCCATGGCCACCAACCCTCCGAAGCCCATACGCCTGTGGATTACTCGTAGGTTGCTTACCCGGCTCGAACCGATGATGACCTTTATATACAGACCACTGTGCTAATTTGACTCACAGCTCCTGGCCCCAACCCATGGAAGGTACGCTAGACATGGAAATATTTCATGCGATTTATACGTCCCTCAGCGATGTTTATGCTGACATTGAAACATAGGCCGTCTTCCTCTTCGAGGAACTCGGGCTGAACTACGACATCAAATCGTTCCGCTTTGATGATGTCAAGAAGAAACCCTTCATCGATGTCAACCCCAACGGTCGAGTGCCGGCAATCGAGGACCCAAACACTGACCTCACATTGTGGGAGTCAGGCGCTATTTACCAATACCTGATCGAAGAGTACGATACAGAAAAGCGCTTGACTTACACAACCACCAAAGAGAAGCACTTGTGCAACCAATTCCTTCACTTTCAGATGAGCGGCCAGGGTCCTTACTATGGCCAGTGCGGTGTTTTTCAGCATTTATGGCCCGAGAAAATTCCTTCTGTTATTGAGCGCTATGCCAATGAAATCAAGCGGGTACTTGGCGTGTTAGAGATTGTATTGTCTGCTAAGCCTGTTCATGCGCAGTGGCTTGTAGGCAATAAGATGACGTTTGCTGATATGGCCTTTGTGCCATGGAACTTTCGTTTGGATGAAGTGTTGAACCAGTCATGGGATGAGGTTTTCGAAGGCGTTCCGCATGTCCGAACTTGGCACGAGCGGATGATTGCTCTTCCATCCTGGAAGCACGCAATGGACATTCGTGCACGTTTGATGGATGAGCAGGGTCTGCAGTGGAATGGCGTGCCTAAGGGCATCGAGACTTTCACGGAGTACGAGAAGAAGATTGCTGCTGGGAAGGATACAGCTGCAAAGCAGTGAGAGTCCTAGTCATGGTGCCCTAGTTCGCTCGTCCCGGCCGTGTCTCTGGCGACCGTCATGTTCCCAACCCTCCTTGGCCCTTGTTTCGCAGCCAACCTCGGTCTCGCCAGGGTTTTTCTCCCGCCCGGTTATGGAGCAATGGCTTCCAAAGCTCTCTGATATTCTTAGAATACAGGATTTTCTCGCTGTTGGAAATTAGAAGTGACGTTTTAGCAGTGTTCATCTTACCACAAATTTCTCGTCGCTTGATAATAAGTCAAAGCACCCCCTTGTTGGCACCCCCCCTTATTAGCACCCCTGAACAGCCACACCGCCATTTCCACCACCTTTACTTTTACAAAGTTTTCTCAACCAATTCTTATTCAAATGACTTCATCTCTTCACAGAACCTCGATATGCCTAAAAAGAAGCCGTATACCGAATTTGAGCTTGCCCAGGCCATCGAGGCTATCGGAAAGAGCTTGTTACAGAAACAGGCCTTACGCGAGTACAGCATACTAAGATCTACTCTTCAACAACATCTAGCAGGAAGAGAATCGCATCAAACAGCCTATCAATACTAGCAAAGACTTTTTTTTACTCAAGAAAAGCAGATAGCTGAATGAATCCTCGTCCAGGAAAGCTTAGAGCTCCTATCTAGCTACTCCGAACTCAAGCACTTTGCTCAGAGGATTCTTGAGGTTTAAAAAGATTCTCAAGAGCTAGGAAAGAGATGGACTGAGAGCTTTTTGAAGAGAAATCCAGAGATACACATTCGAAAGAATCAACAGATTGCCTCTGAACAGATCAATAGAGCTACAATAGAGATAATATAGCCTTGGTTTCATCTTTTTAATCTTTCTCAAGTTTAAGCTATTAAGCTAGCTAATCGATGGAATATGGATGAGGCTGGGATAGTTGAGGGCTAAGGAGAGAATGGATTAGTTCTTAGTAGCTCTTCTTTATATTCAATTCATTGAAAAGAGCCTGGATCGAGATTCTGAACTTCTTTTCTCGAGTATATCTCTGCTACAGGCGCTTATCTTCTTCCTCTGGTAATTTTCAAAGGGAATATAGTTTAATAATAGTAGTTTCCTCTTTTCTTAAACTCTTTCAAGAGCTAGCAGTTTACATCTATGAGAAATAGCTGGACTGATAATGCTATAGCATTTGAATAGCTGGAAAAGATCTTCATCTCTGGCAGCAAGCCAGCAGACTCCTCAGAAGCTAAACTATTAGTTCTGAATAGCTATAGCAGCTATACAACTGATGAGTTTATATATCAATGCTATCAAAATAATATCCTGTTGATTTATCTTTCTCCTCATATTTCTCACATACTTCAATCTCTTGATCTAAAAGTCTTCTCATCTCTCAAGAGAGCATACAAACGAAGAGTTAGTTATACGAGCTAGTAAGGGGATTCAACAGTGCTAGAAAAGCATTTATTCCTCGAGAACTATTGCAAGGCTCGTTTGGAAGGTCTTTCTAATCAGAATATCAGATTAGGATGGAAAGCTTCTGATTTATAGCCTGTAAGATCCTCCAAGCTACTCTTGAGCTCTCTTCTCCTTGCTAGCACTCCTCAGCACACTCAGGCTAGAGCGAATTCAAGTTCAAAAGCATCAACAGCACCTCAGCTTACCCAGAAAGCTTCCTCAAGCCTACTAGTCATCTTTTCAACTCCTTGCAAGGCTAAAAACCTATACCACCAGCTACAGAAGAATTAGCAGCAACTTTCAGTACTGTTTAGGAAGATACAAAAAGCATTCAACGAGAGGAACTTCAAACTAGCAAGAGCTCTGGAGAAGAACGAGATACTGGAAAAGCAGGCTGAGGCTACAAGGCTAACTCAAAGAAGAAAGGTAGATACAAGCCCAAATTCGAGGTTTGCGGATATTGAAGATATACAGAGAGCTCAAAATGCAGTCAATAGGAATGTTGATAGTCAGGATGAAGAGAGCGATATCGAATTATCTACTGATGAGGAGGACTGCATCGTGGTAGGTGAATAGGAAGTGAAATGTATATAAAACAATATATATATAGATGGGTGATATAGCTGTTCAGAGGTGCTAATAAGGGGGGGTGCCAACAAGGGAGTGCTTTGACTTATTACATATGCACAATCACAAATCATCCAGTACACAATCTTTCCATTTTCTAGGAACTATAGATCAAATTCTCCAGTGGTATTACGTACTGGGCTCCCTGATATAAGTCGAAGGGGGGGGCTTTTGGGCCGGGGTAGTTTTGGGCCACCCTGGCCACCCTTACCGCCTCTTCAACCCCCTTTAGTTTGATAGCTATTACTCAACCAATTTTAATCCAAACAACTTCATCTTTCCAACAAACCTTTATCTAACTATTATGAAGCCCTATTGCGAGTTTGAACTAGCCCAGGCTGTTGAGGCTGTCAGAAAAGGCAAGTCTCAGCGGCAAGCCTCGAGGGAATGGGGTATTCCAAGGAGTACTCTTCAGGCTCGCCTAGAAGGAGGAGAATCGCATAAAACAGCCCACGAAAACCAGAAAAGGCTCTCTATTGATCAGGAAAGAAGACTGGCTGAATGGATCCTGATTCAAGAAAGCCTGGGGATTCCACCAAGCCATTCAGAACTCAAATACTTTGCTCAGCAGATTCTCGAGGTTCAGGGAGACTCTCAGGCCCTCGGAGTACAATGGACTCAGGCTTTTTTGAAGAGAAATCCAGAGATACAGGTTAGGAAGACTCGCCGCATTGCTTCTGAGCGAATGAATGGAGCTACAACAGAGGTAATACAGCCTTGGTTTCATCTTTTCAACCTTCCTTACATCCAAGCTATTAAGCTAGCTAATAGATGGGATATGGATGAAGCTGGCCTTATAGAGGGCTAAGGAACGAATGAATTAGTTCTCGGAGGCTCTTCTTTGCGTTCAATTCAAAAAAAAGACCCTGGTTCAAAGGCTTGGATCTCTTTTCTCGAGTGTATCTCTGCTACAGGTGCCTACTTCTTCCCTCTGGTAATTTTCAAGAGCTAAACAGTATAACAACAGTGGTTTCCTCTTGATTTGAAGCTTTTTGAGGGCTGGCAGTTCACAGCTACTCAAACTGGATGGATAAACAATGAAATAGCACTTGAATGGCTGAAAAAGATCTTCATCCCTCACAGCCAGCCAGCAGACTCCTCAGAAGCCAGACTGTTGATCCTGGATGTCCATGGCAGCTATAAAACTGGCTTTGCTTCCAAAACAACATACTGCTTATTTACTTGCCTCCTCATACTTCTCATGTTCTTCAACCCCTTGATCTAGGGATCTTTTCATCTCTCAAACGAGCATACAGAAAGAAAATCAGCAATATGAGCCAATGGAGGAATTCAACTATCGCAGGCAAGCAGTTGTTCCTCAGGAACTATCGTCTGGCTCGACTGGAAGGCCTTTCAAGCCAGAATATCAGATCTGGATGGAAAGCAACTGGTCTATAGCCTCTCAGACCCTCAAAAGCCCTCCTAAGCCCTCTTCTTCTCGAGAACAGTCAACCAAGCTATCAGATCCAGTCCAATTCAAGCTCAGCACAATCAACAGCACCTCATCTTTCCCCAAAAGCCTTCTCAAGCTAGCCAGTCCTCTTTTCAACTCCTCAAAAAGCTAAACAGCTGTACTATCAGCTGCTAGAGAATCAGCAACAACTTCGAACAGAACCAGGCCGCTGTATGCTATTCAGAAAGATAAAAAAGCTCAGGAGGAGAGGGACCTCGAGTTTGCTAAGGCATTGGAGGAAAATAAAGCATTGAAAAAGCAGATTGAAGCTCTGAGGTCTAGCAAAAGAAGAAAGGTTGATATGGACCCAAATTCGAAGTTTGCAGGGATTGAGGATATACAGAGAGCTCAAAACGCAGTCAATTGCCACGAGAATAGTCTGAATGAAGAGAGCGATATCGAATTACCTACTGATAAGAAGGATTGCATCGTAGTAAGTGAATAGAATAGATAAACAGTATATATATATATGGGTGTGTGTATTTGATGAGGGTGGCCAGGGTGGCCCAAAACTACCCCGGCCCAAAACCCCCGCCTTCGACTTATAACCTCAATATAACTTCACTTTCATCATCATCGCATCCACTGGCTTGCCGCTAATTTGGATCGTCTTGCAATGTTTATATTAGTCGAGATCTCAGTATGGGCATGGACAAGTATCACTTACAGAATACAGCTCAGATTTGACCTTGCGGCGACCCTTGTTATCTAACAACGGCTGACCGTCCTGGCCTAAGGCAAACTCACCCAGACCGACCTTGGAAAACTCATATCGGCGAGTGAGCATGGCAAGGATGACACGCGCTTCAATGTTTGCCAGCTCCTGCCCGATGCAGTTCCTCGGTCCCCTCTCGAACGGCCTCCAGGCGCTGGCCGGGCACGCAGGACTGTCATCAAGCCAACGCTCGGGAACAAAATCGTCAGCCGTATCTCCAAATACGGCACGGTCGCGACCCATGATATTGTGGTTGAGGTAGATCCAGTCACCGTCAAGGTTGTACTCCCCTTGTTTAGTGGACACTACGAATCCTGTGCCGGGATACGACGTGCGGATAGAGCCCGCTGGGGGATGCAGTCTCAGAACTTCCTTGATGACAGCTGAAATGTACATCATGCGGTGAACAAGCTCCTGGCCTCCAGGCCCCAGAAGCTTCTCACGGATAATGTTCCCACTAGCATCAGCATCTCTTGGCCCAAAGAGTCGATCTAGCTCGCTGTTGACGGCATCGAGAGCACGCGGTGTCCGCAAGAGCTCATAGATACTCCAGATGATCGTGGTGCTGGTGGTGTCGTGCCCTGCGAAGAGGAATGTCTTGAGCTGGTCACACGTCTCTTCCATAATCTCAGGTGTGAGAACCTCGACATCTATCAAACTGAGTGCCAGCACGCTTCGGGACCTGCTGTTCGAAGCCTCGCCACCATTCACAGATTTCATCTCTTCAAAGTTGCGACGCACAATGGGCCTCAGGTCCTGCGAGATGCGAAGTCCGAGGCGGTGTCGCTTCACCCAAAGCCGGGGTGCAAGCCACCATGGCAGCTGGAGCTTATCATCTGCATATGCTTTTGAGGTATTCGCATTAATTACCAGTATTTAGCGCTACAGACTGGGGGATTTTAGACTTACTCTTCAATAGCTTCTTGACCATAATGATAAGCTGTCCCTGGAGAGTGGTGTCCAGGTGCTGTGCGTTCATGTCCTCACCCATAGTTACCGCTCCAATAATATCAAAAGTCAGGTTTGTCGTAGGCTGATCGAGCGGGAATGGAGCTCCGCTGCGGGCATAATGGTCTAGGATTTCGATATAACGCTTGCATTTCGCGACAATAACGGGCAACAGACTCATCAAGTGCTGGGGCGCAAATCCCGGATTGAACCTCCTGCGGACTTCCTTCCATTCCTCATTCTGGAACACATTAGTATGTCACCATGTCATAGCCAACTTGGATAAGGTTCGTTCGGCCTTGCCTGTTTGCGCAAAATGGACTTGGGCCCGATCAGGCTGATGATGGGGTCCAGGGATGAAGATTTCGGTGCGCTATACTGGAAGAGCTTGGAAGGATGCGACACCTGTTCTGCAACTTCGTGGCTAGCAACTATGGCCATCGGGGGAACAACAGGCCAGTTGTCTACTAGGAATATGTCGGGCTTCCCTAGAGCTTCGTGCATCTCAGCAAAAACAGCATCTGTTATTCGCAGCGTTAGTGACTCTGCTGCTCTCTTCTCATTGCTTGTCTGATCCAGAAGAATGACTAGCCTGGATGGCGGTCCTGAGAGCCTCGCTTGATGAAGTCATTAAAAACTGCGAGGTGACCCCAGAAAAGAGAAGACGGGAGTTGTGGGAGGTGGGCATTCTGCTTGAAACGCCTGTGGTACAATCTGGTGTAGAGAAAGGTCGTTGCGATAAGCACCGCGGTGACGGCAATAACCTGGGTGGGGCTCACCAAGTGTGCCATTTTCAACCGACCACTTGAAAAAGAAAAAGAAAGAAAACCAAATGGACGAGGATTCTGTCTGGGAAGGCATGGAAATAAGTACTGCTCTAGAGCCTGGAACTAAGGGAACAAGCATTTAAATTAAAGGGGGTAACCTCCGGCCACCCCGGCTGACCCCCCGGCCTCTCCAGCCACCTCTTTTTTCAATATCTTTTTTCAACCAATTTTACTCTAATCAACTTCATATCTTTACAGGACCTTTATACGTATATCATGAAGCGCTATACCGAATTTAAGCTAGCTCAGGCTCTCGAGGTTGTTAGAAAGGGTGTATTTCAGCAACAAGCCTCGAAACAGTAGGATATACTACAAGCTACTCTTTAGAACTGCTTAGCAGAAGGAGAATTGCATTTAATAGTCTATTAATATAAGCAAAAGCTTTCTGTTAGCTAGGAGAGGAAATTAGCTCAATGGATTTGCATTCAGAAACCTTTGGAGCTTCTATCAAGCTATTCAGAGCTTAAGTACTTTGCTTAACGAATTCTCAAGATTAGAAAGAACTCTTAAATGCTGAGAAGGAAGTAGATATTGAACCAGAATTAGGGCACTGTCGCCTTCGAGAAAAGGAACGAACAGCCACCGAAGCAATGGGCAAGGGCTCGTGCAACCCAAGCATGCCTGTACAGATGAGGACAGCAAACTAAGGCCACACGGGCACAAGAACAGGGTGAAAAATCTGTCTTAGACCTGTCCAAGGGGTTCAAAATCGAAAAGAAGAGAAAAGGATGCTTGATTGTTGCTTATAGCTAAAGAATTTGAAAAGTGGGTGGTATCCTTTATATGTATGAGGACTCTCGATCCACTGCACTCAATGTTCCACGGACTACCACCCTGGCTACCACAACAATATACTCTTAAGAAAGATACAAAAAGCGTTTAATAAGAAAGATCTCGAGTTTGTAAAAGCTCTGGAAAGAAATAAGATTCTAGAAAGGCAAATAGAAGCCAAAAAGCCTACTAAAAGAAGAAAGATTGATTTGAACCCGAACTCGAGATTTGCAGATATTAAGAATATACAGAGAGCTCAAAAAGCGGCTGATAGAGATGAAGATAGTCTATATGAAGAGAACAGTATCGAATTACCTACTGATGAAGAGGATTGCATCGTAGTAGGTGTAGGATGAGGAATGTATATAAAACAATATATATGTGGGTGGGTGGTGAGGCGGGCCGGGGTGGCCGGAAGTTGGTGTGGCCGGAGGTTACCCCCTTTAACTTATAGCGTGTTGAATGTGTTACCCGCAGCTCCCATGTAGGCAGCTGAGGTGGAAAGGCGGGCAGCAGCCGCTGTCCCAGTAGTATACTTTTTGCTGGCTATGTACAAATTACGGATGCTGACTACGCTACAAAAAGTATCAGGACCTCCTACCTACAACGATGCGGTTGCATTACGGCTACCCATCGGCGATTTGAGCCATTCCAGGACGTGCTAACAAGATAATACTACTCACCCGCGCATCGTTGGGGGCCACACAGGACACTGTCACGGGCGGATGACATTGGGACAAGGCCAGTTAAAACCAACCGTATCTGGCCAGGTGTCTCAATCTGAACCTTCGACGCACATCCCCGTCCAAGACATCCTGTTTACGCCATTATCCTTTTATTTCCAGGCAGCCTTTTGTTGTTTATATATCTATTTTTTCTATTAAAGATTAGTTTGGAACTGGGCGTTCACAACAAGAAATCCGCAGACGAGGGCCCCCTATCGTTTTTTGGCGCGTTCAATCTGGGTACTACTGCCTACACCATGTTTTCGGACCTATTTAACTCGCCCTACTTTTGGGTTTGAGTACCGTTTGGTCTTGTCATATGTAAGCTGCGTTATGCCATATATTTAAAAGGAGCTACTGATATGCCAAAGCAGCAGCAGCCTTGATAGTATCCCTCAAGCTTAGCGTGATCTACCTCAATAAATACGGCCGTGGATTGCCTATATCGCCAAATGGACTACCCAGCCATGAAGAATGAGCAGAGAGAAGGGAGGACGAGGATGATAAGGAAGAGGAGAACAGTCAGGCTTTTGGTGCTAGCAAGCCTACAAATTCTCGTACAATAACAAGGGGCTGGCGCAATGTGTGATTAATTAAGTCAACGGTTGCCCACCAGCATATATAGGATTAAAAGAGGGCGAGGGGTACGGGGTGGAAAATCAATCTTATTATGCGAATATGAACAGAGCTTTATTTAGGTGGGACAGCGTAGACATGTCCAGTCAAACCGGAATGTTAGTATCATTCTGCTCTGACAGCACCATCTCATAACAAAAGCCCCTTCAAGACTAACACCATAGTCTTGTGTGTGTAGTCATTGGGTCTCACTTTCCTTCTGTTATCCGTATTTGAAATGATTGAACTCTTGCTCTGCTAGTAGAAAACTTGGTCAGCTCGTGGATTGGAAAACTTGCACTCTCCCTCTGAAGATATTTAAAGACATTACAATAATATTACCTGCGGACTCTAGTCTAACTTTCTCCTCCTGATACGAAAAGGAATCAGGAAACTCGGAATGTCTGTACCAAAGCCGAAGCTGTCTTTGTCCATGACGATGGGACCGCTGTTGGTCCGAAGCTCAACATCAAATCCAGTCACGATAAGGGCCATTGTTGTCAGTATGACGCTTTTGGCCAAGAAACGGCCTGGACAAATATTTTGTTCTCCTGGTGAGAACCAACGTTAGCGCCCAGCTATCTGCTTGGTTAAAACCAGTCCATGGTATGAGTGAGTTTGACTGTAAAGCTTAGCACGGTACGGAATCCAAGACCCTTCAAGGCCTTCGGTAGTAAAATAGGGCACATTCTTTTCTCTTCTGTCTTCGTTACTCCCGAGACCAACCCGCAATCTCTCCGCATCGCTACAATTCGGACGTGACTGCTGAGGGGATCTGTAGGATCGAAAATAAACCGAGTTGCCCAGAAGGATTTAATTGGTGGTTACCATCTTTGTTGTTCCACGTATCTCTGTTTTTATAGCAGATTCCAGCAGAGATCAGTCCGTAACTGGACTGGAGAATGCGCCATTAGCCCAAGATGAGATCATCATGCCTGAAATTGATTGGTATAGATACTGAAACATGGAGCCGGAGAGTCTCAGCGTAGATGGAAGATAGCAGATGGCTCTTTGAGAACTTGTCTAGGTCGAGCGATGAGAACACATCACTGTGATACCACCACTGCACGTCTCCTCGGTTTCGCGTTTGACGCGACTTAGTTAAGGAGGGATCTTCCAGTACATGAACCACGGCTATGGGAGTGCAAGGAATCGTGTTGTCCAATGATCTAAATCACATTAGTGCTTGGCTAGAAATATTTTCAAGGTCTCTCAAAGGAATTGCTGTCTTTAAGTATAAAGCTGGTCTTTGCTTCGGAAGGCTGCGAAAATTCCCAAAGGTTTGCAGAACGAACATGACTTGCTTCTGATGGGAAGGAGTCAGTCTCTTGATTACAGTCTGCCCCAAGCTTCCTGCGCTCTTAGATTAGACTGAATTAAATGTGGACACTCATGACGGGCTGATCTAGTTTAACTTGAGTGTAGACCAAGTTTATTTAAATAGCACGGAGACCAATCCGAACCAACTGCATTAGTAGAACACCAACCTGCATCTTGAGTTTAGAAGAGGAGCCAGCAGCTACTTGTTACAGTACTTGTATAGATAGAATGATTAAGATAGACTCAAATCTGGGTGGGGCCGGCTGATGAAAGTCCTGATTTGCTAAATAGGAAGGATTTGTTCATCAGCGGAGTGGCTAACTACAATGTCAGATGTATGTGGCGCCACGCATTGGAAGGTGGTAACAGAGCTACCGCGGTGTGCTATTTATCTGCTTGCATCTGAAAGCTACTCAAAAAGTACTATGCGTGCACACCGTGCCTGATGCTACCCTTCTATGCTCTATCAGACGAAGGTATGAAACTAGTCTGTTCGCACAGTGTCTGCTTGCAGCCTCACTCTGATACACAGTACTATAGTACATCCCTGTCCAGTGCAAGGGCCGGGAAAGGAAGCTGACGAGCATTCACATTCGGCGGGATGCACATCATGTTACAGCCTGATTGCGACGCATCTCGAGTCTCCTCTGAGCAAGTGGAAGAATTAAAAAACCAAAAAGATTTCGCAAGTTGTACCCTATCAAAGATAAGCAATTCGACAACAAGCCCCCAACTACCTAAAATTAGCCCCCAAACGTATGACAGCTTCACTGCAAAGCACATTCGTGGGTATGATTTGCCACAATACAACCTGCAGTGACAGTCAATACAAGTTGACTTATCTCAGAGCAGCAGTTGCAAACCTTGAGTGTAAGACTTAAAGCTTTCAGGGCTATTTTGTGTTCTTGATGAAGAGTTCATGCGAGAATCCGTGACGCCACGCCCCAAAAACTGAATATAACCTCTTCCTTGGTCTTGATTTTCTCCTGACCCTGCATTATTGATGATGCGCTATAGCGAGAGGTATTGTGCCTAGGTTTGAAAAACTCATCATCGTAGAGAGATTGATCTAAACATTCAAATGAACCACGCTACGTAAGCAATTGAATCCTCGTCTATCCAGGAACATCTGTGGAATGTATCATGATGTAGCTTGTATGAACTTGCCCTCTCATGGATTTTTGTAAGGACGTTTCTTGATTCGACTTTTTAGCATGCTGTCTCTACTTTAACAGCGGTATCGGGTTCCTGCGTGTCCGTCTGTTGATGCTGTAATGTAGTTGTTGTCTTTTGTCTCCTTTCCGCTGCAGCTTTATTTGCGTTCAGCCACTCCATGCCCATTGTGAAAGGAACTGCTGCACCCACGACCGCTGCAGCGAGGATCGTTGTTCTCGAAACAGCTGTATACCCGCGCCCCAGGGCTAATAAGCGCATAGCTTGGCAGCTATCGAAATAGCTCAGCAGCCGTGTAATGAGGAGGAACGGATGAACACTCACCATGTAGAGCTAAGCCTGTGCGAGATAGTACGGCTCTGAGCCTGGGAGAAAGGAGCTTTTAGCTCATGGGGGTAACAAGAAAGTTCGTGGGGTACAGGTTGGCTAGGCAACGAGAGAGCAACCCTAGCCCTAGCCCTACCCCATCCCTAGCCATAGGAAGTCTCCTGTGAACTGTTTGTAAGACTCCCGAGGTTTTCTACCCTCTACCAACTTTTTGTGCCCCCCGTCAACTTTTTTATACCCCCCATAAGCTACAAGCTTTTGAGAGAGCCATCTAGAGAGGTGGCTACACACACAGTCACACAGTCAACGGGAAGCTTTAGCTGTAAATACACGACTTCGAGCCGCTAATTCACTGCTGAGCCCATTCAACATTGTATATATACATATATCTGCTATAAACACGCATCAGGGCAGGTCCAGGTCTGGACAGTCTCTCTGGTCCTCATAAAAGACGACCCCAGCTTCTCCAGAGCCCTGCACCACTCTTCCATGCTATACGCGTTGTGGATGACTATTGACACAGCCGACGGAAACCTTGCCCGCCGTGCGGTCACGCTCCGACGGCAGCGACTTGGACCTGATGACGTATGGCGACGGTACGTGGGTGGCTTACATGTCGGACAACACAAAGGCATCTCACATCGACCTGTACTCAAGCTACAACTTTGCTGGGTCCGTCGAGTGGGCCGTCGACCTGGCCCAGTTCGTTGAGAGCGTGGCCGACGAGGAGGCGAGCGAGAACATCACGGCGCTCGAGGAAGACTTCACAGCCGCCCTCTCCACGAGCGGCTATGACATCTCAGAGTTCACCACGTACAACCTCAGCGATCTTGCCACACGCCTCGTCGGCTTTGAAGGATGCGAGTTATCCGACACGTTCCCAATCACAAATGCGCCACAGATCATCTACTCGGTCTGGTAACAGTCCTGGAAGATCATGAACTGCATGTACAATATGGCCAATGGCGGGATCAACTCCAATGAGGCGGCGGCGGTGGAATACCTGGGCCCGTCGGCCCTCATCACCTCCTCTCAGCAGACTTCATTCATAATATCTTCAAGAAGCTGACCACCATCCAGCCCGGCTGGGGAGGCTGGTTCGCCTGGAAGCTCCTCGTCCGCTGCAATGACCCGGGAAACATCTGCCCATGCGGCATCAGGCCATGCGCGTACACGACCAACAAGGACCCAGACTCGGGGCTAGCGCGCATCAACTTTTGTCCAAGTATCTCTACGCGACGACGCTCGACAATGCTATGGCGTATATTGACGCATCATTCCATGTGACAACTTATGCCGACGTAGCGAATTACTTGACAACCCAAGCCACCATATGGATCCACGAGCTGCTGCATGTCGACTGGGTTTCCACAGCCAGTACGGACTCCAATATTGCTCAGGTCCAGGACATCAAGATCAAGGTCGCATTCAAGGGGGTGGCACCGTCAAGTGGGAGACCGTCTGGGGGCCCGCCTTGGCCAAGATCCTGGCGCGCTGGGGCTCCAATACGGGCGCCTGGACCATGCTGAACACTGACAGCATAACCTTGTACGGATTCGCTAAGTACATTCAGGACGCCCTGGGCAACATCTACCCCCACCTGCCGCTGGCCAAACAGTCCCCGGTTGGCGTCAGTCTCAGTCTTAACGATGTCGTCTTCGACGCCGACGGCTGCTTCACCGTCTATGCCAACGACACCATCATCGAGCTCACCAACACGACGCTGCTGGACGAGTACGCATGGAGCACGACAGAGGGCGTCTGCGCCGAGGCCGACGACGAGGAAGGCGACCCGAACCCCTCGGGTATCTTGACCATTGGCACCAACTGGGCCGTGCAGTCCGAGTTCCCCAGCACCTACCATTCCAGCTGGTCCTCGTGGGCCGGCCTCGCGACGGCCACGTCGACGAGCGCCGCTGCTCGCGCGACAACGACGTGGATCCTCGCTGTGTATAGCGATACGGACTGCTCGGGCGACTACTACTCGCTTGAGGGCCACAACGTTGACTCAAGTAGCGACAGCTGCGCGGTGCTCCAGAACCTTACGACGAGCTCCTCTGCGTCGTGCCTCTGGTTCACCGACGGCGGCGACTCTGACGCAGCCCAAGTCGTGGAGCGTGGTGGGCGGCGTCTGCACGGCGTACGACACGACTGCGTGCTCGAGCGACGGAACCGAGGACGCCTACATTGAGGCCGAGGGCTGCCACAACTACTTGTCCGACGACAACGACACGCAGACGTGGATCGCCGTGCAGTGCGGGGCCGAGGTCGACCTGAATGGGCTGCTGCAGACCGCCGGCGATGCCAGAGGCGGCAACGACTGCGTCTGCGTCCTCTCCCCAGGTGACGACGACAGCCATCGTGTCAGTTGCCTCCCAGCAGCTGACACCTGCTACCACAGCCGCGAGTAGCCTGCTCTAGCATCACTTCTTAGTCGGGTGTATCTGTGGTCAGACATTTTCTCTTTTTGCATTCTTCAGTGTTGCCTAGCGGGTGGGGACAGCTTTGCAGGAAAAGGACCAGACTCGAAGATTGCATGCTTGATAGATATGTCTTGATACATTATGCGAACGCTTATAGAAGCGCTAGGGGACCTGGAAGCACTTTAGAAATTGCTTTTATCAAGGGAGTCTAATGGAATTGTATGGAGTGTTAAGCTCTAGCTTTCATGATTTATACTATAGAACTCACTCCTATAGCGCCACAAAAAAAACCAAAAAAACCAAAAAGAAAACCACAAATCATCAGATATCATACGGCGAAGAATTAAATCAATTGTAGTTGAACTCAGCTCCGTCAAATCTGTTGATCCACTTTGCTCTTCTGTCAGTGCTTAGGTAGCCTTTAAATAATGCACAGGCTTTGAGCCTTGTTATCCGACCACAGCTCTCCATGCATAACACCATAAATGTACGACTCCCCAATTATCCTCCACTGACTGTCTAAAGCAGGTCGGAGGATAATCGGAATACAGACGCTGGCAATGAGGGCGAGATGATCCCCAATGCTAGCATGGCGGTCACACAAGCCTATATATCCCTGCGATGTTCTAACAACGCGCCTTTTGGCCATGAATTCCATCAAGATACCTATCATTTGGTTCGATTTTAACATTGAGAATCTCATACGAGACATCTCCGGGTCGTGTAGGGACGCTTCTTTGGACCAAGGCAGTTCACCAGGTCCTCTCCCTAGGATATGATATGGCTTCGTGAGTGCTTCCTCCGAACGAATGGACTCTCTAGCCTTCCGCTCATCCTTCAGCTCATCACTCATCATGATTATGTCTGTCAAGAAACTGATCCATGCCTGTTGCCGGGTTTCACTCTTCCCAGGGTACATTCCTGGGCTGACAGGGTCGGCCACTCTTTTCGAAGCATGCAGATTGCTTAAATAGCTCTGCGGCCTCCGCTTGTCGCTGATACTGAAGCCTGACTTACGTACTTGGAATGCGTAGCCCATTTTCACGTTGCCGAAAGCAGGTCCGACGTCTACGATTTCGTCGAAAACAATGCCGCGGAGGAAAAGCAGGCGACCGTCTTCGCTGAAATAGATGCCAGGCTTTCCTGATCTCTTTCCTGCTGCATGGAACAGACGTTTTGTCGCTGCAGCACGGTGGAAGCGCCATCGATATGGGGGCTGTTCAGGGTCTGGTTGCGGGCTCCACGCCCAACTAGGGAGCAAGTTGTTTTCTTTGTAGTGACTGGTGCATCCAGCTAACACAAGACGCAAGTTGTGGGTCGAGGCTAAGCATGCGCGTGTCGCCTCAATAAAAATTGTGTCCGCATCCACTGTATAATCAATCGTAGACTCGAAGCCCGGAGGTAGGCTCTTGGCCAACCCCAAAATCGCGTAGATGCGGTCCACAGGCTCCGTGGCCTGGAAGTAGACCGCTTTCAGTATGACAGTCCCCAAGTCTTCCCTTTTGCCGGATTGTATGCTGGTACGCATCTCGATCAAGGTTTGCAGGTATTGGCCATCCTCCCACTGGTCCCAGAGTGTTGACATCCCATATGCCTTTTCTAACGTGTCCCAGTTAATCGAGTACCGGCCGCACACGACAGTGGCGCACAGCGACATAGCGATCTCTTGTATAATCCACACGCGCTTAAACCATGCTCGCCCGAAAACAGATGTCCGTGCGTGCCCAGAGCGTACGAGGCTCGTCCAATAGGCCGGACTATATAAGGCTGGCTTGAAATCATTGGCTTCAATTTCTGCGGATTTCTTCTTTTTCAGAGCCTTCCTCAAAAACTGCCACTTGTCCGGATGTAGCCTCACTAACTTGTCTTTCGAAACTGTGTCGACATATCTTGCCATGACCTCCAACATAGTAAACGCGCGGGCCGTCCTGCGGTCGTGTTCGCCCAGCCAGACAATGGTCCGCTCACCGCGCCGGTAGATTTCGGCCATCAAAGGGATCTGGAAGCTCTTCTCGAGCTTGTTGTACTGGTTGATACAGATGGCATCAACCCATAAGATGCATGAATCTTTGGGTCGTCGCAGCCGCCTGAGTGCTGCAGCGAGGTTGCGTGTCACGAGGAAGCTTTCGCCGGCAACGAAAATTTCCACGAGGTTTATTTGCGAGCCCCAACAGTATGACAGGGGCTGGTAAGAAGGCAGATCACATAACGGAGAGGTGGACAGACGGCATTGTATTTTCTCTCTGCCAGTACCGGGCAGAAGCTCTAGCAGGCGGATCTCTGAGCTAGGGAACTCGAGGGCTTTGTGGACGAATTTTGCTTGCATTGCGCCGTTATTTCTTGGCACATATAAAACACAGGACTGGAAATATTGGAGTGTCCTTGGCTTATTGCAAAAGAACAAGTAGGGCCGGACACAACGGTATTTGCAAAGTATGCGGCTTTATTGACAACCGTACGGAGATGGAGGCAGACTTTTGGCCCTTCAGCTCACAGCGGCTATGTTGTGCGCCTCTCAGCTTACGGTGTTTATGTAATGCTACGCAAGATAATTTATTTATAGCAGCTGAAAATTTGCTCAGTATATTAGGCTTTACCCGGAATCAGGTTCTGATATGTGGTATTCTACTTGGCTAGCCTTGAAAATCCGTTTTTTACTTGATGATGATGATGATGATGATGATGATGATGATGATGATGATGATTGTATTAACGTCTGTGTATCGAGTTTAGGGTAAGTGCATTTCAATATGCTGTTGTTTCCTAGCTCATTGCATTCCGCAGGGCATAAAGATAGTCCTCTTGGTTACTAATATCTCGCTGTAAAAAGGAAATAGAAAACGAAAATAGTTTTTTCTCAGTCTAGCTTCTCATTATTCCTGATGGGATTAGTGCTGTACATGCTCTAGTCTCGTATATAGTTGCGAAATGCAAGCTATCCTAGTTATCCTAGCATGTTCTCCAACTCCCGGCTATGCCTGAGCTATTTCGGCTTTAAGCTTTCTAGCAGCTGAGCATCTCACAAAGTAGCTCTGTTGTTGCTGCTCTTCAGACTTATAGAGCTGGCCTGTATCAGAGCTTGTATTACTAAAGTAGCTAGGGCATACAGCTATGTTATTTAGACTTGATAGCAGGTATAGTAGATACTGCTATGCAATAAGGACTCGAAGTATCCAGTCAAATTCTTTAGTATTGTGAAAAACGTGGAAAAAAAACACTTGCAGCACTTACCCGTAAGCAACGAGCCTGGCCAAAGGCCTGCTAGACATTCACGTTAAGCAAACTTGTTAAGACTTCTCTGCAACAGCAATTTGAACCGTAATTTTTCTCTGTAACAAAAAGACGTGCCGAGCTGCGAAGCTATCTATAACAATTTTATTGCATTGTATTTCAATTTTCCGAAAGACCTGTTTGCAATGTTTCTAATCGTTCCAATATTTAGGGATTGTTGTTCAAGGACGTTTCTCAGTTATTTCGTCCATCTTGGTCTTTTGGAGTGGGAAATTACAGTGGCTGACTCTCCAACTTTTTTTGTATTCCTCTGTCTCACAGTATTTATACTTGAGGTGATAATGCGCTGTTGATAGTCCAGGCTCGATATAGCAATAGATATTTCTGAGACTTTTGTGAGACTGCTTTCTCAACGTTAACTGTTAATTCAGTGGAATAGCAGCTGTTATGGATATATGGAAATAAGTCTCATTACCGAGATGGAATTTAGTGAGAGGATACTATAATAGCTATAAGTAGTAATAATAATTTACAAACTCTAAATAACTAAGCGTCGGCTATGTTGATTCTGGCAAGGAGGTCCCAAAAGGTGGTGATCTAGCGATGCGACGAGCCTTGCTTCCTGAGTTCGATTTTTCGCTTGTATATTACTGAGTAGCTGAGTAAGTAGGCTAGCATCCCCATTTCTTGACGAGTTGTGATATACTGAAGAGATAGAGATATCATCAAGTTAGCATGGACTTACTTCAATGGGGAAATAGAAAGAGAGAAAATGAATCACTGGAATCTAGGCTTGATTTCAAATCAGAAATCAAAACACGAGATTACAGCTTATTATTAGTATGCTGTATATCCATACCTCGCTTTGTCCCTAATTTGCTATCAACCTTATTAGGGAGGCATCGATACCACGGTAACAGCACCAAGGTAACTGCCCAAGCCTCTCCTAAAATTGCAGAAAAGGAGCGGCTTTTACGCTATTACTATCCCCGATATTCCGTTTGCATATGATAAGTCCGAACAACCGTAAAAAGTTCCATGCAGCTGAACCGGGGTGGGTGGTGGGAGTCGAGCTTGCAAAACCCGTCGTGACCAACAACGAATGGTATGTTTGCATATCTCTTCTACTCAACAACATTGACTTCAGAACAGAACCTCATAAAGACAGCATTTGTAGCATTCAGGTCATCATTCCCCTTTCCGGACCGAGTATAGATCACGAGCTGATCTTCAATAGTAGTTTACTCAGCCGCCCTAAGCACAACGAATATACATGTATCATGTGCATTTGGCGGATTCATCTCGTTGTTCTTGGCCAGTCTCGGCCCGGAATTGGCTGGTATACAAGTTGAATATTGCAGATCGCATCATACCATTTGAGTCAAGTTCTTATTCAGAGCCGAGCCTTGAGGTATTGGTCAAAACTGGCAGGCTGGCAACATGATATAAATGCAGTGTCGTTAGAAGCGAGGAAAATTGGCATTGCGGTATCTTTGAATACTCCATCGGGAAATGTTGCCATGTCGAATCACAAATCCTCTTTTTGTATCATCGTCATTGGTTGAGGAGTCACTGGACTCGTAGCCTCCCATTGCCTAGCAAAAGCGGGAATCGATCACGTTATATTGGAGAGACGTGAACATATCGCACCTGCAGAGGGCGCAAGCATTGGGATTTATCCACACGGTGCCCGAATACTTCGCCAAATCAACTGCCTAGATGACATGAAAGCGGCTTGTGTCCTCATGGGAAGGTGGTTGGTTCAACAGCCGGATAAGAAACTTATCATGAATAGTGGATTCTTCCGTCACCTAGAAAGGAAGTACATCAGTCTTCATCAATATCTCATGCCACCAAGTCTAATATTTTGCTCATTTGCATTAACCAAACTTTGTAATCATGGTTCCTCTCTTCTTCTCGAAAGACGGGAGTTCCTGCAGATCTAATGGAATAAGTTACCGAATCAAACTCGCATCCGGACCGGAAGGAGCGTGAGCCCGATCAAACACGACAAAAACAGTATCAAGATCACACTACACAATAGCGAAGTTGAAAAAGGCGATATGGTTCTTACCTGTAATAGCGTATACAGCGCTACTAGGACCATGATGTGGAATCATGCCAATAAGACCAGACCGGGATCGATCACCATCAAGGAAAAGACAAGTAAGTCGACTCCGAGGTTTTTAGGATGCACATTGAGCTAGACTTTGTCAAGAGTAGGCCAAAAGCACAATGGGTCAGTTTTCTGAGAACCCATCATTACATCCTAAAACTGAGAACAGCCTGGAAGTCACTTTTAGGTGTTGCGCCTATAATCCCAGAACTTGGCGAGCGCGACTTGACCGTCGTCTCCCATAGCGGCTATTCATTTCTGGCAATCAGTCAGCCGAATGTAATCTATTTCTTCTTCATCTTCCGCTTCGATGAGCCATTCACCTGGCCTAAACGGGCCAACTACTCGGAGCGTGATGCCGAACAGCTGGCCGAGAGCGTAGCCGACCGGCCTGTATCAGACTGAATGTTATTCGGTGAACTCTGGAGAAATGCAAGCGAAGCCTGGAGCAACTAGTAGCCGTTTGTTTGTGCGAGCTTTGGGTACTACAGCCTCTACCTTGTTTTTATTGCAGTGTATGAGACTTTGGACTTTTGCATCTGTCTCGGACTCTGCGCCCAGTCTTCAAGCACAACTGCGAAAGCTGTTCATTTACTTGACCTCAATTCATTTCAGACACTTGAACTTCAGACATTCAAAACATTAGTGACTGGTGCTTTTTGTTTGTCCGGATAAAGGCCGCCCAGCCAAATGGGCAGTCGGCATCGCGCTCTTGCATTATACCTTTCACAGCTGCCAGTGAATTACCGCCCCGTTAACGGCCATCAGGATAGCCAGCGTCGCAGCCTGGGCCGGGAATCAATCTTGTGCACACCTGGTCATCCGAAAACCTCTCTGGTCTCACATCGAGGAACTGTTTGACCACGGAAGCAAGAGACTCTCCGTTCGATGCGAATCACACTGGATTGAAGAGAATGTTATTCGAATTTGTATGAGTGGTTTGCAAATGAGCCCCTGGGGACCATTGACCATAGCCAATCTCAAGTCGAGGGCACCGAGGCAGGGTCCGCCAACATTATGGATCCAGTGTCACCAACACAGCAATTCCGAGTTTGAGCGAACTCAGACATATGACCTTGACAACAGAGGACTCACTCGCCCATAATTCTCCTTGGTTGTGGTCACAACCGGATCAAAGCGCTTGGGCGGGCGAAAAGGCCTAGGGTTAGTACATTAGTCTTTTCTGGCAACTTTGCGGGGAGCTGTTGCCTTGCCTCCATACTTCGGCACTCATATTCGCTGGGCAGGGGAACAGAAAGACCATACTCGAGTCCAGGACTTGGAAAAGGCACTAGCAGTGGCAGTGGCTTTTTGCCTGGGCGCCATAGTACCTATGCTGATTCTCATAGCACCTACTTGGCTTAGTCCCCAAGCCCACTCACCAACGATACAGCAGACCATCACCGTATTTTTTCAGCTATCGCCGATATATGTCGCTGTTATAATGACCTTAGTGTCTCAATCGTTGGGATTCATGAAAGCTTCGAGACATTCAAAGCAGCTCACTGATAACGATATCGCGAGAGCGAGGCAATGAATTCGGGGTTTTTATTTGAATGCCGCTGCCATTTCCACGATAAGCCACCTGTACATGGTGGCGAGAGTTTTCTCCAATGTGGATAAGATTTCGACAGAGTTGATGCGAATGTATCTGCCCTCTGCTTTTGATGGCAATCGCAAGAGCGGACTTCTGACGCATGGATCTCGGTTGTTCCTTCAACGGGATTATATCATTATCAGTCTAGCAAGTTTCTTATGGTCTTTTGTGCTTCTCAGAAGAGCCGGCTTCGCAAGCAATATGTAAGCAAATGCTCAATTAGTCTAATTTCTTTCACTCGGAAATGTCTTCGTGGTATCTGGCAGCGCTATAACACTTGGGTTGTACACAAGAGAATATTGAGTGTTTGTGGAACAAACATTGCAAGATATAGTGTTACAGTTCAGGTTTCCGAAGCTTATTTGAATGGGTTGCTCGTTATAATGCTCTTAAAGAAAATATGTTTGAGATTACATAGCAATTTAGGGAACATGTTGCAGGATAGTATTTCGCGAAAACTTAAATTTGAAAAAATGCTGAAATAAATCTAAGCTCAACAAAAACGTGAAAAGGAAGTTTTCAATCCTGGATAAGCATAATTAACGTAGTGCTATTTTAAATTATAGTTTGAATGAATCATACTTTTGTTATACTCGTTAGAATATGCTTATAATGTTAAACTGCTTTGCTATTTTATAGCTCAGGAGTGCTAGACACAAATCAGGGGGGCCCCTTGGGCGTTGTTACAAAAGAAAATACGATGGGAGGCTTTGCAGTATGGACTGTAGCAGGACCCTAAGCTGCAAGCAAGTTGCACATGCTCTGGTGAAAGAGAATAAAAAATAGAATAGAGGCTAGCTGAAGAGCCAGCCTCTGTTATCTAGATAGAGCTGACAGCTGTCAGATCCCGCAGCTAGCAAATGTAAGCTTTGCTAGCACGAACTTTATCATTGGTTTGATCGTTATACTCAGCCATACATTTTAGCCTGCTGTTACATATAAGATCAATCAAAGTATTTCACTTATTATTAGAGAGTTGTACAGACTAGTTTAAATTTTCTATATACGAAAAGGTTTTGCAACAAATACAATCAATTTTCCATTGAATCCCCGATTTCTTCCGCTTAGTCTGCCCAAGCTCATCGCTGAGCTCCATTTCTAGTCTGATGTGTCGTGCATATTAGACAGACCCCTTTTCGTGGGCGACGTATCCAGAGCAGTTGTATCCGTCAGATCAACACCCATTGTGATATAGCCAATCATTCCATTGGCGATATCTATGCCGTCAGCGGGGACAACGCTCATCACGGGGTTGTAACCTCCCTCCTGAGACTCAGCCATGATGGTGTCTTCAGCGTTGGTTGTGCGATTGATTTGAGTGTGCGAAGCATAGGGCTCGAGAGCCATCATCTCCCCGATGACGGACTCGTTAAAAAAGAGCTGGCCGACGTTGACGATGTCGCCGGTGCGGACGGTGCCGTTATCATGCAGGACCCAGTCTTTGTAGACCTCGGTGTGAATGTGAATAGCGCGCCCTGCGTAGAAGCCCGGGAAGATCGTCTTCATCTCCAGCATGCCTTCCTTATTGGTGGGCCACATCCCACGCAGGAACGTAGTATCGTCCGTGTGCAGGTCCGTCTCGCCGATGGTGAAATCGGTGACGTTGAGCTCATTTAGGAGAGTCGCAAAGTCGGTGTTGGGGTCCAGTCCGGTGAAAGACGAGTAACTCCCTGTGCCATTGCAGTGCCAGAAGGCCACTAGCACATCCTCGAGTGGCTCGCAGGTGCTAACGTCCAGGACGCCGATATCAAGCCAGAGAGGGACACCAGCCTGGCCCCCAGTCATGTCTTGCCTCAATATCTCGGAGCGAGGCCACACATACGGGCCCCGGGTGACGTCAGGAGTCACGATGCAGGTATCGTTCTGGATGACATCGTAGTAAGGCGCCTCTGTGTGGATGGTGAAGCTGGTATTGCGGCCATTATCCCAACGCTTCTTCATTTGGTTGGCATAGCGTTTCTCATTCATCTTGGCAGCCGCACCCTCGCATCGCTTCGAGAGGTTGGCACGGCGCCTGACCTCGTGGTGGCCAAGAGGGTCGCCATGTGCCAAGGCGGTGCCGGACAGGAGCCCAGAGACTAGAACGATAGCAGCAGTAAGCTTCATGGCGGCAAGATTCTTGCTGAGAGAGTGGTGAATCGAGTGTAGCGATGGTGAGAAGACGATGGGCTGCTGAATTTTAGAATACATTCAAATCGAGGTCCAGAAGTGCGGTTTTATACCAAGTGGTCACCCCTGGGTTACTTCTTGGACAAGACCGATAGGAACCGAGCTGATTAATCCAATCTACTGTTCTTAAAACTCGACTACGTACATCACCAGCTTAGACATTCATTTTACCGAATGGCGTTTTACGCATTCGCAAGGAAAGGGTTTAGATACCCCTGCAACTCGACAAGGGCTTTATCAAATTAGGCCGGGAAACCCAATCCTATAGAGCTTGGCATTGTAAGTACCGCTGCGGTGATCACGGTATTTTTGAGCGTCCTAGTCAGGTTTCGTGGAGCTCCCCTTTCGCAGCGACTCACCGATACTGGAGTAAGAAGGTACCACCGAAGAGTGATAAGACACAGCCACAAGGTACTTAGCTAGGGTGCTCTTTTTTCTGTATGATAACAAAATAGATATCAGCATCGTTGCTTTTCCCGAACCGGTACCTCTAGTTTTTTTTTTAGGGAACGAACCTTGCCATTGAACCAACGTTTTGACGCAGAGCCTCAGCTTGAGAATGCTCTCTATAAAAAAGCATAAGCTAGCTTCGAGCTCATCTGGGGCTGAGAGGCGGCATTAATGCTGGTTTCCTCTACTCCACCGGGGCGGGCCGCTTGGCGCGTTGTCCCAAATTCTAATACCGGGCAGGCCCGACGCGCGCGCCTGAAGAGAAACTACGATGTCAAGGACTACATTATACAAGCAACGCGAGGCTTGCAGTGTCGTTTTGTGGGTAATATTCACCGGATGGATTAATCCGGTCAGTGAACTTGTGTCATGAGAATTTTAGGTTGGGTCGCTAAAGAGGCAGGTCGTAGGACGCGTAATGCTGCCAAAACACAGGTGCACCCAGCCATACCTCGGATCTATTAACCTGCAACGTCCAGCTTGCACTTTAATATCGAAAGAATGCAGTGCTTTACCATACCAGGGGCATCCATCTTTACTATAGCGCAGATGCAAGATTTAGATGTGGCAAGAGAAGCTGCTTAAGACCGATAGATTGTGCTGCTAGGAGTTGATAATAGCTTATGCCATCTGGATGATTGTAATCTTAATGCTGCATGCATACTACAGGGTGCAAAAGAAGAAAAAAAGTCTGCCCTGTTTTACATATAGATCAGAGGAGTGCCCAAATCGCTCAAGACTTACACTTTTTAATCCGTCCAACTATAGCGATCAATCTATATCATATCTACCCATTCATTTCGCCTAGTTTAGATACAGCTTGTAATTATCTATTATCTTGCCTATTTAGTGTTCCTCACTTTACTTTTGGAACTTATTTCCTACAACGAAGTGCCAAGCTTACACGCGTATAATAGTTGAAGTTTGTAGACTGGCATCAGTCGATTTCGCAGGAGCAGTTGAAAACGGGGCACGTTTGCCGATAAGGGAAGCGGAAGCTAGTAATAGTACGCGTATCATGTCAGAATATATTCTACGTTCCAGTCAACCCCCCACTCTCCGGCTACTCCCACTTTCCGGTTGCCCCACCACTCCACCTTCCGAGCCCCCCCTTTCCGGCCAGCGACACCGCTTCTTCACAACCACTTTTGTTCCAGTCATTTCTTCACAAAACCTTAATAGATGGAAGACTTTCGAAGAATCTTTAAGAGAGGCCCCCTTTTAGCTGCTACAAGCTGGTAGATTACATAAGCTTAAGCTTTTCGAAAACATTGGTAATTTCACATTGGTAGTTTCTAGTGTCCATGTGGCCTTCGTTTGGTGTCCTCCTTTCGTACTGTCGGGGGAAAAAGCGATCGCCAGTCTCTCAGAACTAGCTGTACCTATATATTTTCCCACACGTACAAGCACGCTTGGGTTGCATAAGCCTTTGACTATTGCTGGGCCATCAATTCTTTTCTGTGCGCCAGCACCTTAGTTCCAGCTCAATGACGTTACTAATTAAGCTTAAGGATAAACTCGTCTTCGTCAGTGACATGGTGTCTTACGCGCTCGCGAAGTTGATAGGATCCCGAGTGGCTCCGGTCGTGTTTTCGGTCGGCACAAACATCATATTGTGCCCTAATCTCCCGGGTCCGCGACCTCATAGTTAGTTCTCCTTCGCCTGAGGTTTGGTTGCATACACCGTAATCGCTGTCTGGACGTCGCCGGCGAATATAAGTTAACGCCCGTTGCCGATTGCTCTTGCAAGATTATCAACAGCAGCAACAGATTTGTTCGCAACAATTGCAGCTAAATAATTGGTTGTATCGTGCAAGTCTTCAAGACGTGGTTGGACGAGGGAAAATTGGAACTAAAGCCTATCCAATGCCGTCTCGATGAAAAAATCGATCTCCAATGGGAGAAGGCGAAGGCCGATGCGGAGAGAAATGCGAGAGAATCCGGCGTGATGCTCGAGGGACAGCCTGAGCAGCCCCTGAAGGCTGAACTCTACATTTTGCTCTATAAAACAAAAGAAGCCCAGCCTAGTTGCCCCGGCTATAACGAACCGTATATCGCTGGCTCTATACCTTGGTTTATCTAGCTGAGCCTGGCAGCTACACCCTGTAGCCTCTTCGGCCACTGGAGCATAATCTTCGTCATTGCTTTAAGCGTACTCTTAACTTCGCATCCTGCTCCCTTTTGCAGTGGTCTTGAAAGAAGTTGGCTTGTCGGTGTGGCATAAAAAGGACGTTCATGTTGGCGAAAGGACATGGCAGCCAGCATGCCATTGTTGCCATTGGCGATAGCAAAAGGCTGGATCTCGAGGATCTCACCACTGCTGACACAAGCGCATTCCTCCTCTAAACCACATTTACTGCTATCGTTCTTGCTGTCCTCTGAATCTTACTCCTCATTACTGCTTTGGGAATTAGATAGAAAACTGAGTTCCTCCTTGCAATCGGAGGCGTTAGCATTCCTCAGAACATCTCCATTACCGGTGCTAGTCGCTCTCACAAGCTTTTAGCATTATTCTATAATTTTTGAAGATGATGGCATACTATATTCAAAGTCGAGGCTTAGAAAGCCAGATGTTTAGAACTATGATAAAGACTATGTGATTCATTCTGTGCTGCTTAATAGTGTTATATAGCGCTTATTATAAAGGCTTTTGTGAGCTACTAACAATATGTATTGAGAACCATTATAATTATTTATAATAGTCACTCCTTTTAGCTGTTGCATAATACCAGATAGCGCGGTGATAGCTAGAACGTTGTGTCCCGCAGTCCTGATATTCGATCAAGTCTCAGCAATGTTTTAAGAAGATGGACAAAGAGCATACAAGTTGATAAATATAACAGCATCGGCTTCTCTGATAAACACTTTGTCCGGATAGTCTTCATGGAGTTCCAAGAATTTGCTCAACATGTCTATCGTTGGTCTAGACGACTTCCTCCTAGCCTCGACTTCGTTGATCATGAGCTGGAATAATGGTCAGAAGTACGTTCCGAGATCTAGGACACACGATAAGTTGACTAATCTTCAATGCTAGCTCTGCTTCTTCCGCTCGCACTTGTGATCGAAGAAGGTTTAAGAGCTGCTGAAGGGTTGGTGCCTGCATGAACTTATTATGCTTTCAGTGATTGTGATCCGAGGTTTCATGACTCAGACTAACATAATAGCTCAACTAGATAAAAGGTCTTGTTAGCTAACTTTATTATATTACGAATGTCATGCCCCTGCTCCAGAAACCAATGTTTTCCGATATGCTGATATCGCCTAGACACTCGTATGCAAACAAGTGTAACCATAGTGACATGTCAAGACGTGCAGGCCCATCCTTGGTATGACCTGAGAGCTGTCTTGAAAAGCTCTAAATGCAGCTATCTACCTTGGGCTCGAAAGCTTTCACCGCACTCTTCTATAAAGGCCGCCGATATTGCGTTTCAGAGTGGCGTGGTGTTGCATATCTCGGACAGAGAATAGTTTCTCCAAGGGCTAACTAGCGTAGGTAGGAGCCCCTACTTCATAAAAGTCGGACTGCATTTCCAAAGGAGCAAAGATTAGTTCTGAGTTTCATACATATCTAACGTATAAACATAGTTGTATATGTATATTTATATATATATGCATATCAAAAGTTGCTTGTATCTCTTCAAATGTCTGTCTAGAGGCATAAATCGCGTGGAAATCTGTCGGGCTAGCGAACGAAACATGGTTGCACATACATGTTTCATGCTGGCATGTCTTCATTGTAGACAGCTACCAGCTCCAAAGATTGCTAAAGCTTGCCAAAAATAGATTCAGATACGGATCTCAGATATCAGCAACAGCGGGTATACAGTAACTCCAAACACAGAATGAAGGTATAATAAGCGTCATAATCACAGAGTTCGTTATAATAGAGACCTTTCTAGCATACACGAGTGACAGAAAATACCGAGTCTTCTAAGAACAGCATTTGTTAGAATAAGAATGGATATAGAGTGAGGTAGGTGGTTTAGGAATGCTCATCCGTAGGAATACTGCTATATCAAAGCTATAATTACCGGAACTATTAGTCCCTATATGAGATACCGCATTTGCAATTGAAGTTTTACAGTAGCACAGCTAATACATTACTGAAGAATGCAATAAGCTTCCAACAAGGCTCCATTGTATACATATCACAGTACAGTTCGAATCCTTTGCCTTGCTCAAAGGATTGCAGAACTCATAAGACTAGGGATGAAATGAGGTTGCATCTATTGCAGATATCTAAAGCGTTGATTATTTCGTAGCTTCTGATCTAGAATCTCCCAATGTACTTGCATCCTAGGACTGTCTCAAAATCAGTAAAGATAGGAATTATTCGCAGAGAAAAAGAGCTCACCTAAGTATTTTTTTCCAGATAGCCAGAATGAGAGGGTAGCCCAGGCCATACACAACGAGTACTAAGTACGTAATAGTGAAAGATTTTCGTAATCATGTAAGCTGTATAGCTGCAAAGCGGTCACTATACTCTTCACCCACATACTCCGATACTTAGCTAAGATATATCCAATATATAAATCAGCTTTTAGAGCCTTGCTCTGCGAAATTGTACAGCCTCCAAGCAGTATCAGATCAACCGTATAGCCGGAGCGTCATCAAAATTCGAAAACGCTAGCCGTTATTACGTTGAGCAAAGATAGCGCTGCCAGTGAGGACGGGACCACTTCTGAATTCTTTTCATATCGCGAGCAGGGATCTCCCATTGGCTAGAGCAGGCTCACTTTGCCTGCTCTCTTCAGTATACATATCTCGATCTTTCTTTTATACTCTTCATTTCTCTTCAACTGAAAGAGCAAGAGATAATGCTTATTTCTCTCAACCATTGCACCGCTCTGCTCGTCTCATTTCATTCATTCGTTGCATACTGTTGTGGTGGCCAGGGTGGTAGTCCGTAGGACATGGAGTACAGTGGGTCAAGGATCCTCATACATATAAAGAATACCACCCACTTTTCAAATTCTTTAGCTATAGGCAACAATCAAGCATTCTTTTCTCTTCTTTTCAATTTTGAATCCCTTGGACAGGTCTAAGACAGGTTTTTCACCCTGTTCTTGTGCCCGTGTAGCCTTAGTTTGCTGTTCTCATCTGTACAGGCATGCTTGGGTTGCACGAGCCCTTGCTCATTGCTTCGGCAGCTGTTCGTTCCTTTTTCTCGAGGGCGACAGCGCCCTATTTCTGGTTCAATACGTTTTCCGCATCTGCTTTTTTTCTTTATTCAATCGTTAAAAATCTCATACAGCTTCCAGCACCTTCCGCTCAACAACAGCAGCTTTTATCAAGGTTGATTCGGATAATAACAGAAACCAAGATCAGCTGGGCTGTTATGCGCACTTCTTATAAAAACTCAGCGGATCTATAATAGCTGTTTTGCTCAATGAAGCAGGCCACTTCAATGAGAACACAGTATCAGCTCTTGGAGTTCGTTCTAATCATATCCCCTAGCTTAAGTGCTGCTCTTCTGCCTGAGGAACAGTCGCAATAGCAGAACTTTACAACGGACGATTATACTCCTATAGAGCTGAGCTGGGACTGGCATATCTGTTCGCAATTACTCAAGATACAGTTCTCAATCGAGCTGGTGAGTATTGAGGCAGGAACGCCTCTTGATCCTAATAACCAATACAGCCCCTCCGGATTTCAAGAGACACTGCATCCCTTCCTACTCGAGACGAACATGGAGTAGCTATGCCACTTCAGAAAGAAAATGAATGAACCGGGAATTGTTGCTGATATTGCTCCAGTCAACGGGCACCTTTCCCGGGAGTTCTTTGCTTTCAACCTTAGCGATAACAGCAGAATCATGAGCAAAGCTTACTTTTTCCCTGGTTATAAGGCTAGTATCACGGGGCAAAGCAATCTTGATGTGATCGTCAATGCAATTAATACAGCCCTATACTGCAGCCTGGAGAAACTGTAAGCTCTGAAGATATTTGAGGGATTCGTATACGATGCATCTACCTCGCCGCTAAAAATGGATATGCTGGCAATAGATTTGATTGATCCGAGAGAACATCGCTTCAAAATCTACTTCTGCATCCGCGATACCAGCTTTACCACCGTCCAGCAAATGATAACTTTGGGGAATCGCTTCTGAGTAATAACCATCGACCAAGGTCTCAGCAACTTTCAGCATTCATATCATACACTGTTGGAAGGACAAGCTCCAGGCAAGACCTCGTCGGAGCTCCCAAGTAAGGATACTCTTCTTCCAGCGAAAAACCACCGAACAGCTAGTATACTGTACATGCTCGAATTCAAGTATGGAAGTGAAACACCTCAGATCAAGGCTTGTTTGCTCGTATAGCATTATACACAATGCGAGGAAACAGTCGTATTCCCGCTCGCCACACACTTCATGCGTACGGAAGATTCAGCCAGCTGGAAGCTGAATACAGAGAAGTATACAGATGCACTCAAAATGATATTGTAAGAGTTTCCCATATTCTTTTCGCATCTTGAGTTCATATTTTGATACGTATTACTAACAAGATCTAGCTTAGTTCATCTGAAGCCTTACAAGCCCGCAGTGGATTGCATAATACATCAGGTGCTCGATACTGCAAGGGAGAGAACTATGCCTGGTCCCATATATGAATCCACAGCAATCACAATCCTTCAAATACTAATAGTAATCTATATTGCTTAACCAGAAGCTAGCAGTTCCGAGACTCTGAATTCTCGCTCAAAGACTATACTTAGAGCTGGAGAACACGCTATACATCCATTTTTTGTAGATCACTACACCACAAATGAGCAGTTGTTCTACTCTCTATCCATTGTTTTCAATTAATAGAAAATGGTATGAGTGCAATTAAAGAATGTAACTGTTGCTGTTCTCTCTCCTTTCTAAAGCTTGTACAGTTTCGAATTTTCGGATTGGTATTATGCTAGAATGGGATTATTCTTCTGATATAAGAGTTCATATAGGTAACATACTGTTGAATAGCTGAGCAAAGTGTGCGAGTGATGCTGTATTGCTGCATACGTAGTACTGAACTTACTAGAAGCTAAATGCATGTTGGATTAGCATAGTGATCTCTAACAGAAGAACTGATTAATCAAGTGCAGTAGCAGTCACAGCATATCCGACAACTTGGATTAGATACAGAGTAGTACTCAGTAGCATACATAGTCTCACTGTTTGCAGATTAGCGCAAAAGTCCCTTGCATATACTTTAAATATATAGCTGATAATCAATTTCTGCTGGAATGTAAAACTGTTGTTACTCATCATTCAGCTCTTTCATTATCCGAGAATAGAAACAGTATTGCATCTGCTCCTCTTACGGTATTAAAACCTACTTGTAATCATCAGCTGTATTGTAGCATTCTTCGTTCCTTGCTTCTTCTTGTTCCCCTGCCTTTTTGTTCTTCGTTATTTGGCTCAGCAATCTAACAAAAAGCCGACTACGCGCGCCTGGAGGAGGACCTTCTTGTTTTTGATTCTACACTGCACAGTTCTGTTTTCCCTATCCAAGTTGTTATCCTGACTCAACTTGTTTGTCATTATGAATCGTTTCTGTCAGCTGCGCTGTCACCTCAGACAAGCTTTTCTTTCTAGCCTTCACAGTAAACCCAACCATGTCTGCCTCCTCATCATCGCAGAACAGGTCTTCGCTGAGCTACCTGAAAACAAACAATGGCGAACGCATTATTGCTGCCTGCACTGTTATACTGGTTTTGACTTCCGTTCTCTTCCCTCTGAGTCTCTATGCAAGAAGCTTAATATCATCTCTTAATAGCTTGCATATGTAGTATAATCAGCCTAAACTTATACTTATTGAAATAGATGGAGTTGACTCGTTGTTTATAGCTAAGGTTGTCCAGGCGAGCCACTTATCCGTTCACACATCTCTTCGATTCATGAACTTGGCAACATAAGCTTTGAACTCAGCAAATGCCTCTAGCTTCGGATAAAATATGGGAAATGAACTGTATTGAACTGCGCTTAAGAAAAGAGAAAAGAGGAAAAAACAGTGGAAAACAACCGCGAGGTGGTTGAGGCTATCTAGGCGGAGGGGTTGCCTGGCAACCACCGGACCAGTGGCTCACTGGAATTCGCACACACCCCCTCAGGCAACCTCGTGAGCCTTCCCGGCGATCCTCCTCGTGGTGTTTTCGGATCCTCATAGTCCTCTATGTCCTCGTATGCCCAATTCCCTTTTCAATTCGCTCGTCGTAGTCTAATAGATAGAGTACCGCTTGAGACCCAAGGCCTGAACGAATTGGTTGTGTTTGACGGCTTCCAACGGCTTCGTCAGGCTGTCAGCTGCCATCTCCTCTGTACCCACGTGCTGAATGCTGAAGTAGCCCTCCTTCGTCTTCTCGACAACCCACTTGTATCGGATATCGATATGATGAGTCCTGGCAGCGTTGAGAGATTATCACTAAAGAAAGCGTTCGCATACGCCTTGATGATGTTATTCAATAGCATTCTGCTATTGATAACAATGCTTAGATCTGGGAATCGTTCAAGGTATCTGAAGAGGTGCTTCTGGAAGTGTAGATGCATAGCCGAGAAGCCTACATTGCTCTTCGCCACCTTGTTAACCATATATATAATATCAGGCCTCGTACCTGTTGATAGCTAGTTAAGAGTATCAGTTCTCTTCTGATACATCTTTGTTTCCTCATCTATAAGCTCCCAATCCTTGAGTAGCTCGAGGCTAGCAGGCCAAGTGGCCTTTGCCTGTTTGGTAAACTCGAAGCTGTACACCTTTACGATCATTTTGATATATTCCTCTTGCAAGAGGAAGATGATTGCGCTCTCCTCATCCCTCTTGATGTTAAAGCTCAAGAACTTCTCTGGGTTTCCTAAATGCTTGAGATTAAATCGCTTGCTAATAGCAGCAGCAACTTCGTTGATATCTGAGAGTATGAGGCTAGCTATCAGCATGTTATCGATGTAGAGGATCAAAAGAACTCCAGTCTTCTCGTTTCTAAAGATATACAGCTCGTTATCGAAAAGCTTAAAGCTCAGATTCTTGAGAAAGGGTGTGATAGTCTCAAATCACCACAAGGGGGATCATCACATGCTGTACATTCCCTTGACTATCAGCCAAACCTTGCCATTACAGCATTCATAGCCAGAAGGAGATCTAACAAAGATTCTGTCAGGGTAAAAAGAGCACACAAGTGAGGTGAAGGGGTGTGAGCTGCTCCCAAGCTGCTCTGTTGACGCTTCCATTCAAAGGAACTACTGAACCTATCTCCCTCCTCCTCTTTTTCGCTGCTGGACCTGTTGTTCCTCTTTCTCTTATGTACACAATTAGCCTGAACTAGATAGGATAACAATGGCCTGATGGCTACGCAGCATCGTACGAGAGCGCTGCTTCGGAGCGAAGCCCTCGCAGCAGCTCTGAACTGCCACCAGGGGTCGCAAGGGCTACCTATTTCTTTTGTGCGCATACAAGCCCTGATAGATTCTATTATCCTCAGGAATAGAAGAATTCAGAAAAGCAACAACGAAAACGGACTTCTTTCAAGCTAAGCCTTTGTGTAATGAATGCACTGCAATATTCGAAGATCTTGAAGTATACAAAGGGTTTATGCTAACAAGAGCAATATCAAAGTAATATCCACTGAATACGGAAATATAACTGAGTAATTCGTACAAATGCTGTTCATTCGCCTTTGGAGCTATTTAAGTGTATAACAAATGAATACTTAGATTGATAACTGAAGAGCTATATTCTAATAGTTTATCTAATGATAATGAGCGTGTTCTTATATATTCAGCTCTTCAGTATGGCTTGCTTGAATAGCTTAGCTATCTCAGCTATTCTACCTCCTTTATAATCCTAATCCTAAGTTCTGTAATCCTGCCTGTTATCTAATGCTGAGTTGTAATACCTAGTTCTTTGTTAGCAAAGCTTGTTTCATAACCTGCATGCGGAATGAATTATAATATTATCTCCCTTTTATTAGTTGTTATTCTCAACAATCTTTTGTAAGTTTTCTAGCAAGCTCTTTGCATGCTGAATCATGCCTATCCTAAAGTCAAAGTATCCTTAAGATAGAGAACAGTTTTTTTGGATGGGAGAATTTTCGGCGCTAGCAAATGCAGGAGTGTTATGACCCATCCAACATGCGGGTCACAAACAGGTCACAGGTAACAAGGATCAGGTGTTGAGAATCCAACATTCCGACTAAGCATTGATTACATAATTCAGGGTTAGAGTTACAACAGGGATGAATCACTGAATTATTAGATAATCCAGTGAGCTCGGATCACCTGGATTAGTAATAAGCTAAGATAAGCTATACTGAAGAGCTGAATATATAAAGATATGATTATTACTATTAGATAGATTCAGTATATAACTCTTCAGTTATTAATCTAAGTATTAGATTACTCTTCTATTCTGATAGCTCTAAAAGCAGTAAATACTTGTATTATTATCTCAGTTGTATTTCCGTATTCAAAGCTTATACTTGATATTGCTTTTGTTAGTATAAATCCCTTTGTATACTTTGGAATCTTTGGATTACTACAGTGCTTATTATATTTTGATGATTCTTATTCAAGAATAGTTCAGTATTACTCTCTTAAGCAATACGGAATATAATAGCTTCTCAAGAATTCTTTTCATTCTCGTATACTCTTACTCAGGAAGAACTGATTAATTAGATGTATTAGCTTATTGTAATGAGCACTGCAGTAATCCGAAGATTCCCAAAGTATACAAAGAGTTTATGCTAACAAGAGCGGTGCTAAATATAGGCTTTGAATATGGAAATACAATTGGGATAACTGTGCAAGTATTCACTGCTTTTGAAGCTATCAGAGTAGGAGAGTAATCTGATACTTAGATTGATAACTGAAGAGCTATATCCTATTGCTATCTTACCCGATGGTAATGAATGTGTTCTTATATATCTAGCTCTTCAGTTCTGACTATTCTGACTATGTTCCGATTTCTTATAGTGAATCAGAACTAGGGCGCTGTTGCCCTCGAAAGAAAAAGGGACAAACAGCTGCTGAAGCAATGGGCAAGAGCTCGTGCAATCCAAGCGTGCCTGTACAGATGAGAATAGCAAACTAAGGCTATACAGGCACAAGAACAGAGTGAAAAACCTGTTTTAGATCTGTTCAAAGGGTTCAAAATTGAAAAGAAGAGAAAGAATGCTTTATTGTTGCTTATAGCTAAAGAATTTGAAAAGTGGGTAGTATTCTTTATATGTATGAGAACCCTTGATCCACTATATTCCATGTTCCACGGACTACCACCCTGGCTATTACAACAATAGTTGTTTCCTGAATCTATTAATTATGTTTATAGCTAATATAATCGTACTAGTAATTCTAATTCTGAATTATATAATCCTTATTAGCTGTTCCGATGTTGAGTTAGAATATCTGATTCTTCTATTAGCTGAGCGTAATTCATGATCTGCATATTGAATGAATTATAATATCATTTCTCTTCTATGAATTGTTATTCCTAATGATCTTTTTGTAAGTTTTTTCAGTTATTCTTCTTATTATATATTATGCTTTTCTGATTTGTTATATTGAACAGAGTTAACAAGTCTCATATTTGCAAATCCTCTTCTGTTCCAAAAAGTACTCAAGATTAAAACCTCTTAGTTTCTCGCCTTCTGAAGAGTTTTATTGAGATGCTCATCTATTCTTATTATAAGAAGTATAGTTTTGGATTCTGCAAGGTATCTTCCGGAGATTCTTCTCGTTGCATCGAGTATATTTGCCTAGATTGTTCCAAGTGCAATATCATAAGCTCCTTTTCTGTGTAATAAGCACTGCAGTAATCCGAAGATTCCAAAGTACACAAGGAGTTTATGTGTAATAAGCACTGCAGCAATCCGAAGATTCCAAAATACACAAAGAGATTTATGCTAACAAGAGCGGTGCTAGGTATAAGCCTTGAATACGGAAATATAACTAAGTAATCGCACAAGTATTCACTGCTTTTAAAGCTATTAAAATAAGAAAGTAATCTGATACTGAACCAGAACTAGGGCGCCGTCGCCCTCGAAAGAAAAAGGGACAAACAGCTGCCGAAGCAATGAGCAAGGGCTCATGCAACCCAAGTGTGCCTGTACAGATGAGAACAGCAAACTAAGGCCACACGAGCGCAAGAACAGGATGAAAAACCTGTCTTAGACCTGTCCAAAGAGTTCAAAAATTGAAAGAAAGAGAAAGGATGCTTTTTTTTTTTTTTTTGTTGCTTATAGCTAAAGAATTTGAAAAGTAGATGGTATCCTTTATATGTATGAGGACCCTTGACCCACTGTACTCCATGTCCCACGGATTACCACCCTGGCCACCACAATAGTCCTCCCCCAGCAACTTTCTTCCAAAGTTGCAACAAGTCCAATGATATGCTAGATCTGATCAGAGGAAGATGAAGTAAAGAAATAAAGAATTCATTGCAAACTACTAAAGAAAATACTGCAAACCAAACTGTTATAACTCATTCAACATGCAGGTTACAGGATAAGCCCCACCAACCAAGGAACCAGGTATCACAACCCAACATCGGGTACTAATCAGGATTACATAACCCGAGTTAGAATTACTAGCGCAACTATGTTAACTATAAACATAGTCAACATATTTAGGAAACGATTATAGGAAATCAGCACATAATCAGAATAGTTAGAACTGAAGAGCTGGATATATAAGGATACGTTTATTATCATTAGATGGATTCAGTACATAGCTCTTCAGTTATCAATCTAAGTATCAAATTACTCTCTACTCTGATAGCCCCAAAAGCAGTGAATACTTGCATTGCTTATTGAGACTTGTATAGTTCCATATTCAAGGACTTAGCACTTTGATACTGTTGTGGTGGCCAGTGTGGTGGTCCTTGGGACATTGAGTGGAGCAGGGTATGGGTTCTCGTGCATATAAGGATATCACCCATTTTAGATTTTCGCGATCAGATAATAACAATCAAGCATCCTTTCTCTTCTTTTCAATTTTGAACCCTTTGGACAGGTCTAAGACAGGTTTTTCACTCTGTTCTTGTGCCCGTGTGGCCTTAGTTTGCTGTCCTCATCTGTACAGGCACGCTTGGGTTGCATGAGCTCTTGCTCATTGCTTCGGCAGCTGTTTGTTCCTTTTTCTTTCGAGGGCGATAGCGCTCTAGTTCTGGTTCAATGGTGCGGTGAGTGTGGACTTGGCTGTCCAGGCTGGTGGCTCAGGGCTGTTGTTGTCACAGTTCGTGAGAATTAGTAAAGCTAGCAAGTCGATTCTATGTACAGGCATACTCTTTCTTTCTGCTGAATTCCTCTTATTTCTTTATTTTATACTGAACTGATAGGCTGTATGCTATGTTCAGACTTTGGGTTATGCTTGAGACCTCTTGTGAAGAGGAGATGGGTGGGCAAAGGAGGGATGGTGTGAGTTCTGGTTGAAGGTTGGAGAGCAGGGTGTTGAGCTAGCAAGCTAACATTACGAAGAAACGAATTCCTTTGTACGATATTTCCTATAACAAATAATACTCAGACTTGCAGTCTGGTACAGTTCAGAGCTGTATAGATTGGGGGCAGTCTAATCATGCTGAGAGTGGATCTCTGGTTAGATTATAGAGTGTGATGCTTTTGGCGGATGGTACTCTACGGGGAGGAATAAGAAGGGCGGTGAGGCTTGTGATCCTTGCTGCGAACCAATCAGCGCGCTCTGTTTGGCCTTGTCTGGTTATCTTGTTTCTGTGGATAAAAAGCTTATTGGCTGCATTTTCCCGAAAAAGAAAGAAATAAGGTGATGAGAATGGAATGAAGTCAGTGCATACGAAGCATTAGAGTAAGGAATTACGACGACAATGGCAGATATCAGATTACTATGCGTGCAGCATTCCTGGGCAGGGATGTTGCTATCGAAGAACGAAGGAGGTGATAAGGATAATTCCTTGGAGATGCGGATCAGTTGATACACCTGCTTATCACCCGCTCCGGAATCATCCTTACATGTGTCTTGCTCTAGCATCAAGCTTCCCTCAGATATCTCGGATATCTCAGTATCTCCAATCTGACTAGAGTTGTTTTCCGTTGTATATGGAAGATATTCCAGCTGTAGCATTTCCTCCTCAAAAATCTCGAGTTAGAAAGCTAAAGAAACATCAAGGGAAGCGATAACCAGGAAAAAGGATAGCTTCTTCATCTAATAAGTCTTCTGATCCAATCCCGAGCTCGTTTAGTTCCTCTGCAAGTAGATAGTATGGATCTAACTTTCGGTTTTCTTCCTATAGCAAACTTGCTAGTAGCAGCTTAATACTGTTTTCTCGGATGAAAGTCTTATTATAGCTGAAGCGTTTCAACTGGTAGCGTTAAATCAAAGGCATTAATAATACTCAGGCGCTCAACTTTATGAAAGGCTTCTGTTCAGATGCAGTCGTTGCTGGGAAAGTAAAGAGATATATTACGAGTGCTAGGATATGGGGCGAATAGAAGAACTGACTATTGGTTGCATATTAGCTCTGGGATCATTTCCAAGCATATATACCTGAGCAGGAGCAGCTGAACATTATTAATAACTGTTTCATTACTGATGCTACAAGCTTGTAATCATTCGTTATTGATTATAACAATGCTCTTATCCATCTTAAGATTAGAGATATTTAGCTTATTGCTGAGGCTTGGATGAAACTCTTTTTAACTTGGATCAAGCGTCTTCGAGCTGATTATAGTATTACTGCTGAGAAGGAGGAAACTCAAGACTAGCTTGCATCTAGTGCTGCAAATCCTCAACTCCATCAGCAGATGCAATTCCAAGCTCCTTTAATGCTATTACCTCAACTGATTTCTGACTAAGCGCAATCTATGCTTATTTCTCAGCTGATTTATGATTTTCCTAATCACCCGCTAGCTCAGATTGAGCAAACTGGAGAATCATTGCATTACCAACCTTCTCAGCACTCAATCAGCGAATAGCAAGGCTAGCTTGAAGCAACTAAACAGATTCTGAAGCCCGAATCTATTCAGAAGCCTGAGCAGGAATTGAACTACTTAGCATCTCTGATAGAGCAACTTCGCATTGATTAGATTGCAATAGCTTACTCTTTGAAACTGTAATCTGAGACTCTTAGACAAACCTGAGATGTTTCATATAATCAGACTAAGGCTCTGCAAGAGATCTTACAGCTGGTTAGACGCCTACAAGCCATTTCAGCCCGAAATGCAGCTTAAGAAGAGATGAATTCCCTGCAGATGAGTGCTGTTTATACCAACCCTGAGAATGATAGTGAACAGTGCTCTGAAGTATAGCGTGCAGAGATTAATGATGTTCTGAAGAAGGATGGAACTCTGTGCAGGTGCTATAGCTATGGATCAAAGACTTATGATGCTTACGAATGCATAGATTTTCGTATGCTTATGGACTGTAGTATCTGCTATGCTTCAATGCTAGCGAAGCTAGAGTAGTATCTTAGTAATTGATTGGAGTTTCTGAATTCGAAGTTAAAATCCGTATCATATAGCTAGATTATAGCTGCTCAAGCGATAATGCTACATTCTGGATTCCAGATATCATTGAATACGATCTTACATCTAGTTATACTAGCTCTGATCCAGAAATTGTTAATCTAGCAACTGAAGCGGATGATAATGCTGAGGATGGAAATGGAGTTAGTAATAATGAATATTTTATATGAGCAGCGGAGAAGGAGAAGCGAGAATAGGAAAAAGCAGATAGAAGTAGGATGTTTATACTAATCCTAATTAAATCAGCGTTTCTAGCTTGTAGGGAAGGATAGTTTTCTTCTGTTCAGATTTCCTTTCTGTTGCAAAACACGTTTTCTTTCAGTTCTTCTATTTCATTTTCGTGTGTTTTGCTGAGGGAGGAGGGATGAAGTGTTGTCTGCTATCACTCACTACAAATAACATGGATTACTTAAAAATTTCGAAAACTCAGCACAGAACAAGAATTGGCTGCTGGAGAAAGTGCTAATCAAGGAGATAGATTGTATGAATGAGTACCCCATGTATGCGATAGAGCTTTTCCGCCTACAAATCTTGGAATCTACTGACTTCTTCAGGTTCATCAGTAGCTGTTCAGACTAAGCACAGGCTACCTATCTCATCTACCGAGATGCTGTTCAAACCATTGAAAAGAAAGGTTCCGAGAGAATGATGATTTGATATTATTAAATAGCTTTCTGTTTCAAACTTGGTTATGCAGAAGATACAGTATACTCTTCAGTATCTACTGCATACTTTTGTGCAACCAACTAGTATAAAGCTATTCAGGTTGAAGCCAGAGTGATTGTATTAGTAGACTACAGACCGAATGTTTCCTTCTATGAGAGAGATATTACAGCATTAACTCAACTCTTCTCGGAGAATTCCATTATATAGTCTAGCTGAGAAGAGTTTCTGTTTCGCATAGAGGATTTCAGAGCAAGCAGAGTGCCCAGCATGAGCCTGTTACATAAGCAATCCCGAGAGCACAGCGCTTCTATAAGCATATCGGAATTGAATCAACTTCCATCTACAACCCCCTCAAATCCCTTCCTCAACTCTGCTAGAGCTACGCCTGCAGGCCCGGATCGGATAATCAGTCTATTAATGCAGCCTGCTCTCAGACCTGGTCAGGCTGCTACCTCATCTCTGCATGAAAGGCTAAGAAGCAGCAATGCTATAATCCCCAGCTTTCCCAACAAACTGCAGGAGCTCTATGTACCTCTGTGCAATAAGCTTCACAATCTCAACAGGATCTGCCCTTCAATTAGTGCTGAGAACTGGAAAGGGTTTGAATATGCTCTCAAGATGAACAGATAGGAGTCAGAGTATAAAAGGGTTCGTTAATTGATTAAGCAGAACAAGAGTTGGGCTGAGGCAGCTGAAGCAGCACAGCAAGCGTATGCAGCTAAGAGGGAATAATGTGGAGCTCAATGTAGCGGACAGCGTTGAAGGCTGTAATAAGGAGTAAGCAGATTATGCTCGTATTACGAAGTAAGAATTGGATCTATTTAACTGCGCTGCATTAGTACTTCATACAGTAGCCATCTCATGTAAAGTGGGGCAGGATGATGAGCTTAACTAACTTGCAGTGCTTTTGTTTTGCTCGGTTGCAATGAATTATTTCTTTAGTTCAATTGATTTCTTTCTAATTAGATCTGGCATATTACAGTGCTTGTTGCAACTTTGGTAGAAAGTTGCTGGGGGAGGACTGTTGTGATGGCCAGTGTGGTGATCCTTGGGATATTGAGTGGAGCAGAGTATGAGTCCTCGTGCATATAAGGATATCACTCATTTTAGATTTTCGCGATCAGATAATAACAATCAAGCATCCTTTCTCTTCTTTTCAATTTTGAACCCTTTGGACAGATCTAAGACAGGTTTTTCACCCTGTTCTTGTGCTCGTATGGCCTTAGTTTGCTGTCCTCATCTGCATAGGCACGCTTGGGTTGCACGAGCTCTTGCTCATTGCTTCAGCAGCTGTTTGTCCCTTTTTCTTTCGAGGGCGACGGCGCCCTAGTTCTGGTTCAATACTGCTCTTATTAGCATAAACCCCCTTTGTATACTTTGGAATCTTCGGATTGCTGCAGTGCTTATTACATTTTGACAATTCTTGTTCAAGAATAGTTCAGTATTATTCCTTAAGCAATACAGAATACGATAGCTTCTCCAGGAATCCCTTCGTTCTCGCATGCCCCTACTTAGAAAGAACTAGTTAACCAAGTATACCAGCTCATTCAGTATATCCAGGATCTGCATGAATAATAGCAGGCTTAAAGCGCTACTATTGCTAACTAATAAGCTTAGCTAGCTTAATAAGCTTAGCAGGCGCAGTTTATCTCTGCAATTACTAGTAGTGCTGGAAAAGTATATAAGATGGATAAGCTTGCTATGTATAATAGCAACCAAAAGATGCTGCATGAATTCCTTACTTACTGCAGAGCGTATTTCCTATACTACAAGACTCAGTTTACTAAGAAATCTGAGAAAGTTATTCTTGCAGAGATTTATTTCGAAAAGAATACTCTTATCTAATATAAGCTTTCTCTGTACAACTATTTGAAGCATTAGAATAATCCCAGCGCGCATACTCAGGATATTAAGAATATATTTGATTCTTTTGAAAGCTTCGAGAAAGCTCTCAAGAAAATCTTTAGTAATCCCAATAAAGAATACATTACAGCTCAGCAGCTTATAAATCTCAAGCAGATTAAATCAGCTTTTGCTTATATAATTAGATTCAAGCAGCTCTTGATAAGACTTCTATAGAAAAACAAGAATCTTATAGAATACTATTATAAGAGACTTAAGAATAATATTAAAGATGAAATCTTCAAGCAGAATTAGCTGAAAAACTTTGCAATATTCTCTAATCAAGCTATCTGCATCAACAACTATTTGTATAAATAATGAATAGAGAAGTTTAAGAAGAGAGAAAGCTAAACTTGGAGATTTCCAGCTAATATGAGCAAGAAACTTCAAAATAAGAATAGCAGTTGATATAGCAGTATAGCTTAGAGCAGCACTATGCATACTAGTCTTATGGAATTCAATATTGCTAATAAGCAGTATAGCAAGAGAAATAGCATTACTTGCTACAATTGCAATAAATAAAGATATATTGTATGCAACTGCTATTAATTCCGAAAGAATAAATAGCAACTAGTTTAGGAAGAATGCTAGTATTATAACCCATTCAACATGCAGATCACTAGCCAGGACACTCGGAACAACTGTTCGGAAAGACAGGGAAGGATTTCACATCTCAAGAACTAAAGCTTATATAAGCAAGGGTGTTATGACCCATCCAACATGCAGGTCACAGAACAGGTCACGAGTAACAGGGACCAGGTGTCAAGGACTCAACGTTCTGACAAATCATTGATTACATAACCCAGGGTTAGGGTTGTAAAGGAGGGAGGATTGTTGGGCTCGCTAGCGATCCCAACAAGCTTCACACCTTGAATCGCTAGACTCGCCAGCAATCCCAACGAGCCATACTGAAGAGCTGGATATATAAGGATACAGTTATTACCATTAGACGAATTCAGTACATAGCTCTTCAGTTATCAATCTAAGTATTCAGTCTTCTATACTGAGTAGCTCTAAAAGCAGTGAACACTTGCATCGCTTATGAGGACTTGTATAGTTCCGTATTCAAGAACTTGATACTTCAATACTGCTCTTATTAGCATAAACCCCTTCATATACTTAGGAATCTTCGGATTGCTGCAGTGCTCATTACATTTTGACAACTCTTATTCAAGAACAGTTCAGTATTACCCCTTGAGCAATACGGAACACAATAGCTCCTCCAGGAACCCCTTCGTCCTTGCACACCCCTACTCAGGAAGAACTAGTCAACCAGATATACCAGCTTATCCAGCGTATTCAGAACCTGCACGAACAATAGCAGGCCCAGAGCGCCACTATCGCTAACCAGCAGGCTCAGCTAGCTCAACAAGCTCAGCAGGCGCAGTCTATCTCTGCAGTCACCAGCAGTGCTGGGAAGGCATACAAGATGAACAAGCTCGCTATATACAATAGCAATCAGAAAACGCTGTATGGATTCCTTACCCACTGCAGGGCGTATTTCTTATACTATATAACTCAGTTTACTAAGAAATCTGAGAAAGTTATTCTTGCAGGAACTCGTTTCGAAAAGAATGCTCTCATTTGGTATAAGCCTTCTCTATGCAACCATTTGGAGCATTAGAATAATCCCAACATGTGCATCTAGGGTATTAAGAATATATTCAATTCCTTTGAGAACTTCAAGAAAGCTTTTAAAGAGATCTTTAGTAATTCTAACAAAGAGCATACTACAGCTCAGCAGCTTATGAATCTCAGATAGATTAAATCAGCTTCTGCTTATACAGTTAGATTTAAGCAACTCTTAGTATAACTTCTATAAGAAGACAAAAACCTTATGAAGCACTATTACAAGGGATTTAAGAACGAAATTAAGAATGAAATCTCCAAGCAGGATTAGCTGGGCTAGGGTTAGGGCTAGGGTTAGGGCTAGGGCTAGGGCTAGGGCTAGGGTTAGGGCTAGGGCTAGGGTTAGGGCTAGGGCTAGGGTTAGGGCTAGGGTTAGGGCTAGGGCTAGGGCTAGGGTTAGGGCTAGGGTTAGGGCTAGGGCTAGGGCTAGGGCTAGGGCTAGGGCTAGGGCTAGGGCTAGGG